TAAAGTTATTATTTTAGAACTTCCTACTATTAAGGATAACTTATTAAATATAATCCTCTAGATTTTTATAATTTTAAATATTAATAATTATATATTTTATTAATTCTAAGTAAGTAAATATAATATTAAAAGGATTATAAAATTATTTTTTTAATTTAAAGTATTAAAATTTTATAGAAGTCTATAGACTAGTATAAATTATATTTAATAATTCTTTAATATATTATCTTTTAGCTTTTTTTTTAAAAGTATTAATCTAAATTTTAAATAATTATTATTATATTATTACCTATAGTTTTAACTTTTATTCTTAAAATAAAAAAAAGATATTATAATATATAGTTTTCTTATCTAATAACTTTATTAAAGAGATATTATTTATAAACTTAAATAAACTAATATTATAAATATAAAATTAATTAAATCTTTAGAAACTTAGAGGAAGAATAGGATATTTAAAAAGTATAAGTTAAAACAATACTAAAAGTTATTAAAATTAATTATTAATAAAAACTATTTAATTTAAAAGTCTTTAATCTTTTATAATAAAAGGTATAATTATAGAAAGAATCTATATTATAGTTATTCTCCGAATTTATTATTTAAGAATTAAAAGCTAATATAAAGAAGAGGTATAAGCTTTTTCTTTTATATTTTAAATATTAATTTTTTTAGAACTAATTTAAATTTAGCTAACTTTAGAGGTAAGATTATTATTAACTAAAATAAAAGCTTATTACCTAGAGTTTAGTAATAATATAAATAAAATTTAGGATAAAGATTTAATATTAAACTTAAATATCTTAATAATAAAATTAAAATTAAAATTATTTATATTTTAAATTTTTAGATAAAAAGGTTAAAAAAGAAAAGTTCCTACTTAAGATTTATAAAAGCGAAATAGTTTAAAGCCTTATTTCTTAATAACTTATATAATTAAGTCTTTAATATTATTATTAATTTTTTTCTAAATAAATATTTTAAAAATATAAAAATCTTAAAGATTAAAAGCTAAAGGAATAATATATTTAATTTTTAAAAATATTAAGATTTTAATCTTCTTCTTTAGATTAAAAAGATTAAAATCTTAATATATTTTATAATTATAAAAGAAGATTATAATAAAAAGCTAGTAGCTAAGAAAAGTAAATTTAAAGAAAGTAATAGATTTTAAAAATAAAGAATTTTCTTAGAAAGTAAAAAATAAAAATAAAGGTTAAGTATATATATAGCGTAAGGCGTTCTTACTACATATTATAATTACGTAGGGTGACTTTCAACTACTGCTTTATTAGTTTATTTTAATTTTAAAAAGGAAGGTATATTATTAGCAAAATTAAAAAATTTTAAAATCTTAAAATCTTAAAATTTAAGAAGAAATAACTAAATAGAAAAGAATAAATTATAATAAATTATAATATATATTATAATAAATTCCTCTTCTTTATAGAAAAGCTATAATAAAAGACTAAGGGGAAATATTAAAGTATAATTAAATTTTTTTAAATTATAGTAAAATTATAATAAAATAGACTAAAGCTAAAATATTATTTTCTAAACTTAAAAAACATAAATATATATTAATTTTACTTTTTAAATATATAGAAACTATAATAAAGATATATATAAATATTATAATAATATAATATTCTAGTATAAAAACTAAAAAGCTTCTTTAGTTTAATAATAAAAAAGTAAATTCCTTTTTAATTAAGGCTTTAGTAGTAAATATATTATTTAAAAAATAAAAAATAAATATAATAATAGTCTTTAAAATTATATAGCTATATTACTATTAAATTATAAGTATCTATTTATAGTATATAATAATTATTTATTAATTTAGAAGATATATGCCCTAAAGCGTAACGTACTAAGATAATACTAGCCTAATAGAGCTAGCCCCTAGCCTAGCTAATAGGTAAGCTAAAAGGTAGATAGCTAATATATATATATATAATAGAATACTTTAATAAATACTATTAGTTATTTTAGCTTAATATTAAAATTAATATATTTATATTTAAAAAAATAATAATTTATAATAATTATTTTAATATAGGTAAAAATACTTAATTTAGTTTAGAATAAAGTTCTTAATTATACTATAGGTAACTATTATTAAAATTCTACTAATAATTATAAATATTATTTTAAGAAAAGTAAAAATTACTTTAATAAAAGTAATTATAAAATAGTACTTATTAAGTTTTAAAATATATTAATATTTAAGGTTTTCTTAACTATTAATATTCTAAGTAATTAGTATAGGAAGCTAGTCTATACTTACTATATAATAATTATTACTAAAGCTTTAAAATATATTATTTTATAATATATATTTTAAATTAAATATCTTTTTTAAGTTTTAGTATTTAAATAAAAATAGAAATAAATATTATATTATTAAATAGGTTAATAAATACTTTAAGTTTTATTATAATACCTTAATATATAAATATAAATTAATTTTTAATATTATTAATATTTATAGATTTTATATAATAGATTATAATTTAAATATAAATAGAAAGCTTATATTAAGATTAAATATCTTAAAGTATATACTTTTCTATTATAAACTAAAATAATATTATATTTATAAGTTCCTTAAAGTATAATAAAAGTATATTATACTATTCTTAAGTAATATTTTTATCTCTTTTTAATCTAATATATTAAAGATTAAAAAGTTCTATAGTATATTAAAAAAAGTACTCTTATATAAACTTAAGTTAATATTTAATTTTATAAGTAGTGTTTTTTTAATAGAAATAAGGTTTTTAATCTAGTTAATAAAAAGATAATATTATAATAATAAATATTTTTTCTAATTATAATAAAATTTTTTTTATAGTTTTTATTTAGATAAAAGTTAAAATATTTTAAGTTTATTATATTTTATTTAGGGTTAGAACTTATTATTAAAAATATAAAAGATTTATTTTTCTTTCATAGTAATAGATTTAAGTTCTAAACTATTATTATAACTATAGTATTAATTATTTACTATAATTACTTTTAACTTATTTAGCTAATTATATTAAAAAATTATAGTTTTAAAAATCTATTATAAATCATTTCTTTAACTAATATTAAAGTAAAAAGTTATTAGTTAGTATTTACTAAAAAGTTAGTAAATTAAAGATTATAATTTATTAATAAATAGTCTTCTAAAAACTAATTTAAATATAGTTTTAAAATTAGTATTAATTAATATTAAAATAAATTAAATTTAAATAATAAATTTATTAAATAATAGCTAAGCTTATAAATAAACTTATTAAAGGTTTTAATTTACTTTTTAAAAACTAGTTTATTAATTACTTAACTTATAAACTAAAAAAACTTATTATTTATTAAGATTTTAAGCTAGCTAAGAAATTATTTAATATATAATAATTATACTAGTTGTTATTAAAATAAAATTATTAATATTAAATTAGAATTTATTTCTAATAATTATATATTATAGAAAATAAGGTAAAGAATTATTTCTTAATAAACTAGATTATTTTTAACTAAAAAAGTATATTAATAATTTAATAAAATAAAACTTTTTAGTTAAAAAATAAAAATAAAAATAATTTTATTAATATTTAATAGATCTAGGATAAAAATATTAAAATATTCTTAGCTATTAAAAAAATAAATATAAAAGTATAAAATTAAAATTAAAGGAATAAAAAAATAAAAAACTATTATTAAGATTACTATTATCTAAAGTAATTATTATTACTAAGTTAAGATTACTTTTTTTAAATTTTTAATTTAGCTAAAATAATTAATAATTAGCTAGCTAGAATATTTAAAGTTAATTAGTTTAAAGAAGTTAAATACTAAGTAATTATTTAATAAAAGTAATTAATAAAAATATTTTAAATTAATATTTTTAAATTAATATTTTTAGTTTAGTTAATAATAACTAAAGAGAGGATTATTTAATATTATTATTAATATTAATATTTTATTATAAGCTAGTAAAAAAACTCCTAATAGTAATAATAGTTTATAATATTAAAATTAATATTATTATTATTTTAATATAGTTTAAAAATAAGTAATAAAAAAATCTTAGATTTCTAAGTAAAGTAAAAGCCACCTTCTAAATTATAGTCTTATATATATTAAGTAAAGTCTTACTCTTATTAAGCTATACTCTTAACTCTATTCCTAGACTATATTAATATATATAATTAATATACTTTAATATTAATTTATTTTTAAGATAATAAGCTACTAAGTTAATATAGCTTTTTATAATTTAAGAATTAAATAAAATAAGTATATATCTTTTTAATTATTTAAATAAAAAATATATAAGTAAATTATTATTAATAAGAAATTATTTCTTAAATTAATAAAAATTTTTAAATTATTTTAAAAAATAATTATAAAATCTTAAAATCTACTCTAAGTCTATTAGAGTTTAATTAAAAGTAAACTCTAATTTAAATATTATTTATATATTATTAAAAACTTAATTCTTAATTATTTTTTTAATTAATTTAATATTAAGTTTTATTTTTTTTAAAAAATAATTTTAAATCTAAATTCTTAATAAATATATATTTAATATAAACTTAATATAAGCTTAATATAAGTTTAAAACTATTTTTAATAAACTTAAAATAAATATTTAATTAATTAATTAATTTTTTTAATTTTTCTTTTCTTTTTTTTTTTATTTTTTTATAATAAATAAGATAATAGAATTAAGATTACCTAGCTTTAGTTAAAAGCTTAGTATATTCTAAAATAGCTTTACTATTACTTTTATTTATTTTAACTTATAGAATATAATTAAAAAAGATTAATTTTAAAAATAAATAAAAAAACTTTAATTTAGTTAATAGGGACTAGCTTTTTAAAGTCCTATTTTCTTATCTAAGTAGTAAGATAGAGTATATCTATATTTAAGAGTATGTCTTAGAGGTAAGTATTATGTAATTGCTCTTAAGACACCTAAAAATAGTAAAAAGAACTCCGAAAAGACGATCGGGCTCATCCGGGATTTGAACCCGGGACCTGCCACATACAGTGAGTATCTAAGATACTTGGGTTGTAGACCCGAAGCGGCAATCATACGACTAGACCAATGACTAACAGCTGTTAATTAGATGTTTAAATGAAAGAAAGTGAGGATTTGACTCACGCCAGCGTCTAGATCATAGACAATTTTAACATATATAGTCCAAATTTTTCGGTGAGATGGGCATGCGCGTGCTCCTCTTCGTGCGCCTTCCGTTTCTCTCTGCAGCACGGTACACATGCTTGTCTACGATTCATCCTGAGTTGGGATTGCGCGAGCTGATTCAGTCGGAATATTGAAGAACAATCCTACTAATTATGCGTTTGTCCTTGAAATTGGTAGACTTTTCACTCACTACTGATGACCTACATATCCTGCTGGTGAAGGCAACAGCAAGTTGTAAGAAAGCGGAGACTAACGACCGCAACTAGAATATATTGTACTCTGCTCTTATTCAGTGAGATTTATCGACTATCATCAACTGAGTCGGTTGCTATTGTGTCTTCATCACAAGACATATAACCATTGCGAGGCCTTCAGGATTACCCTGCAGTTGCTTCAACACCCTCTGGTGTGAATAGTATCGCACCACTTTTGCCATGCTATTCCGGAGCTCTGTACGTAGATTTGGCGGCCTGGCACGGCAACACCTTACGTCTCGAAGCCAAAGAAACCTGGCAAGTCTTTCACCCCACGTCCGATGGGACTTCCAGATACAGAAGTTCGTCCGGCTAGAATTAGTCTGCAGCCGTATTGCCTTTTCTTGAGATAATGTCCTTCCCTTTCTTCTGCATAGCATTGAGATCACTCTCAATAATGACGCCTTTTTCAGTGACGAGCGTTTGTCTATTCTCCAGCTGGGCCTCGAAATCCTGGAACATCTTTCTCTTCTCCCATCGCGCTTGCTTAAACTTGTCAAGCATGTCTTTGAATTTGTCAATGATCAGGTCCCCGCACGACTCGTGTTGATCAATCGTGAGTGAAGCAAAGAAGTCCTTACGCTGCTTGTCTATTTGGTCGTTACCGCGCCACATATAGATATGCCCGAGCTTCTCTTGCATTGAACCATCGACAAACAAGGCGGGAAGCTCTCGGTAAGATGCCTTTGGGCCATGGTCGAATGGCTCTGCCTTGAGTTGCTCGTAAGTCATAAGTGACATCTGGTCTTGGTCATAGTCCAAACTTTGAGATCGTTTGCGACCTTGAAAAATTACACCACCTGGTATCTTTGGGCCACGGGTGTCTTTCTCAGACCTTACAGGATTTGATGGTTCATCAAAGTGGTTGTGACGTGATATCAATGGATCCTTTTCGGAAGAGTTGTCCTGGGAGTTTGCATGTTCATGTAGCATGTGAGGTCCCTGCGAAGGCTCAGGTGGGATTCTGTGGCGTGATTGCAGTCCCACAGAGTTTTCAGCCTCATCTTTCGATGTTTTAGAGAGATCTCCATCCGTTGAACATACCTTGTAGAGTTGATTTTGCACGAGTGGCCGCTTGCGGCTATCTTTCCTGGTCTGATCAGGGCTATCGGTTCCCGTTGGTGTTGATGGTCTGCGGGTGCCGACCAAGTCTGTGACAGGGTAATTTGCAGCTATGTGTGATTGGGTTGTTGCCATGGGCGTGAAGAGGGATTGCCTTACTATGCCCAGTTGTGCTCGGCGCCGGCTGTCTGGGGTTTTACGTACACCGAGCTCCTCACTGACAATCTTTGGATTATCCTCAGCACTGGGCTCAAAAACGCAGTGATCGCTGTGGCTATCGCCCCCTCCGCTCTCCTCTGGATCCTCTTCGTACTTCTTCTGATATACAGAATCATGAGCACGGGTTCCACGAGTTTGGCCGTATGATTGATGAGCATGATGGCCATCAAACCCTACTAGAACGTCGTGATTTCCGGAACTGGTAATATTCTTGCTATGGGACCGAAGGTGAGCACGTGAGTGGACTAATTCGCTGCCGGTCACAGAGGTGTCATCAAGATCCTCAGCGTCCGTGTCAAACGCGTCCGGAAACCTTTTACCAGAGCAGGCCAGGTGCCTATTTTGCTCCAGGTTCGCAGGTTCTGATTGGTCTCTGTCATCCAGTAGGGGCCGTTGAAGAAGCGTAGGTTTAGTGTGATTGAGCAACGACGTTTTTGAAACAGCAAATCGAGGCTGCTGAGCGCCTGGGATGTGATTCGGGCTAGCACTGCCTTGTTGACGCTGAGATACAAATTGAAGAACATTGCTTATTTCATCGGACATAGCTTATTGATTATTGCTGTAGAGAAGTGGAGCAATCCTAAGGAATTGAGAAGGGGGAGAAGCAAGGCTTGACAGCGACGAAATGCAGAGTTGCCTTGAATGACTGATTTTTTATTCGAACGGAATTCCACAAAATCGCTATAGGTGCAGTTTATGGTATCGTCTATACTACTCTGCCTTATCCTTACATCTTCCTGACGAGGATCCGGGGATAGATTGTTGGGATGCAGTGCCACAGTAGCGATAAATGACATGTACGAAGTAACTTTCCCGCTCGTAATCAAAGATCGGCTCCCAGCCCATGAAATTTGTTAGATGGGGTCATCCCCAATTGGATCAACCCCCAGATCGGGATTTGAATGTCCCCACTCCTCCGCTGTAGGCTGAGAAATCCGAGCTGGGGGCTGGGCGCTTAGGCGCTCTCGCCCTTCGATAGGCCTCGGCACTATCAATCCTGACCGCGTAACTTGTCTCCTGACGGACAAGGGGTCACTCAGACAGGGACTCTGAGCTAATGTCTAAACAACGACAACGCCTTCAAAACAATCGACCCAAGATCCTTAACTTAGCAGGGTCAATAGCCCGGTCGGCCTCCTGCCAATGGTTTTGATGGCGAGTGCTAATTCTGCAAACCCATACGATGATTATCGGTCTCCAGAGGTTGAGCAAGACCTCATCGATTCAAATAATGGTTGTTGTCATCTTTGAGAGGGTGGACAAGACATCACTAATACACACGCAGCAGACGATGGCAATCTCGATCGACAGGTGCAGTCCGACTCGGATCGTGCCCCACTGACCGGTAACATACAATCCACCTCACGCAATCCTTTACCTCAATCATACCTCAATTCGTCAATACCAGGCGAAGACCGTCGCGCCGCTGCAAATACAATCGATGAATCAGTATGGGAAACATTGTCGCGTGATCTCATAGCTGTCTGGGAGAAAATGCGGCAGGTACTGTGGCCTAAGTACCTGCTCGGCGGGATACTTCAGCGAGGAGGTGGGATTGGAGCTGCAGAAAGAGGCGAGGGCGACGGGCTTGCTGGAAGCTTGAGGGGCGTGGCTGGTCGATGGCCAGATGCGGATATTGTACTTCAGGGTGGCATGAGTGAGGGCTTACGAGATTGGGACCTATGGTACTTTGGCAAAGCATTCCTAGAGCTTCACCCTTCATTGACATCTGACTAGGGGTCCACTTGTATTCTGCCTCTTACTCAGTCTACTGCTGTCGATGACCAAGTCGGGCGATCAACGGACAGCAGTCTTCTCTGGAGTATTTGCTCTAGTCTGGATCGGAGAAGCAGTGGTAACAGCCCAGATCAAGCTTCTTGGAGGAAACATGTGAGTGCGGGAACCCCTTCGATGCAGCTGATCCTGATTCGCAATCAATAGTTCATTTTTACAGTCGGTGTGCATCATCGGCTACACTCTATTTCCGCTCGTTCTTGCAGCCATGATGAGCGCGGTGCACCTGCCGACTATTGCCAGAGTGCCCGTCTACATTGTTCTGGTTGCGTGGTCACTTGCTGCTGGTGTAAGCATATTGGGTGGATCTGGAGTGGTAAAGAACCGCGTTGGTATCGCAGTCTATCCGTTGTTCGTCTTTTATGTAGCACTAGGCTGCCTATGTTTCATCAGCTGAATTGTTAGCAATGGAGCATTTGATGGAAAGATCCAAATCCTCCTCGTAATTTGGTCACGTCCACGAATTGGAATCATCGATGCCGGAAAAGAAGGCGTAGTAGTGTATCCTTCCGCGGGCACCTCCGCTCATTTAAGGCTCGGCGAAAGGCCGCTAGTGAGCGATTCAATCTTGAATTCCTATATCTGCGCTCCCTCATCGGTCCCAGGAGATCGTGTCGATCCAGCTCTTGCACATTATTCAGCTACCCAGAACAAGATCGCAAACGCACTTCTGATTTCTTTGGTTCCATTTGCCTTCCTGCCTTCCTCGATAAGACAGAGTAGACATAAGAAACCTTCCTCTTCCACCACTCAACTACAGCATGACGTCTTCTAGACATAACTCGTCTTTCTAGTACTCGCTCTCAGAAATCCTACACTCAGACTGAAGTCTAACATCACGCTTTGCCCATCGCCTGCACGCTTTCCGAGTAATGACTCCCGCACTGGCTGAACGCCCCACTGCCAAACCTAAGGTAATCAGCTGCTTTCGTCCTCTAGTCGCCTTTCCCGACACCTCTTGAGGACTTCAAAAGTCGTGAACATCATCCCTTGACTTTGTGTGCCATTAACACAGCACTGGTCACGAAGTTTCCGGATAAACGACAATGGCTCAATCTAGACCTGACGTGTCGAACAATGTGGGGTCTTCTTCTCACGTCGTCGGCCAAGATAGAGATCAGTCTCCAAATTCACTACCAACTTCAGGCTCTGCAAGTGACAACGAATCTAGCGAAAGAGTAACAAGGGAAAAGCTGAAAAAGGCATCCATAGGTTCTCTGGGTCAGGATTCTAACGCAGGTCCTGCAGCTGCATCGACGACAGACGTACCTGTTGACGTCAAAGCTGACCCATCTCCGACAGGTGGGAAACCGGGGCCATCTGTCGACAACAGTCGTGGCAGGTCGCAACGAAAGCGCTCCTTCGATGAAAGTGAGGACAAGAATCTTAACCGGGAGGATTCAAAGGCCAACGAAGAGGCGGATACAAATACCCACGCGAGAAAAAGATCCAGAGATGTCAAGAAAGCGGAGCATGTTAGCAGCGAACGGGAGGCTCTAGCATCCGCCACCGAATGCACAACCAGAGCATCCAAGGACGGAGATGAGGGGACCAATCATAATAATGCAACAGCAGATACAGTGGAACGTCTGGGTCAGGTCGCGCAGGGTATTCAACCTGCCACGATACCCGAAGTCGATAGTGAGCCGAGTAGACCCTTCACCTCTGGACTCAGCAACGCTATTCAGGAAGGTCAGGAGGGCACTCGAACACCATTGGACCCTTTCACTATTAGAGATGGTACTTACAGTCCAAGGAAGAAACGTAGTAGAGATCAATTCGACGCAGAGGTGAACAGGGAGCAAAAGGTAGCAGCCACTGAAGAAGCACGAGCCCAACGACTCTCTAGTGAAGTGGATAGACCTGCAGTCGCTGCCTTAGGCGGCGAAACCTTTCCCCCTCCAAGTACGCTCGGTAAGAGAGAGGGGGACCAGCACGATCCGCCAAAGAACGTTTTCGGAAGCATCTCAGGGTTTGCCTCGGACACAACTAAGGCACGAATGTCTTCACCAGGGAGGTCTTCTGAACCGCAAACAGCATCGGCTTCTGCATTTGCTTCATCTGGCTTCGCTGCTTTAGCTCAATCATCGACTTCTCCTTTTGGCCCTTTTGCGGGTGTCACTGTGAACGGCGCAGGGAATTTGTCAGGAGACTCGGGGGCGGCATCGAAATGGGAGAAGACATCAGTTGCAGGCTCGCACACTAAGACCTTGATGTCGAGCGCTCCTTCACAAAAAAATGATTCGTCCCCTTTCTCTGGGTTGGAACCATCCAAGCCCAGCGTTTTCGGAGGCTCCATATTCGGTCAACGATTTGACGGCGGTTTCGGTGCCGGCGATAAATTGACAACCTTCGCTGCACCTAACGGTGATGCTAATTTAGGTTCCAGTAAAGGTGCTATTAGGCCCATTGGGTCTCCAGAGCACGAAGATGAAATGCTAACACAGAATCATGGTGAAGGTGATGGCGACAATGATACAGAAAAAGGCGATGTTACTGAAGAAGAGGCTGATGAGCAGTCGCAAGACCCGCCTGGTACGTAACTTCGAATGGCGATCTTAGTAGCCTTACTCACAACGTACAGTCGGACCTGGAAATGGAGAAGATGGTGAGCACTCAGAAATCACCACAAAAGCAAGCCTCTTCGCCTTTCGAAACAATGTATGGAAGGAAAGTGGGAAAGGAACCTTTAAATTTAACGTAGCAGATGCGGACAATGAGCGTGGCTCATCAAAGACCGGGCGCTTCATCATGCGAGCACATCAAACATATCGCGTAATGCTCAACACGCCTGTTTTCAAAGAGATGAAGGTGGGCGATAGTAAGGGAAACGAACCAGCTGGGAAGTCTTTTGCGTTTCTGGTCATTGAAGATGGCAAACCCACGCCCCATATGATCAAGGTGATTTCAACCTTCTTCTATCTGCCATTATGGCCGTACTAATCTTGAATCTCAGCTAAGCGATGGAAGAGACAGTCGAAGATTATATGATGCTGTGCAACGGTTTCAGCAAGAAATAAGTTAAGGCATCTTGTAAGACCTCTGAAAATGGGCCGCCAGTGCTTTGATACGCAAGAACAGTGATGGATGACGATGACATTGAACATGTGAATAAATTACACGCTAGATCAGGATATCAAAGTCTTCTGTCCGAGTAAGAGGAGCAATACCTTGCATTCCATTTGACACTGCTTGTTTCTCTCTACCTCGAATTCGAATCCTCCTGGCTCTGTAAAGATCAACGGCTGGCTATCATCAGCTGACACATACTTCACAAGGTTGATATCGTCTCTACAATTTCCACTTGCCATGCCTCATCTTGCAGACCTTCATTTCCTCAACTTATATTTGCCGAAACCAGCAGGCCTATTTCGCGTATGTGGCAGATATCTTCTGGGCCGGTCAGGTAGCTAGCCCATGCTTCCCAAGGGACTCGTATGTTAGGCTTGTCACTTTAGTCCAAGCCTTGGGGACTCGCGAAGCTCACGATAGCTCCCCCAAGAACCCCCTACATGAATTTAATACAGACTACTACAACAATGCTTGTCAGCTCGATACGGTGCACATTCTCTAGTTTAAAAGGGTCTTCTCATGAGCTAAGATGGGGTTTGCAAGAGGAAACTCTGTCTCTCACGAGTCAACAGGCTCCTCTTTGACTTCCACCATATCCTCTCCAGCGTCTCCAATCTGCGAGAGTACAACAGACTGTACCGTACCTCCGCTTCTTTGCACCATTATTTCTTCGATCCGTTTTCCCCTTGCAGGCCGAATCTCACGTGCTTCAACAACAGTCTCAATTCCTGCTGGTACTTTTTCGTCCTCGGGGCCCCAAGGGAGAGCATCTAAATCTATATCCCTTTCTTTCCCCATTAGACATTTAAGGATGACCTCGCTACCGGCCTTAGACATGACCAAGTTCTTTTCCTTGCAGCTCTCACTACAGCAACAGGATAGGCAACCTTCGAGACAATGGCAGGCAGCGACTCTCTCGCATGCACGAACTAGCAGCAGATCAATGAATTCAAAGGCTTTGCCCGCAATGCCAGATCCACCAGCACCTCCTTTGGTGTCGTAGAAGGTCAGTCGGGCTGGACGTTTACGAGATGTTTCCTTCGTCGCAAACTCCTATGAAACAGAATTCGTTAGCGATTTCTAACGATGGAGCTGATCTTTAAGCTTGGTGAGATGCAATCCCCCCCAAAACATCAATGACACGGGGAACGACCTGACAGTAGTTCGCTTTGAAAGCGGCCGCAAATCGAAAGCTCTGTCGCGTACCTTCAGCGCATTTTTACATTCCGTGCGCACATCCCCAGGCATACTTATTACGAACTGGGGCATCAAACTCATCATAGTGTGCTCCGCTGCATGAATAGCACCCGCAACGTTAAGGCGCCGAGAATTGAGGATTAGAAGTGCACTTTTGGGAACGTCAAGCCACATCTAGGTTTGTACTTTCAGCAAGTCTCTTATACAAGTCTGGTGGAACGGACGAGAGGCTTGGAAGCTTACCCCTTTCGAGAAAATCTCTATCGGAGGATTGTCTACCTGAACAGCATCAAGGATCCGACGTTTTTTGTCGACTTTGAAGAACCCAAAGACAGTCTGCCGGATTTTGATGGCTCCATAGTATGCCCGAGAAAGTGATTCCGGGATGCGCCGAATAGCTTCGGTCTCGATAGGGTCGACATCAGTAAAATCACGCTGCTGCGTAGTCCAGTCAACTTTTACCAGCATGACCTTGGCATACTTTTCCTCTGGAGAGAATTCTTTCACGAGGTATGTGTAACCTTGGTGAAGGAATATACCGCCTTCGTAGATGGTGAAGAACGCCCGGGAAGGTTCAACCTCTTCAAGGACGATGTTACGACCGTTACTTATGTCAATCACAGCGAAATGGCCATCTTCAGTGTCACGAATGGCCACACACCTAGACGGTTGTGGTCGAAACCGCGCGTTACAATGATAGAAGCCAAGTGGATCCTTGACCATTCTTTCTTCGGCTATCTCTGGTAGCTGTTTGCCAAAGTATGAACTGTCGTCATCTGGGCGTATGGGCAATTCAAAGGCCGCGCACTGAATATGGCCCTCTAGAACAAGCATGTTCTGCAGGTCAACTTGTAGCTCGCAATTTGGCTTTGTAAAAATTTCATCTGGGTTTTCCATGTAGTATTGATCAGTTGGGAAGCAGTCGCCAACAAGGATGGAGAGGGAGTCTTTATTTCGACGTCCAGCCCTTCCACTCTGTTGGCGTAAATTGGCGATGGTATAGGGGAAGCCGACAGTCAGAACAGCATCAAGAGAGCCGATGTCGACGCCTAACTCTAGTGCATTGGTCGCGATGATTCCCATGAGCTTTCCCTCGAACATCTCGCGCTCAATCCTCCGCCGATCCTGAGGTGCATAGCCTCCACGATAGCCCATTGTCCGAGCTGCAAGATCGTCTCTCTCCAGATTGGTAGCCTCATTCCGAACAGCGGTGATAAGAACCTCACACTGTTTTCTGATTCGGCAGAAAGCTATGACCCTGACACCTCGTAGAATCAATTGACAAAATAATCGTGCCGTTTCTGCCATGGTATCTCCTCGGCCAGATGAAGGATCCTTGGGGTCCTTGAAGGGGGTGTTCCAACATATGAATTCTTTTCTTCCAGATGGCGAGCCGTCGAAGTCTGTCAACATGACCTTATCAACGCCAAAAATAGTTCTCATATGCTCTTCGGGGTTCGCAACGGTAGCAGAGCAAGACACAAATTTGACATGACGGTTCCCAACCGCTGCACAAATTCTCCTCAATCTTCGCATGATAAAAGCCACGTGCGCACCGAAGAGTCCGTTGTAGACATGCAACTCATCCACCACAACAAATCGCAAGTTCTTCAGGAATGATCGCCATTTGTCTTCTTGTGGAAGAATTGTGATATGTAGCATGTCGGGGTTAGTAAAGATAATCCTGCCCTCATCACGGATGTAGTTGCGATCTGGCATGGCTGTGTCACCGTCGAAAGTATCGACGAGAACATCCTCGAAGCCGGGCATACAATCTAGAAGCTCTTTCATGCTGCGTTTCTGATCTTGAGCAAGGGCCTTAGTTGGGAAGATGTACATGCCCCGAGCATCTGAATCACACTCCAACTCATGAAGCATGGGTATCTGGTAGATTAAGGACTTGCCAGAGCTTGTGGACGTCGCTACAATCACGTTATTGCCGTTGTAGAGATTATTGATCGCTTCTGCCTGGTGAGCGTAAAGTTGGGTAATGCCTTGTGTATTGTACAAAGCGTTGACAAGATTTTGGGAGAGCTGGAATTCGAGATCACCATAAATTGGAGGTTGAGGGTCGAAAATTCGGTGGCCATCTGGAACAATCTGACCAGTGTACCATTCATTAGCTTTGATATCTGTAATTATTGTTGCTATACTTTCCCTTTCGCTGGGTATCGAAGGCGGTGGGACAGCCGGTTGCGGCGAGGGTACAGTATCATCATGGCTTGATTTTTTGGGCAAATGATCTTTGTGAAGCGCAGAAAGATGAGGAAGAGGGTCAACACAGTCAGCATCACACTGGTTTAAGAAGGCATTGATGGCTGATATAAACTTCTTATTTCGCTTCTCAATCAGTTTGATCATTTGCTTTTGGCTGAAGACAGGCATCTTCAAGTCTTCCTCTCGCAATTTTCGGAAGGGTTTCGTCGGCTCCCCAGTCTTCGCGTGGGTTACTTGACGCTTCAGATCTCCATCAATGAACTCGAAGAGCAAGACCTCTTCGTCGATGCCTTCTACTGCCCCCTCTTCTGATGGGTTCTCCGCATCAAGATCCAAAGACCGGAATGATTTAGCTCGGCCATTTTTAATTCCACCGTCTTCGCCTGAAACAGTGACCTGTAGGGTCGACTCATTGACATAGGTAAAATTGACGGCGCGAGGCACTAGGGCCTTGATTTTGGCAATGTCCTCAATCAAAAGCTCTCGCTTGATGTGACTCTCGACAGCCTTCTTGATGTTATCAACAGTCGTGGCCAGGTGTTTTCGAGTGCAGAAGAATGTGTAGACAAGATTTAAGGCGTGATGTGTCTGAGATAGTTTGGTAAACTCTTCTGGCCATGGAATGGTAGTTTCAACCACGTTAGAAGATTCCCGTCGCACAAGCGAGGGTTTCGTGGTGAAGGCTTCGTCTTTCGGAGCTCGGCGAGGTTTTTTGCCACCATCATGCGTCTTGGTTGTTACAACAGCGACTTCGCCAACATCAACTCCTGCCTTATTACACTTCTGGTTGGTGTTGCGCTTCCTCTTGTTAGAAGCTTGCTTGGTGGAGACTGTCGCAGCCTGAAGCTTCACCATGTCAACATGGCAGAACTGGATATGAGAGGGAGTACGCGCGCAAGACCCCCGCACGCGATGGTGTAACTTGTCTATACTACGGAACCTTCTACGCAGACGTGATGAGAAATGCGTGCTTGTGACTTCACTTTGGGTTGCCCCAAGAAAGTCAAGCCGATTAAGGAGGACAGGAGTTGGGGTGGTTCTGTGCGAGGCACCAGATCTGAAGCCAGTGCCTGATCGGCCGACTTTTGCACGCTATCTACTCGTAGACCTTCCAATGTCTATTGTCTCTGTGGAACCTTGATCCCCAGAGCATGAGCGCAGGAATGTGCTGGTCGTCTGCTAGAAGTCGTGCGCGAGGGGATGACGTGCTTCATTGGCAATCGATGAATCTGATCGTTCTAGACACAAGCGCGCTGGAGAAGCATGGTCGAGGCCCAGGAAGGCGGCTGGATCTACCTGGTAGGGCGGATGTTAGGTTACTTATTAGACTACCAAGACTATCTCTAGTAAGCTCCCTGGTTCCTTAGCTCACTGTGGAGCTGCTCTGTGGGGGCCGATGCGAACCCTGTGGAAAGGGCGAAGGAAAGGGCGCTGATAGGCAGCCCAGCATGCGTGCTGTCAAAGAATTAGAGTTATTCGGCATCGATCAGCAAAATCCTGTAGGTACCTTGGGTAGCTTTAGATTAAGGGGAATACCTCTAATCTCTTCGGAAAGTCCGACGACGGCATTAGTTGAAAGCGTCGCAGGAGCAGCAGGAAGAGGCAAAGGTGTCATGCACTTTTGCGCCCCCTCATGCACCCAATCCCCCCAGGCCGGTCGTGAATGGACAAGAGCGTGCTGCCCTACGCGCGTTGACCATTGTTCTCTAATATTACAGCTTTTGGCTTCGATCTTGGTGATCTGGTGCATGAGATCGACTGCCTGCAATCCTTTAGGCCGGCAAGGTAGAATAAAACCCCCCCTTTTCGCAAACTGCGCTGCTGCTGCTGCTGCTGTAGAGTCATCTGTCCATTGGGGCAAGTTCTGAGCTAATACAACCACGAGTAATTAGACAAAACCTCCCTGGCATCTCCCGTGAGAGGACCTGTTATCCTTGTCACATTGGACCACTGTCGATCAATTTACAACCTATTCACGCCATTTCAACAACCCTCTATGGCTTTGTCGAAAAGCGACCAATGTCAATTTGCTCATTTCACGCGCCAGATGCTTCAGTAGATATTGATGATTGCGACGAAAAATTCTCACGTTCTTGAAGAAAGTGCACCTCACAGTGGCCATCAGGTGTAATTCCTACGCAGGACTCACGAAGCTCGTCTTTTTCGTCAATTGCATGATACTGTTACCGTGTGTGTATGACCTTGTCAACTCCTAGATTCTGCTGCAATGAGTGGCTATTACCAATCGCCTTTCCTTGAACAGGATCTCCCCACTGCGTTCTCCACTCGACCCATACCATCGCCATTTAACCCCTCCGCCAGTCGCCAAGATAGCGCACTGGACGCGCCAGGTGCAGACGTGGAGCCTGCACAGAAATCGAAGACTGTGTCTAAGAAGCGTCGACCATCAGGCAATAGTCAAGTGAAGCATCGCCGAACAAGAAATGGCTGCTAGTACGCAAGGCTCTGGTCTATGTGATTGATTTGCATTCTTACCTTAATTGCAGTACTTGCCGAAGCCGACGCGTAAAATGTGATGAACACCATCCAATCTGTGACCGTTGTAGGAAGGGCAATCGAGACTGTACTTATCCAGAGCACCATCCAGCACCAAAGCCTGCCGGTGCCACAAGGGACCGTTCTCATCCTGAGTCTCCTGACAGTGACTGTACCGCCAGCGAGAATGAGGATGAGCAGTCACAGCAGCAGCCGCAGCGACCTTCCATAGGACGCCGACCAGCCCTTAACGACCAGCCTGAGGCAAAGGAGAGCTCCCCCAGACCACTCGCATCTCTAGCCCAAGAACCGCATCGCTTATGTTGGACGCAAGCCGGTCTCCGTCCACGGATTTGACGTCCTGCCAGAGCTCTGCGAGCTTCGATCAGCATCCTCCTTCCTCGTCACACTCGATTGAAGCTTCATTTGAAGGTCCGCCTTCGTGTTCACATCTTTCTGACGACTTACAATTCTATCTAACGTATCATCAGTCAGATGTGAGCTACCATCACTACTTTTTCAAGCACGATGCCGATCATTTTCTTCATGTCCATCTAATCGAAGAAGCCTTGTTGTTTGATCCGCTGTTGTACGCGGTTGTTGGTTTCGCCGCCTTTCAATATAGAGTGAAGCATGGTCACGGAGATAGCCTGGAATTCTTAGAGTACTACAACAAATCAGTGTCGACGCTCCGACAATCTCTTGCGAGTGGTGAGCCCCACAAGGATGGCACGATGCTGACTGTTCTTCAATTGGCTACATTCGAGGTGCGAGATTCTGCCTAGGAGTTGTTGTGTCTTCTAATATCTGTTTGTAGGAATACATGGGAGATTTTGTTAGCCTTTTGAGTCATCAGCAAGCAGCGTTCCGGATGTTGCTGGAACTGTACAATACCGATTCGATTCTTGAGAGTGAGCTGCGGCGAAAAGTCCTCGAATGGTACCTCAAATTCGACATCACAAGCAGTATCATGTCTGGGAATGAGACTGCAGCAAGCCGAGGCTGGTTCTCATCAATCGCGGATTATTATCGTGGCCTGACTTCTCAATGTCCCGAAAACATCGACTATAAAATTGAGACTGCCATTGGAGATCATCGACTGACCTGTGTCGACATGACTACCATGTTCGCTCGCTTCTCGAAAGGTGAGATCACACCCGAAGATTTCAAGATCAAGTGCGAATCATTCAGCCAGGAGCTGAATCGATGGCGAGATAAATTGGACCCCGTGTTCTCTGATGATCGATATCGTATGTGGATCTTTAGCAACAGATCTCGTGAGGAAAATGACATAGTTGATCCATTCATGGCGGGTGGCTTGTACAAGGGTCCACTCGCAACGTTTAATTTCATGACCGCCGACTGGATCGCGATTTTAGCAATGTTTAAGTACAAGAAAGCTCTGTTGTTGGGGGAGACCCTGCCCCCTGAGCTTCCCGAATTAGCTTTGGAGCTCTGCAGAATCTTTGAAGCAATTGAGTACTCTCCTGAATTGCCACCTGAAGCAGTCTTAAAGGCGCAGGGTATTCTTGGAGTGGCAAGTTTGTTTCTCCCGAAGGACGAAAGACACACAATGTGGTGCCGAAGGAAATTAGCGAAGATTGAAGCACTTGGGTATGCATCTTCAGATTCCGATTGCTTATTCATCCTTTACTCGGAAGATAGATTGCGTTGATGCCACTCTAACTTTTTGATAGCCATATATATCCATGCACTTACAGGCGCCGGATGGCTACACTATGGGATTTACCAGAGATTAACCATTGGTGGCTACCAAACGAGGAAGCATATCCGTCAATTGCACGTAGCGTCCGATCTGTTTTGGACAATCGCGATGGCATCATTGATACTCGCCAAAGGAGCCAAGATCAACGAGATATGAGAGGAATTTTTTCGAAATTGAAGATTCAAGACGAGGGCTGATCATGATGTTGATGGACAGCTATTACAACGAAACAGCCATTAAATATGCTCATTGATATCAGCACGCAGCGATTAGTCCTGAACCCGGGCAGGCTACAAATCGGCCCAGTCATCCAAAATGGAATCGGAATGGAACTGTGCGCGCGAAAGACTTTCTACAAACCCCGCCAAGCAATGTGGGATGTCATAAGGTGGAAGTTTGGGCAAACCGATCATGTTGGTGTCATAGACAGTTGGTCCAGTCTCGTGATTATACCAATTGAAACAATTACTAGATTGGAAGAGATTGAAAATTATAAGTATTTCCAACGAAGCCTAAGATCCTTTCTGAGACCTTTCATGACGGCGGTTGAAACAATAACATATCTCTACTCTGGGCAAGAGAAAACTTAGAGTGTTTCTGAAAGGTTGGCGCAGCTATTTTGAATGTCGCGCACGCCTATTTAGCATACGGATCAAGAAAGAGAAATGACAAGTTTGCGACACAGGGTCGCCTGTGGACTCCCTACAGCACTATCCTCATAACTGCCTCCGTTACCGACAAAGGTTCTCGCCTGGTCCTACAAGCAGCTTATGCATAGAAATGTTGGCAGAACAAGCATTCTCTCATGCCGCAAGCCATAGAAAGGGAACGAGCAGGATGAATGCTAGTGGTATGAATGACACCCGCCCTTAGCTGACCTCGTTTGGGGATGTGTACCACCCTTACTATGCAAAGGCTGCATGATCTATAAGAGACACCATACAAAATCACTCAATAAGGGCCTATTAGATGGTCTGATGGAGTCGTAGATTAGAAATTGCCCTTCCAATAGGGCAGACCGGTTTTCGATTGCAGTGGACGGCTGGAGGAGACGGTGACGCTTTAGCAACAATTCCAAGCATACAGAAGCTTGTGTTAGCCATATGAGCTCACCTCAGGACAATCTAGTCTCCAGTGGATAGAGTAATACACGATGAGTCGGATTAACGGGCATACTTGTTGGAACACCACCATTCTTGCGCAGGGGGACTCCATGTTTTGGACTGCACTTGGTATCAATGTCAAATGACCACCACAATAGAAACTCAGCTACCCTCGTTAGCTGAGCTGGGAATTCTTTCTGACAGGCTGTCATCGCGGCTCTCTAGGCTTCGGCAAAAATTTCTTTCTCGAATGTCTCTTGGGCTCTCGCGAGAGCTGAATCCCTTTCTGTCTGATTCTTCGAAGTGTTTAGGTGAACACTAAGGGCAAGTGAGCTTGGAGGCGCGTCAAGATGGTCAATTTGGCGCGCGGCGCCCTGAGATGGGACAATACTTAATTATGTACCTTGTGTAGACAGATCAGCAATCCACAAAGTGACCATGCCTTTCAGATTCCAGAAGGAGGGTGAGTTTGAGATTGGAGGAGAGGACATTAAATCGTCAAGTCTTTCTGCGAAATCCTGCACTTGAGACTTGGTCCGAGTAAACGATATGTCTGGTTGCTTGAGGTTCACATCAACATCTCTCTCCCCTCCACCCAAGCCTGCATACGAGGCGAATGCCTCACCCGTCATATCTCGCTGGTCCACAATGTAGCCTATCCAAATACCGAAAAGTGTGTAGTATAAATGCAAAGCACTGATAGCACTGGGGGCTATTTTACGATAGGGGTATTGAAGAGCTAGCCGCGCATAATACTCCTGCACGTTTGTAAACGGTGCGACGTCGAAAGGTAAGCTAGACTTCCCAATAGCTTGCTGTTCACCGATGTTTTCTTTGCTCACTTGCGAATTTGGTATCTCGACCGAATCATAGCTTCGGAAACACATTTCGGCACCGAGACCCCATCTTCCTCCATTACGCAAGTCCAGAGAGTGTCCATTGAAATCCAGCCTAAGAAGAATAGCCCAGGTTCTCCTAGCACGTTGAAAATCACCTTCAAGAATGGAACGATGCAGTAGAGTGTTGAGGGCTGTAAAGTGTTGTTGCCGAAGACCTGATGATGGCCCTTTTAAAGTAGGATTCGAGTGCCTGACATTTAGAGACTTTGGAGATCGAAGGGGCTTGGTTGCGATTGGAAAAGAGGCTCCGGCTTGACTTTGATTGTAGGACGTAGTTTCAGGGTGGTCAGGATTGACAAAGGCTTGTCTACTCTGACCCGGGGTATGACGTTCACTCTTCGAAGCAGAGGAGGTTACCGCGAGATTCGCTTCGTGGGTGCTCCCGTATTCGTCCACTGACTCTCGTTTCCGTTTCAAAGAAGAGAACCGGTCAGACGGAAAAGCCGGATTGAAATATGGTACTCGTGGCATGGTCAAGCACGGCTAAAGCCAGGTAAGTGCTGATGATAGAGTGAAAGCAAAGGGCGGCGCTCTTGCAAGCGCCTCAACCCAAAGAAGAAGGCCGTACGCCACACATTACTGGTAGCAAGGAGTCCATACTGTCTGCTATGGCTTGAAAATGACTTTGCATTACCATGGTACCCACCTGCTACGCATGCGTCGCATGGTAAATAGCGAAATTAAATGAAGAGATTGCCGCGAATTATCTGTGATTAACCGCGCTTGCCGCGATCTGCGATGGGCACTCACGTAGTTGCGTGTCTCTGTAGTTGCTGTCTTAATATACCCCCCCTCTTGATCATTCTTCATTAAGATATTTGAAGATATACTAATGGTAGGGTAAGGAGTCTATGTCGATTGTCTCACTCGGAGCTAGGACATGCATGCTGAACTTTGCTTTGTCCAAAGTAGGCCACATCAATCGTCGGTTACATAGCTAATCACCAGGGCCATAGAACTTCATCTGAACCAGATTTCGCTCTTGATCAGTCACATTGCTAAGAGCTCCACCTAGAAGATTGAGTCCAGACGCTCATCTGCGTACCTTTGTAATATTGCTTTTCAAGCTCAAACGTGTGAGACAACCTTCTTAATGGATTGAGCCGAGCCAGACACCGTCACCGTTTTTTGTAATATGAACTGGAGTCACACGTTACAGGAGGACCCTCCAAACTAAGTGATGGATCTCAAAGTTGAGGGCGGTTGATCAGGCTTGTACGAATCGGATTGAGAAGGAGTAAAATCCTCGCAGACATGGGACAAGGTTTCTCTTCCCAGAGGCACTTAGGGCCGACACCTCCTCGTCATGCTGAGCACAACGCTAATCTTGCTACCGCTACCTTTGATCCTACCCTTAGATCAGGCCGTGCGAGCGGGCGGAATTATTCATATCCTACTCTATCAACAAACGTTGACAGACATAGCTTGCAATCCTCACGCCCACTTACAACATTCACCCGCCAAATTTCTTCTCACACGATTCCACCGACAAATGAGTTTCAAAGGCCTGATACAGTTTCCACTCGCAACGACACATTCTATGAACAGCACGAGCGCCGACCAGTGGCTATGAGCAATGATCTTGACCTTCGAACTAACCCGATCACACATATAACGGCATCACCTATGCCTAGACGCTCGCGACTATCACGGCTCAGCTCAGTGCTTACTCCTCGCCGAAGAAGACACGAGCCAGTCCACGAGCCTGACGTGGCTTTACGGCGCTCTTTAATCTTTTCTAGCCCCAGCCTCAACCAAACAAGGCAGAGATCAAGACGAAATACAAGACTTGCAACCATTTCTTCTCCATTGCCACTATCCACCAACGCAGTATTTACGCCACCTACATCGGATCTTGCTTCAGACCAACAAAACTTTCCAAACCCCGAATTGCCCACCAATCCAGACACACGGGCGTCTGGTTTCTTTTCAAGTCCATTGACAGCACGCCTATCCCGCTTTCGGCATTCACTTGTAAACCAATTTGACCTCGCCAGTTTACCAATACGAAATTCTAGAGACTCAGCAATGTTGGAATCCGAAACTTCCCCATCGAGAACTTATATCGATGGAGATGAGCATCCTTACCTTTCCTCCTCCAGGGTTGTAAATGAAAGATCCGGCTTGCGCCACACAGGACTTCATGTAGCAAATTCCGAATCAGGACTCGCTAATGATGCTATCGACCAAGACAATACCGAATCCCTGGACCAGCGCACAGATATCCAGCCCCTTGTGAGCATCACGGATGTGGGGCGCTATTCCGGAAGGCGTCAGAGTCGCGGAGTTGGCAACCTGCTTGGACGAAGCTCTAGTAGATTTGCTCAACAAAGTAACGAGAGCCCAAGGGCTCAACTTTTGAGCGCAACCGCGCTGGCTTTAGCTGCTCAAATGTCTGGAAATTCCGAGCAGTCCGTGACTAATGTACAATCTTTGCGCTCGGACGGTTCTGATGGTAGACTCAACCCAGTATACCAAATCTTGAATCATATTATTCGCGCTCATGGTAGCGAAAGCCAAGACATGCGTTCTGACGTATCTCCAGCACTCAATTCCCTTCGAATCTTTCGATTTGTCTCACGCTCAACAGCTTCATCGCCAACGGCTACGCCTCCGTCTAGCGAAAGACCTAACTCCGCTCGCTTGATGAGGGGCTCATCAGCAAATGGTGACGACTCCTCAAACGAGCGTACTGGCGGTAACGTGACAATAGTCGTTGTTGCTGTTCACTCAGCGCTGTCTGACGGAGATTCTTCCGATGCGGGGAGCCTGGACAATGCATCTCTTCGAGAGACCCCTTTGGATTCTCTCATCAATCTGCCCACCCTTGATGAGACAACGAACCTGATGAGAACTAATACAGGTAGCCATGCCAGACATATTCATCGTAGGTCGCGATTTCCCTATCTACGGAGAGCTTCTTTTGGGAGTCGTCCTGAGGGGCTTCGAGGGTATTCGGCATTAGGTGACGGGCAGGGGCATCTGACTCTTGACTCTCGTCAAGTTGCCCGCGAGGACGCTCTTCTGAACCCTGGGATAGCTACCTCGCTTGGCTTCATAGACTCCCCGCCTGGCCCAATTCCACCTCCTTCAACGCCCGCTGAACACACTTTGTCTCGCGTTTCATCTCAACCAACTACCCCAAATCGTCGCCCGTCTACAGTCTACTCACCCCATGATCTACAGGGCAATGGTTATGACTCTGTTGTCCCAGCTTCCTTGCAAGAGGCGACATCAACGTCCGGGGGGAGACGGTGCGCTTTAGCCAGCAAAGGCGGCGAAGTGACTCCGAGTCAGTCAGGCATCGTAACTTGGGCGCAGGTGCAGCCCGTAGGAATGGCGTCGTAGAACCTGACACATTGAGCGCAGGCGAGGAAACAGCAAGCGATGGTCAGAATTGGCTGATATATATAGTTGGGACGGATCTGTCAGAAAATCACCCTGCGTGGGCAGCGCCTAGTCTCTTCACTGACGTGAGTGTTTTGCAGCCCGAAGACGCCTATTCGAGAAAGACTATTAATGATGTCGGACAGGACCCTTCTTACGAGGACATGTTGATGCTTTCATCTTTACTTGGTCCAGCGAAGCCCCCAGTCGCAAGCTCCCAAGACGTTGCTGCAGCTCCAGGAGTTTTCAAACTTTGTGACGTCGTAGATGGCTATTTCACAGGCTCAGAAAACATAGCTGAATCCGCCATCAAGATTGCCCCTCGTGAACGGTGTCTAGTATGCCTTAATGAATACCAAGCCGGAGAGGAGTTGCGGCAGCTCATGAGATGCTCCCACATATTCCATAGGGGCTGCATCGACGAGGTGAATTTCCTAAATATTCATATAATAGTGGTATCCTAACTCGTTTGTCTCGTAGTGGCTCACGAGTGGGCGTAACTCCTGCCCGTTGTGCAGGGGTCAAGGTGTCAGCGAAAGGAAGTCATTCACAGCCCATGAACGGCGGTCTGAATCGGAGCTATAAAAGCTCCAATGCATTGGGCTTGTATGAGAAGGGCGCTTGGTCTTTTCCTGTACTTTGAGGAAATTGAAACCGAGCAAGCAGCGAGGCGTCAGGGGTAATATGCTAACGATGTGACGCTGGCAAGCATACTAAGGGGCAAATATATTGAGGATACAGGCATATGTCACAAGCAATTTTTCGATAATTCGTTGCTCGATAGGGACACCTTTTTGCAGAGAATCTTTTAGAAATGCTTTCCATGACTTTAATGGGCCAATTGGCAGTTGGACAACAGGAGAGCGTGCGTGCAAACCAGAAATTTTTCAGACGCTGCCATTTACATCATTCCCTTCCTACTCACTGGGATACTCGAGTGGCCGCACGTAAGTAGATTTTGCGATTCACAAGACTTTTCAGTTGCCATGCCAGCGACCTGAAGCCACGGCCAAACCCTGCGGATTCGACCTCCACTGCGCATTCAGCCTGAGCTCACTATATCTCTTTTTGAATGGCTGGAGCCCTGAGCTTTGCTACGGGCGTCATTCAACCTATGAAGCGGCGTGTCCAGGTCGCAATGTCGAAGATTGGGGCTTGATGAGAGGGTGCCACTGGGCCATGAAAGTGATAGCTGAGCATCTTCCGTAAGCCAATGATCTGCCTACAATACGCAAGCTGCAGAATGCAGGGGGGAAAGGATCAAGTACCCCACATAATATAACAACTTGCGAAGCTCAAGATGAGAGTGGAGCGCCAGACTCTACCGTCACGGTCGTATTAGTATCCTGTCACCAAAGGTAGATACATCCAAAGCCGAGTGAGAAAGACGTGGAGGTTTTTGCGGACATACGCTTGATTCTCTCCTCTGGGCGAGAAGAAGTACGCTATGAGGGAGGCGACGACAACAAAAACGAGGCCAATGATGAGGCTTGCGCTGTGGATAGAGCTCGGTCAGCAAAGATCTAGGTTGGCGGGTCGCACACTCCTCTATCGTAAAGATTGGCGATTGTAGGAGTGACTTACCCGTTAGCCATGACTGTCACAATAGGCCACCAGTAGATGACCTTCCGCATCGGATGGCCTCAGATGTTGAAGATGTTAATGTTACTAGCGTGGGATCAAAAACAGCCTAAAATTTTACAATACGCTTGCCTTACTACTGCAAATCAGCTTCAGGGGGCGGCTCAACAGGATGGGATAGAATGAATGATGCATGAACCCCCTCACATTCACTCTGGGCTATATTGGTTAAGGAACTACTGCAGCTACTATAACTTCGAATGCTTTCCATCTGTTCTCAACTCAGCCCCTGCTGCTGCTATGCAAAGCTTACCGGTCTCTACCACCTTCGTCTGGAAGATAATCAGGTTCCTTTCTTTCCACATCTCAGTCCTGAGCGTCTGCCCGGGTATGACAGTGCCTGCAAATCTCACTTTGATGTTCTTGAACTCTCCGTATGTCTGAAGCACGTGCTTGCCGCTGATACCAAAGAAACAGAGGCCGTGCAGAATTGGCGTTTTGAAGCCTCCGATCTTCGAGAATTCCGGGTCTATGTGCAGCGGATTTCGATCCCCATTCAAACGATACAGTGCTGCCTGATCGTCTGTTGTTGCCTCCTCAACCACCGAGTCCGGCTGCCGTTTCGGCGGTTGGTGGACCGCTGTTGCAGCTCCACGGTTTGTGCCCTTTCCAGGACCGCCGAACCCTCCACTGCCGCGGACAAAGACTGCAGATTCATTATAGAAGACATCCTCGCCCGTCGCCAGGACTTTCGTTGAACTCCCAGTTATCATAACGGCCGATTTGCCTTTATCCAGTACCTCAACAAGCTTGGGATAGCTTACAAGTGTTGCGGCCGTGGGAATGGGGAATTTTTTGATCTCAAGGTATTGCTCACCGTGCAACAACATCATCGGCGAAAAATTGGGCATAATATCGCTAATGTTCCAAGGTATTTCGGCACCAAAAGGGGGAATGACTCCAAAAGTAGGGAGTATCTGAAAGGAGTCCGAGCTTTCAAACACCAAGGGTAAGTCTGTTCGCTTCGCACCAAGACTCAGGTTGTACAAGATGACATTCCGGTCGTCGTAACTGTAATGCGATCCTTTCGCCTGTAGTTTCTTCGCTGCTGCAATGTTGGCAAGATGATGGGGTTCTTCATGATCAGGGCTTCCTTCGTAGATGCTCTTGTTTCGCATATTCTTCATTATGCTCTTCACCCCATCTTGCCCGTCTTCGGGATGATCTGCTCGCCCATCGCTGAAATCGACGATACTGTTCCAGGCCTTGGATACGGCTTCGGGGGTTAATGTGACATCAATAGGGAAACCGTGGCCCCCACTCCTTTGCCACCGTGTTCGTGCGTGCCATCCGCTACCGACTTCGAAAAGGCCTCCAGTAGAAGGCTGAGGCACCTTATCAGAGCACAGTGCGACAACCATAGGAGCAACCTGATCTGGTTTGAAGGCTTGGACCATTTCCTCCGGCATTATACTTCTCGTCATGTTCGTCCCCGCATTTGGCGCAATAGTGTTCACATGTATATTGTACTTTGCACCTTCGCGTGCCAAAGCACGAGAAAAGCCGAGGATTCCGAGCTTTGCAGCAGCATAGTTTGCTTGTCCAAAGTTCCCGTAGATGCCGCTAGTACTAGTGGTGTTAACGATCCTGCCATACTTCTGCTTCAAGAAGTAGGGCCAAGCAGCCTTTGTTGTCTTGTATGTTCCACGCAAATGCACACTGATGACTTGGTCCCATTGTTGGTCGTCCATGTTGGTAAATGCTTTGTCCTTCAGTATCCCCGCGTTGTTGACCAAAATATCTATCCGACCGAAATTATCGATGGCAGCCTTGACGTTTATCTCGCCATCTTCAGCGGACGCCTTGGCGCCGACCGCTTTGCCGCCTAGTTTCTGAATCTCCTGTACGACGGCGTCGGGGTTTATTAAGTCATTGACGACCACGGAGGCACCATGCTTGGCGAACAGTAGGGCATATGCGCGACCTAGTCCTCCTCCGGCACCCGTGATTAGGGCTACTTTCCCGCTGAGGTCAACCCTCTCGCCAGATTCGTTGTCCTTTAGCTTCTGAGCCTCTTCAAGCAAGCTCATGAAATCCGCAAGGCCTGTGGGATATTCTGGTGTCGAAAAGTCGTTGACAGAAGTCCAATTTTCTAAAATCGCACCAGCCGTCAAGCTAGGTCCTGTTTTCAACAATGCACCTTTGGCGCGCTCCCACCGTATTTTTGCAACATGGCCACCACCGACTTCGAAAATAGATCCTGTTTCATGAGTATTTGAAGAGTGGGCAAGCACTGCGACGAGAGGTACGACCCAGTCTGGCTTCAAATTCTCAAGGAGATCAGGTGGCATGACGGTCTCCGTCATTCTGCTTGCTGCAATAGGAGCAATCACATTGCAAATGATGTTGTACTTATAACCTTCTTTTGCCAGAGTCTCTGTGAAACCAACCTGGGACAGTTTGGCAGCTTCTCAAATCAGCGCCAATCCACAATCGTAAAGAGTGAGTATACCTGAATAGTTGCACTGGCCGAAGCTTCCAAAAAGACCTGCCGCTGACGCTGTGTTGATTACTCGCCCATACTTTTGCTTCCTAAAATGAGGCCAAGCAGCTCTGGCACACTGAACAAGACATATGAGCATGTATCAGAAAGCGACAAGTGGAGCCACATTATACCTTATATGCTCCCTTGACGTGGACCTTCATCACGAGATCCCAATCAAGGTCGGACATATTCTTAAAAGCAACGTCTCGTAATATCCCAGCACTGTTTATCAGTATATCAATTCTGCCAAACGCATTGATGGCAGTGTCGACGATTTTGTCCCCATTTTCCACGCTGTCGTAGTTGGCAACCGCATTGCCGCCATTTGCACGAATTTCTCTAACGACGGAGTCTGCAGCTTCTGTAGACTTGCCATCGCCTTTGAGAGCACCACCAAGATCATTGACGACGACGTTGGCACCACGGCTACCAAAGAACAGGCAGTAAGCCTTTCCAAGCCTGAGTTCATCAGCATCGATGTTACACCAGGGAGCTTTGACCGTGTTACCCTCCACCTGCGCCAGTCACCACCGCACATTGTCCGTCAAAGCGTAGATCTGTCATGATTACAGTGCTGTGAAAAGGATGACAGCGTGGTCAATTCTGGAGGAAGTAGACTTATGAGGTTCTTCAGAATGCACGAGCTCCTATAAACCTCGGTTCGCGGAGTTATTACCTTATTGACCAGTAAACCCGCGAAAGCTTGGCATTTGGAATGTTATCCCCCTCGCCCTGGTCTTAACTTAGCGGGGGGATCATTTTTAAATGCCAAGCTTTCGCATGTTTACTGGTCATAAGGTAAGGTAAGGAAGGTGGGGCGGAGCCGGCACCAGCCGGGAGGCGTAAACTCACCACCTAATAATGGTGAAATGGAGGCATCACAAGCCATGTATAAGATATGTAGAATACCTCGAAAGAGGAGAAGGCCGCCCGAATGTCGTCAGATGAGCGAGATGGATCTTTCGAGGAGACGACTGAGTATTGCTTGCGCTTTGTGACGGAACAACTTGAGAAGCACAGGAATAGCGATATGAATACACCACTCTTTGTCGGATTAAATGGAGTTCAAGGTGGTATCCCCTAAGAAGATAAAGTTCTAAGAATTTTGTTCGGTCAGCAGACTCACACAGCACCAGGATGTGGAAAAACGACTTTGGTGAGAAGGCATTCACGTCTTGATCCGCACATTGCTGAACAAGTGCCTATACACAGGCTTCAAGCCTTGCTCAAAGGCTCAGCCAAGCCCCATACTCACTGCCAACGATCGTGTTTTCGATTGACGACTTATACCTGTCTCATAAGGATCAGAAGCGTCTAGCGGAAGATCACCCTTCAAATCCACTTGTGCAACACCGAGGGCAATTCTCAACACATGATATAAGCCTCGGGCGTTCACTGCTTGCGGATCTCAAGCAAGGCAAAGAGAGCAAACTGCCTAGCTTCGACAAGAGTGAATTCGGCGGCGAAGGCGATCGTGTGGCGGAAAACCAGTGGAAGATTATCAATACACCTGGCATGCAGAGACCTAAGATTGTCATTCTAGAGGGATGGTGTGTGGGCTTCCGAGCGCTGTCTGACAAAGAGGTGCTGCGCAGGTGGCAGGAGGCAACGTCTGAGAAGGTCGAGGGAACTTATGTTGGGCGATTAGCCTCTAATACCTTTGACAACATAAGCTTCGTGAATCAAGCCTTAAAACAGTACGACGACCTTACCGATCACATGGATTCAATCATCCACATCGATGCTGCAGATCCTGTCTTCGTCTATCGATGGAGGATGGAGCAGGAGGTGAAGCTCCGAATCCAACGCGGATCGGGCATGTCCGATGACCAAGTTGTTAAGTTTGTCGATGGGTATTATCCAGCGTATGAACTGTACACAGATGGGTTGCGGGATGGGGTATTCGCGACATCAGGAAGGCAGCTCAGGCTGGTTATCAACAAAGACAGGCGTGTAGAAAGACTTGTCCGCCTGTAAACCCATATTTCAAATACATGCCTTTGTTCACTGGTCAAGCATCGCTCTCGAGAGTATATTCGCCTCGTTGGTCATCTCAGCTTCGCTACGTGGCCTTCGTGCTTCGTTGTCTACGGCTGGGAACTGCGGCCTTTTACCGTCGTTTTCGCTCTGATGTTTGCTAACATCGCCTTCTTCCCCATCAAGCATCCCGTAGATTGCATCTGAACCTCCCTTGTCGTCCAGATCGGCCCGCTTGCGGGGAATGATGTGAGTGTGAACGTGGGGAACACTTTGACCAGCATCTGCACCATCCTGAATGGCAATGTTGAGGCTCGACGCGTTGTAGACACGCTCAATCACCCTTCCGACCTGCTGGACCGTTAAAAACAGGTCCGTAACTTCCGTTTGGGACAAGTCAGAGAATCGTGGCATTATCCTTCTTGGCGATACCAGAACATGGCCTGGTAGCAACGGCTTGAGGTTCACGAGCGCAAAGGAGTATGGCGTCAAGTGGAAAACCTCAAAAGATTGTAAGCGCCATCATTCAGAAGCTGGCCATTGCGAGACAAACTTGCGGCGTCACCACGAAAGATCCAAAGTGGATGGGCGTCTTCGATAAACTCATGATCACGACCGCAATGGCAAACTCGATAGTGTTATATTGACTTGTACTGTCTTCCTGAAAATTGCGATCTCCTCAAACAATTGCCCGGTGCAGGAGCTGAAAGTGATATGTATAGGACCAAGCCTCTTTTTCGACAACTGAGAAGTGGGGCTGATCCGCTACAGGTGTAATGAGGAGTGCAGGAGGATAGAACAGCCTCATTGCCCCTGCGCGTAGACTACGCAGCAATGATCACAGTCTAAAGGATTCATCATTGCACCCCTTGCATAAAGATCACGAAAAGATGTCAGCATGAGTGCTACACCAACGTCTGAAGTGCAACCAGCGGTCGCTCCTCCCACCCAGACACCGGGGCATCCGAGTTTCAGAAGGTAAGCAGGGAGAGATCAGTCTCCGACCTGGTATTGACCGTATGGCACAGGCAGCGCGCAAGTCGAGCTTGTCAGGTGCGTCCATTCTCTTGGGATACCAAATGTCTTCGCGGGTTTGATGCAGGACTTGATACCTCGGCAGAAATTAGCATTCTTCTTGACTTATCAATATAACATGATCCTCCTGAAGCATTGCGAAGTGGATCACAGTGGCATTGCTGATCTGGGAATACACTTAGACGTGCCATAGTCGGAAGGTCCGTTGTGACGCCGCCTCTCTTGGAGTGCCCTGCACCAACTGCGTCGCATTCTCGATTGAGTGCAAGATCCCCCCGCCAAAGCGAAAAAAGGCGGCCAAATCCAAGGATTCCGATAGGTATTGTGAAGCACACAATATCATCAAAGGCATTTCGCTTACCTGTAGAATCGATCAAGCGACCGAGCCGAATCCGTTTCTGCAAGTTCTCCAACTGCAGTCGAGCGACCTGCTGGGTACGATTTCAACCCGCACAGGACATCTGAATATGATGCCCATGATGGAATGCCAATCACATCCCTCTCGAGCACGCAGACTGCTCAGCAGGGTGTCCAGAATATGCACCTTACACACTTCATGAGGCCTCAATTCGCACGAGCCCCCATTAAAGACGCAGGGAGGGTAGCATATCTAGGGGAGTCCTCGAACTTATCACTTCTTGTTCATGATCGTCATGGGACAACCGATGTTGTTCATTACCCGCTACCAGACTCTATCAAAGGGACTAGGTCTCGAGCGACAGAACTGGACAATCTCGAAATGGACATCCTGCATCAACGAGGTGCCTTTCTACTCCCACCACGAGCGCTTTGTGACGAGCTTGTAGATTCATTCTTTAAGTGGATTGCGCCTGTGGTACCTGTGATCAATAAGAGTCGATTTATGTCTCGATATCGAGATACCAAAAACCCGCCGTCGCTTCTTTTATTGCAGGCTATCCTTCTTGCAGGCTCAAGAGTGTGCACAAATCCGCAATTGATGGATTCTAACGGGTCCACTACGCCTGCGGCCATGACATTCTACAAGCGTGCGAAGGCTTTGTACGATGCTAACTACGAGGATGATCGAGTCACCATTGTACAGGCTCTGATATTGATGGGTTGGTATTGGGAAGGCCCAGAAGATGTGACTAAAAATGTCTTCTACTGGACACGAGTAGCTACAGTAGTGGCTCAAGGCTCTGGAATGCATAGGAGCGTTGAACAATCGCAGCTGAGTAAAGCCGACAAGAGGCTCTGGAAGCGCATCTGGTGGACGCTCTACACTCGAGATCGCTCTGTCGCCGTTGCCCTTGGAAGACCCGTTCATATCAACACAGATGACTCAGATGTCGAAATGTTGACCGAGGATGATTTTACCGATGACGATGGTGACCCCGGTACTAAGTTTGTTCCTGATAATGTTCACATTCAGTTTTTCATGCAGTACGTCAAGCTTTGTGAGATAATGGGCCTTGTCCTGTCGCAACAATACTCTGTGGCCTCTAAGTATCGGAAGCAAACTGCCATGGACTTGACCCAGAGCGATATGGCTCTTGCGGACTGGCTGCAGAATTGTCCTCGGGAGGTTTACTGGGAAAAAGATCGGCACAATTTCTGGTCAGCTCTTCTGCATGCGAACTATTAGTAGGGTAATCTGTGGTCTTGCTAAGTGACTTGTGCTAAGTCGAAGCAGCACGACATTATGCCTCCTACATCGTGCACATATGCCTCCTGCCACAGCAGAGACTGACGGGCAGGATGCTGGCTACCCTAGGGACTCAGCTTATCCTTCCCGAAACATAGCTTTTCAGGCTGCTGGCATGATCACGTCGATCATAGAATACCTGCAGGTTTCGGAGGAACTCAAATTCACCCCTGCTTTTGTGTAAGAACTAACCATCCTATCTTGTGCTGTGTGACTTACATTGGAAAAGTGTTTATAGCTTGTTCTCGGCATTGATAATGCATGTCTATCAAATGCGATCTTCTGTACCTTCGGTTGTTTCGGCAACGCAAGACAGACTCCAAATATGTATGAACGCATTGAAGGAAGTTTCTAAAGTGTGGCTGGTCGCTAAAATGGTGCACACCTTGTTTGAGTCCATTTTGGGCAATAAAATGCTCGAAGATAAGCTTCAAAAAGCTGCAGGGCGACGCCACAAAGCTCAAAGACTCGATCACAAATCGGTCAACGAAAGAGAAGAGCAAATGCCAAACCAAAACAAACGAAAGTTTTCCGAGATTGAGGTTGATCTGCCTAATGGTCCACCAGGACCTCAAGTATCTTACGAGCGATCCCGGCCACAAACACCAGCCGTAACACCTCATCGAGACATAGGTCAGCAAGTAGGTCCACCAAACGGACAGATGGGTACTTCATCAACGACAGATGGCATTCGACAGTCTCAGCAGGATGCCTTTATGGGCAGTTCTCGTACCACTACCCGCGCCCCGACCCCGTTCAATGGTGGTTTGGGAGGCGTCGCGACGCCGCCAGACTTGTACCTGGTTACGCGGGATTCGCCTCATATCTCGCAGCAACTGTGGGAGAATTTTCAGCCTGGCTATCTTTTCCCCGAGAACACCAACATCTCCATGCCGCAATTTGCGGGAGAACAGCCTCTTGACCCACAGCTTCAAATGCAATCGTCAGCAATGCTACAGCCTCCAGCTCAATCGCAGCAGCAAATGCCTCGTGGTTCATTAAATATGCACATGGGAATGCAGCAAAATTGGCAAGATACATTTCCTGGTGGCAACAGTCCTGAAGACCAGTGGACAAGTAATAATCGGGATCAGGGCCCGGTGGCTCCCACGACTCTGAATATGGATGATTGGTATGACCCTGCATTTTTTCCGGTAACTAGAGACGCTTGCTAAAATCGGAATAGGTATCAATTCTTTGGCATTCCCAGTAACGTCGGAGGTCTCCAGTCTGATGCGGGGACGTAGTAGATGTGTGCCTCTTTCACTGGTACTGACCTGATGCCGTCTTGCGATGGAGTGTGTGATATGAGAGCGAATGGTTTTTGTACTCGGAGATGTATGAACATGCTGTGAATGGATTCTTACAGCACCGAATTTCTTGCGCCCAAGCTAGCGATTCTACGGACGATTAGAAAGCATACCAATTAGTGTAGCTTATTACGAACGAGCAACTTAAGAGTTGTTGTGAGACGTGAAGAAAGTATTTCCAGGTAAATCCAAGTCTTGATATACATGCCTCTGGACGACTCCCTTGTAGTCTGCGGGCGAGCCTTTTGTTCCCATGCGGCGGCCGACGGCCACGAAACAACATTCCAATTGGCGCATCGTTGATGCGTGATACCAAAGTAAACAACAGACTGCGCAGCGCAATGTCGACCAATACAAGTGTACTGAATTATCGGGATTGGTTGTTAAGCGGCAGATAGCCGAGTGCTTTTGGTGTCCATGACCTTCAACGCCCATGAATCCCTCAGCTCTGACCAGCTCTGTTAATCTACGTCCTCGCAACCGCCGCCGAACGCACGAAGATGAAGATGACAATCCTTTGCCCCTGCCCGCGATGCAACATCACGATATCAACACCGCCAGCACATCCCCACCAAGAGGCGTCTCACCATCGTCGCGGTCAACTCAAACGCAGACTACAAGGAGAGCACCAGTCCAAACAAGTTTCAATCAGTTTCTTAGAGTGCCAGATCTAGATTCTTCTAAAGCTTCTACTTCAACATTATGGGGAAATACCTGGTCCTCGCTACGGACATTGGCATCTGATGTTATAGGCAACCATGCTTCGAGGCCGTCAAGTCCGGCTATCTCTCCCGATAGGGATCGCGGGCATCACAAGGCCACCCCTGGCCGTCATAGTAGTGCTCCAGCTGCGCCATGGGGTCCATCTGCTCCGACAAATGTTGGAGTCGGGAGAGGAACAATAGAAGGGCGGCGGGCAGAGCTTGAGGCAAAGAAGCGAGAGAGGCTTCTGATGGCAAATGGCCACGTGACCCTTGATACTTCTGGGCGGTACAAGAGAAGGGGCTCGGATGAAAGAAATCGAGTGTTAGTTCCTTCATCGGAGATCGAAGAGCGAGAGGCTTTGGTTTACGTCCATAAAGTGAAACCTGGAGATACGCTTGCCGGGGTGATGATCAAATACAATTGCCAGTCACAGGTCTTTCGAAAGGTCAACAGACTATGGCCAAACGACAGTATTCAGGTTCGCAAAATCGTGCTCTTGCCAGTCGATGCCTGCAGTGTCAGGGGCCGGAAGGTCTCGGACTCTGAACTACCATTGCAAAATCATGAACAGGAGGTAACGCCCGGATCTATGGCGACTCAGCCATCATTGACCGGTGAGTATAAGAAGCACGAAGAGAAGGATACACCGTTCTCCAGTATTCCAACATCACCATCCATCTCTATCTCGTTCTCAAATCCTGAGGAGCCCTACAAGCATGATTCTTGGGTCATCATTGATGGCATTTCGGAAGTAATAGAAATAGCACGCCTATCTCGACGAGCCCTAGGATACTTTCCCCGTAGCAGACGAAAATCCCTCAGCTCTTCAGACCTCGATTCTCCAATGCCCTCATTAGATTTACCCAGAGGTAGCTTTCAGTCAGATCTCTCGCCCAGGCCTGCAAGGTCACGATCATCCTCCCTGGCTAATCTGCAGGCTCGTGCTGGGGGTGTTGGCACCATGAACCGGAATGTTCGAAGCCCTGGTCCCGCAAATGATGGTTTAAATAGGCTGTTTCCTACTCTGGAACAACGGATGGTTTCGAAACCGGTGCTAGAATTCCAAGATCTGAGCTCGAGCGGACTCGAACACGTTGGAGGTGCTATTGAGGGTTGGGTCCGCAAAGTAGCAAGCAAAGCCTCCTCATCTTTCCAGTCCCCTGCACTGTCAGGGCGTCCCGGAGAGGGGGATCTGATCGAACTGAGTGAGGACGCTTTCGACCTCGGAGAAAGCCATTCGCACTCGGAGGGACGGCAAAATACTGCGCTGGCTGGGCTAGAACATCGTGATCCGAATGCAGCGAATGATGTCCTCGGCTACGACAGCTTTGAACCTCGCGGCCGGACTTTTGGAGACCTTTCGAGACGTAGGGGATGACACGATGTATCGTGCCTCAGCTCCAGAGTTGCCTGGGGCAGTGGTATGATGCAGTCACTCTAGCTTCTTCAGCGTAACCATGTCTACGTATTTTCTCGCATCTCATGATTTGTTGGCTTTGCTCTTATTACGGTTTCACTTGTACAAACTGCATTCGGTCTACTCACGCCCTGTTTCGGAAGCAGTGGACCGACGATGCAGGGCTTGGAGCTACAACGGCTTGAAAAGAGACACTATAAGGACATGGCATACTTTCAGCTCGTTTTTCTTGCATTCTTCCTGGTGGCAGCAGGTCTTCCTACCCTTTTCCTCGTTGGCATTGTGTCCCCATCAGTAAGCTCTGAGACATTGCTATCGACGCGCTTCCCACTGCCTTCGTCTGCATCATCCTCAGAGAAATCATTCACCGGGCCCCCGGCGCTCAGTCGAGCGGACTTGCGCTTTGGGGGCCCTTTCTTCGTTGTCACAGCTTTCGTTTTGGGTGTTGCAGGGGGTCGGCCTCTACGACCATTGTTTGTTTGGGTATGTCTCGGTGGATTTACCTCATTTGTAAGGGACTCGGGGTCATAGAATGTCTCCACACTGTTTTGTTTCCTTACATGTATGTCTTCGCCCACCGACAAACCGTTCTTACTCTCTTCCCTTGTTACTAGGCCACTAGTCATGGATTGTGGAGAAAACCTATGCTGAAGTGTAACATCCTCGTGTTGTGGATAGGATCCGTCTTCGACTGTAAGTTCAGACTCTGCCACCTTCTCATCTTCCTCATGATCTGCCAGCAGAAAGCCACCACCGCCACCACCACCACCACCACCAATGTCCTCTTCACCCAGCTGATCTTCACTGACAACTGGATTAGGGTCTGCGTCAGACTGCAGAGCGTGATCCCCAGCGCTATCCTTCGACTTTGACGCCTTTTCAGACTTCTTTTGATTCGTGAAGGGATTCACTTCATCTCGAGTATGCCCCTCGGCATTGCTTCCATACTCCTCCATCACTCTGTATATGATCCTCAGGCCCATTAACCATTTTCTCCAGGTGGCTAGCGCTTGTTTCTCAAGCTTGGCTTCTTCCCTCAATTTCCGCTCCACTTCTTCCTTCTCCCATTGTTTGAAGACAGCCTGCTCGTTCTCCTTTGCGACCACCACGCCCGTGATAACAGGCACCGCCATTCGATGCCCGAACTCGAAGCCGGTCACTGCTTCAGCATAATCAATCTCCATACGTTTGCAGATTCTGACAGTGTTTCTAAATGGTATGTGAGCTCCGCCTTTCGGAATCATTGAAGGAACAAAGCAATCGATGTTGTTGTAAGCGTTTTTAGGAATGATACCGTTCTGTATCGGTGGTGGTATAATCCAGACGGTCTGCTGCAAGGCATAAATTCCTTGCAGTAGGCGCTCATTATTTACTTTCTCCTTCTCCTCCACCTCCCTTCTCCTATTCGTAGTGACAGCTCGAACGGGCACCATCTTCATGGGTTGCTGGCCTTCCCCTATAGCCCGCCCTTCCTTGTGCCAGCTCTCCGCAGTGCGGCAGATCTCAACGTCCTCGCGAAGATATACAGGGTCCTCTCGAGCTTTGTCTGCCTTACCCGAGACAAACACTTTGACAGGTTTTGCACCAGGTCGCAAAGCTTCCTCCCGCCTCAAATGGCGCTCGAGTACAAATTCAGCGGAAGTCTTGTATCCTTGCAAGGTCTCCTCTCCGGCTTTCGCTTCTTTCTTAATTGGCTTTACGGGCCGAAGCTCATTCGCTTCCTCAACATCATCGGCCGCAGTTCGTTTAGATTGAGGACGCTCATAGCAGCTCATGACCGTTTTGAACCAGTCGTATTCCTCATAACGCTTAATTTTGCCTTTAGCGTTGTAAACAGGAACCTTTGCGACGGGCATTCGCATGGATTTGGTGCGGCCTGGCCACACATGGCGCTTCAGATACCTCGTAGTTACATCTTTCACAGTTCCATCAGCTGAGTACGCTACGACGTACGCCATGACTTCCTTCGCTTTTGATGCCGCTGCGCCTTTTGGCTCAAATTGGTTGAGTTGTTCCTCGCTGGTGATTACTGAGGGCGTAAGCAACATTGGATCAACTGGGTACACTTTGTGGGTGATGGGCGAGATGACTTCAACCCAGTAGGTTGGGGTTGGCATATCTCGGTCATACTTCGAATTCGGCCGTCTCCGTGGAGTCTCGATTGGCTCACTATCTTCGCTTTCTTCTTGACTTGAGGAAGCTGAAATTTCGCTGTCTTCAGAAACCTTGATAGGAGTTTGTTTGCTTCCCTTTTCTTTCCGTGGTTTCTTTTGTGGGTCTTTGATCCTCCGCCGGACGATGTTCTGTGCATCTGTCGGATCCTCCTGTTCTTTCTCCTCATCTACTTTAATTTGATCAGCCGTCCTGCCTTTGGGCACGGTATCTCTAGATCTTTTCGTCTTGGTAGCTGCCTCTTCATCTTTATTGAAGCCATAACCAATGGGCTGTAAGCTTGCAACCAAGCGCGCCTCTAGGCCTATACCACGGACCAGAGCCGTAAAGAGCTGGACGCCAACATCTTTGTCGCCCTCACAAATTCTTGCGAGACCTTGGAAGGCCGCTTTATTCTCAACACATGCTCCGTATGCCTCCCAATCCGTCTTCTCCTTCTTCCAAGCAGCGATTTCATCTTCTAGGGCTGCCAAAGGCTTGTATCCCTGCTTTCGAAGACTTGGCTTGGTTATGGTAAATGTCTTCCTCCAGTACGCAACCAATGCTTTGAGAAGGCGTATTACAGGATCACCATGGCTCAAATCCGGCACCCCCACTTCTTGCTTTTCCGCAGGCCGGCCCCAGTCTCTCTGGTTTCTTTGACCATGTGCAGATCTTCGGCCTTTTCTCGCTTTGCTTTTTTCAATCTGGCGTTCTGGAACCTTTGCACCACAGGCAGCTTTCCAGCGTCTCACTTCTTTTTGCAACACCTCTGGTAACTGGGCCACGAGAATGCGCTGAACGTCTTGATCACAGGCCCAGCCATTCCGGAGCAGGTTGTGAAACAACAAGAGTTGAACATGCATGCAATGTGTAGACGTTCGTATCTGTCGCTCTATTTTATTAGGACCCTTCTTTCTGTCGAAAGGATTGCTCAAGGAGCCGAGCTGGTTGTTTTGGTCAAATGAAATCTCGAGGTTATCTGACGGAGCAGAAGCTGCTGCAACGACAGTTGAATCGACTTGGGGCTCTTCATTGATGGCATTCTCCCAATCTATGTCATCCTCCTCGTCATCTTGGTTTTGGTGCCCAGGTTTGGACGGCTGTGGTGACAGCGCATCCTCAAATTGAGTGCTGCTCACGTCCGAAAGCCCGCTTTCATCTTCGGAAACGTTTAAAGAGTCGACGAAAGCTTTGTTGGCCTTCAGTGTTGCCTTTTGGGCAGTGCTGTCAGCTGTTCCAGACAGACTGGTTTTCACGACCTTAGGTGCAGCTCCGCGTAAAGGGCTGGACGCCCGCCGTTTGGAAGGAACGAAGGGCGGCATGTCATCAACACATAGCCTCAAAGCCAGAGTACGTTATGAAAAGCCGAATGTTACACATACTAGTTGAAAATACCAAAGTGAGTGAATGTATGAAGCTGGAACCCAATGACGCATTTGACGCGGAACTTCCACTTTCAGTGCCCGGAATCCGAACGGGTTCCTGCATGCGGGTAGAGACCCCACAGTCTGGAAGCTACGCATGTGAGATCAACGCTATGCTTTTTTAAATGCGTAATATGCATCCCGTTAGTCGACTCACGTGCGCATAATTGAGACTATCTTGTCCCTCGCTCTGTCGGTATTTCAATGCTGCTCAGTGGCTTAGCTTTGCAGTGAACGTGGACCTTCACTCCCAAGTCGCCATGCCCTTGAAAAGCTAATCAACTCGTTCGACAAATGTGTTCTTCAGCATAGTCTGCTTCTTTACTTCCTTTGTACCTGAAGAGGGTGAAGATAGGAAGGCTTCACAAGGAAGAAAAACTGCCCTATTGATACCTCGTAATCCTTGTGCTCTCAAAACATGGAAGCACTCCAACGAAAAGTGTATGCCCACGTACCACTCTATGACTCGGAGCGCAGCGGCTATTGGCGGTCTTGGTACTAGACCCATGCGACAGACAGGCCTCGCCATGCAGTGAGACGTCGACTAGACTTCTCCCAGGGACTCTTACGCCTCCGATGTCGCCCTCACCTTTCTCGAATTCACTAGTGGACCATCTTACTTCCTCTTCGTGTCGTTGAAAGCGGCGCTCCCGCACACCACCCGTCCTGTCTCATTGAAGTGTGGGGGTTCTCACGTAAATAGACAAAACATGAAGACTCTAGGGATCATTGGCGGTTCTTCGCCCGTTGCTACCGTTGAATACTACAGAATAATTAATGCTGGTATTCAAAAGCGTCTTGGTGGCGTTAGTTCTGGAGAGATTATCATCAGCTCGATCGACTTCGGGAAGGCAAATGATTTTATTGCCAACGATCAATGGGATGAAGCCACGGTTTACCTCAACAAGAAGGCAAAAGGCCTCGAGCAGGCTGGCGCTGAACTGATCTTATTTGCTGCTAACACGTGGCATAAGGTGGTGGATGGGTTTATGAAGGACGTCCGGATTCCCTTTTTGCATATTGTTGAGTAAGTCTAATGTTTCTGGATTTTAAAGTGAGCGTTTCTCATACTGAAGTAGTCCAACGGGACGAGCAATACAGAAGGCCCATCTAAAGAAGGTTGCCTTGCTGGGAACTAAGCCGACGATGGCCTACACTTTCCTGTCACAAAGGTACACCGCGAAATTTGGAATTGAGATTCTTGTGCCATCGCCTGAAGAGCAAGATGTCATCAACAGGATAATTTTCATAGAGCTTTCTCAGGGCAACTTCAGGTCAGATTCCAAGGCATACTATTTCAAAGTTATGGACAGGCTTGCGGAAGGGGGCGCTCAAGGAGTCATCTTGGGATGTACAGAAATCCCCCTTTTAATCAATCAAGCCGATAGACCGGCTCTTCCAATGTTCGACTCAACGACACTGTAAGTTATAGTTTCGGGGCCAATTCACCCAATCCAACTTCCCCAGTAGAGACGTTAAGTCGCGCTCAGGAAGACGGTCTCCGGAGCGACGACTCTGAAGGCATCTTTCAAGGCGTCCCTTTAAGCATTGGATTGCTAACTCCAGTTTTGCCTAGGCACGCCGAAGCTGCAGTTCAAGCTATGCTTGAAGAATGATTCGCATGCTTAGAATGCTTGAAGTGATGAAATAAGCTGAATACTTTTCAATGGCCGTAACGCGCGTGAGAGTCCTTTTATAATTTTCGCCGAGATAGCAAAAGTCCGGATCCCCATTCAATATCAATATGCATGTCAAGCCATTGATCCGATTGCCAGGCTGGCTCGGCGTCTCTCATACTGTCAAATATTTTGTCTACAACGTCACCTTCTCCACTGGCATCCCTCTTAGACTCCGTTGGATGGCTGTCTTGCCAGGTGCTAAAGCTGGACCAAGTGCGAACATAGTTCATGCAGTCTCTGACAGCCATTCTAGCGCTCAAGATCATGGTTCCTTCACCCTTGAGACCTTCATGCCAATCAGGCTCATATTCTATCCTACGTACATCAGTCCAATCTTCTGAATGGGGTTGCAAATGTCGAAGTTTGTCTTGTACCAAAAAACGGCCAGGTTGAGACCAGTATGGTCCTAACGCATCGTTTCTATAGGCAAATTCGCTCAAAATGTTCGTTGCATTCTTGAAGCCAGGAAAAGCAGGGTCTGTATAGCCCCAGAAGGCTGCGGTCCCTCCTGGTCTCACTATTCGCTTCATCTCGGGCCAGAATCTCGATGGGTCAAACCAATGGGCTGCTTGGCCAGCCACGATCATGTCGACGCTCTTGTCTCGAAGGAAGGGAAGAATCTCGGCTGAAGCAGAGCGATAAAAGACATTGGGGAAGTCTTTACTTGGAGTAGCCTTGAGAGCCTGCTCGATCATGCCTTGAACGGGTCTATACCAACGACTTCTGCAAAATGTGGCGCAAAAGTTCGGGCGATGAGACCATGACCTGTGCCCAGATCGATACAGTGGCGTCGTAGTCCTTCATGATAGTCGAGGATGATTGAGTATAGATTCGGATGATAAGTTGGTCGGAATAAGGCATATGAAGCATGTGAGAAGGTGGACTTAGCAAATTGAGCCATGTAGATTTTGCGATCATATCAGAATTCAGCAGAAGATAACAAAGAATATATAATTGACAGAAAGAAGGTTATAAATCAACTCGCGAGTCTACAGGCTCGAGCTGCAGCTACGTCGGCATCGTCCGTATTTCCTTCCGATCCTTGAGATATGGTAGCCCGTGGCGATGGCACTATCGTTCTGAAAGGCGTCTCTCTTGATTCCTGCAAAGAGAGTCGGTACGCTGACTGCGTGGACGTGAGCCACAGCGCCGTCACGATCCTGACCCAACGGTTAGAGACGGCAATTGCATCATCTCGTAGAAACGCTATCGGGCAAGACAAACACATCGTCGCAACTTCAATTGACCGCAAATTTTTTTAGTTCATCACGATCTTTGCTTACATGTCATCAGACATGGATGCAACGGCAAAAGTCTTCTTTTCTTCCAAGTACTTCGCCGTGGCCGGTACCATCATGCCCACACTGCAATCATTGATTCCAGAAACATACTAATCTCGCCTTGTGTAGGCGCAAGTCAAGCAAAGGAAAAGTTTGGCTACAAAGGCATCGAGCTTCCTTCTCGATATCCCTTTAAAGGACCCATTTCTGACGACCAATCCTCTAGTCCTTGAATGGTATCACAACCGGTCGCTCCCAGTGATTCCCCTAAATCCATCTCGCCCTTCCATTGATGTCCGAGGGACGGTATACAGTACGGTCGCATCTCCCTCGAAAATAAAGCACCCGGCCGAGACCTCGCTTAGCATCATCACACCGCCTCCAGTCACCAAGGTACTCCTCAGAGAGGCAAAGGACGCTGGCATTTCATCAGTCTGGTTGCAGCCAGGCACTTATGACCATGAGGTTTTGACGCTTGCAAAGGAGTTCAATGCTGGCATTGGAGGGTTTGAAAAGGGAACAGTAGGAGCTGAGGGATGGTGCATCTTGGTCGATGGTGATAAGGCGTTGGATGCCGCAAGGAAGGATGATGACACCTTGGGGAGACTTTGAGTAAGTGTCCATGGATCAAGTTGATCAAGCATCTTGATATTAGGGTTGCTTCATCTACGCCGTCGTCTTTTGAGCTCCGTGATTGCCACATTGTCAATTTCTTGATCACCGTCTTCGTCTTGATCGTCAATCATGATCCATTCGCTTTCCTCGAACCCTGCTTGGTCTTTAGGATGCGTGAGCTTGGCTGCATCGTGGATGCTGCCTTTGACGGCTTCTGAATCCTCGATGCCCTTGTTGCCGGTCAAGAAACTCGCGAAATATCTTACCGCCTTAGACGCCTCCTTTCCAGTCGGGATAATGTTGTCGCTCGGAAGCAGGAAGCCGTAGCTACCGGTATCACGTAACTTTAATTGGTAAGTGTAAGGCACCTTAAGTTCATGATAGAAGTAGTCAAGGGCGCTACCACCTGCAGCCTCCAAGATGGCGTCGCCTGATCTACATGTACGAGAGAAGGAAGGCTTCCCATCCTCGCAGACGACAGGTGCACTGCCTTCGCAGGCGGCAGTAACACCATATATTTCGCCGCTTGTGGTTCGAATTGCCTTCGCAAGCCCGATAGCCAATTCTTCAAGATTCTCGAGTGTGGGAGGCGATTGTATACACGAGTAAGAATACGGATAGAGCACCTGCTGAGAATAACTGTGGAGATCCAAGAAGCCCGCAATCTCTACGTTGTTGTTGGTGGTCTCATTCTTCGCCCAGTCTACTAGACGACGAGCTTCCACAGCTTCAAAGGGGACCTCTCCAGGATAATTCTCCGAACACGGGTTGTTTTTGTTCACATCAGAATCCCACTCAAAGTCATAAGAGCGATCAAGGTCGATGCCTGTGCAGAACCGGAGGCTCGTCTTTTGGCGATTCTTTTTCCATAGTCGGTCACTCTCCCAGGTGTAGGCGTAACCATCGGGATTCAGTGTTGGAATGAATATGAAGTCGAACCTCTCCAATAATTTTGTGATGTCTCTATCTCTTCCATATGCGGTTATGAATGAATACGCGACATATGTGACAGTGCTTGTTGATATCCACTCTCGTGCGTGAGATCCACCCGAGACAATGATTGTTTTGCGTGGTTCGGACGGGGCTTCATCATTCGTAGGATGAACCCCTACTCGGAGTGCTTGAATCTCTCGTCCTTCATATGATATACCAAGCTGAATCAAGCGGACATGAGTAGGAAATAGAGATCTCAGTAACCGCATCCAAGGCGTAATGACTGAAAGAGGTTGGTATTGTCGGAAAAAGATGTTGGTCTCTTCGGCGGGGCTTCGTAGGGTGGGGCTGAATGGACTCGAATGTGGAGCTGGTGAAGCAGACGATTCTCGAAAGGCAAGAGACGGGTATGATTCATAGATTGCTTGTGCGAGATCATGCATCAAAGGTGTATGTGCTGTCTGCAGCGATTTTGGAAGTAGGCCTAGAAGAGAGTGGACCACGTCCTTGGAAATGCGCACGTCAACGAATTTCGCATTGGACTCCCACACATCCAAGAACAGGACATGAGCAGCTTCAGCTAGAGCCTCTACTTCTTCCGATGACTTGATCTCGAAGCGAAGAACGATATCGCCTCCATATCTTGCGAGGAGCTTCGCCGGTGGATTGGATCGTGAGGTTGCATGAACACCCCCTGTCCTTGGATCTGAGACGGGCGAGAGCGGCCAGATGGATTCTATGATAGCGTTCCTTGTCCGATATAACCAGGAACCCTGAGTGCCCGAGTCAGCTGGGTGTCGAAGATCGCAGGATCGTGGTAGAAAGGAGCGGGCTGCAACGTTGGTAATGGCCGGGCAGCATAACAACAACACAAAGGGATGACCATAGAGCCAATGCATGATGTGTAATGAAATCGAGCGTAAAGGAGCTACAGAGAAAACGTCTAGAAGAGAAGCATCAAAATAGAGAGAACCCTCGGAAGTTGATGTTGATTGATGCCTGGCCCTAGCTCTACACCGCCGGCTAGTTTACAGGCCGCCTTTGGGGGACACGCCCCCCGAGCATGCCTCCAGACAATTCCCGCTGCTCCCAAGGGTCGGTTAGTCGGAACATGGCCACGCCAAATCGAGCCTGGCGCCAATGTTAAGGGGGATGGTCCTTGGGAAAACCCTTACAGAGTGCATCCCTTACGAAGGAGGACGCCAAGGTATGGTATGTAATTAACGGGAAAGCTTGAGGGGCCTTGGCAACGCTCTTATCAGCGATCGCTTGGCGCCGTATCCAATTTAGGCCATGTCAATTGCCCAAGGGGTTTTTGGAGAATTGAAGCTGTCACTACGAAATTTTTCGCATCTCCTCGTTGACGAGCTCTCTTACGCTTCTTTGTCTTGTTCGCCTACCATACGACACTCGCTTACGTAATTCTGTTTGTACTTGAAGTTGCTCATCGTGAATAAAGAGCATAATCTCGTCTTACTCAGCACCCTGGTGCAATATTCTCCAAATTTAGCCAAATATCTCTCCACCACTTGGAGCTGGTCTCCATGACGCCACGCTTTTTGTACCAAGATGACTTGGAGCCGCCTACGGCCTGGGAAAGTCGACGAGTCCAAACGCACTAGGAGACACAGCATCCTAGATGCTATCCCACAACAAGCCGATGATGCTGGCCAAAAGCCCAACCTCCGAAAGCCTGAGCCTCAGCCGGATAGAGGATCAGCTTCTCCTTTGAGACAATCTATTGTGCAATCATCCGAACAAGCTGTCGACCCTCTGTCGAACAATTTACCATCTTCTATCAATCTAGAGCCTCCTCCACGACAGCGATTCAGCTTCCTAGCTAAACGCCATGTGTCCGATCCCCAGCTCTCTAGAACCGCACGAGATCAAGCATGCGCAGTATCACCTCCTCTCCCAATAGGTAAGCCCGACGATGCTTAGATTACTAGCGAACGCTGATTGTTGCCTCCTCACAGCACCTTCAATCAAAGTGGACGCCATCGACTCATCTTCGCAGCAAGTACCTCTAAGTCCGCCTTCCAACCATGAAAGCCTTCTAGAGCCTTCCCAAAAGTTGAAACCTCAATGCTCTCGCAAGTCACTACAAGAGCGAAGACACAATGTTGGCCAGGCCACAAATGACTCGAGTCGGGCGAATTCACGAGCGAGGGAGTCGCGAATTACTTTTGATGAACCGGAAAAGGGTCGAGGGGTCAATAGCCCCCCAGCTTACGGCGATGAAATTAATTCTACCCTGGCCTTACCTGTCTCGAGGCTTTCTGAGTCTTCAAAATCGGACGGCAGCTTAGGAGAGCATGTGTATGCAGCTACAACAACCCAAACAGTTTCCACCACAACGACCTTCTTCCGTCTTCCAGGAAGGAAAAAAAACAAAGGCCCCCTTTTTCCACTTCCCGTAAGAATACCACCGTCCGAGTCTTCCTTTCATACGGGTGCCTCACCTTCTGCGTCAGCTGCCGTAACGCCTTCTGAAGAGTATTGTCGCTCATCCCCTGCCCGAAAACAACCACTGAGGTGCTCAGAAAGCACCGAAGCCCCTTTTCCTTTACCTTCACCAGGACATCTCGATGCTTCTATGAGAAGAGATTCGACCAATTCTGCTCCATCAGGACCCTTGCCCTTTGGCAAAAGAAGTCAGTCAAAGCAGTCTCTCCAACAACATGCGGATGATGATCCTACATCTACACCTACACTACCCCAGTCTGGCAGGACATCAACCTCAACCGGGAGAGCAAGCCTGGGTGGATTGTTCAACATGGCACGCTTACGGCATAATTCGGAACCGCATCAACCGCGTTACAGCGGTAGCCACCCTCCCTTGCCTGGCACACCAATCTCCGTTGGATCTAAGTCTCACTCTTTCACCATCAGTCGGGAGCCAATTTTGGTACCTGACCGCGAAGACGGCGACACACCCGCAAAATACTTAATTCGCCTGGAAGAAGCTGTGAGCCGCGGGGCTGTTGCCACAGTCCTATCTCTTTCAAATGATGACTTCATGAAGAATGTGTTGCGAAGCTACCTACGAGGCTTCAAGTTCTTCGGAGATCCACTTGACATGTGTATAAGAAAATTTTTGATGGTTGCAGAGTTGCCCAAAGAGACTCAGCAAATTGACAGAGTAGTTCAGGCCTTTGCAAATCGCTATCACGAGTGCAATCCCGGCGTGTACGCCACACCAGATGAAGCTTACTTCGTGGCATTCTCTCTACTCATTCTCCACACCGACGTTTTCAATAAGAATAACAAGAATAAGATGCAAAAACCGGACTACACGAAGAATGCAAGGGGCCAGGGAGTAGCCGACGAGATCTTGGAGTGCTTTTATGACAATATTTCTTACACTCCGTTTATTCACGTTGAGGATGATCTTGATCTCAATAGCGAGCGCGCCGCTACCACCAAGCGCAAAAACCTCTTCACGAAGCAAAGTACTGATGCGGCGGGTAGACCTTCTCGCGAACCTGTAGACCCTTATACTTTGATCCTTGACAACAGACTAGAATCATTGCGGCCTTCACTGAAGGACGTAATGGATTTTGATGACCACTACACTTACCAGGGAACGGGACCGCCATGCAATTTCGGACAGCTTCACATATCATTCTTCAGATATGGAGTTCTGCAGATACTTTCCTCAAGGTCGAGACCGGACGCGTTTACAACCCCTGAAACTGTTGCCAACCCTGCGGACGCTCATCCAGGATTAGTAGACATCAAGGTAACAAAAGTAGGTATTTTGTGGCGAAAAGACACCAAGAAGAAGAAGACTCGATCTCCCTGGCAGGAATGGGGTGCTATTTTGACCGGAGCGCAACTGTACTTCTTTCGCAATTCTGGTTGGATCAAAACACTGATGCATCAACATGATTCCCACTCGAGATATACTTCCAGGGGCTTGCCTGTCGTTTTTAAACCGCCTTTAGAGCAATTTAAACCTGATGTCTTGATGTCCACCCAAGATGCAGTCGCGTTGCAAGATACGTCCTACAGGAAGCACAAAAATGCCTTCACCTTTGTTAGGCATGGCGGTTTAGAAGAGATCTTTCTTGCGGACAATGAAACTGAGTTGAATGACTGGCTTGCGAAGCTCAATTATGCTTCTGCTTTTCGGACCACTGGCGTCCGGATGCGCGGATGGAATGGTCAAAATCCAGAGATATCAGCAAAACAGGACATTAATCGTGTTGATACGGATAAGACTGGCCACTCTCATGAGTCCTCTGTCAGCGAGCTTGTGTCTCCACAAGCTCCTCTCGATTCACCACTGGTGCAGCAAATCCAAATTGCTAGACGCCAAATAATGACGCAAAAGATCAACGAAGCTAACGAACGGTTGAAAGAATTGAACAATCTTCTTGACGTGCATCTGAGGAATGCAAGGCACCTGCAAATTCTTGCACCCGTACAGAATCGGACCCGGGAGCGAATCATCTTAGCAGCTGGCAGCATGTCTGCAAAAATAAAATGGACTCGAGTCGACATTTGGCGGATAAAGTGCTACCACGACATACTCATCAAAGATTTAGAAGATGATATTAGCAGTGGAGGGAGTCTTCAGTTCGCAGAAGGTCTGTCTACATTACCACCAAAAGATACTACACCTGTACGCCTAAGGTCAAGGCAACACGAGCAAAGCGAGGACATGGGATTGATTTCCCGGGTCGGATCAGGTGGTGAGGGGGATACAAGGCCGGCGACACAACCTTCTCCCGCCCAACCGTTCAGTATGGACGAGGTCTTCGAAATGCTTCAAACAACACCGATCACGAATGGTCACAAAGCGAAAGGATCATGGGAGTTGCCACCACTGTCGTTCCAGCCATCTAAGGCACTCCCCAACTCAGACAGCACTCGCGAGCCGGCGTTGGCTACGCTTACAACCTCAGGTGCACGAGAATCATCACATAGTGTCAACGAGGGCTTGAAGGCTTCTGACGCTGGGGACATTGGTACACCATTGACGACGCCGCTTGTTCATGATGCTAATCACGAACAAGAAGTTCTCAGGGATGCTGGGATGGTGGAGCCGGAAAGCCCCCCACCTACGATCAGGAAACGGCCAGAGACTCCAACTCCAAGCCAGGACGGTGACTCTGCCAAGTTCAAGTCTCCAGAAGCGGAAATAGGCGAGGGACGGACCAAGGTTCGTCGAAGTCTCCAGCGAACGCTTCGAGACTCAACGCATACCCCAAGCCATCACCGAAGTAGGAAGGGCAAGGAATCTTCGAGTAGTGCAGGATTAGTTGACGTGATTTCCGCGAAAGCTGACAGCGAGGGTCTAGCTCGAAGCCCAGGGAGTTTTACTGTCCATGGTAAGAAAGCGTCTGTCATTAATCTTGGATCCGAGTGGCAAACGATTTCACGCGACGAGCGTTTGAAGGGTCGGAAGGATCGCCAGGATGATGGCTCAAGATTACTCTTACCTTCCGTGGTCCTTGATCAGGATTTGTCGACCCGCTCGTTCTCCAACCAGAGCCAAAGGCCTGTATCCGCCGTTTCTATCAGTACGACCACTACCAGTACGACGCCCTTTCAAGAAGCGTCAGAAGGACCTCTTTTAGACACAGGTTCTGAGGCGGACTCCCGCCAGGTCCCCGAGCTTGTGGATTTGTAAAATACGTTGACAACCAGTGTCGTTTGTTTTCTAACACGGCCGAAGACTCTGGGGCACTGGTTGCAATATAAGTATAGGGTAAGCCCCACTGCTTAGGTATCGACCAGGACTGTTGGCTGCATGTCAGACCTAAAAGGTGGTAGGCTCAAAAACGAGACATTTGGTGATGATGAATTCCGGCTTTCTGTGGAATGAATGGATTGGCAATCCAAGTATAGACGTGGCTTCAATAGCAAAGCCAATAGTAACGAACACGACCGCTCCCAAATTTTACTTCCGTTGAAAACCCCTGAAACATAGACTTGCATTAGTACCCCCAAATCCAAAGCTATTACTCAAGCACACCTTCACATGCATACTCTGCCTTTCTAATGGGACGTAATTACAATCAAACCCTTGCGTCACGTCTATGTCAGTTAGGTTCAAGGTTGGAGGAAGAACGGAATCTCTGATTGCCAAAACACTGAACACTGCCTCCATGGCACCAGCGGCACCAAGTAAATGGCCGGTCGCCCCTTTTGTGCTACTCACATTAATATCTTGCGGTCGCTTCTTACCGCTTTCGCCGAGCATCAGTGTCTTGATTGCTCGGTTCTCAGCGAAATCACCAAGATTTGTAGACGTCGCATGAGCATTGACGTAGTCGACTTGTGCAGGAGGTATCTCTGCGTGCCTCAGAGCCGAACGCATTGCCCGTACTGCTCCATTGCCGTCTGGCGGCGGAGCAGTAAGGTGATGAGCGTCGCTGCTGGCTCCGTAACCGGCGAGCTCGGCGTATATGCGCGCGCCTCGATTAATAGCATGATGTAGCTCCTCCAGAATCAGCACAGCGGATCCTTCGCCAATGACAAAGCCATCTCGAGCTTTGTCGAAAGGACGAGAAGCTTGCTCAGGCGCGTTGTTGTAGGATGTGGTGAGTGAGCGGGATCGCTGGAAGCCTACGAAGGCCAAGGGATGAATGCACGATTCTGCTCCGCCTGCAACCATGACATCCGCATCACCCAGAGATATGAAACGAGCCGCATCGCCGATGGAGTGTGCGCCCGTGGTGCATGCTGTGGTTGTGGCGTGTGATGGGCCCTGGTACACACGCTATGAATGGGGTCTCTGGACTGGGGAAGCTACAATTACCTTGAAGCCATACTTCATCGATACATGACCGGCAGCCAGGTTGATGAGGAGCTTCGGGACGAAGAGGGGCGAAACTTTCTTAGCACCCTAGAACGAGAGTGAGAGCTGTTGTGGGTGCAATGAGCTGGTGTGGCAGGACCTACGCCACGTGCGAAGTTGACAGAGGTTTCGTAGACAGTCTCCAGGCTCCCAATACCAGATCCAATACATACACCCTGAGTGGTTTAGTCAGGCGATCGGGACATGCGTCACGGGCATGCTGTACTGTCATTTCTTGGTCCCGCTGCGTGCGAGCCTCCCATCCCGAATCTTTCAGTGCTTCTTTCGTGGCAAGCAGGCCATACCTCATGAATTGAGATGTTCGTCGTCTTTCCTGATGATCTATGAGTAGATGAGAAATCGCACCCTTAGGAATGAGGCCAACATCTTCTGTAAAACACTGTGTAAGAGCTGTTCGCCATTCGTATTGCGGCAAGATTCCCGCGACATGACATTGTTGTTCTTCAATTGGATGCCCGTATGTCTTGTGGTCTTTCAGCGAAACGATACCACACTTTGCGCCAAGCAATCGTGGCCACGTTCGGTTGACGCCTGATGCATTAGCAGACGTCTTTACAAGTAATTGTATAGCCTACCTATTCCAAGCGGAGTCACAGCTCCTAGGCCGGTCACTACAACCCTACGCATCGGCCACAGAAACGTGTCGCATCATGTACCGTGTGCCCGATGCAGGTCCTCATGACTAGTACTATCGAAGAATTGAATTAAAAGAAATCAGCCGCTTCGGTGGTGCCCCCTCAACCCGAGGGCCGTCGTCAATGTTCCTGGAGAGGCTTAGCGGCCGCTCCTCAGGTCTACGAAAAAAAAGTTGCCCTCTCCGCCTTCCACGAGCAATTAGATTCTTGTCAAGCTCTACCCCGCGAGTCATTATTTCATCTTTAAAGATATACATGGCAAAAACTTCTGAAAGCTTCTTGCAACTTGCTGCACAACTAAGTAGGCGACACGTTCCGATGCGAATTGCAAGCTAACAAGACACCAGGATCTCCCCGTTATATTTGTCGCTCATGTCGATCTGCTTCGCACCAATTCCAAGTCCGACACGCATCTGCAGCTGCTTCTCTTGTCGAGACAGCGTCGATAGAACCAAAAATCGTTGAACACACGTCTCCGTCCTCGATAACGTCGGAGTTCCATAGCTTTCACCACAGGATCAAGGCTGCAGTGCTGCTATCACGGCCACCCATTTTGACCCGCGATCTCACTCCGTTTGAGAAAGCCTATTTTTTGTACCAGCGTCGCCTCAATGAACGCCTCGCTCTTCCATTTACTCGATACTTCTATTATCAGAAGGGCACTCCTGGGGACGTAGAATGGAAGCGAAAAGTTAAGGGACGCTTGACGCCAGCAAGGGATATTGGACGATTTAGCGGCTATGGAACGGACGCTTGGAACGATGAGTTGCTGGTTGGAGATGGTGTCAGCGAGCCACAGGAGCAGGTCAAAGCCTTAATCAGAGATGCGGAAGATAAGGAAGACGGCAGTACGGCGGGGGGTAGGAAAAGAGACGAGCTTATCGAGAAGCCTTCGGAAAGGGTGACAAAGGCAGATCGAACATCTGACCTGAAAAGTCTTAATCGATCTTTGACGAGGACTTTGTATCTTGTCGTAAAAATGAAACAGGGAGCAACCCGTGGAGAATGGGTGCTTCCTGAGTGTGCTATCGAAGGCAAAGAGAGTTTGCATATGGTAAGCTACGTCATCGTAGATTGGTAGACACAAACAACTAACACTTTGCGTCCAGGCCGCTGAGCGCCTGCTAGTCCAAACGGGAGGTATCAACATGAATACCTGGGTTGTTGGCAACATGCCGATTTGCCACCAGGTCTATAATTATCCGCAAAGCATCATTGACGAAATCTCTGGAGCCGGTACGCGGGGAGAGAAAATTTTCCTTATGCAGGCACGGATCATGGGAGGTAGGCCAGACCTTCGGGCTAATAAGCTGGGAATATTGGACTTCCAGTGGTTGGACAAGGAAGAGGTACAAAAGACCTTACTTTCACAGGACTTTGCAGCTGTCAAGAACGTGCTCGCCGATCGATAGTGGGATCTTACACATCTGTGGTCTAGGGTCTCCCCCAATCATGCGACCTCCTCCGACCAGCTGAGGTGAGGTGGCTTGGATTCATAATAAACTACTGGTCGAACAGGCGTGTCTTATGAATGCCTCTGAGGTGTTCTTGGGTTCAAGCTGACCTTTGGAAAAGTATTGAGAGGTAATGGCGACAAGCCTGTCCGTTCTGACATTGCAACGACCTTGATTGATCCGAATCGGCCGGAGATCGTGCACATCAGAATTGGTTTACCAATCGTGGAGGACGTATGTGGACCGCAGAGTATGTCATAGCCGGTTCTAGAATCATCCCTGTTCTCATCTCGACAGTGCCCAGAAGCCGTTGCAGGCGGCTGCTTAGAAGGCCAAAATAAAATTCAATACGCAGTATCAATGTTTTGCAGGGCTGACAAGCAAGTCTCTGCAAACTTGTGGCAGCGTTGTTCACAAAAACGAGAAAGGGAAGACTTTTCCAGAGCTGAAAGCGAAGCCCTTGCTTCTCCTGTTCTACGAACTTGATGTCACTATATCTCCAGAATCTCATAAAACTAGACCATTCTTCGGATCTACTCGCCAGATAGCCGAAATGAGTGATAGCTGACACGGCTCATGAATGAGAGGTTGCAGGTAGCCAGCGTTGCTGCCGAATCTAAACCATAAGGTATGCAGAATTGTGCCGTCTCTGTTGGTGTCTAAATATCGGACCGACTCTTGAAGTGATCTTATTAGAAGACATGAAGCATCATACCTCACTTAGGGCACAATCTTTATTGTGTCTACCCGGTATCGGGCTACATCCGTCCGGCTCCATTTCTCTGTTCTCTGTGGAGGAAGTAGCAGGTTCTTCGCTGGTTGATGGCTTGCTCACTCCAGAAGCTGCTGCTATGCTATCATCCCCTGATATAGCTTGACGTTGTCGACCTTCTTCGATGTATCGCCGCCAAGGTCCATAGATCATTACACTAAGCCCGCCGAAGACAACAAATGAGCAACATATCGCGCCACCTGACATATAGTCAGCTTTGTAAAATGTTTGAACTGATATTTCACAAACCTATTATATCATAGTGCTCCCCTGCAGCCTCGACTCCATCCTACAGACGTCAATTAGGGTCCTGCGACCTTGATACTTTGACATACCCAAAACCTGCCGGTTGGTTCCGCAATATTGAGAATGAGACTCAAGAATTGTATGATACCAATCACGACGGCTACCATCACTGTTATAACTGTCAAAACAATCGAATAATAGAGCACAGCTATCTGATCCTTCGTTACGGCAGTCGAGGTGTACAAGGCCATCATCAATGCGCCTTCTACGGTGTCAAGGAGGCACATGCCCGCTATTGCAGTCAGACTTGAGCCAACTGGAGGCGTAGTTGTGGAACTTAACCAGTGAAAAGGGCGGGAAATATTAGTATCAACCATATGGATGTGCCTTTTACGCCTTGGACGGACGCAATCCCGAGAAGGGCCACTTCCGATGATGTATCGAAACCGAGACCGAACAAGAAGCCTAAAGGATACATCTTCCATGGCCTAGCAAAGCGTCAGACATGAGCCAGTTGTCCAGTGGATATCCCATTTAGCGCGGTGAATACCTATCAATTACTTTGAATAGTCTTCGAAAAAGACGAAAGAGGCAGCCGGCGCCATGAATGTCCAGAGGTGGCTCTTCCCCTGGAGCTCTCGCAATCAACTTCTTCATCTGACGAATCAGCTTATACAGAATATATATGTTCATGATACCCAGTAGAATCAGAAAGGCGGCAGAGATCGAAGTTCCAATGATCCCTCCGATTTTACTGAACGAGTCGAACTTGGAGCTTATTGCTGAAGAAGTGGCGGCTACAATAATACAGGTAATGATCACGATAGTGGAATGCCCAAGCGAGAAGAAAGTTCCAACAGTGACTGGCCGTTGGCCTGATGCTATCAAACGTCGAGTCATCAAATCAATCGCCTTGTCAGAAATTAACACTCATCCTTTGAACACAGGCTCGAAGATGAATACCGAGATGTGATCCGCGTCCAAGGCATGTCGCAGCCCAAGCGTGTATGCTAAGACCGCTGTCGATATGAGTTCGCTGAGAAGATTCAGCTACCGTCAAGGCAGGACCGTAGACTGTTAACATGTAAATAATAGGAAGAGGTGATGCGTACGCCCGATAATGCTAGGAGTTCACGTCAACAGAATACCTTTTACACCGCCACTGGAGCCTTTGCGGGACATGGTCTTACAAGTACGATTGCAACCGCTACCCATACGATAGCATTGACGCAGACGAGAGCAATTATGATGCCTACTACAGAAAACGGGAGCCTGCGAAGGCCAGGGATACCCCTATGCCAGTCCCCAAGGCGGATGTATGCGCTTGACTCTGACATGCCTTTGCTCGAGAGAATTGAATAGAGGACGGCATGAAAGAGCTTTCTTTGAACCTGGTGGCCGATCAAAGATATGGCGATAAATGTAGTCGAGAGAAAGAACACATTGTCATGGTCATCAAAGAATGCTCAAAGGCTCCTGACATTCATACACCAGATGGATGCACATATTTGGCTGACCTCGTTCCCATCTGATCTCCTCGATTCCGGAGTAACGCGGCCGTAGCTCCAGGAAAGCACATCCCACCTTCTGACCCACCTTCCCCTTCCTATCGAGCGGTTCGTAATCTTGGTTATTTTGGTAATTTTCGATGCGGGCCCCGAATCTTGCGCTGTTGCAAAGCGGCTCTTCCCGTAGCTTGTTTGCGGGGCTCACAGACAAACAAAACACTTGCTCGTCAGGGTCAACGTCAACGGACGGGAGAAAGGCATCCTGCAATGGCCCAACCCCTGCTACTTTGAGTCGCCTCTTGGGAACTATGACATCTGGTTCAGCCCCATCTCTTCCACTGGACAACCCTCTGACGCCTAAAGTCGATACTAGTGTTGGCGCAAAATGCCATCTCTTTCGACCGCCTCCGCTCTCTGCCGCAAGCTCTTTACAAAACTCGACAGCTTCTCTCGCGAAGCCTACCTACACTGTAGATACTCGAGGGAGAAAACGAACGCGACACGACTTCCAGAGGGGCTCTCCAAACTTCGACTCTTTGCCGCATCAGATCCCAAACGCATCCCCCCCGCGCATACTATACCAACATTTGACAGTCCCGTCTCGCTCGCAGGCACAAGATACAGATTGGCCCCAGGAAGCAGGGCCGCTACAATAAGTTCAACAGGACAGAAGTACCCTCCGCAAGACCATGCTTCACCCCAATTTCTCTCGACGCGACGACGGCTGATTGACTCGGAGTCAGACTCTCTTGACATGGGAACACCGGAGACAGTATCTAGCGATAAAAGCCAACATCAGATACCAAACCCCCCGAACCTTCGAGATGGGGTAGGCAATGCCATATATAGATTTGCCGGCGTCGCTGGCAAAGTGTGGCAGAATTGGTCGTCTACATTTCGAGGGTTTTACTCCGGAGGAGGCCAAGGTTTTGATATGAGAGCGATGCCCTATAATGAGAATGAGAAATCGAGTCAATGGGATTTTGTAATGCAAGAAAATTATTGGAGAAATGACGATGAAATCCCAGCAACCCCCGGGAAATTTCCGCAAGAAGATTATATCCCAAATTATTGGTCGCAAGGCCTACAGGACCAAGCCAGCACACCGCCGCGGAAGCGGAACAAGCGGGATCCTGATATGACGACGAACTGGGTCATCGTAGGCAATACGCCACATTCAAAGAATGCCAGCCCTTCCAGATCGGTGTCGAAAAAAGTTGCTTCCTCACCAGGATCCACAAAACGTGCCAGTCCGCGTTCTAGAAGACCTCAACCACCGACGACGCAGCCTTCGTTCGCGGCCTCCCCAAGGCTCCGATCTGATCGTGCATCTTATGCTTCGCCGCGATCAGCCTCGCCGGTACGAGACAGTCCAGTCAGTGCGGAAGTCCAGAAACATGCCGCACGGATACGCAAAAAGGAGGCTGAGGAGGATGCTCGACTGAAAGTATTTAATCAGCAACTCAAAGTCATGATCCGAGAAGGCAAAGAGGCATTAGGTACCAGATTCGAGGTTGAAGAGATTGACGAGAATATGGCTGGATATAGCGATACTTTCCGCAGAGGTAAAAGTTGATGGTGCCTGTGCTGATAGGAGAATCCGTCTCGCGCTTTCTAGCGAATTGTATATAACTTTCGCCTGACGATTGGACGTTATCAAATAGTGCAAAGTCTACTCTCACCCTATTTCACTGATAGCCGTACGTGAGTGCGATCGATCTGCAGTCACCCAAGCTCACTTCGATGAAAACCGTTGTCCAGAGACAACCTCACCCCCTGTGGAGGCATTTGCACCATGCTGGCTTTTGCCACACACCGAGCAGGCTTCGAAGATATATTCGTCAGCCAAGTGATCATCAAGCCTTCCGTAGAGGAGGAAAATACTATTGCCAGCCCTGAAAGCGCATCTCGTGCATAACCTATGTCCTTGATCTATCTTCGTTTTACAAGTGCCGCATGAATTCGAGTAAGCCGCATAAGGATTCTTTGCTGCCTTCGATAATAACTTGCTCTTGCCTATTCCCGCATTGCCCACAGTAGCAGAAGGAGAGCGTGAGGAACCCTTGGACTTATTTCCCGCGGGGGATCCATAGTAAAGGTCGCTTTTACGCTTCACACCCGGTGTGGCTAGAGTGGTACTCTGTATTTTTCGTTGGCATTTAGCGCAGACCATTCTGGCAGACCGAATGAAGTTGACGAAAGTTATTTGGGGACGTGAAAGGTTGAAGTTGCAAATGAGGCTGAGGACAGGCCACAGTGGCTGGTGTGCTCATAAGCGCGGAGACGCTAGGGTCTACCATCAAGGGTCTGGGGGTCAGGATTACTTCCTTCTGAAGCCAATGTTGAAATCTCGCGGCAGCACTCATGAGTGATATACTACCTGTCACACTCATGAATCGGAACTCTTTTACACCTACTTGCCGGCTATGCCACTCTAAATACCCCTTTTCGAGCTGCGACCGAGCATCTCAGCATGGCCGGAAGGCCCCAGCGACCTGGAGCCACAAGTCACCCCTCAGACACTCGAGGCCCATTACTAGATTTTGAAGACTCGAATCCAGTGTACAATGATGGGAGGCCGCCGCCTGTCAATGACGAGCAGATGCTACATCAATACAACATCTCAACATCCGACGACCCTCCTCCCCGGCCCTCTACGTCCTACGATGATTTCGTTGGCGGCCTCCAATCTTCAACAGCAGGACCGCCCGGAGTATCAGGCACTCAGACACCTCACAAGCATGCTCCGTACCCGAATCCTGAAAACACTGGAACGTTCTCCCAAACATCGGAGTTGAACAGCTATCAACGCTACTCCGACATGGAGGATTTCCACGATGACGATCGATCAATGCAAGGAAGCTACTACCAGCAAGTCGGTGCTGTCGAAGGGGGCTCGACACCAATGGTCAGAGGACACAGGAATAGGAATAGCGTGCTGAGCTTGGGTGGAGGGCTTATGGGTCGAGCAAAAGTCATGCTCGGTATGGGCCCTGAGTATTCGGAGATGGATCTTCCCCTACGAGAAAACGCAGCGGGTCAGCAGAGAACGGACAACGAAATCACGGAGGATCAGAAACATCCTCCATCAAAAAAGCTACCGAGTACCTTTAAATTTGGGCTTGGCCGAGGGAAACCAGATCCGTCGACGCTTGGGCCACGCATAATACATCTCAACAATCCTCCAGCAAACGTACAGAACAAGTACGTTGACAATCATGTCTCGACTGCAAAATACAATTTCGCTACTTTCCTCCCCAAGTTCCTCTTCGAACAATTCTCCAAATACGCCAACTTGTTCTTCTTGTTCACTGCCGCATTGCAGCAGATACCCAACATTTCTCCTACAAATCGATACACCACCATAGGTCCTCTCATAATAGTCCTTCTAGTATCTGCAGGGAAAGAGCTTGTTGAAGACTTCAAGAGAAAGAATTCTGACAAGTCGCTCAACCATTCAAGGGCACGAGTTCTTCGAGGCTCATCATTTGAGGACGTGAAGTGGATAAGTGTCAAGGTTGGGGATATTGTCAGAGTAGAGTCTGAGGAGCCGTTTCCGGCGGATCTGGTCCTACTAGCAACATCAGAGCCTGAGGGATTGTGTTACATTGAGACGGCCAATCTGGACGGCGAAACGAATCTGAAAATCAAACAAGCAATTCCGGAGACTGCTAATCTCGTGAGTCCCAGCGAGTTGAGCCGGTTATCTGGCCGAGTACGATCGGAGCAGCCAAATAGTAGCCTCTACACATATGAGGCGACCCTTACTATGTCTGCAGGAGGGGGCGAGAAAGAACTGCCACTTGCACCTGACCAATTGCTCCTTAGAGGTGCAACTCTGCGAAACACACCTTGGATCCACGGGATTGTGGTATTCACGGGACACGAGACAAAGTTAATGCGTAACGCAACTGCGACTCCAATTAAACGCACTCAGGTGGAGCGGATGGTCAATGTTCAGATCCTGGCTCTTGTCTCGATCCTCATAGCACTCAGCATCATCAGCTCGGTCGGCGACCTCATTGTTCGCGCGACGGCCAAGAAGAAGCTCCAGTACCTCTATTACACCGATCCAAATGGTGCAAAGCAATTCTTTTCTGACATCTTCACTTACTGGGTCCTTTACTCGAACTTGGTACCAATATCACTTTTTGTGACCATTGAAATAGTCAAGTACTATCATGCATTTTTGATTAATTCCGACCTCGACATCTATTATGACAGAACAGACACACCAGCTGTTTGTAGGACTTCTTCTTTAGTCGAAGAACTCGGTCAAATTGAGTACATATTTTCCGACAAGACAGGCACCCTTACATGCAATATGATGAAATTCCGACAATGTACCATAGGTGGCATACAATACGCCGATGAAGTGCCGGAAGACAGAAGGGCCACAGATGCGAATCCTTTGGGTATTTATGACTTTCGAAAGCTCCGCCAGAACCTGCACGAGCATCCCAGTCGGATCGCCATGCATAATTTTTTGGCACTTCTAGCAACTTGCCACACTGTCATCCCCGAGCGCAGAGACGAAAAACCCGGGGAGATCAAGTATCAAGCAGCCTCACCCGACGAGGGTGCTTTGGTGGAAGGAGCAGTCACGCTAGGTTATCGTTTCACAGCTAGAAAACCGAGGGCGGTGATTGTTTCCATCGAAGGAGAAGATCACGAGTACGAACTGCTAGCTGTGCTTGAGTTCAACTCGACCCGGAAAAGGATGTCCACTATTTTCAGATGTCCAGATGGGAAGATTCGCGTCTATTGTAAGGGTGCCGATACCGTCATTCTTGAGCGGCTTGGCAAAGATAATCCCGTAGTAGAGTCTACCCTACAGCACCTAGAAGAATACGCAACAGAGGGTTTACGCACTCTTTGCCTGGCTATGCGTGAGGTCCCAGAGCATGAGTTCCAGCAATGGTACCAAGTCTTTGAGAAAGCAAACACAACAGTCAGCGGTAATCGTGCGGAAGAACTCGACAAAGCAGCTGAAATAATAGAACATGATTTCTATCTGCTTGGTGCAACCGCTATTGAGGACAAGCTTCAGGATGGCGTACCTGACACAATCCATACCCTCCAGGAAGCAGGTATCAAAGTTTGGGTGCTCACCGGGGACAGGCAAGAGACTGCTATCAATATAGGAATGAGTTGCAAATTGATTAGCGAAGACATGACTCTTCTGATCGTCAACGAAGAAAGTTCAGCTGCTACTAAGACCAATCTTGAAAATAAGCTCACTGCTGTGAAAAGCCACACAGGCGCAGCTGAGCTGGAGACTCTGGCACTAGTCATTGATGGCAAGTCTTTGACCTATGCTTTAGAGAAAAATCTTGAGAAAATGTTCTTGGAATTGGCAGTCATGTGTAAAGCTGTGATATGCTGCCGCGTGTCGCCTTTGCAGAAAGCGCTGGTTGTCAAGCTCGTAAAGAGGAATCTCAAGGCCATCTTACTAGCTATAGGGGACGGTGCCAATGATGTGTCAATGATACAAGCAGCCCATGTCGGAGTCGGCATCAGCGGTGTCGAAGGTCTTCAGGCTGCAAGAAGTGCCGATGTTGCTATAGGCCAATTTCGCTACCTACGAAAACTTCTGCTTGTCCATGGTGCTTGGAGCTACCAGCGAGTATCAAAAGTAATACTGTACTCATTTTACAAGAACATTGCTTTGTACATGACACAATTTTGGGTAAGCAGTCTGAATCCACCATTTTGTCAACCTACCTAACAACCAACTAGTTCGCTTTCCAGAATGCTTTTTCAGGACAGGTCATCTTCGAATCCTGGACACTATCCTTCTACAATGTCTTCTTCACCGTCTTCCCGCCCTTCGTAATGGGGATTTTTGACCAATTCATCTCCGCCCGCCTTTTAGACCGCTACCCTCAACTTTACCGCCTTGGCCAAGCTGGCGTCTTCTTCAAAATGCATTCCTTCTTCTCCTGGATTCTCAATGGCTTCTACCACTCCCTACTCTCCTACTTCATCTCCCAAGCCATGTGGTACTGGTACTGGGATACCCCCGACGTTCCTCAATCAGATGGAAAGATCGATGGTCACTGGGTCTGGGGCACGGCCCTCTACACCGCCGTCCTAGCCACTGTCCTCGGTAAGGCTGCCCTCGTCACCAACATCTGGACTAAATATACCTTCCTTGCTATTCCTGGTAGCATGGTCATCTGGCTCATCTTCATTGCCGCTTACGGCGTCGTCGCGCCGAAACTGGGGTTCTCCACGGAATACAACGGGCTTGTGCCCCGTCTCTTCACCTCGCCTATATTCTATCTCATGGCTATCATCCTCCCCGCCGTCTGCCTAATGCGTGATTTTGCTTGGAAATACTACAAGCGCATGTACCGCCCGCAAACCTACCACCACGTGCAAGAGATCCAGAAATACAATATTCAGGACTACAGACCACGAATGGAGCAATTCCAGAAGGCGATTCGGAAGGTCAGGCAGGTGCAGAGGATGCGGAAGCAAAGAGGGTATGCATTTAGTCAAGCCGACGAAAGCCAGAATCGCGTCTTACAGGCTTACGATACCACGAGAGAGAGGGGCAGATATGGGGAGATGGCTAGTGTGAGGGCGGGTGTGGAAAGGGCGAAAAGTAGACGACGGTAGTGCAACGGAGAAAAGATCTGATGAGTATGGTGTTATGAGTGCATTTCTGCCATGATGCGACCTCTAGAGTTTGTGCTTATAAAGGCTTGTCTTTCTTGGGCCTGTGTATCATAACCTTTTGAGTCCGAAATTCTTTCAAACTTGTGACCGACCGACTCTTAGCTTCTTTTGCGGTTGATGGCTACATCACTAACGATACAATTACCGACCTTCAGTACTAAGCAGGTTACCCATGGTCACTTTTGCGAGCGAAAGGTCTCAAGCGATGATCACCGCAACAATATGGGTTTTTCAGGGAGAGGGTCAAAAAGAAGGATCCTCACTTGCAGGAGGCCATGAAAGGCATCGAGCTTGGTGCACAGGAGTTTCGCAAAGACGTAATACTCTGTTCTGTGGTAGTTCCGACTGGCCAAGGCCACAATGATATATTGAAATTCTAACCCTTCAGCACGAAGTACACCTCAAATGACCACCGACCAGTCATACAAATGATAACGTAAAGTGGGATAGAGTCAAGCTGAGATAGCCCATCCTGCATACCCATCTAATCATATGGAAATCAAGTGTCTTTCATCACAGTGGTGGCTGGTATATACTAGACTGACATGTGAGCAACGAAAAGCTAGGCAGCGTCAATCAGCCTAAAGCTGGCTTCCTAGCAACTTCTTCAAGCTCCCGCTGGCAGCGCTCTTCCTTGCGGGCACTTTGACCCTCCGCTTTTCATATTTTAATTCATTCTTTTCCTGAAGGCTCAAGCCCTCAAAGCTGTTTCCGCTGTTGTCAGAATGGGCTGTGATCGAAGTCGTGGCTACACTGACTGGTGGAGGCGAAAGAAGCGAGTATGGCGAGCCCGAGAGACTTGAGGTACTGGAAGCTGTGCTACTGGCTGTTGCTGTCGAGGCACGAGATAGTGGTGGCAGAGTGCGACTACCCTTGTTGGCTGGACCTGAGAGGCGGGGATTTCCATTGCTGGAGGGGTGGAACTTGGCGAGATATTGAGTTGCTTCCTTATTGCTATTTCCGTCGCTTAAGGCTGGCCGATTAATTTCCTGTCTGCCTTTGCTACCGGTCAATTTGGGTTTGGGACCGTGATCATCGTCTGAGAGTGGAGCGTTTTCAGAGGGCTTCCATTCTGTGGGATCAAGATCTGATTTTCCACCATCGTGTTGGTTGGAAGGTATTCTCGCTTCTTTGAGGTGGCGTGGAGTTGGTTGCATGGCTGGGACGTAGCGAGGAACGGAGAGACCAAGAGGGTCCATGATCGGGTGATGACGATCCTGTAGCTTGTACGAGTGTGAGAAATATGACGAGGCATGGTGAGGGCCGTTGAAAGGCATGGCATCCAGACGGCGGCAGTGTTCTGAACAGTAGAGGAAGGTGGAGTTTGGTACAAGAATCTGCTTATCGCACATTGTGCTGAGTCTGGATCAGCATCTGATGTGTGAAGGCCAAAGCTGAAGGGTGGGGAAGTACCAATATTGCGGAAAGGTCGTCGCCATATGGTCGTCTTCCTCAAAATCAAAGATTTCCTCCTCAGCCTCCTCCTCCTCCTCCTCTTCGTATCTGGCCTGCTTGCGAGCTTTTCGTGGCCTGCTTGCTTGACTCAGGCTTTTCTGCGAGACGCCGGGAGCCGAGCGGGCCGCCTTCTTCACATGAGGAGGGGAACGATTGACACGGACATGCTGAAGGCCAGACATGGGCGGAATGCGTCCGAGGGGTAGGGCGGGACAGCGGTGAAGAGGGCCGATTGCTTTGCTGTCGTGGTGGAATGAGCGGTGGACAGTGATGATGGCGTAGGTTTTGTGCTACTGCATGCCAGCTGCTGGCTTTGTTCGTCCTCTGACGCTTATCGCCCGCTGACGATAGGCAGATGACGCGAAAGGAGGGTCAGAAGGCGCGATTGGCGGCAAATGCCGTCAATGTTGTGGGAGAGGACTTTTCCGGTGGGTATGAGCAAGGATGATGGGTAATTACGAGAGACGAAGCCGTAGGCAACGCGTCAGAAGGCTGGAGGGAATTGTTGAAGAGGAGGACAGTGACGCATAAGTCGAAGATACTACTACTAGCCGACGTAGTGGGAGGGGCAGAAATAGAGTGGTGGGATTGGGTTCGAGCTAGAGTTGATAAGGATAAGGAGGAATTGCCGACTGTGATTGCTGATTGCTGATTGCTGATGGTTGATGGCTGATGGCTGATTGCGTGGGTGCTCCGAGATCGCTAAGACTTGGTCTTCCTTTGTCAATGATGCAAGTAAATACTATATTATTATTGACACAAAGAGCCGACAAGGCTAAGCTTGTTCCTGCGACAAGGCGGGAGAGCGCTGCTTGACAGTAGTAGCGAGACTCTTTATATGCCCCTTTCATCAGCTTTGGATAACGCACTATCACGCTATGAATACGCCTCAGCACCCCATCAATGCTAACGCGAATAATCCTACAACAGTACAGCGAGTGACGCCAATAACGTGTGCACGATATACGTGCTGTCACGCAATGGCATGTCCTTCGCCTTCCCCAGTTCTGGCGGTTGCGCGTACACTTACCTCTTTCGTCCAGGTCCATCTTCAACCCTTGGCATACCTACTCATACCTTGTGTCCACCACAATAGCTCCCAGCTTTCAAGCAAGTCAGCCTGGCCTCCCAATAACATGCAAATGGTGGCATTGGAAAGTGCTCCTCCACCCCCACCCAGCTGTGAAATCGGTGTGGAAAAGCCTTTGGAATGAGTACCCCTGTGTCGTCCGTCCAAGCAGGATCAATCCAAGCGGACTCTAGGCTTTCTTTCCGGGGAGCTAGACCCTCATCCTTTGATGAAACTTAGATATAACATCATGTGAGCGCCAGTGCTGATGTCGCCATGCATGCATTAGCCTCTTGAAGCCGGTCCCCGGAATCGCTCCGGAACCCCTCTCGCTACCGTCTGCTTGGTCCCGACGTAGCTGTCGAGCAGATTGCTCCATCGGGCCTCTCCCTTCCGAAGCCGCTGGATCTCCTTGTAGGCGTAGGGATTGGCGTACGGCAAGCCTGTTCTAGGCTCTCGAAATTTGGCCGCCTGTCCTGTGATAGCGCAAGGTTCGGGTGACGTCTTTTGAAGTTTAGTCTTGTGTTTCTTGACCAGCACGCTGTTTTGTATCTCCGCTAATTTCTGAGCACTGGAGTCGACATTCTTCAGGATCACTAGGCATCGGCTCGCGTATTCTTCTTTCATGGGCGTTTCTTGTGTCGTGGGTGGAAACGGCATCGACGTGTCGCCGTTGGCCGATCTGGTAAACGCATCTCGCTGCTGATGTACTGGTAAGGCTGCGTAGGCATGTATGCCATCCAAGAAACCAAGTGGGCCTTGGGGCGGAGCAAATTGCTCCGGCTGAGAATATGCTATTTGGGCTTGCTGTGGGGATGTCTGGGGAAACGACACGCTCGCAGGTACACCCACCGTGTTGTTTTGGTCAAGACCGGATGTAGATATCTGGTCGTTATGTTGCTGCGAATTAGCAGGCTGCTCGTCACAACCCGACTCCCTGGTGTCTTTCACTCCAAGTTGTGTGATCTTGCCATTGACCCAGCGCGTTAAGCCACTCCACCATGAGACGACTGGACCCGTCAATTGTCGGCTGTGCAGTGCTTCAAGTTTAGCCTTTTGTTCTGCAAGTCGTTTCTTCTCCGATTCCTCCCACCGATTGAGACTCTGTGCATTCTTGCGTTCCATCCTCGCTGCCTCTTCTAGTCGCTGCGCTTGCGACAAAGCCTTTGGTCGCGAGGCGTCTTTCCGTTTCTGGGCCACCTCCATCTGCCGCATGACTTTTACGCGTTGCTTTTCGCTGACGACGAGCCGTTGATGCACGACTTCTCTGTTCTGGACCGTCTGTTTTCGGGACGATACTCGAGTGGGTGCGTCGGCTGCTGTCGCGATCCATGAGACTCGCTCCGACTTCTTTTTGCACGAGGTTGTGATGGAGCGGGAGTGCTGACGGCCGTGGGATCAATCTTGACCTTCTTTCGCCTCATCCCAGGCAATTTTGACATTTCCTTTGCCTTCCGCTTTCTCCTCTCCTGCTGATCTCGTTTCTGCAACTCTTCCTCTCCAGCTAACTCATCGTTTCCTGTCGCCCCTTCCTTGTCCTCTTCATCCGAGGAGGAGTCCAGGTTGGCATCCGAAGCATCGTCCTCGGCCTCGTCAAATGAATCGTCTTCTTCCTGCTCATTCTCCGCAAACAGGAGCTCGATCTCATCGTCTTGTTCCTTGTCCACGAGCGAGGAAAGGCGATTGCCTGCTGTGGCCCGCTTGGCGCGTCCGATAATGAGTGACTCCACCTGCTCCTCTGGTTCACTTTCATCTTCTGAAGCTGAGCTGGAGGATCTTTCGGGAGAATTTGATGAGGCATCGTTATCGGACATGGTGTTTCGAGATGACAAGAGTTGTCATCGCAATGCCATCACGGTGACATCGCCTCGTCTGTTCGGGAACGTTGTTTGTTGAACAGTGCGTCTATTTGCGAGATCCGCACGGCAAAATATGCCGGCTGGCTAGGGCCCATCTGGGTTAGAGCAGTCAGGTTCTTTGGTCGCGTTTCAGGATATATTTGGTGAGAGAAGTTCCGATCAAGGGACAAGACGATTGACCAGACGATTGACAAGATGGATGGCTAGCTCGTTGTTCTAAATTCGCTCATGCTGATTCACATTACGCACAGTTATGCAGGTCCGAGGCCAAAGAAAGAATCCACTCAGTAGCAGCAGTCTGACTTTTCATACATGCAGATGGCGCGCGTATTATTGCGCTCCTGGACTCCCTGAATCTTCTGTGCCTTAGGCGCTATTTGACCCTATTGGTCCCTATTGGGCGGAATCCAGCAGTGGCCACCGGCAGTCTTGGCCCTTATTTGACCTCCTGAATTATTGTTATGGCCGTCCCTGTCCGGGCTCCCCCTGGTGCCCTCCCAGCCCTAAGGCTAAGGATTTCCAAGAGTCTCCTAAATTCATGCAGACCATCATATCCGACTCTTCTAACAACTCATCCTGATTCCTACCACCTCAGCTCCATCCTTTCCTTTGCTTCTCCCGCTGATGATTATCATCCTTTAGCCTCCATCTCCATCATAATCTCTAATCTGTTTCTGTTCAATCCTATCCTTCAACTGACCTAACTTATTTGATTTTTCGATCGGCACCAGGGCCTGCCCTCTCCTTGGCTTCGGATTCTTGACGCCGCACCTCAACCGTTTCAGACCACTTGTCGTTACGATCATTGTTTCCCTGTCCTGAAGAGATATAGAACCAGAGTGTCACTGCCCTATTAAGGGTCACTTCCGTGACTAGCCTGTTTCTGGTTACATTACCTGGTCGGAAAGACACTTGGGCGGGGTCGGAAGTGTAGCTGTCTCCTTTTAGAGCGGCCGAGGAAGACGTTCTCCCTATCGGCTTTGACGTCTACTCGGTTAGTGGGACCGTCGTACGTTGTCAACGAGACGATCAAGGGCCCCTCAAACAGCTCCTACGCGTGCCGTCCTCAATGTGAGCGCCGTCCGACGAAACACAGCAAGGCCACCGACTGGAGCTTACAAGAGTTTGGGAATTTCTAGAGTCTATAGCGCCAGGGTTGATGCATCCAGTTGGAATTGACACCATCCAAAAGAATTCGTAGCAACAACAATGGCTCCCTCACCGAACCCCGAACAATCAAATCAGCGTCTGAACCTGAGTCACCTCCCACAGATTTCTGCAACACAACCGCAATCTGGGTCATCAACAGCAAATACGTCTCCAATCGATTCGCATCCTAGCGCCGCTTCTCGCTCTCCGTTTGGGAATCCTCCAGGCAAGACTGCCATGAGTAGCACCGCCGGTGTGGCAACTTCAAGGAACGGGGCTGGATCCCCATCCCATGATTTGGGAACAGCAAGGCCATATTCTAAGCGGTAAATTGTCTCAGTCTGGTTCCTGTATGTTTAAAGCTAATGTCAATCCATTCAGTGCTCGAGAGATACAAGCGTCTGAAGGATTGACTCCCCAATTCTGGGGCCCACCGGCCAGTGGCGGTTCCACGCCATTGCGAGAAACCATTCCCGAATCTCCTAGTCAAGATGGCTTTCCTGACTTTCTTCCACCATCTGATAGTCCCTTACAAGGCACAACCCGACGACCACGTGCTGGTACTGTCCCGTCAAGACTTTCCCCAGCTGCTCCTCCAGGGCTGGGGAGCATCTCATCGTCTCAATCTAAGAGCTCGAGACCCACACCTTCGACGAGCCCTTTTAGGTCATCATCATTCATGGGCTCCGAATCACCCAATTCTACATCGGCGCTCCTTTCACGGCTTAGAGCTGGCTCGATGCCGCAGCAGAAAAAGCCAAGAAGGAATCAGTCCGTTTGGCTCCGGGCTTTTCTCCTCTAATTGGAACAATACTAGAAACCGATCGTCAACTCTGGCAAGTGTGCGGTCCGCTGATGCCCCCAATTCCCCGGTCCAATCGACATTTTCAAGGGATGGCCTAACCGACACCGACGTCAAGACATTAGACTACTTAGGGCTTGCGGAGACCCCCAGACAGAACCAAGCCAATCTTGTGCAGCCACTCTTGCAGGGGAATGGTCTACCGCCCTACTTTAATGATATTGCTACCATGAATAGAAACCTGAGCAGGCTCAGGTCATTTTCTGTCAATGCCAAAGAGAAGTACGCAGATGATGAAGAGGACCAGTATACTCAGAATGGTGCGTACTCTGGTCAGAACAGTGGCATCGTAACTCCCATGGATGCCGCCTTAGCACAGACAAGAGCACAAATACACCATCACAATCTAGCTGTTCAGGCTTTTGCAAGTCAAGCGTCCGCGAACAGGCCCAGAGCACGTACAGCCGGGGTTCTAGACTCACCTTTACGCCCAGCGCCTGCTCCAATAAGGCTTCCCACCACTCGACCTCGACAAATCAGCAACGCAATACCTGGCTTTGATTGGAGTGAAGAATATGAGGGTTTGCCAGAAGCTGTGCAGGCAATGAATTTGAATACCATTGCGCGAAGGCCCACCCTTGAAACCTTGGACGATTCTAGCCAAGACAAGCCGACTCGCGCTTTGTGGCTTGGCAATATACCAACATCAACTACCACTTCATCATTGGAGGCTCTCTTTGGTGTTCATGGCAAGATCGAATCCTCGAGAGTCTTGATGCACAAGAACTGTGGGTTTGTCAATTTTGAACACGTCGACAGCGCCAGACTAGCCAAGGCCACTCTTAACGGGAAGGAGATCTTTCCAGGTGCTGGGCCGGTGAAGATAGGCTATGCGAAAGAGCCTAATTCTTCGTCAGTCGGGGGAACTCCCGGCAATTTTCAGTCAAGAAGCCCAGACCCCTTCAGCAGAGGACAAACTGACTTTTCGGCCTCCCAAGCTGAAGACGACTTTGGTGGCGACCGAGCCATCAATGGGACAAATCCACAAGCTTCTGCTGCGTTAGAAGTTCCAAGTCTGGCGGAAGCTAAAGCGGATATCTTGCAAATGGCACATGAATTTGGAGCCACTGCTGATGATCGCTACGCCATTGAAGATAGCATTATCTCTGCGCAGGCATTTACCAGCTTCGAAGATGAGATTCCGCAAGTCCCAGAGCCATCTCAGAACAGGCTCTATGACGCTCCGAGACTACGTGATATTCGGAAGAGAATTGACAACAGCTCAATGGCCCAATCTGAGATTGAAGAGACGGCTATGGCCATGCTGCCAGAGGTGGCGGAACTGTCTTCTGATTATCTAGGTAACACAGTTGTTCAGAAGCTTTTCGAATTTTGCTCTGAAAGTATAAAGGAGCAAATGCTTGCTCAAGTCGCACCCCATCTTGCTCAGATCGGCGTACATAAGAACGGTACGTGGGCTGCTCAAAAGATCATTGATGTCTGCAAGATTAGCAATCAAAAGCAGATTTTAGTTGACTGTCTGCGTCCCTACACCGTGGCGTTGTTTCTAGATCAGTATGGCAACTATGTTCTTCAGGGCTGCTTACGTTTTGGTGCTCCTCACAACAATTTTATCTTTGAGACTATGCTCAGTCGCATGTGGGATATTGCACAAGGAAGATTTGGTGCCCGAGCCATGAGAGCTTGTCTCGAGAGCCACCACGCTACAAGGAGCCAGCAACGGATGTTGGCTGCCGCAATTGTCCTGCATAGTGTCAAGCTGGCCACCAACGCCAACGGCGCTCTTTTGCTCACCTGGTTCTTAGATACCTGCACTCTTCAACATAAAAGGACCGCACTAGCACCCAAGCTTGTCCCTCATCTTGTGCATCTTTGCACTCACAAGGTCGCGTATCTCACGGTCTTGAAAGTCATTAATCAAAGAAATGAAGTCGAAGCTCGCGAAATTGTTCTTCAAGCCCTCTTCTCGGAGGATGGTAATGTCTTAGAGGAAATCCTCAGCGACCAACAATGCGGTGCCACTCTGATCTTCAAGGTCCTGACGACTCCATGCTTCGATGAAAGCCAGCGCAACGATGTATTGCAGAAAGTGCGTAATGTGCTTATCCGTCTGAAGGCTTCTCCTTCGCAAGGCTACAAGCGGCTTATGGACGAGGTGGGCCTCTCGGTCAAAAGCAATAAAGGCGAGCGAGATCTTACTCCCAACAGTCACGCTTCGCACCAAGAGCGTCCTCGGTCAACACTTCACGGCACTTCTAGAGATCGAAGGCATCACCATCCGGATAATGGCAGGCAATACAACGACAATCATTTCCTGCAGTCTCCACCCCAGCAGCCATATGCAATGCAAACGGGCTTCTCAGGTACCTCAGCCATGGACCCGAATGATCTCCTTGCATATGACCAAATGCCCTCAAACTACCCTACCAATACTTTGAATGGCCTCTCCTACCAACAAGCAATGCTTGGGCGTGACAATTCTCCCGGAGGATTTTATCCCAATGTTGGCATCGGAGGCTATCCGGCAACCTCTGCCGGCATGAATCAGCTCCCACAGCGAGCCTTAGGCGTAGGGCCAAACCCGATGATGCAGCAAAATGGCTATTCTCAACCAGGCATGAACCCCATGATGGGCTACAACAACATGCCAGGATTCCAACAATTTCCCATGCAATACGCTCAACAGCAGCCCTTGATGCAGGCTGATATGCGTGGTCGTCGGGTAGGTCATCAGTGTTACATGAGACTATGAGACCATTTTGTGCTGACGATGCAGTAGCGTTGACTATAGGTGTTTCCCCCTGTGAAAATAAAGGCTTTGCAGCCGTTCAGACTTACGACTTTCTTTGTCTTTGCAGCTGGAAAGAGGGATGCTGGCCAACTCTCTACGGCACTAACGGACTTTCTTGTAGATACTTGAAGATTTCATGTCCTTCTCTACTCGGTGTAAACAATTGGAGAAAGGAGATGGCTGGTGAACGGAGTGCCTAGAGATTCTTTTTTTGGGGTCCCCTCTCCTGTTCTGGTTGGATGATCAGCTCAGGCTTGCTGTGTCTCAAATTTTAGAGGGTTTGCTCAGGTGACGAGAAAGAAGTCGAGATGGCTGGGGATGCAAGGAGCACTGCATTCGACTGATTGGCAACGTGACATGCGCAAGTAAGATGGCTGTCGAGCAATTGTAGCTTAGCATAGAGATTCTACATACAAGTCTTGGAAATGCAGCATTTGCGGCTCTTTTCGCGTCTTGTCTGTTCGTCACTCCAGCAGACCTCAAGGAGCATACGTGCGATGATGGACCAGCCTACACTCAAGCGTATCTCATCCTTCGCTAGCTTCATTTGGAACCCATATGACCTGTTCAGTGCGAATTGCCCATCAGAAAGCCTCCTTCCGTCGCCCAGTACCACCATTTCAGGCTTTTCCATGGTCTCTTTTAATTGTATTCTCTCATTACTTTCAAAAGCACATCACTCGTGCCCCTCTCGGAACAGTAAAGCGATCTTGATCCTCCCAGGCAGCGAACCTGCACAAAGTGTTCACTCGTTCACAAAATGGGATTGTTTAATATATCTTCTCTAGTCTTCAAGATGGTGAGCCTGCTTCGAGGCTGGCTTGAATGTTGAAACACCAAGAAAAAGCATTCATGAAAGACGAAAAGTGAACATGTTGCTTATATTCAGACTGGTCTTCATTCTCCAATGTAGCTATTCAAAGCACAAGAGGATCGATGAACACTCTCCAAATCGCTCCTCAATACCTAGATTCTATCGTGTCGGACGACGTATACCGTGTGCCAGTCCCATGACAGCTACAAATACAAAGCAATAAGCTATTAACGCTGCTCCGGCTCGTGCTTCCACTCTTTCCTTCCTCCCTTCTATTACTCTCATATTTCTTCCCAACCCGCTTCCGATATTATTAGAAATTAGAGTAATTCGCTGTACCAAACAATACGATCCAGCAGCTAAGGGGGAATAAGTGTAGAACCCTCTCCATATCCAGTCTAAGGTATCCTGCACCATCCGAACGCCGAAATTGCGCGCAAAAGGAATGATAGCGGTATCAGGTGCTGATTTGTTGAATGATACTTAATACAAGTGAATTATTGGGGTCGGCCTAGGGGCAGTCTATCTTGCGCCCGCGCTTTCCTCTGCCCAGCCATTGAGACCCCAGTTGGCGCCACCCCCGAGGCCGCCAAAGCCACTCATACTGGCTTGTTGTTGGCGGTGGCTGAACGGTTGCTGTGAATGATTTTGCTGGCTGCTTTGGATACTTCCATTTGGGAGATTCTCCTGCGAAAATGCTGGAAGTGATACGGCGCGAGCATGTTGATTTCGCGGAGCCAACAGCCCACCTACTGTGCTCGAACCAGAGTTGTTAGGCATGTTGTAATTGTTGATGCCTTGACTGAAGCTACTGCCGTGGCCACTACTATGTTGACCAGGGGGCAAATTCAAGCCGCCACTGAAGAATTGGTCATTAGGATTCGAATGGCCGTACACAGACCCCTGCTGGGTTGTAAGCAACGACTGTTGCTGGTTCTGCTGCTGTTGAGGTTGTAATGGACCATCCATATACTGATCAGCAGATTGTTGGGATTCTGCGCTATGTTCTTGGATCGAAACTTGATTGAGATATAGAGCAAGAGGATTATTGCCTCCCGCATTCAACACAGTTGAGGGAGTGTGACCATGATGCGATTGCTGATGGTGATGAACACCAGCTTGTGAATTCGAAGCGGATGAGCCTGGAGCTGGTGATAGTGCCGCTCGGGTTGGGCTCACCGACGAGCCCCCGTGGCTTATGGCTGGATACATACCGTTCATCGGCGTCGGTGAGCCAAGATTCTCTCTCCCATGAATGGATTGATGCTGATGGTGAATGTGTTGAGTCTGGTTTGGCTGCCTGGGAGCATTCCCACAACGGTCTTTACCGAAATTGACCTTGAATCGAGAATACTCTTCTCGGCTCCGAATGGCCTCAATCGCCTTAATTGCATTGGCGATATTGGTAAAATTTACGAAGGCACAGCTTTTTTCTCTCAAAGCGTTGACAAGCTCGATTTCTCCATACTCTGAGAAGTCTTGCCTGAGACGTTCCTCCCCCCATGATTCATCGAGATTTCCAATGTACACATTCCTGGAAGCCCCACCGCTAACAGCAAGTGCAATGGCCGGCGGAAGTGCACCAGAGTGTTTACCCCATCCGATCTTGAGCCTCCTATTGTGGATCATCAAACCCTGCACGCTGCTGAGCGCGAAGAAGGACGCTGCTGATGTTGGATCGATGAAGGTCACAAAGCATATATGCTTGTCAGGAATGTAGCGAATGTGGTGCAAAAGCCCCCCGCGAACCACATTGCAGATCTCTTCGATTGTTGTCTCGGGGTGTATATTGCCCAGATAAACGGTCCTGTTGCCCAAGTTATTCACACCAGCCGATTGAGTCGCAACGGCGGCTGCTGCGACAGACTGCTGCGCCAACGCATTGGATATGAGGTCTCGGTCCGCATTGTTCAGCATGTGCGCGTAGCCGGGAGCGATGCCAAGATACTGAGCTGCATTCTGCTGTTGTGTCTTCGATACGTACGCACAACGGTCTTTCCCGTAATATACTCGTCGTGGTGCTTGCCACTTTGGCTCCTGAGGCAGCTGTGAAACCGCTTTTACGGCGTTGCTGATGGAAAGAAAATGAACAAACCCAATCGCTTTGTCCCTGACAGTTTTGACGGTATCAATGGGCCCGAACTTCCCCAGATCTTCGCGCAATTCGGCTTCTGTGACAGTCTCTGGGAGATTCCCAAGATATACATTCCTTGATGCTCCAGATTGCTGAACCGCCACCTGAACAGACGTCGGGACTTGGGAAGGCTTTCCCCAACCAACTTTGATGTCCTGGCTCCTGATCGCAAGTTTCTTCAATATGGCGTCGGAGTGAAAATGAGTTGCAGAGCTTCCATCGAGAAAAGAGATGAAGGCACAATTCTTGTCTGGAAGGAGCCTCACAGACTCGATTTGCCCGCTACGTACATGGCCAAGTATTTCTTCGGCTGACGTCTCGGGTGGTATATTGCCTAGGTAGACCGTTCGGCTGCTAGCGCTACCCATTGTCGGTGCCATTTGCATCTGTTGATTACCATTGAATGTTTGATTTCCAACGTTGCCGAAGCTACCCGTCGGTGACTGTGGGCTATTGACATACTGTTGGTTGCCATAGTTCATGTTTGGGTAGACTTGACCCTGAAAAGTAGATTGCTGAGAAGTCACAGGGCTTCCTATCTGCGGCTGTTGGTTTTGCTGATGTGCTACAGCGTTCTGTTGCTGAAAGTTTCCGAAGTTATTATACTGCGGCGTACCCGGCTGAAAAGGACTTCCAAGCAGAAGTTGAGATGGTAGGAGGGGAGTGAAATTCATATCAAACGCCGTCCCAGGGGCAGTCTGGTCGTTTTGATTTTGGCGATTTGGGTGGAATTGGGCTGCTGTATTTATCGACATGTTGTTGCGACGTGGGTGTCGCTGGGAGTAACCACTGGCTCTTTGATTCATATTGTAGGCACCGTGTGAGAAACCCGTATCATTGGGGTTCTCGGACTTTATTACTGCATCTGAGAAATGCCCGTTGGGGAAAGTATGAGCATTTTCCATGATACTCTCGTGGTGCTGCATTACGAGTATATGAGGTCAAGAGGCAGAAAATGCTAGAGTTGCTGTGTAAGAGCTGTTGTGGAATGAGGATATGTTTGGACCCAAGGAACAATTCGCGTTGGCTTTAGTTGTAGTGAGTGTAAAGAGTAGATGCGCTTGGTATAAACGATTCAATAGTGCCTGAATACAGGTTAGAAAGACAGTCCAGCTCGACAGTCTGCCATGACTAGAGCATACGCACTTGAGGATACAGCGCCTGAACCGAGCAGGCCTGACAGTCAGCGAAACGAGCGGACTTGCAGAGATGGGAATTGCTCCGAGTCTTGTACCCATGCACCACGATAAAAGAGACACCGCGTAGACGAAGGGTTCCTCAAGTACTGCTATCTTTACAGGGTTGGTAGAAGTGCCGGATCGGCTTGTCGACTGGCTTAGGATAAAGGACAATGGGATGAAAGAAGGGTGTGGGAGTACCGAATTTGAACGTTACAAGATTAACAGACTGTAAGAAGGAAGACGATTAGCTCTAGATTAAAACGAAGGGAACGAAAGTGAAATTGAAAAGAATGAAGGAAGAGTGCGTGAGTTGAAAGAGCGTGAATGGATATTGGAAAGAGGAGGAGGTAGGGAAAGGGAAACTTTTTTGATTAGAATTACGGATGTCAGATGGGCGCGCCGCGCAGGTCTTATCCTGGCATACGTAGATTTCCTCCCGACGCCCTATGCAGGCGGCTGGAGATCCACTCGTGAATTTTGGCGGCTGCCCTGACGATCCAGGGGGCGGCTTGGCGGAACTAGCTACTTTCGACTTATTGACCTGGAAAATCTCCCGCAACAGCCACCGTTACCCGTTGCCCGCACGCGCCTTGCCTTCTCTGGGCCGTAGATGGCTGTATGAGGCGGGACCTATGGGTGCAATTAAAGAATTAAAGTGCAATTAACGTGCGATCTCTTTCCTCCTCCAACGTTTTCTTTTCAGCCTCCACGCACAATTATGTCATCGTACATTGGCTGCGTGTAGAGACTCTTTCATCGCCCTTGAGGAGGATCCAGCTGAGTTGGCTAAGGTACTGTAAGAAAGGTCTGCTGGCCAGCTGTGCCAGTACGCTGCCGTCTATCTCGCCCGTAGATGGCGTAGACATTTTCCATTAGCGCTGACACCACTGTTTGCCAACTGCCACCTGCCTCACAATCGCCAACCCTAATCTTCTACTCGTTCGTCTTGAGATCTTGTCGTCAGAGTCGAAAGTTCGGACCTGTTTTCGAGATCGAACTGGGCAAGAAGGTAATCCCCATCTCAGGCATGATTTGTTGACCTATCCTCGGCTAGAAGTGATTGAAATTGAATTCCCTCTTTCTTGCTGACTTCTCACATTGAACCATGGGGTGGATGATGGTGTCACTACCTTTCCAGCCGGCAAGAGGAGCAGTCGGACCAAAAAGTTCATAGACAAATGCAAGGAAGAATTCAACTCGATTTTGTTATAGCCTATCGACTGACTCATGTCTAACTCTTGCTCATGCATGCAATGCTCTTGTTCACGAACAAAGGTTCAAAACCTACCAAAATTGTCTGCGACCCATCGGCTGCCAATTGTACGAGGTGGTGGCTGAAGATAAGAGCGGCCGGCATCATGCATGCACTCATTTTCTCATTTTGGAAGTGGACTGGAGGCTGATCAAATGATTATTTTGCATAGGAAACAGGGGGCTCAGTCATTTTCTCGGCGCTGTGCGGCATCATCTGGAACGGAATTCTGTCGGCAAGCGCAGCTTTTGATTCACGAAATCTCGTCTCATGCATGGCAGAAGCTACAACTGTCCTATGATCATTTTCCAAGATGCACGCCTGCGACGCAGGCCAGAAACTCGTCGTCGTTCCTTTGATGTCTAGACTTATCAATGACATCATGTGTGGACACTGATCTCCAGAGTATCCCCAGAACGACTTGATCTTACTGTCGCTCGCTCAATTGAGAGCTCGAAGCTGCGGATTCTAAGGCACAAACATTCGAAGTTCTTCCAACGCGGTTACACCTTTGCTCCAGAACGGCTTTAGTCTAAATCCTTGTAAACTCCCAAAATGACAGATGTCAAAGAATGATACATTTGCTGTGGCCTTTCCGATCTTTCTTCGGATGTTTTGGCGGCGGCTCCAGCGCTGCGACAATAGCCTGTGCGTAGAAGAGTCAGCAAAAACACCCAAGTGATTCTTGAAGCAGCCTGTCTGAGAATCCTTGGGCTCTGGTTACTTCAAGATTGATCGTGAGCACGAGTCATACCTCGTCGAAGACGTCCTTCAATTTGTATTGAGTCAACGCCGAGCACTCTACATATTTGACAGCACCTAGATCTTTCGCCATCCGCTCACCGTCCTCTTTCTTCACGGGCAGCATTCGTTGTTTGGAAAGCTTCTCCCTCACACTCGGGTCATCTCTGAGATCTGTCTGTGTGCCGACTATAAGGCACGGTACGCCAGGGCAGTGATGATGCACCTCCGGAAACCACTTTTCTCGGACATTCTCGAACGATGCAGGAGACGTGACGCTAAAGCAGACGAGGAATACGTCCGTTTGAGGGTAAGATAGCGGACGAAGGCGATCATAATCTTCTTGACCGGCAGTATCGAAAAGACCGAGGGTATAGGGTTCATCGCCAATCCTAACAGAAGGCATTCAGTACATCCCTCAATTGCTGCAAACCGCCCTCACGAAGGTGACAATGACCTAAATGATGGGAGGTGAGAGGTGACTGACATTACCGTGACGGCATAATTATCGAAGACGGTGGGGACGTATTCAGAGGGAAACTTGTTGGTCGTGTATGATATCAGTAGACATGTTTTGCCGACAGCACCATCGCCGACGACCACACACCTACATTGTGGATCAAGTCAGCATAGCACTGAGGGATGAGCACCCCGAGAACGAAACAATACAATGGAGCGTGAAGCGGGAGACTTAGCGTACTTTATTGTAGCAACAGCCATGTCTCACTTTCCCCGTCTACGCGATCTCTAAGAGCATGCACAGTATCAGTTTCCTCTCGGGAAGTGATTCTCTGATAAATGCGCCCAGTGGGTGCCAGCGGCTTTAAGTGGCACCCGCAGAGTGAGCGAATTTCACTTTGAGCTTGCGGAGATTTCTGAAGACAAGCGAAGCAGTTTTTTTCAACGGTCAGGACTGCAACGAGATTTTTTGGAGATTAGAGTCGAGGCGGGTCGCACACACCCCCCTTGGCGCCCGATCAGACCTTGGACGCTTCGTAGACAAGGAGCAGATAAAGATCAGGGCGGTGTCTGAGCACTGGTATTCGCAAGCTAGGGATGTTGTCAGAGCTGGCTCATTCTGTGGAGGTCGAGAACAGACAGGAATGTGGTTTCGCAGGCAGCCTGTGCCTCCGCTGCCCTCTCTTGGTCGAGGTTGATGTGAAAGGCCTTTGAATCTCTGCAGGACGCCACCTCACCAATGCCTAATGGCGTGGTCAAAGGCTAGTGTGCACGCGTTCCAATGTGGGGTTTTCCTGAAGTGCAAGTTGATAGGCGGATTGTCGTCGATGTACAAAGAAAGTCGCAGGACAGAGGGCCGCAGATGTGAATGCTTGGCTCTCAACGCCAGCTTACCTTAGAAGTTAGAAGAGGGGAGTTTTCGGGCGGCTCCCTTTCGACGTTTTTCGCGCTAAACAATTACGGCTTCTGCGGGCATGAATTCTTCACCTCCTACGTTCAGACGTAAATGAGTGCCCGCATACCCTGATACATGGTGGCCTTGATCAACACAATACCTATCGTTATGATGCTTCTACATATACGTTGAGGATCAAGAAGTCACCCTAATTCCCAAGCAGTTGCCTTATCCATTTGCCTTTCACTCTCCCAAGCAATCCAGAATGTTCAGTTCTTTCGTCTCTCATTCCATTATCGTCATCTGCAACGTTGTCCTTCTTCCTTGCGCCATCGAGCCGGTAACTTTTGAGGACGAAACTGAGCGGAATTATTGGGGCAGCAAGGCATGCTGCCACAGCCAGGATCACATCCATCGTTTCCTGATAACTTCGTTCAATCGCAAGCTTTTCCAATGAACCTTTAGGATAGCTTTTTGCGATGGTGAGATTAGCGAAAATCGTTGGCGCATCCGCTTTGGTACGCGACGGCAGGTAGAGTTCCAATTTCGACAACACATTGCTTGACCACAAAGCACCCGAGATTGCACTACCAACAGCCCCGCCGATTTCAACGGAGGTCAGAAAGATGGCGGTGGCTGCTGCAACGTCGGCATGAGCAACAGAAGCCTGGATGCCCAGCTGTGTAGGCACATGCACGATACTCACCCCGACGCCCATCGCAATTTGGGTCGCTATAATCATTCCAATGGAGCTCTCCTCCGAGCGATATAGTTTCACCAGACTTACGCCCAGCAAGTAGATACACCCGCCAACAGTGACGAAATACTTGTAATGACCTGTATATTTGATGACCAGGGCTATCAGCACGTTCGTGATCGTGGATGAGAAATTGAAGATGTTGACGACATGGCCGGCAGCAGTCACTGATTGCGAGTGTACGACCTGCAGATAGGAACTGAAGTATGGCTGAACGCTGGTGTAGAAGACCGAGAAGTAGAAGAAGCCAATAGCACAGCCTGCTAGAACGGTACGATTCGTGAGAAGTCTTAATGAGAGGAAAGGGCTTGGCGCCAGCTTCGCAGAAGTTTCCCATAGCGGGAAGACCAAGAGACCGATGACACCAGCAATAAGCATGGTAATTATACTTGCGTTATGCCATTTCGCTGTCGTCTTGGCGGCTATTGTGAGAGGAAGCAGGATAAGAGAGACTGAAGCTGATAGAAGGACTAAGCCCACAACATCAAGGTCAAGCCACAACTTCCTAACAAAATCAAGGACACTGCGTTGTCTTCTTATACCGCGAGGCAGAAGCTGGACGTTGTTGGCCTTTTTCATATTCCAGAGGAGCGAAAATGCCAAGGGCGAAAATGCGATGGGAAGAACAATAAGCCAAACAGCATAGCCCCAACGCCATGTCAACTTATCAAGTACAGTATCTGCAATGACTGGTCCAACCCAGACGGTAATTAGGAATGGCTGATCTGGAAGACCAGAGAGCAGGGCTCGGTTGAGAAGACAGCTAGTGTCTGCGATGAAGATCTGTTGCAAGATCTGCAAACCTTGTGAGCCGGCTGAGTAGAAGATCTGGGCTGATGCGAAGGTCTGTACATTGGAAGAGGCAGCCATCTGGGCGTACCCAAGGACATACAAGCCAATACTGAGGGTGAAAGCTTCCAGGCGGCCGAAGACGTTGGCGAATTTGGCCATTGGTGCCTTGACGACCGCTGGATGTGTTTAACATGTTGCAGCTCCGAGATTCTAGGCGTGGTGACTCACCATTGACAATGCTTTGTACCACGAGAACGGTAGATACTAGTGAGTGTGCCGCAAAGGCGCTCGTAGCATACACTGTCAGATTCGAGGTTGTCTGCACTTCCAAAGAAGTCGCAAACGCAAGCAAGAGAATTCTTGAACGGTCAGTTAGGACTGCTGCTCATCATAGCGATGTAGCGTGGGAAGATGGTCTTAATACATGGATAATGACTAGTAGCCACCACAGCACTTCTCGTAGTTCCTAAATAAGATTGGTGGAAAAGGATGGAATTTCTTTTGAAACGTACCCAAGATATGCGACTATCAATGAGCGGCGACTCCACGATTGACTGATAGCTTCAATACTCTCCACACCCTGCTGTATCTCGTTCGAGCTGAGGAGTGATTGCTCCTCATCATTTCCATCATCGCTCATCGCTCCATAATGCTGCTGAGGTGTGGATTCTGCGGGCTCTGCCATTTGCAAATCCGTTAAAAGTGGAGAGCCTCTGTATCCTGTGTAGGCTGCAGCCTCGAAACATGTCTAAAAGAGAGCTTCGCAGCCGCATGTAAATCTAAATGTAGAAAAGGGGTGGGAGATCTAAGATGTAATGGATTGTAATCTGATGATCTGATTACGCCTGAGCTAGAAGACGCTAATGATTAGCGTTGCCGACATCCGTTGCAACTTACTCCATGTGGTAAGGTACGACATTTGTATATGCAGGCCGATGTCATTTCTATTCAAATATGAATCATAAACAGCACATCCATCCCAAGAGACTATAGTCACCTCTCTCAAAGAGCTCCCAGGCCAAGACTCAGGCTGTTGGAGCTCGCGACGATGTGCTACAGATTAGTTGACTTAGGAAAAGAGAGCCTTAACCATCGTTCAACATTCACAGTTCATTATGAGCTTTCGCTTCATTGCCTGACCCTTTCTGCACATCCATTTCTGCAAGTCCTCTACCAACAATGCTGGTCAGAATCTCGTATCCAATCTGCGAAGCAACTAATGAGGTTTGCTCTCCGGTTCCGTCATAAGCAGGCGCTACCTCCACAATGTCCGCCCCCACTATGTTGAGGCTCTCAAGCCCGCGCAAGATGCGAATGAGCTCTCTGCTCGTCCATCCACCAGCCTCGGGAGTGCCCGTCCCAGGACATAAGCCTGGATCGATCACGTCTATATCAACGCTGAGATAGACAGGTAATTCTGTACCAATCCGTTGTAGCACAATGTCTATGATGCCTCGAGTCCCCAAATCGTCGATATCGTCGGCATTGATTTGTAAAAAGCCTTGATTAGTGTCGTCCTCGTAGTCCTCCCATCCTAGGAGACGCGTTCGGAGGCCGCCATGCACGGAAGAACCATTGATGATGAGACCTTCATTAGAAGCCATCCAGAACATACTCCCATGATTGAAATCTGATTGCTGAGAAGGCCATGCAGATGGGTATTTGGCCGGATGCCAAGTATCGAGGTGAGCGTCAAAATGGAGGACTGCAATAGGTTGGCCATAAATCTTGTTCAATGCTCGTAGCGCAGGTAGTGCAATTGAATGATCTCCACCAAGAGTAATGAGCTTCGGCTTGGGAAAGGAGGCATGCTTGATGACAGGCTTACGGGAACCTAGCTCGAGAAATGCAGAAGTCATTTGAAGGAGGGCAAGGGCATTATCGAAGGGCGAAATAGGGATATCACCACAGTCAATGATAGTGTATGGGCTATGGTACGGATTGAGCCCACGGCGAGGATTGAAGGCACGAAAAGGCACCTGGCGAGCAGAGGCCATCCTAATTGAGCGAGGCCCGAATCTCGCACCTGGTCTGTAGCTGACACTCGTATCAAAGGGAGCCCCGATGATCGCAATGTCGAAGGAGTGATCTCGGGAGGTCAAACATTTTACATGCTTGAGGTGAGCAAATGTTGTTATACCAGAGAACGCCCACTAAGGAAGAATTGAGTTATCGGGCACCATTTAACGTAAATTGGCTGGCACAAGGAAATGAGCTGGTCAATTTTACCTCGTGAGACCATTTCCTATCCAAATCTTCGGCTTCTACCCTGTGCAAGGGCAGTGAATCTTGATCGGGATTATCATAGAAAGAGGATGCGAGAACAGTAAATGAAGACGTCAGCAGATAAGAAAGTCCGAGGAGATGCATCGGAGTCGTAGTATTTAGTTAAGGGGCACGGTAATTTCAATGTCTTCATATAAATCTTCACTGATGAGGGTAGGCGGACTTATTCGGTAAGACTATAGAAACGCAAAAGTGAGCACTCCTCCACATCAATCAATGTCGATTGCACCGAGGGGAGAGTCTGGTTTAGGAGACAACAGGTGTAGTAGGTATAGCCGCAGAGATAAGGTTGATAGTAACAAACGTTAGCACTAGCGGCAAATTGATAGTGCTCCAGCGAAAAATACGCCGCCGTAATGAACGCGTGAACCGCAAATTGAAGCGCGTGAAGCCTTTTGCATCCTGTAATTCAATAGACGGGCTACTCTTGTGAAGCAGTTGTTTCATGAAGCATCATCCGTAAAGCGATCATGAGAAAGAGGCTATCTCGAAGGCAAGAAGGGGCTGTATGACACACTTTTACAATGCCGTCAAGAGCTGCTATCTCGAGCCCAGCGACTGTCAACGGCATGGAGACCATGGACGCATTGCCAGGCTTGCAATTCAATGAACCACTGTCATGGCGCGCCGGAAAGCCAATCGCAGTAGCAGATCTTCTGCGAAGACTTCAAGCGCTGTCGAACGAGATGAGGAACATGGAACAGGAAGAGAATGACCGAAACTCGTTCTCTCGAGTCGCTAAAGAGCTAGCCAGCCCAAACCTATTGACGCACAAGGATAAGGGAATCAGAGCATGGACATCATGCTGCTTGGTTGACATTCTACGATTATGTGCGCCTGATGCACCTTACACTGGTCATCAGCTGAAGGTGGGAGATTGAATTCCAGAATTGACACAGCGAGCGCTCATCTCATGCAGGATATTTTCAACATGTTCATTAGTTCTATACTGTTTGCCCTAAAGGATCCTTCAAATGCGTACAACCAGCAGCATCTTTACGTCCTTAACTCCCTTGCGGAGGTGAAAAGCATAGTCCTTCTCACTGACATTCAGGATTCTGAAAAGCTGACCACGAATCTTTTCACGGGCTTCTTCGATACTCTGGCGGGCTCTAACTCTTCCACTGCTGAAGAACAAATAGGCAAGACCGTTGAGATTCAAATGACCTCGATCCTTATTACCATGGTGGAAGAGTCAGCGTCACTTCCGCAGGAAGTAATTGATGTGATTGTCGCGCAGTTTCTGCGGGTAGATACTAATATCGGGGATGGCAATCTCGGAAAGTCGAAAAAGGCTGGACATCATCTTGAAGACAGACAGTCAATATTGATAATGAAGGAGTTGCCCCCGCGTACAACATGGCTAAGACAGTATGCAACACCTGCTCTGAACGTATGGCAAAACACATCAGCCAATACTTCAATGATATCATCGTCGACGCGTCTTCTGCAGCCGCCGAAAGAGGGACGGCTAAGAGAAGAAGAATCAGTGAAGACATGGACAGTGCAGATTTGGATGTGTCATTTGGGCCAACAGACGAAGATTTGAGAGAATTACGCAAAGCGCATCAATTGCTCCGAGAGTTGTGGCGTGCTTGCCCAAATGTTTTGCAAAATGTTGTACCTCAGCTAGAAGCCGAACTATCTGCGGAAAATGCCCATCTGCGTCTCCTTGCTACCGAAACCTTTGGGGATATAGTTTCTGGGATTGGGGCGGCGGGGTGCCCTCCTCCGCCAACCCCGAATCCGCTCACCTATCCCTATACTTCCTTATCTGACGCCCACGACTCTCTCTCGGACCAGAACGTCTTAGTAAAGCCGTCATCGCCACAACCATTTCCCCAAGTGTACCCACATGCATACAGTAACTTCCTGGGTAGATGCAACGACAAATCGCCCATCATCAGAGCAGCATGGACCACTGGGATTTGCTGTATTTTGAGAACATCGGCCGGCGGCGTCGGCCTTAGTCAAGAGGAAGAAGATCAACTCATCAAGGGCCTTACGCGGATGCTCGGGGATGCCGACGAAAGAGTTCGCCTTTCAGCTGTGAAGGCTATCGGCACGCTGAGTCTACGAGATGTGGTTTTGAAAATCAGGTCTGCAGGCGGCATCGAGCAGTCCGGATCTACGCTAGCCGTCATGGCCGAGAGAATGCGCGATCGAAAACACATCGTACGAACGGAAGCTATGGTCGTTTTGAGTCGCCTTTGGGGGGCAGCCGTTGGCGAGCTACTTCTAGGTGATGACAGAGTAAGATCGGCGTTTGGGTCCGTCCCCACGAAGATATTTGAGACATATTTGACCAACGACCTGGATATCCATATGCTCATTGACCAGGTTGTATTCGAGAACCTGCTGCCCCTAACATTTCCGCCTTCGAAATTCAGTAAACAGCCACTCACAAACGGTAAAGCATCATCATCAAGAGAGACGCCAGTCAACGATGTTCCAATAGCCAACGAAGTCAACCCTGACAGAGTCAGGACGGAGCGAATCCTCCTCCTGGCTAAAGACCTTGACGATAAAGCTAGACAAGTCTTCTACGCACTCCAACACAGACAGCTTCGCATGGTCAAAGTTGTGAGCATGTATCTCAAACTTTGCGAAGATTACAATGGTGGAGTCATGGAGAGGAAGGAAGATGAGATCAAGGCTCATCTATCTAAGCTTATTCAAAGCATTGCGAAGTTATATCCGGATGCGGCGAAATTCTCTGGACAACTGTGGAAGTTTGCGAAGATGCACGACCGTCGAGCATATCAGCTGATTCGTTTTTGCATGGCCCCTGAAAGTGACTATCGAACAGTTTATAAAGCTATCCGAGAGTTTACGAAACGCTTCGAGCAGTCAGCGTCCGCGCCTCAAGACCTGCTGAGCTCTCTCTTAGCATTGCTTTATCGCGTAGCTTCACTGGTCTACAATCGAAGCCTTGTTCCCGCCATCATGGAGTTTTCTCGGGTAGAGGATGGCGCCTTGACTGCTACAGCACACGAGATCCTTCGAGACATCTCTACGCAAACACCAGAAGTGCTTAAAGCTCAGGTGCAGGGGATATGCAGATATCTGCAAGATGACGCCCCCAGCAGTGAGAAGTCGAACGACATGGCTGCCGTCGACAATCTCAAAGCTTGCGCATCATTTGCCAAGCGCTTTTCAGAAGAAATTCCCAAGGATCGTCATTTCGTGTCATCGATAACAGCGTATGCGCTGTATGGCCAACCAGCCTCAGCGGCCAAATACGCAGTTACTGTCCTTGTAACAGCATCTGACAAGAAGGAATTGCATGCTCGAGAGCTGGTCCAAAAGTGCATCAAGGGCTACGAATACGGAAAGACAGGCTTTGCTTCACGTCTCGCGGCTCTGTCGCAACTGATTCTCCTCGCACCGGAGCAAGCCAGCCAGCACAATGATGCCATAAGTGAGATCGCAATAGAGCAAATTCTACTTCAAGCGCGAACGCCTGCAGCAGAGTCATCAGAAGCGTATTCATGGTCAGACACCCTCGATGAAGAATGCGAAGCTAAATGCTGGGCATTGAAGATTCTCGTGAACCGCGTCCGATCTCATAACGACCCCGATTCCTTACAAAAGATAGCAGGGCCTGTCTACAGTACTTTAGTACGCCTTGTGAAAGGCATGGGCGAAGTCCTGCCTTCCGAGAAGACTCCCTCTGCGCATAAGTCTCGCCTACGTCTACATGCGGCAAAGCTTCTGTTGAAGCTCTGTCTCAAAAAGCAAACCGATGCACTTCTCACGCCTGCGATGTTCAACGACTTTTCACTAGTTGCACATGATCCTCTTTCACCCGTTCGCAACGCGTTCTTGAAGCAGCTCAAGAAACACCTTGGGGCAACGAGATTGCCCCCGCGCTTCTACGTGATTCCATTCCTCTTCGCCTTTGAACCTGAGAAGCCTCTCAAATTCGAAACGCTCACTTGGCTGCGGAGTCGGACCAATTACTTTCACAATCTACAAAGCGAGCGTCAGAATTCCAAAGCTACCATTCTAATGGAATCAATCTTCGCGCGTTTTATTTCTTTATTAGCCCACCACCCTGATTTTACCACAACGAGTGCAGACCTTGTAGATTTTTGTAGATATATAATCTTCTACCTTCAAGCAGTCGCCAGCGAGGACAATTTGTCTCTGGTCTTCCACATCGCTCAACGCATCAAGCAATCGCGGGACGCTATCGAAGCCTCTACTGAAATGGACGACAACCTATACCATCTCTCTGATCTTGCACAGCTCACGATCCGTAAATATGAGGAAGCAAATGGCTGGACGATTCAAACCCAACCGGGCAAAGCTAGCCTCCCAAAATCGCTCTTCACAGACATCAAAGACCACGAAGAAGCTCAAGCAACGGCCGAAAAGAACTTCCTCCCTAGCGACGTTGAGGATGGCGTCGAGGAGCTCGTGAAGAGAGCCCTGAAGAATGCGAAAACTCAGAATCGAAAACGCAAGTCTGAAACAGAAGCACCCGGATATGATGGTCGAGAATTCAAGAAGAGTAAATCTTTTCCCATACGTAAAGCCATCGGCAATAAAGATAAGAAGCCTGCCTCCCGGACCAGAAATGGCATCAGCAAAGCTTCTAAGAAGCCAGCGAAAGCCACGAAGAAGAACAGCAGCGGTGACAACATTGCGACATCTGTAGAACGCCGTAGAAGCGGTCGCGTAAAAGGTGGCGAAGGTCTTCTCAAGGAGCGAGACTCGGATGAAGATGACGAGGAGATGATGGATGGAGTTGCGGAATGGACGTATGCGAAACAGGACGGTAAGGGAACGGACGTGAGAGACGACGATTCGGGCGACGATGATGGCATGGCGCATGAGAAAGGGAGTGGAGACGGAAGTGAGGCGGAGATTGATGAATGGGAGGCGCCCGGGTCGCCGTCGCCGAAACAGAGGCCTATAGCGAAGAAGTCGGGGGGCGGGGGAAGGGGCACTAGGGGTGGTCGACCTAAGGGGAAACGATGATGAGAGATGGGCAGAGAAGATGACGAAAGGTTGACTTTTGTATGATGAGCTCTTTATCTAAGTTGCTTATGGGGGAAGACTGTCACATAGCATGGCGTTTACGACAGAGCCGGGTGTGGATGGATATCTGTACCTATGGCTTCTTGAATGTATCAATGGAGAGGAATCGGGCTGGTTTTGGCTCAGCATCAGTGAAAAGGAGAAGAGCCGTATTCTCATAGCTATGTTCGAAAACGGAGATAACCTCACGTCGTTCAAGACTCATAACGAGATGAGTCAAGATAGTCCCGACCTGGAGTCAAACCGGCAAAGTAGAGGCAGCATAGATAGACTCGAATGCAGATCCGAATCAACAGCTTTTGCTTCTTATGCAACTACGGCTTGATCTGCTCTAGGTCAGATATGGCCTGCTTGTTTCGACCGGCCTGAGTGTAATTCCTCAAATCAAGGATTCTAACGATATGACTTGGGGAGACCCCATCTAGTCCTCGCTACACCGCCTGACAACGAAGCTGATGACATGTATATGCACTTACGCTACCCAAGGTGTGTCTTCCATAATCCAGACGCCCAGACATACTTGACTATATGCTCCACTAGGTGGTCGTTAAGCCAAGACGCCGTCGAGCTAATGCTATGAGGGTTTCAAGATCCTTCTTTTCTTGATCGCTGACAGGTAGATCAGCGGCTGTCCTCCCCCTATCCTTCTTCATCTTCTGATCGTCTTCGTTCAACAATCGCTCAACATTGGCAGGTGCCTCCGCCTGTTATAAGGTCAGCACATGTTATTTGATTAACCTTGGAGATAGTCGAGACTGACGGTCAAGGTACCGATCAGGTTCAATAATTGATCGGCATCTAGCTCAGCATCTTTCCATGCCAGCTGCATGAGGTTCAGAGCTGCTTTCCTTTCTCGAAAGGGTCGTTTGTCTAGCTCCTTTTGCTGCTTCTCTGCGGTAGGAGGGTTCAAGTTCGTGGTGTGTATGTGTGGTGACTTCTGCCTATTTTTAGGCCTAGGGGCAAATTTCTGCTTGTAAGCCATCGCCTCTAGATTCGCCCTATTTACAGGTCAGCCATCCGAAATGATGCTGGCTGTCCAAAGCATACTTTTTGATACGGTCAATGAAGTCCAGTTTGATGCCACGCTCCGGGACTTTGTAAACTACGCCTGACATCTCCCTTTCGATTTCACTCTCCTCTTCGCTCTGTTCTTCTTCAATTTCAATCAGTCCATTGTTGGTGAAGCCTCTTCTGAGCCCAGTCCCCACTAGCCGTGCTGTTTTTGGTTTTCTGGTTCGGAAAGTCCTGATGTTCTCCTCAGGGTAAGCAGGTACAGCTTTTCTGATTGTTTGTCTTCCAGCAGTCGTTGCAGAGGCTGCCATGTGCATCAACTCATGATCGGCGTGGTTTGGGCACATCCACGTTTGCCTCGGTCTGCCATTTGTGCTCTTCTTGTTAGGAGCGCTTGCAAGCGGTGGATCAAGACAGTCGAGGTGCCAACAAAGGCTGCAATAATCACAAGGAACTATTTCTCGTTTTCCGGTGGAAGAGCCGCCGCACTGGAAGCAAAGAACGGTGTGATCTTTCTTATCTTTAAGCTTCAGATTATCTGGTATTTCTTCGTACCCGGTACGTGCTCTGAATTCTGTTAGTAAAGTGGACTAATCTAACACAGTATCTTAAGGGATCACTCACTTGGAGATTCTAATATTATGGAGGTCGTCATACTCGCCTTCTTCTCCAGTAATGACACCTTCGAAGTAGTCTCTGACATCCCGGGGAAGGTGAAAGGCTGTAGGATTTCTATATGTGATAGACTTTCTGAGGCCTGTCCAGATCCCCCGCCGCTCGTCGTCCTCATACTCATCAGCAGCGAACATCGTGCAGCGCCAACAGAACCATTGGTCAGGAAGCTGATCTGCCTGTGTGTCAGGCGCTAGAGGTGGATCGCAGCAAGTAAAGTGGTATCCTCGTGGACAACCATCACACATGACCAGACTACCATTGCCGCTACAGGCCGAACAACGATCTGTCTCCGGCTGTAGCATGTTAGCTCATGAGGGCCGAAGATGTCGTCTCTTGATATATTTAGGGCTGGGGCGACAGAAAGACTTACCAAGTTATCGTCTTGGCGTCCGCCGCCAATATGGTTGACTTCGATCTCTGTTGGGGGGCGAGACCTGCTGTGACTCCATTTCGCTTCTTCAAAGGCCTGCGGTGATGCAAAACGCCGTTAGCCTCCATCTTCGGGATTCTTAGTGTTCTAAGCCCGCTCTTCTTGCTGGTTGCTTTAAAGCATGCGACTAATTGCTGTGGATGATGTCACAGAAAGTTTGCAGCAACAAACACACGATGACAGCACACATAGACTACAGATTCAAACACAGGGATCGGACAAAAAGAGGAGACAGTAGCTATGAGGCAAACCAGAACTCCTTCAGGATAAACCGCGCTATTAGGGTGAGGATTGAAGGTACAATAATGGTTACGAGAAAGCACAAGACAACAAGAGAATAGGTGGTCGATCACGATGAGGGCGTAAAGGATTGAGTGAGACGATAAACTTACGATTGTTTGATCCGAGCGACTTTTTTGTTTGTCTTAAGGGGCCTACCGAGTTGGGGAGTAATGCCTCTTACCCCCAAGTCTGGGGGAGGCAGAAGAGATTCGTTGTATGATGAGAGCGAAGACTCGGATGATTCGTCGTCGTTCCTACGAGTTCTGTATGCAACGGCACTGCGACGAGGATGCTGAGCTCGTTGTTGCAAGGCAGTTTCCGGTGGAGAGGGCTCTCGGAGAAGAGGCAGGGAGGATCGGATGCTACTTTCTTGGACGAGATAATTGTCGAAGCCCCGTGCGAGACGTTTCCTGGCGGCTATTCGAGCTTCAGGGGTTTCTAGCTCTATAGGCAATTTGTTGGAGAAGGAGCCCATCCGGGGCCCAGTACCGGGTCGATCTTTTGATGCCTGAGACGTTGTGGGATTGAATAGGGAATTTGATATTGTAGATTCCACTTTGTCGGGAGCGTAGGCTTCTATGTGATCTTCGATATCGGAATTCAAATCAGACAAAGGAGATTCATTATCAGAGACACTAAAAGAACGCTTTGCTCGTTTTGTTGGCCTGTCGCTTTTAGCAGGGGAACCGTTGGTCATGAAGGCCATCGTGGATCGTTTGGAGGGTGTATGGGAAACAGCATTTGAGGGTTGATCTCCGTGTTCCATGGATTCTCTCGAAGATTTTGAGGCCTCAGCTTGCCGAGTGCCACTATTCCTGAGGTTTTTCGCCGGCGAGTTAGCCACTGAAGGCGTCGACGTCTTCCCACCTGCTTCACCTCTCTTGACCTGCTTTTTGGCTGCCTTTATGTAGATTTGAAAAGAGGCAATCTGATCTGGAGTCTGGTTTTGCGATAGAACCGCATTCAGGAGGTTGGCCATGTCCTGACTGGTTAGAGCCTGCTTGTACAAATGACGAATGGCTACTCCTAAAGCCATGTTGCCTAGCTCATTAGAACGTCTCACAGCTGCCTGTACTATATCCTCCCATGGAGTGATCGGTTGATTTGGAAGAAGGCTCAGAGCTGAGACCGGTGGCGTGTCAAGGGGGCCTGGCCTGGTTGGGCTCGATAACGTCGGTGTATTTTCGAGCTCCAACCTGGCGTTACCGTCCTGGCCTCCCAAGTGATGATGTACGTCGGACGGAGTAGGTGGAGATGGCGGATCGTGGCGTGGCCCTGGCGAATGTGTAACGGGTGGTAGGTTAGATTCGGTCATTGGGCCGTTCTCCTTTACGACCTTCACATCTCCATTCTTCAGCTGTGGAGCCCGCCGCGGAGGCTCGTGTAGTCTCACTCGTGCTCTCGCTTTGGGCGTCGGACCGTGCCCAAGGGGTGCCATATGCTCCAACACGCCGTGCGGCTCAAGCCCTTTGTAATCCCGAAAACTCGGGACGGGCTCACGAGGTGGTGGCTCCTCCCATGAGTCTAAGCTGGAGCCGTCATAGGTTGACGGTATGTCATCTTTGCGGATGACTCGCTCTCGTTCGATCGATAGTTGGTTAGCGTTCGAGAGCCCCGATCTTCGCATTTGCCTCGAGGAGGCCATGGAGGCGTAAAGCGCCGGTGAGGATGAAAACGTTGTAATCTGGGGGTTGTTAGCATCAAGGACGATGAAATAGGTCTATTCACATCCGCTGGGGGCTTACTAATAGCGCCGCAACAAGGTGCGCATGCTGGCTCCTGGGTTGGAAGAAGACGACCTATTCGGAGGGTTTGAAGATTGAGGAATCGTGCTTGGCGCCGGAGACAATAGAAACCAAGTCTCACTCTAGCGAATCAGCGACCACAATAGACCATCGGAATTTGATTCCTAGACTTGATTACGATCGCAGGGATCTTATTCTATAGACTCTCTATCTCCAGTAAGTCTTTGTTGTCCTCTTCTACCTTCCGACGATGTAGTTGTTGCAGGAAGGGGCGGGGCACTCTACGTCTGCGAGAAAAGGGGTAACGATGAGAAATGAGTTCGGAAAGACATCTGCTCCATTGCTTTTTACTGATACTTGCTACAATATTTCACTGCAAAGGATGACCACCATACTGCTTTGACCGAGCGTATCTTCAGTGTGATGCATGCCCTTGCGGTTGAAATTCCTGTTAGGCTGTGTATGTTAGAAAGGCCCTGAGTAGCGTAGAGCTCCTATAGCCCTTACAGATCACCAATCAACAATCTCATAATGCCCTTGAAGACCCCGTCTGATACTAACAAGCACCAGAGTCGGTTTACCTTGAAGCTTTGGAAGGCTACTGACATCTCATACAGTGAGTGTTTCGAAATTAGGCATCGGAGCTCGAGTCCTCCTCATCATCGTCATTTTCGTCGGCTTTCTTGGCTGGCTTCTTCTTCTTCTTCTTGTTCTTACTCTTTCCACTCGTAGGCTTTGAAATCGGTTGATCCAAAAGTTTTAGGATTTCCGGGTCAGTAATTTTCTTCCCTGACTTATACTTTTCCTTGTCAGGGGCTGTAGGCGAAGTCAAACGAGTAATCCCATTTTTTGTGATAGCTAGAGACTTAGCTTGACTTCCACTGAGAATCAAAGAGTGGGTACAAGCATACCAACAGTACAGAACACCCTCGCAACAGGTGCTAGATCCTTGTCGGCAATAACCTCATACTGTCGAAGCACATTTGATCGAACGCACTCCACGACACCTACCTTTGCCTCTCTTTCATCGCCTAGTTGCCGTAGACTGAATGGGAATGTGCCAAATTTCTTTACTATCTCAGATAAAGTCTTTCGGGAGCTAGGCCTTTTAAGCTGGTAGGTGATGGTGGTTCTTCGGTGCAGAGTCGGGCGCTTTTCGAGGATTCTGTTCTTACCTGTGCCTGTACTAATACCCATTTCGACGCCCCATACCTCACCAACTTCTGGTATTCCCTCACCTTTGGAATTCTCATTCTCGGGCGCAAGCACGATCTTCTTCTTGCCCTCGATCTCGTTGCGATCGAAAAGCCAAGATGTGGTGCTTTCGACAATGTTGCAATCATAGCTTTTCGCGACAGTTTCTAGCATCTTGGTAATCCTCGATTGGGAGGGAGCCTTTTCCATGGCTGCCTTCTTCTTCTCTTCATCCGTGCCTGTCGCTAGGAGGCCCGGGGGAAGCATTAGCCTCAAAAGCAGTTCATTGGCGTAGTGACAGGCCCATAGTAGGTCAGCTTCCTGGCCTGCTAACTTCTCATCCTTATCCTTGTCACTCGCTACAATAATTGTATCACAAACAATGGTCCCAAAGCCATCTATCTGGGCGCCTAGTTGGATCTTGATGGCTTCGCCGCCCTGGAGGGTAACAGCTGCTTCTTCGCTGTCTGTTGTTAGAGGCGTGTATGGGGTAATATAAGAGCTTGGGGAGACCGTGGTCGGGTGTGATATGCCTGAATAATGTCAGTGGAATACAACCTGGGCGCTTGGCAACTGGGAGGAAGCACCCTTTGCGATCTTTTTCCCCTTGTAAACTTTGGCTATCTCCTTTTCGAGTAGATCATCTCCTTTCTGACATATGGAGACAATTTTCTCGCCCTCCTGACACCACCCTTAACGTGAATCAGCCGCTAGGACCGTGGCCAACAGAGAATAGTAATTACCGATGACGGCGTCCAAGCCTTTTTGAGATATCTGAGCGGCAGTCTTGTATTTGGTAAGTGTATCCGGGTTATTCAAAGAATAATCTGCACATCCCGTCAGCTGCAGCAAACCTGGTAGGGCGAATTCGGCAGGTGTAGGTTGTCGCTCTTGATTTGATGTCTGGTCTACATGAACGGTTACACAGCAACTTACCAATGGTCGCTTCTTCTGCCATGTTTTCAGATAATTCTGTACGTCGAGAGGGGTGTATGACATGGAAAGTCGCGTGAGGATCGAGAGGATGTTGTTTAAGTGGGGTTGTCGCTTGATGTGGGGACTGGATGTCCGAGGGGTCCCTTCCATTACCCGTCCCCTGTCTGGCACCCGCGCCGTTCCGTGTGGCCCTACCCCTATGGCCCCCGTGGGCCTTAACCCCAGCAGGGAAATTTGGCGACGGCACGACTATGCGCAACTATGGTCCTCTCAGCGTATATTTCAGGCTGTCTGAGGTGTTGCAAACAAATTCTCTGGGTCGCCATCTACTTGCTCCAGGGTCTTCCTTTGAACTACATCTTGGCTGTGGACCCACGCAATGAGAGTTGTTTCACGTACGAGCACACCTCTGACATTGACTATTCTTACTAAAAACATTCGCTATGCGACGGACTCTCCATTTGAAGGAGAGGAAAGGTGGGAGGTTCGTCGACCTTATTTGACTAGCGAGTTACTCTATCACACTGCGCATTGCGCCGAATCGTTCATTTGCCTACAAGAAGTGCTTCACGATCAATTGAATGATGTGCTGCATGATTTGAACAAGGATGACGAATGGTCCCACATAGGTGTTGGTCGCAACGATGGCCAAAAGGCGGGAGAATACTCGCCAATCCTCTACAGACCAAGCGTTTGGAAACTTGACCAATGGCATACGACATGGCTTTCTCGGACGCCAGACAAACCCTCCAAGGGCTGGGATGCTGGAGCACCCAGGATCCTCACGACCGGTACCTTCTCCCATCGAATGACAGGCCAGAAAGTCTTGGCAAACAGTAAGTGATGTTTTCGGAGTCATGACTCGAGAGACATGTCCCGTGACTCCTTCCAGTCTAAAGAAGCATTGCTGACTCCGATTTGCTGAAGGCACCCATCTGGACGAACGAGGGTCCCGGTCCAGACTCGAAGCAGCCAAGGTCATCCTCGAGCGTATCAGGCAGTATGCAGGACGTAATTTGGAGATTCCATCTTTCCTAGGAGGCGACTTCAACAGCGAGTCTCATGAAGAAGCCTATCTTGAGGTCACGTCGGACGGCTCTCCAATGGCCGACTTGAGGGATCTAGTGCCAATCCAGAAACAGTACGGAGACATCAACACTTTTTCTGGCTTTACCCTAGACACTCGCCGTAAGAGAATCGATTTCATCTTTCTTAGTGGAGCAAATTCAAAGTCTCCCACCAACCCTAGAAATGACATGACGAGCAACGAACCCCATGGACCGACAAATCCTCCTGAGGGTCCATGGCTCGCAGATGGTTATGCTGTCATCCCCAATTGCTTTGAGGATGGTGTCTACAACTCCGATCATCAAAGTGTCGTTGGGACTGTGCGGTTGTCACGATGAAACCTTATCCTGACCCTGCAAGTAAATATTTTCGAAGCGTGTTTTCCAAATTCAAAAGGAGTCCCCTGACTCGCAAGTCTCAAGAAACCTGTGGTGAAGCTCCAAAAAGTGGCCGGAGCACTTGGCATTTCTAGTGTCTATACCTGGTCGTAATATCAAAAATCCGAAATAGTAGGCTAGTCGGCTGCTCGGCAACAGCAATATCAGCATTATCCGTAAGTCTAAGATTTTGACGTTTCTGTCAGAAAATGAGACAAAAGCGTTGCTCTAATATCTGAGGTCGTCGTCAATGAAGAACTCTGAAAAAAAAAGACATATTCCCAGATGTGTTCAGTGAGAGTCTAAAGTAGAGCACTCTTAAGAAGCACCACCATTCGTACCATTTTGATCAATTCCCTCAAACTTCCGCTTAACGGCTCCACTGTCCGTCACTAAATCGCCCAGTTGTCCACTTGCCCCCTTTTTGGGCAGCTGCAGCGGCTGATCGTCGCACATCCTGCTCCTGCCTGGCCTGCTCCTCTGCTGCTGCTTGTTGCCGCTTCTTCCATTCATCTCTGATGCGCCCTTGTTGCCGAACCAGATCTTCCCTTGAGACCGCATCTTGAATACTTTCAATAACTTTCTCCGCGACGCTCACGTGATTTGATTCTTTTTTGTCGTCACGAAATCGGAGAAAGCGCCATTTGTGATCTTGGTCCAGGGTACACTCGACGATACGCTCGCCGAGCGGCTCATTGGGTTCTTTCATAGCTTCCCATTCCTCTTGGGATAGACTTAGGTCACCCATGAATTTGTCATCAGCATTGTCTCCTCCAAAGACAGTCAGGTACACCTGAGGCATGGCGGTGTAGTCCGGGTATGCTCCTTCCTCGTCCTCGTCGTCAGAATCCGGCTCAACCATTGGGAACCGAAAATGCATACGGAAATCGATGGAGTTCTCGCTCTTAGTCTTCCATTTCAGAATACGCTCATCTGTACCTGGTGTATAGGGTGAATTCCGGCAGGTGAAAATCAGGCCATCATTACCATGTTGCAGGTTCGGTAAGACCTCAGTGAACATTTTCTCGATTGCATAGCCGAGCTCCATCTGCTTGAATTTCAAAATGAACGGCAGAAATTCTTCCTCACCTGGGTACTTCTTGTACAGTCCCTCGTAGGGGAAGAAAACGTTTTCTCTGAAGTAAGCAAGCCGCTTGTCAAGAGTTCGATGCATGAGAACCTTTCCATCGAGGACCATACAATCAAAGACCAGATACTTCATTTGAACGGTGCCATCTGGAAGAGTATCGTTCACAAGCTCACCGTCCACGATAGTGTTTTTATGAAACTCTGTCTCGCTGCCCTTTACAGGGAAATGAAGGCCAGGCACATGGTAGTAGTCATTTTTGCGGTCAATCAAATACACGACCTCCTGAGGACCATCGTGGGTTAGGTACATGAGACAACGAATGCCATCGGTCTTCTCACAGACATAATAGTCCTGGCTCTGCAGTTCGGTCAAGTGTTTCGCTGCAAAGCTTACGGGCTGGGCTCCCGGAAAAGTAGTTTGTTTGCGTCCTAATAAACCTGCAACTTCATAGCGAAAGCCGGATGCAAGACTATGGTCTGCTTTATTTCCCGGAATCGTCGGAACAGAGCCGCCCATGATTGCGGAGATGGTAGTCTTCAAACTAGCATCAAGATTGTAGTATGGGGGTGGGAGAACACATCTATCTAGTTCCAGATCCTATCAAAAACAGCTGAAGATGCATGAGGGAGAATGCACCGATGATTCAGACCCGTGAGCCAGAAGGTAGTTGATATACTGACGCACGCTCCACTGCAATATTGAAAAGAACAAGTAAGGAAAGGTGCCATCTGTTTGTGGCAGGAAGAAGGGGGACCCAAGGGACATAAAAAGGGATAGAGCGCTAACCGTATCGAGCAAGTGCGTCGGCTAAACCTTCCTAGGTCAGTCGTGTAGAAGCGTTCAGCCCTATGAGCGTCTTTGCGACAAACGTGCACCAGTTGGGACTTGGGCAGAGTGGACGAACCAAAACGATCTGGCACGCGAACTTCCCCATAGCGAGAATGATTCCAGACCCCGCTCTCACGTGTGTAAATAGCCGGTACGTAGGTATCCTCTTCGCCCTCATCCGTCTTTGCTCAGCTCCCTGATGCTCCAACCTTTTGCCCTCCCCAGCCTGCGATGTTGTCTCCCTCTCCAAGGGCTGGCCGCTTCCCCTCCCTCTCAGCGTGCGGTCCTCACGCGCGTGGGACATCACCAAGGGCGCAATAAGAGTCAGATAAAAGCTGACCTATAGCTGCTTCTAGCATGATTGCCTCTGACGGGTGGCATTGATGTCCACCAACCCCTCCCTCCCACTGACCTCCCTCGCGATAACCGCCCCCCTACCATGACGACCTCCCAACATCCCAACGATCTATCTAACGACAGCACCAGACCTTCTGAGGCTTTATCTACATCAAATGGAGCGTTTCATGAGAGTAAGACTGGACTGGCCAAAGCTGAGGTGCCCAATTCAAAGTTCTCGGTCCCCAACGGTGCTATCGACGGGATTGAGGACCAGAGCGAAGTCAATGGGACAGCTTCACCAACGGTTAGCCCAAAGCCCGATGGCGTCGTTCAGACCAGGAAGCGTTCTCGCTCTGGTTCGCGCATCAGTCGTCCATTACCAGAAGGAAATCATGGCAAGCGTCGAGGGTTCAACGATCCAGATGGCAGGCTGCTGGAGAAGTTTGAATTAAATGATTACATTGATCGCGATTCGTACCACATTGTGGCGATGATCCGTCAGAATAGGAGGATCGAAAAGATCATGGAAGATCAACGGGAAGAGCGAGCCTTCAATCTCAAGCTACGAAAGGACCCCCCTGAATTGGACCGTAATAATGAGACGAGTGCAGCGAATGCATACCCGGTCAACCGTCTTGCTTCCCCAGCTGCCATTTATGGCCAAGGATACGGACAATATGGGACTATCCCCAACCGCCCACCGCCCCACTATGACCGAGGGTATATATTGCCACGAGATGTCAACACGCGTCCAGGTGGCAGAAAGACAAGAGAACTGCGAATTCCAAGGAGGGAATTGCAGAAGCATGCTAACCAACTGGAAGAGCTGATACCTATTCGACTTGATATCGAGTGGCAGAAAGTCCGCCTACGAGATACTTTTACATGGAATCTGCACGATAGGGTAGTGCCCACGGAACTCTTTGCCCAACAACTTGTTGAAGACTTTGGTCTCTCGCTCGAAACTTGCGATGGTCTGCTCCGTCAAGTACAAAGTAACATCCAAGAACAAATTCAAGACTATCATCCACACCCTTTTGTAGATGATGGGCCGGAAGATCCTCACCTACCTTACACTGCGTACAAGGACGACGAGATGCGCATTACCGTCAAGTTGAACATTACAATTGGGCAGCATACGCTTGTTGACCAATTCGAGTGGGATATAAACAATTCCGCAGATGCCCCGGAGTTGTTCGCTCGACAGATGGCAAAGGACCTGTCTCTTTCCGGTGAGTTTGCGACAGCAATTGCGCACGATATCAGGGAGCAATGTCAGCTGTTCACGAGGAGCCTTTACATTATTGGCCATCCTTTCGATGGGCGACCAATAACAGACCAAGACCTTCAGGCGGGGATGATGCCGTCGCCAATGCCATCTGCCTTCAGACCATACCAAGCTGCGAAGGAGTTCACTCCGTATCTATATGAGCTCAACGAAGCGGACCTAGAAAGGACGGAGCTGTCCCTCTCGCGAGAAGAGAGGCGACAAAAGCGCTCTGTCAATCGACGTGGTGGCCCTGCATTACCAGACTTGAAGGATCGCAGACGAACGATTCGGACCATGGTCGTCTCTGCTATAATGCCGGGGACAGCCGAGACCCTCGAAGATAGTCGTATCTTTAAACGAGTCGCTACAGCCTCGGGTAAGGCGAAGCGACCGGGTTATCGTGATCGTGATAGTATAGAAGGCTCCGAGAGCGAAGAGAGCGAGGAATCTGTCCCCGGGTCCCCAGCAATACCACAGCATCTGGTTTCCGGCACTGCACGAACTCGAGGGATGAGAGGTGCAGCAGCTGCAGCTCAGACCGCGATGAAAGGCGCGCTCGCCCGCTCGGCAACACCAGAATCTGTGACATTACACCATCATGAGACACGGACTACAGGCCGAAGAAGAGATTATCGTGAAGAAAGCGTTGACGAGGCCTCTCTCTCACTCGTAGTCAAACTTCGAATATCACCGCCACGATTCAAACAATTCATGCGCGATCAAAAGAACGGAAAGCTACATCCGCGAGGAGGAGATTCTCCTCGGCGACGCTCTCAAAGCGCAACACCAAGCCACACGACTCCAAAGCCAGGGGCCATGGGTCCTCCATCAACTCCCGGTCAGCAACATGGTCAGCACCAGGGCAGCCCTCCACAGCATCGAGACGGTAACGTCCTGCATCCCCACGCTGCGCATCTAGGCAGGGTAGATGCCAAGCATTCACCCAGCGCAGCGCATCCTCCTGTAAGGCCCATCCCTCTTTTCCCCTGAAAAGTCAATCATGGCTGACCGTCCGATTAGCCCCCGCCTCCCGACTGGCTCAAGAACTCCCTCCGTCGCCTCCAACCCTCCTACCCTGACGACCAATTTGAAGGCCTGATGCGATTCACCATGGTCGACAGGCGGACCGACCAGCCAATTCACAGTCGCGACGGCAAACCAGCTGAGCAGCCTCCTAGCGAGCATCAGAGGACCATGTACTATCCACGCATCAGATGTTTGGATTGTCCGGGCAAGTGGTATACGCCGGGTCCAGAGACAGGCGTCACCAATTTTGAAGTGCATTTGAAAAACAAGGTGCATAGGGAGAGGGTGGAGGAGAGAGTGAGCAGAGAGAGGCGCTGAGTAGGAAACGAACAGGAGATATCTTTTGTGTTTTGTGTTTGTTGATGATGAGGAACGACGGTTTGGAGGGTGTGTAGAGATGCTGGCATTTGGGTTGTACATGGCAATCAAGATACGGAAGTCGTGAGTCAAGATCCCTTGGAAAGTGACTTTGACAATCAGGCAGCTTTTCCTGTTTAGAGGCTGCGTCCTTAGCGGAGCGTTACAGGTAGTATCTGTGTTACTACAGAAATACGAGCGTTTTACTTGTAGTAATGATGGTCTCACTCTGAGAAGTGCGTTCACACCAAGGCTGCACTTATGTCAGCAGAATATGTCTTTCAATTAGTCCGTTGGGAATCACAAACTGCAAGAACGCCGTCAACATGCCTTTCCGTACATCGCTGGGTATCACCAAGTCGTATCCAACTCCATCCAAACCATGGGTCTTCATCCAAACCCCAAGTTGCAATGCAGTTCCCTCTTCATGCTCTCTTCATGCTCTCTTCATGCCCCGCCGGTGCTACTAGCCACACTTCCCTTTTTGACCGTGACACCCTTCGGTAGCGGATGCCCATGGCCCGCTCCCACACTGCTGGCAAAACTTGCCTTCCTCCCCTGCCCTTCCATTGCCGCCTCCACCCCATCAATAGCAAAACCACCATCTGTGCTTCCAATTGTTGTCGGCACGGGGGCAGGAACTCCAAACAATCCACGTCCTCCACCGCCTGCGAGAGCACTCCCCAGCGCCTCCTTTAAACGCACGTACTTGTAGCGCCTGCCCACCCCAACTGTGATCACCTGCTCGAGAGGCCTAGGTCTCCACCTTCCCAAGCCTTTCATCACCGCCTCCCGCTCCTCATCACTATCCAGGTTCGCCCCATCCGCATCCTCCTCGTCCTGCGGGTGCGCACCTGCTTGCGCATCCATCAGCGCCTTCTGCTGCTTCGCCTGGTTTTTCTTTTGATACATAGCGAGCAGCTGATCGTAGGGTGCTGAGCGGCCGGGGACAGCGCGTTTGAGACCCATGGAATGTGATTTGCATGTTAGGGAGCGCGCGCAGAATCCACCTTTTTCGCCCAAGGGGACACCGCACTGTGTTTCCACGTTGACGGGACCGCGCGGTTTGGTCACTTTCGGCTTTGGGGCTTGTTTTTCTGTATCGTCCTTTTTGGCCTTTTTCTTTTTGGGCTCCTTTTCAGCATCCTCGCCGTCTGCTTTGCGTTTCTTGTTGGTAATTTTGTCGCCTGGTTGCGCTTTAGAAGCGGTTTTGCGGGGCGGCTTTTTCGCGCCCGTACTAATGTCGCCATTGCTCTTGGCTTTGTCTGCGTCACCGCCGTCCTGGCTGGCTGATGGACCGCCTGCGCTTCCGATTACAATATCACCATCCTTGTCCTTTTCTCCTGCCTGTTGCTGATCCCGTAGTCTTTCGGCAGCTTCTCTAGCCCTGACCTCTTTCCGCTCTTTCTTCAGTCTTGCGGTTTCCTTTTTCTTCTCTAGACAGCCCACGGTGTGAGACTCGAGTTGTGCGGGGTCGAATGACTTCTTGCAGTGTCTGCAAACAGGTCGATCCTCGGGCGGCTTCTTGGAAGCACCGTTGATCATCGGGGAGTTGGGGGAGGTACTACCACCTGAAGTGGCGGATTTAGAGCATGAACCCAATAAGCCTTTCACCTAAATCGCTCACCGTTGCTTTCGGTATCCTTTGCCTTCTTTGCGATTGACTTCTTCAATTTCACTGCCCCATTTGGCTTTTCTTTCTTGGGTAGCAATTTCCCACCAGTGGTAGATTCCGAAAAGCCCACCTCAGAATTGTAGGTCACTGAAGCTAAGATGGAGATTAGCCAAAACGGTTCTTTACGTAGATACCTAGCATCGTACCCCGCCGACTGACATCTTCAGATGCCATACTCCAGAGATGTTCTGAGCGATGCCTGGACTCTGATCACCACTGATGATCACTGAGTGGGAGGGGGCACCAGGGGGGTAAAAGGAATACTGGAGCCGGCGTTGAAGCACAGTGGCGGAATCTCTTCCGGGCCTGAGACGACACTCGTGCAAAATCCAATATCCTCGACCCATAAAGTAGAATACTCGCTGTTGGCGAACCTATTCAATTCCGCTCAGAGATTGGGGCTGTAACCCCAATCGAAAGATTTAGTAGTCTCTGGACAGCCACCCGTTTTTTCCATTGAGCTGATGACAGCCATCTCTGTAGAATGGCTAATGCATACTACGAGGATTTCAATGACCTCTACAATACACTTGTCGTAAACTTACTACATGAGCAAGTCATGCAGAACCCGCTAGCAAATGATCCACCAAGTGCACACAAAACATTCCGGGATTCATCAAAAATCGTACCGAGACCCCTGCCTTACCGGCTGCCTCCCACGCGTCCTCGCCGTGCCTCTCGCACTTCCTCCACGCCCATTTCCTCTCGTCTGACGTGGCGCTGGTTCTTCCGGCTCCTCAATGAGCTGAGCTTTCTTGACAGCAATTCCTCGTTGCTTCCTTGTAGTAGGTTTCTGATTCTCGGAGTGTAGATGACCAATCTCTCGCAGAGCCGTTGTATTTCTCCAAGCCAGGAAATGATGACTCGTGGGGTCCACGTAAGTTTTTCGCCGCGTTGAAACCCCAGTCGCAGGCTCAGCAGGCTCTGACTTCTTATCCTCGTCTTTGGAAAGGTACTCTTGCCGTTTCCGCATATGTAGCGAGATGGCTTCGCGCTGGCCTTGCAGTTCTTTTCGTAACTTAGCCTCCCTTACGCCACGATTATCAAGCCATCCGATGAGCATATCCAAAGTATCAGGATCCTCGTAATAGCCCCATTGATGGGCGTCCGTGACGTGAGTCTCACCCTCTTCGATCTCCTTCCTTTGAGGTACTGTCATTTGAAACGCACGGGCATACTGCATGTTTTCGGCGTCCGACAGTTCAATGAACCCCATCCTCTCCAACTCATCTGGTCCTTGCACCCAAACGCACCCATTTGCATACCCAGCAAATGCGGTAGAGCTATCTGGCAGACCAGCATAAGGCATAGCATTGCGTTCCATCCAATAGTAGCGGTTCCAAAACCTATCCTTCCCCAGTACTCGAGTACGCGGACAGTCGGCCTCGCGTAAATCATTTTCAACAACAGCAATCTCGTCTTCAAGCTCCTTGATTTGCTCTTTGACGCTTTCAATCTTTGAGAGTATCTTCTCGTATTTCTTTTCCTCCTTGGAAGGTTTTTTTGCTTTCTCTGCTGCAGCTGCCGCTTTACGTTCCTTGTCTTCTTCTGCGCGTTTCCTACGTGCGGTCGCCCTATCATTGGCTCGTCGCAACGATCGCCCTTGGTGAGGTGCGTCGTCGTCTGATTCTGGCATGAGGTCAGTGCCACCGCCATCTTCTTCCTCGTCGGCTTCGATTTTCGGGTCATCTATCTCCTCCAGTTCAGGCGGAGGCGTTGCCGAAGTGTCGTCGGGCTGTAAAGCTTTCCGTTCCTCGAGTAATTGGCGTAATTCGTCCGCCCTGAAAACGTCAACTGTTGCCTTTACGTGATACATCTGTTCTGCCTTATGTGCCAAACTTACGCTGCTTTCCAGCTTCTCTTCAATTCATTCTTTTCTTTGCGATGTTCCGTCATTTGAATACTGCAATCCTCCATATATTGTTTGACAATCTTTGTCTCTAAGACCTTCATACAGAGCGTCTGGATGATGTTGACCCGATATTTAATGTCAAGACTTTGATATTGCGCAAAAGCCGTTTCCGGTGTGGGGTCCCTGTCAAGAGGGGCAAGACGTTTTAGGATGTCAGTGCAGGTCTTAGAAAGACGTTGGTTGCGAGAAAGCTGATTCAAAAGCCCTACAATGATGCAAACCCACCTACCTTCCTGGAAATCGCGTTTTCGCAATCGCATTTTCCAATCGTAGCCGCGTTGGTGATGGTCCATTTCCGTGGCTCGGTGCAGTTTGGTGTCTGATAGTGACAGCGTATTCGTGGCTTCTCTCAACTCTGCGGCCTCATTCTTCAGTAGACTACTTCTGGTCGAGCGCGCTGGAGGCTTCACAGGCTCAGGTTCGGGGGAGGCCTGGCTACTTTCCTCCGGGGATGTCTGCTCATCCTCACTCTCTGGCTGATCAGGCAACGATATCTGAACTTGTCCATTCTTGTCATTTGAGTCGTTGACGAGCTTCTTCAAAACCGCACAATGAAGCTCAACAAGTAATTCACACTGGATTTCATCGGAGCTAAAACGTAAGGCCTCAACATAATCATCGAACGTGAACGAGTCAAGTTGAAAGACTTGACAGTAAACGTTGAGAGTATTCCATGTCTCCAACAGCGATCCTACAGACTCCATTTCGATACCTGTCGATTCGGTGTCGACCATCTCATCTTCTGGAGATGGGAAATCGGATAGAAATTTTAGAGCTGGGCGATGGACTCCATCCCGAACTGGAGGAATCTCTAAGTCCTCGATGGGATATTTTGGCGGTGGAGGCGCTGCAGGCTTTGGCTGTGCTTTGGCTGCTATGGGAGCAAACCCATTGACCATTTGATGAGGCCCATGTGCAACAATCTGGAACCCCGGAGGAACATGAAGTGGCACATTGCTCGCCGTCGGTTGATGATACTGTAGAAACTGCGAGAACTCTAATTGCTGTTGTCCCTCTTTCTTGCTTCGCGGCTTGATCAGGTGATACTGGGGCCCCCCTTGGGGTCCATAAGCAGGGAAATTATGCAGTGAACCCTCGTATTCGATCTTCTTACCATTTGGTTGTAAGGCCTTTCGAATTTTTGCCTGCGCCTCTTGCGTTAAGTGCGGAGGTATGTCGGTGCTAATGCGGTACTCTTCGGCAAGACGCTGCTTGACAAGCCATGGTGCCCCTGACCAGGTTTCACGGGACGCAGAGTTTTTGAGGAACGACCGAAGCCGCAACTTAGTGAACGTTTTCTTCTCCCTTGAAAGTTGATCTTCCTCGAAAATCGGTTGACCCTCTGGTTGCCCATCAACTCGACACCAATATCGAGTGAACGCTTTGCGTTCTATCGTCCCGTCTGGTTTTAGTAACTCCGGAAACTTGGCTTTCTCTGTTACCTGGCCAGTCAAACGCTCGTCGCCTGAAGCTATAATAACAGTTTCTCCTGGGTAGTACTCATGCTTGAATTCCTGCGAGGCATTCAACGATTGGTCAGTATAACAAAAATAGGGTTGTCTCACCTCATAGATATAATCAACTGGACTTGATTAGCAGGTTGCCACAAATCTAATTGAGATGGCAGGAACTTGCCTAGGAAATCGATTCTCGCTACCTGTGAGAACTGCACCCTTCTCAATATTGGCTCCCGCAATGCCTCTGGAAACGCGTCGTCGACTTCGCCAGAGGCTTCTTGCTGTTGAGTATTAGTACATCGAAGTCTCAGACCCCTCGGGCAAGGAAGCTTGAAGGTTCATACTTCGCTTCTTTGAGCTTCCCTGAACGTCAGATTGGAATGACCCGTGATCTCACAAATAAAACGGTGCTAGAAAAACATTAATATCGCGAGAGGAACTAAGAGACATGCTACACTTTACTTGTCTGTAGAAATCATTGCTAAGATGGTGTGTGAGCCAGAAGCGAGGACAGACCACATAATACGGAGCAGCTTACCGGCGCAGGTAGTCCTCGTACGTTCCAAAGAACTCACCAGTTTCTTCAATTACCCATATCTGGGGGGGGCTTAGTAATGAGCCGAAGCACCAGAAAGGGACATGTTACCTCCGCGTCATCCGGTAAAGGAGTTGGCGTTAGATTCTGGACCTTTTTTCGCTTGAATAGAACCTAGCATGATTGAGGATATACTCTCGAGCAGATGGACAGTGAATCATACCATAGCCGAATTATGTTTGAACAAAGAAACCTTACAAGATCGAAAGCCAGACAACGCAATTTTACATACAGCCAGCCGATATCATGGTAGTCCAGGAGAGATCAGGCTTCATGCGCAAACAGTAGATGGGGGTTCGACTTGTATCTTGCTTCTTCAGACCGAGAAACAGGTCTTTGAAGAACATGAAATCAAGACACGTCCAGTAACATAGCTTACATGACGGCAGGCAAGGAGGAAGCCCCCTAGACTGTGAGAATAAAGATATTGACGCGTCTTGGGACCATTTGGCCCGACTCAGGGGGTGCTGGTGATGGTTTGAGTGAAGAAGGGGTGATGGTGGGTGATTGAAAGAGAACAACATGGAGAGGCGCTCGGGAAAAATCAGTATGATCTTAAAACCCCCAATAGACGAGCTCTAAGCAGGACCGATGAGGAATGGTGAGAAATGGGGCCTGCGCTAAGGCAAAGTCTTATTTTTCCTATTGCCTTTGGGCTCCCGCAGCTATTTCACTCTTTCCCCCACCATTAACTTTTCCGGCATTGCGTCGCAATCTGCAAAGGCGCAAACCACTCACGTATTTGTACTCGTTCGGATCGCGAAACGTAGGCGATTCCAGCTATTGAGCTTAAGAGACCTTTGTCCCTCGATCATAGCAACGCTAAGTTCTGCTGCAAAGTTCTCGGAGCTTGCAAGCACCCAGTGGTCTCTGACGCTCGCACTCTACCTGTCTCTTGCTCTGGAAGCACCCGCCTATTCTGTTTGCTGCATGGGTTTTCTGGAGGGCGACAGTAGGAAACGAGAGGTGAAGCGGATCGTGCGAGTCATTGCAACTTTTCAAATTGAATATATTGCTTTCGCGTAATGCTAAACAGTAAACTTGCTTATGTGGGTATCTCTCGTTCTTAGGTGAAAAAGACGACACAAAATCCAAGCCAGCTTCCCGCTACTCCAATCGCCGAATACGAGCTTATGAACATAAGAGGCAAAAACTCATACCTTTGCCCAAATACCAGCTCATGAATTAATGAGCAGTACAAGATCAGGGGTATCGAGATGGCGATGTAAACGAGCGAGAACCTGTCAAGCAAGAAGACTCTGGGCCTTTGCGCCACAGGCGCGAGCCTGTCGAACACCAAAAGAAACAAAACAAGCCAGAAGATCGTGTATACTGCCTTGATGGGAAATTCTGCTGCAGTGTACAAAAGCGGAAAAAGTGACACGTGACCGGCCACCGCCAGTGGACGAAATGCGCCCAGGTACCTTCTGTCCTTGAGTGCGATCAAGGAAAAGGGAGTTATGACAAGCAGTATTGCCTTCTCATGGACATGCCAGCCGAAGAGAAAGGAAGCGTAACCGCACAATGTCACCGCGGCCACAAACATATCCCAATTGGGCACAAGGAACAATTTGATGAGTGGCACCTGCGTTTCGTCAGTCCTCATGCTCATGGACTTCATGTTCAAATACGTACAGTCTGGAAGGCGATCGTCAGGATGAAGGTAGTCCTAGGAGATATGTTTGGGAGGACTGCGAATGAGGCATCACCGACAAGGCCCCTCGTCGCGCTTGCTATCGCGGCCGCATCAGTCTTCAAGCCTAGACTAGAGGCCACTAGACTCGTCAGTCTGCAAGGGTAACCATTTGTTTGGCACTCTTACCGCAGAGCAGTACCCTATCAGTGAAAGAGTACATAGCCCAGACGTTAGGAGCCCAATAAGCGTGGCATAAGCCCCTAGAAAACGGAAAAAGCCGGCGTACAACTTGATCAAGCTGGCTCCAATACCAGAAAGGTCCGAGAGCACTCCCGAACACCATCGTGAGCACTGCAGCCAGCTTTGTACAGTTGCCTAGCCTCGGACGCAATATCGACTTTGGACTCAGACAGTATGCTCTGAGGATATAAGTGAAAAAGGCGGGCGCCAGGTAAAGATAAATGTGCTTAAAGCAAAGAAGCCCAGCGAAAAGTCCACTCCCAACGAGCATAGTGGATTGTTTCCGGAGACAGACAATTGACAGGACGAGGATTCCGTAGAGAAAGCCATTGTACTGGAAATGGATGTGGTCAATGATCAGGAGTGCAGGAGAAAGTAGAATCGAGATCGCTGCAGCTTGAGGAGCGTTTTGAGTTGCCGATGGTGATGTCTGAACATATCTATCGAGTTCGTGAGCCGTCCGTACTTCAGTAAAAACGCTCGCGCAGTGTCACCTGTAGAGTGCTAAGACGAGCACCAAATCCGATGCGATGACCGTCGCCCTCTGGAAATATACGGTCTGCCAGCTATCGTAACCCAAGGCGCTCACGTCGAGTATGGGTGCGTGGGCGAAGTGGGCGACCTGTGAAAGCAGCCATTCAAAGTACGCGAAGAAAGGCGGGTAGTCCAGCGTCCATTGTGAGGTTTCCTATGTGGCATACTTAGCATTGCGGGAAATTCAGGAGCGAGAGAGGATCATACCTCAAAGTACCACTCTTTGAGGGGAAGAGAGTGGGTGAGGGCAAGCCAATTGCGATGAACTTCGAAGTCGGTCGATTTGCTGTAAGACAGTGAGCTCTCGGTTCAGCCACAAGCATGCAAAGAAGACTCACTATGCCGGAAAGAGTAGAAATTTCAAAGCTGTCACGACGACAGCAACTTGCACTATCGTAGGATAAACCTCCGCCATCCGACCATTCTCTACTTCACAGCTTGAGCTGTAATGGTAGACTTTGGAATCTCAACAGTGCCGTGAGCCGTGACGCCACAATGGAGACGCGCTTTCGTAGGGCTGAACGCCGAGAACGTCAACGACAGCTTTCCTTCACAACATGGATATGTCTGATGTTGGCCTGCGGCATGCTGTCGCCTTCCAGAACCTGAACATAAGACATAGCGTCGAGTTTTCGCCATCCACGACTTCAGTCGCTCGGGAAGTCCGCATTAGCATCATTGCCATTGTCGTCTGTGTTGCAGCCATTAGCATCGTGAAGAGTGTCCTTTCTTCCAAGAAAACATCCGATTGATCACCAAGATGTTCGCACATTGCTCGAGATAAGACTCGGAATTTCCAACCTTTCTGCTGGCCTTCCTCCTACCCAGAGACTGCACGAAACTTTTCTCACATCCCAAAGCTGCACGATCTGCGCCGCCTTAGCCATGGTCTACTTTGCAAATCTGTGCCTATTGGCAACTTTAGCGTCGGCACAATCAATACTAGAAAGCTCGAGCTTTGGTCAGACCGACAGAATATCACCCAATGGCGTTGATATTCCGGGTTGGCATATCTCAGGGGAAGGGCAGGTCCCACAACTCTTGTCAGATAAGATCGTCCTTACGCCGCCATATCCTGGGAATATAAGAGGTGCCGCGTGGTCGGGAGCAAGGGTCGAGCAGAGTGATTGGATGGCGGAGCTTGACTTTCGAGCATCCGGCCCAGCTCGAGGATCGGGAAACCTGCAGGTCTGGTTCACGAAAGATGGTAGAGCAGGGATAGACACTGCCAGCCTTTACACCGTAGGTAACTTTGATGGAATGGTAATAAGTATAGATCAGTACGGTGGCAAGGTAAGAAGCCAACTGCCTCGAGGACTTTTAGAGTATATGCTTACAGGTACTAAGGGGGGAAGCATTCGAGGATTCATGAATGATGGCAGCATTGATTTCAAACATCATTACTCGGTCGACTCTCTCGCCTTTGGGCATTGCGATTTCTCATTCAGGAACCTTGGTCGACCGTCAAGACTCAAGATTAGGCAGGAGCCATCGAATTTTGAAGTCGTCATAGACGACAAACTCTGTTTCTCAAGCGATAAAATCCGAATGCCTTCGGGGTACAGCTTTGGCTTGACTGCTGCCTCAGCAGAAACACCCGATTCTTTCGAGGCCTACAAATTCCAGCTTTCTTCGTTGTCTCAATCAAGTCAACGGCAAGATCCACGGCAAGATTCACAGTCGAATGCTCAGCAGGGATCAGTGCCCATATCTCAATCATACGAATCCCAATTTGGAGATCTAACAAACAGACTACAATCACTAGCACAGGCCGTGCAGAAACTCGAGGATGAAATTGGTATCCTACATAGAGATTCTGACGCTCACTATCGTGATATCGAACGAGCTCTACTGAATCGTGACACGCTGAATTCCATCATCTCTCAAAACGACAGAATCGAACGGATCGACAAGACGTTGACTTCTTTCCAGTCTCAAGTTTCCAACCTCCACGGCCTGATGAAGGATTCTCACGATAGCCTTACTGAGGGTATCCCTAAACACTTAAGCAACAGTAGGTCCTTCCTTCCCGTAACAATTTCCATCACTTCTCAGAGACCTCAACAATTTCGTTTGCTGCAATTCACTTCCTTCTGCTGACTCTGCACCTGCTTCAGTTATCTCGACGAATGCGCCCCGCATGGGCATGCTCATTTTCATTTTCGTTGTGATCCAAGTTCTGCTCTATGGCGTCTATACACTGTACAAACGACGAAGTAAGCAAGGGCCTAAGAAATATTTGTAGAATAGCAAAGAATAGCACTGTACATACCTCTTGGATTGAAATTATACCCAGCTTCACCAGATTTTCGAGACTCTGAGTCATATTAGTTGGAGATCCGACAATTGTCTTGAAAAAACCTGAAAACGTGTCGTTCCAACCTGTCGAATGAGGACGGTCTTGCAAAGTGGTGGCTATAGTCCTTTTGTCGGGCTGGTTAGTACCAAACCACACAGGCATGCTTGCCCTCGCGGTCTTGACTGAACTCTCATGAGCACGAACTTCATCATTGGCAATGCCATTAGCCCTGGGTAACGCAATACGAAGTCTTCTAATTGAAGACACCACTTGCTTATTCTCGATTCCCAGACATGCAAGGCCCTGTACGTTTTCGGTTACAAATTCTGGAAACAAGCTCGAGATCATGAATTCTGGATCCTTGCCTTGGTTTTCTCTTAGGAGCCAATAGCACTCCTTTTGAAAATGCTGGACACAGAATTCGTCGCTATCCCTAAAGTCCCGAAACAATTGGCTGTCCTCATCAAGCTGATCAAGCCCCTGTGGAACTGTGTTAGGAAAGTCCCCTGCAAAAGTGGGGGCTTGATTTGTATTGTTTTTGGCATTGGAAGAGAATACCTGCTTGGTCGCGTCAGTGATGAGTATCTCAGGCACTCGGTCTTCCAAAAAAGTGACAGAGCTGTTAATTGACTTGATTCCATCCCAGAGACTGAAGTCCGCCAAAGTACCGGTCAACACTCTGACGCAGCCCATCTCTCTTCTCAAATACCCAGACCACCAATGAAGCCAATATACGGCCAAAATATTGGCACACGTAAGCTTGAAGAACTCTCTTGTTACTCCGATATGTTCGAGTCTGACAGTCCTGAAGTTGCTTTCGCCAATGCACTTGAAGAAGCGCACTAGGCTGACTGCACTGGTGAACTGAAACGTGTTGTCACGGTATCTAATCCCAAGACATGTCAGCAAGCTTCACAGGATGCAAACGCTGCCTGGAGTGTCTTTATCATACAGATACTGCTTCGCAACTTTGAGCAGCCTCCCAGCTTCAGGATTGTTGTGCGCAGCTAAAGCGACCATGACATTGAACATTGGTCTGCCACTACGAGACATCTTCGCGGAGTAGCCATAAGGCTTGAGCTCCTTCTTGTTGCAGATACCGACAACAGACCACCATATTATTTTGTCCTGGACTTCCGGTGTCAGGTCGAAAAGTCGAAAAGTTGTGGCGCGTTTTAATGAGTAATTTATCCTTTCAGAAGGGTTGTAGCCAAGCCTGGTTTCGCGCTCACTAATGCCATCCCATGGACGCGTATATGGCACGACGGTCTCGATACTGGAAGAATCACTATCACATGCTGCTACACCGACACAGTTGAAGCTGAGCGCTGAAGCAGATCGAGGAGCCGCCTCTTCAATATCCAACACGTTCGCAGGTGCTGTAGGCAGTAGTTTAATAGCTAGTGATCTTGATGTCAGCGGTCTAGTGGTAATAAGAGTCAGTCGGTGATATTACCATCACTATCTTCTGAGCGTCTTAGCGAGAAGCCCGTGCTGGACTTCGAGCAGAGAGGTCTTGATATCTTTGCTTTGTTGATCGCCATGACTATGACTCGATGTTCGATGGACGATATCTAGGGTGAGCAGAACATGATGGATGTTTGGAGAGAGACTACATGCAAATCAAAGGGTGGCGGAAGTGGGCTGGTAGAAGCCCACCATCATGACACTGCGATGACGGGCGGAAAGGAAATTGCGACACTTTTCCCATATCACAGACTGAGAAACAGGGTGGGCGTTACCCTGAATTTTAAGATTGTCATGGTTCTATGACCGGCAGCCTGCGTAGTGAATGAAATAGCCTAGCTTCACCTGCGAAAAAATCAAAACGATAGTGAAAGTGAAGTAAATAGTCTATTTGCACTAAAGTGCCTCTATTTCTGTTGGAACTGGGGTATCTCACATTTATTTCGTAACGCCAGGGCGTCTAGGGTCTTATACCAGTGCCTGTGAAATGGCTGAAAAGCAACTTTCTTCGTATGAGCAAGACCGGTAGAGGGTGCAGAACGTAGAGTAGGCAGTAACTCAATCGTCAAGGCGTGCATCTGCCAGTAAATCGAGGATACAGGCAACATTCTCTGACCGTGAATCGCCCGCACATCCAGGCTAAGAACCGTTCAAGGCCGAGGCCGTAGCCGCCATGAGGCGAGGTCCCATATCTATTACAATCATTAGCATCGCCTGTGGCTGGCAAAATAGGGTCAATCTTACTTTCTCTGGTCAGTGTACCAATAGTAAGGTTTTGGATCAATGCCTTCCCTCTTGAAGGCTGCCATAAGCTCATCGTGGTCATCGATCCTCATGCTCCCTCCTACAATTTCTCCAACGCCAGGCATCAGGACGTCAGCGCTTTCTGTAACCCTCAAATCCTGGGAGTCTTTCTTCATATAGAAAGCTTTGATCTCCACCGGGAAGTGTGTTAGAAAAATTGGACGGTTGATAATGTCTGTCATCCTTCGCTCTGCGGCCTCGGCGATATCGTCACCAAATTCGTGAGGCTGCCCGTTCTCGTTAAGAATCTCGTTCTTCCTAAGCCAAACAATGGCCTCGGCGTAAGTCATGCGTTTGAAGGGTCGCTCCGGGACTTGAAAACTCGGGTTGAGCTCGTACACCATAGCTTTGATCTTCGGATCTGAAAGTACGATTTCAACGACATTGCTCATTACCATCTCCAAATGTAAAAGCAAGTCATCAAAGGAGAGAAAGTCAAGCTCTGCCTCAACGTGGGTATACTCTGAGAGATGTCGACGGGTCAAAGACTTTTCGGCACGAAAGGAAGGCGCCACACAGAAGACGTTGCCCAAGGAAGCTATGCATGTCTCTAGATAGAGCTGAGATGATTGTGTTAGATAGGCCTTCTCGCCGTAGTAGTTGAAGTCGAAGAGAGTCGCTCCACCTTCAACCTGCGTCTGGACCATACAAGGTGGAGTGACTTCGAGGCAAGATGGCGTAATCTCGCTCTCGTACACTCTTCTAAATGCGCGGAGCAGTGCAGCTCGGACCTTCATCACGGCTGAAGAATTCTCTCCTCGTAACACAAGGTGTCGGTTGTCTAGAAGGGTTTGCGGATCTGCGTCTTTGGCTACGCGGGTGGTGATAGCTTCCTTGTCTCCAGCGGCCTTACCAATGATTTCGTAATAGTCAGCGTGCATTTCACGATTGTCGGGGGCATGTTGTCCGTGTGGAACCTCCCACATCTCACCCCAGATCTCCATTGAGGTCTCGAGCGTAAGGGTTCTGGCATCGTATGTTCTAGTCAAATCGCCCGTCAAGACGCATTGCATTGTGCCGTAGCCATCTCGTAGCGTCACGAAAATGACATCTTTCTGGTCGCGCAACCGATGTACTCTTCCGGTGACTCGCACCCTTGAGCCGCTACCGTTTCCATAGTCCACATCCTTTGTGCTGTCACCTCTCCTCAGTTTAACCAACTGAGGATCCTGCTCATCCAGCCGGATTTTGAAGGCTCGAGGCAGTGAAGCATCTTCAGTGATTCTCACCTTCATTGCTTCCTGCAGCGCCTGCTGTCTCTTCACTTGCTCCTGTTTTTTCCTTATCGCAAATTCGTCTTGTCTTGCAAGCTTCTTCTTGTACTGATCGTAGGCCTTCGACGCCTTCTTCTGTGCTGATGCTGAGGCGGGTTTCCATTCTTTTCGAACTTCTGGATCACCATGCTCACTGACAGGTCCTGTCTCAGACTTTCGTGTAAGATACGAAGAGCTCGAAGAAGGTGGATGTTGAATGTATGCGTAAAGTAGTGACTTGTAGGGCGAAGACTGAGACCCATTTGCGGAAGGGTCATCCTTGCCAATGTCTTCGTCAATGTGAACTTCTGACCCTGAGTCTGCCATCTTCGCTCGGTAGTATCAGTGTCGTACAATTAGATCTGCAATGTGCAATGGCTTCTCTGACTCTTACTTTTCTTTTGAGGAAGACGGAGTTAGTGTCGGATTTTGGGGGGCGCAGGCAACTTAATCACGTGATCACCAAATGTTGCCCCAAATCATCCCTAGACCCTTATCGATCGTACCGACAAGCTGCTAGGTTGAGACCTGCGTCATGAAGCAGGATGAACTCACGTCTGACCGCCCCAGACGAATACGAGCTCGTTGAACGGGAGTCTTTCGAATCAGATGAGGTATTCGACCTTGACAGTCACGATTTCCAGTCAAGCGGGCGAAGCGCATCCTCGTATGCCTCAAGAGTGCCTCTTATGGGTAGAGCGCAGGCGCTCCTGTCGGTCCTATTACCGAGATGGCTGTTGAAGCAGAAGGGTTATCAAAAGCTCCCAGCTCGGAGAAGTTCTTTATCTCAACAGCGAAGAAGTCGAAGACGGTGCATTCCGACTCGAAGATGCTGCTTTTGGCTACACACCTCATTAGTGATCATAGCATTCCTTGTCATTCTTACGTGCGTTTTCAATCCTTCCTATACGCGGCCACCAAAACGATACCAGGACCTGAGGGCACGGGTGGAAGGCTCAAAGGATGACGGACGCGCAAACCCAGGGAATCAAAAGATATTTATTGCGGCTAGTATCTATGACGAAGGGGGTACTTACTTGGTGGGGATTGGGGTAAAGCGGTCTTGGATCTCATTGAAATACTTGGTAAGGAGAACGTATACCTCAGCATTTACGAGAATGAGAGTGGAGAGGACGCTCTATCCGCTCAAAAGACTTTTGAGAATGAAGTTCAATGCCGAAAGTCGATCGTCTGGGATCGGAATTTCACAATGCAGGATGTGCCTCATGTCTCTCTACCAGATGGGTCAAAAAGGATCAAGCGCATTGCATTCCTGGCGGAAGTCCGTAACAGGGCTCTTCTTCCACTTGCAAAAGAGATGTCCAGCGTGCAATATGACAAAATCTTGTATCTGAACGATGTTCTTTTCCGTCCTGTAGACGCTGCTCAGCTCCTGTTCTCAACAAACCATGATAAAACAGGTCAGGCTTCCTATCGCGCAGCTTGTGCGGTAGATTTCGTCAATCCGTTCAAATTCTACGATACTTTCGCTACAAGAGACGCGGACGGCTATAGCATGGGTGTACCGTTTTTTCCCTGGTTCACGAGCTCTGGTAGCGGTATCAGCAGGAGCGACGTTCTCGCTGGCAAGGATGCTGTGCGTGTGAAGAGCTGCTGGGGAGGCATGGTCGCTTTCGATGCCAGGCCTTTTCAAGCTTCGCAGCCTCTTCAATTCCGGGCTTCAGATGATCTTTACTGGGACGCATCTGAGTGCTGTTTGATACATGCTGATTTGATGCGGCAGACTGGTATTGTCCAAGGCGGGAATGTTGTTGGTATATATATGAATCCTTTCGTGAGGGTAGCCTATAGTGCACGTACTTTGAGCTGGCTATACTTCACGCGGCGCTTTGAACGGCTCTATACTTTGCCACATTCACTGGTGAATAGACTGGTTGGACTTCCGTGGTTCAATCCGAGGCGTACGGAGGAGGCTGGGAAGAAGGTCGAGGAGAAGATTTGGGTACCGAACAGTGACGACAAGAAGGGTGGATCATTTCAAGTGCAGGAAAGAAGGGCCACTGGGGATGGCTTCTGCGGACGTAGAGGTTTACAGCTAATCAAAGAAAGTCCGAGAGAGGATGAGAAGAATTGGGAAATCATGCCAGTCCCTCCAGATTGACGAACGAATCTTGATAGACGTTTTGATCTGTCGTAGCAAGATTCCTGATGCCTGCGAACAAAGCCTCGAAACTTGCACACCACCTAAACGAATGCCCTGGGGGAGACTTCAAAGCGTTGCAGTCGACGACCCAGATAGCGCTACAGAAGCACTTGAAAGATCAAACTTGTTCGTCAAATGCACCCAATGTTAGTACCGAAGCCTGAGCTCTTCAGATTACCTTGCATATCATGAGCTGGCTCTTCCATGGACAAATCTCAACGAGGATTTCAGATGACTGTATACGCTATTCTTGGGGGGATCGAGTGGGGTCTAGGCGAATCTTCCATGAGCCTACCATGTGTGTCGTGTTGATCAAGCATGTGCCATTTGCCACCTTCACTGTGTGATGCTGTTTACTATTCACCTAAAAAAGTGGCGGACTTTACAATTCACTTATCCTTTTCACTCCTAGCGATGCCCAGATCTCAAAACGCATTCCAGATGCCACCAAAATTGTTGTCTCTCGACGATCCGGAAAGACTGCAACAGTTTGTGTCACAAGCCAAGTCAAGATTCCGATCGCCGTCTTTCCAGAGCGCTGCTCAAAACGAGTTGGATCCCTCAGAAGGGGATGCGCAAGAGAGAAATGGTGAAATCAGTCAAATACAGCCTATATCTGAACAGACTGCAGTTGACCGCGTCGTGGTTCATCCCCAAGCGTTGTCCCCAGAACCTGACCCACCACCACCATCGGGTCAACTACGGCGTCCATCACCGAAACTCAGCCTAGACGTGCCGAGGGACATTCTGGCTTTGACGCAGGGATTGGAGCAAGTAGATGAGTCAAGTTCAATCTACAGTCCAAGAGCCATCAGTGACGCCTTTCAAAATTTCGTGCAGACGATGGAGTATGTAACTTTGGACAATTCATATTACCAAGAGGAACATAACCCTCGGTCTTTTTCTCACCTTCTCTGAATTTGTGCTTTCGACATCTGTCGAACTTGCGTGACAATTTGCTAACAAACCCAATGTTCCAGTGGCGTTCCCTTGAATCAAAGTATTTGGGCTCCTAGTCAGCAAACAACAGGTCTACAACAATCGCCGCCGGCAAGGACGTTTGGATCGACCCCTCCAAGCACTTCGCTTCCTAACGGCGTAACAATCATGACTACAGAAGGTGTTCTTAGATCCACAGTTGTCAACGTGGCAACTCAGACGGATCCAATATCGCCCAGTACATGGCAAGCTCTCGCCGCACGCGCTCAACCGCCACCACGGAAGGATACTAAGGATGGACGATTGAACAAGCACGTTGAACCCACACCGAAGCCAGTACAGACAATGCATTCGATCAGTCCACCAGAAGCGCCCTCTGGAGAGTCCACACTCAAGTCCAAGCCGACTTTTGACATTATCTTGAAAGAAAATGTCACTCCTGCTACGAGGTCTGATACACAGGATCTTCCGCCACATTTGCGCATGAGAACAGGAAAGAAAACACCATGCGACATTAAGCTAGCACCATCAAAACGATTACCGGGCGTTCAACTAAATTCGGCTGACGAGAAGCCTACAACAAACAAAACAGGTCCGTTCAAGGCTTCTGATGCTTTGCACAACCTTTCGTTTGAGGTTCCAGTAGAGCAGCGTCCTTTAAGCAGGCCATTGATCTCCATCCCAGGCATCGAGACACCACCTGAAAAGGAAGAAGGGGAGACATCTCCAGGGATTCCTGTCTCACCGGGCCTCCTCGAAGCCAAGGCCATGGAGTCACCCCCTGGCCGAATACCAAAAGGGGCGTCGACTTCAAGCCAGCTCCCCTTTCTACGGAGGAGGAGGACCGAACGAACAAATTCTGGCTAGGGAGTTGGGGTTCACCCGCCAAACGCGACGGACCCGGTAAGCCAGCTGTAGGCCCCTGCTCCCTTTGACTTCTGCTTTATCATGTCCATCCTATGTTGTCATCGTTTTTTGCTCTACTTACCTGTTCTACCTCATCCCCTAGTCCCTCAAAAACGTACCATCATTCTCACCGACCTCCCCGAATACGCTACATCTAGCTTCATCTCATCCATCGTCTATGGCGGTAATCTAGAGCAAATCCGACTCGACCGCTTCGGATGCAAGGCCTGGATTCGCTTCCTCGATCCAGCAGCATGTCAGAAATTTTATGAGAATTCCGACAATGGACTCGTTTACGGCAAAGAGAACAACGGGAAGGAGAAGATAGTTTGGGTGGACTTGGGCAAAGACGTTAATGTCATAGGAGGGAACCTCCGCGAACAGATCGCCAGAGGCTGCACTCGCTCCGTGAAGGTCGTCCCTGTGGAGGAGGACTTCACAAAGATGGCTTTGGAAACGTTTGCTGCAAGAGGACGAAGGAGCGTTGAGGGTCTCGAGGAGGGAAGGAGCTCACCAAACAATGTGGGTCTCCCCTGCCTCAAGCGAGCTCGGAGAAGCTCCTTTCCAAAATCACTGAGGATTTACTGATTGATTTTGTTGGAGCAGAAACGCACGGTCATCTTCCGCTTCACAGAGATCGAGCACGCGGTACAATTTCATGGCACGCTGAAAAGCGACGCTGATTGGGAGCAATGCAACATCAATTACGTGGATGATCCGTAAGCGAAGCAGATAGCTTATGTTACCACAACCTCTGACCTGCAATATAGGGGCAAGAACGCCAATGGACCAAGAGTCTAACGAATGGCATCTGCGACTGACGATTGCACCCAGAACATGCTGGTGCAGAAGATCTGCACTGGCTACCTGTCAAGGTCACCAGCAGGCTACGCAACACACATCTCGGGCAATCTCTTGGGACACAAGGCACCGCCCGGGAAGCGTATATCAAAGGGTGTGATGATGCAAAAGTTCTCTTTTCCTTCTGGACTCAGCATTTTATCATACACAGCAATTTCTGAAGATCGATCTGAGTCGACAGTCTCAGCTCATTTCATCCTTCTAGCACATCACCCCCTTCCCCTTGCCTCTGTAGTGTGCGATGTGTCTATCTCAGCAGCCTAGTCCATTCATTCGGATGAACCGACCCCGTGCTTTCTTCCAAGCCCTGCAAGGCTACTACGAATGTGCCACCCACTCGCACATTCCGTTCCTTCCACCACAGTTGGCTCCAATTTGAGCTTCTCATACCCCATCGTAGCATATAGAACGATCCCGTACATATCGCTCAAGATGTTACCTCCACGCTGTCCACCACCTGGAACACGGCTGCACTTTTCAGGACAGCCTCCTTTGTTGCTTTTCTCCTCGCCCTAGCAGCAACTCGATCAAGATGAGCTCTCCCTTTTCCCCAACTGCTATCCTCATGACCAAATACCGTCCTCACTCGCCCTCCCCACGAGTTCATGGCTTCCCCGATGCTCTTGCGGTCGCGAGCGGTGATTGCTCGTCTGGCCCGAGGTGGAGTGAGGCGTCGTGGGAGGACTCGATGTTCTCCCAAAGCGGCAGAAGAGACATCTCTGTCATCAATCAGCGACACATAGCCAAATCGGTCAGGCTACAGTTGTCCAACTCGGGTCTTGTGGAGGCTGCGGCAGGGAGGATATACGAACCATCAGCGCAGAGAGGTAAGATGCCATACTGGAGGCTCCTGTCATACCGGATGGCGAGCTTCCTGGGAGGGGGGCAGGCAAGACAGTCGGTGGGAGGGGTAGGTGCTCTGAAACATCTTGGGCAGCGATTAATTTCTTGACAGCTGTGTGCCTATGCAGGGCCTTATTTTTAGCGGTCGACTATGCATCCTGCTGCAGCGTCACGTGAGTGGCTGCATCTGCATGCGATGGCTGTCTTCAGAAGGACAGTCGCTTGATCGTTATGCAGCGGCATCTTAGGAGCTGGACGTCGCAAAAGTCGACGTGAGTGATCTTCAGTCTAAGGCTGTAGGGTGGCTTCGATGACTTCAATGCTCCGGAGCCGTGCCGAGGGATGTGGTTGCTGAGCTGCTCGGCTTGATTAGTGATAGTAGTATAAGAATCATGCAAAGTTGGGACAATGGTCGATTATACCATGAAGTGGAAATCCGTCGAGAGGAAAGTGGAAGATGAGCAGGAAAGCAGCATCTAATACAACAAATGGTACAAGCAACCGCGGGTCTCGCAACGGCTCCATGCAGACGCCCCCTATTCTTGTACATGCAAAGCTTTTGAAAATCAAACACAAGTGCAAGTCCAAAACACGGTGCAGCGACTTCAAGACCCACATCCCTGGGCGGACTTCACCTCCACCTTGGAATGGAAGAGCCCCAGGTTCATTCTGCTTTAGGCGCCTTGGCCTCTTGGGACCTGCATTGGTGGCGGTATCAGACAACTAGTTGGTGCACCAACATTCTGTACGAAAAGATTGACTTCGAATCTGACACTAAGGCTTTAGTTTCCTGCAACATTCGCAATGTTCATGATTGTTGTGATTGTCGAGAAAGCAATCATGGGGACGCCGAGTCAGGCCAGGTCCGTGTGGCTGTCCGTATTGCCGCTGGCTGACGGACGATCAATCTTGGAGGGCGCTTAAGCAAACCAACACCATTGGTGAACCATCGCGATCCTCCCGACTATGAAGCTGCGGTATCTTTGGCGACTCTGTCGTCTGCAACCCATGGAGGCAAAGACCTCATGCAACTCAATTCTGTCTGTGAAGGATCCGGAAAGGATCTGCTTGCCTCCGCTGTTTCACATGTTGCGGCTTTGAAGGAACCACGAGGTCAAACCTTGCTGCACCCAGAGACGATGATGGTGGGAAACATCCGTTAGAGCCCCAATCCTTCGACGCCATGGATGCACTTTACCCAGCTTGCCACTGAAGCAACGCCGCAATGAGGGCAACCGCGTGGTTTTCCAATCCTGTTCGACTGTACAGCACCGCAATGTCAAGAACGGCTTTCTCAAGGTGGTGCATCCATAGGGTTCGTGGATAAGTCATTGGGAAAGCAGTGCTCGATGGATTAAAAGGAATCGTGGGGGAGGGTCTGTTCAGGGACCTGTCAACATCGCCACCGCCGCCAACGCTTGAATCTTTGTTCAGGAGGGTGTGTTTGACGGTATCAGTGACCATGCGGAATCCTTGGATTGCCTACAGCCTGGCCTAGTGAGAAGGATGACATGCTCGTGGTCCACGAAGCCCCAATCCCTGAGAGCATCGACAGCATGAGCAGATGAAAGGGCATTTAGCTTCATAGAAGGTTTTCGAGGATTGCTGCAGTCATCATCCGAAGGTTCGCAGCTCGGGATCGCACGCTCTTATCCAGAATCTGCTCGAAGGTGGTGATGAAGCAGGGCGAGGCCTTGCAAGCGAACTATCTGCACGGTGTTGAGGCTCCTTCCCCATCCCTCAAACAAAAACACTGCAATCTGACATTGGCCATCCGAGGCAAGCGGTCGGAGACAGCGGACAGTCATTTGGCCGAATGAGCTGTGCTCACCAGACATCCAGAGGTTGTCATATTGGAGGATGGGTAGCTATTGGACAAACAACAGACATTATTTTCTGACCCAACGTCATAGAAAAGGGTTGGCAGGCCATCACTGGCGGTGGTCTTGCAAGTAGTAGCCATGTGGCGACTGGCGTCGCGGAGGATTTGCGGCGAAGGAATGTGTTTTTTGAAATACTTCCCGTTCGTTCTGGTTTCGAAGAGGCTCAGCACGATGGGTCCGATGTGGCACAGACACGAGTAGGGCTGATTGGGTACACGGAGGTGCCTCGAACTGGGCGATCCTTCGAGCTAAAACGGCCCTACGTCTTAGCCGCATTAGCACAGCCACTAGCCCCATCTAGTGTCAATTAGCGTCATTTGGAACCCTTGCCTGCAGAATTAGTTCCCGCTGTTAGATCAGACTAGCCCTTCTTGGCCGTGCTTGGTGTGAGGATTCTCTACCACGACCCTCACAATCACAGCGCTCTCGCAGACAAACCCCCCAGGACACCGGGGTTGGGAGCCACGTCGCGGAAATGATGTGGGACTCAAGCCAATCAGTGTCCCGGGGGACAGACGGCAGAGCAATGATTGGTGGAGCTAGTGCAAGTCTGGAGTTTGAATCGAGTCGATTGCTCTGTCGTCGTACATCTAGACGATTAGCTCGTGGATCATACCGATACCGATGCCCCACCCTCGACCGATTATTGAAAGTATGAAACCTGTCATCTTCACACTTCCCGAGCGTCTAATAGCGGTCTGTCAGATCCTCCGTGCTTCCTTAGCTCTCACCTTTTTCTCCCTTTTCAAATCACAAAACGCGAGAACTTGCGCACAGCAACGACATGGGGTCGTAGGCGGCACAACAGATCGTCTGTCGGAGGCTGCCCTTGTACCCAACCTCGTCAGCATCCTGTAGAAACGAGAGCCCGCGCCTAAATCCGAGCATTGTAGTGGTCAGAGGAAGGCATTGCCGCAGCAGACATACTAGGGTAGCTAGCAACTCAACCTCCCTCTTTAGTGTTATATGATTGTCGGTCTGAGTCCCAGCTATCCATCCTCGCTATCAGGACCCTCAAGATACTTAGCAATCTGGATCTTTCCTGCCCTTACCATCAACGCATTTGTTCATATCGTAATCGAGAAAGTCGACTAGCGAGCTTTGCGGAGCGGGAGCGCCAGCCTTAAGTACCTTAGCATTCACCCTGCGAAGCTCTGGTTTTGGAAGTAGACTCGGCTGCCATATTCTCGGGTTGCCCATTTCTTCTCGTGCCTTTACGTTAAACCGTCAACCCTTCACCCGGCCTTTGCTTTGACTTAGACAAAGCGTTCGCGATGGCGGAGGGCAGCTGCCAGTATCGCCAGGATGCTGCACCAGTCACGGCCGACAGAGAGAGCAACTCGAAGCGTCGTGGCCTCGCAATCTCCGATCTTCTGAATCCCCCCAGCGAGCAGCATGTCATCTCGGCGTCCCCCTCCATCTCCGTAGTCTCCATCAAAGTCGAGGACGACGAGATCAACACGCCTCCATCTGCTTCTAACCAGGTACCTTACCGTCTTAACCAACAGCCTTTGCGGCGACAATCTTGTTCTTCTGCGCAAAGTGTCAGCTCCAGGTCGTCATTAGAATCATGCTTGTCCCACGGACGTCAAAGCAGTCGCTCTTCAACATCGCCAGGTCCGCAGTCAGACACACAGACAGATCCACGTCCGTTCCGTCCGCCGTACAAGGAAGAGGAAAGCGACTTTCTTTGGTTTTATCAAATCGACTTAAGGGCTAGCTGGAAAGAAACAAATGTCGCCTTCGAACGGACATTCGGCACCAAAATGCGGGACCAGTCAGGTCTTCAATGCAAGTTTTATCGCGTGATCGAAGGACAGGGAGTCCCCAAAGTAAGGCAATTGAAGAAGAATTACGAGGATTGGGGTCAGTTCGGTATGTGGCAAAGAAGGAGGATCCGCTATCCTTGGATGAAAGAGTTCGCTTCGAAATTGCCAGGTACGACTTACTAGTATTCAACCCCGACATTGCGCTGACTGTTCCCTAGGCTTTTGGCCACCAGATAACTCACGTAAATTGACAGCCGTCAAAATGGCTGGTAATGAAAGGCTACCAAAGCTCTAAATACTCGATCAGCTCCAGGAGTGAGGCCTCAACCGAGCGCGGTTCATTGCCACAGCTCAGAGCTTGGTCGCATCTCAGATCTCGGGAGGTTATTTTCGGTTCGGTTTGATTCATTTGCCATGTCATGTAAATACAAGATCTTTATCGTTCGTAGCAATTGGCTGCCATCTAGCCGGAGCGTTCCATTTACTTGCCGAGGGTTCGACTTCTCGGTGCACTGTGTTGACCTGGAGCAGAGATCTCTGAAGTTCAAATTTAAGTAACTGCCATCCGACCCTTAGGCAATATCGTCGTCGGAATACAGTACGCGATTGTCGTCGGAATCTTCGTCGTCGGAATCGAGGCGATAGTTTTTACGCGACCATGCGTCCATGTCATCAGACTTGACCTCTTCGTCAGGATAATCGTTCCCAAAGTAGCTTTCAGCTAGGAAGATGCTTAGTCTTGACATTATTTGAGACTTGGGGAGCGAGGTCAAACCGTTTTCATCGTCTTGCTCGCTATCCCATTCCGCATCGCTGTCGTCGACCTCACCGAAGGCCTCCCATAGAACTTCTTCTTCATCTTCGATTATCAAAATGCCCACCTTGTCCATGTCAATCTCAGTGAGAAAAAGTTCTGCACTACTTTGTGGACGATCTTTCATCTCGGGCGGGTCAGCTTTGACATAAGTGTCAAAAACAAAATCGCATTCGTCCAACTTGATTGTATTATTCTCATTCTCAATAGGCGACTCGCGAGCAATCGCGTCACCTTGTCTCTTCGCAGTGTCTTTGCGAGGCGGGGGACGCTTTGGCGGGAATTTCAAGATCGGCTTGCCAGGTGACGGGTGTTCTTCGTTTGGCCTGAGTGCTGATTCTTCTAAAGCAACGGTTTGCAGGTATCTTGCAAGCTCCTCGGACCCAATGTCCCACTGATTAGGTAGCTTCTTGAACTTTCCATCGCAGAAAGTCTTCGTCATGTCAAAAGCATGTGACCTCACGCCTTCTTCACGCGCAACCTTGGTGGCCTTCATGGCTGGACGTTTCCGGTGGGCTGAACGTCCAACTCGTTCGTTCCCGCTTTCATTTTCATGTTGGACAGATTCTCCCAGCATTTCCAGGACGCGAGAAGCATCAGTAGCGCCATGCCGCCGTTCCAGCTTCTCCACAAACACAGCCAAACGATCGATACGATGCTTTGCATGCTTCGGAGTGAGTCTGGGCGCATCTTTGTCTGAAACTCTTGTGAGGTGGAGCCTTCGAGGCTCCTGTCTTCCGACCCGTCCAGTGCAAACTTTTGCATCTCTTCCTGCGTTCGACTTTATCTCCAAGGTCTGCTTACTTTTAGAGCGCGACGCTGCCACATGCTTGCCGCCCTCAGCACCCACTGACATGGTGACTTGGCTCTGAAGTTGTGGAGGCGCAGCGAGGTCGTTGGCAGATTCGGAGCTGACTTCTCGAGGAAGAGCAACGGATGGGACGAAGCTTGATACATTTTGATCTCTACAAATTGCATCGACCTCTGAGGTTGTAGGGGTCTGTATGATCTTCTCGCACTCGACTCTCTTCCACACAGCGCTAGGTCTCTGCCTCTTTGGTTGAATGTCTAGGATTACAAAGTGAGAATTGCAGAGTCTGGTTACTGACAGACGCTAGCCTACATAGTGTGTCCAAAGGCTCTTCATCTCGCCTCCTCTTCACAGTGATATGCTCTGGAGGATTGAGCATGGCGCCAGCTGCATGTGGGAGTCGAAGTGGGCGGCACAAGACGAAAGTGTGAATTTAAAATGTTTCATTCATGTAAACACAAGATTTCGTCCTTAGCGCTAAAGTCTAGAACCACCTCTGCTCATCTAAGATCAACATACGTCCTTTCCTCCCCAGCGCATTTGTTGCAAGCTTTTGGATGTTAAAAACTGTCAAAGCCCCTTCAAGACAGATCAGATTCCACACGAGTTTCTTGCTTTCGCAATTCCGGTTGAGTTTTCCCGATCGGCGTCAATCCGTCGACAATGTTCATCCAGAGCCATAAACTTGCTGGTACCAATTACCATCACCAAAATGTTGCGAGCCATAAGGGAGCACTGGAGGATAATTGGTCCCGACAGGAACGCCATGTTGGTCGTACATCTGCATTTGGGGCTGTGGTATCCCAGCGTACGCCGGATGATTGCGAATATCAGGTGGACCTGGTAAGGCCCTCATGTCTACGTGAGGTTCTGCCCCATTTTCTCTATCGTCACTTGTTCCACCAGCCTGCTGACTGCGAGAAATATTCGATCGATTGTTCTTGTTGCTTGTTTTGCCGAGGCGGACTCTGCTTGCAGTACGACCCAGACCTTGCTGTTGCGGTTGAGCACCATCACTCGTCATTGGACTTTCATCTCTACTTGCCATATGCTGACGTTGGCGCTCGCTCTCCTTTTTAAATTCATGTAGCAGCTGTTGATGATCGGTTTCCATCACCTTGTCTAGTGCCTCCATCTTATTCTCCAAACTTCGTAACGTCTCTGCCATGATCTCGCTACCAGAGCTCAAATTGATGACGGTTGCCTTCATCTTCCCAATCTCGGTGCCGACGGCTTTGATCTCTCCTTTCATGGTTTTGAAGCTTTTAGTGATATCGTCCTCAATACTATCTAATCTTCCGAGGACCCGGTCAAGGACCTTGTCATGCTTCTCCTCGATTTGCCGCGATAATGAGCCAAAAGCGGTATTGAGATGATGATGGATTGTCATGTCCATTCGCGAAAGCCCAGCAGCTAAGGAACCAGGACGCTCATAATCTTGTCTAGTATGTGGAGGAGACGGCACGGCATTAGTCATATGATGGTCAGGCCAGCGGGGTGGGAGGATCGCAGATGGCAGACCATTATCAAATGTAAAGGATCCTTCTTTCGAACTTGTTGCCCAGGAATTAGCTGAGCCAAGGTAAGGCCTGAAATTATTGATGCCAAATCCTTGGTGGTTTGTAGATTGATCGATTTGAGGCGACGTGAAGGAACTCAAAGGGATAATACCCTCTACCAATGAACGCGTTGTAGTTGAAGCTTGAGATGCTGCATTGATTTGCTCTTCGTAGGCCGGGTGGTCATCGTATACTGACGGCGTGGGCGGTGCGCTAATGCCTTTAGAGAGCTGCATGCCTGTGCTTGTATGGTTTCCTCCACGCCGGTTCTGAGACATTGGACTAAATGGAGGAAGCGAGTAGCCCTTAATAATAGTCAATACTACGGGACCTGGCGTTCTCGTTATGTGAGGAACTCACGACAGCGGGATCATTCTCCCAGATACCATTGTAGCTACTTGGCACGCAGGAGATTGACGGTAAGGTGACCTTCTTTGCTAGATGCATATGTTCACCTTCATAATTGTTTCCATGGTGATCCACTCCTACGTGGCTATTCACGGAGGATTCAGCATGCTCTATTATTCCTTGTACGCTTTCGATTCTGAATAGTCCCGGATCTTGGACAAACCCCTTGTCTCCAATTTTGCCAAAGTTTGCTACCTTTGGCGGTGCAAGACGTTTTGTTTCAAGAGTACTGAGTTGATGAGCTTGCGGAGAAGGTGATGTAATGTCTCCGGCTTCGTGGACAGACGCAACCCCGATACTTCTCGAGGGTTTTGGATTTGCACAGACAGTGTCTTGACTGTGTTCTCTCGTATGCCAACCAGCCTCCGTTGACGCAGCCTGGTTTGAATTTTCAGCTTCTAGCTGCACGCCAAAATCCTCTTCGCGTCTCTGGTCTTCGTCAGCAATGTGATCGTCTGCCAGGCCCGGAGAAGCAAGCGCCATTCGTCCCGGCATTTTCTCTGAAGCGACTCCTAGAACTTGAGCAGCTTTGCCCACGGGAAAGGGGATTGCTGATGATTGTTGCTGCCTTTCATCTATCGAGGTGTTCTTCGAATGACCAAACCTTTTGCGAAGGTGGGTCATGCTTGGTCGTCGTCCACCGAACAAGGTCTTCGCACCCGAGGGACCTGCCGGGTCTGTAGTAGCCCGATTTCTAGGCTGGAGCGTGAGATCTACAACTGAAACTGTTGGCTGGATGTAGGGTCTCCTATATGACTCGAGGTTGGGATCTGGTGGCTCCGAAGGGAGCGTTGGCATTGGCTTATTTTCGTAGCGATCACGATTTGTTGGACGCGGGCTATCACGCTCAGCATGAGTAGCGTTGGGTGGCTCCCGAGTTTGATGAGCCCAAGAGTTGTTTTCTGAGGCTCTTGACCGCCGAGCATTTGAGTCCGATAAATCATACCCATCTTCAGCCATTGTAAGTCGATCTGACTTTAAATCGCGTGAAAGACGTAGCAGAAATTACACCTGTAAAGCGTGGGTGAGAGTTGACTGGATTGGTACGGGATAATGAAGTAAGCAAATTAGCCTGGAGAACCAGAACGCGTCAATAATGTGTTGAGAAGATTTACACGCAGGCGTCGAAACCATATTGTTTACCTCTGTTCTAGAAAGAGTGGACACCTCCACTCATCACCACATCGTGGTGATGAAACATCATTAAAACACATATGTACATAGCAAGACTAATATCAATAACCTCGAATAGTGAAACGACTTCTTTAGGATGGCTTACTTAAAAGGGGAGACCACAATGGAAAAGATGGCGATAGAGGTGTCAGATGGACACTCACCCGATCTGGCCTTCATCTGACTGTGGGCCTACCGTGTGAATGAAATCGGGTCTGTTCAAGGGAGGAAAAGAACAATAGAGCGGCAGCATATGGTATCAGCAACTTACACATAGCTCTTACTTTCTAGGCCCGTGTAAAGTTGATGAGATTGTGTTCACCTGTAACCATCTCAAATATGAGTGTCTTGGTTAGCAATAAGGATAGTCGATCACGAAGGGGTTTATTCGCTCCTTATAGTCTGTATGACGTTCAGCACAAGAGGGATTCTGGTCAATCTAGCTAATCTCTAGTCCAGGATAGCAAATTCTCTTAACCTTGGTTTGCGACCTTTCACGCCGGGGAGAAAGAGGCATGGGACCGTTCGGTCGATTGAGGCTCAAGCACTATTCAGACTAATCAAATAGCTCATCTAAATTCATTTATCGCAATTTTTAACGTAAGAGAGAAGCCCCCCTTGATGCGTAGGTGAGGTAGCTGGGTTCAAGTTTGAGAAAAACCAAATTATTGAACAGACATTCAGCGACAAAGAATGAAGTTGAACCTTCACTCAAGAAGACTGTATGATCGTAAAAAGTCTCACAGCTTGCATTGTAACGTCATCAAATTCGAGATGAAGGGCCAGCGTCAAGGACCGGAATTTGAACGGCTCCCCTTCGCTTCTTTCGGAACAGGAATATGGGACTTGCCAGCGCGTGGATAAGCTAAAGCACATCCAAGAACACAACGAGATGCAGCCAACGACTAGAGAACGCCATTCAGCCAAGTTGAAGCCCTATTTCAAGGAAGAGAACGATGTCACGCTACTTCTCCGAAAAAGGGGGGGCTCGCCGGGTAGTCACTGTGGGATGCCTAAGCTCGCCCCTCTGACCTAAAGCTTCCACTCAAGTACCTCAAAATGATGTATATAGTCCTCATTTCTTGCTGCTGAAAGATTCATACGATATGTGATCGTCTGCAATTCTCCCTTCTATGATTTTTGCTCCTTGTTATACATCCCAACGAGATGCACAAAGCTCCAGCTTTCCCTCAAATGCCCTTTCTCTTTATCTCCGAGTTATTGATAGGACGCAATGCCGGAAAAGACGCTCGATAATGAAACTAGGACTCGTCCTACTGTTGTGCCCGAAAATCCTGATTTTAGTAGTCTGCCTCCCGTCTATGTGCTTCCTACCCATTTGGCCGTGGAAGATCTACATAAGTTTGAAGACGTCCTGACTAATGGAGGAGCACCCTTGACCTATGATGCGAGGGAGGCTCATTTGATCCTTGGGAACATTTCTACACCTAAGCGTGCTCGATTGGAGCTCAAGTGGAAAGGTATCCAGCTCGCCGAAGACAGTCTAAGCAAAGATGATTCGCAAAGACCTAATGTACCTGCAAGGAAGAAAATCAAGTCCAACGACGGCAGAGACTCTACACTCGTCCGTCAACGTCCGGCAGCATTCACCAAGTCATCTGGTTCAGATAGTGATAGTGGGTTAGAAGAATCACAAACGATGTCGCACCTCTCGATCTCTCAGACATCAAATGATGCCTCGAGTACCAGGTCTCCCGATGTTTATGATCTCCATTCCTCGTTCCACTGTGGCCGCGTAGATGTTGCAATGCTGGAGTGGTTGCAGCGATGTATATTGGCCAGCGCTATTTTGCCCTTGAATTCATTTATTCTATTGCAGGGTCAGTCCACGCCACGGGAGGCTTCTGCTTGCAAGGCTGCGCCTGCAACGCCTACCGTCTGGCGACCTCAAGCTGACGCAAATCCCAATCTGCACGCAGAAAGGCAAAGGCCTCGGCTCAAAAGGCAAGGCATCATTGACCGTGCGCAGACTGACAAAAGACCCCAGGAGAAGGCTTACCGTAAGAAGGACCGTGTCAGGGAAGCTTCAGACAGAGACTTTCGTGGTCGGACCTTTACTTCCTCTACGCAAAGTAAAAGGGAGCTAGGTCGGACGTCTAAGATCACACGTCCCACTCATCTTGTACACCAATCAACGTCAGAGCATGACGAAGCAGTTGAAATGCCACTTCCCCCCAGCCTGGCTGGGTGTTGCAAAGCAAATTATACGCCTGCGAGCGAGCAACTCCTGCAAATCAGCCAAATGCAGAATTCATCTCTCAGCTCAAGAAGATCAAATTCGCGCGTGTGCTTACCTTAGATGAAGTTGGCGTTCGCGCTTACAGTACAAGTATTGCGGCTATAGCAGCCTATCCATATAAGATCGAAAGCTCGCGAGAGGTTTTTAGTCTCCCTGGATGCGACCAGAAGATAGCCAATCTCTTCCATGAATTCCAGTCCAAAGATGGTCACATCCAAGCTGCAGATGACGTTGAAAACGATTCAGTTTTGAAAGTCCTTCGTGAGTTTTTCGAGATCTGGGGCGTCGGAGCCCATACAGCACGGGAATTTTATTATGACAAAGGCTGGCGAGATCTTGACGACATCATCGAACTTGGTTGGAAGTCTCTTAACCGCGTCCAACAGATAGGTCTGAAATTTTATGATGAATTTCAACTTAAAATACCTCGTGACGAGGTTGAATCAATAGCAGCCATAATTTCAGAACACTCAAAACGCATCACTAGCACTGGCCTCGAGACAATCATCGTTGGCGGTTACCGCCGTGGCAAAGCCGAAAGCGGGGACGTAGATGTCATTCTCTCTCACCCTGATCACAATATGACCCTTGACCTTGTCTCCCAGGTTGTCAGATCATTAGAAAAGGAAGGCTGGATAACCCACACACTAACTCTCAACCTGACCAATTCGAAGCGAAATCAGGCGACATTGCCTGTCAGTACAGCCACACTCGGTGGTCATGGCTTTGACACACTGGACAAAGCCCTTGTGGTCTGGCAGGATCCATGCTGGGCAAATAAAGAGGTTGATCTAGCTGCCAATCCTCACGCAAGAAATCCGAATCCGCATCGGAGAGTCGACATCATCATATCTCCTTGGCGGACCGTAGGATGTGCAGTGGCCGGCTGGACCTCAGGAACCACCTTCCAACGAGATTTGAGGCGTTTTGCGAAAAGAGTCAAAGGCTGGAAGTTTGACAGTAGTGGCGTGAGGGATAGAGCGACTGGCACTTGGATAGATCTCGAAGAATGGAGAAATGAGCGGACGCGCTGTAAGGATTGGAAAGAGGCAGAACGACGAGTTTTCGAGGGCATGGGCTTGGAATATCGAGAACCTTGGGAGCGGTGTACATGGTAATTATATACCAAATTTGAATATAAGTGGCAATACCTGTTCATATAGTACGTCAATGTAATGAAGCAACTTATGAGGCACCTCTCTTCAGTATGCAAATGCGAGCCACTGCATCCTTCAACGAACGCCTTGCTTCAATCCCATGAATCATACCTCTCTGTCAAAAGGCAAAGAACGCCCTCTCCAAGGGCGTCCTCTCCGACTCCCAAGCCAACCAATCACTTCTCGTCGTAGGCAGCAATCCCATCTTATGCACCTTCCAAACCCCCAGCGCAAGCGCCAAGAGCTGCATCAAGACATAACACCCCTTTGCCGCAAGTATCGTATCTCTATTCCCATCCGTCTCGTACCGTCTGAAGGCCTCATTCGTCTGCACGATGCCTGTGAGAGGTGTCTTAAACAACATGAACACCATCATGATACTGAAAATTTGCAACGAATTGCCGGACATGTACATCATGATGGCATTCATTGGTAGCTGCTTGGCCGGCGCAAGGGCGACTTCCCAAGACTTCTTGACCTTGAGGGCATCGGTCTCTTCGGTTGAAGGTACTTTGCGGGGCGCGACTTTAGAGGAGGCAGATCGCTGCGAGTCATGCATGTCAGAAAGGTTGAGCAGCACTGTTCTAGTGAGAATCTGGAACCGACCTTGCCTACAGCGGTTTCCGAATAGCCTGGGGGATTTGAGAAGGTCGCTGCATTCTTGCCTTTCCGTCGTGGAGGGGATTGCAGATCAAGCACCCATTGTGGAGGGAGTGGAGAGTCTTCAAGCGGTTGAGAAGGCATTATGTTCGCAGAGGCGACCTGGTCTTCGATTGGAAACCCTCCAGAAAGACGACTCGCACAATATAGGTCTTGGCATGGGTCGTATTAGTCAGCTGCTTCTATCGATAAGCTATGAAATCCGGTAAAATCCGCCCAGAGAACAGTTCAAGTGCCCCTCAAAACATGACTTATTTGCATGATACTCGACTGCTATTCAGGTAGCCCATAAGAGCTGCATTACAAGTCGAGCCATCATGGCAAGTGGCGGAGATGCAAAGCTCTTTGCCCGAGTGAGTTTCCACCTTTTTGCATTGCACTTTTTCCGTGCCCAAGATCAATAAGAGGCAAATCTCTCTTGTTAAAAAAAGACAAGTCATAAGTGAAGTTGTATTGCGCTGCAGTATGGCATCATACTTTCCACATTTGCGTTTTCTATTCATGGGTACACCCCTACGTGTATAGAAGAAGGTCTCAACTTTCACATTCCCTTCATCGGTCTCTTGTGATGTAAACCACTCACATTGAAGTCAGGGCAAAGTCGCTGAGTTACGGCAAGAGCTCAACAGCGGTGGCAAGAAAGATAAAAATCATTCTGCGAAGAAGATTGCGCTCAAGAAGATTGTGGCCAATATGACCATGAGCAACAATGATATGGTAGCATTGTTTCCCGATGTTGTAGGATGCATGCAGATCCAGAGTCTAGAGATCAAGAAAATGTACGCCCAAACCCCTCACAGCGCGATTGACGGCGACTCACAAAATCAGGTGCTTTTTGTTTCTAGTCAATTACGCCCGCATGAAGCCAGATGTAGCGCTCAAGGCTCTTCCAGTCCTCGTCGCGGTAGTCGAGCCAATTGTCTGTACTTTGACCAAATAGCTGATGTTGAGGTTAGGATATGGAGGATACTAATCCGCTGATACGTGCCTTGGCTCTTCGTACTATGTCATATATCCACGTTCGAGAGTTTGTGGAGGCTTGTGTGCCCCCTTTAAAACCTCTTTTGAGGGACACAGACCCTTATGTCAGAAAGACAGCCGCGTTTTGCGTGGCAAAACTCTACGATCATGATAAAGCTTTGGTTGAGAATTCCGACTTGATAGATAAACTGAATACTATGCTGCGAGATGACAATCCCACGGTCGTCTCGAGTGCTTTAGCCGCACTCATGGACATCTGGGAGAGAAGTGAGAGTATCAAGCTTACAATTGACTACAACAGTGCTTCCAAAATTGTACAAATATTGCCTGACTGCTCGGAGTATGTTTGCTCTCCAGAGTTGATGTGAAAATTGCTGAAGGCGTCGACAGATGGGGCCAAACTTATATTCTGGAAGCGCTGATGTCGTACGTCCCCCAAGACACTGCTGAAGCATTATTACTAGCAGAACGAATTACGCCTCGCCTATCACATTCAAATTCCTCTGTTGTCCTTACATGCACTCGTGTCATACTCTATCTCATGAACTACATTGCCGATGAAAAGCAAATTTCGAGTCTATGCAGAAAGCTTTCTCCACCACTAGTTACGCTGTTAGCCAAAGGTCCCGAAATTCAGTATCTCGCATTACGAAATGCATTACTTATCCTTCAGCGGCGGCCGGAAGTGCTCAGAAATGACATTAGAGTCTTCTTCTGCAAATACAACGATCCAATATATGTGAAGGTCACTAAATTAGAACTCATATTCATGCTTGCGACGGAAAAGAACATCAAGGAAGTCTTGGCAGAACTCAGGGAGTATGCTACAGAAATTGACGTACACTTTGTGAGGAAGTCAGTGCGGGCGATTGGCAAGTTGGCCATTAAAATTGAATCAGCCGCCCAAGATTGTATAGACTCTCTTCTGGAGCTTGTGGCAACTAAAGTCTCATATATTGTTCAAGAAGCCACGGTTGTCATTAGGAATGTATTTCGAAAATACCCCAACAGGTACGAGTCGATCATATCGGTTCTGTGTGAGAACCTAGACTCTTTAGATGAACCTGAAGCGAAGGCTGCTATGATATGGGTAATAGGCCAGTACGCAGATCGTATTGAGAACTCTGATGTGCTACTCGATGACTTCTTGTACTCCTTTGCGGACGAATCAGTGGAGGTACAATTTGCACTTCTTACAGCAACAGTCAAATTGTTTATTCAAAGACCGACAAAGGGGCAAGAACTTGTCCCAAAAGTCCTCAAATGGGCAACCGAAGAAACTGACAATCCAGATCTCAGGGACAGAGGCTACATGTACTGGCGTATGCTTTCGACAGACCCAGAATTGGCCAAGAAGGTGGTCATGGGCCCAAAGCCAGCCATCACTGCCGAATCAGAAAAGCTAGATCCGGCAACATTAGAAGAGATGTGTCTGAACGTTGGCACTCTAGCCACAGTCTACTTGAAACCAGTACAGCAAGTTTTCCGCAACGCAAGGCCAAGGAAGACCATAGATAGCCCTGCCCTACAGAAGCACACCCTGCCGACACAGGTCGCTCTGGAGCAGCATAAGCATTTGCCGTCGATCTTGAATGGATCAGGAGCACCACCTGACACATCCAATGCAGATGGAAGCACTGATAGGCAGAATCTTGCGGCAGCCGTCGATGCTGCCGATGCGTATTTCCAGAGCTTGAATGCAAATATGGCGGGAATGTCAATCAATGGTGATGAAGGCTTCGGTGGAAGTCCAACCCAAGCTGGAGAGACTCAATATGTGGTCAATCAAAACAATCCACAGCAAGTGTACCAGCCACAGGTGGGTGCCGGAGCGAACGGCGATTTGCTGCTACTTTGAAATCAAAAGAACGCAACATTTCACAAGATCAAGCCAGCCTGGAAGACGCGATTCCTGTCATTGTAAATACAACATACTCAACACCAGACGAGCCGTGACAAATGTCCTTTAGCTGAAGGCCGGACCAGCCAAGTTGAAGTGCGACGAACGTAAATAGCTTGGCTCTTGCATTCGACATGACTGACAAAACTCGCCAATACATCGAGCAAAGACCTAAAAGAGGGATGTTCAGGTTCGACGTTGCAGTCATGTTCTCTGATATTTCAGCCAGAAATAAAGAGACCAAAGTCCTCCAAATGGCTTTATATATATTTTATTGCCGAATTCCAGCCGTTTCTTCAAAATTTCTGCCCAAAGAAAGATCGTAGAGCTTACCATGAAATCTCACTATCAGGCACGCCCACTGTATGCATTGAAGTTGACTGCGGTAGCAAGACGTCTAACGCAGACATGATGTATTCAGGAGCTTGCGTCAGATGTAGAATCATTCTTGTCACCAACGAAGACTGCTCCCATTATATATTTCTTCTCACCTGATAGCCGTGCTTCTGTATAATTCGGCCCCCCAAAGCTCCATAGAAACAAGTCTGTCAAAATCGCTACCCTGTCTACGCTCATCACTTCGCTAGATACTACTATCGAATCGACCTAGAACGCAAATTAATTACGTGCTCTGCTTCCCTAGCACCGCACTCATCAAGATGCGTTCAATCGGGCCAGTTGAAGGAGACCTCGAGTTGCCGATTCAAATCCATCTATAGAGAAGCTCTGGAGATGTTTTAGTGTCACTCACGTCACTTTTAACAAAAGTCTCCTACGTTGTTCGTGGTCTACTAGTTCCCTTCTGCACTGCAGTCGATTTGGGCTCGAATCGTTTTCCTAAGCCCGACACCACCAACAGTGGATATGACAAGCGCAGAGTTCAGCGGTTCCGAATCTTCTCATGAGGGAATGCTATTTGGGTTTTCCAAGGGCGGCTGATTGTTTCCCCAGATTCCACCCAGACAGACCACGCACCTGGCATATGTCAAGTTTGCTGCGGCAAAACCCGACGAAATGATTTCGGTACAGGATCACTGTTGCCCCGTGTCATAAGTTAGAATCTTCTCGTGTCGCTGCTATTAGGCTAAAGATGCATGGTCAATGTTCGAGTCTGGGATGGACATATCATTTCCCTCTGCTACCGTGTTCAACTGACTGTGACGATGTGATGAGACCTCGGGCTTCTTTCAGTAGAAAAGATGGACAGAATTATTGATCATATTATTTCTCTCATCTGCTCCCACTCTTAATGGCAACTCTATCTATCGCCTGATGTACCACTTGCTGAATCAGAAGTTGTAATGGAAAATTTTGACTCAATTCCTTGTGCTGCTAACTCGGAGTGTCATCTCTATGTTTCTCTGTTCTGCGCTTCTGAAATTCTCTCGGTTGGCTATAATTTCAGCAGACCTACACCTGGCCGACGTCACCATAGACAACCTCATTTTTGGGTTCTTGTACGTGAATATTAGAAGCACCAATGAATCTTGCGTGTTCACGATACGCTCTGGCGAGCTCTACGTCAAGCTGGCTGATGGTAACAGCAACTGAAGTAACACGGCAATGAAATGTGAGTGAGCGGCTATTGCGTGTTTAGAAGCAATGCTACAAAGCACCCCAACGGACTGTAGAATGTACCGTTGCACTAGAACTTGAATTCGGCAAGATGGCATGCAGAAATGACATCCGTATCTTAGGCCAGATGAACGTCTTGACCCGTCGACGAGGTAAGACTGAAAAGCTTCATACAAATGACTCAATGAATGCTCAAGTGTTCATGGCTCATTCGATGAGAATATTGAGGTAGCAGCGCTCTGGTTCAGATCATACGATCTTGTTCATATACAGAAATGATCACCTCATATGTTTCCTTGATGTGCAATGAGCATAGTTGAGACGTTTAGCAGCGAACCAATATATGGACCCCACAGGCAGGTCAATATTTTGTCACGGCTGATGTACATGAAATCTTGTCTATACTTATTGCGGCTGCATCAATCTTTGGCAATTGAATATGCTCGTCAAATCAAGAGAAGAAAGCTTTTGAGACGAAAGAACCTCACATTTTATGCTTACCCTTGGCTGAACCAGCAAAAGATAGACATGCAGACTCACACAGAAAGACCGCTCAGACCACTCTTAAAATACGGTCCTCACGACATACAGAGGACTACATCACGTTCTTTATTGACCCCGTAGGCGATATCGTCAGAAATTTGCTAGAATAGTAGTGAAATCTCGAAGGCTCGGATTTGGAAACCGAGGTAGAACTAAGGGAGAGAATTGCATGTTCACATAGATGGCTCAATCAGCAATTCTGTTACGACTTCCAGCTTACTGCAAATGCGCACTGTAGCAGTACATAACGTTCCAAAGATGACCGGTCTCTTGTTCGAGTAATGGTCGTTCGGGATCCTTCCATTTCCTCTTCTGCAAATTGCCACTTGACTTCGCGCTTGGCGGACGAACGCGTCTCGGCAGCAAATGATCATTGAAAATGTCAGACCAAGCTCGCAACGTCCTGACTCCTCTGAATCGCCTTGCAAAGATACAGCAACAGTTGATGTCCGACAAAATGGGAGACATCGGTGTCACCGCCTTTGCCAAGGAGCATGTTCCACAAGCACCAGAAGATCCGTTGTTCGGCTTAATGGCCGCATACCGAAAGGATGACTTCTCGAAGAAAGTGGATCTTGGCATTGGAGCATATAGAGACGACAATGCTAAGCCTTGGGTACTTCCTGTCGTCAAACAGGCCGATGAAATCTTGAGGAAGGATCCAACGCTCAATCATGAATACCTTCCAATTGCTGGCTTGGCCGATTTTACAAATGCCGCCCAAAAACTCATCTTGGGTTCGGGCAGCCCAGCAGCGAAAGAGAAGAGGGTATCCACCCTTCTCACCATTCTGCCTAAATCGCGAGTCTCATGAAAGTTCTAGGTAGTTTCGTTGCAAACAATCTCAGGCACTGGAGCCGTCCACCTCGGCGCTCTGTTCCTTTCACGTTTCTACCGACGCCCCTCAGATCAACCCATCTACTTCTCCTCCCCGACATGGGCAAACCACAATCAAATCTTTACGAACGTCCACCTTCCTATCAAGACCTACCCCTACTTCTCCACAGAGACCAAAGGTCTCGATTTCGAAGGCATGAAGTCCACCATCTCCCAAGCTCTAGAAGGTAGCATTATCCTGCTACACGCATGTGCACACAACCCTACCGGTGTCGATCCTACTCGAGATCAGTGGAAAGAGATAGCCAGGATCATACGATCCAAGAAGCATTTTCCCTTCTTCGATTGCGCATACCAAGGCTTTGCCTCTGGTGACCTTGCAAATGACGCGTGGGCTGTGCAATATTTCGTCTCAGAAGGATTTGAACTTTGCATTGCACAATCGTTCGCCAAGAACTTCGGGCTCTATGGCGAGCGCGCTGGCGCCTTTCACTTTGTCACAAGTCCGAGTTCAGATGCACCAGACACTGTCACCAGAGTTGCTTCCCAATTAGCCATCTTGCAGCGGAGCGAAATCAGCAACCCCCAGCGTATGGGGCGCGTATCGCCAGCTTGATTTTGAACGACCCAGCCTTGTTTGAAGAATGGGAAGCTAATTTGAAGACGATGGCCGGTAGGATCATCGACATGCGAAAAGCTCTCAGGTCAAAACTTGAAGAATTGAATGGGAAGCCAGAAAGCTGGAAGCACATTACTGACCAGATTGGTATGTTCAGCTTCACTGGTCTAACGGAGAAGCAAGTTTTGAAGATAAGAGAAGACGCGCATGTCTATATGACGAAGAATGGTAGGATATCGATGGCTGGTTTGAACACAGGAAATGTGAACTATGTGGCAGAAGCGATCGACAAGGTTGTAAAGGAGGTGTAATGAGACGTGCTTAATTTGCATAGCGATTGGGAAGGAGATTCAAAAAGCGCTTCGCTATATGGGTATCTGTGTAGCATCGCCATCCACTCACCAAGAAAGTCAAGAATAGATCAAAATATGAGGTCCCAAGAGATCAAGAACCCGCACAGGCCGCAAGTTGCCCAGAACACCATCCGTGCCCTGCTTTTCCGCTCGGTGGCTCTTTTCAATTGTTTGTTGCCACTTCCAATATTCTCGGTCGTGGACAACGAGTCGTCTACGAGCTGCGATATATTGGCGGATTGGATGTCGAGGTTCTGTACTAGTTGTGTCTGCAATTCGGAAATTTCGAGCATGCTCCGTTCGGCAGTCCTATCGTCGTGGTCAGCGGTGGTCAACAGATACAGGAAAACCTGCGGGCCGAAAGCGCAGCCTCACTGGACCTGATCGAGCGTATCTTCATATTGCTTCTGCATATCTTGATTTTCCTTTGCAAATAATTGCAGCTGATCCGGGCTGAGTTGCTGTTCCATCTGCTTCCTGTCCTGATCTTCCAAAGCCACACCTTTCTCCACTTGAACCTCTCTCTTCTTGCGTGCGTTGTCCTCAGGAAGGTTTCCATTTAAAGAATCCATCCCAAACGATGTCTCCATAGAACTGTCAAATCCCTTCGGCCGGCTCTTGTAAAGCACGCTTCTGCCTCTCTCCACCTCCCTCTCCAGTCTCCGCTCCATCATACCCTGTTGGGTTCTCCCAACTTCCTCTAGCCTGATCGTCAGATACCATATCACGCTGTCCCTCACCACCTTAAGTGTATCAAGCTTCGCTTCCTCCAAAGTCTGCTCCGCCATTTTCTCTGTTGCTCCACTGCCAGCTGCCCATCGCCCCAGTATGCCTTTACTGTATTTGGTTGCCAATACCCGAGCACTCGTTTCACGACGTACGGACTCTGCGCTTGCGAGTTGGGTTAGAGAGGCGGAGAGATCACGGAGGAGGGTCTTGGAGGAGGCATCTACGGAGTCTTTATCCTTGTCGGAGAGCCAAGAAGGAGCTGCGTTGGCGGGGCTACGGGGTTGGACTGGGTTGCGTTGGGAGCGGCGGGGGGGAGGGGCAGTAGAGAGGTAGGCGCGTCGAATAGAAAGAAGATATGACTTGAAGGAGAGGAGATGGTCATTCTGGTGGTACAAAGGTTAGGATTCATGGCCATGGACAATAGACAGGGAAGAAAAGTACAATTCGGTATGCTTCTTGAAGAAATTCATCGCCGATTGAAGATCGTTTGCGAGGAGCGTGCCGGAGACGCGCATTGTGACGCGATAGAAGGATGTTGACAGGTCTTCTGAGGTCAGACATGCTTGTCACGCTTTTCCAAGTTCGACATGCTCGCTCCCTCGACAAGAGATGAGAGTCGGATGGTGAAAATGAAGTTGAACTCGATGTTCGGACGGGAAATATTTGCTCCGTCGAGAAGGCCAAGAGTCGATGACCTCAGCCAATCAACGCGCTGGCTTGCACGCGTCAGAGGGCGTTGTGTAGTCCGTAGCAGGCACCCTTCCCTCTGCCTGGTTTTTACAGCTATATGTTGATGTGAGCTAGCCAGTCTGGCTGCCAGGACGAAAGCAGATTTTCGCTCATGTCTGTCAATTGTACGGTCGCTAGGCCGTTTCGCATGCGAACATATTCTCTTCCCACGTCACCCGGGCGCCCTTGCAGGTTGTTCAAAGTTTAGCAGAAGGACATCTTTTATTAATCAGTATCGAAGCCTCACCTGGGCAGAGTCAAGTGCACTTCCCAAGCGGCTAAGCCAGATAATGCCTTCCAAACAGGCTACCCTCGGGTACGTCAAGTCGGGGCAGCAGACCTTAGGGTGGATGTCCCACCCATAAATTATCATTGGAGAAGCTGATAGCGTCATGGGCTTGCAGCAAATTTCTGGAAAATCCAAACGGACTCGCATCGGAGCATCAGCAGTCCAAGCTCGCTTTCAAGAACGGCACCAAGAAGAATCAAGAAACTCAAGAGCAAGTACCGAAGGGACGAGATATCAAACGCCCAGCAAAGAGCGATGAAGACAGCGATGGCGATGTCAGTATGGGCAAGGACGCTAAGAAGTCAGGGTCTGAACAACCACGGACTCAGATCAAATCCGAAAGCTTGGAGGACGAAGAGCAGCCCAAGCATGGATCATTGCATGCCAATGGTAATATTGTTCACGCATCTGGTGAGGATCTGCTTTCAGGTTCTAATCTCTGTATCTTAGGCCATGATGAACGCTCGGATTCGCCACCAAAACGCACGAAGAGTGAGGCTCTTGATGAAGGGGAGAACGATGAGTCGGAGGACGATGAGCCAGTCAAGAAGCGCTCAAGGCGGAGTGGACCCCCGTCTTCTAGCACGAAAGCAAATGAAAGAAGCATCTTATCAAAGAAGTCGTCCGACCCTGATGCAAACAGAATGATCAAAGATTCCCCCAAGCCAACGAAAGAAAAGGCAAAGGCTAAGAGTCCGGAAAATGAGAAGTCAGATCGCAAAGCAAGAGGAAGGCCAAAAGCGTCCAATACGTCAAAAGCCATGGAGGTGAGAGAAGAGAAGAATACACCTGCAAAGGCTTCCAAAGAGGAAGACCAGGAGCCAGAGTCAGAAGAAGAGGAGGAGGAAGAAGAGCGGCCCGAAACAGCAGCCAAGGCACGGGAGACTGTTCAAACAACTTTGAAAGGAAGTGCAAAGGATCCATACCCGGACTGGAAGGCAGGAGATGCAGTACCATATGCCGCACTGTGTATCACGTTTTCTCTCGTCGAGCTAACGACGAAACGATTGATTATATCCGCACATTGTTCGCTGTTTCTCCGCCAGGTCTTACGACTAACGCCCAATGACTTGCTTCCCACTGTACAATTGATGATCAATAAGCTTGCTGCTGATTACGCAGGCATTGAACTCGGTATAGGAGAGTCTCTTATCATGAAGGCTATTGGAGAATCAACAGGACGGAGCCTTCAAGTCATCAAAGCCGACCAGGCGGAGATCGGAGACCTTGGCCTGGTGGCCGCGAAAAGTCGTTCAAATCAACCCACCATGTTCAAGCCAAAGGCTTTGACTATAAGAGCAGTTCACGATGGGTTGATGGGCATTGCCACCGTCTCTGGAGATGGCTCTCAGGGAAGAAAGGTAGCAGGAATTAAGAAGCTCCTCTCTGCCGCAGATGCTGCTGCAGCTGGGAAGGGTAGCAAAGGTATTGACATTACCAAGGATAAGGGCGGACCAAGCGAAGCTAAGTTCATCATCCGCTTTCTCGAAGGCAAGTTGAGACTGGGTCTTGCGGAGAAGACTGTTCTTGTAGCTCTTGCCCATGCGGTGGTCATGCACGAGAGTGGGCTCGAAGGCAAGAAAGTGCCCACCAGCGAGGAGCTGGCTGAGGGCGAAGCCATTCTCAAGACTGTCTACAGCGAACTGCCTAACTACGAGGTGATCGTCCCAGCAATGATCAAGCATGGTATATTCAAGCTTCGAGAAAACTGTAAGTTGCAACCAGGTGTGCCCCTGAAACCGATGCTTGCCAAGCCTACGAAATCCATTTCGGAGGTCCTCGACCGCTTTGAAGGAAAGAACTTCACTTGCGAGTATAAATACGATGGCGAGCGAGCGCAGATACACTACGTCGCCGAGGACTCGCCACAGCAATACCAGAGTACGCCCACCTCGAAGCAAAGAAAGGGGCTGTCTGCCATCTTCTCGAGAAATTCCGAAGATCTATCAAAGAAGTACCCCGATATCCTCGATAAACTTTGTACATGGATCAAATCAGAGACAAAAAGCTTCGTATTGGATTGTGAGACGGTGGCTTGGGATCTTGTCGAAAAGAAAGTCTTACCATTCCAGCAGCTGATGACGAGAAAGCGTAAAGATGTGAAGGCTGAGGATATTAAGGTGAAAGTCTGTGTCTTTGCATTCGACATCCTCTTCTACAATGGAGAAGTACTAGACCCACATCATTTTTGTCTCTTGGTATCATGCTGATCTATTGTAGCCAACCGTCGAAAAGCCTTTTCGAGAAAGACGCGAAATTCTTACGAATGCATTTGATGTCGTAGAAGGCGAATTTGCTTTCGCGCAGTACGGCAACACGTCAGAAGTCGACGAGATTCAGCATCTCCTCGACGAATCAGTCAAAGCCTCTTGCGAAGGGCTCATGGTGAAAATGCTTGACACTTCCGAATCAGGCTACGAACCCTCTAAACGGTCACGTAATTGGTTGAAAGTGAAGAAGGACTACCTCTCGGGCATCGGAGACAGCCTTGACCTCGCTGTTATTGGCGCTTACTACGGTAGAGGGAAGCGAACGAGCGTTTACGGTGCTTTCTTGCTGGCTTGTTACAATCCAGCGGAGGAGCGGTTCGAGACAGTCTGCAATATTGGAACTGGCTTCTCTGAGGCAATTCTGGAGGATTTGCACCAAAAATTAGGGTCGGCTGCTATCGAGAAGCCAAAGCCATTCTATTCACACTCGACAGTAGCGAAGGATCAGCCTGATGTTTGGTTTGAGCCACGATTCGTGTGGGAGGTCAAGACTGCAGACTTGACCCTTAGTCCGCGTTATATGGCTGGAAAAGAAGCTCTGATGGATGCTAGTGGAAGAGGCATCAGTCTGCGCTTCCCTCGATTTATCAAGGAGAGAGATGACAAGAAGCCTGAGCAAGCAACGAGCAACAGAATGATCGTAGAGATGTTCCGGAAGCAAGAGGCGATCACCAATACTAAAGGGCCCAGCGTAGATGATGACTTCGAGTATTGACAGCCGTAAGTGCCGCTTGCTTCGCTTTACATACGCGAGATGTTGATGAAAGAATCGTGAGAGTGAATATGTGCTTCGATACAATGCTCAACAGTATGATTCACACATCTTGTGCAATGAACGATACAGTGCTTGTCGCTATGGATCCGCATTAATTTGTACCCTCCCAATTTACCCACGATCTGCCCATCACTCTCCACACCTTGACCTCCCCGCTCTTCATGTCCCCAAGCTTGTAGCTCTCCGCCTTAACTTTCTTGCTTTCCCTACCCTGTTCCCAGGCACGGAGCTTCTTCTTCGTTCCATCCCAATCGACCACGATACCGACGTGGTCTGGTTTACCAACCTCGAGGCTGTACTTGGCTTTCATGGGACCCTTGTGACCCCCAAATTTCGCATTGCGAAACGTCACAACATCGCCTGGGCGAATCTCGTCGTGCTGTTGCACAGAAGCATTGGCAAGGTTGGCGTATACTACCGCGCCATAGGCGCGGATACCGACAGGTCTCAAAGCGTCTGGAATGGAAGTGATGATCTCTAATGGAAGGGAGTGTGGGGAGCCTTCGCCGATGGTAGTGCCTTCCTTTGATTTAGCGCTCTCCGCAAGTCTAACTCCAATGCTCCCATGAGCACCTTCTAATTCATCCTGGCGTGGACTTCTCGGTGGTGGCTCGTGTCGTTGCTCCAATACACTTGGTGTGATAGGATCCGCAGTTTCATAATGCGCACTTACTATAGTCTGTGAATAGTCCATATATAGAACGTAGACTTCCTTTGCGATAGACTTCTTGCCTCCTCGCTTGGTCGTGCTGTTCTCGTCGACTTCGAAGATGATATCCTGGCGATTTTGGAAAGCCTGTGGGGGTGCATTTGCTCTGGTCCACCACTGACTTGCTTGGGCGAGATCAACATCGCCAGCCATGAAGTATTCATTAGATGGCCGTCCTACATCGGTCGACCTTCGGATACTTGTGCTCGTTCGTTGGACATCCGATGAATGGCGGGGCAGGGAGCTTGTCGGTGCTGACATGTTAGGTGACTGTGCTTGTTGCGAATGTAATTGATTTAGTGAAGGTCCACGGCGGTGTTGAGAAGATGGAGAGGAGAATGCAGGGTCAGGTTCCTCTACGGTTGGAGTCCATGTCATTTGCATGTCTTCACGTTGAGGAGTTGACAGACCATGCACAGGCGCAGTGTATCTATATGGGTCGTAGTCTTCATCGGCATCAGTTTGCTTTGGCGGAGGCGGGGGCGGTGGAGCCCCTCTAGGCATATCTGATGATTGTCGTTTGGGGTGAGATGCCGAAGGCGGAAGTGGCGGGATAGCTCGCGGTGCAGCTGCTGGGGGAGGTCCGATCGAAGGAAGGCCGGAGTGATGTAAAGAAGATTCTTCCGTTATTGAATCATCCTCGAAGCTTGGAGCTTTAGTATGCGCTTTAAGTGCATCCTTATGCGTTGTTCCAGATGCAATGTCTGTGTCATAGTCACCGTCATATTCAGTAACCTCTTCATCGCTGTCACGCCGCTTATGTGTTGTCGAGCCGTGAACAGGAAACTTCTCGCCCGCAGCGGCCCTCCTTGGAGGAATCCCTAAAGGAGGTGGTGGAGGTGGTGCCCTGTTTTGCGTCGCTGGTGATGTTGGGGGAATCGGAGCAGGGGCTATGGGTGCTCGGATTGTGCGCTTGGGTGGTTCATCAGACATCGAAGGGAACTTTTCGGTTTCATGTACGGTATCTTCTGACGGACGGGACGGCGGTGGTTGAGGTCGATAAGGGATTGGGCTCTTTGGTTGGGGCGGAGGACCTTCTTTGCCCAGCGGTTGGGTACTGTCTTCTCCAGTGGTCCTGCGATCATAGGATGATAGCTCATCATCGGAAGCTGAACCCTCACTTGGAGAGAGTAGCTCTCTTGAAGGTGGTGGCCGAGGCACCGGCCGTGCTACAATAAGTCAGCGATTTGTTTAGAAGAAGGGCAAGATGCATATGTACAAGCTGTAGGAGGGACCGGTAACGAGCGTTCAGGTGGAGGTGGAGGTAGATGCCCCCCGTAATTAGGAGCTGGAGGTACAGGGCGGTCTTCATCATCAGTGACAATTACGATCCTCAAGTGCTGACCAGAACCTACCTTGTGGTAACGGCGGCACTATGGAGCGTTCTGATGATAATCTTGTCGGCGCAAGTGGCTCTTGGTGGGTTTCTTCAACGTCTGGAACGTGCTCTGGGTTGCGGCCTTGAATAAAGCTGTTTAGCTGAAGTTCTTCGTCTTCTCCATCATCTTCTTTACCGACATCTCCTACCGCCTGGTCAGGACTTTGAACTTCGTGTAAGTCAGGCATGATCGGCACGGGTGCTACTGTGGATGCTGCTGGGCTGTCTGTAGCATGTGAAGCTTGACCAGATCCTTTACGCTCACTTGACCCGGAGCTTTTTTTAGTTGAGCTCTTAGACTGGAGCCCACCAGGAGCGCCAAACATTGCAGCCATGCCCATCCCTCCGCTCATTTTTGCCATACGTTCGCGAATTTCCATTCGCCGTTTGACTTCAGGGTCGATCTCGTCTTCGCCATTCTCTTCATCTTCCTCCCCCCCTCCTCTTCATCCCTATCGTCGGTTGCTGCGGGACCGCCACCGGCCTTACTAGCTACTGCCCTGGGGGCAGGGCGAGGGGCTCCGGACGAAGGATTCGGAGCGCTCAGACTCGGCCTACCGTCACTATCATCCTTGCCTGTAGACGTTTCCTCCCCGTCCTCAGTATCACCAGCTCCAGATTGATCTGCCTCATTTCCGTCACTCAATATTTCTCCGGTAAACACCGCCCTTGGGCTTGTCACTGCAGCCTCTTCTTTCGATTTCCGATGTCTACGAGCTGCATCTATAGACCGCTTTCCTGCATTCTCGGCGCTTTCGACCTTTTCCAAGACTTCAGTCTCCTGCTCGTCATGGTCTACTGGAAGCTCTTCGTCATCTGCTGACTTGGCCGGTCTCTTCTGCTTCTCCTTCTTTTGGCTAGCCTCTGCGTGTCTGGCAGCCTGCTCCATTTGCTGCTTTTGTAGCAGGGCGATTCGGTCTTTCAAGGTTGTGGGCTTGGGTTGATCTTGCTCTGATTCGTCCAAAACGGAACTCGTCGCCGGAGCATTTATCTCGTCTAAGGCGGTTTCGCTTGTCTTCGAAAGCTCGGGATCATCTTCTCTACGATACCCTTTTTGCGGTGGTGGTTGGCGAGGAGGAGGTACATAGGCATTCTTGCTGGGTGGAGGCGCAACGAATGGTTTCTTGATAAAGCCAGAGCCCCCACTGGCCCCCAGGCCGCCAGGCTTCATCGGAGTGACAGGTGGCGCAGCGGGCTTGTTGAATGCATTTATACGATCACGAAACGCATTCGAGGAAGGCTTCTCAGCCGCAGGAGGCGGAGGTTTCGGGTTTACAGGCGGAAGTTTTGGAGCAGCGACATCAGCAGTAGAGGCTGACACTGCATCTTTCGGACTCTGAGGGTCAGCTGCGGGCCCCTGATCCCGACGAGAGTCTGCAGTTTGGCGTGCTGGACCCGATGACGAAGGAGGTTGAGCTCTTGGTGACGAGACGTCAGGCGTTGGAGCTACTGACGCTCCGTGATCATCAGACGCATGTGGCTCTGCATCTCGTTTTGTCTTGCCACTTCTAGCAGGACGAGGGGGCCTCTCAGGTTCGAACGCCTTGACAAAATTCCTGGGAAACAAACCCTCCTGCTTTGCACCGCTCTCGTCTTCAAATTCACCGTAGTACCAGTCTGCATCTTCCTCCTCCGTTACAGTGATGATTTGATCGCCCTTGAAATTTAGATCATCTTCTTCTTGGGAGGTATAGTCAAACAAAGCTTTCACGCGGAAGGGCGGAGTGGTCATTGTCGTGATCTTGCTTCCCAATTACGCGGCTATTTACCGGTATGGTGTAGTAGAGCTCTGTCTTTAGACGTGCGTTAGTCAAATGCAAAGTCTGAACAGCACGAGCGCATTCGAACTTCGAGATGTTTTGCTGACCCTGAGTGAGGGCTCTTAACGGAGAGCTCAACCTTGCAACATCTCTGCAATCTTCAAACAAGACACTGTTGAAGAGCATTTATAGGACAGCCTCCGCTGTCCGCCCGCAACAGCCGGTAGGATCTACTGAGTACATATACTCTAGTCGTATTTTATTATGACGTATTGTAAGGTATCTTGTGTCAGGGCCTCCCGAAATTCGACAGGCCTGCGCAGTTTCCACGGCAAAGCGACAAAGCTTGTACAGCCATCTCCTCTTGGTCTGAGAAGATAGATATGGTTCAGTTGCGCTGATCGCACATGTAGTGCAGGTCAATATTACATACGCCTCACGTCGAAAGAGCCTTCGCATCTTGTGTGATATTAGTGACTTTGTCCTACCTCAGCAATGAATATCCCACGTTCCATACTCAAAAATCCATCAGTGCCCTCGACCGATCCTCCCTTGAAACAACAAGATCGTATGAGGGAAACAGCCCTCTACCATGCCAATCTCATCCAACATCGGAAAGACGTTGAAAATCAGATACTAAACATAATCGAGGCGTTGCTCGAACTCCCGTCATCAAGTGATGCTGATCCAGCTTCTCCGTCTGTTGAAGAAGCGGCTGTTGTGGGGAGCTCGCTGAGGTTATTTCAGCCGTCAGACTATGATGCCCTAGTCGAAGAGCGCAACATAAATAAGCAATGTGGTTATGTTCTCTGCCCACGATTGAATAGACAACAGGAGACGACCGCAAAGTACAGGCTGATCAAAGCTCAAAGAAGCAGGCGCTCGGAATTACATATTGTGAAGACGCATGCAATGGAAAAATGGTGTTCTGATGAATGTGGTAGACGGGCGCTTTATCTGAAAGCACAACTCAATGGTGAGCCTGCGTGGACAAGAGATGCTTCCGAAGGCAGTGATATCGCGGTCTTTGAACAACATGAATGTCGCAGACATTCTCAAAGGTTGGCGCCGACGATGCTAGAGGACGTCACAAAGCTCCGCGTTCGTGAGGACGAAGAACAGGTTGACGCAAAGATGAAGGCTCTCGCAATTGAACGCGGCGACGCGAAAATGCCTAGCAAATCCTCTGGGCTCGTGCAGGTTGTAGACAAGGATCCATCTAGGAGAGAATCACTTGACTATCAGCTACCGGCTCAAGACACAAGTGATGCAATAGAAGGCTATCAGCCCCGCTTCGAACACAGAAAGCTGGGAAAGATCTCCCTTGAAGTCGAATCGTCAGACTTGATGAGCACGATATGATGAACAGGAAAATCATATTTAATTTGTGACTGTCAATTTCTGTGTCAACCTTCGCCTACTTGAGAACTGGACGAGATAGACTGTGACGTTCTCAATGGACATTTATCTCTCGACCTGTGTTCAGGCGATACAGTAGGTAATGCCGATTGTGGAAGCTAATGTTGCTGCTCCAAGACGATTTACTCGATCGTAGCTTCCCCTGAAGTCTTCGAATGATTCTGGAGTCGGCATCTGTATCAAAAATTTGTGAGATGACCCGCAAACGACAGCACGTCACAGGAGAATCGGGGAAAGATGCAAGGATTTGGCAATCAAGCCTAGCCCCTCAGGGGTTTTGGCGACACCTTTAATGAACAACTCGTATTCAGACTTCTAGCTGCTGTGCACCTGGTAGGTACGTGCTCCGTCGATTAGTCAACACTTCATGTCACCCGTACGTTACGTCCTGGGTGGCCTCCCCTCAAAGCGCCTGGGCCTCTCAGCAACTTGCTGTTGTTGGACTGCAACAACGTTGACGGGAATTGAGTCAAACTATGGTTGAAAAATTGTTAGACGATGAATTGAGTAGCTTTGTAGTACAGACTTACTCCCAAACTCTTCAACATGTCCTTAGTTTCTGAGTCTACATCCAAATGACCCGAGCTACCCTCTTGATTTGCGAAGTCCAATGCTGAAATTTCTGGTACGTATTGATCTTTTCGCTCTCGCTCTTCTTCTTGTAGCTTGAATGAGATACCACGGACTGGACCACGTTGAATGCGCTTCATCAAGTGAGTAGTATAGCCAGCAATCTAAGTAGCAGACAATCAATATCGTTTATTCGTAGCCAGAATCAGGTATTTCGGACCTTATTGCGTAGGCGCTTAGAGGCGATGATAGCTATTTCATCGCAGATTCGTTTGTTGGTCTCGAAATCGAGTGTGAGTTTAGGATAGTAGCGTTCAATGATCACTTTGGCCGACTTTTTCACAGTCTGAGTAGAACATCAGCAATCGAGAGGCTTGAAAACTCCGCGACCCCATTATTGCAGACCTTTGTACGAACTCGACCCATGATGGCGCTGTGGAAGTTGCTTTACTTCCTTGTGAAGATTGGTCGAATGTTTCGCTTGAAGCGGGCGTTGTGGGCGGCGCTAGTAGCTTCTACGGTCGTCTTTGAGGTCTTGTGCGCATTTACCCCTTTTGTACATCACTTGAAATAATTCATGGTATCCCTGGGGAGTAGGTTTTATCTATTTAAGTATATATGCCTATGGAATTCTCATGAAACCCTGCTTGTCCCTTGCATGGTTTCATAGAGTATTGGCATAATCTCGTCACCTTCCTCCATAGGTTGTACTTCCTCTTTCTTGCGCACGTGTCCGAAATCCAATCCGTAGGTCTGTTTATTTTGATTCGATGGCCGACCTGAGGGGGAGTCCAGCCTTGTGGTAGTTTGACTACTCTGCGCAGCAAATTCAGTCTTCTTTGACATTATGTCAATATCTTTGGCAAGCTGGGAGCTTGTTTCCGCTTTCTTGATTCCAAGTTCAATGCGACCCTGAGGATCTACTCCTGCTTTATTGACTTGTAGCCATGTCTTGGACCCTCCTTTTATGTCGGGATCAGGAGCGGCTTCTGCAGCTTTTCTATTTGCAAAAAGGTTGTCAGTAAAATGTTGGGCTGTGACTCCCCCAATGCCGAAAACGGAGTAATGTTGTTTGTATCCCCTTGCATCTATGCCCGATGCAAGGACCCTTGCCTCGAATGGTGGCTTATGCTCTTGTGGGCCATACTGAGGGTGGTTGAAAGTATGAGAGTGGGACCTGAGATATGATAGACCGGCAGATGGATGAGTAAGAGGGGGTCCAGTGTCACTGATATCTAAATGAGAAATCGTTGCCTTCTGGGGTGGTTCCCGCGGCAAATCAAGGAAATCTTGAACGTATCTGAAGAGTTCCGAGGGTGCTCTGCGCAGCTGACCGATAAAATATTCGAGTTCATCATCTGACACTGGATCAGGGCTTTTGAAATCCCCTTCACCTGCCCCTTGTTCAATCTGCTTGATTCTTAGATAGTTCAACTTTTTGCGGGCACACTCTTTTCTCAGAAAGCGTCGAAATTCACTTCTTCTCCTTTTGACGCTCTTCTCAACGAAACCAGTGAATTCGCCAAGGGTTTGGCCCTTAAGCCATGGGCCTTCAAATTTCCAACGTTCTTCGTCTAGAGTACGTTTCCTTACATCAGTAGTATCATAGTCTGACTCAAAGACGCTTCTCGGTGGCTCTCGCGTATTTCTTCCAGCTTTGGACAGGGACAAATCCATCTCCTGCCATTTCTCTAGGGTTTTCGTGTACGCCGATGTGGAACCAAAATCAGTGATATGGTCCAATGAGTCTACATTCTCGATCTGTATATGACGTGTTGAGCTGCGCGTAGTCGCTTTCAGTGGCAGTGATCGCTTCAAACCCCATTCTCCCTTCTGAAAGGCGCTGTCTGACGTCTCAATGGCGGCGTGCGTTGGATAGGGAAGAGTCGCGGTGTCCGAGTCTGGGACCGTTCCAGTCAACTCGGAAACTGGTCTAGGAAGCGGTGGCGGCAAAGCGAACAGGCGTGAAGTTCTGAGTAGGTTGGCAGTCGGCGAGAGCCTCCTCACAGACATCTCATTGAGACAATCCTACAAATCCGAAAGCGAAAGAACCTATTTCAAGCTTTCAACGACTCGCCGCCACAAATTGCCTCCTTTGCGGCTAAACCATGGCATCTCTTGCATGAGTCTAGCCTAAATGGTCATTTTGTAAACAGACGAAGCCAAAGCTAATCAACTCGCACTCACTCAGTCTACCAAGCATACTTGTTGTTCTACAAACCCACTCCTCAAAGGTCGGCGCGCGTTCAAGAGGAAAATGATTGTTACTGCTCCCAATTGAAGTGGCATGAAGCTCTGAACAAGTCGCGACTTATCTTCACAGTACATTTGGAGCGCAAATAACATGGACCGTCCTGCGACTCCCACAGGAGGTCCTCCGGGATATAGTGCAGCTCCTCCGTCGTATTCAGGGGTGTCTAATGGCAACGCCCGACCTAAGATGTCTAACAATGGATCCACGGCGCGGCTCTTGAGTTCGATGGATGAGGCCGAGTATCGACCGTACGTACCCCCAAGGTTTCTTAAGAGACGTTGCGCGAGCCCCTAGCGTAAGCCTGTAGTGAATGCTATGGCCTTTGATTGCAACAATGAACGGCTGCAATTTGCAAAAGAGCAGAGTCAACCCCCAAGTCCTGGGTCAGAGCTATCAATGATTGCCCAAGTTGATTGGCAGCTCAAAGCGCTCTGCTACTTTGCGCGTACGATTCAAAGACAAGAGCTCATTCTATGGTATACCTAGGCCTCCATCCCCTCGAAGATCACAAGCTCCCTCGATCGCTTCCATATCGCGACCACACACGCCCTCCGTTATCGAAAATGCGCCGAAGCTGACACCCACGGCTGGGAACACCTCTTATGTACCTTACCTGCCCAGCCACGGCTCCCCATCTCGATCCACACTCTCGCGTACATCGCCAGAGTCGTCACGTCCTCCACCGTCTGACATTTCATATGAACCTGCTGATATTAACGGTAGCCCACGACCAGGTACACCATCGTCGAAATATGGTGGGAGTCCGAAACGACCTTTGCCACCTGCTCCTTTGTTCTCAAGTCCACAACGTGTAAGCAAGGCTTCAGGCAACATACTCGAGGGTAGCGCAATTCCAATTCAAGAAGGTGACGATGATGTCTTCGGTGCCCAAAGCAACGATGCAAGAGCAAGCTTGAAATCGCATGATTCTTTCCATTCGGAGTCTACCTATACGGAAGAGCTTTATTCGAAAGGTGAAGACGAGGATCATTATGGTCCAGCACCGTTGGGTCGCCAGCAGAGGCGCGGTGCAAGACAAGCACAAATGGCGAAAAAGGAAGTCCGATTGATCAACGGCGAGTTAATATTGGAGTGTAAGATACCAACCATACTGTACAGTTTCTTGCCCAGACGAGACGATGTCGAGTTCACACACATGCGGTATACCGCTGTTACTTGCGACCCAGACGACTTTGTACTTAAAGGATACAAGTTGAGACAGAACATTGGCACCACAACACGAGACACCGAATTATTCATATGTATAACCATGTACAACGAAGATGAGATCGACTTCACGAGGACTATGCACGGAGTCATGAGAAATATCTCCCACTTCTGTTCCAGATCTAAGTCACGCACCTGGGGCAAAGATGGCTGGCAGAAAATCGTGGTTTGCATTGTTTCTGATGGCCGAAGAAAGGTACATCCTAGGACACTGGACGCACTCGCAGCCATGGGATTATACCAACACGGCATTGCGAAGAATCTTGTAAATCAAAAGGAGGTCACAGCGCATGTATATGAGTACACGACACAGGTATCCCTGGATGCAGATTTGAAGTTTAAAGGAGCAGAGAAAGGGATCGTGCCATGTCAGATGATATTCTGTCTGAAAGAAAAAAATCAGAAAAAGCTTAACTCCCATCGATGGTTCTTCAATGCATTCGGAAGAGCACTTACGCCGAATGTCTGTATCTTGCTCGACGTCGGTACTAAACCAGGACCGACTTCATTGTACCATCTTTGGAAGGCTTTCGATACTGACTCGACGGTCGCTGGCGCGTGCGGAGAGATCAAAGCAGGCAAAGGCAAGAACTGGCTAGGTTTGCTCAATCCTCTCGTCGCATCTCAAAACTTCGAGTACAAAATGTCCAACATTCTTGACAAGCCGCTGGAATCTGTTTTCGGGTACATCACCGTCTTGCCAGGAGCATTAAGCGCCTATCGCTATTATGCTTTACAAAACGACGCGACTGGACACGGTCCACTGAGCCAGTATTTCAAGGGTGAAACCTTGCATGGCCAGAATGCGGACGTATTCACAGCAAATATGTATCTTGCGGAAGATCGCATCCTGTGCTGGGAGTTGGTTGCGAAAAGGAATGAGCGGTGGGTCCTGAAGTACGTCAAGAGCGCTATAGGAGAGACGGACGTGCCAGACGCCACACCTGAATTCATATCTCAACGGAGAAGATGGCTCAACGGAGCCTTTTTCGCGGCTGTCTACTCGCTGGTCCATTTTAGACAGGTTTGGCATACGGATCATACCTTATGGCGAAAAATATTACTGCATATTGAATTCGTATACCAATTCGTGAGCTTGGGATTCACATACTTCTCATTGGTGAGACCTCTTCCGTTTTGTTCATGACGGTAAGCTAACAGCAACAGGCCAACTTCTATCTTACCTTCTACTTCATAGCAGGCTCTATTTCAGATCCGAAGCTTGACCCTTTCGGTCATCATATTGGGTTGTATGTTTTCGTAGTTCTGCGATTTGCCTGTGTACTCCTGATATGTACGCAATTCATCTTGTCAATGGGCAATCGACCACAAGGGTAAGCAACAGCTCCATCCAGCGAGAAGAGCTCAACTTACAGTAGAACAGAGCCAAGAGAATGTTTATGACTAGCATCATAATCTATTCGGTCATCATGGCATACACGACGTTCGCTGCCCTATACATCGTCATCACACAACTCAGGGACAAGAAGAACACTTTTGCCTTGGGGAATAACGTCTTCACTAATCTCATCGTCTCCACGGCTTCTACCGTAGGGCTATATTTCCTCATGTCATTTCTCTACCTTGACCCCTGGCACATGTTCACAAGCTCAGCGCAATATTTTGCTCTTCTACCCTCTTATATCTGTACGTTGCAAGTGTACGCCTTCTGCAATACACACGATGTCACTTGGGGCACCAAAGGTGACAATGTGATTCATATCGATTTGGGCGCCGCGGTCTCTGGTAAGGGCAACACTGTCGAATTAGAAATGCCAAGCGAGCAGCTTGACATCGATTCTGGCTATGACGAAGCACTCCGTAACCTTCGTGACCGACTCGAGGTGCCGAAAGACGCGGTCAGCGAAGCGCAACAGCAAGAGGATTATTACCGAGCTGTCCGGACCTACATGGTTGTATCCTGGATGATTGCTAACGCCATTCTGGCTATGGCCGTGAGCGAAGCGTACAGCAGCACTCACGTTAGCAACAATTTCTACCTGAAGTTCATTCTCTGGTCTGTCGCAGCCGTGGCGTTCTTCCGCGCAATCGGTAGCAGTACGTTCGGTGTGATCAACATTGTGCATATGATCGCGGAAGGGAGGATGAGGGTCAGTTGGAAGGGCATCAAGTGTCCTGACTGGGTCAGTGATACAGGGAGTAAGGTGTCTACCCGTTTCAGCTTCTTTGGCGGCAGTAGCTGGGCAAGCGGTAGCAGCATGGGGAAGACGGCGCGGAGTGGGTGATCGATGATCGTGACTTTGTATAGACGATTCTCTAGGAATCGAGGCGTTGCTCTAGACTTTGAATGTTAGCCAATCTCTCTTAAGCAACTGCTCTACAGGTGTTTTGATATCAAGCTTATTATTGCCGCACTGGAATCTGAATGACCTTTATAAATGCAGGACCTGCCCGCCGATTCCTTTGGCCTATGAACAATTCGAAAAAATCTAGATACAATACTGCATGGGGTATTCGCGTCCGAGGTACTCAGAAATTCACTTAGCCAAACAAGTTTCATCAATAAACACAAAAATAACCCCCAGCACTAGTGTGATCACGATTCAGGAACAGATCCTAGATGTCAAGTGCTTCTGCTTTGCGGGGTGTCGGGGACATCCCAGATGGATGTGCTTGCGTTGTCCATTTCTGGCTGCGGTATGTGATCATATCGATCTTTGATAATGGGTTTAGGTCCAGCATCAATCTGTCGATTGGTCGACACTGGTGCTAGAGGCTCAACTGTCGCAGCTCGAGGGTCCATGCCGTTTGCTCTGACGGATGGAATCATTATAGCCCGATCTTTGGAGCTAAAGACTATGGGTGAAGTGGGAGAAAAAATAGGCAGGTCTGCCTTGGTCCGTCGAACCGTAGGGGGTGTGCGTGGCTGTGGCTCCGCAACAGGAGGCATGAATGACGGATCTTGAGTTGGCAGTGGAAAGCTAGATTCGATGGCGAATTTCGCTTCCTCATTCGGATCGTACTTAGGCTCTAGACAATCCCTTATCGGGTTCAGATTAGAAGTTGCTTGAGGTTGCAGTAGCGGTTCATCCTGGGAAGTTTTTCCTGGTGGGGCTCCCTGGGTTACGCCAGGCATTGACTCGCCATCCACTTCGATATTGGCAATCTTATGGGCGTCGATGGAGGCATTTGCTGCATCCAGCTTCGAATTGGGAGTTGAAGCAACCTTGATGCCTCTTCTTTTGGGTTTTCCCGGTGACAATGATTTGGGATTGGACTTGGAAGGCACGGCCGTCTTGGACACGACAGCAGATGCTTTGGTTGGCCTGCTTTTGGGGCCAGGCTTAGCCTTGACCTGTCGAGCTACATACTCCTCTTTTGAAGGTACGTTGAGCTTGATACTCATTTTTTTCATGCCGGAAGTTAGTTGATTCAGCTCTTCAGCCTTGGTATCTTCATTTACATAAGGTAAGGAATTAGCAACAGCTTGTTTGGTTGGTACAGTATGGTCAAGATCCAGTGCTTCAGGTAAGGAAGAGCCCCCTGTTGGCAAAGTCAATCCAACATGGGGCCGTTTCGATGAACTAGGCTTCACTGCCTCTGAATCTGAGGTCGGTGGGCGAGTCTGCCGAGCCTTTTGATCTTCGGGAACAGAGGTCAAATTGAAATCGGAACCAAGATCTGTGCTAAGCGAGGTCACAGTAGAAGCAACACTTGACCGCCTCCTCGTGGGTCTTCGAGGCCTTTCTTCACCCGTACTCTCTGAAATAGGGGAAGAGCTAGTGGTTTCTGATGTAAGCAATTTCATATCAGCAACGGTCTTACGTCGGCTCGTCCTGGAGGGAAGCTTCTTGGACATCTCTGCTGTATTCGCCTGCTGCTTTGGTCGTTTCTCTCGAAGCTGCATACGACTGGAATCAATCGGGATTGCTTCTGATGGTAGGCTGACTCCAGATTGCCGGTCTCGACGAGCTCGTGTAGCCTCAGCATTCAATTCCTCGGGCTTACAAGACGAAGTGTCGCGATCTACCGGCACGAGTAGTCTACTAAGCTCAAGAGCGGCTGTGGCCCAGCCCACGTCAGGTGGAGGAGGGCTTGGAGGGCGAGGTCCAGGCGTGTACATGCCAGCCGTGGAGCCAGAGAGCGAGCGCCGTCCCAATGAAGGCTCCACTATCTTGGCTTTGTAGGATTCTGTTGCAGAGGTATAAGTAGGCTTGACACTGGCCCGCTGCTTTTTTGGAAGGGCCAATGCCGCCTGCGGCCTCTGCAATGCCTCAATCTCCTCCAGACACGGTAAAGACCACCAATTCGTATCAATTGATCCAGTTGGATCAATAGCTAGCGAAGGCTCGTGCTTTGTTACGCCGACCGTCTTCGGGGACTCCAGTGTACCTTCCACCTTCGCGCTCGGGCTCTGGCCATCGCTCGCAGGATGCGATGCGCTGGTAGATGAACCGAGGGTACTCATATGGCTGAGCACACCGCTCATCAAGGCTCGATCACTGTAACCGCCCTCAAGCACGCTTATGATGCGGCCATCGACTCCGAGGTCAGTTTCCTCGGACATACTGACAATATCACGAGTAAAACGAGCATAAAAGCTAGTGGGTACATTGACGTTATGGCGTTGCATATACTGACTTTCCCATTCACTTGCATCGAAACCAGCAGAGAGAAAAATTGCTGCCTTCGGCTTTGGAAAAGCTGAACTTTGACGAAGACGATTGCTGTGAATTCGAAGGAAAGACCGAGCTTTTGCTAGCACCACAAGATATTTATCTTCATATAATGCCCAGAAATCGGCTTCCGTCTTCCATGGCTGCAGGTGGACGTTCCAAATGGACTGTCCATGAGCGTTCTCGATGCATAAACTTGCGTTGCGGACCTTCTCGTCATCGCCCATTTCGCAAGGATAGGAGTTAATATCGTGCAAACTGAAGTAACCAATGGAGGTCTTCTTCGACATAGGTGTACTCTTAGGCATCGAAACCACTTTAGAGTTGTGAGCCCATGTTATAGACTGAGAACCATCGCCATGATGAAGGTCAAAATCGATGATTGCGGCATGTGTTAGTCCATGAGTCATCGAGCCATGCGAAATTCCCACGTGCACGTTGTTCAGCCAGCAGAAACCGGACGGCATGTCTGCGGAGCAATGATGTCCTGGAGGTCTGATACACACGAAAGCCCGTGTACTGTCCTCATTGCTGAATACAGCATCTACCGCTTCGCATACGCCCCCTAGCGCCCCTTCAAGAGCTTTCAACGAGCCGGAGCAGAGATACAAGTCACCCTCGTGGAGGGTTGGCCTTTTATCTTCTAGACCACCATTCGTGTCATTTGGCTCGGTGGGACGTAAGAGCTCTTTTCGATTCAAAAGCAGGTTTGCCTCTGCTTTGTCGCACATGGCGCTCAATTCGTTCATCCATTGAAGACCGTGTATGGCCACGGCGGCTGGTGAACGAAGGGAAACTTTTCTTGAAGTTTTGTGAAATTTAAAAGGCACGGTTGAAAAAGAGTGTGAAGGTCGTTGAGGGTGAGGAGCTGCATACCCTCCCACATGCCGCCCCCCAAGACGTACATAAGCTGTTGCAAGGCCTAAAATTGAGGCATGTATGCGCTCTGGGCGTTCCACGATCGTGTTGAGACTTGCTTTTGACGTCCGGGGTCTTGCGTACCGGTGACCGTAGCAGTCGTCTTGTAGAACAACAATGACCTTGCTTTTGCCCTTCTTCTCGAACTCATTGTGATTGAGTTCGAGATCGCGCTTAAAGAAGCCCAGAGCAACGTCGGCAGCGGTCAAAGGAGGTTTTGAGACCTCTTCAGCGGGCGGAGGAAGCGAAGGTCTTTTGTTCAAACTCGGTCTTGGGGATGAGGTTATGTATGATGATGACCGTCTTACTGAGGGAGACGGCGGTGGAGTTCGAGCTTGCTCTTGTAAGGAGCTTCGCGATGTCTTTCTTGCCAGAGGAGAGTTATGATTGTGTTCAGGAGCGTTCATGGAGCTGGAGCTCGGAGCGCGCCTTAAAGGATGTTTTGGCTCGCGGCTCGACGCTGTCGGGGCCCCATCCATAGTCGCATTCTGTGGCTGAAGAGGTGGACCCGAGGGAGAAGATGGAGGTAAATTCGTGGCAGCAGCTACAGAGAGAGTCATGCTCCTCATTGGTTCAGACAAATTGTCTTTTTCTGGATTTACGGCACGCGCTGGCGCTGTCGCTGCCTCATCAGAACGTGCTGGCGGAGAGAAGGAAGAAACATTTCGCGCCGACATGAGACGCGTCGAAGAGACTGTCGCCTCGATCCAGCGAGTCTGCGAGTATCTTGTATACGCCTCAGATCTGATGTAGGAATAGTTTCGAAAGTGGTAGGAAATGAATGTCACATGACGGCGTATTTCGAAAATTTAGCGCCCACTGGGCGATCATTTAATTCTTTCCCACGACTCTCCAGGCTGATGCAAGCCGCCCATCTTGCATGTATTTTACCCTGTCCGTATAGGATCAGTGATGGTAAAAATCTCGACGCAGCGCCCTGAGACGACTTAGACAATGACTCGTCTTTTCAGCAGTCGATACACCCATGCTTGACCGACACTGCTCGCGTTCAAGGAGGATGTCCACGCAGTCAGCAGCACTCAAGTTCGAGATCGTTGCCAGGTGCCCAGTCAGTCAATAAGACCCTTTTCAATCCACTTTAGTCCCCCGTGCTCTGACTCTACATGAACAAGAAAAGATCACGAAAGCGCGAGCTTCCAACCTCGTACTCCCCCATGGCCCAGTGCCCTTGCCTATGTTCATGCCAGTCGCAACACAGGCATCGCTCAAAGGGTTGACACCACATCAGCTTGCAAGAACGGGGTGCAATCTTTGCCTGAACAATACCTACCATCTGGGACTTAAGCCTGGCCAGGAGACACTGGATAAGATTGGCGGAGCGCACAAGCTACAAGGATGGTCTGGGAACATCTTGACGGACAGCGGTGGGTGAGTGAAATGGGTGGGTCTGCTCATCGCCTACATCTCCGTGTCCACTTTGCAGGACTGGAAATAACTCACGGTCTCGACACAGCTTCCAGATGGTCTCTCTGCTCAAGCTAGCGCAAGTGACAGAAGAAGGTGTGCGCTTTCTGTCACCGCACGATGGCACCCCTATGCTGCTCACTCCTGAGCATTCCATCTCCCTACAAAATAGCATCAGGTCAGACATAATCATGCAGCTCGACGACGTCATTGCCACCACGTCGGCTGATGGGGCACGCATGGAGGAAGCAATGGAACGTTCAGTGCGTTGGCTCGATCGCTGCATTGCGGCACATCGAAAGCCGGAGAGCCAAAACCTCTTCTGCATCATCCAAGGAGGTCTGGACCTAGAAATGAGACGCAAGTGTTGCGAAGAGATGATCAAGAGAGATACGCCAGGCATTGCAATCGGCGGTCTGTCTGGTGGCGAAGCTAAAGATGCATTTTGCAAAGTGTACTCACACCGCTTTTCACGTTTCGCTGCCCTGCAGATGTAGCTAATTGCTGACAGTGTGGACACTTGTACCTCTCTATTTCCATCGCATAAACCACGCTACGTGATGGGCATTGGATATCCGGAAGATCTTCTCATCTGTGTCGCTCTTGGTGCCGACATGTTTGATTGTGTGTGGCCCACCCGCACTGCTCGCTTCGGAAACGCAATTACTCCCACAGGTATTTTAAATCTACGTCACAGTAGGTTTGCACGTGATTACGGTCCAATCGACGAGACATGCAATTGTCTTTGCTGCTCGTCAGAAAGTGATGGTGAGGGTTTGGGCATTTCAAGGGCTTTCATCTACCATACCGCCAATAAGGAGACTGTAGGAGCACATCTATTGACGATGCATAATGTCCATTTCTTGCTGAATCTGATGAAAATGGCGAGACAGGCGATCATCGAGGGATACTATCCAGCGTTCCTCAAAGAGTGGCTCGGTAGATATTTTGGGGTTGATAGGCATGGCCAGTCCAGGTGGCCGGCTTGGGTAGTAGACAACTTGAGGACGGTAGGAGTCGACGTGTTGCAGACGAAAGAACCAACCTATGAGACCAGCAGTTGAAGAAAGAGTCAACAGCACGAAAGCATGTCCGTCACCATGTCTGCCTAGTGCGAAATCATTTCGTCTGAATTGTCTATCCTACTTGAAATCTAGTCGCAGAATCAACATTCCCCACCCCTTTTCCTTCTGGTGTCACAAATGATGGTGCTATTCGTCCCATATTTCAGTCCTCCTTGTACAACCTCTATCATTTCATTGTTGAAGACAGATCATCGAAATTGACCTTCAGATGTTGGTGGCCATTTGGCCAAGGGAACAATGCCACCCATGATATCGTAAGTTTGCCCCTTTTCCAGCCTTGTCACGGCCATAACGCCGAAATCCTCCTTTTTGTCCACAGGACTCCATTTCGCCTTTCTATCCAAGATGTGACTCCGTGATGTGGGACATTATCATCATCTGTCCCCAATCTCTGAGACAAAGATAATGTCCTACCTGACTGTTCCCCAGCCTTCGACTCGTCCTTTACTACCGGCAAAGCTCACGCTCGGTAGGCTATTAGCGTCCTTCTTGCGTTCTTGGATTCCAAGTCGACGACAGGCTTGTTCGGCTGCGTCTTCTTTCGCTCCATTGACATATTGGCCGTCATACCAATAGAGGGCGTCGACAGTAGGTCCTGTAATAACGACGTCAGTAGCGGAACGCATCTTGCTCGCCTTTTGCAAGTTCCGCTCTGAGGAGATATGAAACCCATTCTTCTTGCGGTGAGCCAATCCGACGATTCACATTTGGCTCCATAGCCCCCTACCTTTCCTCTCATAGACGAAGGAAGAGCTGCTCACCATTCGGGACCACCACGGTGCAGGACCAAGCTGTTCGTTTGCCTCGGCGGTCGGACACGATGCTGTATGAAGGAGATGGTCGGGCATGGTCATTGCACCAATCTATCGATATAAGTAGCTCAATTAGCATTCTGATCCTTGGTCGTCGTTCTCCCGCGAATGACTGATTTCAAGCAACTCGCTAACAAGGCATATTCAATGTGGGATTCCTGTCACAAACTTTACGACATACGCCTCAAGAAAAACATCTCTTTCGAGGCAATTAGGTAGCTGGCGGGCTTCCCAGACATATCTCGAGTCCCCTTCAACACCCGAAACACGGCCGTCTACCTATTTGTACGTATTTTGCTCTGGTCCAACATGCTTGCAAGTCTATATTCGGATTTTTTTGACCGAAATTACTCAAAACCTTCGAGATTTGGCTTGTTGAGTGATGATATCTAATAAGGGCTTTGAGAAGAGAAGAGGGATGATGTCGAACGTTTGAGAGAGCAAAGGGAGAACGAACTTTCCAACTCATCTTGCCATGTCGATGCCCTTTGTGCGACGCCGAAGTTGCCGTTGGTTCTGGAAGATGACATGCTGTAAGGCCCGAAGATGACGCTGCCCGGTGAAGATGATGAGGGACTAGTGCCGACTGAGGAGGACCATGAGTAACGAGACATGTTGGACAGTGTAGAGGAGGAAATTTCACCAAACTTGGGATTCAATTATGCCACTTGACTTCTTCGCTCAGATTGTCTCTCTTTATATATGGACCTGTCTTTTCCAGACTTAGTCCAGAGATCGCCACGGCTTATGTAGCTCTTCTGCCTCGTCAAGTGATCATGAGACAAGTGGCCCTGGCGGCCCAAGTCGACAGCGTGGGGCACCCTCGAGAAAGTCGTGCGGGGGAGACGGCAGGAGAGACTACGAATTAGAAACCAAGACCTTCGACGTTCTGCAGCGGTGAGGCACTGCTCGTTTTACTAGAACCAGGTGGCCAGCGAGAAAGCACAGCAGGAACTCGGACTGGCGGTAGCCAGAAAATGTATGTCATTGCAGAGCGATGGACCAAAGAAGAGTAAGCAGGGGCTTAATAGAGCATCATGCTAGTTGCTGTTTAAGCCAATCGAGAAATTTCGCCAATGCTGAAGACGGGCCCCAGATCTTGGATGGGCACGTCAGACCGGGGACGGGGGGATCAGATGGCACGGAACGGAGCGAACACAAAACATTTCGAAAGGGTGTGTGCTGTCATTACTCTGCCGTCGAGCTACATCGAGAAGCACAGGGCAGCGGTGCATGATCTGTTGGAGCCCTCATCCCAGCCTCAGGATGGGGTGGACTCGAGATCCGTAGCGCTCTAGACTGCATCCGAGTCGAGAGTGATCCGCAGCATCCATTGAGATAGGTAGCTAGACGATCCTCGAGGTGTTCGTACTAGCCGTAGGTCTGAAGAATGCTCGTGGCACTAACGGGAAACATGTGGTGGCAAGACGAAGTGTTACATTAGCGTTTATTCGTGCCAGCAGAGCGGTAGAGCGGCCAATGATCGATCCAGGGAAATCAATGCGGTGTAGGACACACCTACATGTGACTGGCCCTGGGTATTCTGAGAACGCAATGCAATGTCTGCTGTAGGCACCGATGCAGCAGGCTAGGGACTACTGTCCGACTTGTGAGGCTGGCAATGTTGAATTAGTAGTAGCAGATGTAGTGAGTCCAGCGAAGGCCTGCCCGGTAGATTGTCGGTCACTTAGGCCGATGTTGGGCTGCAATGAATCATGATAACGTCGGGGTACGAACACTAAGAAGACAAATTTGGCGCATTCCTCGCACTAGGGCGATACATACTGGCGCAATACCTAGACGCCTCGCAGAAACTTACCAAGGCCATTGGCTGGGGGATCGTCGGATGAGCTGTTTTCTTAGAGGATGATAGACTGGGAAAACGCGGTGTTCGAGAGCTGCCATAAGGAAAGAAAAAAAAACACGCCGAATATATGGATTTACACGCACAGTATGTTACAATAAGATGATGTCGTTGACCGACACTCGTACCTTCTGATCGCTGACTGAATGAGTTGCCCCATATGTTCCTGGATTCTATATTTCTGAAAAGTCGTCCTTATTGATTCCAACTTTTTGACCTACAGGGAGATCTGTCGGAGCGGAACTGGAGCTTGTTGACGTTGTCTACTCTTTCGATGGAAGACCCCATCGATCAGGCGCCTAGCTGATATGCTCTCCGTATCCACCCTAGTAGAAGACGGTCGTGGAAGAGCTGGCACAATCATCTCGATACGACTCTTTTGATGCCAGCGTCGTTTGACGCAGTCGTCTGTAAGGGCGATCAGTCCCGAAGCCACAACAACACTGTCAATTGTAAGCAAACCATCCAGTAATGATGTCAGAAGTTTACCCATACTCAGCTACGTCTGAAGGTCTCTCTACGACGTCGTCGTCACTAATCCACATAGAACAAGGAGGTATCCACCTTGCACAAGGTCAATACCAACAAAAGCATTAATTGAGTTCTGAGCACTTACCCGCCCTTTGCTGCTTCGTCGCGAGCCTCCGATGTGCTGAGAGGTACGGGTACAATGTGAGCAATTGATTTACTTCTATTGACATCATCGAGATGATACGAAATCCCGCTAAAGTTTCCACGGCGCATAGCAGCACGTCTCCACGCGTACTTTGTACCCCAATACTCAAATTCGTACCTCTTGTTCGATTTCGCCCCTGTCCTCCGCACCTCCAAGTGTGCATAGTTGGAGAATTCGATTTTTATCGTGTTCGACGGACGGGTGAAACAGTCCGACTTAGGCTGCTGCGAGGGCGAGGTCATCTCCTCATCATCGTCGTCATCCTCAGACATTGAGTCGTAGCCAGAGTCTTGTCTCCTCAGAGTCTCAACTTTAATCGATTTGCTGTCGCTCTTAGGACGCAAAGAGGATAAAGCGCTGCTCATTGACCGTTGCAGACCAGGTCTGGTAATCACCGAGGGCTTTACGTACTTCCTGGTTGAATGGCAGACTTCTTTCCCAGAGTCTCGGCAGTACCGGCGAAGCGAAAATTCCCGGTCTCGAAGATCATACATTCGTAGGTGGAATAGTGTCAGATCAACTTCGTCACCCGTCCGAGTCGATGCTTTCGTTTCAAGCCTCAAATTCATATTGCCATCATCACTATCATCGTGTTTGATTGACATCCTTTCGGTCGAGGGAAAGTACGCGGCGAATTCATGAGGAGTCGCAGCCACTACTGATGGAGACGTCGCTTCTGCACGGCCATCTGGTACTTCAAAGTGGGGTAGATGGTCATTAAACTCGTCTGAAGAAGAGGCTGAGGACGCAATAGAATCCGAAGAGAACCTGACGGGTGAATAGTCGTAGCGTATATGGCGTGGACTGCTGTCTTGGTTTCCTCCTGGAGGAAAACCTTGCCCGCTTCGACTTCTGACAGATGGCCGAGAACTATGACAAGTCGGAATCGTGCTGAACGAAGACTCCGAAAGAGTTTCACTACGATCGTAGTCGGAACTGCTCCGACTCTGCTTGATCCGATCTTGTTGCATTATGAGTGGCATTATGCAGCCGTGGCTCAGATATGATCAACGACGGAACCCACTGCGAGAGCTTTGCAACTCTTGGCTTGGTACTCAACTTCTCGACAGACCCATGAGTATCGTCCGCTTTCTTTAAAGATCCAGATTACGACCGTCCGCCATCCTGACAGACCGCTATTTCAATCTCACCAAAGGGAGCCTGGATGGAGAGCTTGGAAATGTAGCGTAGGACGAAACAGGATGAAGCAAGAAGTAAACGACGAGCGAGACCGCCCCGAAGTAGCTGCGCACGATCAGAGTCATCTTTTGCACTAAGCCTCAGCAGACCGTAGCTCATCACGATGGGAAAACGCCAACCACACAGTCCACGGCAACCGCTCAGGTGGTGGTTGTTAGGGTCGATCCCAGGATCAGCTGGAGATGTGATTCGCTGCCGCACGCGGCGGTGACTCGAGAATGCCTGGCTGACTTGCTGATTCTCCCCCCCAAAAACTCCGAGCGAGCCTTTTAGGCCACACAGGTGCTAAGCCGCCCCCCCTTCGGCAGGTCTTTACTTGCGCCTTAAAAAGGCTCAAATGACCTCTGTCACAGTGTCTGGTGGTGTCACTCCCTACAGCTATTCCCATCGTGGCCAAGGCAGCCCCGGGTAACGCCACCCAGCCGCTTCCTAAGTTCCTCAGCGACTAATGGTCTGATTTGGGTATAGAATTGTGATAGATCGGTCGCTCCAATGGAGTAAACATCAGGCATCCAAGGCAAGAGGGAGCCCTTGGCTACAACAACCTGGGCCTAAGGATTGTAGCAGGGCGTGCAGATCAGCCTGCTGCTCCATGCGGCTGCATGTCTAACGCCTTGCCTGCCGTATGACGGGCAGGTAAGGTACAATGCGCACCTACATCGAAGTTGGCAGCGCTATCCCCGAACCTTACATTGCATCTCAAGTTGCATATTCTCGTACATTCCCTATCAAGACCTGACCCTGGTTGGGATTGCAACTTACCCTCTTCTCTACCTTTGCTGCCGGGCAGTGTCCAACCACGCGACAACACATCCTCACAAGGTTCACCTCAGATACGGTAGTTCGAGCCTAGGCCTTAGGAATCTGAGGATGCCGGACGTATTGGATCCATTGGGATTAAGCCAAAAGGTGTGCCTTGCTGAAAGCTTAGCGGGAGGTGTAGCTAGGAATCACCATTGCAACTGCACTCAAAGAGAGGATGCAGGCGTGATGACAGAAAGGGCTGTGCACGCTCATGTAGCTCGTCCTTGCTCACCAAGAACGTGAACCACGTCTACCTGGCATGAGCCGCAATCAATGCCTAACCTTTGTGCCCATCCAAATGCCGTGTGGTTTTCGTGGTGCATGCATGAGAACGGTCATCGAAGTCACTTCGCTAGGGCAGTAGGTCAAATCTTGCCAGAACAACGGCATAAAAGCTGGAGGAAACCATACTAGCAAAATCGTATGCTCGTCCTCTATGTTCGAGGATGCTCCTCCAACTGTCTTGCTGCATCGAAATGTGCTGTTCGCTCGATCAGTTGGAGGTCCACTATGAAACAGTTGTCAAGAGCAAGGACAGACAAAAGTTTGTCGTCGCATCTTGCATTACGTAAATTGCTGCATATGCCTACTCTGGTGGATCAAACACCGTTAATTCGTAGACTCACAAGAGTCCCGAGGACTTCAGATTCGTGACTATTTCGTCCATAGCGTCATCTCTCGTCGGATACTTTGGACCAACTATAATGTCATCACTCTCAACTTCCTCGGATTTTGCAAGCCAGTTTTCCCAAAATCGTAGACCCTCGACACTTTCTTCACGACACAGCACACCCTTTTCTTCTGCCATCTCTAGCTCTTCAGTCGCAACACCAATGCTCCATCCAAAGTGTTGCGCAGCTTCATGCGCGCTTAAACCCCTACCGAAAGCATCCCAATCCCAGCCCACAGCGTCGTCAGGTGGTGGCAAAGCGCGTATTTCTTGTAGCCACTCGAGTAGCTGACCAACAGTTTTGTCGTCCGTCCTATCAGCCTGCTGCACCACTAAGAGACCATTCTTGAATTGCCTTAAGCGAACTGGTAGTTTGAGCTTTTCCCAGAGATAGGCCGCTTTTTCGAAATCAGCGGGGTTGATCAATTCCACACCTTGTCTTGCACGGTTGAAGACAGCCCAAAGGTCGACCAGAGTCATCACACCTCCTTCCCTTTTCAGTATGCCTCTCGAATCATCCGTAAGAAATTCGGCCAAATTACGGGAAAGCTCGGCAATGTATAACGAGTCGCTGCCAGAGGTTGGGCTGAGCATATCTTTTGTGGTGATCATGTCCAGACTCCTTGCAGAATCGGCTATGACCTGGCTTGCGTCGGAGGGAAATCCATTGTCTTTGTCTTTGGCAAATGATTCGGCGAGCCCAATGATTTCCTTTGCTGAAGCCATCAGTGCGTCCAAATCTGTGAAGGCGGAGCCGATCATAGCCTCATTCTTCTTACGTATATCAAGCCCCCGTCTCTCAAGACCAGTAATACCAGCTGATTTTACTCGCCCGGTGTTTGGTTTGACACCTAGCTGCTCCGGAGGGGAACCATGTTGTCTTCCCACTTCGGACTCTGCGATAGGATCTGGAATTGGAGGTGCACTTTGCAAGAGCCATTTGCGCTGAATCATCGCTCCTTTAAGCCGCTCGTAGAATGTTCTCTCGCCGCCCGCGCGAAAAGAGAGCTTGATACAGTCGAACCCCCGACTGGTGTTAATAGCTGGACCTATCATGCTTGGATCTGGAGACTCGGCTCTTTTAAGCGATTCTCCGTCCGGAACGAAAGCGTCTTGCTCAATTGGGACGAGAGACGTGCCGCACATTTCACAATTGATGAGCGACGGATGATTGAGAAACGTGCAACGAGGACATTGAAATGGGGCTGCTTGTTTAAGACCATGAGTTTCTTCGTATTTTCCCCGCCGAATGCTGAAGCTCTCGCTATCTTGACTGTGGCTCTCAAGGAGAGTTTGCTTTGGGGTTCGATCTTGGGCTGCACTCATCTGATGTTTGGATGCAGTTGATATTGCTGCTTTAAGAAGATGAGCGAAGGTCGGCTTGATACCACATGCCTGACATGGTAATACTGTTGTATTTGAGCTAGCTGTAGTCGGGTCGAAATTGGTAGGCAGGTCATTTGAGTACGAACAGATCGGACAGACCCAAGTCCCACTACTTGGTTTCGGCGAGGGCCTGTTTGGAAATTGCAACCCCTCAGGGCTTGAATTTGTGGCAAGTGGTGAGGCTGTTGAGCTGCGTGTTTGCGATGGATACGAATACAGCTCATTGATTGAGTCAGTGGAATGATATTGAAAGGGCGACCGTTTCAGCACTTTAGGATGTAAGGTGATCTTTGCTGATGATTTTAGAAAGCCCGCCTATGTCACGATCAGCATGCCACTCAGCCGCTCAAGCAGTGACTTAGTCTACGTAGAAGTCGTATCTGTCTACGTTCTTCAATTCTATTGATACCGAATTCTTTCTAGGCTCCTCACCATCGACATAGCAAATTCGATGGGACGTGAGATATACATGACCTTCTTGCAAGTCGGGTAGTTTGTATTTTCTGCAAGCAGCAAGTTAGTCTTGATTCTTACTATGAAATGATTCGCATGGAACGCGAGCGCCTACCCCTCATAGAGGCCAACCCCATTTTGAAGAAAGAGGAGGCTCTCGTCTTGCAACAAGAGCGGTCGATGGGCGGTTGTCAAATCTAGGAATTCGAGGAACATTCAGTAGCTGTAAGACCACCATTGAAGGCGTTGTTCGACGATGTTGAAATAGTTACAGGCATATCTTTTTGAGGCTTAGAAATTTGGACAGACCAACAAATATTACGTTACGCACCAGACGTAAGGTACCGTATGACTGCCCGAATAGGCTAGTCCACTTTCAAGTGTTGCTCTACTCCTCGCTCCCGCCTCCTCACTCCTCACTTCATACCATATTACACTCATCACCAAGTCGGGGGTGACGCGCATCGCTTACCTTCTGGTCAACTTTTGGACCGTCTACGTGTGTCATCGTATCCCATCTCCGAGTCTTCGTTCCCCCCTGCCTTATGAATACGCAGTACTAGCATGACGATAGCGCCGACCATTATGTCGTTTCCAGTGACTGGTGAGTCAGCGATTGTTCACGTAACATGTATGTAGGCTAATAATCTCGCAGCGCAAACTGCTTATTCTACAGTATCTGCTCGTCGATCTTTTGCCCAGCCACCGGTATCAGGCACTATGCTGCAACCACCGCCCCCCTCCACCGAGAAAACTAAAGTAGCCTGGCCCGATACTGTCCGCTCATATGTGCAAAGAGCATTTGCAATAGAAAACACCATGCCAGATGTTGCAAGGCAAGAGATGGAAGTGAGATTGAAATCTTTGATTGCAGAATCGGTTCAAGCGGGAACGTTGTATTCAATTGACTGGGCAAGCAAACCTCTTCCTCAACAGATCATAATGAAAGAACGCCAAGATGCTGCAGTAGCATCCGTGAACCCTCCATGGGGGAATGGCATTACTCCCCTCTCTCTTCAAGAAACTAACAACAAAGCCTCTGCCACTACATCGAAGAAACGGAAATCTTCGGAAATTGATAGTGTTCAGGATTTACACAGTCATGTCCCTCCTTGGCGTGCAGGAGCTCCTCGGAACGTGTTTGAGGACCGAATTTCCTACGCTGACAAACGACATCGTGCGGAAGAGAAACCGAAAGGATTAAGTAAGTCTCAGAGACGGAAACAGCGATTTGAAAATGCTCAAGGCGGAAACTTGTCTCAACAGCCCTTTTTTCCCAGTGGCGTCTCCTCTCCAGCACCAGAGCAGGATCAAGGACCAGTCATTGGCCGATGTCAGGATCTGGAGAAGAAGTACTTTCGTCTAACCTCCGCGCCCAATCCGGACACTGTTCGGCCGCTTCCAATTCTGGGAAAAACGCTAGAATTTCTGAAAAAGAAGTGGAAAAAGGAGAATAACTATTCGTATATCTGTGATCAGCTCAAATCTCTCCGGCAGGATCTTACAGTCCAGCATATCAAGACGGCTTTCACCGTTAGCGTTTACGAGTTGCATGCGCGAATCGCTTTAGAGAAAGGCGATTTAGGTGAGTATAATCAATGCCAAACACAGCTACGGGCGTTGTATTCGCAACAACTAGGTGGCCACCCCGAGGAATTCAAGGCATACCGTATCCTCTATTTCATTCATACTTGCAATCGGACCGATATGAACGACGTTTTGGCAGATCTAACATCAGCAGAAAAACAACACTCAGCCGTAAAACATGCTCTTGAGACAAGGTCTGCGCTTGCTTTAGGGAACTATCATAGATTCTTCCAGCTCTACCTCGAGACGCCCAACATGGGAGCATATCTGATGGATATGTTTGTTGGCCGGGAGCGTCTTGTAGCTTTGTCGAATACGTGCATAGCGTGAGTTCCAAGCTTTTTTTTTTGGCTTCGTTTGAGCTAAAACATCTCTAGATACAAACCTGACGTCAAATTACGCTTTGTCACCGAAGAGCTCGGTTTCGAGTCGGACGACGAAAGTGCCAGGTTCGTCTGTGACCATGGCGGCCAGGGCTTCCTCGATGGAAAAGAAGACGGCGAAGTGAGGCTTCTCACCAGTAAAGCGCTTCGTTTCTTCGAGGCAGCCAAAACAGCCGCGTTCAAGACTGTCGACATCAAAGGTCAAATTTGACCACGATGTCCAATCTGCAGTCCACACGCAAACCTCCCACGGCGGAACACCCGATGACGTTCCAGCTGTCAACTCTCTCCATCTTTGGGTTTTGATACCACAGCGATCGTGCGATATCCTTTCAGTGCGCGGATTTGCGCGCGTGATTTGCAGCTATATGCCTTCATAGAATCCCCTTTCAATCCGTGGAAATGCTAATTTGTAGTGACCAATGTCGAACCAAGGGGCCAGTTCCAGCCAGGCATTCGGAGCCCAATATCTGAGGTGGTCTCATTCAAAAGAGGATTTCCGGTGTCCGAGGGCTAAAGCACTTGGACCCTTGCTTTGCGACACCAGCTCGAGCTCGGTCGAAGCCATCGCTTTCCAGCATGCATGAAGCAACGGCACAGACAGTTGTTACTCCATGGTTTTTCAAATTTGGATAAATGTAAACGAGGCCCTCCCACGTCATGCGCGTATTCAAATTGCGGTCTGTGCCTGTCCAGTACAGGTGTAAAGACTGCTTACGATAGTGAGATGGCCAAAATGTTTTCTCGCGCCAAACAAAGATTTGACGACGGCGAGGTTGAGATATAGCTTACGGCAACGTTTTCGAATACCAGCGAGCTACACGTAACGAACGCTGGTCTTCTAGGGTGGTACCATACGTCGTCAGGTGCATTTCTAGGATGATTATGATCCCATGTCGTGCTTGAACGCGATGGACGGATTGCTAAGCGTACAGTCCATCCTACGGAGCAAGCCTCAAGCTGTAGGTTGTTCGTAATGAGCAGCTATCGTAAAATCCATTGAAAATATGAAGGCAGACTCCTTCACAATTTCCATGTTAATGTGCATATCTTGGTCATTCTCACTACTATCTATCAAATGTGCTGCTGAGCCTGAGAAATACATGGCCGCCATCCCGCCTGAACAAAAATCCTGAGCAGAGGGCACCAGCGGACCGCGACTTTCTGCTCCCTGTAGAAGTAGAGAGTGGAAAGTCAGCTGCTGCAGGATGCCCGCGGCGCCTAGTGGCAGAGTAGTAGTGTAAGCCTGTGCTACCCTGATTGAGTAGGGAGTAGGCTGAGGTGAGTGATGCCCTGGCTTGCCTGGTGGGTGATGATCGATAGTAGTAGGTAGTGCGTGCATGGCAAGTGCATGGCGAGTGCATGCATTTACGTGGTACTCTGTACCCCTAATCACTCCTGGCGAATGCCTTTTTAACAGCCACCGTCTCCTGAACATTCACCTCCGATTCATATCGCCGCATTGCACCCATCGCGCTTGCATTATTGAATCTGTCCCTGTAGTACTGTGATCCTCAGATCCTGCCGTTGAGACATCTGACTACTGATGAGCCCCCCGCCGCCGAGCCCAGACTTTCCCCGCCACTTCTTGCCCGTCGAGCCCGTCAAGTCCGCGCATAAGGGAGTTCTACCAGATCGGAACTTTTACGAGAGAAACCACCTCCGACAAATCTGAAGCCTACATCAGGACTTCCACCTCTTATCGCGGCTACTCCGACCACATTTGCCTGCAATTACCACTCTACAACCGTCAGCACAACCCTTCCATGTTCGGTCTGCACACTGCGACTCGTTCGGAGCGTGCCTGAGTGCGTGCTTGTCCGCGGTTGCGACTGGACGAACCCTTGACCGAATACCAATCATGAAGGTGAACTCAGGCTGCTCAGCAATACTCTCATGGCCTTTGCAGAGCTGAGCTTACGTTCCTAGGCCATACGACGCTCTTTGAAGGGCGAGAAAGATACTCGACCGCTACATACCTCAATACCCGCCAAATCCGCAATTGCCATACAACCGCCGAAGAAGGTATGATCTGTTTTGCCATACGCAGTCAATTTATATCATGATCGAGTCGCTGATAGTGGTCGCCGCGCCAGGTCATAAAAGCAAAATATGACTACAACCCGAATCCGGAACACACCCAAGGGTTGGCCTTTTCTAAGGGTGACTTCTTCCACGTCATTAGCAGGGAGGACGACACGGAATGGTATGAAGCATGCAACCCCATATCCGGCTCGAGGGGCCTTGTGCCGGTATCTTATTTCGAACATGTCTTCAAAACGGAGAGGCAAAGTGGGGGGTCCGTTCAGTCCGCAGCGAGCAACGCAATGCCGGCGCAAATGGATCAACCACAGTCGGAGAAAGCTGGCAGCGGCCAGCCAAGCTCAGGATCAGTGGGGAGGAAATCGGGACAGCAGATACGCTTGTCAGCTTTAGGGAAGAGTACTGGAGCGATGGTATACGGCGTGGTAATGTACGACTTCAAAGCGGAAAGGCCGGATGAGCTGGCTGCAGAGGCAGGGGAATCAATCATAATAATTGCACAGTCGAACCCGGAATGGTTCGTGGCGAAGCCAATCAAACGCCTTGGAGGGCCTGGACTGATCCCTGTCACCTTCATCGAGATCCGGGATATGAACACTGGGGACGCCGTCGTTGATCCCCATGAGGCAGTCCAAAGGGCGGGTGTTCCGAAGGTGGAAGAATGGAAGCGGCTCGCTGCAAATTACAAGAACAGTAGCATACCGCTCGGCAAGATTTCAGATGGGGGACTCTCCTCAACCCAGAATGGTATGGACCGGATGAGCTTAAGCAGTCAACATACCCCTGGCACGAACGGGGGCTTTCACCAAAGGCAACCGAGCCGAAACATGCAGAACAATCATGACCGGCAATCTCAGCGACTGAATCTTGCGCCCACCTCTGCCACCATCCCTCGATACATATTCGAAAATGATAAGTACTGGTACATTATCGAGTGCCAAATGGAGGACGGTCGCTGGTGGGAGCTTTCGCGGACGTACCAGAAATTCTACGATTTCCAGATTGCGCTCCTTCAGCAATTCCCAAAAGAGGCTCAAACCCCTCCGGGAGGCAAGCGAGTACTGCCTTTCATGCCTGGCCCAGTCACGTACGTCACAGACGCGATCTCGAATGGCCGAAGAGAGAGTCTCAACACCTACGTCAAAGAGCTTCTAGCTCTTGCACCGTACATATCCCGCTGCGATCTTGTCCGAGAACTATTCAACCCTGGAGATGGCGACTATGAGCTCGACCCGGATCGAGTCCAAGAGAACTTCCGGCACTCGGGCGAATCTCAGTCAGACATGACCGGTGAGCTCTCGCGGACTGCATCGCGCCAATCCTCTCAAGGTCGCATGAATGGCGGCGCAAATGGTGGGCCCACCGCCAGTATGAATGGCTACGGGAACATGGGGCCTCCGCCGCAAAAAGCGGCGCAACCAAACGGCCAGCAACCAGGACACTATCGTGACGCATCAGATATGAGCTACCACCACCCCGGGCACCAGCAACAAGACATACGACCGCAGCCATCTAACCTTACACAAGCATCATCCACCCATTCCTCCGCTCTCAATGCCTCCTCAACTTCCATCAACAACCCTGCTCACTCGTCTTCAAACAACAATGCCAGTAACAGTGGCGGTGCAACAGGCACGGGCAGCGCCATGAAAATCAAAGTGAACTTCCAAGACGAAACCATCGTGATCCGTGTGCCGTCAGACATCAGCTTCTCAGCATTAAGGGACAAATGCAAGGACCGGCTGAAGATCTCGGAGCGGGAAGAAGTCATGCTCTCTTACCGTGACGAGCCCACAGGAGGAAATTACGAGATGCTGAGCGACCGTGACTTGGACATGGCACTGAACCGAAACCAGCGCCTTTTGCTGACTGTCGCTTTTGTCTGATGCTTGCTCTCTTGTGATAACCCTTTGTTTCCTTCTGTGGAAGAACGTGTCTTTAGATGAATGAAGAACTTGCGGTGCTTGCGGGTTGTGGGGTAATGTTACGAGGAGGAAGGAGATGATGATGGTGACGAGCTTTACGGGGAAAGAGAAATGACTTCTGAGGAGGCGAGATAAGATGTTATGATGTGGCGACCGTGGACGAAGCCAATCTGATTGGAATTTCCCACGCGGACATGCGGGTGATGATATATGCAGCAAATGGCTTGGAGATATTCTTTCAATACCTACAAGATAACGCTCTGAATAGTAGGGGCATTGAAACCGTGAATGGATCTGTTCTTTTCAAGTCTTTTAAAGAAGCGAATGTTTCGCTCCTCCCACACATTCTTGTTATCTCTATGCAAAGATTCCGAATATGTCAGTCTCTAAATGTGGGAAGAAGGGCAAAGGCGCAGTTATGAGATAGACTGGGCTGAGATGCCTTTCGAAAATGCGCGGTTCATATATTCATGTCTGCTAGAGTCTTCCCATTTCTTGCCTCTACCATTTAGGGAGAGCACAGGTTATAGGCAGACTCTTGATTGTCCTAGAAAAGCTTTGAGAAGACACATCAATAATGTTACAATTATTATTCTATCCTCTACGTAATGCTTTCTTTCCCGCTCAAAGCACTGTTCCAAGTCGACATAAGAGCTAAGGATGCGAAATTCGCAAAGCATATCTTGAGAAGACAGGTCCAGATTATACGAATGAAGTATTTGCCTTCTCACGATCTTGTGCTAAGTTCTTGAAGCGCTCCAACAAACCGCTATCAAACGAATAGGAGTAGGAAGGAAATGCAGCAGATCCTGAAGGCATCTCATTATGATTGAAAAGATTTTTGCTACTTCTCTGAAGTCTCTCTTCTCGTCATATTTCCGTCGAAAAATGTGTTCCATATCAAATAAGGCTGAGAGTATTCTAGAAAATAAGTTTCCAGGGGGGCCGCCGCCTTTTATACCAGCCTTGTGTTGTCACTCGTATCTTTGCGCTGACACGTATATACTCGGCTGTCCAGATGCCCTAGTCGGTCCACTCCCTCTCGATGTAGCGAGAAAGCCTCCTCCAGTCGTCAGACATATATTCTAAGATTTCTCCGACTATCTCTTCTAAATCGCCAAAGGAAAATCTGGCCTTTCTTAAATCGAACTCTCATGTGCTCTATCATCGCTTTTGTTCCGCTTGGCGCCGTGTCTAAGGATCCATAGGCCTTCATCAATGTGCTGTCCATTGGTATCCACTTTGACCGGTATCGGATAGGTATGACTTTCATACATGCATACACCCGCTGTATCAAATTCGACGAGACGCATTGTTTGTGTATCTCAAATTCCTAGCAATGCGCCTCTTGTCTCCGTCCCCAGCTGAACCCTCCACAGCTTGTGCTCTCCAAAACACCAAATCTCGCCATTCCTGCCAAAACAGAAATTTGCACAGCCGCCCTCGATCTGTATCTTGCCGATCAACATCCCACCGCCGCTCCAGATATTGATACCGTCGCCACAGCCTGAGTACACATTACCGAAGATGTCGCACTTGATGCCATCCGGCGCACCGGTATCTGCGTAAGCGAAAACGCGCTTGTTCGTGAGGAATGGCGCAGAGTGCTCCCAGTGGACCGTGTATGCGTAAACAGTTGCTGCACGGCGATAATCAGTCGTGCCGTCGCCATGAATGTAATCTGTATCTGTGATGTAGATCGTGTTCTCATCTGGAGCGAAGCACAGCCCGTTCGGTCTGCCGAAGCCATCCGCCACGACACGGATGTCGCCCGTGGACGGATCGAACCGGTAGACCTGCTGCGGAAGCTGCGGTTTTGGGCGAAACCCTTGCTCGTAACCGTAGATTGGATCTGTGAACCAAATGGAACCATCAGAGTGAACAATGACGTCATTTGGGGAATTGAAAGGGCGAGAGTGGTAATTGTTCAACAAAGTGATCGTTTTATGAGGTCGCTTAGCTTCCATGTAGATGAGGCCGGAAGGTTCACGAAGAGAGCCTTGCGCGCACAGGATGAGGCCATCGCGATAATTGGTGCCGCCATTGGCCATGTAATTGCGCTCCGGGCAGCGAACTTTGTCGCGAGTGAAGTCTGTGGGAGAGAAGAATTCGATTTTCGTAACGACAATGGTTTTGTTGCGGGTTGTGACAGCATCAGGGGAGGGATCTTCGAGTTGATTGGAAGTAACGAACAAGGTGTTGGTCGGGGGATGGAAGACCCCAGCTTCATGGAAGTAAGGACCACGTGGGTCATCAATTAGGAGCTGAAGCGTTGGGTTGGGACCGAGGAGTGACAGGAAGGAGTCGTGATAAATCAGGAACGGTTTTGGTTGGGGAGCTTGAGGGGGCACAACTTTCTGTCTAGGGGGAAAAGGTCAATTGGGTATCTATTGAAACGAGAATGAGGGATGCCTCACTGCCATAACGCCTCGCTTTGCCTGTTGATCCGCTGTAGATTCTTACTGTCTGACCATGGCTGCTGGGGGGGCTGCTGTGACGGCTGACGTGACGGCTGACGTGACGGAGGTCGTCTTTGGAAAAGATTTGCTGGTGAGGCAGGACGAGAGTTGGAGGCGCTTGAGGGGCGGTCACTGTCCCGCTTGTGGGAGGACTTGGATGAGTCGGAGAAGGAGACTTTATGCCCTGGAGATAACAGGTTACCATCGCCGGTCCTACCATCGCTCGTCCTGGGTCGGTGAGACAGCCAATGGTGAGACATAGCGTCTGTGACAGCTGCACAGCTGGAGGGGATGAATGGAGCGTAATGGTAAAAAAAGATACGTAGAGGATCTTGAGCGGATGGCGCTCCAAGGAAGAGAGGTGGGGTCTGCGGGAACCCCCGCAATACGCAACAACTTTTAGTCTTTTGCTTCGATGCTCTCCAAGAGACAAGAGATGGGAGATGCGATTGAGAAATGAGTGGACACAATGATACGAATGCTGAGCGCGAGCAGGTCTTCTTCCCCTGAGAGAGTGCGAAAGTGATTTTGAAAAAAGGAAGAGCAAAGGAGACGGGAAATCAGAATCGCATTCAAGCTTCCCTCCCAGTCCCACGAAATGAAGGCATGATTGGGCATAGAAGGGAGCTTCGAGGCATGCTAGGCCTCGTAGGCTCGCTGAGCCAGCCAGCCACATCAGGCTTTAGCCTTGGAAAGCGGCGCATACCTTTAGGATAGTATTTCTTAGCAGATTTAGCACCGCGGTGCGACTTCGAGTGGCTGCCGTAGCGGGAGATCATAGCGTGAGTGAAGGAGTGAATGTGAGGGAATCCATCGGCCACGCTGTTGAAGATTTGCATGTTGAATGGTGAGCGATCGTTCGCTTGTCGTTCGCATGGGCCTGGCTATAAGGACAGGAGCATTTTCCTCGAGCTGGCTGCAGAGAGACAGCGTACGTGCAATAATGGCGGAAGTCCATGGACGGTAGGTGCACTTCAGATCTATTCATATCCATATCCCTGGTCGTCGTGCCACTGCATAAATCCGATGAGCCCTGCTGGCCCCACACAAGAAACTGCTTTGCCTGATCTGCGGGATCTATCTGGCCACGAGGCGACAGAGTGCGCCATCATTGCCCGTGCACCTCCACCATGGATCCGCGCCTACTATTCGCCTTTCGAGACTCACTTGCTGTTCTGTCCTTCCCGGCGTCGTAGTCTGCATGGGAGACTGCCGCAGCTGCACACGCGCCAATCAAGCCGCAGTATACGCCGACTCTCTCGCCCGTCTCGTTGAAACATATCAACGGTTGTAGTATGAACCCGGTACTGAAACGACGCATAGGCACCCGCCATGGAGACCTGCATCGACTCTTCTTCCGGCAAGGCCAATGACGAAAGGGTTCGGCGTATGTCAATGGTCAAAAGACATAGAGGCCCTTTCTAGCGGTTGCGTCATCTTGCAGCCGTTTGTGTGCTTTCAGGACGCCGCCTACTGTCCCACAGCTGAGCCCGCACGCCGAGGTTGCTTGTAGGATCTTGCAAATGCAAGTAAGACTCCTGTCATGATTATCCAACTCACATAGAATCCTCTCTCCATCGGGACCGCACTCTTTGCCAGCCTTCTCGTTCGTCCAACCCTCCACGGTGCTCCATTCCCAAGCCTCGCTCAACCCATTCCTGGCTGCCCATTTCGCTAAGGCGACTCAAAGCTCTCGAAAAGGCGAAACGCTCCTCATCGCCCGAGAACATGCTGCTGCTTTTCAGCATGGTCATGCTCATATCCAAGTCATCCATCATCTGCCTCATCACATCGTCCACGCCTTCATGGTCTTCTTCGTTCTTGACTGTGCCGCCTTTCCTGCCGTGTTCAAGTGCCTCATCAATCTCATCTGCCGACATGAATAGCTGAAATAGTGGAACGCCCGTTGTGAGCACCAGCTTCGCTCGGCTTTCGTATACCGCATCGATGAAGGTGATGAATCTGCGGGCTAAGTCTCTTGACTTATGTGTCATACCTGGAACTTCTGTAACGATGAACGCATGATACGATCTTGTCAGCTCCAAGTAATCCGCAGCCCCAGTAGCTCTGCCAATTAATTCACGGAAGGTGAACATAGCAGCATCTCCACTTGCTTTTGGTACCTCAACCTCACGACCCCAGACATGATGAGTAGCTTTGTGCGGTGGATCGTGTTCAAAATCTCCGAGAAAACGAAACCATTTATTGGCATGCGAGCGTGCAGCTTTATCCAAAGGGTGATGATAAACCCCTGATGGCGGTCGTGGGATCTTTCTATAGTCTGTGGTGGAGTCTAAATTAAGCACTCGAAGCTTCGTCTTCAGCAAATTAATACATGGAATGAAAGAGGCGCGTTGTATACCATTTTTATACAAATCATCTGGATGTCTATTTGAAGTGGTGACCAGCACGACCCCATGAGACATCAAAGCTTCCAAAAGACTGCAGGTGCTGTCAACAAAAAAGAAGTGACTAGTACGTGGGTTCCTGGTCTTACCTCCGTAAAATCATAGCGTCAGCGACGTCAGTGCATTGGAACTCGTCGAAACAGAGTACACTGCCTTTTTCAGCGATGTCTGCGGCAACGTACTGCACAGCGTCCAGATCAGTGCCATGCTCCGTCTTCATTGCATGCAGTCGCTTATGTACATCTTGCATGAAGTTATGAAAGTGTATGCGGGTCTTGGATGTGATATTGTGTGGTAGAGTATCAAAAAACATATCCATTAGCATCGTTTTCCCACTGCCCACGTCGCCAAACATGTAGAGACCCTTTGGCAGATTCTCAGGAAGCAGTGTCCGTTTCTTCCGTGGAGCTGGATGAAAAAAAGAGAAGACAGAGCGTGAGGTTGGCCTGAGAGATTCGATACTTGGGTGAGCAACTTCGGGCGCCTCATAATCAATAAGCATGTCATGTAAATCTTGAAGTGTCTGCACGATGGTGCGTTGGTGCTCATCGTCTCGAAGCTGGCCGCAGTGTATTCTCCTCTCGTATTCATCGAGCGGTCCCCATTTGTCTGGATTGAAATGCTGCACCGTCGCCATCTCTCTGAGTTCGCAGTTGTGTATTGTCGTCCACGGCTCGACCCTTCCTCGCTGCGAATGCGCGGAGAGCGGCTGCTTTTTGGCGACGCACCATCTCGCGCCGGTCGACCAAGCACGTCTAAAAAGGCGAGCCTGCGTCAGCCGGGGTCTACCTTTGCCTTGAGATCGTGGAAAGGCTCTTTGGAGGGCAATGAGTTTGGCCGACGAAGCCATGGATGAAGATCGAATTGCATGCTATCGAGCCAGAGAAGTACCACGACCATAATCAGACGAATACAACAGTGAACTCAGATGTGTAGAGGGTAAAGACGACATCCTCTCTCGGTATAACGTGCTGCTTGGGCTTCGCACAAATGTCGAGAAGCACCTAACAAGTGGAAAGTGGTTGGTCTGTAGGTGGCGGCCGGTTTGCGGATAGGGCAGGCTAACCCCTTGTTCTACCCCTGAGCCATCAAATGGGCAGAATTGTAGTCTTAAAGCGTGAACAGATTCTACAAAAGCAGGTATTCTCAGCGTCTTCAAAGATTTCCTTTCACATTATGTCTAATAGTTGCTATCTGTAATATCGAGGCCTCACACGAGTCCTGAAGCAACTCTCGGTCTTCTCTTCGACTTCTCTGCTATCAGCACAAGATGATCGCTTTTTCAAATGCTAGTAATAAACAAAATAAATAGTAAACAGTGTGGTGTGCACGTCGAGCATAATCATGGTAATATACATTCCGATGCTGGCTCTGGCTCTCTGGTCTATCCAGTAGTAACTTCGTGGGGAATAGTGGAAGATCGAATGAGAAGGAGTTTTCTGGTCTCTGGGGTGTGGGCTGATGACATGATATTGAGCATGGCGGCTCGTAGACCCAAGGTCGAATGATTCAAGCTGTAGAGGTGGGTATCCTGGCCTAACGCCTTTTAAATCCTCTGACGCTTATTCCCAGTCGCACCCGATGCCAGTTGAAGTGGTTATGTGGTTCTCCTTAAGAACAGTACTAGATTCGTATGATTATGTAGAAGAGTTTCAATTCCATCCCAGCGAATTCTCTGCCATAACTGGCGCTGAAATCTGTTGTCTTCCGGAGCTACCAGCGCTTCTTCCTGAGCCTCTGGATTCAGCCCTGTCATAGAACGGGCTGACACTCCGCTCTCCGTTCATTGCTCCAGACATCAGCGCTTGGCCGGCAGCTGGGTCGGCGCCGACATGTGACATGACTGGCGATGCAAACATGCTTGGACTTCTCATATGGGATTGCCTTCTCTTCTTGTACCGACGTGCGACGAAGAACATGGCAGCACCATACGCAGCAGCACCACAAGCGACGCCGACACCGATAGCAACACTTTTAGACTGCACTGGCGATGAACTGCCAATGTTGCCTCCAATTGGCGCAGCCCCAGTAGTTGTGGCTTCAGGCTCGGAACCGGTTTTGGAGCCAGAATCGGTTTCATTTGTGGCCCTAATTGGGACCGCGTTGTTTACCATACTGACAAGCGTCTTGACACTGGGATCGGGATGGTTGTAAAAGGTCCCGGCCGGAGTATGGAGCGCCAGGCCGAGGGTATCGACAAGATGCGATGGAATCCAGGCAAGAGCAACTGTCGTTATGTAGTGTAAATCTTGCGTCGTGTCCCACGCTTTCAGTGTTTGCATCGTGATGTTTACGAGCTCGATACTCAAGCAATGACCAATAGCCTTTGGCAGGAATGTAAAGATCTGTTTTTGTGACTCGGAGTGAATCCAGACAAAATCATAGTTCAAAGGATAGAGAAATGCAATTTGTATCAAATCGCAGTTCGGCGGGCGCGCGACCGGGCCGGTTGGGGGGTATATCGTTTGTGGCACGTTGGACGGTATGCCTGTGGAGACCGTTTCGGTACCGGTGGTGGCTGGGGCGGACGACGGCTCGTATGTGATGCTAGACTCAACAGGCTGAACGGTGTTCTGATCATAGCTGATGGGTTGCTGGGTGAAGGGCCCCTTTCCATCCGACGGATAGGCCTGCGATGTAGTAGCAACAGGCCCAGCGGTAAGAGCCGGTTTTGACTCCGGTGATTGCCCCTCTAAGGTACCTGTGGCAGTAGCTTGTGAGCCAGTGTTGACAGCTCCTTCTGGAGCTGAGACTCCGGATGCAGCTGTCACAGACGGGAGCGTGTTATTTTCCTGTTTGCCGGCTTGTGCAGATGGTGAAGCCCCAACTCCTGTACTCTGAGCACCAGAGACGACTGGCACGACCGAGCCATTAGGCAATGTCGTTGAAGCGGGTACCGGGATAACTGAGCCATTTGGTAAGGTCGTTGACGCTTGTGCTGCTGCTGAACCCGAAGGTTCTCCCTTTTGCTTTTGGTAAAACTCGCCAGCATTTGATGGGGACGATGGCGATGTAGGGGGATTCGAGACCGGAACAACATCACCATTCGGCAGCGTCGTAGAAGCTCCCACAGGAGACCCTGACTGCTGTGGTAGAGGTAATACGACCCCGTTGGTGTTATTCGCACTCTCCTGACTCAAAGTTGCTTTCTCACCTTCTGCGAAGCCTGAGGCTGTTAGAGCAGGATTTGGGATCACGACACCATTCGAGAGGGTAACTGATTGAGGTAAGGCTATGATTTGGGCGGAATTTGTTTGGGCAGGGTTCGCAACCAGCACGCCGCCTGATGTTATCGAAGCCGGGACGTTAGGAATGACACCGGCGGATAGTCCTTCAGTACCTTGAGTATCATTTGTCGCGGGCTTTTCGACCTCCGAGGCAACAACACCACTTGGGTTTGGGATCAGTACACCATTCGAAGTGACTGACGGTAATGGCTGTGCAGCTTCTACGGGCAAGGATAGTCCACTGAGAACTTGAGCGGCCTGAGACTCTTCCGGGTTGGAGACGAGGACTCCGCCAGATGTGATGGAAGCCGGCACGTTGACCAAATTGGCCGCACTTTGAATTGTCGCCAAGGGATTGGACACTAGTTGCCCATTTGACGTGATTGAAGCTGGGATGTTAGCAGGACGATTATTGTTAATATCACTCGGGTTTGTTGTGTCATTTGTAGCTCCATTGCCACTGTTCAACACATTATCTTGCACATTATTCCCTATTGTTGTAGGTGACGCCGTCAGACCGGTTTCAGCGTTGTTGGCTCCTTCGAAGACATTGTTGCCTACGCTCTTCACGTCATCAATATCACCAGTAGTCCCCTTGCTTAAATTGGGCGGACTATTTTCATTGGTTTCACCTGTCGCCTGTGGATTTGGAACAAGCACCCCACCAGAAGTAACAGAAGCAGGGATTGTATTGACGTTCTTGTTGGCAGTATCGAGGGTGTTGACGACGTCGTTGATGATGCCGTTATCGTCATTGTTAGAACCTGATTGCACTTTGGTTGGGACAGAGACACCAGGCGTTATTTGTGGGTTTGCCACCAGTATTGCATTGGAAGTGACGGACGCAGGAAAGTTGTTGACATTGTTATTAACGTTGTCGAGAGTATTGACGACATTAGCGATGTTGCCATTGCTACTCTTGCCATTCTCATTATTATTGTTACTGTTTCCACCATTGGTAGAATCCGGGCTACTTTGGTCAACGATAGGAGCAGAGGGCGTTATCTGAGGGTTTGCCACCAGCACTCCTCCAGATGTGACGGAAGCAGGAATCTTGTTGGCCGCTGTGCCGCCTGGAATGACTCCGTCCTCCGGGTTTGAAGTAGGCTGAGAACCAGATGCACCTGTGTTCGATACACTACCTCCGTTGAGCAAATTATTATTGCCACCGCCAAAGCGGTTAGAGCTTGTTGATGCTTTGGTGCTGGCAGGTTGGTTACTGACGACATTTGCTAGGATTGGATTCTGCACAGGATTAGTCTGTTGCCCGGAAACATTAGTGTCCGTATTTGTGCCGGTGTTCTGGTCGTTGAAGGGATTCGTGGCGGTGTTCTGGCCTCCTACATTTGAAGAGCCTTTGCCAAGTCCTCCGACAACTTCATTGACTACGTTACCGCCTGTAGTACTCGTCGCTGATGGAGCTTGCGCATTCTGCCCGGTGTTGCTATTACCTCCTTTGCTGGTAGTATCCGAGGTACCACCAGAAGCACTACTGCTAGGTGGAGGCGAGCTAGTCGACGAGGGAGAGGTGTTGCCTTGTTGAACGTTGTTTTCTACTGGGACGTTTACTGAGGGTGTAACAGACGGCAGTGCTTTGCCCCCAGTGCTTTGGTTTGCCCCTGGCGAGCTTGTCGTCGTGGGTGCCTTTGTACTGGATTCTGTTGAAGATGGACTAGAAGCACCAGTAGAAGAGGGCGAAGTCTGATCAACTACGGCACCCTGTACTAGAGTATCTATGTTCGCCGAAGACCGACTGGTTAATGTAGAAGGTGTGGTTGGTGAAGTTGAAGTGCCAGTCGTCTGGGTGCTCGAGGTGTGCGTTGTGGTTTTGGCAGGCTCAGTCTGAGTCGAGCTGGGAGTCGTTATAGTTGGACTTGGGCTCGGTGACGGTGATCGATCTCCTTCTCCGCCCCCGAAAGGATTCCCATTAGGATACCCATTACCTCCAGCGAAACCACCAGGGAAACCGCCGGGCAAGCTGCTTGTTGTTTCGTTATAGTAGCGTCGAACGTTTTTCTTCAGGAAACGCGGCCTGTCCACTTCACCATTTGACCCACCGGGTGCTCCACCGGCGACACAAAGAGTCGGTTCAAAGATCGAAAACACAGCAAGGGTCGCCGCGAGGATCACTGAGGATCTTCGGACCATTGTTCTTCGTGTGTCTATGCTTGAAAAATGAGGTTCGGATTAGTAAATCAGATAGCTCTCGAATGTAGATTGTGACAGCTACGGACGTTAGTAAACGCCACATGAAGTGCCTGGATCTGTCTTACTGCCAGGGATGACTGAACGAGTGTACTTGACAGGTCAAGATTAAATAGATTGTTACTATTGAAGTCAGCAACGGGGGTCTGCTGTCAAGTTGTTGTTAGCAGGGCTTACAATCGCAGAAGGCGAAACTTGAATAGCACAACTCAAAAGAGTGTAACGGACACGAACGGCCCTAGCAACGGGAAAAGAAGCGACTCAGCAGTCGCAGCACCTCTAGCTATGACCTTCGGTAGGGGATGAGAGGATGGATATCCTTTCAGGAGGTAGATAGCACGTTCAAAGGCTCGCTCGACCGGGCTGGTGGCTTTCGGCAATGGTCTTTCTCTTAGTCGCAGAACCCCGCCTGGTTCAACGGTCCTTTGTCCGTGCAGGAATCGCCACGTCGTTCAGCGCCGAGACCTCATGTTCATTGTCCTAATTTGATTAGGGTGGCGTCTCTCGAAGGGTAGACCGAACAAAGATGACTTTGCGACACTTCCTCCAGCCGCCCGAGTCTCAAATCTATCTCTCTTGCTTGCTCGTGCGCTGAGATTACTGTTGCCAGTGCACTTGGACCGATAGCCAGATCCTTCTTCTGCTTCCAACGCGGGTTTGAGAATAGGAATGAGGCCACGGGGGGTCCTCTTAAGACGCCGGGTCACTCCTCGTAGTCTCTACCTCAATTAAATGCCACGACCAGGGCGACACACGGACGTAGCTGAACGAGCGTGTTGATAAGCAGGCGAAGTAAAGACTGTGTGCGACGACAGTTGAAGGTCGTGAAGTCGCGGAAATAAAGAATCTGTTGGGGGAAGACTGTGTCGTGAAACTTGGCCCCTTTACCTCCCGTTTCTGTCCTTCTACAGGTGGTCAATTGAAGAAGAGGTGACCTTGTGCAGTTGCCAATACAGATCGCCGGGGCGTATCTGTATACTTGCTCGGTCGGCGGCGGTGAGGGTGGTGAAGGTGGGAGTGGGAGGGTGCTTTGCACTGCTGGTTGGTTGTGAGAGTAGAGAGAGTGAGCAGCTGCACCGTGGGAAATTGGCTGGGCGAGAAGCTGGGCGGGCTAGGGCGTGGGGCTCAGGGCGGCAAGATCTTGGCCCGAATGGCGCAGAGAGCGGTTAGCAACGTTAGTATCTAACTTTCTAAATATTACGGTATTATTGAGCTTAGTCGTCTTTCTATCTATGGATCACCACCGTTCGCTACGGGAGGTACCACATGTTGGTTCTCTGTTCCTCTGGTTCGCTCAGGGGGAAAATGCATGCAACAGGGGAGCATGAATAACAATAACAATGCCATTCCCCTGGTCGCAGCGGTACTGATGTCGATGGTGGAGTCATCCGATCTTCCGCCTCCCATCTCCCTCTTGTCCCGTCTGGGGCATTCAGGCTGCAGCAGGGGGGGAGGGGGTCAACGCCAGTGCTGCGGGATGAGGATAACGAGCACGAAATGAGGAAGGCAGCACAGGCATTAAAACGCTTTAAGCTGCCGTAGCTCCCACATTCAGGCACAGGCCTGCAACTTCCCCAAAAGCAGCGTCGGATTTCTCTCCAGCCGTGTCGCTTGGTCCTCCGCCAGCAGCTCGCGCAATTAGAGGAAGGCAGGTCGGTAGGTAGGTAATCATCTCATGCACGGCGTCTGTACCTCTGAGAGTCGTGGGTAGCCTCCAGCGTTGAATTCACGATTGTGCAGAATCCTGCCCTGCATGACCTGTCACTCGCACATCTATCTGCATGGGCACATCTTCGGAGGTAGTCAACCGTCCTGTGATTCCTGACGGAGGATCCAGACTTGTGCGCATTTGTGCCAGGCGATGCATAATACCCGCTTGACAAATGGCGGTGCAACCAAAGCTTTTTAACTCATCATTATTATTATTATTGCAACTGTTGCGTACACGGTGGGGGCTGGTTTAGAGGCGCAGCCCGCGAGAGTTGGGCGTGAATTGAAGCTTGTGGGTGATGAGCGAAGAAAAAGCAGCTGAACCCCTACGAGACATCATCACGTTGTATTATTATTGAACAATAGAACGATATTCATCATTCTAACCCGGAGCCCAAGGCGCAGAGCACCGGTACCTGGATGCAGAAGAAATGGAAGAAATGGAAGAAATGGAATGGAAGGGTCGGTCAAGGATGGCACCGTTGGTACACGCGATCGGCTCTTCTCTTCCTCTCACGCACGTGGCAATTCTGTCTCGTCTCAGGAACGATCAGCAAACATCTCAATCTTTTAATATTCACGCTCTCGTTGGTGACAAATCATCGCTTCTCAACTCCAATTATTAATCCGGTCGACCTCTGCTCGAGGACCGGTGAGCTCCAAGGCCATGGACGTGCATTCATTCTACCTTGGGTCCCGAGCCGCACCTCGGCCAGCTGCTCGAATGTCTTTGTTGGGGCAAGTCTGCTTCTATCGCGTCCAGGGCGTTGATCCTACTTACCTAGCCGCACACATGACACGCTTTTGCCTCACTCCTGGCAACTCGTTCCTGAAAATACCGTTGCTGGTTGCTGGTGGAAAGCCACCACGCCGCCGGCTCCTTCGGATCAGATCATTGTGATTGGTACCACTTTCCTGCACGTGCGCCAGTCCTTCAAACAGTCAATTTTGCATTTCGGGCTGCATGATGATGTCCCTTTTGCGACTCATCGATAGTAATGGCCGCCCAGATGGACTGACGGGGTGCTAAACGTTGCATCAGAAAGACACCCAAAGAACCTCTAGTGATCTTGTTCTTGCCATGCACGACCTGATTATTCTGTCCCCCTCCATTTTTCTAACGATCCTCTTGGATCATCATTGGTAATTTGCTTCAAGGTGTCCTACTTCACGTATGGTGTTGCTCGCAAGCGCCTGTCATAGTTCTTCCCGTAACTTCAACTTCCAACACACCACCCCTGTACGCCTTGAATATATGTTTGCTTCGAAATTTTAGCTCTTGTGTATGTCAATGCCGTCGAGCTCAACTATTCATGACCACCTCTTCTGCTACAGCTCCATTCTTTCACTCGAGTAAGCGGGCAACCCGATAATAGGAAAACCAATGACACCCAGCATTCTGGGGAAAAGGGGCAAGGACTTCGAGAAGACGGACGTCGGCTCAATCTTGTGCTCATAGTATTCCAATCATGAGCAAAGCCCATTGATAAATCGGAAATTCGACTTCAAGCCTATCCTTCAGAGATGATAAGTACACTCGGATCCGTGTAGGTGCTGCATCCCTGTGTTTACGGTCAATCGAAAAGTGCTCGTTTCGACTTCACGATGTCCTGGGCTCGTCCTCACTCTTGCTAAAAGCACTCAAGAAGTCGTTCAAGTTTGAACTTACTTAGCAAACCATTGTAATCGGTGCTCAATGCATGAAGAATGAGTAGCCGGAAACACGTACGCGTTGAAAGGTGTGCTACGTTGATCAATCGTTCTCACGCATTTGTTTCAATCTGAATGAGTAGAGGAGAAGCTTAGCTATGCAACAACGCCCCACGCTCCGTCATGTCGGATCGTTCTTCTCTGACCGAGAATGCGTAAACCTACTCATCAGATCCATCGACCCCTGTCCACTGACCACTACTTTACTCCAAGTACACGCCAACACCGTAGCAAGCTGCAGCAGTCATTGTGCCAGTGAGCAACATCCATTTGATCCGACTCCTCCTGCTTGCCCTCCTTCTGTGGTTCCTGCTTCTGCGTCTTTTCTCTTGCCATCTCTGGTTTTCTCCAGCCGAAAATACTTCCTCTTCGCGGCGCATTTTGCCCTGAGAACGAGGTAATACAGGTCCAACTTCTTGCTGTTGTTCCTCTGGCGGTATGATCGGATTATGGTTTACGAAGCCAGTTGGTGAAGCGAAGTTTCCGGTCGACACTTCTGGCGTTGTGGTGCCGTCGATCGGGTTTGGACGATGATGGTAGTCTTCCTTGGATGTAACGAGCTCGCGCGTCTTTTTGAGGACTAGGATATCATTGCCACCAGAAACAACGTCGTAACCTTTGTTGTAAAGATTGGTAAGATGTGGTAAGAATTTGCCGGGATTGGAGAGTGTTTGGAACGCTTGTGGAGGTGTCAGCGTGGTCTCATCCATGAGGTGCTGGGATGAAAATTTAGCAGAGTTGACTTTTTGTGCTGAGCTATCGTACGCGAGTATCCGATACAATGAAAAGTCCGCGGTATTGGTGGTATCATTTGAGATGGATACTGTGCTCAAAGCATTTGATACTTGTGATCCAGTCTCCAGTTGTTTGGCAGGCTTTGACACATTGCCTTGGGCTAGATCCGCAAGGCTCGCCATTTTATACCATCCTTCACGCAATACAGCACGTAACTCGTCGCCTGTCAACGTCGCTGCAGTAGCGAATATACTCTTGAGGTCTTTGGTGAGTTCCAGTGCGGTGGCTTCCTTCTTTTCGAAGTTAGGTGCTGGTGGGGAATTTTCGACAGCCTCTGCCCTTGAATTGCTGGTTAGTTCTACCGTGGGTCGTCGCTCATTCGGCTGTCTCTCGGGAGAAACACCTTGTGTCATCCATCCTGGAGGTACGGAACCGGTCATCTGCGGGCTTCCTGCTTCCTCTGTACGCGTTGCAATACTTGAATTGCTGAATTGGTGGTGCTCTGTCCCAATTTTACCATAAGCGTCTTCGTAGATATCTCGAATTTCTCTGACCAGGGCCTTCTCCGCCGCAAGGCGATGAAACTTCGCGTCCATTTCGCACTGAGCATGGGGAGCTTTTCTCTTATACCATCTTGGCCGATTCAAAAATTCGTGGATATTGCTTGCCACGTCTCCTTCTCCTCGGATGCCATCTTCGGGTGGAGCAGACTCCAGGAGATTGCTCCTTGGTTTCTGGGATCGATGGCATTCCATATTTAACATTGCATCTTTCTGCTTGCTGACCTCCTGGTCAAGTAATTGCTTAGCTTTGGTCGCCGCGTTCCTCCTACGAGCCTCTTGAATGCGATGTTTCTCATCAAGTATACGCTTTTTCAAGTAGGTATAGTCTTCGCTCAAACGATCGATATTCTGTTTTAGAGGTACTAGCTTTGACCTAATAGCATTGATGTGGCTGCTCGTTAGTATTGAATAATTCGGCGCACATTCAGGCGTTGGCTCTCGTTTGCTTTGTGGTGGACGACTATCATCCCGAGAAGCTTCACGTGCTGCTTGAGCAACATCTTTTGTATCAGAGTGACGTGCTTCTGGACGACTCGCAATCTCTCTCCGCCGAATGGCACTTTGAGCTAATTCCTCGGCGAGCTTACCCTCCAGCACCGATGGCGGTCTGTCAAATCTCGCCTCTAGCGACTTCTGCCGAGCTTGCTTCTGAGAAAGATCCTCCTTGAGTGGGCGACCCCTGAGTCCAGCTGATGCTCTCACGTCGCTTGCTCGAAGAAGATCAACATCATCCTTGCGATTTTGTTGGGCTTGTGGTTCACAGTTAGGAGATGACTGGGTGGATAACTCAGATCCCTTTTTCCTAACATGGCGATCCAAAGCGCTCTCAACCTTTGATATTTTCGACAAATCAATGTCTGATATCAAGTCTGTGTTCTTCCCAGACTCTGTTATTGAATCACTAAAGCGAAATCCTTCTTGAGTGAGCCAGTCCCGAGCAGTGGTGTTTCGGTAGATGTCAGATTGAGTCGATGGGATGTTGCCTGGGACAGTCGGTTCCACATTCGCAGAGGAGGATTTGAACTTTTTGACGGGAACGTCGTTTGACTTCGACTCTGAAGTGCGTGAAGGTGGTTCAATTTTTGACTTGGTGCTAGCGACTGCTTTAGGTACTTTATATAGTGTTATTGGATCAATTTCGTACTCTTGCAGTTCAGCAGGCGCACTCTTTGGCGTTTTTGTTCCACCATTGACACGGTGTTTGACCTGAGACACGGCCTCGTCCCAAGGGCCTCTCAACCCTTCAGCAGCTTCCGAAGATCTGCAGGTCCTTACTGTGTCCGGCCCTTCGTTCGACCAGCGAAGGCATCGATTCGACGCCCCGAACAATGCTTCATATGGATCTGTCTCAAGCCTTTTGGCAAGATCCTCAAACTTCTTAGCATGCTGCTTATCCCATCGACGCCACCAATCTTCGATATGATTCTCCAATACAGTTTGTTCTTTCCCATGCAATACGAGGGGCTTCCTCCAATAGCTAGCTGATCTCCAGAATTGAGAGCCTGACAAAAGCTTCACTCTAGACCGACCACTTAGTTGGACCCTGTGCTGCCGTCTTGTTCCGTGTAGACTCGAAGTGTAGGAGGGTGTGCGTCCTTTGGCTTCCCTATAGCAACAGCCTTGTGATTGTGCATTTGACCAGAACGCTCTAGTCGAAACAAGCGACTTGCTTGAATGATATGGTGCCATCAATTCGAGAGCCGATAAGCTACTTCGAAGGCTTGTAGGCCTCAAGCATTTCCGAGTCGTCAGCATCTTGCAAGGCTCCAATGTTGTGTCATACTAGCTGGCCCATACGCCAAGACCAACCACCCAGGCTGAGATCAGATGAGAGCCGAAAGTAATGTAGCCACACTCTTGTGATGGAGTGCGCAAGGGGGGACTATCTGTATACTACTGTGCCATTGCAGCAGGTCCCGAAGCTCCGACGTGAATGGAATTCCCCGCCACGTTAGGCTGCTTGCGGCTGAGGGGTGTTCTTATCGATTACGAACTCTACGACGCGCTTCGAAACCCACTTTACGCGTCTTGCAATACAGTATCTTGAGTGATCATGGGAGATTCAGAAAGCACACTGTCGGCATCGACTAGAGAGACGAAGTCTAGTCAGCATGAGGAATATCAATATTTGAATTTAATTCGCAGTATTCTTGAATTTGGCGAGCACCGCCCAGACAGGTAATGGCTAGGATACTCTCTTCGACGTCGTAGATTCAACATTAATCTTTACAACCAGGACCGGTACCGGTACATTATCGCTGTTCGCGCCCCCGCAGCTTCGCTTCTCTCTGTCTCGGCCGTCATCGGAACCTGGAGTACCACCAACGCCAATCCTTCCACTCATAACCACCAAGCGTGTCTTCCTACGCGCAGTCATCGAAGAACTCCTATGGTTCATTGCAAGCAAGACATCGTCACAGTCGCTCTCAGCGGCAGGTGTCAAGATTTGGGATGGCAACGGCTCCCGTGAGTTTTTGGATGATCTTGGTCTGACAGAACGAGAAGAAGGGGACCTTGGTCCAATATATGGCTTCCAGTGGCGGCACTTTGGTGCTTCGTATATCGATTCCAAAACAGACTACGCGGGCCAAGGTGTAGATCAGCTGCAAGAAGTCATCGAGAAGCTGAAGCACAAGCCGTATGATAGGAGAATAATCTTGAGTGCGTGGAATCCAGCAGATCTGAAGAAGATGGCCTTGCCTCCCTGCCACATGTTCTGCCAATTCTATGTCAGTTTTCCGAACGCAGCAAGAAATGGTGCGCAAGAAAAGGGCAAGACCGCTCTCAATGATGTCAATAGTGATGCAAGTAAGACGAACAAAGGAGTGCTGTCCTGCCAACTTTATCAGCGATCATGTGATATGGGGCTAGGTGTTCCCTTCAATATTGCGTCCTATGCCATCTTGACGCATATGCTCGCTGCAGTATGCGATCTCACCCCGGGGACGTTCATTCATACCATGGGCGATGCGCACATATATCTTGATCACGTCGACGCACTGAAAACACAGTTAGATCGCGAACCTAGAGACTTTCCAGACTTCCATATCTTGGATGACCATGACAAAAGCATTGACAACTGGAGGTTGGAAGATTTTGAAATAAAAGGGTATCAGCCGCATCCCAGCATTCCAATGAAGATGAGTGTATGATCGAAATCTATTGAAAATAGACATATTTACCTTCGTAGAGCATTAGCTTCGTTCATTTTTGCTGCATTCGTTCCGTTAATCGCCAAACTCCAACGCTTCGCTCTCAGAGGCCTGGTGAACACAGCAAGGGTATTGCGAAGTCTTTGGGTCAGGCCCCAAGGCCAACTCCTCGCAAGAGTACGACAGTATTCCCTGTCACGCAAACATCACCCACTTTCTCACTGAATCCCAGCAGTCTCCCCGCTTCCACATGAAACACACGCAGTCTTTCCTCTTCTCCTTCAACACGGTTATTCAGATTGGCTACCTGGAGCGATTTGGCGGCCGCATCCAATAATCTGCCCACGCTCCAGTCCTTGCTGTAATAGTAATCTCCTTTGGGCAATTTACTGGTCGTTGTGCTTGCCTCGGCCTCCACATAGAGATAAACTCGATTTTCTACTGACACTTTGTCATCTCCTTTGGCATTCTGCTTCAGTTTGTTCACAGTAACCAGTCGTGTGGCAGCAGAGGAAGGCTTTGGCTTTGGTAGCATAGAGGACTGTTTCTCTTTACTCCAAAGCTTCAATCTACCGAGTGCCGCTTTTGCTTTGTCCGCTTGACTGGGTGCTTGAGCTGGTCTGGCTCCGATAGGAACGAGTTTTGCGCAATTGTGGTCCTCCCGCAACCGATGTTTTAGGCAGTACTGCCTGTTGCAATTCGGGCACGAAACTCCGACAGAGGTCAACGTATTGATATAAGTCTTACACAAAGGATCCCAACATTGGGTTCCTGTCATCAGCGTCGGTTTGCCTTCGCGGTGGGTTTCTGACCTGAGTCCTGGTGTATTTTGCCGTTTTTGGGCCGCCCAAGCGCCAGCCTTGGGGCACTCATGGCCCGACTCGGTACGATGGTCGAGACAATAAGTGCCCTCGCAGGATTCGCAGCGGAAGGGAAGGAAGTCAAGTTGATTGCAATGGGTGTATTGACAGTGTGCACCGATTGCTTCCATATCTTTGTCCATGCTAGTGAAGGATTGCAGCTCCCTGGAGAGCGTATTGGATGAGGTTGCCATATTGAGAGGGTCGAAGCGCAGTATATCCGTGCAGAACGCGAAAATGCTGCTGCTTAGGCAGCTGAGGTGTTCGTCAGCTCGTAATCATATCCTGAATCTGCCAAATAAAAAACCCAATACTGCAGGCACGAGAAGCTTCCTCCACCTGCTAGAAGGAGGTCTCGGCTTTGTGGCGGATTTAAGGATGCGCGATAGCGGGTCGACCAAGACCAAAGAAGGTAATCAAGATGACAAGGTCATCGTTCATTCCTCAATGGTCGTCAGATACGCACCACTACCATTCAATGTAGGGACTGATATCACAAATGTGCATCGGATCGCTCGACTACTATGGGATTACGGACTTAGCCAGGGTTTTATTCGCAGAGTCTTTACCCGACTCGAGTGGCCCGTTCTTCAAGAAAGATTTCAGCATGCATTCAACATTGATGGGGGTGAAAGCGGAGTTCTACATCTAACCAAGGCGCCTGGATCAAATCTGTGCCTATTGAATGCGCCTCTGAGAGCGCTATCAAAAAGCAATGAATTCGACATCGAGATCCGTCACCCAAGCACGCCTCTTTCGCGATTGGCGACATTCATCGCTGGAAGGTTCGTGTGTTTCTATCATGCTAGCGCTGAAATTCTTGCCATTGTACTTATTGGACAGGTGGGCTGCTAAGGAAGCGGTGATCAAGGCCTACTCCTCTCGACGTCTGTTCATGAGCGAGATTTCCGTACTGCGGCCTGCACAGAACCCGCGCTTATTTCCCGCCGAGCAGCGCACTTCTCTACAGACCATGACTTTGATAGATCCAATCTCAGACACGATCTTGCTTGGTGTTAGCGCTGCTTTACTGCGTAGGCTCAGGGGCTCCACTAGTACGCTACTGAAAGGTGTTGAAGCAAAGACCGGCGTCAAAGAATACCATGAGCGTCGGTCTAAAGTTAAGGACGAGCAGAGACGGTTGGGAAAGGTGAGCATCAGTCATGATGGTGAATATGCAACCGCAACTTGCATTCTACCTCATGAGACCCCAATAGACCATCGGTGCAAGCGGATCATAGATGACGGGATCGGTCCCCCCAAGCATGAGCCGGAGTATGGGGACGCTGGATGGCTCGATTACGAGCCTGTTACCACAGACATCAATATTTCGTGAAAAATGATGGCCAGATGTCAGTTCGTGTAGAGTTCTCGTCGTATACTCGGACCAAGCATCTATGACGAACTCTGATCTCGTTTGCTCCCTCCTGACAAGATTCACTTCTGGATTGCCACTCGCTCTGCAAGCCGGCTTATTGGGGATGAAAACACCTCCGCTCGCCATACCCAAGGGATTGAAGCTATGGGTAGCATTACAGCTCATTGGATGCATCCAACTTACTAGAGATTTTAGTCGTAGGGGTCTGGAATCTGGATTATGTCTCAATTTGTCCGACAATTCGCTCGGTATGTCTCCCCGGCCCAATCGACTCTTTTCGCCGGAAACATCAAAAGCCTGCGTGTAAGGTTGGGAGTTCTATCAAAGATAAAGTGGTTGCTGAAGCTGACATATTGAGTCGAGTAGAATAAAAGCGACCGGCCACGGAGATGTAAATGGCCGTTGTTGGCCTAAGTAGCATGAAAATAGAATGCATTATCTGATGCTTAGCACCTGATGGATGGTTTGAAAGCAGTCGTGTCCAATATCAGTCCGTTCCTTGGCAAGGCAAAATGAAAGAGGGACAGCCCCAGATTTTGAGTAAATATATTTTGAAATAAAGCGATCATTATTTTGCTATTGGCTGGTTGGCGCAATGGTAGCGCGTGTCTCTCCTATTGTGTAAAGACAAGGTTGAGGGTTCGAGTCCCTTGCTGTTCGTAACTTCTTCGCTCAATCTAATGAAGCATTGCTGACTCCATTTGGATGTAGAGTCACATTCCGAAGGTTCATTCACCTTGTAGACGATTCATTTTTACCACTGTAACAAAGCAGACTTGCTTAAGATGAAATAAGTTGTTGCTTTTTGGGAAATTATTGGAAGATATTCACTTTGCATGCCCATGAAAAGGACCTTTGTAGATATAATTGGACTTCGAACAGAATGATTGTGTTGTTGTTCTGCCGCTATTTGAGTATGAACTAGTATCCTGAACGTTTCTCTTCCATTTAAACCCTCCCTCATACGTACATCCAAGCTGCCTCGACGGCCACAATGAAAGGTTTAATCACACAAACGATCAATCATTTTCACCTCTCCGACTTAAATAAAGTGGCGCTACGTCGCTTTTACATCTACTTCAAGACTTTCTGAAAGAAAAGCTTCTAAGCCTTACGAAGCTTCACTCTTATGCCGTTTTCACACCACTCTCATTCTGGGCAATTTTGCCATCATGCAACCGACACCCTCGAAGATATTGTTACAACTGCCATTGCAAAAAAGATGTCGGTCTATTGCTTGACGGAACATATGCCGAGGGAGGAGCAGGATTTATATCCTGAAGAGGTGCGGAATCATTTCGAACAAACTCTCAAAAACTGATCGGACTTTGCTAGTTGGAACTGACCCAGGACGGTGTCCGATTTCAAGATCCTCGACAAATCTCAGCCTACTTGTCAAGGTTATTTGATGACTTTTATCGTGAGGCAAAGCGCTTGAAAAAGCATTACGAATCTCAAATTACGCTATGGATTGGCGTCGAGATTGACTGGATCAGACCTTCTTCGCAAGATTTCATAGAGAGACTTCAAGAATCATATCAATTCGACTTACTGATTGGCTCCGTTCACCACGTCAGGGCAATCCCTATCGATTACTCTGCGGATCTTTTCAATACTGCTCTTCAATTGTGTGGCGGTTCGAAAGAGACGCTCTTTGAAGACTACTTCGATCTGCAGTACGAGATGCTCCAAGCGCTCAAGCCGTCATTTGTTGGCCATTTCGATTTGATTCGTCTCAAGAGTAATTTTCCCAATGGAAGTCTCATGGACTTCGCCGGTGTATGGCAAAAGATACAGAGGAATCTCGAGTACGTAAAGCTGTACGGTGGCATATTAGAAATCAACGCAGCGGGCCTGAGAAAGGGTCTGAAAGAACCCTATCCCCAGAAGGAGATATGTCAGGTAAGTAAGCATTGGGAGAATGACAGTTCAAAGGAGGTTTGACGCTTGGACAGGAATTCGCGGCGATGGGCGGCCGTTTCACCCTATCAGACGATGCACATGGGGTTGATCAAGTTGGAACTAATTTTTTGACCGCCGTCGCCTTCGCTGAGAGTGTACCAGTTCATAAACTGGTTTTTCTCAGCAATAGCGATCGAAGATCCAATGGTCCGAACACGCCAGACCTCACCGAGATTAGCATGCACGAGCTCAAGACTCATTCATACTTTACGAAATAGATTCAAAATATGCTACTCATTTTTTTCAGAGCATTTTGGATACCTTCTATTCTGCTATCACAGCACATTCCACAATTCCAGGCATCTTCTTCCACGCTCTTTTGTTGGACGTCCAACGAATTATCCTGGATGATCTCTGGTTTTCACAGCTCCGAAGAACCTGTGGACGCCCGTTCACCGAGCAGTCACGCCCCCACGGTGCTGATCTTGAACCCCACGAACTCTATCTTGTGGCAAGCACGCACAGATCTCTTTGCTCACCACATCTTGATGAATGTTCCGGCCTTGAGCGCGATCGATAAGGCATATAGGGCACTAGCGCGTCCGCGAGTCTTATTGCCGGGTTGTTCCCTTTCTATTTCGTGACAACGAGTTGCTGCCAACGCATCAAGCGAGACGGCTATACTCGTGGCATCTCGTTTCGAGAAAGCTCCTGTAAGCATACGCTTAAGCACAGTAGTCGTCCGAAGTCACGCAGTGCAGACGCGGAACAGCCGTCCCGATTGCGGTCAGGGGTAATGAGCGTATGAGTGGAGGCGGAAGGAATGAGTTGCATGAAACTAGCATGGTGGATGCCGATGGATTTCGAAACCTTATGCAGACGGCTACGACGTTCGTCAATAATGCAGCACTGCATGGAGCGGTTCCCTACGCTTGCTTCAACATGAGGCTCAATCTCTCGGAAAAATTGAGTTGATAGTCAGCAAAGGCAAGTACTTGGGCGAGCGATGGCGTACCACCTTGTTCTCTTTCTTGAAGCAGAGGTTCTGGCTTCGAGAGCTCCTACCTAGTGACATGCTTGGTGGCCTAAAATAAGATGTATTCTAGAGGAGCCTCCGTGACTCGTGGCAGCTGTCACGACAGAGGGCTTTCTGCACCAGCACAATATCATCCCATTGGCTACGGACTTTCTCTTCCGGGCGTAGAGATCAGTCGTTCTATTGCTTCGATCGTTCAATCGTATGGCTGGGGAAAAGAGGCAACTGCCGGAGGGGTTTATGTGGAGCTAGAATGATAAAATGTCATTAACAATGGATAGACGAATGGCCTAGGCCGCCTTCGGGGAAATCAGGCGGGATTTAGCAGCACACCAAGTGGGATGCGCAAGGATCCTCGAGGGTTTTTTAGTTGCGATCCGTCTTTTCCCTTAATTCCTCTTCCAACCTTCTACTTCTGCATCTGCTAAACTGGCTGTTGCTGTCTTGCTCACTCGTCCGAGAGTACGGCAGCCCATGTACCCTGTGGTACCTCCGTACCATCAGAAGACTCTCATGCAGGTTGCTCTGCACACTGATAATGCCCGAGTCTGAATTGACCTTGGAGCTTGCATAAATGGCTTCTATGGCTGTTGAAAACACTACAAGAGGCATGTTTATGGTCGATTAATGGACCTATGAGAACGCCTTCCGCACTTAGTATTTTCCCCGATCTATTCGATGAACGAAGTCTTTGAACCCTATACCAATCGTCCAGTCCAAGCCTTCACTCATCATCAACTTGGTTTAACTCGACCAGGAAACACCTCCTGGCCGGCTTTGACTCCGCACCTGACGCCTTCCCTAGTTGGTGTCTTTGTTCCTCGTATGTCCCTTGAAACCTCTTCACACATTCCAGACCTTCCTAGGCAACATAAACTCCAGTCAGATTCACTTCCACACCGCCTAGCTCGAAGTTTGTCCCAGTGAATACATTACAAGTCTTCTTGCCTCACGTTCTGTTCAGAACTACTTCCGATCCCTGGCTTCCATTTCTGATTCTTCCCACCCAACCCATGCTCACAAGCATAACAAGCTTTCATACCATCCTTAGCAACCCAGAGTAAAGCCGTTCATCCTTCAGCATGGGTGTGACGAGACAAGTTCTCCAAGAGGGGAATGGAGTTGATAGGCCCAAGAAAGGTGACCTAGTGACCATGGAGTATACTGGAAACCTCTACGATCCCAATTCCAATGATGAACATCACAGAGGGAAACAGTAGGGTTTCACTGGCTTGTCTGTCTATGGAGACTGACTGATTGCAACAAGATTTGATTCGTCCAAAGGCCGAGGAGATTTTTCAACTGATATCGGTGTTGGCAGAGTCATCAAAGGTTCGGCCTCTTTTAGCATTGTTGCCAGACAGAGGATATTGTACATCTCTGATTAGGGCTAGGTTGGGATGAAGGCGTTGTGGAGATGACACTAGGGGAGCGGAGCATTTTGACCATCTCGAGGTATGATCGACCAATTGTTTCCTGCGGGTTTACCTCAAGAGCCGTATACGTCCATAGGTGACTAACTCGGTTCCAGCGATTATGGATATGGTGCACAGTCAGTCTACATGCGACACGGCGCTCGGTCTAATGGCCGTCAATCAACAATCATTGATCTAGTGGTACGTGCTAATGAACAAGACTGACAGCTCTGCAGGGGCTTTCCAAATCTCATCCCAGAGCACGCCACGTTGGTGTTGTAAGTCTCATAGCATTCCATTTTTTGCGGTTGCCCCACAGCGATTTAGCATACCTTCATTATATTCAGTTAATCAAAGACAACCTTTGCCCTTTGATAGTCACTTGCACAAAATTGATTCAACAAACTGGGCTCGGGCAAGCTAACAAAAGCCAATAGCGAAGTGCAGCTGAAAGCGATCAACGACAAGCGCCTCTGAAGACTTCATATTCCAGCCACCAAGCGTCAACTAATGGCCGCTACAAGCTAAGCTGCGTCCACAAATGAGGCGTATTACGAATTTTTGATTGTACCTACAGCACCAAAAGCATTGGGTAAAAACGCCAAACACTAATACCGGCAACAAAAGATAGACGGTATGGATAGATGCAAAAGCACATTCGGGATCTTGTAATCCAAGCCATAGACTAAGCAACATCCAATGGCTAGCAAACATTCTTTCGTATGCTCAATGATCATCTCATCTCTGATCAGTCTGCTTGATGATTGTCATCTCAGTCGTCAAGCCGCATCGTTGTCCACGCCCATGATGGCTGTCTCCACGCTCGACGTCTTTGATCACGCCCTGCTTTGCTTCACCAAGGTTTGTGTTTCACCACGCCCATGATGAAATTCAGGCCTCGTAAATCATATTAACAAGACTACAGCTAATGTTCTGACTACGTGCAGTGAGTTGTAGATCTGAACATAACCCAGCCTAGATTCAAGCTTCATCACTGGGCTTCATGGAGCATGGAAGTTTGAAAGCCTGTTCATTGAGGGCTATATCATCAAAGTTTGTGATTTGATTGGCATTACATGGTACGGGACGTGCTCTTCAAAATGACCAAGATACCTAAATTTACACTGACATCAATGCCTAAACGAAATTCACCTAACTTACGAGTCAGACCATACACCAAAGCGGTCTTGGCAAAGGAACATCCTTGAATAAAGACCTTCCCTTAAACTTGGTGGAAACGGGCGGTATACCAACGTACGCCTGGGTGCTCCAATCGTCAGCGTCGTGCCCCAAGCTGCGAGCGAAAGACTTGAACAAAAGGATTGACCGAACTCCGTAGAGCTCGATCATCGAAAACAAACTCACCTCCCTTCTTGCAGGGTCCCCAATTGTGCGAGACCAGGTGCTGAGGCCATAGTATGTTGCAATGTTATGGACAAGCCAACGCCCAAAGCTGGCGCCTCTATCCTGCACCAGACCATCAAAAACAAGCTTGTCTTTCGCGATGGCCTCCTCCAGTTCCGGTTCATGTTCTGACGTTGAGTCATCCCCGTCTCCAAATTTCGGCGAGGCAGGAACATCGCGCATCTTCCCGCTGCGGCCCACGAACACGATCTCCTCATCGGAGGAGTCTGGATCAAGTATTCCCTTCCTCGGCCGGGAAAATACTCCACCTGTCTGGCCATTATAGCCCTCAACGAAAAGACGGACTTGTTCCTCTAGATCCTTTAGAAGTCCTTTGGCTGCCTTTGCTTTCTTCAATTTTTCTCTCAATTCTCTCGGTACCTCCCCGTCTTTGCCTTGCTGCGCTTCCTTCTGCTTTCGTCCTGCAAGCTGCTTTTGACGTGTTGCTTCCGCACGCGCTGCCATCTCCTGTTCCCACGAAGGAGCGAGATAATAAGGAACACTATGACGCGGATAGGTCGGGTGAACTTCCCAATCGCTGGGTAAGGGAGGCTGAGCCCATGGGTTGTTGAGCAGGCGGTCTATGTTATAGCCCGAAACGTCACCCAAGGCGCTTGGAAAGTTCAAATAAGGAGATGTAGAGAGGATTACCCACCATTTTCCCAGCGCGTCCGGCGCCGGCTGCCTTCTTTGCCCTTCAGGAGGGCTTCACGACGCTCGAGACTGTCGCGACGAAGAATTTTGCGGCGAGGACGATAGATGGAAGAGTCTGCGGCTTCCGCCTTGCGCTCTTTTTGTTCACTCGGGTCAATTGCAAGCGAAACGGATGTACCGCGAATGCCAGCCGGTGAGGCAATCGAGACTGCATTCAAAGCTCGGGCTGCTTGTGCAGTCCAAGCTGCGACATCAACAGAAGGCGCAGGGCCTCCGAGCGCATTAGGGTGGATGGCCATGCTGATGACCGAGCGCGTCTCCTCCGTGTGGTTTGATAGTGACGAGATGAGAGGTTGGCTTATATATACTAAAGCCGGCAAGTGTGAATGAGACAATGGCGAGGATACAAGAATCGCGCAGCTGACAGGCAATGGCAACTTTTCAGGAGTCACAGTGGTGGAGTCATCAGTCATGAGATAAGAGCGTGTACGCTATTTTGATCGCGCTGTGGCGAAATTATTCCCGAGTATCTCCATTAGCGGGGATCGTCATCGTCAATACCTAAGCTCTGCCTGGCAACAGTTTGACAAAATACAGTCAATAAGTTTATTCATATCACCCTTTATCGTCAACTCCAAGGCCATGAAGCATATCCTTTGGGCCGTATTGCCATTTGCTGGGGTCTGCCAGTCATTCCTAACCACTCCTGAAGCTCAAGCTCCGATCAGCGAATGGGAAGCTGAGAGATTCTTGATCGAATTGTCGCCGGGAGAGACGAGATGGGTAACAGAGGACGAAAAATGGGCGCTCCGACAGGTTTGCCCGGCAAGGCGCCGTGCATAATACAATACTGACCTTCCGCGCAGGATGGCAAGAGGTTCATGGACATTACGAATGGGACACCGGGCGGGTCGCTTCGTGCTGCGCAGAAAGTACAGATTCACTACCCCAAGAAGCCTGCACACAATGAGTCAGTTACAAGCCTTTTAAAGAAATTAGACAAGGCGAATCTGGTAAAGAACCTGGGGACATTCTCTTCATTCCATACGAGATACTACAAGTCGGATTACGGAGCGCAGTCATCTGCTTGGCTTTTTGAGCAAGTAAATGGCATTGTCAACGCAACAGATGCGCCAAAGTATGGGGCCAAAGTAGAGCCATTCGCGCATCCTTGGGGTCAGAATAGTATCATCGCCACAATCCCTGGCAAATCGGAGCAAACGATTGTCATCGGTGCGCATCAGGATAGCATTAATTTGTTTCTGCCGTCCATTCTAGCTGCCCCTGGAGCCGACGACGATGGCTCCGGCACGGTCACCATTTTAGAAGCACTCAGAGTCATCTTGCAATCCGATGCTATTGTTCAAGGTAATGCGTCCAACACGATCGAATTTCACTGGTATTCTGCAGAGGAAGGCGGCCTTTTGGGCTCTCAAGCAATCTTCAAGGAGTATGAACAGCAAGGTCGCGATATCAAAGCTATGTTGCAGCAAGATATGACTGGCTATAGTAGAGGTACGGTCGATGCAGGCAAGCCTCAAAGCGTTGGAATCGTAAGTTTGAAAAAGGCTTTACCTCAATTTTAAGTAATGAAATAAAAAAGATCACGGACTACGTCGATCCTGGACTCACGGATTTCATGAAGGCCGTCGTGACTGAGGTATGACCCGTGTCGTCTTGAAGGCTTTGATCAGATACTAATAGCTGGCTAGTATTGCGACATTCCATTTGTTTTAACTAAGTGGTAAGTGATCATTGTGCAATGTCCACTTCTCCTATACTTACTAGAGCATGTAGTGGTTACGCCTGCTCCGACCATGCTTCCGCCCGAAAAGCTGGCTACCCGTCAGCCTTTGTTATTGAATCGGAATTTGAATATTCGGATAACAGAATTCATACGACGCTGGACACCTTAGACGTACTCGACTTTGACCACATGCTACAGCATGCGAGACTGACACTGGGGGCGACGTATGAATTGGCGTTCGCTGACCTGAATTCCAGTTATCAAGGAACAAGCACTTTAGACGACTTATGAGTTCTGAATTCCGTTAAACGAGTCCTGTATTAAGCGTTTGATAATTCTTAGATATTTTAGCATGAAGGAATGATGTGAAACAGAGAGTAACGTTGTAAATTTTCCAGATTGATGGTTTGCAATCTAGGATCTCTCCAAGCCGCTGCGTTACCTGCTTGCAAAGAGACGATACCAAATGATACAAGTGTACAGCGGAAGCGCGCTGAGCTCAGCATTCCCCTCGTCATAGATAACAAGCTAGGTCTACTGAGGTGACCCTGAAGCCTGCGAGCTTGGATTTTAAGCTGTCATTGCTGATTTTTTAGTGGTACAGTACATCGATCCTTCTTCCCCGCAGCGTCACCCGGTGCACCTCTGATCTGTACGCTTTAGGCCTTCGCTTTGCTTTTCGCCTCTTCGGCCTCTGCTGATTTCAAAAACTCCCTGCATTCAAATCAGAATCATGCGTTCAAAATTTTCAATTGGTCTCATGGTAGTATGCTTTACGTACTGTATGAAAGTCTCCTCGTCTTTACTTGAAGCATTTATTGGAGGACCAGGTCTCTTTGGACCTGACATCGCCCAGTATCCGATACCTCCGTATGTAATCAAGCAAGCTATCGCGAGCTATAGATGTGCCCCAAGTCAGCTTAAAGGCCTAATAGAGTGCGTAACAATTCTGTCGATTTTTCGACATACTTGGTGTGAGGGCACATTTCGGCCCAAGATCTTGTAAACTTGCGGCATAGTTTTCCCCTTCGGATTTGTAAACGTTCGAGTGGGCGATACAGTATTCAGTGGGTGGGTGGCTGATGAGCTTGAAGTTAGGATATTGGACCGACGAAGTGAATTGAGCGGAGCGGATGGCGCGCTTGGCGCTTGTCAACCCGCCGCGATGTCTATTGCTCCGCTATTCTTTCCCACACAACCATGCATCCTACCTCCCTCCGGTAAATGACCCTGGGTGTCCGACGGCGATTAGTATAGCAGACAGATATCCCAAGAAATCTTGACTATGACCTCCGAGGACCGTCCTAACAGCTCCCTCACACAGCGCAAAAAACCCGCAGATACTGACCTACTTCCCCGAGAAAAGCTTCCACAAGATCTGCAAAACCTTGTCGATGACGACGAATCCCTCCTTGACCAGATATATGACGGCACGTGCGTGGAACATCTTGAATAATCGCTCTTCTCATCAGCTCTCCGTGAATCTAGCTGACGCTCTTGCTTTCCCAGAGCATCCCAGACTACCGATTCCTCCGTCCGTTACGCAGCCTACGCGAGTCGTCTTCGAACAGTACTTCTCTCCGCCCACCGCTATGTCGCCTACACCTCCGACATCGGCGAGTCATTTCGACCCCTTGCACACCCTTGGCTTATCAAATCCGCCTATGGCATATCCTGGGCTTATTTAATCGGCGACGTATCTCATGAAGGCTATAAAGCATACCTAAGAAACCAGCGGATACTACACCCTGGGTCGCCAGGGGCAGCTGCGAGAGGAGCTAACGATGCGAGAGATGCCACGTCTGCTATTTTAGCTGCGCAAGCTGTGCCGGCTATTGAGGATTGGAAAGCCGTGGTTGCGCAGAGAGCGGTGTTTCAGAGCGTGGCATCTATGGGATTGCCGGCATTCACAATTCATAGTATCGTGAGGTACTCGGGACGGGCACTGAAAGGGGCGAAGAATAATACGATTAGGACCTGGGGACCTATTGGGGTGAGGTCGTTGCCTTATGATCTGGAGGTCATCATGCTGATCTGAGATTATAGCTTGGACTTGCTGCCGTCCCATTCTTGCCCTATCTTTTCGATCAACCCGTCGAAGAAGCGACGGAGTGGATGTTTCATAAAGCCTTTGAGACAATTGGCGGCCCCGATGCCGTTGGGCATAAGTCAGCGACAGGAAGGGTGACGGAACCTGTAGAGGAGACGAACCGTGGAGCGAAAAAAGAGAAAGAGTTATGACAGACCATTGCTGGACTCTTGTAAAATTTGATAATTTTTGGCGAAAAACGATACCCCTCAATTCGATCAATTGTATATGTATCTGATTAATGGGTATAAGAAGTTATACCTTACTCTTACTCCAGCAACTCTATGTCCAAAGATCCGGGTTAATATCTGGCAAGCTCGACATAATATGATCAACGACAAGCGTCTGAATTCAGCCAATAGTCGCAGCTGGAAGTGAAATATGTAGCTTATTTTCATCTTTAATGAGGAACGAGACGAATAGCAAACATTCATCCCTCCGCCACCTGTATTGTGTCAGAAATATCTGGCTTTTTGCTCGCGAATGCCCCAAACACAGAGAACCTCTCCAAAATTCGAATCCAAGTGGACAGGTTTTCCTTGAATTCATAAAAAGTAATGTCAATCTAACTAGAAAAGGTGTTCTCAATAATTTGTAGCGCCTGGTCATTAAATGCTGAATATCAGTGTGCTAATACTTTAAATTTTTTGATGCAGAACATCAAAGGCAGGCCGGAATTGCAATGATATTGACCACTACTGAAGGTACTCTGATACTTGATTATGACAGAGCGTATCTTGACCTCGAAGAATGTTCTACATACAACTCGAATGTAAGCATAAGTTCCTAGAACTCCCGTGCAACCTGTAGAACCCCGAGCGTAATTTTCCTTCGTAGCTGTATATGTCATAGCCGACTGGTCATAGGCCCCTGGCGAAGTCTTATCTGCTCTAAGCTCTATTGTCTTTTCATGCGTGGGGGAGTGGACCTATACTCATCATAGTCCCGCCTCACGAACCTGAAATGGTAGTGTAGAAAGAATGCATCCTTAGAGATATGCGCAAAAGCCTTGGGAAGGCATCAAATCATCACTAAGGGTCACTGACTGACGGTGGCAAAGCCACAGGAAAAGCTTCTCCGTACTTTCTGAATGATCAGGTCAACCCAGAAGGCGCCGTTCGAGCCTCATCTCAGAGACAGAGTATGATTGCACCGTGCACTTATGAAACAAGTGCTGTCGATCTTCATCTTTCACACGTGCATAGACGCCAGTGAGAGTATCTTCGATTGCTGTTTGTCCCGCAATTCTGCTCCGACGACACCTGGCAACGTCATTGAGCACTCCATCAGCAGCGTACCTAGAGTCGACGAAACTCACCGCTTATTCTGGTACCCAAGGGTTCACCATTCTTTCCAATGAGGGCGCATGCATTATCATCGAATCGTACGACCGTTCCGTCTTTTCTCTGCACTTTCTTGACCGTTCGAACGATAATTGCATGACGAATATCTCCTCTCCTCACCCTGTTTGCGGCGGCTGCAGAGGTGCTACCAGCTTGTCTGCCCTCACCCCCACTCCGAGCTTTCTGGACGACTACTACAATACGGTCGCCTTGAATCATTTAACTCCATTGTCTTATTGCAAGGGCATGTTACCGAGAGAAGACTGACCAACTTTACCATGTCTTTTCATGCGTAGATTCAAGATGCACTCGACCACTGTAGCTCCAGAATTATCGATACAATTAAGCATCGTCTGCTCCATCGTCAATGGGGATGCTGCAAAGGAGTGCGCGTGACCAACCTTTAATTGAATCATCTTGCCCTGTCTTCCTCCTTGTTTTCACAAAGGGGGATCGGTACTGTCAGACACGTATGCCCCGCGTGTATGCCTTTGCGTGTCAGACAACGTTGAGAGGCAGATGCATTGAGGTGGTAAACACTAGTCCGAGGGTGACAATTCATTGTTCAGATTACAATTTCCAACCACGGGAGATCGCCGCGTCCAAACCAGCAAACTCCAACGCGCCAACCCAGCCACAGTCTTTACAACATTCACTCCCACGCAGCACCGTGCAGGTCAAAAGACAGCCATTGGTGACCTGTTGGGGCGGTGGGCATTTGTCGGCGTTTCGTTTGCCTGTTCCAGCTTCACCATGTTCTTGCCCCCTTAATTCATTACGCTGAGGCATACAAAGGGCGAAAGGCCCTGCCGTGCTGCGGCTGGCTCAGATCAGCGGTCAGCTCCTTTCAGCACACCGCAGTCTATATCTTCTCCTTTTCACGTCAGCAGGGCTACCTGACCCCTTTCACAAGTACCCCAGCTTCAGAATACATACACATCTATCGCGGGGGCAAAATGGGCAGGCCTCCCATTCAAAGGCAACATGGGCTTCCAGTCGCTCCGGCAGCTCCAGCAGCCGACACGGTGTCGAAGAAAGATCGTCTGACTCTATTGCAGTTGGCGTCGTATGATGATCTCCTCACCGATGTACTTGTTGATCACGTATGTCTTGTTTCTGGAAGTTTTCACCGCCTTGCTAATGCCCTTCGAAGGTGTATTCTTGGTTTACAGTTCGAAAGAACAAATCAAAATATGCTCATCTTAGAAGAATCAATGACGATGAAGTATGCCACATTCTGCTGCATGATCTCGTCATCCAGAAAGACATCTCGGAAGTCGAGGCCAAGCTCTTGAAACTACCAGGGTTGGAGAGGTATCACAATGCTCTGGAATCTAAGAGAGAGCAAGAAGATTTCAAACGGCATATGCGAAAGTATATCAATGTCTGGATGCCTGACTGTCCTTTCGACATCTCAACGACAAACCGGTACACCATCACGACTCACGAGGCGGCCACTACAGCCAGGCAGTTCATCAAAAGTGGCGAAACAATAAAGTACCTCTGTGGTAATTTGGTGGCAATGAGCCCAGAGGAGGTAAAAGATCTAGATTTGAATAGACAGGATTTCAGTGTTGTCATTTCCAGCAGAAGGAAGACTCCTTCGCTCTTTCTTGGGCCCGCACGCTTTTCAAATCACGATTGCAAAGCGAACGCTAGACTAGTCACAAAAGGAGTAGAGGGTATGACAGTTGTCGCAGAGCGAAATATTGAGAGGGACGAAGAAATTACAGTGAATTATGGGATGCACTATTTTGGCGAGGATAATTGCGAGTGCCTGTGCGCTTCGTGCGAAAAGGAAGTGCGTGGTGGATGGGCACCAAAAGAAGAGAATGAGGAATCGGATACGGAGCCGGACACTACAGTACAACATGCACGTCCTTCACAGTCATCTGATGGTCACAAGAGGGATCATAACAAGCAAGACTCAAGTGACCAGATCGATGCCCGTGGTAGCAATCCACCGAAGAAGGCGAGGCTGGGTGAAGAGCATGCGCTTGCCCCTACTGGTCTAAAGACACCACCTGATTCGAGCCAGAAGTCTTCCCCGGCCTCGGAGAAAAGCCCATATCACAAACCCAGCCGAAGAGGGCTTGGTCAGAAAGAGCAGTTGTCCGTTCAAGCTGGCTCGGCACAATTATCTAGCAACAATGGTGGTAAACGAGCAAATACCAAAACGATCGATGCGTCTTGTTTCTATGGCACAAAGCAACCACACCAACCCGTATCGCTCTCCCAGCGTGATGAGTTCATACACAAGGCTGTCAAGCAAGAGAAATCCCAAAGTTTTCTCGATTGGTTCGGTGATATTGGAGCGAAACAGAAGCAAAGTCCTCATGCATCATTGTGGAATGCCCCCATGGAGCCCACGAATCGACAGTCCAAGTTGTCTAATGCCGCCTTCTTTCCTGGGGAACGTTTTAATCTTCACAAATTAGTCGATCGAGGATGCTCCTCCACCAGACGAGGTGTATCTGCTCGATTTGCACCTACGCCTTCTCCATCTTCAAGTGCTCTCTCCTCCGTGCCGCCTGATCTTGATGAAGACGATGCTTACCAAGCTCCTCAGGCGAGATCTCGAGGCAAGAAAGGCCGGCCAAAAAAACCTCTGGATCAGCTTGCACTATCCACAAAACAGAAATACCAGCGAAAGCCATACAAGTATGTATCTTCTGCCCAGCCTATTAGCATCGAAACAGTCGAGGAGGACGATGACGAGTCTGATGAGGAGCCCGAGGTCCGTGTTCCACGAGCCCCAGGTGATTATGTTCGGACTCGAGCGTTGCTATCCCAGAGAAACTCTCGATGGGTCGACTGCCGTACCTGTGAAAATACCTGGGTCAATCATCATGTCAAGCAAACACGCCGCGAATGTCCTCGCTGTGAACGACACAGCAAGCTTTTTGGTTTCCAGTGGCCTAAAACGGAAAATGCAAAAGGCGAGCACGGTGTAAGGGTCATGGATCACCGGACGATCGATCGCTTCCTTGCACCTGATGAGGAGAAGAAGGAGTGCAGACGTGGGCGAGGCTTGCTAGCCAAAGCTTTGGGCCTAGATGGCAATGACAGCAGCAGATCGAGCAGAGCCGTAAGTGAAGAGGCTGATGAAGGAAGTCGCACGAGAGCACTGAGAAGGACGACCATAAGAGCCGGCCAGAAGCGTCCCTCTGATGAAGAAGAAGTCCTCAGCTCCACGCAGAGATCAGGAGAGAAGACCCCCAAGCGACCCAAGGGCTTAGCTAAGGGCTGGGCAATGGTTCCGGCTTGAGTAGAATGCGTGCAATATGCGTTGCGCAGAAAATTTCATCGACCCTCCGCAGTACATTTTCGGAGGCTTCGCAAATAACCACGATTTGACTGTATGTATGAACATGGGGGTTTTCATTGATTACAAGCTTGCCGCGTATCCCAGTCGAGATAATTTTACATGATTTGAGGTTGTCTGAATTCGACTGCACAAATGTATCATACTGTGACAATACGGCTGTATATGCTAATCTACATACATCCCCAATACAAAAGTCTGCGTGAGAGTATCCTCAGTTCAGTATGTGGGCCATACTTCCAAGAATGTACAAAGGCGGCCTGAATATCCAAGCAAAACTAAGAAAATCACCTGTTTGATGAGGTATTGCTACGAGATTTTAGTTCAACGTTGCTTTGACTAGGAGGCAAGGTAGGTCTCACTCCCAGAATCATCAGTCTTAGGGATTTGACCATCTTTACTAATACGGACGGGTCTGTTCTCAAAGATCGATCCCAACTTGTTTTCCTCATCTGATATGCAGGCAAAGTGATTTTGAAGATATCTTCTTATCTCGTTAGAGCTCAGCGACTGAGGACATTATACAAGTCGGTGAAAGCAACACATGCTATCCGAGACGTCACTCTGCTCCTTCTGGTAGTATTTCCAACTCCAGCACCACCCCAGCCTTCGTCATCCTCTCAATAAATGCCTGCCCAAGCATTGCTGGCGTCAACAGTCCACCATCTAGCTCCTCCACCAGCTTCTCCTCCTTCAGCAATACCATTGCTGCCTCCGCAAGGAATACGCCTGTCAAATAGTACATACCTCCTTCAAACCTCAGCCTCCCAAACGCCTTCCTCGGCTTCTCCATGTCCTCGTCTACCGTCGCCACGGCCCTGAACTCAATGATATCCTTCTTCGCCACATCTCGTGCGGCGCCTTGACCCGGGGCAAGCGGCACCAGCTTCTTCGCTAGCCACCGTAATGGCGGTATTGCAAGCGCTAGAATTCCAATCGCGAGACTAAGATGGATGATGGCTCCCACAAACGCGTTTCGCACAACAGCATAGTCTCGATACTGGAAGTTGGGCCCGTAAAATTGTCCCTTGTCGAGCAACCCCCATGTTCGCTGAACAGTCATGGTATTGGCGCCCGCAGCGACAGAGGTGGTGCAGGTGCCGAGATGGGGAATTCTGCGAACGCCGAAGTTCTTGCGGAACACGCCTCTTCGATGTGCTGGTAGTGGGCGTGATGGAGACTTGGGATGTGGAACGGGCGAGCTGGACCAATCGCCTGAGTTGGCTTTGGCAATTTGGGGCAGACTGTAGCTGTCAAGAATTGTAAGAGCCGTAGAGAGAGTGCCTCCAGATGGTGAGGATTTCATCTTGTGGAGGACACTTGTAATCTCGCGGACTCCGGTTGAGTACTGGGAGCGGATGAGAGTGACGAGAGCGAAGGAAAGGAGGTCGGGGGGCGCGGATTCGATACCGATCATGGGTATGATGATGGCGTGGTTTTGCTTTGCTGTTTCGTGATACTTGCGAATAATATCGAGTACCCATGGACTCTCCCCTGTGACGTCGAGGTAGTGCGTTCCATTATTTGCGCAGGCTTCCACTACTGGTGTACCGTGCAGATGGTATGGTCCTACGGTGTTGATCAAGACTTTGGCTTTCTTTACCAAAGCATGTAGCTCGTTTGGCTTCAATTTGACTACTTCGATGCCTGAATTCAAAGAATTTCAGTCATTGGAATTCCAGCAACGAACGAAGATGACTGACCCGGTAAAACTCGGTCACGGTTCAAGGGTTTCAATTCATCAACAAGGCTTGCAAGTTTTGAATGTGTCCTTCCTGCAACAGCCCATTTCAGGTCTGTGGGCAAATGCGTACTTATATACTCAACAACGTTCTTGCCCGTATAGCCGTTCGCACCGAGCACAATCAAATCATATTCTTTGGAAGACATAATTGCTAAAGTGGTTCAAATAGAAAAGGCAATGTAGGAATCGTTATATTTCTTAATGATCAGAGAGACATGTACTCATGGGTAAATCCATACTTCGTAATACCAGCTACAAGTGTTTGGAGTCAACTGATCCATATGTGTCCCATATTTTTGTTGAAACGATAACGTTCAGTGCTAATAGTGCACAATCGCTGGTCGTCAAGCAGCACGAGCGGAAAGGAGGGGCCGAGGGGAGGACGTTTTCCTTCCACGGACCCCTGATCGCCAAGACGCTAAAAATGCCTTAGCGAAAACAGTTCCTCCACCACACATCGGCATCCATCCCTCATCCCCAACTTCCCGATTCAGTCGCAGTCATGACGAAGCGAACGAAGAGTACGTTTAAAGTGTCTAAAACTCTGGCTGGTACTAATGACGTCTACAGAGGTTGGCGTAACAGGCAAATACGGGACAAGGCAAGCCGCTCTATCAACACCTCAACTCCGACAGTCACTCAAGCCTCGAAGTCTCTTCTAACTGGTTCTTCAGATATGGCGCGTCGCTTCGAAAGCAGGTCAAGAAGATGGAAATTACACAGCACGCCAAGTATAGCTGCACCTTTTGCGGGAAGACCAATGTGAAGAGACATTCTGTCGGGATATGGAAGTGCAAGTCGTGCAAAAAGACGGTGGCTGGAGGAGCATACACGGTGTCGTATGTTACGAGAATATCACTGCCATTCGGCCATGTCCATATCATGCAACTTTAGTGGACACGTCACTGATGCTTAAGTCATACAGAACCCCGGCTGCGGCTGCTACGAGATCGACGATACGGCGTTTAAGGGAGATTGCAGAGGTCTAGGTGGAAAAATGCAGACGTAATGTGACGATTCGAATATGTACTCGTCGATACGCTCCCTTAAGGATCGATATCGAACCACTCTGTCCATAGCGTTTGCTCTCGCGAGCGAAGGCACAAATCGAATAAGGTCTTTTAGACCGTTCTCAACTGGGGCAATACAAGAAGCTCACGAGAAGGCTCTGAAGAGTTCGATAGCGACTATCGCCGTGACGACGCTTTGCTCGGTCCTCTATCAGATAGCTTTAAGAAATGACTGAGCATTGGGTGCGAATCGTGAAAGATTGATGATCATCACAATGATTCATGCTCGGCTGAGACGCGCAAGGCACAAGGAACCCTTGAAGTCAAGTCGTATTAGTCCACTTGTTCGTCTTGGATCACTTGCTCTGACTTCTAAATTTCGAATGGGGTCTTTCTTTTGACAACCTGAAAGACACAAGTTGGTCCGAAATCAAACTGACCAGGATTACTGTCAAAACACCGATAAAGCATCAATTGGAACGTCTGCAGACCGCAAGTTCCAAAGCTACTGCTAAAAGGCGGAGTTTCCGCGTTGAGACTTGCACGTTGACTGATTCTGACAACAAGGACGAGCAGACACCGTAAAGGGGGAATATTTTTCCACTCGTTTCCAAAGCGAAAAAGCAAGTCTTGTTTCGTTTCTCACAAGGGAAGTATTTCCTCTTTCTGTCGTCATTCACTGCTACCTTTTCACCCTCTTCTTCTACACCTGCAGGAGCGACGCACTAGCCTGGCGGCTGGCGCTAGCGGCTTTACAAAACGTCGCGCTTGCTGAAATCTTTCTTTCTTCCTCTCCACCTCTCGCCTTTGCCAAGAAATCTCATTTTCTCTCCTTCATGACTCGCACCTGCATTCATGCTCTAAAATTTATATCAACTGGATTGTGCCATGGCAGAGACTTGTATTGTCTGTTTGGGCGATCTTGGCGAAAATTCCAATGATTCTGTCCGCCTCTTGCCTCGAGCTATCAAGTCACCTGCAGACGGCGGCCCAGTCCCCCGAATCTCGACGTCACCCTCTCGATCTGATGAGAACAAAAATGAGCTCATAGCTCACCTACTACCGTGTGGTCATGATTTACATAACGAATGTCTCAAGCCATGGGTAGAGCGAGCCAATAGTTGTCCAATATGCCGCCAAAGCTTCAACCAAGTCGAGCTGATGGCCGAAGTTGGAGGTGAGTCTATATCAATATTACGAGCCAGCCGTCCTAAGAGAAGCACGTTAGGCTCCATCATATCCTCATATGCGGTTGAAGACAAGACCCAAGTTGCTGACGTGGACCCTTCCATGATCATTGATGAGATCTATGACGAACCTGAAGACGCCCCTTGTCCAGTATGCCGAGAAGATGACAACGAAGATGTGCTACTGGCCTGTGATGGCTGCGATGCTTACTATCACACTTATTGTGTGGGTCTTGATAGCGTACCTATCGGTCATTGGTTCTGCGAAAACTGTGAGACCCAACGAATAATCGAGAGCGTGTGCCCTCCTAGCTCAGAACGCCCCCCGCAGCGCCCACAAAACTCTTCCGATAGAAGAACACGAGCTCAGCAACGCCGGCTGAGGAGTCGCAATCAAGTAACGTCTTCGAGTTGGGCACGCGTCTGGCAGTCCGTGTGGGATCATTTGAACATCGACCTTGACTTTCCGTTTGATGAAGACTCCGATGCTAGGCGCATTGATGCATCTCATCGGACAGCCTCACAGCGCCGTGAGTTCCACGAATGGGAGGCGAGGCTGCAAGTTGCGGAGCGGCAGGGGGGACCAAACAGATTTAGAGATACAGCTTCAGCGCTACTAGATCTACATGCAAGGCGCGAGCAGCCGCCCCAGCCTGAACCTGAATCACAGGAAGAGTTGCGAGCCTGGAACGCCTTCGAGAAAGCTCGAGAGATCGAAGCTGCCCCGTCACCTAAGCGGAAACGGAAGTCAGCAACCACCTCTCCCTCCGAGCCAGAGCCAGCCCAGCAGATGGATCGTCCATTAAAACGGCCTCGAACAAGACGTGTTGTAGAGAACAGTGCCGCTTCACCCAGCATGATATCTGACCCACTGATGAGCTCCGCCGCTGGGCCCTCTTCACGCTTAGCCCAATCCTCAGCGGCTCAGAGTAGCGGACCTACCCTTGTTCAATCGATGCTCCAGAAAATAGAGGCATCTAACAATCCCAATGAGTCCCTAGGTCAATCTCGCCTTTCCATCCAAGCTGGCGCCAATTCTTCCTCTCCTCTGCCATCATCACCCAGAGTTTCACCAACCACATCTAATCACGCAAGTCCCCGGGCAAGATCCACCACGCCACCTCCTTCAACCTCACCGCGACCTAGCTCACCCCTTTCTTTGACGTCAAAGATTGAGCCGATATTTCCCCCGGCGGATTTCTCACCGGAACGATCTCCCTCAGATAACACACTTGCACACCGCTCTAGACCAGAGCAGAGGCGTCAGTCACGCCAACTCCAGCAGGATTCAAGTCCGTCCAGATCCGCTGATGCCTCGCCATCCCGGGTGAACGTACCATTTGCAATGAAAGCAGACTTGCAAAAGATGGTTTCAAATGCGTTGAAACCGCATTATCAAAGTAACACGGTTTCCAAAGATCAGTATACAGATATAAACCGCAACGTTTCTCGAATGCTTTATGACAAAGTCGGGGAGCAGGGCAACGTCGATGGCGACGAAAGAAAGACGTACGAGCGTCTGGCGACGGATGAAGTCGCGAAAGCGGTCGAGGTCTTAACCAGTGGATCTCGGACATCTGATTAGCCTCTGCGTAATGATGGATGATATCACGATAGTATATGAGAGAACAGGCCTCGGGGACAATACCATCATGAGCGCGATGATCGACATACGGACGGCAATAATGATACCCCTTACCGTTCTACGATGATCTGTAAATAGTTTTTGCGATTGAATGCCTCATCTATCAATCTTTACTCGTCCTTCCATTGTGCAATTGTCATTTTGTACTGTGAACTGCACAGACCCCCGACTGGAGGCGACTTCCAACTCCATACAACGCCTGCTCCACAAATACTATGATCCTTGATTTTTCCCCAATTCAATCCAAGTCACCTTCCCAGTGTCGTTTTTAGCAGTCTTTTGAGCATACTTATTGTAATCTAGGCACGGTCAGATAAGCACCACGACCCAGTGTAGAGGGTTTGGGACACTAACCTTTCAATCAAATGCACCCCACTTGCCGTTTCCACGATTCCACTGACTTCTCCAGGCTGCAACGTAAAGGCGGCTTCCTCGAACTCCTTCTGCATGTCGCCTCTCCCGAAGAACCCCCTATGGACGAGAGCCCCCATCAGCGGTTCCATCTCTTTCACCATTCGCTTGTCTTTCCCTATCCTCGATCGGACAGTATAGAGAACAGAAAGGTTACTTACAAGTCGCCCTTCTTCCTCGCACTCGAACAATCACTCTCACTCGCGGCCAAATCGCCTAGCCCAATCTCCCCACCCTTGATCCTTCCCTCGTACCGCCTCAATACCTCAACCGCGTCCTTCTTACTCCTCGTGATTTTCTCCTCCTTCCAGCTACTCGGTCTTCTGCTGCCTTCATGCTTCACCAACAGATGCGCCGCTCTAATCTTCGAGTCCGCTGACCTTTGCCCCTCCACGGATTTGGGGGGAGGGATGGAGAGAGATGAGGAATGGTGAGAGGCCATATAGTTTTTTATGAGGGAGGCGTCAGTGCCGGAGGGCGGCTCCCAACGGGATTCTTTGGTCGAGGTGTTGAAGTAGTAGGGGAGATTTTTGGATTGGGAGTGCCGAACTTCCCACAAGGCTGGAAGACCGGTTTCCGGAGATACGGTTGAGGCCTTGAGTCGGGGTTAGTAGGAACAGAGGTCACGAGATGGAGGGGCCACGAGGGGAAGTAAAGGTGGCACGATGCAGGTACGCAGGACTGCAGGATACCGTTGTTCTTCGGGGATTGGTTGCATACCATGTCGGGCACTTAAGGCAGTATTTTCGGATGCTGAAGAGAGCTAGACAATGGGAGATGGGGAATGGAATTGAAGAGATACTGATTCCAGTGAGAATGAAAGGAGCGCACGAGGAGAACAGAGGGAGAAAAGCAGAAAAGAGCAGAGAAAGGAGCTCAGCGCAAAGCTCGTATTCTTTTCTCCAGAGGCCTTTTACCCCACCAGTAAATAAAGGCAGCGCCAGCAGCCAGAAGCGGGCCCCTCACCCGCGAACTAGCGTCCTCTTACTTATTCATTATTCCAAACCTCCAAGACCATAAATCATACATCCTTCTTACTCCCTACCATTTGGTTCTACCAAGGCAGAGCTCGAGGAATCCTACGCCAAACGAAAAAGCATCTCAAAGTGCAAATTCACACCCAACCATGGCATCACCCGTGCCCTCCACCACCTCCGAGACTCGCTCCAAACCCCAAGAACAAATCACCTTCAAATTCTGCAGAGAATGGTAAATCCACCTTTCTTCCCTTGCATGGCACTCGCTGACGTCGGCTTTTCTCTAGCTCAAACATGCTCTACCCAAAGGAAGATCGTGTGACCTCAAAACTCATGTTCGCCTGCCGCACCTGCCAGTTCAGTGAAGAAGCAACCTCCTCGTGCGTGTTCCGCAATAACTTGTTCAATACCGTGGGAGAGACGGCCGGTGTGACGCAAGATGTGGGCAGTGATCCTACGGTGGGTAGCCCTGGTCATCTGTTGTTTTGTTTGATGTGCGGCTCTGTCTTGGAGGATGAGGATGAAGGCGGAAAGGAGGAGGAGCGATAGATTGAAGACCTTAGTGGGACAGGCAGAAAGCGCAGTGATTGCAGAAAAAGACGGAATTGTCGACACTGTCGGGTTTCGTTGGGCTGACTAGTGCTCACAGCTACCACGGTCGAATAAGTCATGTCCGAATTGCAAAGAGAACGAAGCGGTATTCTTTCAGAGTCAGGTGCGGAGTGCTGAGACGGGCATGGTGAGTGCTTTTGGGAAATGGCATCCCATTTTGTGCAGAAGCTTTGTGGCTTACATTTCTTAGAAATTGTTCTATGTATGCTGTGCATGCGGCACGATCTTCAAATAATCTTTGGGAGCAATACCAGGATCATCCACCGCAATATGTGGACGTTGGGTCGCTCGTTCGCCAGGCTTGCGAATGACAAGTCTGCGCTTTGTCCTCCTCCGAGACGCTGGAATACAATCCGGGTACTGGCTCTGCTTTAGGAGGAGGCGATATCAGGCTTTTAATGCTCGAAGTATCCTCGCTTGTGTCAAGCTCTCTGCTTTATGCTGGCAGTGAATCAGCGGTCATCATCTTTGCTTATCTTGACGAAAACGTTTGAAAGGAATAAATCTATGATAGCGAGGCGTTGGAAAGGCGAAAGGAAGTGATATCTCATCAATTAAGCGTTTGAGTCGAGTTATACCCAAGCCAAATATACCGTACATAGATGCTTCAAGCGCCATCGCTATGCCGCACAGTCTATCATGTCTACTCCACAATGCTTTTCTTTTAACCAACGCTAAATGCATTCACAATGCAACGATCACTAATACGTGCAGGTCGTCATCATTTTTTCTCTCACTCTTGCATTTACAACGCCGCCAATGCCGAAGGCGGGAACAATCCGGCTCATTCTTGCAGCACTGCTTCCCAACCAATCCCGTCCAACTCTCCTCATTCGAGATCTCAAGTTCATGCCGCTTTCCCTAGGCCTATTGTACAGATCCAGGCCCCACAGATGGAGCGGCGTGCTGAGTAGCTGAATGCCAGCAGGAGCAAGGAATTGCGCCAGACTCCTTCTACTGACATGCTTTTCTATTTCTTCAGGTAGGGGAAGGATTGGCGCAACCAAAGGTGGAAAATTGAATGAAGCGAAGATTGTCAAGGAGTCTCTCAATGCAAAGAGAGCGTAGCTTGATAACGGCACGACGCGCGCTGCTGGACTTGACGCACCAAACATGCGTGTAAACTGGCTGTCTTTGTAAAGGCAGAGCGACATATTGACACTCGACGTCGCGACAAATTTGGCAGATCCTGACGTGATAGATGCAGGTGTCCTGTTATAGAGGGTGGACGATACGGTATCAACTGTATTGGCTGTAAAGTAGGTCCCGAAGTAGAGTGTTGAGATGAGGAGACAAGCTTTTGAGGTCAGAAAGGTGTGAGGACGAGTGAGCAGTTGAGAGCATGATTTTAGGATCGACGAGCGGAGGCTTTGCTGGGTAGAAGCTTTTTCAATAATAGAGCTGGAAGAATATGTAAGACACTTCAGAACCCGTACAGATTTTCTGGAGCGACCAAGACAGCCAGTCTACTGACCGGTCAATCATTGTAATGAGCGGCGAGATCAAAGCAGTTGCACAAGCTGACGCGCTGAAATCCGCAAAGATACGCCATCTTAGATCCTTTGTGTTCCAAGCAAGACTTGATGACGAGTCTGGTTGGGTGGATATAGATCGAGCTTTAGCAGGTAGGAGAGGAGGGTTAGGGGCAGGATGAAATTGAGTTTGCTGCGTCAATGAGTGTTGGACGTCCTGCCTATCCAGAGCACGTGTCATTCTCGCGAAGCGATTCCTGTGACTACGCGTCCCATGGAATAGCCTTTATGGAAGGGACCAGAGAGTGGCTAGGATACATGAGCTGCTTTCACGTAGGATGACGGCTTCTGACGGCGGATCATTAATGCGGTCAATTTTCCCCCGAGTTTTATGACAGCATTCGGAACCTTCCCGTTTGCACGCTAGCGATTTGGCTGTATGATAGAAAGGATCCTCGGATCACTCCACAGGTCAATCGATGCTTCAGAATGGAACCGATTCGAGTTTATCACGAAGCGCATGCAGCTGTTGAGAGGCGTTCGTGCGGCTTCGCTTTTGTGTTTGCTAGGTCGTTTGGTTAGAATATATCGTTGCTTTGGGTATCGAGCTTGTTCTCCTGGCTATGGTTGGCGGCAGAAAACCCATCTGGTCTCAGATTGACGGCACCTGCGAGCACGAGCTTGAGCAAAGATTTAATTAGCATTGCTCGAACAAGATTCAAGATCTTGCAATCGGCGTCACACTTACAGCGCGGCTCAGGTCCTCGACCAGATCGTCTACATCTTCTATCCCAACACATAATCGAATGATGTCCTCTGGCATGGCTCGCTCCTGCCTTGTCTTTGCGTCGATACTCGCATGGCTCATTCGACACGGCATACTGATCAAGCTATTGACGCATCCAAAACTGACGCTGATTGCCCATAATTTGGCAGATTCGACAATTCTTTCGCTTACATTCACATCGCCCGTTTCGAATGATAGCACTGCGCCGGCCCCCGAGCCATCGAATGGTGCAAATCGTATTGTGGATGTGAGACCAGACCAGGGTAGCGAACCCGGAACCCATGAGATTCAAGAAATTCTGCTATCTGTTGCGCGTTCGATTGCTGCTGCTCCATCCGTACCTTTAGGGTTTTAATGCCTCGCATAAGCAGCCAAGAGTCAAATGGAGCAAGTCCACAGCCTGAAGCATTGATTGAGAAGTACATCTTCTCACCGATCTTTTGCTCCTTTACAGCAATGACACCGGCCATCAAGTCGTGGTGCCCGGAAAGATATTTGGTCCCACTTTCGTAGACGAGATCCGCTCCCAGATCCAGCGGATTTTGTAGCAAAGGAGAAAGCATAGTATTGTCTACAGCTACTAGCGCACTAGGGTTAGCATGGTGCGTTGCCTTCGAGATGGTGGGGATGTCAACGATCTTGATGAGAGGATTGGTTGGAGTTTCGAGAAGTACCATGGCCGTCCTCTGGGAAAGTACGTTCTGCACAGCAGATGAGTCAGTGGTGTCGACATGGTGGACGATAATATTCCCATTCGTAGAGAGATACTTCAGCAGACGATTGGTGCCGCCGTATAGGTCGTCTCCTGTCACGACTTCGTCGCCAGGCCGGAGAATGCGCGTGATCACGTCCAAAGCCGCCATGCCGGAGGAAACGACAAGAGCACGCTCCGCGCACATGATTTTTGCAAGATGTCTTTCAAGATGGGTCCTTGTTGGATTTCCTGATCGGGTGTAGTCGTACTCGCCCCCTCCACCACCAGACGTCTGTTTAAACGTCGCTGTCTGGTAGATTGGCGTGCTGCTAGCATTGTACTGATCTGTCCCTTCGGTATAGACCAGCTCTGTGGCTAACGCGTACCTTTTGCCATCGCGCGGGCTCGACGGCGCTGGTGAGGGGGGCAAGTTATGCCCGTCTATATCGATCTTGGAAAAGGCTTTGCCCAAAGGCTTCGCAGATTTTTCAGCTTGGCCGTTGCTATCCATTGTTTTCATGTGCAATTTTCGAAAGTCTATTCTTTTAGGGCAGTAACGTCGCTGTCAAGTCCAGGTGGGGCGGCTAACTATGCGGCAAACAAGTAATAGAGTTGAACTCAGGAAGAGAACGATGCAGTTGAGCAATATTTCGGAGTGTGCGTGAGGATGACATGATACGCAGGTCCAGCCTGTGCTTCACATGAAGATGCCAATGACGTGCTCGCTAAGGTACTCCGTAGCTCCTTGCGCTATGCTCTTAATCAGGGGAAACTTACCCGAATGCTTCTTTCAACAAACATATGAAGTAAACCATGTCGGTATCTACATTTTGCAGTTCTATTGTTTGAGTTTATTCTATAGAGAGTCGAAATCGTGAAGATCATATCGTGGGTATCTGAAGATTAAGACAAGCGATCTCTTTCATGATCAGTCCAACCCCCTCGGTCTTTGTATATGTTGAAGTCGCATCTGGCCTCGCGTTGACCGTTACTGGTGCAGCGCAAACAGTCTTCACATGTCACCCTTGAGTACCTACGATTCGTACACTCCCAGTCTTTTCGAAGAAATCTGAAGTCTTTAGGCCTCTCATCTCATTCATATCGGCATTTTCCATCTGGGCCCCAGACGCTTTCCTTTGCCTCACATATTCACGCATAGGAATCAGGGCAGCGTCTCTGCATGCCTCTTTTATATCACTACCAGACATTCCGGCGGCAACCCGTACCAAGTAGTCAAGGTCGAAATCGTCCTCGTCCATCTTTGTGCCTTTCAAGACTAATCCAAATATTCGCTGTCTCTGCTTTGCTGAGGGCAGGGGAACTGGAAACTTCTTCGGCATTCGTCTTAAGATAGCTTCATCTATATCTTGAATTCGATTGGTTGCTCCCAATATCAGAATACTCTGAGATTTCCCTGTGGAGTCGGATGAAATCAAGCCATCCCAATGTGTCATGAATTCAGCTTTGACCTGACCGCTGGCTTCATGCTCACCGGATCTTCTGGTCCCAAGAAGAGCATCTATTTCATCGATAAAAATTATAGTCGGCTGCAGCTTCCGCGCAAGAGTGAAAACAGCGTGGACCAGCTTGTTAGAATCCCCGTACCACTTCTCGGTCAACGTAGAGATGTGCAAATTGATGAATGTTGCGCCACCCTCGTGGGCCATGGCTTTAGCAAGCATGGTCTTACCACATCCGGGAGGACCGAAGAGTAGCACCCCAGATGGGGCAGAGAGTAGAGATGAAGGATTTGAGAAAAGTTCTGGCATAGTCAGAGGATAGATGATTGCTTCTTTCAACTCTTCGATCGTATCGGCAAGTCCTCCTATATCTGCAAGCAAAGAGGACCTTGTTAGCACATTTCCCTTGATCAAGTAAGGCAAGCATACCATCAAAGGCAACAGGTATATCATCTGGAGCCACAACATCCATAGCAATCAGCTGTTCGTAGCGATTGAGTTGGAGATAATCCACTTTGGGACGTTTTCGTTTTCGTCCACCGTTTTCACGGATCTCATCATCATCATCGTCGTCATCATCTTGTGCATCTAGCCTTCGAAGCACCGCTGCAGCATTATTCCGTCTCTCCACTTGCTCTTTCTCATCTCCACTCTGTAGCCGATTGAGCGCGGTTCGCACGAGATAAAATGACGCCGTAAGCTATGTGAATCGAGAAATGTAAGCGCCATGCCCATCTCGGCTCCCTGGTAGCACATAAACTCACAGTCGCTGCTAGAAGTAAAAGATCCTGAACAAAAGCGCGGTCTGGCATAGGGACGCAGATCAACAATTTGCTATGCAAGGAGCATCTCCTTGCAGCTCTCCGTCATTGAAGGTTTGGTCTTGGCAGATGTTATCTTGGCCTTGACCTTATCTTAGCGCGCGGTCCCGTGTTTGCGACCGAAGTACGCGATTGTTTACTCAGATCAACTTCCTGGAAGCGCTCCGACAGCACCTGTGCGAAAGTGATTGAAACCCTCTACGAATAGAAGTAAATATGCCCAAGGTAAAACCCATCTCTCTTTCTGCGATGGTAGACACCGATGGGGAAGAAGACGCACGGGACACGGCTGCGCTTCCAACCCCAGATTCAAATCAAGAAAATCCTGGCAGTGGTAGAAAGAAAGGCGGGCGACAGAAGGCGAATGCAAAGAGGTTTACGAAACCAAAACGCCTCAGCGGGGATTCCATGACCTCCAAAGCTACAGGCCTGACAAAACCTAAAGCTGGTAGAAGGCGAGCGCCTTTGAAGGACACATTCAACGACCAGAAGATCGACGAGACCGAAGAGGTCGATGAGTTTGCGCAATCTGATGCGGACATGACCGCAGATCCAATCCAGGAGCGAAGTCCAGTATTGAAGAGGAAGGCTGCAACTACCAAAGTGGGAAGGCCAGCAAAAGTACGGGTAACCAAGCAAGTGGGTGCCGTCGCAAAAGATGGCGAGTTCGAATACACGCCTACGGTACAGCGGCAGACAAAACGAGCTGCCAAAGACACGATTGGCGATCCCGACCATCGAATCCAACATGATCCGCATGGCTCAACTGAAGTACCTGAAACTCAAAGATCTCCTATGATCGATAGTTCAGGCACCCAGGAGAGGAGGTCATCCATAATGGAGAATTGACGCCACAGGCTCTCTCTCGTCGAAGCAATAATGCTCAAGGGGCGCCAAGGCAGCGAAAGATTGCGCCTACCAGGCGCCGAGCTGGCAGCGCATCCGAGACTGATAGGACCGTCGGTGACCCAACACTACGAAGGAGACTCGGAGAAATGACAAGAAAGTTTGAGAATTTGGATCTGAAATACAGAAATCTGAGAGAAGTTGGCCTGAAGGAAGCCGAAATCAATTATGACAAGCTGAGGAAACAATCAGAAGTCAACGCGCAAGGTTGGTGGTCGTCAAGAATGTGAGCACAGAAGATGGTCACTGACTTTGAATAGCCGCAAATGATTTAATCGCTTCGATGAAGAAGGAAATTGCGATGCAGAAAGCCATTGTTAAAGAGTCGCAATCATTCCAAAGCCAAGTGCAAATAAGGGAAGCCGATCTGACTCAGACTCGCGCACTGGCAGATCAGCTTTCAAAGTCATTGGCTGAAGCCCAAAATGAGAACAAAGCTCTTCAAGCCAAATTAACAAGTTCGAGGAGCGCTTCAATGGCAGCGGATCGGACTCCTGGCAGTACTATGAGGGCAAGAAATCCGATTCAAGCAAAAGCAGTCGTAATAGGCAGCTCTGATGCTGGCCGTTCATCCCATGCTGCTCAAAGAAGGAAGACCTGTACAGTGACCTGACAGGTCTCATCATCCGGGGTGTAGATGTCAGCAACGAAGTTGAGACGTTCGATTGTATTCAAACAGGCCGAAATGGTAGTAAGTCGAGCTCATGGACTGTCAAGGGACAATCGAGCTAATCCACGACCAACAGCATTACATTTTAAGCTTGCCGTTGCTAAAGATACAGATGATACATATGAGGATACCGAATTCCAATATATGCCAAGGCTAGACGAGAATCGCGATCGCGATTTGATTAGGCTTTTGCCAGAGTACCTGACGGAGGACATTACCTTCTCGAGAATGAATGCCGCCATGTTCTATGGGCGAGTTGGAGAGACGCTAACGAAGCGACGATCGACTGAGGTTCCTGACCGGCCAGTGTGAAGCGAGTACGTGGCATGTGTTCTTGGGAAAAGCCGGGAACTCTGACTGAGGTGGAGATGTGGCTCCTATGATGATGTAGTGTTAGGCGTACCTGTACCTCGATTTGTCTTTCCAGGCGTAAGGTCACTTTCAACTGACACTTATGATTCCTCAAAGGCCTTATGCTGCTGTTTGACACTGTGACGCTGTTCCCGTGCTCGATGCAAGATTGTACATGCAATCAAGACTTGGGTTTGCGCGAAGCATACATAGCGAAGCAATCCACAGTCGCATTCACATGCACCAATGGCCTGGCGGCATAAATGGCAGGATATGACTGTTTCCGCGCAAACCCCTCTTACGGTCAACGAAAAGAAACTCAGAAGCCAATGAATTAGTTGTATGCGGTGGATCAATAAGGTGTCCCACGGTAGTATATGAACATTCATGTGACAATGGTGCTACCACGTACGGTTGAACTGTGTGGACATAGAGCCCCTTTAATTCTTATATCAGACTTCGATGCTAGTTCAAGCGGAGCGGCGATACCCGTCGAGCTACGGTGCAGCAGAGCAGGAATCCTTTTTGGTTGAAGGAATCCCAAGACTCCCCAGATGCGCAACGACGCCATGCGCTGAGAGGATTTGCTTTTAAAGCAACTACCTTCATTTTGATCCTGTCTATCCACAATGGCCCGTCTAGGCCGTTTCGGCTTCTTAGGCGTAGCCATTGTCTTTCATATTGTTTACATATCTTCCATCTTTGATATTTATTTCGTTAGCCCAATTGTTCAGGGCATGACCTCCTATGGCGTCCAAAGAAAGGCTGGCACCGATGCTCCCGCAAAGAGACTCGTCTTGTTTGTTGGAGATGGTTTACGCGCCGACAAAGCATTTCAGTCATTTCCCGATCCGTCACCTCAAAAAGCAGACGCCCCGGGCGCCCTTCAGCCTCGACCACTCGCGCCATACCTGCGTTCAAAAGTCCTGCACAGCGGGACGTTTGGGGTCTCACATACACGCGTACCAACAGAGTCACGGCCGGGACATGTCGCTCTGATCGCAGGGCTTTATGAAGATGTATCCGCAGTCACGACCGGGTGGAAGCTGAATCCGGTGAACTTTGACAGCGTTTTCAATCGGAGCAGACACACATGGAGCTGGGGAAGCCCAGATATCTTACTTATGTTCAAAGAGGGTGCCTTACCTGGAAGAGTGGATGCGGACTGCTATGGGGAAGAGTTTGAGGATTTTACGAAGGACGCTACCATGTTAGATACTTGGGTCTTCGATAAGACCAAGAAACTCTTTGGGACGGCTGCACGAAACACAACCCTTGATCAAAGTCTTCGCCAAGACAAGAATGTGTTCTTCCTCCACCTACTGGGTCTCGACACTACCGGGCACGCATATAGACCTTATTCAAAAGAATACTTGCATAACATTAAGGTTGTGGACCAAGGCGTCAAGGAAATCACAAGACTAATAGATGACTTCTATGGAGATGGCCGAACGGCATTCGTATTCACAGCCGATCACGGAATGAGCGATTGGGGTAGCCATGGCGACGGGCACCCAGACAACACGCGCACCCCTTTGATCGCCTGGGGCTCCGGCGTTGCTAAACCGGTCATAAACTCTCTTGGGAAGGCTGAGGGGCATCAAGACAAATTTTCATCCGATTGGGGCTTCGATCATATTCAAAGAAATGACGTCTCCCAGGCAGACGTTGCAGCACTCATGGCCTACCTCGTTGGTCTTGATTTTCCGGTCAACTCGGTCGGCGAGCTGCCGTTGGCGTATCTTTCCGGAAGTCTCAAAGACAAGGCTGAGGCGGCTCTGGCCAATGCTCTCGCTGTGCTAGAGATGTATCGCGTCAAGGACGAGCAGAAGAGGGCTACCGAACTCCGCTATAAACCGTTTCCGCCTTTAGGAGATGAAGGATACTCCATGCAGCACCGTGTGCAAAACATTCGCAATCTTATCAGTTCCGGTAAATTTGATTCTGCAATCACAAGCAGTCAGGAACTCCTCCAGATTGGGCTTGACGGACTGAGCTACCTACAAACGTATGATTGGTTGTTCCTACGGGCTCTTGTGACATTAGGTTATTTGGGGTGGATTGCGTTTGCAATTAGCACCGTTATTGACATGCACGTACTACACGGTAGAACAGTGATACTGCGAACTAATTTCAATACTGCTATCTTCGGTGCTATTGGGGTCGTCTTATTCTCATCTCTTTTGATAAGGAGAGCACCTCCCACTTATTACCTTTATGCCATCTTTCCACTTTTCTTTTGGGAAGAAGTGCTGTCACGAAGCCAAGCCCTTCGACTAGGATATATGACTCTCCTCCGTGAGGTGAAGAGTCAAAAGGAAAAGTTTATGCTTGGGTTAGAAACGCTTTTTTGTGTGGGAATATTGGAGGCGCTTGTGAGTATGACATCTAGATACAATGACTTTTGCTGATGAGTGGCAAGGTTGTATCATACTTCCATCGGACCGTGTACACGATTTGCTTTCTTGCGGCTCAGTTCTGGCCATTCTTGTACGGACGCGACTTTGTCAGAAGTGACAAGGCACTTATAGTCACCTGGTGTATTGCTTGTCAAGCTATGAGCATATTCACGCTCTTAGATGCTATCAAGGTTGAGAACACTATTGTAATGTTTGTATCCAACATCTTACCATTCTATATCTGTCAGATCACTGACGCGGGACAGTTTACTTGGAGGGACGTTGATGGCACTTGTTGGTGTATTATACTTATTCTTCGAAAAAAGCATTCTGTCATCATCGAAAGGCAACAACAGATCCGGCCACACACTTGATGGAAACTCAAAAGCTGTGATTGGAATTCAAATCGGGCTCATTCTGCTAGCTATGTTTGTAACGAGATCAAGTGTCGCATCGTTGCAGGCAAAACGAGGCTTACCTTTCGGCAATCAAGTGGTTGGCTGGATTGTTTTGGGTAAGCAAGCTTGATTCAATTCGAACGCCAAACTAATCGTATAATGCAGCATCCTCACTAACAGTTCCATTTCTATATGGATTCAATTCTAACAACCACTACCTTCACCGTCTAGTCGTCATCTTCCTCACCTTCTCACCTATCTTCATCATCCTCACGATTTCTTACGAGGGCTTGTTCTACTTCACCTTCTGCGCAACGCTCGTGACTTGGGTTCGACTGGAACACCACGTTTATATGTTCATGCAGTCATCATTATCCTCACCACCGACGCCGATACTCCGAAGCAAGCGGCTTTCAGATGCAACATCCGACATCCTAAAACAGCTCAAATCGTCGACTGAGTCAGCCTCAGATCCAGACAGCAGATCCCCACATGGCGCATACCGGCCATTGGCACTATCTGACGTCCGAATCGCTCTGTTCTTTCTTTTTCTACTTCAATCAGCTTTCTTTTCTACCGGAAACATTGCGTCGGTCTCATCTTTCTCCCTCGATAGCGTATATCGGTTGATCCCTGTCTTCAACCCCTTTTCTCAAGGCATTCTACTAATTATAAAACTGATGATACCCTTCGCTGTTATCAGCGCAAACTTGGGAATTCTCAACAGGCGGCTTGGAGTTGCACCAAGCAGTCTATTCATGGTAGTCATGGCTATCAGCGATGTCTTGACGATGAACTTCTTCTGGCTAGTCAGGGATGAAGGAAGCTGGCTGGACATTGGAACGAGCATAAGTCATTTTGTAATTGCTAGCCTGTTGTGTGTCTTCGTGGCTGGATTGGAGTTTGTATCAGAGGTTTTCATCAGCGGAGTGGATGTTGAGACCGAAGACCACAAAGCTCAATTGAATGGATTAGCTGCCGAGGGAAAATCTCACACATCGAATGAAAATGGAGGTTTAGTTGCCAATGCCAATGGCAATGCCGCACGGTAGTATCAGATGTATCAACAAATCTGGTGTCAGACTTCTGCAGATTGTTCTAAGCTCCGAAAGCAGCGGACTCGAGGATCTTCAGTATCTAGGGCATGACTTTCTGCTGTCCTCTATCCTCATCGGAACTAAGACAATGTTATTTTTGGAGCATCCGTCCAGGCTGGTAAACGAAATGATGTCTCTTCGGGTTGCTGGTCTGGCCATTGCTCCTTTATCAGTTTCATCAATTCGTCATACAGGATTTTATAAGCTGGCGGTAGAAAATGCAAACCTTCAAAAGTATCAGTCATCTCTATAATTCTGGAGCTGCTAGAGTGATGCCTACCGTCAGCCAGCAAGCTGTCTAATTTGGCGTTCCTTGGAGCGTCCTTCGACCCCACAAGCGTCTCGCCATCCCTCCACCCTGTTGTTGCCATCATAGCAGACCAAAGATCCAGGACCGGCACTTTCAATCGCTCCCCAAGCTCTCTACATGCATTTGCGTACTGACACGTGATCTCGGCCTTTCTCGTCAGTCCACCATACCCTTTATCGAAGTCAACAAATTGAAGTTGATATTCATTGATCGGAGGCGGCGTGATCAAGATCAGACGAGGATGATGGGTGGTGACCGCTGGATCGTGCAAAATAAGTTCTAGATTTTGATAGTACTCATGCAGTGGCACATGTTGGCCGGTTGGACTGTCCGGGAGGACTGCATCATTGGCGCCAAAGAAGACATACTAGACGCATCAACTGCGTCTGGTAGGCAAAAGGATTCAGAAGACGTGAGACGTACCATAAAGTCAGCCTTTGCCTGCTGTGGACTCGGCATAAAATCATGGAGTGCTGTTCTGGCCTGGACAGTATTATAGCCCTGGAGCAAACGATCAGTTCGGAAGGTGGGTAATGAGGAGCATTTTGGGTACTGAGAAGCCGCGATTGATCACATCCAAGCGACGAATGAACGCTGGAGAGACAGCCACTTAGCACGGATTCCTCGACGCGGTTTCATGTGAAATTGTAATACATTGAGCAATATTACGAGGGGACTCTACCGTCTTGCAAAGCAGGCATGAGATTAAAACCAAGTCCTTGGCTTGCTGAGAACTGAGTGATGCTGTCTCCAAAGAGAATGAATTGAGGGTAAGGCCCTTTCTGTGGAGCTACCGCCCCATGATTACCAACTGCCTCGGTCATTCTCACCTTTACCGACCCTATCACTATGCCTCGCTGCGATTGGGCTCCGAATGGTCAAGACGCCAGAGCTTGTCTGTTCTTTTCAACGTGCACGTACGCGGGTTTTCCATAAGAAACGGAATGCAAGGAGATAACGCTAGAGGATTCATTAAGGTTTAAGTAGCAGCTCTAGACCGCGAAGAGGCTAGCTTCAGGTAGTAGTACCAAAACTACGACTCGCTTTATCTTCGCGATGCCAGAATCGCAGCATCCAAGGTGACTACGTTGAAAGTACTTGCTTGTGCATAGGCATTTGTAATGCCGCGGCCAAAGCGACCGAAGTTGGTTCACACTGTGTCATCCACCTTACGTATGACCGAGCATGGCCCTCCATCTTCAATTCAAAAGCGACAACGAAACACTTCTGCCTTATCGGAACACGCAGCAAATGCAAGCGACGATACTGATGGGTTGGTTCAGCGGAAGGCAGGCTGGACAAAGACAGATGCGATAGAGTCGGCTCAGTACACTATGAGTGGTGCGCTGCGGCCTCACCCGAATGCTGGTCCGAAGAAGAGCATGCCATCTGGATCGTCAACAAAGGACACAGGTCGCTCAGATACGCGGACTAGGAGGACTGAAAGTGTAAACACACAGAACCGCACTGGAAGTAGACAAAAACCTGGCGATTGGGAAACCGCGCCGATAGCAATTTCGGACCCTCCGTTGTTGCCGTATTCTGCTCCAGGCAAGCAAGCTAGCTTGGTATCCACATACAACGGCACACCTTTGGCTCAATCCTCCATGCTAGGTGCCATTCAATTCAAAAAGCGAGCCCGACAGCCTAGCCTACTAGATCTGGCGCAGACGCAGCCAGACCTTACGTTAGATTTTGACGATGAGTTTCCAGACTTCAGGCCAGATGACGAGTCCACGCCTTTGGTCAAGCCCTTATCGAACTTAGCCAATTCAATACCCTCAGAAGCGCATCATTTGGGACCACGAAAGAGAAAATTTTCATCATCTGAAGTTCAGGTTCCAGCAACCCAATCCCAGCATCAGGTAGAGTCCTCACTCAGTCTGTCGCCCCCTCGGAACGAATCTCCTGATCCACTACCAAGTGATGCTTTACTACTGGAACCCACATTACCTCGCTACCGTCAAGTCCGGACACCGTCGCCTTCTCTAGACAGAGATACTATAGAACCACCCCTCAGCAGTAGCAGTCCCGTAAAACCCCTACCCAGGAATACGCGCAAGTCCAGATCAGAACGTACTGTTACCAAAAGAATCACTACTGGAAAGGAACAGCGACGCTCGGCTTCTTCACCACCGTCACCTCAGTCAACAACATCAACGCCCCGTAAGGTGCTGTTACGTAAGAGGCCGCCAGAGCCGAAACCGTTGACTACAGCAACTCTGCAGAACTTGTTACCCCGCAGAAGATTACTCAAACAGACTCAGAATCCTTATGATGTTCTTAGCAGCAGTGATGGAGAGATCGATCTTACGCATCTAGGTGAGGATGAGGACGAACTCTCACTGCACGCCAAGAGCAAAATTCGCCGAAACAAGTCAATGCTCAGCAACAACCCCAAACGGAGCTTAGCAGTGAGTAGCAAAGGAAATCACAGGCTACCAGGTTCGAAAACAAAGCGAGAATCCAAAACTTACTCGCGAATCAATGATGATGAATCGCATACAGAGGGTGACGATGCTGGTGGAGATCTCGAGGGAACGAGTTTTGAGATTGATCCCACCAACGGGAAAGCAGTGGCAAATTTCGACGTGAAAGCGAAGGCAGAGATGAAGCGCTTAGCGAACAAGTTCAAGGAAGTCGATGAATATACGATGGAATTTGAGGATATGACAGGGGACGGAAATTCAAGTCAGATGAAGGATGCTAGATGAGGATCGCACGACAGGTAACCCATGGATATAACCTTGGCTCAACAGTCTTTGCTTGGGAGAAGTGTCAATAATTGCCATTCTGGTGTTTTGTAGCTTGGGCATCAAAAAAAAAAAAAACGATTTCATTTCATGAAATGTTGGCCTTTTTCTCTCAAAGCCGTTCAGTATTCGTACTCGAGGCACCAGGCTCGGCTTGCAGAGGAGGCATTCTAGTGAAATCTGCATTTCCCCGAGCATTCCATTCTAGCAAAGTCGTCACTTCGAAGCTGGCATGACCATTCTGTGAAGATTTCGCTGAATCAGGCTGCTGATTGCTCATGGCACTTTCATTTTTGCGTGCGATCGCACAATGCTCATCAAAAACCAACGAAAGAAAACCAAAATCAAAACGACCGTGTGCAGATCTTTCTCTTTGATTTTGTACATGAACAAATGCTTCAATCAAAGCATATGGGGACACCAAAGCTACATTTGACCTCATGCTTATCAAGACTGCAGTTGATGAGATTTCCGGTTAATCTGCCTAAGACGTTAAACATTTTACAAAGAGAACCCCGCATTTAACAATACCTAGTTTGGATTTGTAGCGCTTGAAGTGAATTCTCAACTGTGAGACGCCGATTCTGTAAGTGTTTATGTGCTGAAAGAATTACTCCATTATTACTCTTTAGTCTTCTAGTCAATCCTAGACAGTATCGGTGATTCTAGCGCCTTGAGTAGTTTGCTTCTGCCTTCGCATGGTCTCAAGAGCAAACGTAAATCGGTCAAAGGCTTTGCTAACTTTCAGTAACATGATTCTCCCAAGTCAAGCTTAAGGTCACCGAGTCTGCCATTTCTTTTTATCAAGTGAGTCATGCTATTCGCAAAGGCATTCTTATCTCTCACTCTGATGTTGGGCCCTCTTTGTAATTACTGCATCATGACGGAGACAACGTCCTCTTCCCCGTCCTTACCTTTTTTCATCGGCGGCGTAAGAGCTCGTATCAGCCGCGTGAGACGTCTCCTGCTGAGTAGACTTATAGCAGTATGAGCTGCGGAGAAGATGTGAGGGCAAGCAAGGTCAAGTCAGGTAAAGATGTTAAGGACGATCATTCAAAAGTTTCGATATTGGAATGGCAATATGGTATGATAGATGCGAAAACACAGTGAGCAGGAGGGAGACTTCAGAATTAGATTGATGTTACCGACCTTATCGGAGTGACAGGCCTGCTTTTTTCATTTCTTGCAAGACTCACATTTTCTCTCAGAGCAACATATTCCGAATCCGCAAATCCCAGCAAGCTTCGGATCTCGGTACTTTGACAACCTTTGATTCGCATAATTTCGGCTGATGAATAATTCACGAGCGCCCTTCCTACCTCAAGGGGAGCTGAGGGTATATCAACAGGAACCCCACCACCATTCACAGTTGCGTCGCTTTCAAGAGGCCCATTACTTTTCTGCTTGACAACGAGGAGTCGCACGGCTTCTTGTTGTGCGAATTGGCCTTCGACATCAACGATGCCTACTGGTAAAAGGCCGGCTCTCGATTTTAGCGCTTGGTGGGCGCCTTCGTCTATATACATAGTACCGTGAGGTGCCAGGCCGTGTAGCAGCCAGAACGAGCGGTCGCGTATAGGCTGCAGATCTGGTATAAAACGCGTGTGCAAAGGGGGAGTTCTCAGAGGGCCATTCATCTGCAATGATGCTGTTGATTTTGAAAGATCCTCGCGCTCTGTAGAAGGCGTGAGTGGGAGCGATGACACGAGAGGCGATCGTCTTAACGATTCTACATAGTTGACTACTTCAATTATGTTACCAGGTTTTGATGATCGAGTAATTACTGCGGTGACCCCAGCAGAAATGGCAAGCCTTGCGGCAACAATCTTGGTAGACATGCCACCAGTCCCCAACGCTGACCCAGCTGATGATACATCGGCTTCTAGGGCCGAAATATCTTCAACAATGTCAATTGGCCTCGCATCTGCGTGCATTCTTGGGTTTTTGTCGTAGAGGCAGTCGACATCAGTCATCAGGAACAGATAATCCGCTTGAAGCATGGCGGCGGTGATGGCAGATAGCGTGTCATTGTCACCAAATTTTTCAACCTCACGAATTTCCTATGGACGTTCAGCTGGTGGACAACAGCTGGACGACGAGGTAAAGACGCACCGACACTGCGATCGTATCGTTTTCATTGACTATAGGGATAACGCCCATGTTGAACAGCTCTGTAAAAGTATTCTGCGCATTGAGATACTGGGTGCGGTCCGCAATATCATTCCTAGTCAACAGAATTTGTGCAATTGGCTGTTGCAGGTGCGCGAAGAGAGTATTCCACAGCCCAATAAGCTGGCATTGTCCAACACTAGCAAGAGCCTGCCCCGAGGTCAGTAGATGTGATTCCATGTAGTAAGGCAAAGACTGGTCTTGCCTGTCTTGCAGTCATAGACTTAGGTCTCCTATCCACCTTCATTCGTCGCAATCCCATGCCAATGGCGCCAGAAGAGACAATGACTACTTTATGGCCATCCTTGACAAGCTGGACTGCTGTCTCGACGATGAGAGAGAGAACGGAGAGTAGAGGCTCATGATTTTTTTCACTGACGATAGAGCTTGTGCCTGGATTGAGTCAATCACTAAATGAAGCTGAGAATGCTCGATCAATCGCCATACCCAGTTTGATGACAATCGTTAGGTGTTTCTGGCCCTTCATGGATTAGGATGCAATGAAGCAGGTATCAACAGAGCTATCACGCTTCTCTGAACGAGAAGTACTACAAATATGAGAACAGGGGTAGGAATCGTCCAGGGGCAGTGCCATCGTAATTGAGTGTTGTGAGTCAACCGTGAGGCGGAATTCGCAGGTCGGTACTTGCCCAGCAAAACTTTTTCAAGCAACTCTTTCCGTTTTAGCAACCCTCCTTTCTGCATCATCCACTAGCAGAGCAACCGATGTCTTCCACTGATGAAGGATCTACAACTAACCAGCAGGATGAGTCTTCGACGCCGAAGAGAGTCTTTGAGCCTCTTGATTACAGCGACACATTTTGGGCAAGACTCAAGAATGGAACGAATTACAACTTCCGGCGCTTAAGCAACGAGGATGCCGCCCGAATGATACAATTTGACAAGATGCGACAATGGCCGCTCAGACTCGCGAAGTGCCAGGAGCGGCGAAACTACTTCTTGAAATATAGTGCGATCTCGATGTGTTAGGAACCTACGGCGAATTGGGGCTAAGAGGGTGACCTAGGTCCAGTCATACGCTTCATGAACGATAAAATCCGGCAACTGGGAGGCAACATAACCAGAGATACCTTTCCGTGTCGATTCTGTAAGGACACCAAGCGTGGCAGTTTCCATCCAGAACAAGGAATCGAATTGTGTGCGAACAACATAACATCTAAGAGCAAACATGAGGACATCATGGCGCATGGTACTGTTGCACCTACAATCCATCTCTATGTCAACATGAGACTAACGGTGATAGAGTTAATGCATGTGTATGACCATCTCCGCTTCGAAGTCAATTGGGCGGACCTCCGACATTCTGCTTGCAGCGAAATCCGAGCCTCAGCGCTCAGTGGTGAATGTAGATTCTTGAGCGAGTTCTGGACTCGGGGCAAGTACAAGTTGAATAGAGGATATCAAGATTGTGTCAGACGACACGCAATACAGTCAACGAGGACGAGGCCAAATTGCAAGAGTGATGAGCACGCAGCGCAAGTTGTGGATGATGTCTTTGACAGTTGCATAACCGATACGAGACCTTTTGATGAGGTATATCGATAAGCCAAAATTGCTTCATTATAGAGAAGCGAAAAGAATCACCCCTAGGATTCGCCCAACTCCAAGCTATGACCAAGCCAAATCCTGCCTCAAATCTCCAGATGGTGCAGACTGCGTGACAACAAACCTTATCGGCCTGAATTCCGCTTGGCAGCCCTTTCACCTGTACAATGCTTCACAATCCACGGGTGTTTCTGGACCTCGCCTAATTGAAGGCGTTTATCCGGATCAAGGACGAGAAGCTATGACAACGTCAGCCCACTTTTCAGTGCAAAGAGGTCGTATTTGGCTTACCCGCTCGATCAGATCCCTCGCCTCTCCGCTTACAAATTTTGGTACGGTCATCTCCCCTCTCGCTATCCTTCGTTGAGTCATAACAGGCGTATCCTCGAACGGTGCTTCTCCCACGAGGAACTCATATGTCAAGACTCCTAGGCTCCATAGATCAACCTTTTCGTTATAGAAGTTTTCCTGGCTACCTGGTTTGATCATTTCTGGAGGGAGATAGTCCAAGGTACCACACATTGTGTTCCTCCTATTATTGGGCGCATGAACACTCCAGCCAAAATCTGAAATCTTTATCTCGTCATGTATGCCAACCAAGATGTTCTCTGGCTTAATGTCTCTATGCATAACATGTTTCTTATGCAGGTATTTGAGAGCTGCAGCCATCTGAGCGATGTATTGAGCTGCTTTCACCTCGGGGAATCTGTTCGCTTTTCTCAAATGTTTGTACAACTCTCCTTTTCCAGCGTACTCCAAAATAAGGAAAACCCTTTTGCTATCGTGGAAATGACCATAGAATCGAAGGATATTCGGGTGCCGCAAATTACTGTGTATCTCAATTTCTCTTCGAACCTGCTTCTCAACTTTTCCTTGTTGTAGTTCACTTTTGTGCAGCACTTTCAGTGCACACACAAAACCCGTGGACCTCTCTTTCGCTAGGTAAACTCTCCCAAATTTGCCTTTTCCCAACGGTTTCCCTATTTCGAACATGCCTAGGTGCCAATTTTTCGGCTGAGGTTGTTCGTAAACTGGTGGGTTTGACAGTCTCTGTATGACATTTTCGTCTGAATTTCTGGCCGAAGATGACGATCTATCTCCTTTCTTAGGTGGCGAGGAAGGTTGCGGTACAGTCGAGCTACGGCACTGAGGCTGAGGGATAGTATTGACAACTGCGATCGTGGAGCTTTTGGTATTTGCATCATTCACGTTTTGGATGGCGGTTTTCAGCAGATTGAGGCGGTTTGGATTAGAAGTGAGCTGGGTGCTGGAACTAAGAGCAGATGATGACACAGTCGATATCGATCCCTGCAATGATGTTAGTCTTTTATCTGGGGAGGTGCTCGACCACAAGACCTACCTTCGGTCTAGGGTAAAGAATCCCACCTTGGGCAGTATCGTTTTCATCATTCACGGACATCTGCTCAAAGCGCGCTTCAATGGTCCGAATCGCCATGGTCAGAGAATCAAACAATTATCCTAGATGCAGACGACAAGGTAGATTCACATTCAAAATCAATTACTCAAGGCAGGTCCGTTGTTTCCTACAGCCAGGGTCGAACGTTGTCGTTGTGCGGTTGGAGTTAACTAAATATTGGTTGTCCTGGCAACTCCCGCTTTCAGCCCTAAATTTCGGTCCGAGATCGTGCCTTTTTTGAAGTGCGCAGATTTCAGCTTCCTGCTCCCCAAAACTCCGAGCACATCGACGCCTTCATCACAATTTGAATCTCTTCGAAAATGGTACGTTTGGCACAGTACTGAGCACTTTCAAAATCAGCGTTACAGTGTTTGATTCATGAATGTCAAAAAATCTCCCTTCGTACGCGGCGAAACTCCGCAGCTTGGCTGCCTCTTTGTTGTTGATCTTCCATGGCTTGACCAACGAACTCAAGATCTTTCTTCCCTGTCGTCCTGCCAACTCGTACAATTCACGCAACGTTGAGCCTGGGAATGATTGTTAACCTCCGCGCGCTACCCTATATTCAATGGGAACTTGCCTTTTCACTTATTCGTTTCCTGCAATACTTGCATTTGACAGTGTGCTTTATAATGTTATCTTTGGCCGCCCAGCCGTACGTCATGGCAATGAAGTACAAGGCTAAGCCGATGCCGAGAAGATTGAAGACCTCGTTGACAAACTTGCTACGCTCGAAATATAGTAAGCCGGTGAGCCACTTTCCCATTAGGCGAAACGCTGCAAACGTGCGAACAACATACCCGTAGGTCATAACGACCGCTCCATCGTCTTGAGCAGACTCAACAGTGTTGTATCCATGGTATTTGCGATAGCCGGGGCCGCGCCTCAGAACGGCAAACTTCTCGTTGAAATTCCGGTCAATGAAAGGCAGAAGGGACAGTATTGGGGTGATTATGTCTGATACAAACGACTTGACGACAGTGGTGAATGCAGCTGCAATAATCAAGCCTACGGCTACTTCCAGAACATTGTCCTGAAATATGAAGTCTGAAAACCCATCCCAGAAGCGGCTCACGTTTAATTTCGCTCTCTTTCCTGCCTGCGTCAACTGTTCGTTGGTTTCTTCGAGTCGAGGCATAGTGTTCCGCTGACTTCTCTGCAAAACCGCTGCATGCAGAAGTCCAACGGCTGCCTGCAGGTCTAAGAAAATGCGGTTGGAGGTGGCTGTGCATCAGAGCTTATCAAACTAGTGGACTTAAGCAATTTCCGTCAGTAGTTAGTCCTTCGTCATTCCTCTTCGCGGTGCTCTTACAATATCTCTTTTGAGATTATGGTGTCTAACGGGAGACAGTACACAACGGAAGCGCATCCTTCAGCTGCCGATGGCGGCCAGACCGTCACCCAGAACGATTTCAAAATCACGACGCGGAAACTGCCCATCCTCAAGGCGGAACCCATCGAGAAGATGACAGAGAACCTCGGGATCGCTCTTCCAGAAATGATTTTTGGCGATAATCTAGTATCAATTGAGCATGCTGAGAGCTCTTTTGGCATCAGCTTCAATACTTATGACGCCCTCGATCTGGTAGACAAAACAGGGGGTTCAATGCTTCAGGTCGCACATTCCAAAGAATGGCAGAGCACGCGGTACGAAAAGGCTGGACTTTGGTAAGAACATACGCTGAGATACTCAGAGAGAAGAAGCATGAGGGTATAACGGAAGTGGTCAAGCCTTTCGATTGGTCGTACAGCACCACCTACAAGGGCACATTACGGCGCGACTCACCGGATTTTCAACCATCTCAGACACCAATCCCACTACATTTGTTGATGCGCCAAGATCCGATACTGTTCTTCGACGACGTCATGCTGTATGAAGACGAGATGGCCGACAACGGTATCACTATGCTATCCTGTAAAATAAGAGTAATGCCCCAGAGGCTACTCCTGCTGTGTCGCTTCTTCATGCGCTTGGACAACGTTCTTATCAGGATACGGGATACTAGGGTCTATATTGACTTTCGGAAAGGAGAGATCATTCGAGAATACCAAGCAAAGGAGGAAAGGTACGAAGTGGTGCGACAGGTAAGATAAGCCAGCCAGAATAAACCTCGATGAATGCGATAACCAAGGGACCAGAAACTTGCATCAACTGGCCAAGATGCTCCGGCGAAATTGCGAGACCCCAACGCATTGACCGACCTGCTTCCTGTTGTGGAGAGGAAGCTAGAGCAACTACTCATTCTAGTACCATAGATCTACTTAAGGCTTCAAGCTGGCGTACGTCGAAAGACGAGACTGACAGCGAGGGGAAGCTTGACCCGTGTGGCGCAACTGAGGTGTGGCCGCCTTTGCTTAGTCAGGCAATACTGTAAATTATTTACGTCGTCATGACATTCTAAACTCGCAGCAGCTTATATGCAGCGCGATTGTAGAGCTTCACGACCATCCAATTCATTAGCCTTGCAGCAATGATTTCGTCCTATGTATGCATCAGCTGTCGACAGACCTTGCGCATCCGTTTGCGTCAATCGCGAAGGTGCATTCCACACGAGCGATGTTCCATCATAAACACCCGACCCTTATCCACCACTTCCACGTTTAAAGTACCGCAGCCACAGCCATATCAAAGGCATGGGGGGAGAACAAAAGTCGATCAATTGCAGACAGATGCTTCACAAGTGCATCATCCTGTCACAACCCCAGCCCCTGCAACGTCAACGCAGAAGGCTCAAGAAGCTACCCAATTCAGCCCGGTACGAACGATTGCGAAGGAGTTTCGAAAAAGGGCTAGCGCCACGACAGAAACATACATAGCTTATGCAGCCTGTGAAAAACTGGTGACAGAATGCGCCCGTCAAGCAAATTACGTAATGCCACAGGCTGAACAGAAGAACATTGATATTCCTAAGACAAAGGAAGGGGAAGACCTTGGGAAGGGGGATGGGTGGTGGTACGAGAGTGTGTTGTGCGATCCCAGATTCCTTTCAAATACTGATATATTGGCAGCACTCGAGCTTCCACCCACGTTCAATACCTGGGCTCAAGTGACCTTTCTGCATATGTACATGCTTACGTGCCGCTTTCGTATGTTTCCCTATGCTTCGACCTGGCATCAACATCTGTTGGATCACTTCTTCTTCATGGCAGAGGATCGCATGACCAAGCAGCACGGGATTGTGGCAGGGTCTGCACGGAGCAAATACCTGAAGGATCTATTTGTGCAATGGAGAGGACTGACTGCAGGGTACGACGAAGGTCTGGTAAAAGGGGATGCCGTTCTGGCAACTGCCGTCTGGAGGAATATCTTCAAGGCTGATGACAACGTGGATTTTCGAGGCATTGGGCAGATTGTGAGCTACGTCAGGGGCGTTTTGCAGGGCTTAGAGAAGATACCAGATGAAGATATCGCAAGTGGAGATGTTGCTTTCAGCTCCCCGGAGAGAGAGAGGAACAGTGTGATGATACGAAGCCGTATGATGGAGACGTTGGTAGATGTCAAATATAGCGAAGCGATGCCTACCAAATGAAGCTTCAGATTTAATCCTTGTGAATTCACATCCCTTGGCCGCCCTACCTCCAGCCTTCTTCTTTTGTCGTCTTTCACATGTAATTCCTGCTCACTCTTGTGGACGTTGACTGCAATCGCATCGAGAGCCTGAAATTAGAGTTCACTTATAGATTGTGATTTGGGGATCGGTCTTAGGAAAAGAACGGTCTCCGATCTACTCTCGCTGCTACGTTTTGGCCGCATTCCCAAAGGCCGTCCAAAATACTTTTTTTCTCATATTCTGACAGCATGTCTCCCACCGCGTCTCGCCGTGATGTAAACACACAATCGAATTACAATGAACTTGTCACAACGCACGCTCAGGTAGATCTATCCGTGGATTTTGAGAATCGACTCCTGGGTGGAAGGGTCATCTTAGATCTTGCAGCTATAAATGAGACACCTGTTTCGGAAGTCATACTCGACACAAGCTATCTGAAAGTCCGTGAAGTAGGAGTCAACAGTCGCCCATGTGAGTGGAAGGTCCTACCTCGCAGCGAGCCACTTGGCAGTCCCTTGAAGATCAGTCTGGAGAAGGCTGTCAGCAAAGGTCAGTCACTCAAGGTCGATGTAAGTCGTTGTGAAGTATTTGTAGATATCTTACAGCCTGTTGATAGTCCGTATGATTTCAGATTAGACTACAAACCACCCCGCAGTGCACAGCGTTGGGATGGATGAATCCTGCCCAAGCGAGGAGCAAACATCCTTACATGTGTATGTAAATCTGCTTTCTTCAGTCAAATCATGATCATGTATTGTACTTAGCCTTCTCTAGATTCACAGTGTCAAGCAATACACGCAAGAAGTCTTTTCCCTTGTCAAGATACCCCAGATGTAAAATCTACGTACGTATTTAATATCACATCACCATTACCTGTCATTGCTTCCGGTCTGCCTGTATCGACAGAACGTCAATCTGGAGACAATAGTCTCTATTCATTTCGTCAAGACATTCCAATTCCAAGCTACTTATTTGCATTGGCGAGCGGGTAAGCAAATTTAAATTTTGGAGAAGCAAGGCAAGCTTAAGCTGGCAGCGATATCGCAAAAGCGAGCATTGGTCCAAGGAGTACTATTGCTACAAGCCCAGAGCTCCTCGAAGCTGCTAAATGGGAATTTGAGCAAGACACTGAGAACTATATTCAGAGTCTTGAGAGGATTGTGTACCAGTATCAATGGTCTGAATACAACCTTCTGGTCCTCCCCCCAAGCTTTCCTTATGGTAAGAAAGTCTCAAATTCTGGAAATATTCGGCGTACGCAATACTGATATCGTAAATTTCTAGGCGGCATGGAGAACCCTGTCTATACCTACGTAACGCCAACGACCGTGTCAGGAGATCGAGAGAATGTAGATGTCGTGGCACATGAGCTCAGCCATTCATTCAGCGGGAATCTTGTCACAGCGGCGACGTGGGCTGACTTTTGGTTAAATGAGGGTTGGACCACCTACCTTGAGCGGCGATTGCAAGCTGCACTCTTCGGAGAGCCACACCGTGATTTCTCTGCTATCATCGGATGGAAAGCACTGTGCGAATCCGTCAAAGAATTTGGTGACCACCATGAATTCACCAAGCTCATTCCAGACGTATCGGGCAAGGATCCAGACGATGCATTTTCCACTTGCCCATATGAGAAAGGCTACACGTTCCTCTCGTATCTCGAATCACAGGTGGGAAAGGAGAAATGGAACCAATACATCCCACACTATTTCACTACCTTTGCTCGCCGCTCGCTTACATCCGATGAATTCAAACAAGATCTTCATACGTTCTTTGCTTCTGATTCGGCTGCAACTGCCATGCTCAACGCTGTGGATTGGCATCAATGGTTCTATAGTCCTGGATTGCCGCCGAAACCGACGTTCGATACGAGCTTGGCGGACGTCTGCTACTCTCTTGCTGCACAATGGGAGCAGATCGGCAGCAGAGTTTTCAAGCCATCTCAGGACGATATAGCGGGATGGAAAGCAAACCAAGTGGTTGTGTTTTTGAACGCTGTCCAGGATTTTGTCGAACCCTTGGGTGAAGAGAACGCACAAAAGATGGGCGAGACTTACGGCTTCTTCAAAAGTAGCAATACTGAAATCACAGCAAGGTACTTCGGAGTCGGCTTGAGAAGTCGGGCCAAAGTGGTCTACCAACCCACGGCAGACCTGTTAGGAGATGTTGGGCGAATGAAATTTATCCGGCCGCTGTAAGAATGTCCTCAACATATTGTCCAAGGCCGATAGATCTGACGCTAGAAATAGGTACAAACAATTAAACGCGGCAGATCGCGAGCTTGCCCTCGCAACATTCGAAAAGAACAAAGATTTCTATCATCCTATTTGTCGATCACTCGTTGAGAAAGATCTTGCGGTGAAACGAGACCAATGAGGACTTTCTGAAGCCAAAGGTGCGATTAAAGCACTGCAAAAGATATTTATTGCATTGAAGTAGAAATGGCTCGAGAGGGTACGGTACTGATCCGAATCACGACCCATCAATGGATAGACACGGGCTTTCAGCTTCGTGATGTATTCTATCAATCTGCGATTCGCGAGGCCTCGGGCGGTCTTTGATTCGCTAGCTGACGGTTTTATTTCGTCTAGCCTACTTCTGTCATAGCGGTCGGTCCATTTCGAGTCTTCCATTGATTGACATTACTGATTACTCATTCATCATCATCATCCTTATCATCCTCCTCTGCGCCTCAGCAGCTTGTCCATATCTTGTCGAGGGATCAACAGAAAAATGCAATTCGTAGCAGCTGAGAACTGAAACAGAAAGCCAAAACAATAAGGGATACGAGGTCGGAAGGCTTGAGGCGCTGCTCGCCTCTGAAATCATCGATACGAACTTCTGCCTGATCTTGTTTCAGGTTCAGCCAGTCTGACCCTTTTCACAGCTATCTTTGCCACCGTCATGAATTGGTCTATTGAAAGAGAGAATGGTCTATAAACGAAAAAAAAAGAAAAACAGGGAAGAATGCAGACATGGTTCAGAAAGGTGGCAGGCAACAGACTCCAGCAAGGATCACCCGGAACCCCCGTGCCTCCCTCTAGGTCGCCTCCGCTCATATGACCTTCGAGGCCTATCCTCGTGGAAGGATTCGCGCCTCCTCACTCCGCCTTCCTGCCCTCTTCCAGAATGCGCCTCGTCTTCGCGCCTCTGTGCAGCTTGATGCACCGCGTTGCTGAGGAAGCCATTGCCCCTCTCTTGAATGTCACCGGGCCCATGGTGTACCGCAACAGGGTGCTGTCTTGGCTGCGTCGGTATCAGCCTATCAAGATGGTGCTGGTCATTCCGGAGACTCTGCATTTCGGCACTTCTGCGACGTTCGTTACGCCGGATATGATCGATATCCTCCTCTCTTTGTCGCCGTCTTGCTCTCTCCGATCTCTCGATCTGTTCGCGACTCTGACGCCTTCTCAAGCCCTCGGCAGATTCAAGAGGCTGGCGAGTATTATTGCCGATGCGCCGTCGGCGCTCGCGACGCATTTCTCCTTCATGATCCTGCTCAGCTCGCAGTCGTGCTTCACGTTCTGCGTCTGCCGCATTCTCTGCTCTTTCACGCCTCTCTTTCTCCTCTCGCAACTTCTTTTCCACCGAACTGCGAGTAGCTGGTGATAGCGAGTGACGTCTTCGCGGGCGCTCGTGCTCTCTTGTCGGCTCTGGTGAGTCAGAGGAATCGTCATCATCATCACTTGAATGATCAGGGTAATGGAGGATGATTTTCTTAGGCTCTTTCCTTTTCTTGTTCTTGAGAAGTTCTTCCCTCGGCTTTCGCTCTATGATCTTTGGTTCCAGCCCCGAACGCCAAGCTGGGGGCGGCGTCGGTGCCCTTGGTGGAGGGTCTATCATTGTGAGCTGGTTGCTCGGTCTCGGTGTGCTTTTGGCTGCAAGATTCTGCTTCCTTTTTCTCCTGCCTTTTGATGAGAAAGGATTCCAAAATTTAAGGCCTACTGAGAGGCCTTCTCCTGTATCCCTTGTTGCCTTGGGCCTTGCTACTTGGGTCTCTGGTTGGGACCTTGGCTCGACAATAGGCGCGTGCCTTCTTCTGTATTCTTCGATGTCTGCCTGAGTCGCTTGACGATTGGTGTACAGATTTACGATCTCACGACGATGGCAAGGCGCGCTGGGAGTTCCGCGAGGGCAAGTGTTTAGAACCCGTTCTCTTCCTTCCGTATGTCCGTCAGGAAAAACCAAGTTGTATCGTTCGATCCTGCACATCGAACGATGAGGACCTTTGGTGTCTTTTTGTTGAATGGCGAGATCGCCTTCTTTTGCAAGCAGCGAATGTCAACCTGTGTCTCGAAATGTATCAACTAGGTGGGACGAATGCTGTGGATGAATAGAATGCATCTAGTCAAGCGATCATGGCACACGTGTGTTGTGAACCAAGCCGTTAAATGAGTCGAAGTGTTTTCGTTACACTGCTGTGTGGTAGAAGAGTTGGGTCGTGTGAGGTGTGTGTAAAGTTATATATATGAAGGGTCCGATGCCTTTTTGTGTGTGAGTGAGTGTTGCAGCCTTGGGGTGCTATGACGGTGCTTGGCGAGAGAGCTTTCGAGGTCTCGTCTGCTCTTTAATACTCCGACTGCCCTTGTCATGCGCTTCCCATGGAACAGACGACTTGAACCGAATGAGGCTAGGGCGAGTGAGGCAATGCAGACTCTGTGGCTGAATGGCAGCCACATTCTCTACTACGGCAATTACGGGACGAGGGCCTGTCTCTTTTCTCTTTTCTCACCTCAGATGCTCCTCTTCTAACCGCTTGAAGCTCAGCGAGGCATAATTGCTTGGTCAGATGCTCTGATGCCCTGAGTAATGCGATAGTTACCTGCAAGCTGTCGGGGTCCTCGTCATCGATACTCGTACAAGTGATGCCCTGCGCACCAGAGCAAAAGGGTCATACATGGGGGCCCCCAATCCCCCATCTCCCCCCACCCACTGGGAATTCCGAAGCGTTGCTTGGCTGACCGGCGAGCAGGGGGGTTCAGGGAGGGATGAGGGGCCTCGCGCTATACGCATCCGGGCATAGTCCCCATGCTGCGGAATCCAACAGCTGTTCAGCCTCTCCTCTGTTTCTATATACGACAACAATCATTTCCCAGCATTCACCGCAGCGCATCATTTCGACCTTGGAGCCCGTTTCAACCATGAGCTGTGCTCCAGCAATCGGCTTGGGTAGAGCAATGCTTAGAGGTCGAAATAGCTGCTGAATAGGTTCCTCGTGTCGAACACCGCGTGAACGGCACCTAACTATTGCATGCATAGCCTGGCTTCCGTAGGCTAAGGTAGACGAGCGATGCACCGGAGGCGCTACTGTAGGCAGCCAGCTCTTGCCCTACCTGATGGTCCTGCAGCCATCCGTTTCATCATAACGTGCTTACAGCCGAAAAGATTCCCAATTCTCCAGCGCTCCGGAAGGTTACTCCCAAAACCAGCTCTCGGGCCGCCGTGAGACTGCCAAATCCCCCTTTGCTCCTGCTTATATGTCACCTGTTCCACAATGTAAGCCACTTGGCTCGTGCTTACGACCGCATTTGGCAGTCATTGCCTTTCGCCGACCACCAGCGGGTACCCTTGCTGGTGGCAGCTTGACAATTGCGAAAGGGGTGTTCTTGGATTCATTGTTGGTGATCGCAGGCTACGACCTTACTCCTTCGTCGGCATCGTTCGCTCTAAATCTCTCAGCAGGATTCATTGAATCTTGCACCCTGCCAATAGGACTGACGCGAGCCCTGCAAGCGCCTCACAGCTGCCTAATTTCTCGGTCCTGTGATCTTGTGCGATGAATGGCCCTCTGCCTTCGGTTTGTGCGGTGCGAGAAGACTGGTCAGCCTTGGGACGCCGATAATCGGAAGTGATTATTTCCCCCATGTTAATCTGTCCATATGGTCGGAATTTGACGGCCTGAAGTCGCGGGAAGCCTACATCCAGAAGGACCGACTTTCCAAAGGACTGCATTCGTCGTGCATGGTTCAAGTCTTGTTTGTGAATCATCGCTTTCTATGAATCCGGCAATGACAGTGAGCGATAGGTGATCCTTCGGGATGATCATGCGAGTGAGGCAGGCTGTTGAAATTCCTTTAGCTTGCTCCAGGCAAATCTCTGATCCAGGTCGCACTTCAAGGTCGGTTGACTCTTCGCCTCACATAGACGTTTCCATCCTCATGTCTCTCGCCCATCAAATGTTCTTCAAGATCCCAGAGTCGATCTTCAAAGTCATGCATATTTCTTTCGATTGAGTGTATCTTGCTGCATGTCATGTCAATTTGGCCAAATGGAACTTTTCAACTGCACATACTTCAAAGCAGTCGTTGACACATATGCAATGCGACGAGTCTGAATTCTCTGCACTTGATCTGCTATGGCAATGATGTCGTCCTTTCGACGCATCCACGCTGTAGTCATAGTCAGAAGTGACAATCGGAGAAATCAATAGACAAGCATTGCTCAAGGTTCAAAGCCTAAGATTGAGATCAACAGAAAACATGCAACGTACCCCATCGCCGCGAAAGCGTCATCGGCAGATAGTCCACTTCTGAATTTTGGTCTGAACGTTCGATATCCTTCTCTTGCACAACCGGCGGTCCAGCCACGAAGGCATCTTCCAGGCTCTCAAATTGCTGCAACAACTTTTTGACCGTTCCATTGAGGAGTCTGGCTACACTAAGATCATCATTACTGCCATCTCTCCTCTTTCTATGCCTATTCCTAGACCGGGACCTTAACAAAGACCTGAAATAAACGCGCTCGCCCTGCAACTCGGAACGCGTGTTGTCTAAGTATATCCTCATTTCCTTTGGCGCAGACCAAAGAGTGAGAACCGTGTCCCAAAAGACTCTTAGAAATGTAAAGAATGTGAATGCAAAACTCAAGAAACCGACAATAGCAGAACCATAAGAGATGCTTGGCAAGCCCCCAGGCATTTTTTCATTCACGCCGGCATCAGTCGGAAGCAGAAAAAATCAATCACAACAAGCATGTCTGGATATGAAAGCTCTTTATGCCCAAAGCACTAGTAGCATACATGAGAAAGCAGACCAAGTGCTGTTTCAAAGAAAGAAAAGGATGCAGGCGTGATGACATCCGATGTTGTTTTTGAAGGAATCATGATATGACGACATCTCAATCCGTTATGTCAACTCCCCTCTCCTTTCGATGATATGGCGTCTCTCATGGATGTCTGCGTTGACGTCTGTACTCTCTTCTTCAGACACAGGTATCGAAGTGTGGCTAGAGGTGTTGCTCTTCTTACCTCTCAGCTTGTACGCTATGACCATGTGCTAAACTTCGATCGCTTTTCTTGGTTTTGCGCGGTAGTTCTACGAACCGGCCTGAAAGAGGTAAAAGATATCCTGTTTGTAGGTATGGGCCATTTAGGCAAGAGTCTTGTTGAGAACAATCGTCTGCTGTTGAGACGTCGATATCTTTGCGAACGAGATCGATGGTAAGGCACCAGACGGACTTGAGCGGACACCAGTCGTGGAAGGCGCGGTCATTGGGAGTGCTCACCGCATTCGAGGTCTCAGTAAAAGCAAGATATTCGTGTTGTCATGCTCATTTCTCCTATCATTGTTGTCTGAAGTGTGTATTTCAATGCAGGTCGGCCAATCTTTGCCATTGAGGTACTAGGGCTGGGTACAATGTGCCAACACTCGACTCTCTACGCAACCTTCACCGCCGCGTGATGACACTCGAAGATCAATTCTATCTCTGATGCTTTTCCATTCATGCCTAGCAAAAAACGCTACTTAAAACATTTTCAGTAGATTATGCGCCGCCTCAGCAGCGCTCAGGCTGTGAGTCTGGTCATATCCATTAGCCCTACTTTGGCGTCGTACACTCCAATCTTTATTGGGAACGTCACTCTACTTGGACCTCAACTCACGCCCGATGTAAACAATGTCTCTCGAGACGGAGGCTATTCGTCTTTGATCAATGGTAACATTGTTTGGCTCTACGATGATACGGAGTGTATGGACTCGCAGGGCTCTCAACTCTCATTCGTCTCCAATACTGCTGCTTTCTCTGCTTCTCCCCGCGACAATTTGACGGTCGTAAAAGATTTTGGAGTGGTGAATGTTGGGAAAGAGAAAGATGGAAGCCCAAAAAATGCAATCCTCGCAGACACGACTGTCGGCAGTGGAGGCTGGGTGCCGTTCCAGCCAGACGAGCTTGCGTTCAACCAGCAAATGAAGGGAAAAGAGAGAGTTGCAATCTGTGAGTGCTTGATGGTATACTTCTATCAGTTGTCGTGTTGACCATCCTTGAGGGCCTGGGACTTCACCTACACCTATTAGTGTAGACCAAGCATTCCTCTTTGCACCTCTCGTTTACGTCGACTACAAGCCCCAAGATCCTTCAAAGGAGTACCAAGGTCGCGGCATGACCCTAATCAGTATCACAGCATCGAATGACGGACCTGTAGCAACTCGTCAAGGCGACCTCATCATCCCAGGCACTCAAATCGGATTCGGCGGCTTCACCACCCTTGTCGGCCGCAAAAGCGCCGAAACAGCATCTAACGACGATGGCGAGCGCGACCTGTACTTGCTTGGCGTCACCAACGCTGGTCTTCAACTTGCGCGTGTCGGCATCAACAACCTCGCCACCTTCTCCTCCTATGTGTTTTGGGACCCGTCGAGCCAGAAGTTCACCAGCACCCGCCCAAAACCCGGCATGATCGACAATACGAAAATTTACATGCCGGGCACTTTCACCTCCGGAAGCGTCTTCTACAGCCCCTACTTTGAGACTTTTATCATGATCTATTACAACAAACACGCTGACTCCACTTTCTATATCCGCTTTCTCGACCTTACTCGCCCCATTTTGAAAGACAAGACCTGGCGGCCCGGCGGAAGAGATGGTCAAGGTATCGAGGCCGAAGATGTAGAAGCACTCGTCAGATATACTTGGTCTCCGGAGCAGATCCTGTATAAGTCTACTCCTGGAAAGGGCGGGTTCAACTACGCAGGGACTCCGCACCCAGAATACTTCAATCGGCAGTATTTCGCCAAATCACTGTATCCAGACAAGACTGCGGAAAAAGATCGGAGGAATGAGTGGTATGGATCCAATTTCATGAGCGAGGACGATGCCAATGGCAAAGATGGGAAATTCTTGCTGCTCAGCTGGACAAGCCAGAAGAAAGGGGGCATGGATACGGGAATATACGAAATCGTCCTCGCGGCGGTGGAATTTGGTGATATTCCTGAGAATCCCGAGATCGAGAAGGGCGCCGAATCCACAAAGACTACGTCGTCCTCTCCAGGTGGGGAACCGACAGCGCCGCCTGCAGCGGGCTTCAAGGCAAAATCGAGTGCTGCAGACTCACAAGGCGGCTTTTGTAGCATCTGGATGCTGATCCTCGGCCTCTTCGCTATTAAACATTTTCTAGATTTATGAGTGTAGACAAATCTTCCCGGCGCTTTAGAATGAGCGAGACACCCCGCAGAGACAAAGCATGGATCCTGGCAGATTATGCTAGTGATAGAGGATGGAACTCAATGAATAGACTTCCGTCCTTCCATTGCGAACCGAGATGATATCTTCTGCCACTGATAATTGTCCCCACAAGTCTTTGACGTTTTGTGCTGCTTTCTCAAACTCGATGAGCCTCCGCTCAATAATTGGTTCCTGGAAATGTCTTTAGACGGAGGAATTTCTCGGTTGGTTCGGTTTCTATTAGATTTTCAAGTCTGTGAATGAGCCTTTTTGAAGTACACGCTATGTTCCATGCTATCGCTAGACAGGGTATTGAAGACTTGGAAATCAAGCCGCGCCGTCAACAAGAAGACTTACTTAATAAGGACGCCTCGCTAGGATCGCTTAAAGGTAATGAAGAGCAATTGCACGTGCATCATATGTGAAAAACAAATCAAATACAGCACTTCTCGAAGGGTCCACCGACCTTTCTTTCCCTTTCTAGGCCAGCTTCAATGCAATGCCCTCCGGCACTTTCAACGCATCATCATGCGCATCAAGCGGTGAGCGACAGCCTCTCCTTCTCCACCGCCCTCGGCGCTCATGGCATGCATCTTTTCGGCATTTTCGGCAGCAAGGCTGTTTCTCTCAGCTTGAATTTCTACTGAGTCAGGGTAGTACCAGCTGGCGATGGCTGCATACATAGTTAATTTCGTACATCTTCCGACTTAGATCATTTCAACTTACCAATGATCATGTAGATTAAGATGCAGAGGGCGCCTTCCAAATAGTTGGACTTTTGATCACGCAAGAAGTTGCCCACCACGATGATGGCCAGAATAAGGACGACAATGTTGAAGATCTCGAAATTGAAATCCATGGCCTTGCCAAGACCCCAGCCTACGATAACCACGAGAGAAGAATTGAAGAGTGCTGTCTGGATCGTTGCGCCAAGGACGTGAGCTAAGGCGAAGTTCATCTGGTTGTCCCATGCTTCGTCGACGGCTGTTAGGTGTTCTGCTGCCTTTTCTACAAGGGGAACAAGGATAAGACCGATGAAGCTGTCGTGGATTCCGCGATCGACGACAATGTATTCAATTTGCTCGACTAAAGAACGGGTTAGGTCGGTCCGGATCTGAGAGAGAGTGGAAGATCTAAAGAATTCTCGTCCAGCTTACCCAAGAATACTGCGTGAAGAGAAACGCATGCAAGTGCAATCACAAGTGCGACGATACACTCGGTCAATGTCAGCTTTTCCTTTGCTAGGTCCTTATGCCTGTCGTGATCCTTTTCTTCGTCCATTTCCAAGACTTCATCGTAGAGGCCATGATGTGTACGCATTTGAAACCAAACGTACCTAAAGTCGTATTACTTAGGAAGCGTTACAGAAGCATGTTAAGAAGGCTTACATGAGGAAGGCGAAGATTAAGATGACAGCACTGATACGGGAGATGTGTAGGACATCGTATCGAAGAGTCTCGTCATTGATAACATCTGGAGCAGCACGGAGGGACGCATAGAATGCACTCGGAATCAGGAGGCCGAACCCTGCAACAAGAAGGAGTCCGCTCCCCACCTCACTGACCACCTCGTGAAACTCTTGCTCATCTCTACGGAGACCTCCTGCGAAGAAGCAGAAGCCTAAGCAGAGCAGCAAATTTGCCAGGATGGAGCCCAGGATTGCCGCACGTATGACAGGAATATTGTCCTGAGTTCGGGATATGAGAACGATGAACAGGATGATCTCGACAAGGCCGCCAAGGAAGGTCTCAAGGAGAACGCCTAGTAGTCGTTAGCAACGTCTGTAGGATATTGCTTGCCCAGACTATGCCTACCGAATACTTTTGGTAATTTACGGGCGAGCTCTTGACCAGCGAAGCCGATGAGGTTAGCGGTCGGTACCATAGCAATATAATTGAGGATAAAGATCCACAGCTGCTGCTCGGGACGAGCAAAATGGAGGGCGATAGCGGGTATGACGAAGGGCCACAAGATATTCACAGCCCTCGACAGGCCACATGAGGACCGGAAACAGATCCGCAAGAATTTCAGAGGGTGGATGCCTTTGCGGCCACTTTCTCCGTCAGGCGCGATCCCTTTTGTGACTTTATGGCCCTTGTGGTTGAAGATGGCACGACCATGGTGGTCATGGTGGATGTCTTTTTCTTGCCCTCCCCGACTTGGACCAGCTTCATATTCTTGAATTCCATCCTCGGGGTTGTGACCTTTCCGGCGGCGTCCAAGGATACCGTCCAGCGCCATTGCTTATTTCTTGCTTTAAAGTCCTGGATCTTGAAAGGTGCTTGGTGGGCAAGAATGTTAATGGATGAGGTAGCACGACGCTAAGGAGACGTGGGAAAAGGGTGTAAACAGTGTAACGTGGTGGTGGTAAGTATTCAGACCACGAGGGAGGATGTAAATAGGTCAGAGCATTGTCACTAAGGAGCGTGAGGGATATTGAAGGTGGTCGTAAACTGATTGTACAGAAGCGGGCAAAAGCTGGCAAAGAAACATTCAAAACCTGGCGGTGAATCCAGACCCCAAAGAGATGATCAGACGGCCCCTTGCCAAGGCGCTTATGCATTCAATGGAAGTTCATTTGCTGTGAAAGTATCAAATGAGATTCACCCCTCTTATAGTCCTCGTTCATTGTCGGCCTGTGATTCACTTCTGCCCCAAGGAACGTACCACCGGGTAGAGAGATAGAGATCAGACACCGGGTTTCAATATCGTTCAAATGGGGAAGGAGGGCAGGCCTTCGGTGCCACTGATCTGCGTGCCCGCTCCCGTGCCCGCCCATTAGTAAAGGTACATACATCAAAGCCCGCTAGCCTTTTGCCTAATTTGGAACAAGTGCCTAGAGTAAATACTGGGGCCCTGGTGGTCGATGAGCACTGATAGGGCCTTTGGCTCTCGAGCCTGCCCTATAAGCCAGCTCTGGCGGACACCTCATTCCCCATACATCACCCGCATCATGTCATCGATTCCTTTTGGAGCCGTCGTTAAATTCTCATAGCCGTCTCTCGTGATCAGCACATCATCCTCAATCCTCACACCACCAACCTCCCAGTACCGCTCCAACACGGCCTCATCAATGAATTGCTTGTGCTTCTCATCCTGGAGATACGGCTCAATGATAAATCGGCAGAAATACACGCCTGGCTCCACAGTAATCACGCTGTTCTCCGGCAGTGTGCCCCTCACTCTCAGATACTGAAACATTGAATCCGGATCTTCATAGTCGGCGTTGCCACCTGTATCGTGCGTGTCTAGCCCCAGATAATGGCCCAATCCGTGAGGGAAGAAGGCAACGCTCGTTCGAGCCTCCAGAATAGCGGCCTTCTCCCCCTTGAGCAATCCAATCGAAAGCAAGCCTTCAATCGCGATCTCGTGAGCCAACAGATGTACATCTTCCCACTTCACACCCGCTTTCAGCATTTTGAAGCAAGCTTCCTGCATCTGCTCGACGATTACATATATTTGTGCGCTCTCCTTGTCGAACCCGTCCGGATGTAGCGGCATCGTCCTCGTAACGTCGGCGCAATAACCCTGCCATTCTGCAGCTGCGTCGATCAGGATCACTCTCTTCTCACGCAGCGGGTCGTCATTCTTTTGGTAGTGTAGCGTAGCGGCGTTGGCGCCGCAGCCAAATATACCCCCGTAAGCCTGGTTTTTCGCCCCCTGCGACACGCAGGTACAGAGGAATTGGCCCTGCAACTCAGTCTCGTTGCCAGACTCAGGAATGTGCTTCAGGGCAGAGGTATGAGCGTCGGCTGTGATGGCGTTGGCTTTTCGTAGAAGTGCAACTTCGTACGCATCCTTAGTGACTCGACAGACATCGATTGTAGCATGCAATGCATCCTGGTTAGTCTGGCTGAAGCCGGCCGGCGTAAAAGGTAGCTCTCCTCGACCGGTGACCGCAAGGATGGCCTTTTCACTCTTGCTGGCCAAGGATTGGAAGTGGTTCTCTAGTTCTGCATTTGTGAAGCAGTCGTCTATGTCGTACTTCTCGATAGCTTGTTCTTGACTAAGCGGCAGACCGGACCATATGACGCTGTCAGGATCTAAAGCTGGGATGAAGAGCGTAAGCAAGTGGGTAGGGATATCGTAGATTAGATGACAGTCCGGTACAAGGCAGCCAGAAAGGTAAATGAAATGACGACGTTGCCTGCAGGACGGTGTTCAGTCCAAGCACAAGCGGAATTAAGGGAGACTTTACCTAAAGGGCACAGCTTCGTCATTGTCCTCTTGCATACGAGTTTGCTGGCCTTGAAGGTAGAGAACGGTAGGAGCATCGTTGCCGAACTCATCCTTGAGTCGTTCTGCTACTTTACGGCAATGAGCTTTTGCAGGATATTTACCCGCTAGAATGGAATCAACAGTTTCCATCACGCCGTTGCAGCCAAGTACGACTCAGTGAGGACAATGCGAAAAGGAATTGGATGATATGTGCCGCTTCATTTTGCTTCTTGATCCGTCAGACCATAAGCGGATATAAGCAAACAATTTCTATGTAAGGCAACTGTACCAGTCGGCACCATCGGCATTACCATCTTGGCTATTTTCCATGTTGCGCCGCGTCAGATTCCCAGTGTCTATTCTCCACAACGCCTGCCCATGCACGGTGCCAGTGCCCCAAGTGTACCCATGTATTTCGCCATTAGACATTTCAAACGCTAAACGCAATTGATGATACGCAGAATCAAGACGTGGAAGTCAATCCCGCCACCTATTGAGAAATTTTTGCATGGCTTGACCTGGACCTGGCAATGGCGACGCCTGCAATTGATATCAGCAACCTAGACTTACAAAAGGGGTCATGGAACGGCTCACCGTATTTTCCCTACTGACGGCAGAATAGGTGACTGATTGGGTCATGGTCGTGAGCTGCTTCGGCGGTGGCAGTGCAGTTTTGGCAATTTTGGCAGAACTTGTGGGATACTGCATTGTCGGATTCTTTGCTGTAATCTTGGTCCCCGGCTTCTTTTGCATTGGTGCATACTTCGTTGCGCCTGTTTGTAACGAATATGGTGTGCCATATAGTCCGTTGTTTCCAGCTGCCGCGTTGTTTGCCCCATCCTGAATTTGATTTTGTGTTTCGGGTCCTTTTGTGTCTGTGACGCTTTTCACTGCCTGCTGCACATTTGGGGGGAACGTCCCACTCATTCCAGATAGTGTGAAACGATCGGAGTAGTTGATTACGACGCCTCCTGTAGCAGCCGATATCATCTTTAGAAAGCTGTCCTTGCTGTCAGCCGCATGCTCTGACATGGCTTTTAGCCCAGAGCGGTACAGAGCCTGCGTACTATGCATTCTTGTCAGGCCCGCCAATGCCGGCTGAAACTGCCCCTGAAGCAGAATTACCAGAACTGAACTTCCCATCTTTGACCAAGTTCGTGAGTTGGATGAAATTTTCATCCTCATTACCGCCCGCGCATAAGAACAGCTGATACGTCTGTAGGTCCTTCAACGGCGGATCATCCCCAGAGTCCTTCCATTGCACCTGCATTGTCTTACCCCCTGCAACTGTGGCACCAGCAGAAGGTGTTGTGAATTGTACGTCTGCGAAGGCGTAAGAGATCGTAAATGCAATAAGAGATAGGAGTCGTAAAATCATGGTTGGGTAGTCAAAGAGTGAAAAAGGTTGTAATAACGAGCGATAGAATGCAACTTCAGTTTGAGCAGAGGGTGAGCTGAGTCTTCAGCAGGTGATTGGGGGAACTGAGGACGTATCAAGCGAATCGTATACGAGAGTCTCTTACACAACTACCCTTAATGTCACTGGACGCATGGCCAAAAGGGAACGGGCGCTAATGTAAGGTCCGCAAACACTAGCGTGGCACGATAAGTCAATGGCTGATAAGGATATTTCATAGCAGTATCTATTGAAATGGTCATTATTCCTCCTTCAACTTTGACATCCTTCACGGACAGCTATTGCTGCAGCACTAGGGGCTGCAATACCGGATCACACCGAAGTCATGGGTCTCAGCCTCACAGCTCGGGCAGCTTTGAAGGGTCGCTATTCATCTCCCGCTTCGCACGCAATCCAAGCTTTGGGCGTAGGGTCCCAGTATGCGTTGGCCTCTGTCGTATCTTTCCCATGCACTTGAATTTACCTTGATCAGACCCCAGTCTTGGTGGCAGTATCAAATAATAATGATCTGTCGCTGCCTATTGGAGAAGTCACGAGCACTCCGTAAGTCAGATTCAAGGCTCTTGCATCTTCGTTATCTTGGACAGAAAGACAAGTAAGTCCACCTTCGTTACAACAGCTACAGGCTTCATCCAGGATGCCTCTCCTTGGCCCTCCCTTTCCGTTACCACGGCCGCACTATTCCACTCGAAGAATTTCGACAACGCCCGAAGTGGTGTTTCCAAAGTAATCTCAACAAATTCGCGATTCTGTTTCTTGACTTGGTTGTCTGCTTCGCCATTCGTCAAGGTAGCATCACCATCTCTAACTGGGGCAATGCCGACATCGCGCGGATCGGTCATAATCTCCGGAATCTCGGTAAAGGAGAACATTACGTGAGAGACGGGTGATTTTGGCGTTGCGCGTCCCTGGCTTATCCAACTCAAAAGATTCCCCAATGTCACCAGGCCGACCAAACGCTTTCTGTTGCCGCCCGATGAGAGCACTGGAAGCTGGTCGAAACTTTTATCTCTCATTGTCTCTATTGCCTCAGAGCATGATGTGTTGGCAGTGACTGTTGTTACCGGCTTCAGACGAAGACTGCGGATAGTTGCGTCGGCAAATGGAGACTTGTCTTTCGATTGCGAATGAGACTTCGGGCGATGCTGAGCTGGAAGTACGGGAGACGAGGGATTGGTAGGTGGCGGCGTAGGGGGCAAGAGATCATTAGCTGCCAGCCAATCGTCGTCGACAAATTTGCTTAGATAGCTCCTGATGCTATCGGGCAGGATCACCACGACTACATCTTCTTTGTGCCAGCTGTTGTCTTTGGCACTTTTGACCAATGCAGCAACTGCACTACCACTGCTGCCGCCAACTAGCAAACCCTCTTCAGCAATTAGTCGCCTTGCGTACGCGAATGCCTCTTTGTCATCAGTCTTGTACCACTGATCAACTGTCTTCTGATCGAGGACATCAGGAACAAAGTCGTATCCTATGCCCTCGACTTTGTATGCTTCATTTGCGTACTGTTGATTGAGGCTTTCTGGAACGGCAAGAATTGAGCCGTACGGATCTGCAGCAATGACTTTTATGTCCTGGTTATACTTGCGCAACCCGCGGGCAAGCCCCGTGATGGTACCGCCTGTGCCTGCTCCTGCTACCACAGCTTTGATCTTTCCCTCAGTTTGTGTCCAAATTTCTTCTGCCGTACCGTATTCATGAGCGAGTGGATTATCCTCGTTGCCATATTGGTCCAAAATATGAGCATTAGGTATCTCTTGCTGCAGTCGCCTGGCGACACCTATGTGAGACTCGGGCGAGTCAAATGCTGCCTGTGTAGGAGTCCGAATGATGGTTGCATTAAGAGATCGTAGAACTGCAACCTTTTCTGGAGACATTTTTTCGGGTAAGGTGATTATTGTCTTGTATCCTTTGACAGCTGCTACCAATGCGAGCCCAATCCCCGTGTTCCCACTGGTAGGCTCGATCAACGTATCTCCAGGTTTTATTCTTCCTTTACGTTCCGCTTCTTCAATCATTCGCAGAGCAATTCTATCCTTCACACTACCTCCAGCATTAAAGAATTCAAGCTTTGCATAAACAGTAGCTTCTATACCCAAGCTCTCTGGAATTTTGTTGAGTTTGACCAATGGCGTGTTACCAATTTGTTCGAGCACGGAATCCATGGAGACTGGAGGAATCTTTGGATGCGTAATCGTCGACATTATGGCGAATGATTGAGGAAATACAGGATGCAGCGCCGGTTTTGTGATGTATCATTCGCAAACCTGTGTGCCAGAGAATTATTGAAATGACGGAGGTCGCGCGCTCCAATGCCGACACTAGCCGCGATCTTTTTTTGGGGCAACCCAGAATCTGGTCCTTTCATAGACGACGCTGTGCATGACCGGCCAAGGGCCTAGGTTTGCAAATCAGAGTCCTATATATGCTCAAGACGAGAGCCTTATCTTGATGTGTGTCTTTCATAGATTGCTGCCAATCCAGCTCCACCACTGTTTCACATCCGGACCATCAGCGCCAATCGCATTACCACCAGCAACCGTTATGGCAACGTTGAATTCTTCCATTTGGCAGAAGTCAAATCTTCCGCTCCCTGCGTCTCCTAACCACTCCTTTTCATCGTCGGGCTCGTTCATCCCTACGCCTGAATCAAGCAAGCCTCTGCTTCTTGAATCTCGCACTTTCGTGATCTCACTTTCTAGATATTTCTTGACCAGTGGTGCAGGTAGAGCTGTAAATAAGTCCATTTTGTTCGCGGCAATGAGAAGCGGAAGCTCTGTCGGTCCTCTGGCAGACTTAATCGTAAGGGCTCGTTTCTGTAGGATAAGCAATACATCATATAGGTATTCGGCCGACTGGCGTAGGGCCTCGTTTTCGGCGGTCTCGGTCTGATCAGCTAATTCAGCGGCGTCAACCATGAATATGATGCTTTTGAGGTTTTGCGGGTTCGTGATGTTGCTGATAGCATAGTGGCGTAGCTTTCCATGACCTGGTGTGTCCGCTAACATGAACTTTTGGTGGGCTTCATTAGAGGGGTCGTTGGCAGATCGATATCCTGTCGACGCAGCCCGCGTTGTGACGGGTAGAGAGCACTCCACCGTCAAGGGCGCTTGTGACGTTCGAGTCGCTGCATTCTGACCCCTTTCCCACTGTTGTATGTCTATCAGCATAACATTTCACGTATCACTTCCTTCGACGTACCAAAGTCAGCAATGATGTTTTCCCAGACCCACTTGGTCCAATTAGTAGAATAGTCGAGAGAAAGTTAGAGCTTGGTGATCGGTAGATCACATAGTGAAGGAGCAGCGGTATGGAAATGACGAGCAGAGCCGTGACTAATATAGTAGATGGATCAGGGTTCGTTAATCTGGAGAGCCATCCATTACGGATCTGGGAAGTCATTGTTATGATGAGATTGTTCGCAAAAGAATACAGTCTGCGCGTTTGCTGGAGCTCAGTGTCAGCCCTACCAAGCTTCGAGATGTGGAAACCTTAGACGGTATCTTCCCTTTCTTACGACGTTTTGCGCTGCGGCTGCTGTTTCCAACAGGTAGCTTTGCAGAGGATTGCATTGTACGGTATCCGATAATCATGCCCCTGTAAAGACTACATACCCTCCGCTTGTGAGGGTACCAGGCCGTCCAAGATGTCGATCAGAGAGGCCGATGCGACTTCGCCAGAGAGGGCAGGGAAAGATGCGGATCAATCACATAATGCAGTAGACAAGGAGGAAAAGCTTCCTTTGCACGAAGATATCATGCAATTAGCCCGGCTAGGGAGATTGGTCCAATTCAAAAGTTGTTCGATCAAGGCAAATATAATGCTCAGTACAAGGACGAAGAGGGCCTTACACCGCTTCATGTGAGACTCTTAGCTCGTAGGATCTAATGATGAGTAGCTAATACGCTCAGTGGTCTGCAATCAACAACCATTACGCATTGTGCAAGTTTCTACTCGAGTCCGGCGCAGATGTCAATGCGAAGGGAGGCCAATCGGTCACTACACCAGCGATGTGGGCTGTCCAGCGTTGCCACATATATGTCGTTCACCTACTCTTACAGTCTGGTGCAGATCCCCTGATCGTTGACAACCAGGGATATAATATGCTCCATCTTGCAACGCACGATGGCAACGTCTTCATGATGCTAGTTCTATTACACCAAAACATCCCGGTTGACAGCCCCGACCCGTCCGGGCACACCTGCCTCATGTGGTCAGGTTACAAGGGTTATCCTGCATGTGTGGAGTTGCTACTACAATGGGGCGCAAGCGTCAATGTACGGGACGAAAAAGGATTTACTGCACTACATTGGGCACTGGTCAAGGGCAATGCGTTCTGCATTCGCAAGTTGATCGAATCTGGCTCAGACCGCTTCGCCGAGACCAATGACGGGAAAACACCCGCTCTTGTTGCTCACGAAATGAAATCTAAGGGTCCTTGGCACCGATGTTTGAAAGCGCTGGGGTTCAATTCGGATGGCACTCAGAAGCAGCTGCCTCTACCGTACACCACATTTGTCAAGACCCGAGTATTTCATACCAGATTTTTCTTTCTTCTACCGTTCTTTGAGATCATCGTCATCCTCGGTATCATGGGTCGGATGGTCATCTTCTTAGCTCTTCCTCTCGCCATGTTTCTCTTATACACTATGCAATTTGCTGCACAACAGGTTTTTCCATGGTCACCTACTGACATGAAACAATGGGATCACACTGTAGGCGCTCTTCACCGGAGCATTTGTGACCACTGCTGACTCAATCTTAGCCATATCTAGCTGGAGTACTAGCGGGTTCGATTTTTTGGGTCGGTCTGCATTGGTTGACTACGATTCTACCAAGTATGATCATCGAGCACTCCTCCAACATGATGTCTAATGGATGTTTTTCTAGGTACATTCTCATCTCACATATTCTATAATCTTCTTTTCTTTTCTTGCTACGCGGCTTGCGCATACTTCTTCGCAATTAGTATGATCGAAAATCCTGGATTTGTTCCGATGCTGAGTAGTCGTGCCTCTCAAAAGGCTGCAATCGATGAATTGGTCACTCTCTGGAAATTTGACGATCAAAACTTTTGTGTTCACTGCATGATTCGCACTCCGGTAAGAAGCAAGCACTGTAGGAGGTGCTCGCGGTGTTTGGCGAAACACGACCAGTAAGCCAGCTTTCATTGCCCTGCGGAACATGAGCTAATTGACTCAGTCATTGTCCGTGGATCAACACCTGTGTGGGCTCGAATAACCACCGTCACTTCCTATTATTTATACTTGCAATGGAAGTTGGCATCCTACTATTTGATCGGCTTGTTTGCTATTGTGAGTCGCCGAAATATGTAGGCGAGGAGCCCTGTGCCTAATGACTACAGACATTGAGAGCTTACCGTCGCCCCCACAAAAAGGGTGCAACATTCTCTCGGATGGTATCTGCGAATATGTCCTCCGAGACTCATTCACAGTGGCTCTTGCAATTTGGGTCACGCTACACCTCAGCTGGGTCTCTATGCTTATATTTACACATCTGTTTCTGGTGTCAAAAGCTCAAACAACTTGGGAAAGCATGCGGGGGCATGGTTCACACATCACCCGGACTTCTGAAGTCGTGACTGCTGCGGTGACCTCAGGATCGACATCCATGGACGCTGCCCAGATATCGGATACAGGCCCGAGCTCCGCCGCTTCAGGGGTCACACATCAACGGCGCCCATCCAAGAGCTGGTTTGGGTGGTGGAAGACTCTCCTCGGACTGGACAGCTTCGTGGCCACTGCCTCAGGCAAGGCGACGAAAAGAAGAAATCCATTTTCCAGAGGACTGATAACGAATTGCAAAGACTTTTGGTGCGATTCAGCACCGTATCTTACTATGAGAGAAAATGGCAGTGGGACCTTGGATGGTGAATCTGTAAATTACGTGATGATGTATGAACCGCCATTGAGGCAAAGAACCAGAGAGGGCGGGAGTGGCGGTGTATATCATAATATTGATGTGGAAGATGGTGTATAGATGTAGATGATGTCGCAGGTACCAGATATTGTAAGAAGCCAGACATTGTTATGTAACTGAAGAGGCAGAGAATTATTGAACTGCCAAACACGCCATACTCAGTGCCAACGTGTGTAAAATATGTCGCAAGAAATTATTGTTAGCGTGAACAAGTCGTAAGGTCTAGACGTCAAAGGTAGCGCTTCGGGAAGCCATAGAGTCGAATTTCATCAAATTGTTTTCCTCTTTTTCGAAAATGACAGGTAGGCCGAGCAGTACCTGAAAACGGTAGGTCTGACACTGAAGACGTAGTCTCAGACGAAGATGAGGACCGAAATCTATCGTCGAAAACGTCGTAAGCTCGGTTCCTGCTACGCCAGAAATTACAGAGACATCTCGATCTCAAGAATATGGATGAAGCCCGTGTACAAGCCTTCCGTACTCTGAAGCCAGTGTGTGTGAACGTGAGCCATTTAGCACTAGGTTTCAAATCCAAGAAGGCTACAAGCCAGGACTTTTTACAGTCAATAGAGTCGCTATACCTGGTCCTGCGTGATGTTGCTATTGAGAAGCAAGCACTGGATTCAAAGCTGGCAGACTACGTTTTCTTTCCGCTCTCCCATATTTTACGAGACGCAAAAATCTTGCCTACTAGAATAGTAGAAAAGGTTCTCGAATGCCTGCAAATCTTGATTGTACAGGGATGGAAGGCCCAAATAACACAGGACATGAGCAAACAGCTGCTCTTGATGCTCTGCTTCCTAGTAGGTGGAAGTCCTACTGAGTCGAAGGTCTCTGAAACACAAGAAGAATTGGCAATCGTGGCTTTCAGGAACATTTCAAGCATTACAAGAGTTTCTGAAAATGCAGGATTGGGGACCGAAGCAACTATTAAGACGGACAATGTTCCCATCTTAGGACACTGCGTCACTGTTCTGCTTGATGGGATCACTGAAGGTCCAGCTGCTGCTGTACGTTTTGAAGCCGCAGTTGCCTTGAACGACTTCGTTGATTGTATCAGCGATCAAGACGCTCTCGGAAATGTTCTTCCAGGTATTGTGTCCGCGCTTACGAAGGTTCTATCTGCCAAAGGGAAAACAAAACCTCCGAGAAGAATTGTCGTCCGGTGCCTTCTGATACTAGAGAACATAATTACCCAAGCAACAAATGACTCAATAATGGGCTTGGAAGGAAATGACAATCTTAAAGGTGGCAACAGTGTCCCAAATCAATGGCTCGAGGCGACAGGACACCAGCTCAAAATGGCTTTGGCCAACATTATGCCTCTGAAATATCATGACCGAATAGAAGTCCAGCAAGCTTTGTTCGCTCTCTGTTTGTCGCTAATCAGTCGTTGTCAGAAATCATTGCATCAATCGATGACTATGCTCCTGGACACCCTGGTCGTTCTATACGCCGATGCAAGTGAAACTTTTGAAATTAAGCCATCGGTGGGTAGACTGCTCTCAAAGAATTTTTCGTTAACGGAAATTTTGAGGAATATTCTACACGACTGGATCACGTCTTTGCCTGGGGTCTTGCAATCTCACGACAATGCTCGAAAACCGAAAATAACCGACCATATATTCACTGCATACCATCTCCTGCTGACCGCAGGTGTGAACCTCGACATGTTCGATGAAACTATTGCGTCGAGTCTGCACTTGAGTGTCTCGACGGCTCTTGAAAGCACCCTGAAGGACAAGATACAAGTAACTCCAGAACCTAGCAAAGACATCGCCCGAGCTCTACAGACTACTAGAGGTTCGAGCAGCTCAAGCACATTTGATCTCCCTTTGTTCAATGGAATAGGCAACAGAACAGAGCTCGTGTGCCTCCAGAAATTTGTTAGTGAGTCTCAACAGATAGCTTCATCGACTGTGGTACAAGAGAGTATCACCACCGCCATGCGTGGTTCCTCATTCAAGGATAAAGCTGCGGCTTTGTGGCTTGCTCTTCAGATAGTCTCACCGATGATTTCAGAAGCTGCTGAAACGAATCAATATTTAAACCTTGCAGACGCGTCAGAACCTCCACCTCAGCTACTTGAAGAATCCTATGCAACTGCGCTCTCTACTCTCAATAGATCGACATTCGATTCCGAAGACTCGACGTGGCAGGTTCAGGCTCTATCTCTGGAGGTACTCGCCCTTCAAGCCAGATCCCAAGGACAAGCTTTCCGAGCTGAGCTCGTCGATGCCCTTTATCCCGTGTTGGAACGGTTGGGATCGAGCAACGCCGCACTCCAGCAGCATGCAATGACCTGCCTTAATATCGCCTCCGAGTCATGTAATTATGTCACACCTGTGGCTCTCATTATCGACAACGCCGATTACCTCGTTAATGCCATTTCACTCAAACTCAACACCTTCGATATTAGCCCACAAGCTCCACAAGTCCTCGTCATGATGGTCCGACTCTGCGGCTCACCGTTGATTCCCTATCTTGACGACATCGTCGAATCGATTTTTTCGATTCTAGCATCCTACCACGGCTATCCAAAGCTAGTAGAATCCCTCTTCACCGTCTTGAACGCCGTCGTAGAAGAAGCGAGCAAGAGCTCCATAGTTCAGATTGCGGACGGAAAAGACACTACCACACGCCCTCAACGTCATAGAGCCATGACGATATCCGAACTCGCCTCTCGCCTCGGGGCCAACCGTGAGCGCGAGTCCAAGCCCCTCGAAACCTTCCCCGAGGTCCCCCGTCCGTCGTCACCACAAACCAAACCCACCTCCCCTCCTCCGAACGACCCTCCTGACGACGATCTCTCCACCCTCCCGTCAGCGGACCCACCAGCTCCCAAACTCAGCAAATCAACTACCATTATATCATCCATAATCTCTCTCACGCCTTCACATCTAACCTCCGCCTCCGCCACCCTTCGTGCATCCCTATTGGATCTCCTCTCGACAGCTCTTCCCTTGCTCGCTCAGGACACCAACACCTTCCTCCCCCTCGCTGTGCAACTATACCCTTACATCGCCGCCCGCCTAATCTCGCCTGTCGCTCTACCCTTCGAAATCGTAGCTGCGGCACAGACAACGAACGTACTTTGCCAGAGTGCAGGCGACTTCATGAGGACAAGGATTGAGGAAGATTTTGGCAAGGTGGAGAAGGTGTTTGAGAGAGTGGAAGCGCAGATGAGGGAGGAGGTGAGGGCGCAGAGGGGCCGGGTGGGAGGAGCGTGGTGGAAGGCGTGGGATGGGATCGTTGCGCTAATTGTGGGAGTTGTAGAGAACGTGGGAGTGAGTGAGGAGTTAGGGCAAGAAGATGGGGTGTTTGAAATGTTGGGAGGTTATGTAGGCGGAGTCACGGATAAGCAGGTTGGGGGTCTTGGAAATCGAGAGGAAATGACCGGAGAGGGGAAAAAAGGCAGAGGAAAGGAAGTGGTGGGAAGATTCCATGCTGACGAAGACATCATGAAGCACGAAAGGAAAGACCAGGTGAGGAATTGTCTGGAGGGATTGAATCCGGACCTGCTATGGCTTTTTGAAGAGAGAGGAAGGTTGCGGAGGGGAGGAGAGAGGTTGAAGAAACCCAGCGGTGTTCTGGGGTTTGAATTTGCAGAATTGGACATCTGAGGTTGGAGTGCTGTAGAGGAAATCTGTAATCATTCCTTTGAGTGTTCCTTTTGCACAAGAGAACACCCATGACTGAGCAGGATGTTTATATGAAATCTATTCTCTGACCAGAACTGAGTTGTGAGACTGACCTGAAATCGAAGCTTTGATTATTAGTGCTGCAGAGAGGAGATGTTGCCAATTTGTGAGGCGGTGTTGAAGCTTGTCGAGACTACCGAAACCCGCAAGGAACTGAAAAGCTTGAACCAATCTAAGGTTGTCACTGCGCAACACGAGCAGACGAGCCTACTCGTCTTCCGAATCGTCGTCACTTTCAGCGTTATTGAGCCACTCGATAAACGGCTCGGCAGCTTTGCGGACTTTCTTGCTAGTCGAAATGTCGACATATTTCTTGGAAGCTTTGGAAGCCCAAGGTTTGAGGACTTCCTCCGTGACTAGGTCCTCCTGGTAAAGTGCCAGTAAAATCTTGGGAACCTGAGCGATGAGCTTTGGATGCTCCTTGCCTACAAAGCGCTCGGTGCCACCAAGCAGGGCCTTCTGGTGACGGTCGGAAGTGATCATCTGGCACGATTGTCAGTACAAAGCGACGACATATCCATATACAAAGGAAGTCGCACCTTCTTCAACATGCTGGCACGCTTAGGAATTTGCTCAGCCATGCCATCGTCGAAGATCGTCTGGGCGAGTACAGTCAGAGTCTTGTGCTTCGTTTCAAGACCTAGTTCTTTGGCTTTCAAGTAGATCTCCACGTCGGGGACTTCTGCGACACCTTGAGGCTTACTCTCGGCGGCACTGATGATCCAGCTACCGAGTTGATCGTAGGCCGTATTGCCCGCGCCACCTTCTTCACCGTCATCTTCGGCATCTTCTAGGGTGAGCGACTGCTTGAAATCGCTGGGAAGTTCCTGGGCACGAGCTTTGACAGCTGCCTCCGAGGTATCAACAGTCCATTCCACTGTGTCTTCGTCCGCTACAGCACCATTCAAGTCCTTGGCATCTTCGTTGATGCGGCGCGTGAACTCATCGTCACTGTTGGCTTCAAGCGCACCATCTTCGTCGGCATCAGCATTGTCAGAGTTACTGCCCTCAGGGAGGCTTGGCCGTTGCCGTTGGTCTCTGCATCACCGTTCTCTTTGGCTTTGGCGCGACGTGCCTTTTTCTCGGCTTTGTCCTTCTTGCCCTTCTTGGGCTGGTTCTTGAGGACGAAGCCGCTTAGCTTGAGGCGAACATCGACATCAGAGCGTTGGCCGCAGGCTTTGCAGTCCAGAGAGATGCGGTCGTCTTTGACCACTACATCGGTTTCTGGATTTTTGCATTTTTTGCAGAGCACGAATCTGTTAATGAAACCGTCGAGATGGTCTTGCAGCTTGGAAGCATCATGAGCGCCGTTGATGATCCAGCGGTCATCTGCTGGGTTGGTGTTAGTCTGCGCACCAAGCTCGAACCCGAAGTACTTGATAACGTCTACGAAGAAGTCAGCTGAACGGAATCGTGTTGAGTAAAAAAGGTTCCTGAACGCATACAAGATGGTGGGCGGGCTAGAGATTGCGCGACGCTGCTCAGGTTGACAACGACTGTCTTGATGCCATTTCCCTTGCCTTCAATCTTAGACATCAGACGTTCCATTTTATAGCGATAGAAGGGGTCGGCGACATCCTAAGCCAGGTATTAGTGCTTGTACAGTATAGGGGTGAAGCATTCCATATCTTACACGACGAATGTTCATGGTAGCCATATTTGCTGTGAAGCAGAGAGTCTACAGATGTTGATGATGGCGGTTGCTGGTGGAAAGACCGAAATGGAACAAGTTAAAGCGAAATGGTGTGGAAAAAGGCATGCACATGCTCAGGTTGCGCATGTAGAAAGATAGAAGGAAATGGTCGACGATGACCTTCGAAGTCCAAGATATCCAGGGGTCGTACAGTCACCCGTTTGCTTTGGTTCTGTCGCTACACGTACTCCGGTGTATGCGGATTAAAGGCAGCTTGAAGGCCTGGTCGTACTCGAAAGCAGTGGGGGACGGATACATAGACAGTTGAGTGTTGACTCGTGCTTGATGGCGGACTTTTGTAATGCGGTGGGGACTATGAGATTTGTGTCAAGCGGCTTTGAAAAGCTTGTTGCGAGTTGAGAGATACAGATATCTCGCGGCCTTGTCCCGGTGGTTGATTTAAAGCGTGAAGACTGCTGTGAAGATGAGGTTGTTGATGGGAGAACCTTAGGAAGAAGGGGAGGAGAGTTGGAGGAATCAAAATGGAAGACGAAATGGACTCTTCAGGCGCCGGAAAATTGCCGCAGTCCGGAACCCATGCGCACGTGGCTTGCCCTTGCCCTTGCCCTTGCCCAAGCTTGCCCTGCACTCGACATCTGCAGCCCGACGAAACAGGGCAAATAATGAACAATGTGACTTGTTCACGTTCCTCGGTCCTCACCTTCAGCTCAGGCACATCTGTGGCAACGGTGCTGGTAGAGAAGGCTTGGGGACTCTGGGCTCCGTTGGGATAGGTAGTGACTCAGTCCTGCGGCTGGTCGACAGAAAAAGGAAAAGGGAAAAAGTTTCGCTAGAGTTACCCTGCAAAATTTCTGTTCGGTCTGGTACATTCATCGTGTATGTTCCTGCATTATACCAGTGAAGTCGACGTTATCAATGCCTAGATGTGATACGAGCTTAGCTGCTTGTCCAAATCTCTCCACTTTTATATTGAAAGAATCATCAATTTTTCTGTCTCTCATTGACGACTCGTAATTTTCTGTGCTTTCGGATTGAAGATACTACACTGGCAGTCTGCATGCTCGATTGGGTCTGAACTTTTTGGGCTTGCGAGTGCTTTACGAAGTCCGGAATCATGGCAGATTATTCGCTTTATCTCGTCACGGATTCAACGCCTACCATACTAGGCGATAAAGATCTGGCACATGTTGTGGAAGAAGCACTCAAAGGCGGTGTCACAATTGTCCAGTACCGAGACAAGAAGATTGAGACCGCGGATCTCGTCCGGATTGCGAAAAAGCTGCATGTAATCACACGGAAGTACAGCGTCCCTTTGCTCATCAATGACCGCATAGACGTTGCTCTTGCAGTCCAAGCAGAAGGCGTCCATATCGGGCAAGAGGATATGGACCTGACAACGGCTCGCAAACTCCTAGGTTCAGAGGCTATCATCGGTGTCACAGCGTCTAGCACGAGCGAAGCCCTTAACGCCGCTGATGGTGGAGCCTCTTATATCGGTATTGGGACTGTTTATGCAACACCAACGAAAACAGATACCAAGTCTATCATAGGGACTGCAGGGGTCAGGAATATCTTGCAAGCACTTGCAGGAGCTCGATACAGCATTCCAACAGTCGCCATTGGAAGTCTCAATCTGTCCAACGTACAGCGGGTGCTGTACCAGTCAGCAAGCCCCCATAAATCGCTTTCAGGAGTTGCTGTCGTGAGCGCTATCATGGCATCTGCGGACCCCCGAGCAGCTGCCTCAGAACTTCGACAGGCCGTTTCTTCAGCTCCAACCACCTTGAGCCCTAATGCACTCAAAAACACCGACCTTGAAAATATCCTGAAGCAGGTTCCAGGAATCATCCGTAGACTGACTGAAGCGTCTCCTTTGTGTCACAATATGACCAATCTTGTCGTGCAAAATTTCGCTGCGAACGTAGCTATTTGCATTGGAGCTTCTCCTATCATGTCAAACAACGGCCAAGAAGCAAAAGACCTCGCAAAACTAGGTGATGCTCTGGTCATTAACATGGGAACTGTTACGCCAGAGGGTTTGGCGAATTACATCCAAGCGATCAATGCATACAACGAAATTGGAGGGCCAGTCTTGTTTGACCCAGTTGGTGGTGGAGCTACAGGACCAAGGAGAAATGCCATTAAAACCCTTCTCAGTGCCGGATATTTCGACGTCATTAAGGGTAACGAAAACGAGATCCTTGCCGTGTTGGGGGAAGGCCTAGTACAACAGAAGGGAGTTGATAGTAGCGGGAGCACCTCCAATACTGCAGCGAAGGCAAAGACGGTCCAGAGGCTAGCTCAAAGGGAACGCAATGTCGTACTGATGACTGGAGAGACCGATCTCTTAAGTGATGGTGATAGGACGTATGCTATTCAGAACGGCGATTTGTTGCTTGGAAGCATTACTGGCAGTGGCTGCACCCTCGGGACCACGATCGCTTCTTTTCTTGCCGTAGAAAGGGGCGATAAGTTATTGGCTGCTCTCGCTGCAATCCTAATGTTCGAGATCGCGGCAGAATTGGCAAGTCAAAGACCAGAGGTACGAGGCCCTGGCACTTTTGTGCCTGCCTTCTTAGATAAGTTGTATGCTATCGCAAAGGAGGAGACAACGGGGTGGCTATCGAAGGCAAAGGTTAAAGAAATTGATACATCCTGATAAGCTGCATTTCGTAGGTGGTCTTCACTGCTCGAAAACTCGATACTCAGCCAGCAAAAGTCTCGTAGATAGTCAGATATCTCCTCTTTCCACCATCATAACCTCAAATTCGACGTCGCCCTCATTTCTTATACCTCCCACCCCTTCTTCGTCGGTCCATGTCTCCAAATCTTGCCGACTCCTCTTCACCCACCTCCTTTCTTTCTCGCCCTCTTCACCCTTCCCTCTGTGCTGCTCTCTTTCCCCTTCCAAGACACCTTCTGGGAAAAGCGTATCACACTCCCAGTCCTTACTCAACCTCGTCCACAGCACCCGTTCACACTCTTTCATCCCAAGAGCAAGCTTATATATATCCGCTCCACCAATGACAAACACCCTTCCTAGCTTAGCATTTCCCCCTCCCACTTCCTGCTGCCCCCTAACCTGCCCCCCTTCCTTCTCCGCGTCTTCTGGAAACCGTCTCAGTAACTCCCGCAATCCACTCTCAATACTCCCCACAGCAAGCACATCCTGGCCTACCATTTCTACGGACAGCGACTCCGCACCCGAGGCAGGAGAGGCAAGGCTCAAAGTCTCATAATTCCGACTGACAACAACATTGATCCTCTCCTTCAGCGGCCGAAAGCGGGATGGGATGCTCTCCCACGTCTTGCGGCCCATGATGACTGCATTCTTGACCTTGCCCCCATTGGTAACCTGACTCTTTTCAGATTTAGCCAGCGACTGTGGCACGCGTTTCGTTACCCTAGCAAAAAATGCGAGATCGCTCTTCAGCGGGGGCCAAGGGAGAGATCCCCGCAGACCAATGCCCAAAGAGGGGGTGGTGGCTACGATGAGAGTGAGCGAAGGGAGGGGAGGTGGCATGGAGGTTGTCATTGAGGCGGAATTTCATCTGATTTAAAAAGAGGGGAACCATGCCATATCAGGCATTTGAAAGTCTAGATCTAGGTTTGATATCATTTTATTAACACATCAGAACCTCAGAATCATGTCACATTCATGTCTACATTCTCTTCACCTTCCCCATTCCTCCCTTCTTCCCCCTGAGCTCCTTCACCTCCATTCTGCCCATTGAGATCGAAAGCACCACGTAACTTCTGTAACCGCTCACACACATCCTTACTGAGGCTTTCCGTCTTCTTCTCCGCTTCGCCGGCCCCTACAGTCTGCAGCTTTCCGAAAAGCCACGCCTCCTTCAAGACTCGCGTGAGGGAGAGGACATCCTCTGCTGCCCGCACCAGAGCGGCGCTCTCGACACTCATGTGATACGCGCTTACTGCGATCTCATTCCTGTCCCTTTTCTCACCCTTCAGGATAGAGCTGTGTCAGCTTGTGTGGTCCTAGGATAGCTGGCAGTCATAGCGAAGAAAGAGGAAGAGCAGCGCGTACCGACCCGTATTCAATCACATTCTCGAACCTCTTGAGAAGCTCTGTGATGTCATGGTTTGCGCGGCCTGTAAGCAAGATTAGCACCGTTGAGACCTAACTTTGGTCCTACAACACCTTGAAGCATTGAGTGTATTGACCTTGTAAAGCCGTTGACGTGCGTTCATTAGGATCCATCGTTGTGAGAATTGGAGAAGACTACTCAATCGTCACGTGTGATGAGAGAAAGATCATGAGTGCTTCGCAATGCAAAGTTTGCTCAAAGGTTTAATAAAGAAGTCGAATAGTGGATGAGGACATCAACGCAGGCGCTGTATAATGATGAAGGAAGTTGTGTCTCCCAGGTTGTTCCAGAAGTCACAATCAAATTAACATGATAAAATGTTTTTCAAGTAAGTTATCAACTGTCAAGGGCTCTACAAATAGCCAGTACTACTCCATTTTACGGAAAGAAGCTGTCTACGCCCAGGTTCCCAAATCTAAGCATGGGCGGACAGAGATAGTAACAGAGGTCACGAAGGAGTAATGCTAGTCAATGTCAATGAAGTCAGACATCGGTCCTTGGTCACCAAGAGTTCGTGGAACAAAGTCTCTCTATGAGCTTTATTGATAGACATGCTATGACAGCAATTGTACCGTTTTGCTACAGTGTGGTAGCTCGAAGCTTTTGCCTCTTGAAAGGGGGTTTCTTCCCTCGTTGCGATGCTCTAGGCCGTCATGTATCTGGCAGGCTAGTAATCATTGCGAGAACTTCCGTAGGAATCACCTCCGCCAGCCTGATCACGCTTCTCAGCACCTTTGCGCTCAAGATTATCATTGCCGAACATGCCTCCAGCCTTTTCCATGAGCTTCCCCATTTTGGAGTCTTTCACACGCAAAGTCAGCAAGAGGGAAGATAAGGCGAAGAGCACGCAGACATACCACCTCCGCTAGACTCATTGTCATCGCCATAGCCGGAAGTCTTATTGCCATAGCCTGTACGTCACCGGCCGAATTAGCATTTTTCATGAGTGGATAGTATGGATACAGCTCGATCAATGAGGGCAGATTGTCCATTGAGCCATAGAGTGCCTGCCTCAAGCATGATTCAGGAAGTGTTAAGAGAGGGAGACTCACCAACACCGCCAGTAGTTCCCGAACCGTGCTCAGTTCCTCCAGAGTACGAGCTTGTGGTATTGCCATATTCCGAACCCTTGTAGTCAGAATCACTGCTGCCTCCGAATCCGCTGGAGGTCTTGTTTCCGCTGCCGACTAGACGTTGTGATCAAGTCAGCATTGCTCTGCTCCACAAGCCGTACGAGAGATAGAAGGAGCCTGGGAAGATTGAGGGGACGCAAACACACGTCTCCAGTGCATAAAAGCTCACAGTGACTCACCTCCGCCAGTAGATCCACTGCCATACTCGGTCGCTCCAGAGTATGCATCGCTGCCGCTTGAGCCAGTGTTGCCTAATCCACCTCCGCTGGAATTGTCGCGACCGCCTGACCCATAACCCGAGCCAAGAGCACCAGTTTCGTCTAAGCCGGAAGACTTGTTGCCGTATCCGCTGCGCCAACGTGTCAGCCACTTCAACGGATATTTTGAACTATATGATGTAAGCCTTCTTACACGCCGGATGTGGCTCCAGATCCGTAAGCAGCACTTCCAGTCTGTCAAGTGGTCAGCGCTGAAGTGAAGAGTCGAGTGCCGCATGGCCTAAGCGTACGTTGTAGCTGCCCTCATTGTCACCTCGAGAATCGCCCTTTTCATCCATTAGCTGCCCGGAACGTAGGCACATGACAGTGTATGCCTACGGTGCCCGAAGAGCCGTAGCTGCCACTGTCGCCACCACCACTGCCACCGTATCCACCAGAACCACCGGAGGATCCGTAGCTGTCAGAGTTACCGCCGCCACCATAGCCCCCAGAGCGCTGTCAGAGTTAGCTTCGAGAAAGTGTACAACGGGCCAAAAACATCGGACTCACGTTATCGTCGTTGTAAGACATTTGTCCTGTTTTGCTTATGTTCAAGAGGAAAGGGTTTAACGTTCAAGACTTCAATAATACTTTTCTTTCAATTGAGGAATTTGAGAGAGATGAAGAGAGAGTTGGTGGAAGGGCGGATGCAGGAAAGAGAGGTGGGATGTTAATAAAAGGACTCTTGGCGGGGTAGCTTCAAAGTTAGGAAAGCACGATGATGTCGGCCAGCAGAGTTGGTACCGGGAATTTGGCCGCAACTAGCTAAAAACAGGTATGACTCGGAAGCTGCGTTGCGTGCTTTGCGAATCCAGTAAAGCCTGCGGCATTGAGAGCGTAGCTGAAATGATGCCCTGCTTCATACCCTAGCCTGCTTTACGGATCTTGCCCCTCCACCAAAATCAACCCCGCATCGATCAGACAGACGACCATCGGGTACGTACCACCTTAGCCAAGGTACCACTTTTCACCCTCCCTCTCACCATTCCTGGGAAATGCACGAAAATAGAGCAGTCAGTCTAACGTGCCAATGGCGATCTGGTATGCAAGGCCACAACCCCACGTGAAACCCTGTATCGCCAACTAAAAAGCAACCATGGCTTCTGGATCGCCCCAATTTGATTTTCGGCCATTCCCAAGGCAGGCACTTTTGGAATTGAGGGTTCCGATCTGACTGCCATCACGATCGTGGCTGACTAGCCAGCCTGTTCCATAAATAGGTGGCACTCTAGTGTGGCAGAGAAGCTTCATCGACGATGTGGCCGAGATTCATTATGGGAATCTATGCTCTGCAAAGTCGTGGTATAAGAATGGTCGGTATGCAGTATTCGTCCAGGATCCCATCATTAACGCACATATCTACCCTGTAAAAGGTCAGCACCAGACAGTAGAGAAGCCTATGAATGACCAACCATGAATCTCTTGTGGAAATCACTCCTCAGTAGGTCGTTGACAAATTCTGGCTTGCCCTTCTTCTCGGTGCCTCTGGCCTGGTTCCGGAACACTACATCGTCGTCCCAGCGTCGTTTTGACTCAGCATCACGATTGGGGTTTAGGAGAGGATTGCCGTATGCAATGTCGGACTCTCGCTGCTCTTGTTCGTCAGCTGCTTGCGCTCTCTCTTCTCGCTCCTTTTTTTCTGCTCGCTCCTTTTTGATCTTCTCGAGCTCTCGCAGCAGCTCTGCTGTTTCATCTTCTTCATCTTCGCTGTCCTCGTCACTGCTGTCACTGTCTGACTCTGAAGCAGCGTCTATGGTCCTTGTCTCTTCTAAGACCTTTCGTTTCTTGGCTTCGAGGTCTTCTGCATCCTCGATATTTCGCTCGGGCCCATCCTCCAATTGCCTTTTAGCCGGGTTTCTTCTATCACCCGGGATGGTAGATGGATTGCGGTCGAAGTGTGCTGCTTCAGCATTGAGTAGCTGCGCCTTCAGATCATATCCTACAGGATCTGCGTCACCACCTTGACCTGCTTGTCTTCGACATAAGTTAGCTCCAGCGAATTTCAGGTAGGCCGAGGATCTGTACCGAGTCTTTAGATGAGTATGTGCAGGTTGCAAGCGCTGGTGGTAGGCAGGACCGCGAAGGGCTTCTTTGCCACGAGCCTCAAATGATTTCAGCGATAAACCAGCACATGCGGTGGGGCAGACTCACCGGATCAAATGTAGGCCTGTGAGCGGTGGTCATTTTGGCTTCTTTACCGCAGCGTAGAATGAATGACCGTCGACGCGGGTAAGAATATCAAAAGCATGCCAAGCTTTGATCTTTGATCTGCAGTCTGGAATGAATACTGCGCAGGTGGGATGAATCATACCCTTTATCTGCCCGCTGAGGCGGGCCTTAATAGCCTACATAAACCCCTGCATTATTCCCCTGAAAAGAGGACGACTAATGGAAACCACCAGAGACTATTGTTGATTGAAGAAACCCTTAGCAATTGGCCAAAGAAATGAGTATTTATATAGTAATAGACTATATTCACGCGGGCAGCTTCTCCGCAACATTCTGAACCTCCTCCAACTTAATACCACCAGGTTTGAGATTCTTCCACTCATCCCTACTAGGCGCACCAACTTCAACGTCGGGATAAGGGCCCATAGGTGTGATGCCTTTGGGATTGATGTCAGGCATGCCTTTCGTATACTATGAATTCATAACAGCGCCCAAATTAGCTGGATGACTGAATACCCAAGTCGGATATTATCATTCATAACCGAAGAGGCGACGAATCAATAATCGAGCTGGAAGGTGAGTTGATGTGCGGGCATGATAGAAGGGAGAGGAAAAATGAGAATCTCACATCTTCCTTTATATGTGTCGAATTCGTACTATCCTTGAATCCAGGGACAGCCCAGTATACATGTCTGAGCCAGGTGTTCAAGACGGGGTAGTTGTGTCGTACAGTGCCGAGATTGCATTTGAAGTGCTGAACATAAACCATATCAAATCGTATTACCGTCGCATACAGCCTGATATCCAATTCCGTTAGCCGCTCCCCCAGAACGAAAGGTCCACCATTTGCGTGAATTAGCTGCTCAAGCTTGTTCAACGCTCCGAAGACGGGAATGACATTCTTGTCGTAAATCACTTGATCTGCAGCAAAGCCAGCTTTATAGACTCCTGTGTTTAGATGGGACTGAAGCCAGGGGCCAATCATGTCAATAACAGGGCGAAGATCCAAAGGATAAAGATCAAGCGGAATCGGATGCGTCAGAATGCTGTCAAAGGCTGTAGGAAGCCAACGAAGAAGCTCGGCGCTCTCGTTGTTCACGATGGTTCCTAATTTCTTGTCCCAGAGTAAAGGGACTGAGTATTTGCCCTGGTAATCCGGGTCGGCCTTGAAGTAGATTTCCGAAAGATATTTACTATGATAAAGATGATCAGGCGTGGCCCCGGGATATTCATCGTCGTTCTCGGGAAAGATCCAGCTTGGGAATTTTTGGTCACCGCCTCTAGGATAAGGTCGGACGATTGACGTAGGAACAATGGCGGTAAGGCCTTTGAGATGACGGACCAGGTTGGCTAGCCAGGCATATCAGAGTGAGTGATGCTTTCAAGAACGGTGAGATAGTAAGAGTGAACGAACCTCGGTGAGCAAAGGGACAGAAAAGTCCTAAAAGGACAGGTCAGTAGCTTTTATCCAGAGAAAACGGTACAAGAAGAGCATGGCACAAGATTGTTAAGTCATCTCCTTTACACGCTTACTTGACCTACGCCTGCTCATGTTGCATGATTGACGGTCAACCTACCAAAATATAGATGATAGCGATCTTTTTCTGGAGCAAATCGACCACCAGGAGCGATCACCCCATGCCACCCATCGTCACTACCTGGCTGGTGGATCTCGCCTCCCATTGTTTTCACTTGCAATCGCGGACCTATAAGGGGATAATCACACAAAGACTGGCTACAGAAGTGCTTTGAATGTTTTTAGGCACGGTTTAAATTGGAACGAAGTCTCGAAGAGAAAGCGCAACGATCAACCACTAAACCGTAAAATAACCAATTCTGTCACTGGGGGTTACCCATGAATCCTGGAGTAAGGTAGGTACGAATAGATGTCGAAGAATAGATCACATATAACGTGCTAGACCTGCATGGGTTGGAGAGCTCGGATGAAAGTGTCAAATATAGACTATGCTGACAAGAAGAAGGCGTGCGCACTGCTCAAGGATGCACCAAATGCCTTCAGAAGCGTGAGAGATAAACGGCGCCTTCATTCCTGCTCGCTCATGCCAAGAGCTCAGCCCTATGGAGATACATTTGTGAATGGGGATCCTTTGATCTTCACTCGAGCAATAATTTCGCTTACTGTGAGTCTTTTGGCTCAGAACTTCTTCGGAAGTCATGCCTCGAGAAGCTCAACCCTCCATTAATGAGCGCGACTTCATCTTACAGGCTCTATCAGAAAACACTCGTCTAGACAGTCGTGCTCTTGATGCGTACAGGAACCTTGACATCACCTTTGGAGACGAATATGGTAATGCGGACGTGCAATTGGGTCAAACGCGGTATCCTACAGCTTTTACCAGAGCAAATGACAAAACACTGACAACTGTGGTAGCGTTCTCACCAAAATCTCTGCATCCCTAGCTTCTCCGTTCCCTGATCGAAAATTCGACGGCATCTTCACCATCACGGCCGAGCTCTCCCCTCTCGCCTCTCCAGCCTTCGAAGTCGGCCGGTAAGCCCCCTGGTATGGGTATGGGTAAGCCCACCCCTCTTCTTCCACTCGCTATCACGGTTTCCCCATCAAGCGAACCCCCACTGACACTACCGCACCCAGCCCATCAGATCTTGAAATACACCTGACCACAACTCTCGACACGCTCCTCCGCCGCTCCTCCGCCCTCTCCACCGAATCCCTCTGCCTCATAGCCGGGCAACGCGTATGGCACGTGCGCGCAACTCTTCATGTTCTCTCCCATTCTGGCTCACTGCTCACATGCGCTTCGATATCCCTGCTCGCTGCGCTCTTACATTTTCGGATCCCGGCATCTGAAGTCAAGGGAGGAGAGCTGACTGTCTACAATACAGTAGAGCGGGATCCGGTGCCTTTGGCGTTGTTGCATCATCCTCTTTGTATGACGTTGGGGTTTTTTCAATTGGTGGAGTCGAGAGCGGAGGAGGAGGGAGAGGGAAGGGTAGGTGTGATTGCCGATCCGACATTAGCAGAGGAGCAAGTTTGTGCAGGGGAGATGATTGTGGGGGCGAATAAAGAGGGTGAGGTTGTGCTTGTCGAGAAAAATGGAGGAGTGGAGGTTGGAGGGCTGAGGGTGTTACAATGTGTAGGGTTAGGTGGGAGGATAGTGAACGAGATTGTGAAAGCTGTCTTTGATGCAGTGGAAAGGGATGCGAAGCAGCGAGATCGCGGCGGAGTGATGAGTAGAGAGCTAAGGGCGGAGAATGACCGGTGACACGAAGATTTTGTATTGTCGCTAAGCGACTGTAAAGCTCTTGATATACATAAAGAGTATTCAAAGTGTCTTCCACGCTAGGCAACGAGAGCTCAAATATTGTTAACAAAGTATCCCGCTTTATAATGAAGAACGCCACCCAACTTCCATGCCCTGCCATGTACTTCCCAACAGTGTCGCTATGCCTCCCAATAAACCTAATATGCACAATCAACTCCACGCTTATTCAAACACTATCCCAAAAATAGGTCGATGTATCCATCAGTAAGTCTCCGCATGCCCTTTCTCCTCCAATTCCTTGACATACTTAACAAAAGTCTTTTTATGCACCATACCAGCGTACATTCCCCCTTTCAGCACGCATACATATCTCAGCCCGAGTTTTGTGAAGCACTGGAAAACTTGGTCCATTGGGCTGTGTATATCTAACGCAATGGGAGCAGGGTCGATATATGGCGTGAGATCAGTTGGGTCACGGCGCTCATCTTCCGACCAATGATCCTCTTCAATACTCATCGTGTCATGCCAAGAAATATCGGTGGCCATCAAGCAGAGTGCATGCTCTTCGTCCTCTAGCTTGTCGAGTGCGAATTCAAGATCGGGAGCAGGGATGAGGCCGACGAGGACCCCGTTGCGGAGGATGGGGAGACCACCGTCAAGTTCACCCGCGTTATGTAGCCGCTCCAATTTGCGGCGGAGAGCCGATGCAGAAACCAGCGGTGAAGTGGAGGTGTCGATGACACGATTGGCCCGGACGACTGGAGGCGTTATGGCGCTCAAATCTTCCGAGAACACAGGCCGAATCTTGTTATCCAGGAGGGGATATGAGTTCATGTCGGTTAGGAGATCGTAAATGCTGAGAGGCTCAATGGCATCAGCTGTCCACTTCGCGACGAGAACTGCGACCGAGAAAGGAAGGACGTGATCCAGGCTCCCTGTTAGCTCAAACAGGATGACAGCGAGCGTCACGGAGAGACGGGTCACGCCACACATCGTTGCTCCAGCGGCTACCAGAGCATAAACACCAGGAACTACGCAGCCTTCCATCCCATCGCCTTTAGGGCATGCGCGAAACAGTCCAGCGTCAGGGTGCATCACGACAAGATACTGTACAAGATGACCGACGATCCGGCCCATAAGCCCTCCAACAACCATAGAGGGAACGTATATACCAGCTGGGACTTTGATACCGAATGTGATCATAGTGAGAAGAGCTTTGATAACGAACGCAATACAGAGGTATCGGACTACTCCTAGAATATCCTCGCCTTTCTGGGGGCATAAGCCGCTAAGATTATCGCGACATGGGCTTGAGACTTCTAGGAGAAGCTCGGTAACCGCAAGCTTAGTATATCGATTCCAGAAGCTGACTGCTCCTGTAATCAAAGCCACTAGAGCAACTTCCAGGACTGGCCACCGTTTGATAAAAGGTAGGCTCCGGAAGGATTTGGCCCATATTCGCGATGCCTTAATGAAAAAAGCTCCTAACGCGCCTCCTAAAACGCCGAGGACGATAAATGCAATCATCTCAAAGGCCTTCCAGTCGTTCGAATAGCGGACTTCAAAGATTACAATCTTGCCTGTTCCATATGGGTCGAGGATTCTCAGCGAAATAGCCGCAATTATACAGCAGAAGAAAGTCCTGAAGAGAGTCTTCGCTGGGAAATAGTAGCTTACTTCTTCCAAGCTGAATAGTACGCCACCGATGGGTGCACCGAAGGCTACCCCAACGCCGCTGGCGGCAGCTGCGCTGAGCATTTCTCTTCTCTTCCCATCATTATGATTGTACTTGGGAAATAGCCTACAGGCAACATTCCCAACACAAGTGGCAATATGCACGTATGGACCTTCTTTACCCAAACTCAAGCCAGATGACACACTCAGAATCAATCCTAGAGTCTTCACGACGAGTGTTCGGACACCCAAGTAGCTGTGAATGATGAAGCCGCTCAAAATGACCTTCACCTCTGCGACTCCGCTGCCAGCCGCAGGGTAGTAGACTATTGTGGCTGGCGAGGTTGGTTCATTGGGTTGAAATGGGCTCGGGAGCGCCTTATCGTCGTTAGTAGATTGCTGCTGATTGCTTGCGCCCAGATTTTCATCCAAAGTCGTTAGAGAAAATGCTGAAGGTATCTCGGTCCGCGTGAGCAAGGTCATGATGCAAGAGGTCATGGCAAAGATGACCACAAAGAATACATAAAATGCAAAGTCAACCAATCTGGTATCTGAACTTTTCGACCCATGTACGTTCTCACTCCAGGTGATCCAATCGTTGCATGGTTTTTGGCCATAGCAGCACTTCTTTCGACCAAGATACCAGCCCCGCGTGCAATAGCCCTGTTTGACGTCGAAAACAGATGTCTCGGTCAGGTTGACAAAGTAAGCGATACAAGCGGTGATAAAACCAATGACAGCGACAAGAATCCAGCCTTGAGCACCATCAAACCAGGCATAGATGCGTCCACGTATGTCTTTTCGGGCTCGTAGATCGCGAACCCGAAAGTTGTCGGCTATGCTGTCATGTACCCAATCTGTAGATGTGAACTGGTCGTACCAAACCCTCTCGTCCATGTAGATTGTTCCTTTGGAGTCGGTCAGATCAGGAAACAGGCGTCCGGTTCCCAAGGCACTGGCAAGCCGAAAGCCTAAGGAGTTGACTCTAGAGTGGTTTCGTGGAACTTTGAAGCTGCTCACGCTGTTGACCCTCGAAAAGCGTGGTACTGCCGTATTGGGCTCTGTGTAACTCTTGCGTCTAACGCTGCCATTGTCGAGCAAACTAGAGTCCTCGTCTGCAATCCTCGAGGGTAGTCGGCTCCTCAGGTCATGTTCCAACGTCCGCGTCGAGTGTAATCGCCTCGTTGCGGTTGGGGACCCGGTCGACAAAGGAGTCCGGTTCATGATCGGATCTTCCTCCTCTTCATCATCGTCATCCTCGGTATTGCTCTGTATCGAGCGGCGATGAACTATATTTGAGCGAGGCATAGTGACGGGTGGAGGAGCAAAGGTTAAGTGTGCAGGTCTGGGGCGTTGGTCAGTCATTCTGTTAGAAATAGGCAGCTATCTCGTGACTCGACGGAGGATGATGAAAAAGAGAAGTCAGAACGTGACCACTTGTCACCAGCAACAACATCTGTGCAGCAGGCAGGAGCACCTTTTGTTTCACGACGAGGACGATGGCGCATCCTCAGCCGCATGATTGCGATAGGGACAAGTGTATGAGCCTCCGACAAGTTTTCTTTGTCTGCGTTTCAGAGCGTGGAGGGCGAGTGGCTGGGTGAAGGAAATGGTCGAGAAAGGATCAACAAGCATGCAAGCGTTTACGCAGGGATGGAGCACTGCACATGGAGGCGGTGCAGGTTTCAAAGGGTCAGCTGAGGTACGCCAGGTACTTGGAGCGAATGCTTTGTACACAGCAAGGAGGAAGTGAAGATGAGGATAAAGATACAGGAAGCATTCTTCTTGTGCATTCTATGTTGCTCTTCTTGGCCATTGGGGGTCACAAGTGGGGAAATATGGTCACGTTTTCGAGTACCTGATATAGAGTTCATTGTTCCCATGGCATCCGACAGCGGCCTCGGCGGGCGGTCCTCCAACCAATAAATACGCGGCATAGATCCAACGCTCTACCATAGCGCGTAGATGATGTCCGATAGTGTTAGCATGGCCTCCAGGAGCTCAGATCAGTCTGATCACCCAATTGGGCCTAGTTCAGCCCTACCCGGCTTGGCATAGCTCTTCATCTACAATCATGTTCTTAGATAGCTTGCCATACAATCAATCTATTATATTAAAACCCACACTATAAGAGCTTGCTCTCAGATAGCGTGGGATTCAGTTCAGATCGCAGATGAACGAATAGAAGCGGAGAAATGAAGCAGAAGCGTTGTCTGTTTTGCAGTCCTGCTGCTAGATCTGTGCCGAATCTCTCGCTATTATAGGGACATTCTCTCGTCGTCCAGAAGTATACACCCAACCCAACCCCTACAGCTTGTTCCTGCTCTTTCAGACCTTGTAAGAGGGAGGACTATCATCGAGTGGAAAGTCTTCCCACTCCTCTGCCGCCTCCGCCGCCTTCGAACCCGCTGCATGCTGCCGCGACTCGGATCCTGCCAAAGTCACACCAGTCGCCTGGCGTGGCTGGAACGCGGTATTGTCTGCTGCAACGGGGAATCTGGGGAAGTTAGCTAAGCTGCTTCCTCCTCTAACATTCTGCTGTTGGAAACCAGCATGGCCGACCGGCGCCGAAATCATGTACCTCGGCATATCGTTGCCTTCTGTCTGCGCTTGCTTTCTCATCACCCTTTGTTGGCGATACTTCTTGATCATCTTCCTACCGAAGAGCAGACCTGCCAGCAGTAGTCCAGCGAATGCCAGCGAGCCTAAAACGATCGCTAGAATCTCTGCAGTGCCGAGGGAGTCTTTCTTCGACGCAGATGCTACAGGCAGAGGGCTTGAAGCTGTCGCAGGTGGTGCCTTGCCCGATGTGGCATTCAGCGCTATCAGCTCTGGGGCGAGGCGTGCAATTGTTGCCGTGCTGGGTGTCGCCTGAACGGTAGTGGTAGTTGGCACCGTCAGGGTATGATTAATCGTTGACGGAACCGTGATGGTTGCAAAGATGGTCGAGAAAACCGTCGTCGAGACGTGTTCCGTGAAGGTTTGGTTGATCGTTAGCGTCTGAGTAAAGGTAGTCGTCTCGGTGACTGTCTTATCTTTACGACGCTCTAAGGTCTGTCGCTTTCCGATAGCAGGTACGAGCATCACAGCAGGAGGTAGCACACGCATTCTTGCGAAAAGTAAAGGCGAGGCGTCTCTAAAGCTTAGTAGGAGAATAGCGTAGCCCAAAATGCAAGTACAGTTGGGAATAGGAAAATATAAGAGACCCGGGGGCCATGGGCAAGATATCATGCAAAGCCATTGTGTTGTGATACAATTGCATTGTTTGAGGTCTTTGTCACAGAGATGTATGACTCTTGGTCTTCATTGTGCCGCGAGATCTGTCTGCGGAAGAAAGTGCCTTCATTCATGGTGAAAAATCCATGGTGATTGGCTCACATGCGTCAGCGAAAACACGCTAGTGCACAAATCAGATGTCTCCCTGACCAAGACTTACCTTTTCAACGTCGCACAAGAAGATGGACATGAATTCATGATGACCAAGTACTTCATGTCGTGAGAGATAATTCTGGGCTTTAAAACTTGTGCGCAGTCTCTATCTAACGGAACGCCTTAATGGAAGAAGGTCCCGCTAGCGAAAAGGACCGCCCGGTTTGCTATGGGCCCTCTTAAAAATGACCGAATGCTAGTGGCGGCGTTCGCAGCATTGGTGATAAGGATTGGAGCCGTTTTGAAAAGTGAAAATACAAGCCAGAAGAAAAAAGGAGTGAATAAAAGACAGGAGCACGTCAAGATCAATGATACCTTGGAACGGACGGAACTTCAATCCACACGTTGTCACATCTTACATAACGTCTGTACCGCATGTTTTGTGGGTTCCTTCGTGTCTTTGATAAGGCCAGCGATAGTCTTGAACCTACACAAGTCTAGTCAGCGACTGCTAGAATGCATGTAGGATGATACATACTCAGCCATACTTGCATCTCCCATGCACTCATACAGCCAGCTTTCGCTTGTTGTGACGATGGCACCCTCCGCCCGCAATCTTTCAAGAGCGATGAACCGCTCACCTTCGTTGCACGAGCTGACACCATCCGCAATTACATACACTCGATGACCCTCAGTCAAAAGGTCCAACGCCGTTTGAGTGACACATATATGTGTCTCTATCCCGACGATAGCAATTTGATATGGGCGTGGGTCAATCTGCATCATCGCATGCCGGAGCTCTGGCACCATCATTGAAAAGGCGGTCTTGTCGAAAGAGACAGTCACGTCCGGTGCGAGTTCCGGGCAAACTGGGCCCAAGCGCGCGGCATTCTGTGTAGTTGCAAGTATGGGAATCTGTAGAGTTTTGCAGGCTTTCAAAAGCTTTTGGGAGGTCGCAACGCTGCTCCTTCATTAGACCGGCACAGAAGCGAGATCCCATTTGGCATTCTGACACATTTGAATACTCATGTATCACTGGCCTGAATTTTTCTTGAATGTCGCAAATACTGCATTGCGTCACTCATGATTTCGAAGGCCACATTCAAAGCGTAGAGCGTACAAGAGCGCCGGATTTGCTAGGGAAGGTTTTGTGAGCAGACAACGTGGAGAAAGCATGGACGCATTGCAAAGGCTTACGAAACCGCTTTGGACGTGCTGCCATGATTAGTTTGCAGCTCTGGAGGTATTCGTAGTCAGATCGAGGTAACGACTGACAGTGAATTATTCAAAGAAACAAGACTGACTCTCCCTTCGACCGCCATAGAGATCTCCAAGTATTCCTGCGGAGGAAGGTTTTAGGGCTAGAATAGAATCGGCTGCGCGCTTGGGCGCTTGGGGGCGCTGGCCTGCCTCCTAAATCCTAATTAGAGAATAATGTCTAGCAGAGGGAGCTTAAGTACATTCTTTTTTCCACACTCATTCGTCAACGATTGCTACGAGTGGCTCTCTCATTGAGACAGGGTAAGATTACGAGCTTGTACAGTACCAATTGAACACTATTATCCGTCAATTGCCCGCATGGCCGAGCCAGAAGTCCGTATAAGTAATGCGCCCGAAGAGTCCGCCGATGTGGAAATGCAGGGCGGCGACGACGCTGGAGCTGAGACTGGCGTCGCTGATGCGCAAGGAGAGGAGGATACCGAAATATCGCAACTAAAACCACCAAGACAGACTTTCGTCGAGTACACTCAACCTACCCAAAGCGATTTACTGCCATCAAGCTGAACATTACCAATTAGCTACCTTAGATCGCCCATCATAACCATTCTCATTGGTCCGACGGCCACCCCTACAGCTCTCACAGCTCACCAAGCCCTTCTCGCCCATTCACCCTTCTTCGCCGCCTCCATCTCCCCTCCAATACGTCTATATCTCTTCCCGACACCGATCTTGAAGCCACCTCCGCTGTTCTCGAATACCTCTATACAGGCGAATACTTCCCGCACAAACTCTCTAACAATAATCTACAGACTGACACTTCGATCCCCGCGACAGACGAAACAGGCGACCAGCTCCTCAAACATGCAAAAGTCTATACACTGGCGGAGAAGCTCGGCATGCCCGCCTTACGAGCATTATCGCACAGTAAGATACATTTGGTGAATAGTAATGCGGTGGCGGAACTGGCGTATGCAAGGTACGTGTACAGTCATACGGAGAAGACAGACTCGACGATTAGGAAGCCAGTGGCGAGTTTCTGGGGCCAGAGAAGTCATGTCCTCAGACATGAGACTGAAGGCACGTTCAGGGAGATGTGCCTTGAATTCCCAGAGTTTGCGTTTGATGTGTTGAGCTTTGTGCTGGATGCGGAGGAGAGGCGGGAGGAGAGGAAGAGGAAGAGTACTGCTGGGGAGGAGGGCGCGGCTCATGGAAGCGGCCGGAAAAGGGCAAGAGGGTAGACCCTCTGGCACTCTTCTCGTATCGAATTTCGGTTTCGACTTTCCTTCATCTTATTGTTCGACGAAAACTCGTTCGAGGCGCTGGAAAAAGCTTCTGGTTTCAATGGGCGGCAACCCTGCCGGTGAGAAAATAGATATTATGTAGGATAGTTGGTTGATATCGCGATGGCTAGAAATATGTTTGTACAATTGGTGGGATAGTATTTGTACAGGTAGATGCCCAAGGCCAGGATTTACCATACAGCCTCGACGCAATATGTTGTTGCAGCTCCAAAATCAGATCCTCCCGCCTCTTTGCCGAAATCTCACCCCTGTAGTGGGTGCAGGTTTCTCCAACCTCAGCGCCCACAGCAATAAGTCCTCTACTGGTAAAAATACGAGGAAGATTTTGTTTATTAGAAATGCCACGCACGCTACAATCGTTGCCATCAGTGCGTCCATCCAGTAATGGTTGGCAGTTGCAACAATAGCAGAGAGAACCAAGCTTGGATACCCCAGCGCAATCATGACATAGAGTATCTTCCATGGCAGAGTTTTCTTTGCCTCGCCTTTTTCTAGAGTCCTTCTAAAGATTCCAGAATGATGGACCATTGTACAACCAATGACGAAGGCATAGCCAAAATGCATGCTTGGCATTGCTGCTAGGCTATTGACGAAGTCTCCAGACATCCATATGGATGTAGCATTGTCATGGCGAACAGAGTCGAGGAAGCCATATTCGGGCGGTAGAAGGCGAGGAGGCATGCAGGGGTAGATTGTGAAGGTCAGGAAAGCAAGCCAGTTGGTGAGTGTAAGCGTGCGTCGGACAAGGGCGAAGGTCGGGTGTGACGGTGCGATGTAGTAGTACCACGCGATGAATCTAAGGAGGTTTAGCAGGCAGAATCAAGTGGCAGAGGCAATGACCACGTACCCAACGGTCCCTGGGATGTGGATCAGGGCATAAGCACGATTGAGGAAGGTCAGAGCGTCTTGGTGGCCTTCCATAAACCAGTGCTGGACCTCTTGCTCCTTCCAAGGAAAGAGAAAGCTCAACCAGCTGAACTGCTCAAACTCCAGAACCGACAAGCCGTGCGCTTGCGCAACATCAATAATCTTCTTCGTGAATATCAATTGTGAAATCACTTTTGTCCAGCGGTAGAAAAGATAGGTTATGACCCAATAGAACATTTCGATCAAGAAGGGGAACTTTTGTAAAAGGCGACTGTGCAGGTGATTCGCGAAGCGAGAGGTATTAGGAGTATATACTCTACAGCCGCAGCAATATCTTCTTTTTGGTTGATGCATAGAGCCAGATAGCGAATCATCAGAAGCGTCGTCATCATCATCGTGAGAATCGTGCCGTAGAAGGTCGTCGGCCGAGCCGGAAGTCTCGTCTTTGTCCAAATAAGAATCGTATCCCGATTTTCGTTTCCCAAGTATGGAAAAGTTCCTCCTCCGAGTGAAGAACATAGCACTACAAAGGATTGTTAGAACAATCTGAGACTATTAGCAATTGTCTTTGTCCTGCTATGAGGCTGCCTACCGCCGGCTCGCCCCACGATGGCAAGTGAAACATTGGCTGGCTGTTCCATTGTGGTGGCACTTCGCCGATGGTCAGATTTGCTGCCATTTCCAGTAATGATCATCCAAAGAAGTGCTCAATCGTGGCTCAAGAGAAGTTTTCAGGATGGGCACGCGACACTTCGATCTGGCGTCGAATGCCGTTTGAGGGGAGCTTTAGATGACCTGTTGGGGTTTATTTACAGTCCGTACCAAGCTCATCAAATGCAGTCGATAAGACAGTGGGATGTTTTGATTTAGTGAGATGAGGAGAAGAGAGCGTCAAAGGACGGTTTGTTGGGATCGTGAAAGAAGTGCTGACGGATAACAGGCAGCGGAACTGGGGCGAGCCACACCACAAGGCCGTCAGACAAGATGCAGATTGTAAGGACCGTGAAGTAGCTGAGAATCGCCCACTCATGAAGCGGTCAGGAGAATGTTGCAGCGCATAGGAGGACAAAGTCACGCCACCGAGGTTGTGGACAAGCTGAGGGGTTTCAAAGAACCAAGCACTCAGCATATAGAGGCTTCGGTGATGATATGTTTAAGAATGTAGTTGATGTAGCACAAAAGGAGAAGAGGTTGTCGAGGTGCAGACTTGTCCGCACGAGTCCGCCGAAAGGAGACGTCAGCCATCCCCGGCGGAGTCCAAAATTGCTCCGAGTGATGGGGACGGGAGTGTCAGCCTCGAGGCTTGGCAAGCTTGGCACGGCGGTGCAAAAAGGATCGACAATTCGGCAGGAGGCAGGATGGCTTGCAAAGCTCAAGCCTATCGCACATTCTGACTTTACTGGAATCTAATTGTATTTTGCACAAAGCTTCTATGTAGCATTGACTACACGACCTACAGAACATAGGCTATCAAGCCCAATCCTCATACTAAGCATACAGTACTTGAGCTCCTTTCTATTCGGAAAGACCACTACATCCGATCCACTCTTATTCCTTCTGGTCCTTTTGTCCAGGATTGAGCCAGCCAAAAGCAGAGGCACCACCGACCGGATTGGATGAGCTAAGCTTACTGCTCAACGGAGGCTTTGGTTCGCTTGAGAAGGACCTTCGATCGCTCGCAGTAGCAGGGCTAGGGTCCTCTTTCCGCGGGGCACCGGATTTGTTGGACTCTCCCCATCGTGACGGAGCTGCATCAAAACCGACTGGTTGTGGGGAGGAGGGAGTTCTTGAGGTATTGAGTCTCGCAGGTTTCAGCACTTTCATACCTCGACCACGACCTGCTTTCTGGTAGCCAGATGCTGAGCTTGCACTGGGAGGCGCTGGTTCCGGTCGGTCGCCGTGAGTAGAGTCTCGTCTCCAAGAGGTCCAGATATTGCTACTCTCTGTTCGCACAGGCGTATCCGGGGTTGCGCCATTGGTGAGGCTCTTATTGTCCTTGATATGCTCACTTGCATTTCTGGCGCCGAAGCCGTTGCTTGTATTGCTCCGCTCGGTGAGGGTCTTCCGCCCTTCTCCAATGACTGATGGTGAAGAGGGTGGTGGGGTAGAAGGCTTTCGGATCGGACTCACTAGTATGGGCACTTCCGACTCTGCGTCTTGCTTTTCGGTGGAGTGTGGCTGCTTGGACGTCTGTTCGGCTAAGAAATTGATAGACTTGTTCGTCAACACTCTTTCGCTTTCCCTTGCTGCTGAATGAGTGCTTGTTTGGAGGTCTCGGAATATTGAAGCATTTTCAGGCCGGACAAGCGGTACGGAAACCTTGTTTCGCTCATCATCAAACAAAGTGAGCCGATCCAAAGAGAAGTGAATGTCAGCATTCCGGAATCGAAGAACGTCGCAACCGAGCAGGATGTCGATCGCATCTCTATCGACTGGGGATTCTTGGACAATAAAGTCAGTGGTAATCGTCGGGAGTTGTGGTGCCGGGCTTGCAGAACGCGAAGAAGATTGCTGGACCGTTGCCTCAGGAAGATAGACGGCGAGTTTGATTGCTTTTTGTTTCTCACGATTAGTCGTGACTCGATCTTGCAAATCGAGCTGATAAAGCAGTCGCGTGTGTATTGTAGACCTGTAGGAACCCGTACAGACTGCGGCGTACATCAGAGAATCGTTCGAAAAGTTTGTGTCCAGCCAGCAGCGAATTATTGATGGTACAGGTCCCAGAATAAAAAGCCCGGGAGGTGGGCCTGTCAAAGCGCTCGAGGGTGTGAACGGAGCCACTGTAGCGGAAAGAGGACGAGATTCTACACCGATGCTGCTTGCGCGAGCCGAGTGTGTGGAACTTTGGCGACCTTCTGATTTGTGAGACGTAGAGCGCTCTGTCAATGGGTGGGACCCAAATGCACTGCCAGACCTCGAAGGGAAGAACTCATTCGCAGTCCGAGAACCTTGGGTGAAGTGACCGTGGATAGCACTTTCATCAAAGCGTACGCTGTTGGCTCGGGAGGCTCCTCTTCGCGGTTCGTCGTCTGTGTCTAGGTGTAGACTGCCCATCATGTTGCTCGGTTGGTCTTGGTCAAAACTCTTAAAGGCCTCGGCAGCAGGATTGTACGTAGTGTCTTTGAATGGGAGATTAGCAATTCAGGACTGTCTCTCCCCGTTGCAGTAATGGAATGCTGCTTACCGTGCTGTGAATTGCCATTTAACAAGCCAGAGAATGGTGATTGAGTCCCCCAGGCGGACTTGTACCTTGAGTCTCCTTCTTGACGTTGCTCAAGGCGCATCAGACGATCAGCATGCTCCGCTTGTGTGGCATACACATTCTTCATTTGCGTCTGGAAATATTCCAGGTCTGATTTCGTGGCAGCGTTGGGCTGCACATCCATTCCCAAACACCTCTGAGCTATTTCTCGCGAGACACCTTTGTAGACGAGGTAGTACGCTCGCTAGCATAGAGGCTCACCAGGCTATAGCCCTGACGCCTTGAGCAATTGTCGTACGAAAAGGTTGTTATCCTGATGGAGCTTCAAAATTGGTAGGTGTCTCTCCCAAAACGATCTACCTCTACACCTCCAGTCTCCTCCACGCTCCAAGCGCGTGCGGCGAAAAGCCTACCACCTCCCTGAAGCCATGAGTTAGCTTAGACCATATAAAGAAGGATATTTCTGCTTTACCGCCACGATTGTTCCTTTGATCTTTACTTCTGTTGGATGTACTATAGTCTTGTTTGCGTTTCAGGCGAGTTATTCTGACGGCCTGTTTGAAATCGGACCTGCGTCTTTGAATGCGAAGATGTTCCTGTGATAGTACACAAGTATACACTTTATCCGGGTGATAGCGATCGGGTTAGAACGTAGAAGTTCTTAAGTTAATTAGTGGTTGTACATTGATTTTTGTGTGAATCCAAATGCGAGTGGTTGGTTTCTGCACGTCGCAGCAGGTCTTCGTCTCTCAGAGGGCGCGTATGTGAACCAGGATATCAAATATGATGTAAAAGGTGAGCGGGATACCTCAAACAAATGCGTTACAGCTGCAACACTGGATGGGTCCTACGAGGAAGTAACATTTTGCAATTCGTTTGACGCCATTCATGTAGATCATCTCCGCCCAGGCCGGCTAAAGACTTAGCCCCCGCTCTGACCGGAAGGTCCCCTTGGTCCCCTAAAGAGGCCTTTCCAAGCTCCTTCACTCATTGGTATCACCAGGTATCACCAGGTATCACCAGATAATAATCAGGTGGGAATTTTGGTCAAGGTGCAGGGCCATTGCGAGCGATGACCTCGCCTTTCCCACGACGTCGATATCAAGGTCGACCCAAGAAGCTCATTTCATCCAAATTGGAGTTCCCAACCATCAGTCTGTCATGATTTCCCGCGAACGTGAGGGTCATCAATTTCGACGGCTGCCTTTCGCATTCTGCGAGACAAGGCACATTGAGAGGCCATCGGCCAGCTAGTCTCATCAAAGCGCGTTCTCGCCATCACATCAATGTTCCATGTGTGACAACGTCTTGACAACAATCGCATGGTTCACAAGGTTAATAAAAATTGTTTATCGTTCGATCTGAACGCCATTCCATCCTCTGAAACCCCTCATCTCTCTTGCACTGCGCCCCTCAACGCTTCTCACGACCCTTTCAGAGGCTAGCCTAGTGCCCATCTGACCAGGGTCTGCTTACAGGTGCTTGAAAGATGTGAAGATCGTGGGTACTGCTCTTCGCCCGCAACACATGAAAGACCGCGAGGTCAGACGGATCTACCACATATGGCCTCGCTACGGCCCTCAAGTCCTACACCGCAAATTCCACCTCCTCCGAGTCCCTCTGCAGATGCAGGTATCGCCCCATCCCAAGAAGTGACCTCACATGACCAGCATGACGTTCCCGAGGTTGAGCAAATCAACATATTCAAATTGAGTCCTATCGCCGCTCTAAAACTACTTTGCGGTCTATTGGAGTCCCTTGTGCGTATCACGGGCGATGTTCCTCCGACACCGCCAGTCAGTTTCTCTACTAGCACGTCGAGAGTGGAGCTATCGGAGGATAATCATGCAGAATTTGAGCGACGTGAGAAGAGGAGATCTAGGCAGTGGGTTGGAGATGATTGCGATGTGCCACATAAGGCCCAGACTCCAATTGGAAGCCCAGAGGCACGTCCACACGAGCCCAACATTCAGATAGTTGATCCCGAAATTGAACCTTTGGTCTCTCAGCATGCAACGATTGCAAGGAAATTCTATTCAAAGAAGCCACCACCTATTTCGTTGGAAGAATATCTCACACGCCTGCATAAGTATTGCCCCATGTCCACAGCTGTCTATCTTGCAACCAGTCTGTACATTCACCGGTTGGCCATCATCGAGGGACTCGTGCCTGTCACGACGCGGAATGTGCATCGACTTGTCTTGGCAGGCCTTCGAGTTGCCATGAAAGCGCTCGAGGACCTCAGTTATCCACATTCACGATTTGCCAAAGTCGGCGGGGTAACCGAGGTAGAGCTTGGAAGATTAGAAGTCAGCTTCTGCTTCGTTACCGATTTCAATTTGAGAGTCACAAGTGAGATGCTTCTAGAGCACGCAAAGACTGCACGAGATGGTGGGAGTATAGGTAAAGCCTCTCTTAGCTTGCAGATAAAACTGAGAAAGGGCATGGGTAAGAAGACCGCGCAAATCGAGACTTCTTCAGATACCGGCTAGGAGTGGCCTTCCTGGTCATCAATCATCCTCCAGCCTTTGGGACTTGTCGTTCCGATAGCCAGGATTTTGTGCGTTATAGCCGCTAGACGGAATCGTACGCGCGATTGGATAGTCTCGCAACAACAAGAAGTACTTGCAGCCACTACACAACCTAGACTATGAGTCAACCTCCCGCACGCCGACCAAGCAGGCCCAGCGGCTCTGCTGAAAGTGCCTTACGCAAGTCAAAGCTACCTGACCAGTGGTTGTTATCGGAGCTAAGCCCTTCGTAGCCTGACGGGCTCAGCAGGCACCAGTCGATCCCACAGGCTGAGATGCTCAGGTGAAGTACAACAAGGCACGACGCCCGTGTTGTATTGCTCTTCCTTAAGTTTTATTCCATACATACCGCAGAACGTGGTTGATACAGATTCGTGTCCATCATCAGGTTTTTGTTCTCGAATTCATCGAACTATTAGCACATTTCCCATATTTGAGACTGATTTTACGAATATCATGGGCGAGCTTGCTCAAAATATGGTGGATGCGAATGGCCCTAATGATATTTCAGGAGCTTCAATCAAGGTATTCGAGGATTGGCAGACGCATTTCAAAGCGCCAGCTCAATCGACCCATCTTGCACTGCTCTCTTCGCTCAGAACTCGTTACATGGGTTGGAATGTGGTAGTCACTGACGGTCCAAGAACGGCTTTGATCTCATTTGCAAAAGCTGGGCATGCCACTGCTGTCTTGGATACTAATTGTGATGTCTATGTGAATGTGCGAGGCTACCAGCCTCCAAAGGGCAGAATCTCAACAGATCAAGGCGAGCTCCTAGACCACACCTCGTTTGGCAAATATGATTACTCTTGGAATGGACACTCCTTCATTATCTATCACGCAGAGTTTGAAGACGACGGGAATATCATGAGCAACTTGTACATTCTGTCCAGGATCAAACACCACGAAGCCAGGGGCGCTTCAACACCAGCTGCGGATAGTTTGATCACTGCGGCTTCGAAGTGGAATAATGAGCTCCACGACGAAATTCTAGTTTTTGACCAACAACACTGGACCAAAGACAAAGAGTTGTTTGCAGCTGTCCGGTCGGCAAACTGGGATGATGTGATCTTGGACAAGGACATGAAGCAAGGCTTGATCAAGGACGCTGAGACATTTTTTGATTGCGAACAAAGTTATAAATACTACCAGGTTTCATGGCAGCGAGGAATTATACTCCACGGGTCTTGTTGAAGACTGAGAACTGATTGTATGAGGAACTATCTAAGGAGGGGGATCAAGAGACCTTATATATCCGAGCTACCTTTACACAGGTAATCTTAATACCGTGTGTACCCATTGACACTGTGTTTACCTATGACACAGTCAATGCTAAAGAAAGGTGTGATTACACTTCTAATAGGTCTCCAGGCAATGGAAAAACTATTAGTGTCAAGGCGCTGATGCACTCCCTGGCTTCGAGACGGAATCCAGTTCCAACTCTTTACGTCAAAAGCCTGGCTGGTTGCGGTAATTCATGGTACGCTATTCGACAGATTTTCGTTAGGGCTCGACAATATTCTCCCTGTCTCCTTTTATTTGAGGACCTAGACAGCCTAGTGAACGATGACGTCAAGTCATTTTTCCTGAACGAAGTAGATGGACTAGAAGACAATAACGGTATCATGATGATCGGAAGCACCAATCACCTCGAGCGTCTCGATGCAGGCATCTCGAAAAGACCAGGACGCTTTGATAGGAAATACCACTTCGCTCTTCCAGCGACACCAGAGCGGACTGCGTATTGCAATTACTGGAGAAAGAAGCTTCTTGCTAATGATGAGCTGGAATTTCCAGAAGAACTCAACGACGTGATAGCCTCTGTCATACAAGGCTTCTCGTTCGCCTATCTAAGAGAGGTCTTCGTAACATCCTTGCTCACCATAGTCGGTGCTGAGAAAGGTACAAACAAAGACATTGAGGATATACCAGCAGTAGAGGAAGGGGTCAGCGAGCCGGATAGGCTTCTTCTATGGCGAGTCATTAAGAAACAGATTCAGACCTTGCGTAGTGAGATGGAAGGGGCGCGAAAGAGTGCTGAAGAAGCGGAAAATAAATCCGAAGAGTAGGGTTCAATGATATTTACTCCGCCATGTGACATGTCAGGCGGAGGCTGATTACCACTTCTGTGAACCAGATGCGAAGAAAGCGGGTGCGAGGTACTCTATCCACCTGAACAGACTGGAATATTATAGTATAACCTGGTCAATTTCCGAATACTGAACAATGTACTGTGCGTCATTCTTGGATCGGACATTCTCAAAGTCTCATCATATTTCAGTGTCCATATTAAGAGAAGAAAGAGAACGGTTTTGACTTCTTCACTCTATATCGTCATAACACTCCTACCTCACATTTTCAATTGAGATCAAATTTCTGTAATCTCATCATGCCTGTAGATGTTGCTCACTCATGTCAGGAAGTCCTGCTGAACACGAGGCGTGAAGAGTTGACAAACTGGTAGATACAAAACAAGCTGGCCTCTATATGGCTCGCTTCTAGCTCGTGAGTAGCTGTCTATGGCACATTCTGACAAAATATCAACAAATTCATGGTCTCTCAAATCCTCGCCACAGCCTTTTCCACCACTCTCGTCCGCTCCCTGACACCAGGACTAAAATGGCATTTCAATAACTCTCCCTCCCAGATCGTGCTAGCAAAAGGATTACTCCCCTCCACTTCTTTCCTAAACGGATCAAAGACGCCGTCACCCTTCCGCTCCTCCGTATTCCATAGGCCCCCTATCTTCCTCGCATGAACCTTCCCCACATCATCCATTAGGCTTAGAAGTACAAGAGTTGATTTCTCCGGCAGATGCAACGATGATGTATACAGTTGCTTCGTAAAAGCTGCTAGTCGGATCGGAGGCGTAGAACGAGGTGTCAAGGCGGATGAGAGAGCCCGCAGGAGGAGTACTATCGTTGTTTGAAAATTGATTTTCAAGTCTTCATTGTTGGTGAAGGCGTTGGCGTTGGGTATGTCAGGATCAGGAAGGCGGAGAGTTTTAGCGGATAATTCAACGTCTGTATTAAGGGATTGGAAGTGTAACGACCGGTAGAGGTGCTGGGTAAAGAAATCGAGGTCGAGACCAAGCGACGAGGCGGATTTCGAGGCGTCTTGGCCTTCAAGCAGGGTGAATGCTGTGGTTATGCAGAGGAGGATGGAGCGGGTTGAGTCTTGGGATTTTTGGTCAGGTGACTTAGGCTCTTCGTTAAGTTCTCCATCCTCTTTTGGCTCGAGAGAAAAGCTGGCATCATTTATCAGATCTTTGAGTGCTTCTAGGAGGTCGCCAAAGAAATCCTGGTTAATGAGATGGGCGTACTTGGCCAGTCCCTCGAGCACAGCACCCATCAAACTTGGGACACGCTCCTTTAAAATTCTGAAGTAACAGCCAAATACGACTTTGAGCGTCTCTGCTTGCATTCGATCACGGTGTTCGTGATCTACAATTGCATCTGCCTCCTTCAAGTCTTTTTCCACTTTCTTCTGTTCTCTCATCACCTTTCGCGTTTTTTTCGTCCTGAATTCTTTCTTGAACCTGATCTTTTTGCCTCTCGAGTCATCTTCGACGTCACTATCTACACGGTCTCGAGATGCTTTCGACGAAAATTCAGAAAGTAATCGGAGATGAAGGAAAACATTCAAGACACTCTCATCGACCCGGTAGCGCCGCGATCTCATTGCCTTGGCAATCATTGTTACGGCCTCAAGCGATGGTGTACCATTTTCGTCGTCTTGGAAGAAGGTCTGTAATGTTTTACAGCAAGTTTGAAATATATCATCCATTCTGCCTTTACATAGCTCGCTGATTATGATCTTCAGCAGTTCTCCTCGAAAATTGAAATGTGACTTTTGAATTAGAAGATGAGAAGCACAGGATACCGCAGTCTTCACGAGGCCAGATTTGGAAGCTTTTGGGTCCAATTGCCCCGTAGCACATAGCGCTAAGTCTTGCAGATAGGTCTGATAGGAACTGACGAGGGACTGCTCAAACGTATTGCGTATCCTTACATCCTTGGATAATTTATCCTTTTGGATTGTATCTGTATGGGGCTTGATCCGATATCCAGGAATAGCGTCCTTATACGCTGCCATTTGTGTAGCCAGGGCAAGCGCCTTTATCTTCTGGTTGGGAGAGGAAGCTATCTGGGCCAACCTTTTGAAGCCAGCCACATTCTCCTCGGGATCAGCATTGATTTGAATCGCTATCCGTGCCATTTCTGCCTTCGCTTCAGAAAATTGTTTCCATTCTGGGATCGACGCTCCTTGTTCGGTCACACGTGCGTCTTCCACAGCTTGCACATCCTCGTCTCCATCTACCAAGCTTGGCGCATCATCTGAGACGCCTTCATCTTTTTCCAACTCTCGAAGGTATTGTAATTTTCCGTCATAAGTTTTGATTGGTAATCTCGAGCTTTCTTTGGCTGATTTCTTCTCCTTCCGCGGCCTCTCCTCGTAGGCTTGTTCGAGATTCCATCTAGCAGCGCTTCTGACGAAGTCATCTTGAAAAGTTGCATCTACGCCATTACTTGTCTTGTTGGTATCTTCATTCAATGGCGATAGCTTTCGCCTCTTCGTAGGCGCTGTAGCCACCATCGGATCGCAGGTTGTCAATCCGTGCGCTTTGGGTTGAGTGCCCATTGAGACTCCCAGAAAATATCCGCTTAAAATTCAGCCGAGGATTTGCCGTGCGGAGCTCGAGATTCTGCTCCGCACTTCACACCATTTCCACATTTCCTTTTCACCGTCCCAACAAGCATTTGGGCTAAGCTTAGCTAAGAATGCGGCCTCTCGCCGAGCAGGAGACCAAAACGCTGTTCGAGAAGCTTGCGAATTACACTGGCCGCTCCCTGACCCACCTCATTGCACCGCCTTCTGCCGACCCTAACACTACAGGCAATTCCAAGAAGCATGATGATCGACATGTTTTTCGTCTACACGGTTCTCGAGTATATTATATGCCTCTAAGTCTCGCAAACCTAGCGACATCTGTAGCCAGGCCAAACCTTCTATCCATCGGTACTTGCATTGGCAAGTTTTCAAAGACCGGCAAATTCAGAATGCATATTACAGCCTTGGATATAATTGCACCGCATGCGCGTTACAAGCTCTGGGTGAAGCCAAATGGCGAGATGCCGTTTTTATATGGAGGACACATCGTGAAAGCGCATGTGGGGAAATGGAGCGAGGATTGCCCGGCACATCAGGGAGTCGTTGTTCTGTCTATGAATGATACGCCTTTGGTGAGTCAATCTTGCCTAATTTGTTCGTGAGATGGAACTCTTGACTGACTCTGTTCACTAGGGGTTTGGAGTCACAGCAAGGAGTACGGCTGAGGCGAGGAGATTGGATCCAACAGCCATCACTTGTTTCAGGCAAGCTGACATTGGAGAGTATCTTAGAGAGGTCTTGAATAACTTCCTTGCAGCCGGCCTGTTGCTGACGACTTGATTAGGAGGATTCTTTATTCACCACTTGAGAGCAGTAAAAGACCTTGCGATTTGTAAATCACCTCACGCACGACACCAATAGAATTTGAACGATCTATCTATTGGCGATGCTTTGCCCAGAGCAGGATCCTGAGCCCTAGAGCATGCTACAATTTATTTGTTGAGTATCATGGGACCCATCCACCTGGAATTTGCCCAGTGCTCGGGTAAGAAGTCGACATTGGTCTGTCAAAGGGGCGACCAATACGGCACACATCTTCGAGCGTGCCATTCACGCGTAATCGATTTCCAAATGTCGCCCAAAACTCGCTATTCGGCAACGGCATAACTAGATTTCTCTCGCTAGCCGGCTCTTCTACCTTAAGGTTTCTGAAGTGGTTGTAGAATTGTATCATATCAGGGTCATTTGAGAAAGAAAGGTGCTCCGATTTCAGAGAGCTATCAATCCCGAAATCGCCTGTCTTTTCCAGAGATTGAGCCTCCTTAGGAATGGTACCATTTGTGTCAGTATCGGTCTCTGCGGAATGGACTTGCCGTTCCTGCCCACCTATCTTAGATGAGAGTCGGATGAAAACCCTTGCAGTCAAAAAACTATCGAAACCAGCTTCATGTAATCTTGGACTTCCAGCATATTTACTGAAATCTTCCGGTATTTCTATTTCTATTAGCCTTTTAATGTCATAATCCCGAAGCGAGACATACCTATGACTGGAGATGCAATTTTGGACAGCTCCTCGTCGATCTCCTCTAAAGACGACTTGTATCGTGGAGAGTTCTCGTTGATGATATCAGCGAGGTATTTGGTGTCTACAATCATGGAAAAAATGCTGGCCAGATTCGCTTGGAACTGCTCTACACGATCTGGTAGAGTACCAAAGAAACACTCGTAGATAAATATAAGATCTAAGAAAAGATTATGACCTTCATCAAATCGGAGTTAGCAATGCTTCTTTAGACTGCGAGAAGGAGTTATGAGACATGCTCCTCGAGTTAAGACTCCGAAAACATCACTGACCAACTAACATAGGTTTCTTCTGCTGTGAAGGTGTGGAAGTAATTGCAGTAGTAGCGACGTGCTCTTGTGGTGATTGTACGCCTTGTCCGGAACGCTCATCTTTGACATCGGTCGGTAATGTGGGCTCATCTAATACCCCTGTTTTGAAATTGGAGCACAAAGACTCAACAACTAAGCGAAGGCCAGACTGTTCTGCAATAGTCCTCTCGACTCCTTGGCGTTTCCTTGCTAGCTGTGCATCTTCACGTATCTTATCGTATGGTAGGAGCTGGATGAAGTCGGGTCTGGAGATTGAAACCAAATGGGGATACTCAGCTCTTACAAGTTGGTGCACAAGACGTTTCTGATAGCCATTGAACCCTCTTTCATTTCGCTTGGGGTCTCCATACCCAATTGGGCCAATGTTCAGGAAAGCTCCGTCCCCCTAGAGCGTAGTCAATTGAGGGTTCGCTTCAATAAAGTGCAATTGTCTTTTGTAATCAACGTCCATGAAAATAACTGGTCTTACCTGCGCCTGCCAATCCCAGAGGTCTATCTCATACCGCGCCCGTCTCAGAAGTTGCAGACTCTCCGTATCGTCAATGCTTATACCAATGTCTGGAAGTTCATTCTTGTCCACAGCAGCAGCTCGTGCTAAAGATTCTTCTTCCCAAGATAGGTAAGGAATTCCGTTGAGAAAAGGAGCCTCCATCTGAAATCCATGACCCAAAAGAAAGTCTACAGCTATGCTGCTAGTCAGTAGAACCACATCTAATCATGCGCGCCAAACCTACCATCAGATTGATAAGTGAAGTCTCGATCAATCCTAAGGCGTCGATCAACAAGTGGATTCAAATAGAAATTGAAAGGCCGCAAGACATAAGTTGCTTGATGGTGTCAGTTTGTGCTCGCTTGATGGATGTTTTGTCTTAAACCTCGTTCGACATCCTCTTCGGCGCACGTAAGCCCTAATTGGAGGACTTGATATTTCTCCGCAGCAGCTTTCGTCTCCGAGTACCGTTCTTGTAGGGATTGTTTCCCTGCAGATTTACTAATGTGCTTGCGTGGTATTCCGGAAAGCTCAACATCAATGGAGACGAAGCGGCTGCCAGATATTGCATTGAGGATAGATGGGAGCTTGGCCTTAAATTCACAGCGATCTATGTCCATAATGAAAAGCGCTGGTCAAGGAGTCCATCCATTGAATGGATCAAGATGTTTTCGTGGTCAGCACGTAAAGTTGGTAAGAGAACAGAGACAGATGTTGGGTTGTTTTGAATAGAGGAGCAGAGAGTCCACAATGCATAGCAGATGCTTCTAGACCAGGGATAGATCTACCGCAGAAATACAGCGTCGTTACCCTCGCACTGACACAACAGAACGAGGACGTTACCAACTGACCTAGCCAAAGACAGATTGATACAGCTGGCAAGAATTGTTTTGCGGCCTTGCCTTCTTCAACTTTAACTCCCGTATGACGCTAAGCCTCACAGTGCGTCACATCTAATCTTGTCGCCGCTAGTAAACTTAAATAGTCCCAGCCTCATGCTCTAGTCATTACCTGGCTCATCTTCACTTCGTCTGTCCATGAATCATGAGTGACACCACCACCCTTACCATAACGAACAAGTCTTTCGCAATGCCACATTCGATCGCGTCTTCAGTCAGCTCATTAGGATCGCCCCGTAGATCCCACTCCGAGTTCTCGAAACCGTACAAGCAAGCGTCTAACTTCTTCCTTACTCGTCGTTTTCCTGAAGCGTTGTCAACGATCAAGCCATTGGTCACGGCACCGCAGGCAGTAGGAGAAGAGCACGGGTCCTCGATCATGCTTGCAAAGGCACCGGTCGCCCACGCAGACTCCAGGTGGAGGGTAAAGATATGGAGCTTATACCTCACTCTAATTAATGCGATCGTCGAATTAGGCCTGGAGGAAGGCAAGAATACCCTTGGCAAACAGCAGTGGAAGTCTATAGTCGCTCAAACAGAAGACGGTTCCATCTGGCAAGAGGTTGTCGATATCGGATACGCCGGGAGTGAAGCAAATGTTGATCCTGAAGTGGTAGTCAACCTGTACGCTATGCTGAACGATTGAGATGCGTATTTATCAGCCTGACGATTTTAGTGCCAACCTGCTTCTTGCGCAGTCCCAGACTCAGAAGGCTAATCAAGATCGGCTCGAGAGCTATTTGTCGACCTCATCCAGCCCTGATGCTGGGCACAGGGACGGTTTCGAAAGCAATGGCAAGCGCAACGGAATCGTCAGGAGTAATCTTCATCAAAAGGACTCGCAAGATCCACTTCATGCACTTGAAGTGCGAATTCAGATCATCGAGCTGTTCGCACTGCACGTTCTACCCCGCAATGACGAATGGCAATACGCAAAAGGCTTTGTCACAAAGAGTGACATACTAGACGAAGAGCGAAAAGACGTTTTCCTACAAACACTCAACGATCTTGAAGAGGTTGACCCTGACGAAAGAGAACATTTTGAAGACGCTTTACCTGAGCACGAACGAGTACCGCAGAATGGTGCCATTTCAAGTCTCATAGGAAGAACAGACTCGAATATGACGATCAAGCCGGATCCTCCCAGAGCGCAGCATATTACTGACACTGTAAGAGATCATGGCTCCACGGAATCAGTGCCGGTAGCAGCAGAGCCAGAATTGAAGCATGTCCCTCCCGAGCCAGCCGCAGAACCCGCCGCGCCACTTCCACGAAAATCGCCAATGACTCCTCAGCATCGACCACTGGGGAATCCTACTGGCAAAGGGAGAAGGGGCAAAGCTCAACCGACTGTCCTAGAGCGAAGCCAGGCTGTTATCACCACGATCCACAAGGTCATCTCCAATATGGCGATACAATTCACACTCAAACCTATGCCACTCACACGCTTTCTGTTATTCATCATTGCTTTCATTGCTGCTTTTAGTCGACGAGATGTTCGAGAACAGTTAAGAAGACTTACGGGCAAGGGATGGGACAAGATGAGACAAACAGTAGGGATGGGTGTCAAAGTCAGCTATATTTGATGTTCCGACAACTATATGAAGTAATGAAGTAATGAGGCAGACAGGGCTGCAGTGTAGCGCTGGCATGCTGAAGATCGAGAGAACTAGAGCGATTAGAGCCTTGTACCCTGCCTCAATCTCGTCTGGAAGTATCTCATACCTAATTTCAAGAAGTCCAGTACTGGTGAAGATTATTCATAACTGTCGTTGGTAGCTGCTACTCATTTGACTTCGTCCTGGTGCTTCCATATTTTTCCGCCACCTCGAAGTCTTCTTGAGGCACTGATAGATTCATTTTCATAAACAACTTGATCTGTCGCACCTTCAAGTCTGACTGTAGATATCTTCCTAGCCACTGAGGCCGCCAATCAAAACGCTACTGGTAGCATTATAAAGACGCGCAACCTCGACAGCTACTCGACCTTAACTTGCGGAAGTGGCCCAGCAGCTGGATCCCTTCGTCAGACTGTAATTCCACCCTTTGCCCGTCCAGTCGATTTCATCAATGATTCCTAAAACTCTTCTTCTGGTAAAACAGATCCGTCCTGGAGCTGCCCAGATTGATAATCTTGGGACATCCATCCCTATCCTTTTCCAACCTGGTACACTCAAAACAGTAAAAAGCATCTGAAATGCCTTCGCCGCCGCAGACGACGCATTTGTTCTGGTAGTTGCCAAAGGAGCATTCGTCGCAGATACGAGTGAGAGTGGTAGGGCGTACGTAGCTGTCGCAGACAGGACATTTGCCGTCGCACTTGTCGCAGAGGCGGCCGATTGCTATGCCGGGTTGCTTGCGACACATTACTAGGTCGCTGTGTTTGTCAGTAGGTATAGGGTCGGGGAGTGGAAAAGGGGGGACATACGGATGATGGCGAGACATTAGGTTGTACCTCTATTACTGCACTGTTGATATCTGGTAACGTTGAAGAGGTGATGACTGTTTTCGTGGATTTATGACCAGGATTTCGCCTGTTGCATTTGTCAGCCTTACTTACTCGTACGATGCAATGTGTGAGGCTAGCCTCGACAGCGGCAATCTTCGGGCTAGGCTGTTTGTAGACTAGCTTAGGGGTAAAAGCTCTCTCACCTTGCGGGTGTCTACGTAAATTTCAATAGCATATGGACTCTGAGAATTTGGTCGAATGTCAATGAACCCGTGAACCTATGGCTGGGTCGCCCGTGTGCGTAATCTGGTTGAAAGTTTTCACGTTGATTCAGCTAGCTAATGTTCTCGGTAGTGCTGTTGCCTCTGCCGTGATCCTTCCGGAGACAGAAGACTCGACTCCGATTGTGCCTCCGACAGTGAAACGCAGACGGTCTTCAGAGTCTTCGCCCCATTCTAAGAGGGCCAGACTTAGCCAAAATGCAGCCAAGGACGACCAGGAGTCCTCTTTTCCGCGGCCGAATCAGCTATCCAGAGAAGATCGATTGAACGAGCGTCGTAAGACTGGGCCGCTGGAGGAACGCAAGCGCGGGCAAAGATTGTTTGGCGCTCTGCTCGGCACTTTATCCCAGAGCTCATCATCGACAGCATCAAAGCGCCGCGCAGATATCGAGGACAAGCAGCGGACTAAATTGAAACAGCAGAATGAAGAGGAGAACGAGAAAAAGAGAGCAAACATCGAAGCGATAATTGAAGTCCGCCGGCAAGAGCAGAAGATATTCGATCGGCAGTCGGTAAGATTGTAACAAGATGTCGAATGAACAACCCAGGGGACTAAGTATTTTAGATGAGACTGCGGCATTCTAGAGCGCTTGCGAAGGCACATTATCTGCAGACGAAAGCGGAGCCAAAGCTTGTGAGTAGCTCGTCCTCGCTTCAATCAAACTAGTTTACTAATGAGTTTTAGTATTATAAGCCATGGGAACTCTTGCCAGACGAAGAAGCGAAGATTAAGGCGCAGATTAAGAACGTCGAGGAGACTATAGGTGACGAGGACAGACGTCTAGTTGCAGATCATCCACCTAGCGCGATTGCGCAGAGAGACACACAAGACGGAGAAGCACAGGAGCCAAACGAAGACACGGTCGAAGACACGGTCGAAGATGACGCTAAGGATGATGGTAAGGAAGTTGACACTGATATATCCAAGCATTCCGAACCCTTTAGTACTAACGAAGATGACATTGCTATGCATGACTCACAACAACAGCATCTGGAGGATCAAGCAGAAACAGCAAAAGACACGGCAGAAGATGGTGGTGAAATGGTCGAAGGAGAGGAGGACACGGTCATCTATTGATGAGAGCGTCTACTCGGAAATAGCCCATTTGAATTCGTATACTGTTCGCAATAGTGACTGCGTACAAGAAAACTCACTTTCAGCCGGGAGACGAATCTTGGGCCTTTGCACATGCCCAATCATGAGCTAGAATGTCGAAGTTTGGATGTTACGATGGATACTAGTTCAATCCTTCATCATGCACTTATCTACCTCGGTAATTTATGGCCTCAAGTACATCTAAATGCGGGGTCCATCTGTTGTTCATCAGTCTGCCCAAATAAGGGCACTTCTCCATCAATCGTACCTGACAAGATCGGATCTTGGAATTGCTCTTCAGAGCTGTCAAAATGACGGTCGACTGCATAGATCCCGTGTCCGATGGCAGGGTCCGCCATTGTGAGGCAAACCTAAACGGAAGACAATATCGTAGGTGGGAATGATGAAAGGATACCTTGATAGAATCTCAAATCTCTGCAGACTACCTGCGTGCAGAGCCAAGTGGCCTTCACAGAGGCACTATCATTCTGGTATCTAGACTTCCAAGTTTTCGGAGGCTATTCTAATATGTAGAAGGTGCATGGTTGGCCGGACTTGGCCGTCGGATGGCGCTATCAGATTCCAATGCTCACCGGATCCGGCTATCAAGTGATCGCCCCTGACTGCATCGGTTACGGAGGCACTCAAGTTCCACGAGTACCGCCGGCCGCTATCGAGAGCTACAGCTGGAAGAGTCACGCACAAGATATCCACGAACTTGCAAGGCAGCTTGCCTTAGGGAGGGTCATACTTGGTGGGCATGATTGGGTATTGTCTGATCATCTCAGGGGCCCATGAGTGTATCCGAGCTAATAACACGAAGGGCGGTTTGATCGCTTACCGAGTAGCTTTATGGTTTCCTGAGCTTGTTACTCATGTATTTTCGGTTTGCACTCCCTATTTCGCTCCGACCAAGACTTTTGTTTCGAGAGAAAAACTTGTGGAACAAGGGATGAAGAATCTCACCTACCAAATGCAGCTGAAAAGCGGCATTGTGGAGGAGCGTATTGTCACCAGAGACGACATTAAATCGATGCTTTGTGCAGCGTATGGCGGGAGAGGCCCAAACGGCGAGTATGGGTTTGATGTGCGAGTCGGGTTCCTGTTCAACAATTTGCCCAAGATCAAGACAACACCATTGGTTGATGAGAAGACGATGGATCACTACGTTAATGAGTTCGCCAAGACCGGTGTACATCAAACGAGTGAGCTGAGATGACAAAGATTTGTAGACGTGCCTGACCTAGATTGAGTAGCTTGTTGGTATGACACGTGGGAGGCGAACTTCAAAGACGAGCTGCAGTGAGTTGACCAACCCGCCACTCTCGCAAATTGCTTACCGATCAGGCTTGCGAAGAAAACAATCGACGTGCCCGTCTTGTTTATCCAAGCGACCAAAGATGCAGCACTGCCTCCATGGATGTCGGGAGGAATGGAGAAATACCTACCGAAGCTAACAAGGCAGTCCGTGCAATCGAGTCACTGGGCACTCTGGGAGGCGGCCGAGCAGGTGAACGGCCATATCAAATCATGGCTTGCACAAGTGAACAAATCTTCAAATTCAAGCATGCTCTAAAGTTAACATGGGTGATCTTGGCATGAACATATCCATGGACTGGATTGCAGCAACACTGCCGAAATAGTAGCATGATCTATTGCCAGGTGCAGTAGCGAGCTCCGGCTTGACGTTGGTGGCACGCTCTCGCAAGCAGGTTTAGTGCTTCTTCTAGTGCTTCGCCCTGACTCCGTACTATCTAAATATATCCGCCCTTACAACGGACCCCAACGTAGCGGCCGCACAGATACAGTCATGTCAATGGCCAGATGACCTTACTAAGCGATAATCGCCTCTCTATCTGGCTAGACGGCATCGCGGTCGGCATAAACAATTCATTTTAGGAGTCGGATCTACGCCGTAAGATGCTTTTCTTGCTTCCTCACCTCTTGTGCACTTCTTCTCGTGATTCCACAAGCCACGAAAATACATCTGTAAGTCTGATGGCCCTAAATTCGCCTTTTGAGGCTATGTTTGGATCTTCGGCGCGCTGTTTGGCTCCTGGTGCGAGTCTGCTCCATGTTTCAAACACCAGCTGGGCCTCTCCATACGGTGGACAAATGTGCCGAAGAGGATTGAAGAGTATATACTGCTGATGAAACACCCTTCCTGTACATGAGCTGAACTGCATGCTTCGCTCCCACCTGCTTGCCGTCGTCTGTGTCGAACGTGCTCAGTCATTCTTCATAGCATAGCCAAGATGCCTTTGTTTTCTTACCCCCGTGACCTCCTCTATCATCAGTTCCTGAAATCTAGTACCCGCAATTTCGACACTCCATCAGAGCAGTCAAGTGCTGCCTGTAGCAAGATATCACACCCATCATCTCAACCACCTCCTTTTGCTTGGGACGTGCAGTCAGCCTGTCGATCCATTATTCCAGCACTAGAATTCATTTCCGAGAATTTAGCAAAGCATGACCTTCAGATCGCTCTCCTTGTCTCCGAGCAAGAGCCGTTTGTCCTACCTGTCTGGCAGCTTCCACAAACGTCTCAATGCTTGCTCACAAGACTTGTTCGAAAAGCATGTATCAGATACAGTGTCGACCTTGGCTGGATGACCGCCCTGGCCTCCTCTGAAGGCAAACAAGAAATGTCTGAATTGTTTGATACCCACACGCCAGACTCCTACATCATTCGGCGTTCACTGTTACAAAATGAAGTCGTCTTCACGGGCGAAGGCCTCACTCTCTTGAGCTTCGACCACATCTACACTTTAAAGCAACTTCTGTGGCCTCTTTCGAACAAGGAATTGGCAACTTCTTCCCGAGAGACTTGCCTGTCATCCTGCATTCACCTTCTCCACCGGATCAATAACATTCACAATGGCAACAAGTTCTCGAAAGGCTACATGAGTCGTGTGTACCTTGACATTCCCTTCCAAGAAGCCTTACTCGACGAGGTGATGACAGAGTACGATACCACATTCTGCACAGCGAGCATACGGCGCATCGACTCCGACTTGTCCTTCACCATATTCTGCGATAGTCCCAACGCTGTGAACAACCAAACTAAGCCAGCCCCATCGCCTCCTGAGCCGATCCCTGAATTGAAGGAGGATACTGCGCCGGCTGAGCTAGTCAGCCCAATTGCCTCCATTGACAAGCAGTCGCTGATTCCCTGGAAACTGGACACCGGATTCTCCACCCACACTGCCGCTCGGCCAATTGAACTCCCTAATGGTGTTGGCCACAGTATCAATGCAATCAAAGCCCCAAAGATTAATCGACCAATTGCATCAGTATTGCGCGCGCAGGGGGCAGAGCTCGCCTTCATCACCCCATTCACAGCGAAGGCTCCCTCTACGGTGCAACGATACGCCAAATCTGTCCCTTCACCACCTTCGATCCCCCTGCCAATACCATTATCGACCCCATCGTTAAATGCCAGAGATTCATTGCCTGATACCGTCTTCTCCTCACCTACAACACAGACCTCATCACTGGATCATACCATAAGCCCTAGCCCTCTCAACATCATCAAGCGTGCCAGCATGGAGCCTACACCCAAAACCCTCCCCTCAACCCCCTCACCTCCACCTGTACCACGCCGCCATCCAGACCACAAAAAGAAAGAAATAGTCGCACGAGAGCAGGAGACAACACTCGCTGTGCTAGAAGAAAGCATCTCAGGCGAAGAAGCGGCCGAAGAGGCCGATCGGCTGCAATGGGAGGAGGAGGAACGGGCACGAGTGGAAGAATTTGAGAAGACTTCTAGGGATATCATTGAGAGTTGGACTAGAGGTGTGGAAGGGTTAGGAATAGAAGAGGGAGAGGTCGCTGGCGCTGTGGAGCAAGAGGTCGTGTGCTCGAGATGCTATGATCTGGTGGAGACAGGGAGGAGGTATACCATGTGTTGTTGAAATTTAAAATAGTTCATGAACGAGATTCCTCATGGCAATTTTCAGGCTCCACTGAAGCGTTCTTGGCTCACATTGAGAGACTGAATGCCGATGAGTAACCTTGAACAAGCTCAACTGCTACAGGTATCACTTCTCGCCATTCCTGATTTGCAGTGCGTACCGTCTTGAGGCCATCCGCAAGCCCTAGACGTTGTAACGGTCACAATTCATGTCCTTGATGTTCAGAATCCTCGTGCTCCTTGTGAAGCAGACTCGGCGCATTGAACGCATTTGCTATATCAGCATAGGCCTTTGTGACCTAAGTCGTCTTGCACTCAAGCTCTCGATCGAGAGAAGCGATAAATTGCACAGCCATAAAGCCTTAAAAGAGCTTTGTCAGATGCTCTCGAGGTCTTTCCGCCAGAGGTGAAAAGCTTCGTCTGCAGCAGACATGGACTTTGCTGATGCAGACCCAATCACGTGGAAGCTGTAGATCACCGCTTCCCCGGCTTTTTCGGTCGCAAGAAGCCCTGTTTCTGCTCCTGCTTAGGTGTAAATTCATCCTCGATTGTGGACTGACTGATCTCGGTGGGGCTCGTGACTTCGAATTTCCTGGCAATTGCAAGTCCAACGTCTTTATTCACGGCAGATAGAAAGCCTGCTTTACTCGATGCATGGAGCATCCGATCTCTTACTTTGAGGTTTGACGGGCACGATGAGATGAAAATAAGAGGCAACACATTCGTTCCTCCTGAAGTATAGCTGTATCTAAATAGTGAGTAGCGGGACTCTGTGTCCGAGATTGCCGGAGCGAGCGAACTGGCGTCGACATCGCCCACCGAAACAAGCTCAATACTCTCAGTCCTCGGGTCAATCGACAATTGCACAAGTTTCCCACTTGTCTCTTCTTTCAAATTTTCAAGAGCGCTCCTGGCATCACCACTAATAGCCATGCTTAACTTACCACCGGTCTCAAGCCGTCTACCCTCTGTACCTCCTCTTGCCTCAGCCTCGGCATCTCTAACACCCTTCAAAGTCTCCTCTTCCTCGCTCAATGGGGCCTTCAACGCTCCACTTGCGTCGTGCCTTTCCCAACCGTCTTTCTCCAGATCTCTTAGCTCCGTCGCAAACAGCGTCTCCCTGAATCGCTCAGCGCCTAGCTCTCTGACGAGTGACAAACGCGTAGACGCATGTAACATCTTCTGCCTCACTGGTGCAGCATCTGGCACGTAAGTGATTGCGACATAACCATCAGGTGCGTTTTCATATCTTCGAAGCAGAATGTACGCGGCCTGATTGTCTGAAAGCAAAGTACGGAGAGAAGACAAGTCTGACAAGAAATCTGGAGAGGAGGCGGGCAGCACGTGAAGAGGAGTGATTGCCTCGGACTTGATGATGGCTACGATCCCTCGCTGAGCGGGCGATGATACGAGCTCTTGGAAGGCATCCTGGAGCTCTTTCGAGACACTGATGCCTGATTGCATCGTGTAGATAGGACTCGGCGCAGGAGTGAGCTCAGAAATAGTTGAAAAGGTAGTACCTGCGCAGGCTTAATCTATCTGCAAGCATATTCAAAACAGATTGAGTATTTTCTTGCCATGTTGAACAAAGCTAACCAAATCAATCTAGCGTCGCCTCTCGGCGCGTTTGGCATGGACATGGATTGTCCTTCCCTCGTCCGTAACTTCACTCAACTGACCGAAGCCCTCGGGCATGTAGGCCAACACCAGCCAATTGGGCCGTTTGTCTCGTCTGATGTACTTCAATCATATGCTTTGTCGCTGTGAGGAACATTCAATCATCCGCGTACACATGTAATTGATGACCTGTCAAAAGATACAAATTGCAACTTATAGACACGATCATTGTCTTGGGTCATTCATTCTTTCTCTGTCTAGAGTACCTCTTGATTTGCAAATTGGTGGTCATTGTTTCTGCTCAATCTTCACTTTATTCGTCGCTAAGCCAAATATGACAGTCCTTCACATAGTCCAGTTCAGCTTTAAGTCTGATGTTGCACTGGAAGAAATACGTGATGTATTTGCCTAAAAGTCTGATGTTTGGTACCAAGAACTCATGGCATACAAGGCCTGCAACTCCCTTCTAAGACTCAAGGCTGAGTGCATCCACCCTGAAACTCAGAAGCCCTACATTCTGTCTGCCGCTGGGGGAAAGGACAATGGCCTTGTCGGCAAACAGGTTAGGCAATCTCGAGGCTTTCATCGGAATGCGAAGCAAACCGAATGCTGATAGTTTCTTTTCCTTCTAGAGAGGAATTACTCATGCTTTTGTTGTTGAGTTCGAAAGCGAAGCTGACCGCGAATTTTATGTGAAGCATGACCCAGCACACCGGAAATTCATCAGAGGTATAGACCCTCTGACTACCAATGTGCAAGTTCTCAACCCTACGCCTGAGGGATACTGAGTATGGGTACCCAGGGATGGAAAATGGTACTTCAGCCTACACACGTGGTGCCTGGCGCTCTGCTTCCATGCCAAGCAATCTGGTGGTTGGTTCGCTACCTTAGTCTAGAACTAGTTGCACTCGGCCGAGGCTCAAAATTGAGCACTAGTCAACCTCATGTCAACTCCACCGCGAATCGTCGTTGCTCTTGAGGACGTTCTAGCTGACAGGTGACCTCGACGGCTATTCAGACTTGCTGAAGAGCATTTCAACATTGAAGGTTGGAGCATGCCCAGGATATCGAGGCTGAGCTCTCCAAGTTGGTGGCCTTCCGTTGGTCCAGAGATGCGATCCTCCGCTTGTCCTGCCTATGGCGAAGGCTGTGCTTCCACAACAGCTTGCGGCCCCTCCCTTGTTTCGAAGATCCTTGAGGCATTCCTCTACCGCGGCTTTCCACTACTCTGGACTTGAGTCACGTTGTTTTGGACCCCTTTGGTTATGGGTTATGTTGACCCGCACTGCTGTTTGCTTTTCACGTCACATCTCTTCACAACTATCCCATCCCTCGTGTTGGTCAATGCCCACTCTTCTTGACCCTTCCCCCGTACTTCTCCTTTTCTCCTAATGTGTTGCATGCCCTTTGACTTCAAAACAACATGTCGGCCAAAAGCGTCAAAGGCCCAGGAGGCAAGAAACATGCATCAGCAGCGACTAATTTGATCGGTAAGGTGCTAGTATGAAACACGCGAACGATTCGCTGAATGTGCTGCTAGCTGGTGGTGGAGCAGGCATGATGGAGGCTCTTGCGTGTCATCCGTTAGGTTCGCGTTGGAGTACGAATTAGTGCAGTCGGAGCTGAATTAGTCTAGATACCATCAAAGTACGGATGCAATTATCCAGGAGGAAAGCTCGTGGAGCGAAGCCAAAAGGGTTTTATGCGACGGGCAAAGAGATTGTCAACAGAGAAACACCCTTAGGTCTCTACAAGGGGTTGGGAGCCGTCCTCACAGGCATTGTACCCAAGATGGCTATACGGTTCACGTCATATGAGTGGTACAAGCAACTAATGGCCAACAAAGAGGGGGAAGTCAGCGGGCAAGCGACGTTCTTTGCAGGCCTTGCTGCGGGAGTGACAGAAGCTGTCTGCGTTGTGACGCCTATGGAGGTAGTCAAGATCCGTCTGCAAGCCCAACATCATTCGCTAGCGGATCCCTTGGACATCCCAAGATATCGCAATGCTCCGCACGCTGCATACACTGTCCTGAAAGAGGAAGGCATTGGCGCCATTTATCGTGGCGTTTCGTTGACTGCCTTGCGGCAAGGAACTAACCAAGCTGTCAATTTCAGTGCCTATACCGAATTCAAACAGATCTTGCAAGACATGCAGCCAGCATATCATGACAAGGAGCTGCCGAGCTATCAAACGGCCTTAATTGGTCTTGTCAGCGGAGCAATGGGGCCTCTCAGCAATGCCCCAATTGATACAGTCAAGACACGACTACAGAAGACACCTGCTGAAGAGGGTCAAACGGCTATAAGCCGGATCAGAATAATAACAAGTGAAATGTTCAAGCAAGAGGGATCCAGAGCTTTTTACAAAGGAATCACTCCCAGGATCATGCGTGTTGCCCCAGGCCAGGCAGTGACTTTTACGATGTACGAATATTTGAAAGGATGGTTGGAGAGCACTAACTTTGGTATCGGAGGAGGCAAATATGAGGAATGAACTAGATACAATTCTATAGCATATCCTAACGGCATATCTGACATCAATAGACGGACTAATTTCGGTCAAGTTGAGGACGTAAATCAGCCCTATAAATGTGTGGTGCAAGGCGAGCACACAACAAGCCGTGCTCGCCAAAATTCTTATCGATAAACCGCCTTGCCAGCGGATTTCCTCCCGGTCGCTTGTGAGTATTTGCAGCAGCTTGGTGGTCAACTTCTAAAAAACGCCGAAGTTCTTCCAGTCTGCAAGATGTATGAGAGGCTTTGCATTCTAGACTATCGGTACATGTAGGCGCGAGGCGTGCCTCAATTGATATGGAGGCGAAAAGTAAAGCATTGAGTGCGCTGCTACATCGCACAGCCATAGATGATCACGAAGAGATCCTCAAAGCCTGCAGTACCGCATTGAAAACGTCGAAGGGCGACCTTGAAATTCTCTATACCAGGGTGATTGCGTTGTTGAAACTTGAACGGCATGACGATGCTCTGGCAGCAATAGAGGAAGGCGGCTATCAATTGAAGGAGAAAACTAAAGTCGAAAGAGCTTACGCACTGTATAAAACAGGCCAACTAGAAGAAGCAAAGAAATTGGCAAAAAGCATAGGCGATAATCGAGGAGCAAGACATGTCGAAGCTCAGGCTGTGGGAGACATCTGCGCAGACTTCTTGATTCATCTATGCTGATAGTTACTCATAGTCTTATCGTTCCGAAGATTTCAACAGCGCATCCGCCGTATACAGAGCTCTGAGTGAAGATAAGCAGTCGGAAGAAAATGACTTACGCATCAATAGCAGTGCCACAGACGCCAATCTGGAATGGTCGAACCAGGGAGACCTAGTAGAGAAAAAGAAGCATTCGAGAGAGGATCTGGAGCTGTTCGAGACTGCCTACAATGCTGCGTGCGCATCAATCGCAAGAGGTGAGCTGCAGCAGGGCGGTGTATTGCTTAAACGTGCCCATGGTAAAGTTCTTAGCGTAAAGGAGAAGTCATGTCACTGATCTAGACACAACAGACCTCTGCATGTCAAACGAGGACCTAACAGACGACGAGAAAGAAGCAGAGGTCCTTGCGATTCGGGTACAACAGCTGTTCGTACTAAGCTCTCTAGGCAAGGGGGAAGAAGCAAGATCCCTCGCTTCAAACATATCTACTGAAAGGTGTGCCCCCCTACAAGATGCGGTTGCACAAATCCATCTGACTTAGCTGCAGATTGTCTGATGCATCAACCGTGAAGGTTGCTCAGAACAATGCTATTGCAGCTCGTATCGATCAATCAAATCCACATCTGAATCGTAGACTGCTTGACGCGAAGGCCAATTTGCCCGCGACAGATAAACTTTTCAAGTACCAAGAAGGAGTCCTCCAGCAGAACAGTCTGAGTCTTGATCTTCAAGCGCAGAAACCTCAGAGCGTCATCAAAACTACGGAAACCATACTTAACAAAGCCCAGCCATCTACCTCGCCCTACATCAACGCACTCTCTGTGCTGAATGCTTCAGCACATGCTCAAGGCGAACTCGCGAATTTTGGCCTGAAAAAGATTTTGCCTCTCTTTGAAAAAAGACCCGTTGACCTTGGCCTGGCCATGACTATCATTCAGCTTTATGTTCTGACCAATAACCATGGCTCTGCCATAAACATAATGGACAAACTCATAAACCACCTCTCCAAATCAGCAAAGCCGTCTGACCAAGACGTCCTCCACGCTCCTGGCCTGATAGCTCTCCAGGTCTCCCTTTACAGCAGCCAGAACCGCAGATCTCAAATCAGAACAACACTGGCTCGGGCGGCTTCTTACTGGCGACGCAAATCAAAAGCGCCGACATCTCTTCTTCAAGCAGCTGGCACAACGCTCCTCGACTCTCCAGAGCCAGAGCACCAAGCCATTGCCCGCGAAATTTTCAGTATCCTGCACCAGTCCGATCCCGCCTCGCGCCTTGCAACGGCGGGTTTCATCGCCTCTCACGCCCAAGCATCCCCTTCATCGATTACAGAAACCGACCTGTCAGCTCTCCCACCACTATCCGAACAGATCCAGGGCATCGACATCGACGCTCTTGAAAAAGCGGGCGTGCTTGCTCTCCCCAACGTCCCCTCCACCACCATCTCGTCAACACGCAAGCGACAACTGGAAGACTTGCAGAAGCCGAAGAAGAAGCGTATCCGTTTCTCGAAGCGTCCAAAAGACTTCGATCCAGACAAGAAGATGGATCCGGAAAGGTGGTTGCCACTTCAAGACCGAAGCTCCTATCGACCAAGTAGGAAGAAGGGAAAGAGAAAGGAAGGGGAGAGGGAGAGAACACAAGGGGGTGTCGCGGGGGGTGATAAAATGATGGAGAAAGGTGGTGAGGTCGTAAAAGGTGCGGAGAAGGTGGGCGGAGGAGGAGGCAAGGGGAAAGGGAAGAAGAAGGGGAAGAGGTGATAGCTTGATGCACAACGTTCAATGTCACGGCATCTGCGACATCTCATTTGATTGATCGTCATATCTTATTTTGAGGAACTTTTTGCACGTCTGAGGTAATATTTGGAGTTGTTTGGGATTCTCTGCTACCGATTTCGGCTAATACAGCCCGTCAGAGAGACTTTTGAATCTCTAAATATGTACGCGCAAAAGGGCGTCTAAAGCGCCCAGCAATAGGTCTCCGCTGGCCAAACATAGAAAAAGCTCAAGAACTCCGAAAACGACGTCAAGTCTTTTATGCACACATGTATCAAATGGACATGCCCCCAAGCGATTCAAAATCAGAAAATCTCAGAAAATCATGGATCTTGTCTTTGACCCAGCATCTGCTCTCCGGTTTGCCAACCCAGCATCGCTTCTTCTTGGACTTTTCTCTGGTACTGGCAGTGGCGGTTGCCTTGGAGCGAAATTCTTTGCTGGTGTGGCAGGTGCAGACCGCGTCGAAGGTAGAGGCTTAGAGGTCGTTGAAGGCGCAGCCTTGGCTGGTGAAGGAGGTCGCATCTTGCCATTCATGGCTCGCTGAGCCCGAGAAGCAACGGCACGGTGTCTCTCAATCACAAGATCAGACCACTTCTTATTCTTTAAGTCTTTGCCAACAACTTCCGACAGGGCTTTCATCCAGCTGTCCTTGTCGGCTGCTGAGTCGGCATAGAAATCGATGGTCTCGCCATTAGCAAATCGCATGCGGAAGCCTTCTTCGACGAACATGTAACCTTCTTCCTCCTCGGCAAAGGCTGACTTGCGTCGGCTCCCTTTCCCGGTTCTCATCAGAGCCGACTTATCGTCAATGAGCTTACTGGCCTTGGCAAGATTTATGGTGGCTCGTGGCTGTCGTGTTGCTTCATGGTACGCCGTGAACTTTGAGCCGTCCAGGGAAAAGTAGCGACGGCGCCAATACTGTGAAAATTAGTTTACATTCCGATGGCTGGAAAAGAACAAAGGAAACTCACAGGACAGTCCCCGCCTTGTTGACTGAGATGGCCCGCCCATTTAGTCGGCCCAGCTGCTTCCGCCTCCTTGAGCTCACGAATACATGCATTCATGCTTTTGGGCATGTCTTCCTCCTTTGCTCCCTTAGGCTTAGGGACATAGAACATCTGGAGCTCGAGCTTGCCGATTCGGTATGGAGGTTTTCTTAAGGTGCCACCGGCTCGTTTACTCCTTGCGCTGCTACCATTGTGCATTTCCTCTGTTGCCCATTCGTTAAAGCAGGGTACATCAACAGTATACGCCTTGCCGTAAGCACTAGCCTCATGGTCTTCCAGACTGACATACGACCGAGCGAAACTTCCATCTTTAGCAACCAGGTTGTGGAGAAGCTCCCATGCTGTGGGCTGAGTCGACCGTCTGTTAGCCATTGCGTCTTGTTGTCTTTGCCGGTCTGCTCTCTGAGCTTCTTCTTGCTGTCTAAGCTCCATTTCTTTACGCTTCTTCGGCGATGCAAAAACCCGACTGAAAGCAGACGACTTCGGGGCTTTGGCTGCTTTAGTTGGGGACTCGATGACAGGCTTTGGTAGCGGCTCCTCGATTTTTGTTTGCAGGGTAAGTTGAAACTCCAAGTCGTCCAGGACAACAAGTTCGAATTCTTGGCCAATCGGTGCCGTTTTACCCAGCTCGAGCCAGGAGGTAGTAACGCAGTGGAGACCATTGTCCAGAGTCAATGCGAAATAGGAACGCTCGCCTTGAGAGGATTAGCAACGATATTCAATCTTGAGCAAAAAAAGCTCACCTCGTGGCAACGGTAGATCTAAGTCCTTGACTCGGACTACCTTCACAAATAACCTGCCGCGTTCGCCATCCTCCCCTATCTCCTCAGGGGCATCAAGGGACTCATTCTCCGCAACGCTGTCCAACCCACTAGCAACGTTGCTTTGCTGACCCGGCAGCGGAGGCACAGGCCCACTAGCCGGCTTGGAAGGGATTCCCCCAGATTTTCGAATACTTTTACGGCGAATCTTACCATTCCATGGTTCACTCGTCCATGGTTGAGTCTGGCTTGCCTTTCTTGGAGAATTGCCTGCTGACCTTGTACCACGAGCAGTGGGCGGGGCTTCATCGTTGGCATTTGCTGCTGACTCGTGAGACGCACTACTGGCGACGATGACTTTGGTATTTTGTCTCATCAAATACCCTTTCTGTGTATAACGTCGTGATCAGCTTGGGCAGACTGAGATGGAATGGGTTATTACATACCTTTTGTGCTTCCAGCAAACGATCGAACTCGTTTTCTATGCCGAGTCCCTCATCAGCCTCATCAACGCAGAGATCCAGGGTAACGAGGCTGCTCTTCCGCTTAGGTTGCTTCAGATCGTCCTTGCTTCGGTTAATGTCCATTGGTACGCTTTCACTGCTTGCTTCAGCGAATGCTTCATCACACTCAGGAACGACGGAAGGTCTGGCGTGCTGCTGCTCAGGTATCTTGGGTACCGCTGGAACCTCGCCGCTTACTTGTCGTCTCACGTCGGCCATCGCTTGAATGTCAGCAGGTGTCGCGGACTGGCGAGTCTTGAGCCTGCTTCCCGAAGCCTTGATAGTAGCAACAGGCTCTGGAATTCCAGGAGATTCAGCTGCTTGTTCGTTAAGAGGACGTCGAATCACGGAGTCTGGAGTTCTTGGCTCATCGTCCGAGTTTCTTCCTTGCCCTGGAAATGTGGGTGGATCCAGCTGAGCGTCGGGCGTCACTGGTCGCTGCACCTCAGTGTGAGTGATAGAAGCACTCTTGATCTCTCCCTCGTCTGAGGAAACGAGGACTGCTTCAGACTTATATGACACAGCTTCTGGTTCCGTGATGTCATGCTGCGACGGTCGATGCTCTGTCATGAACGACTCCATGCCAAAGTCAAAATCATCATTACCAAGAAGAGCAGCAAATTGGGGAAGAGACATCCTGTGGCTGCGTTTCTGATCACAAACCGTATCTTGATGGGTTTGGGAGACTTTTGGTGTTGACGAGCCACGCTCTGATTCGGCTGCGATTTGCGCTGCATCAGCTGGAGCTACGCGAGTAGTGAAGTCCTCCGAATAATGACTTTCATCATCATCATCAACATTGTCGGAATGCCGTGAATGTTGAGGCTTCTCCTCCTGAGCGAGCTTAACGGCTTCGAGCTTCTCCATAGCATTCATGAAGGACTCAGCCTGGAGATGCTCGCTGTAAAGATCAGGAATTGCATATACATCAACTTCGCTTTCTTCGTCAGGTTCTCGTTTGATCTGAGGACTGTTCTGATCTACAATTTCTGTCGTTGGAAGTGGTGTATCAGGATCTAGGCTTTTGATGTCCTTACTAAAGCGTGAGCTGAGCACAAAAGAGGACTTGTCTTCCTTCAAACGGCTTTCTTCAGCTTGAGTCTGAGCTTTCACTTTTCGAAGAATAGATTCGCGAGATATTTTGGGAGGAAGCTGATAGTCTCCGAGATCAGCAACGTCGTCCTCCTCAGTCTCGACTTCCTGAAAATCTTCGTGTTGCTGACCAGCTTGACATCCAGGGCTTCGAGTGGGAGATCCACGCCTAAGTTTACGCTCTCGCTGCTCATCAGCAGGAGACTTCGAACTCGGATCTTCACCAAGCATCATGAGTTTTAATCGGTCTTCTATTGGCATTGAACATCCGCTCATGTTTTGAATCTCGGCTTTGGTAACCGAAGCTGGACGTGATGGAGAGCTTCCAGAGCGTTGCCGATGATGTGCGCGTTCACTAGCGGTATTGAAGCTTTCACTAGAATCTGTCCGATTGTGATTTGCGGTTATTGCACCTGGAGGAGGCAGCGGCGGTAAAGGTCGACGCTCTCCGCTCGAGTCCTGAGAATCTGTACGCGTTGGGGATCCACGAGCTTCAACAGCTGATGAAGGCCAAGCTGTAGGTGCCGGACTACCAGAACCAATTTGGAATGGGTCATCGGCCAATGCAGTAAGGTCATCATTGGCTACTTCGGGGCTCATGAATCTCCAGTCTTCTGGCAAAACTACGGGAGTTTTCTCCGTGTCCTCAAGTGACGCATCAAAAGAGTCCTCTGGCCCAAAAGAGGAACCACGATCAAAGCTCTCGTCCTCATCACTGTCATATGAATCATGGCTGCCTTCTCGAGATCCGGACGCTACGGAAGAGGGATCTGGTGTGGCTTGTTCGTACTCATTGACTTGGGGCGGCGCGACGTCGAAAGTCACGCTCTTCGCATGCCGATGAAGACACTTGCCTGGTGGCAGCTGGCGGTCATTGATGGAATCCTCGTCGTCTGACCATATGCCGTTTTCGGGGTCGAAGCCTTGCGCCTGTGCATTATGGGTCTTATTGGATAGTGATGACTTTGTAGGCGAACCCTGTGCCTTGCTAGAAGCACTGATAGGGTTCGGCATGCTCGCTCTGCTCGCAACCTTCGTTTGAGAGCGCAATGGGCTGCCTTTGTTTTCTGTCCGCAGACCATCCGAGTCCTTCCACCCAAGCGCATTTCCTTGAATCTGGGGACTGAACGGTCTACCCAAAGCAAGAGGTCGCTCTACCATGGGGCTTGAAGCAGGGTCATACTCTAATTTTTGTTCGCGGGCAAACATACTGCTGTTCTTTACACGAGATGCACGCTTTAAATTTTCGATGGAAGATCGCTTGGCCGGCGAAGGCGAATGGTCACGAGGATCTCTATTCTCCGCGTTGCTCCTCGTCGGGGAACCAGGATCTCGACTCTGCCAATAGAGGCGAGGAGAATTGTTGCTGGGCGATGTCTCGAAAGGTGATGAATCGGCTTGGAACATTGGCTTCTGCTACGTTTCAGCGAAATGGAACAGAACAGGTCATCACCAGCTCAATGAGAGCATACCTTCGTGGCTTGACTGTAACTTGGAGAATTTCGTCTGCGCTCAGAGGGTCCCAGCTCCGCTAAAGGGCGGTGGGTCGGCGCCCCATTCATCTTGTGCGGGGATGACGACGGTGTGTTTTTCTGAATGCGCAAAGGCTGAATCTAGGGTCACAGGTTAGATACTCTATTGTAGACCGTTCATATCCAATTGCAGATACGCACGGTTTGTGACATTTGCTCAATTCGCGATGCTGCTCAAATGGTCGTTGCCGCTTCGTAGGGATCCAATTGTTTTGTTGATGGATGCACTCAACAGGTAGTTACAAACAAAGATGCTAGTGCAGCATTTTGCGCAAAAGGTGGGGCCACCGTTATCAAAGCACAGCACTTCTGAGTCACCGTCTCAGACAATGATTCACATGCAATACAAGCTGTCTGCTGAGAAGTGCTGGTACTGAATACGTGAAAGAGACCGGCTTCGACGCTAGTATTGTGAAGAAGCGCGGACGCTTATGCACGCGTTACTGTTGCTGCAGCAACGTTAATCGATAAGGATTTTGCCACCACCTAACCGTACCTAAACTAGTCCATTATGGGTGCTGCCCATCGTTGAGTGCTCTAGAAAAATTGTCTACCAGCATGACCCTGCAATTTACTGTTGGCTGAGGTCTTATATGTCTCTTGTGTCATTCTTCCCATGTAGAGTGTGTCTTTCCTGTCAATATCGACCTCTTCTGGACCGATTTGTCGCTCATCCTCAGTCGCAATGGAGCCGCCATGCGTCGGCCGGGGCGAGACTTCTGAAGCGGCCTTCTCGCATGACCCTTTCTCCTAAGGTCGGCCAGCGCACTACGGATCCTTCGAATGGAGGTCGACGTACTGGGAGAGTTTCCGGTGGCGCATTTGCGGGCATGAATCGAACATCAGTAAACGAAAGTAATCTCCATCGCCAACAGGGAGACGATGTCCAGCCTAGACGGCATGGTCAACGCTCGTCAAATGGTAGAGCACGATCTCAAACGGAGAGAGATCCTTACCACGCTCTAAAAATGCAGAAAGCATTAAGCGCAGTGCCGTACACACAACGATCGTCTGTGAAAGCTGCAATTCAGAGGACGGAGGATTTCGAAGACTTTCCGCTACTGCCCGTAGTACAAGAGTCGATTGCTTCACAAGCTCTGTCCGGAATGACAGACATAGCACCAACGCCGATCCAAAGCCTTGCAATACCAGCTCTGTCGCGTGATCGGCGAAAGATGAAAAGGGATCCCGCCCATGAACCTGATCCGAGTGGCATGGACCAGTTTCTCCTCGCAGCAGAAACAGGCTCCGGCAAAACACTAGCATACCTTCTACCAGTTCTTGACGCCATCAAGCGGGCCGAGATGGCAGATGTAGAGCAAGAGACAGCGACGAGTAAACTTCGAAACACCGCAAGGAAGGATGCCAATTCTGGCGACGTTGAGCCTCCGAGCATTGTCCCGCACTCCACGACGGGCAGGCCCCGTGCCATCATTTTACTACCGACATCTGAGCTAGTCACGCAAGTTGGCAACGTCGTGAAGTTGCTCTCCCACAAAATCAAGTTCCGCTCTGCTCTGATCTCTTCAGCTTACACGCCTAAAGTCATTCGTAATCGTCTATTTTCCCAATCTGGTATCGATGTTCTCGTATCCACGCCTCATCTGCTAGCTAGCATATCCGTGTCAGATCCTAATGTCCTTAGTCGTGTAACTCACCTAGTGGTGGACGAAGCGGACTCGCTCCTAGACCGCTCCTTTGCTCCGTCCACGTCAACCGTTCTGGATAAGACCACTCCTTCTCTCAAACAGCTCATTCTCTGCTCAGCAACGATTCCACGAAGTCTAGATTCGTATCTTCATAAAAGATTCCCGCAGATGCGCCGCCTGGTGACGCCCAATCTGCATGCGATTCCCCGCCGTGTCCAACTTGGTGTAGTAGACGTCGACAAGCAGCCGTACCAAGGCAATAAGCTTCTTGCGTGTGCCGACACCATCTGGTCCATTGGAAAAGCCGCGAATGAGGGCAGTCTCATAGGCAACACTGAAGGGAAGATTACTCGACTCTTAGTGTTCGTCAACGAACGCGAGAGGACAGAGGAGGTCGCTCAGTATCTCAATTCTAAAGGCATTGACTCCGTTGCTCTCACTCGAGATACGCCGGAGTCAAGACAGTCAGAGGTGCTCGCTGAATTCACCTCCCGAACTCCGGATAATGTTGCTACTCGTCCTTCTTCACGGACGCTTCTCTCAACTTCAACTATGCCTGCAAAACGCACAAGTCCTCCGCCTAAGCGCCATCTCGCCAACACACAGGTCCTTGTCTCTACTGACTTGGGCTCAAGAGGCATTGATACTCTAGCTGTTCGGCATGTCATCTTGTTTGATGTTCCTCATTCGACTGTAGACTTTATTCACCGTCTTGGACGAACTGGCCGTATGGGTAGACGTGGCAGAGGTATTGTGCTTGTGGGCAAGCATGATCGGAAAGATGTGGTCAAAGAAGTTAGAGAGGGCATGTATAAAGGACAAGCTTTGATATAACCATCGTACTTTTTTTACAGATCGAAATAGGAAAGTAGGTTTTTTTTCTGATCTAATGGTACCTCACTTGCTCAAAGTGAAAGCGCTTTTCAGCTTGCGGCATGAGAGGTATCAATTATCTTCCTGCGCACCGTGCTCGTCTTCCTCCTCGTATGATGGTCTCTCTTTCCCTTGTGGGTCATCCCCTCCATTGTTACCAATATCCCTCTTGATCCCTCGCACGCCCGCACTACCCGCCCAAAACAAGCTAGAGCTCCTTGTCGAATCTAAGCCCGCAAAATATGCCAAAAACATCCCTTCCCTTTCCTCAACTTGGAAAATCCTATCGTATATTTCCCTCTGCTTGAACTCTGCCATCTCCACTTTATACTTCTCGAAGTCAACACTACCTCTCCCATATTCCGTCATCTTCTCATTCTGCTTGTCAAAGACAGGTCTTTCCAAGAGCAGCCCTAATGACGGAGCCTTGGGTATACTCAGCTTGTCGGGTAGATATGTGTCCTGGATACGCCCTTCATGGCATCCACATCTCACAACCAGAGCGACAGCAGAGACCATTTTACGGATCTGGTGCATCATGAAAGACTGGCCGTGGACTTTGAGAGAAAGCCATTCCGTGCCACCAATTATGATAGGGTCAGAATCAACGGTGAAAGATTTGATGATCCGCACGGCAGACGGATCTCTTGCAGTTTTATCAACCGTATAATTATGAAACCTATGGGAGCCAACGTAACGTGATAGCGTAGAGCGTATCTTCGCTATGCGGGAAGACGGGATACGGTAAGTACGTTTTGCGACGTTAATAGCTGCACGGAGTGTACGGAGAACAAACTCGCTTCGGGTGTTGGCGTCATTACTAGCTTGAGAAGATGACTCTATAGTAGGTGGCTCTGGATGCGGATTACTCGTAGAATGGTCGTGATTGTACCGCTTCTCTGGTATTTCTGTTTGCAATGGTAACGACTTAGTTTTGGGGGTCAGCTCGTCCGATGGAGCTTGACTATTTAGCGATCTATCCGTCCCAACACTTTGGCCGAGTGTATGCCGGGCGGCATACTGGCTATGAAATAGATTGAGCACCTCATCCTGAAGAGAGTTATCTAGTGTTTCGACAGCCTGTTTGACGTGTTGTTCTGCTATCTCTTTCCAAAAATTAGCTACGTCCTCTTGCCGCTGTCGGTAGCCTTCAAGATCATCTTCCTCTTCGGCAATCTTAAGAATTTGCTCGCCGAGGAAGCTTTTTGGGTGCGGAGGCAGGAAACAGTAAGACGGTATCAAGTATTCGTAGACTCTCGAGTCACACATCTGGTACGCGCTGAAACTACTGTTCGTGCGTTCAATCCCCCAAACTCGGATTTGAGGACTCAACGCTTCATTAATCTTGGAGACCACATCGTCATCCTCGATGATGAGCTTAAGTGATATGACGTTACCAGCTGCGTGGACTCCCTTGTCTGTGCGAGCACATCGGACGAGCGACGACTTTTTGGGATCATCAGCGTTGGCTTTAGAAATTGCCCCGGCCTCAACGAAAGCGCGAAAAAGATCACCCTCGATAGTCTTCTCTTCGTTGCTCCTTCATTGATTCAGAGACATAGGCTTTTGAATGGCTGGCAGGAGTGGACATACAGCTGCATACCCTTGTAACCAGTTCCTGAGTACCCAATCATTACGGCGACTTTTCTCTTCGGCCTCCTTTCTTGCTTCGCAATTTCATCCTCTGTATACTTGGTAGCATAGACTGGGAGGCCTCTCTCCTCCCCGTCTATACGGAGACGCTTGACTGATCGTTGAGTCTGGGTGTTCCGGGCGCGCTTGTCAACTGGATTACGACTTCATTAATTAGTGGGGATGGAAAGTTGGGGGCGAGATGAATTCATACCTCCACTCCTTACGTCCCATGTCCCTCTTCTTACCACCCCGACGGCCTGCGAAGCCTGCTCTACTGTCGCTTTCCTTGGCTGTATCTGTTGGAGGCGCTGTTCGGGCCTCCGACGAACAATTGTCGAGAGGTTTTGGCGCAGAGGGAGCGATTTCGCTCTCAGCCATGTGCGAAACGGAACTGACAGGCTGGTCCATTGCGACACGAAACTACACATACAAGAGCTTCAGGTACTTACGATACATTCGAGTTCAGTGAGTTCAGTCGAATGTTGAAGACGGGGATAAGCATGCAAAATCCGCTAGTGGCAGGCTTGCTCCAGCCTTTTTGAGTCAGCCTGAGACTCCTTCCAATCTTTTTTCCTTTGTCGCACTGATGCCACACATGCCGGTTCACAACAGGATTGTGGGTCTGTTCTCTCATCAGTGTCGATCCATTAAAGGCCGCCTGTCTCTTTCGCGCGACCCGATGCCTTCAGTCTGAGGACCCGTGGCAGTGCTCGTACTGCAATAGGCCTCCCAGCCCAAGTTGAGACTTGAGTCTGCAGTGGCTTTGTAAAAGATAGACTCAGGATCCCACAATGGAAGTCGCGAGGGCGCTCATTCGCACAGTAGCGAGAGCATTCTACGACACGAAGCATGTGCTTGTCATTGATGCGTTGATGATCCACTCAGCGTCTGCTGCTCCTCGAATCTGTTGTGCTACGAAGATAACTAAAACTAAGGCCAGGCTACCGGTCGATGATCTCGCTTACTTGCTGAATATGCAGTCGAAAGACCTGCGCAAACTATGCGGGAAACTGAGAGAGGATCGACTGCTGGCAGTGTAAGCTGTGCACGATTTGGCTTCCGTGTGTGAATGCTGTCTGACCTCCACTCCTCAGCCAGGCAAGGCCTGAGATCCGTGATGGCATGTCAAGACCTGTCAGCAGAGAGTACTACTTCATCGATTTTCATGCTACAATAGATGCGATAAAGTACCGGGTCTACATGCTGGATGCAAAGGTCAAGGAGTTATATAAGCCTATCGAAGAAAAGAAGGACTATTTCTGTCCTACTTGCAAAGCTCAGTGGACTCAACTTGAGGTAATCGACAAGTATGGTCCGATGGGTTTCGAATGTCATCGTTGTGGAGGCCTGCTAGAGCGAGAGGAGAAAAAGGAGGGCGAGGAGACTGGGCACGAAATGGAAGCCAGGCTCCACGAACAGACGAAGCGTATTGTTGGAATGCTGAAGCAGATCGACTCACAGGAGATTCCAAACAATGATTTTGAAACAGCACTGTCTCTTGCACGTGCTGTCGATAGAGATCACGGATCCAACCAATTGAAACCCTATCAGCCTGAGAAGGAAGGTAAGGCTTCTGCCGCAGCCAAGGGTCTCAGGACTGGCATCGTTGCTTTGGATGTATCTGTCACCGAGCATACGGCGGCAGAGAAAGCCGACGAGGCGCAGCGAAAAGCAAGCGCAGCCGCTCAGAATGTGCTACCAGTCTGGCACACTACGTCGACCGTTGCAAATAAGAGCGTTCTCCCGACTGCAGAAAATGGAGGAGGACAGCCAAACGGCACACCCGTAGTCAAGGAGGACGAAGAGGAAAAGAAAGACTCAGGTGTTCTCAACGACGAACTGACCGCTTATTACGCTCAGCTCGCGCGCGAGAAAGAAAAGGAGGCGCAGGAGGACCGTGAAGCGGACGAGTCTTCTGGTAATAATGAAGACGAGTTCGAGGACGTAGATGTTGGTCTATCGAATGTCGGCACGCCCTTGAGCTCGCCATCAGCTGATGCTGAGGAGCAGCGCTCACTAAACATGAAGAAGGAAACGGAGTCGGGTAGCAGTGGCCCGGCTACCAATTCGTCCACACCCGTCAATGGAGAGGGTCCGGCGTTCAAAAAAGTGAAATTTGAAGAATCGGCGAGTGGGCGCGTGAACGGCGAATTGGGTGCAGGTGGAGCAGCAGATAAAGTGTCGGACGAAGATGACGACGAGGTCGAGTTTGAAGACGTGTGATCTGAGCCTTGCTTCCTAGAGAACGTCAGCTGAAGGCCTGGAAACGGCGGCATGGCTTCTTTATAAGCCTGACATTGGTTAGGGATCGATCTGCAGACGATCACAACCGTCAATGTATAATACATCCGCGTACGACGGCTGTGGCCGATGTGCAAGCCCCGTTGTCATACGAAACTCGCGAGAGAGGATGACTGGAGATGGAATATGTCCCTTCTCCCGTTACGGAGCACCACGAAGCTCCGGTCTTGAAACGCTAGCGAAGTCATGTCCCTTCATTCAAGGTTTGTATCTACTACAGTACAAAAAAGTCCTCCGATTATGATCCCGTTGCGGAAAGACGGGAAAAATTGGATGATAAAAAACGAGAGCACCCTCAGCTCAGACTTTGAACGACAGCTTGCGTATCGGCCGGAGGACGACTCCTCTATAGATGCTGTTTCTGTTGGATAGTTCATCAACTCGACCATCCCTGATTCATTGACTCGCGATTCTTAGCCCGTCATCTCGCCGTCCCCGAGTCATCCATCAACTAGCCATCCCCTTGCGTGCAAAACGCCATATCTAATATGCTCGCTTCCTGCCAGTCATATGTGTATCCTTTTTAATGGATCGTCCTCTGCGACCTCTCACTCCGCCGTGCGCCATCGCTAATGATTCTGCCTGCTTAAACTTCTCCAAAAGTCTCGTCATCGGAGTCGGTTGGTAAGTCCTCTGATCCATTGCCCCAATCTAGAGTGTAACTTAGCAAAGATCTCAACCACTAGTGTTACACATACCTGAGACCTCAGCATCAAGCTCAGTCACCGCCAGAGCCTCCATGCGACTCATGATATCTAGTTGAAGGTTAGTATCATCCTACTGAAACTGGTAGCAAGAAGACAATGACTTACCGTGTGCATCACGAACGAATATATCGTCATCTCCGCTAAAGTACTTATCGATACAATAAGTGATGACGCGAGTTACATCTTCCGCTATTCTTCCAACAGGCTTGCCTTCCTCAAGCATGTGCTGGCATCGTTTAGTACAAGCCCGACACAATTTTCGACCGGCGTCGCGGTAGACCTCTGCACTCTCCTCATCGTCCATGTCGAGAAGATTATGCTGGAACAACAACGTCTTCAGAAGATCAATTGTACCAGACCTTACCTCAGGCTCCCAATAGGTAAGCAGGTGTGGCGCCCAAGACTGCATAGACGTAAGAACACGACCTTCGAAAAATTGCGTTCCGAAAGTGACTCGAAGGCTTCGCAAGCGGCGAGCCTGTGCAAAAAAGTCCAAGTGCTCCTTCCCGCCAGCGTTGCCAATAGTCTGGACCTCACTGGCAATGTCCAGGATCATCCGCTCGGCTACTGCCTCATGTGGTGTGGATTCGCAGAAGACTAACGCTGCGCGGAGGAAAGGAGCGGCCATATTAGCTGGATCGATGTTGATGCCACTTTTGATCGTATTGGAAATTAGCGGATGAAACCTTGCCCCAGGCTCTGCGAGTACCATTGTTCGTATGATTCTCTTTATAGCTGGAGGATTGGCAGGAGTGCTGAGGATCTTTTCCAGAAAGATGCAGATACTTTTTGCCCCAGCTTGACGGAAATGGATGAGCTGATACTCCTGGTCCATCATAGGCATATGAGTCAAGTGGAATGGCCGATCGCGGTAGTTTCCAAGAAAAGGCTCTGCCGTGAAGTCAATGCGCTCAAACAGATTAGCCACCAGCTCGATCAGCTTCGTAAAAGGAAACCTCTTCCCCTTCTCTACCATTTTACTGTACGACATGTAAGGTTGTTGGTTTCGCAAATGGCGAGAGGCTGGATGTTCGCAAATCAAGAGTTCGAGACAGTGTTGTAAAAATCCAAGTCTCAAGAGTAGGTGTGCTTCACGAGCTCCCATACTTGCCACGTCAGCTAGCAATCCGAAATACTCATCCCATCCCCGCGAATGTGTGTGTATGTCGCCCCAAAGGTTGCGAAGACGAATCATGAGGCCGTCTAAAATATTAGGAAATGCGAAAATTGTCTGGTTGTGCGCCATCGCGGACTGATCGGCTGCATCGTCCAGCAGATCGTCATCTGCCGTAGATTGCTCGCGGAGTTTCGCTAGGGTGAGTATGATCATATTGGCGAAATCCTTTCGCACTTTTGGATGCAGGCATCTCAACAATAAGTCGTGCAAGGGATATTCGTTTTCCTGAACCCATTCGAGGGCGACTGTACAACAGACAGAGCATGATCCAATGGTCCTTATCAGATCGTTTAGCATCGCATCGAATGGAGAAGTCTCTTTGATTCTCGCAAGAGCTTTATCCAAATATTCGAGGGCCAGCCATATGACCTCTTTTTCAACATCATGCTTGCGGGAGCACTTGCCGTTTGAAATCACACAAAGTTGCTTGAGCAAATTCCTGAGGAAGACCGCGTGTGATGAATCAAAGAGACAATGTTGGCGAAGAGAGATCTGATTGTGCATTTCAACATCGTTCTTCAGCTCTTGAGGAAGTGATATGTCAAGGGGTCGATCCGATGATGGTGACGCAGCCATTGCCATAGTCGGCAGCAGCTTCTCCACGCGCTCATAGAATAGCATATACGCGTTCCAGAGTTTTGCATAGCGGGTTTCGTAGGCTGGAATATCTTGCCAGCCGCCAAAGGAGAAGTTATCGATATCGGCTGGATTGAATTCAGAGGTCTCCATATCGTTGAATTCGACCCACTTCTTTTGCTGCATATTCCCTGACGGTCTCTCTTGGATTAGTGAATAATAATGACCCGATTCTGCAGTGCCACTATGTACGAGTACTCCTACAAGGGCGAACACATCAGATTCTATTTGCTCGGCGTCCTCTTTCAGATAATCGACATGGTAAGGAGCCATGTCAACTTCCAAGGGGAACTCAAAACGGTCATTGATCTTTGTCCTTGTTCCATGGATTAAATCATAATCGAATCGCTTGAGGTGAAAGATAATGTTGTCCGGGATATCTTTGAGGCAAGCTCTACCCAATTATCAGCAAGATTCCACAGGAGCTGACATGAAGACTAACCGCTTGACAGCATCAACGTATTTGCCACATGAGGTGCAAGAGTATTTGTTATCTAATCAAGTCAGTATAGCATGACCATGGGATCATTAGGATATAGACGCACCACCCTCCATTGCTTCGCCTTGGATGTAGGCGTTTAGAGACTCAGCCAGATTTGTCTTACCAGATATGTCACATTGGATGGCAGAGAATGGCTCGAGTCGTTCCGAGATATGCGAACATTCTTTTGACTTGATCTGTTGGACAATGTGACCCCCGAAAAACTTGCGAAACTTCTTCTTGTCTTCTTCATTCAAAATCTGACTTTCTAAACGGTCAAAAAGTAGATTAAAAAATTCGTCGACATCCACTTGATGCGTGACGTCGACAGCGGTGTTGTCGTACGTAACAATTGATTCCGAGATGCTGTGTGTATCAATTGCCTTGAGCGCAGAGCTTTGCATGAATCCAAAGAGTGTGCGGATTTCGTGGAGTAAGCGTTGAGATGTCCCGCCATCGGCTATGTTGACACTAAGTATAAAATCTCTGAATTCAGTGTTCATGAAAAGCTGAGTGAAAAGGGAATTCATGTAGCACGTGTTTGAAAGATTTCTGAGTCCAGGGTAGCCCACAGCGGATCTCAATGTCTTCGAGGGCTCAATGGCCCAATTTGACCCTAAGGAACCATCGTCGATAGGCTGAGCATAACCATGTGACCAGGCCCAGGTTTGCGAACTTTCAGGCCCGCAAATAGAGACCTCTTTTACTAATCTCAAGAGTGACCGATATGTATCGGCGTCATCCGCCAGCGAGAGTAAGATGTCATAGACCAGCTCCCTTGTGCTTGATCTCAGATTTGGCATGAAGTCGCAGTCGTCAAGGGGCGGGAAAAGCTGGCGACGAAATATTTGCTCCAGAAGATTATTTGAAGCATGAAAGCGAGTACCAAACGCTTTCGTAAGCTTCAAGCAGAAGATGATGATGTGGGAAAGTCCGGCGACGAAGTGATCGATCTCGTTACGGCCAACAGCCTCTACATGTTTATGGTTGATGAGCAACATTGTCCATTCCTGAATGTATCTCGCGCTGTCGAGTCGCTGCTGGCGTTCTTGTCCGAGAAGTTCGAGAAGTGCTTGAGTAACATCGAAGAACTGTTGGGTATTTTGACAGAATTCTGGGGTTTTAGGGATTCCATCGAGGACGGCATTGGTGAGACTTGCTACAATATCTTCATGATAAGTAGGGGCTTCAGAGACGTGCCGACATACGTTAATAATGGCCTTCGCAATAATTTGACGACTGCTGGATCTCCTCTCTTCCAGTAGAAGGGTCTGGACGATCCAACCCAACTTGCCGCTGCCTTGCAGCGCTAGCCAGCAGTCGTGAGAGATCAAGCTCGCTTCAAGTAAGATGTTCAACATACCATAAGCAAGCCGATCAGCTTCAACGCTGTTTGGAATAGCGCTTGCTTTTCCTAAAAGCGTGAGGCATCGATCAACGAAGGCACTGACGTTTGGCAGCGAGATGTCGCCTTCTCTATGTGACGGAGTGTCCGGCATTTGGTTTTCCTTGCTGTCACTGACAGCATAGGGTTGCTGATCACGTGCTGCTCGCAGAAAACTGCTCAAGCAATCTACTAAGCCTACTGATACCAACAAGTCTACTTGGCACGCCTCGGCACCAACATTGACCTGCAAGTCAATCAGTGTGAAAGAAAGTGTGTTGATGCTTTCCTTGATGGATGCAAGAGAAGCTGTATGCTGGATCTCCAATAAGCTTCTTGACAACGACCGGAAGTCTTGGGTACTTACTGTCTGTAGTTGATGATTCAATGTTAGTTTCAGGGTATGTAAGGAATACAAGGTCTTGAATGGCGCGCTCGAGGGTATCATCATGTCGCTGGCCGTCCTCCGCGAATTTGCCAGGTCAACAATGCTGGCGTGGGGAGGAAACGCGATGAGGAAATCGTATACCTATGTCAATAATGAGATTAATCAATCAAAAGCGATCAGAGACGGTCAAAGACTTCCTACCTGGTGTGCAAGGCCATCTTCCATGGCAAGAAGCTCATATAGCTGTTCGAAATGACGTATAACCTCAACCTCCATAGGGCGAAGACCGGTCAATGGCGATGCTGACTCTGCGCTGGCTACTTTACGAATAAGGAGCAAGCCAGCGGTGAGAAATCCAGAGTCTTGGAGTTTTTGTTCGCCCATACTAGGGAAATCGAGTTCTTGACCGCCCGCATAGGCCTTGAATCTCGAGAACCGAGTTAAGGCCGCCAGTTTTTGGGAGAGCTCATCGATAGTCTCCAGACCCCCCACTTCGAACGTGTTCATATTGCTGGCGCCCTTTCCTTCAGAGTGTGCTTGGTATTTGATCTTCATGGGATTGCCACGAAGCTCATCGAAACCTACAGGTAGTCTTGGAGGCAGCTCAGGAGACGGACTATACATAGGTCTTAGTCGAACACCCTGCACGAACTCCTTTAGAATCATCAAGGATCTCAAGAAGCAAAGTCTTTGATCTTGGATTTCCTCATCCGAAGCCACCACGACCATTGGCTCGTCCTCACCACTGGAAGTTCCCTCGTTAAAGGACTTAAGCTTAGACGCAGCTACACCGAGTTTATCGATGCAGCGTTCCACAAGTTCGATATGTACAGAGTCATTAGCCTCCCGAGACCTTCGGTGTGCGTCAGGTGAGTCCAGATACAACGTGATGAGCATGTCTGTAGCCTTCTTCGCTAGATCTGGTCTTTCCGAGGGTACCGTGAGAGCTAGATGCCACAGTAATTCGGAAGCTGTCGAGCCCGTCAATGGTGTATCAGGAGTTCGTGACTCGTCAGTCTGGGCTATGTATGGTCTTATAGTCTCTGCAAAAGCCAGACAACCCGGAACCATGTACCTTGACTTAAGTTTGGGAAGCAATTCTACAATGCAGAGATCAATGCAAGGATTGCAAGTCCTCGAATTGCGAGCGACGCTAATCAACATCTCCCACGCGGTATTCCGAGCACCTTCATTTATCGAGCCAGAACCGACAAGAGCTTCCCAGAGTCGGGTCGCCATATCATTAGATACCGTTTCAGAATTATCCAAGAGGACATGATAAAGTAACTGTAGACGGGTCTGTAGACGTTCTTGTGACACGAACGCTTGAACGTGGCCCATACGATCTTCATTGATGGTGCGGCATAAATCGTCGATAAGAATATCCGTCATGCCAAGGTCACGTGTGAGATGTCGAATATGTTGCGGTCGATGCTCCCATGTAATTGATGTTAGAGCAGTGATAGCCGATATGCTTCCGGTCGCCGATAGCTTCGGGTTTGCAATGTCGTCTAAACATTCCTTGAAGATGGCCTCTTTGGCGTCCTGTGAGAGACCCTGGCGCATCAAGTCCATGAGATGTCCCTTCGCCCAGTCATGGACAGCTTTAGCATTCTCGGGTTTATAGGGCCCGTCCGGGGCTGATTGTCGGAGGAATCGAAGACATATGTCAAATGGCGGCATGTCCAGCTTTTCACCAAGTCCGAGATTTTGTCTCTGCGCATTTTCGCGCCACTTATGGCCCAAATGTTTCAGTAGCAAGTCAGCATAACGCCGCATCTGAGCGTCGAAGTCATCAACAGATATCTCTGCTAACTTTGCAACAAGATAGCATAAGTTTGAATACGTGCACAAATTCAAGCAGGGCATCAGCATATTGAAGATGACTTCTCCAGAGCGAGACTCTCGATTTGCTGCAGCAGCATTCCATACAACATCCATGTCTGCGTTGCAGAGCCTTCCGGTAACAACAAGATAGCCCAGGATATTGGAGGATCGTTGTATCAGCTGAGGGTGTGATTCTGCGCTGACGAGGTATTGCACCAGCTTATGCTGTACGAGAAAGTCTGCGAGGAAGACTGAGATCGGATGTTCGGAGCCACCAGGCTTCCCATCGATGTACCTGCGATGGTGATTTACCAAATCTTGTTGCATTATTTCAGCACCTTGGACTCTAATCTCCATACGTCCTTCTAGAATGCATCGTTTGAGCGTTCCAAATTTCCATGATAGATACAGAAGATCTGACGTTTCGTCTGAAGAGAGAGTCTCTATGTCCAAATGTTTTTCGACACACAGCCGTCGGGCGAAAATCTCGTCCACAGACCCGACTGTGACTAATATGTTGCAAAGTCCCTGCACAAGGCTCTGGCAGACATTGAAAGATAAGCTCGAGACTTGCTTCGTTATGAAGTTTTGCAGTCGAGCATCAACAACGTTGAAATAGTCGAGGAATTGGCTTGGTAGAGTTCTCGAGAGACCGGCCCTCAGTTCAGGTAGCAAATGCCGATAAGTAGTCGCCATCTGAGTGACAAACCAGAAATGCATCTGGAACTTTGGAATCATACTTGGGAGGCTAGCTAGACGGTCAAGCATCAGTTTAGCCGTGTCTGTGAGGCATTTGAGCCCCTTCTGGTGCTCAGTAAATTTCGTCAGCATAGCTAAGACGGGAAACTTTAGGTCATAATGCCGTGTGTCTACGAGTTGCTTCCAGAACGGCTGATCAAGCTTCAAGAAGTGATGCAGCGAGTAGAAATATTTATCGGATAGGAGGTCAGGAGTGGTGTTGTTGTCAGCCACGTTATCGATCAGAGTTTGGTTATCAATATCAGCCATCCTCAGAGCCAGTGTAGTCCACGAGCCCAGGAATCTGGTCAACGGATCTGGGGTATGAGCTGTCTGGTCGGTGTTGTCAAAGTGAAAAGCTGGCATTTTCGGCGAGTCACTGAAGCCCAGGTCAGTTGTCTAAGGTCAACATAAAGGTGCACCTTTCTCATACCTGCGTCGACAGATCGAATCTAACACATATGGGAATTCGTCCCAGAACTCCCTGTCGTCAGAGAGCATGTCCCACCAGAACGTACTGTAAGGCTCTGTGCATTCCAAGTAGTCATCAATCCAATCAGCTAATTTCCCAAGGATGCGTCCATCCGCCAAGTCAGCTGTCCAACGTTAGCTACGCTCGTTTAAGTTCTTTTGCAATGCGTGCGGGTGTGCTCACTTTTCTCGATTGCCGCACATATGCTGTTCAATGTCTTCTTCAGCGTTTTGCTAGTATTCACAAAAGGAAAGGAATCTAGCAGATTTTCTTGGATCTGGCGTGCCTCTGATGCACTGTGCTTGAACGGCATCCACCGCGTCATGGCAGGGTCATCACTAATATCTTCGACTTCTGCCACCTGGATTTCAGGGCTGCCAGGGTTGCTAGTTGGTGTTGATGGGACAGAAAGCACCTTTGGGGACTCGAGTGGAGATTTGGAGGGAGAGTCGCGCCTAGTCTCCAGCATGGCTGTATTCTGCGCAGGTGGAGTGCCCGTTTCTTTCATTGGGTCGCTCTTCTGTGAGCCTCGGACGTTGATTGTCACTTTAGTCGGTGTCATGGGAGGCTGTGAGGGCGTTGCATCCATAGTATCTTCATTTTCTATAGACACAATCGGGGATGAGGCGTTCTTTTGGGATGCACTCGACTGTAGCCTGTCGGCGGACATGCTTCTATACGTGCGTTCACCGCTGTCTAATCGAGGGCGCTTCCTTGTTCCGGATAAGTCGGTGTCTTCCATAGGCAGTCGATGAGGAGAGGGAGGTCCAGCGGACTTTGTGCGGGTTGGAGTGGAGGGTGAGGTTATGATTCCAGCATCCATGACATTTTGGAGCTTTGGCCACTGGGAGGGGCCTCAGTGGATTGGTGGAGTGTAGAAAGGTGGGAATCCAAGCATACGACAGAGGAACGAATGCTTTGACAACACTTGACACGAACCAAGCCTCCCAAGACGAGGTTGTGCGAGTGAAAGGGTGGTGGTATTACAAGGCGTTCGCTTCGTCTGAGAGCTTCAGCTCAAGAGCCCCAAATAGTTTTCGCGACCGAGACAAGAGATCCCCAATTAGAGTTTAGGCAGCACACTAAGCGCGGGGTATCGACGTTCGACCTGTCAACCTTGACTTCGAACTTGGCGGAGGCAGGTGTACAGTGCGCAAGAGAGAGGTCTCATCACCGTGATCTGGGGTACACATGCAATAGAGGTGAAATGAAGTGTAGAAGTATAGAAGTGTTGAAGTGAAGGGTCAAAGTGAAAAGTTTACAGAGGCTTGGCAGCCTCACATCGCCAACTTGACACGCTAAGAAGTTTACCGTGTCACATACGGACCGACCCTTATTCCTTGTCACAGTGAGGGATCTCGCGGATGATGATGATGATGCAAGAAATCCTCCGATGCCTTCCTGAATCTTTTAGCGGCATGAAGGACACATTCACTTCTGCAGGTCCCCGGAGGCCGAAGACTCTTCACAACCTTGACAGCCCCTACCCTCCAGTACAATGGTATGCTCGCGATACGACCCGTCGTCTTTCTACTGATGTGACTGTGCAGGCCCCACATAGCCCCCAACGCCCAGCAGCTTGTGCTCGATCTGCTTGACGGGTGAGCGCTCATTATATTGTGGTATGCAACCATTTGCACGTATGCGATTGACACCTTCGACAGTTTGCTCTCACCAATAGGCCAATATCGCTTACACCATGTCACTCCGTCCAAGGGAAAGCGGGCCAGGAAAAGAAGACACCAGGAGCAGCCCTCTGAAGACGCAACGGTGGAAAAGCCAAATCCGCAACGACCTCCCATATGTGAGCACCTGACTGTTGGTTTCAACTCCACAACAAGGCATCTGGAAGCATCAGCTCAAGCAAGCAAGAGCGCTGAGCGTTCAAGCCTGCCTCACTTGGTCGCTGTGTTCGTTGCTGTCGAGGAGGGGTCCAATGTCTTGCATTCGCAATTTCCACTCCTATGCAAAGTCGGCTCGAAGGCCCAGCCAGATCTGCCTGAAATACGGCTGGTTTCCTTACCGAGGGGAGCCGAGCAACGACTGGCAAAGGCATTGGGTATCCATCGCGTTGGCCCCATAGGTCTCCTAGTCAACGCTCCAGACAGCGAACCGCTTGTCCAGTTCGTAAGGGACAATATTGCAGCCATAGAGGTACCTTGGTTGGATCATTTGACAAGGGGAGAGTTGCTGCCAACACAAATCAAGACTATTGAAACGACAGCTCCCGTGAAGGTTAAGAAAGCGAAGGGGCGGATCGTGAAGAGCCAGTCGTGACCATCGATAGGCATTTAATGTCTGCCGTGGCGGCCATTTTGTTGACCTCTTCCTTTAATACTCATCCTCTCCATGTACCATAGTCCGAAGTTCACTGAGTATGCATCGACTTTTGATTTCCGTCACATCATCGAATCAACCATCCTCGTTGTCCCATTATTTTCTCACAGACCTCCCTGAATCGAAAACGAGGATACAATTAGCACCAGCAGACTGACAAGCGCCCAGACAAAGGGTATCCAAGTCGACATCTGAAAGCCTCCAGCATTGTAGAGCGCCCCTAGACTATACCCATGAATCGTGACCATTAAATCACCCAATTGTGACTCACAGCAAGCCAACCACACTCCCCGTCAGGACCCCTTCCACACCAGCTACAAGGGCATACAGCGCCGGTACAATCCACATCCCACTAATGCCCGTCCCTTTGATGCCTGCTTGCACTTTCTCTCTATTCCCACCGGCACCATCGCCAACGCCCTGCCTTTCTGTATTGCCCTGTCGGTTCGGCCCTCCCAAACCCTTCTTCCTACCCATGCCCAACCTCGTCCTCTGCTCCCGACTTCCCCACCACACGACAGCCACGGCATAAGTACCAGCGGCAATATGTGCGGCTGCAAAGACGATCAGCGTCCAGTAAAGCGTGAAGCGCCATATATCGCCTCTGTTGTACAGGTATTGCGGGCGTCGGACGTCTTTAGGGCCGAAGATGAGGTAGAGGGAGGGGAAAGATGGAGTCGTGTAATTATGGGGGGCACCGTCTTTTAGGGACGTCTTAGTCGTCATAGAGTCTGTAGTGGCTAGCAGGAGCCGTGTCATGGGAGAGGCTACATGTTTTAAGTTGCTAGCATTGAGCAGGAGAAGAGAATTTGGGAAGGAGCTAATGTGACCGAGAAAAGACTTTGTTGCCACGAGGGGCAGTGAGGAGCGAAACCAAAGAAAGGGGCTCCCCAATCTGACTAAGACGAGCAGATGCAAATCATACAACGTACATCAGCACGTATCATGTTGCTGTTAAATGACCTCACCTCCTTCCCTTTGCATCGAGTAAGACCTTTGGCATAGAAATCATCATGTCACACCAATTCCAATCCAACGTCTTGAATCCCTTATCACTCCTCCAGAACATACATGAACATTGGTCGCAACGCACCATCGGCACACTCAACGATTACGAGATCAAGCTCGCTAAACTATTTGGAGAGTTTGTATGGCATACTCATGCCGACACTGATGAGTTGTTCCTCGTCTTGTCTGGCACTTTCACGATCCAATTACGCGATCGATATGATTTTTTGAATCCGGGTGAGATTTACGTGGTGCCGAGGGGCGTGGAGCATTGCCCTAAGGCGGACGAGGAAGTGGGTGTGCTGCTTTTAGAGCCAAAGGGTGTGTTCAACACGGGTGATGCTGGAGAGGACAGAAGGATTGATCCCAGACCTATGGAAGGGATTTGATGGTCTGATTGTCTTTGGTCCTGTGCTTAAGAAGCTGATAGCATCACACGTGGTTGGTTTTCAAATACATACATTTCGAATGGATGCTAAGCGAAATTCATCGATATACGTATTGGGTGAACTTGAGCCGCACGTGGATGAGCCATGAATTTGAAAGTCCATTTTCCTCTTGCAGCTGGTTTGGCAGAGTCCTCAATCTTGACTTCTAGGCTAGAAAGTGCACACAGGCTAGGACGAGAGATATATATCCGCCTATCTAACGCCCACGTAAGAAATGCCAGCGATATCTCTCAATCAAAACTAGACTCCGGAATTGAATAGATCGAAATCGCCGAAAGAGCGTTTTATCCTAGAGGTCTGCTGCCGCGCTCCTCCCTGACATTGACAAGTGCTTTTGACCTTTGCCAAATCTGATGGACAGTCGGTCACAGAGAACTTGACGATAGGATTATCTGAAGGCGAAATCTTGATCAGCTTTCGAGACCTCAAATTTGTCAGGATTAGTAAGAAAGGATTGACTTACTCCAACTACTCGTACCCGCTACGTTTGTTGAAATGTCAAAATGACCCTCAAATCCATACGAATTTGGACTGTCACACCATGGTGGGCCAGGCGGGCAGTCATTGCTCAGAAGGACGGTGACCGATTCACCCGCTCCATCGCACGTGCCTCCACCGGCTGAGGCCAATTTTCCAATGTTAGTCAGGGTGAAGCAAGTGCCACAACCTGCACCACAGAAGGTCGATGAGCTCTTGAAGAACGCAGAGTTCCCGGCAACAGTGGCGATGGAGTTCACACTACCATCGTAGCACGCACAAGCACCACCAGCATCACCTCCATAATGCTGTATGAGCACATACATTAGACATGTCATTCCGCGAATAGGTTGCAATAAAGACTGACCGTTGTAGAAGCGTACCCTCCGGCGAGCGTTTTGTCTCCTGAAAAGACTTCGCAGGCACCACCAGTACTAATTCCCTCAGTGCCGCCAGTATTGTTTGCAGAGCCACCCCCTAATGCTGAGGCCGTCGACGCAGGAACTGCAGCACCAGTGGAAGCGGATCCTCCTGCACCTGCGTCCCCAGAACTTCCACCGGTCCCTGCCCCTCCACCAGTCCCGGTAGCATCTCCTCCCGTAGTGGCATCTCCTCCTGTAGTGGTATTCCCTCCCGCAGTGGCATTCCCTCCGATAGTTGCGCCTATGAAATCGCCTCCTCCGGTCCCAGTACTTCCTCCGGAGCCAGTGCTTCCGCCCGTGCCTGTGTCGCCCCCAGTCACAGTACTGCCAGTACCACTTGGGTCAGGAAGCCCTGCTGTTGCAGTCGATGCACCCCCACTACCTCCAGTTCCACCACTTCCACCAGTGCCGCTACCGCCTCCTGTGCCGCCTCCGGTACTTCCACCGCCTCCGGTACTTCCACCGCCTCCGGTACTTCCGCTGCCGCCAGAGGACCCTCCCCCTCCTGGAGAGACACAATCAGAAGGAGAGCCACCAGAACTTGAGCTCCCAGAGCCGCTTGAACTGGAATTTGAAGCGCTACTCGATCCGCTCGTACCTCCTGCGCCAGGACATTGGCAACTTGGTTGATTCCATCCTGAGGGGTTTGAATTGGCGAGATCTGGGGGAAGGCATTGCGAATAGTCTATTCAATAATTACATGGGATTCAGGTCTCACTTTGACATAATTGAGGCAATAGTGAGATAACAGAGTTCTTTTTCAAGGCCAACAGATACGCCTGAGGATGAGAAACGAGGCAGTCAATGAGATATGTCGGAGTACTCACATTGTTGCTGGCAAAGGCATATCCATCCATCTGTGCACCCGCTCGCCCCAGTATAGTAGATTCCTCCACACTGGCCATACTTTTCAACGGAGGCTCCTGCACCAGCAGCACCAGAACCAGAGCCACCACTGCCTGAGCCACCGCTTCCAGACGAGTTGGTTGATCCAGTCGTGCCTGATCCAGTCGTGTCTGATCCAGTCGTGTCTGATCCAGTTGTGTCTGATCCAGTTGTGTCTGATCCGGTTGTATCGGTACCGCCACCCGTGGACGACGATCCTGTAGCGGCTGCGGACGACGCCCCTGTGCTAGTCACTACTGATCCCGCGCCTGCCCCAGGCATGTTCTCCAAGTTAAGAACCCCAGTACGACCGCTACCACCGCTGCCAGAGCCACCACTACTAGCTGCTGTATTGACTTTGGCTACCTTTTTGTCTCCTGTCTTGGAAGCACCTGCATTTTGGTCGCTGTTGCCACTTCCCGCAAGCAGTGCGTTCCTTGTGGCCTCATCACCAGAAGAGGATTCATTGCCTGCTCCGGCACCACCGTTGCTCTGTCCTGCGGGAAGGCCAAAAAGGGAGTCGCCGCGATGACAGAGTGTGCAATGTAAACCAAGGGTATGCAGAGCTTGAGCAGAATCATTTTGCCAATTTGAATGAACTTAGAGATGCAACCAAAGCCTTGAGACCGAATAGATTGTGAAGAATCAGAGTGCACCTTCGGATTACGAAAAGACTGGACGGACTGAGAAGTGTCCTAAAGAAGGAAAGGAGGGTTTGAGGAGAGATCCAGTCTCTCCAGATCTAGTAAACCTTGAAAAAGAAATAGAAGACAAAAGATGGGACATGAGCGGTATGCACTCGAGATATATTTCAGACGAAAGCAACAACGCCCCTCCCCTACGGCCACAGCCCCTGCACAATCACTAATAGCTGTCGTAGACTTACCTGCAGCGGCAGACAGGCGGGCCAATTTTCAATCTGAGACACAGCGTGGCTGGTCTGATGGAGGATGTGCAAGCGCCATTGTACTTGATAAAAGGCTCCAACGTTTCATGCCAAGGAGGGGAAGAGCGTTTCTAGCATAGCCAGCAGATTGCGGAGCGAAGAGTCAATCCCACCCTGACAGAGGTTCCGGTCAGCCTCAGCGAGGCAATATCGGAAGTGTATCAAAACGCACTCTGATTCTGGCGCTTAAGTGGTCAGGGGCCAGAGTCCGAAACCTTCCGCACAGTTCCTCAATGACCAGGGACGGGATTGATCACGCATTTGAGATCTGGGTTGCTCTGTAACAGCGGAACACAGAAGCTTTCAAGCAGCCCTCCAGGTCCGAAACAGGAGAGCGGGATAATGACGGTCAGAATGCGTGGAGGCTGCCTTTGAACTTAGGCCCCTATGCCTGCGCGTTCTTCATTTGCGATTACATCTGAGAATAAGCCGTTATGGATCGAATAGGAAGGACAGCAAATTTGCACAATGTCAATCGTGGTCACGGTAACATCTGCAGAGTAGCGCAACATCGACTGCATGTACATCAAAGTGTGATGTAGCCGCCAGACGGGGTGAGGATCCACTTCTACCCATGATGGGGATCCCTGCGAGTCCTGACTAATAATATAGGAGTACCTGATCGCTGCTTGTCCCTTTAGAGATAGCTCATTGCGTGAGATCAATCCTCGTTCAGCCATACGGACCGGCCAAAGCTCATCATCAGAGCGGTTTACATCTCGGGCGGCTATGAGATTGGGGACGGCTTCAGTTGCTGAAACGATTCCTCGGCATACTCATGTTTCATGGAGAACTACTCATGGGTTGGTGATGGAGCGGAGAAATCTGCAAATGCAGGCTTGAAGGTCTGCTCACTACTTGTCAGCACGTCGAAGCATGACAATAGATGATCATTGTCCACTGAAGATATGAGTTATTCGACCCAAAATTCTAGGCGGGGTTGATTAGTACACAGGCTGAGAGAGAGACGGGTTGAATTCACTTATCACGATGGAGTAGAAATCCCACAATGATTCAAGCGAGACCTAATCTTAGTCTTCATGCATTGACAAAGATGAAAGAGTTTTGAGTGAAGGGAGCTCTAAAGCCGGATCCACGAAAGACGGGTAGTGAATGTGTAGGTCGCGAGAGCCTCGGGCTCAGCTGAACGCGTTCAATGAAATCACAATCTCGAGCATAACGGAGAATATGAAGGCTGCTGTCTGTCATGTCCGCCAATCAGTCGCTTGCGACCCTCTTGCGCGCTCTTCAGAGCCCTGCTGATGTCGAAGACGTACCACGGTAAGTCATCGACCTGGATATGGCGATCTTAATGTGCTTACAATCTGCAAGCTTGCTAGGCTCCGCAACTACACTGCTCACGCTTCTCGCCAACCCTTTGAATGTGACACTTCTCACTTCTCAGCTCCTGTCCGCCCCCTCGGTCTGGACTCGTCCAGATGGCTTACGGACGACTGTCCGACTAATAGGCATATTCAGCGCTGCTGCTTCGTCAAGTTGACCAGGTGCATGCCTCGCACAATACATTTTTGCCTCAGACCCCAACTTCGCATCATCCCCTTGAGAAGGAAGCTTGGGCGTTTGCCGTTATCAAAGGAGCGGATGACTCGTCGCCGAGATGGAAACACCTTTGTGTATTGGCTGGCCTCCTCGTAGGCTTTGCAGGCCAGGCGCAAGTCTCAATCTCGCTGTCACTGCGACGCTCTCTTGAAGCTAGTATTGTAACGGCAGCCAATATAGCTATGCGAGATCGAGAAACCAAGAGCGAATTCGCAGCAAATAGTCTAGCGGTGCTGCTGAGCCATGTCTTTGATCTTTTGAGTGATGGAAAGCGATCTGATTTCGATCATGGCCTTTTACTACCAATTGTTGTCCACACTTCTCTATTCTCCAAGGATGGTTTACACTCAGGATATTTCCTCAGCACAATGGACGCTGACATCATTCAAGTCACTCATTCCAGATTCGACTGGTCGAACAAGTCGACTACTTACGTTCAATGTCAACGTCTTGCAAGTGGGCCCGTGATGACTTGTCTAGGACCGCTATCACGGCTGGCGGCGCTATCCATTGACAAGGTGGCAGATATGGACACTCTTACTAGTTTGATGAAGGACCTTTTATCCTTCTCGAGGTCGCTTCATGTCCAATGGCGACAGAATAAACTGTGCGAGATCGATGCTGCAGAGGAAGGCGAGTTTCTGACGGAAAATACCTTGAGGCAGACTCTGCCCCTCCTGTGGCGGTCGTTGAAATCTGCCGTATTTTCGATCTTGGTACTCATGAGAGCGATACTTGGTCGCGTGCTGAGTGATAGGGGGCTGCCAGCAGATCTTGCCCCTTCCTTTGCCCTGCAATCTCTTCATATTTTGAAGAATCTGCACTTCATTTCATCCCGCGGGACTCGTGGGAGCTTTTCTCAGTACGAATTCGCTCGCTTGACGGCTGTAGACATCTTATCGCAATTTCCCGTACAGGCTGAAGCTTTCCTGAAAGATATCAGACCATCGCATGCAGGCAAAATGTCTGGGCATCCGTTAGATCGATGTCAGGACTTCTTCTTTTTGAACACTGCTGAGCAGCTTGCTCTGATTTTACCCGTCGATGTTGCTGAAATGTTGCTGATACCTGCAGCCACAGCCTATCTTGGTTTGGCAAGTGATGATAGGCTTCTGCAGATTTTCGAAGCTGCGCACAGCGTTATGTTGGCTGTCTTTTCAGTCCCAGGCAACAACATGCTATTAGCAAGGCATGTACATCCCTATCTCGATATTCTCTTCAATGTCTTCCCAAAGCCAGTGTCAGCAAGGCAATTTCGCATGGCAATCAAGACTCTAGTTCGCGTCACTTCGCAGCCGTCATCGCTCGTCTCGAACGATTCATTCCTTCCTTCTATCATAATGGAGCTTGTGAGGTCTCGTCTGGAAGTTGCTGCAACCACGCTTTTAGAGAATGACCTTCGAGACCAATCTTCCGCCTTACAGCCGCAATTGCTCTCGGAGCAATCAGCTTGTGAACTAGCGCTGATTGATTCTCTACCTCTGTTGCCAGTTAATCAATTAGAAGGATGGCTCACCGTTGTCGCTGAATCCTTGTCACTTGTAAAGGAGCCTCCACAGGCAGATATTTGCCAGCAGAGATTCTGGGAAATTTTGAACGATGGCGAGATGGATGTCGATCGTGCCGCACTTTGTCTGGCTTGGTGGACTACAGAGGGTGGTTGCGGTCTGGTCATGGGCGAAAGTCTCCCAGAACAGGAAAGGGCTATGATGAGCGGCGCTCTTGTCGAAGACAGCAAGCTCTGATCAAAAGGGAAGGAGCATCGCACTCTCTACCTGAAAGATGTTCCTACATTTGAGTCGGTTTCCCTCACCAGAGTTGTCCACAACATTTTTTCATCTACTGGACTCATCAATATTGCCGCATTTTCAAGCATAGCTACTAACTTCGCATCTCGGGGAATCGTGTATACCTACATTAGGACGTTTTACACATCCTCATCGATCATGCCTACCGTCCGGTCATATCGTATACCCGTTAGAGATGAGGTATTCGTACAAGAATACGACTGCGGCTGTGGACGATATACGAATGAAGGATCGAGGAACTCTATTACTATAAGCTGCAATATACACAAGCTCAAATGGCCGCTCCCTACCGAGCTTCCTAGATATCTAAGAATGAGTGGCAACAGCGTCAGAGGAGGCGTGTGGCTAAATTCCTGGCACTGGACACTTCGCCCTGGCTCTCGCCGGCCACATTCGAAATCAGATTTAGGCCCCTTGCGCCGCAAGACTATAATGGCATTGCTTCATGCTGATATCATTCGTGGTGAGACTGAGACGACCGAGATCAGAAATGATAGATTCTAACATAGACCAATAGAAGGACTGAGTTCTGACGGCTCAATGCTCAATGTCCGCTCCGGATTCGACCATTCATTTGATCGAACGAGCAGCCCTGCAGCAATGTTTGAGCCTGACTTCACGACTACAAGGGATCAACCTTCGAACCAAACGGCTGACCCAATGGTCGCTACTGCCGCTACTGCGAAACCTTCGAGTAAAGACCCTTATGCAATAAGTCAGTCACCATCAATAGATTCGTTCATTCTAGACTGCCAATCGCCAGCGAAGCAAGACTTCAGCCACACAAACCCAGACTTGCAACTTCAATCAAACCGCACAGCCAGCTCAGAGGACCCTTTTGCAACCCCTGAGCCGAGTACGCCCCCAAGTCCGACAGCGAGCGTCAGTCACGGACCGCGTGAGCAGAGGCAGCGACGGCGACGGGGACGGCGACCTCACATACGCTTGCCTGGTCACTATCTAGGGCACTCAGAGTCTTCAGGCTCTTCAGATTCTCCGGGCCCCTCAGAACCTTCAGGTCCCTCAGATCCTCTGAATTCCGCAAGATCTGAAGATTTGACAGGCGGCCCAGGCCGACGCTTTCTAGTCGTTAAAAAATGGTATCGCGCCACACAGGAGTGGCTAGCACGCCGAAAGTTAGCCTTTCAAGGCAAGCTTGCGCGTCTGCAAGCAAAATACGCGCAGCTCAAAGATCATGAGCCGAAGGATGAGCGAGTTTTTCTGCTAGCAGGTGGAAACGACAGAGTAAGGGGTGACACTCCTGAAGGTCCGGACGATGGAGAAAACCTGTGAGAAAGAAACGAGTAGAGCGTAAGGGCTCCAAAGCCGGATGGCAAGAGTTTTTCAGGTGCTTGGTACGGTATATGTGCTCAAGCGCAGAAATTGCTCTGTAGCTTTCCTGATTATGAGGACATTAATACAATCTATAAAATTTACCGTTGGTGCTATGCAGGCGAACATCGCTGCATGAGCGGGTACATGGTGGCAGGCTATTGAAAGGTCTAAATGCCCCCATAATGCGACTTCAATCAATTGATAAATGGTATTCCGACCTTTGTCTGCCGTCTATATCGTACATATTCGTCCCCGAAGAACCTGATTAGAGACGTCTCTTCGACTGTAGTTCAAGTCAGCCGCGACTCTACCCATAATCATCCACGCCCTCTTCCCATGCATAGATTATACCATGGGTAGAGCAAAATTGAAAACGAAAGACTCACTTTCAATCCTCCGCCTAAAAAACCTCCAAAGCACAATCGCATACCCAACCAAACAGCCCACATTCCCCAGTACCATCTGTGTCCCTAAGCCCCACCAGAAGAACCCAAAGTAGCTCGGGTGCCTGAGATACGCGTACACGCCATCCGTCACGAGCACGTGGTCCCGCTTCTTGTACGACTGGACGATATGGTTGAAATTACTCCCTGCCCTAGCCATCGCTACTGTTCTCACTGCCTGTCCCACTATCATGAAAACGAAGCCCAGCCAGAGCCATGTCTGCTGCAGAGAGAGGGAGGGAACGTGGAAGGTGGGGAAATAGGTCTGGTGGAGGTAGCATTCTAGAAAGGCGAGGAGGTGGGCGATGTTATAAGCGCGGCCGTTGTTGAGTAGGAAGGCGAAGGTGGTGGCTGCGGAGGGGTTGTATATGGCGGTGATGAGGTACTCAAGGGAGTGGAAGAGGGAGAGTGTGGCGAGGAAGAAGGGGAGGCGCCAGAGGGGGCTTTGCTGGGAGGGAAGGGTGAGGTAGAGGGCTGTAAGTGTGGAGATACCGAGAGCTAGACTGAGGGCATAGGTGTGGAAGAAGAGGGAGGAGGGAGAACGTTTGTCGTCATCTTCCGAGTGGTTGTTTGGGAGGGTTGGGGCTGAAGGATGGCCGTTTTCATGGGTCGTCTGCGGGGCCCATGGGTTGTTTCGACGAGGTAAGCGGGTGGTGGCGGAGTTTGTTGCTTCGGTCATTGCATTACGGAGTAATTGGGCATGGTACGCCGTCCAAATCGCGGAATTTGACTGGCTTTGTTAAAGACGGACAATACGAATATTGAGCATGATGAGCGCCTGCGCCACTCAGTCTCCTATATCCGAGCAAGTGCGCAGTCACTTGAACCCTTTGGAGATTCACTGTCAAATCTGGCGAGAATATTCCTTCCAGTTCTCAACCGATTCAACTTGAGAAGACAGCCCACTCCTACAGGTTCATAAACGCTCAAGCAGACAGCCTTGACAGCTCACTTGCTGCTTTTCTAATCAAGTCTGCTTATTAAGCGGGACTTGGCAGTCCAGCTCCAGCTTACCTCAGTACCTCAGACGTGTTTGATTGGCTAGCGCCAATCGGCTAAGCCCCTTCGGGTTAGCCTTGCTGACTTTCAGTCTTTTTAACAACACGTCTGAGCCCAAAATCACGTAACTTTGCCTGATATGCGTTACAAGAAAAATCAAAACAATCAAAATCCTGTTGTTCGCGATCAATATTGCGCCCCTCGAATAGTAAGAAGTATCTCAAACGTCGATGAGTTAGATTCAGAGTAAGCGACGTTTGAGATATTTCTTGTTTTTCAAGGGGCGCAATATTGATCGCGAACAACCAGTATTCTGCTGTTTTTAAAAAAATTTATATTTCAATAAAAATACCTTAGTTTTCTGCTTTTTAGTATGTAGGAAATTTGAAACAGCTTTAATTACCCCTCGGAACGAATATCAGGCCGTAATTTTGGTTTTTGCACTCAGACGTGCTACCGTGCCTACTCATGTAAGCACGAGCTAACCCGAAGGGGCTTAGCCGATTGGCGCTAGCCAATCAAACACGTCTGAGGTACTGAGGCAAGCTCCAGCTCGAAGGCAAACGGTGTCATATCTCTGTGAGTCGATCAGGCATGGACACTTTGCTACTCATTGCAATGGAGCCTTGCAGCCTTGGACGATATCGAGGCTAGAGATACCTCAGATGATTGGCATGTTTAATTGCAGCAACGATCTTAATATCAAGTTTACTTTTCTGGGTCTCGAGGAGCGGTAGAGACGAATGGCTAAGTCTTCACAGATGTCACATCGAAGTACATCCTACCACTTATCTCCGGAGAAGGTAGATCCCATCACACCGTGCTAATAGCAGGTAAATCCATCATTTCCCATAACTTTTGTCTTGTATGTGATTCTGTAATATGGACTCCGTCGGCAAAGGCGGATGATTTCTGTTCTCGCAAAAAGATTTTTGGTCAGATTATCACGAAACCTGTGGATCGTAGTTTCTTCATACAGGACACTTCGGTCGAGATTGAATGGCTGAGGGCGGCTGTAACGAAGCGAATTGTTGCGACTGAGGGGGCAAGTGGGATATCTTCCCAGTTTCTTCCTATTCTTGACAATTCCTGTAGCTTCACATATGCACAAGCAATCAGAACCTTGATCCTGCTTCAACGTAAAGAAAATAGGGTTTGGGATCAGCGGCAGAAGCTTTACAATGCTTTCGGGTACCTCGTCTGTGACCTGATCTGCCAGACTGAGAGGCTCTGCTAGACCTCTTTGGACATTCCCTTTGATGTTTCTGGCCAACGGAGAACCAACTTGCGCTTCGAAGCTGCTAAACCAGAAATTGTAAATGATGTGCGTGGGAAAGAAGATCCTTATACGCATGGTTTTGCCTTCGTCAAACATAGCACAAAGCTTTCACCGCAAGACTTTAGCAATGTCGCCACTGTGGAGGAGACTCACTGCCGTAAGAGCGAGGAGCTTTCTCTTGCCCTGAACCTACTGGCAATTACTAGAGTCAGGTGGTACGCTAAGCATGAATTTGCTCACGGTCTTCAAGCAAGATAGACGCGCTCCCACTTCGGAGCCGCTTTTTATATATTTCTAACTGTTGTTCTGCACTACGTATACATGTGTGAATTTCACGTGATATTGGGGAGTATTCCCGATCAAATGAGTGGAAATCCAACGTACAGGCGACAATGTAGGGCAAGTAAGTAGTTCCAGGCCTAGAACTTCCGGCTAGAGCCTAGGTATACATGAGCTTCGCGCTCATCTTGCAATGTCGCCTGTGATATGGGATTACCGTTGCTTGCCAAGCTTTGTTTCTGCGTCGTTTTGCCGAAATTCACCCCTTTCGAACCACTGCTCCTCCACAGAGAGACCTGGATCATGTGGCCATGATAGGCCAGTAATAGAACCCTCTCCATTCACACTAAATATGATTTTGTAAACACTTGACGGAGAGTATGTGAATCTCCCACGTTTAGCTTGTTCATCTCTTGATGTTAGCCACAAAAATGTGTCATCCTGATAGTGCCTCATTTCCCAGAGCTGGGAATCCAACCCTTGGAAGTCGACTTGGAGGATCTGTGGATCTTTGAGCCTGATCTCGACCAGAAAGTCATGTTCATAGATCCAGAATTTGCCAACGTAAGACTTCAAAGGCTTTGACGGCCTGTTTGATACGCGACTTTCCTCCAAATCTTTCTCCATCGCTGGAAATTTGGAAATGTGATTCTTAACAGCATCTTTAGCAAGCTGTACGAAATCGCTAGGGTCTGGACTATCAAGAATGGTCTCAAGGAGTAGCTCGTTGACCCAGCCAGCTGGGTCTGAAAGACCGACGGAGTTGACCAGAACCACGAAACTGACATCTGCATCAGGGAGCATTGTGACAAATGACGTATAGCCAGCTTGACTTCCACCATGGGACACCACTAGTCGAGAGTCGCCGCTGGGAGTAATGGTAGGCAATTTCGCAAACATTGCGTTGCAGCCCCCGCCAATAGTACCTGGTAGGAGATTGCGCATCAGGCCCAGACCATAGGACTTATCTAAGGATGAGTCGGATCGAAAAATATGACCGGAGAATTGCTTGGCGACATTTTCCAGCGGTGATGGCTCCCCTTTGCGCGCCTCTATCAGAGAGTAGGAGAAAGTCAGCAAGTCATCGACAGAGCTCTGGACGCCTTGTACGGAGACCATAATTTTACCGTCCTCTATCGTTGGAGGATCCAAGGGATAGAGAGATGTATCGTCCAATGCTGCATATGGTTTGGCAAATTTTTCCGCTGTAGGCGAGTAGCTTTTCGTATATGTGTGATGGAGGTTAAGGGGGTTGAGTATTCGGTCCTCAAGATATTCTTCATAGGTCAATCCACTCAATTTCTCAATAACTTCCCCCGCGATTGCAAACCCCTAATGGGTATATTCAAATTTTTCTCGGAAGGTATTGATTGGCTTTAGCGCGTTGAAGCTCTTGATAGTCTGACTCTTCTTCAATAGCAGCACCCCATTAGACCCAAACCACCAATAATTGGATTTCTCGAGACCAAGTCGATGAGTCAAGAGATCAATGATGTTCAAATGTTGGGTGATGTACTCATTGGTATTGTTCAGCTCAGGCAAAATTGTCCGCAATGGGGTAGAACATTCAAGTTTGCCATGGGCGACGAGTGATCCTATGGCGCTAGCAGTGAAGACTTTGGAAATGGATGCTATTCCGTATATGGTGTCGGAATCTGGAGCAATCAATTTCTCGAGGTCTCGAAAGCCATAATTGGCTGTGTATATTGTACTGCCCCGTTGTTGGACTCCAAGTGATAGACCTGGTGCTCCAGTGATTATACAGATCTCTTTTATGATACTGTCTAGCGCCTTGAGTCGATCAACAATATAACCACTTAATTTTGACCTATGGAGCCGTTAACAGCTGTGGGTAGAGGCTTTTTCAACTTACATCTCCGAGGCGGACCAGATTGCGTTTTCCACGGGGTCAACCGTCTCAGGAAAAGAGATGCAGTGCCGGTGACAACTATGAACAGTGGCAGCAAGCAGTATGGTAAGCAGTAGATCTTCCCAAGTGTAACGATGAAGTGGGGTCCAGCCAATCGATCGCAGCATCCCTCCCGAGCACCGTAATCACAAGCAATTCACTTCGTTGTCCAGCTCCTATTCATCGCGTGTCCATGCCCTCCTCTCCAGCGCCTCCATAAGGTCTCCAGCCACGGGAACTCAAAGGATCTATCCTCCCAGCCCAAGGATTGATATCGGCAAACAACGCCCTTTTGTAGGGCTGCGATACACAGATATTCAACAGGACGACATTCCCTCAAACGTACCTCTCAACATTTCTATAAAAATCACTGAAATTGTCTTGCTTAACCTCAGCACCAACCTAAGCTAGGAAAATTCAATGACTTTGGTTGCATTGGCATAGACACAGCATAAATCTATCCCGCATAAGATACCCGAGCAGAAGTGATGGGACCTAAGAAGGGAGACGAGTAGAATTAAGGTACCGCATTCACGAAGACACCTGCTATCAAACACACAAGACACATCGCCCTCCATTGCCTCTAGAGCGATCTAGAGGTGAAAATATGTCAGCGAAGCAACCAAGCCGTCAGACCATGGCGAGTGGTTCTTTAGCTAAAGAAAGTGTGACAGAACTTCGCTGCGCAGCCACGCTATGGCAAGCTGCATGTCCTCTTGGGCTTGAAATTTTGATACGCAATCGTCATGGAAGAGTATGAAGACGTTACGCCGTCCTGATCTATGCCCCACATACCCAAGATAAAAGCTTGAGGACCTAGTAGAAGGAATAATCCAAAACTTGGAAGGAAATCATAGAGACTGACCAGCAATGGACTGGAAGAAACTTCAACGGTCGGGGAACGTAGTCCAAGATTGAATCTTCAGGGGTATCATGGCATTAAATCATGTCTTCATGGGCTTCCCATCATAGCCAGCAATTCATCCTCCATCTTTCTGCTCTTGGCTGCTCTGCCCTCACGGTCTTTGTCTTCTGGCGACGGCGATCGCTTTCCGAGTAGTTGCTCTTCAAAAGCTCTCGACTCACTTTCTCTTGGATTGCCCCCTCTTCCACCCGCATTTCTGTTGCCAGGTCTCGCTCGTTGCGCCGCAGGGCTGGTCTTTTTGGCCCCACCTGGGTTGAGACCAGCGCCTAGTAGTTGCCTTTTGTCGACAATCTCGCCCTCCTCGTTCAGTGCGGCACCCCTCTCTCGCGCCGCGTCAGTCTCACTCTTTGCCTGTTTCTTGGTCTCATCCTCAAGGCCAATTTGTTTGCCCTTCCCCTCCTCTACGGCTTTCATGACTTGAGCATGTCTCTCATCATCTCGACCAAGTAAATCCTTGTAAAAGGCCTTCATCCCGCCACCTTCCCTCTTCTTACGTGCCTCTGTTTCTTGCTCTCTTGACTTCTCCTCTTCTTCCAATTGACGCATCTCCTCCTGCTGTCGCTTGTATGCCCCTGTCACGAATTTTTCTTTATCAGCAAATTCGTCTCCTTCCGCCTCGCGTTCCTTGGCGAGCATCTTCTCCTGAGCCCGCAGCTGGTCGCGTTTGCGGACCTCCGCTGCTGCAAGAAGGTCGGACATATATTTAGGTTTCTTCTCTAGATCAGCTTTGGTGGTCTCGGCATCGTTAAGGGTATTGTATGTGGCATGGATAGAATCATAGGCTGCGTCATAATCGTAGATTGAGGGATCGATCTCCTGCGCTTGCTTGGAGTGCTGCTTGGTGGTATGCCTGCTTGACAGATCCCCGAATTGAGAAATATTTGGGGCCTTAAATGCTTTCGAGGTGGAGTTGGAGGGTGTAGTGTTTGAAGGCTTCGACTTTGTTGAGGACTCAGGGCGTCTTGACGTTTGAAGCCCGCCTATCGTGGATATCGATTCCGACGTCTCCTCTTCGTCAGGGCCATCTTCAGGCCCAGAGTCATCATCGAAGATCGTTTTTCGCTTTGCAGGAGGTGGTCTTTGACCTAATGGAGGCTTCTTGGTAACATTCAACCCGTATGATAAGACGGGCATGACGTCTAGAATGATTCCAGAATTTTGTGAAGTTCAATTCCAAGACTTTGAACAGCCCGCCAAGACATTTCTCTCCGGGGACTCCATCCGACTGTTCGAGCGGCCGAAAATTGCTTTCCTCATCAGATGCGTGAGCACTATCCTAACTTTTGCCGTTTGGTATTAATGACAGTAAATGAATCTCAAGATAGAACAAGCAGTGATACATCGACCAAGTCTGGAGCTTCTAGAAGTCGTCCGCAGCTATTGTTCACGTCATGACTCTCTTGCCGTCACTAGACCCAAACGAACGTTCATGTACGTCTTTTATGTGGGCTCTCTATGTTGTAAAAGGAATCTGTTTGAATACATGATCAGCTGAAGAATTAGACCATATCTCTTTGTCGTAGAAACAATTGTCCCCAATCCTTTAAACACTTGCTCCAATCCTGTTCCCATACCTAGTGAAAATCTGTGAGGATGGTCATTTTACTCTCGAAAATCGTTTGAACATAGTTTACTTACGATCTATACGACGACGTGGCACTTTTGTCTGATTTCTCGTATCAAGCAAACATTTTCTAGCATCATGCGGCTTGGAAAATCTTCCTGGGAGGCCACTGCTGCGGCGAAGAGGGCAAATACCCATGCCAAAATCCCTCGAGACTGGCTGCTCGAGAAGTCAGCATTAGAAAAAGCATCAAGAGAGAGGAATTTAACGGGGCAATTCATTGAAGGACACCTTTCGACTGATGAGATCTTGATAACCAATCGTCCTGCGACTTCTCTTGTGGCTTTGATCCAGGCAGGAAAATACAGTGCTTTGGAGGTTACTCGAGCGTTCTGCAAGAGAACAGCAATTTCGCAGCAAATTGTAGGTGACTAAAGATTGAAAAAGTAACTCTGGGTTCAAGTAAAACCTTGATACACTCCATTTTGATGTGAATCAAATCGTCCTTTAGCCTTGTTCCTGGCCATTGCATTGCCGGCCCTGGTACTTTTTCCGCTCATGCCGCACGACTGATCCGCGTCCTGCTGACATAACTACTCGCCAATAGAACAATTGTCTGCACGAGATTTTCTTCGACCAAGCATTCCGGCGAGCAGAAGAACTAGATGCCTACTATGATCAGCACAAAACCACTATTGGCCCTCTACATGGCTTACCTATCAGTCTCAAAGATCAATTTCACGTTCGTGGTATTGATACCTCCATGGCATTCATTGGATGGCTTGACACATATGAAGGCAGCAAAGACCCTAGATTAGTACATCAAGTTGACAGTCAGATTGTATCTGAACTTTTACGATTGGGCGCTGTCCTTTACTGCAAGGTTCGTGAAAGCTTTCGGAGTCCAAATATCAGTACTGACATTAAGTAGACGAGTCTAGTACAGACACTTCTAGTAAGATTGAAATTCTACCCTACATGGGCCACACTTTTGGGCAGAGCCATGCTTACATGAGATCAAAGTATGGGGAGACAATAAACAACCTGATTGGAACTACCCTCAATCCTGTCAATCAAAGGCTGTCGTGTGGCGGGTCATCCGGAGGTAAACATCCTTACGATTTCAAACTTATGAAAGGCTATGCTTAAGCGCCCTAGGAGAAGGAGCCCTGTCGGCATTGGGCGGCAGTCCCTTGGGACTCGGCACAGATATTGGTGAGCATGCCCCCAAGTGGCAGAGAACACCTCAATTGACGTTTGAGATATAGGTGGCTCTGTGAGAATTCCAGCGGCCTTCTGTGGTATATTCTCGATCAAGCCGACGCCTGGTCGATTTTCATACCGTGATGTAGCCAATGTGGTAAGTTGCACAAAACCAAGATTTAATCAGTTCTCGTCTGACTTGTGGGCCTAGACACCAGGTCAAACGACGTATTCTTCAGCGGTAGGCTTCATGAGCTCAACACTAGACGCCCTACATCTAATCATGAGTTCCGTCTTGTCAATATCACCTTGGCTTCGTGACCCATACGTTATGCCAATTCCGTGGCGTGAAAAAGATGTCACACGGACGCTGTCAAGAGCAGCTGCAAATGGGAGCTCTGACAATGAGATGCCTTTGAAGTTTGGCATATATTGGAACGATGGCGTCGTTACGCCTCACCCACCAATACAAAGAGGTCTCCACATGGTCGCAAATGCGATCAAGAAAGCTGGCCATAGGGCACGTTTTGAAAACAGCCCTTACCTTTGCGACTATTTTAACCAGAATGCTAGATAATTGAGTGGAAGCCGCCTTCTCAAAAGCTCGCTCAGAAGATCCACGTGAGCACTTCTAACAAGGTAAGGTAATTTTGCTAACCTCTATCATCACAACCAGATCGCCTTCCTGACAACAGATGGTGCTCATGATATTCACAAACAACTGGGCCTTTCTGGCGAGCCATTGATACCTCCTCCATTGCGCAACGCTTTCAAGCTTAGAGACCCAACGTCAGTGCTCGAATTGCAAGCATTGACAATGCAAGGGAGGGATCTCGAAGAAGCCTATTCGGACTACTGGAACTCGCAAACACTAGAAGACGGGTTGTAAAATATGGGCTACTCTTATGAAGCGGTCAGGCTAATGTCTACCAGGTCAGATCGTTGATGCAGTCATAATGCCTGTAGCACCACATGCTGCAGTTATTCCAGGGAAATACTACCACACAGGTAAGAGATGATTCCTGCATTGTTGAGACGTTCCTAAATACCAACATTTCGCAGCGTACACTGAGGCAATCAACCTCTTGAATTATTCCGTGGTAGTAATACCAGTCACCAGGGCAAGCAAGAATGTGGACAAGGCGGACGAAGGCTTCGAGCCACTTAATGAGACTGATGCTAAGAACTGGGAAGCTTGTGAGTTCCATCAACCTGAATTGATTATCTCTTGACTGATGGTCCTTTAGACAATGCAGATACGTATGATGGCGCCCCTGTCGGCTTACAAGTTGTTGGGGGCAAATTTGAGGAGGAGAAGGTTTGGGCTGTCGCCAAAATCGTGTCTAACATATTGCATGGGCACAATGAATCATGATCAGATAAAGCCAGCAGATTAGATGAAAACCGATGGATCGAACTACCTTCCAACATTCTCTAACAGAGCTGGCAGAGTTTCGAAAGTAATGTATAGACGGTCTAGAGTTATTACACTAAACATTGTTGTATTCGTCTCATAGCGATTTCTTCAAATCAATCGAGATTTGTGACGGCAATCCTTTTTGAAGTGCCCATAGGATTATAATGGCTGGCAAGCGAGAGTAGGTAGTCAAGGCTGCAGAAATTCTCAGGGGCTGCATTAAAAGCATCAACCAGCTGTACAATTGATCATGACTGGGTAATATCCATCATATCGCATCACCTCCTTCATCCATCGACCTAGTACTATGGGATATTTTTCTCGAATGTCCGCCGTCCCTTCAGGCCTAGTCATGGCCTCACCGCCACCCTGTGATATCGACTCTACCTCTCCCGCTCCCTCAATCACAGAGCCATTCCGCTTCAAACGCAAAAGATCCCCCACATCCTCCTCACAAAATCACCCCTCCTCTCACCCCCGCCATCACCATCACCACCGCCATCACCACCGCTCCCGCCGACGCCCCCACACCCCCCGCACCCCCTCCCCAATCCGACAAGACCCTATAGATGCAGACACTGCATTCCGCGAATCCCTCTTCGATGCCCTCGCCGACGACGAAGGGGCCGCATACTGGGAAGGCGTCTACGGGCAGCCCGTGCACACCTACTCGCCCTATCTCCCGACCACATCCGTGAACGAAGATGGAGAGACGACATTAGAGCGCATGACGGATGAAGAGTACGTGAAATATGTGCGGGGGAAGATGTGGGAGAAGAGTCATGAGTATATTTATGAGGAGAGGAAGAGGAGGGAAGAGGGAAGGCAGCGACAGAAGCAGAGGGAGGAGGAGCAGAGGGTGTGGGAGGAAGGGGTTGAGGAAGCGTTGAGGAGGGGGGAAGAGAGGAGAAAGAGGGGAAGGTGGAGGGGGGTTTGGGAGGGGTATTTGGGGGCTTGGGAGGAGGAAGTGCAGGCTGAGGATAAGGGTGGTGGACAGGGCAGTAGAAGGGCGAGGGAGGTGATCAGGTGGCCGGTTGAGTCGGGGAAGTGGGAGGATGTGGAGAAGGAGGGCATTGAGCTATTTTATCGACATGCGCCCCAAGCTGCAAAGGGGGTGCGGTAGAGTTGGTGGACGTGTTAAAGAAGGAGAGGGTGAAATGGCATCCGGATAAGATGCAACAGAGGGCTGGGCCAGGGGGATTGGACAAGGAGGCGATGGGGTTAGTGACCGCTGTATTTCAAGTGGTTGATCGATTATGGGGTGACTCGAAGGGCAAGTCGTGAGACATGGAGTTTTGCATAAGATACCCACTGTAGCGCCAGATTCTGCGGGAGAAAGCTGTATGAGAAAATCATAAGCATTTCATTATGCTTTGATGCTCTTAAATGATTTTCAGTAAGGATTATTCTCCCAGCTTCTCCGACGCTATTCGCGTGAGTCAGACGCAGAGAAACATTACTCACGGTTCCCATTTGGCCTCTCGATTGCTGAGACCGAGTTCTAGCATATGCCGGCGCAGAGAAAGCCTCGCCACTTAGCAACCAGCCGGATCAAGTATCGTTACACGTGTGTACGTCCACACAGTCAATGGTTTGCGAACTCCTTGCCCAGTATGAAATGCTTTAAATTTACCCACCATCCAATAATAGATACCCAGTCCCATAGCGGCGTGTCCAAGACTACTGCATGATCGCATTCCAAAACTCGACCTATGTGGTCGATCCACTTTCGAACTTCAGAACTCTTTGAAAAGGTAGCCATGCCTAAGGACATTAGGATTTTCGGCATTCGAAGAGATCAGGATCACTTACGGATCGGCACCTTTTCGTCCGTACTCCTCTGTCTCTTCGGGATACTTGTCGAATTGGCTGGCGTCTCCTATGCCGCCCTGAACCGGAGGCACATAAGGTGCATCAATCTCCTTCTTCAGCAAGCGGTCCCACGTGACTTCCTGAAACCAGGCGTGATTCATGACGTCTTTTGAACCTGCGTGCAGATTGCCAAGTCGTTTTGTCAGGTCGTGAGTTATCAATCTTTCGAGTAGATTCTGCGCGTCGTGATGGATATAAGGCGGGTACTTGATCTTCCCTCGCAGGATGTTTTCGTAGATCTTCATTGGTGATCCGCCATCCCAGAAAGGGGTAAATCCACATAGCATCTCAAATATGAGTATGCCCAATGACCACCTATAATTCTCAATCAGAAGTGCTACTGACGGGACGGTCTAATATTTACCAGTCGACGGATTTATTGTATCCCTTCGAAGCAACAACTTCCGGGGCAAGATAATCGGGTGTACCGCAGAGCGTCCAGGTAATGTCTGGCACTTCTTTGGCAAACCCGAAATCAGTAATCTTCAGGTGACCGTGCCTATCCAGAAGCAGATTCTCGGGCTTTAGGTCTCGGTATATTATGCCCTGTGAATGTAGGTAGTCCAGAGCGAGGGTGACCTCAGCAGCATAGAATTTGGCAACAGGGTTTGGGAAACGCTACGCGCCTGGTCAGCTTGCGAGAGGGAATGCGAAGGTCTGCTTACCTGCGATTTACGCAGAAGACTGAAGAGTTCACCACCTTCAACGAAGTCCATCACCATGTAAAGGTTCCAAGAGTCCTGGAATGTGCCCCAAAGGGTGACGAGGAAGGGGTGCTTTACTTTGCATAACATTTTGCGTTCGTCGTTCGTGTGTTCTACTTGCTTCATTTTGACAACCTGAGCCTTCTTCAATACCTTCACAGCGTAGTACCGCTGATTGTGGTTCGATTGGACCAGGTGCACCCGCCCAAAGCTCCCAGTCCCCAATGTTCGCTTCAAAGCAAAGTCGGTCAATTGGTACTTGCCCTTGGTATTTCGCGGTACGGAAGGTTGATGATTTGATGGCACAACGGGAGATGCGCTCGCGCCATTCGTCTGCCCTTGATTGTAGGCTGCAGACGCTCCGTCGTAACCCCCGATCGTGGTCGGGTCGCCAGGCTCCCCGCTGCGCGGCGCTGAGGTTGGGTTTGTGGCCATTGTCGGATCTAGCTGCATTGGGTCGCCTACCTTCTCGGAGCTGTTTGCTGTTGTGACTGTGCCGGGTGATGCGGATTGAAGAGACTCCTTGTGTGCAGAAGCTACCGCTGGAGCAGCATGATGAGGTTGGTGATGATGATGGTCAACGGGAGAGGATGGTTCGTGAGAATCATGACCTTCTTTTGTCTTTTTCTTCTTCAAGAATCCGAGAGTCGGCATGAAGGTCTAGGCAGGTGCGATCGGGAGGATGCAGCGTCGTTAGGGAAGGGAAGGTACTGTAGTCCTTTGCGGTTAATTGACGTGTGGCTGCCTCTGCGGATTGTTTGTGGCTTGTTTGGTCTGAGGAATGGAAACGGTCCCACAGGAGGTTCTAATTCGTGCGTATGAGGCGGGTAGGTGCTTCGTTTGCCATTCACTTGACTGAACGTGATCAGATATGGAACAAAGTGAACAATGGAGACCTGTTGGGTGGTAGGACGGTCAAAAAGTGGGCAACTGGAGTCAACGGCAGAGGCGGAGAAATGGCGGGGTTGGATGGTCAGTCTATGGCGGGGGGGGCAGAGACTCGGAGTGTGGCCAGCGCAGCGGAATAGGAAAGATTAAGAGGGGAGGTAATGCTGGTGTGGATACAGGTAGGAAGAATGACAAGCAAAAGAATGGTGGAGGGTGCCTGCAGTTTCAGAGTTGCGAAGAGGGGTCTTGGTGTGTCTGTGTCTTGGTGGGTGAAGATAGGAATCGATGCTAACGGTCTCGACTGCAATTGGTAGGAAGGAAGAGGAAGCGCAGCTCTCTGCCGATCACCCTGCGTTTTAGCCGCTTCGAGCGTTAGATGCTTCGATATCTCAGTCGTCGCTTTCCATCGCACGTGTATCTACGTCAAGAGAAGAAGATCTCATGGTAATGGCAAACGATGACTGAGCACCCCATGAGATGGGTATATCAGAAGCTGTAAGCCAGAGCAGACACGACCAGGTGGACTGCGGCAAGGGCATCGAATATTCAAGATGGAGTGCCAAGAGATGTCCCACTGGTCGTGTGGCCGAAAGCGGCTGTAGAGGCCGCATCGGAGAATAAAGTGAATGGCCCTCCATCTTGCCGACTTTGCGAGCGAAGGGGAACGTCGTCAGGTGCATGCAAGACCTCATAGGCTCATGGGTGAGATCTGTCAGATGTATCTCGTAAGATTTCATCGTCAATCTCATGCGGGTGACTGACCCCTGAATTCTACTTTGGATATATCAAAGAGTATACAATCTACCGCCTGCGCCAGTAACTCCGCGCTAGTTCAAATGTTGCCCAGTACCTCATCAAGCCGTCAAAGCGTGACTGACTCCCAAAATTCCCATCCCAATAAACGCGAAGGCCGTACAGATATGTCGATTGTGGGTCAAAGTCAAACTCTCTTGGAACAGCTGCAGAGCGACGCTGGCCATGATTCCTGCTGTAATAGCGAACATACATCCATAGACAGTATCACCCGGCTTCATTCCCCCCGTTCCTGCCAGTTTGAACCATAGCGCAGCAACACCGGCGCCGAAAGGCTGGCTAACACCGCCGAGCAGCGAGCTCCAGAGCATAGCTTGAAATCGATTGTTGATTGCAAGATATAGCGGGAGTGCCATTGCGAAGCCTTCGGTGATGTTATGAATGAATAAAGCCATGAAGACGCTGAACCCTAGTTGAGGGTTCGCGTGGTTCGTTGCGTAGGTGATGAACCCCTCTGGTAGTTTGTGCAGAGCGATTGCGATTGAAGTCTGGAGGCCGATCGCTAAAAAGGCATTACTCGGAACATGATGGTGGTGGGAAGCATCGTGAGCTGTTGACGAATCGGTTGACGCTGTTGACTCCTCTTCTCCACTATCACTCGCTACGTCACTAGCCGCTCGCTCAAGATCCAGGTGTGAAGCAGAGGTCCCACGGATCCTTTCTCGACCGCGAGATTCAGCCATCGTAGACGACTTAGACTCACAAATCGACGACCTGACCGCAACTGGCGCTCGAGGATCCAGAAACCGAGTCTCCCCGCCAGATGTCTGAGTATGCGTTGGCGTGGGTCGTACTCGACCAGCTGTAGCTGTGCGCAGAAGGGTTGGCTGACGCCAAAAGCCTGGATTCATGGACCGTCCAAATCCTCGTGTAGGACTCCTGCTTGCTACCTTAACACACTCATCTCCACATGGATCACTATAGCCGTAGCAAGGATCATCTTCGATACATGATGCCTTGCCCCCACCAATAAGTGATTTCACGCGGGTCGAAAGTGTAGGCTGTAGACTTGGTCTTCGAGATGCGGGAGGATCATGATCATTCGTCTTTGAGGTGCAAGCCATATTCTGTTCCAGATCATGCTCTGTATGAGACATAAGAGGCGTTCTTTCGTCAGCGTGTCCATTGCCTTGATATGAGTGTCCGTTGAGCATTGCGTGTTTGTCGTGGTCATGTTCTTCCATTTCATCGTCTCCATGCGTATGATCGCAGTCTACAACATGGGAGGGAATGTACTGATGAAGGACATGAGAGAAGAATTGTATGCCCACGACGCCTCCCAAAAAGCACACGATCAATATCCACGGAGCGGTAGCTTTCGAGCTCAGTCCTTTCTCCAAATACGTCTGAGCCTCTGGGAGCATGTTATTCAAAGACGAGAAGAGCATGACTCCGAAGCTAAGACTCAAAGATGCAGCAAGAAAGCCATTGCTGTCCTGTATCCGAAAATGTTGCTTCCCGGGAAACCTTTGAATGATCAGGTCCACGCATATGATACTCGCTCCCACGACGCAAGCTACTGCCTATCAACAACGCTTCTGCCTGATTTCATTTGAGAAGCACATACCTATACCACTGACGCACGTCATTATCCATCCTCGAGTATCATTTTCTAACCCCATTGCTGCGGAGAGCAGCAGGGTAGGGCGAGCTCAGGGCCGCAAATTCGGATAGTCAGGAGTTGATCAGACGCAGCAAACAAACGAGTGTAAGGATAGCAATTAAATGGCACGATGTTGTTAAGTGGTTTATAGGGAAGAGGTAGAGAAGGACACAAGGGTACATTTTCCAAGAAGTGCTAATCGATTGACAAGTGAATGACGTCCACTAGCACCAGCCTAGCGACCGCTGTTTCCCCAAGCAGATGATTGGGTCAGAAGCTCAGGCACGACTTCTACATCACGCGCCGTCTTCAGCATCTTCGCGACTGCCTACGCCTGTGAATGAGGACTCTATAAGAGTTGACGGTGCGCCGTCACTCTCCTAGTAAGCTCTGTATGCTTTACTATGTCCAAGACTACACTCGCTATCATCGCCGCTGCCTCTGCAGCCTCAGGCGCAGCTATAACAGCCACGATTTTTTCGGGCAGAAATCGAAAGCCGAATCCAACGCCTACATCAGCACCTTTCCCATCTTCAACTACTTCAGCACCCCTACCTTCCCAGGTTCACCATCTCAAAGAACTCATACCTCCCGTCAACCCCAATGGCCTATTTCAATACGGCTTTCCCGGCCCCGTAAATGACCTTCACCCAACCCTCAGTACAACCTCCGCCTTCGATCGACGTACGCGCAACCCAATCTGGGTCGCCGAGCATATCACTCCTGCCTCAATATCTGCCAACAATGCGGACAGAAAACACAGCATCTTTGAGGAAGACCTCACGATCCCTGAAAAGTTTCGCGCGAAATTGAAAGACTACTACCGGTCAGGCTACGATCGCGGCCACCAAGTACCAGCCGCGGACGCAAAATGGAGCCAGAGCGCGCTCGATCAGACGTTCTTATTGTCGAACATGTGCCCACAGGTTGGGGACGGCTTCAACAGGGACTACTGGGCACATTTCGAGGATTTTTGCCGCAGACTGACGAACAATTACCCTTCCGTCCGAATCGTCACGGGCCCGCTTTACCTCCCTAAACGAGATCCGGATGATGGTAAATGGCGCGTCTCGTACGAAGTCATAGGATCACCGCCAAATGTCGCAGTCCCCACGCACTTTTACAAAGTAATCTTCGCTGAGGATGGGAAGCCGGGGGGGAACGTGAGCCTTGGGGCTTTTGTGCTGCCAAATGCGCGAATCGATAGTGAGAAGCCTCTCAAAGACTTTGAAGTGCCGATTGATGCGATTGAGAGGGCTGCTGGGCTGGACTTTGCCACGGAGCTGCCTGCTACGCGGAGAAGAAGATTGTGTGAGGAGGTGCGTTGCTCGATCATTGTCAGGGAGTATATGGATCGGCACAAGGACTTGATGGGGACAAGTCCGGGTAAGAAGGTCTTGCCGGCGTCGAGATGAGAAGGAGTGCGGTATATTGCCAGTGATTAACAGCTGACGGTTTGGAAGATGAGTTTCTCTCTTGGCATCTTGCAGCGTAGTGAGGCATAGCGAGGCGCCCTAGCAGTACGTGAACACAGTTGCCTTCATGTGTATCGTTCTACCGAGCTTTCAAGTCGTGGTTCCAACTGAGAGAACTTGTACAGCATCTTATTCTTCGCCCTCCATCGTACAGCTCTATTTCATGTCATATGCAAGTATTCAAGAAATTTGTCCTCCCCTCACAATGCTGTTATGCTGCTCAACCTCCAAAGCCAAACCCCCCACCCGACTGTAATCGACTCTGAGCTCGTTGTACGTAGGTCTTATGCACTTGGTTAAATGTAGCCAAGTATTTCTCCGCGCAAGTCGTGAGGCAGCTTTCTTCTTTTCTTGACAGTGAGGAACTAGGGGACGGGATGCATTTCTCGTAGCAGTGATTGTTTAAGTTCTAGCAATCATAGTCAGCAATGGAAACCCTGCACCTGGTATCGGTGGTCGGTAGGGGGCGGAGACTGTACTGTAATGAGCTGTTTGGCATTCGAAATTGCAGCTTCGCGTTGTATCTGTTGTATGACGGCGGTCTTTGGGTCAGCAGAGAATTGGGTGTTGATTGATGATTGATCCATGGTGAGAATATACGACCGTCAATAGAGAGAACCTGGATGTCAGGAAGTGGTTGTTTGCGAAGCTCTAATACTATGGCCCCGAGATGGATCGAGTGCTGACGTTCATGACCGGACTTTTTTTCTGGAGCATCATAGGGCCGCAGATTCTGCGGAAGCGGCAAGGTCCGGGGGGCAATGCGCCTGAAGTCTAGCCCGGAGTTGTGAAACATGTGAGAAAGGACAGCTTGAACAAATATGCCACACCACACGTGACCATGATCCTTACCTTCTTCATCCCTCCTCGTCCATCTATTATGTCGTGATAATACTATCAAACCCTAAAAGGACAAAACTCTGAACATGGAGCTGCGGTGGATCACCAGCCTGTCATGGCTGCTCTCCTTGTGTGGCATGATACTTGCGGCCATGGAGGTGAAAGACGATATGAGCATTCGGAAGATACCTGTACGTTTGCACTACATACAAAATATGCTTGCAGTACTGATATGTTGTTTTCGTACAGCTCCGCTCTCAATCCCTCCAAGCTCCATACCTCGATTCCGACATGCAGTCCCGCTACTTTGAGTTTGGAGAAGACACCATAATCCGAGCAGATCAATACATACGGCTCACATCGGATCGACAAGGACAGATGGGATGGCTTTTTGCTAGAATGCCCATGACGGCCAACAATTGGCAGGTGGAAATGGAGTTTAAGATCCATGGGGCGGGGCATCTGCATGGCGATGGAATGGCCATATGGATGACAGAGGAAAGAGCACAACCGGGCAAGGTGTTTGGCAGTAGAGATCAATTTAACGGGCTGGGCGTTTTTATCGACACATACAAGAATTCGAGGCCAGGGACAGTGTTCCCGTACGTGATGGCCATGCTTGGAAATAGCAGCGTGACATATGACAAAGACCATGATGGCAAAGAGAATGAGCTTGCAGGTTGCTCGGTACGAAAACCCACCTTCGTGAATCAAGACCCTTACAACAAGGACTAACATGCATTCAGGCAAGAGGCATACGCGGCGCCGAGGACCCACCGACGAAAAAAATCCGATTGACGTACTATCAAGACGCATCATTGAAAGTCGAGTTGCAATACAAGAAAGATGCTGCGCCCGATGAGTGGACGGAGTGCTTCGAAACAGGAGCTATCAAATTGCCACAAACGACATACCTAGGCTTCACTGCTGAGACAGGAGAGTTGTCAGATAATCACGACATTATCAGTGTGAATACGCACAACTTACATATACGGAACCACAAACCGGTAGATAACAAGAAGGAAGGATCAGCAACTCAGCCGAAAGTACCTGAGGCTCGTCCATACAATCCTGGAGGGGAGAAAGAGAGAGGAAGCTGGAGATGGTTCCTCCTAAAGATCGTGCTGTTTGGTATCGTAGTCGTTGGTGGCTATGTGGGATGGACGGTATATAGAGCGAACAAAAGGACGAGATTTTGAATGAAAATACTTTCTTGTATCATAGCAGTGAAAGCCATCGACTTCGCTCATCGTATCTTGATTTGAGCGTCAGTCAATACAATGAAGATGGTGGTAAGAGGTCTGATATGGTCGGCATCGTGTGAAGCTAATTGCTGACAGCTGCTGCATCAAACTTGCACGCAAGCAACGGTCCCTCCCGAAGCTGCAGCTGGTGCTACACCCTAATGCAGTATCCCGCACCGTATCATCTTTTCACCTTTCTCCATCGCTTGACAGTGGCTCTTCGGCTTCGGATCAGCCTTGCTGTGATTTTCGGTAAGGCGGGCACCCGTCCTTCCGCAAGCCCCGCTATGAACAGGACGAATTCAAGCCCGTCGGCGCGGGAAGAGAATAGTGCCGACGGGAGTACCTTATACAGCTCATTTAAAATTGACACTTATATGCCTAATCCTCAATCCTTGTCCTTCGCCCAGTCTCTTCCTTCCAACATTGAAACATCCCAAGCCAGTTCACCCATACCTCCACCTCTTAAAGATGGCCTCTCTTACAATTTCACCAGACTTTGGGTACCACGGCCTCCTTTGCCCCCTTCTCCCTCACCCTTGCCGATGTCCTCAATACTAACCACCAATACCCAAGCTACGTAATCATCTCCACTCTCCTCTCAACAACAGTTCACTATTGGCACGCCTACATCGTCGTCAAACACCGTCAGTCGTCCAAAATCGGATATCCAAATGCCTACGCCACTGCGACTGAGGCAACCGAGTCTAAGGAGAAGTACCAGTTTAATTGTGCGCAGAGAGCGCATGCGCAATTCCTTGAACATTGGCCTTTTATGGTGGGGAGTATGGCTTTGGGAGGCTTGACTTGTATGCGAATCCCTTTTTCCCCTTGAGCTTCGTATTCTACTTGATTCATTGCGGAAGCAATGCAACTAGAAATCTGGAGAAGAGTAAAGGAGGGAAATCACGATCGAGAAGGGAAAACACTAATGTCTTTTGTGATACAGATCCCGTATCAAGCGCAGTGCTAGGGGTGGCATGGTCTGTAGCGAGGGTGATGTATACGCAGGGTTATCTCGACGATTCGAAGCCGGCTGGAAAGGGGAGATATAAGGGGCTCTGGTATTTGTATGCGCAGTTTGGACTGCATGGGCTGGCGGGAATGACGGCTTGGAAGTTGTTGATGGGTTGAGTAGAGCGAGTGCTAGCTTCAAGACTCGACACGTCCTACGGACGCGAGTGAAAGCGAACAATTGCAATGTTGCTCGTCTGAGGGTCAGTGCCTTGATGAGTGGATCGTATGAAAAATCTCAGCTCAAAACGTTATTAAGTTGAGAGAATGCTTCATCCAACACCAACTGACTGGATGTGAACTTATTTCTCGCTTAGAAAGGCATTCATTACTCCAGAGATGGCAAAGATTCCACTATACTTACCAGTGCATTACCTTTGCACTCCTTCGCTGAACTTTTGACACAAGATCAGGATTGAAGGTCCGCTCGAATGCCTTACACCTCCGCCCGCCTAATCTTGATGTTGTTGCTGACACTCCGCATGGAAAGCCAGAAGATGCTGCTTTTCAGCAGGGTCGAGCAGCTTCAACTCAGATAATGGCACCTATGATAGATGGCTAGGCAAGGTAGGAACGTATAATAGTCGAAAGCAATTATAGCTCCAGTCTGTCGTAGCAGAACAATCAAGATACTGCACCAGATAGGTCCTTCAAAAATGCGGCATTTATCACCCAGGTCATCCCGTGGAAACAACTTTGCTTCAGCATCAAGGGCTTTCGCTTTCTGTTGGGCGGATAGTCTTGGCCTGAGATAGTCTTCCTCCAGCAAGAAGAGTAGCCGATAGAACAAATGCGAGACCAATATGGCTTGCACACTCAGTTTACAATGGCTGGTGAGCTAAGATTCGGGCCAGATACTGGGGATGATTGAGTCATTCGGGAGAGTATTGTTAAAATCATCTTGCAGGCCTGAACCGATTCCTCTGTTGCTCCATCATCAAACTTTCTTGTTGGCTAGGCAGTGGGCCCCTTCTTCTCAAGCTACCAGTTGATCCGTTGTCACCTGCAATCTCTGGTACGTTCATGACACCAGGGTTGCCCGGGGGTGGAGGCAGAGTACCTGCTGGAGTTGGATACATTTGTGGTGGCGGAGGTGGGAACATGCCAGGAGGAAACTTGGATGGATCGAAGTTCGGAAAGGGTGGTGGGGGGAGACCTGGATTCTGCCCGTTGACGAGTGGGGGAGGAGGCAGGATACCACCGCTAGCCATAAGCGCTTTGAAGCGTTCTGGGTCCATTGATGCGATTGCGTTAGGTTCATCAGATATGGGCGGAGGCATTCCTGCCCCTCCACGTATATGTGGTTGAGGATTTCCATTCCTCATACCATTGCCTTCACCATTGATAGCCATAGATAGACCTGGTAAGCCCGGTAGACCTGATTGTTTGACGGGCATTTGCTGATCCTCGAGTCCCTCTGCCTCATCTTCCAGTTCCTGCTGCTCAATCTCGTGCATCATCTTCCGTCCGCCGCGCTTGTCCCATGTGCCCCGTTTCGCTGCTTCATCCTCTCCAAGGTGATATCTATCATTGAAGCAGTCAGTCTCACCAGGTCTTGCTCTTGTCCAAAATCGAGTGACCCGGTCATTGGAACCCGAGGCCAAAATGTGACCAAGTGGATGCCAGTCGAGGGACCATACTGAAAAGTCATGCGCATATTGGACTTTGTGAGCAGGATAAATTGTCTGAGCTGGCGCGTTGGATGGATCAAGACTGTCATATGGAGGTATTGAGGTCGCTGTGCCTGTAGGCGCATTAGGCTCATCGAGAAGATAATGATAGATACTGCCGTCTGCTCCGCCCGTTGATAGAAGCGAAGCGTGGGTTGGATGCCAAGCAAGCGTTGAGATGTCCTTCTCGTTTCCCTTCAGCAGACAAATGTCTCGCATCATACGCAAATCAAAGACCCGAGCAGTCTGGTCCCGAGCACAAGTCGCCAGTAGTTGACCTCTAGTTGGTTCGAATTTTGTCCTGGCTATGGTATTCTTGTGTCCGTGCAACGTTGTCAAGCATCTGCCAGTTCTCGGATCCCACAATTTGACCTGATGATCCTTGGATCCCGAGACCAGAAGACCTTTGGTAGGGTGCCAATCCACGGCCTTGACATCCCAATTGTGACCCAAAAGCGATGATTCCTTAGCACCCTCTGCAAAATCGAAGATGTTTAATGAACGGTCATCGCACGCTGTTACAAACTTGCTGTCATTGGGAGAGAAGGCAATGTCACGAATGGCTTCAAGATGGGCTTGCATGACTTTGACATTATTGAAATTAGTTTGCCAGTACTTTACAACGCCATCCTGATCTGCCGAGATCAGCCAATCTTCATTGTGAGAATAGACAGCTGCTCTGATGGCCGAGTCATGAGCCTGTAGGATCGTCTCAAAGTTGAACGCCATTCCATTCCATAAAGTGAACTCGCCGCTGCTGGACCCCGTCAGCAGTCTTCGGCCCTCTGGTGTCCATTTGACGATGTTAATAGGGTGCTTGATCTTGTTCAAGGAGGAATGAAGCATCTTTGGCGGTATCGCGTCCGCTGCAGTCTGGTTTCGAGCACCAGGTGGTAGCATGTCGACTACGTGACTAGCGAAGGGCCGCTCGGTCTCGAGGCGCGTCCCTCCCCTATATCTTTGTTCGCGATATCGCATCCATTGTACCATCGAGGAACCATAGTCCGTAACATTTCCTGTGCCTCGATAAGCATGTGCTCGGATGAACAAAACTGAACCGCTAAGAATTTGTGAAAGGCGTCACGCAACATACTCCTCATGAATGGCTTTCTGAACCCCCCCTGCTCGTTACCACCTCCGAACCCGTGATAAAAGTCTCTTTCCATAATCAGCGACCGATCATGCCCGGTTGAAGATTGCCTTTCGACAAGTGACCGGTTGGTTCGCAATTGGATGGGAAATATGGAGGTGCTTTCAAGCTTGCACTCCGCGCGGTGGGTACTAGCGCGCCAAGACATATGTCGTGCATAAGCGTGCATAAGCGTGCATAAGAGTGTGAGAAAAGTGGGCCGGCCCCAACGGTTATCAACAATCTCTCCACGTCCCTCATATCTGTACCCTGGTTTCCTTCCTTTCGGCGTTGGTGGCTTTCGTCTTTCCTTGGGCTATGGGACTTTCTCTTCATCATTCGATTTTTGGCTCGTCAGGCCTCCTAGTAACTTGAATCGCTTCCATTATGGCCACCACAGTGACTAGCATCGCAGCCACGGCCGAGGGCCATGTAGCTTCCACGAGGAAGGCCACCAGCAAGGACTCCCAAGACCGTCGATCATCAAAGGGAAATTCTGTTCGTCCGAATGCAGCCAGCTTGAAGTATCTCCATGTCGCAGCTGTACACTCACAGATGCGGGCGTCCGCTTTGAGTCGGGATGCTGAGGCGACTCCCGATTATTTAGGATTCAGAAACTTGATGGTGCTTGTTTTGGTCGTCATGAACTTGCGATTGGTAATGGAGAACTTCATGAAATATGGTGTCTTGATCTGTATACGATGTCACGATTATTCTAAACAGGATCTCATACTTAGCACTCTGCTTTATGCAATGGTGCCATGCCACCTCTACGCTGCTTACGCCATAGAACTTGCCGCCGGTCGGCAGGCGAAAGAAGCCATAGCTCGAGCAAAACGCCTTGACCAGAAACCGCATCAGATACCTGCAATCGCTAAGAAGTTTCAAGCAACTTGGAAAATCATCGCCTTCGCCCACGGCGTGAATGCCACGCTCGCACTCTTAGTGACAACACTGACGGTCTATAATTACATCCATCACCCTTTGCTAGGCACCATCTCACAGATTCACGCTATCATTGTCTGGCTCAAGATTTGCTCGTACGCTTTCACGAACCGCGACCTGCGGTATACCCTTCTGAATCCGGAGGCCGCTGCCTCATTACCTGAACTTTATTCTCATTGTCCGTATCCATTGAACATCTCGATTTCCAATCTTAGCTACTTCTGGTGGGCACCGACTCTGGTTTACCAACCAGTCTATCCACGAACCAAAATCATCAGGTGGTCCTACGTTGCTAAGCGAATTGCCGAATGCTTTTCCCTCAGTATCTTCATCTGGTTAGCAAGTGCGCAATATGCGGCGCCTTTACTCCACAATTCTCTTTCCAAAATATCGTCTCTGGATCTTGCGAGTGTTGCTGAGCGCCTTATGAAGCTCTCCACCATATCATTGATCGTCTGGCTCGCCGGCTTCTTTGCAGTGTTTCATTCAGCCCTGAACGCACTTGCTGAAATCATGCGGTTTGGAGACCGCCAATTCTACGCCGACTGGTGGAATAGTCCTAGCGTTGGGGTCTACTGGCGTACCTGGAACAAACCAGTGTACCACTTTATGAGAAGGCATATTTACGGGCCTTTGGTTGCCAGAGGCTGGTCTTCCAACACAGCAAGCATGTGCGTCTTCGTTTTCAGCGGCTTCCTGCACGAGCTGCTTGTCGGAGTCCCAACCCATAATATCATAGGTGGGCTCAGCAGACGAACCAAAGTGCCATGGGAACACCGCTGATGTATTTACTAGGAGTGGCATTTATCGGTATGATCGTGCAAATACCCATGATCGCCATGACGATACCCTTAGAGAAGATGAAGGGGACGAACGGTAAAATGTTGGGTAATTGCATCTTTTGGATCAGTTTCTGCTTGGTCGGTCAACCACTGGCAGCCCTACTGTACTTTTTTGCGTGGCAGGCAAAATACGGTAGCGTCAGCAAGCAACGAAATGCTGTTTGAGGACGAGGTCACCTGTGCATCTAGACTGTATAAATCTATAGACGGAAGTCATCTGATAGAGAGAGAGCGAATTTGCCGCAAAATTTGCCTTCAACGGTTTCACAGACCACAACCTGGCGATACAGAACGAGGACTAACTAGCCCACAAGGCGAAGGCTAAGATCTGTCGCTCGAAACTCTCAGTGACCTACACATTGCAGATCAAGCAGCAATAGAAGTGTAAGAATTCCCATCCTGACTCGAGCGGAGTCTAGAATACAGAAAAGACAAGAGCAGTGTTTTTTTGGTCTGAATTTAACTTCCTAGTACTAAGGATCAGCCATGACAGGGTACTTAGACAAGACTCTTGAAAGTTTTAGACTACAAAAGTGAATGATTCTTTAAGCAGCGTTACTTATAAATCGCGCCATAAAAAAGTCTGTCAGCGGCGTATGTCATTGAAGATAGCATTGACAGCAGAAAAGTATAATAAGCATGCCACTATCAGAAGTAGACTTCCTTACTAACAATACCAACTTGGGAATAATTTGAATTTTTGGAAGTCGATGTCCCTGAATTTTGCCTGCTGCTAATCCATCAGCGCCAAACTTGAACGAAATAAAAATGACGCTTTTAATACTCTCACATTTTGCGAAAGGCAGATAGATATATTCGTAGCAGAGGTAGAGAGCAAGAGAACAAAAGTCGGAAATACTGAGGATTTGACTCTCTGGATTTGTTTACTGCGGCATTCGGTCAGACATAGAGCACGCTTAGGGAGGCAATACTATTTCCGAATGCTAACATCCAGCAATGGTATAACACCCAGCTTACAGCGCCTCCAATAAGTCGGGATCAGCAAGCGTAGTCAAACCTCATGTCATCGACGCGGCAATCCCAGTCACACCAGGGCTTCTCTCTGTCCAAACACTCCAACGAAGAAATTTGACCAACATGAAATGCCCTCAACCCGCCGCTTTGCCCCCATAAATCTCCATGCCACGCCTGATGTCCTCTACAATCTCCGCCGCCTCCTCTACATTCCCAGCCTCGAAATCATACCTCTTCTGCTCCTGCCCGCCTTCTCTTGCAACCACGACCCTCAAGCTCTTCGGATGCCTTCTACTGACTTTACATCCCACAATCATACTAAAGGGCACTTGTCGCGTCGCTTTGCTGTTAGTGGCACCATCGAAAAGCGTGCCCTTAGGTGCAGAGTCAGGCGTAAGGATGTGCATGAAGTCTTCGTCCATAAGCAGGATACGTTGTTGAGATGGCGCGAAGGACATGGGTTGCTTGCGGGTGACGGTGTAGCGCCGATATTTTGTCATGGTGGAACTGTTGGTGAGATTTGGGGAGAAGAGATCGTTTGTGCGAGCTTGGGCGAGAGGATGAATCAAGGGCGTGCGTTTTGCGGCGCCCCGCTTCGGAGAGTCGGAGGACGGAGTGAGGAGAGGGGCGTTTGGTGAGGAGCTGCCTGGAGAACCTGAGATGCCGATGGCGCCATCGTTGGCAAAGCGCCGGCGGACGAGGTCCAGCTCAAAGCGCGAGCCGAGGGCTTCGACAGTGCGGTCAACAGGAGCGATTGTGTTTGTGTTATAGATTTTTAGGATGTGGTAGGCCTTGTCGAGGTTCCATCGCTTGCAAACTGAGTCTAGTATCTCGGCTAGATATGTGTCTGTAGTGATTTCCATCGTGGTGACCTGGGACACGGCTTCGAGAGAAGTAAAGTGGACTTTCAGCTGTTTCTGCGCCCCCATTCTGGGAGTCGAGTGTACTGTGGGTAGATTTGATTTGTCTGCAGGTATAGTGGGAGGTTTGCGCGGTGCTGTTGTCGGAGAGTTTATTTGTGGTCTTTCAACGGATGTCTGGCTAGGCGGTGATACTTGTTCCGACTGCTCCTGGCTGTCACTAGAAGGAGTTGCATATTGCTCATACTTGGGAGTCAGAGTCTTGTTTTCCTGATACTGCGCATCGTTTGCTTCGACCAGTGCGAACTCATCATATGGCTTCTCTCGCGATCGACCTCTTAAGCCACGGTTGTTGTTTGATGTGAAATCCGTAATTGGTCTGGTCCGTGCAAGAGCGGGAAAGTCGAAGTCGACCTCGCCATCCTCAATCATCCTCAACGTCCAGCGATTGACATTCAGCTTCGACTCATCAATTAATGGTTTGAGATCCGCCTCTCTGTATCTCCAAAGTGCCAATCCAATGGCGTCCGCCACACTGGTCTGAGGTGTCTCCCCCGACTCGTTGTCCTGCACGTGCTTCAGCAACGGCATATCTATTGGTTTGGTTGAAGTCTCAGAGAAGGGCGCATAAATCCTAATGTATAGCGGATCCGGGACACCTTTGCCAGATAGCCTTGCGAAGGGCTCAACTGGATTTTTGGGCTTTGCTTTCCTAGCATTCAGGGCTTGACCAAGTAAGCTTACGGGAAGTATTGTGCTAATAGGCCTTGTACGGCCAAGATCTTGTAGAGTAGACGTTGCTAGAGTCTTGGGCTTTTTTGGAGAGGGCGAGTCTGAACGACCAAAGTTCAAAGGAGGTGGCATGTCCAGAGATCCAGCAGCTATGTCGTCAAGCAAAGACTCGGAGTCAGCAGTACCACCAAATTCGGACGAGATATCTGATCTATCTTCGGCTTCAGAACCCTCGTGGATGGTACCTGTGAGATTGAGCATCTGCTGCTGGCGTTCGTCCTCTTCATGCTTTTGCGAAAGTAGCTCTCCCGCTTTGGCTGCTCGGGAAGTGTTGACCTGTCTACGCTTGAAGAAAGACTGGTCAACTTCGTTTTCGGAAGAGAAATCGCTACTCGTCGTCGTGTCTCTTCTAGCGCGTTGCTTGACCGCTTCGACTCCTGTCAGAGATCCACTACGAAGCCTTCCCTCATGCGATCGCCTTGACGGCGAGATGATATTGACTTCGACACCGTCCCTGTAGGAGCTCCGGATAGGTGACGAGCCTGATCGATTTCGAAGGGGCATCTTGGCAAATTTGATTTGCTGAGCAGCTCTAGAAAATTTTAGAACTAATCATGATGAGCTCTCAATATATTTCCTGACCTTCGCGAGCTCTCGATATCATCCTCGCTGTCGTCGCTAAGGTCGCTGCTGTCATCTTCATCGTGTTGTTCTCGGCGTTTACGCCGCCTCACATTAGGTCTCGGGCCTACAGTATCCGCGCTCCCCCGTCCAGTCACCATGCCCCCCTCATCTTCCTCATCGTTGAAGCCAGGAGGGGGCAGTCCTGCCGATCTTGGCGCGTTGAAATAGTCAGAGGCGATAGCAGTGGGAATTGGTGGGGAATAAGTTCGCTTGGTTTCCGGCACATTTGAGGACCAGCCAGCAGCCCGAAAATTAGGATCATTTAAGATGGCGTTATCCACATTGATCAAGCGTTCACCAATACCATCTTTAATGTTCGTCAAGTACGAAGTACGCAATTGCCAGATGAGAAAGCTATATCATTCCATCAGACCACGAAACAGTTTGACGGAGAGAAAACGATCACGTAGCATCGTTTTAACTTCTTATATGTAATGCGAAATCCGACAAGAGAGGGAATGCAGCTCGCTTACTCTTCGTTTTGGAGGAGAGCCATCTCGAGTGCAAGATGGGGCTTTTATTTCTATAGATCTCTACTCCAACGGGAATTCCATAGATATCGATTGCACGGCAGAAGGTAGAGATGGCATATTCTGTTCCTCAGCTAGCAAAGGAGTGAGTCTCGATGAGGTCCAAATGCATTCTAGTCACCTTGTTAGTAGTTAGTAGTCGCCTTTGATAATGACGTGCAGTAGCTCCCGGGTAGGCGCCGCCCCCCACGTGGTACCAGAGGTCCCTGTGGCGGTCCCCGAAGAGGATTCTTTCCCAGACTTCTACTCACTCTATACAGACCTTATGCCAAGCCAGGAAAAACTACATTATCGCGAAAATGGCACTTGTTGATTATGGTAGCTCCGGGGAATCAGGATCGGAGCAAGATGCACCACCGCAGCCAGCCTCAAAGCCGAAAACTTTTGCTTCAAAGCATGGCTTCCAAAAACTCGTTGATAGTTCAAACCCTCAGAAGATCCGCGTCAACTTAGAACAGAAACAGGCCGCTGAAAATAAGAGCACTGCAGACGATGAGCGACCTTTGAAGAAAGCCAGAATTGAAGGCGGTGGCCTCAAAGATTTCAATGCACTTTTGCCCTCACCGAAGCGGCCGGCGGACGCGAAGGGTTCCATACGTGGTGGTCTTGGGAGAGGCGTAAGCCTTAAGACAGGGGCGACTCCAGGTTTTACAAGGGAACCTATGCCTCAAAGAGACCCTGCACCAACCGACGATGGGAGTGATAATTTCGAAGGTGACCCAGGAGCGCAAGATTGGAGAGCCCTTGCAGAAGATACATCGATCGGTACTGCACCTCATACTACATCGGCCGACCCGGCCCAAGCCCCTGTTAAGAAAGCGACAATGTTCAAACCGTTATCGGTGGCGCGAAAGCCTCAAAAGAAGAGACCTCTAGACAAGAGTAGCGAGCCCTCGAGGACGGTAGTAGCAAATGTAGATAATGGCGAGGCGGCAAAACCTGCGCCAAAGATCTCTTTATTCTCTAGTCAAAACATACCTTCAGACGGCTTTCGGACCGATCCCAACATGACAGTGAAGAAGGACTACCAGCCGATGCTCTACCAAGTATCGAGCCAGGACTATCTTCCCTCGGCCGCGTCATTACATCCTGAAGAGAGCAATACCATCCACTCACCCGCACCTCCAGCCGAAACTAACGCACCCATCCAAGATCAATCGCTCTCCTCCATCGCCACATCCCTCAACCTGACACCTTCCCAGACACGACAACTCCTCGGTCGTAACGCCACCAAATCTTCCTCAGCCCAAGCCGTCAAAATCACCAACGTCAATATAGACGAGGAGTATGCATCCAACGAGGCGCTCAGACAGGCAGGTGAGACAGTCCAGCATAATGCGGTGCGGCCAATACAGGGAGGTGGCAAACACAGCTTGAAGCAGCTGGTAAATTCTGCCGTGGGGCAGAAGGAGGCTTTGGAGGAGAAGTTTGCGGAAGGGATAAAGAATCGAAAGGAAGGAGCGGGGAAGTATGGCTGGTAGGTAGTGTACACTTTGAAGCATGCCGTAATTCTTATCGAATTCGCGTGTCAAGGTAAAAATGGTGCCTTTTTGGTATCATTATCCATCAGGAAAACAACTTTAAAGAAAAACGAAGTAATCAAAAGGGTAAGAATTGACAGCTTCCCTAGAATACAAAGCTCGGCTAAAATCAATATTCAAACTTGGGAATCAACTTGCAAGACCGCTCTATAAACATAGACCAACCACGCGAATGGCGTATCCAATCAATGCCCACTGCTCACAGATAAAGGCCCCGCTCAACCCATTATAGAATGTCTACAACGCTGACTAGTCACTCAGCCGCTCTGAATTCAAAGACACACACGCTTAGCAGCCCTTTCCTCCCCACCATCCTCGGTGCGTTCCTTCCGGACTTGACCACTATCTGGCTCCCCCGCTCCTTCCCTCTGCTCCCTTGCCATCCGCTCCTCCTCCTTCCGTCTCTCTTTCTCCATATCCAAATGCCTGTTTTCTGCAATCAATAAAGCCTTGAGTCCTGGAACTACCTCATCTGGATCCGCAGCATGATCGTCAACGGAAAGCTGTTGAGGCGACGATATGAGAATGGGATCCGTAGACGCGTACCCTTGGTCGGTAAGGCTACGTCTTTTTTGCTGCTGCTCCTTGTTTGGCTTGGGGGATACTGGAGGGGACCCTGTCAGATCGATGGGAGCGCTTTGAGTGCCGCCCAAACCCATGTGAGACGAATGATTAGCGGGAGCGAGGTCAGAGGGAACTCTGATGCCGGCCTGAGAAGTCCAGGTTGTCCTGGGAAAAACCATGCCTGGATGATGGAGGAGTGGTGCCGGCATTGGTGCGTGTTGTGCACCTTGGAACCCAAATGGCGGGCCGGCGTTGTATGAAGGGTGCTGAGCACCGGCAGTTCCGGGGTCGAGGGGGGCGTATGGGGGAGGAGGAGTGAAAGGCCCTGGCAATAGTTGAGGACCGAAATGGTCGAAAGCAAGTCCAGCATTATTTTGTGCCGGAGGGTAGGCTCGGGGAAGTTGAGTGGGCTCCATCATTAATGGAGGCCCAGATGGACCTGGATGCCCGATAGGAAAGGGGTTTCCATGTGTCAAACTTGTGAGCAAGACACCGTTCCGAGGCTTTTCTGGCTGAGGTCTCGTCGCTATTTGCCTGTGAACTTCACTTATAAAATGTGGACGGTCAAATAGGGCGTCAGCTGAATGATACTCCCCATGTGGAGGGACGGCGAGAACAGATCCAGCTATGCGAGCCATTTTGTGGACACGAAGTGGAACAGGTGGCTTGCAGGCCGTGGAATGGATCTCCGTGTATAAGAGGATTCTGTGAGGAGTAGCTTGCAAAAGAGGCTGTTGTATTAGTTGGAATCGCTAAGACATATGGAGGGTATGGTGAAGTGGAAGATGAAAAGAAGAGTCCAGTAGGAAAACGGATCATGGAAATTGTTCGGGACGGGATGGCTGGAGTGATTTAATCTACTCAGCAGTGAGTAGAGCAATACTAGCAAGACGTGCCACCGAGTACCATCTTATCCTTCAACCATGCTAGCCGGTAGAGCTGGCCCAAAGTCTCCTTGGACGCATGTTTCTCGGTCTTTGCCACCCCATAACGGGGGACCTTGATTAGAATACCAAAGTTTCCGAAACGAATACAGGAGACTCCTGCAGCAAATAGCCTTTGGATATTTTGAACTCAGATCTCCTTAGCGTGCCGTAGATTCTCAATAGCCTTTTCCATTGACGCCCCCAAAGCTTCACATCTTGATTCCTCAGGCTGGCGGGGCTGTAGACAGTCTGTCTTACTCAAAAGAAGCCTTTTAAGTAGCACCGACCACCTCTGTGAACCATAGTCTCAATGCTTGAGATAGAGCACCTGGTAGCTCCTTCAAGTTGTTCACGATGAGATAGTATGGAAAGGGGAAATCATCAAGATATCGCTTCATCCTCAGATGAGTCTCTCCAGAGGCGTCGGGCTCGAAAAGGGCTTGAGTCATCTCAACAATTGACTTGCCAACATGAAGTGCATCCACGATCACAAACAATATCATTATCCTTTCTTCACGAGCCTCGCGGCAAAGGCGTCGAATATCCTCGTGATCTTCACACAACCCATCACTCACGATGAGCTCCAATTGCCACAGATCTGGGTCGCTATCAAAGCTTCGTCGACGAGCTTCCTGAAAGATATTGATAGACTTGCTGATCAAGTTGCGGACATTCGTGCTGGTCTGTTGAAAGCTGAAATTGCTGAATATCTGAGCCCCAGCCTCGGATGTGAGAGGCTTGTCAAAGTCGTGAATGACGGAGACGTCACTACCAAATCGTACGACACACACTTGGCCGGCCTCGAGCATATTCAGACTTTTTGAGACCAGAGCTAGAGATTGAAATGTGAGCTCAATGACGTCTGTCTCACCCATAGACTTGCTATCATCTACGGCAAGCATTATCTGATAGTTTCGTTTGGACGGAATTGATCGTCGCATCCAGATTTTGTCTCTTTTGTACCCCGAAGCGATGTAGGGTATTATTCTTTTCATGTTAAGCCGCTTTCCAGTGCGAAAGTCGCCCCGCATTTTTGTAGCTTTCGTAGGCTCCAAGATCACTCGAAGTTGTTCTGTCAATTGGAAGGAGAGTTCATGCGTCTCATTTTCATGTCGTGTCCACAAGTGCCTTGCCGAAGCTAGGAACTCAACCACTGTATCCTTGGCTTCGATGTGGGTTGTGGAAAATTCTTTATCAAGGCTCTCGATATCTTCACGACCTAGGGAGGCCGCGAAATCCGTATCCAATCGACGGCTATCCTTTGAGACGATTTCAGCAGGTCTAGTATTCAAAGATGCGTTGTTTGTGGGATCTGCATCTTGGAGAGCCCTGTCAATCTCTTGCCCTTCGGTTGCATGATCCTCGCTGAATGCTTGATTAGGCAAGACATCGTGATTTTCCATCGGCACTTCGGAGGCTAGTGCTTGCTCATCTAGGGCACGGACCTGGTCTTCACTTGCTGTTCCTAGAGCCTGCCCGTCCGCTGGCGCATCGTTACTAGGTAAATGCTGGAGCTCTTGAGCTGCTATATCCAGATCGTTTGCTGGGGCAGTCTCCTCGTCGCCCTGCGGTGCCTCTAGAATTCTGGACTGAACTCGATGCCACTCTTCTAAGGCATTGCCTAGCTGCTTCAACGCATCACTCCTCGCATCATCTATGTAAGAAGCTTCATTCAATTGTGACTGTTCGGACTGCTGCACTTGTGATCTTGGTAACGCTTCACTTGTGTCGCCCGGCGGATCACTTTGACGCTTGGTATCGGCAGTCTGTTCGGGCTTCGCTGCCGCAGGCTTCTGTTGTTCGATCTGGGTTGTTGATGCAACAGAGTCATTGCGCTTCACCTCGTACGCATTAGTTGAAGTCATGTCATCTGCGTTCGCCCCGAGCCCAGAAGTAGGAGATGCTGGCAACACCTTCGAGTGGGAGTCTGCCATCTCGTTGGTGTCATCAGTGGATGGCGCATTCATATCATTTCTGGGTTGTGCGTCATCCCCAACAGTCTTTTGAATCTCTTCATGCAAAGCAGAATCGGACTCTCGATCATCAGACTCTTCACGATCCATCTCTCCATCTTGAGCATCGTTGAGATGTCCGTCGGAGTTTGAGGACATCTCGTCAAGATCCTCTTCATCTGTCACTGATTCCTGATCCACTCCGTCCAATGTGTCGATGTCCATCTCCTCTGGCATTTCCAAGGCCTCCCCATGTTGCGTGTGCGCATCCATTTTCGAGACCTCCTCATGCTCGACAGGGTCTGAATCCTCGGCACCTTCCACATCAGGACTTTCAGACTCGAGAGTATCTTCTTGGGCAGTGCCTTGAGATTGCTGTGCCACGTCGAGAGCAACTTGTTCTTCCTTAGTGGATTGAGAAGGTGCGTTTTGGGCTGAGTTCTCTCGAGCGGCTTGCTTTTGATTACCATCCCATAATTTCTCGTCTACTGCGGAAGGGTCAAGTTCGTCAACTTCACCACGTTGTTCATCTAGCTCCCCTTCATCTGTCTCACTTCCATCTTCGATCTCGCTTCCTGTCTCCTCATCCGAGACAGCATCTGTTTCGCCTTCCAAATCGTCATGATTCATATCTACGGCACTGGCATTCTGCTCTGAGCGATGGCCATTTTGCTCTTCTTGATGTTGTTGCGCTAGATCCGATAGGTCTTCATCATCTTGGATGTCCCCACTGATATCTTCAGTACCTTGACCTTCGCCTAGACCAGTTCCACTCTCAATTTTCTCTGCAGCGCTGTCCCCAGTGGATGGCTCAACAGGGCTACAGAATCCGTTCTTGCATATACTTGCTAGGCTTCTTGCCATGACAACGGCAAGTCTGTTTAAAGATGCATGTGAACTGACATATTCATCAAGCACCGACTGATATATATTACAAAATTGCTGCACTATTGGTAATGCAACGGCGTAGACTGCTCCTAACGTTTCAAATTCATCCTCGCTAGAAGACTCGATACACGATACGCTAGCAAGGCAAGCGGCTAGCCTCTCGTTTATGCTGTTGATTTGCAATTGCTGAATGGCTTCTGCTAGCAAAGCTTCGGTACGTAACAGCCATTTTGGTTGATCACCAACTTCAGATTGGGTTTCTAATTTCGCTGACATGTTCTGAACGCCAACAAGTATTGCATCCGAGACACTGCGAATATTGGATCGTGCACAAAGCATGTTCACAGTATGAACGCCATTAGTTTCCTCGGACTGGATCTCGACTGTGAAATCCAACCACGGTTGTATGTGCTTCACAAGAAAGGCCATATCTGGATGATCCGTAGCACATTCGGCAAGACAAGCACGTAGCTCAATTAGTCTCGCCTTGGTTTCGCCTTCGATATTTGCATGCTGGGTAGTAGTCAAGCCAGATGGAAGCTTCGGTAGTGATTCAAGGGCTTCTGTTGACCTTGCCATAAGTAGTGCCCAATGTTGTAATGATTCATTTATGACTACGCTCCTTGAGCCTTTGAAATTCTCATACTTCTGGAGAACGGTGCCCGCTGTTTCTAGTATCGCTGAAATCCACCTGGTCACTTTCGGATAAGTCTGGAGCTGATCAGCTCCTATGGAGGTATGCACGCTGTATGTGTCTGGCCTCCAGAGATTTTCCATCAAATGACACAAGCCTTGGAGTCTTTGCATTGCCGTTCCTGAAGTCACAATGAGATTTCTCTGTTTCACTAAAGTAGACAGAACGCTTTCCATAAACCCTCTGCTTCGGTTGAACTCGGCATGAGTGATATCTTCAGAACGAGTATTTACTGGCCTTCTGATCTCAAGCATGTATTTCAAAAGATCTTGGGTTGTGTGCTCTACTTGTGATAGTTCATCTCGATTTAAATTTTGAAAAGACCGCATCTTCGAGAATACAACTGCAAGAGATGATTGCGTTTTTAAGGTCTCCTCGCCCAGGTTACTCGAAAATCCCATGGATCGGATCTGCTTCATTGTGTCCGAAAAAAGCTTACGTTTTTGCACCAATAAATTCTTTACCAAAGCGCTGTTTTCCTTGGTCAATGTTGAAGGCGTGGCATCTTGAAGAGCCACCATGCTATGTGCTAAGTCGTCGCAGAAGTTGTCAAGATAATTGGATATGCGTACTGCTGCAGGCGGTATTTGACTGATACGTCGCATATTTTGTGCAGTTCCAAGCGGATCGGTAAAGCGAGCTGATGTCGTTGCCCAATCCTCAAACCTCTGTCGACAAGTTTCTAGAGCCCGACTGTCCACCGAGGGCAGCTTGCTGTCGGATCGACGTGTGAGATGTCGAGTGTTGATACCAAGACAATCCGGAAAAATCTGACTCAGTATCTCGTCGACAGGTTGAGCCAAAAGGTCTCGGTACTTGCGGACGACTTTGAAAAGCTTGTGGTGTGATCGTTTTGAGCTCTCTCTGATTGCGGCAACATTTGTATCTTTCCAACTTGCAAGTACAACAATATTCTTCAAGTCTTTTTCAAGCTTCTGACGTTCTGATGCAATTGTAGCAGTAATTTTCGCGGTGAAGCGGTCGAAGTAGCCCAGAAAATTGTAGAGGGCACTACTTGTGACTCGAAGGGGTTCGGTTTCTTCCGCTGCAAGTGTTACGTGCCTTTGGAAAGAATACAACATCGCAATGCGTTTCGAGAATTGACCTAAAGTTGTAGTGTTGAGAAATTTCTCCAAGGTAGCCAACAATTCTTCGGTATACGTGTCCGGGCTGCCACTAGATGCTACCATGGTTAAAGGGGCAGCAATGATCGTTTCATACGCAATGAAATACCATGAATCAGCTTCGAGCTGACATTTTTTGTCCTCTTTGTCGAGTAGCATGGTCCAAGCCGTAAGCTCCAGCCGCCGCCACGAAATGATGAGTTGCGTGAGCTCGTCGTATTGATAAGTTGCAGAATATTCTTTACTTGCAACGACTTGCCATTCGTTCACAGAACCATGTAGCTCCTCTGCTTTGGTCAACAGCTTTGCAAGTGGGTCGGCATGCTTGAGCTCGAGTACAGATCTGCAGATTTGTAAAACGTCGTTTAAGGTGGCATGCTCGGGCCATTGAGCCTGCAGATCTAAGAATCTGGACTGTACCTTTTGAACAAGTAGTTTAAACCTTCGCACTTCTGCGATATGGCTATCGGCGTAGAAATCATAGGAATTGGCTGTCTTAGCTTTGCTTTCCAATTTCACCATCTCCTCATCTAAGCGGAGAAACAACACTGGTAGCATGCAAAGCGAAGCAGCAGGAACCTTAGACTGTGCTGGTGGGTCATTGCAAAGCCCTGCGATCTTGTGAGATTTGTCCAACATGTGAAGTTGGACTTGCGCGACAGCATCACTAGGCGGGGTGAAGATGCTCCTCTGAATTCGAGCTATTGTCTGACTAAATCTTGAAGGGTCAAGATTTCGATTCGACAGGGTGCCTGAATCATTGATGGATCCATGATGGCCAAAGAAAAGGTCTTCAACGATCTGGTTTTCCGAGAGCTCGTCGTCTGGCTCACCTCCGCGATGGCGATAGAGTGACGACTTTGCAGCTAAATCTGTTTGCTCCCGATCTAGTCCCCGCTTCCAGTGCTCGTACATCGTATGGAACGACTGTAGCAATGGGACTACTGCGTTTTGCGGGATAGAAGCCTCTACGTTCTTCCTAAGTCCTAAAGTTTCGAGAAACTCAATTCGTGCATCGATCGATATATGTCCGCTGTTCAGCATGTCGAAATCTGAGCGATTGAGCGAATCGATGGATGAGCAACCCATCAATGGGGTACTTGAACAAATGCGTTCGACAGCATGAGAAGCTGTAGGATGTTGAGAAATGGCGGCGAGTGCTAGCGCAAGTCCGTTATCAAGCCCCTCTAGGAAAGCCGCCAACGGCATTGTGGTGTCTTCATATGCCCTCTGTTTCCCTTTGACTCGTGAGATCACTACTTCAATGTCCCTTCTCTCAGATTCGAAGGCCAAAATCAATTCGGAGCTGCCCGGCAATGCGAAGCCGTTGCCCTTCAGACCGGTGGCATAGCGAATGATCAGCCGAATAATACTGTCAAAATCCCCCTGAAGTTCAGTCATGTCTGAATGCTCGGGCCGAAATATGGGATCCACTCTCGGTTCGTCTCCTAACGCCTGTATACAATCTCGCACTACCAGTGTTCTATAGCTTTCGATTTGACCGCTTGTGGTCTTCTCAAAATGTTGAAGAGCAGTAAGCTTGTTTGTCAGCTCATGTACGCGCCTTTGATAGCGTTCGCGTTCAACAACCCTTTTTCGATACGGATCGTAAGGTTTGTTGGGCACGAAAAGTAACAGACACCCAGTGAAGAACAAGATCATGTCTTTTGAAAGCTCTAAAAGGGAAGCGGGAGATGTAGTCGAGCGATTCTTAGCAGATAGATTTGGCACCGAGAAGACATACTTTGCTGACTCTTGGAGCCATTGGACATCAATTGCGACATTTGGTTTCTGCCCTTGGGTTTTGATGGTACCGGTCTCTTGCCCATAAAGCTTGGATGGGAGTTGTTGAAGAGATTTTACAAAACGTTGCTTCTCATCAGTGCTATATTCACCGTCTAAAATGTCATACACGGCCTCGCGCACGTGGAAGAATGTGGTATCAACCCCTTTCAACTCATTGGTGCCAAAGGTATCTGTGCTGGCTGCGATGGCAATCCCGAGTCTCCCCAATTCTTGGCCGAGCAGATCCACGGAGCTGATGGGCACTTCAAAGACGGTTTCAAGCCGTGAAAGAACCGAAAGCGGCGGTACTTGTAATACACAAGCTAACTTATTATCTGGTTGACATCCCTGAAGAGCCATATTCAGAGTTTTCAACTTTCTGAATGCCGACGAGGACGTGTTTAAACCTAGCCAGAATTTTGACTGCATTCCACATAGCATAGCCACGTCGCGCTGCTGCTCCACTGAGTCGTTGCAGGAATAGCAGGATTGATATTGACGTAAGGCATCAAATTGCAGAGAAAAATACGGTTCCATTTTGCACGAATATGCATGAGACCAACGTTCAAGCGTTTTTAGCGCTACACAGACAGCATCGAACTCGACACGTGAAGCTGCAAGAGAGTAGCAATTGTCACATATAGCAGTCAAGGACCGCAATAACGACATGAGCTCTTCCACAGAAGCACCTGAGCTCCACTTCACCTCGTCGAAGCGATCAGCCAACGCCTCCAATTGGACTTTTAGCTCATACTGAGCGACGTCATTACAAGTTCTTGGCCTGAACGCCCGCCATAATGGCTCCATAGCGAGTCCACTTAGTCGCTGCAGCTTCGATGAGTTTGATTTCAAGATATCCAGAGTATCGCCAGCTAGCTGCTCAGTAAGAGTACTCAACCGATTTGTCGAATGATGACGAACAGCTAAGGCGATGCCAATATCTAAATATGCTTGTAGGGTATCTTCTTCCTCAAGGTCGGATTGTATTAGATTAAGTACGTCATCAAGGTAAACTACGAAATTGGCTATGAGTGTAAGTAAGTTCCGGACATCTCCTGCTTCAAATTGCCCTGTGCTTGTTGGCAAAAATTGTGATTCTTTCCAGCGGTCACCGAAAAGCCTCTCGTTCAAGTATCTTTTGAAGACGGAGGTCATGCGGAGAAGAAGTTGCGTAGTGCAGTCAGCCAGGTTGTCCCATGTTTTCAGGCCCTTGGAAACCATGCTTGGTCTTCCTGGCATTATTCGTTTACAATCTGTCTCTGTTCCAGCGCTCTCCGTAATGACAGCAAGTCTGCAGTCGATAGAACTCAGATGAAGCATTGTTTCGAAAGCTTCGCCAAGAAGCTTGAGATTTTGATGCCAAGCAGCGCGGGAGGTCAAAGCGAGCAGGGCAGCATTGTTGTGCGGATGAATTGACTATATGCAGGTCAACAAGACAGTTCCAACGACGTCCTGAAGGTGGAACGACTTACCTGTAGGCCAGCTACACCCAAGGGCATAGCCCCTTTCTGTGAAATGGCTTCATAGGTTTCCTGAGTTGCCTGCAAAACACATCCGTGACAGTCACTAAGCCGAAGCAATGCATTGACAGCAGTGTTGAAATCTCTTAGTGGTATTTCTGGTAGGTCGCCAAGTCCTCTAGTGACCTGATGTTGCCAGTACCTCAGATTCATCAGGTCATGATGAGTCAAATGATCTAGAAAGATTGAAATTACAAGCAATAATTGCGGAGGATCAATCGAACGCCAATCGATTTGGTGTAAGATCGAGAAGCGTGACATTCTTGCTTCAATCACTTGATCTACGGACGTAGATTCTGGCATTGCGTTTGCTGACATAAACAGCTCTACGGATCGATTTCTCATAGCCCGAGAGAGTTCACCATGCTCAGGATCCATTGTCATGAACATTCTGAAAGATGTATGTGGACGCACAATTTCAGGACTGCCGTCAGCGTTTCGATGCTCATGAATGCTCAGACATCCTTCAGGCTCAAGCAGAGAATTCAGTCTGTCCAAAACAGAAGAGTCGCACAGATTTGCATGGTCTAATATAACCCAGTGGCCTTGCTTCACAGCTTTTACAAAAGGGCTATCAGCCCATCGAAATCCAGGCTGATCATGATGACCAAAAACCCAATGTGCTATGTCAGTCCATTCATTCAGTATCAATGGAAATTCGGAATTTGGGTACGTGGACGCTAATGCTTGGAGGATGGCCTGGAAATTCTCCGTCATTGGCTTTTGTCGACGACCAATCCTGACTTCAAACAAATTCTGATCAATCGTTTGATCAGAAGCCATCTGTCGAAGTACAGTCTGGCTAGTACAAAGCTCGAGACGCTTGTAGAAGCTATTGAGCTTATTCTGGTTGTCAGCTTGCTCGTAAGTTCCCAGAAAATCCTGAGCATCCATCTCAGGATTTGCACAGATCTGTGTCACCTCAGCTCCCACGAGGTTTGCTAAGGCGAGCACGGACGCTTTTGTATTGGAATTGGATGGTCCAACGAGGAGTGTCGGCCAATGCTTCTCAACACAGAGCATCAACGATTCGATAATCGGCAAGCTGGCTTCCTTGAAGCTCGGTGATTTTAATTGTTGGGAGCCTAGAAGTGCGTCACGTTTAAGCACAGCTCTACCGGCTTCTATATGGTGTTCGCTCCGCCCAAGGAAATAATTATGAATTGGAGTGGGGACTTCAAGCGATTGCTGAATGACTCCCCTGATGCGTTGCTGGTCCTTTGCCTTCCTAAATTGATGGCTGAACAGCACGTCTCCGTAGTCGAAAGCATGATCTGGCGAGATTGATGTCTCTCTCTTGGCAAGAATATCCAGCCACCGAAGAGCATCGCGCAGGTTAACTTCCCATGGTCCGCCCTGAGGATGAAAATTGTTGTCATCCGTTAGATATGTCGCAACATTACTTACGCTTCGCACAACGCTCTTGATCGTGTTTGGTTCGATATCCGGATATAAAGCAGAACAAATTGCTCGATAGTCAATCTCGTCGAAAACGCCAGCATAGACGACGGTGAAGCGATTGATGAAGGAAGTGGGCAATCCTTTTCTTCCTGAACCTTGGTGGTAAGGGTTTTGGGCGGCAAATACCACCACGTTAGGATGCTTTGGGAAAGTCTTCCCTAGTTCCGGTACAAAGACCTCACCACGATGATCGAAACAAGCATTCAATCCTTCTAGCACTGATTGCGAAGCAAGATTCATCTCATCTAACAGTATCCATTCTCCTTTTTGCATTGCGCGTAGAAACGGTGCAGGTCGCCAACCAAAGCTGCCTACGTCTCCGCTTTCAATAGGAATGTCTGAGCCGAACAGGTCAACAAGATCCGTCTGATCAGAAAGATTAATACGCGTCAAAGGTACCCCGATCTTCTGTGCCAAAGCAGCCACTAATGTCGTTTTACCTACACCGGGGTCACCTTCGAGCAGAATTGGTCTGTTCACTTGCAGCGCGCGCAGGATTTTCATAGCGTTCCGGACAGTTGTCGGTGCTTCCAGATTGTAAGGTGTTGGGCGCACGTCGGGACATAATTTTAGAACTTCAAACCCACCTATGGAGAGTGTATTCGCACCATCCATGAGTACCGGCACTGAATCTTCCGTCAACGATTTGTCTATTGTGAATAGCTCCTGCAACTTAGTTACACACGCCTGGTGCTGAAGCCCAATTCCAGATTTGATTTCAGAAAGATTTGCTGTAAGGCTCGTGCCCAACTTGTCGAGGAAGACCATGCAGCATCCGTGAAAAACCGCAAACGCAGCATGACTACGGTCATAGAGGTTAATGAACGTCACCCAAGATAACAAGTCTCGTATCGACATGTTAATAAACGATTCATACGACGTAGAGTACCATTCAGCGAAATTAACCATGGGTTCTGCGAGGTATTTGTGTGCCGAGCTAAGCTTCGCCTCCACGATCTCAACAATCTCCTCCTTATGACTCAAGTTGGGCACCCATATTTCAGTAAAGCGATTTCTTAATGCACCTGACAGCTCCCTTTTTCCATAGTCGCCTCCAGGATTCATTGTAGCAAGGAATTGAAATTTATCGTTGGCAATAACATTTGCATCAGTAGTACCCCTTTCTGCAATGTACAGCGTACGACTCGGTTCTAGTAGGCTGTTTAGGCGCTCTAAAACCGAGTCATCCGCTAAGGATATTTCGTCGAGTAGAAAGTGACTTCCGTCTTTCATCGCAGCCACCAAGCTACCATCTGACCACTCAAACAAGGCTTTGGCTCTTGCTGAGCAATCATCAATCCGAGCTTTTAAATCCTCGGAAATATGCGCGGATGGGTCTCCAAGAAGATTATCATATGCTAAAGTCAATGATTCAATGTTTCTAGCATATCGTTGCTCAAAGGCCTGTTGAGATTCTAGTGCGTCTATGAGTAGGTCGACTAATTCATCTTCTACTAATTCTCTATTTCGCGGAGGGCGATGAGCTCCAATGAGGTCTCCTGTCTCCAAATTTTGGTGTGCATTGACGGTATTAAGGGTCGTCTCCATCATTTCGGCCAGCACCTGGCATATTGAGGTTTTTCCAGTGCCGGTTCCACCGACCAACAGGACAGGTTCATGGTTGTCTAGGGCTCTAGCCACAAGTATCGCAAGGCGGCGCATTGATTTTGTCCATATTATTCCACAGGAATTCTTCAAGGATGTCCCAATGGCGGTATGCATGGCAGCAGGGCTGTATATTCTATCAGGCTCAAGCTTGACCTTCAAAACGTTTTCGATTGTCTCCTTTACCGTCATACGCTCTGACTCTTTGCGGACACGCTCACCTAGAAGTATGAAGCCATTGATTGCAAGTTGCTCGCGATCATCCGCTGGGCGCAGAGCCCACCGGAACAAATCTCTCAAAGTAGCAAAGCTATGGCGTTGCTCAAAAAGACGCTCGCTTTGGCGGAGTATCGATAACTTCCTGTAAATAGCGACAATCTGGGCACAAAATGATGGTGCAATCTGGCACCTCTCACGCAGAATTATCTCAAGTTCCTCCTGAGGTATATCATCAAAGTGAATTTCGAGAAATCTATTACGGAAAGCTCGCGAAAGAACCTTCCGGCCACCATAGACTCCAGGTGGATTCTGTGTGGCAAAGAGCATGAAGTTTTCGTGAGGGCGTATCGTTTGCTGAGTCTCTGGAATCAATAGCTCTCTATTGTCATCGAGTAGTCGGTTCAAAGCTTCAAGGACATCAGTTGGTGCAAGATTAAGCTCGTCAAGAATTACCCAGTGACCCTCTTTGAGAGCCGTAACAAGGGCGCCGTCTTGGTATACTAGCCCACCTGCGGAATCTGATACGTAAGAGCCTAGATATTCTTGGAGATCCGTGTGCTCATGATTGTTGATTCGTACACATTGATTTCCAGAGATTTTGGCCAGGTAATCCACCATGCTCGTCTTTCCAGATGAAGTTGGACCTTGGAGTAGTACTGGAAACCGACGCGTCGAAGCGGCTCTGACCAAATTCAGCAGATTCTGTTTTATGAATGGCGTCAATATGTAATGTGGCTGACTCCGTGTACGCAACGGTCCTTGTAGTATCCAATAGTGATCAAAGCGAACGTAGCTTTTGCCGTCCTCGGGAGCACGTGAAATCTGATGTAAAGTTGCCTTTCTTATCCGGTCGACAGGAAACATACGACGTTCGATCAACGGCTGTACTAAGGAAGCTGAAATAGTGTCAAGGGCCGTCAAAAAGCACATAGAAAACCCTTCAAATAAGGCTCTGCGGAGACCAAACATAGAGGCAATGTCAGAGGCGTATGTCAGCGCCCGAGTAAAAGTACGTAGGCTGAAGTGAGGTTTCTGGTTTGCGCCATCGACTAGATCGTTATCATTTGCCAGTTGCTTGATATCAATGTATAGCCGACCGACGTCGTCAGCGTCGCGCAAATTCGCTTGCTTTTGACTGCTCAAGTAGACTTGAGCAACCGCTATTAGATTCGAAAGGTCTTTGTCAGGGTCATTCACAAAGATCTCCGAGAACTTTGAACGTATGCTGGGGGTAGATCGCGCTTGCCAGTGTCCGTAGCAGGGTTCATTGAAGCGAAAATTCGAAAATTGTGGTGGGGTCTGATTCGTTCAACGTCACCTTTTTCTAGAAGAAGTAGTGAAGGTCCACCGTCCTGATGGTCTGTGAAAAGATCTGAGAGGCTCTCTAAAGTATCTGGTGAGGCCAAGTTGATCTCGTCCAGTAACACCCAATCGCCATTACGCGCAGCTTGGACGATTTTACCTTCAACAAAAGAAAAGGCAAAGCCTCCAGACTTGCCAGCAAGTAAAGCTTGGAAGGCTTGCACCTCGTCTGTGAACTTAATCCATCTTCTCCTGAGCTCATCATTTCGTGGCTCTATTTTCCTCCTTTTTGAATTTGGACCACTCAAAGGAACTCCGGTAGCCGTCTTGGTTGGTTTGAGAATGGATTCAACAGTCTGGATTGCTTCTTTCCATAAACGCAGGACTCTTTTCCAGCGCTCTCGTGAGATGGCCTTTCCGAGGGTTTCTAAAAATGGTGCGTTCTGGCGTGAAGGGAAAGTAATCTGTAAAAGGTCTCCGAACTCATCTTTCATGGGAATTGCAAGTGACCTAGGGTTTATTGGTTTGTATCCACCTAGTAAATCACTAGCCTCACTCTGCTGCGATAAATTTGCGATAACGAGTTTGTGACCTAACATAGATGCAAGATTCTGAACCATTAATGTTTTGCCTACTCCTGTTTCACCTACCAGCAAACACGGCTCTACTTGCTGCACCGTTGATGCTAAACTTTCTAATGTCCGCAGTGCGTGATCGGTCCTGGCGAACCTCTCGTGCATACCAACATGCTTTTTTCTTGTACCTAGAGACTCCTTGGCTATTTGGCATTTGGCTCGCCCGATTCGTAGAGAAGAACTCCGTTGCTCGAAAATCGGTCTCCGCGTCTGCAAAACATTTTCCGCCCGCTGAGCCGGAATATGGAGTTCCCCGGCAGTCATATGCATGAGATCTGTTTTGAGTGAACCTTGTTGTAAGCTACCAAGAAAAGAATCTACGATTTCGAGGAGAATGTCGTCTTGCAGGGCCTCTGGAACCGGCTGGACATCTGAAGTCACGCGTGCCTCGCCTAGCACGGTGTCGATCCTTCGAGCACAGCGTAAGAGCTGACGCGGCGAAAATGATTTGATATTCGAGTTGGCAAATCCATTCTGGTATACCAAAGCCGCATAGATACTCAGAAGCTGTGGAACGTGGATTTGAACCGCAGGAAACAAAGAGTTTATTATTTGACTTAGATCCTCTTGAGTGAAAGCCTGTAGATTCGCGCGATGCCATTCCTGCCTCTCAATCAAAATTGATCTGCGATGCCTCAAGTGTCGTTGCAAGTCTGAAGAGGTTTGCATTGTAGCAATAAGTCTAAAGTTGGGTGAACAGGGGACAGGAGTGTCTTGAGTGGGGATAGTCAACTCCATTCTCTCAATCAGTGGTAGCAAAATACTAATGAGCTCCGATGGTGCCCGGTCCAGGTCCTCTATGAGAAGCCATCGTCCTTGGGTAACAGCCTGAGTGATCACGCCAGGATGCCATTTGAAGGAGCCTGATGATCTATCTTTGGTGTACATGCCTAATAATATCTTTGCATCAGTCTGCTCGTTGAGGTGTAGCGATATCAAACCAGACTCTTGATGGGTCAAACGAGCAATTTCCCTAATAAGCCTAGATTTACCAGAACCGGGTGGACCGGTTACGAGGATGGGCTTCTCGCTAACAACGGCCGTTGCAATCTGCTGGATGTTCTGTTTAGTTGTTGAAGTAGGTACAAGAGAAATCTCCAAGGATTTTTGCGAGCTTGCAAGAGGTATCAGTACGTTACCAACGATGGCAGTTGTATCCGAAATATCATCATTGTCTAAGATTCTAGTATGGGGCGAACGAATGGGCGATTCGAGCAAATTGATGTCTGTTTGCTGTCGAAACCTCAAAGCCAAATATCGCAAGTCATCAAGACGCGAACGTTCCCACAAAGTAAAAAATCTGAAGTCAATTACTTTACCATCCCACAAACCAGTGACTTCGCCTTCGCCAACATTTTTCTTGATCAGATTCTCGAGCACAGCATCTGATGCATGCATGTACAGACACAACAATCTAGCGCTCAGGTATATGACACTGCGGCTAGTATGATTCGATAGACCAACCAACTTCGTTGGATTAATGTACGAAGCAAATCTCTCATTACCACAAGCTAGCAATCGGTATATCAACAATAATATTGTCTCAAGGTCGTCACTTGGGATTCTTGTAAGAGATGTGGGATCAGAAGATACCCAAGCCTCTAAATACCCTTGGCTACCAGATTCGAATACTAGAGAAATGTGTCCTGCAAGGTGCGGTGCTAAGGGCAGTATGCGGGCGTAAGCGGAGAGAGCAGCAAGCCTCTTCGCTTGCGGAAGCTGCATCCATCTACTTGAGATCTCGACAAAGACTGCTTGATGTGTAGCATATATGAGCTCTGTACACCTAGGGTCAAGCGCAAGTTGCGCGAGACTGTCGAGGTACTCAGAGTTGGATCCATGCTGCAGAAGAGAAACCAATTCGTCTGGTATATCATGTATCTTCTGAAGCTCTTGGATGAGCTGCGCCGAACAGAAAGAAACATTCATTGCAATGACGGACTTTCAAGCAATGAGAAAATGAAAATAAAAATAAAAAAACATTCAATGACGCCACAGCCACGGCCACAGCCTCAACTCTGACAAGCGCGACAAGCGCCGTTCTCTACGTGCCTAAGCTTGGGCTTGGGCTTGGGCAGAATGCATTGCTACGTGACATGTGGACTTACTAGCTCTAGTCATGAGTGGGCCTTCACCTGGCCTTAGTACAGGTGAGGGTCAATCGTCATCTCGCCCCCCTGTCAGATCTGCACGCAATTCAGTAGAGATCGATGAAGAAGGAGCGGACTTGAGTCTGGATAGTACTCTGCTAGCAGATGATCCGTTGAGCGAAATTGACAACACCGCGCCGTAAGTATCTGCGTCACAGTCCAGAAAATGATCGGTTCTAACGCATCATAGGCTCTCTTTCCGTAAGAAGTCCAAGCAACCTTCAGGCCTCCGCATTCCCCAGTTCTTTTCGACTCCCTTGAATACAACATCAAATGTTTCCTCTCGGAACGCTAGTCCTGGGCCTCGGCCATCTGCCCCGTTACCGACTGCTCGAAGTCGCAGACTGCGTGACTTAGCTCAAAACAACGGCTCTGATACATCCCTGGATCGAACCAACGGACAGCCGGTGAATGGAACAGCTTATCATGACACCAAAGAAGGGGCGCCAATAGACTGGTATACAGAAGGTCCAGGCAGAAGAGTTGGCTACGACGACCTGACCGCGATCGACTGGATATTCGAGTACACCAAGGAGCGCCAGCGCCTACGCTATCTATCATCACAAGCAACAAATTTATTTGGATATGCTCAGCAGATCTTAGATGCGAGCCAAATATGGATAGTCCTCGTTGCTACTGGTATTGCGGCTGGCATTCTAGCAGCAGGTATCAACGTGGCTAGTGATTGGCTTGGCGATTTAAAGACAGGGTATTGTCAAAAAGGGGAGGGAGGCGGTAGCTTCTACTTGAACCGCGGCTTTTGTTGCTGGGGTCATGATGAATGGGCACAATGCCAAGGATGGACTTCTTGGAGTCGAGCTCTCCATATCAGCTCTGCAGCCGGTGCCTTCATCATTGAATACCTCTTCTTCTTCGTTTTCTCCGTCGTTTTTGCTGTGAGCGCCAGCTTCCTCGTACAACGATTTGCGCCATACGCAAAACATAGCGGTATACCGGAAATCAAAACAGTCCTTGGAGGTTTCGTCATGAGACGCTTCATGGGTGCTTGGACTTTAGTCGTCAAGTCGCTCGGATTATGCCTCGCGGTGGCGTCAGGTCTCTGGCTTGGAAAAGAAGGGCCTCTGGTGCATGTTGCTTGCTGTTGCGCCAATCTCTTTTTAAAATTGGCACCGAGTATCAATGATAATGAGGCACGAAAGCGCGAGGTCTTGTCTGCTGCCGCCGCCGCCGGTATTTCTGTAGCTTTTGGATCACCTATCGGCGGCGTCCTATTTAGTCTGGAACAACTGTCTTACTATTTTCCCGACAAAACAATGTGGCAAAGTTTTGTTTGCGCTATGGTAGCTGCGGTTACGCTGCAAGCATTCAATCCTTTCAGGACCGGCAAGCTCGTCCTCTATCAAGTCACCTATACTACAGGATGGCATGGCTTCGAGATTGGTCCGTACGCTCTACTCGGGATCCTTGGAGGCATATATGGAGGACTGTTTATCAAGCTGAACCTGAAGATCGCCAAATGGCGGAGAAGCTCACGATTCTCAGATAAGCCCGTCCTGGAAGTGATGGTAGCGTCAATAGTCACTGCAATCTTGAATTTTCCAAATAAATTCATGCGAGCGCAGTCATCCGAGCTGGTGTACATGCTGTTTGCTGAATGCGCCGCAATCACCGATGATCAATTTGGTATTTGCAAAAAGGGGGCTGCAACAGCTGGAGTCGTGCTACTCCTCTTCCAGGCAGCTCTGATAGGCTTTCTGCTCGCCTCTTTTACCTTCGGTCTTCGCATTCCTGCTGGTATCATTCTGCCATCGATGGCGATTGGTGGCCTGTGTGGACGAGCCGTTGGCGTGATCATGGAGATCTGGCAGCACGATCATCCTAGTGCGCTGATATTCAGCACATGTGAGCCTGATATACCTTGCATCACACCTGGTACGTACGCAATTGTAGGTGCCGCCGCCGCTCTTGCCGGCGTAACAAGAATGACTGTTTCAATCGTCGTTATCATGTTTGAGCTAACGGGTGCTTTGACCTATGTCCTACCTATTATGATTGCAGTGATGACTAGCAAATGGGTTGGGGATGCTTTTGGTACCAAGGGTATCTACGAAACTTGGATCCATTTCAACGAGTATCCTTTTCTTGACAATCGGGACGATCCAGTTCCTGATGTTCCAGTCTCGCAAATCATGACGCAGATCGACGATATAGCTGTGCTCCCAGCTAGCGGAGATACAATTCAAACTCTTCAAGACTGGCTTTCTACTCAGCCTTATAGAGGATTTCCAGTTGTTACGAGCAATACAAACAAGACCTTGCTAGGATACATTTCACGTACAGAGCTCATTTACTCCCTACAGATCGCGACTGCTGAGCCACGAAAGATGCCTCCCTCGACCGCGGTCTCTTTTGCCCATCAACCTTCAATAGACCCTCAGACAACCCTCGATCTTCGGCCCTGGATCGATCATACGCCTTTCACCCTTAGTAGCAGAAGCAGTCTGCAGCTGACGGTGACTATGTTCTCGCGCCTCGGCCTGCGCTATGTACTTTTCACCGAGAAAGGTAAGCTTCGCGGCCTGTTGACAAAAAAGGACATATGGTACGTTCTGGACAGTACTGAGAACGATTTGGGGATCGGTGCTGGAGTGCTTCGAGAGGAGCAGGGGGGAGAGTCAAGAGGCTTGCTCAACAGAGATGGCAGCGACGTGGATTCTCTTCGAAGCCCGGAAGACGAGCGATGAATGGCCCTCAGCCTGAGGACTCTCTCTCGATTAAAGATTGCCTATGCGCAATGCAAAGATCTGCCCATTTTCAAGCCGTGCTGAGTATGAGCCTGGGTAGCCGGGGCCTTTTGGGGCGTAATACCTCCACAGTCTGACTGAGAAATGTCATGCACTCGGGTACAGATTGCTTTACTACAATTGGGAATCTGAGCATAGACGTTCGAGTCAGCGACAATCGCTAATTCATCTAAATTTGAGTCAGCATGTTGGGTCAGTTTCAAGGAGCATTTTTTGGTGTTCAAGCAGATGGCACGAATGATACCCCGGGAACGATTGCATGAGTGCGTGTGATGATTCAATGAAAATCAGCGGTCGAGGGGGTCTGTATATATATACAACACGAATAATTTGAACTTTACATTCGAATGTTTAAGACGCCAGGGTATCATGCTTCACCATCCTAAACGCCGTTGGTAGTGCCATTTCTGAGTCTTTGAAATCACATCTTCACCCCATTTCCAATGCTAATCTTCGCTCCTCCGCCTCTTCTTCCGCTTGCAAATAATCATCTGACCCAAGATCACTGACTTCTTCCCACATCTTCTCAAATTCCTCATCCTGGTTTTCATCTCCTCCCACGGCCCAGATATCTTCCCTCAATCGCTTGTGCCTTTCTCTATCTTCCTCGATTCTCTGCTCTATCTGCCGCTTGTCTAGTCGAGTAGTGACACCGTTCGCTTTTGATCCGGCATGAACCGAATGATCGTCGCGACTGGGAGCGTTGAGAGTGTTCACAGTATTCGGAGAACGAGGGGAGAGGGCCGCATTGGGCCCAGAGATTGTATCTCGTTCCTTCAATCCCTCTTCTATTTCTTGCACGGTTTGCGACTGTAAAACACTTTTGCTCTGTAATCCTAGCAGCACCTTGCGTACGACCTTGAGATTTGCGGCTCCGGAGCCGTCTGCTGGTGAAACAGCGTCCACAACTCGTACGATATCTCGCTGCATCATTGTCACGTAGCCGGGGTATTGTTCACGCTGAGCCATGTCGCAAAGGTGCTCGATGAAATACATGATGTTTGCTCTTATGTTCATTGAAGTCTGGAGGTCTTCTGTCAGCTACTGTGCCATGAGATGGGAAGGTTTCATACCAATTCAAGCTGCTCTAGGATGCACGAATGCAGGTCCTCGTCCATATCGCGGTTCTTGAGTGCATAGTGGGCTGCTTTTTGGGAGGCAGTACTCGATGCATTCAAGTTCTGAAGCTGGTGGGTAAACCGCATTCGAACATCGAAAGGGTCGGCCATTTGCACGAGCACATCACTCAAAAATCAGTAAACTGTAAAGCTCGCGAATCTGGGAGATATCTAAGCTTCATCGCCGGGTAGCAGTGGTGAGAAATCATGAAATGGGGAAGACTCGAGGCGTGCTTCCAATTCAAAAATGACGACGACGACGGATGGTCCAGTACCGAAAGCCAATGCAAATTTGCTGTCTACGGCACTTCCTGAGAAACGCAATGGCATTACTTTGACAATTTTAGGATGTGGTAAATAGACGCCAATTGATAGCCGTCTACCTTTCAACTCACACTTCTGTAGGGACTCTCGGCATTGCGATCCTATCTGGTATCCTATCATCTCTTGCTGAGCAACGTTCTCCCTCCTCATCTGGTACGGCGACACCGTCTGAAGACCTTCCATCACAAATACCGAATAAATTTATCGGCTGTGTTACCCGACCAGCCTCAGCTAAGCGGATTGAAAAGGAACTTTCCCATCTTACAGACTCCTTGACCGTACTTCAAAATGGGAACATCCGTGGCGTCAAGGAGGCAGATGTCGTGCTTTTGGGATGCAAGCCTTACAACCTCTCCACAGTGCTTCAAGAGGAGGGGATGAAAGAAGCCCTCAAAGGCAAGTTCCTCATTAGCATACTGGCTGGTGTGCCTGTGTCACAGATCGAGGAGACTATATATGGTCCGGAAAGCAGCAAGACGTTGCCGCCGGACCCAGCAACAGATGGTCGTTGTAGGATCATCCGGGTCATGCCAAATACGGCAGCCTTGATCCGCGAATCTATGACTGTGATTGCTACATCCAACCCACCATTACCTTCACATCTCCATACTCTTGTCACATGGATGTTCCAGCGCGTTGGTCGGGTTGTGACCTTACCACCAAGCCAAATGGATGCTTGTACAGCGCTCTGTGGATCAGGCCCTGCTACATTCGCTCTTGTCTTGGAAGCAATTGCGGATGGTGCCGTTGCCATGGGTTTACCGCGAGCTGAGGCACAATTTATGGCTGCACAGACCATGAGAGGGGCATCCGGCTTGGTACTTAACGGGGAACACCCGGCTATGGTTCGAGAGAAGGTGAGCACGCCAGGTGGCTGTACTATTGGGGGGTTACTTGTCCTTGAGGAAGGGAGCCTTAGAGGAACGGTCGCGAGAAGTATAAGGGAAGCTACGGTGGTAGCATCCCAGCTTGGGAAAGGGATGCAAGGAGTGAATGGGACTAGATTCTAAAGAACAGTCGGAATTTTTTGAAACCAAAGGATTCACAAACTTTCTACTCATTTAGGAACCTGCTCACTTTCTTCCCAAATAGAATATTGGCCGGCCCAAGGCTTGCTGATATCCTGCCGGGTCAGTAAGAGTGTTCAAGTTCAAGTAGCTGACCAGAAGGAAAGCCCGACATTTGAAAGATGACTTTTCGAACTTCAGAATTCGAAATAATTGACAGCTTTCAAATTGCCAAATGTTCCAGCTGACCGGTCTGCGTCTGTCAGGTAACTTCCTGGAAGCTCGTGTCCTCAGGCTTTACCCTTACGGAGGTTGCTATCGCGTGTGCTTGTTTTCGAGACAGATGCCTTTATCCAAACAATAATATGTCGAAGACGCTGCTTCTAAACGTCGAATTTCACGAAAGTGCCAGACCACGCATTATTGCGTGGTGAACGGACCAGCCCAATCGGTACCCTTCTAAAGCGTGCTACCATTCCAAACCAACATATCAAAAGAAATTGCCATGTTCGTTGCAATGTTGTCATTCGCTTACTGCGATAGTCTTTTCGTGCTATACATGGGATGAGAGCTCGTATTAACTTGAATATTATACCCGATTCAAAATTCTGTTTTCAACGTGTTAAAGATTAGGTTGAATCAGCTGGTCGCTTTGATAGCCATGATGTCCGAAAATACACAATAATCATTGAGGAATATCTTGCCCTACAATTGATGAAATGGCAAAAGACAAGCAAGCACCGTCAGGAAGGCTGCGTGCATCCTGACTCTCTGACTCTATTCGAATTTTAAGAGAAAGTCTTGACCCACTGTACAAGTATGACGCGTATGATCAACCTGAACGCAAGGAAACATCCGTCGTAACCTGTTCCAACAGATCCTCGGATAGCTCAGCCGATATTGAGCCTACGTAAAACTCGACAAGTGTATCAGTATTTTCGTGTTCGATACAAGGCTGTAGAAGGAAGCTGAAGTGATCCCGGCTTACGTTCAAAATTCACAGTGCCGTTCTTAGAGCTGAAGAAATTGTTGTTTTCAGGCAGAAGTATAATGCTCAACGGCCGTGAGACGAGGATAGAGAAGGCATGGCAGGCATGAAGCAAACTGTATCCCCAGAACAGTCCATTGGGACTCTTGCAATTTAGACATTATTCTATTTCCCTCTGCATACATACTATATAACCGCTCCAGCTATTCACTTTATCTCGCAGGCCCTCTTTTCTAGCTCATTCAACAATCGAATATCAAAGGTCGATGCAAAATTCTACCATGGGACAGGCACAGCTTACGGGAAACCCCACAGGCAATACTCCCAGTCATCAATGAAGACGTGTTGCAGATTCGTAGCACCCATCCTGTAGTGGCGGAAGTGCACCCAATCTAACGGGTCAATGACTTGATACACCTTTCCCAAAGGAAGAGCTGGGATCGTCCGGGTTTTGTCGCAAGTAATACGAAACGAGAACGCCTTATGAGTATGTGATGTTTCTAGTGCCGTGAAAATCCAAAAAGGTGTAAACAGATGCTAACAGCTAACGAGGCTCGCGGCTGCTAATCCTCATGGGACAGCCAAGGCGAAGGCGAGGTAGCACTATGACGCTAACCTACTGAGGGCTAGCGCCCTCATCTCCCCTAAAACAAGAGTCGGCCCCCCTTTGTGAACAACGTCGGCTTCTATACTATCAAGACTATCTGCTTATACTTTCAGCATCGATGCAAACCTGTTTCGGGCTATATTTCGCAGGCATTCTCTCTCCTACCATTCTCATAGTCGACCTTGGTTTGTATTGAGAAGATACGCTGGCAAAAGCAAGCCGCTGGCTAGAAGCCCAATCTCATTGATAAACTAGAGTTGAGGCTGTATTATCAGTATGTATATCTTCTGATCTATCTCTGCAACCCGTTCTTTCTCCCCTGCCTCCTCGAATATTTGGCATCGACAAATTTCCTTGATTACCACGGATGAAGCCCTGACGAGAATGAGCTCGAAGGCCATGGGATGGCCCTGACCACAAACCCGGAGAGCCATCTGCATTTGGTCACTTAGTGAACTGTACCAAACGCATTAGTTGCGCCCAACCTTGGAAGTCTGGATTAAATACCCAGTAATCACATTTTCACCGTTCTCTTGAGCGGCCTAAGCGAGCATTCATCTGTCGACAAAGTTCGGTGTGCAGAAAATCAGACTCGATATCTTAATTCGAACTTCTCGCGGTCGGCCTGAGCAGTCATATTATGGAAACATGCCTGGATTTGACTGGGAAATGGACTTTTTGATTGAACATGCATTCCACTGGTACCAACCTTGGGGGTTTTTATAGTGGACAAGTCATTCGCTCCGTGCGCTTGCTGGATCATTCGCTTGCACCTTGTTGTCTCTGGATGCTTTTTGGCTATTGAATACTGCTCGAATAAGCTGTGAACTGGAACATTACTTTCCACGAGCTTAATGCGACATGGAAAGAAATCGACAATGAATGAGTGTACTCCTAGCTACTGGCCTGTCATTCTCCCTTTCTTGAAGATTCACAACCTATTCACAACCTGTTCAATCACTTCGTTGTTATCTCTAGCCGTTGAGAGTGGAGTCAGCCCTCATCAACTCACCTACTTCTTTGTTGCTCTGGGCGTGCTGAAGCTTACCTTTCCAAAACCATTTACACGTTTTAGAGGCTCGTCCTATTGATGTAGATTAAGCTGACATGATCGCCACCAATAGTGGCAGCAGGCTCGTCGACCAGCCCCCTTCCTCCCACGGTAGAGGAAGCCTATAGGCGTAAATGTATCGACCTACGGAAACGAATGGACGAAGTCGAGCAAAGTAATGATGCTTTCCGAGCACGAAAGGCTCGTCTCAACAGAGGTATCCGAAAAATGCGCCTTGAGAGAGCGTACCTGCTCGAGATGCTCGGCAGACGGATGAAGAAGAATGGAGGTAGTATAGATGGACTGCCCGTCTATGACGAAGACAGCGATGGAAGCAGCGAAGGTCCGCCAACAGTATGTCTTCAGTCGAGTCAGTGAGCAGGTATAGCAGTTGCTCAAATGCTACCAACTGCCTCGCTTCGCTGCCTTGACTTCTGACTGCCTGCTGAACTTCTGCTAGCCAAACGGACGACCTCTTCGAAATAAGCGAAGCCATCGCCGTGACGACTATCAGTCATCGCCTCCCCCAGGCGAGTACCACACGCGCCAACAGCAGCATTATTATCCCGGCCCATACCATCACCATTCACATCATCAACATGAATCCCCGTACGGACCAGTGCCGAATGGCCATCGTCCTCCGCCTGATTACCCACACCCTGAACACATGATGATACATCAACAACAGCAGCAACAACATCAACACATCCTCCCACCTCATCATCACATACCCTCTCAACACCTACCACCACATCCACATACTGTGATCAGCCCCGTTCCGGTTCCTAGCGCTTTCGCCATGTTCTTCGAAAATAATTATCTCTCGCAACCCCACAAGCACTCAGGAGCACGTACAGAAGAGGACCTTCTCAATCTCGCGCGCGAGCATTGGGATTCCGCGAAATTCGCCAGCCAACGAGGCATGTATGTAGCACAGGCGGAAAAGCAGATGAAACTCTATAAGGAAAATGCGAGGGCCTACAACATGGCTGTAGAGCAGCACCAACAAGAGCAGGGCCCACAGATTCATCCGAAGAGAGAAGCTGACGAAGGCGAAGACCAACCAAATATGGAAAATGCGGCGCCGGCCGATCAAACCTATAATCCTGATACAGAAGATGTGGAGATGGCGGACACCAGTCGACCAGTGGAGGCTGCTGGTTTTCGACCCATCAATGAGTAAGATTACGTCTGATGACAAGACCTTTTTAATGGGGCCAAATGACCGGCTTGAGGCCTTCGATGGCTAGGCAATGGGGAAGAGCTTCGCAATGAGAGCGTGTGTAATCACAAGTACAGCTGTAACATTATTTCGGAAGGTATTCAACTTCGTTCAATCACTCAGGTTTCAATTCTTGACCACCATCTCCCATATCCCAACCAAATGTATCAAACATCCTTAGCTAGTTCTGCAGCGTCGCCCTCTATTGATATATCCTCTTACTCTTCAAGGATCCCAAGCCGATCTATTCAATTTCGCGGATTGCTCCACGTCTAACGTCGTCGAAAGGGAGTCGTATAAGCAGACCAGACTCCGAAGCATCTTATCAAAGTTGTACCCAGCAAACGCCTCGCTTAAACGCAAGATCCAGTACAGCAGAATTTCGAAGCATGTGAAAAGCAATGAGAGCCTTACTCAACCCCTGCGTATAGATCAACCACAATATTGACGGCGGCTACGAGAATTTCAGCGGCGATGAGCACGATGACTATCAACCTGGAGCATCAGCACCATCCCATTCACAATCAAAAGCTCGCTTATGGCAAGTAGACCAGGTAGTCCAGGAATGTGTGCAAAAAGAAAAGCGGAAAACTCACCAATCCATTCCAGATACTCCCCATGCTTCGTGCCCACCTGATCCTTCAGCACTGCAAGCAAGTCCCCAATAACACTCAGTCGTTCCGTCAACAGGCCCGCCCGCTGATCCATCTCGAGATAGCTCCTCACAGCCGCATACACGGGCTCCAGACTCGGTTCCGCCCACATGAGCTCAGGAGAATCCAGCACACTCCCCTGCAAATGTATGTTAATTCTCAATATGAACAGCTGCCCAATCTGCTGATGGATCTCCCGGCGACTCAGCGCAATACGGCCCGTCAGCGCGATCTGCTCCGGCAAATGCTGCGTCGTCGCAATCGTGGTGCTCAGCAAATCCTCAAAGAGACTGGTCTTGACGCTCTGCGCCAATGCATGCGAAATGGCGAGTTTGGCCATATAATTCTTCTTCTCGCGTAGGGAGATGAAATCGTTGTAGATGCGCGCTTGGTACTCCCGCGTGTAGTAGAAATTGAAGTTCTCAGTTTGGATGTCGGTCGCGGAGAGCTTTTCGCTCTCGAATTTGGAGATTTCGGAGAGGAGGGCCGTTTCTTGGGCGGGTGTCATGCCCCAGATTACGACGGTGCCGTATTGGAAGAGGAAGACCTCTGGGGTATGGACGGTGGTGTCGAAATCGGGGGTAGAGTGGGCGGTGTGGGAGGAGACATGCTGGGTTTGGATGGATGAGTCAAGGTCGGTGGGTTCGTCGCCGGGTGAGGTGGTGAAGTCGATGAGGTCTTCGCGACGTTGGGAAGTGTTTCCTTCGACTTCAATGGCGCTGTCGGAGAAGCGTCGCTCTCTTTGGTGGGGTGTCGAGGGTCCGTCAAATGTAGCGTCTTCCTCTTCCAGGTCACCGCTGTTTCTTCTTCGATCATAGTTGTATGGCGTGTATATGCACTCGTCAAATTGCTTCGGATTGGCTCCTTTGTGTCTAGCTTTTTTGCTTTTGAAGTATTTCATCAAGCCTTCTAAACGGTACTCGTTTGCTGTGCAGTAAGCAGTCACTCTGGGTAGTCTTTCTCGATCGGCCTTTCCAAGTGCAGCTGCATCTCTTCTTGCTGTGGGATCCTTGATGCGAGTAAACTGCGAATACACATCCCTCCCACTTTCTTCGTCCGAACCTTCTTCACTTGGATCGGGATTTGGTAGGAGCTTCAGCTTTTGCGCTGTTTTTGTTGTGCGCTGGGGACCGATTTTGGACGCGGGCACAGGTAATGGCTGCGTAGCAAGCGGCGATCCATGGCTGTTTCGTCTGCGCAGCTTGCTGTTCAGTGTGGAGAGCTTTGGCTGGGTGGGAGCAGCGACCTGTTGTAGAGCTGATGTGGTTGGAGGAGATGCGCTGTGGAGAGTAGAGATTTCGGAGGGTCCATTGGGATTGCTAACGGTAGTCTGAGGATTGAATGTGACGGTTCTTTGAGGTTTTGGTGAATGTGGAGGCTTAGGTGCGGACGATAGCAATAGGGTTCTTTCGGTAGCTGCTGAAGCCATTGTAATGCAGTGGATGACGAATAGTGCATTCAGACAATGGATGGGGAGACTGAGAGGTCCATGTTGTTTTTGGCAACAGACTTTAGGCTGAGTGCCTTGACCAGGGCCTCTGGCTTATACTTTGATGGTTGTGGTGGTTGCAGAGACAAAGCCCAAATCGGAAATTTCGTCATCGTACAGTGTGCAGGTGTCAGGCATGCAAGGCCGTTGAACGGCTAAACCATAAAATCATAAAACCAGGCTTGGGATAGAATGGCCTTCTATTGGGGGTATACAAGCAGCAACCAATCGTTGTGAATTTTCATATTCTTTAGTTGAGGCAGTATTGAGTGAATTCACCAACGTCTTCAAATCCTTCCAAAACCACCTGACGATCACATCGTGAACGTGAAGTATCACACGCAAATGGGGTATCTCAGACATAGCAATCGCTCAGAAGACGCTTCACAATATTCATGTACATTCTCTTCCGTCAATCACTTGGCTTTCCGCAAGAATCCGCTCATTGGCTTCGAGCGAGGTACCCACATCGATGGGTTTGACCCTCGCTGTCCCATTAGCCACTTCTCCCTGATCTGTCTGCCATTTGACTTGCTTTTGGGTGGCAAGAGCGAACTCTCCTGTGGCAGAACCCTTATTCTCGTGTTGCCCCGGATGATGTCCCTTGGCGGCCTCTCCCTGTCAAGCAAGACCTTCTTCTTCGAGCTCTTGGGCGAGACAGGGATAAAGTCTGGCGTGGGCAGGCGCACTGTAGGCTCCTCGTCAAGAAGTTCCTGCGGCAGAAAGGGTGGCGATGACGCCGTAGTTGGATCTTCCTTCTTGCCTTCATCATTTGACATCTCGCCTTCGTCATTCTCGACATGCTTCTCGTCCTTCACATCTCTCTTTGCACGTTTCACCTGAGCCTTCATCTTCTCATCGTGTGCTTTCCTTTTGGCTCGGATAGCCTCCTCCTTCTTCAATGCAGCCTCCACCGCTTGCGCAGTCGCAGCGCCGACTCTGTCCTGCATAGCTCCTGTGGTTGCCTCCTCTGGACCATTGTCGTCGCTGTCTTCATCTTCAGAAGACGGGCTGTCCAGTCTTCTGTTCGCTGCTGCTAGCTCTTCTCGTTCGGAATCCAAGTCCTCAGCTTCCAGAGTTCCGGACCGCTCGAGTGCAACGTTCTGTGCAGTCATCGGCCCCTCTGCTGAGACCTTTGGATCCATCGATTCTTGTAGCAGATTCGCACTGACATCGAGCTGTCCATCATTCGTATCAAGCAAATGTCCACGTCTTATGTCTGGAGAAGTCGGACGGGGTACGACTACTTTAACATCATTCCGCTTCTTAGGACTCCGCACTTTTCGATCCGAACTCCTTGTAGCCACCATGGCCAAAGTATTGTAAAGAATCAGAGAACCAGAAAATATCAAATCCAGTTGGGGTATTACAACGAGACTTGTGGGGACGACAGAACGCTTCGGGCGCTAAAACATGCCTATTCCTATCGCCGCACGCCTCGACCCCTCTCCACCGGGTGCAGGCAGAACAGGAGGATCGCCGAAGCTCATCGTACGGGCGTGGGAGATACTACTAACAAGCTTGAATCAACAGTGGTAGCTTCAGAAGCACTTCCTTGGTCTAAGTCATTCACTTTTTTCCAAAAGCTAAGAACAGTAGATACATTTCATCCCCGTATAGTGCTGAAAGACAGAAGGGTATCTCATGGTAGCTGGCGTTGCAAACCATATACAAAGCAAATGTACATGTCAATGCAGTCCGTCTTTCCATCCAAATTTTCAACCAACAAAATCCCAGCCAAGATATCGTCACCTTGCTTGCTTCGCATTTAACCAAACCCATGACGCTCATTACTCGAGCATATTACATATGCCATTCGAAGTATTATTTTGGTAGTGCAGAAGGATGGATGTGCCAGACCTCCATCCGCTCCACTAAGCTTCTTCCATCAAGCTTTCGTCGCCGGCGTCTCTCCATTCTCGTGAGTACTTCGTGAGTCTCTTGACTCCGCCAATTCGTCCAGCCCACAGGCCCTCCGCAGGCGTTCTGAAGGTATAGCCCCGTTGACTGGCTATAACGCCAATGGCCTGGAGGACGGCTTTTCTGCTGTCCCTGCCAAAGACGGCGGGGTGATTGATCCATTCAAGACTGGCTTCAAGCTCTGTGTCTAGCGAGTTGAGCGTAGTCGGGTCGATGCCCGATGTTGCGCTCCCACCAAATTGATTACCTCCAACTTCAGACGTCGGGGTCGGCTGACGCTCTGGCGGTGGAGGTGTAGCGTTGCCATTTTGCGCCGGTGTATCACCTTGTATGCTAGGTGGGGCTGAAGGTATTTTAGTGGTATTCTGGGGTATCGGAGGAAGTCCCCCTTTCCCGAGGCCTTTGAGGATGGTACGAGTTTCTTTCAGGAGGTGGTGTGCTCGATCATGTTGGCCTCGCGAGACGAGAGTCAACGCTCGTGTTAGCATGTCTGAGGTCAAGAGCTCCATGCGCCGCTGTACAATGCTTGGGTGCGGGGGTATTGGTGGTGACGAAGGTCGATTGCCATTCTTAGTCTTGGGGTGGGCTGGTAGCATAGTGATTGCGAGAAGTGAAGGGCGTGATGGGTGGGTGAGAGTACCATCACGAAGAATGTCACCGTACGAAATGTCGGCTTGAATCAGCGGGACTTCTTCGACACTCAAGGAGCGCTGCTCGTCAGAGTCAAAAGGACCACCGAGCGCCTCCAAGCCTGACACGATGCTCTCCCAAGCGTCTTGAGGTAATTGTTCTTGAGAGGAATTGTCCGGAGCGATGACTAGTTGGACTAAGATATCTTTGACGGCAATATTAGATTAGGCAGCATTATCGAGAAGTAGCGTACTTACCGCGTTTGTCTCCGAATCTTAGATCACCGAGAGTTGCCTCAGCATCTTTCCCAGTGGCGCGTTTTGTAATCTGCAAAGCCCCCGAGATCTTGACAAATTTTGCCGGTGAGCCTTCTGGTAACCGCAATTTCAATTTGACATTCTGATGAGACGTCGTCTGCAAGGCACCGAGACAGCCTGCGACGCATTCGCGTAACATCATCCAATCTTTTACATAGGTATATGAGGCCTTTGTCCTGGTCGACAGCTCGATCATAGTATCGGGTTTATGGGTCAATCCCAAGCCAAATGAGTGAATAGCAACCCTGGATGATGACAAAGTTAGCGATCAGATACCACAATGATACCGAAGGATATGAAGGGAGGCTCTGTACGAACTTTGCAGCTTCTGCACGAGATACCACAAAGTCAACGCTCTCTGCATCTGAAGTCGATGAATCACTGATCAATAGAATGGTAGCAATTGGATTGTTGGCTTTTCGCTGCATGAGCAGGTCCATTGCAACATTGGCCCCTTCTACTACATCTGCTCGCAAGCTCTTCTGACCTACAGGTCGTATCGAATTGAGAACCCTTGTCCAGCCATTCCAAGTTTTGGTAGTCATGCCGACAAGTGGTACACCTCCGCCGCTGGAGCCAAAGGTAACCAAGCCCATTCGGTCTCGCTCACCAAGATTCTGTACGAGAAACTTGAGTGCGTCACGCAAGAGCGTAATTTTCAGGCCTTGCATGGAAGAAGAAACTGGAATGACAATGACGATATCCAAAGGTACATGGATAGACGCAGGCAATCGTGTGTCATGCATAGGTCGCTCCATAGCAGAAGCTGTATATTCTGTAGGGGCCGTATTGACCGATTTAGGCCCATAGGATGAGTTGACGGATGAGACTCGCTTTGTCTTCATGGTCCGATAATCATCGTCATCCGTGCCCGAGTTCTCCGGCTCGAAATCCCGAGTCTCTTTAGGTGCTTCTGTAGCGTTGAGATCCAGCAATGATCGCTTCCATTGTTCCACCTGTTGACGATTCTGGAATTGCAAATGGAATTGTTGGAGATCTTGAACCGAGAGGCTTAGGGTAAGCACAGGCTCGTCAGAGCTAGCCTCCACATGCTTCAGATGCTTCTTGATGAGGATCGAGCCTTTCAAGGTGCATCGTGTGAGCTTCCTCTTAGAATTCCCCTCTGCGTACTGTGGTGGTGCCCCTTTCTTTTCCTTGACGCAAATGAGCATTTCGGCAAAAAGAAAACATTCCAGCTCTTGCCAGGATTGTCGGTCCTTTCCGACGCGAACAGTGCCAAATAAACGTAGCTTGCCGAACCTGTAGGCTGTCAGACAAATAGCAAACATGGGAACAGGAAATTGCTGTACCTAGAAAAGTCAAGGCCATGCCAGTTATCAACTCTCACGCGTAGATCTTCTGTAATCTCCTCTAAAACTTCATTTGACTCTGTCTGCCATTCCGTCTGCTGACTTTGAGCTGGAGACTTGGGACGAGTGAAATTCGTAGGCTCCTGTTGCATCGACGCTTGAACTGGTGCACCGCGTAGATCAGCTGGATCTGGCCTCCATTTGCCTTCAGGAACTTCTATGGTGACCAGGCAGGTTAGACTTTGCTGCTGTCTGGAGCGCGTGAGCGTAGGGAACTCGCTCCTGACTGTGACCGACGGTGGTGGAATCGGGTTCTTGGTTAGACTTGTCCTCGGACTACTCAAGGCTGTCTCCATAGACTGAACATCATAGTCATGCCGTCTTCCAGCCGAGGCCTGAGCTTGGGGCTCACCATAACCATCAGAGCCACCGGTATTGACGCTCTCATTCCTGCTATGATATTGACGTGGTGCGCCATACTTTTCAATTCTCTCTCGTTGTTGCTCTCTGGCATCCCTTTCCCGAGTGTCTCTTTCTCTCTCTCGTTGAGTTTGTGCATCCTTGCTATCACGCCTGTGGTCAGAACCTCGACTACTCGGGCGTTCCTGACCCGTTTGAGGATCCCATGGTACAGGTGTATTCCGCTGACTACCGGCACTGCGCATTTGATTGTCACGATTGTCGCGATTGTCGCGGTCATTGCTCATCGAAACGGAGCGGACAATACTGCTGAGTTTTTCTACCTCACTGTCAGCAGCGGTTTCTGCTATGCGCCGCCGATGCAACACCTACCTAGATCAAGTACATTTCCACCTCTGCTGGTATCGAGCCCAAGGGGAGCGTTGCAGGTAGGACAGTATTGTGATTCGAACTCCTTGATATACTCATAGAAGCACGCTTCGTGCGAAACATGCCCGCAGGAGAATTGCAGGATCCGTTCACCACGAAGAGTATGTTCCAAAGGCTCCTCGCAGACTGCGCACTCGCTTCCGATGAATGTCCGTTCTCTCCGTGTTCGCGACCTCTCGATCTCCAGCATCCCCGCCATCGGACGTCCTGACCGCCAATTGAAAGATGTCGCAGTACCGTTACTGTAATATTGATTTGCAAACCGCTCCCTCTGTTGCTTGGCAATGCGATTCAGAAGCGTGATCTTGCCTTTGGCTTTCTTGGGCTCAGGTGGGTTGTACACCGGCAGGTGTGGATGGCCTGATGGAGAGTGTGTGCTGATGGCAGAGATTTGCCGAGGATATGCGGGTCGTGCTGATGCCGACAGCGCCGTGTTGTACGATGGTCGTGTGATGGCTTGAGACGAGTGGCCTGGAAAGGAAAGGGAAAGCGCTGGTTAGTAACTTTATCCCTCTGCTACAACTTCTAGAAGCAGAGCCACGTTTCGGAAAGTCACTGACACAGCAGTGAAAGGGACCATGGGAGGCTGAGACATTGAAAGACAGGTGTCTGGACTTACTGCGAACGTTGCCCGGGCGCTGTGACTGCTGTGACTGCTTCTTGGGTAGCAACCCAAGCTCTTTCAGATTTAGTTTTCTTTGGTCATCAATTGGAGTACCTCCAGACTTCTGGAACGCGGGGCGGGCCTGTGGGTGCTGAAAATAATCGTTCGACGACATAAAGGAGTCAGACTTTGAGACCAGTAAGCAGCGTACACTCGAAAATGGCAAGTAATTCCATTCGATGATGCCGAAAAGAGTCGAGAGAAGTCGAAAAGCAAAGGCGAGAGCCTGGTTGGGGGCGGAGTTCACTCCTTCTAATAGTATCTACGACTCAATACCCATGCTCCAAGCTTTCGGCACCGCATTCAAGAGAACCGCTAGACGTTAGGTCGCAGCGGGATCTCTGGCTTGGGGATAACGACGTGTAACCGAAGAGTGAATTAGGTTAGTAACAGGTTGACTTTGCGACGGCTCTTTAACGATACTGGGGAGAAAGGAGCGGAGAGGAGAGGAGAGGTGGGCCGTTTATACAGTTTCTATGCTTTATGGAGGGCGGCTGGCACAAGGCTTAGGATGATTATCTCCCCAGGCCATGCACAAGCTACGGTACAGCAAGCTCCCAGGGTGGCACCGAACCAGCAGACAGGGGAATTAAGGATATGTACAGTCTGAGACATGATTGGACCAGTCATCCGCAATGCGCCCAAAGAGACCATCTTGATCCGACCGCAAGTCTCATCGGCTTGGAACGCTTGCGCTGCACCTTGCAGAAGTCTCATCGCGAACTTTCGACGACGCGGTGATCGACAGGTGACCTGCTAGGAATAGTTTGGGAAGAAAAGGGATTGAAGGGAAGCATAAAATGAGCGTCATTTCTTCTCCAGCTTCGCAATCCACTGCTTTGCATCTTGGTATGCCAATAGCGTAGACGGGTCTCCGTTTCCGCCTGCCGCGGGTGGGACTTTGAGCAGAACGGGTTCTTGTCGTGCTCCGAGAATTTGTATCCAAGACAACCATACAGCCTGCGAGGAGCTGATCGCATATTGTACAAACAGCGCACTGAAGTATCACTAACTATCAGAACTCCGTTGGCGACGGCATCAGACAGTCCTCCCCAGTCCTTTGTGTAAAGAGGGTCTGACTAAGGATGTAGGTCAGTGGTACAGCACCTGCCAACTCCTACGCCACAAAAGTGGACTCGTGCCTCTTGCATCATACTTCATCGGCGCGTCGACCTAGGGTTGTTCTCCACGGCTTCTTATTAGACGGCGCACCATGAAATGAATCCGCCGGAGGGCAAGCTTGCCCTTAGCTCAAGACAGAAGCTCCTTACAGGGCAGAGCTCAAGGTGAACGGAACGGCACGATATGCAAGATCTCCTGCCATGGCCCAAAGATTGCAAAGTGCCTGGACAATACGTCAAGTTTCTTGTGTTTGTAGATCTTTCTTCCCAGAGTTACGTATTTGATAGTCATTGTTATCTGGTTGGAACAATGTCTTTGCGTAAGAATGTCTTGGGTTTGCCGGTGACATACCCGTTGAGGTGTGCCTGTCGATCTGTCGGCACCTCTAGATTTCCGAGTCCTTCGACTGTAAGTTTCCCTACATCGTAGTCGTCTGGACCACGTTGTTAAGAAGCTATAAGAGATATACTGACATGCTACATGTGGATGACATGCATGTTACAGATTTTCATCCCAGGAAATTGCATTGGTGCTGTACGTAATATCTGACGAACGTTTTGCGGCCAGATCGAAAGCGAGTCAGCGTTCAATTATCCTCGCAAGTCAAAGAGATTCCCGAGAGAGTATTGGAGAACATATTGACGGCGAGCCATTGATCATTGTTAGCGAGGCAAGTCGATGATAATGGTTTGAAGTGAAACTGCTCGGCGCAACATATAGCTTATTGCCCTTGAGATTTTGGCCTTCCATGGGCCTCTCTGCTGTCTCAGCACCAGTCAGTGCCACGTGCAAAGAACCCATGTGTTCCAAGCGTCAGGTCCTTGGAATCAACAGTGGTAACGGTGGTTCCCCCTATCTATAGATCTACAAGATCGGCGGCGAAGGATCGTCATCGGAGGGACGCCCCGAGACTGCTAGTCTTAGGGCTGTCGTGCTTGACCTTCCCGTTGCCTTTCGCTGAGCTTTGCTCGCTCTGCTTGCCCATCCTGGACCTCGAGGGTGAGGCGACCAAGACCAAGGAAGTCTTGAGAAGGTCTCGAGAATCTCCCGATCAGCTAAACGGATGTGAATAATGAATTAGACTAGGTGCAAAGGAATAGTCTACCTATTCTCCAAATCTTAGAGGCATTCGGACTTTGCGGGGTGAAATCCGAATCGTTTGGAGCGGAGCAAGAGCTGTCACCATAGCCTCCTGTAAGGCACGTAAATTGTTGAAGAGATGGCTCGTCGTCCGTCTTTTTATTTGAGATATGTGCGATCGTTCTCGACTCCCATCCAGACACCTTTGCGTATCGTCCCTCCGACGGCCCGTATTCTGAGCCCGATCAGACATGCCTCGTGGCGGCCAGCACCAAATACTACGTATCGTCGCCTGCCTCCACGCCCACCTCCCCGCTATAATCGCTTCGGTCGGGCGAGTCAAGTTTATGAGCTATGGCTCACGAGCCCGACATTCCGGCTTGTTACGGGGGTAGGTGGCTTGGGAATTGGAGTAGCTGCTTATGCCAGCCGCGAGACGGTTCCCATCACTGGGCGAGGGCGCTTCAACATTATATCTCCAGATTTTGAGAAGAAGATATCAGAAGGGGGATATGAGGCCACCGTTCGACAGTATCAAGACCGTATACTGTCGCCAGAACATCCCACGTCACAGATGGTACGACGAGTCATGCAGCGACTGATTCCAGTGTCGGGCATGGAAAATGAGAAGTGGGAGGTCAGGGTGATCGATGATCCGGGCCAAGTCAACGCATTTGTTATGCCGGGAGGCAAAGTTTTTGTTTTTACGGGTATACTTCCGATTTGTGGTGGAGAAGATGGTCTCGCTGCGGTACTTGGACATGAGATCTCGCACAACGTAGCCCATCATGTTGGAGAAAAGTTCACAAAAACTGTTTGGGTTTGGGCAATAGCACTTGCGGCTGGCGTTTTCTTTGACACATCGCTTCAGTCCTCGCAATGGATTCTGAGCTTGCTGTTAGAACTCCCCAATTCACGGATACAAGAATCGGAAGCGGACCATATTGGCCTTTGTAAGTTTCGAGATCACAGCTTTCTGCATAGCCAATGCTAATGTAATCAAGTAATGATGGCCGAGGCATGTTATAATCCGACCGCTGCAGTGTCGTTGTAAGGGGCACGTGAATATCCTAGCACGCAGTGTACTGATTGATCGTAGATGGCAACGTATGGAGAAACAAGGCCCAAGTGGGGTACCTAGAATAATTTCTACGCATCCGACGGTAGGATTATTTTCTTTTCTAGTTACTGTCACTCGACTGACAAATCTACAGAACAAGGATCGTATTGCTGAAATAACGAAATGGTAAGAGGCTGCCAAAAAAAGCTACTGTTTTGGCTTGGCTAATCATCAAATAGGCTACCTGAAGCTGAAGAAAAGGCTATTGCTGGTGAATGCGGTACTACCAATAACTATGGTACGCGCCAAGAGACATATATACGCTTGATACTGATTCTAGGATTACAGTGAAACAATTTAATTCAAGTATTAGTCGCCCTTTTACGCCCCCCAACTCGAGCCAACAAAGGCCGCGTCGCGACAATGGTGACTTTTGGTAAATTGGACCGACAGAAGATATTCCTTGGCTCAGTCCCCACTCAGTCACACATTTCGGACGTTTTAGCTCTGCTTTGATAGGAAAATTGGCGAGTTGATACCGCGAACGGGCATGCCACTTAGCTATTCCTTCTGAACTGCTCGACTTATCAGATTCAGCTTTCGGATCATTGCAGTTGACCGGGCTTCTTCGAAGAGTGAAGGGCAACTATCAGCAATTCCACCATACTGATAGACACCCGCAAGAGCATTCTGCGCCGAAATAAACAGGACGCCGTGGACAAGCAAAAGAGACAAACGACCTGCGTGCCAAGAAGTTGCTACATTAGCGCTTCTTAGCTTATTCTCGATGTCATCGCTTACTCTCTATATGATCACTATGCTCTGTCAATAGGTCGTATAATGGTTCTGAGGCTGCCGATTCCTCGATATCACCTTCTTGAGATTGATGACCAGCAATGGTATGCCTCGTTCTGTACAATGCCGTAAAGGCAGCTACTAAAGAAGCCACAGGTTCCCATCTTCATTCCGTTATTACATCCAAAGTCTTCTGACAGACTTTTGGACATTCCGGCTACCGTTCATTCAACCTTCTCCTCCTGCTTCACTTGTGGCAAAGACTTTGCGTAGCAAACTCGGAGGCAACCTTTACAATTACACATACGTCGACTTCTGCGCCGGAGCTGGCGGTCCGACTCCATACATCGAGCAGGAAGTGAATGGCCTTGTCAATAGAAAGCGCGCGTCAGCAGACAAGGAAAGTAGCCCATCGAATGGGGCTGCTCTGACGAGCAACATGCAATATCAAGGAGTCGACTTCATCATGACCGACCTACATCCATACATTCAGGCCTGGCGCACCGCGAGCGAGGCGTCAGAAAGCAGCAGATTAGCATACGTACCTGTCTCCGTAGACGCAAGTCGAGCTTCAAAGGAGGTGCTACAGTTGGCTGAACCGCGAAGATCTTCCCGCAGAGGTCAGGATGCAAGCGCTCAAAATGTCTTCAGGCTGTTCAGTCTAGCATTTCATCATTTCGATGATGCATTGGCTACCAAAATTCTCCGAAACACCATTAACACGAGCGATGGATTCGCGATTTTTGAGTTACAAGGAAGAGATGCCGGTAATATCTTGACTGTGCTTCTGCTATGGCCAATGCTCTTGCTAGGGAGCTGGTGGTGGTTCTGGGGGCAATGGGACCAGCTATTCTGGACATACGTTATCCCCGTTGTGCCTTTCGTCATTGTATACGACGGGCTAATTAGCTGTCTGAGAACGCGGAGAGAGGAAGAAATATTCGCACTGCTGAAAAAGGCGAGTGAACACGTTGATGGTGGATTGGAAGGTTGGAACTTTGAAGCAGGCGAAGAGACACACACTTGGCCTATAGGAACAATGTCATACTTTGTCGGCATCAAGAAATAAGATGCAGGCTCTCTTGGTCATCGTCTATGTACTTATTGCTCCTTATGCTCTATACATCTAATACCAAAAAGCCAGCAAGAAAACATTGATAGCCTTGAATACCCTCCGTCTCTATCTGTATCTTCGCGAGCAAATTGACCTAACTCAGTCGATGTCCTCTACCGGCAGACCACTAAGCTCACCATCCACCCCATTAGCATCCGACTCAAGATGTCTGTCCGTCTCCCCACTACCCTTCGGTTCCGCATGCACAATATCGCCCGCCTGTCCGTCTGACTTTGCCTCTTCGTGAGTAGCGACATGCCCGTTCACTTCTCGAGCTCCATTTATCTGATTATGTCCATTTACCTCCACGTGCCCATTCAATCCCTGGCCATCTTTCACTCCCCACTTTCGTCTCTTTAGAATCATCAACTCCTGACTGATCCCCGGCCCGAAAGCACAAGCGACCACATTTTCCCTTCCAGCACCATAACTTCTCAGCCGATTCAATACGGACATTATTGTGGCGCTCGAGCTGTTGCCATAATTCATGTAGATCTCATATGACGCCCTCAAGTGATCTTCCGTCAGATTCATAGTTCTTTGTATGCCGGTGATGATAGTCGAGCCGCCGGGATGGAGCGCCCAATCGAAGTCTTCGGCGATTAAAGAGCTATTCGGGGTGGTAGATAGACTTGGTATGCTAGCTACGAGATCTGCGAAGGCGGGGGCGACGGTCGCACATGTAAGATGGGGGACGCGAGGGGTGAGAACAACCTTCCAACCTGTGCATAGGTATCAGCGTCACATAAGAGCCTTGTCCAGCCGCCTCCCTTACCAAGTGGATCCACATCAAAGCCCAAGTCCTCCTCCGTACCGTCTATTATCTCATGCTTCCAACCCAGGATATCGTACACGGGCTCGCCTTTTACGCTCTCCCCGATGCCGTTACTGAGAATACATGCTGATGCTCCATCGCTGAATAGACACACTCCAATGCGTACTTCCTGGTCACGATCCACGGAGTCCAGCTCCGATCGAAAGAGGGGCGTTGAGATCTCACATGCTACTACCAATATTCTTGCCGGTCTACCGCGATACGAGGATCCGAGAGCGAGATTTGCTGCCGTTCTGATGGCTGCTAGACCACCTGAGCATCCAATGCCGTGTAGAAGAACGTTTTCAGTATTTCGGATTCCTAATCGTTTCCGCACATAGTGATCGAACCCGGGGTTTGCTGAATTGGTACATGTGGTAGCGACGACATGAGTGATCTCTTCTACCGAGATGCCTGCATCTTTTATCGCTTTCTTGCTAGCTTCGACGGATAGTCGTACACCCTCGTCGCGAAAGAAGTCATCAAGTTGTTTGATGTCAGGGGCGGTCGACTGATTGACGAGTGGATGATCAAGCTGTCCGATAGAGGCTCGAGATTCAATACCGGTAAAGCGATTGATGGAGAGTACTTTCGTCAGGCTTTCAGATATCAGTACGACTCGGTCTTATGTTTGGCAGCGATTGCCTACGCAGTCGAGCTTTTGTAATATCGATTTGCTAAGGTCTCTAAGGACTCGGGGCCATGTCTATGGGGAGGATACTCGACCCCGAGGCCCAAGATGCTGAGGTGCAGGTTGTCCTCGAATTGATTGGTTGCAGGCATGAGATTTTCTGATTGGCGCATGTGACGTTGAAAACCAGGCACCCTGTGGCTTTGGTGGCTCGTGCGCGAATCAAGACTCAAGTTCTGAATGACATGAATATCAAGAAGACGGTCAAGGTCAGAGCTTTGAAGTTGAAGATATGAAGAAGTCTGTCATGCTGAGTCCTAGACTCGTTATATAGCGTCATGGATTCTTGTTGGGTACACAGAGTCTTGCATGCGTTTGCAAGATAATCGGTTGACGGGCATGTTGTCTCTCACCGTCATGACCAATCTGACTGGGGCCTGTCTCGCGAATGCCTTACGTTCAAACTGCTTTGCATCACCTTGAAGCCATGTACACTATCCTCGCCATATCACTGGCTGTGCTTGTAGCCTGGTGTCTCCGAGGCCAGCGCTCACCCATCCGTCGCCATGGAAAGCGTTTGCCGTAAGTCACCCCAAGGCTCCTGGATGTCGTACTGAGATGGTGCATAGTAGACCACCTGGAACGCTGCCTTTGGCTGGCAATGGCATCTGGTTTCTCCAGCCGAGGCATAAGCTACTCGATTGGTTCTCCGATTGTGAAAGGCAAACTGGATTTAGCACTTATGAAATTTCGGTTCCTTCACTCCCACCAGGCGTCGTGATAAATGACCCTGCCAATGTTGAGCATGTACTTAAGAACAACGACCTGTTTATCAAAGGTGACTTCTTTCGTTCGCGGTCATGGGACCTATTTGGTGCGTGCTAGACAGTCTTCATCCCGTCTCTTCGTTCGAATTACGCCAAACCCCCCGAGTTGACAACCATCTAAGGGCATGGCATTATCAATGCAGATGGGGAGCTGTGGAAGATTCAGCGCAAGGCAGGTCTGCGTTTCTTCAGCAATGCAAACCTCAAGCTATTCATTGACGACATCCTCCCTTCTCTTCTGAATGATACGAGAGATTTTCTATATCATGCTGCGTCGTCAGGCGACAAGGTGGATCTTCAGGCCGTCTTCCATGAATTGACTACCCGTTTAATGGGTAACGTGGCTTATGATGTAAGTTTGTCTTACCATCTTCTAAATACGAGAAAGACCAATTCTATTACAGATGGACATGCCAACGTCTTTACCCTTTTCCAAAGCATTTGATTTTGCCTCTGGAGCCATTGGAGATCGTTTTCAGAATCCATTTTGGAAAGTCAAAGAGATCATTTGGGGTGCACCGTTACAGCGCGCCGTCGCCCAGGTGAAGAGATTTGGGGATGCCATCGTCTCCACCGCAATCGAGAAAAGGGCAAATGTTAGACCTAGAGTCGCAGGCCATGGAAGATCAGGAACAGACATGCTGCAAAGCCACCTAATTGACTCGTTACTGGACCACATCGAAGACCGTGCTGTGGTTGCTGACGCAGCAATGAACTATCTATCTGCCGGTAAGTTTCACAACTTCTGAATGACACTATCTGAGAAGAGCAAAGGACGAGACACAACAGCCCAGTCGCTGACATGGGCTTTTTACCTTCTAATGCGATCTCCCAGTGTCGCTGAAAAGGTTGTAGCTGAACTTCAACTTAGCAGCTGCTATGTTGAGGAGAATTTGCGTCTTGATTTCAATACTGTTCAGCCTCAAGGTCTCCCATACACTATGGCTGTATTCAACGAGACATTGCGGCTTTACCCTCCCGTGCCGGTGGAGCTCAAGGAGTGTACGGCAGATACGACCTTTCCTGACGGCACATGGCTACCACAAGGATCAATCGCGATATGGGCACCATGGTCGATTGGCCGCTCACAGCAAACATGGGGCCAAGATGCTGACAAATTTCGCCCTGAGCGATGGTTGACTCAGGACAAAGACGGAGAGACAATCTTGATCGTGAAGACTGCGTTTGAATTCCCTGTTTTCAATGGCGGTCCAAGATCTTGCCTTGGGAAGCGAATGGCCGAGCTCCTCGCAGTCTATGTGGTTGCAGACCTTTCGTATCATTTTAAATTTTGCGAAGATCAATATCGAAGCACACGAACGAAGAGAAGTCAGAACAGCTTGACTTTGCCCATGGAAGGAGGCCTTGTTTGTTCTGTATCTCGCAGACGGTCCAACACCCCCCAACGGTCAAAACAAAGCACCGTTCTGCTAGTGAATCTTGAAGGAGGAAGGAGCTCTGGAAGTAGAAGCTACGACCGTGGACTAGCGCATTCTTCTTGAGAGATCAATAAATGCCCAGACCTTCTGGCACGATGACAGATTATTGTCAAGAGATGCATATATACTATTTCTTGCTTCAGCTAGTCTGCAACTTTTGGTTAGCATATTTGATTCAAAGTCCCGTGAAGTCGCTCCTATCTGAGGTTTGTGCTACTAGTGGCCTTGCCACTTCCATCGAAGTCATGAGTACCGGATCCGGTGGTATGGAAATGCTACAAGCAATTATTGATACGACTCTCGAGCAATACAAGTCGGATGTTCGCACCGAAATGAATGCGAAACTTGGGCAGTATGCTACGATAGACGGAGTAAGGGACACCATAAAGCTTTCGATGGAAACGGAATGGAATAATCGCTCCAAGGACGCTATAAGGCGTTCGATGGAAGAGGAGCGGCCGTCTCATTTTGATCGGCTTCAACGTCAGATAATCAGCGATCTTGACAAAGATGCGAGGCAGAGACAGGAGTACTTTGAGCGTGTGAAACATGTCCCGAATGAATTGACTACGTTGCGTATCTACACAACCCGCTTCGAACGCCAATTCGAGACGTTTCGTAATGAAAGCGCTCAAAATCTTGCGAATGAGATCAGGGATGTGAGGGCAACTATCGTTGGCATGCTAGCGCTCAATCAGAGTCTAGACAGCAAGGATAAACAGAATCTAGACGATCTTCTCAGAGGGGGCCTCGAGGAGCACAATCAACAGCCACCTAAAGGAAAGAAGGACCTAGGAGGAACTCGCACATCACAGCCCGTTGCTGAGCAAGGTGTTGGTTGTGTCACTGAGTCCTCGAAGGCAGGACTGTCGAAAAAAACTGATCAAGAAGCTCTACAATCCTCTGGGAGCCCTTTAGATTACAAGACGTCTGAGAAACAAAAGCATCACAGATCGCAACAGCAAGAAATAGTCATTCCAAAAGATTCTCACAATTCTGCAACCGGAGACATCTCAGCCTCACAGGACGACAATGAAGCCCAACGGCAAGACTCGATAAGCTCGCAGCAGAGCAGCGTAACTCTCCAGCAAGACACGGCAGCTTCACAGGACGACAACGCAGCCCAACAGCAAGACCCGGGAACTTCACAACATGACGTAAGCGACCAGCAAGCCTCGACAAGCTCACACGTCGAGGATACTTTGGAGCAGAATAAACCGACAAGCTCACAAGCCAAAGATGGACCGGAGCAGCAAGAGCCAAGAACAGCACCAACGGGCGATGTAACAGGCGCAAAAGACCTAGAAGGCTTAGCCGAGGAAGACGAAGGAATATCCAGCGACTGGTTTGACACCACACTAGATTTCTGACGTGGGCTGAAGTCGTCGACGTGTCCTTCAAAATCAAGTATATCGAATGGATTGCGAATTACGGAGTATAAAGGGTGTCTATTGAGGGAGTGTACGTCATTGTGGATTTGTTAGTGGACTGAATCTCTATTTTCACAGGCTGTGTCCTTTCAATCTTTATTCGATAGGCAGTGTATTGTGAACTTGTGATCGTACGAGACGTCAGAGAGGGTCAGCAGGTCAGCAAAATGAAGCCCTTGATGGAGCCCTATCGCCCTGTGGAGCACAATCTCCTGTTCTTCCCACCGTTGGGACCGCCAAGACCCCCTGAATCCGATCCTTTCCTTTGACTTGTCGTTTTTGGAGGCCTTCCAGCCTTTCAAGGCGGTCTAGGCGCAATGTGCTCACTTAAAGGGTAATATCGAGACCCCCACGGACCCTATCAGATGCCTCCCAAGCCACACGTTTGTGCATAGCAGCAGCCTAATTTTGGGTTCCCGAATGGTCCCCGTGCCAATTGCCCTATTCAGATACGCACTATAAAATTTCATTATTGACATCTAAAGCAATCCTTGTTGCCTTTTTTTCACTTCCTTTGACACCATTTCAACCCACATTAACACAATACCGACTGGGAAATACGAAACTTCACAGTCACACCCCCAATCACTCATAATCGCGTCATCTCCCTCCAATCTTCGCCAGCTTCTCTCTCCACCTGAAGCATAACTCGTTCACAGCTCAATCTTTTCAGCGGCAAGACACACGACAACAACATGTCTGCGAATCCATCTTTTGTTTTCACCTACCTTCCCTCTGCCGCCAAGCCTGCCGTCACCGATGCAAGTTCCTCTCTTTATGACCAATCAACGGCATTCTTCCAATCTGCTCGCAAAGCCTTCATTTCACCCAGACTCACCGCTGAGCAACAACAGATCGCAACGCTCGAGACAACGAAGCAGCATCTCGAGGAGTATGCCGCTGTCAAATCCAAGACTGGTATGGGCGTTTCGGCTGCGGAGAAGGCCCAGCTGAGGAGCGTCGACTCGGCACTAGCTGGACTAAGAAAGTGATTCACCAAGTTGATGATTTCGGTCACAACAGAGACGGTTCGAGATGCATAGCAAACCCGAAACAGGTATAGAGAGATTTGCATAGCGATGCATAGCGCGGACCCGTCGCCATACACGATAGACTATAGACAAATAGAGGGATAGAAAGGATTAGACAGCAAGGTGCTTGGTGTTTGCTCCTGGGAGCAACAGCCGACAGAAGAGAACTCCACTCGAGCGGTGACTCAACATTAGATACAAATAAGACCAAAGATTTCTTGACAATGGAGTGCAACATTCTTTACTTCTCGCATATTCGGGGGTTTTCAGCACATCGACCAGTATCTTGCGATAAGAAATCTCCATTGCTGGATGAATCAGATCCCTCGTAAGTGTTTTGATCCTCTTTTTTGGTGAGGTTTCATTTGGATAGCCGGAAATTGAGGGCCACCAACAACAACCTCAACGGTCTCTACTCCAAATACAATCACAAGAGGCAGTTCCTTATGATGTATTCGAAGAGGACTCAATAGAATTAGAGGCGAATTGGCCCTGAGACTGCGGCGGAGGCGGAAGCCTGCCGCAGTGACGCGCTTCCTCGCGAAACTTTTCCAACTGCCTTGAGCCGAAAGCTGGAGTGCGCTCAAGGATATCAATCGCTCTCCTGTCGAATATTTCATATCATGTCTCTCACTATACCTAACGCCCCCGGTGGTGGTCTTTTCAAGCAGGGTTATCAAAGGTAGAATGATCAAATCTGTCTGCGATTGCTTCAAGCTAATGGAGGTCTTGTAGCTATGAAGCAGAAGATGGCGCAGTAGTCAGAAATATTGAAGCATGTCGTGCGATATCTCAGACTGTTCAGACTTCTCTAGGTCCCTATGGGCGAAACAAAATCGTTATAAATCACCTCCAAAAAATGATACTCACATCTGATGCCGCATCTATATTAAAAGAGCTCGATGTGGTACACCCTGCTGCAAAGCTCCTTGTCATGGCAAGTCAGCAGCAAGAAGCAGAGCTTGGCGATGGCACAAATATGGTCATCGTCCTGGCCGGAGAAATGCTGAAGAAAGCGGAAGAGTTGTTAAGGATGGGGTTGAAAACATCAGAGATTGTAAAGGGGTATGAAACAGCTATGGAGGAGGCTTTGAAGTGCTTGAATCGTATGTTCATATTGAGGCACCCACACAGAAGCCGTGGAATATATTGACCTTCACTCCTAGAACTCGTTGTCGACAAAGTCCGCGACCCTCGCTCACAAAAAGAACTAGCCAAAGCCATTCGCACCGTGGTTTCCTCCAAGCAATCTGGTAATGAAGACACTCTTGCATCCTTGATCGCCGAAGCCATCCTTGCCGTGCTCCCAAAGAATCCTCAAAACTTCAATGTCGACAACATCCGAGTAGTGAAAATCATGGGAGGCTCGCTCGAGCAGTCTAAAGTAGTGAAAGGCATGGTCTTTGGCCGTGAACCCGACAGTAGCGTCAAGAAAGCGAAGAATGCCAAAGTTGGCGTCTTCTCATGTCCAATCGACATCAGCCAGACAGAAACGAAAGGAACGGTGCTGCTTCACAACGCCAAGGAAATGATGGATTTCACAAAAGGGGAGGAGGCGCAACTCGAACAAGCGATCAAGGAATTACACGATACTGGAATGCGTGTGCTTGTCGCCGGACAGTCTGTCAGCGAGCTAGCCCTCCACTATCTCAACCGCTTCGGCATGGTAGTTGTCAAGGTTCTCTCCAAGTTCGAATTACGAAGACTCTGTAGAGTCGTAGGCGCCACACCGCTTGCCCGTCTAGGTGCGCCCATGCCAGACGAGATGGGCAAAGTCGACATGTTAGAGACCTTCGAAATCGGCGGCGACCGAGTCACAGTCTTTAGACAGGAAAACGAACAGACGCGTACAGCCACGCTCGTCATCAGAGGCGCAACGCAGAATCATCTTGACGATATCGAGCGTGCCGTCGATGATGGTGTCAATGTTGTGAAAGCGATAACCAAAGATCCGAGACTAGTGCCTGGCGCAGGAGCAACGGAGATGCAGCTGATTGAGCGTGTGACGAGGTTTGGCGAGAAGACGCCGGAGTTGTCGCAGTATTCAATCAAGAAGTACGCCGAGGCATTTGAGGTGATACCGCGAACGCTGGCGGAATCGGCAGGATTAGATGCTACAGAGGTGTTGGCGACGTTGTACGCTGCCCATCACAAGGCTTCGATATCAGCGTCAAAGGATGCGAAAGACTCAGACGAGTCATCAGAAAGCGAAGAAGATGATGACGACGATGATGAAGACGAGTGGACGCTAGGTGTGGACGTTGAAAACAACGACGGTAAAACAGGCACTTTAGACGCCCAAGAAGCTGGAATCCTGGACTTACTGGTGAGTAAAGAATGGGCAATACGGCTAGCCACAGAGTCAGTGAGAACGATCTTGAGTGTGGATCAAATTATAATGGCTAAACAGGCGGGCGGTCCCAAGCCGCCAGGCCAAAACGCTAATTGGGATGAAGATTAAGAGATGTCAGAGGATTGATCAAGCAAATTATAGCAGCGAGGCCACGGTCCTGCCCCGCCCTTGACTTTCGTTCCTTCTGTTCACTCGTCGTTGCAGCGTCATTCCTCCAATCGCCCATATGGGCCCTCTACTCTCGTCCCTGTCAGAGGAATCGAAGATAGATGGCTCCTCCTCGCTGACCTGCTGCCGTTCTTCTCCCTCCATATTATCCATGTCGAACAAAGAAATGCGATTCTAGAAAGTAAAACCTTGTCAGCCTTGTTGTACCTTTCCAACTCTTGTCACCCTCTTCCTCCTTCCTAACCGTTACACTCCAGGCCGACTGACACCCTCATCCCAAGAGCCCAACAACGTTCGCGGAACAGAAAATACTCACACTTCCAAAGCAGCAACCGCAACAGCAACATCCCACTCAGCATACGGCGGCCTAACAAATAACTTCCGAAAATCCTTGCCTTTGGACAAACACATCGTCACGAACGTTGCCGCCCACAGGCCCGCCAAACCTAGCTCCAATATCACGAGAAGATAGATCGCCTGAGTCGCGAGACCGGGTGACGCTGTGATGGTGGTGGTGGTGAAAGATCGGTTTGTTGATGGAGCGAGGGGGTTTTTCCAGATGTGGACGGCCGCGTAGACGAGCGTGGCGAAGGAGGTGGGTACTATTTGGAGGGTCAATTGGTTGTGGTTGGGATTTTGGAGGGGTAGGGGGGATGTTCATACGGCCGATGGAGAATGGGATGTTGATGGTGAGCCACCAGCCTTTGTGCGTTTTAGACCAGACTTGGAGGATGAGGTGGGCGATTGAGAGGATTAGTTGAAGGAGGCGTGTCAGGAAGATGTATCGGGTAGAGTGCGTGGGGAAGGAGAGGAAGCGCATTTTGAGAGACGGTGATGGCTCTGATGGAGGCGTTTTGAGAGAATCAGTAGTGGGATAGCAGATGGAAGGGTAACTATTACAACATGAGTGGACGGCACTTACGCTTTTTGAGATTGTTATTCTATTTGGGGAGAAAGTGTCATGAAAATTAGGGCAAGCACTACCTACCTCATCAATCCCATGGGAAGACAGGCATTCTTACAGACTCACATTTCTGCGCAAAAGAAGTTCTCTGAGGGTTGAAGAGTATTTGTGTCTTCCAACTTGAACGACAATGCAGTCCCAACATTTGACTATTCTGAGAAAAACAACCAAGATTAGCACGTCATCGCCATTTGCTGTTGCTACTAGAGTGGCAGCTCTCTCTCTGAGAATGGGTCATTGTGGACCGCTCGAGAGCTTTGCGGGAAAACTGTAGGAGTGCATTCACCCATTGCTGCGGTGCATTATGAGGACGGAGCGAGGCAGCAGTGCCAATAATGCCTCCACCGACATCAAAAGTTGCGCCCGAGAGCTTGCAATAACATGAGGGCGATGAGAGTCTGATCATGGTAGTAGACAGTCGTTTGCCAAATCCACTGCCCATTGCCCCCGTCCAGCCCAAAATCAAGCAGAATTCCGTAGCAAATCTCAAATCGCTCCTCTCGTCCTCGTCGTATATGCCTACTCAACACCTCCACAATCTCCTCTTTCCCATTGTCCCTCGCTACTCACGGAGGAGTTTGCCCGCACGAATCCAGAACATCGACACTCGGCCCTCTCTCCACAAGCAATTCCACTCTATCAACCCAGCCGCCCTTACATGCATAATGCAGCGCCGTCCCCAGCCCAAAAAGCGTCCACGTCTGATACGCCGCTTCATCGTACCGATGATTGACTGCATCAATCCCCCCCACCCATGCCTTCCCCTTCCTGCAAATCCAAAAGAAATCTCATCACCTCCAAGCGGGGATTCTGTGGCGGAATATAACCAGTCGCGAGCAGAGGCACCGTAGGCAAAGAGTTCTTTTATGATTTCGAGCGGAGCGGCTGCGCTGGCGGCAGCGACGGCCGTGTAAGGGTTGACAGGGGGGTGGGAGGCGTTGGGATCGACGTTGTGGGGGAGAAAGAACTTGACGAGGGGCTCGTGTGTGATGAGATAGCTTTGGGGTGTCTATGTGTGACCTTACTAGAACTTGAGGAAGTAGTAAGAAGGAAGTAGGAGGACAACGGAAGGAGGAGGGGTGAAGAGTATTAGAATAAGGCATACCAAAGGGGCGGACACTGATTCGACGAAGGCGGGGCGTTAATGTCCCAACCATGATCGAGGAGTATTTCGAACACACTAATGGAACAGGCATCGAGAGCTCTGATTGTGGTCTGCGGCGGCAGCTTACGGCCGGTGTTGAGGACGAGGGCGAGCATGGTAGGATCCTTGTTGTCGATTGCGGTGAGAAAGGTTGAGGTGGAGGGCCAAAGGTCGGCTTATTTGGGAACATGGATTGGCTCTGGGCTGGCTTCTGAATCGATGGTCAGTTGGTTTGGCCATTTGGAGAGGATTTCTTGAATGCGGCAAGATCACCTTGGCTTGCTACACTATTGAGAAATTGCGCTGTACGCTGATCTGCTGTACTCAGATTGAACGGAAAGCTGTCCATTTTGTGGTAGGACGGAGGCAACGAAGATGCTTCTTCCACCACAGGGATTCACGCATGCAGAACGTTAGTCTAAAAGGAAGACTAGCAAATCTCACGAGATAGAGCTTGTTTCAACGGAGGCTAGATTTATCTAGAATGTCAGACCCAGTCCTAAGCGAAGGATGCACATGCAACAGGCTGAACAGCTTGCGACAAGAGATATTTTTGGCATCCGCCTTACTCATGCAGTGACAACGACAAAATGTTGAAGATGCTGATGAAGCTCGAAGTGCCACGAGAGTGCAAATCTTGCAAGCCTTCAGCACAGTATAGATATTTTGCTATGGCAGTTAGCCTTTACGAGGGAAGGCGCCGGCATCCTTGGCTAATTTCGGTTGATGCTATTGGAAGGACATTCCTTGATTGTCTGCTAAACAGAGTAGCAAAAACTCTTGTGCGACGTTTATGCATAGGGAAGCCAAAATACCAAACGCTAGTTTCTTTCCGAAAGAGATCAGGTGTAGATAATTGACAAAGGGTCCAATTGGAGCAGCACATTGTTCATCGTCTGACTCGTAGATAGTGAGAAGTCCTCGGACGAATTATTGAAATACCACTCAAGAGGATTCAGAAAATTTGGATTGACTTGATGTAAACATTGAACAGGGAACATCCTTAACAATGTTCAGCTCATAATTCCAACATGCCATGACCAGGCTGCCCCTAATCCTACCAAGTGTCCGTCCACAAGTGATTCGGACTGTTCAATGGTGCAGAGTCTGTGCTTGGATAGATATAAGAAGGTAGCTGCAATCATGAAATGTTTCGTAAAAGACCGAAGTACAACAACCTACGCGGTTCCCATCCGAAATCTTCCACCTACCTATATACATTCGCAATGTTTATGTCCAAGCACTTACTACTTTCATTGTTTGCAACACATCTTCTACCAATGATCTGTTAGTCTTGCAGAGTTGAAGGGACGACCGAGGTTGCGCATATTCATGAATGATAATTTCGGCACTGGAGTACATTGACTTAGCGTTTCAAGGTGGTCTGTCAATTCGTTCAACAAGAGCTCCTACTTATGTCACGAATGAGAGAAGTCATCCAGGATCTTGTCGTGGCAAAGGCAGAACTGAGTCAAGCATTGAGATCGTTCTGGATGCATGTACGTTGCTTCTCGTGGAGGAGCTTTCTCGTCTGATTCTATTAGGTCGAATATTGGCCCTAAAGAGAGTCCAATTCAAGGAGGTCTCCTCAATAGGCAACTAGATTTTATTTTAGAGAGACTGAATGCAAGAAGCCATTTGACTCAGCCATGGCATTCTCGCTCGAATCTGCCCCACTGCGTAGCTAGAATATATGTCGTGATCTTTGTTTCATGATCAACCGCGCGAAGGCTTTGCGCGAAATGCGTAAGGTTGCATCGACCTATTATTGATTACTCAAAAGTATCAAGCCCATGTTGTTGACAACCTAAACTGATACTGCCTTGGAGACAAATGATTGTTGTTAATTACAAGACAGGCGGGGCGAGGCAGCGAAGCCAACCTTCGTAGCGTCTTCCTCCCAGCGCCAGCGGCGTATGTGATAGCCGCCAATATAGGAGGTATCCCGCAACTCCCTTTATACACCCTTTGGCCATGGGGGCCAATTGCGAAGCCTTTTACCCCTGCAGAGCTTTTTGGTGAGCTTCATTGAAGCTGGACGACACCTAATAGATTCCATTGAGGTAGCCGTAGCTAAAGCGCATTTGCAAATGCACCATTTGCTGCCAGGAACAGAGATCCACCAGTGAACGAGACGCGGGGCCACGGCAAAGCATCACGAGAAACATCGAGGACATCGATAGGGCCCTTACAGAGATCAAAAAGTGGAAGACCGTACGGTACATTTAGCAGACACTTCCGACCCCTGGACCCTGACCTCACGGGGTCTCAACGTCACGATCCTGAGCATGCGTTACACCTGACCGCTACATTCGCATATAGCAATGGACAACTATATCAATAGCGCAAACAGCAGAATGACCTCTTTAGAATCTGACAGAGACACGATGCCACGAACAAGAGCTCCGCCTGTACCAGTGGCCACGAGCCATCGCTCTCGAAGAAAAGCCTCCATCCAGTTCCCTCAACCCAGATTACCTCTTACTCCAACCTCCTCAACCATGCCACAGATCATATCAAATACACTCCCACCGTCTGCTCCAGCTTCTCCGCCCACACCAGCTCCCAGTCCAACTCCGAATGAGCGAACCCCCACGTCATGGCGGCTCACTCCGTCCGAAGATGCGGAAGACCCAGTACTTGAGGATGCCCGTCAAGTCTTCGCAAGGTTAAACTTGACAGCAAAAGAAGACTTTCTGAGATCACTGGTTGACGTTTGCGACAACCAGACTCTCAGCTTCTTGCATCAAATCGTCAGTCCAAGGCTGAAGAAGGACCCATTTAAAGCTTTACCGAACGAATTATGTTTTAGGGTAATTGCATTCGAAATTGATAGGACTAAATTTGCTGACTAAAACGAAGATCTTGGAATTCATAGACGATCCAAAGACTTTCGTCCGTGCCTCTCAAGTGTCCAGAAGGTGGCGAGAGATTGTCAGCGACGACCAAGCCTGGAAATCACTCTGCGAAAAACATGACTATAGGAGGATGTCGACTGACTCTGTAGGGTCAAATTTCAATAGTTCAAGCGTCTCAGCGAGTCAAATACTTTACGGCATACGGTCGACATCGCCCAGTCGAATACCAGAGAACATGTCCGCTATAGATGATAGCTCGGAGCGCCTAAGAGACCTGCAGGCAATGGCAGCGACGAGAAGAGCGAGGAAACAGAAATCTGGCTATTCGCACCGATCAAGATTCAAGCATGCTTATTTAGTGGAATCGGCATGGAAAAAAGGCGGGTCGATGACGCCCAGACATATTACGCCAGATCAAGGTGTTGTGACAAGTCTACATCTGACGAAAAAGTATATTGTTGTCGCTTTGGACAATGCTAAAATACACGTCTTCAATACAAAAGGGGATCACCAGCGGACATTAACGGGCCATGTAATGGGAGTCTGGGCTATGGTGCCTTGGGAGGACATATTGGTCACAGGTGGATGCGACAGAGATGTCAGAGTCTGGAATATGGCTACCGGGTGAGTAATATTCAATTCGCCTTCTTTGCTTACTGACATACTCTATAGCGCAAGCGTCCATGTGCTACGAGGCCATACATCCACCGTTCGATGCTTGAAGATGTCGGATGCGAAGACAGCGATATCCGGCTCGCGAGACACCACCTTGAGAGTATGGGACTTGTCCACAGGGCAATGCTCGAACGTTCTCATGGCACATCAAGCTAGTGTCCGCTGTCTAGAAATACATGGCGACCTTGTTGTCTCTGGGAGCTACGACACTACGGCTAAAATCTGGAATATACATACTGGCGAGTGCCTACGGACTCTCCAAGGTCACTTCAGCCAAATATATGCTATCGCTTTTGATGGTCAAAGGATAGCAACCGGCAGTCTAGATACGAGCGTCAGGATATGGAATCCTCAAGATGGGTAAGTTGGCGTCTTTCCACTTCTATACCCACTTCCCCCCTCTTGAAATATCAGTCTTATACCAACATACCTTTCCAACAGCCAATGCATCGCCATACTCCAAGGCCATACCTCCCTCGTAGGCCAACTGCAACTCCGCTCCTCAACACTTGTGACTGGCGGCTCTGATGGCTCGGTACGCGTATGGTCTCTCCTCACTAACTCGCCTATCCACCGCCTTGCCGCCCACGACAATTCTGTCACCTCTCTCCAATTCGATGACGCCCGCATCGTATCCGGTGGCTCCGATGGGCGCGTGAAGATCTGGGATACTAACACCGGAGCTCTGGTGAGGGAGTTAAGCCAGCCCGCGGAAGCGGTCTGGAGGGTCGCGTTCGAGAGTGAACGGTGTGTGGTGCTAGCCAGCAGGGCGGGGAGGACGGTCATGGAAGTTTGGGATTTCGCGCCGCACGAGGAGGATGAGGAAGGGGAAGGGGAAGATGACGTTGATCGAGAGGAAGAGACGGATAAGGTCGGGGAGATAGTCGGCTTGGAGAAGGGGGAGCTGGATGATGATGATATGGCTGATGAGACGGACTTGGAAATGATGGATGCGCAGAGCGAGAACGAAGAGATGAGGAAGAGGGGCAGGGGCATTTTACAGGACGAAAATGAAAAAATGGGTCATTGATCAGTCGAATCAACAGAAATTTGGCGACCCTTACGATGTGGGCGACCCACGGAGCGGATAACGATATCTACTGGACTTTTATTTGGAATTGATGTCGAAAAGGATATTTTATGTAGGCCAGGTGGCGTACTCAGCATGTCTCCTGTGACGATATAGGGCATCGTATGATAGCATTGAGCATGACGGACAGTATGATCCAGCTAGACATCAATTGAGTCCGCTTTACTATACCAAATTCCTACTCCAAAGCAACGCCACCTCTCTACTCCTTTCTTTATGCTAGGTGTCTATACAGCATTTGTGCGATTCATCTTGACAATATGAAGTTCTGAAATTTCTAGTAATAATAATTCTCATCCGGTGTTCTTCCCCTCATAAACGCCGGCTCACTTCCCCTGACATAAATATCCTCGTACAAAATCTGCGGCGTTGTTTCTGGCGCTGCCATCTTCTCTGCCTCAGCAACCTCCCCATCGACATAGGTCCTCGCTTCTTTATCAATCGCCTTCAGCTCATCTTCCGTGGTGACACCCCAATCCAGCAATTTTTGCTTCAAGCCGGCAATAGGGTCGTTAGTGCTTCTCATCCGCTGGATTTCCTCGCGTGTCCGATAGGTTGTGCCGGGATCGGACATTGAATGCCCGCCATATCGGTAAGTCACGTACTCAAGGACTAAAGGCCCATGGCCTTCGACGGTATATCGCTTACCGTATTCGACAGCGGCTTTGACGGCGAGAATGTCCATACCATTGACTTTAAGGCCGGGAATGTACTGGCCGCGTTTGTAGTACTCAGTCAAAGCGGCGGCTCGGGCGGCGGCTGTGCCCATACCGTACTTGTTGTCTAGCAACCATTGTTAGTGACTGTTGCCTCTTGCCAAGAAGTTGCTACGGGGCCTTTTGTATGCTGCCGGTAGTAAGAAGGCTTAGAAAGTTACTCACTTTCGCAACCGAAAAGAATTGGTAGATTCCATAGCTTTGCCATGTTGAAGGCCTCGAAGACCTGACCTTGATTGCTTGCCCCATCTCCGTACAAGCAAATGGTGGTGTTCTTCTTTTCCTCGTACTGTTGAGCAAAAGCAAGTCCTGCTCCCACAGGGACCTGGGCGCCAACGATACCATTGCCTCCGTAAAAGCCTTTGGCAAACATGTGCATGCTTCCACCTTTGCCGTAGGCAATACCCTCTCTTCTCCCGAGAAGCTCGCCAATGATACTCTTGACGGTGCCCCCTCGCATGAGTGCGAAGCCATGGCAACGGTAAGCGGTAATGACCTGGTCTTCCTTCGTGATCGCGTGCTCAATGCCGCCTGCCACAGCTTCTTGGCCAGTAGAGAGATGGCAGAAGCCCCGGATCTTCTTCTCCTTGTATAGCCGGTCGGCTCCCATCTCCATTCGCCTACATGACAATTCAATTCAGCCAAGCTTCACTCTGTAAAAAAGCAGCAGAACCAAGTACTCACCTTATTGAGACCATGTCATGATACATCTGTTTCAACTCTGCCTTTGTGGTAAGTAAGGTATATGGTGGTGGGTCGAGCTCGTAGGTTTCAAAGCTCTCGTGTGAGAGCCTGACTTCAAATGGCTCGTCATCTTTCTACAGATAAAATTTTTGATCAGTTCTGCAATTCTCAACGCAATGGGGAGAGCGAGATTTACTTCGGGGACATGTTCTCGTTCGGCGTGAGAGGAAGCTGCATCTGTGGTGACTCGGCGTTTTGCTACATCTTTTGCAAAAGGAGCAAAGGTCCGCTGTCGCTGCCGCAGCGGCAGGCTTCGGGGTGCTCTCAATGCTCTACTGAGCATGGCTGGAGAAGAGTGTGTGGTATTGCAAAGCACAAAATGCCCATGGGCGAATAATCACCGAGCAACGGAATTCAAAGCCAAGACCGCTCAACGGACGATTTGGCGCTAGTCTACATTGAGTCGCAAGGGTGCACTTACTAATTGGGACCCGCGTTGTGAGTTCTAGTCAACACAGAACCATGAACTGCATAACAAGTGATTCAGGCTGTTTTAGAGAAGCCCAAGAGTCAGAGAAACAGAAACCTGCAACTATTTGATAGTTCTCATTCGGACACACAACAAAAGATTCCTCATGTGAATACAGACCTACGTGATTTTATAGCGCCCGCAGGGCGCCCGGCTTCCGAGTTCGCCTTGTCCGTCCATGAAGGCATACCATGTCCTACTCGACACAGCTAGGATGCAACGGGCGCCGTGATTCTCCATCAGGCATCCTGAGGCAGCATATGGAAGACCATCTTCATAGGTAGTAACACCCATTTCGGTCTGGAAGACCAGGAGAGGCAGCATCTGAGAATTGATGATCAAACGCTGGCGGTGGACGTGAAGATGATTGCCGCCAAAAGCGCTCCATGTGTTCTTCCCGTCCTTGTTGACGTTCTGGCCAAAGACCCCACTGTTATGAATCCTTTGGGATACTACCTTTGTCGGTCAGATTCGTGCGCCTCTCGTCATTCGTCATAGTGCTGTCCGCTCCTGACCATAACAACTGTGATTGTCGGTGTCCATGCCCTTCACAGTATCGGATCACGTTGTTGCTCCTTATCTTTCGAGACCCGTGGCATTAGTTTTCGTACTATGGAACACTGGTCCCATGATCTGAGCGCTTTGTCGATTTTGAAAGGGTAAATGACATGATGAATTAGTGGAGAAGCTTTCACTCCACGTATTGTTTCAGTTATTGCGATGCATATCCCTCAGGCCACGGCCCATGGGATACTTCTCGAGCAAGGGCACATGCCATCATAAGGGGAGCAATTTCTTCTTCTGTCATGGTCTCGTGGCTTTCAGAAGGGTCCCAAAGGAGGTAGACTTGGTGGAGGGCTGGAGCTCTGGGAATCGCCGTCAACCTCGGGGGCTACGTCATACCTGTATCTTAGTCAATGTTCCGACTGGCTACTGGAACGCCCCCAATGATTGGAAGAATGACAGGCTTCTGGAATAGAAGAGATCGAGAAAGTGTGTCGATCAGCATGCCCCACAATAATATGTTACCATGGCAATGGGGCTCGCTTTGAATGCTTAAAAACAAGGATCACGGGTGGCTTTGGGTCCTCGAAATTCTGTGGACAGAGTCGAAGATCAATGTACATAAGCGCAAGCAGGCTTCGTACTGCCCAGATTGCTGGAACCGCCTCGGTGTTACCCGGACATGTGTGTGTAGGAATGCCATGCGTGTCACCCCGGGTTTCCAGGCTTGATAATGCCATGTTGTTGGCGATACTTCTGGCATGGTGCCAGCGTTTCAATAATGGTAGGGCTCTTCGTGTGCTCAGGCTCCATAGTTCTACGTCAGCCAAGTTACGAGAACAGCCGGGAAGCACGCAAGATTGACAGCTGCGTGGTCCCGGCACTGCATCCCACGGCGAGGCCAAGAGCTGCAGGGCTTTTGCCCCATGGTCTATCTCAAAGCGGATTCGGCGGAGTCATCGCGATGACTTGTGAGGTAGAGAAAAGCGCGGCCGACTTCCCCACGGGTCCCTTGCATTCAAGGCATGGCCCGGCTGAGCAGCCGCATGTTTGAGTGCCTTCGTTATTCCCATGATTGGGCATCGATGGCTCGTGTTGGAGGTGTGATGATCCTGCAGATTATGATACAGGCAGTTTTGTCAGCGGTGTCAGCGGTGTCAGCGACATTAAACGCATCAAACGACCGGCATTCATCCATGTCTATAGCAGGCGGTCGTCTTCCTCTTGGTCTCCCACCTCCCTTTCCCCTCGTGGACGAACATCCATGACCATGGTCACCCGACGGGGGCGACACCAAGCTGTTTGTCTCGTGACGTGACTGACGTCCGGGACTTGCAATTGACAGCATTTCCGGGGCCTAATTGGGCAAGGTTGTGGGTTTCGCGGTAGGGATTTGCAGATCTAGCTCCCTTCAAGCTACAGCTATTCTAGCGCAGCCAGTTGTGATTGTTGACATGTCCAAGCCAGAGAGGTAGCCTGAAGGAGGGAGATGAAAGAAGCGGCGCCGTATTGCCTTTCTGCTACTCTTTCGCCTACCTTATTTATCTTGCTATCATGCATGACACTCCATCGCTAAGGCTGCAGCTGCCTGTCTTCGCCGGAGGACTAGTCATGCAAGTTACAAGTACATTGTTGACTTTTGGATGATCATCCTTCGCTTGGTTTGGCGCCCTTTCCACTCTACAAAGATCTACCACCGTACTTTCTTTGCGCTTTGTATAGCCATGAACATGCCAGGCGCAAAGTATGTTACTACCACTTCCCCCTAGGCCGAAGAGTGCCGAAAGGTCAGTCTGAAGCCCAGACCTCCACCCACGTTGAAGGATTAGGTATTCCTGGTGTACTTTGGCACTTGCACAGCTGTATTGGCCTCTTGTCATCGGCCATCCCTCCATTTCGGGTCATGGGCCATGCGAAAGATGAAACGCGGTAGAAGAGCGACAAGAAAGTCTAGATTGTTCAATTGTTGTCGAGAAGGTGCTGATGGACCCTTCCCCAGCTACCGAAGGACCTGAATTGGTTTCATGCGATGCTAGCCCGACCATGCTGGCACTAACCTGTTGATGCCCATTCAACCCCTTCGACCATGCCACCCTGCACTATTGGCTCAATACAATGCCTTCGAGGATCAAGCAAGGTTTGCAGCTTTTCATCCATGAAAACCGTTGAATTCCCGAGGAAGGCGCCAACGGTCCGAAGGGACTAGAGGACTACTATCATGGGAGAAAGACAATCTTCTCGTATCATGTCGATCTCGCCATGTCCCTACCATGCCCTCCTTTTCTCCATCCTTCCTACTTCACATAGACCATCATCTCTCTTCCTATTTCCAGCATGGTCAATCCCCTGCACGCCCGCACTGTTCATGGCAGCCTGAGCGTGTATCTTCGCCCGTGCTCGAAGTGGAAATGATTGGGACCAGGTTCCGTTGATGCTAGCTATATATACGAAGCCCTCTCCCTGCAATGCTTAGTCTGCTATTAGCTTTCGCAAGTCTGCTGTTCTGCCACGAAAGTTTCTTCTACGGACAATAGCGTTTGGAAACCACTGGAAAGGACCAAGGCACTCTGTTGAGTGCCTCCATTCACGGAGCAAGGGAGGTCGTGTTGCGTTCCCGGAGCCTTAATGTCGTCAGATCCACCGGACTCTTGCCAACCGGAAGACCTGTACTATCTAGGGAAAGTCGGTCAGAGAACCCAGATGACTAAGGCGCACAGCACAGCACGACCGCTTCCAGTGCTACCACCTCCTCATCTAGTTGGAGCCAGGCCTTATTTACCACCTTTGGAAAGTTTGCATCCATCGCCACAACCGCAATTCTTTCCTGGAGCATTTCCACCTGGATCCCTTCCCGAGCGGTCCCATGCTGCTTATGTGAGCCCTCCACCTTTCACGCCATCCCTGGCACAGGGTGTGGCTCCTCCGCCTCCCCAGACGTATCCAGTCTATCCTGGACCAGTGTCATCTTTTCCACCGGTAGGACAATCAGGGCCAGTGACGTCTTTTTCCCACCCAGCGCTTTATCCTCAGAAAGCCTCATTTCAATCAAAGAACCCAGGTACCGTTTATGAGGCGCTCAGTCCCGTTGAATATAGTCAACAGTCGCCCTATGACCTTGGAACGCCCCAGTCGGTCTTCCGCGAGACTTCGTATCCCCAGAATCCTTATCAGCCGGCACCAGTCAGACCTTTACAGAGCTCAACTGGATCCCATCAAAGTTCCGAGGCGCCCTCCTCGAGTGGACATGCGTCGCTGGGTAGCACCAGGCCCTATTCTCACACATCTTCCCCTTTTGCTTCCACCGGACTACTCGGGCCAGGCGGTCAGCAGCAAGAGACAAACGACATGTAAGTCATACGAGCTACCAGAGCACGATTCAAAACTAACATACACGAGCAGGCAAGACCGTTACATCCTTACCATTCGTCAGCAGCCTATAGCAGCGCGAGCCTGTGGCTTTGGCGAAAGGGACCGCCGGGTAATCGACCCTCCGCCCATTGTCCAGCTCTCCCTGAAGGACTTTGACCCTGCCTCCCCAGCAGACGTTCATGACCTTCAATATCCCTGGAATATCATGCACTGTGCGCTCCTCTCCGCCTCCTCGGCGGACGTGGCCCAGCGCCAACCCACCTCGTCCCCAGTCTACCCCCCCACACCGAGTGCAGACGTGACCACAGTGCCGGACCCGCATTCTGCAGATCGTGTGACCCGTCGGCTGATGGGAACATTAGTCTATTCCCCCTTTGTTGGCACGGACCCGGATTTTGCTACCTCTGGAACCCAGGCTGCTAATGTCGGTGTCTTTTTCATCTTCTCGGATCTTTCTTGCAGACAAAATGGACTTTACCGCCTCCGATTCACTCTGATGAAGGTGCCTGTTGGACCGGATCTTAGTGAGGCTACCCCAGGAAGTGTGCGTGGGAGCATCGACTCTGATGTTTTCGAGGTGTTCTCTGCCAAGGACTTTCCTGGTATGAGAGAGAGCTCAAGACTGATTAAAGACTTGAAAAGGCAGGGTGCGAGTGTAAGTGTGAGGAAGGGAAAGAGCGGCATCGCAGGCTTGGAAGCGGAGAGGGAGCGAGAGAAGAGGGCAAGCAGTGTCAGTGGAAGCGGAGAGGAGGATGAGGAAGACGCAGGCGTCAAAGGAAGAACCAGGGCGAAGAAGAGAAGAGCATAGGTTTACATCTACCGTTTTCCTTTGTCTAGGTATGTGGGTTTTAATTCTACGTTCTTTTGGCAAGGAAAAGGCCACAACAGCCCAGAGAGGAAATCTGGATGGGTGGCCTTTTGCCGACAAAAGATCTTTTCTTGAAAACAGTACGGGCTATCGTACCATGTTTCTTGGATGGGAGACAACAAACGGCTCGTGGAGGATGACTGCCACGGGCAAACCAACCCATTTTGGAAATAGATTTACTTAAGCCTGGATAACTTGATAGACTGATTATTACGACCCAAAAGGCGAACGATTTTGGATTAGGACAACGGGCATCTAAGACTCCCATCAGTTGTAGTTGAAAAAAGGGGCAAAGGCTTGCCACCACTAGCCCCCATTCCCGTTGCCAGCGGATTGTGCAGGATACTCGATCCCGCTAGTCGGGCATCTTGCAGCCCAAGACGGGACGATTGACGATCATTTTCGTATAACTCAAATTAGATTCAAGATCTGCTGTGCTGGCATGCCGCCAGAGCCCAGGAGGATGGAGGATGCTATGCACGTCATACTTACATACATTTGCTGCCTTTCCTTCAATAATAGTAGGCAGCTTAGGCAACTGACCATGCCAATATCTGAATCTGAATCTGAATCTTCACATATTCCTCCGTCTGCTGTGCTTCGTTTTCAAGGCAAGTAATCAGCTCGCACATCTGCCCTTCTGCTTTCCACGCTCAAATGCTGGATATAGAGCTAGAGCTAGCGCCAAACCCCTTCAGCATCCTGGAGTGCGAGATGTTATCGCCATGCAATCCGGACTCGCACCATCAACCACTTCCCTACCTTTTCAGCAATTGAGGCATCCTCAACACCAACCAAGATCCATCCCTTCTCACCCCCTCAAATCATCGAGCTCGTCCTCATACTTGACACTAATCTTCCGCCGATTCGCAGCCGCAGCTCCATTAATCCTAATGCCCCTGTCCCCTCCACTTCTCTCCTCCATACCTCCCCCACTCATCGAATTCTTCCGACTACTCGAAGAAACCTGACTGCCCCCGCCAGCTAATGCGCGTCGCTGCAGTTCCTTCATCTGCCTCTCGCGATCGCGTTTTTCGCGCTCGAGCGCATGCTGGTCTTTTTTCGGGCCGGTTGGGATAGTGATATTCCCACCACCACCACCACCACCACCACTCCTACTGCTGGGTTTCTCGATTCGTGACTCCATGCTCGCTTCTTTCTTCAGTGATGTGCTACCATTTCTGGAATCTTGATCGGTATCATGATGGTGGCGCGAGCGCTTACTTCGATGGCTATGCCGACGCTCATGTTCTGTGTCCACGTCGTTGTCGACTTCGTACTCTTCTCTCGACCGCCGACGCTTGCTTGAAGACGATGATTCGTTGTGTTCGTCATCTTTGTCGCCTCGGTGGCGACGGGAGGACTTTGAGACGCCGTTGATCTTCGCCTCCGAGGCTTGTGCGCGGTCAGGTGATCGAGATCGGTGACGGCTGCTTCGATGGTAGCTATCTTCTGTGTCGCGAGTCTTGTTTCGACTGCGATCTCGGTGTCGGTGAGAGCGGTGACTGCTTCGCTCTGAAGCTTTGTCCTTTTCTTTCTCGTATTCTCGGTCACGATGGTGCCGATGAGATTGGCGCTTCAATGACTCGACCGAAGAGTCTCGCGCTCGTGATGATTGCTTGTACTCTGCTCCGTCTTCATGATCTTCTTCGTACTTGCGCGAGTGGCGTCTGCGGCGCTCTTGGCGTTTTTCTTCATCATGGTTTCTAGGAGGACTTGCGGAGTGGTGCCGCTGATGACGAGGGCGGGAGGATTCGTGCTTTGACGGGGAACGGCTGCGGGAAGTGGAGCGTGCATGCGGTGGGCTATCTAATGTCAGCAACATGCATGAGAACAATATTATGACAAGGGCGAGCAAACCTCTTCGCATATGAGTCAGCAGGAGCGCGAGCAGCGGATGCACGACCGACGATTGAAAATCCAGGATCTTGTTTTACAGGCTTACTAGAATCCCCTTGTCGAAGTGCCTTGGGTCCAGTAGGTGCGCCAGGCACACCAGTCCCCACAGGCTCAACGGGTGGTGGAGCTGGCTTTTCAGGCAGGATCGCAGCCGCTTTTACTACTTCGCCATTCGGTATTCGCGTGAATCCTTTCCTATTCGCACCTCCTCTATACTCGGCAGGACCCCGAGAATGTACTTGATCAGCTCCACCACCCGGTCTAATGCCATTCGCATTCGAATCGTAGGTCAGGGTTCTAGAAGGTCCGGTGGGGATAGAAGGGCTTGGGGGTGGAGGCATGGTAGAGGATACCGCGCTCACTGGTAGCACAGTGTCTTGTTTGAGCTCGGTCGGTGGTGGATCCGATAGGGGAGACTCAGTAGTTACAGGTCTCTCTTCTTCTTTTTCTTCTTCTTGAGCATCGAGCAATGGTTCTTGGGGCTTCTCTTCTTCTGTAGTACCTGATGTCTCCGGAACGGTGTCATTGGGTTGTGTCTGAAGCGGCTGTGCTGCATCCTGTGGTTCAGGGTTTGCTGCCTTTTCTTCCTCTGCACGGTCTTCGGCATCGCCAGGAGCGAACTCATCTCTAAGTGGCTCTTCAGCCTTCTGGCTGGCGGATCGCTCATCCGCTTTTTCACCATTCATTGGCGTATACACAGGCGAGCCACGACGAACTGGGCCCTGGGGCGCTTGTTGATTATATGAAGCATTGTTAGCATCGTACCCTTGATTTACCTGGTTATAATTACCGCGGCCACGGGAGGTATATGGGTGGCCACCCCTTCCGCGGCCACGGCCTCGCTGAAAGCCTTGGTTATGATATCCACGCTGATGAAACTCATTTTGGGGATACTGATGTTGATGCACCTGGTTGAAGCTTCCTTGGTTCTGATGCATATTATATCCAGCATCAAAGCCAGAATTAGCTCCAAAATTGTTTCCTGCTCCATAAGCATTATTATTGAATTTATTTTGACTGCCAGCGTTCCAGGCTCCTTGAGATTGCCCGTTGAAACCTCCCCCAAACGCTCCCTGTCCTGCATCAAAGCCCATGCCCATGTTCATACCATTCATCATACCAGGCCCGCCAAAGTTATTGAACATGCCTTGAGACATCGCGATTGGATCCATGTTCATACCGGGCATGCCTACGGAGCTATTAGCAAGACTAGTCGTGAAGTGGTGTAAAGAGCATGGCTTACCCATCATATTTGGCATTCCTGTCATCATGGGATTGACCATTCCAGCTTGCATCATCTGCATCATTTGATTCATATCGCCCATGCCACTGAGACTCATTGCAGGAAACCCATTCGAGCTGTCGACGTTGAAGCCATTCATTCCCTGGTTTGCGATTTGTTGTTGCATCAAGTTCCATTGCTGCTGTTGCTGTTGCTGCTCTGATAGTCCTCCCTGATCCTGCGCTTTATCATGCCCGTCGGTGCCATTGTCCAACGTCGTTGTGGACGCACGCCTGGGAGTCTCTTGCGGCCCAGGAGACTAAGAGGTCTGTCAGTGTTCGAAGTGTCATTGATAGAAGGAGAAAACTGACCTCAATTGATTGTTGTGGTATGTCCTTTTGCGCATCCCCAGATGCAGCAGGAAGCTGGTTCTTCTGCTCTACTTGCGGTACCCCGGAAGTCGCCGCAGAAACGGAAGGAGACTCTTGTTTGACGCCATGCGATATTTGCTCCGATCGCACTTCATCAGATGTTGCATGACGTCCGAGAGGAGCGGTGTCTGTTTGAGGCGTTACAGGTTCGGCTGCAATATTTGCTGCAGCCTTTTGCAAAGCTTCTTGCTTCTTTGCATTGTCTCTGTCTATCGCTTTTCGTTTCAGAAAGATCTTAATCGTCTGACGCAGGGCCTTGTTCGGGCGACAGTCTTCAGCGTTTATTGGTTCGTGAAAGCATATCGGACAGGTCGTTTCTAGCTTGTTTGCTTGACCTAGGATCTGTTAATATCTTGCATGGAGGATTGACATGATCACTAACAATCTGCGCAGATGTTCTGATCGCAGCAAGGAAGGCGGACTGCCTCGACAGCAAGCTTGTTACAAGATGCACACCTAAGCTTTATTGGGATTTCGTCAATGGTGAGCCCGCTAGGTGGGTAGTCAGTAAAGTTGATAAAGGCTCTCAGGGAGTTACGAGCATACTCGGCAATTTCTTGATGAGTAGCCATGGCGTACACGCAGTGGTGCAAAGTGTGCTAAGGAGATTTGAGGTGGGCGGATCTTAGGATCATTCAAACAAAGAAGAAGGAGAGGGTTATGTAAATTCGATGAGGAGGCTTTCGGACTCCATGATGTTGACCAAAGGATCTAAGGGGGGGGGCAGGTAGCACAGCAGAGATGTGTCAGTGCTGAAGAAGGTGTTGAGTAAGTATGTGACCGCGTGTGGTTGCCATTGTAAGGGCGGGTGTAGGTAGGCTGTAGGAAAAGGATGATGGAAACGGCGCTAAGCTGTATTGACACTAGCGTTGTTCTACTGGAATATCAGCCTGAGGCCGCTTCCTGTCTGCTCGTCATACATAGAGAATTTCATTATACGCTCTTTACATTCCGGTCGACGATTCCTTGGGTTTTCTGTTTCTACTAGCCTGATTCTTGTATAACGGAAATGATTTTGGGTCAGATTTCGTACCTTGACTGTGTGGTCTTTCTCGTGTTCCTACTACCTCAATTGCTTCTGCAAGTGAACTTTTTCGACCTTTTAATTTGCGTTGTGTGGGCTATACCGTTTCTAGGTAGGTTTGGCTTTCATTGACCAGTATCAAGCTCACTGACACATGGAAGGCTTCCTATTACCATATCAATTCGTTACTGAACGCTACTTTACGCCTCGACGACATCAATCGCCATTTGTCCAGCAGGCAACAGGTTTCCAAGACTTTGTGATTCGCTGTGTCCGTTATGCATTTGCCTTTTTTCCCGCGAAGATTGGTCGTGTATTCTTTTCTAAAGGGGTTGCTCTTCCATTCATGAGATTTCGCATGCTTCGGCATGGCTTTGTTCATCCACCTGTCCCTTGGCGTGAGATTGATCTCGGTGTCACCCATGGTGTCTATATTTCGCATGACATCGAGGAGAAGCCTGATCTGGTAATCTACTACTGCCATGGAGGTGGCTTTTCTATGGGATCGGCGTACTTTTACTTGGAGTTTCTGATGGCATGGGTTACCTTGTTGAAAGAAGCAGGCTATGAGAACCCTGCAATCTTTGCCTTAGAGTACACCCTTGTCCCTGATGCTGCATATCCAAGACAACTGGACCAGACTGTTGCTGGGTATGACTTTGTCTGTTCAATTGTGAAAGATTCCTCCAGGATCTGTGTGGGTGGCGACTCGGCTGGCGCGACACTAATCTTGAGTCTCTTACTTTACCTTGCAAAGCATTCTCATAGGTACCAAGACCTTAAGCCTAGCTTTGCCACGTTAATATCACCCTGGACAGTGCTGGTCAGTGCTGAAAACAAAAACACCGCCAGTGATTATCTCAATGCTGAGAGCCTTCATCTGTATGCTCGTCAGTATGCTGGCTCAGAAAGGAGCCTAGATGAGTGGCTAGTTTCTCCAGGAAGGTGCATAGACGGCGACATGTGGGCCAAAGCCTCACCTTCTTCAGGTTATGGCTTTCTCTTTGGGTCCGAAGAAGTGCTGGGACCAGAGATGCGGAAGCTGGTTGCTTTGTTGAGGAGGAATGGATGCCCTGTTAGTGTGAGGGAGGAGCCAGCCTCTATTCACGCATGGCCTGTAGTGACGCTATTTCTTTCGGACACGCAGGGTGACAGACAAAAGGGCTTGAGAGATCTTGTCAAAATGGTCAAGCAAGCTATTCCTCCTCCTCCTATGAAGTCCAAGGATGCACTTAGGAATGGCTTCTCAGCAATAAATTCTTAAAATTCAAATGTCAAAGAGCCAAATTTAGCTACTTGTCTTGTATTTCATTCAAAGACTATCCGTCAAGCCGCCGCTATGCATTCGCAGACATAGGCGGTCATGATATGGCAATGCCAGAAATCCTCGCTTCCACGTAAACAACATACAGTTATCTACAGTACTTCGCTCCTCGCACGCTTTGGAGTTTCCATATCCGTATCGTCATCGTCATCCTCGAGAACCTTTCGCTTACCTCTGTCTTTGGGTCCATTGAGCTGCCGCTGATCTTCATTTTCATTACTCTTCGCCTCGGCCTCTTGCCATTTTTTCATCATGAGCATCAAACGTTCATAGTCCCCCACAATCTCACCAACAGTCTGCTCCACTTTATCTGCTCGTTCCCCTCGATCTAGCTGACCTAATTGTTCCTTGTTCTGCTTGAACACACGCTGCTTCACAAGTAATCGCCAGTAATAAAATGCCCGATCATCAGGATTCGAAGACCTCCCCTTTTGTGTGAGACGAGCCGTGCCTGCCTGTCGAGTGTGTGGGGGTATCTGAGACAGTAGGTGCATCTCTATGAGCCGATAAAATTGCCTTGGGGCAATTTTTTCTTGCCGTCGAATTGTTTCGAGAAGTGTTCTATCTATAAGCTGAGATGTTGGGACACGCAGACCACTGCGGTTCATAGTAAGTTTTGAATCAATTGTAGAATTCAACTTGATCTTCGGAAAGATTCCCTTAGACGATAATCGAGCATAATCGCGAATGTCGCGCAAGTCGTCAAAAGCCTCACTAGGATCCTCGACAGTAATCTCGATGCAAGTAGATGAAGCAAGCATTGTCTTGACCATACAATCATAGAGATGTGAACCATGTCCGTATGAATGGTGAGCGGGAAGGATCAAGAATTGGGATATTCGTACCCGAGATGGCAGATCAGCAGCGTGTAGCGGGGTGGATGGTGGAATCATGAAGACCTGAGGTTCTGATGATTTCGAGGTCCTCGGGGTATAGAATATGAACTGGTAGGATGTCGAATAGCCAACAAATGAGTAATTAGCCATTTTCGGCTTGACTATTCTGAGTTTCTCATATCTACAAGTCATTAGCATCTGTGCACATGCTGGAAAGGAGACTTGAATACACAAGATAAATGCGCCATCTAGCCAGCGACCATTCCTGATCCTCAAGATCTAGCGGCGTTCCGCCCTCTATGAAGAATGACACAAGAACTTGCATACGGTCGACCAACGCTCGAACGTCTGGATCTCGCAAGTCTCCACTCCATATCTCGAAATTTCGACCTTTGCTGGTGTAAGATTGTATGAGTTGGCCTGGCGGCCTGAAGTCCTTTGCGCCAGCGTCATCTTGTATTCGATCGTTATACGTAGCAGCCTTATCGAAGGACTCTATGAGCGATGATTAGACAATGAAAGAGAGTTGTCATTAGGCCTACAAACCTTTGGCGACAAAAGGCTCTAGAGTCTCTTTAATATCCAAAGCTTTCGTTTCCCCAAGCGGTCTATACTTTTTATCATAGGTAATCTCAATGTGAGGTCTTAGGTCGTGCTCAGTGAACCGTAGATTGATCGCAAGATTCTGGTATCCAAAAATCTTCTCATGCTCCCCAAATATTGGGTAAGTGAATTTAGGGTGAACGGTGGAAGGTGCTTTTGAAGAGGATTCGCCGGGTCGAATGAAGGAGATGTGGACCGCTTGATTGGCATCAGAAGTCCCTACGTGTTTGTCAGCGATGGTTTCGACCGCAGATCATTTATCTATACTGACAAGGGTCAGGTTCGTCCATCTTGGGGCATTATCTGCGGGGTCTAATTCGCGATACAACGAATAAATGAGTAAAACGCGCCTCTTTCATTAGGCGCGTTTCCTAGACTGTCTAAGTAAGGTTCGGGTTTAAGGGTACCTTAGCGCGACCACATGTCTTGGCAGGTGCTTGCCACTAGTCAGTTTGCTCGTGCGCTCCCTTGTCTCGAAATGTGCACCCTGACTGTGACAGCGTGCAATTGTGATATATCTCTCCTTGTCAGATATTTAAGGCGCACACTTGCGTTAGCATCATGTTGCTTTCTATCTGCCACCACTGGCCCTGTTAGACAAGCACAACATCTCGTTCAATTCGACCAGCTCAACGAGAGCTTCAATTCACAAGATGCTGGAAGGACTATTCATGCTGCTCACCCTGAGCACGATTATGGCCATTGCGTTAGTGAACAATATAACTTTGGGAACCGATGCTGATGCGCCGACAAAGCTCCTTCCTTGCTGGCTCACTCCCGCTATCATTCTCCCTCTCGCAGTCACAGCTGAGACTTGTCTCAACAATTGGCATGGGCGTATTAGTCGGCACCGCGCTGATTGTCATTGTTCCCGAGGGAGTAGAGACCCTCTACAGCGCTAGCGACTATAGTGCGCAGACACATACGAAAAGATTCGATGCAGAAAGGCCGCAGCTACTCCGGGCCAGGGCGCTGGCCGACGTATATGATGAAGAAGCAGTACGTCCACTGTTGTCATGGAATACCAGGCGCGACGACAAGCCTGATGTAGGCGACCTCAACGCTATGCCCGGGCTTGTTATACCGCCAGGAGTCGAAGCAGAAACCGAATCCGACCCTTCGCACTCTCCTCCCCCTAAAACGCCGACAGAGCCAGGGGTAGTAGGGATTCTGGGAGGAGACGACAATCTCTCAAAGCCATCCGACCTGGCCCCTCCGAAGAGTCAGAAAAAGGAGCCTGCTGATTCCCTCACTCCACCATCAAAATCGACGCCCGAGCGCGAACCACACGCTTGGATTGGTCTCTCCCTCATTCTTGGCTTCATTCTTATGTACCTCCTTGATACGCTCCCCTTGTTTGATCCGAAACCTGCCGCCCGACCGCATAGCAATATCTATTCGCTCTCCGACCTTTCTTCCTCTCCAGTCTCAACACCGGCGCCCCCACTACGCTCGCTTTCGACCACGCTTGGCCTTTGCATACATGCAGCCGCGGACGGTATCGCATTGGGTGCTTCTTCTTCCTCGGCATCTACAAGCTCACTGAGTTTAATCATCTTCGTCGCTATCATGGTACATAAAGCGCCCGCAGCGTTTGGCTTGACCAGTGTGCTGCTGAAGCAAGGATTGGGCAAACGGGGCGCGAGGGCGCATTTGGTGGTTTTCAGTCTTGCAGCACCGGCTGGAGCGCTAGCAACATGGATTCTTGTAAAAGTTCTTAGTGGAGGTTGGGAGAGCGAGCCAGCAGTCATGAAGTGGTGGACAGGCGTACTCTTATTATTTTCAGGGGGAACATTTTTGTGAGCTTCTCGCTTCTCATCTGTTCAACGGATTTGTGGTTAATGACAGGCAGATACGTTGCAATGCATACAATGAACGAAGAAGAGAATTCGTCTGCATCTTATCTGGATGACGGGCAAAGTAATGGGTACTTAGAGGCGGGAAGCGCACGGCAGCAAAGGAAAGGAAAGGAGAGCAAGAGTCCCAAGCTAGTCTTAGCTGCTGTTGGGGGGATGCTCTTACCTCTGATCACACAAATAGGTCATGCGCACTAGATGTACTATAGATGTTCAGGAATAGAAAAATGGAATTTGTGACGATCAAACTTAATCCGCTAACACCTCTTCTACTAAGACTACCTCAGTTGAAACAGCAACTAAATTCAATTTGAGCAGAGTTCGAGCCTATCGTTGTGAAATTGTATGTACAATATAGAAGTCTCATGCTAGCCGTAATGTTGCCCTGAACATTCCACATCCATCGTCCTTTCTCATTATAGCAAGACGTGAACCTCGCTTCGAGGTCACCCGAATCAAGTATATACTTAATGGCCGCCAGTCGTTGGCAAGCCAATGCTGACCTTGAAGCTATCATAAATGAGCCATTGGAAGGCTGTCAATGTCCCGATCTAATCAATGAGTCAATCATTAGCAACTCGTAACGAAGGACGTCTGTTACCCACCATGAGAATTCTGACAGGCAAGCCGTTCCACAAGCCTGAGAACCCAATATTTCCATATATCCTTGACATAGCCTTTCCAGCGCCTTCGCCAGCTACAGAATGTCAGTCCATAAGTCGAGACAGTTGACGAAGCTAACTTACCCTGCCTATCCGCATTCAACTTGCTCACCATAACGTCGGCCGGGTGACTGATGACGGCACACCCAATACCCGCAATATAGCCTCCAAGAAAGCTGACTCCTGTCTGCTGCAACATGTTGAAGCTGTCCTTCGGCTTCCCGAGCGTCTTGTAAATCTGCTCCACGGTCTTCTCAAACGTTGCAAATTTGACCATTGTGTATGGGATCTGTCTTCCCCAAAGCGGCTGTAACCCCTTATACAATCCACCGAGGCCTTCCTTCTGCGTCACCTTTCCCCACCCCTCCCTCATCGTATTCGCAAACGGTGGGATCGAGGTCTGCATCCTGACTTTGATAGCCTCGAATGGGCAAAGCGCGATGTCGGCTAGGAACTCTGCGCTCGCGGATGCACCTAGGAAGACGATTGTCTTTGGTGCATTGGGGAAGAGTTTGTCGCCGTAGAGGTTTTTGAAGACTTCGTAGAACCCATATTTCCCGGCACCTTGAAATGAGTAGCCGACGAAAGTTGGGGACCAGCCGAAGAAGACGCCTCGAAGCCCTTCTTTGGCGTAGATGGTCCGCCAGGCTTGGATATTCGAGGAATATATTTTAGGGTCGACTTGGCGGCGGCATTTTACCTGTTCAAAGGTCGTACTTGTCAGCGTAATGATGGCTTGTGAGCTTGCAAGAAGGTTATCGGAGATTGGGAAGAGGGCGCACAAGATCAAGTGGTGTGACAGCTTTGCGGACGTCAGTGGGACTCCAAGCTCACAAGAAGGTGGTGAACGTACATGTGTGGGTAGGGCCGCAAGCAATGATACCCCCCAAAGTACAAGCAGCAAAATAAGTTGGTGAGAAGAGCTCGATGCCGCCCTTCGATTTCGTGGGAGGAGGTGGCAGCTTCGCCTTGATTTGGTCAGCCATTTTGGTTGCTGGAGCTCAACAAAGCTTCAATGAGTTTCCCAGAAGCTTGAGAGGTACAATTGAGTCTCCGCAAGAGATCAATGCTGGATATTAGGGGTTGTTGGTCGTGCGACGTTGTTGATATGTGATGTCATAGCCTCCAGCCGGATCAAAGCGGAAGGGAGAGCCGGCTTTGCCGCAGCAGCCGTAAGTCGCTTGAGACTTATCTTGAGCTCTATACTCTACATATTCATTCAATTGCTCAAATCTAAGGATGAGAAAGCTAGCAGCTCCTTAGGCTTAGCTCAGGCATCTTACCGGAGGTTTACTAAGTTCATACAGGAAGACTCAGAGCGGCACATCAACAGACAGTTGAAGATGCAGATTTATCCCTTTTCTCTTGATTGCCAGCTTCTTTTTGAGCATTGGACATTTGGATTGACATTATCTTTTGCACAAAGAGCTATCATGTCACGAAAGTGTTGAAACAAGTTCCACATAGAAGTGCATGCTCTCGACGCCTAGAGTCCGGCAAACCCAGCCCCTCGCTCCTCCCCGTCGAATGATTACGGACATTCTGTTCGGTGTGTCGTCGATATTGAAATCATGACAGTTCCATGGTTTCGTAGAGAAAATATGTCGGCAAGATCAAGCTCATCTACTTATTCACAAAAAACGCTCCAGCTCTAATGAACATAATTGGCCGTGGACAGCGGTCTTTACTCAAGTATGTTTTGATTTCCTCGAACAACAATGCAAAGGCCGAAAGTACGATACTCGGGAAAGACTGAAAGATCACAAGATCTGGAGAGAATTTTTGAAGCGGAAATGAATATCTTCAATTGCCATCTCCATTTGCGAAACGCATGGACGGAAGTTTACTTGCATACGAATAAGATCCACACAAAGACATCTTTGCGATCATTTACAGCTTGTCGAGCCTTACTTAAAGCATACCATGATATATAAACGAGAATTTCAGAGCGATCGGTAGATAGCCTTGAGGGCCGCACAATTGCGCCCCTCAGCATAGATACCCAATTGAAGACTCGATGAAACATGAGAAGAGTGTCGATTTGAAGTTCCCGTTGAGATGTGAAGGGCAAGCTGTGGATCTTGCCTCCTTTCCAGGTCCAGGACCAATCCCTTTTCTCGAAGTCGAACTCGATTGCACCCAACGCAGATAGTGACTGAGACCTGCCATTTTTAGGATCTGACCGTGAAGCCACAGGTGAATAATCAGTGTGGGAGAAATACTTCTATGGATAGATGATTAGATGATTAAATAACAGGAGGACAGGGTGAGAAGAGGACCTACTCGTATGATTTATTGAATCCACTGTTTACGGCCACGTGCATATGTCAGTCAAACCTTAAGTTTAGCGTTGTCCAATGGTCGGATGTGAAACAAGCGCAGCGATGCGACCCTGCAGTCAATGCATTCCGTAGTATCTGACTCGACCAACTCGCAGTGAAGTCGCAGCGCTCCACGGGCTCGCGCCCTTCCTCAAACGTGCATGCTCGTTGTCAATTGATGATTTTGTCCTTGCATTTGCGCCACCTAGCCTTGAAGCTCGCTTGCATCGTCAAATACCGGAGATGGACAGCGGTACCAACGGTGGTGGTGCTGCCACCACGCACATTCAACATGACTCAGAGCCATTTCCCAGACTCGAGACTCAATCTTTTACAGAACATTCTGCTGCTCTCAATACGTTGGATACATCCTCCCCACCAATGCAAGATTCCGCCGACGTCCCTACACCGATTAGCGGACTGAGACTGCAGACAGATCATCTAGCGCAGAAGAATCGTCAAGAGAATCGATCATCAGGTAACGGGACTATACCAGAGATGCACGAACAAAAGGTCTTCAACGCCGGGTTACCAGTGCGACATTCGAGTATCCGATCCAGCCATTCGGCCAGAAGGCACAGAACAGGATCATTGTCACCAGGTTCCTCTGCCGCCTCACCAGCTGTGGGCCCACTTGTAGACATGACACCTTTACCATCCCCAATCTCCCAATTTGGCTCTCCGGGTCATTGGAGAGGGTCGATGGACGAAGAGCTTGACGATGCTACATCTGGTGCTCAAGATGACCACACGTCCTCTCAATCTATTGAAGAGCTTGCAGAGCTAGCACGAACTTCGCCAAAGAAGAGGAAGTTGCCAGTCTTGGGTATCTCTGGAATCGACCAACCTCCACAATCATACATCACCAATGCAGCAGCGCATGAGAGAAATCGTAGTCTAAGTGACTACGTCCCGGAAGGTATCCAGGTACCTAATGTACGGAACATAGCTGTCTCAACTTCAGCTACGCCACCTATCAGTCAACAATTTTCTCCACCTCACGATCATTTGCACCGCGAACAGCATCTAGCTGTGCAGCGCGGCCTCGAACCGCCCAAGCCGCCAACCCCTCCGGACAGTAACCGTGGTAGCAGAAGTGACGACCTTGAACCACCCATCAGCCCAGCATTCTCAAAGGCAGCGACGCCTCCACTCTACAAGGCTACATTAATTCGTAGTGGGCAAACAAAGCAATGGCGGGCGTTGAGGCAACTTGGAGAAGGTCAATTCAGCAAGGTGATGCTGGCAACAAGTGACTTTGCTGTTGACAGTGTGAGTCACAGTCTGAGCTCCGTGGAAATCAAGCTTAATCCAAAATCGCTGGTTGCTGTCAAAGTGTGCAATCACGGCCCAGCTGGAGGCGCGGATGAAAAGTCTCTCCGAACATCAATACAGCGAGAGCTAGACCTGATGAAATCGATTGACCATCCGTCTCTAGTGCATCTCAAAGCCGTCAGCTCACAGGAACGACAAACTCTATTCGTACTTAGCTATTGTCCAGGCGGCGACTTGTTTGAACTCGCTAGCACAAAACATGACCTTTTGACGCCATCTCTAGTTCGCAGAATCTTTGCCGAGCTCGTAGATGCCGTACAATATCTACATGCTAAGTACATAATTCACCGCGATATCAAGCTTGAAAGTGAGTCTGATCGTCTTGCTTTTTCCGAGAAAGGAGTCCGCTGACAATACTACTAGACATCCTCGTCAAAGTGAATCCAGACTCTTTCTCACAAATCACAGATTGGCAAGCGTACGATAGACCTGTAGTGTGCCTCTCAGATCTTGGACTAGGACGCGACATTCCCAGACCGCCTGAATCTCCACTTTTAGAGCGACGTTGTGGGAGCGAGGACTACGCGGCGCCAGAAGTCTTGATCGGACAGGAGTACGATGGTCGATCGACAGACTCATGGGCATTAGGTGTGGTCCTTTATACACTTATGGAAGGAAGGATGCCTTTCGACCCTATACCAGGCAGCAGGCGCAGAAGTCCGACGAGTCACAAGATTGCCAGATGTGAGTGGCAATGGGTTAGGTTCGCAGATTCAGACGGAGAGTGGGATCCTGTCAAAGGGAAGGCATTCGAAGGCGCTCAAGGAATAGTAGAGTGCCTGATCTGCCGCGCCAGGACTCGATCGAATTTGGAAAAGGTGCAACAGATGGAGTGGGTCAGACAAGGCATTCATTCAGAGGATGGGCTGAAACGTGAAGAGGAGGAAGATTAGATTCTTCAGCTCGGCGCCATTTACACTCGGTGATCAACGAACGTTATGAGATGTGAACGTCCTCATTCAGGGTTTGAGTGCGTGTTGGACGTTTAGCTAATGATTTGAGACGTGGCCATGATACTAGATGCCTGTACTATATAGGGTGCTTGTGAACCAGTCAAGCTTCCCCAAATGTAAATCTTCAATATGTGTCCAAAGTGGCCCCATGGAGCTCGCGCCAGCAGAAAGGGGCCCTTCATCCTCCAATCAATGCACTTGCTTTGTCATGGTTGATGCTCTAGCCCTAGCGCTAGGCTTGATATGTTAGAGCGCCTGTAATAGTGAGCTGCGACATCGGAAAACGGTCTTCATCTGAGCGTCTTCGGTTTTACGACGACCATTGGTGTTTACAGCCATGAAGATTGAGATCAGGATGAGATATCCTGAAGCCTCCCCTGTGCCTTGACTTTGCACATAATCAATCCCTTAGTATGCCTCTTCTTCGGTGTAGGAAGTCATTCGGACGAGATTTGGTGCATGTTGGGCGGTGGGTGTCACGCCATTGTCTCCTTTCACGCACAACTCGTACTCACTGAAAATAGACGTAGCTCTCTGATCCCACTCAGCTCGAAACGTAGTGCTTCTTCAACTAGTGATCGCCCCTTAAATACAGTCAGCCGTCATGTCACCCAACCAAAATCACAAGGCGCCTCGCAAGCCATGCTCTACGCTACCGGCCTCGAGTTGGCAGACATGGACAAAGCCCAAGTCGGCATATCGTCGGTCTGGTTCTCCGGTAACCCTTGCAATAAACATCTTCTCGACCTCAACAATCGAGTGAAAGAGGGGGTAGAGCAGCAAGGGCTTATAGGCTACCAATTCAACACCGTAGGAGTCAGCGATGCAATATCCATGGGAACAAAAGGCATGAGATATTCCTTACAGTCGCGTGACTTGATTGCAGATTCGATCGAGACCGTGATGGGTGGTCAATGGTACGACGCAAACATTTCAATCCCGGGTTGCGACAAGAACATGCCTGGTGTGATTATGGCAATGGGACGTGTCAACAGACCTTCATTGATGGTATACGGAGGCTCGATCAGGCCTGGATGTGCGGTGACACAAGATAATGCAGATATCGACATTGTCTCCGCCTTTCAATCCTACGGTCAATTCATTGGAGGTCACATCAGTGAAGAACAACGCTTTGACATCATACGGAATGCATGTCCGGGTGGAGGTGCATGTGGTGGGATGTACACTGCAAACACAATGGCTACCGCCATCGAAGTCATGGGTATGACTTTGCCGGGCTCTTCATCAAACCTCGCCGAGTCCAAAGCAAAGTATCTGGAGTGTGTGGCGGCTGGTGGAGCGATCAAGAAATTACTTCAAGAAGATATCAGACCTTCCGATATTATGACGAGAGAGGCATTTGAGAATGCCATGGTTATTGTCACCATTACTGGAGGCTCGACCAACGCCGTCCTCCATCTAATTGCCATGGCGCACTCCGTCGGTATCGATCTTACTATTGATGACTTTCAGCGTGTCAGCGACAGGACGCCATTCCTCGCCGATCTCAAACCGTCGGGCAAGTATGTAATGGCGGACTTGCACCGAATCGGTGGAATTCCTAGTCTAATCAAGCTTCTGCTCAAAGAAAATGTTATATCTGGTACCGGCATGACAGTCACGGGCCAGACACTCGCGAAGAACGCAGAGAACGCACCTGATTTCCCATCTGATCAGACCATCATTCGCCCCTTCAGTGACCCTATTAAGAAGACTGGACACATCCAAATTTTGCGTGGCAGTCTTGCTCCGGAAGGATGCGTTGGTAAGATCACGGGCAAGGAAGGCACTCGTTTTGTTGGTAGAGCGAAAGTCTTCGACGGCGAAGATGACATGGTCCTTGCGCTAGAGAAAGGTGCCATCAAGCAAGGCGAGAAGACCGTTGTCGTGATACGATACGAAGGGCCTAAAGGAGGCCCTGGCATGCCAGAGATGTTGAAACCAAGCTCAGCCATTATGGGCGCTGGTCTCGGCAAAGATGTGGCCTTGATTACAGATGGCAGATTCAGTGGCGGCAGTCACGGGTTTCTGATCGGTCATATCGTGCCAGAAGCGCAAGAAGGTGGTCCTATCGCATTCGTCAGGGACGGTGACGAAATCGTAATCGATTCTGAAACTAGGAGACTGGATGTGTCTATAGAAGAAACGGAGCTAGAAAGGAGGAAGAAGGACTGGCGCCAGCCTCCTTTAAAGTACCAGAAAGGTACTCTAAAAAAATATGCAAAAATTGTCATTGATGCGAGCCATGGATGCATTACGGATTCATAAAGCGTATGTACCCCTTCGATAATTTAAGTTACACTATAGTACTTGGTGTCTCTAGCCTGTGCCAATCAATGAATACACTCGGTAGATCGATCAGTGCAATACTATTGACGTTGAAGGGTGGCATCAGCATCACGTCTAACCACCTCCAACGCTCAAGCAATTCGTATTCGTCGGAAATTGGGCTGCTGGTAGCCTGACGGCCCTCAAACACTGTTCTTATGGCGGCAGTCAGATACAACCCCTTCGAACGTGGTGAAATCGGAAATTCAGACGGACCACAATTCCAAATGCCACTGAGAGACGTGACATGAGATCTGCAGGAGGAAAAAGGCCAACTACTTGACACCGTCGGTAATGCCAAAGCTTACAAGACAATGCTCGCCCGTCAGAAATCAACTAATCATGCAGACTCATTGTGTTGTATGACAGCTATCGCGACATTTATATTGTTCATCTCGAGTCATGTCACTGAATTCTCACTGTTGCTTCGCTTCATACTGAAAAAGTAAATATGTATATACTAGCGCTGAGGCTCTTCTTGAAAGACGTTCTGACCTCTGTAATTTGAATTTTTGTATGGGAAAAGACAAAGTCAAGCCGTCTTATGGGCTTCAATGCCCACAAGCGTCCTTCGATGAACGGGGTTGAATTGAACGCAAATCAAGAAAGGAATCGACTATTGAGACTCGTGTGGGTACTGTACCAGATATATCGTCGCGCGTCAGATCTTTCAGCATGTCCTTATAACCAATTAAGTCGACAATGTGACTTATTCATCTTTAGGTGAAGAACATGCAAGACGAAACATCGATCTGACGCAATCGTTTTGGACCAACAAAACAGCATGGCAATATGTTCGCCTTTAGATCTGTCGCAATCTGGCAAACCACTAAGAACATGGCTTGTATCAAGGCTCATTGTTGATGTTTGTGCTCGGGGTTTCCCTTGTGTTTGTGCTTGCCTAAATCAGGCATTTGGCTGCCATGGCCCAGTGGCTTACTTGACTTTCTATGGCTTGTATGGAAACGGCGCGAAGAGCAAAAGTCTCGTGGAACTGTGACACAGCCTCCACAAGGTGTGACAGCTTTTGCCTTGGATTAATTCGTTGCTCACACCAAGAGATGGGTTTTCGGATTGTACCACAGCATGGGTCTTTGTTCGTTCTCGTCCTCCCTGCGCCGATCAAAGGCTCAAGAAATCCACAGGCTACTCTGTGTTTGTTCGACCGGAAGCTTTGTCTTCTGAGGTGGTATTCAACCCTTTGTCCTACCTACAATATCAATTGTTGAGGCTCTGTTGTTGATCTAGCGGTATAAGTACTGCCACCTCCCCCGTCAAAGCAAAAAGCATCACCTCGCTAGAACATCTACAAAAAAAAAACCAACCAAACTTTGATCAGCCATGACTGCACCAATTTTGTCCACGAAGGATTTCTTCCGCTTCCTCGAACCGGTGCTGTCCGCAATCAATAAGAACGCTCGCGGTGACGCCCCCGAAACTCTCGAGAGACTCCTACGCGATCCAAAGGAGTTCGCAAGGGCATCGTCACTGGACGTCGACCCGAAAGTACTTGAAAGATACGACGAAATCAGAACAAATAAGAATCTCGGAGGACACCGCGAAATCCTGGAACGTCTTGCGAAGGGCGGACTCTTTCACGAAAACACTGAAGAGTGGCAAATTCCCTTCGTCAAAACTTATCTGAACATTTTCACCATCGTCATAGAGAGAGGAGGCGCTGGAGCACTCTTCCTATTAGCGAGCTTGTTTGACGTTTACGAGCTTCAACGTCTCGATCTGGACGATTCGCGCTTTGAATCCTTTTGGTTAAAGAACCAACCGTCAAAAGAACATTGGAAACAGATGAAGGAGGAGCTTAAGAAATGGGATATCGTTGACTGCCTCGACAAAGCTCAGGTACCAGGAGATGATCCCAAACCAAAGAGATCGATATGCCAAACCTTGCTCAATATAATTACTGGGCGCTAGGGGGACAAGGGTGGGAACAAGTCGTACAAATGATTCTCTCTTAGACAGATCTTGCAATTATGATTATATACTGCATGCACGTCTTAACCAAATGCATGTCGCAATATATTGTGCATACAATTCAGATTAGACATCAGATTCAGTCCTCTGGTATTGTCAAAACCGCTGATTTGTTAGGGAAAGGGTTTCAACGGTCATGCCCAAGGCTTTGTTGCCACAGCGTGGATTTGCGACAGCCTTTGAAACGCTCAGTCAATCCCTATTGTGTTTCGACGGGTAGTGAAAGACCATGTTGACGACTCTAACCCACGGTAGAGCAATTGCATTCCCGTTACCAAACACAGGAATGACCCGCTCCTCTTCGTGACTCGGCGTTAACTGGAGTATTGGGATACGAGGCAAGATTGACCCATCTCTGCGAAGATGGTTTGGTGCTTCGTACGAGAAGCGGAGCTCGGGCAAAAAGGAAGCCTGCACAGCCACTGCAGGCACCGCCACTACGCCACAGGCGGTTTAAGCCTGAATAAGTCTCGGGTCAGCTTTGTGACGCAATTTCGAGGTTTCCCTGTAGTCTGGCGATGAGAATCGGCGTCAGTGTGCAGTATGCCATCGTGGCCGCATTATTGAAGGAGGCTGTTCAATCCTAAGTTGGCTCTCCCATCGTTGCTTCTATCCTTTGGCGTAATTGGCAGGCGCCAAATCAGGAAATTTCCATTTCGTCGCCACCAATCAGACTAGAACTACGTCAGCAGCCGAGGAAAGCCAAGATTTGAAGGCGCATGCGAAAACCAAGGTTTTGAATGCTTCATCACTCTCTCACTCGCCTTCTTCTCCACACATCCCCTTGCTGGTCATCATCAATCCATAACGATGTCGAAACTCCATTTACTCAATCGCTCGGTTTCAACCACTCTCTATGCTCTCGAATTCCTGGTATCCGCCCTCATCCTAGGCATCTTCTCATACTTCCTCGCCAAACTAGCTGGTCGTGATGGCGCCACAATTCCACAGTGGGAGAAAGCGGTAGAAGGCATGTCTGGAGCTGCCGTTTTATACACCATCTTTGCTGTCCTCCTCACCTGCTTCTTTGGGGGCATCACCTTCCTTGCATTCGTTGCAGTGGTGCTGGATGTCTGCTTCTGTGCCTGCATGGTGGCTATTGCCATACTCACGCGCGCTGGATCCAAGACTTGTGGAAGTGTGAATGACTCTCCCATCGGACCGGGAAATCACCTATCCTGCCGCCTGCAAAAGGTTGTCTTTGCCGTTTCGATTATCGGAGCGTACGTCAACGATTCTACGCTGCTGAATACTCTCGTACTGATCATCATTAGATTTTTGTTTGCAATCTCCGTCATTTCTCAAATCGCTTTGTCCCGGTCTCATAAACGTGAAAAACGCTACGGTCCGAGCCCATCCAACAATTACACGTCTGGATCAGGAAAACGGCGCCCATGGCAAAGGAAGAAGAAGGCTGCTACTCGCGACACAGAGCTTGGCGCAGCTGGCCCCGGTGGCTTCAACAATGATCACAAACGGACATCAGACATGACAGGCACCACGGCGCCGGTCAATGACCAAGTATATGGTGGGCCAACAACTAAATACAGCGAGCCTACCATACCCACGCACACACATGCACCACAAACAACAGGAGTTCTCGGATCGGGCAACAACAAGCCCATCGTAGAGATGGATAATGGACAGACTCATGCGCTACCAAACCCATACGCGCAGAATGCTAATCCATATGCAGAGGTGCACGGTGGTGGATATGTGCATTGATAGCAGAACAAAGCTAAAGAGGTGCAAATTATGACTGAAATACAAAGATACCCAAATTAACTCTAAGAAGAGATATTCGTTCTGGTGGGGTAATGCAAGGGAAGTGTGAAAGAGGGAGCAAATGCTCAGCACAAATGATGATAAGATTTATAATACCAGTATGATGTCAGGCCTATCGAGCCTCCTGATAATCTTAATTCATATGTTTAAGAGAATTTCTAAATCAAGCCAAAAGCCTCAGAACGTACCAACGCGCTCGTGGTGCATCTTTGTGGATTGTCGTTTTGTGATTTCCGTGCTTTCAATTGTCGCCGCGTATTGGAATCCCTAAAGTAGCTGATATTTCGTAGAGTTCCTTTGAGCTTCCTCCCTGCCTTAGGCAGGGAGACCTGAGATTTCGAGTCATGAATGCGTTTGCGTAGCGCCAACACACAAGCGTGCCTTGTGTGCTTAATAGTGATACATGTTGACGTAGCTTGCCCACTGCTATGTCTTGCATAAGCAAGTATCATGAAGCTGAGATATTGTTTCGAGTGTCTCTGTCGTATGACAGCGTTCCTTCGGGGCGCGTCATCCTTCCTGTGCATCCGCTTCTGATCCACCGTCACCCCGTTTCATTCTTTCCTGCACCTCCCTCTGTGTCCGCATGAGCATCTCAATATCCGCAGTCGATTGCCTGTCCCTAACACTATCTTCCTCTTGTATCTCTCTGGTCTGGATCGCTCGCTGTTGAGCCCGCAGTGTCTCAATCTCCCGATTTACTGCTGTGATCCTGCTTTCAAGCTCGTCTTTCTTCTCGTTACGTGCCTTAGTGTCTTTGTATTGCTGATATAAAGAGTAGCATTGATAGCAACCGGTGGCGATCACAGCAAACCGAATGAGCTGGTACTCTTGGACGGAGAGGTAGAGCTCTACCATCTTGAGAAAGGTAAAGTGGAGTAGACAGTCAATGACAGAAGTAAGCTCGGTGAGCTGAAATTACGAGTACGAAGTTTAAGTTCGGCTCGGAAAACATTCCGCAAAAAGGTATCAATGTCAAGACAATTTCTACAACGCAATAAATCATTTTCAACCCCGTTCTCGCAAACCTGTCGGGAATGTCAGTCACTTACACAGCTACAGCTCGATGCTGTACGCGAGTACTCCAGCAATCGTCAAAACGCATTTGCCTAGCCGCTCGCGCCACTACACAGCTAGAACGACGAGCCCCTTCGCGGCGATGGGAATCCACCACCGCAGAGGCACCAATTGATCCCAAAATCTCAACTATAGTCGACCAAATAAGTCAATTAACGCTTTTGGAAACGGCAGACCTTGTCTCAAACCTCAAAGTCCGTACACTGTCCCCCAAGCTCACCTGTCATCACCCTCGACTAATCAGTCTCCCATCTAGACTCGTTTAAAGATTCCAGATCTCCCCATCGGTGGTTTCTCCGCCGGCGCTGGTGGAGGAGCTGCAGCCGCCCCACCTCCTGAGGAAGCAGACGAGCCCGCTCCCGTCACAGCACAAGAAAAAACCCTGTTCACGTTACATCTAAAATCATTTGAGGCAGGGGCGAAACCAAAGGTCATTAAAGAGATCAAGAGTATGCTTGGCTTGAGTTTGGTAGACAGCAAGAAGTTTGTGGAGAGCGCGCCGAAGATGATGAAGGAGGGCATTCCCAAGGAAGAGGGGGAGAAGATCGTGGAGTTAATGAAAGGGCTAGGCGCAGTTGTAGGGATGGAGTAAGAGTCGGAATGGGCTGGTGACAGGATAGAGGAAGGGTTGACACACATGTCAGAGCATATGGAAGAGGCATAGTGTACGAGCTGTACATATATCGTTGGAGATGTCATTCACACGAAGATTATCTCTTGGAGCGGAGAACATTCTTAATGTAAGATCCTTCAGAATGCTCCGACAGATATCAATCGGCGGACTAGCACGGTCAGCCAATTCCCCTGTTCGTTGGAGCTCTAGATTCCTAATCTTCGGCCGAGCACCTCGAGTAATGAGAGCAGAGCGAAGCGTCAGAGTGTCAGCATCATAACGAATTGATGCGGAGGAACATGGATTTATACAGGGACGTTCATCCGCATTTCCGCTGCGTATTGGCTCTTCTACCCCAGACTTCGCAACTTGTAGGCCTGATCCGGTCTAGCTGGTTGCTTACTTATCATCCTTCCGTCTTACGTCAAGATGAGGTTGAGGCGCATGCAAGGGCAAGGTGCCTGAGTAGCACAGGCTCACCAGGGTTTCTCTCGCACGGAATCCCCACACGGACGAATTGAAGTCTGATACCACTCACCGCTGCCTATGAATCCAGATCAACAATGGACACAATCGTTATGGCCGTATCCGTAGAGCATTGCCAGGTTCTCTTGATTGTGGTGCAGGCTATAATTAAATTTTCCCTTTGGCCATAACCACGCCAGAGAAGGGGCAAGTATATATGTATCGATTCTCAGCATGTAAGACTATGCAATATCTCCTCAACAAGACTTCTCATTATGGTTGGTGTCCCGGGTAAGAGCAAAGGCTGTCTGACGTGCCGACGACGCAAGATACGCGTGAGTACATCCTGCTTCTGCAGTCAATTCGCGATGGTTGACAGCCTTAGTGCGACCTTACAGAACCAAACTGCAAGCGATGCTCCGATACGGGTCGAACATGCGAAGGATATGCACGCTATCCGACCTTTCTAATCAACACACCCGAGGGTCGTCGCAGGAGAGAGCGTCTGGAGGAAGCGAAACCGAGGACTCCCAGCACAGACTCTCCCGCATCGAGATCAGATACGCCTCTGGCCAGGGTTCGAAAACCGTCGACTGGTGACAAGGCTATGGTCCCACGGACGGATTTCAGCGCCTTGCCTCAGCAGGCTAGCATAGCACAGCTACAGGACGACCAACTTCTGGCCTGTTTCTGGATCAACTATGTACCGATAGGATCGCTGGCACAACATCCGTCACCATGCCCATGGTTGCAGGAAATCATGTTCACCACCGATCCTCATCCTGCCTTGAAACTCTCACTCAAGGCTTTGGCCCTTACTCGCCTAGGATGGCTCAACCAAGATGATGCTCTTTCCAAGATGGGCCAGAGCAATTATGGCCTAGCCCTCAAGCATATTCAGCATGCTCTGTGGGATCCGCTCGCAAAGTGGTCTGACCACACACTTGCAGCAGCCCATCTGTTATCGATCTATGAGGTAGTAATGCCTTCCCTTTCACTCATGGAGTACTAATTCTTTGCCAGCTATTCGAAGCCACCAATGATAGCGTGAAAGGCTGGAATAGTCACGTGTCTGGACTTGGGCTACTTGTCAGACTGCGAGGCCCAGATTCGTACGAATCGCCCATGGGACAAGCTATTCTATTTGGGTTTTCTTCAGGTTCAGTAAGCTTGCCCCATTGACACAACAGCGCTCGATCTCACTCATACTTTCTCATAGATGATACATAGCCTCCAATTTCGCAAAGGTACATTCTTGATGAGTGAAGAATGGAAGGTGAAGTATTTCACGGATCCTGTCGATGAATTCCACTATCGTCTTCTTGAATTCGGCTTTGAACTTGCGAGCACACTGGAGGAAACAGATCGTCAGAGACTTCAGCAAGAGTTGCTGAGCCTTGATCGTTGCATTAGTTATGTCAATATGTTTCTTGCCCTGGATTCTCGAATGGAAGATTGGCTTCAAGACTTTACAAGCCATTGCGGAGACCCACTTTATGTGATTGATTTTAAGGACAGCTACTGCTCTGGCATACCCGACATGTACAAAGGCTTCATCTTCCGAAACTATCGACAGGCAAATGTCTTGAACACTTTCTGGTCACTGAAATTGATCCTAAATCATATTCTCACCACCATTAGGGCCGCACTCGGGGTTCGATCCGCTCATTTCAAGACTGCAGGAGGGCCGAATGCTCCAGCGGGAGAAGATCGTCCAGACTTCCTAGGTGGCGACCGCAGTGATCATTGCCTCGAACTTGCGACGAACATTATGCGTGCTATGCCATATGTTCTCAAGGACGAAATGGGCTTGCTTGGAGCTCAACAATCAATCTTTCCTCTACGGGTCGCACTATTAGTCTTAAAGAGATATCCGGGGGAAGAGCTCAGATGGTGTGAGAGCATTTATTCGCAGTTCAACAGCAAGAAGGGTATACGTTACGCGACTGAAATTGCGAAGTATGAAGGTGGATATAAAGACGATCAGGCTCCCACAATGGCGAACACAATCAACAGCCGGTGACGGGAGTGAAGAAGAGCGAGATACCCAGTGCAGTGATAGACGTGGGATGTGGTGAGATTTGTAAGGGTAGGGATAGAATTGCTTTAATTTCCAATCCGGTCCTTGCAGGCCAGAGACTGAGATCGTTGTACGGTACACACATTTATTGTTTATTACTTGAACATCGAAACCCCCTGAATTTGTATGAATATCTTGGAATTTTACTGAATATTCCCGCATGCTTAGATTGCGCCGTCAAGCTGGAGGAAATTGGTTCTGAGCGTTACGCTGATTCGAAAGAAACGGATCGCATGACTAGTTTGCTCTCGACCCACAAAATAGTTTCCCTTTGGGAGCCAGCAATTTCTTCTTGTAGGCTGTGATGCGGACCCTCTTTGGCACGTACGGTCTGTTGAATATGAACTTCACCCTTTAAGCCAGATCAAGGGATTATAGCGACTCGGCTTATACGCTTCATTTTGTGTTGACTCACACAGCAACGGATAGATCCACGACGGCGTCGTCCAAATCAAGAAGCCCAAAACCCAAAGGTACCCAAATATCCTTATCCCAAATCCCGGTGGAGTAGTGTCTCTTTGGGTACCATGAGCCCGACGGTAAATTGCTTGCACAGCATCCTCGAACATGATGCCGGCTGTTTGAATGCAGAAGAAATAGATAGTGCCCGAGCTTCGCCAATCGAGCCCTATGGCGATATCGACGAGGAAGTGGATGAGACCAGATAGCATGAAGGTCAACAGGATAGTGGTGTAGCGTGCAATTAGAGTCCCCTTTCGAAGAAGAAGGGCATTATGCGAAATGTAGTTTGCGGGGCTGTTACATTTCTGCCGAAAATGCTGATGCCAGAAAACACTATTTGCACCACCAGGGTCAGCAATTAAAGTCACGATATTTCAAGTCCGCTAAAGGGGGAACCAGATGAGTACGTACCTCCAAAATCTACGAATCGAATATCCTTCTCCCACTGATCCAAACGCCGGGCGCCAGGATTTGACTTCGTCGAGGTCGAGAGCAACAAGAATGAAGGCGGCGATGTCCTGGGCCAATCTGATAAGATATTAATTGCGCATCCATATATCCATGATAGTTGTAATTCGGACGATGATTTCTTCGCTTGACACCTCGGCCAGACGTGAGAACAGGAGGACTTTCTCTGGCGAGTAGACACTGGGGTACAGGTGGATATCTTCCCTTTTTAAATTGGGGAGGTTCAAGAAGAGAAAACAAGCTACAGCGGAGAATGTACTTTGCTGTAAAAATTGCAGTCGAAGGGGTATGTAACCTGGATTATCTTGGTCGAAAGGAGCCACGTTCTTGACCTCATACCTGGTGCCGCAATTGCGGTAGGATAGAGAGACACGGAAACCATACTTGAAGCGATCAATGAAATTGCTGTCGTCTTGTTTGTTATTCTGCATCTTGGCGTCATTGTTCGATAATCCATGACAATGTGCGTATCCTAAAGCCGGGCCTTGGGTTTCATAGGCCCACTCGCTAACAAGAGCAACTTCGATGTATTGCAAAGCCCCGACACCGAGCGCTACGCCCATCCATGACGCCAAGAAAGTTGACTGCGTTCTTTCTAAGGCTGTGGAAACGCCGAGATAAGTCAGATATAGGATTAGGAGTAGGAATGCTAGCCGGTAGAGGGATCTTGGGGACGTGAATCCAACCACGGCGGCGGAGATCGTCGTCGGGATGAGGGAGAGTGCTATGGGATGTGTGAGAAGGGACATCGTGCAGTATGTCGAATGAACGGAATGGGAAATCGTTCTTTCAATGCACCTCCTGCTCTAGATAGATGAAAAGACCGTTTTGTTGGCGTGCAGAAGATATTGTTGTGGCAAAAGATAAAGCTCGAGTGACGAGATTGAGCAGTGCAGTGTTGTACAATGCGGATCGGAAGAACGGAAGTCTGATAATGAGTCTGAACATTTTGAGGTTTGTGACCCTATATCGGGCCAGGTAAGTAGAATGACTGTACGAGGGATCATATTCAAAAGAGGTACATCCTCTTTGAGATACACCCTGAAGGTGAAGACCTATTTGATTAAGGTAATGACAAGCCAAGCTTCAGTCGGTATGAGGCTCTAGAAGTATGCTCCGGGCGAGAAGCAAATTGAGCGAACGCTGTTGCTCGTAGAAATAGATAAATATACTCACCTGAATATGTCTGGAAAATATGTGCTCCAAACCCGCTTCCCCTCAAATGATATTCATCAACTCATTAGTTCGTGCTCGACGACATCCCGATATCCACCGTTCAGCCATCCAGAAGTAGCTTAGATTTCACAGCAGCAGCGAATGTTAAATTTCTCGCTTGTCTAACCCAGTCTTAGTCTCCACATGCTTGCGATCTAGATCTCCTTTCTTAATGAACGTGCTGTAGCAAAGTCCAGTGCCAGTAATACAGACGCACAAAATCCAGAGGTTCCTCAGGCTCCACGCAAAAGCTTGTCGGACAGCTAGTCTCAGGACGGGGTCTTTGATTTCCTCAATCACGTGCACATTCGAGACAGCGTGTGGGCCGGCAACTTTTTGCAAATACTCGATAGGTAGACCGATGCTTGATAGCTTCGCTGACTGCACTACCATAGAGTTGGCAATGACTGTACCACCGATGACAGCTGCAAAAGATGTTGCAAGACTCCTTGCAAAGCCTAGCGCGCCAATCGCTGTAGCTGTTTCTGCTGCTGAGACCTGCGTTTGCAACGCAATGGTTGGTGCAGGAAAGAGTAAGCCTGCACCTATGCCCGTGACGATCTGGTAACCGATTATTTGACCTAGAGAAGCGGTGGCGTTCAACTTGATGTAAAGACCAGAGCCAAGAGTCAAACATGTGAGACCAGCCCATATCAGCTCGCGATAGCAGGCCCACGCATAGATTGAGATGCCTGAAGCAAAGCCGAAAACTGCAGACACGATGGTGGTGGGGAGCAGCAAGGTCCCAGAAGCCATAGGAGACGCATTTCGTACGGACTGGAAGTAAAGTGGTAGGTAGTACTCGGTCGAGAAATATGCCTTGATTGAAGTTTGTCAGTCTAGCTCTTCATTGCTGCAGTTCAGAGTATACGCACGAAATGGAGGGTGAACATGACAAAGAGTGTTGCCACATTTGACTTGTTCTCAAAGATGTGCAAGGGGATCAGTGGATGTTTTGCCAGCTTGGCCTCACTGATCACAAACAGCACCAAGAGTGTGAAACCAGCGACTATCAGAGCCAGTACTTGTGGCGAGTCCCAAGCGTACGTCTCGCCTCCGAAATTGAGTCCTAGAAGGATCATGATCACGCAACCAAGAAGCGTCGCTATGCCAGCCCAATCCACCGCTTTCATGCCTTCCAAAAATGGGGTCTTTGGGTTGTGGATGTCAAGGCACAAAAACAAAAGGCCAAACGCGAGGCTGCACATTGGGAGATTCAACCAAAACAAAAAGCGCCATGAAAGCAGCTCTGAGAAGGCCCCGCCCAATACAGGTCCAATAGCACCAGCAATGGCCCACATGATCTCTAGAAGGCCAACGTAAAGTGCCCGTCGCCTGTGATTGTGGCACGCAAGATGTCAGCTATCCTCTGATTGAAGAAACAAATGGCTCAAGAGCTTCATCTACATTAGAATTGGATCTTACCTAAGATCAAAGAGATCAGATATCACAATATGAACGATCTGTATCAGCCCGCCTGCTGCTGCACCTTGAAGAGAACGGCCGACAATGAGAATGCGCATTGTCTTAGCAGTGGCACACACGGTCGACGCGCCGAAGTAGAGAGATATTGCCGTCAAGAGTATCAACTTTCGGCCCCAAATATCAGATAATTTCGCCCATATCGGAGCTGCTGCGGCGTCAGCGAGGAGATGGGCTGCCCCGATCCATGCGTATCCAGATGCAGACTTCAACTCTGCGCAAATACTCGGGATGGCGGTTGAAATGCTGACGGTGTTGAGTGCGGCGATGAACAACGTGAGCTTGACGAAGTCAACATTAGCCGAAATCCCTATTCAGAAGTGAGGTTGAGGCTGTGAGTCTCACAAACAAAGCCGTCAAGACAGCTGCAATCCTCATCGTGCTACGAATCGTGTCTTTCTCAATCTTGCCAAACTCTTCATCGGATAGTGCTTCAGGAAGAGGCGGCACGAGGTATTTAAAGGGTACGGAAAGACGCCTGTTTGAGGCTTCACCAGCCATGCTAATAGCATCACTTATGGAGAAACCACGAGGCCTATCGGAACAAGGGCTCACTGCCCGCGACATGCGTCTGAAATCTGGCATGTTGTAAGCAATGGATCATCTTCAGTCGTTCGGACTGCTGTTGCAACTCCGAGATTACGGAGGTGGGAGTAGTAACACTTACGATCGCATGACGTCCTCGGAGAGCGATGATTCACTTTCACCGTTGTGGCATGGGGTTTTGTGGAGTGGGTGAATGCCCACTCGGGTGGGGAAGCAATAACACTTCCAGACATACTCAGCCATGGCCACACCTAGATGTGAAGTTACCCTAAGAGCTTGCTCGATACAGGGCATATTCGCTAAGCAGCCCTCCAAGATCCAAAACCAAGGAAAGTGGCAGCTTCCAAAGACGGGAACGCCAAGCGAGACTTGATAGAGCAGCTGACAGGGTGGTGTTTGTAAGAAGGAAAGGAGACCTTGCGCTTAAACAAAATTTTGTGACAGACTGCAAAGATGATCATTTTATTGGAGTACTTAGGAGGTAATGTGTTAAAGCGAAGAAATGCTTGGTCCTCTGTGCGACTTCAATAGGGCTTTGCTGCAGATTTGTGATCTATGACATCCTTAGGTCATGAAGTGAGAGTCGAAATCTGATCGAAGCGTCTTGTGGTGCACAGAAGGTACCGCTTCCAAGGTCACAGACCAGCTCTGAAGTCGTTGCGATTTAGTAAGATTTTGATGCTTACTGTGAGAATGCAGAGCCCCTTTGTAGGAGCGAGAAATAAGGGTGATACCTGAGTAGCATCGCTTCAGACATAGGAGTAGAGTGCATCACATATCGACTCTGATGACGCCATCATTCAATCCGCCGCGACTCCAATACGGTTTCAGGATTGGCGATTCTCAACCTGTGGTGGACCTTCGCAGGAATGGTAAGTATCACAATGCCGCAATGTTTTGTTTCTGGTGCGCTTAGGGAAGCGGGGAACATTTCCTATCACGGCCGCCTGAAGAGGCATGTGTAGCCTGGTGTCCTGAATCGTGACTGTACTCATACATGTCACTACAAGGATTCTCCCTGATGACAAACGCTTCATTTTACTGATGAACTCTTTCAAGCTTCACACCATCCTCTCAAGCGACTCTAGGAGTTTTGGGTAATGGTGGCGGTTTCTGATATTGAATGGAGCCTTGTGAGGACTTGTTGGACCTCGAATGGGTCCGGGTTTCCATGAGTTTGGCGGATCGCAATGAGGAGGACGATCTGAATTCGAGCAATTTGGCCTCGGCGGTGTATGTAGGTTCTTCCTCATCTTCCTCTACGGGGGAGACAGGGGATCTAGGCGAGACAGCTTTCTCGTCGGCGAAAGGATTTGCCTTCGATGGCGGTTTTGGGGGTTCTTCTTTCCCATGTGGCGGTCTGAGCATGACACTGTGCCTATAGTCATGATAACCCTCTTTGTATTTCCCAAGCTCAATCCTAATTTCGGCAAGGTGCTGGAAGCCCCTCTTCACACATAAGGAGCGCGCAGCAGGGGAAGACTCGACATAACATTGAATGCCTTCCTTGTCTGCTAGATCGACCCCCCAATTGATGAGGGCGATGCCCACACCAGCTTTTTGATATAGCGGAATGACGTGTAATATATCCAAAACTAATAGCGTACAATGAGCTTTCTATATCTTCATTGGGGGAACATGAGAGCTTACCCATTAGGTTCTCCGCAAAATTTGAGAAATAGCATTCGAGCGAGCACGGTGCACCTGTCCGGCACGCGTGCCCTCTAGGTCCTGTGATCCTTTTTCTCGTACTATTGATGATATCACCCCACCTTTCAAGAAGGACGCCATGGCAATCTGGCGGCATTTTCGGCATCAAGTTCTTTTCTTTGACCCATCCAGAGCCACGACGTGAAGCCACACTCGCTCCTTCCGATTGCTCACTCTTCTGTCTTATGCCGCTTAAGGACTGTCGTAGTGCTTGGTCCTCGTCTTGGCGGTAGTGAACCCATTTGGCAAATCCCACGATCTCCCCCGTCGCATCATTGGTAGCCTTGATCAGCGAAGCGGATGGAAAGGTGAAAGACCTCTTATACGACTCGGTCGTGAAGCTGCTGAGTGCAGCTGTCGCACCTCGTGGATAAAGGACCTGAATCAAGGGATTATTGTGAAGAGCTGCCCATTGTATTTCGGCCAAGCGGGAGACTTCGTGGGCTTGGACGGCAGCGACGGTGTATGGCATTGCGAACAGCAGACTGGATCAATAGATCAGGACGAACGGGGGGCGAATAGCAAGCGTTATAGCAGACGGCCGAATTCATAATTGGTGCGTCAGCATCTGAGAGCAGGAGTGAGACAGACAGTCCAATAGACGTCGTTCGCATTAGGAACCTCTGGCATGGTAAAGTAGCTGTGGAGACCCAACGTCAAATAACCGAAAGGGAGAAGTGAGGAGCTTACGCCGCATAGTTGCTACATCGAGTTGGTTCCTGCTCTCTCTGATGGCGCTGGCCGATCATATCGCTCTTGAAACATGGGGGGCCCGTCGGTCACGGCCTGGCGTGTGCCTGGTGATGCAACTGGTGCAAGTGCCCACTGCCCACCACCCACCACCTGGTGCCACCGCCCAGAACTAGTTCTAGTTCTATTGCCCGAGCCTGGCTCCAAAGCAGGCAAAGCGCTAGGTTTCACCTTCATTGTCGTCACCTCGTTGACGGCCCGTCATTTGCTGCTGGTTATCTGATCACTCTCTTCTGTGAACGGCAGAGGAAGTCGTGCTATGCTCTAGACAGGTGCGCTGGCCGATTATGCAATATGCAGCTCTGGTCCCGCCGCTCACCAATCAGGAATCTCCTGCACTGCTAGTAGGAAGCAGGGCACTGGTTGGGGCTGTGTCTGCGAGGGGAACCCAAAAGCAACCTCACTTCCTACTCAACTTTACTTGAGAAATCCATGGCGTCAACTCGTCCGGAAAGAGTTGAAAAAAGGGTAGAATGATTGCTTCGACTCAGAAATGTTTGGTGCACGGCCAAAAGGAGTGAAGTCGAAGCAAAAGAAGCGCAGGGATGGAGGACATAGTGCTCCCAAACCATCAGTGGTTTCGCAGGAGACAACCTTTCCAAATGGAAAAGCTAGATCCACCACAAGTCTGAACCCTAGCAGGCCATCTTACATTAATGGCCCATACAACGCCAACCCCGCCGCCGATACGACTACAACATTTCCAGCGGAGTTGAATCACCGTGGGCCGTATGAAAATGCTCAAATGCTCCCAAATTTACCGTGCCAGCACGATAGCTCAAGCTTGAGTTCAGTCTACCCGATATCTTCAACTCTCATCAAAGCTCACGACGACTCCTTTCTTGGAACCTTCAATCATACCATCTCGTCCAAGCTAGATGAAGTCCTGACTGCTATCGACGAGGAGACATTCACAGGGGAAGAAAGAGACCTCGGTAGGACATCGCGCTTCCTTTGACTGCTACTTGCTGACTAGACTATCCATAGTCATCCCCAATGAACCTGCAACAAGCCTCCGTGGCGGAGGCCACTTCTTCTCCAAAAAGTCATCCGCCACAGCAGCGGCCGACAGAGCAATCACCTCGACGATAGCAACGAGCAATGTCTTCGCTAAGGCAACTCTCTATGCTAACTCCAAGCTCCCTTTGCACCTTCCACCACTGCAACTCTACCTTCCCGCTTACCCCCTAATCTGCCTCGCAGCCCAATACTCACGGCGAGCCTACTCGAAAGCCACCACCGGCGAGCGCGATGCCTTCATCGGCGCAGACTGGCGACTAGGGACAAAAGCCATGGTCATAAAATCCATAGCCGTTGACGAGCAGAACACCATCGTCTTTGCAATACGCGGGTCGCAGACATTTATGGACTGGGCGGTCAATTTGCACACGAACCCCGAACCACCGGAGGGCTTCCTCGACGATGTAGGCAATCTCTGCCATTCAGGCTTCTTATCAGTAGCGCGAAAGATGATGAAACCCGTCGCTGCTCGCCTCCGCTCTTTATTGGAAGAAAACCCAGCTCGAAGCACCTGTTCGCTTCTCATGACAGGCCATTCAGCTGGCGGGGCAATCGCAACGTTACTGTACGCGCACATGCTCGCAGAGACGGAAGGTGCGCGATCAGAACTGAATATTCTGACTGGTGCCTTTCGACGCATCCACTGCTTGACATTCGGCACGCCGCCCATCTCGCTCCTTCCGCTAGAAAAACCAAGTGCAGAGCGGTACAAGAAGAGCCTGTTCTTCTCATTCATCAATGAAGGCGATCCTGTCCCGAGAGCTGATCCGGCGTACATAGGCTCGTTGCTAAGACTTTATGCTAGCCCTGCACCTGAGAAGGGGAAAAGAATAGCTCTCCCAGATATCAAGCTACTCCGAAAACGACAGCAGGATAAAGCGAAGAAACTACCACTCACGTCTCAAGATTACGTGTGGGATGTCCCGCCAGGTACGCTTTCGAATGCTGGAAAATTGGTTGGGCTGAAGGGAGAGCCGGGACCGAGGGTGGCAGCTGGCAATGAAGAGGATGTGAAGGCCGTGGTGCTACGAGATTATGATTTGAGAGGCGTGGTGTTTGGGGATCCGGTTATGCATATGATGAATGTTTATGCGAGACGAGTGGAAGTGCTGGCTACGAAAGCTGTTACCGGAGGATTGTGGCATGAAGCTTGAGAAGCATCGTTAATGTGACGTACGAGCGACACAAACAATGATTACTGTAAGGTCTGAGGAGAAGGTCATGATATTTCATCGCCCCACGCCACAGGGTGACCGCACAGTGGGATATTTACTGTCGCGGGCGCTGGAGAACGCCTCCGACCATGCCGCTAAAGATACAGAAGCTGAAGCATGCTGGCATACCTTCCATGCCATAACCCCGACCTGATCCAACCTCCTTCACGTATCAGTCAAGGGCAAATATACAAGGCAAACAGATATATAACGGTTTCAAATCCAACAACGTTCGACTAATCCTTTGTCTTCGTCTGCTTTTTGGCCGTTCCTATGTGCGTGTTATGGACCTATGCGTTGTCAGCCTGTCGGTGTCCTTTCTGGTGAAGGAACAGATGCAGAAGAAAATTTACCTTCGTCGCAAATTTCAGACTCGTCAAAGTCTCGCCCAAATGAGCTTGCAGTGGACTGATCATCACGAACATGAGTGTCTTCGAATTCCCGCCCAGCGAGAATTGGAGCAGGTAAGTGAGCTAGGTTCAGGGTCAGCGAGCATTCAAATGCAAAAGGCAGGATAGATCGACCTTGCTATTTCTATACGGGACATGGCCGCCATCTTTGCCCTGGCCCAAGGCACCTATGACATCGCCCAAGCAGCTGAGAGACTTGTTGATATTTTGGGTCTCCTTCAATCGGTCGCCGGTCGCTCCGCTATGGCTCAAACGTTCGCTTCCCGCAAGATCGACAAGATTGAGCGTACCCTCACTATGTTCGCCAGTGACGCTGTTCTCCCCAACCAGCTTGAGAATGAAGACTGAATGACTCCTCGATGAGCGTTCGTTGGCCTGAGTTGCAGCGACTGTGCGGTTCCTTGCGGCATTCTGAAGGATCTCCTCGACTCTTCCTGGGCTGTCCAACTCGACAGTCTTGATGCCTGTAACTTCAGTCTTGCATTTTTGAGTGTCATGTCTGATTTCGTGCTTCTTCTTGTCAAATTCTTCCGCTTTGCCAAGCAAGTCGTTGAGATTTTCGTTATAAACTTCGATGAAGGAGCCAGCCATGCCGTACTTCCAGCCTTTCTCCTCCAGCGATTTTGCCGTGGAATAAATCTGGTTGACAGCACGAGGGATCATTCCGTCTATTGCAGACATGGTGAATGTTTTCCCAGAGCCCGTCTGACCGTAGCAGAAGATGCAGACATTGTAGCCGTCCAAAGCACTCTGGACGAGCTGGCTTATCTCACCAAAGACGTCCTCGTTCTGGGAAGCAGGCCCAAAGACACGGTCGAAGGAAAACGCATGCTTCTTTGTCGTAACGTTGCCAAGGCTGGACTTCTCTTCAGGACCCATCACTTCAAGCTCTTTGGCATCCACTTCTTGATCCGGATAGCTGACTCGGGCTGTGCTGTCAGCCGGCTCCGATTTCAATGGTGGTCTTACACGACAGAAGACTCTGATGTTGCCTTTCAATTCTTGAACTTGATTATGCAACTTCCTCCTCAAGGTCTCCTCTTTGATCAGCTTCTCGTTGGCTCCGGCTGCTGTTCTCAAGGCTGCCTGCATTCGTGCCTCTAAATCCGCGAAAGCGTGTGATTGGCTCTTGTTGTCCGACTCTAGAAAATGTATGTGACCTTCCAGTCTTCGGACCGAGTCTGCAAGCTCACGTTCCCTCTTTGCGGCGTCACTCAGCTGGTCGCACAGATTACCATTCTTCTCTTTTTCCCTTGCAATATCGTTCTTGCACCTCTCAAGTTCTGCTTCAAGCGACTCAAAAGCTGCTAGATGTGCTTCAAGCTCCTTCTGCACTTGCTGTTGTGTGCTTGCCCCCTCTGAACTTAAAGTGTGAATCTGGCGATCATGTTGTGCCCTCTCATCCGCCAATTGGTTCTCGAAGTTGCGCTCCAGGCTCTCAACCTGCTCGATATTGTCTCTAGCCAACCTTCGTTGCTCAGTCTCCGCTTCATGCCTTTTGTCCTCAAGCTCTCGTCGATGCTGCCGTTGCAGATCGTCAATATGATTGTTCTGGAACCTTTTCTGGTCTTCTACCGCATCCATGATCGACGCGACACGAATTTTCGCTGCATCTAATTCTGCCTGTAGTTGCTTGTTATTTGCACTCAATTCGTCTCGATGCTTTTCCAATTCCGTAACTAGATAGGTGGGTTAGCAATTTGGCCGTCTTCATGGTCTTCTCTACCCACTTCTTGATTTCCACACAACCGTCATCTCTTTCAATCCTTCGTTCTCAGCCATGGCTCCCCTCATCTCGTCTTTCACGAATTTCCGCATGTGCTCCATTTCCTCCATCTTGTCGTCGGTATCCCATGCTGTAACCATGTTAGTCTCTCGACTAAGAAAGTGTGATTTTGACGTTTTCTTCTTCAGGGATTTTGTAGGGCTGGACTGTGCAGACTGGCCATAACAAGAAACCTTCTGGGGAATTCTGGAAGGGGTACATGGGGTTGGGGTTGAAGTGGGAGCAGAGGATACAGGCTCATCCTCCAAGCTGAGGTTATTCATCAACTCAGATACATATGTGCTCTGACTGGATACTTCACGAAGGAACACTGCGCTACACGGTCTGCGCAACCACGTGGAGCCGGGATCCGATTGAACATGGCCGCCCCTCAATCTTGGTGGTTGCAGGGGTTCAGGGGACATATGGGGGTTTGAGGAAAAAAGGGCCTCACCCTTCCTTTTGCCCAGCACCTGGGCAGTGCTGGGGTCCTCTTGGTTTGCTTCCCGGGCAGGAGCAAGCCTTCCTTGTATGTACTGTTGTCTTTGGAACCGCGTGGCGCTCATGGCCGAATGCGACCGCTGTCCGCCAGATGGAGGCCGCATCCCATGGCCAACGCTTCCACCATAAGAGCTGTTCGACGTGACTCTTGAGGACGCGCTGGAAGGTGGACGTGATGAGGAAGAGGCAGAGAAGGATGTCACTCGTGGGCCGCCAGTGAGTGTTGTTGGATTGATGGACGAGTTGATAGGCAAGGAGCTTAGGGAAGCAGTGCTTTGGTGTCCCAGCGGCCTCCCGGCTCGTTCTTTCAAAGTTTCACGCTCCTTCACAGGCGGCGGTGCCATGTTCCTTGATCTAGCATTGGTAGCAGAAGCAGAGAGCTCATTGAGTTTGCCATGCTTAGTTGGTGAAGGCATTGAGCTTTGTGGGAGCTTGGAGACGAACTATTCTATTAGTCGCATTCCTCAATTATGTTGAGGCCAGCGTACCGAGCTTCCATTACTTCGATTCATGGTTGATGGGCTCTGTGTAAAATCAAGTTTGGCGTTATCGTAGCATTGTCTGAGCTGTGTTGGAAGGCTCTTCGAGTCCTCTGGCAAGCTCTTGGTACAATCGTGATCTGAAGATATCACCTCTAGGTTGTAAACAAACAAAGGCTAAGCCTGATCAGGCGTCGGGCAGCGGGACTCGGCTTCTTGCCCGCCTTCGGTCTTGGCATTTGCGCATCAGCCCGAGAGAGGTCGCCCATTCATTCTTCGCAGTTGTGATACAATGTGACGCTTCTATTGTAAAGCCATGGTCTTCTCTCCTGGAGATCTCATTTTCTGTGCCCCATCTAGCATAGATAGTGCTAGGCAAAATGGAAAAATACTCCCAATATAGAGATCGTGGTATGGCAGACGCCGAGTCTTTGACGTCGACGAAAGCTGACGGCGGCTAGGTTCTGGAATTGCTCCCTTCTTCCCGGTGTCAACACGAGCTTCCATCCTTTATTTGCCTATCTATGTTTCTCTATTTCTGATTCGTCTGCCCATCATCTTCTCTGCGACCTTGAGCTACTTTCTTGTCTTGCAATGGCTTCCAATAGGCTCATTGGGCAAAAAAGCATCGCTATGGCTTATCATGGGTACCCCTGGAATCTGGTGGATTGACCTCCAGATAGATGGAGTGAAGAAGGGGTAGGAAGTATTACTCAAAGCCACAGATGTCAATACTGACAAAAGCAGCTCCCTAGCGAAGCATCATAAAGCACGCTTGCCCCAGCCTGGGTCAATTATCGCCTCATCCTTTACTTCGCCCCTTGATGCTCTCTACCTAGCTGCTGTCTTTGACCCAATATTTACAGCATCTTACCCGTCGACCCGGAAAGTCCAGCGCATCTCCCTGCTCCACGCCATTCTAGCTGCTTTTCGATACCCTCAAAGCCAGCCCCCCAAAGATGCAAAATTAATAGATCTCAGTGAACTGATTAAACGTTTCCCGCGTCAATCTGTTGTTGTTTTCCCAGAATGTACTACCACAAACGGTCGTGGAATCCTACCCTTGAGCCCTTCATTACTCACTACTCCAGCAACAGCTAAAATACTTCCAATCAGTTTACGCTACACTCTTCCAGACGTTACTACGCCGGTCCCTGGAGCATATTTGACTTTCCTATGGACTCTCCTAAGCAGACCGACTCACTGCATTAGGGTGCGCATAGCCGAGAGCATCTACAACAAACGTGGAACCATATATACAGACAGTCTGCGCGAGGAGAGAGCAAGTAGCTCTGACACTCTGCTAGGGTCTGAGGACGGCGATGGCGTGAGTGCGCCTGAGCAAAAGGTTTTGGACAGCGTCGCAGAAGCTCTCGCGCGCTTAGCCAGGGTTAAGAGGGTCGCTTTAGGGGTGAAAGACAAAGAAGGGTTCATCAAAGCATGGACAAGAAGAAAGAATCTCTAGTCGAGGCATAAAACCCGCCAGATTTACCAGATTAGAACACTGACAATCCCGAAATCCAAAGTCAATACCATTGCTCATTCTACCAAATAGGATTAGATGATGCGCAGACGTCAAACGGCACAGGTCTTGGTGAGGAAACCCGATTTCCTTGACTCTTTCATTCATGGACTGTATCTGGAGCATATTCAATTGCAAGATTTTCAAGCAAGCCTGGTTATGAAACCCGCAGACTTTTAGCATCCTCATAAGGGCCACTTGTCGGCACAGCTCACTGATGGCAAATTTATAAAAATTGTCCGAAGATGTGTACTCTGGCAGCAATGCTGTGTTTTGCCAAGCTTCAGCCTCATTCTGCAAGTTTATGCATGAACAGCTCATTGTGCAGCTTATCGAGAATTTAGCCTGATCCCAAGTACATACTTCGCCCATTAATTTCGTGCGCCGAGGTGACGTCTATTCAAGCGATCTTGGCCACTCTCTGTAGTCAATACCACTCAGTACGGGACAATGGACGAAGTTGGTTTACAGCAAGAGTGGCCTCAACGACTGCTTTACGTTCCCAGCATGATATCTCTCGAGCGCGAAGAAGGAAACAAATATGGTCAGTACATTGAACCAGCCTACAGCATCCTTTCGTATACCTGGGGCCGGTGGGAGCTACCGGAAGGAAATGCAGCCCTAAAGGTGGGGGGTATCAACTGGAGAGTGCCCACTATCGACGAAAGGCATTTCTCTGTAGCACAATTAGAGAAGGCTATCTGGCGGATCAGCTCCGGTCGCGATTCCGAGAACTCTTCTCAACTCATCCATTTCGTTTGGATCGACATCGCATGCATAGACCAAGAGAATGAAGCTCTCAAAGCGACTGAGATAGGTAGACAAGCAGCCATCTTTAAGAATGCGACTCACGCGTACATTTGGCTGAGTCATTTAGATGACAATGAGATGCAACAATGTGATACTACCTTGTTCGATACTAACATGATTTTATCACCCCATTTCGAAGGAAATGGTACTGAACCAGAGGACCTTGAATCATGGAATGCTTCTTTCAGAGAAGTATCCGAAACCCTATACCGAGACCCCTGGTTCACGTCTTTGTGGACATTACAAGAGATGTTCTTGAGACCAGACGCAGAGATACTAACGCAAGATGCCAATCTCATCGAACGAAAAGGTGGGAATGGAAGCACGTTGGGCTTGAGCAATCTAATCATCAACTATACTACTGTCTACAAAGCCCTCTGTGATTCGTCATCTAGCAATGAGCTGTCTTCACCAAAGGAGAACAGTGAACTTCTGGAGTTGGTGGAGAAGCTAGGGCTATATTGGGGTCAATGGGAGAATCCAATGCTGCTACTCATTGCGGCTCGATATAGGCAGACTAGGAATCCAAAAGACCGAATCTATGGCATAATGCAAGTCTACGATCTCAAGCTTGGCGTATCGAGTCAGCCCGACAGGGACTTTACTGTAGAAGACTTGCAGTTCCAGCTCGCTTCTGCTCACAATGCGCAGTCGGCGATTAACGCACAGATGTTTATCCACACGCAGGCTGTCCAACTGGGTCGTTGCTGGCGCATGCAGTCAGAGTCTCGGATTCCTCATGATCTCGAGTTCACTGAGCTTGGGCGGAAGAGCTTGTGTAAAATTTCGATTGAAGAGACTCGGTTGCCAATCTACCAAGGCAAAGCTTGTTCGCTGAGCACTTTATCTGAGCTATGGCAAAGCGGGTCTTCAGGCTCAGACGTTGCCTCGAGGCATTCCGAGGACAAATATTCTGAGGAAATGCTGCAAGATGTTCTTCTCGATCTACCTGAGCGCGTTGAGCTCGAGGCATGGGCTGGGCTAAACAATCATTCTATGGAGCTGTCTCGGAAAACCGAGCTTGTAAGGCTGCTTGTGATGTCTGCGAGCCATAACATTCAAGTGCTGCTGCTAGGAAAATTGATTGACGGGATAGATGAAGATATCGACATGCTTGCCGGTTTGATGGTACGTCGGCGATTCTTGGGCACCGTCGAATGCTGGCAAAGGATAGGCATATGTCTCTGGGCAGAGCAAAGCGAATTGAGCCAAGAGGAGGTAGTGCCTCATTGGCGTCCTTTCATGGGCCACCTTGGCTAGTTGAGCTATAACTCCAAATTGAATGTACTCAAAAGCTTTACCAGAAAGATTTTTTGGGCATAGCGAATGCAATAAAAGCAGGCCTGGATGTCTCGCGAGTGACCATATGAATTCGCCTTCGACTGAAGCTTTGATCGACTACAAACAAAAATTGTGAAATCACGAGCCAAGGAGGTTCCTGTATCATGGCGGCAGGCCTGCTCTAGTATCTCTGACACCTTGCACCAATGCCTGAGGAAAGCATGAGATCAAAATGTGGAGCAGATTTTTAGAAAAAGAACCTGCAGATAGCGAACCTGATTCTGGAGTAGGCTACTAGCTCAAGATGCGGTAGGGGAATTCAGAAAGCGTCGATGCTGAGCGCATTGAGTCGAATACCTGTGCCATTACATAAACTGCGGGCTAGATTCATACAGTTCAATATTACCTGGCCACAAGCTCCGATAAGCTTGGGTATTTGGCCACCTGTAGTTCATACCATGTATTTGAGTCAATATTAATGTAGGTAGCTTCTACCAATCAACGACGAGCTTGGCATTGAATTACAGGGACCTCGACTGAGCTTTCACTTGTATTTCAAGGAGTCACTCCAGCGTTTCTCGGCCGTTATTTATTCATCCAACCCATGCTATGCGAGAGATACAGCTTTGCTATATAGCTTAAGCTTTGTACGCAGGCCCTACCAATGTCAGGCCGCTTCGTCCGCGCTTCGAAGTACCGCCACGTCTTTGGGCAGACGACGAAGAAAGAGCAATGCTACAATAACATCAAAATCTCTGGGAACGCCTGGGACACAAATCTAGTCAAAGCCAATCCGCAATACCTATCTGTCAATTGGGAAGCCGGCGGTGGCGGCGCGTTTGCTGTGATACCCTTGAGTGAGAAAGGGAGATTGCCGGATCACATACCGTTGTTTAGGGGCCATACCGCAGTGGTCCTAGATACAGATTGGTGCGCTTCGTTGCAAGATGATTGAGCACAATATCAGCTAAGGAAGAGTCAGGTCACCTTTTAACGATTCCTTCTTAGCCTCTGCCTCAGACGATGGAAAAGTTGGATTATGGAAAGTCCCAGAAGATTTCGCTATTCGAACCGATGACGAGGAGGAGCTGAAGGATATTGCTCCCGTCAAAAAGCTCACGGGACACTCGAAGTACTGCAAACCTGCTTCATAGCAAAGCGCATAAGGCTAAAGAGCTACAGGAAAGTTGGCCATGTGCTGTTCAATCCGTCAGCAGATCAGGTCCTCGCAACCTCTTCCGGCGATTACACAGTAAAGATCTGGGACGTTGAGGCGGGGAAATCCAAATTGACACTAAACGTGGGAGACATCATACAGTCTCTCACTTGGAGCGCGAACGGCTCTCTTCTCGCCACTACCTCACGAGATAAAAAGCTACGGATATGGGATACAAGGCAGCAAAAACCTGCCCACGAGGGGGCAGGACATGGTGGAACCAAAGCGAGTCGCGCTGTATGGTTAGGCGAAAATGATCGAATAGCTACAACGGGCTTCTCAAGGATGAGCGATCGCCAGCTGGCGCTATGGGACATAAGGCAGCCAGCGGCGCCAAAAGAGGGTTTTGAACGCTTAGATACGCAATCAGGCATTTGCATGCCGTTTTGGGATGATGGTACTCAAATGCTCTACCTTGCTGGGAAAGGGTGAGTTCTCAGGCCCCATCCTGGACGGTATCGGTATTGATCATGACAGTGACGGCAACATACGATACTTTGAATTGCAGAACGACAAGCTTGAGTTCTTGTCCGAATACAAGTCTGTAGAGCCGCAGCGAGGCGTTGCGTTCTTGCCAAAGCGCGGTGTCAACATTCGCGAAAAGGAAGTAATGCGGGCTTATAAGACCGTCGGCGACAATTATGTAGAGCCTATCTCTTTTTTCGCACCCCGTAGAGCGGAGGGATTCCAAGCTGACATCTATCCGCCAACTGTTGGCTCTAAGCCGGCCATGTCTTCTGCTGAATGGTTTGGGGGCAAGGAGGCGCTACCGCCGAAAATTGATCTCGAATCTGTTTACAACGGAGAGGAGCCTGCTGAGGCTTCGACGACAGATACACCGTTTGAAAAGCCAGCCCCAGAACCAGCACCTAAGGCGCCGTCGCCTATCACGAAATCCGTTGAACCTGAACCTGAACCAGCAGCAGAGAGTGCGCCACCAACGGCTTTAAAAGGTCCGCCTCCTTCGATGACCGAACAAACAGCTTCCATCAAAGACCTCGCAGCTAAGTACGACGATAATGAAGAAGACGATGTTCCAGATGAAGAAAGTAGCTTCGAAGAGGTTGCCAAACCTATTGAGCGTCCCATCAAACAATCGGCTGCGCCGACGTCTGATCAATCATCTCAGATGTCACCAACAACGAGGAGTCTGGGAGACTCTTTATCTGCTGTGAAGGATAAGCCTGACGACTTCGCCCAAGCGAGCCAAATGGCAGCTAGCCAGTCTACCGAAGCACAAATCAAAGCCCAAGCAAAGCCACTGAGCGAAACGAAGCCAGAACCATTAAGGGAGCAACTACCGCCATCGAGATCGGTAAGCGGACAACAGCAGCCTGAAGTACACGAAAGTCTAGCAGAGATCAAAAGTCTTTTAGAACAGCAAAATCGAACCATGAACGCGCAGAACGAAACGATAGGGAAGTTGACGGCAGAGGTGGATCGCTTGAGGACACGGATTGGAGAGTAATGATTGGATTTTGAACGAGAAATGCTACTGTGGCAAACAACTGCACGCTTGAAGCGGATCATATGTGAATTATGTTACATGGTGAAGATACCCTAAAGAAAGCCTTTGCCTGTTGTACCTGCAATTTCGGCGTGAACTAAAAATACGCTTCTCGACAATATATGTCGATTATTCCGCCACGCAATACTGATGAGCAAGTAAATAGCTTGATTCGACCTGAAGCACGTTACTGCTAGTCTGTTCCTCAACTCAGATCGGTCACAACTCCCTTTTCGTCCGTGGAAACAAGCTGCTTGCTTGCGAACCAGGGTATTTAGGGCGTACGGACCTGAAAGACGGTATTCCCTTCAGATCGCCTGCCACGTCCTCTTCAGCCTTTCTCTTCTTACATTCGAGACTACTGACTTTCTCTTGTGTAGCTTGAAGGCGCTCTCTGACCATCGCATATTTCTTCTGGATGTCGTCCACCTCCTCTTTTCTCAATTGCTTTTCATTTGCGACCTCGCCTTCCAACTTTTTAATGCGGTCAAGAGCCTCAGAGACCAGATGTTGAGCTTCTTCATATTGATTTCTGAGCTCTACGTTCTTTGCTTCGACTTGCTCGACCTGGATATTAAGTTCCTGAATGCGTACCTGCCCCTCATCGGCTTTCTTTTTATGTCGGCTGATCTTGAGCTTGTAGTGCGCTTCTTCGGACGAGGCTTTGTCTTTCAATCCTTTAATAGTCTCCGTATGGCGACGTTCGACCGATTCAGTATGTGTCCGTAACTTCTCAAGCTCCTTCCACATGACCTTGTGACTGCTGATACAGGTGAGAGGTAAACCTGGATCTAGATACTCTGGAACGAGCGAATTTCCCCTCAGATGCCACATGGAGTTCGTCTCTGGATCGTCGTAGGGTGGCCCCCAACTCTCCCTGGATTTGTAGTATGAACCACTTGTGTTGAAATCGAATGGCCAGTATTGGTTCAATTCGTGCGGTTTCAAAAGTCCACCAGCTCCCCAATATAGATGTCCCACTTGATCGTCTCTCAAGCGGACATAGAAAGGCGGAAGATTGTCTTTGCTGAGCTGATGAGCCTCGATACAATCGTCCCATGGCTTGGTGTAGCGCGGAAGCTGTGAAACTAGGATGCGAGGGCTGTCCATCCAGTGTTCGCCCTCGCGTTCTGATATGACACCATGGGGGATGCGAATCCCGTGGTGTCCGGCCATTTGAAGTTGCGAGAGAAAGGTTGAAAGGAGTGTGTAAAGTTGAGCTCTAGATTAGTTGATGTTGATGGCCGATCAATGAAGATTTCTCCGATAACCTTGGTCAAGGGACTGTAAGAAGTTTAGAAGACTGGAAAAAGTGAGGTCAATGTCAGGTGAAAAGTTGCACCCCTTGTATGGAGAGATCAGTGATACGATTTCTGCGATGCCGTCGATACCACGTCCTAATCTAGCTATGAAAGTGAACTCACAGTGCGGGCTCCGTTAGTGCAAAAGCGATGGAAGATCCAGTCATGAAGGCTCCGATAGATCGAAAGATAAGCCAAGCATCACGATATTTGAAAACCATGGGTCATACGTCTGATGAGACGCTACAAGCTGTGGAGTCGGCAGGGTGTAGAAGTCGTGAAAAGGCTTGTTTGGTCAAAAGTCGAATGCTGCTTCTCGGCTTATCTCATTGACGGACTAGGATGTAGTTGAGAGAGGATGATGTTGACTAATTGCTACCCGCGTTGATGGAATGGGACCTCGTTAATTGATGAGAAGAGCAAAGTATGATTGACCCTCGGTCTAAAAGAAATATTAGGCCTCAAAGTTGATGTAGCCGTCGGTGGTCGAAATGAAAATGAGTTGAACGAATTGTGATTGCTCCATGTCTCTTATGCAAGAGTAAATAGATATAAGTGAGACGGAACTTCGGACTCAACTAATAATTTCCCTATGGAGCTTAGTTAAACATGTCTCATATTGAACAAGCGCGAACTAGATGTCGAAGATGATATTTTTTAAGCTGGGCGCTTCCGCTCGTTCCCACCTACGTGGCAGAGGATTACGAAATGTGAATAACGCCTCGTGCTATCAATTTTTTCTTGTGATATACAAGGTCTACAACTCATTAGCACTGAACTATGCCATCTTGAAGTATTTGATTCAACGAACGACCTGATGCATGAGACTCGGAAGTGAGGGAGGTAGGACAACCCAATGAATATTACCATATGAATTTTTTTTTTTGAAAGACTCTCAGGTTATAAACAGAACGTGAGGAAAGCTAGAAAGGACTTATTAAGCAGGTGGTCTGTTTTTCTCTACTTCACCCTGGTGAGTGGAGAGACGGTGTAGTGCCGCGTGTAGACCAGTCGATCGACTACATGAAGAATCCCGTCATGAGAAGCGGTCACGTATACCAGAGGCCAAGTTCAAGCCCATTGAAATTGTATTGTCACTGCAAACAAAAAGTTCTATAAAAGTATTAGCTCGACAGGAATATAAAATGAGATCTCAAAGTCGTCCTTCACCATGCATGCCTGATGCCACCCACTAGGTTCAATCGATGGATTTTAGAAAAATTTAAATAATGCTAACAGGATGATAGATAACAAAGACTCCAACGGAATTTTTCCTCTAAAGAAAGGCGTCTGGATGTGGGGTCAATGCTCATGGAGTCAAGACTAGGGTATCGGATCTTGGCCAAGGACAATTTAGTCTCGAGCTTCATCAAGGACTATCAAAAATTAAAATGTCCAATATAGATATGCCAACTCCTGCCGTTGTTCAATAATTTTATGGTCTAATGGTTATGATTTCTCGTTCACACCCAGGTTGAACATTGTCGCTAGATTCCGAGAAGAGTCCCAGTGCGATCCTCGGTGAAATAGAATCGTCTTTTTGGCTCTCTAAGCCTCGTCTGCATTCGAACACAGACCGTGTCATGTTTTTGTACGTTGTGACTGAAAAGACGTAGAATTAGCGAAAGGCCTGTGGGCAGTTGAGAGATTTCTCGGAGAATCGAATCTGGACTTAAATCCAATTATAAATGACTACTTCAAATGGGTAAGTACAATTAGAAGCTATGAATCAATCAAATTTGACCTCTCCAAACAAGCTTGCCCGAACTTGTATGATGGCAACTAGTTCCAACACAAATTCCTGCAATATAATCACATTCGTCAAGATATGACTCAGACTGACATCTCGAAAATGCTCAGTTGGCAATTCAATCGTGGCGGGCTCGCTCCTTATGCTACTCGTATCGCTTCGAGCCTCCGAAATATTCTGATCACTCTCTCTTTTAGACCTGATTCTTAATTTCTGATTTAGCCTATCTGCGAGTTCGATCGACGAATCTGACTGTTGAACTACGTTGGAGGCGGAGACTTCTTGACGTAGCGGCGACGGCGAAATGTTTCTTCTTCCTGTATTTGAACGACTCCTCAAAGGGGATATTCTTAGATGACTGAGCTTTCCAGATAATGCAGATGTTGAAGTTGATTGCTGCTGTCGACCTCTTGGTGAATTGGCGCCTGAGCTAGAATTGGTTGATGTTTCCGACATAAGCCGCTCCGAGATGGACCCAATATGGATGCCGTTTTTCAACTGAGAGTGGCTGCCTGGGTTGCGGTCTTCTGAGGTCCGTGCTCTGACGAGGTCCTCCTGGACGAATTTCTCAACTTCATCGCCAACTTGGAAAACGTGTCGTCGCTCTGCAAGATACAGGTCGAAATTCTCAACGTCTTTCCTAAAAGCTTCGACTTGCTTAACTAAAGAATCGAGCGATGAAAAGACAGGGGTTGTTTCCGTTCGATCAAGACTTCTGTCAGGGTTATCTGACACTTTACGGCCGTCTTCTCCATTTACGTCTTTCGCATCGCTCTCTGCCGTTTCTCCAATTCCGGAGCTTACCGCGGCCTGACTGTGACCTTCGCTGCTAGACGGCTTTGCATATTTATTCAGAAGCCACTCGTCTAAACTTCTTTCAGGACAGCAAGCTATCGTCGAGAAGACATTCGTAAGACTGATATTAGTGTCAATCTCGTTGAGGAAAAAGTCATCCAAAAGCGCCAGTAGACTACCAAGGATAGGATCATTGAAGGGTTTCGAACCCTTGTTCACGACTTTGGCCTTGGGAACTACAGGACCATGCGCTCTGTGACCTGCATTCGACAAATCAAGCAAACGAAGGGAGCAGGGATGGGCTTCGAGGGTGTTCTGCGCATCTTCTAGATGTATTTCGTATGCAATGCCAAGATCAGGCCATTCCATAAGATCCTCAACGATGCGATACAGCGAACTTATATTCATTTCATGTGTAGCAAAGGCTCGTAGCGGATGAGGTGGAGCACGACCGCCTGTCTTGATAAGTGAAACGTCGGACTGATGGTGAGATCGAAGCATTGTAGTAATGAGCCGAAGTGTCGCAACAACCGTCTGTTGATTACTAGATCGGAGACTACCGAGGACTAAATCATCAAGATTGAAGAGATCAGGTAAGGGCTTCTCTTGGCCCTGCGAGAGACTGGCAACAAGACTCTGGGATCTACGGCGTCTTGCGAGCGCCGTCGGTCTAGTCACAGGCTTCTCTTCTCTTCTTGCGTCTGGTATAGCGAGCAGATAAGTAAGGATCATGTCAGCAAGCTCTGGATGATCGATCGACTCGATAATACATTTCAGATATGTCAGGACTGCTACAGAAGATCCGCCATCTCGATCCGAAGACTCAATCAAGGAAGGATATCTGCCACCATCAGTTAGTCAGGGTAGCTCTCGGGAATTACGGGCCCCTTACAACAGTTGCTGGAGAAACAAAAACTTGAAATGGTCCAGTAGACTCTGCTTGATATCGGAGGAACCGCAATGTTCTAGGACGTCTTGCCAAAACACAAGGTATGATAGGAACGTTGAGAGATGAGCCTTGAACTGTGGGGCAGTCGTCTTTTCGGCGTCGTTTGGTGTTTTAGGTCTTACTTCTTGTGATACTGCGAGTATAGGCGTGAGGTGTTCTTCATCGTATGCGAGAACAAGCTTTCTAATTCACTTAGTGCATGCTAGTCATGATTTTTCGTCCTGACAAACCTAGTGAGTTGACTGTACAAGGCTCCCAAGCCACTGGCCATCAGAGTTGCAAGGTCGCTCTCGATAACCCATTGCTCCAGTGCCGTGGACTGGCTTGCTGCTTCTATGAGGTACAACAGCCCTGTTCGTGCAAAGTCTCCAGTCCGTCCATCGTGATAGACATAGTCTAATATCATATAGAACAGGGGAAATTCTTCCTTGCCCTTCCGTGCTTGTTGATTTTCTGACTGGAAAGCCCAACCCTTTTTGTTTGGCCTGAACCAGGTCAAGAGCAGTTCTGATTGGAGGCGCAACTTAGCCGTGATTGCAAACAAGACTTCGACCGCTGCACTCTCCGTTTCGACGGGCAAAGCAGTGGCGGATATTGTACTTATAAAGCCGGAGAGGGCGTCCGCAAAAGCCTTATCTTTCAAAAAGTCTCCCTCCTCGCTGTCAAGCAATGTTTTGAAGATGTCAAGCGCTTCCTGAATGATAGCATTGTCGGGATAGATAGCTGCTAACTGAGCTATGGTACTGTATATATGGAACGTGGACACATGTCTGGCACAGAGGTGCGGTGCTGGCGTTTGGACCTCATTTTGGAGTATCTGCCTCAGGTCTTGGAGGCAGTAGAGGAGGGGTTCAGGTGGGGTCACTTCTTTCACGGACGCGTTATTCCGGCGCCATATAAGCTACTAGGCTCATTAGACATCGTCAGGAATGGGTAACGGTCCAAGCAGCGTGTACCTGCAGCTTGTCGTGAGCTTTCTTGAAGCGAATCAAGCGCTGCTGCGGGGTGTTGTCCGCTTTCTTCGCCTGCGAGGACCCGCCGAGGAGCCTTGACCACTAGCACACGTAAGCGATACGATCACTTCTGTTGGCGTCTCTTACAATCTCCATGCGCGCGAGTCATCTTCATTGAGAAGGAAACCAGTCAGACGTTCATCCACGATCGAGCTTCAACCGTTTTTTAGACGGGGAAATGGTCCATTACATACGTGCACAATGACGAGAAATGCGCACCGAAGCTGGGAATACAAAAGTTCGTCTTGAAAACACTTTCAATTTGCCTCAACATCTATCTAAATGCCACGGTCGACTTCTAATCATTGGCACGCTCGCTTCGTAAACACTGCTTGGATTGCTAATGCATTGCGCCAAAGTACTTTCCTTGCCATCATCCGTTCAACCACGGAATAGTATTGTGCATCCGAAATATACAGGTCGTCTCATGCTTCTGAAGATAACACTCGAGTTCTTTGTCCAGAGTACTTCCCTGATCAAAGACAAAGATGTAAGCGGACCGTGAAAATACGATCGGGCAGCCTTCGTGTCCATTGAACGATTGCAGCGTCCACCTTCTCACGGTTGCATTCGTTGCCAAATATACAGGCTTAGAGAGTCTGCTTCAGAGACGAGAACTTTGACATGCTAAAAGCAATGCCAAGTATCCGCCACTCAATCATCTACCACCTTTGCTCTCTTCTTCCTACCTTCCCCACCCTTCTTCTTTCCTTTGCCTTCAACATACGCATCGTCGCTACTCTCTTCCCCTTCCGTCGCGACCCCTTTCTTCTTTCCCTCCGATTTGGAGCCTGTTGGTGCGTCTGGAATCTTACTTACAAGCGGCTCAAGAAAATCTAGCTGCTCATCGCCAACGACTGCTTGCTTCAAGTGAGCCGCAGTGACTCGCTTTGAAGACTTTCCGCGTGCGACAGTCGCAGATTTGAGGGTTAGTGAGATGATGAAAAGTTCGAGTGCTTTAGCTGTTCGAGTTGTCAGATTAGGATTGAAGATCAAATTAGATGTAGCATAAGGACTACTTACAAACCGCAGTCGGCGTCACTTGTGAGACTTTTCCGACGTCCTCATCGGCTTGCATTATTCTCTTTATACGAGCAACGGGAAATTTCGTCTTCACGTCTACACCCTCGTCGTCGCCTGGTGCGGGCTTGTCGCACACCTCTTCAACCTTTTGCTTTTTAGATTGGCGACCTGGTTTTGGTGCTGGTTGCTCTGGGGTAAAATCATCGTCATCGAACTGATCTTTCGTTCGCCTATTCTTTGGCATGCTGGGTAAAGACTGTTGCTGGTATGTAAGCTGGTTGGACACGGGTTCTTGTGGGGCGAAAGGATCAAATGGCTGGGCGCTATTCGGGAGATTGTAGTTGTATTGTTGTTGATAAGTTGGTTGTTGAAAGCTAGAATGTTGTGGTGGTGGTGGCTGATATGCTTGGGTGATTGAATCTGGTTGCTCGTAGGACTGATACTCTGAAAGATCCGGGGATTGCGGGGCATATGTACCCCCAAATTCATCCATTGTTTCGGCGAATGAAAAGCGAAACAATTTTCCGAGGTACTGAGAGTAGCTCCGCACTCTCTGCACGTGCTGATAGCGAAAGCAAGTCCCAAATCAATGATTCTGATATGGCAATTACAGAAGGGGTTAGCGCAGCTGAGGATTATGCAGCCCTATAGATCTCTGCATAAAAAAATGTGCAATAGTGGCGGGATTCTTTTCTAGAGGCGTCTCGAACCAAGCGGAGGAGTCCTTCGCCTTTATGTCTTTGCCATGCTTTCAGCCGACCAAGATGATCGACCGCTAGGCCCCAATGAGACTAGTGCGACGCCCCCCAATATCACATCTCGGTCCTGTCATGTCCTGTGTCATCTCGTTGAATGATGATAGAGCTATGCTGGACGACTAGCAGTACGTGTGCGATCAATGTACATTTTGTCAGTCTCGTGTCGAAGCCTCTCGAAGGCTCTTTGCTTTTCGTGAATGGTTTTGCAGGGTCTGGATTGAATGTGTTTGAAATCCACGCGGTCCATGACAGCAATTTACTTGATCTAATCTGACAACATCATACTCTTATTTAGACATTACTTATAGTGTGAGGAGTCAGAACTCTATTGTTCCCAAGACCTGTCGAATATACAATCTCTCTACAAGCCTGGTTTCACTTTACTTCTCTAGTGCCTTCTTACCTGTTATATCATTTATATTCTCGAAGCATTCAATCAGACAGTCCCTCATTTGTAACGATCACCGATCCTCACGACATGCGATTGTTATTCAAGGCTGACTATCTTTATGTGACGCTGCTGCTTAGTGGAGGCTGACGATCCTGGATTAATAGTGCCTGACACTTCGCAGCAATCGCACGATATCAGAGCCCAAATTTTTCGATTTTCTGCAGCCGACGAAAATACTCGCATTCGACCATCTTCAATACCATACAAACATGACCGAATTGAGTGAGCATAGCGGAAGGGCATAAAGACAAGGGGCTGGCGTGACAAAAGTAGGGGTCACATCAACATTTAGACATGAGCTATTATGATGATTTCTTGCGACTCTTGACTTGGTAGCCAGCAGTAGCTATGTATCCTGTTGTGGTGAAAACGTCATGAGAGAAGTGGATATTCCTAGACTTGAGAATTACCAACACCATCGCCGATGCTAAGGAACCAGACATGATTCGAACCCCCAAAGATAAATTCTAATGTTGTACATAAGCCATCGTTGACGCACTTACGACCTGTGGCTTCATCTCAAGAAGAATGTTTTGCGTAGTAACTACACAGTAGTGTTAGCCTTAGTCTTCGAAGTAGGACTATCATGTGGCGTACAGTCCAGGCGCCTGCTGTTCCAGCAACGATTGTGCTGCTGACAAACATATCCCTGGGCCCTCTCGTACTCTTGAACAGCGCTCCGCTGATTGCCCCGGCCACAACACTGTTCACACCATCATGCCTCCCCCTGTAATATCCTATTGTACTGTTCACTCCATTATAAACCATTGCCAATACCCCTGCAGAATTCCCTAAGTATGGCCCTCTTCTTGTAACCGAATTTAATACAGAGTTGAGTTTTAATCGTGGCGGCGAATCTATCGGACTTCTCCTCAGTCCCTCAAACATGCCATATGCTCCACCCAAGCATAGTGCAGAGAGGTAGCTCGCACCAGTCCCGTAACAGAGATCATCAGACCAGCCTCTTGACGGCAGTGCCGATTGCGCTCCCGGTAGGTCGCTAAGGGCAGAGTCTTCTAGGGATAAGTAATCGAGGGTATCTTGGTTTAGACCGGCAAGAGGATGAAGTTGTGACGGATCTGGAATTGTAATATCTTGCAGTATCGATGGAGTGTCCGATGGGGAGGTAGAGTCAAAAGGGTTAGATGGATATGGCGAAGTCTGGATCGGGGATGGTCTGTCGTGCGAGGTTGGGAGTGTAGTATCTGGAGAGGAAGAAGAAGACTGAGAAGCCTTTTTGCCTGTCAGAACACCCCAAAGGGACATGATTGCGAGTAGAGCTATGAGCGTGGATGCATAAACTAAAGAATTTCCAGAAAATGTCGTAGCTTTCGGAAAGATGTTTACCCGGCGCCGGAGAATTGACACCCCGAGGACTGCCAAATTTCTTAATACCTTATTGATTTATTGCTACAACGTCAAGAGTGTCCACGATTTGCTTTGCCCACAGGCACGTAACTAGTCATGACTGTTGATAAGTCGGTAATCCGAAGTAGTTTAATTTTACAACGCATGGACTCTGGATCTGTGTTGTCTGAGGATGTTCTACGTTCAATTTGCAAGTCTTTGACTGTAATTTTTGCAACTGCTGAGAAGCAGCATGATAATGATGGGGGCCGTCGAGATATAAATCAGTTGCTCAATAACGTACTCCGGACTGCATCTTCCACAACTCCTACGCTGTTTCATAGTACGGCCGCTCTCAACGCACTTTGCGGCATACTCCACAAATGTTCAGTCTCTCCGAGTGAGCACATGAAGTCTCTAGCTTTAAGTAAGGAGGTCTGGGAAGCATCCTTAGACATTTTCCTGACAAGATCCGAGAATCATAAAACAAAGCCCCTGCGAAGACTGCTAGAAACACTCACTGTTCTAGCCCTCATGCAGAGCAGTGGTGGCGATCATGCATATTCTAGAGCGGCGTTATCGCTTTGTCTACGTGCCATCTTTGAGCAGGAGAAGGATGTATCTATTAAATCATCTTTTCAGGCTTTGGACTGGTTTCTCCGAAAGAGGCTAATCGAAGCGCAATGCATATTCCACGCCTTAAAAACATTCTATGACGAGATCAGGAGTGATTTTGACCAGATTTCAGGCTTCAATGAGAGCTCAGATGATGAAGACAAGTATTTTGCACAGGTTGTAGTCTTCCAAACCTTGACGTGGGTTCGATACCCAGACTGCGCTCCTGCTGCTAGTCGTTTCCTTTCTCAATTCATTGGCACCTTTGGAGCATCGGGTGAGTCGCATCCTCTGTGGTTTCAGCCGCTGGCACAATTCCAGAAGAGCAATCCAGATCTCTTCGACAGTCTGGAAAAATACATCTACCCAATGCTGCTAGAATCCAAAGAGCAAGGGGTCGGGCTTCTTCAGCTCATAAATCCTCATGAGATATCACGAACTTCAGACCGCGATTCGCTTTCGGAAAACGACCTTCAGGTCTGCCTTCTGGCTGCTCGTGCCGCCAGCAAGAAAGTCAGCGCAAGATCAAACCTCGTTAGTAAGTGTATTACCAACTTCAGCGTTTAATCAAGATGTCGAAAAATGGGATTGCTAATAAACTGGATTTCAGACGCCCGTGATGCCGAAAGCTTCAGTCTCGATCTTTTAGACCATGCGTCTCCTGTCCTCAGGATTTCAGCGCTCTCGACTCTGCTTGGTGAATGGACATTATCGAAGGCGATCAACAGGGAAGCGGTAGAACGACTTATAGACTGTATATCTTACTTTCACCAAGAAACTGACCCAAAGCCTCGCAATGAGTTCATCGCTTTAATGAAGAAATGCTGTACTAGATTTCGTAATGTTTCTATGATTAGAGGGTCAACTACGTGCTCCGAGCCGTTACCACAAGATAAAATCACACACCCAAAACCTGAGCGAGAATCTTCATTAGAGGATTGGTATATTGAATTCATAATCAAAGAGCTCCGGCCGACAGGAACATATCATGCTCATATAACGGCTTTGAATGTTTTGCGGGGCTATTTGGAGCATTATTCTGTCCTAGACGGCCCTATCGCATCATTCTGCAGACTGCATACAACTTTTCAAGATTGCCGAGCTCTCCTCAATACTTTGACGAGAGTTCTACTAGACCTTATTTGCAATCCTTTCGATGATGTACGGGAGGTTGCAGCCCTCCTTATGGAGATGCTGGTCACATCAGAACTCAAATGTCGCGAGCCATTCCATAATTCAGATCCGTCATTACCATACATTGGATCGACTTCATCAATGGTGGACTCGGTTCTTAGGGCAATTCCAAAAGCTAGGAGCTTGTTCCTGTCAACTGGTAGAGCCTGCCACGCAGATGGTCTAGCTCGTCTCCTTTGCTTAGCTTTTGGGGCAAGAACATCCTCATGCCCGCCATATGACCGGTGTTGGATGTATCAAATGCTAGAGGCTGATCTCGATCAAGATGTTCAGATCGCTGGGGCAGACCTTTTACAGGCCGTCCAATCGGCTCCTTTGCACGGTAACATCATAGCAATGAGGTATGGTTCTATCGAACTTGGTGTTTGGGAAGTAACGAACGTAGGTGTCACGTAGACTCTGCTTGACGAGGCCTAGGCTGGATCAGCTTCAAAATTTCCCAGCATACCTAGGCACGTTAGCTTTTAGCCGACGAGTTTTGACACTTTGCGAAGACATTTGGCAGTTCGCCAAGCCGATACTCTGTGCTGATGCTCCTGAAGGCATGCCTGGAACGAAAGAGTCGGGCGAATTTAGTGACGAAGGAGGCAAGGAGGTCTTGTCTTTCTCATGGAGGGCACTCAAGGAATCGAGGTATCACCATGCTTTGAATGGGTGAAAGACTCAAAGCGCTGATTCATTTTAGCCTTCTCATCCTAGCTACGCTTTCTCGCTACGCTGATACCTATGGGTTCTCAACAGATCTGGACTACAAAGACCTACACCATGAGCTAGGTCTACTCGCATATCGCCAACTCTCAGAACTTCGTCATCGGGGTGCCTTCTCCACTGTTTCGCAGACATTCGCCGCTTGGTGCGCTACTTGCAAAACGTCCGGGGATCTAGAAGTGGAAAGTCTGCCAAAAGTCCTCTACAAGGTTCGATTTGAAATGCAATATAAATCGATGCGTTGATTAACATAATCCAGCGGACTTTGGAGCTGTTTCAGCAGAGGGGGACTATGCTTACCAGGCGATCAGCTGGCCTACCCGCTATAATCACTGGCATTCTAGCTGCATCTTGTAATGATGAATTGTTTGACGAGGTTCTGCTCGACTTGCTAGCACTTGCCGATGGCCCTCCTGCAGACCCTAATGGCACACACGCATCAGAGCTTTCCCAAGTTCACGCTCTGAATTGCCTCAAAGACATTTTCAATGATTCAAGATTTGGTTCGCGAACGGATGGTCATGTTGATAACATGCTGTATCTAGCCGCTGAATGCCTTGATTCTTCAATGTAAGTTCCACCAAAACGGTCATTTTGCGAACACTAATGTCCAACGCAGATGGGCCATTCGGAACAGTGGATTGATGCTTTTAAAAGCTTTATTGAATCGAATTAGTGGTGGCACCGATACTTTGTCGAATTGCAAACCGAGCTCGTATCGTCACACTTCGAATTTTGTCTATGAAAAGTTTTTAAATTTACCGTATATAGTTCTGCGACTTCTGAGCAGTACGTTTCTGAGCCCAGATCAGAGCAACACCCTTCAAGCCCAGAAGATCTTCCCAGCCTTAGAGATCATCCAGCGATTTGGAGTACCCCATAGTCATCAACATGAAGTTGAGGCCATGCTGCATCATCATCTTGCAAGCCCTCTATGGGCCTTGAGAGAAAAGGCAGCAAACGCATGCAGCGCTGTTGTGCTATATCGTGATACTTGCCATAAAGCTGAAACCCTGCTCTTGATGGATTGGCGCTCTCAAAATGAATTACACGGGAGGCTGCTCTGTATAAGACGACTATTTCAAAGATTAACCAGTAGCACTGCCTACTTTTGCTCCGGTAAATATCCCGAACAACACGAAGAGGTTGGTTGCAAACTTGACTTACGATTGTCCAGAATTTCTTATCCAAATTTTACCGACGCTTGAGAGGGCCCTCAAGCCCATGCTTCTCGAAAATAGCTGCCCTATTACTGCCACGGCTTTCCTAGCAGGTATCGCAGACTTACAAAAATGTTATGATGATATCAAGACAAAACCGTCTAAGTCGTACATGGGAGGGGTAGAGGCCGCGTTTGAAAGATTAAATATAAGGCTCCATAAAGATAAGGACTTAGGGGAAAGGGACACTACAGACTTAACCATCCCTTTGTTTACAGTCTCTCTCAACCGTATCCAAGCTTTTCGTTGCGTTAGAACCCCGACAAGCGAGGTGTTAGCTGAGGAAAAGCATGAAGCGACCTGCTTTCCCAGCATGCCGTCTCATCAACTTGAGTACAGAGACCAATTGCTAAGACTTGGCCAGTCTCTTGCAAGAGACTTTTCGCAAGGCAAAGCAGAGAAAGACATTCGGGCGAAGCTAATGCTATGGATGCGACTTGTGATGGTTGCATCCTGTGAGATAAGAATAAGCGTCCATAATGGCAAAGGTGACTTTCCCTCTTTGCATGAAATTGATGTCCGACTGGCCGCAATCCATTCTATTGGCGAGTTTGTCAAGAGCTTAGTTGCTCTAGTGTCAGACCTGACTCACAGCGACCTTATGCTCCCACTACATCTACTCATATACGACATTTTGGCTGATAATGACGACGAAGTCCGCATCGCAGGTGCAAAAGTAGTTCAGGTCATCTTGTCTTGCTCTCACATGACAAACCCAGGTACTATCAAGACAAATCATTGTATTTCACCAGCAGCTGCGAGAAAGCGATTTCTAAAGTTCATCCTAACAACGTATCGTCATTCTCCAGTCCTCTTTGTAGAAGCTATCAGACGCATCAAAGAAGAGCCATCCCGCATGCTCGTCTACGACAGATTGCCGTTACGACTTACAACTTGGGATACTGAATATTTCCACGCCACAAAGTCAGCTTTGGATAGGTATTCGAAGGCCACCGGGCGAAAAGCCGCCTTGTTCGAGGTTGAGAAGAGTAATCTTTACTTCGACTGGATTGAAGAGGGGAACAGCTGGATCGAGGGGTTCCTGCATCTTGAGCCGATCATGGATGACGCGCTAAACGTTGGAGATTGGAAGTACACTCTAAGCATCGTCCACGATATTTGGCCCGAGTATTGGATCAAAGAGCTAGCAAGGCTCGTTGAACAGCACCCTGACGGCGTTCTTGGTCCTACCGCGCAATCAGAAACCTTCACTTCATTCTATCGCCTATTGCTAGCCAACAAAGCAAGCATTCAATTTATAAAGATCCGCAACCTTTTGGGCGAAAGCCGCACGGCTCCCATCAAAGCCCTAGAATTTATGGATGTTATTCACGCAGTTGGCGAGAAAGCAGATCTTCATGGTCTCCTCATGTGTCTTGTAAGAGAGGAAACCTAAGATGTCCAGATGATCACCTGGAACAGAAGTCCTACTCATGGCGTACATTATGGTAGCGTCTGATAAGTCATCGTCTCTCGGCCAGCTTTGATCAATGCACAGTACGACTTCATTAAGTCTTTCAAATTTGGCCAATCAGCTTGCGAAATGTTGCTAGTCATGGTGGCGGTTTGCCATCAACCCTTCATGGCGGACGAACAACACTCGCACAAGTCAGGAATACAAAGAACTAAGCGAGATCTAGAGCTTCAACTGTAAAGGCAGTGGCTGAGGTACAATTAGCAAAACCGAGCGATTGTCGTCCTCGCATACCCGAAGCGACATTGTCAAGCAAAGATGAAACGGAATATCGTCGTCGCCGTCGTTTTCATCCTCGTCATTGTTGGCGCCCTCATTTTCTACTTTATCCTCTCCAAAACATGTCAAGCCCTCCTCAGACAACAAGTCAAGGCGCAGAAGGCCGCGACACCCCCCGCATCGGCCACTACATGACGGAAATCAGGTAATCAGATGATTGAAATATCGGAGTACGCCATCTCAGTGAGTGGTCAACCCTAGTCGCTACGAGGTTCATCTCTGACGATCAATATCTTCCAGGAAACTTCAACCCAGGAATTAGCGATCAGAACATTTGGCCACTTCTGCAAAGAAGTGATTGCGACGATGGAGTTGGACATCAGACTATTACTACTTGTGCGACTTGTGAGGGACACAAGGCAAAGGCTTCGATTTTGTTGGGATTGGTCTACCACGTGAAAGGATGGGTACGACTCGGACGCCTACCTAGCCTCAGAAGTCGGTTTGTACAAAGCAAATATTTGCACGACATGCATTTCGTTTGTGTCTATAAGTACTGCGTTTTTCCCTGCATCTCCTACTTTCCGTCAAGAATTCCTCTTTGCTTGTCCTTTCTTTTCCATCCCCACTACCATGTCTCCATTCGCACGCTTGGTGACCGCAGTATGTTCTCTACAGCGCCTTGAAAACTTCGTCGCTACTAAGAAAGCCGACGGCGACAAAAATCGACAGTACACCTCCACACCTCGAGACGAAAGGGAACAAAGGTGCAAACGGCCCGGCGGAAATTGTGAGCATCTCCCTCCTGACGAACATCGACATCATAGCGACCGTATAAGGAAATGCAAAGCACCAGGGGGAACTTGCGCCCACCTGGGGCCGCATCATCATATACACACAAGTGCACAAGAACGAAAGAGGATCCCACATGCGAAAGGCCAAGATCGTGTGCATCCTCGTCGCCGCGAAGAGCGAGAGAGCCCTATCATTAGGCGAAAGAACAGAAGTGATGATCCTCGGGATGCTAGCGACGAGGAATTGTTGCCAAGGGACAGCGTTTCGCAGCGATCATCTCCAAGAAGGCCCTCGCCGGATGGCGACAGGGACGAGCCTGATCGTGGCGTACACTGGGGGAATATAACGGACAAGAACCCTCATCGTGTACGACCGAACAAAGGCAGGCAACGCGAGCGGAGCATATCACCTGAGTCTGAACCACGCCAGAATCCATTTGACGATGAGACGGTTCAGAATACGCAAAAAAATCGCTTTGCTCACCGCGATCCGCCGCCAAAGGTATGAGGGAAAAGCCGAGATCCGTATCCACGCCGTCCTCAATACTCCCCAGATAGAGATGATCCAAGGTATCCAAGTCCAGATGGCCATGGCAAACATCGGCGTGAGGAGGAGAGGGAAAGGAGCATGGATGGACCTCCAGAAGCCGGAAGTCTAGACGAAGGTAGAGAAGATTTCAGTCATCAAAGAATGCGCGATGAGCACGGTGATGACAGCAAAGACATGCACAGCCGCGGGTCTGAGTCTCATCCAGCATCCGATCCGCGAGCACGTGGTCGATCTAGTGAGGAGGAATATCCGGAGGATGAGTATGAGGAAGTGAGACGGAGTGAGGACACCACTAGGGCCAACTTAGGTGTTGATGAAGCTGCCGAGCCTTACATGAGTGGGGCGCAGGGGGCAAAGAAGGGAAAGCAGGGAAATGGCCAGAAAGCTGACCAGGGAGAAATGCCAGCCCCGCAAAATTGGGGTTCAGGTTCGAGGTGAGAAGGTCAGTAGGCTGGGGTTTGTTCGAGAAGAACAGCACAGTTTAGAAGTCGGTCTTCGTGATTTCTGGTGGTAAGGTTACATGCTATGTCTTGCTCGTCTTGAGTACGAGTGCTTTGAAATGTATGCCACATGCTATGTAGACCTGCGATACTAGATTAATGATTCAAGCATCTTTGACAATACTGTCGTCCTTCATTCGACCCTCCGCCTTGCCGCCTTCTTCTCTCCAGGTTTCGACCAAGCCCGCCTTCGGATCTTCATCCGGTAGGCCTCGTTTCCTCCTCACATCGAGGACCGCTTTTCTTACCTGCCTCGCACACTCTTCCCTCAGCTCTACAGCCTCTTGGCCGTATTTCAGCTCATCATTCAGATTGCCGACGTCCAGCTGCTCTCCGCTCCGTTGCGTGGAGTCAAGTTTCAGCTTCTGCCATCGCTCTCTAAGCTCATGGAATACTGTTTCCTTTTCCCCTCCGACATTTTCTCCAATCCATACTCCGCACTGTTTTCCTATCCTTGGGATGAATCGAGGCCACTTTCGTGTCTCGTGCATGATCTGGTCATTTCCTTCGATCCACATCGGTACCAAGTCTGGGCAGACGTCGGGTTCGAGAATCAGACGAGCGACACCCCATTTGAAGTATCTCATCGTTTTCTTGGGATGCTGGTGCACCTTCCCCTCTGGAAAGATATGAATCCATGAATATTCTCTGCCTAGGTAGGCAGCGGGTGCAGGGAAGGTGTCGTCGCCGTTTGTGGAGTAAGTGTATGTGTGGGTTGGACAGGAGAATGGATCTGTGATGTTTCGTGCATGATCTTTTGCGTCGACGCCTGAGGAGTGGCGTATTGCCGCAGCTGAAGTCTCGCTGATTGGAGAGCGGGACAGGAGACGAACAGCTTCGCGCATTGTGGGCTGAAAGAGCCCGCCATATGGCGAATGTTGTAGCCGATGAGTAGGCAGAGTCTGGCCCAAAGACAAGAGATTATTGAAAACTCTAGTGGTGAGGATCAGTATCCAGTGCGATCTCGTAGGCCAGCAGACATACTTGGCTTTAGTGAAACATATATCGTGGCTTGCAGGCTGCCATCTGTGATTACTGGGATTGAAATGGTGTCGAAACGGAAGGATGCCCCACAGCAGAGGATCGTCAAGGCTGAGCGTGACGGCCGATCAGCAGGAGCGGACTACGTGGATTCTCTTCCACGTACGTACATGCAAACATGATTGGAGACTGCAGGAGATATTAGCAAAGAGTTTTAGATGGTTGTGCGGGACACAGACAAGTGATCAAGCCTCTCTCCCTCTTGCTAACATCCTGTCTCGAATCAACGAGCTGTAGGAACTCATCCAAGCCATTTGTATACTGCGAATTAGGGACATGCATGAAGATCCGCGTCAGAGTCCCTACGAAGCCCATCACAGCTGCCGAACCTAGTCGCCATGGCAGGCTTGGTGGAAGTGGTTGATCTGAGGTATCGCTCATTGACAAAATCCATTAAGAAGGTCTTGAATGTCACATTTTTGCAGACATCGTCTTAATTGAATAATTTTTCTGAAGTCGCATCCCGTCGCGATGTGCCTCTCTTGGCAGAAGTCTTGGCGCTACATCATCAGGGTCACCAGCCCCGGCTCAGCCTTACGGCTGGACTGCCGGCCCGTTCCAAATATGACGAGGCGTCGAGTCGACACTGCCCCAGAAGATCAATTCAAAAGGCGCCCGTTCCTTTCGCCTCTCTATTCATTTTATCGCTATCCTTTAGCGACTTATACACACGCGGCTTCCTCCTCTGCACAACTTGCTGAACTTACTCGCCGTTCCATGTCATACCACCAACAGCAGCCGCCCTACGGAGGTGGGGGTAATCGTACGCGTTCCTGCATCTTCCGGCGACACGTGCTGACAGTGCATTAGAAGGATACTACGGCCAGCCTCCTCCACCACAGGGCCAATATCCTCCGCAACAAGGCTACGGCCAACCACCTCCCCAGGGCCCTCCTCCACCGCAAAACTACGGCCAAGGATACCCACCCCAGCAGCAACCACAGTATGGCGCTCCCCCTGGGCCGTACCCTCCACAGGGGAACTATCCTCCCCCACAACAACAGCAACCCTACGGTGCCCAGCCTCACAGTCCGTATCCTCCACAGCAGGGAGGATATCCACCCCCGCAACAGCAACCGCCGCCAGGAGGGGCTGCTTCTTCTTACTATGGCGGCGCCCCTCCGCCCCAACAGCAATACGGCCAACCAGCCCCTCCACAGCAGTACGGTCATCCACCGCCGACTCAGCAATATGGACAGCCTCCACCACCTCAACAGCCAGGTGGTTATGGCCCTGGCCCACAAGCGCCCTACGGTGCACCTCAGGGCCACTTCCCGGCAGCCCCTCCATCTCCAGGCTACGATCCGAGAGCGCAAGCCCATATCGACATGTCTCAGCAGGCTGATAGCTTACGAAAAGCCATGAAAGGCTTTGGTACAGATGAAGACGCTCTCATCAAGATCTTAGCTCCTATTCCGCCACAAAATATCGGTGCTCTCAAACAGCAATTCCACCAAAGACACCACCGTTCCCTAGAAAAGGATGTGGAAAGCGAAATCAGCGGCTACTTCGAACTCTGCATGCTCTCCATCCTTCGCGGTCCTCTGCAGCAAGACGTATACTGTCTCCATCGCGCTCTCTCAGGGGCAGGAACGAACGAAGATCTCCTCAATGACGTCCTCATTGGCCGCTCGAACGCCGACATTCGTGCAATTAAAGAAGCATACCAGCAGACCCACCGTCGCTCGTTGGAAGCGGATGTTAAAGGCGACCTATCGATGAAGACTGAGCGTATGTTCTCTATGATTCTCACAGCCAATCGTGCCGAGGCATCTGCTCCTGTGATTCCTCAGGCCATCGATCAAGATGTCGCGGAAATACATCGTGCAACAGAAGGCCGCGTTGGGGCAGAACAGCTCACTGTCTGCTCGATATTGACGTCCCGGAACGACGCTCAGATCCGCGCCATCGCGAAAGTCTATGATCAAAAGTACAGGAGACCGCTAGAGTCGGTCGTCAAGGCTGAATTTTCAGGTCATATGGAAGATGCGTTGGTGCAAATGGTCAGATGTGGTGCCGATCGGGCAATGAGAGATGCGATCCGGCTGGAAGACGCAATGGCCGGAGCGGGGACGAAGGACGAGATGCTGATTTACCGGACATGTCAGAGTCACTGGGATAGGACGCATATGCAGCAGGTCAAAGGGGCGTATCAGCATCGTTTTCACCGTGATTTGATTAAGAGGATACAGGGTGAGACGTCGGGTTACTATGAGAAAGCATTGGTTGCTATGGTGAATGTCTGAATATGGAAAGAGGAGTGCGGTGCCTTGGGATGGTTGGATTGTGATCAAAGGACTGGAACAGCGTGGAAGACACCGTACATAGCTTGTAATGATGTTAACGAGCCGTGAAGCGACACATGAAATATGTTCAACACTAGCGAATCTTAGTGCCTGGTTTATTCGATTCACCTCAAATAAAGCGCAAGTATGGGCGAAGTTAAAGCGGACCCATTTCTGCGGAGAACGCTCTTTCCCGTCCTTTTCAGTCCTGCAACCTCTCGACATTCTTCGTAGATGCTGTTCAACTCTGGTTCATATTTTGATGTTCGTCAACTTCTAGAGTGATTGGACTGCGGGAGAAGTCTGGTTCATGTCATGTCTCTTGTTTCTCGTTTATAGGACTAAGTGATCCTTCCAACGTAGCAATAGCAGAGGCCCCAAGCTCACCGGCTGACTCTTCAGTCTTTGTTGAAATGATCTTTCAAAAGTGATAGACTATTTGAGATCACTTTTGATGATTGAAAATCCCGAAACTTACTTCCCTAGCAATCCATATTTCCAATAGGATATTTTTTCACGGTTCATATCTGCTGTTTTTGTCTGTCTCTCATTATGGAAGACGATAAATGCCCGTTCAGCGTGCCGACTCAACAACAAAAAGGCTCAGAATTGTCGACAGCTATGGCAACCAGCTGGGTCGTGCAAAAATTTGGTGGCACTAGTCTGGGCAAGATGCCGAGCGAGATAGTAGACATTATCAAGTATGTCTCAATCCATGCCAAAGGTGTAGGGAGTCTCCTGTTAACAAAATCACTTAGGTCTAGCCTAACGCATCAACGAATCGCTGTTGTTTGCTCTGCAAGAAGCAGTCATACCAAGAACGAGGGCACCACAACCAGGCTTCTTCGTGCTGCAAATCTAGCAAAAAACCATCATCATTTTGGCTCGACTAACGAAATTGATGAAATTGTAGATAGTATCAAGGATGATCATATCCAAGCCGCTCGTTCCTCTTTTCAGTCTCCGGGAAAATACGAAGAAATAGTCGCGATGGAGTGTCGGGTCCTCCTGAATACGCTTAAATCAATGCAGCAGTTCACAGAAATAAATTTAACAGCAGAGAATGAAGTAATCAGTACAGGCGAGAAATTAGCAAGCCAGTACCTTAGTGCGCTTCTCGAGGAACAAGGTATCCCTACTTGCTATATCGATTTATCTGATGTGGTTGATCGATACTCCATCACGACTGAAGTTGTGGAATCGAATCTCTATAAAGCGTTGACGGACGCTTTTCGTCAGGACGTCTCTACAGCTGGGAGCAAAGTTCCTATCCTTACTGGATATTTTGGGAATCTGGACTCGGGTCTGTTGCGGACAGTAGGCAGGGGGTACTGTTCCCCTCCCTCCACAAAATACCACGTCCCCCCTCTTTGTGCAAGTCTTCACTAACCTTACACATCAACAGATACTCAGATCTTGCTGCTGCTCTTGTGGCAATAGGTATTCCAGCTTCTGAGCTACAGATCTGGAAGGAAGTCGACGGAATATTCACAGCCGATCCTCGAAAAGTCTCAACGGCTCGTCTCCTGCCCACCGTCTCGCCGGGCGAGGCTGCAGAATTGACATATTTTGGCTCTGAAGTTATACACCCTCATACCATGGACCAAGTCATCCGAGCAAAGATACCCATACGGATCAAGAATGTCAGGAATCCTACAGGAAACGGTACGGTCATTGTTCCAGATTCTCCAACTGACGGAATTACTCCAGCGCCGGAAAAGTCTGGACTTTTGATAAGTCGCGGGCCGTCCTCAATGGACCTGCAGAATCTCGAGGTACCTAAGAGCCCGACAGCCATTACTGTCAAGCGCTCAGTCCTAGTCCTCAATCTCTCTTCCAACAAAACAACACGAGCCCACGGCTTCCTATCTCGCATCTTCCAAGTACTCGACACTCACCACCTCTCGGTCGATCTGATAGCCTCTTCTGAGATCCACGTTTCTCTTGCCTTGCACTGCGAGCCTCAACTACATACCTCCATCACCTACGGCCCCTCCGAGACCAGCAAAGACACGTCTACCATTGTCGCCAACGAAAGCCTTCAGCGAGCTTGCAGCGATCTTGAACACCTCGGCAGCGTTAATCTTGCCACAGACATGGCAATCATTAGTCTTGTGGGCCGAAACCTAAAGCACATGATTGGCATCAGTGGGAAATTTTTTCGGGTGCTTGGGAAAGAGGGCGTTAATATTGAGATGATAAGTCAGGGTGCGACTTTTGCCTCTTCTCTTGCTTTGCCCTTTATCGTCTCTTTTCTCTTTATTGGCTTTCTCGGTCCAAGGGTAAGACAGATAGCTGATGATCAAAATTTCAATTTAGGGGCGAGCGAGATCAACATTTCCTGTGTCGTGCGAGAAAGTGATGCAGATCGAGCACTTGGAGTCGTACATACCAACCTCTTTACATTTCCTGAATAATGCCAGGTCTACGAGTTTCGACAATCATATAGCTCTATCCACCTTTGAGTTGCAAAATGCAGATCATTGCGGCGGTAATGCCGATTGTACATATGTCTTCCACCACGTGGTTGCCTGGAAGAGGTGTGTAGAATCACCAAGCCGAAATTGTCATGACGCTAATCACAAAGGAAGGCAAATGCATTACTTTCGAACTTTTAAGAGAGAACGACGGGAATCTTGGGTCAAGGAAACTCGTCCGCTTGCACTCCGTTGCCTGTCTTATCACATCCTCGAATGTGGAAAAAAGCAGTAAATATCCTATGATCGTATCAAATAAACCTGAACATAGCAAATAATTCGCAGATTTCACCATAACGCTAGGCACAGTCTGATTTCAATGTTCCCAAAAATTGTAGCAAAGCACCTCTTACTTAAACAGAACTTGCTTCGTCCGCACCTGCTCTAAACCTTCTGATCGCTCAATCTTCTACCTCCTACAAATAAACCCATCGCATAGATGTCGCATGAACGACGGCAAGTCCTTCCCATGCCACATTTCAGCCATTCCTCTTTTCTTCCCCCTGCAAACTAAGTACCATGGTGAAATTCACAGAAATGATGTCTACTCGCCACCCCCCAACCCCAACCCCAACAACTTCCACGCTCCACATCTCATCATTCCCGCTCCGTTCACCTGGGGAAACCGACGTGCTATTCGTCAGGAAAGATATGCTAGATGTATCCTTTAACATGTCTTGATGCAAAAGCTCTAGCCTCCTCCCTTATGTATTATTTCTGGGCAAATAGATGGAATCACTGGAATATAGCTGGCGAATTTCCTGGAGCATTTAGACTTAGGTTTGATAGCTGACTGATTGGCTATCATTGTATTAATTATACAATTAGTAGGAAGAACGACGAGGAGGGAGAGATGGAGGAGAAGGAGAGAGGACAGAAAGAGGATATTTTAGAATATTTGCCGTCGAGGATCGATGGCTTAGAAATCGACTAGAGATCTAGATCTGACCATTTATCGATACTAGGAAAGTGCTCCAGTGTTGTCTCAAGCCACATGGCGGAGCAAAAAAGTAAACAAATATGGTTGGTGGAGCAGTCGGAATGGCTGACTTGACGGCCATTTAGTCTGCTGGTGTCGGTGCATCATGTGTGATACTGTCACAGACCTCGCCATGGTCGAGCACTCCAGATGCAGGTGCTACTTCTGCCCCTTGCCACCTCCCCTCTCTCTCCTCCTGTCCTCCCATCTCCTAATTCAATTCCTCGGCCCCTGCACACCCACCTTCTCCACCCACAGCGCAAAATGCCCCCTCTCCCCCCTTCTTCCCCCTCTCCGTCTCCATCCGCATCCTCCTCAAACTCCACAGTCTTCTGAAACATATCCCCCTCTTCATTCAACTCCTGCAATTCCCGCCTAACATTCATCTCGATTTCGCTCTTCCTGACCCCTTGCGCCCCTTTACTAGACATACCCTGGGTCGCTAATTCAAGGTAGAAGTCTCCTGCCCGTTTGTTGGCTAGGTCGAGCGCCGTGTAGGCGCCTAGTGTGGATTTCTCGCAGTCGGGGGTTGCCGCTGGCTGTAGTGGCTCGTCGTCGAAGAGGTCGTCGTTGGGGGAATTGTTGTGTGTAGAAGCTGCTAAGGAGGAGGGGGATTGGTGGTAGCGGACTAGGGTCTGAACTATATAGATTGCTGGAGGCGTTTTGAATGCGGAGGCGGCAAGAGCGTGCCGGTTTGGCGGTGGTGGCAGCTCGCGGCGGACAGTTGTCTCGGAACATAGACCTGCGGCTGACATTTTGTGGGTTTGCATTTGGTGCTCGTCCTCGGTGTAGGTGTATGACCAGCCTGGAGACGCCGTGATTTCTTCCATGCCGGATTGGATGTGGTCTAAAGGGTACTTGACTTCTTCCTTTGCAACCATATTTGCTTCTTGTAGTGTGTAGAACGGGCCAGAATTATTGGAATAGTGCTCTTCGTCTGCCTTCTCCAAAGCCCAAGTCCGGATATTGACGAAATAAACATAAATCACTTCCGGTGTTTCGGTCTCTTCTGCACTTTGAGGTTCCCATACTGCCAGTGTTTCAGCGGAGATACATTTTCCGCCGGTTGTAGGACGTTCAGCCTGAGTATCTGTGCCTGCCACACCAGGCTTTGGTGTGTATTCTGCCTCTACTGAGGTGTCGGAGTCCTGGGCTGCATCACGTTGGAACAGGCTGTCTGTCTTAGTAATAGATGTATTCGAGCTATCCGAGTGAGCCTGCGACGAGAAGGAAGTATTGACATGGTCAGCCTCCACTGGTACTGCATCATCGTTATCATCTTCTATGGAGATATGGTCATGCTGTCCCGTCCACGCGCGTCGTGTGATTTGCTCTACTTTCTGTGCGCGCTTCTCGAGTTCATGTCTCGATTGGACATGACTTGGATTGCAGAGCACGCCAGCCCGAATGTCTTGCAACGCGCTGTTCTGAAATGACCTTGGTGTGGACTGCTTATTTGGTAATCTGGCTCTTGGCGGTTCCCGAGCAAATGTCTTTGTGCCCTTGAGAAAGGGATTGGGGTCAGGGTAACGTGGTGTCCTCGCAATTGACAACGGTTGAATGTCATCCGGCAAATGACCGCCATTACTTTTGGCGGAAACACGAGCACATTTAGTGACATGATGTTTAGCTGACGACTGATAGGTGAACAACGCATCGCACAAAGGGCAGCGAAAGACTGCGGCCTTGTCTTTGGGATGGATATGGCAGCTTGCGTGGCTGTACCAACACTTACCATCCTCGTTTCCGTTCCTTTGGACGCAGACCTCAAAGTGCGCCTCTACCTCTTGAAGAGAATGAAGAGTATGTTCGCAGATTGGACATAAATATTTGTAGTCGCTTTCCTTGTGGATTCTTCCATCGTTGGCATTTTTGCTTTGCTTTTGTTCACAAGTTTGAAGATGTCTTTTGAGTGTGCGGGAATCACAAAGGCCTCGACTGCACGCTGGACATACATGTGACAGAGCTTTCCAACTTTCGTGACTGTTGAAGCTCTTTCCTTCGGGATTTCCGTTCCTCTCCACACAAAGTTTGAAATGTCTCTTCAAGTGATGACGCGATATATGCTTCCGAAGGCAGAGAGGACAGTGATAGCCGTCCCACTTTTGAGAATCTGATTCAGTTCTGACGATAGAGTGTGATACGGTTTGAGGTTCAGGATTCTTGCGCGCAATATCATTGGTAAGATGCTCCGGCTCACAAGTAGTCCTTGACCGTCCTAGGGTATGATTTGAAGACGATATCCTGTTTTCGAGGCTCGGTCTTGGAGATGGCGCCTCTTGGGCACTAAATGACTCTGTGTCACTTGCTCTCTTGACCGATTGCACCACTCCTAGCGTCGGCGTTGCTTTTGCATATAAAGAGCACCTTCTCACGGACGCTGCCCGAATATCTTTTTTGATGGAATCAAGTTTCTTTTCGGATTGAGTCCTGCGCACTTTCTCTCTGCTTTTCTTTTGCTGCTCACTATGCTCGTCCGGCCCGTTGTAACGGTGATCCGACGCAATGACCTCAACCGGCTTTGGAGCGACAAAGCAATTCACCGTAAAGTCATCCACTGCATCAGGGCTCATCTGGACTTCAGTATGGTGTCGGCGTATTCTTGCCGGCGTAGGTGACAAGCCAAATGATGGCTGTACAATCATGTTCGCCACCGGTGCTCTGCTTAGTGAATCATCTGGTAGCGAAGGTTCTACAGCTGGACTTGATCTTATGAACAATTCCGATGGATCGTCATCTTTGGGAACATTGACCAGACGAGCTCCATCACGTCCAGCCCTTTGTGCACTTGTTAGCCCTTTTTCCACGATTGTGCCAGATCCTCGTCCAAGAAAAGTCACAGAAGGCTCAGTCACATTTTGAGTTACAAGCAGTCGTTCTTGTTCAGATTGAGCTGTAGGTCGAGCTGTACAGGGCGTCAATTGGCTGGCAGAAAGCGCAGTTGAGACATTTTGAGTGGCTTGCTGCTGAACGACTTGAGTCTCGTTCGCTAGAGTCGAAGGTGCTTTCTTATTCTTGCGTCGGCGCTTGCGCGCTGGGTCTATAGTGAGATCTATTACCGGAGAATGATAACGATAGTTGTCATAGAGATGCCCGTTTCTAGCGCTCGTGCTTGTCCTTGAAAAAGGCGGGCTTTCGATGACCATGATATCATCATCGTCAAGCAAGTCGACCACAACAGGCATGTTGCCTAGGAGCTCAGGTGATCCTCGTTATTCAAAGATAACACAGCCTCAAACTCCGATGAGGATTATTGCATTATTGTGCACTTGTACCGAAGTCAAGATAGGAGTCTGGAGTCTATAGCATTGTAGACTTCGCCCGACGCAAATCTGATCTTCAAAATATCTCAGATTTTGAGACAGTGCTTAATTCGTGAGGATGCGTTTGTTTGTCGAGACTGGGAACGAAGTGGTGAGTCTGAGTGTACTCTCAGTTCAGTGTTTGGGCTTCGACCGCTTGATACCGAACAGTCTCAGGATAGCCTGTTTCCAAAGACGTGATAACGAAAATGACACCCTTGATTATCAAAATGGTCACCCTAAGCGATCCGATGAAATGATACCTCGTGAGATATTGGGGAGCGGCTCTTAACTAGTGAACGAAGATGCAACCTGACAGTGTCACCGGGCAGAATCGTCAAGACAGCTCCCACTAAAGTTGAAGCTCTAGAGAAAATTGCAGAAGACGAATTGGCTTTTGAGAGGTATGTGGCGGAGTCGAATTAATCCCACAGACGGGGCGCCGATCGAAGTTGTCTTGAATCCTTTAGTCGAATGCGATTGTTGCTTCCATGCCTTGCGTAGTGTTCAACACTTTTAACAAGGTATAGTCAGATGGTAATTGATAGACCGTATGATTCTCGTGGGAAGAAATCTGGCTGGTGATAGTGTGCCGGTAGTAAGGCGAAGGAACTCCCCCAAATTACGTGTCTTGTTGCTGCGGTGCAAGAATCGTTATCAAGCGTTGCAAATGCGGCTGTGGAAGAACAGAAATGCCCTTCAGCTGTTACTGGCCTGCTTGGAAAGGAAACGTGACGTATAATCCACTGACTTCTAAAAACAAAATATACTTAGTAATTGACCAAAGAACAAAAGGACATGCATCGAGAGACTTAGGTGCAGAGAAACCAATCGATTGCGAGGGGAACGCTCTCCACCACTTGTATTGCTGGAGATAAAAATGATCTTCGACAGATCTCAAGGGCAATGATATGGAGCTTGCTAACCTTTGCGTGTGGAAGAGGTTCAGCGTTGCAGCTTGCTTTTTGAAAAGAAGTAGAAATTGCAGTGAATGTAATGCACCAAGATATCGAGACAAGAGAAAAATTGTCCTCACCTGAATTGCTGTAATGGAACTCGCTGTGTAGATAGCGCAAGAAGATTGGTCAACTTGACAAGGGCAACGAAAAGGCGATAGAAATTGATTTTCAGCAGTTTTAATTGCTACCTCATGTAATTTGAGCACTTGCGTGTGTGCTCGAGAAAAAGCTCCAGTCGGCCTTCTGAATCTTTACCGTGAAGACTCTAATGACATGTAAAGCGGGTGGGCCGGCTAGTTTCTGATTTCGATGCAGTCGGTTATTCACCACTATCGTGAGATGTCAAGTTTAGCGTTTGCTCATGTAAGAAAGTCTTTGGTGTTTTGTGACGGGGGTCAACCACCACTCTCTTTGCGCCCAGGCCACTTAATTTCAATGGGCAAACTGCCAGCATGAGGTGATGTGCCGGTGAGTGGGTCTTTGGTGTGACTATCATTTTCATCGTCTGAAAAATCATGTGTCAATACCTGTTCAGGTGCCGATCTACTTGAAGGTGAAGAAGTCAGATCCTCATCAAAAGCAAAAAGGTCGTCATCTTCAGCCTTCTCAATTTTCTCGTAGTCTTCGCTCGAAGAAGCTTGCGCAGCAATGCTTCCGTTGACTGGTGTTTGTTTGGTTTGCAATGTAGCGATTGATTTAGTCAATCCACCTCCAAAATTTGTGAAGCCTCTTTCCTCATTGAGACCAAGCCCGATGTCTTCCACCTCATCCTGACTGCGTCTGCCACGGTCGCTGTCTCCTCTTTCCTTCCGCCGATTCTTCTTCTTTTTGTCCCTGCCCGTTCGCTTTCCTAGTGCAAGCACGCTTCCAACGCTTCCGGGAGTTTCTATTGTGTCATCTCCACCACTACTCAATTTGCGACTATGGGCGGGGCTCGTACTTGGTGACACGACGCCATCCGCGATGCTGAAAAGGACGCGTTTAGGAGATTTAGGCATCTTTGGATCTTTCATGCTGCTACGGAGACTCGAGATGGATATATTAGAATTCGCGGAGTCGGACCGATGGTGTGTCTTCACAGGTGATTGGGTAGGTGCACTGGACGAGACGGCCTGGTCTTCGATGGGTGTTGTGATGAAAGAAGGCAGGAGCGGTGGATGTATATTCTCGAATGAGGAGGCTTTTAGGGTGCTCTGCTCTGGAGGTCGATCGGGTCTTTCAGTGTTCTGAGAACTTCCGGGCTGCTGACGGCCATCGCCATCGATGAGAGCCAGGTACTCTGGTGTGAAAACACCCTCCCATTCTCTGCTGTATTGGTCTCCTTTGGCGATGTCAACAGAGTCATTGCTCTGACGAAATGCTTGATCAAGTGCCTGCCGAGCACTCAGTCCCTTCCTGGCGGATCGACGATCACTGCTACTCTGCCTACGATGTCTGCTTTGTTGTTCGGGTGTAGACAATGGGTGGGCGCCGCTGTGTCCCAACCGCTCCTTCGACCCCTTTTCACTGTCGTGGTCATTCTGGGCTTGCTGGCGAAGCTGTCTCTCGTATTTCTGGTACTCCCTCTCCTTCTGCTCTTTGAAGTCCTCAATCGCTTGGTCCAATTGCTTCCTCTTCGCGTCAAGAGCACCCAGGACAGCTTCAGGGGTTCGTGGGGGCTCAGACGCGACATTAGCTGTGGGCAATGGGTTGACCGTGTCTCGGTCCATGTCCAGGACAATGGAAGGTCGCGGCCAAGGGAATCTCTCCAAAAGCACTGGGCCTCCTAATCTGGCCGTGGGTGTAGGAAGTGGAGGACTCGAACAAAGGGAACGGTATCAAAGGCGTTCATGGTCGTTGCCATTGGAAAAGCGGTCAACCAGCGTGGCGAGGAGGGTTGCAGATGGGGAAGCGGCGATGAATGTTGAGTAGTGAGTGCTGTTACTATGCTACTCTAGGTGTTCCTAGACCCTACACTGCTAGTCCTGATGCAACATGATAAAGTCAAGTGGGTAGCGCGGGGGGTAGGGGGAGCTCTGGCGGGCAGCCGGCCATGCGGGCACAACGGTCGCGCCACTCCGGTGCTCCCACCACTCCCGTTGTTCTAGAAGTCCAGAATCCCCCCGCCCTCTCGCCCCTTCTCGCCATCCTGCTCTATACCCGGACTCGAGTCCAATCGGTATAGCCGGATGCCTACTGCCTTTGGCGCGCATCGATGACCTGTGACCTGTAGGCCGCCTACCGACAGCCATTGTTCAAGGATCACTGACGGAATGCCCTCTCTATGGCCGGAATGTGCCGGCAAGGTCTTTCTAAAGGGAGCCACTGTCCGTTTTCGTCTAGGGATGGTATTGCGACGATGCGACTGTTGCCATTTTGGTTGAGCTCGTGCAGGGGGGTGCAGGGCGTAACGCAAGGGTCTTTCTACTTGCACCGAAGGCTTGCATAGCAGTGAGACCGTCACTGCTCAGCGCTGAAGGCCAGAAATTGCAATGCATACGAATAATTTTGCTTTTTTGTAGCCCACGTCTTCAACAACCCCATGACAGCAAGCCACCAAGATGCTTCGAGAATCCCTCAAAGCCCATGTGAGCGCTCATCCTCTAACAAACAGGATATCACAAAGCTATCTTGCTCGACTTCCCCTCCTGATACACAACATCAATTCATCTTCTCATCTACCGCCTCTCCCTCCGCCTTCTCCCCCTCAGTAGGAGGAGAAACTCGTACCTCAGCAACCGGCGACTCATCAATCATACCACCCTCTTCATTCCAGTCTGGAATATCGCCCACCGGCGGAGTCCCAAACGCATTCATCGTCGTTCCTTGATCCTCTAAGAAGTCGGCCATCCGATCATGCCCATCACTGTCTATGCTGCCTCCACTCGCAGCGTTCATGCTCTCCTTGTCGTTCTCCTCCTCACTATTGTTCGTCGCATTTTGATTGTTGATGGGTGTGCCCAGATTCTCATCAAGGCTGTTGAACGACCATGCCGGGTGTTCATACATTGAACCCCCACCACGCATACCCCCATTCGAGGGGTCTGCCATGCTGATACCTTCGTCTTCATGATCGTCCATTTCCATCCGGTCGTGGTTCCGATCAACGGCGCTGTATGGAGGCAGCTCTTCTTCTTCGTCTTCTTCGTCGTCGCCGTCAGTCTTCGTCAGTACCATGGCTGTTGGATCTACTGATACTGGGCCACCACCTCCCGCTTGGTGAGCCGCTTCTACTCCTGGTAAAGCGCTCGACAAGCCATTGCGGAGGAGCCGTCGAGACGCTTGCCTTCCCCCGACTTCGGGTTTGGGGAAGGCGCGCGAGAATTCGTCTGCGAAGCTGCAGGCGATTCCGTATTTGTGGACAACATTTGTTCGAAGAAGGGTCCGCCGAGAGTATTCGAGGATTGGCGACGATAAAAAAGGAGGTAAGCCGCTGGCGTTATGACGCCTTCGTCTTTCCTTGGAGTGACAAAGGAATCTATGCGAATAGTCAGTGAATAAAAAGCCAGGCTAGTGCATCCAAGCCTTACCATTGTACTCGTACCAACGCTTGTCTATGAAATTCTTAGCGTAGGCAGTGTAGTGACCTCCTCCAAGACCACCATAATGATTGTCAACTGCAAATAATTCGTAAATTGGTGGTTTATCGTCATCCGTGGGTGTTGCAAGCCTTGAAGATAGGTCCAATCCTTCAAGTGGGAAGTCAACGAAGACATCCAGCTTGTTGTTTAGGCGACCTTGAGTGCTGAAGCGTTTGAGATGGATTACAAGGACGTCTGGCGCTTTCCACAATTCAAAGGTTTTGCTTGCCCGTCTGTGTTCTTTGCATCGTGGGCAGAACCAAGCATCATTCTCTGAGAGGATCTCCGGCTTACCAAACTCATCAAGGCAGTCACCCAAGCTAAAGCCTGTCTTTCTGCGCTGTGCGCGCAATTTTCTCTTCTCCTCGAGCTCGGGATCAGGGTGCACAGGCAAATCATCCCAAGTTGGTAAGCCTCTGGCGGGACCATCTTCGTCCATTGCTACCATGCCGCCAAATAGGGCATCATAACCTTCCTCAGTCCAGTCAAGTACGATGCATTCGCCAAGTCGCAGGAGAGGCTGGCTAGAGTCTGGTAGCTCCTCGGAAGCGCCGTCAAAGCCGACAGGATTAGGTGTTCTTCCCTTCCGTTTGTCCCTTTTTGCATATGTATTTTTGACCAGCCTACGATTTGCAGGGGTGTTATTTCTTGCTGCAGTCCGTTGGATAACAGGTTTTTGAATTATTTGTTCGACATCGGGGAGGCCCTCATCATCATCATCGTCATCGAGAGTTGCGGTGAGAGGTTGAGCTGGCGGAGGTAAGTCTCCATCTTCATCACTGCTGGGTGGAGTATCTTGTCCAAGGCGATCCATATGACGCTTGTAAGCATCTTTGGCAGGAAACTGTGACGCTCTAGTGTCCTCTTGCAGCTCGTCAGGCGTTGCAGCGCTCGCTCTAGACGCTAGAGATGGCAATTTCTTATCATCATCAGACATGAAGGTCTGGAAACCTAAAGGAACCATCTCCGAGCCTGGAGAGAAGGTCCTCGCCTCAAATAAGTTTCTGACGCCTGGAGTAATGAAACTTCGAGGTCTCAACATGTTGGCGACCGGCTTGCGTTGAAAGTTGGGAGGCGGATCTGTGTGGTCATCTTTCGTCGAGATGTCGACCATGCCGTCCTCGCTCTCTAGGGACTCTGTCTGAACCTTTCCATCGGATGAGTCGTCGGCGTTCAACACAATAGTGTCAGAATCGTCCGTCACGGAATCACCCGCCTCTTCTTCCCTCAAGAAGTCTCTCGTAGTCAGTGTCTCAACCCGCGAAAGACATTTCTTTAGTATTGCATCATAGTCTCTGGCTTCTTCTCGGGTGATAATCATGAGTGAAGGCGCTCCAAAGAATTCCCTTGACGAAAATCTAGAATGAGAATTCTTAGGCCTTCGATTGAACAAGGTCACTAGCATACGGTCAGCTAATGGGGAGTCGCCCTCGGGAACTATCTCCTCGTCTTGAGGGTAGTAAACGGATTTCTTTTGCTTTTTAGTGGCTGGCCAATTAGTGGGTGTGTCCTCAAGCTCGAAACATCCGATATGGTCGCTCTCAGAAGGGTTGTCTTCGTTAATAGACTTTTTGCTTTCAAAAATCTTGTAAAACTTGTTCTGCCAGACCTCTGCCATCATAAGCCTCCTTGGATCAAGATCGAGCTTCTGAGCAAAATAGTCGGCCAGCGCCGACCAAGGGGCGTTCTTGTCAATGTCGACCGCAACCTGGAAAGGTGCCGCTCGTAGGGGAAAGAACCAGATATTTCTACACAGTTAGCGGTTGTTGACATTTGTATGCCAAGCTGACTTACTTAGACCATATGTTTTGTATCGGAAGCTGAAGTGTCAAATTGTTGAAAGGATCAAAAATAATCGAGACTTTATCACACACTGGACAGACTAGTGTCGATTTGTACATGCCAGCGAACAGGTCTGTGATCACCGAGTCGTTTCGCTTCTTGTAGATCTCCCAGCATTTATCAGCCATTTCGCGCAGCGCGGCCGGATTGTTGACCATTTCATCTGTTGAGTCTGGTTTCTCTATGTATGGCTTCTTGTGAATGCGGTTGAGGTCCTCCTGTAAGCCATCAAGAAGGAAGAGTAGGAATTCCTGCGAATCTTGCTGTTGGTATCCCGAGAACGACGGCCCATACTTCCCGATTACATTCTTGAAATTTCGAGGTGTGAAGGAAGAATTCTGTTTCGGGTCGTACATCTCGTGAAGTAATTTGGCGTATGTTTTAGCAACATCGCCATTGTGAGAGAGCGGGTTCGAAGGGTTCAACTCAGGCTTGTAATTATCCTCCAGGAAGTAGAGCGTCAGCTCTTGGACGCTGCGGACACATTGTAGTGCAGAGTTCATGTAGCAGGTATTGCCCTGGTTTCCTAATCCCGTAGTTCCTCGAATCTTCCCGATCATATTCTGCCGACCTCTCGTCATCATACCAGCAGGCGCAGGGCTCACACCCCTACTGCTAGCGGCACTCGGCTTCAACGAGTCCTTCACAGTCGTAGAGCCAGCTTTTGTGACGCTGATGGCAATCCCATTTTGTTGAGCTTTGGCTGTCGAGGCATCAGATATCCATTCACCACCACACGGGCCACCAATCATCTCTTCCAGTACAATGACTTCGGGTTGTCTCAGTCCAATCAGATCGAGAGTCGATTTACCATTGTAGTTGGGGTTGTGGGTCTCGTCCTTGGCATCAATGACCTCGCGGTGAGAGCCTAGCTGAAGCTGTGAAAATGTATTAAGATCAATGACTAGCTTATCACCAGGATCTACTGTAGGGACGAAACCGGGAGCAGGAGAAGTACTTCGCGATTGAGCAGGCGTAAGCATGCCATCTTGTTGCGAATCCCCAAGCCCGCCCATGATCCTCCACACGCGCACCTTTGTTGCCATGTCAATATTGGCTTCTTTCTTAGCTCGCTTCAGAAAGTCTACGTAGCGGTCGTGCCTACTAGCCAAGAGCTTAACCGGAGTGGCGCCTTTCTCTTTCAAATCCTTCGGAGAAAGCCCTTGTGTCGTATCTGGCAATTTGAGAACAGTAAAGATAGGCGGCAAGAGCTCGAACTGTAGATTGTCTTGATATTCGTTGGTGCTGGTATTGTGGCAGTATCTCGTAATGATAGGCGATCCTTCAGCTTTGCCATACCATTTGATTATCAAGTCCCAGGCTTCTTGGGGTAATAACTCGAAATCATCTCTCAGTGTCACCTGGGGTTTGAGGAAAATGAACTCCTCACCCTTCTCATCCTCATACTTGGCTGCGGCATCAGTATCTAGCCAAATACTGCTATTGTCAACGGGACCAATCGGACCCTCTTGGGCTCCTTTGCTGTGATTCTTCGCTTCGCCCTTTCCTCGGGAGAGCACTCTTTCTAACCAATTGCTTGCGACTAAATATGCTTTCACGCCTTCTTCTAACCAATTACCCTGCGCAAGTGCGAGTACTTTTGTGATCTGGTCGTCGATGGAGGGCGGGTCAGATCCAGAAGCCGGCGCTATGCCCTCGAACCCTGCTCTTGAACCTCCATTCTGCGATGTACGTGAGGCTGCTTCAGTCGATCCCTGGTCAGTCGCGTCGCTAGATGACTTGACAACATGCTGCATAAGTGGACCCTGATTTGCTCTTCTGATGCTTGCGCTCGGGTCAAATGCTCCATCTGGCTCCGCCTCCGCCTGTTCATCTCCAGTCATCTTGACATCCCCATCTTGACCGTTCATCTCTGAAGCCCGTCGTTTTGCCGGGCTAGCCGTTCTGTGCCCTCCACCAGCCCTCGCTATTGCCTCCCCTTTCAGTCCAAGTCGGGCGGACGGCCCAGGCTTTTCGAGGCTGTCAGCGCCTGACACGTCACTTTTGCTATCACGGTCAATTTTCGATAGATTTGAGGGAGCTACTGAAGGACTGCTATGAGATTGTAGAGAGCCGATACTGGGGGAAACGCCTCCCTGTGGACGTAGTTGTGGTGAAAGAATGGGAAGTTGACGTGGAGTATGTGGTGAAGATGGGCCGGTCGTGGGCTCTACTGAACCAGAGCGCTGTGGAGGGGGTGGGGTAGTTGGGTCGGACAAGTTGAGACGCTCTGATTCCACAGGGGACAGCTTCCTTCTCTTGTTATAGGAAGACGTGGTTGATGTAGTACACAGCCTTATTTCCACCGGGAAATAAGGCTTTGGAAGGATATGGTGACAAATCAATCTAGTGTAATGTTCAAATTGTAGAAACAGAGAATATTGTAATCCTGAGACAGGCAGCTATAAGTGTCGTCACAGCTGTGTCATCCGCTGGGAGGAGACGCCGAATCTCAAAAAAGTCCCCCGTTTCGCTTGATGCGGAAACGCGTCTGCGCAGAAAAACACCGCCCCAACGCTAGCCGCGCCCCGGGGAGCCTCGTGATGCAGTATACGTATCTATGATAGAATCTAGTCGAATAACCCAAAGATGGCATTCGAGAAATAAAGTAAATGGACGATGGTGAAAGGGAGCCATGTCGAATTTGCAAAGGCAACCTTTCGATATAGCCTCGAACGCACCTTCTTGGGAGTCGGTCACGGGACATGGCGCGCGTTGACGCCTCAACACCGGACCATTTATATGAACATGTGATCTTGCACAATTATGTACGTTGCCAAATGCTAAATGCTACACCCATATTTTCCCCCAATGCAACCCACCCAAGGTATTCACACAAAACATATCCACCATGTACACCCCGCGAAACTCCCCAAAACCAGGGCCGTAAGAATACCAGCACCGGCTCTGTCAGCTGTCGTAATCGAATGGCCCGCGTTGGGATCAATAGCAGCTTCAGCAGCATTATCCCCACCACCCCCAGCCGAGGGATCCCCTTGCGACGTCCCACCATTATCTGACGTGACAGGCCCGGAGACCTTGCTGATCAAGTTGGATTGGATAACGCTGAGAGCACTCATTTGCTCTCCGACCCCATACTTTCCATCCCAAGTCGTAGAATGCCAGGTACGCCCACAAGTCATACCATCTGTACCACCATCACATTGACCAGCGGCACCGTTGGCAGAATCTCGGAGTTTGTCTTTAATGAAATCAAAGGTGAAAGGTGCGAGCTGAGTCGTGGCTGCCATCCACCGGGACAGGTAGGCTTTGAAAGATGGCTGGTCGTAGTTACAGGTCTGTTGGGGCTCACAAGCAATCTCGACCATGGTGTTTCCACCATACTGCGTTGGGAAGAATGCTTGGGTGCCATTTAGGAGTCCTTCGACTCGCGTTCGCCACTTTTGATCCCCGTTGGTCTGTGTGGTGTAAGCATACGATGCGGGTGCAGCAATCCTTTGCACACTTACGTAATTATACATGTTGGCAGCTCCGATCAGGAAGGTACCAATATTATACGTCCATTGCAATTTGGAAGCGATTGTACAATTGTTCTCGATCTGAGCTCCATCATAAATCACATAGTCGTCGGTGAACAGTGGAGTCGTAAGCATCCAATCATAGGTTTTTTCAGCCCAGTTGGCGTACGTCTCATTCTTTGTGTATCTCGCCAAGCGTGCCGCAAGTTGGAAGAACCCTCCATTTGAGATGCTATTCTTGTAGTCATAACCCTTATTGAAGGTGAAAACCTGCCATCGTAGACCACCTCCGCAATTTTGTGTATCCCATCGAGCGGCTTGAAGGTTGAACACTGCTTGGGAAAGCGCCAGCCACGAGGGTTTACCCTTCGGTGGATCTGGAAATTTCACTTCTGCGGCCGACAAGGTCGCGAATGCCCAGAAGGCTTGATCATCGTTTCCCTGTACCAGCTTAGCGTATCATCCAGTGGACCTCTTGGCTTCAAGGCGTACCTCTGTCTTAGTTTGATTTGGCGGCATGAAGTCATTGTCGGGCCCGACCTGTGCAAGCAAGCCTTCCGTCACAACATCGTTGTAGGTGTCATCCCCCGTATAGTACCAATATTCCACCATGGTACCGAACATAGCTCCAGCTTCCCACCAATAATAAGGATCTGGTAACAATCCGAGTGGCATTCCCGTCTCATTTCCCTTGTAGTATTTCATCATGCCATACGCGCACGAGCTTGCGGCTTGCTTAATGGAGTCTGGGGGGAACATCGCGTCAATATTTACTCAATTGGCTCCCTCATTGCGAAAGATGAAGGTGTTGTAGCATACCTGCACTTCCCAGATCCAATTTGATACCTGCCATTGCCTGGCCAGCCAGTAAGGCCGCGCTGAAACATACCGTCCGCAAAGAACTTTTTCTTGAGAAAGGCATTATGAAAATCGTACGTATCCAAAAGGACCGGCCCTATTTAATTCAACGGAATGAGCCCAGTCCGGGCGGGCCAGTGCTTTTAAGTTGATTGCACAGAAGGATGTAGCGCGAGGTCAGCCATAAGAATCCCCGTGGCAATGAGGAGAGTGCGCTGCCAATTCCAGAGCGCTCCAGAGTATTTATCGTCGCATATAGTTGAGCAACAATCACGTTCAAGTCGTCCAAATGGTTGCAAGCTGATCAAAGAAGAAAGGCTGAAGGATTACGAGGTTGTGTTTATTCGTGGCTCACTGAGATGCACAGCCTACAGGCGAGGCGGGAGAACCAAAACGGATCGGTTTCAAGGTAGGCCCGCTCTGCAGACTCGTTGCAAGACTTTTGTTGATTACTGTAGGAAAAGAGCGTAGGTTGTTGAAGGTAGATTATTTGATGAGGGAATCAGGAGAGGGTGAGGATTTCAGTCTAAGGTCTTAGGTGGAGCAAAGGCTAAGTAACTCAATAGAATCTGGGGCCGCCGCATCAAGGAGACTTATTATTGTCTGCTGTAAAGGGCAACGGCAAACGAAGTACACGCACGCTTCTCACAAGGACTGCGACCTTGTCTCTCACTCAGGCGCAAACATCGTCAGTATTCCCTCGTCGTGACAGCAGTCGACCCCTCGGGCTACGTTTGCGACTTGCGTAAGACTCCAAACCAACACGAGTAAGGTAGAACTAGGGGGTTCGGGGATTCCGCTCCGCAGGATCCGAAAGCACCTGAGATACCCAATAAGGAAGGGGTTGGCCTCAGGTTCTCCACTAGCTGCTAACATGGGGAAGTTTTCTTGGATGCACAATCCAAATCGATATTTCGAGACTTGTCTAAGCTTGGCTGTAACAAGCTTCCTGTATAGAAGCTTGTCGTTGCTAGGAAGACCCTGACTGTCCTCAGCGATGCTCACACAAGGTTCATCATGGGTAGATAATAAGCTCCTTTTCTTTAGGCAAACCGAAACGTGATGCATCCACAACCAATAATTACATCTTTGCCTTCGTGTCGCTCATAATGCTCTTTCCGCTACCGTGCCTCGATCTTGCCGACCTCTTCTTTGGCTTCCCGCCAGGTTTCCACATTCTTCTTCGCCCAGTCGATGTGACACCTTGCATATGCTATCTGTGACTGTTGTCAGCACGTACCAACTAAAGGACAGGCAAGGGAGACTGCTACCATATATCGCTTTAGATCTTCCTCTTTGTCGCACTGGAAGCGCTTGAGATCCTTCAACACCCCAGCACTTGCATCCTTTACATCGTGTTCGGAAACTTGCAGCGCTTGTTCAAGATGGACGAGGCTTTCCTTAGTCTTCCCAATCTGATCACGTCTCGTTCGCTCTGGATCAACGTCCACAATACCGTGAACGGCATGACTGATTCGTCCAAATATCTTGTTCGTCACGAAACCGCCGCCTCCTTGGCTCTTACTGCGGCTTCTTGATGGTGTGCTTGGATTAGCGTCTGTCTCCCCTGATTGTGAGATATCGCCATGGGTGGGAGGGAAATCCGAATCTATCGAGGATTGATCGCCTTCTGATCTTCTATCTCCCTTTGATTGCGCACTCCGCGTGGAGGCTGACGAGGTAGAGCGTTTAGGTGTACCCTCAGGTGAGCCGGTACTGGAGAGATATTGGTCGATTCGCTTTGCTTCAAGCTCACTCCTCTCTAAGCCCTCAAGTAATCGTTGTTTGCTAATTAGTTCGTCTTTTGTCATTTCCTCTTGTATCCGCTTCATAATCCGATACCTTAAGACGCTTCTGACAATTCCGGCGAATTGCGCGCTTTCGCGCATCGGCTCCGCAAATGTTGCCCCGAGCATGGATGACAGTTCTTCAGTTGCAATGTAGGACGAATCGGCAGCTTGACCTACTCGCTCTATGGCAGCTGCGACGGTCGGAGACTGTTCCGAAAGTGAGAACGCATTGTACCGTGCACCAAGCTCTGCCATGTCCGTTGAGAGTGCCTGAAGATGTAACAAAGTCCTTCGGTTGACTCTTTCAATATTACCCTGCAATAATATTTCTAGATCCCGCGTTGCAGCTTCAAAATTATTAAAGTAAGGATCTAGGTCGGCTTCGGAGAGTTGTTGAGAGGCAGGGGGAATCGACCGAATATTTGTGGTCCAGGAATTGTGTGGGCAGCAGACGAAGCCATCATAGATTGACCGACAGGCGAGGCAGGGGTCCCAGTCGAAGATGTCTTCGATGCAGACCTCAGTTTCGCAGAGGCCGTTGGAACAGGCAGCCATTGGTGTGCGGGTGTGGGATTTGAGGGGTCCAAAGGCGGAGCTTTCATGATACTCTTAGGTATTGAAGCTACTGATGTTGAATGTAAGACCTCGTTCTGATTTCACACGTCAGAATTCTGCTATTCCAGGGCTTTCTCTGGCGTACCCAGCTGGCATTTGGGTCTAGAAACCTCCACCATACCCCGTCTTCTCTCACATCCTTCATCTTACGACATCGATTCAGAAACACAGCAAGCATCCGTTTCCGGAGATCTATAATGCCGGCATCTTCTTTGGCTTTGGTTGGTTTGGCGGCATAGTCGGCCATGGAGTGTTTCTCAGGTATCGGAGGAATGATGAGAGTTGGATGTAGATTGACAAGAGTAGCTCGTAATGATGCAAACTCGGAGTACCTTCTTCGCACTTCCAGATCCTTGAGCAGCTTAGCATCAAAGCCGTGAATACCATTGTTAGCTTACCCCAGTCCTTATTGTGTAAGCTATATAATTTCCTCCACTTTCCTGGCTTTTCCCAGCGTGCGTGATAATGATGTTGAGGTCATCGTTCTCGCAGAGCAATTGCTCGATCCTACTATCGTAACCGCCCTTCTTACGGCTTGCTTCCGTTTGCGTAACCTCTTCGGTGTCGCTAAGGTCTGTTGATCTTGTGACTGGATCAACGCGCTCATTTTGAGGAGAAGAATCTTCAGAGGTAGGCGTGGACGATCTTTCGAAGCCTAACACACCACGCTTCTATGAGTGTCTTCGTTCGGCATTATTGAGTTTCCCATTTTCGGCTTACCGCGATTCTCGTTGCTTGGATGAGAGAAATTTGAGTCTCGACGATCAAAGGAGCTGTAAGGATTGTTGTCTTCGTCGTTCCACATTGTCGAAAACACTCAAGGTATATTGTTGGACATTTGCGAGAAATTCGGTCCTGAGTTGGGTCAACTACGTAGTTAACTGACGTGCAGCTAATTGGCAGCCTTGACAAGGCTGCGCCAAGGGGCCACACCCTAAGGTAACCCCACAGTGATGGAAAATCAGCGACTCGCAAGGCTAGAATGAAAAGATTATATGTTTTGAAGTCGTGAGCTAATCCCTTTCTACAGGCAAAGCTATATAAGTTTCGATTTAGCGTCACAAAGGCAAGATCCAATGTGAATTGGGTATCAATATATCCAGATGAGTATCAAACGTCACATCCTTCTCCTGATTCTGCTTTTCCCTTCGTCCAACTCAGAAGCTATACATCCTCACCTCGCCATCCTCAGCTCCACTACACATCCTTTGATCACTCAGGCCAATACAGGTAACCGGGCCCGTATGGCCTCCAAACGTTCTCTCGCACTTTCCCTTCGTATCCCACACTTTCACCGTCCGATCCTGCGCACCACTCACAATACGTAGAGTATCTGCAGCCAGAGCCCAGACACCCTCCACATGCCCAAAATATGTACGGATAGATTTGGCCGTATAAGTGTCCCAGAGTCTGATGGTAGAGTCTAGAGCACCGGTCAAGATGTATCGAGGTGGCAGGGGTCGATCGCCAGACTTGAAGTGGGGACTGAAGGGCTCTATGATGGGCTGTTGGTCTGTGAATTGAGGTAATTGTGGATGTGCGTGAGATTCTGACGTCGCGCTTGGAGTTGTGCACGTTCCGTCATGGTCTGACACATCATCATCAGAGTCTTCAAAGACGTAGTCCGGCGATAAGGGGACGATCTGTTGCACCTGGCCAACATGGCCTTCGAAGGTCTTGATGCAGAGTTTGCTGTCAAGGTCCCAAAGTTTGACTGTGCTATCATCAGAGGCAGAAAATACAGTCCTAGATGGGGAATCGATTTTAACGGAGTTGACCCAATCAGCGTGACCGCGTAGGACAGAAGCCGATTTATCGTCAAAGTTCCAGATACGTATGGTGTTGTCAGCAGACCCGGTTACCAGAATTGAGGAATCGAAATGAAGGCTAATGATGCCGCCGGAATGACCCAAGAGCGTTGATAAACACTCCCCAGTCCTCCAATTCCAAATCTTGATTTTGTTGTCTAGACCACCACTGATAAGCTTGGTGTCATCGAATTGCAAGCAGCGGACGGCGGAAGTGTGACCTCTCAAGGTACGGAGCTCCTCCCCTATCCGAATGTCCCAAACCTTGATGGTGGTATCGTAAGAGCCGGTGACCAAGATGCGGTCGTCGAATTGGAGGGTCATCACGCCATTTTGATGGCCGCGAAATATGTTCGTCGTGCATCTACCATACTTCCAATTCGTGCCGACCATGAAGCGGTCTTTGTAGACATCTTTCCACGGCCTAGTTCGGGGCTGAAAGTATGTTTCACTGTCACCAGGAGTGCCAGTATTGGCACCAGGTCCTGTCAATTCGAATTGCAGCGAGTCGCCGTCAAGGCCTTGATTGAGCTCATTATTTTTCGACTCAACGTGAGAGAGATCGCCTTGAGTAATGTGAGGATTTTGTGTCTGCTCCGGATACGGCGTGATATTTGGTGACCATTCGTTCAATCCTCTCCCAGTAGCTCGTAGCTGTATTTGTCGCTTACTTTCCCTCAATTTCTTTCTCTCCAGGAGAGGCAGGCCCCAGCCACACTTGACACATTTTCGATCGATATGTTGCTCACACATACGATGCCATACGACGTCGTCATCCGCTAAAGCTCTCCATCTCTGGCTGACCTGTGCTGCTTTGCATAACGATGTCGTGTCTAGGAAGCACAGGATTCGAAAGGACACCTCGGGGGGCAGTGCAGTGAGGTAGTCAATGCGAATGAGCTCTCGTACGTTGGAAGATAGAAATGACAGTTGAGGAAAGCAGCACTGTGTGAGGATGCCCTGCAGTATGAGGGTTCGCTGCTTGGCTGGTGAAGCGGAGAATATGGACCAAATGTGTGCTATAGCTTGCTGATCAGCCTGTGTCAAGTCTTCAAGTTCCTGCGACCCATTAGCTATTGCTGTGCCTGATGGTGGTGATCAAGACTTACATGCTGCAGCTGATCCATGGATGGCTCATTGGCAGATCTTCGGCATTTCAAATCTGGTCTGTGCCGGTAGCAATACTTCGTGTTGGGATTCTTCGCGTTCCGTATCAGTGGTGAATGTGCTCCGATCCGCGCATATTGGCTAGGTATGTGTTTTGCCAGGAAGGGTGCCACTGTCTCGTCGGCCTGCTTCGAAACAGCAGAGATGGAGATATTGCTTTTTTCATCATTGCAGCTATCGGTCACGGCACTTGAGTTTGGTGGATGATTATTGAAAATTGAAGAGGCTTCGTGTGATTGCGAGTGAAGCGCAAAGTTGCTTTCAGGGAGCGAGATCTTCCTTCTTTTAGGCGGTGATTCCAACATGAAGCCGGTATTGAAGAGTAGTAGAAAGAAAACAATTTACGGCGGTATGAATAGTCTCTTGAATCCGATGTAAGGCCACATTTGCAGGGGCTACTTGACTCGGTGATTTATGTTGCGACGTATTTGGACCGGTCTTCGCTCAGGTTCGATGGCAACCGATGGCGTGCGAAGGCGAGAGCCGCATGCTGACCAGGGAAATGTGTTCACGGAATGCTTTAAAAGCGCTAGCTGAGCGTCGTTAATGAAGCAAGAGTGACCTGATTGTGAGGTGAGCTTCCAAGAAGTCCAGCATCTGATGTGTGACCGGTATCAATGTGGTATCCCCTCCCCTCCTCGATTCTTTGGACAGGAGCTGCAAGATCGGACCACCTTTATCTTAGCGAGCGAAGCCGAATCCGGCAATCAGGCTTGGCGCTTTCGGATCTACCCGGGCATTATGCAATGGGGGAGCAATTTCTTGAATGATGACGGGCATTCACATATACCTACACACTATCAATCATAGAAATTGTAGCATAGTATGTCATCTGCTTCATCCGCCTCGAGCTCAAGCTCAGTGCGCCCTTCGACTCCAGGTCCAAACAGTCCAAACGCGCTCGAGACTCTCCTCCCCTTCCTCTTAGCCTCCAAGCGTTCTCTGTCCACCGTCGAACATGTTTATCGCGCTAACGACATCTGCGCATCCACGCGCACAGCTTTAGAAAAGTCTGCCATAGTGACAGCTCGGACAAGCTTCCTGCGGAGCGGTGTCGCTTCCCAACTCAATGTCTTGCAGAAAGTGTGGCAGCAGACGGAGAGCACAGCAGCGCACGTCACGGCCGAATATCAGGATGTGCTGGCATCGCTTGACGAGGCAGAGACTAGGCTCAGAAACACGTTGTCTTCGCTTCAGGAAACGGTGGTGGAGGCGAAGCTGAGACCGGTAGATGAAGCACCAAGGAGCTTGTTGGATTTTGTGGATGAGTCAGGTGTTGAGGGTCTGGTGACATCCATTCGAGCTGATCTGAAAGAGTCTGGGAAAGGTTTCGAGGAGTTCCAAAAGGATAACAAAGGGTTTGAGAATGAGGTGCAGAAGGTAAAAGGCATACTAGACAAGCAGCAGCGTTCTGGAGACAGCCAGAGCGCGGACGATTTGAATACGGGTGTGGATCATCTACCTGAAGTACTAGCGGACATGGAAGAGCTTGCGAGAGAAATGGCCGTCAATTTAGAAAGTCTTGTGAGTCATTTTGATCTATGTGTTACAGCTATTAAGCACACGGAGGGCGGCGGAGATGCCGCCGTGAAGATCGCAGGCGATCTGCCTCACGGCGTGGAGGTCGGGCAACACCCTCAAGAGGCGCCATCGGAGCTGATCAGCGATGAACAGCGAGGAGAAATGATGAGAGTCTTGAGAGAAGACGCGGACCAAGTTTCAGAGGTGGTCTTGGAAATTGAGAGCCATAGCACGCAGATAGTAATCCTGTCTCAGGGCGTCGAGGCCCTAACAGCGTCATTGTTTCAGAGATCAAGGGAAATCAATGACGCTTTCAAGCTGCTCGAAAATCTTGGCCACCGACTGCCAAACCACATTACTCGAAGTCAAGCGTACCAAATTCGATGGGACGGGGAGCAGACCCGGATTGTGGCCCGGATGGAGGAGTTGGAAAATGCGAAGAGCTTTTACGACGACTTTTTCAGGGCGTACCACAACCTTATCATTGAGATCGGTCGACGCAAAACGCTAGAGTCAAAGCGTAACCAAATAATTGAAGAAGCTCGGTCCAAGCTTGAGCAATTATATGAGGAAGACGTAGCGGACAGAGAAGAGTTCAAGAATGAGCATGGGCAGTTTATCCCCGTCGACATATGGCCAGGATTACTTGACTTACCTGGTCGTTTCCTCATCGAGCCCGAAGATGCGGTCGTAGAAACGGTGCCCGACATATCGAAGTCTGTTATTCACAAAGCCATCCGGCGTGTCCATGGATAACAGTGCGGTCGATCCAACAAAATTGCTCAGAATACGGTCGTTCTTAGCAAGGCTCGTAGAGTCTATAGAATTCGATTAGCTAGGCATTCTGGACGAGATAAGAGTTGAAATGATTAGGAAACATGTCATATTCAGTGCTCTCTTTTGTCTGCAGCGCCAAGATTGACTGTCTTTGCGTGACCTACATCACTAACCATGTTCCTCTGAAGAACGCTGCGTTAGTTGATAGGATATGATAAGTTCAAGTGTATGAGTTCATCAGGAGGCTTCAGTAACAAGGAAACATCTGACCAACTTACCAGCGCGAGTGAAGAACACTTGACCAATTGTCTGGTTTCAGCAGATTGAGCAAGATCATTCCGTCAATTGATAATGCCTATTTGTGTTTGTGCCTTGTGGAGCTTTTGATCATCTTCTTCTTGACATGTTTGGGTATTTTGGTCTCTCGTTGGGCTCGCTTCTCTTCCTTGACTTGTTGCTTATGCTCCTTTCTTACGTCCTTTTCGATGAAACGCTTACCCCTCGGTCTTTCTTTGTCGAATTCGATATGGTCTTGCTTCGTAGATTCCGAATCGCTGTCAGAAAGATCGGACCTATCAGAAACTGCTTCATGCTCGTAGTCCTTGCTAATCTTGTCTGCAAGCAGGCCGCCATAGACTAGACTGCCTTGACTTCCCTCGGCAACTTCATTTGCGTCACGTTCCACATCATATACTTGCTCGAGCGTCTGCGGCATATATTGGTTACGAAAGACTTCTTGATCAACATCGGCATTCCCAGTTTCAGAATCATCGTTGTTCCTGGCTGCGTAAAGGGTGTCAAGAGAGGCGGCAATGCAGTCATTGTCCATAGATCCCTCGACGGCAGTCACAAAACCGAAAACCGCTTTTTCCGACAAAGTTTCGACGCCTTGCTTGCGGAAGTATTCGGTAACATTTTTGATGTCCATTCGAAGAAATTCAAGGCTTCGAGGATGATCATGCTCGACGCTTTGACTAACATCAATGAGATATAATTGATCGTCATGACACAAAATATTGTACTCGCTGAGATCGGCATGCACCAGCCTACAAGTCTGGAATAGCATCCGTATATAGCGCAGTAGCTGCAAATACAATGCCTTCCAACGAGTTTCAACATCATCTCCCACCAGCTCGACATCTTTCAACCTAGGGGCTGGTGTACCTTTGCTGTTACCCAAGAAGCCCATCACAAGCACATGGAGACGTAGTTGCACTGGTTCAGGACATGGAATCCCAGCAGCATAGATTCTTTTGAGATTCCTGAACTCTTTCTCTGCCCAAACCTTGACCATTGCCCGATTATTGCTCTTATTGTAACCCGACTTGAATCTGTACTCGCCTGTCACGTACTTGTCCCTATCCTTGAAAACAAGTATGCTCGTTTTGAAGACTTTTATTGCTCTCTGTGTGCAGATGGAGCTAGCATTCTGATCATCATTTGGGAGAGTAGAAAATGCATGATAGACGTTTGCTTCTTTACCAGTCGAGATACAGCCATTTACCTCCGATACCGTATTGCGGTTGATCATCTGCAAGAGAATCATCCTCGTCCTCGGATCAAGAACTTGCTCATTCGTAGCTCTATCGCTCTTTTCCGCACCTCTGCTACGGACAGCCCCAAGGCCAGACTGCTGATTGTCCAGCCTAATTTTGGCAGCATGTCGAGACAGAGATGATACTTGATCGTCTATTGAGGCGATCGTGTTGGCGGTTGGCTTTTGGGGATTGGCTTTTGGGAAGGAAGACTTTGGAGCTTGGGGATCAGCGGCGGTCTCTTGTAGGCGTCTTTGCCTGTTATAGATCTTTGTGAAGTCAGATGAGTCATGAGAAGCAAGATACTCGTCGTCGACATCCTCGTCTGCAAATACATCCTCTAGATCCTCATCTGTCTCTTTCAGATCGTCTGTGATGACATTCGACTTGGATACCTGTGAAGGGTCACCATCGTATATCTCATACCCCTGCCCAGGAACGAATCTATAAGGAGGTTCGTGGGCCGCTGTTGGCTCTGCAGAATTTGCCATAATTTATAAGGTGCGAAAAATATTTCAGACTGAGGATACTCGCCAAATGTTATGACTATATTCGCAAAGCACGCTAGCCATGCCAGCGGCTGAACTCTGGCTGAAGCGCGTCGCTGCGCGAAACATTCAAATATACGGGCAGTCTCAAGTCATTTGATGCACTCCATATATCGATAAGAGAGGCTTCTTCACTCATGGCACATCGATCGCCATCGAAAGTTCCTTGGTAAAAAGTCACCTTCGCCCATCATGTACATCAAACAAGTCATCATTCAAGGATTCAAAAGGTTGGGCACCCGTAAGACATTGCATCACCGTGAATACCTACTGACGCGCAATTAAGCTATAAAGAGCAGACGGTGATAGAGCCGTTTTCGCCCAAGCACAATGTCATCGTAGGGCGCAATGGCTCTGGCAAAAGCAATTTTTTTGCCGCGATTCGCTTCGTCCTGGGTGATGCATACACACAGATGGGGCGCGAGGAGCGCAATGCGCTGCTCCATGTGAGTCCACAATCTTGCTTGGTCTAGCCAGATGCTTATTCATTCAAAGGAAGGTACAGGCGCGGCCGTCATGTCTGCTTTCGTAGAGATCATATTCGACAATAGCGATGATAGATTCCCGACAGGCAAGCCTGAATTAATACTACGAAGAACGATTGGTATGAAAAAGGACGAGTATACACTTGACAGAAAGAATGCCACAAAGTCAGACGTTATGAACCTCCTTGAATCTGCTGGTTTCTCTCGATCGAACCCTTACTACATTGTGCCTCAGGGTAGAGTCACTGCACTGACGAATATGAAGGATGGGGAAAGGTTAAACCTACTGAAGGAAGTTGCAGGCACGCAAGTATATGAAGCAAGGAGACAAGAGTCGCTAAAGATCATGCATGACACGAAAAACAAGAGGGAGAAGATTGATGAACTCCTACAGTATATTAGATCAAGGCTTTCTGAGCTTGAAGAGGAGAAGGAGGAGCTCAAGCAATTTCAGGAACAAGACAAGGAGCGACGATGCCTGCAGTATACGATTGACCATCGGGAACAAGAGGCAATCTCTACTGAACTGGAGGCTCTTGACGAGAAACGTCAATACGGTGTTGACAATAATGATGATAGCTCAGCGCGTTTCGTTCAAGGAGAGCAAGAGCTTGCAGAGATCAACGCTCAAATGAGCGAGCTAAGACAGCAGGTCGAATTGTTGAGAGTAGACAGAATACAGCTAGAATCGGAGCGCAAAGAAGCGGCAAAACTGAAGGCAAAGGCAGAACTAGAGGTCAAGAATATGGCCGATGGCCAGACTGCCGCCCAGCAGGCCAGGACAGAGTATGACAGCGAGCTTAAGCAAGTCAATAGCTCGATCACAGAACATGAGGGCAAACTTACAAAGCTTTTGCCTCAATATCATTCCAAACAAGAGGAAGAACGTTCGGCAAAGTTGGAGCTAGACAACGCGGAAGACTCTCGTCGCCGACTGTATGAGAAGCAAGGTCGCAACGCACGCTTTCGCAGCAAAAAGAGAGAGACGACTGGCTTCGAGATCAGCTTAACGCTAGCTATTCCCAATTAGCAAAAATAAAAGCTGTCCGGGTGCAGACTGCGGAAGATATCACCCAGTTAAACAAGGAGGTTGCAGATGAGGAAGTTGAAATTGGGCATTTGCGTCAGCAACTAGAAAACCGTGGACAGAGTGACGACGAAATCCAGAGGCAGGTAGACGAAGCCAAGCTTGCGCGTGACAAATTGATGGATGAACGCAAGGAATTGTGGAGAGAGGAGGCTAAGCTTAGTTCCATGATCTCCAATGCGCACTCAGAACTAAGGACAGCGGAAAAGGAGCTCTCAAAGACAATGGACTATAACACCAGCCGAGGTCTAGCAGCTGTACGAAAGGTCAAACAAAAATATAACCTTGCTGGTGTCTATGGCTCACTGGCAGAATTAATGGATGTCGACGAACGCTGGAGGACGGCGGTCGAGGTCACAGCGGGTCAAAGCCTCTTTCATTGCGTGGTCGATAATGACAACACTGCGTCAAAGGTCATTGAAATTCTGCAGAAGGAAAAACTTGGCCGACTTACGTTTATACCGCTCAATCGTGTCCACCCTAGGCCGAAGACGATGCCGAACGCCAATGATGCAATACCAATGATGTCAAAAATTCGTTTCGATAGTAAATATGAGAAGGCTTTTGAACAAGTCTTTGGCCAGACGGTGATCTGTCCCAGTCTCACAATTGCTGGTCAATATGCGCGAAGTCACGGCCTCAACGGCGTAACATTGGATGGTGACCGATCCGATCGAAAAGGTGCATTCAGTGGAGGCTCAACAGATTCGAGACGTTCAAGGCTTCAATCAGTGCGAAATGTCGCGAAATGGCGAGATGAGTGCGATGAACATGAGACTCGAGCAAACGAGGTCAAGCGTGCTTTGGAACGTAAAGACCAGGAGATCACGCAGGCTGTAGGGGCCCTTCAAAAGATCGAGCAGAAACGGAGTCAACAAGAAAGCAGCTACGGGCCGCTAAGGCAAGAAATCCGAAGCAAATCTGCTGGGCTCGACAACAAGAAGGATAATCTAGATAGGAAACAGCGTGCCAAAGCTAACATAGAGGCCAGCTTCAAGTCGCTGAATGATCAACAATCTGCACATGAGACGGAGATCGCGTCTGCTTTCAAGAAAGAACTCACCCAACAAGAAGAAGCTACTCTCGAAAGACTTAACTCCTCTGTTCAGGATCTCCGCCGTCAGTATTCTGAACTCTCTTCCGCACGCTCGAATCTCGAGTCTGAAAAAACTGTTCTCGAGATCGAACTCCGCGAGCACTTTCGCCCGCGACTCGACCAGCTCAAATCCCAAGACTTTGACTCCTCGGAATTTCGAGGTGGCAGTCGCCGAAGCAATACCCTCAAGCAAGCCCAATCCACACTCTCCCGACTTTCCAAGGCCCTCTCAACCATTGAATCCAAACTCCAAGAAACCGTCTCCCAGATCGAAAACACCACCACCAACGTCTCCGCCCTCACAACCCAACACACCGAGATCATGACAACCCAATCCGACATCGCCAAAACGATTGAGACACAACAAAAGCGCATGGAAAAATCCATCCAAAAGAGACGCATTCTGACCGCCCAAGCCGCCGACGTCTCCGCTCGAGTCCGCGACCTCGGCATCCTCCCCCACGGCGCCCTCGAAAAATTCGGCAAGACAAAATCTGACGCCCTCGTCAAGCGCCTGCACAAAGTCAATGAGAGCCTGAAGAAATACGGGCACGTGAATAAGAAGGCGTTCGAGCAGTACAACAATTTCACGCAGCAGAGGGAGACGCTGACGAAGCGGCGCGAGGAGATGGATAGTGGCAATGTGAGTATTGAGGAGTTGATCCAGGTTCTGGATCAGAGGAAGGATGAGGCGATTGAGAGGACGTTCAAGCAGGTCAGTAGGGAGTTTGCAGGGGTCTTTGAGAAGTTGGTTCCCGCGGGGAGGGGCAGGTTGGTTATTCAGCGGAAAGCGGATAAGAGGGGGAATGTGGAGGAGGAAGAAAGTGATGATGAGGGGCGCGACGGGAAGGGGGGTAAAGGGAGCGGTGTGGAGAATTATACCGGTGTGGGTATCAGCGTAAGCTTCAATAGCAAGCATGATGATCAGCAGCGTATCCAGCAATTGAGCGGAGGGCAGAAGAGTGAGTCCATTCCCCTTTGCCTCCCCCATTACCCTTCCTTGCCTCAGACACGTGCAACGAGGGGAATCCCTGTGCTGATGTATTGAAAACAGGTCTATGCGCCCTCGCCCTCGTTTTCGCAATCCAACAATGTGACCCCGCGCCCTTCTACCTCTTCGACGAAATCGACGCCAATCTCGACGCCCAGTACCGTACCGCTGTCGCCAACATGCTCAAAGACATCGCGGAGCGCTCGTCCCAGACTCAGAACGGCACGCAGAATGGCGAGGGGGACGGTATTGGAGGCGGCCAGTTCATTTGCACGACTTTCAGACCGGAGATGTTGCTTGTGGCGGAGAAGTGCTATGGGGTTCGGTATTTGGGGAATAAGAGTAGTAGTGTGGTGGTGGTAGGGAAGGATGAGGCGTTGAAATTTGTGGAGGGGGAGAAGCAGTAGGGGGGTGGAGATAGGGGGGGAGAGAAAGGGGGCCGGGGGCGGGCGTGTTTGGGGAATTGTCAATATGGATAGGGGTGGAGAGGAACAGCATGGTGTTTACGGACATGGTACTTCGACTTTCCATCTCGGAGGATCTAGCGATGATATTTAATGCGAAATGCGTATAGGGGAATCGGCTTCCGAGAGCTCTAATGAATCCATATGTACAAAATAAAGGGAAGCACTTCACTTCATTGTTATTACAGTTTGTAATGCCTTCAGTTCTTTACGTATTAATTCCAACAGGGGTGCAGACAGAGGGGAGAGACGTAGATACTGTTCTCTACGAGAGAATCCCTTCACTTGTGGCTATTCACAATGGAAGCGTTTCTCGGCTAACATGCTACTTCTGTGGTTTGTATTCATTTTAGGTCATATCAAATTCTAGGAGAATTTCCAGATTAAGGTACCATGATTCTTATATACATAGACATGGTTCCGACAGCCTGGCCCAGAAGAACATCATGACACTTTTCAAAAAGGCCTTTACATGATTAAAGCTCATCGATCTTGAACTTTTCATACCCTAAGCGGTCCTGGATAGTGGTGAATTATTTTAAATCTCACTCCTTCTTACGCCCTCGCCTCCTTTTATACCAACATTCCTCCGAGTAAGCTATGCCCCACACACGCATACATTACAACTCAGAATTCAGAATAAGGAGGAGGCATCGTCGGATCATCATCCACTTGCTCTACTTGCAATTCTAGGTTTCCAACTTCTTTCCATAATGTTTCCACTGATTTAGAGTCAACGGCCGTGGCATGCGCCTCTTCCTTGTCGTCCAATAGAGACATTTTCGATGTTGTAGCGGAAGACTGTGACGCTTGGCCGACAAGGAGCCCTAGTTGTTCAATCCGCAGCTCAAGTCTCTTTTCAAAAGGATGTGACGGGCCGAGACCTTCGCCACCTATTCTACCCAATAATTTCTGAAGATCCTGACAAGCAACCAAGGCTTCGGGATACTTGTGTTCTGCTTCGTAGCATTTCACGAGATACCACATTGCAAGAATGCGGTCCGGATGTTCGCCGTCATCTAATGCTGCAGCTTCATCTCGAGGTCGATGAATGATTTCCAGAAACATCGTCTCTGCTTCCTTGTGCCGCTTCTGGCGGGCAAGCATCTGGGCGAGATGGGTCTTACCCATCAATGTGCCGAAATGATTCTCCCCTAGGACCCGTACGGCAACTGGCACGGTCTCGCGAAGCAGCTGTTCTGCATCTTTAAGATCACCCAGAGCGCTTTTAATGCGAGCTAGATCGCACTTGGCGAGGAGAGTCCAAGGTTGCTCTTTGCCGAGTTTCTTACTTCGCTCGACGAGCACCTCAACCATCAGCTCATGCGCAATGTGTGGTCGTTCATCGGTTGGGCGGACAAGATTGCCCAAAATGTCGATATGTGCCAAGGCAAGACACTCTTTGGCGAAAAGGGTTTTTTCGTGGGTTCCCCCAATGTTCTCGCATTCTGTTAGGCCATCAACTGCTTGTTGATGTAGTATCCTAGCTTCATCGTATTCATTATATCTCCACATGACTCTTCCGAGATTATCAATCGCGACCAATGTGTCTTCGTGTGCGGGTCCCAACAGATTCCTCAGCCCACTGATAGCTTTCTGGTGTAATTCCTTGGCCTCATGAAACCGAGCCTGGGCGCAACGACTTGCCCCGAGAAAGTCCATATCCTTGAATATCTGATGGTGATCATCTCCAAGTGAGGAGTCGTGTGCGGCTAGAACTTCTTCTTGCAATTCCGCAGCCTTGTTGGTCCGCATTTGATGCCAATAAGTGTTTGCAAGGGCAAGAGTGGTGAGCCTGCCTAGAGGATGACTCATGCCTAGATTCTCGCAAATAAATCGCTGAACTTTGACCTGCAAAACTTCGGCATCATCAAAAAGCCCGTTCTGAAAGTACACCCAGCTAAATTTAGCCAATTGCCAGATTTGTCTTTCACCAAAATAGGGGCCAGCGAGAGGTAGAGGTTTCCGGCGACTTAAGCGGTTCTGTTGTATTCGAGCATAGATTTCGTCCCGGTATTTTCGTACGTGACGAACATGAGGCAATAGGTGTCGCCTTAGTGATTCTGCAGAAGCCACAGCATCGAGTGGAGGCAGTAGAATAGATCGGGTTAAGATCGTGATCGCAGCTTCGCACCAGATTGCTTGATCTCCTGTGCTCATCTCGGGTCTCTCCCGAATCCACGTGTGTATTAAAGGGTGCATAGAATAACTTTGTCGGTCTTGTTGATAGCTAATGAGCGATACTTGGCTAAGCTGGTCTAGTGCCTGCGTCAAACGATCCTCATCAAAATGGTTGTCTTTATCATCTCTTATGACTGCCGGAAGCACTATACCGCAACGTAATCAGTGGGGTTTTTTTTGGGCAAATCAGTTTCAGAGGAACACAGAGGCAAGGACGATACATTGTAAGGCAATCATTTGGGCAGATCGAGTTGTGGTAATGACAATACGTAGACGGGTAAAGACCCTTAATTGACTTACCAGGCCTACTGCGATCTTTCCGTATCTCAATGATCGCCCATGTAATCCATTCTTTCAAAGACCGCACCAAAGGGCGTCTCATGGATGCTCGACGTTGGAGTGACTGTTTTTTAGATTTCTTCTCAGTTGCTTGTCTTTTATGCTCGTTTTCTAATCGTGGATGCGTCACCGCTGCAATCAGAAAATCCAATCGTATTTCCTCGTTCGACATGAATGAGAAAACCTTGAGCAAATCAAGAGCATCTTGGGCAGCGGTTGTATGAGCATCTTCAAACCCTTCGGAAAGTATCTCATAGCTTGAATAGACATTCATATGAAACATATCATTCTTTCCATGATATTGATGTGCGGCTTTGCTGGCGATCCGGATTCTCTCCCAACTCCTGTGGTAAAAATCGAGGTACCGGTCGAGCGAGCAGAGGCGCTTCATGACGGCTTTTCCGGCTTGGACGAGGGCCAAGGGTAGATATGACAATCCACGTGCGATTCTTGTTGCCGATTTCAAAGCAGACGGTGTCCTTGATTCGCAGGCTGTCCTAAGAATGAGCTCAATGGCTGCATCTTCATCAAGTTTCTCGAACACGTAAAAGCGCTTGCCGAAAGTGCCATGTACCCTAGACAAATCTCGAAGTCAGCCAACTTCAGCTTTGTGGAAGTTTTCGTTCCATGGATTACCTATTGTTTGGATTGCGAGTGGTGATTAGTATAACGCCTCTCTCGCCTCCAGGAAAAAGATCTTCGAGATCCATGCCAGGGTTATCAGCATTATCAATGATCAAGAGCCATGGTTTATCGAGTTCGGTTAGGAAATTCTTTGCTGCTGCCTCGCTGGGCTCTCGTCCTACATTTTTTGCGATACTCGAATACGTGTGCTTTGCGCTCTCCTTAGAGCTAGCGTTGATGTAGAAAACGCCCCAAAAGCTGGTATGTAGTCAGTTTCAGCAATACTTATCTATCTAGGCCGGCCGTCTTGCCTTTGCCTGTTATCCTGCGCAAATTTGCAGCAGAATTCTGTCTTGCCCGACCCTCCTTTACGTGGATCAAATTAGCGATCTGATGCTTCTGTCCAGTGAGGTAATATATGGAAAGAAATGCACAAGCTAGCAACATACCTAAGCCGTAAATCACGAAGCGTTTCTGCTGGTTCTGTTCATCTTGGTTTGCAGGGTCCACGTCACCCCTCAATTCCTTCAACAACTTCTCTCTACCAGTGAAGACGCTGCTAACAGCGCGAGGAATATCGAAGTACCTGTTTAGTGGCGCTTTCGAAGCTACCCCCGTAGCAATTTTGATAGCATCGCGGATGGGGCCCTCGCCGATGAATTCGAGGCTGTTTCGTAAAGATGTGAGTTCGCTCTGGAGTTGAAAGCCCAAGGACTCCATCTTGTTGGAGAGATGTTCTAAAGATACATCGGTTGAATTCTGCGATGTACGAGCATAGGCGAAATATAGCGCGGAAAGAAGGAGCTGAAGACTGCTTTTGAAGCTTGACAGTTGCTGTCGGATATCATCGACATCGGTCTCTTTCCCTTGTTTCCGCAGCACCTTCCGGACACCATCGCGCTTGCCTGTGACTTCTAGACCACCGTTTCCCACAATATCTTTGACGAGTGCCTGGAGCCTTTCCATAACAGAGTAGCAGCCTTTCAAGATTGAGCCAACGTTTTGCCAAAGCGTCGTGATCTGAGTATCATTGGATATCGAACCATTGTCTTCTGGCTTGTCCTGTGCATTCCATAGCGCTTGGATGGAGTTGTTAGCGGTCTCGATGGCTTTGACTTCTTTCGTTAAGTCTTTAAGTTCTTGCTCGATTTTACTTCTCGAAGAATTGAGATTGCTCAAATATGTGCCTACACGCCAGGAAACGTCAAGCAGGCCTACGGTGCCGGCCGCAATTGAAAATGGGTCGGCCATCGTAACGTTATCACGACCATCGGTCTCGCCCAGCTTAGTACAGCAATGAGGTCAATAATGTCGATTGCAAGCTCATGCAGAAGAAGAGGCGCTCCGATATCTTGAGATATATGGGCATCATCAGACTACGTTTCTGGCGGGGAATTGTGAGCATGCTGGGATACTAGGACTGTTTCAGAACACACAATTGAGCGAATCCAGATGAACAACCCTTTTTTGCAAGTTAGTTGGCAAGACACTCCTAGGTAGCACTATCGTCGAACGCGGCTGGTAATTTGCAAGGAACCAATCCTTTGCCAAGCTTCTGCACAACAGCGGAGGTGAAACAAATGAAATGATTGGTCAGAAAAAATGAGGTGATCCTGGCAGCTGAAGCTGCAAGTTGTCACGTTGCAGGCTGTTTGAATTGATAGAATCTGAAAGTCAGGTTCCGTACAGTATATCCGTGTAGATTGAGAGTGGTCGTAGTGCAAAGCGTGTCTTCCGTCAAGCACCATTCTTTATGAGATCGGGCTTGCTTTGAGCCGACCATCTCCACCCAGCAGGGCTGAGCAATCAGCTTGTTGGCGCAATTTGTGCAAAGTATATGGATACGATGAGAGCTGGAGGAGTACTTGATGGTGAAATGCGTATGTTCCTCACGAACCTGGAGGATCTGATTCTACAAGCCCAAGCCTCCTCAGCTCCCCAAAAAGGAAGATTTTTCGGCCTTGGCCAAAGGTCCATCAGTAGCATGTCTTTCAGTTGCTGCCTTGTGTGAAAAGCTATTTAGACCGTGGTATTGGAGAGAGACTGTTCAGACAATTTGCTTCAACATCTCGTAATTGTTCAGATATATTTGAAAGATGCAATTATCTTGGTAGTGGCCAATGGAAGCCCCACTAAGGGCCAATTTGATGGTCCGGCCCGTCAACCCTTTTCCTCACAATTGATCAACGAAGTCGAGCAAGGGGGATTTCTGAGCTGTAATAGAATTAGGGCAGGGAATTGTAATGATCACCGTTCATGTGATTGTAAGCTACCATAGACACTTCATATAAAGTCCTACAGTGAAATAGGGAGGCCAAGCATTTCCATTCAAGGTTATTCCATTATGTACTTATCAGCCATGGACTAACGTACAAGCATCCCTTGAACGCAAGCAAAGCCATGCGCTATGCTCCTTACTTCATCTCGACAGACTTCAGCGCAGGTGTGACTCGTCTCTACATGTCACTAGATTGCTGATCTGGTGTATATTGCGACGATGCCGCTAACGTCGTCGAATTCGATCTTTTCTCTGCGTTGCTGATAATTGATCAACAGTCAGTACCCCTTAGATAGCCATCAGACTTCATCTTCGATCTATCTGATCTCTTCAATAGATATAGGAAGACTCAAATTTGACGCCACTGGGAAGCATCATGCCGAAGTAGCCACGAAGATTGACTTAAGCTTTGCCATGACTCTTGCTGATCGCCAAATCTGCCTCGGCTTCAACGTGGATCTTTACATATCAAATCGTTTGTTTATGGCAGAACATTGCGAAGCTTAGGAACTCTTGGCAATGGTTGAGCATGGCGTCTTCACCCCAAAGGTAGCTTCATTGTAGCATTGTGGCATTTTATGTGGTGTGGAATATTCATGATTGTGTTGACGCTGATTATGGAGCTGCCTGAACACTCAATGGACCTGCATTGGACAATCCAGGTGGAAAGTGAAAGTATATTCTCGCGCTTGACTCAACTGCACGCATACGCACATGGGCAACTAAGAATCTCTTCTAGGCCAGACGAATTAGTGATCAAGGTATGCCAAGCCCGCCGATGTCGGTGTCTACCCAAAACAAGCTTTATTCGAGCGTCTTTAGGCTTCCCGCGGTGGTTGAGATTACTGACGAATCAAATTGCAAGCGCCACCTCTTGAAAAAGTGGGTCTGATAGTGGGGCGATGGTGGGGCACCTTTTTCACGCTAATGTGAGGGGTCGGGAGATTTTCTTGACAGCCGCTGGAGACTTGCGGATGGATATTGTCCTTCTGCTGTTTCGCTATCGGATTCCTCAGATCTCCAATCAAATACCATGCGTCCGTGCATGTGCCTCTGCATTAATGGAAGTCACTGAACGGGATTGTCGGATTCATTTCGGGGCGGAAAACAACTCCCACCAGACGCTGCTTTTTCATGCTGCAAGATGAAGCACCTCATCGTATGCGAGACATTTCGGCAGCGTCAGGAATGCTAGTGAAACGCATATCGCCAACTTGCGTGGGCGATCATGCACAAGACGAATCTGTTATCTCTAAGCCTTCTTAGGCCTGTGGGATGGCGTCGATGCGCTTATAAAGATCGAAGCAACATTTGTGGGGCCATTCCGAGTCTGCTTTCGTAAAGGGCCTCACAAAAGGGTAGGAAGTGTCCGCAAACCTAATGGCGGAAGAACGAGGTGGTGTAAAGGTGGGAGGGACGGCGACCACCTCTAAATATGCCGCCGTCTACAAACGAAAGTCGAATCTTCATTTGCCCCATTCAATGATGAAGGATGGACATTGATCCATATGCAATTCATGGTACTGGAGGACAAAGATCAAGATTGGCCCCCATCCGACGGACTTTGCCCATAGACTTTTATGCAATTCATGGCACTGAAGGACCGAGATCGAAAATGGCTCACATCCGACGTCTGGGCTCGTGGTTGCTTTCGGTCCTTCCTCCCAGATAATCGAGATCTCTGATGAGGAGAGGCCCAAACTCAAGAGTGCGGAGAAAGCTCCCCTCAAAGTACCAACATAGACTTCACCACCATATCAAGTGGTGGTACCTAGAGTTGTCTACATCTAAGGAACCAAATAATGCTGTTTGACGGGCTGGAAGCCTTTTTGTATAGTGGTCGTACTCCTTCCCACCATTGACGATCATCAACCGTAAATGGAACCTTGTTCTTGATACAATAGTGCGGCTAAAGAGGATGCACATCGAAGTGTAACTCAAGAGCATTTCTTGTGTGGGGGAAAGTCTCTCGCTTAAAGGCTTCAGAGGGGTGATTGGTGTCAAATGCTTGATAGTTGATAGAGAGCCGTTTGATCGGCGGCTGCTTAGATAACAGGTTCCAGGACGGATAAGAAAAGCACGCCATTCTCCTGTGCTGATGTGAGTAATATGAAGCCCCGCCGCGCCGCCAACAATGCCCTGATCCAGTATGGTCGGGCGATTGCGAGAGGGAGGAGCGGTGTGGATCGCCAGGTCCGCCCCCAGTCCAGCAGGCATGCTCGTCCAAACTAGAGCTGACGAACACCTGGGGCGGAGGCATCGTCGGTGGACTTGGCCAGATTTATAGTAGTCTGGGCAGGACGGCTCCTCCAGGTGGAACATGCATGATACCGATGCCGTTGCAAAGGACGGCTTGCTGCAGCAACGTTTTTAAGTTGGTGTTAGTGGCGCATAGCAAATTGGACAAATGCTATGCAGAAACGTGCAGGATCGTTGAGCTGACAAGTGATAATACTGCAGGGGGGAATTGGAGGGATTGGAGGGAATATCTGTGCGGGCAGACGCTGAGGTGATTGGTCTCTCGCTTGGTGATCCCGAGTAGCCTTCTGGCATCCCGGACAATATGGCTGATAGACCGTGATAGCTCCTCCAGTGGCGGTAAACTAGGGAGAATACTAGAAATTAAACGTCTTATCTATTCTTATTCTTGCTTTCCAAGCTTCAGCTCGTTCCCAGACCTTGAAAGACCTGCATGGGTTCCTTGTACCACCTCACAATCCAACCCGCCAGTTGTGGACCATCAAATTCTGGCGGCCGCACTAGTGCCACTTCCTCCACCAGCACTTTGGCTGCAACCAGCTCAACCTTTTCACGCTGCCACCATGCATCGTTGATTTTGGACTACACCCTGTGGCACCCTCATCTTCACCTTCTGCTACACCAGCATTCTATTTCGTTTCGTAGCAGGTCTTTGCTTTGCCCTGCTTTGGCGTCAGCGTCTCTTGTCCGTTTTGTTTTCTTTGTTTGCGGGACGCACCGGAGAGCTCAACGAAGAATCCTAGACGAAGCCTCTGAGATTATTCTCAGCTTCAGGATCTATCAGCCACTGTGCTCACTGCAATCTTCCAACACGGGCATCTCAAGGAGTGGCTATTGTCGTTTGTCATTGTCTCGACCCTAGAAATTGCTCGGGCAATCATTCACTGCGTTGGCTCGTCTTTGTTATTCGTTCTGAAAACACCAGAGCGACCCATACCAACTGTGAGTAAAGCCCTGCACTCGACCTTCATTCACTTCAGCGATCAACGCTATCCCGTCCGAGATGAAAGGCTAACCCTCATGATTGCGTAGCTGTCGACCGGAACGCCCATCGGTCTCTCGAAAGAGCAGCCCACGTTCACAAATGACATCTCCTCCTTGATCCTCATCTTGTAGCAGTACCATCCCTTTCTCTCTCTACTGCCGTCTACATGCCGTACACTCCACCGTCGCATCGATCTCCCGCTGCCTCACAATCCGGTACCCCACCCTTAAGAGTCTCCACCCAAACAGCCACAGGAAGTCAAAACGAGAACAATTTAAGCCATGGCTCTAGACCAAGTCCATCCAGGTCTACATCCCAGGCCTATCTACATAAGCACCGTCGGAGCCCCTCCGTGTCGAAGCCAACAGCTGCTCTTGCAGGACAGGCAACGTCGGAAACGAATGGCTTAGACTCTCAATATTCTCATGCTCAGGAATTTGGTGACAGCTCAACCTCTCTGGCTCACCATACCCATTCAAAAAATTCAGGCATAAATGGTTTGGGCGGCGGAACTGAGTCCCCTGCGTCTTCAGGTGATGAAGAGTCGGCCCATAGGGGCTGGTCGAGTGACGCAAAGAGCCTTGCTGAGCTTCATGCTGCAATTAGAGGCATAGACATTCATCGACAGGGATCGCCAGAGCCAGAAGAAGGACAATCCCGCGCTGATACAATGTCCAAGCCTACAAAGCCCAGCCTGAACCAACCAGCAGACGTCAAAGTCTCGGACTCTATACTACCTCACACACCACCCCTCTCATCCGGTGCTCGGAAGATCTCGCATTCGCGCTCAACTACCGATGCAAGTGCGTTCTTCGATTTTCCAAGAAACAAAATGGACTCTCCCGCACCCAGTGAGTCAGAAGACGGTGAAGATGAAGATGACCTTGAGATGAAACCGTGTTTGCTTCGAAAAAAATCTGGAGAGCTTGTACGACCAGCACTGAGACCGGCTGCTAAGAGGAGGCCTTCTAGCATGCCTGGAACGCCCACTTATTCCAAGAATGTCCATTTTCAAGAAACTAGTCTCGAGCATGTGCGTCATTTCCTACAAGTGGATCGACCCATTGCTGTGAGTGCAGGCACATCGCCTGTTTCGATCCACGATGAGGATAGTGAGTTTCCTTTTGGAGGCCCTGATGCTCAGAGCGTTAGTCCACCTTATGACTGGGAGATAAGGCTTCCTAATTTCCCCCGCGACACGATTGAGAGAGAAGCACGTCTGCTTCGCACGGAAAAGGTATTTCTATCAGCTGATAAGAAAAATCTGTTGGGTGATGTAGTCGTCCGTAACATCGCATTTCACAAACTTGTCCTCATGCGTTTCACCTTGGACTACTGGAAAACTACATCTGAAGTCAAGGCAGAGTACAATAAAGATATTCGGAAGAAACCAGCTAATGCAGGATGTGATATCTTCACCTTTGAGATCAAACTTGAAGATTTGGCCAATTTGGAGAATAGGACTATGTTGTTTTGTGTCAGATATGCCGTTGATGGGCATGAATATTGGGACAATAACGACTCGATGAATTATCAAGTTGACTTTTCAAAACAATCCAAAGGCGAGGACGGAAAGCAAGGCTCACAACCTGCCAGCAGCAGGCCACTGAACGGAATGCCTCGTAATAAATCAGCCCAGCCAAGGCCCCGAAGCATGCCTTCATTTGACGACTTTGGGAGCTATACTGCTCCATTCGATTTCGGATCATTCCCACAGCCAAACGCCATGGTCGGAGAATCACCTATTCGCTTTAAGAACCGACCGCCGGCAAAAGAGCTCGTCCCAGATGCGCCTGCAAAGCCCAGGCAACAAGGGAACCAACAGGCTTTCAGCACCCGCTATGACTTCGGAGCCTCTCTTTCTGCGGCAATCCAATCAGGATCCAACACCATGCCTACGGCGCTGCCACCTAAAGGTGGTCCTTCGCCATTCCAGAGCCAAGGATTGGGACCTGGCAATGGAGGAGAGCAGAAAGTCAAAGCTGCACCTAGCAAAGGACTCTCTAAACCCACAGCGTTGGTCGCTGGAAAACCTTCCTTAAAATCCTCGTCATATGATGAACTAATTAACAAATATTGCTTCGTACGTTCCCGGCCTTCTGACCAGAAAAAGGAGGATAGAGGACTTGCTCGCTAACCGTTCTTGCGCTTACAGTTTGGATCTTGCAAACCAATTTCGCAGCCTCGAGTTGAGGACGAAAAAGACAATAAATCCGAGCCCCCAACGATCGTCCATGCAAGTAGTACATCAAGTCCTCCTTCTGAGGCGAGCTCGACGTCGACCAAAGCAACTGGTTCTGCGAGCCCATCACCTCCACGTGCTGCATCACCATCGGCAGAAATCAAAATTCCGGCGAAATCTTCGAATCCAGCGAGCTCAAGAGCCTCGAGGTCTGTTTCTCCCGCCATTGGAAGTGCTCTAGGCTCAAGATCTCATTCTCCCGGCTTCGGCTACCATTACAATCAGCATATGCAAGACAACTTTTTCCAGACACACACCCCCACTCCGATCCAGGGATGAATGTCACGACATTATCGACATGCCTATTACTAATGATCTATGCCTCATGGCCTCTTCGACAGCGTGCACGTCTTTGGTTCGACCTGCGTGACGAGAGCGACGGCTATGACGACTATGACGACTTATTTTGTTTCTTGATCTCGACTTTCGAGTATCTGCATCGTATGCGTGGTGTTCATCACGGAATTTAGGGAACGGAGAGGTATTCTCTCCACATAGAGGAGTTCGTGCATTTTTTCTTGTTGGATGGAGTTGGTCGGTCGGCATTATTACGGGCGGCAAAAGTGTATGCATTTCGTGCCAGCGATGGAGTTCAATTGTGAGCGGCATTCATTCCTTTTGAGCTGTCATTTCAACAGAGAAAAGCTTGTACTGCAAGCGAAGTCTCTGTTTTAGGAGTTGGCTAAGGCCTCTAAAGTGTGAAGGTCTATCTAGAGGAGTAAGATACGGTATCCCATGTGAATAGTGTGCCATAGATGAACGAGAATCCGACTCATACACCACTTTATGTCTTTGCTACATGGTGTCACATTATCGTTAGGTCTAACTAGAGTTCTGCCCAACTACTGTTCCTCGACTAGCTCTCCAGACCTTGTAAATCCGTTGGTAAAATACATATGGTCGCTCAGTCATTCATCATATCATCATCATCTCATAACACATCCAATATCTCAAAGCAAAGACATCAACGTTACTCCCCAACACCTCGCTTGCACCATCAAAATCCCACCCTAACTACGATAAAGCCTCGACGCCTCCAGCACCCTCATTCCCACCTCCACGGTTTCACAATCTTCAACCTCCCTATCTTCACAAACCTCACCGCCCGGATCTTATACCCCTTCGACAACGACTCGACATTCTTCTCCTCCCGCCGCACCGCCGTCTTCCCCACCAAATCTTCTGACAACCTCTCCTTCGTCTCCACAACCTCTCTTACCTCCGGTTCCGAGCGCCCGGCGACCAAACCACTCCCCTTCGCCTCTTCCCTCCTCACACGCATCTCATTCTCCAACTCCGCAAGCTCGTCCCGTAAGCCCAGCATATCGACGACAGGATCAACCTGCTTCTTCCCCAGCAGGAGGGAAATATCCGCGCCAGAGCGAATTAGCAGCTTGATAGTCTGCGCGCTCCACGTGATGAGGTCGACGCGGTTTGTGCCCCAGAAGTTGCGGTCGCCGAAGGCCGGGTCGCGGATCTGGAGGGTTTCGAGGTAGTGTGACCAGACGGTGTGGGCGAGGCCAGGGCAGGGTTCGTTGGGGTCGGCGCCGCTGGTGTTGAGGAGGGTTTTGACGACGTCGGTGCAGAGGCGGGAAGGGGGGAGGGATGTTAGCGCGATGTGCAGGGGGGAAGGTCTCGTGCTGCGGCTTGTGCTTTTGCGTTTTCGGTTTCTTGCGTGCTTTTGAAGGGGAGGTAGCCTGTGACGTTGTTTTTAAGGGCGATCTCGAGGAGCCAGCTTCGGTAGTATCCTTGGGCGAGATCGATGGTGCCCCATGTGCAGCCTAGTTGGAAGGATCCTTTGCTTCGGAGGGATATGACGATTGTCTCTAAGTGGGAAAAGAGCTTGTAATCTTGGCTGCCCTGAATCTCGAGCTGACGGGCATGATGCATGAAGGTGTCCAGCATCGACTCAAAGGATTCGAGGCGTTCGTCGGACAACGGTTTCGAGACCAAAAGTTTCATCTGTCGCATCTTGGAATTGCACATGAAGCGGTGAGGACTGAAGTCCTTGCCAGCGCGATCAAGGAGGACCATTTGCATGTCTCGCGTCTCGAAGAAGTCTCGAACGGTCCGGTGCAAGTATTGCAATCGCCCATTCCGATTGAATTCTAGCAAGTCTGTACATCGTGCTAGCACACGTATTTTGGTGTCTTCTTGCTTCTGCGCTATGGCATTCTTATTCCACTTCTCGGAGACAGGTGACAGAGCAAAGTCAGGAGCCGTCTCATCAAAATAGGACACATCCAAGGCGCTTAGGATACCGACTGAGCAAATGCGTATCAGATATAGCTTTGCGGCTTGTTCATGATAAACATCCTCCGCCGAGTCTAAGATGTGCCTGAAGAATGTCTCAAGATCTTTGGGTAGTGTACGGAGCCGCTTTCGGAGTTCAATCGCCGTATCGCGGTTAGTCAATCCTCGACGCAGAGACTGAACCACAAGAAAGACCCATAGGAATACGCCTTCTGCATTTTCCACAATCTCATTGATGAGATCATTATACATCTGAGGATCTCGCTTCGCAGCTTTGAAACCTGCAAGTTTCGCGGTGACGAAGCATTCCATGTCACCGCGGGTGAGATCGTGGAGTTCAATTTTCAGTCCGTCATTTTCGCCATACCTATTTCGAAAGACGATCCAGGGCCGGCTTGCAAAGCATACTTTGACAGCTTGGGATGATACTAGTTGGTCGATGACCTCAATGATCTCAACGTGATCCCCATCGTATTCGTCTAAACCATCGATGAAGAAGCAGAATCGTGCAGAGTCTATGTTTATTTTCTGTAAATATGTGACGGCCTGTTGAAGCTCTTTAAACGTCCAGCTATTACCGATCTCTTCAGACTCCCAGCGACAAGGTGATATAACGGGTATCAGAGAGGGACACTGTTTCACAATGTGGAATAGTAAAGTTTGCAGAAGTCCCTGCTGGGATTTCTGCATTGGTGATCCAGCATGCCAGAAGAAGTAGCTAGCAATGAGAAGCTTATTGCCAGCTGCCCATTGCCTCAATGCTGCTTGAGTTTTGTTGTGTTTGTAGAATAATTTCATCAATGTTGATTTTCCAGATCCTGCCTTGCCACTTACCCAATATATCCCGTTCTGAGATCGTAGCCAGTCAAGGATTGTGGTTACTTCATGGTCATTTGAACATTGAGGATCATCAAAAAGCCACTCAAAAGTGCTTGAATGTGCTTCTTTGATGCCCTCCTTTCTATCCCATATTGTTGTGAAGTATAGAGTCTCCATGAATTTAAGTTGCTTGCTAAGCAACTGTCCTTGGGAAGCTAGGTCGTAAAGCCGTCCTGGCAAATCAGCTGGGAGCTGCGGATACATTCTGGCTGCTTTGTCGTCATGCTTCTGTTGAACATCATTGTGGCCATTGTCTTGTATACTTTCGTCACGATGACCCGTCTTATTCTTCGTCTCATCAGATTCGGTTTTTTGCTCATCTGTGGTCTTGTTCTCCTGGCCGTTAGTCTTGTGTTTTTGCTCGTCAACCTTCCTCTTCTTTTCATTCAATTCTGTCTTCTCTGGCGGTTCGAGGAAGTTGTTCAGGCAGTTCACAACCTCTCTTCTCAATTTCTCCGGTTGATTAACGACTGCAACCTCTAGATTTCTGTGACTAGTCTTTAGCTTGTCTAGAAACGCAGCTACACAAGAGTGTTCTGCTTCAGCCTTCTTCCGGCTCGTGAGAATAATTGATTGTTTTTCGCTGCGTAAGGCCATGAGACAAAGTCCTCTTCCTGGCTATAGAAACTTACGTGAGTACCATTAACAGGCGAGTAGCTAGTGAAGACTGGTATGCAGCCAACTCTTGTTCATACTGCTTTATCTCGCGCTCCTTCGAGACGCCCCTTACGGCACGCCAAGCACTGCGCAACTTCCCACTTGATTGATCTACTTTCATTTCTTGGAGCAGTGAAATAAAGTCTTCGCCCTTCTTTTGACACTCTTGTGCCAAGGCGAGTAGTGACTTTTCCGACTGAGATGCCGACGTCTGGTCTATGCTTCCTTCGTTCTTTCCTAGTTCGACGCAAAGATTGGTGAGGTCTTTGGTGATAGTCTCTAGCACCCTGTTGGCTGATGTAGTACCATCGAGAGAGTTGTAGAGCTCAGAGGTATCATGAACGAGTTTCCCACCAAACTGCAGAAATTGGCATATGTTGGCCGCTAGTCCAAGTGCTGCTAGGGATTCCATAGCTATCAAACATTCAAAGTATGCTCAACTTTGGGGTAGACCAATCTCAAAAGAATGCAGTTGAAAAAATTGCTCGCAATTGCCCCATCGCATGAACAGCAGTGGGGAAAGCTCACAACTTGTCTCATATGCAAAACTGGTGTTGATGGCGAAGGTCTGAACGCACGAGGCAGATTCCATGATTCAAGGTACGAGGCTACTACCGACCAGCCTACCTCAGCCCCAGTCCATATAGAATTAGTAAGAATGGCGACCCAATCATCCTCACTATCGCTCAGGCTTAGCTTCTAGCATACCTGCTAAGCGGTCGTCTGAATCACATTGTGGCGACTGTCAGGCACACTTAATCCTTGACTCGAAGGTGTGTGATCAAGAGCAAGACAGGCAAGCACGACAGAGCCCTTTACCCTCTCGGCTTTAACGGACATAACCAAAAATGACATCTCTCCCGAGAGTCGGACATGAATTACCTCGCCCTCCAAGCCTCGCAAACCCAACCAGATGTCTCACAGTAAGCTGCTTTTCCTCTTCACCACTACGCTATCCTCCAATCAGCCACTTAAGTCAAAATTCCACTCGTTCCAGCATACTGACTCACAACAGGCAAACGCAATACCTCCCTGGCATTCTTCACCTCGCACGAGCGCTCCCTCCTAAAGACAACATGGGGGTCCCAATCCACGCGTCTGACCCGCGACTCCTTCCTCCCCTTCGCCTCCTGCCAACTTTGTCTTCAGCCCTCTGTCTCGCCAGTCGCGTGCGCTACCAACGGCGAGATATTCTGCCGGGAATGCGCCGTAAGCAATCTTTTGGCGCAGAAAAAGGAAATCAAGAGACTTGAACGGGAGGGCGCAAAGGAGAAGGAAGAAGCGGAGGAGGAGCGGCTTGGAGAAGAGGAGGAAAGGAAGCGGAGGGAGGTGGAGAGGTTTGAGGAGACGATGAGGGGCGAGGACGGGAGAGGCGTGAAGAGGAAGGGCTCACCTGGCGCGGAGGGTGGGGAGGGCAAGGCGGGCAAAGTGAGGCGGATATCGCGTTGGGATGAAGAAGAGAAGTCAGAGCTGCCGTCCTTCTGGGTGCCGTCGCTCACGCCCGCGACGAAGAAAGATCGATCAGCGACGGCAGGGCTGAAGCTACAGCCATTGTGTCCCGCCTCGACGCCGGAGAACAAACATAATATCTCCCTGAAAACGCTCGTCAAAGTGAATTTTACCTACTCGAGGGCGAAGGGTGATGGGGGCGCCGAGAGGCCGATCTGTCCAGCGTGCGTGAAGGCGTTGAGCAATACCGGGAAGGCGATTATGGGTATACCGTGCGGTCATGTGGTATGCAAGGCATGTAAGGAGAGGGTGATGGGTGGGGAGAAGGATGAGGACGGGAAGGGTGGGGACGCTGTGAGGTGTTTTGTTTGCGATGAGGATTTGACAGAGGGCGGAGAGAGGAGAGATGGAAAAAGTGGAACGAAGGTAAAGAAAGGTGAGAGCGGTGGAAAGGGGCAGAAAGGGGACGGTGGATTGAGGCCGGGTACTGTGGTATTGAAGAGTGAGGGAACGGGCTTTGCGGGAGGAGGGGAGAATATGGTGAAGAAGATAGGGACGGCTTTCCAGTGCTAAGGCGGAGCACGCAATCATGATCCAATTGAACAGATGATCATATATCGTAATAGTATTTTTATGATGGACCCTTTTTCATCTTCTTACCCCTTCCTTGTAGAACTCTGCTGTAAGATCAGCTGTCTTGTTGGTCTCTGCTCGGTATCAGAAGGAAAAATGCCAAAGTCTAGCCAATATGTCTCCAGCCAACTTGTCATACTTTCATAGCATTACCTGACTCGACCTGTTGAAAAAGGTTCTTGGCCATACGTCCCTTTTTTCGAGTTAGCTAATCCTTCCGTCAAGAGCGTCTCCATCCTCATGGTGAAATTTTTAGTCAGAAGCCTCTTTTCCTACCTACTCTAGTACGTCCACTTTATTCCCTTGCCTCTGCTGATTGGCAAATCTGAGTGTTTTAGCGATCTCTTGACCTTGCCTTCTCTTGCAAGGACTTCGTTGTTCAGACTGTTCCAAGAGAAGTTCCCCGCTCACAAGGGCTTAGAGCCATAAAGATGAGGTTGTCCCAAGCCATACGACATTCGAAATCCCAAATATTGTTTCGTGACCCAGATATATGGCATTGGAGACAACCCGAACAGCCTGTCGTTGCTTGACCTACTTTCATCTCTTGGCAAGGGCACCACGTGAGAATCCTCTCAGCACCTGAAGATGGTGTTATGTCGAAGTCTCACATGCCATGGTCAATACCATCAATTCAAGTCCAACTTTCGACGAAGGCCGCGCGTAAAGGATGGCAGGTTTCGCAAAACGGCTAGCCTGACCTGTCAACTGCATGTATCCTTCTAATCAAGACTCGATACGATCACTCGTGGACGTCTCGAACAGTTCCCATTACTTGACCAAGTATCTCGTCTATTGCTGAAAGAGAATATCCTTCTCGAGCGCATTGCTCCCGAGAACCCCAGACAGCATATTGCAAGTTGCTTTTCTTGGCTTGGAGCTTATCAATAATATCTAAAGAGGGACTTGTATGTCCCGACCGCCTGTGCGAGCAATTTTCAAGACCTAGACGAATGTTTGAAGCTTGGTGTAGCAGTGTCAGATGGTTCTCGGAGAGCACATGCAGTTGATGCAGAGACACATAATCGGCCACACAAGGAGGGTACATCTGCGAAAGCAATTGCTGTAGATCACTGTAATGGCCAATACAACTAGGCTTGTCACCATTGTAATACTCGTTCTGCAGCGTTACACGGTGGCTTGTTGAAGCTGAGAACGACGCATACAGGAGGCTGCTTTCATAATGATCTCCTCTTGCCAAAGTGCGAGGCTGAAAGCTTTCAGAGTCGTTAAGAGCCTGCGTTTCTTTACTTTCGCAAGTGATTGGCTGAGTTGGAGTGGTTGCACCTGCGTTTTCCTGGACCATGGCCTGTGTTCTAGGTGCCCTGCTTAAGTCAGTTGCAGAGTCTGCATCTCCATTACGACTTGAGTTGACGATCAGTGATTCAATTCGAGAGAGCTCGCTTCGAATATTGTCCATGCTGCTGATGCTATGACTGGCACTGTGCAGGCTCGCTCTAGAGTAATTCTCAATCCTTCTCAAAGCCGCCTCTTGTGCATCATTACTTTGCAGGTTTTGTGAGACCGAGGAGTTCAGCAGATAAACTTGATCTGAAGTGTCTAAGTCGATGGTTCTGTATCGGTCGTCAGCATTTATACCACACGACGAATGCACCTCTCGCGAACATAAAGTGCAGCTGTTCGCTCATGGCTTTGAGTCACGATGGGGCACCTAGAGGCAAACAGAATAGTGCAGACTCAAACAAGAGCCTGCAAACACTGCATGACTATATTTGTGGGCGACTGACCTTCCAAGAATAGCCAGACTGAGTAGCATAACCTGTCTGTGGCGATTGATCTCTGTTTTAATGGCTTGAATCGCGTCTTTATTCATAGCCAAACGAAATTTTTTCAGTAAAGCCTTCCCACCAGATTCGCTTGATGGGCGAAGTAGTTTGGCAGTGGAGAGCCAAACATGAATATCTTTTGAGCAATCGGCGAGTTTGATGTCCAACTGAGCAAAATTTTTGTTCTTCTTCTGTGCTTCAAATTGCTCCAGCACATCTCGCACATTATTGAGGACTTGGATCAAAGAATTAATATCGCCCAATAAGCCATTGATTTGTTTAGAGGCAAAGGCTGAATCGGACATGATCTCCTTGAATTTGATGAGTCCATCCACACTTTGGAGTACCAGGGTGATGATGCCCGCAATACTGGCTGCCGCAGCGACAGCCTCCATTTTGAATTCTCATGGTCCTGAATTCAATGGAAAGAGAAAACAGACGGCACTCATGTATGCTTGTGATTGGTAGTCTCAGTATTTCAATAGGTTGCAGTGGGTCAGTTAACCCACATCGGAACCTCGGGAATTCTCCTGCAGGAGACATAGCCCTGGCGGTGACATGCATCTCTGCCGTAAGCTGCATGTACTTTACCTCCAACTAAGCTGGGGACTTGCCCCTCTCAGCTAGATCCGCTCTCACCACTGCAGGAAGGTTGGGGGCCCTTGAATGCGCTTATTGGGAGGCTAGCAAGAGGCTCCAGCCAGCGCTTCGTGAGCGTAGCGCAGTCTCACCGAGAGGCTGTGTACGAGTAGGCTGCGCTTCGTCGTACGTAAATGACGACACCGAACCTCTCACGCTGGCCCTGAGGAAGGCTGAACCAGCCTACTCATCCAGCTGCGCTACTGCAGCATAGTATAGCGCGCACTTCAACCGGGGTTTGGTGCACAATCTCGATCGTTGAGAAGGTCGACGAACACCTCACCGACGTTCCGCATTTCTGGTGAGCACGTGAGGAATATCCTTAGGCTCCGTCGGGGAAGCTTAGCCCTGGGAAGCGGCCAGTCATGGGGTTGCTCCGCACCCCACGCGCCCTACGGCCTTCCAGGCTTGCGTCAATCGTATCTTCAATCACTTCGAATCCTCATACTATTAATCTAAGCCACAGCATTTTTGTTTTCGTCCTGACTCATATTTTTCGGTTGATCGTGCATTGTCTTGATCTAGAGCAGATAAGTGCTTGCAGAAATCGAATGATCGCGATTGCTATTACATCTCCCCTAGATTCGACTCCTTCTATGCAACCTATCAAGCTAAGCTTCCTGCACTCGTCAGCTTGGACTTCCGGATTGACCTGAGAGACTCACGTTTGCGATTGAAAACCCTGCTTTTTGCTCTTCGCAATCAAGAAGGCGCACTTGCCATGGAAAATCAGACATAGTGACACTGAGAAACAATGTCGATCAACTGGGGCGTGACTGATATCTTGGCTATTGCCAAGTTATCTTGGGATCTGTATCATGGCTGCTATCTTGTCGCTCGCGGGGCGCCAGACGAGTTCAGAATGCTCGTCAATGAGCTTTGCTCCCTCCAGGGTGTGCTTCGAAGTCTGAGAGACGACATCAGCTCGGACAAGTCCTATCTCGACAGATTGGATGAGAACAGGAAAGAGACGCTTGAGAAATGTCTACAGTCATGTGTCATGACACTGCAAAAGCTGGAGAAATTGACGAACAAATATCGAAAGCTCGGTATCGGAGACGGGCCACAGTTTTGGACAAAGTTCAAGTGGACGACGAAGCAGAAGGAGATCGCGCAAATCAGGAACAACATCATGGTTCATACTTGTAACTTGAGCCTTTGTATGAGCTCAATTGGCAAGTACGTGCCCTTGCAAGTCTCTCCGTCATTCCACCAGTGACTAATGATCTCTAGCTCCTCTCTCGCCCGTATTGAGATGTCGATGGAGAGAGCGCTTGAAAGGCAAGGATCGGTCAATGCTGGCCAGTCAAAGGAGGTTCAAGAACAAGACATGGAAGACGAGGGAGATGATGAGCTCCTACCCTTGAAGAAGACTTCTACTGGGTCCATCGAGCGCTCACGCTCTGCTGATGGCGATGGGCTAGGAATCGGAAAATTAACACATCAGCTCACTGGATCCACGCTCGTCGATAGTCACAACATGTCTCCTGATGCTACTCCATCGCCTGGCGAGGATGACTCTCGGCAGCTAGGCTCCCCCCAAGATCGGGAAATGGTGCTCCTGCCATGGGAAGGATGAGAAAGCCGTCGAATTTGAGCCCCCCAATGCCCTCAAGTATTGAAGCCTTCGGAATGTCTGGCCCTCGCTCACCTGCCAGCGATCTTCTGGATGGTAATCTGAAGCATCAGCATAATGGATACAACCACGCTAGTGGGCGAAAGTTGTCCGAACCGATAAAGCTCGTGGACGATAGTGCTGTCAGTGATGAGCCACCAGATGTAAAGGAAATTGTTGCCGAAGCAATGCAAGAGTTGATGAAAATACGACAGAAGGAGCAGTCTGCCAGACCTCTGCGAATCGCGAGGCCTCATCCAGCACACCAGCCAGACGACATATTGCGTGAGCAATTTCAACAACTTGCTGAAGACGAGCTGAAGATTCGGCGGCTGAACACCCGTGACTGGCTTCGAGTAGCCACTTGGTGGCTGCTTAAGGCTCGTTTCAATACGAAGATCGACGAGGATCCTCTTCTCTTTAACTCGCAGGCCAGCTTCAGCGTTTCGAGTAACGGCAAGTCTGCAATCAATCAAGCATATGTCGATTTGCTCAAAGCTTCATGGATACTTCACAATGTCATATTGAAAGACGACAATCTATCATCCCTCATGACCGACGAGAATCGAACTCTTTTCTATCATCTTTCTGATGGGATCAATGAAGATTTTGAGGACTTTCAGCCAGTTGACGCACCCGAGAAGACTGTACTGCATGGGCAAAATCACAATATCTGGGAACTTTTACAGCCTGCAGAAGAGACATACGAGGAGGAAGGTGCCTTCCCTGGCCTGGAAAATGGTCGATACGTGACCGTTGACAAAGACGACGCAGGAGCGGAATCGGAGAAGGTCCTTTTTCGGACCTTTGTAGATGCCTCCATAGGGCGCAAAACCAATAGAATGCGTTCAAAAGGTGCCCCGTACATGCTCCTCCTGTCTACTGTAGAAGGAGAAAGCGAGCCCAAGGTGACATTATGCAACCAAAGTGGCACGGTCTGCCTTACGAGGGACTTGACTGTTGATGACCTTCAAATTGGTGATATGCCTGTCAATCCATTTGCTGGATCAAAAATCATGTCAAAGGAGGCCATTCCCTTAGATTTCGATCGCTTGAAGGTCACTGTGGCTTTCCAGAATCAGGAAGATTTTGAAAACTTCACCTTCATACCTACCGCATATTTTGAGGCTGTGAAGCGGAGAGAGCCTCGCAATCTGGAGAAAGCGACAGAGACTGTGCTGTTGAGCCATTCTGTCGAAATATTCGAGCATTTAGAGGCCTCAACCATGAAATCCTTGAGCCCACGCGAAGTCTATCAATCCTGCGATCTTCGCGTGCTTGAAACAACCTCTAAGGCAGGCTGGCGGACTACACGTCGACTAGTGGTCTCATCTTCAGCTGGCGAGAAGAAGCCATGGTGTATCGAGGTGTTCCTCCCCTTGTCCCGCGTGCAGATACGACGTGAAGGTATCGCCCGCAAACTCCTCGTCAAATGGTCAGACTGTGCACAAAAGAATGTAAGATCAGACGGCAATTACAACAAGATCCACTCATACGTCTACGACGACACAAACCCCAACATAGGCCACTCCTTGCTCTTCCGCAATGCCCAAGACGCCACCGACTTCGAGCGAACAGTCCTTCACCTCTCCATCCCTCCCATCTTCAACTGGACCTCTGGCCTCAACTCCGCACTCGTATACATGATCTCTGACACCGAGCCCGATCCCAAAAACTACAAAGCCATCATGGTCACGCGCACCCGCTACGACTGGAAATACTCCGAACTCTACTACCTCTATCGCGACATCGACTACATCTACACGCGCATGGACAGCTCCTCCGTCCGCATCTCCTTCCCCAGCCTCTACTACACCGACTACATCTCCACGCACGTAGACCGCTTGTACAAACCCGACCTCGGCGAACCCGTCCCGCACTTCTCCCACTGCGAGAAAAAGATCGGCAACAGCCACCTCGATTTCGACAACGAGAGCGCCGCCATGCGCTTCATGTCCTCCCTCACCTCCGCGCACACCCTCATCTTCGCCCGGCGCGCGCACTATATCACCACGAAAGCCCCCTCGCGCTTCAGCACCTCTGCGAAGTCGAATAAGGGCCCGCCTGAGATTCAGCTCTGGTTAAAGGGGAGTAATACCCGCTTGGTGAGTCGGTGGGGGGAGAAGGTGGAGGATAAGTGGTTGAGTATGACTGTGCCACGGAACGGGCTTGAGTATAAGAAGGATGGGAGTAAGGCGAGTTTGCAAAAGTGCGAGTTTGAGAGGGGGAGGAAGCTGGATATGGCGAATTTGATGGCGAGGGATCCAAGGGATAAAAAGGAGGAGGGGAAGAGACTTGGACCTATCAATGTGGGGTTTGAGAGTGTGAGGGGTGAGTTCTCATTGTCCTTTTGCGCCTCCCTGCTGTATTTTTGGCGGACTGGATAGGTTTCGGGTTTTGAGGTGGTGAGTTTGGGCTGATCAAGATTTGTGCAGATAGGGAGGAGTTCGCCGCTGCGCTGGAGGGAAAATTGCCGCCGCCTTTGATGACACAAATTACGCCTGTTGAGAACTTGATGGATCTGGAATGAGAGTACGCTTGTTTATGATTGAAGAACCGAAAAAATTGTAAGATGTAATAATGACGCGGACATATAATTGTAAGATATTCGGGACTGTGATTTCCAGCAAGGTGTCAGGTGGCAACCCTTTTGACTAATCATGTATTATACTTATGAGGAAAAGATTCTTGATATCATACTCTATGGGACTCTAATTGGCTTTACCGTCATGAAATTGCATCACAACATCCTCCCCCTCCGAGCAATCTTTGCGCTATCTATGCTGAGCTGCGGCTTCTCATGCTGCCTTGCGTCCAGTCCTACGATGGCGTCAGATGTGCACTTTCGTAGTGCTAGTAGCCGTACACCTGAGCCCTGACCTAGTAGCCCGAGAGCTGATGAGAACGGTGTGGTTGATGGCCATTGGCGCTGCGTGGGCGTTAGCTGGGACACATTCAGGCGTTGAGATGAGTATTTGAGGAGGTTGAAAATAGGGAAGGAGGTAGACAGTGCGGAAGAGATAGCGAATGAAGAGGGGAAGAAAAGATAGGGGGATGTACGTCTCCGATCAGTTTCCTGTAATTGACGTCGCCTTTGAAGATCACTAGCTTTGCTTTCCTAAATTCGTCATACAGGTTGGGGGAGTGGGTAGGTAGTTGCCAGAAAGTGTGGTAGGAGGTCCAGAAGTCGTTTGGTGGAGCAATGGTGATTTTGTTATCTTGGATCAATGTGTTTAGGTGACTCGTGACAAACTTGAACGTCTCGTCCTCGTCTTGGACTTTTGATACCGAAGACGCGAGGACGTGAGCAACTTCGGACGATATAGCATTCTCGCCAAACCAAGAGAAAGATTTAGCGTGTAAGATTATCTGGCTTGCTAGCCCTGAGATAACGAGGTAGCCGGCGAGGCAGAGATCACTGTAGAGTTCGGGACCTGCGTCATTGAGTATGATGTGAATCACTTGTTCCTCTTCTTGCTGGTCTCTGACCTGTTGCAGAGCTGTATAGGCAGACTTCAGATGATCAATGAGCGCATTGGCGGCTTCGGGTCCAGCAGTTCCGACGCTTGACCGGCACAAGCTTTGAAATAGGTCCTCCTCGTTGTTCCATTTGGCCTCCACGCCACGAGATAGGCGGCCGCCTTCCACAGTATTGGTCAGGACCGGCTCCAGTGCTGTCTTGTACTCTTTTGCAACTCGAAATATGTGATCCCGCCCTTCCTCAATCGCTTGCGCCTTGAGGTCGAAGAAAACATCATGATCCTGCCAGCATGTTGAAAGGGCGAAGAATGTCCGCAAACGACGGTATAGATAGCATTCTGTGAACAAATACGGCGCATCTATCCATCGTGGCAGTCTCAGTGCCGCTAAATGATTATTGTAGTCCGCGATATCTGGCCCTCCGTCGTCCTGAAGCGGGGTCAGGGGGCGATTATGCTGGAGCTCGTATTTGAGCTCCGAAAGGCTCCTGATGATCTGTTTCCCTTCATTGGCTCTAAAGACGTCTAGAACAATGCCCACACTCCTATGTAAATTGTCGATTGCAGCTGTCTTTCTGAGGTCGTTTAGTTATCTTGTGCGGGGAAGGCTACGAAGTAAACGGACTATTATGACAGGCCATCGTTTGGTGGCTGTGACGTAAGCTTGAGATGCCTTGTCGGACGTTACGCATGGAGGCGGCAACTGATCAACACTCTCGGACATCCTTTCTGGTGATGGAATAACATGTGTATCTCAGCAACGAGGAAGTGAGGTTGCGACTGGCGGGGCAATGGTGTCTACGGGCGCGGGGAAGGCGTCTTCTCCGGGGACGTTTGCCCCTGAAGCTAGCGAAAGTCTCCCCTTTGCTATTGAGTGGACAACGTGAACAACCCTCGTTGATCCTTCAGCATGCACCAAATTGTATGATATGAGCTCATCTGTAGCAAGATATATCTGCCATCTTGCCATCTTGCCCTATAGATCGCACAGTACGAGTATCATGAGAAATGGGTGCAGACAGACAAATTGACAACTTTGACATTCTTGACAGGAAAAGAACCATTGAATCATGGAGTTGAGACCGATGGTTTGAGGTTTCCGGAAAGGCAGCGTGAATACGCTATGACTTGAACGATTGGACATGACGTGACTTCTGGTGACAATGACAAGAGAGAACTCCGGGGAATGGTATTGGCTAACAGATCTCCGTAGAAAGAGTGTATCTTTAGATAATAAGCGCGTGAAAGTTGTTGAATTGTTGGGAGACTGAGTGTTTCCTTACCTAATGAAGACATCTTGCACGCCCCCGTCCGTAGTCACGCACCTTCGCCACGGTGACGATCTTTGTTCTGGGGAGCGGAAATTGGGAGCAAAGCGTCAACAGTCTCTAATCGAGATTTAGTCTTCTTAGCACTCATGGGGAATGGGGGACTCAAAGCATAACCTACCTCGATCATTTTGTCCATCATTGCTTATTTTTACCGTCACGTGGGGAATGGCTCCTACAATAGTGGATTCTTTAGGAATAACCTTCCCTGGCCAGAGCATCTAACAGAGACTTACCTCATCTTTCGCACCAGTCCATTCCTCGATTATCGCCTCGGGGACGTCTCTCACCAGCACATGAAAATGATCGAGACTCCGAACACTTTGCAGAGCTGTCCAATTTTTGAACCATTGTACCCTGTCCGTCGCTGGAGCGTCATCTTTCGCTAATTTTTGAACAAATGTCTTCTGCACGAAATCTTCGATCAAAATCTTGGACTCCGAAGTGAGATAACCCTCAGGCGGCTGGACAGGGATCCTCCTCTTCAGCCAGACTACAAGATGGGTGATTCCGGCCTCGAATCCGTACGGCCAGTCGTTGATCAAGATTTTGTAATCGTCCGAATTTGAAAACGGCTTTGGATCTTTGCATTCAAAGATTGGTCCCGTTTGCTCAGTGGAAGACAGGGAAGGCTCCCAGAACAAACGCTCCTTGCATACAAAATTGGTCATGGTGCCATAGTTTTTCTTCGTGTCATTAGTCCAGAGACAGTAGCGCTTCAAGTCAGACGGCCTGCGTTTTAGAATATCTAATTTGTTGTCCGCTGTTTTTCATGAAGGAGAGATGAGATGGTGACAAGCAACGTGTGGTAGATAGAGACTACCTATTATCTGCTTGAGCTCATCCCATGTATGAGGTTTGAACTTCGCATCACCAGCAAGCATGTTCTCTTTGTCCGTCTCAGTCAGCTCAAAAGGAATTTGATTGAGCCATTCGTTATCGTCTTGATCATCCATGGCTTGCTGAGTCTGGACATCAGTCATCCTCTAAGAGCGCTTTAAACGAGATTGACGGATGCTCCTGTAAAACGATTATTCTTTCAGCTCCTGGAAAATGAATTATTTCATTGCAGGAGGCCGATAATACGGCAGCCTTGTATGTCTATGCGCAAAATCTCCCGCCGCGCCTTGGCACGCCTGGAAACGACACCTTTTACACACCGAAATCTTCAGCCCTACAAGCTTTTAAATGCTCTATTTTGGAGTTCGCTTTCCAGCTTGTGTCACGGAGCTTTGCTGCCTTAGCGAAAACAGCCTGAAGTTGCAAATTTAGCGCCATTTTCAGGTCGCCCCTTCCCCAGCGCAATCACCCTCCCCGTCTCTATCTATTTAATAGGTCTCTTCCCCCAGACTTTCCTCTCGCGTTCAACTTCGAGTTTTCGCCACGTCATCTTTATCAACGCGTCCATCAACAAAACCATCCAACTATCTTCATATACAATTAAACCATCATGACTGGACGTAAGTAGCATAGCCGAGCCTCATTCGGGTCTCACTTCCTTTGTCGTCTCCTGCACCTCTTCGTCGCTCTCGCGCATTTGGCCTGGTTGCCGCTAAATAAAAAACCCCTAATCACTCTTTGTCACACTCATTCCTCACTGTATCTATCTACGGATTGGGAGTTCATTACCTGAGATGCATCCTTCATGCTGCTTTCACTCTACTCGCCATCTCTCATCACCGGTGAATACTAGACCAACTGACTGACTTTTGTGTAGGTGGAAAAGGGGGCAAAGGCCTAGGCAAAGGCGGTGCGAAGCGTCACCGCAAGATCTTGCGTGACAACATCCAAGGTATCACCAAACCAGCTATCCGTCGCCTGGCTCGCCGTGGTGGCGTGAAACGTATCTCTGCAAGTATGTCGATTTCCCTGCCCCTTCATCACATCGACGCTTTTGCAGCCTTAGATACGCATTTACACGCGCATTCAAAGTCCTGCTAGGCGCTCATAGGACGTCGGGGACTTCCTGAGGCATTGCTAACACACCATTGCAGTGATCTACGAAGAGACGCGCGGTGTTTTGAAGACCTTCCTCGAGGGGGTTATTCGCGATGCCGTCACCTATACCGAACACGCCAAACGCAAGACAGTCACCAGCTTGGATGTTGTGTACGCTCTGAAACGACAGGGACGTACCCTTTACGGATTCGGCGGTTAGGTGTGTATGTGGACCTTGGTTGCTATGATTGGGAGCGATCACGGACATGTTGGGTGATATCTCGACATTGGCGTTAAGGAGGCGCTGAAGAAGACAAATGTAATGCCTTCGATTACATGCAAATCAATTTGTAGAAATTACGTCCAGCAATGAATACATTCATGCCTTGAAAACCCGCGCCGATCAATCTGCAAGGCAACATTCTTACACTGCGAGTCCTGACTTAAGCTTCCACAGATGCTTCTATTGCCAACACACTCTATCAGATATTTATCCCCATAGAGAAAGGGTCAGCTTATCCCACATGGCTGAATAACGGTACATGATGCAAGGTTCCATTATCGATAAGCGGGGAAAGTTGCCTCGAACCGGCTGAGCCTTGCGACCACAGAAGATTGTAACTCTGTTGACCTGAAATACTCGGCTCCTTCCTCTTTCCATTGCACCACAATTTTCTTTTCAACAGCGTCCGGAAGCTGAAGAAGCTCACCCAAGTAAATCTTGAACCATGTCGACCCCACATAAAGCGAGACCAACCTCTCCCCTCTCGCCGCAGCTCATAACTAGCGTCTACCTCCCTTCCGCTGTCGTACTCATTGGAGTTGGGATAGCCAAGATCGAATGGCTGCCGTTCGCTGCAGTGATACCGATCGTTCTGATTGCTTTACAGTTCTACGGCAACGGTAATTTGAATGAATTTCAGCACTTATTGTGCTTCATTAATGCCCGAGCTTTACTAATTTTTCTCATCTAGTCGTCAAAAAGGCGCTGAGACCGGACATTTTCCAAGAGTTTAAGCTCCAAAAGAAAGATGTGATCTCACACAATGTCGCAATGTACGCCGGAGATCTACTGCCCCCTTGAAACATTGTCTCGAAGAGATACTCATAGAATGGTGCAGCTACCGCTTCTCCCTCCAGACTCCAACCCATATTCTCGGCCTTCCCATCGGTCAACACATGTCCTTAGCTGCCACGCTCGATGTCAACGGCCAGCAAAAAGAGGTGGTTCGCTCATACACGCCCATATCGTCGGACGAAAACCCTGGCTACTTCGACCTCCTCATAAAGTCTTACCCCCAAGGCAACATCAGTCAACACCTAACGACGCTCCAGTTAGGAGATACGATGAAAGTGAAGGGTCCAAAAGGCGCGATGGTGTACACACCGAACATGTGTAAACGGATTGGTATGATTGCAGGTGGCACAGGAATCACGCCAATGCTGCAGGTCATCCGGGCGATCGTTCGAGGGCGGCCAAGAAATGGAGGCAACGATCACACCCAGGTCGATCTGATCTTTGCGAATGTCAATCCGGAGGACATCCTTTTGAAAGAGAATTTGGATACTCTGGCGAAGGAGGATGAGGGTTTCAGAGTCCTCTATGTTCTGAACAACCCCCCCGAGAAATGGGAAGGAGGCGTGGGATTTGTCACGGCTGATATGATTAAGGTACGAGTTGTGCGACATGGCAAAGCTTTTGTCATACTAATGTACGAAATAGGAACACCTGCCTGCCCCAGGTCTTGATATGAAGCTGTTGATGTGCGGGCCACCACCTATGATTAGTGCGATGAAAAAGGCCGCGGAGTCTGTAGGGTATACGAAGCCACGAGCTGTCAGTAAGCTGGAGGATCAAGTCTTCTGCTTCTGAATTAACGTCCACCAACATCCTTCTTACATCAGTGTATGCAGGGACGTCGTCCATCCTTCATTGGCGCTCAGTGTCCATAGATTCTAATTGACGATGCATATAGATCTCATGTACAATAAATAGACTTTGTCATTCCAGGTTATGTGATCGGGGACAAACTTGTTGAAAACAGAGCATCTTGCCCTGTTGCAATGCACCGATCGCGGTGACAATCTTGTGAAGGAAGGCAATTGAAGTCAATTTGGCCTTCCGGGGATTATGTCTCAACTTTTCTCAAAGCTCTTTCTCCTCACATCGGGCGAGGGTTGCTATCAAGCATGTAATTATTCATGGAAGCTCCAGCTCGAGACGGAACCATCTCATCTATACTGAACCTTTTGGCCCCTCTTCTCCATCTTTTTCTGCCTCTTGCTCTCAGAAGGCTGTCCATTCTCTTCACCAGAGCCCATTCCCAGTCCACCTTTCATGCCCGAGTACGTTTTCCACGCTAAATACGCGGAGTAAAGCGGCACTGCAGTATACGCCCACCAAGATCTATCCCCAAAGATCGTTGCCAGAGCCACGCATGCCCAAGTCCAGTACAGCACGTCCCACAGATACTCCGTCAACCCTTTCTGCTCCAGGTCCTCGCCAGCTTTCTGCACACCGCCATCTGAGGTGTAGACTGGCCGACCGATCCGCTCGAGCCAGAATTCAATCACGAACGAGGGACCTGCGAAGGATACGTAAAGCAAAAGTGACCTGAGAGTGAATGATTTGTAGAAGAATAGGAGGCGGAGCAGAAGGTAGAATGCGTGGATCACGAGGGAGATCAAATGGGTTCGGTTGAGTGAATTGCCATTGCGAGCGGCGAGAACCTTGGTCGCTTTCTAATGAAAGAACTCCATTAGCATTATAATGCGGTATTTGTTGAAGAAAAGGTCATACTTGGGCCATAGAGGAAAGGGTGACAGCTACGATCAACCTTGAGGTCCAAGAGGTCCAAGAAAAGGGACGATTGTTGCCGCCAAGAACTTTATCGATTACTAAGCGCGCATATTGTAGGGCTGGCATTGATGTGTTAAGTCGACATTCATTTATTATGTTTATTGGAAAGTATCACATTTCGAATTATTATGTGCTTGTCGCGACGTGAGATGTGTCAAACCCCACTTCGACTTACTAAACACTCACCTTGACCACTTAATCTGTGTCATGATCGCTGGTGGAGGAAGGTGCAAGGGCAGATTCGCCGGTCAACAAAGCCTCTTCTGGCGTTCCAACGGGTTGATGGATGCTTGGATAACCCACAGGGTCATGAGTCTATAAGATACTCTATACCGATGTCACCTAAGCTGCCGTCACTGTCCGCTCGATATTCGAATCCTCCCTCCTCGAAACAGTCGTAATTCCGTTGCCCTTGACATATCGCACCCGTCTTCGATCAACTTCAGCCATCTCTCACTTTCGCCCACAATATCGCACTCTTTGGAAATTCACATCGGCACCCGCAGCTGACAAGTCATGGCTCCTTCTAACACTCATGTCACAACTCAACTTCGGCAGCAAATTTACTACCACCTCGACCATAACCTCCTCCACAACGCTCACTTCCTCGCCAGTCGCTTACAGGCATACGATCCTCGCTCTTCAGAAGCTTCATATCTTCTAGCGCTGTGCCACCTCAAGCTAGGACAGCTGAAAGCCGCCTATGATACAAGCAGAAGTTCTGCCACCCGGGGAGTACATCTGGGGTGCGCTTATGTCTTCGCGCAAGCATGTCTAGGACTAGAAAGATATCTTGAAGGTGCTACCGCTCTGGAAAGAAGTAAGACCTCGTGGTCCACGAGGAACAGCTGGGGTATGAGCAAATTCTCCTATATGACACCTGAGCGCTTAGCTGACGATTTGTGCCTCAGGCAAACATTCTGAAACTCGAAGACAGCAATTACCAGATGCTGCAGCTACCTACTGTCTTCAGGGTAAATTATGGCAAGCGCATTCGGAGCACCAGAAGTCTGTGGAATGCTTTGCAGAAGCTCTCAAATTAAATCCCTTTATGTGGGATGCCTTCACAGCTCTGTGCGACCTCGGTAAGTGAAAGTCTGCCATATATAGACGCTTCTGATTTCGAAGGTGTCCATGTACGAGTGCCAAACATATTCAAGGTGACACCTGAGATGAGGTCTCAGATGAATGAACCCACACGCGAGCAGTCACATCTCCCAACAACAGACGAGTCGACTTCTACTACCAATGCCTCATCTCAGTCAAACTTTAGCATCCATGTTTCGAATCCAGCAGCGTTGGGAAATGACCCTTTCACGACAACTTCAAAGAATAAGCTTAATGGCGACTTCAAGCCTCATGCTGGTAGTTCTGCACTTTACGAGAAAGCCAACAATGGGAACAATCTAGTCACACCTGTTGCGGCTACAGATGCACCAGTCGATGATACACCCTCAGGAAATGGAGGAATAATGGATCCAGATTTCTACTCTGGAAAAGGAGCTGCCGAGCCACCATTAGCGCCTACACGCAAGGCAAGGGGCTTACTTGGCGTGGGTTCTGAATTCGCCGCGGACGTGCCACCAAAGATGCGATCAAATGCAACAATCAGATCGAAATCGAGGAACAATTTCCATTCAGACGATCAAGAGGAAACGACGCTCAATAGGGCGACAAGTACTGCGACTGGGGGAGCAGACTTGAAGAGGACCATTTCTGGCAAAGCAGCACATTCTCAAACTCATTCCACAAGACCGAGTAGTTTAGCAGGTACGGATCCGGGAGCGCCTCAGCGAAAAAGTGTCCGGCTTCTCAATCAATTAAGACCTCAAAGCGGCAAATTTTCCACTGGGGCTAGTTCCATTTCCTTGAGAGAAGAGAGAGAGCTTAAGAAGGCGAAGGCACCAAGCACGAAAGCACGTAGCGCAAACAGCTTTAATGTTGGTAGGGTCGTAAGCGGCAATCGAAAGTTTGGAGAGTCAATGGACATTGATAGTAAAGAGCCGCGACCGACGATGAACACCCATATTACTTCACAAGCAGCTCTTGCGAGGCCGGTGATCAGTGAGAAGCAAAAGGAGACCGAAGCACTGCAATGGTTACTGGAGCTGTTTCATAAGCTTGGTACTGGCTACTATCTTCTTAGCCAATATCGATGCCCGGAAGCAATTCGAATCTTTCAGGCTGTTACACCCAGCCAACGTGATACAGCTTGGGTGCTTGCGCAGATTGGTCGCGCACACTATGAGCAGACTGCGTATGCTGAGGCTGAAAAAGTATTTACCCGGATACGAACCCTCGCCCCAGCTCGTGTCGAGGACATGGAACATTATTCGACGATATTATGGCATTTGAAGCATGACGTGGATCTTGCATTCCTCTCACATGAATTGATTGATCTTGATCGCCAGTCGCCACAGGCATGGTGCGCAGTTGGGAACAGCTTTTCACTGCAGCGAGATCATGATCAGGCCATAAGATGCTTCAAGCGCGCGACTCAACTTGACCCTACCTTCGCGTATGCACATACTCTTCAGGGCCATGAGTTGATACAGAACGAAGAGTACGACAAGGCGATGTCTTCATATCGGGCGGCGATCACAGCTGAGAATCGGCATTACAATGCCTGGTACGGTCTTGGCCGAGTTTTCGAAAAGCAAGGTCGATGGCATGAGGCAGAGGATCATTATCGCACTGCACACTCCATAAACCAAACGAATCCAATTCTAGTAACAAAGATCGGTGAGATGCTTGAAAAGCAAAAGAATCTGCAAGGCGCACTTGTCAAGTATGGTGAAGCCTGTAGACTCAACGAGAAAGGCTCGCTTTGGAAGTTTAAGAGAGCTCAGATTCTAATGACGTTGGGCCACTTCAATCAGGCTCTGGAAGAGTTGAAGGTTCTCAAGGATATGACACCGGACGAGGCGAACGTCCACTTCGCCTTAGGAACTGTGTATAAGAGATTGAAGCAGAAGGGGGAAGCAATCTGGCATTTCACCATGGCGTTGAACCTGGATCCGAGGGTCAGTGAAAACGTTTGACTTGTTGCTTCACTCTTCGCTAACTGTGATCTGCAGGCTTCCCACCACATTAAAGAAACTATGGAAGAAATCGAAAACGACAGCGACGACGAAGACATGTGAATACTCCGAATCTGAGGACAACGAGATCTGATATCAGTAAATCATGCGCGACGTCTCATATGCTTGTGCGGCGTTCAAACGGCGCAAACGGCCAGCATGGCGAGGGAGTGTCTTTATGTATGCATATATATCGGCGAATATTCTAACGCGAATGGATGGATGGACGGACAATGGAACATGCACAGCCAAGGCGTTGATTGGATAGGATGGGCCTCTTGTATATTGATATATCCGTGTACTAGGAAATCAAGCTACGCCCGTCCGTCTCACCACCACAAAATCCTCTTCATCATCAGCATCTGCACTCTCATCGTCGCTCAAAAATAGCCAACCGTCGTCTTCATTGCATCTCCGAAGTTGCGTTCTCCGCCTATCCAGCGCACGCTCAACCATCCCTATTCCCTCGACTCCCTTACCCCCACCCCCAACCCCAACCTCATCATTACGCTCCCCAGCATCAGCAGCAGGATTCCAGAAAATCGCCTCTCCCCCTTCCTCCCCCTCCCGCTCCGACCACCCCGCCTCGCTCCCCGACGAATTCCGCGCATCCAGCTCCCCCTCCCCCTCCACCGCCCGTCTCAGACTACCTCTCCTCTCCCGCCCCCTGAGCCTCCTAGCCTCATACCTACTCGTCTTCCCCCTCTTATCCAATTTATCGACGTCAGCGTGATGGCGCCGTCCCCTCCTCGGCCACATATCTGACGCCGCTTCCTCGTACAATTCCCGCTTCCCCCACACTTTCACGGCGCAGTCTGAGGGTAATATGTCCCGGAGATGGGGTGGAAGGGAGAAATCGGTTGGGACGGTTGGGGCGGTTGGGAGGACATGGTGGGGTTGGTGGAGAGCGCCGGGGTTTACGAGAGCGCCGCGGAAGTGGTTGTATTTGTGGAGGTGTTTGCGGTGGCGGCGGAGGGGGGTTGGGGAGGCGATTGTGGGGATGGGGTTTGTGAGAGACGTGGGGGATTGGAGCAAGTTGGGGGGAGGAGTCGTCGAGCGGGCGTGGGAGTGGGATTTTGTATGTGTGGGAGACGCTGGAGATGGCATGGTGAATGTCTTCTTTGATGAAGGGAAGGGCGAAATGGAAGCAGGCTGGAATTGGAGAGAAAGTGGAAGCAAAGGATCTAGGGGGAGGAGAAAGGTCAAGTCACTCAACTAAGAGGACTGCGAGTCTGTAGAAAGAAGGAGTGGTGGGAGAAAGGGAGTTTTATGATATGGCTGAGTGTGGCTGTGAGTCATACGCGTGGTGTGGTAATCTTGATATGCACAGCCATCATTAGGCGTGTCTTTTCTGGTGAGAGTGCTGTAGTGTACGGTGGCTGTTCAGATGAACCAAAGAGCTAGATAGCCTTCACTTAATTAGGAGTTTTGATTGTGGTGTTGCGGCCGCGGTACCGGTCTAGCACAAGGTGCGACCTTTTGGGGAACACGCTTCCCAACCCTTTTCAGTACGTCAGATGCATCACGCCCAGTATCCAGGATTTTGCCCATCATCTCTCCAACCCGCTGCTGACAGCTTTCCTACCCACGCCGTTCGTCTTCACTTTCTGCTGGTCTTGCGCCAAACTTGCTAAATCCTCCTCCCCTCTCCCAACAACTTCTACTCCCGCCTTCCTTCCCAGCGGACTCCCCGACAACTCCACCAACTCCCGCTCCATTGATACCCTCACCCTCTCACATAAAGCATCCACATCCTGCGCCTCTAATCCTTGCGTCTCCACCGGCTCCAGCACCCTCACCGGCACTCTCCCACTTCTAAACCTCCTCTCCGTTATACCCAGCACGCCCCAATAATTCGCACAAACGATCGGCACAATCGGCACTTGCGCCTTCACAGCCAAATGAAACGCCCCCTTTTAAACCCCCCATCTTCGGATCCGGCAAATTCCTCCTCGTGCCCTCGGGAAAAATGAACACCGATTGCCTATGCCTCCTAATCTCCTCCGCCGCCCCATCAAACGCGGCTCTTGCTCTCTTGCTATTCCCCCGATCAATAAACACAGTCCCCGAAAGCGCCATGAACCATCCCAGGAATGGCATCCATTTCAAACTCTTTTTCGCTGTCACAGAGCAATAGTGGGGCCAGACCGCCCCCAGCAGTAGAATATCCAGCGCACTCTGATGATTCGCTATCAGGATAGCTGGTCTTACGCTATCGAGATACTCGCCGCCAGAGATGATCTCGAAGCGCACGTTGGTGGTGGCTGCCATGGCGTATTTGTAGGACCGTGCTGTAGCCCACTGGGAGAGGCGGTGGTTGCCGAGAAGGCGGAGGAGAAGAGAGGCACAAACACCGTAGAGAGCGCAGAAAATGAGGGTGCCATAGGCGGCGAGGGTGCGGGCGAAGAAGGTGGTTGTTTGTTGGGAACGGGGGAGGGGGAGGGCGGAGAGGAGGTAGAGCGTTAGGGTCAGGGAGATGTAGAAGGCGGGGAAGAGGATGAAGATATAGTAGCTTAGGGATGAGAAGTCCATGATTGTGTGAGTGGTGAGCCTGGATATTTCGTGGATGCTGAATTGTTTTTGGAGGCTTGGACGGAGGAGTTCGGTGGGCGAGGTTGCAGGCTTAGGTGAGCGCCAAAGAGTGGCTTTAGGGTCGATCTCTCATTGTATAGGTCTGTCGAGATGAGCAGCCATAGTCTGGCTGCTCATAGGGTTCTGCTGAGGATGTCACGAGGGTACTCAACCTGATTGATTCATGCTCGCAAACTTCTTTCTGGTCTTCAAGCCATCCTCGGAAATGTGCCGGATTTACCCGCCGATATACGGCAGGCGAAATTTGATATCTCTCAGAAATCGGTTGTAGGCGTCAGAGTTCGTATATTTGTCGAGATGCCCGCTTGAAATTGGGAATCTTGGCTAAGCAAGTCTAGAGTAGGGAGGAGTATTTGATAGCATGGAAACATATATCTAGATCGTCAAAGGCTATAACATTTACATGGTTGGCGTCAACCACCTCCCACGCACGTCTATTATAAGAGACCCAAACGTAGACAGCTTTTTACACAGCGCCGTGTTCCTTCCTCCAACATGTACGCCGCAAACGTAAGAAAAAGTACACAAGAAACCAACAAACATTCCAAGCCGCCTATCTCACACTTGCACAGCAATGATTGGTTAACCCTTCAAAAACTTGAAAGCCTCCTCTCGCTCTCGAACAGGCATAGTCTCCAAAGCCTGCTTAAGCCCTTTGAGCCCGCCATCCTTGTTTGCGCTCAGTAGCGTAGCAATGTCGTATGCAACGCCCTCGCTCTTCAAGGCCTCGAGCTTAGCAGAAACGTCCTTGCGGTTTTCCTCATACCAAGAAGCCACTGCACGATCGTTGGTGTCGAAGTCCTGGATGCCAGTCCAAGCCTGCAGTTTCTGGAGACTGGAGCTGCGAGAGGCAAGATCCTTGGGCGAGCTGGCGTTTATTTTCTTGATCAAGCTGTCCTCGTTCAACCGACGACGTAAGCGCCAGTAGAAGAATCTGCGAGCCTCCTTCCACTGCAGAGGCATGCGAATAGTCTCCTTGGCCTTCATGCGGCCAGCGCGATCATGGAGATCCGCAAATTGAAGCGCGATTTGAGAGTACACGGGAAGCAACAGTGTCTCTCGTTCCGTCATCTTGGTCTTGATCTCAGCTCGCTTCTCGGCTGTCAGGCTCTTGTCCTCCAAAGCAGCCTTCAACTCTGCATAGGTAGTGTCTGTGCGTGCCATGGTCTCGAGTTGGCGATCGCGTCTATATTTGATGCCGACAATGCCCTCAGGTTCAAGGACACCGCCGCGGGCGTCTTCGTCAGCGTACATTTCCATGAAATCGGCGTTAATTGTCGGATCGACCACAACCTGAAGTCTTGTTAGCAAGTGCTTGGGAAACAAAAGCAGTCATAGACTAAACATACCCAAGACCCTCCCCGTAGTTCGCCAAACGGTGGAATGTAGACAAACACGGGCTGCTCGTATTTGACCAAAGCATCCACAATATACGACCCGTACTTGAGAATCTCATTGTACATATCACGTTGGCCACCGGAGAAGCCGCGCCAATTAGCAAGAATCATCACAGGTAGCTGCTCGCCATTGTTGAAGTCGCGAAGTGCCTGCGCAGTCTTGAAAGCGGAATTTGGATACCAAACACCGCCAGCCTCTTGGGCAATTTGTTCGATAGAGTCTGGATTGGCAGGGTCCGCGGGAGAAACGCTTTCTACCGATCGGTTCTCGACGGCTATGACACCAAGCGGTATACCACCTAGTCGAGCGCGGCCAACGACGACTGTCCTGGCCCAGCCGCCCAAGGACTCTTGGAAAGAATCTTTGTCGAAAAGTCCGCTGAGGAAACCCTCATCGTCCTCCTTGCCCCCAAGAAGCCATCTGACGTCGTATGTCTGCTTTTGGGGAGGATAGTATGCGATAGGTCTGTCCCACGAGTCTGCGGATAGACCAATTGGGACTGGACTGTCTTTCTTTTCAGGAACAAATGACATCCATTCGACAATTTTCGAGACACCCTCAAAGTCGTCATCAGCAGTCATATGTGATACTCCATTCTTATACATAATTTGAGTACCACCAAGTTGGAGGTTTGATGTGTATACTTCACGGCCGAGGAGTTTATTGATGGCTTGCGACCCCGTTAGAATAATCGGTTGGCCCTCGATTTGAATAGCCCGCTGACCCAGACGAACAAGATAAGCGCCAATACCTGTATACAATTAGACAATTGAGAACCCAATGAGCATTGAGATACTTACCGACTGATCGGCAGGTCACAAGAGTGATAGTAAAGATGTCTTCATATGCCTTGGAGGTCGCTCCAGCAATGAGACCAGATCCCTTCAGGCATTCAACACCCAAGCCATTCTCTGCTCCAATGATGGTAGTGATTTTGTATCGTTCCTCGCCATCCTCGGTAATCTTCTCGGTAATGACTCCGCGATTCTTGCCATCCTCAAAACGTTCTTTGATCTTGGGCGTAAGATACAAGTACTTAAAGCCGGCTTCAGGTTTAGCAGGATCGTTCCAAGCCGCGGAGAAATGTGGGATCAGCTCTTCAGCCATACCAATGCGAGCACCAGAATTAGCTGACAAGTAGATGCGGGGAATTCCCAGCTTTCTAGCAAGTTCTGTGCATTTGTAGAAGAAATGATCTTCTACAGGACCGAAAGAGCCAATTTTAAAGGTAATGTCGTTGGCCACAATGATAAATCTTCTGCCTTTGGGATATTCGGGTGTCTTCGCCGTTATAATCCATCCAACCATACCACTCGTGTTGGTACCTGGATCCCTCGATACTTCGGCAAGGTGATCGTTGTCGTCAAGGACAAGCTCGCTGACCTCCATGATATCTTCACTGCGCGGCTGCTTAGAACCCAAAGATGAATGTTTCGCAACAGCTTTGCCCCAGCTGTTCTGGAAAGCCTGGCGGAAGAGGTCTGGGAAGTCATAGACGTATTGCGTTCCCATGAGATGGGCTTTGTACCTCTTCGGCTGCAACCATTCCTTGGTGGGATACGGCGTTGAGACAGGTCGCAAATGCATTGACCCAATCCTAGTTGTACCACCAATGCTGTGGAATAGGAAATCGTTACCTTTGTCAGACTTCTTCTCGGCGTACAACTCTACCTGAATGACATAGCCGGAGGTATTAGTGATCATGCAGCGAAGAGGGTATGGCATGCCAGTGGCCGGATCTGTACAGATGATACGGATCTCCGCGCTAGTGACACGGAGACGCCATGCTCTTCGCCCAAAGCGGTCAAGGAATCCAGCTAAGGCTTCCTCGACTTCTCGTGGCTCCAATGGGAAAACAGCGGAGAAATTGATGAAGATATGGTTCAAGTCAGAGCCGTTGTTGCCAATGATTTCGAGTGCGTCGAGGATATCGGTCATCAAGCGATCAGCCTCGGATATGAGGTACTCCGCTGTTGGAATCTCATCTCGTAGGCGACCAGGCCGGACAACCCCACGTGTGAAGTATCGTTTATCCACCGACTTACTCCCTTCAGATGACTTACCAATAGCCTCATAGACGTGAATATTCCTGTTTTCGGTAAATACCGGCTTGATCCTGAAATTAGACAGGCGTCCAAGTTCCAATTGGAAGGCCAGCGCTGGCTCGATATGACGGATGCTGTCGTCTTCCGCGTAATTAGGCCCACGGAATGTGAAGTAGCCAGGGTAGGTTCCATCTTTGTGGCCGCAGATGAAGCTTATTCTACGAACCTTACGACTGAGTAATTCGGACTTGTAGTCGGTCACAATCTCATGAACACGCTGGAGCAACTCTTTGTCGTCGAAAGATTCAGCGTCTCTGATAGCAACATTGAATACGCCCGTCAACTCAGAGTCTTCCTCTTCGCTCTTTGGTTCTGCTGGGCGTCTCTTAGCTTGAAGCTCAGGGAGCACACCATTCGGAAGCGGGCCTCTCGTCGGCTTGCTCACAGGGAAGAGCTCGAGTGCTGCCTGAAAGTGCTCTTCAATGTCGTCTAAATATTGAATTGGGAGGATGACGCCTTTTCTTTCGGGTTCCGTTCTGCCGTCGGTCTCTCTCCGTGTAAGATAGGACATGTCGCTTATGGATTGTATGCGAGAAAACTTTGATGGGCCTAACGCCCTTGGTGTACCAGGTGTTGATGGATTGGAAACATTCGTGTAGCCTAGTTCCGAATGGCCAACCCTACGGAGTGAGAAATCCCATGATAGAAGGTACGGAGGTTCATTTTCCGTGTGGTAATCCACACTCTGGACAGTATATGCACGATAGGCTCGTCGAACGTAGACGTCTAAAGCTGCAAGAGAGACCCAAGGATCATGATGAGCAAAGAATTGGGGCAAGACATCAAAGACGGTGAACTTCGAATCGACGACTTCTTTGAGGGTGTCGGCATCTGGTTCTCTGTGATCCCAGCCCGTTTCACCATATCTTGTCTCTACAACGGAATTTCGAAGGATATGCTCCATCTGATTCTCTCGCTCCTCAAGAGACGGAAGAGCACACTGGATCAAGACCTCACGTGCCTTGAGTGTGACTTTAGCAGTCGGTCGTGAATCAAGCTCTGTCAGTTTGCGCAACATAGGTTTGAAATACTTCGCGACGTTAGGCGTGTACGGCTTGTTCGGTCTGTACAAATCCAGGATTGCGAGAACAAGGTTGTTCTTCGAACCGACCCTGCTATGCGCAAGAACTGTGTACACTACCTTTAGTATGTCGTCCTTATTTTGCTCCCGGAGTTTGAGAACGACATCCTCATCTCGAAGATTGCGGCTGGAGAATAGTGATTCGACCTCATAGTACTTCTCCAGAAGGTTGCAAAACACATTATATTCGTGAACTTTCAATCCCTCCGTATAACGTCCAATGACTTCAGTAAGCGGTGCAAGAGATGTTCGGAGAACATCTGCAGAGGATGCATCATCAATTTCTTCAATGAATCGACTCAAAGCTTTTGCAAGCTGTTTTGCTGGGAACTCGACTTTCCGAGTCTTGGCTCTGTCAACAATCTGCGCGAGTTGCTGATCTAATTTGGCGGGCATTCGTGCATGTAGCGCCGATATTTGAGCATTCCATTCGCCGTAGGGTAGTTCAGGCTCCCGGAGTACCTGGACTAATTCGTTCAAGGTTGAGGCCATAATGACTTGGTTGTCAAAACCTTGAAGGATGTTCTCAAGAATGCTGTGTAATTGGGAGTATCGTTGAGGCGGCTTGCCGCCGACTACCTGAGGAGGACCGAGATCGGGAAGCTGACCTTGGAAGGGTTGCGCGTGCTTGACCCTGGAGGGATCATCCAATCCAAGAATTCCGAGGATATCTCCTGCTTCAAGGACAGCTCCAGGCTGTTTGATGAGCTGCACATTACCTTCTTCTTGTGTGAGCAAAGGCATGTACATCTTCATGACTTCGACTTCTGCAAAAGTTTGCCCAGCCTTGACGTGTTCACCGTTCTCTACGGTATATTTCACGAGTTTTCCAGGACTAGGTGTTCGAAGCTGCGTCGGATCATTCTCTTGCTCGAGAAGGCAAGATTTGCTATCAACACTTATACGCGTTGCACCGACCTCTTCCTTCCAGTAGACACTGTGGCTTCGGCCGCTCATGAGGACAAGCAAACCACCGTCAGCAAGAGATCGAACACCAACGGCGCATTTGGAGCCGTTGATGAATAGATGGTAACTGTCTAGGCTTGATCGTGTGGCAGTGAACTTGTATCGCACGCCTTCGTAGATGAAATCGATAGGAAAGACCGTTTTGAGGATGTCTTTTTGTGGGACCTGTCCCTTCTCTAAGCTAGATCGATATTCCTGAATGCAAGCTTCACTTGCAGAATGAGCTTTGGTCACAGCACCGCAGACAACTGCAAGGATGGTGTCGGGTCTCTCAGCGGTAAGTTTGTTTGTGATAAGTTCATCCAGCCAACCGGTCGTTATTGTGTTGTCAGCGAAGGCAGGCGTTTCTAGAAGCTTGATAAGATACTCGACGATGTTTCTGAAGTCACCTCGAATGCTCAACTCTTTCAGGGCAACAACCATGTGTTTCCGAGATGCAGTACGGTTTTCACCATACGCAAAAATATGACCAAATTGACTATCGGAGAAGTTATGAATCCCACCAGCTTGACCGACGGAGAAATACCCCCACACATTCGAACTACTTCGAAAGTTGAGCTCGTGCATCATGCCGCTTGAGGGCTTGAAGCCCTCTCCAGGGTCTTCGGAGGTGATACGACAAGCAGTAGTATGCCCTTTTGGTGTCGGACGTCGCTGAGACTTTAGGCTGTCAGACTTCTCGAAATTGAAGTCAATTTCATTGATGCCTTGCGGATCTGCGCCATACAGAAGTCGGATATCCCGAACCCTATGCAGTGGAAGACCCATGGCGATCTGCAATTGAGCAGCTGGTAGATTGACACCGGTGACCATCTCGGTAGTAGGGTGCTCAACCTGCAATCTGGGGTTAAGCTCCAAGAAGTAAAATTTATCTTCCGCGTGGGAGTACAGATATTCGACAGTACCGGCTGAAACGTATCCAACGAGTCTGCCCAAGCGTACAGCAGCCTGTTCCATGGCATTGAACGTCCTAGGATTGGCAATGGTAACGGGCGCTTCTTCTATGATTTTCTGATGTCGCCTTTGGACCGAGCAATCTCTGCCGAACAGAGAAATGTTGTTGCCGTACTGATCAGCGAGCAGTTGTACCTCTAAATGCCTAGCACTGCCCGCTAATTTCATGATAAACATTGGAGATCCAGGTATTTCATTCTGTGCTGCATTGTAAAGGGTGAGGAAATCTTCCTCTTTCTCGACTTTCCGGATACCCTTTCCTCCTCCACCTTCGGAGGCTTTGACCATCACAGGAAAGCCAATCTTTTGGGCCTTATCAAGACCCTCTTGAGAGTTGTGTGTGCATCCTTTTGCATAAACCTCATCTTCTACAGTCACAATACCGTGGGCATCCGTTACGACTTGATCAACGCCCTCGCCAGACCAAGGTATACAGGGGACTTTGGCATGCTGTGCGACAATCGTGGAGGAGATTTTGTCACCAAGAGAACGCATGGCAGAGCCAGGAGGACCGATGAAGACAATTTTCTTAGGAGAGGCTGCTAAGGACTCAGGTAGTGTTGGGTTTTCGGATGCGTGTCCCCTGCCAAAAATCAGTCTCATTCCAGATCCGCTTGGGGAGCAATGCATACCATCCAGCCCATACGGCGTGTACGTTCATTCTTTCTGCAATATCGACAATTAGTTCCACGTTAGCGTAGTTGTTGTTGTTCGTGCCACCAGGAACCTATTACAAGAAGCTCAGTCACCGCTCCTATATGAATTGACCAGGGTCTTAATACTGACCTCGACATATTGATCTGCCATCCGAATATAGTCGGCATTGGCATGCAAATCTTCTGGCGTCGCCATCACTGTGAATTGGATGGCACGCTCGTCGCCAAAAGTTTCGTAAGCCCATTTTCGGACCGATCTTATTTCTTTCACGGCTGCAATGCCGTTATTTGCTATCAAGACCTAAGGGTTCGTCAATAGAGTGTTCTAGCAATCTGGCCTTGTACCTACATTCGTAATGACTGTGTGCCCATCATTTTGTATCACGAAATCTTTGACGCTGCTCGAAGGGGCAGCTTCCAGACGATTCCCGCCAATGAAATGATCTGCTAAACTGAATTTTGCAGAATATGACTGGGTTGACTTCGAGTGGGAGTCTCCATTGACCTGCTGGTGAACGCCATTGGGCTGGGGAACCCCATTAACCCCGTTCACAGCAACCGGAGCCATGGTGACCAAGAGAGGGGAGGAATGGGAGATGGAGGATGTGTGGAGAGAAACAGGACGTTGAATCCTCAGAATTTTGGGTCCATCAACCCCGAATGATTCCCGTCTCACTCAACAGCTGATGCTATGTCCGTCAATGCCCGGGCGTAATCCTCCTCTCACGTGCAGATGCACCTCAACGGCGTAAATGCTCTGCGGGGGAGGAAGGACTAGAGGGCGGGGAGGGGAGCGGTGGCTATTACAAGGTGCCAGAGGCAGCCAGAGGCAGGAGCAGTGTGAGATGGGGAAAGTGGCTGGCAGTGGGACAGCTCAATAGTTAAGAATTATGGGGAGCTCGGCGACTTTTGTTGTGGAAGTCCCGGAGTATGGGTACACGACGGGGAAGTTTTTGGTTGGCTTTCGGGAGTGCTCCCCAGATAAAAACTCTACAGATTTGTTGACGACCTCGATGTCGGCAGCTTTAGGATCTCATCTACTAGCTATCCGTTTGCCACGAGAATCACGAGGGCATGGTCTACCCATCAATGCAGTACACTCATAGCTCCTGATGGTGGTTGTACGCCGACAGCTCGTCAGCGTGGGATTATCCCAGGACGGTGACCGATCGGATACATCTACGTCACATTATTCGTTGGGGAACTAAGCGCCTTTAGGGTACATTAGCCTCAATAGCCTCAGCCCCGGCAGCGAACCGGCCCTAGAACCAGAACTTCTCTGCAAATTTTCCATCCTCTCTCTCGTGGGCCCCCAGCTCGTCGGGATTCATTTTCAATCTCCGCCGTCTTGTTTCAAAGCAAGGGGTGAGTGTTCCTGCATTCACGATGCCCTAAAATAGCCCTAGAAGAATTCCAGACGCGTGGCATATCGTCGTTTGGGCGAGCTGAAGTGGTTGCCGGGAGGCGCGCTCGGGCTTGTCCACAAAAAAGCCACTAAACAAAAGAATTGCTCCACACAAGACCAATGTTGGAAATGCTTGTTCATTTGATGTGTGAATATAGTACATGCAGCCAATGCTTCTAGATCGGCACAATTTCCAGCCAAAGACTCTTGGCTGATGCGGGCTAACCTCTCACCTCCAATATTAATACATTACCACCGCGTGATTCCCTTTTGCCTATCCGTTGCATCTCCATTTACAAGTTCCATGGCAGTGGATGCTTCTCTACAGGGCAGCGATTCCTGCTCCAACTGTGAGAAGAAGAAGACCAGCCGACACAGCCATAATGTTGCCCGCCCCCGTGAAGGGTATAGTGGTGTTATATGACGAAGCATTGGTCGGTGATGCGGCTCCAGATGCTTGTACCTGGCCGTCTAATATTTGACTCGCTGTGGGGAACGGAGCTGATGAGGAAGTGATGACGGCAGAGCAACCGGCTGAAACCTCAGGGCCAGGTGCAGTAGGGACGGCCGAGGCTGTTGCAGGGCTGCTACTCGCGACTGCTGCTTCGGTACTGGCAGGTGAAGAAGCGGCGGTTGCAACGCAGTCACAGACGGCACTGGCTGATGCTTGTACCGCGAGCCCTGTCTGAGCACCACAACCGCTTAGGACACAGTTGAGTGCGGCCGCATTGATGGCGGCAGAATTCTTGCATTGGCAGGCAAAGTCTGTTGGAGAACTGCATCCCACGCTACCGGCTGCTTTATCGATGCATTGTGTCTGAATGCTTGTCAGTCAAATGAATCCTGGCTTACTTGTTTAACTTTTACTCACAGCGCAGCTAGGGATCTTCGCCGCTATCGAGGCACATTGGTCTTGTGCATGAACGGCTGCCATTAGGCCGAAGGCCAAGACTGTGATGAAAGACTTCATGATGTGGGACGTTAATGTCTGTGAAGTGTAGGTTGAACGAGTGACAAGATCATAAAATCAGAGAGGGGCCAGAATGGAGGGATACTGCAGATCTGTTGATTGATGAAAGCAGAGAGGGGAGAGAGGGTGCTATATATGCGAGGGAGATTGGAAACAGTTCTCTTCGGGTGCACGTTCGCTTCGTGCCTTTCAGACTTCGCTATGGAAATGAAGAAGCCGCGGTCTATCCAGATGAACGTAGGGGCGAATCTCAGGGATCAACACTCGCATTCAAAGGGGTCTTAAGCAGTTTTCTACTTCTGGTTGTGATGTGGGAGTTTTGACTGGTCGGCCTTGGTCTGGTACCTTTAATGGCCTCTCAGACCCATACTGTCCTGCCGCCATCCACACCTTTCTGTATAGTAGGGCGAGTTGACAGACAGAAATAGCATCAAAGAGTTGAAGGTCGAGCCGGAGTAAAACAAAGAGTGAAGTAGTTCCTGCAGATCACTAGCGGCCTTCCAACGGCTTCCAACGGCGGAAGCGCTCAAAGAGGTTAGCCTCCCCCGGATTTCCCAAGACTTGTCGGACACTTAACTCAAAGGCTTCAACAACCACTTCCCATTCTCGCCAACGCAAGACATATATGCGCGTGGCCCCGCAGTAGACTGCGCCTTGATCATTCAACCTCGGTCAGGTATGAGCAGCGGTCTGCCACTCGCCGTCAGCACAGTCGGAAAGACAATTTCAGGAACCAGTGTTCCCCTGGGAGTATTGACAGTACCAAAGATTCGTCAATACGAGATGACTGACCGAACCAAGGTCTTGTAAGAGAAGCATCACATGCGACTTCTGTGACAGGCTCTGGAGTATGGATGCCCATATAGCGCCTACAATTCCAATCTATCAATTCCACCAGTTAGATGTCCGAGACAATCACCCGCACTTGCGGCTTTTGCCTCCGCTAGCGCTCTGATGACACACCACTTAGCATACAATGGAGAAAAGTGACCCAGTTCTTCCTTGAACGGATACACGCTTGCATCAAGTATATGCTCCGTTCCGTGATCGCGTGCCACTTTATCGATATACGAATTGTTACCCGAGGCACTTTGGCTGATGGAGACTTCTCTGGCAGAGAAGCTCTGTGCGAGATCTGCTTCCTGCCATTGCCATCCATCCCATCATAACTATCCGCTGTTTGAAAGATCATTTCCAACGGTCGCGACCGCCCCAGTATTCACATCTTAAAGAGCATAGTACTGCCCCCAATTCCATGTCTAACTGCTCCGTTTCATTCAGAATGACTGCGTCGTGATTTGAACAAGAATATTGAGTGTGTTGCATACTGAGAATCCCCTTCCGGCTAGCTCCTTCCGCATCTAAACGATCGACACTCGATTGACTTAGAGCTATCACTGCATACATTTCATCCTGTTCATGTCCCCACATACCGAGGCCGATTGAATATCACTCCTTTTCAAACTTTCCTATCTTAAGAACGTTGGCTCAAGAAGAGAACTTCTGATCTCTCCCACACCACAATCCATCAGCCTTCCACTCCCATCAAGATGACAGAAGAAGAAAGTAAGGTCGCCACAGAGCATCTCCAGGAGGTGTCATCTGATTCAACAGTCCCAAAGACATCATTCGGGACAAGGCTCAAGGCACACTACAGGAAGTGGTGGTGGGCGCATTTGGCATTCTTCGTCGCATCAACCTTGATCATTGTACTTTGCTTGTAAGACTCTACAAACTCTTGTTGATAGTAGCGCGAAGGCATCGTGGGCCTACTTTCAATGCTAAATACTCAAACAGAATCTACGTTGGGTATCCTAACATCGCTCAAGACAACATCAACGATTCTGCCCTTGAAGTATCATCTTTAGAATTTTCCAGCCCAACACCCAATTCCTTCCACCTCCGCCAGAATGCTACTATAGTCAACAAGTCCAGCTACCATCCCAATCTAGACGCCTTCAATGCAACACTTTCTCTTCAGGGCGGTAAACCTTATGCTAGCGTGGAGATTCCCAAACTCCACGCCACAGAGCGTGCCATTTCCATCATCGATCAAGACGTAACCATCACCAACCTCGAAGAATTCACTCGCTACACAGCTGCAGTGCTAGGTGGTGAAGAGGTCAAGATTGAGGTCAGAGGGCGGACCGGTTTGCACGAGATGCGCTTCCCAGTGACGCACGTCGTTTACCACAAGACCGTCACCATGAAAGGCAAGCCAGCCCCTTTCTTCCTGCCTCCCCTGCCTCCCCTACAACGAGAATCTTCTCTCAGCAATCCAGTAATTGACAACCCTCACAGGCCTCAACCAAATTACCGGCTTCAACGTCACATCCTTCTCAATAAAACTAACCCCCGACCCCGACGGCGCCAACATGGTCGGCACGGTCCTCCTCCCCAACCCCTCCGTCCTGACCATCGCCATGGGCAACGTAACGTTCACAAACTACCTCCCCGCCTCCCCATTCACCAACAACACCCGCATCCCCATCGGCATCTCCACTCTCAACGACCTCGTCCTCGTGCCAGGCGACAACCACGTGCCCATGCGCTCGCAGATCAACCAAACCCTCGTCATCGGAGCTATCGCCAAGCAATACAAGGACGGCATGATGCCTGTCGAGATTGTGGGGAACACGAGCGTGTATGATGGCCAGCATCTGACGTATTTTGAGAAAGCGCTGCAGGGATTGACGCAGAAGGTTACGTTAAATGTGGGGAAGGCGTTGCAGGATGCGGGGGTCGATGCAAGCACTCTGGCGGCGCTTGGAGGAGGAAGTCCGCCGTGATTATGGTCACGGTCGTGAGATAGTATGGCTCGTAAGGCGTCATGGCGTCTAGTATCTGTAATGGAGGGAGAGGGGTTGGCTTTTCTCGGTGATGCGTCGTCGGCGTTTTGCTCCTGTGCGTGAGCAAAGGGAGTTTTTAATGAAGGTGGTTTTTGTGTAAAAGCGGACATGCGTTTCTAATGTGGGGGTTGCACAGACATGGCATTATAAGTATGGGAATAAGGCAACATGAGCTGAGATTGTAGCATGATTAGCTTCTCGCGAGAGAGCACGGTAAAGATAACTCCAGTGGAGTATGAAGCAATGAAGTCTTTATCACATGAACAGGATAACAACACGCTCCCGTCTGTGACAGCTGCATCTGGAGTCATGAACATCTTGACAGCTATGTGATTCCAATCTAGTACCCAATTCCATGTGGAGAGGATTTGAAATCATTACTGCGTGCTGCATGTCGCTCATCTGCTACATCCCCAACTCCTATCCAATCACAACCTCAACCAATCGGACATCGCTTGCTTTTCCCATGCACATGTATCCCATATCCTATGCCCGTATGATCCGCTTTCCACAGCTTAATGATCCACTCATTATGCCACCTTCCTTCGCATTACAGGAATCAATCAAGCCCATGTCTATCTTACAGATCTCAATCCTCAACTTCCCATCGATGAGCGGACCGTCTCCCTTCATGAACGCGTAGCCCATGGTTGACGCAGAGTCTAAAGGCCAATAGCATGTTCTTTCCCCTAAATTGTGGGTTCTCACCAGCCCCAGCTGCTGACGACTCCGTCAGATGCAGATTATTGTAGGAGTTTGACATGATTCTCGTCTAGGTAATAAGCGGCGCATGAAGAGCCTGGTGCTATGTAAGGCTTGTCTTGCAGAGCTGAACTTGTGGTGCTTCTTGGTGCGAGAGGTTGTGTTCTGAGTTTCTGGATTGCGACATTGTGGCAAAGTGAGGGGAAGCGCGTGCACTCTTTCTGTGAATGATTGGGATTCAAATGATGGACTTATAAGCAGGGGAGAGGAGAGGTCGGAAGAGCGGTGTTTGAGGAGGGGTATGAGGAAAGTAAGGGCGTTCGGTCGCATTTGCGGGCTCCCCTTTTTCTAGCCTGCGCTTTGGTGATAAGTGAACGGGCATGTTTTTGAGGTCTTGTATGACTTGACAGTCGCAATAGGTGCAGCGCATCATAGATTTATATAATATGAATGGTAACAGATAGAACATTGATGGGGAGAGAATTGGAAAAAAAATTGTTCTTTGGTCTCAGCTTCCTCTTTGGCTGTTTTTTGCTTACCCTAAATTTCTCCTTCTCGGGCTTCTTCTCACTCTGCCGCTTTATACCTGACCCCCATTGCCGACCCGGCGTCAGGTGAGTAGTCAGGTAGTCCTGCTGTTTATTGCAGGTCTCTTTCCAGTTCCCATTGCCGACTCCGGGGAGTCAGGTGAGTAACCGACACCTCCGGCGAGGCTTGCAGCTTTTCTAAGAATTGTTAAATAGAGGAAAGGATTCTTTAATGTAGGAAATACAGCGAAAACTCAGAAACTCAGGAACGCGGCCCGGATGTGAACCGGGGCAAAGGATCAGATGCAACTGTGTTGAATGTTAGCGCTTTTCCTAACTAGACCACAGAAGCCTCCGATTCCGCCTCGACCATTTGAACATGTTTGAAGAGTCCGTTGTCATTAATATATAATTACATTTTGGCGATTTCATTCCCTCAATTCTTACGCCCGTATGACTCCCCTTACCTTTGTATCGAAGCAATGGCTAGGGTGCACTTATGCCTCGTCCCTGACAAGTGTTGATCACGCTAAGGAGCGTCACGGTGGCGTCAGGAAGCGGATGAAAAAACAACGATCTGTCGACTGGCTGCGGGAGAGCTTCCGCAGATTTCTGGGCCCAAGGAAGTTTTTGGTACAAAAATTTGAAGTCTTTCAACCCATTTCCTCCATCCTCTCAAAGTCCACGACGCCGTGGGGATAGAAGGTATCACAGCGGCGTAAGAGTCTTCAGCGATGACCGAATGCTACTATCGTATGCTTGTTCTCAACAAGACATACGCTTCGCATTGTTCAGGAAGGCAGACTGTGTTCTGCAGCTGCATTGTCATTGCAACGGCAGCCAGGATTCTTGAGTCGTGACGAGACAAATGCCTTAGGGTGCAGACCTCAACGCGTCTGTGTCTTTGCTATTCCTGCGTCGAGTCTGCTGTCGATATCATCGTCGATGTGTACAATTTGCTTTCAGACAACGGTCTCCTTCATGATTTTGCTCGCGCTATGTCTTACGGAGAAGAGCAACGTTCGGCAGGTCGGCCCTTAGTGACATCTTTCACAACTTGCGTTGCCTTAATCTTCATTCTGAGTTCTGCAGTTCCTGACTGGTGTGCATCTTTTCACGCATTGCCTTAATCTGGAGATAACCGTTTGGTAGTAGAGCCTGCCTTCGGTCGGTCCACGTAGGTCCGGAAGGCCCTTCATAGTGGCAGACGACTCTTCAATGTATTACGTGACTTTCGCCCACTGTTTCAAGATGCTCTTCGAAGACACAATCACAAAATATGCTCCCTACGCGGCCTTTTCTTGGAATTTGTCGAAGGGTCGTAGTTGATGCTACCGTTTTAGGGAGACCCCGGAATGTACCACCGAAACTAGCGGCTGCATTGACGAGCGCCTCCAGGTCTAGCCAACCTAATGAGCTACTGCTGTGCCTCGGAAACACGGCAGACATGCCTGGAGAAGCCCCTCATGAGCTTTCGTGACTATCGACATCTTCATCATTCCTCGTGGGCATTGTCTCGATGTCATTCCTTGGTATCAGTGGGCTCAAGTCCATACCAGGTCGCCTTCCCATTTGGCTGAAGCGACCTCTTGACAACGGCCATGGCTAAAGTTTACAACAGCCAGCTGGTAACGCAGAACTGCTTGCCAAAGTTGTCTTGACAGTAGCTGAATCCCCAATAGGACGCATTTGATCTCTATCACAAGATTCAAGAAAATTCCGAGAAATCCTCTACTCTTTTGAGCGGTCCTGTACTACCAGCAGTAGGTCACGCAATAGCTGGGTCGACTGGAGCAGCAATATCGAACGTCACGACCTATCCGCTTGCCTTGATCGTCACAAGGCTTCAAGTTCAGGGACAGTCGCCGCGGCAGACTTCAGTACGAGACAGGGAAGGTCACAAGTCTATTCCACAAATTGTACAGAAGATCTACCAAGATGAAGGTGGGATCAGGGGTCTCTATGTGGGAGCCACATCAGACACCGGCAAGACAATCGCTGACTCGTTCCTGTTCTTCTTGGCTTACAATTTCCTACATCAAACAAGAATGCGGCCTCAAGGAAAACCGCATAGAGAGCATCTTCCGGCCGTGGAGGAGCTGGGTATTGGATTCGTCGCAGGAGCATTTACCAAAATTCTTACGACCCCAATCGCGACTATTGTGACTCGCAAACAGACCAACTTTATACTACAGAGCTGTAAAGCAGACCATCCGGATAAAGATGACTCTATTCGCGCAATCGCTAAGCAGATCTACCAAGAAAAAGGCTTACAGGGCTTCTGGTCCGGATACTCCGCATCGTTGATCCTCACGCTCAACCCTTCACTAACTTTCTTCCTCTACGAGAACCTCAAGCGTATCAGCTTGTCACGCGACAAGAGGACAAATACTCCACCTCAGGCCACATTCTTACTCGCGGCTTTGAGTAAAGCAATAGCTTCTGCCATTACTTATCCCTTCTCTCTAGCAAAGACGCGAATGCAGGCACACAGAGGTAGTCAAGAGGATAGTGAGATGAATGTTGGACCTACTAGAGTCCAGTCCCGCAACCAAGGCCAAAGCAACATATTCACTATAGTCCTTCAGATCGCGAGGAATGAGGGCGTCAAGTCACTTTATGAGGGCTTGCATGGAGAGCTTCTGAAAGGGTTCTTTAGCCATGGCACCACCATGATTGTGAAAGAGGCCGTGCATAAAGTCATCATCCAGCTATATTATGCAGTACTGAAAATACTCCGGCGATATCCGAACTCAGAAGCTCTGGCTCAAAAGGGCAAGGAGCTTGCTGGAGAAGCGGTGACGGAGGTGAGGAATCAAGTGCGGCTTGCGGCAGACAAGACAAATGAGGGTGTGAACATGCTTTCCCAAAATATCAACCACCAAGTCTACAATAGGGATTGAGGGAAGGATCACGCCTCAGTTGGATCTTTTGCTACAATGGCGTACGAAATTGCCTAGAAATTGCATGCCGGTACCCGTCAGAAAAGTTTTCCATACCCAACACGTGAGATGGAAGCTGGGAAAGAGCAGTCCGCTCCTTCAACAATGCTAAGTAAGTCTGAGCAGTCACGATTCACCATCCGCTTCCTCTAATTTCAGACCCTGCGAACATCAAAGCTGGATATTCTCGCAGGGATGATGGCGGGCTTTGCCGTATCAGCTCGGACCAATTAGATTCGGAGTGTCCGAGCACATCTCGAGCGAACATGAGCGAGATGTGTAGAACAGGCACATGAACCTTCTTCACAGCTATCACCAACCCAAACGGCTTCTCAGCATCATGGAATGGGTGGCTTTGGGCACAAGCGCCGGGTGGCAAGGGTGAGGAGCTGTCCGTGCATACAGCCGACGACGACAGGGAATGTGTTATTATACTTGCGGGGTCGCGCCTTCCATGTGTGACGGATTGTTCATCACAATTTTCCCTCAAGCGGGGAAATTGCTTCTTCGTGATCACGTCTTTCGTGTTTGCTAACACTTCTACTTCTTGGTCCAACTTAAGTCCTTCTTTTGACTTGTAACTTGTCTGTCTTTACAGCTTCAGCTCTTCTCTTGAGTTGCTACCAGTCTATATCAAGCTTCAAAATGTTTCACGCTGTACTCGCAACGCTCCCTTTGCTGTGCACTGTCTTGGCTCAGTGCCCTGGCAGTCCCAACCCTGTCAACGATATCGAGCCTATCACTGCGAGCGGTTGGAAGTGGTCTGTTGTGTCCACGAACATCTCAAACCCTAGATCCTTGCAGTTCGATTCAGCAGGGAGACTCATCGTGCTACAGTCTGGGCATGGTATCACTGCTCTGACACTTGAGGATGATGGAGGGAATTGCGTAGGAGAGACTTCGAGGAAAGTCCTGAAGGAGGATGCCAGTGTAGGTTTATACTTCTTAGTTTGGCCACAGAAACTGAGACTTAACATAGTTCAATCATGGCCTCGCACTTTCCGCAGATGGAAGAACTATTTATGCCTCGTCTTCTGAGGCAGCCTTCTCTTGGCCCTACGATCCTGCCAACGCAATCATCGGCGCCGATGCAACGACACTCGTCCGGGGAATGGACAACACCGATCACAATACCCGAACTCTCCTCATATCTCCATCTGCACCCAACAATCTCGTTGTGTCCCGCGGCAGCAATGCAAACATCGATCCCGGAGCCGCCGACGTCACCGCTGGCCGCAGCCAAATCAAAGCCTTTGACCTTACGAAACTTCCAACCGGAGGCTATGATTTCATCACGGACGGTCTGCGTCTAGGCTGGGGACTCCGCAATTCTGTCGGTGTCGCTGAACACCCTGTCACCCACGGTATCTATTCTGTCGAGAACTCTGTCGATGAATTCGACCGCGACGGCGTGGACGTGCACCAAGACAATCCCGGTGAAGAAATGAATTTCCACGGCACCATTCTCGACAACGCGTTTAAGAACCAGGGAGGAAGTTACGGCTACCCTAACTGCTTCGCGGCCTGGCTCGTTTCCGCACTCCCCAACAATGAGGGTCTCGTCACCGGCTCGCCATTTAGCAACAGCTCTAAATACGACTACCTCTGTGAAGGCACGATTGCACCTGTGATGACATTCGGTGCGCACAAAGCACCTCTAGACATCAAATTCAATAATAGCGGGACGGAGGGATGGGTTAGTTTCCACGGGAGCTGGGATCGCGATGCGAAGACGGGGTATAAAATCAGCTATGTACCATTTGTAGATGGGCAGCCGAGGGCTGTCAAGGCAACTAACCCAACGAATGACATCTTTCACAATGCGGATGTTACGAGGTGTCCGGGGAATTGTTTCCGGCCTACTGGGATGACTTTTGATAGTCAGGGACGCTTGTTTATGTCCAGTGATTATTCGGGGGAGATTTATGTTGTTGCGAGGGATTGAGTTGAGGAGGCTTTGAGAGCTTGAGTGGATATCGGTGTGAAGATTGGAGAAGGAGATTGTGCATATGATAACAGGAAATCGTGATAGGAGGTCGATGTACTTTGCGGAGGGTTTGGTATCAAGGATGCATATTGAAGGAAAAGGCAGGCATACATATGTTGGCTCGCTACATGGCGACAAGTTTGCTGTACATTCATCATACTGCAGGCAGTAGCTTCGTTTGATTTTGTATATGGGTTCGTCGCTCATTACATATCATCATATTCAGGACTTCATCTAAGTTCCTCTCATTCAAGCGTCTCATCAACCAAACATCAACATTTCTTGTAACCAAGCCCCAAGCATACTGTGAATGCTATAAAGCGTCCAATCCCCCCTACATCCCCACACGTCCAATAACCCGACCATAGCCTCCAGGAAACAGCCCCTTTCGGCGACAGTAAATCCCCCAAAACCAATCCTCATTGATATTCTCACACTCCCTGATCTCCGCCCCTTTGGGAAACCCAAGCTCATCCTCCACCCCCTCTTGCGGCCAATAGCTCCACAGCGCTACTACGCGGAGACCCACGCCCCCTGAGGGCGGGAAGACTTTATCTCCACCCACCTTCTCGAGATTGGTAGCTGTAGGGTTAGTAGAGGAGGAGGCATGGGAGGCAGAATGCCTATGCACGGTCTTCGCCCTGCGTTTCTCTGACCCTTCTCGCCAGCTCCATTCTGGTTCTGCCTTTCCACTATTCCCTCCGCTATCGGCGCTGGTGTTGGTGTTGGTGTTGAAGTCCGTGATTGCGCTCTCGTCCAGTGCCCAGCCACCGATCACTCCTTCGACTATGACACGTCGCTGCCCGTCTACTCCGTCTTCGAAGCCTACGATCATCATTCTGTGGCCTTTGTTCGGACATCTTCGCCAGCCTTTTGGGCCGTTTTCCGGGGTGATGATGCCGCGTTTTAGGAGCTTTTGGTAGCACGGGAAGCAGAGGTCGTAGTTCCCGTCGTTGCAGGTGGGGCAGTGGTAGCGGGTTGTGGAGGGTGGGATCGGGTAGGTGCAGTTGTCGCAGTGGGTGGAGATTTGGAGGGGGTGGTAGCCTACTTCGAGGGAGGTGGGTGGGGCTGGGGGCTTATTGGCAAGGTCTCGTGGGGAGCCAGGTGCGGTTCTGTTTCTTGATGGGGTTGAGGGCGCAGCTGGTGGAGCGTGGTAAGCTACTGGAAGAAGGGCGTGCGTACAGCACCGATCTTGGTTAACGCATGGGTTGCAATAACCCCATTCTCCTTCGTTACAGATACCGCATTGCCAGTAGTAGGAGGGCGTGAAGGCGGAACATGTGGAGCAGAAGGGGCCGGATTGAAGGCGCGATGCTGGATTGGACGTTGTCGCTTTGGAGGACGTCGTCGAACGGGCAGAGTCTTGAGGACGGAGATACTTCTGGCCTTGCAGTCGGTGAGGGAGCTCGAGATTCGAAGGATAGCCACCTGACGGTGCTTGGCGTTCAAATCGCTGATTTGCTGCGTTGCCAAAACCATACCAGTGGAGACAACCCTTGCCAGTGAGACAGCACTGGTGACATATATTGTAGTCTCCGCTTTCGCATTGGCTGCAGTTCCAGTGCAGTTCATACTCAATACTATGCTTGCCGCACCGCCTACAATCAAGGAATGGCTCAGTGTAGGTCTGAAGTTGGCGTGAGCTGGAAGTAGCATCTGACTGAGATTGAGGTAGTCTGACTAGGCTCTCGACGGCATTGTCCGCGGACCGATTGCGCATTTGCTCTACGGCATGCACTGTTGAATTCGGACTTGGCGATTGAGTAGCAGGTGTTGAGGCCATTTGAGCAGTTGCTACCGTCGGAGAGCTATTGGCCCGTCCTTGCGAACTCCTTGACGAAGATACTTGATGAGAATGCTCTCTTGACTGTGGACTGAGTTGATGAACTTCTGGGCTGCTGCCCTGCTGGGGGCGATGGGATGCCTCGCTTCGCCCTGACGACGATCGTTCGGATTGGTGCTGTCGACTTGCAAGGTCTGTGGCAGACCTAGCAGCTTGCGTTTGGGTGTCCAGTGCGGTGCGTGAATGGGAAGGAGGGGTAGGATTTGTCCGACTTCGGTTCTCACTCGAAGTCCTACGTTGATGGCCTTGCGATCTAGGATAAGCCTCTAAAAGATGTGGTCTCGACACTGGCGGATGGGCCGCCTGTGTAGATCGATCTGATGAAATCCCCGAGTCTGCTTGCCTCCTAGACCGACCCTGCTCTGCTGCTGGGTCATGGTCTTGAGAAGCCGGCCTTTGATCAACGGATCGGTCGTCTCTTGACCTAGGTCTCCTATGGGACCGGTGTCGTCGCCTATAGGCATCGGCAATCTTTTCACTAAGCTCTTCTTCCTGGGAGACATCAAGGTTGTGCAAATCGATGCCGTCGAGTATCCCATCCTCCATGATTTGCCGTAGGATTTCTTCCTCCATATCCTCCGAGTCACCTAGATCAGACCTGCTCACGATAGACCGTAGACTAGATTGGTGCTCGATTTCCCGTGCCCTTGCTGTCTCATCTGTAGGTCCCCCTCCGCGATTCACATCTCTTGATTGGGCCTCTCTTGCAGCTTCTCTTGCTCGATGCCGTACACCCCTCTCATACCCAGTATTTCGTAGGCCGACGTCTCTCAAGCTTAATTCTCTGGCCTCTTCAACCATTCTGCGGTCCTCTACCTCCTCTGCTGTTTCTCTCTTCTTCTTGATCTTTGGCAACACATTCTCCCCTGGCGTGTAACCCTCAGCAATCGCATCCTTGTCTTGCTTCGATTTGCTCTTTCCGGGATTAGACTTAAGGTACATTTCTAGCAAAGTGGTCACGGTAGCATTTGGACGTGTGTCGCGGACAGACGCGCGACATGATGGGCATGTGAACGGGTTGGGTTTGCTTGAAGTCGCCGACGAAGCCTGCCAGGAGAACCATTCTTTCAGGCAGGAGCCACAGAATGTATGAAGGCAGTCGAGCAGGGTGAGGGGTTGGTAGAGAACCTCGGTGCAGATCTAGGAGGTTGAAATCGTTAGTGGAGACATTCGATGAAGCAGGACCTCTACGTTGGATCACTCACCGAGCAAGTCAGCTCATTCTCGAGATTAATGCTGCCAGCTCTCTCACCATCCGCCATGATTGGCAGCCGGCCTACATTTTCATTTGTATAGTAACATGCAAGACTAGCTGACGCTAAGTGATGGCTTGATGACTACCATATTTACAATGTTCTAGAACTACTGCCCATCACCGAAATGGGATTAGTCTTTCTCGCTGGTATCAACACTCTCTACTTGGTGATCAAAAGCACTATCGTAGGCTATGACTGCCACGTCTCTGACGTTGGACCGGCCACGTTCGTGGCATCGTTAACACCGAGCGCGACTACTAGCATTGGCCTGAATGGAGAGAACACAATTCTCAACAGCTTGTTTGAAGGAAGCGAAGTAACTGAACTCTCTGAGGCTTAGGCCCACTAACGCAGCACTCTTGTCCATGAGCGCTGTATGTTTCATGAGTCTTAGGCTCTATAATATTGTTTATACCTGCTAGACACCAAGATCTTGCAACCACCTTGTGTTCCTTTGATAATGAGACTCGTGTGATCAACGAGTTCTTGCTTGGCATCTTGGTCGATACAGTCTTATAATCTCCCCGGCCCAGAGCATAGCTTTGCAACAGGTACGTCAAATTTTCAGGCTTGTAGAGATGCAGTAACATGATTTTCTCTTCTGGAAACTATACGTGTATTGAATGATCGAGTGAATGAAAGCTCAAATAAAGTCTATTTAAGTTTGCTTCATCATCCTCTAACTTAAAATCTATTCATCATTTGTCACTTCCGAACATTGAGCATGAACAACAAGATCAGTCCGGTTTGGGCAGTGCCTGTGGACGATGCTCAACTAGCCGCTCGCACCCAGGCATATGTAGCGGTAAAGCCAACCTCCACGACCTTGACGTTGTGTGAAAAGTACACAGCCCCTTTAGCGTTCAGGGCACTCATGTGGACTCCTGAGGTGGCTATCATGATTGAAAATCAGCTGGAAGACGTCGTGTACCAGTCAAAGATTCAGCACTGGCTTGAGTCTCGAGACTGTGCTCAAGAAATTTTTGAGGAAAGTGGTCTTTTCACGACAAACAGGCCGAAGACAGGCAATCTCAGGCACTACAACATGGCCCAGTCTTACCTGCGAAAAGTCAGCCTTGCCACCAGCTCCAAGGCAACAACAAAGCTCATGAGGTGCATAAACGTAAGCAAACGATTCGAATGACAATTTCTAAAAGTCGTGTAAAAGCTCATACTGGGACAGATTTTTGCTCACGACTCTGCACTGTATGCTCGTTTTGTCGTTCTACGGCCACCTGACTACGAAAATCAGACATATTACTCAACCAGCGACCCAGCAGACGTATCTGCATCTTATGGTAGGAAGTGAGTTGTCGTTCTGGGTGTAAGAGCATATTGCACTCCTTACATGTAATCGAATGCTACCAGCCACTTCTAGAGTCATTCATGATGCCATTATCTTGTTGTTAATAATAGGTAGTTGCTACAGGCTGAGTTTTGAAAGACTATGTGTGGAGATTGTGCTCACCGAACATCAGCATCACTACTTGCTTTTCACTTTCATTGGTTCACTGGATTTTGGAGTACGCAAGTAGCCATTGCTTGATGTCAGGGTGCTATCGGTGGTGGTGCGAAGTGTAGGGGAAGAGATCTCGTTACATTTGCACTCAATCGCCTGTTCGGTCTAGTGTCCATTCGTGAAGCCTTGAATCTCCACAATACTATCCCACCGGAAAACCCATTGGATTCCGAAGACAAACAGATCCAATGGACGCTTAAAAAATTCTTTCCATCCATCAAGTCAGAACATTCCTCAACTTCATCTCATCAAGTAGTACATTCTAATTACATCATCTATAGCAGTCAGATTCTCGTCGACCAAACCAAACAAGCCGCGTCCGATGCCTACGAGAGTGCCAAAAAGGTCACCGAGCAAGGCGCTTTTGCCTTGACCGACGATCTGAGACCAGGCGGTGAGCCTGGTGGCAAGGGATTGGCAGGCGATCCAGGACCGGGGAGTGGACCTTGATCAACAACGTATATGAAAGCTGCCAGCGGGAGTGCGACTAAGGATGAGTCTGTGCTTGGGGTTGGTCATGGGCACGGTGTGCCGTAAAAAGGAGACGCGTGATGTAGGAGCCTGCTTGAGAGCAATAAGATCTCATCAAAACAATTAAGTATTCATCATGAAAATTGCCTGATTGTACGAACTGAATTTTCCATGAATGGTGCTTATACCTTAGCCTCATTATAAATCGAGTTTGAGAGTCGCCCAGTATACGTGCCAGGTGCAAGCACGGGGGCATCACCTTTCGTTATTTGTGGTCCTTTAAATTTCTTCCGGCCTGTAGTGATCCAGTTTACGAGGCTGATCAATCCGATAACACCAAGAGCTGCGCTTGTATAGTTCATATTGTCCTTCTCCACGGGAGCCAGCGTTGGAAAGTTGAAAGTAACAGCACAAAATGTTAGAAATATAAGACCCACAAGATTAGTCGCAATACTGTATCGTCCAAGTGAATAAGGTCCTGGTAGATGCTGGACCCGGCCAGTGACGAATGCAAGAATGCGCGCTAGTATTGGCATCGCATAGGAGAGGTAGAAAGCTTCAGTTGCGATGGCGATTACAGTATTGAAGCCTGTAAGCGTGCCAAAGTAGATTGCGTTCAAAATCAGTTGCACTAAGCCCGATAGGAGGACTGCGTTGATGGGGACTTGTTGCTTCGCCGCCACTTTTGCAAAGACTCTCGAGAAGGGTAAGCCATTGTCTCGAGCAAATGCGTATAATGTCCTCGAGGACTCAGCCGTCAAGAATGTGGTGCCAACAAATGTAGCGAAAAGGACCATTGACGTTAGAAAGCAGGTTCCCACTACTGAATGGGTGGAGTCATAAAGTATCTGAATGAATGGCACGCCAGTGACGGATTTCGCTGTTGCTTCTACATCGCCAATGCAAAAAGATACCGCGATAAGAAAGGCGAAGCCTGTAACCGCACCAATGTACACTGACGTGACTATGGCTTTCGGTGCATCTTTCGATGCATTCTTCATCTCCTCTATCACTTTATCAGCTTGTGTAGACGATTTCGGGTGTCTACAGATCGTTGTGGGCAATATCTTACCTGTCATGTGGGCCGGTGCATCATAGCAACACATGCCGAAGCAACTTTGAAGAAGGCCAATAATTGCGGCATAACTAGCACCAAAGCCAGTAAAATTTTGGAAGTCAGAAAATACAAAGCGAGCTGGTTTCTTATCTTGGTTGGTAGTTAGTATTGTGATGAGGATTGCAATGAGGGATATGATGTTCCAGAAGAGTATGTATGTCGACAGGCGATCGAACAGCTTCCGGCTGAAAATATTCAACGTTACGCTGAAAAGCATGACCAACCATGTGAGCAAGACGACGTGCCATCGTTCTATCACATATTCGGGATACGAGAGAGTTGCCATTCCAAGAGCGAAATTCGCAACGAAAAAATTGACTGTGGCACTCATGGCTATGAGAGCGATGTTGAGCTTACTCAGTCAGTAGTTTAAAATGAAAAATGTTACTCAATTCTCTGGGCTAAAATGTTGGTGCAAACTCACTAGCCACCCAGTAACGTACGACATGCCTCTACTGACGCTCGGAGGAGCAAGCACCGCAACCCAAGAGTACTGTCCGCCTGCAACAGGATATGCAGAGCAAATCTCTGGATTCAAGCTGACTATCAGACCAAGCTCTGGAGACAGAACAAGTCACTCATACCTGCCATCGAATACGCCACAGTCAGCGTAAGAGTGCAGACTCCCAGCCAACTGTAGATCATGACTGGAGGCCCTCCACTTTGCACGCCAATGATCAACACGCCTGCGAGAGCTGACCAGCTGCTCACGATGTTGAAGCTGAAGCCAATCATCCCCAACACGCCAAAGGAGCGCTTGAGCTCTTGCTTGTAGCCGAGCTTCTCCAAGATATCATCTTCGGTTTCGTCTTCGCCTGAGGACCGACCATTGTTAACTGCAAGCATCATGTGTCACATATATTTATTAAATGGTAACAAACGCGAAAGAAGGACGAACACACGCTAGGTCATATATCGAAGTGAAATGGAAGTAGAAACAGATAAAAGTGTTTGGCATCTGGCTTTTGATCATCGGCACCCAGCGACATGAACACCTTCCTCATTCGTACAGAAATGGTAAGACCGAGATCGAGCGGCTTAGAGGATTCATTGGCTGATCTATTGCCGGGCTGCATCTTATCATGCACGAGGTGACCTAGTCGCAGCACTTTGAATCAAGATCTAGCGCTATTGATGATGGTAGTATGATAAGGATATCCATGGTCACTGCTTAGCATAGAAAGCGGGTAGGGCACGAGAACAAGCAGAATAGGAACATTGGAAGAGATATGAGATAGATCTGTATTTCTGTTGACATTCACAACAACTGAGTGGGGCTGGGGCCAGATGGTAAAGAATGTCCCAGTCGCCGGGTAACGAGTGAGGCTAGCCAGAAAGCTTGGCACGTAAACAATTACATGCAAACTTTCATTGACGTCGGTGACAATGGTGACGCATCGCGCAAGGTCCTACTAATTACTAACACAAGCAGGGAAGAGGGCAAGGCACTATGGTCGAACCTCAAGAGAAGATATAGGCTCGATTCATGATTCTGAACGGCCTCAGCCCTGTGAGCACCAGCGGCCACATTTGGCCTTTCATTGCATACTTCTAGAACCGGCGTTCTCAGTCCTTTAGATAAGCCCGCGGGTACTTTCACTGGTTCATAAATTGTTTGAGTAAGAGATGGCTGAAACAAATTCACCCAAGCCACCGGCGCAAGAGAACCTAGCCTACTACAAAGCACAATATGAACAACTCGAAGCTGAACTCGCCGACTTTCAAGCATCCAGTAAAGAATTAGAAGCCGAGTTAGAAAAGGATGTTGAAGCTTCGGAGAAACGAGAACGGCAATTACAGCAGAAAGTCGAAGGGCTTGGGTATGAGGTTGAAGAATGGAAGGTAGGCATGGTACTATGTGTCGAACGTATAGGGAGCTGATAAGGGCGATTTGCTAGAATAAATATAAGCAGGCAAAATCTGAGGCTAATTCCGCACAAAATGCATTACAGAAAGAGATTACGAACTTACGAGACACTAACCGAACGGTTCAGCATCGTTTACGTGACATTGAAGTTTCTAACGATGACATGGAACGACAAGCAAGGAATACGACATCGTCTTTGGAAGACTTAGAATCTAAATACAGTGTCGCCATTGAGCGAGGAGTAATGGCAGAGGAAGAAATTAGGATTGGTGAACAAGAACGGGAGGGTCTGCGGATTGAGTCGCAAAGACTTCGGGACGAGCTCAGCGATCTGAGGATCGAAGCGGAGATTCGTCAGGACAAATTAAGAAGAGCAGAAGATATCATTGAGCGGCAAAATAAGTGGGAGCCATCATCAGCCACAGGACGACCCCAGTCAGCTCTGTCAGACTTATCGCCAGCCACGTCAGTATCCTCACCTACAATTCCAACACCACCTACGAAATCAGCCTCATCCACGGTCTCAGAAACCCTGACACCGCCGTCGCCGCCCACATCGGAGAAGTCAAATCCAACCAACAGAACGAAAGCAGCCATACCCTCAACGAGCTCACGACAGCAGGCTGCTGACTCTAACATCACTCCGAAACCATCGCATACGACCTCGCGCCCACCCAGGTATTCCAAAGGACCAATGATACCTGTCAATAGCGAGAGAACGCCACATGTGCCAAGAACGAAAATCACGAGCCGTCCGCACACTGCTCCGCGGCAGCCTGGGCTTGCACAATCAGGCTCGCTCTATCATTTACACGGTCTGATGAACAAGATGCAATCACTCGAGCAGCGAGTGCATTCTGCACGTTCAAAATTGCCCGCTCCTACCTCCACACCTCCTCGAGCGTCTCCACGCAGTGGCTCAGCTCTTGGCCAATCGTTCATCCCAGCTACAGTAACCGTTCGAAGCAACAAGAAACGCTCAGGTGGAAGCAACGCCTCTTGGGCGCATACTCCAAATGAAAGACCTGCGAGTCGACTCTCATCTGCCGTCACTCATGGTACAGACAGACCTTCATCTCGGCTTTCATCTGGCATCCCTCAGCCGAGTCCCAACAAAGATGTTGAAACTGGCAGGCCACCAAGCCGTGATCAATATCATAGTCGACCAGGCTCTCGTGCGAGTCTTTCCTCGCGTCAGTCATTTGGTCGCCTGCCTGGTGGATCGACGTCAAACACAAGCCGTCCTAGTAGTAGACAATCAATAGATCCACGAACCCCAGGGGCATTAACAGGTCCAAGGTCGACGATAGCGCAGACCGAGCCACGTCGACCTCGCTCCTCCGTTGGTGAATCCTACACAAACGCATACAGTAGCCACGGGCATTCGGCAAGCCTGTCAAGAAGCAGCTTTTACAATAGCCAATTACAGCACACAGACGAGGAAGATCCTGACGAAGTTGTGACCCCTACACCTTCTAGGAGGTCAACATTTACGAAGCCGGATGCGACCTCAGCCATACCAGCGGCCCGAAGTCGATTGAGTGGTTTTGGTACTGGGAGGAGAACAAGTCTTGGGACTGAAATGGGCCCCCCTGAGAGGAAACCACCGACACGAAAATTGAGTGAGGTAGGCGAGTCGTACTGATAATTGAGCACAGTACGCAGCGCCACCAACCGCTGTGTGCATGTCTCTGGAATGTTGAAACGAAATATGTGATGAATATATGGGATGATTTAGGAGCAACGTTGCAGCCTCACAGTTGCAAGTAACGCGAACACCCTGATGTATGATTCGAAAGGTGGTGCTATTGACGACCGACGAGGCCATTGCTCTGTAAAGTAGCTCATGAAGGCTCGCATGGCTGTTCACAAGCAGGTAGTCGTATGAAATGTCAACCGCATGTCTCGTACTGTTCACTTAGCAAAATGTCTAATTGCTTGTTTTCGGATTGACTTTGCTCGACTCAACATACTCGGTATAGATCTATTTCGAAAGCACCCGTCTAGTTGATACTTAAGCAGGGCTTCGCTCAAGCAAAAAATCAATGTATCGTTCTCTAAGATCGACAACTTGCGACCGTGTATGGCTTCTGGGCAGTCTCTAGTTTTGGATCTATTGACTATCTGTCACAGTTTCCTTAGAGCGTCTCTCCGGCAGCTGCTCCTAAGGCACAGAAACAGCTGGTAATGCTACCTTATGATATATAGCACCGATATAGCCGCATCCCCCGTGGGGCACCCGTGGGGCATTCAAGGCCAACGCATAGGCGCATGAAGAATACGGGGCGATCGTCTTCGCAAATTGGTCTCGGATGTTTCAAAGGAAAACAAAATCTAACGAGAAGTAGCCTTACTTTCCCACACCACCAATCTACACTTAGATAATGAGACAATCATCCACTCCGTCGGGGATTTCGAAGACCTATGGAGTCTTGACTCGGTCGTGGTTGGGGACCCCAGGATTTGCGCTTACAGGAGCCGTCCCAAGGCAAGTCACATCCAGTGAGCTCCACTTGTGGCAGCTGACGTGGGGCACCCGCAGTATGCGATCTATGAGCCTGTCTCTGGCGATCATGGACCGTATTATTTCCATGAGTCGATCTGAGGGATTGGGTCTCATAGAGTCAGACGCGCTTGAACGAGGCTTCCATGATCCTCCAAAATCGACCATCCCCCGTGTTTCCGAAGTCTTAAGTGGCAATCGTAAGCGCTATATGTCTGCCATTGGTTTCCTTTGTTCCGGCATGAGCATCTCATATGTAAGAGGTCTCATCTCCCCGTCTCCAGACCGCGTGGCTTAGCTGTACTTGTCCAAGTCTTTGCTTTGTGTTTCTTGACGGCTCACCGCTTCTATTTACATCATAGCATGCTTGCCTTATTTCTATCTTTCTCTCTACTACCTACCGTTGGCGGTTTTATCCATAGACGTGAACTTCACCCATTCCAATGCTCTCCACACATGTAACGCGATACACCCTCATCGGGTTGGCAGCACTGAGACTATCCACTGCAGGCCCAGTGGCACTTTTTTCGACGCTAGAAGATGATATATCGGGATGGGACGAGGATGCCTTTTACAGTGAAGAGCCGCTTGTGGACAAAAGGGTCCAGACAGACGAGCTACTTGATGGATCTTCTCAGTCACTAGGACGACGGCAAGACACAATCGGTACTGGGACAACAGGGAACGCAAATGCAAACCCAGTAGTAGCAGGGGCTTTACCCGTTCAGTCAAAGCAAACCCAAAATGTGACCGGTACTACAAACTCCACACCTCAAACCAACACGACTTCGGGTACTCAGCCGGGCTACATTGGCAATGCTCCGAATCCCAATTCCGATCAGGTGAATTGCTCCGATCTCGTGACTGGGCGATCCAATGATTGCTGGGCCCAGCTTAGATTGACAGACTATGTCAACAACTGGCTTGAGAATAACCAATGCTACCAAGGAGAAGGCTTTTCGACATGTTTCTTGCGACAGAATCATTTCCCTGGGCTTGACTGCTCTGTGATTACGCCGAGCTCTTGTCCGGCCATTCAAAGTGACGCCGTCAACCAAGATCCCAGAACATTTTACGTGGCATACAACATATATGCGATCAACGCCTTTTTCTATTCTTGGTGGTTAGCAGTGGGCAACTCAGGAGGTATTGCGGCAGATAATATTGGCAAGATTGTCCAAATTCTGGATCCGCCAGACGACATGAAGGTCGACCTTCAGTGGGCTCTAATTGCATTTCAGGCTGTTTTTTCCATCATTCCTGGTATTGCAGGCGTCTGGGCTTCCCACAGTGCCTTCAGCTATGCGTTCCAGGTTGGGGCTCAAGTTTTATCTAACGCTCTGGCTACGGTTCCTAACGTTGGGAGATTTCTGTTTCCCACAGGCTCTGCAGAGTCTCAGGTAGTGCAAATGGCCGATCTTGCCAACGATTTCGGAACAGTCTTGCAAGGGGTTCAAAGCAATTTGAACCAAACGCTTGTGTCAGTCATGGCAAACGTCACGGAGTTTCTAGCCTTTGCTGAACAAGGTAACTTTACTTCCAAACCACAGTCACTGCCAGAACAAGCCGGCTATTTGTAAGTGATGGATCCTTTACCCTGTCTCCTTTGGTGTGAGAAATGATAGCCTCACACCGACAGAGGTCCAAAATACTTGTAATTCTGAACCTAGAATACTCATAGATCTCAAGCATTCGAAACGTGGCTAATGAAGAAGCAACGATAGGTACTATGCGTTTAATACTTATCTTATTTCGCAGACACTCAATGGCAACAACGTCTATGCAGTGCTAGGAAAAGGAACAGATCCTCACCAGCTTGCGACGAATGGGAGCAAGCTTGCTGATGACATAGACCTGAAAGACTGTAAGACTGGTTACAACAGCGTTGGGGTCTGCGACGCGTGGTGGTATAGCGGCAATTATCGATCCGCATTCACACTCGACAATTTCAGCCATATGAATTGGAATTACGGAGACAAGATAACCAGTCTACTTCAAAACCTCACAACTGGAGAACTCCTCTTCGAAGGAGCTTATGGTACGTTCTTTGAGAGTGTATCTCGCCTGGTTTCAAGTTTCGTCTTCTTTTTACTGCAGCAACCCTTGGGCGTCTTTGTTTCTCGATCATGGCTAATCTGGGTTTTATCTTGTAGCTTGCGGCGCGCAAGGCAATTTCGGTGGTCCTGTCAACATCACTGTCGACAAAGGAGGTGTCAACACGGCCTGCATATCGCAGTTGAAGGTTCTCACTTGGGACATGACATGTCACGGAGCGGGGGCCGTCGTCACTCAACAGTCAGCAGACTGCGAGTTTCTGGAAATGCCAAAGCAAAACAAATTTTGGTACACTAATGGTGCTCAGCGTGGCAATGTTGGCCCTCGATACAGCGTACCGTATGGCTATCTTGGACCTGCGATTACTTCAGGTAGGACCCTGTTTCGCGACAAGTAAGGCTCGAGGTGGTGAGCAGCATTCTTGCTTTCGTCTCAACGCATGACTTGAAATCTCCATTTCTGCATAGCCAGGCGGTCACTTCAATACCATGGGAAAGCGCCGATGTTCGCCTTCATTCAGCGAGCATACAATCGATCACCTTGTTAGGTGCCGAGTTACATGTATATACTTACCATTGAACTCAACCCAACTTGCAATGCTCACCTTGCCCGTCTCCCAAAGTGTTCCACCATCACCCCAGCAGTACAGTATGCCTTGCGCAACCCCACGTCGTCACGCCAATGCAAGTCACATGTAGGCCTACTATTCCCGATGACGACAGCCGAAGGGTCGCATATATATCCAAGACATTTCTATTCTTACCATACGGAGGCTGTGCAGCCGGCAGATCGGAGAGCACTCGGTGAGCTATCCGACGAGCGAATAGCGTACCAGCGCTACACTGTATGGAAGAATTATACCTGAGATTTGTAGCGGTACATGACGGGTGCGAAGATCCTCACGTGGACCCAACTCACTCGAAATCGCTTCTGAGACTCGGCTTGAATGATTCCATGGTCGAGTACCCGGAACACGTGCTTAGAAGAGAAGAGAAAAAGGCACTCTCCTTCAGAGCGAAGTTTTCCAGTAGCACGCCCACCGCAATGAGCTTACGGGTGACTGATTACTGCTCAACTTGGAGTCAGTGGGATTCGTGATGGCAGAACCGTAATTTAATTTCCTATCCGCATCAAGTCAGCAGTCATCGTGTATATCTCTCAAGTGTTGGATGACGACAAGCTTCTAATGCTTCTGTATATCGTAGAGTAACTCACATACACGATCAGTGGAGAAACCCCTTTTACCCGCACTAAGCACTCAAGCTAAGCTTTTATGCTTTTATGCATATCGGCATATAAGGTTTCATTAATGCCCTATCAGATCGTCCCATAACTTCAATGCCAAGGGCCAAGGGGGCCAGGTATGCCTCCACGATGGACTGGGCCACATCTGCTCGACTTCAATTGGGAGACAGAGGTCAAGTCTGACGACAAGAGCCACAACATGATAAAGTGAAGATTACAGGAGGCTTGCGGCGTCTATGTCGCGTGACCTCACACGTCCATCATGCTGCTCCCTCGACGCCGGATCACCTCCTTGACCATTCTAGGCTTGTTCACCCTTACGCTCTACCAACTCTCGACATACTGGACAGGGTCACACAACCTGCCTGTGGGCATTCGACACAAATTGAAGCCTGAAGATGCGAAATTGACAGGAGAAACCCCGTCCTCTAACGTCCCAGCGGCCGATCAGCCTTCCTCCACCTTATCAGAGCCTCGACCACCTGTGCCTGGCGCCGCGGAATCTCCACAGATTGAGACTCCATCTGATCAAACAACAACACGCCCAGAAGGTGGGGAAGTGAATAGGTGGGATTCAGGGCAACATGTCTTCGCTGGAAAGAAGTTTGTTGCCAAGTATCCCGTGAAGTTGGTCCAAGAGCTGCCCAAAGGAGCGCCTCTTTCGTTACCGAAGCTACAATACGACTTCGAAGAGGAAGAGGAGGGTGCGAAAGCAACCCGAATAGAGAGATTGGACGCTGTGAAGAAGAGCTTCGCCCGCTCATGGGGGGCGTATAAGGAGCATGCCTGGATGAAAGATGAGCTGAAGCCCAAGTCAGGCGGCTCACAGGAGAGCTTCGGAGGCTGGGGAGCCACGCTTGTCGATACTCTTGACACGCTTTGGATTATGGGCATGAAAGATGAGTTCGAGGAGGCGGTTGCCGCCGCGAAGAAAATTAGTTTCTATAATTCTACCTCTCACCAATTGAATGTCTTCGAGACTACTATTCGGTATCTAGGAGGATTTTTAGGAGCATACGACATAAGTGAAGGTAAATACCCTGAGTTACTTGAAAAGGCAACCGAAATTGGTGAGCTACTGTATTGCGCCTTCGACACCCCCAACCGAATGCCTTCGACGCGGTGGTCTTGGCGGGAAGCATTGAATGGAGCAGATCAACAAGCCAGTCCTCACACCATTGTTGCAGAGGTCGGATCACTTACTCTCGAATTTACGCGCCTATCTCAGATAACAGGAGATCCCAAATACTACGACGCCGTCGATCGTATCATGCGAGAATTCCAGAAAGCCCAATCTCAAACCCGTTTACCTGGTCTCTGGCCCACCATAGTCAACTCGAAGCACCTCACATTCAAAGACACTGGTTTCACACTCAGCGGTATGGCTGACTCTCTCTACGAATACCTTCCGAAAGAGCATCTTCTCCTCGGCGGTAGAAGTGAAGTAGTCGACTACAAAGCAATGTACAAATACGCCATCACTGCAGCCATGAACCACATCTTCTTCCAGCCAATGGTACCCGACGGCGCCGACATACTCTTTCCAGGGGATACCACGGTCAGCAGCAGCGAAGGCGAACCCATCAACGCCCACTTCAAGGCAAATGCCCAGCATCTCGGCTGCTATGCCGGCGGAATGGTAGGCATGGGTTCCAAGCTCTTCGATCAGCCCGAACACCTCAACATGGCCCGCAAACTTGTCGACGGCTGCATTTGGGCCTACGAGACGATGCCCACGGGCATCATGCCTGAATTCTCGGAAATGATCCCGTGCAACATGAACTCCGACTGCAAGTGGAACCAAACTCTGTGGGAGGAGAGACTCAAGGAGAAAGCCCCCTCCATCGACAACCTCGAGGGCGACTCGAAGAAACGACCCGTGGAGCGCGTGATGGAGAATCTGCGCCTCAGACCCGGCTTCATCGCCTTCCGCGACCGGCGATACATTCTCCGCCCTGAAGCCATCGAATCGGTATTCATACACTACCGGCTCACGGGCGCGAAGGATCTGCCGGAGAAAGCATGGAAGATGTTCACCGCAATCGAGAATGCGACGAGGACGGATATCGCGAATTCGGCTGTCATGGACGTCACGATTGAGGGGGGAAACTCGAGCAGCAGGATAGCATGGAGAGTTTTTGGTTGGCGGAGACATTGAAGTATTTTTATTTGATCTTCAGTGAGCCGGACGTGGTGGATCTGGATAGGTTTGTGTTGAATACCGAGGCGCATACTTTGAAGAGGCCGCTGCCAGGGAGGCTGGCCGTGCTTCTAGGCCTTGAACTGTCGTCGATGTTTTCTTTTCAATTTGAGGGAGGCTCTTGCATCGCTTCAATTCGATCTCGCTCCCGCACAGCGTTCTGTCTACTCAAGCGGTATAGGTGTTGGGTTGTGGTATGAAAGCATTTAAGGCGGCGTTTTAAGAATTAACGGTGTTGGAACGCCAACAAGGGCAGGTATACTGGGTCTTGTTTACCTCTGTGCAGCGGTGGAGGCTCGGTGTAAGTTAGACGTTTACGACACTTGAGAAATCTTCATTGGCTATCTTATAGCCAATCTGACCCTTGCCGTGCCTACTCTGTCGAAGATCTTGTATTTTCCCGGTTCAAAAGACTCCCGGTATCAACATGATGCAAGATGCTGAAAAACGATGAAAAATTCATAGTTGTGAACTCAGCAAAGAGAAGGAGACTTGCATCAGGCCAGCAGGCCCAGTGCACACAAGGCTCCTATGGACGAGACGATCAATATGTAGCCCCGAGCAACCATAGCAAAGGTAAGAGACCCCCTCCTCTCAGAGGATAAACAAATAGGTACATCAGACAAATGGCTCTGCCTCCTACCCTCCAACCCCAACTTCCCCACCCATTCACACACTACTTTATCCACCCTCCTCACTTAAAAGATGATCATGCACAAACCCATTATCCTGTCTATTGTCCTTATATGCTTCCCCTGTATGTCCAAGATCAGCATATTTCTTCCCCTTCCCCCAACCCATCCTAATCCAGCCCATGCAACAGCTCATATTCATCAAATTAAAAACAAAGAAGGAAGGAAAAGAGGAAATTCAGCAAGGAAGGGACACCCACCAAGTACAGGATGCACAATAGCACCCGGCGCCCTCACATCTACGCTCCGCTCTCTCATCCATTCGTCGAGCCGAGACCATGATGTGCATTGGTGCCAGCCGTTGTCTAGGCCGATGGGGATGGATGTTCTGTGAGGAGTTCTGGTAAGAGAGGGGGTCTTTCTTGTGTTTGATGGGAAAAGGGGGAGGAGGGGGTTTGGGAGTTGGGAGTAGGAGGAGGGGGGGAAGGGGGGAGGGTAGCTTACGTTGCAGCCCATTGCATAGGCAGAATGCTCAAGTCTGGATTACACTGCACGGCTTGGAGGAGGATGTTGAGACAATGCTCTAGTCCAAGATGTTGTGTAAGGAGAAGGTTCCGTAACACTCGGAGGGAGGAAGAGGGAACGGGGACGGGGAATAGAGCGAAACATACCACCGTGGTGTCTAATCAGCATCGCTTCCCGCTCCGTCCTGTTCGGATAGTAATGGTCGAAATACATCCCGTGATGGAGCCATTTAACACCTGATCCCCAATCCTGCTTAGCAGCGCTCTTTTTATTAGACGGTGGGGGTGGGGCTGGGGGAAGATCGCATACAGTGGATAGAATGGTAGGCGGAGATGCTGGCGTAGTATCCAGATCCATCGCTGAGCTCAACGAGACCGGGCATGTCACGATACTCGCCAAGCTCCGAAGCGGAGAGGCGGATGTCTTGGTCTGAGAAGCGGTCAATGATCGATAGATAATCATGAGATGTTGTTATGGGCTACTTTGCAGGATCTCTGTCCAGGCAGCATCGGATTGGGGTGAAGGGGGGCCAAAGCCTTCGAATCCCCGGTTGGGGTTCACTGAGCCGTTACTGAAGAAGACGTTCTCGGAATCCCATTGCTGGGCCTCGTAGGCGATGGCGTTTCTGGCCGGGGCTTTTTGAAGTGTCAGAATTTGTTGGTGGTACTTTGAATGGACGACGTACTGGAGACTAGGTTTGGCACATATGTACCTTCTGTGATGTGGTTTTTGCTAGCTCGCCAGAGAAAAAGGAAAAGGGCGATGTTGAAAAGAAGCAGTATCAGGTGGATGCCAATGAATTGGAGCTGCGGCCAGCTTGAACGCTTGTGAATGTCGAATGAAGGGCTTTTCTCTATGAACAGGTCTTGTTCACAGAGGTCGTTCTCTTCGTCTAGCGTATGTTGTAGATTACTTGTCTTTCCAAAGAAACTGTATAAAGACATTGTAAGGGAAGATCGAGGGGTGCACAAAGGTGTTCCAACCGACAAGCTGTATTTGAGTCAAAAGAAAGGTCTCAGTAAAAATATTGTTTTTACTCAGCGATATTGGGTCGACTTTCAAGTTTTCTCGGAGCCGATGGTTTCGTGATGACATGCTCATACCTCTGAACGGCAGCGTAGACGAGTTTACTTCCTCAATGAGTATGACATAGTTCATAAGTTCTCTCCAGGCCGCTATCCGTGCCTGCATCGGAACTGCAACAACATCTCTAGACCCTGCATAGGGCGGCATGGAACCCCACAAAAACCTCGTTATCGCTTGAGCGAAGTGTCATGAAGTGGCAAGAACTCCTCAAAAGAGAAGGTATCACTGTAGATGTAAAGCCGAAAGATCCGGTATGACAATTGTTGAGGCTATTACCTCCCACAAAGGCGGATACCCACCCGACTGATGCAATCAACGTGGTTGCTATGCCTTTGCTACTACTTTATTCCGCCTTTCGCCACTTGAGTTCGGATCAAGACACCCATGATGGTAGCATGGTGCTTCACGATCCACAAGATTGCGTCAAGTTGCATCCAAAAGGACGCTCTGGCACGTATAATGCTCTCGTTCTGGAAGGCCGCGCGGTAGCTGTTGAAGCTGTGAGCCATGAATTTCCGCGGGTCAAAGCTGAAAGATCTAATTCAAGGATAACGAGAAATCAGTACAGTCCAAGAGAGTCATCGCGCATCAATCGGCAGTCAATGGCATACTTGTGGAAAGATCAACATGAACCCCAGCTTCTTTGATCAGGCGGAGGCCCGATGACGAAAGAAATATTCCTCAGCACTTTGAATACAAAAGCCCCCTTCAAGGCCGTAATTTTCCTGAAGCATATTCAGAGACAATCTTGCTAGAATTTCCAAATTACCTATTACATCACACTTATCCTACCTCAAGATCAACCCTCACAAGGTCCATCATCGTCACAGTCATGAAACTTCAACAAGCCCTCTCGATTTTAGCCCTCTTCCTCGCCATGGGTACTCAAGCCCTGCCAGCTGTTCTGAAAGGTGAATCATTTCATCTCCCTAACGAGTAGGGCTAAATAGTGCTGATCGGTCATAGACAAGGCACTAGGCGTCCGCAACCCTGCAGAAAATGCCCCGGATACTTATGTCGGCGGTGTTGAGAAGCGGGACGTAGCAACCCCAGACACTTACGTCGGCGGTGTCGAGAAGCGGGACGAGGCAACGCCGGATACTTACGTCGGCGGTGTTGAGAGGCGAAGCGAGGCGACGCCAGACACTTACGTCGGCGGGGTCGAGAAACGAGACGAGGCGACCCCGGATACCTACGTCGGCGGTGTTGAGAGGCGAGGCGAGGCGACGCCAGACACTTACGTCGGTGGGGTCGAGAAGCGAGGCGAAGCGACCCCAGATACCTACGTTGGCGGTGTTGAGAAGCGATACTTGGCAGCCCCTGAGGCTTGAGCAAAAGGTTTGGAGTGCATAAGCTGTTTGTCTATTCAGCGTAGGTAGACATCAGCAGACGATCAGGCTCAACTTGATCTTGAAGCTACCCAGGGAAAGCTGTAATGTAACTTTACACTGCCATCGGCATATTGATCATAGAGGTGTCGCTCTCTATCCTTCTCCTCTTCTCGTTCTGTCGTACTTTCTCGGTTGACTCCTCATATTTTAACTCTATTTTTGCATTTGCTTTGTTTCTGCGATTTCGAGAGCTAAGATCATGTGTGATCTTAGGGATAACTAGGTGCGCCACTGAAATAACTATAGAGCCCGTTGAAGCCATGTTCCTCTGCGCAGTTTCTCGCCCGAGATCCATAAGCAAGGAGTCCGCGCTTGTCGTCTTGAGAGTTTCGATAGTTATAAGATACCTAGATTTGATTTCTCATAAAAATTCAAGAGCAAAAATTGGTGAAGTTTTCTTGGGATTGCAAATATTGTCCACCAATTTAGAAGGAGGGAGTCTGAGCTGTCACTAAGGAGTACGGAAGCAGCCAAACATGGAGGATTTCTTTATGAAAGTCCAAAGGAATCAAGAAATAAGTATGTTCTAGGGATATGAAGTCGAGAAAAAGCGCAGAAATAAGGATAGCCACGTAGCTTCCCTTTCTTTCGCCATCGTCGCAATATATCGTTCCTCGTCACAACCTCCTGGCGGTCGATGTCCCATTTTCCGCTTACCATGACGATCTTGAACCATTTCTACATTTTCGATTCCTTATTTCTGCATCATAAGCTGCACGAACTCGTTATCTGCAATACGACTCTCGTTAGCATCCCCATTCTATTCTCATCACTAGTACACATCGATCGCATGCCGTAAGAGAAAGGACGACGCACAATCAATCCTCCCATCTCCATCTTGATCAGCCTCCCTGATCATCTCATCAACTTCGTCATCTGTCAGCTTCTCTCCAATAGACGTCATGACATGGCGCAGCTCGGCGGCAGAGATGAATCCGTTATTGTCCCGATCGAACACTTTGAATGCTTCTCGGATCTCCTCTTCGCTATCTGTGTCTTTCATTTTGCGGGCCATCATGGTGAGGAATTCTGTTGTTCCGGAGTGTATTAGCTCTCAGCCTCGTTCTCGCTGAACGCAGGTGTGGGCAAGAAGAGTGGACGGAGAGATCTTGCATGGAGTAAAAGGGGAGGACGAGCGACTGAGGGTATACCTGGGAAGTCAATTGTGCCGTTGTTGTCTGCATCCACTTCGTTGATCATGTCTTGCAGCTCGGATTCGCTGGGATTCTGACCCAGCGAGCGCATCACGGTGCCGAGTTCTTTGGTTGTGATTTGGCCTGCCAGATAACTTTTTGTGAGCATATGTATCCATTCGGAGACGCCGGTAGGCACAGATTAGGGTAGGCGTGGAAAGGAGGGCAATACCATCGCCATCTTTGTCCTATCAGGGTATCAGTGCGATCGCGAATCTGGGGTGGATCAACCACTCACGAAGAGCGAGAACGCTTCTTTGAACTCTGAGACTTGCTCTTCTGTCAATGAGTCGGCCTGTAGTAAATCCAGATCAGTACTTGTTCGTAGCCATGCACGCCTGGATGTCGTGCGACGCGCGGTGGGGCAGATGTGGAGGGCCTTATGGGATTCATAATACCATTGTGTCGGTGTCTGGAGGCGTCAATCAGTCGTAAGGATAGTTTAGTGATCTCAGAGCTTCGCGATAGGGAATTGGAGGTGTTTGGCGAACAGGGCAAGAGGGCGGTGGTGTTATGTAGACAGTTCTCGAAGGTGGGCTGGCCTTGGCTGGCACGACTTGATGATCATAAGGCTGAAGGCCCCCTGCCCGCGCTGTTCTAGTCCCCTGCCACGCCATTCGCTAGCTTGTGCTATGATATAAGCCCCTGACCAAAAAATGTCAGACACTGACGACCCAGCTATGTTATGAGATCTTCGCACTGCTTAAGCTGATCGACATTGGGCACTTTGTGTTGCGTACATGGCCCATGCCTGAACATGGCCGGCGTATACAGAGACCGGACCAATCTGTAAAGCCTCTGAGCAAACTCAAAAAAATGGAGCGCTGACTAGATGCCCAGCTACATAACCTACCGTCAGTCCTTCGCTCACAGTCCAGCCAAACGACGAAGAGTCGGCGGAGCTTCCAACAATGGCTTTGCAAGCCAGGGAGGGGAGTCAGAAGAGCGACGCGGTCTCATGTCCGCCGGAGCCTTCGATGATGACGGAGATGCTGTCATCGAAATGGACTTGCTTCCCCCGCGATGGATCGACATACAAGACGAGGTCACGGAATTACTGGGGGCTATAGCTAGGAAAGGGGCCGGGCTCGACAAGCTGCACCAGAAACATGTCCTCCCAGGATTTGATGATGAGGAAGTTAAGGCTCGTGAGGAGCGGGCAATTGAGAAAATGACGCAAGAGATTACTAGGAGCTTCCATGACTGTCAGAGTGCCATACAGCGGATTGAGATGATGGTTCGAGAGGCGAAAAGACAGGGCGGCGTCAGTGCCGGAGACGAGACCATGGCGAGGAATATACAGATCAACCTGGCGGGAAGGGTGCAGGAGGCTAGTGCAGGGTTTCGGAAGAAGCAGAGCAATTATCTGAAGAGTAAGGACCCCTCTCTTCGCTGTACCTTCACAGCTTGATAATTTGAAGTACTAACTGTGCCATAGAACTCCGCACCCTGGGCGGTCTGACAGCACCCATCAGCTCCCCCTCTTTCACCCAAACCAGCTCTTTCGCCGCAGACCCTTCGTTCATGGAATCCGAGACCGACAAGTCCTTCTCCCAAAGCACGCTCCAGCAGACTTCTCTCAAGAAATTCAACACTAATGACGTAGCCATCGCCCAGCGCGAGAAAGAAATCAACGAGATTGCCCAAGGTATCATTGAATTGGCGGATATCTTCAAGGAGCTACAGAGTATGGTGATAGATCAGGGCACGATGCTTGATCGTATAGACTACAATATCGACAACATGGCTGTCAATGTCAAAGAGGCGGACAAGGAGTTGAATGTCGTATGTACCCTTATCCCTTTCCCGCTCCTTTTCAATCCTTCTTCCCTTGTACAAGCTGGGACGCCTGCCCCTACGTTCCCCACACTCTCAATTTCTAGTACCCCTTCTCCATCTCCTGCTAACCCATATCCTTGCTACTAGGCAACAAATTACCAGCGCAAATACACTAAGCGAAAGATCCTCTTCCTGCTATTCCTACTTGTTCTCGGCATGTTCATCTTCCTCCTCGTCAAGCCAAAGCGATCTGGCAATCCGCCGCCATCACCAGCACCAGTTGAACCGCCGAGTCAGGACCAAGCCGATGGAGCTGGAGGTGACCAATTCGAGGCAGCCGGAGGTGATCCCATCGGCTCGTTGGGTCAGGCGAGGCCGCAACCCGTAGACCCGCCTGAGCCGCCGGATGTGGTGTTGCCCAATAATGCGGGAGTGGGATAATACAGGGCTAGAAAAGCGACGAGACCAAAGGCTGGGCGTGATTACTGTGAATTTGATTGATTTGATGTAGACAAGATACCCCTTCCGTTCGATGTGTGAATATGATTGAGAGGCAGCTCTGCTTCTCTGCATTGTTCCACAGATTCTCTCTGTTATCTCCCATTGCGCAAAACCTTTGCACGTTGCTGCAGATATTCGCAACTCTCACAGCGTCTAGTGCTGAAACAAATGGTTCAGTGACCACGAAGACTGCGATCAAGGTATCAATGGCACATTTGCTCAAACATCTCTCATATCCAATCCGTCCCAGAACGCTCCGTCCCATAATCCTCCTATATTACACCACCATTCCTCCCCCCATCTTGTCACCTTCCCCCACTTTCCTGCCTTAGCAGCTCAGCAACATCATCGTCCAACCCCGCCATCACGTCTTCGCCCCCAAACACCGCACTCTCATCATCTACCTTCCTCCTCTTCGCCCCACCCGGCGGACTCCCTGAATACCCCCTCACCCCAGGCACGTTCAGACTACTCAACAAATCCGCGCCCACCTGCGGCACAGGCTGATACTGCTGCGGCTGCGGCGTAAGCGGTGCCGGCGTCGGTGTAAAGTTCTCATTCCTTCCGGGACTTGGTGTAGGGGCCGGCTGCCCCACGAGCGCTTGCACGATGTCCGGCGGCCCCTCGGGCGGCGGCGTCAACTCCTCAATATCAGGCCGGTCTGGCTCCGGACTGCCAGCGCCGTTGCCATTCGATCTTTGCCCCTCAGGGCTTCCTCCCGCCGTGGGTGAGTTGTCAGCAGACGAGAGCCCACGCATGATGCCGTCCTCTACCTCCTTCTTCTTCCTGTCGATCTCGTCTTTTCGCGCGCTGAGCTCCGCTTGCTGCGCCTCTTCCTCTACAATCGCGGCTTTGTTGCTCGCGAGTAGTGTTTCCAAGCTGGAGATTAGGGCGTGACGGGCTTTGAGGGACTCGGAGACGGCGCTCTCGGCACTCGAGAGGGATTTCAGAAGAGCGGAGAGCCGGGCTGCGTGGACGGGAGGGGTGGGAAGGGGCTTTGAGGGGTCGGTTAGTTTGGCGTATTCTGCTTTCGCGGTGGGCGCGGCGGTGGAGGCGGTGGTGGTGGCTTTGGAGAGGTTGATTTGGAGGGTAATTAGAGGCTGAATCTCAGGAGGGGCCGAGGGCGAGTTGCTAGAGAAAAGGGAGCCGCCGAGTGCTTTCTTAGAGGTACGATTCTTGTCGAGTTCAGCGAGCTTGGTGTCTACAGCTTCTTGGATGGGTGGTTCGAAAATGTTGCGTTGGCGCCAGACGTCGACGACATATTGAAGTTTCTTCTGGATTTCGCTCGAGGCGCTGCGGTAGGCGATTGTGATGCCTTCGACTATGACGGTGGAGAAGGCAGTAAGGAATTCTGGCTTTTTGCGGGTTTTGGATTGTTGCGCTATTTCGTTCGCGAGGTAGATGAGGGTGAGGCGCTTGTTGGATGCCGTGTCTCTGAGTCGCTGGAGCCATATTTCTGCTGTACGAGGGGCGTTTCTTCTATGATGGAGGTTAGATGGTGGTGGTGAAAGCTTGATGGGGCAGAGCTACTTGTGGAACATCACCCATTGGGCTACAGTGACAATGGCATCCTGTGTCTCATTCAGAGCTGACAGCTTAGCGCTGACTGCCTCGTCTGTGTATGCCATGGGTTTCGCTCTACGTCTACTTTCTAAACGTCGAGATAGAAAAATGAGACGTGGAGCTCTGACCAAATCCCCATTCACTCCGCCGTAGGGCTGAAAGGGTCCGTTTTCTCAATTTAGAAATAACACTTTCCTCCAGCAGTACAAAGACACAAGAAAAGGCGATTGCTAAGTGAGATTGCTCTACAATTCAAGCTCACCGAAGATTATATGAAATAGTCAAAGATGGCAGATCGATTTCCCTCACTCGACGACTTCTCAGAGGGTTTGATTCTGCAGATGCATTCGCTCGACTTATGTCTAACTCTGCATAGGTCAAACCGGACCTGTCAGCAACGGTCATGTTGACACGAACGGAACAGCAGATGATGACTTCCTAGCCAGAGAAAGGGCTGCGTTAGGGGATGATGCAGCTCAATTTACGACTGCAGGGGACAAAACTGCGACAATACAAGATGATGAGGATGATCTACTAGGGGGAGGTGGGGTGTCGGATGGATTTCAGGGTGGTGGCGAAGAGATCACAGAGTTTGAGAGCTCGTTCCCATCAGTTGACACAAAGAATGATGTAAGCCGCTACTCCTCTGTCGTCACGTTCAGCATCAAAGCTGAATCCTCTTCCAGCAAGTAGGGCCTGGCGGCACCATTACTGGCTCAGATTTACCGTACAGACCAACCCAACAACCATCATACGGAGGATATGGACAAGTAGAAGAAGACTCGGAGCCCATTAAGTACGTAATCATTGCCTTGGCTCAGAAGGTGCTTAACAATTACCAGACAATGGAGAGAACGCCGAGATCTAGCCATTGCAGACAGGGAGAAGATCTCCTCGTCAAAGAAAGAGGACACGATAAAAGCGGCTCGCCAGAATATTGACGACTTCTACGAGAATTACAATAACAAGGCCGATAAAGGAAGGGAGAGGACGCGGAAAGATGCTGAAGAATTTCTCGCGAATCGTGAGGATACCGCAGCCGGCGGAACGAGCTGGGAGCGGATAGCAAAGCTCGTCGACCTTAGCGGGAAGGGTTCTAAAGGAGGAGCAAGCGGGACCGGCAAGGAGAAGTTTAGAGAAATGCTGATAGACCTGAGAAAAGATCAGAAAGCACCCGGAGCGACTGGCTATTAATGTTTGAGGGCTGTGCGGGATTTTGTAATTATTTCAGATGCTTGGACTCTGTGTTTAGGGTCAGAGGCATGACAAAGCTTTGTGAGGAAGTTGTTGTACAATAGTAGGGTTTCTACATTAGTGATGATCTACATGCTGTGCAACAATAAAGTTTGTGCAAGCCCGTTTTTTTGACTGAAAAGTATCATCTACTGTAAAGCCGATGCTGTAGCGCGATCTTCCAACCTTCTTTCATGCACTGGTCTCTACAATAAGATCATCCTCTGGAAATCACTCGAGAAACCACGAACTAGTTCAGAAACGACTATCACGATGGTTGTCAACTATAGCAAATGGGACAATCTCGAGCTCTCAGACGACTCGGATATCGAGGTCCATCCCAATGTCGACAAGAAATCCTTCATTCGAGCAAAGCAGAACCAAATCCACATGGAGCGAGACAAGAGAAGGCATGAAATCAAGACTCTGAAATATGAGCGAAAGGTAAACGATGGTCTGCTCGAGAGGATCGACGCCTTGCTTCTAGCATTTCGGGCACATGCATCGCAAGCTGTCGGAGCGAACCCTCACGATTTCGTCATGAATGCAATCATGGACACTGCTCTCCCTCCCGAGCAGGATAGCCCGCCCCAGCCGCCTGAAGATGTACACTACAAGACCACTCAACCCAAATACTCGGAAATGATTGCTGGCCTGGTTGACCAGGTGAAGAAGGAGCTGGATCTAGATGGCCATGAATGGTACCAAAAGTACCTTGAAGGCATATCGGCACATAAGACGAAGGTACAAGGTTTGCAGAACGACTTGTTTGCGAGATTAGCAGAGCTGGAGAAGGAAGAAGCAAGCAAGATTACGAGTGACAATATGCATGACGGATTCAGTACGTCATCAATAGCAAAGGACAAGCCAAAGGCAGAGCCGAAACCGAAGAAAAAAGGCAAGGTCGAGTCTGTCGAAGTCTTGAATCCAGCTGCGGCCAAGAAAGCCAAGCTACAGCGACTGGACAGTGGAGGACAAACTTCCGGCGCAGATGCAGATGTCGATGAACCAGAAGACGAAGCAGACGATCAAGATGAAGAATTTGAGGTCACAGAGCTAGGAAAACAGTTCGCGAAGATCAAGATTGGGAACTACCAAGACTGTCTACGATTTATAGCAGAACATCCGGAAGTGACCCAGGAGAAGGAGACTGATGGTTTGCTCGTGCAAGCATTCACTGCACTGGAAGAGGGCAAAGGGACATATGCTAAACAGTGTGTGCATCAAGGGCTTCTACTACAATACTGTAGGACGCTGGGCAGGGATGGTATAGCAATGTTCTTCAAACGGTGCGTTGTCCTTATCCCAGGTTCTGGAGGCACGATTGGAAGCTGATGGTGTTCTAGTATCACAACACAAGGCCATAGTGCTCGAAAGATCTTCCTCGACGACGTCAACACTACATACAACCGCATTGAATCACGAACAGCTGAGTTGGCAAAGCAGCGTGCAATGCACCCGAATGCTGAAGATCAAGGTGGTGTGGAACAGATCCAGCTTCACGCAGTTGAGCCAGGGACACAGATCCAAGTCAACATTCCAAAGCCTGGTAGCGATGAGGAGGTCGAACAGCACGCCCGCGTCGTATTCGAACGGTTTCCCCCTGGTCTGCAACGTGCTATGGAAAGTGGTAGCTTAGATCGAATTAACGAAGTGCTCGGGAAGATGAGTGTCAGTGAGGCCGAAGAGGTTGTGGAGCAAATGGGCGAGAGTGGAATGCTTAGTATGGAAAAAGGAGTCATTGATGGCAGGACAGACGAGGGCCAACAGAAGATTAAAGAGCTTCAAAAGGGGGCCGCAGCAGGAGATAAAGACGCTGCTGCTCAACTGGAACAGCTGAACATGGAATCCGAGCAGATTGAGATTGCGGACCCAGACTGAGGACAGCCCAATATGTGAGTGAGTGCTATGGTTTACGCTCCAATTTACTTGCATTGAGTGGCTCTCTACAAATGAAGATGCTTTTAGCCAATCGAACCGTCTGACCAAGAGGGGAAAATGTTAGGGCTTTGGTGCTTGGCTGCTCCGCGTCATCGTTGGACTGATGCGGGCGTCTGACTTTACTTATTTAAATAGACGTGGGCAACGTTTCGCCGTATCTGCGGAATTCCCATCTATGCCCAAGAAGAGAAATGCTTTTCAAAATGTCAAACCAAACGTTCCTGCTCACCCCTCGCTTTCAACCAGCCAATCCAAGCAGTCTGCGCCGTTGGCAAGTTCAGTCAATGAACAACTTCAGAAGCTAAGGCTCGAGGGCAAGATACCCCAAGCATCGGACATAAGCCAACATGGTCAGCCATCAGCTTCTGTGCCTGCTCATCCCGCTATTCAGCAAGCTCTGCATATTACGCCCACACCACCTCCAAGACCGAGACCCGGTCTAAGAGTCAGAGGAGGCAGAAGAGGTCTAGCAGGGCCACCGCCACCAGGGAGCTGGCTTCAGAAGCAGAGGCTATCGGAGCCTTCGCCAGCGGGCCAAGGGAATGGCATACATGAGCATCGTATGAAAGTGGATCCTCTGCCTGGCTTGGAACTACCTGAAAAGGGCAGCTTATTGGATATTGCATTTCGTTCCCTGGCACAGAACTGGGAAGAGCAGTTGTATTATAATCAATACTATCTGGCTACTTTACCAGTCCAGCTGAAAGAAGCCCTGCTTCACTACATCGCATATTCCAGCAAAAATGGCATTAGCGCGGAGGGTCTTGAAACATTGTTCTTGGACGAAGTGCAGATCAATGGAGGCACAGGAGCAAAAGACATGATACGCCTTGACCTTTCTCTATCGATTGGAATGACACTTCACTTTAAGGACCTGAAACCTTTCTTCAAAGACGCACCGGTTCCAGTGACCGTGTCTTCCGCAGACGACACGCCAGATAGTTGGGACAGTCCTTCTCTTAGCACAATGAGCCCAACGCTGCCCAAGTTTGCAACAATTACCCACCTCTCACTAGCCCATCCGCCATCCTCGATAAGCTGGAAATCATTGTTGCATCTTGCTCCACATCTGACACAATTAACGCATCTGTCTCTCGCTTATTGGCCGAGAGCGACATTATCTCCCAATTCATCGACTGCCTACGTCTCGACGCCATCAGGAGAGACTCAGTACGGAGCAAGTCATTTCTACAGCGGTCTCGATGATGATTTCGACGAAGCCGACCATATCTTGCGCCAATTGAGCAAACATACCATTTGCCTGCAGTGGCTGGATTTGACAGGATGCAAGCCGTGGAGCGACTGCTCGTTTCGCACGAAGAAGCAATGCTTTAGTGCCTGGGAAGGTCTTCAGTCCGTAAAGCTAGATCATGACACTACTGTCGTCCTCGATAGATATAGCATGAGAAAATGAGATATGCACAATTGGCTCTGCAGAGGGTGTCTCATATTCTGCGAATCTGCCAAAGAATGCTTCGTCATGAAAAGACCGATCGACGAGGGATTGTGGCAGTAGGAACTTGACAGCATCCTCGATCAGCCAAACACGTCTCCCAAACCACCAGCAAGACACACCATCTGAGAACCTCACCAATCAATCCTCCCAAGGACGGAGGAGCTGCTCAAACGAAATCAAAGCAGACTGATGGAGCTGTCGCAATCTGTACTGGAAGACTTTAAATCAATTTGTCTAACAATATATGAGCGGCGGCCGTAGAACATTCAGAACTTCAACAAGTCGTTACAATTCGTCGATGTTCTGCGAACTATCACCTGCCACTAATTCCCAGTGCAATCCTTTACATAATATTCATAATTGAAAACCCTTCCTCCTACCAATTTGCCCTAAAACTCATCCCTCTCCTTCACCTTCACTGCCATTCCAAGCTAGCGTCTGACTCCATATTCACTTCAAAATAGCAGGAACGTATTCATGTCATCCCTACAACCAGCTCACTTTCATCAATTTTATATCTAGCCACATTTCACGGGCGTTGAAGATCACGGGAGTCATGCCTATACTTTCTTCCACTTAACTCTTCTCTACATTCATCAACCCGAGCACACTTCCATCCTAACACAATCAGATCAAATTCCTCCAAAACCGAAAGCTGCAAATCTCAAAGCAACACCCGTGACTTAAGGAATCACGAGTGATAGAAACATATTGAAAAATCAAACAACTTTTATTCTCCCCTGCCTCTTCAACGTACGTATACACAAACAACGATAACCCCAACCCCAACCCCGACACCAACTCCAGCTCCAACCCCAAACCTCCAAGTCCCTATCCCTTGTACCCCATCAAAACCTCTCACTCACTCCCCCTCCGTAACCACAGCACCCAAACCCTCACCCAAACCCTCACTACCCAGAATCTTCTGCCCCTCACGCTTATGCGTCAGACTCCTCCTCAACTCCCCATTCCCATCATACTCACCACCATCACCAACCCCCCCAAGAATCCCATCCGTATCACCCCGACCCTCGGTCCCCCCCACCCGTCGATTCTGCCCCATCTCAACCTCCTCACTATCAACAGCAATCGTAGACATGGTACCCACTGTACTCTTGCCATCTTCTCCACCCTTCCCGACTCTCTCCATCTCGACCGTACCACCCCCATTCCCCCCATTCCCCCCATTCCCCCCATCACGGCCACTCTCACCCATCAAACTCCCCTGCGTATGCAACCCAAACTTCTGCAACCCACTCCTCCCACCAATCTTCCCACCAACCTTCCCACCAACCCTCCTCAAGCGTCTCAAACTCCTCTCCCGTTCCGCCGGACCCGAGAACTGCCGTTTCTGCGTCTCAAAGTCGACTTTCTCCCCACTCAGAGAAATGGGGGAGCTCACGTACGGCGATGGCGATCTCGAAGTTGTCCGACTCGTGGCCGGGCTTGAGGAGCCAGTGCTGGCATTAGTCATATACGTAGGCCGTCTCGGCGGTGGTGTGAAGGGTATAGGACTCCCTCTGGCTGCCGCCGCCGTTCTGCCAGGGTACTCCGGTGACTCTACCACTTCCCCAGACAAGTTTCTCGCCTTATCCCTCACAGCGAACGGATTCCCCGCCAACGCTCCCTTAGGCGACGAACCAGACGGCAGATCATCAATAGTATAATCTCTACCAGCATCTGGCTCCTCCTCTTGCCTTCGCGCAGAGAGGGGCCGTTTACGTGGAATATCTAACCCTTCATCACAGGCACCATCAAAGAAAAGCATCGGCTCCTTGGGCACAGGGCTCATTTTAGTGTTTCTCCTCACTCTCATTTTCCGCCCCAAAGATGCCGGTGGTTCGAGTGGGTAGTCATTGGCGTCGAAGAGACTAGCTTCGTATGGGAAACGGCGCTCGTTGAGAGAGGAGTCGCTGTGTCTGTGTTGGAGACGGCGGAGAGGGAAGCAGCGGCTTGGTGTTCGTGGGCACTCTGTATTGGGAGCGAGGTGGGTTCGTGCTGTATCGAATGGAGTGTTGGTCATAGCTTGGCTGGGAGAGAGTTGCCAGTCGTGCTGTCCATATTGGAGCACGCTGATGGGGATGTTGTAGAAGCCGGACATGCTGTAGTCCGGAAGAGGGGGCTCATACACTTTACGATGTTCAGGGTTGTAGAAGGAGGTTGTGGCATCGCTTGGTAGACGTGAGTCCACAGCGCCATCGATTGAGCTCTCCGCTTCGTAATTACGAAGGCTTTGTAGTTCGAAGGCATCATCCAGATTTCGTTGTTTAGGGATGTCAAGTGTCGGGATGTCAAGTGTCGGGATGTCAAGTGTGGATGTTACTGACGAGTTCCAACTATGGCTTCTGTGGCTTTTCCTTGGCTGATGTTCCAGCCTTGCGTTCATGTTTGAAGGCCCTTCGACACAGCCATCCAGAGCTAGAGCATGATAGTTGTATGCCGCTGTCGCAGGCTCAGGTAAGTAGTAAGATGTTTCTAGTGAGGACATTGATGATGGCACAATTTGCACTTTGTGAGGCTCTGTATTGAACGCTGAGAAGTCGTTTGATTCGTTTGGTGGAGCATCCTCCGATTTAGATTGACTGGCCTTAAACATAGACGATGTTGATGGCATTATCGGCAGCGAGAAGCCTCGTGGACGACTTGGCGTTGTCTCTGTAGAAGCTACCCCTACTTCGAGATCGTTTGCACTTTCAGTGTTTCTCGACGAATATCGATTAGATCCGTCTGGAAGCAGGATCTTCGTGACAGCGTTTCGTGCCATTTCATGGAAAAAGGAACTGGTGCGTTCGTCATTGCGGCGTCGGCCTCGTCGTCGTGCAGTGTTCTGTGAAGAGCGATTGGGTCCGACTACGGCTCCAGACATATACTCAGCACCATTGCCAAAGTAGCTAGTATCCCAAGCATTGTAGCGTCTTTCAGAAAGATCATCAAAGGTAGTAGACAAGGACAATGCTTGCGTTCCATGTCGTCCTGATCTTATCCGAGAAGGTAGCTTGACACCATTGCAGTAGAAGTATTTCATGATACCTTCTGCGAACCTAGCGAGTTGTTGGCCTCCTTTCGATCTAATTTTAGAAAACTCCAGCTGCTTTTCGGGGTCGATTGCGTGTCTATCTCCATGCCTCCTCCACTTAGGTATTAGTCGCAGAGTGAGAAATTTTGGCCAATACCGTCTGAAATCTGGGAAAAGGAAACAAAGAATTCCGAACATTGTGAATGGTAATACAAGGGCAAGAATGACGAATACGACGCCCCAAGAGACCGCCGGCCTGCTGCTGTTGAATTTGTCAGTACAAAGCGCCTCGAGGGGGTTGGAAGTGAGATTACTTACGTTGGCGTAATGTCTGACTGAGACCTAGGCGCGACCTTGGGGACATACATCGAAAAGGAACTGGCGAGCGAGCTATGCCCCTCGCTCTAGATCCTCAATTGTAGACGAGATGATGGTGATAATCTCCCAGAGGCCGCTCTTGATCCGCGCCTGTTAGGGTAATCGAGTGCCTGCGCTCGCTTGATCTGCAGTGAGCTAGGTGGTTCCTAGCACCTTCACTAAATTGTAGTGCTGGATCTTGATCGTAGTAGTAGGGGCGTTGTTAGGATTCCCGAATCTACTGTTGACACCGCCACTCTCGTTCCTCAAGGATTTTGAACACCTGTGGCCGTGGGTCGGTACAAGGAAAAGGTTGTTACTGGTCGTCTATAGTAGTATATGATGGTGGACGGTCTATCGACTGGGCGTCTGGCTGAACCGCGGCGGACTGATCTGATTGTTGGCCTTCCGTAGCAGGGCCGTCTTGCTGTCCGTCTCCAGACCAGGCCTGATACTGATTTTGTGCTGAGGTGACAGCTTGCACTGGGAGCAAAAGGGTTGCTTGTGCCTCGACCGGACGGCGACGGTCGTTGTGAAGGAAACCAACAAAGAATTCGGCAATGCTACCTCGACGGATATGAAATGGCAAGGGCATAAGTCTCTGGAGAAGGAGACCTAAAAGAAGCGGTAGAACTATGAAGCCCCCAACGATGTAGAGGTAACCGATTACGGGAAAGGTACTATGCATGCTGACTTGGAAATGCGTAGTGGATGTGACATTCAATGCATGAAGATGATGTATCGAGTGTCAATGTAATGAATCAACGCAATGAGAAGAATGCAGTTGGAGTCGGTGACGGATATGCTGAGAACGAGAGCTTCTGAGTGAAGAATGATACAGGGTTGGGGCATCTGATAGAATGCAGGAGCGATAGGATCGACCGCGCGACAAGCAGAGAAGGCGCACTCTTCACTTTCTTCCTGGGTCGCTGAACAACAGAACGGGTGTTTTGAACGTTCTTGTATAGTGTCTCCCATTAAGGTCATCGTTTTCAACGTTGCGTATGCTTGTACGGCGGATGTTGCTCACAGTGCCTGTGATGAGGCGAGTAGCCCAGAAACAGCGAAGATAATGTGACCGAGTTCACAAGAGCCGTGATCATGAGCCGTCAATAAGCCTTGCCAACATGCATACTGCACACGGCTACGCATGATTTGGATAGCAAACATGATAATGCATCTTAGCATCATTGGGAGCCTAGATCAGGTCTGCGATCCTTGGTGACGAGACTTTGGACAAGCCGGCTAATCTACCGCCTCTGCAGCATGCTGATAATATAGGATTACGTTGTATCTTCACGAACGACGGGCGAATTCTTCTCTAGGTGTTCGCAGGAAGGGAACAGCCGCCCGCAACGGTATCCGTGATGTTGACCCGGCTTTCATCTCTCGGACAGAAGCATCACATTACTAGTGGAATGGATGAGATCACAAGACATAAGCCCTCGAGCTAGAGGAGACGGGGGAGTGGGAACTGTCTTTCAAGCCCAGCGCCACGGTTGAAAGCTTGACAGGGGGTTGGAGAGGCAGGCCCAGACGGTGGCAGGCGCCAGACGCAAAAGGGTTCACATCATGGAAGGATTTGGTTTCCAGGATATCTTCGGCAGAACTTGGTCATAATTAGAAATTATACTGAAAGCCCGATTGCCTATTGAGGAAGGCCAGCGCGCGACTAGACTTGACTCGTCGATTTTGGCGTTAGATGGTGGCGTGTGGCTGTGATTCGTTGCACTCTCTGGGTCTAGTGGACGAGGTAGTTTAGGCCTTGGACCAAGGAAATGGCAGCCTCCAACGACCCACCGGACGGGCGCAGCTTGAAATATCCAATGAAAGTCGGACCGATGATGTCGACCGATGCTACATATCAGCTGAAAGGTCTGTCCGTCATAAGTGAGATCGATGGTGGCCTCACAACGCGCGTAATCGCCGAGTGAAGGGATGGTTCCTGCATGCCACATCTCGTACTAAACGGCCGGATCCCACTCTAGCATCAATTTAGTGGCCGTTGCGAACCAGGTCATGGGTCATAGTCGCCAGTCGTGATGCCTATATATGCATCGTACCAAGGAAAAGCCATCTTGCAACAAGGGTCTTCCCGTGGGATGGGAAGGCGAATCTGGCGGTCGTAGTCGGCCATTGAGACGGGCGTCAATGAAGCTGAGACAATAGTTCGCCATTGACGTCGCGCCTCTTCTTTCCAATATGTAAAGGAGCACAACATGATCATGTGTGGGGGCGTGGGCGTCCGTGATATCGTCAAGGAAGTTGGTTTTGGAGCGTATTCGCACGTCAACCCTTTCATTGATGTGACTGCTTGGTGGGGTGGATATACTCGTCTTTTTGGTCTTCGTAATAGTCCATATATTTGGCAGCTCTTGCCCATTAAGATGTTATTGCCCCAGAAACCACGGCCTTTTTTGGAAACAGTTTTTCCAGCTTTGGTTGATCGAAATGCCGTTAACGAAGAGTGAGGTTGGCCCAGGAAGCCTTGAATCATTGGTGAGTCGCCTTCTCTGCTATACATCAATCATACTGATGCGCCAATCCTCTATTGTAGTCCGAATTGGGATTGGGTCATCGTAGGCCAAATACGCCGTCAGTGAGCCACATGGTACCCCGACGCGGTACGGGGAGGACAGGACCGCAACCTGCCAGCCGACAAATGCCAAACGGCAATGCTCAAGACTCAAACGCTGAGGAAAGCCTAAGACGATCCGATCGACTTGCTCAACAGCAGCAGTCTCAAGGGTCTCACGCCCCTGTTGATGGTGTATCGCGTGGTGAGGCACCTCAGTCCAACGCCAGACAAAGTGGCAACAGCCATATTCAGGCTTCTCCCATCGGTCGTCAAGGCCATGCGACTTCCGGTGGAACAAGTAGTACAGCTAGGCCAGCAGGCAATCTACCATTTCAATTCGCCGCCACCTTCGACCATCAACCTCCTCGACAAATAAGACCTCGCCAACTTTTGCCACCCATCATCGTTCGCTTGCAAGTAGTGGGAGGCGTTGGACCAAATGGTATGGCATCGCCATTTGATGCTCAGGGGAGTATGCACGCAGTCTGCAAATCTTCAACCGTACAGCCAGGAGCAGCTGATGGAGATCAAATCGCGGCCTCGGCTCCGGAGCACCATACTATCTTACGGAGTAAGTCAGAGTGGACGTTTGATTTGCGTCCAATTGAATTTCACACCACGGGCTATTGCCAGCTCGAGATCTATTTTATTTACGTTCCACGAGGAACAACCCCAGCGAACGACACCGTCCGCATCGCGACAATCACATCTCGTCCAATACATGTTCACAGTTTCGCACCACTCTTCCCTGGGTAAAGTCCGAAAGTTGCCTATGAGATGAAATGCACTAACCATCCATCATAGTAGGAGTGCCTGAAGAGCCAAAGCAGCTATTATTAAGTTTCACAGAGCTCACGCTCATCTTTGCTTTTCACTTAACTCTTTCCTGACATGTTTTGAAAAGGAGAACAACATGAGTAAACAGACAGGGAAGCTTTCGGAAGGCAGGAGCCAATTGGACAGAATGACTTTCTTTGTATTACTAAAACGGAGTTCGAGATATTTTAATTTTCAAGATCGTCATGCTTGAACGGCGGAACATCGTGAAAGGGATCACACTGTTGCGCAAGAGAGTAGGACAAAAAACAATTTAGGACGGCAGAATTAGAGAACCTATCAGCTAGCGAGCCTTCGCGCCTTCGTCTCTTCCAATCCTTGACCATTGCGCGGCTCGCTCTGGTGGCTCTGCAAAGTCTTGCATTTCGAGGACTTCTTGCCGTGACATTCGTCGTTGCATATTCCTTTCTCGCTCTAGTAGATCATGCTAGGCTATAGACTGCAGGGAGTCAAGCCCTTGGCCAGTTTGATAATTGTAGATCCCTTGTAAATGCAAATTGAAAATGCGACTTTTTCCGTGGAGGTTGAGATTATGTAAATTACACTGGTGACTCTCTCAAAGGGAGCTCGCCGCAGAAATAAATTACTAGCGCTCATTCTATTCTTCAGCCCTGTGATTGGCTCCTTGCTCCCCATCGTCAACCTCAGAATCCTCACATCCATACCTCACAACCCCAATGCTCGGTGCCTTCAGAACGTCCTCGCCGCTCTACGGTGGGCTACTCTGGTACCTCTTCCTTGCCCTCTGTCCTTGCCCACATATCACCACTAACGCCTGACAGGAAAATCCCATGGCGGCTCTCCCCTCCTCGAAAGCGGCGGCAGCGTAAACGCCTTAAGCTCGTTGACCGCGTCGTTTCCACCGTTGCTTCCGCCTTACAGAGGAACAAGATTACAGAGCCGGAGCAATTACAGAGATGGAAAGCGGAGATGCCGACGCAGGAGGAGATGAAACCGAAGGATAAATATACGATTTTTGATCGGAAGGTTAAGGGGTATAGGAAGGGTGTGCATAGTGAGTATGGCCCTTTCCTGGTTCTTTTATTGGGGACGGCTGTAAAGACTGGAGACATAAAGAGTCTTGTGATTGGGATGGGAGGGCGAGCAGGTGAATGGGTGAAGATTTGGAGCAGAGGCTGACTGTTTGTGTAAAGAATTGCCTAAGTGGACGAGAGTGAGCCAAAGATTGAACCCGCCCGGGTTCTGAAGGGGTTGAGACGAAAGCGACAAATATTCATCTTTTGATGAATACGGGTAAAGTGACCCGAGGGGAGAATTCCTCTGGACTTTGACATCGATCAGAATATGGGTTGAGATGCAGAAGTGAAGCATATGTACATAGAATGATACCCAAACAAGCATGGAATTTGTCTCTAGCATAACGATCTGATGCTAATTCTCGCAGTCGCCTTTGCTGAGTGAGAGCCACGATGATTCGCTCGGTTCTGTAACGCAGATTTTAGGTATGTCCTGTCTTTTTGGCCAGATCTGCTCAGCACTGCCAATGCCCAATCCAACACCGTCTCCCTCTTCCTCCTCACCCACAGTCCACAGCTCTGGACTTGGTGCATGCCACGCCCTTGTTCGTCGAGCTCTATGTCCAGATCCTACTCTGTATTCGTTCCTACCCCTGATAGGCGGCGAAAGTGAACGCGAGGTCGCTGCTTTTGGTCTCCATGGCTCTGGTGGTATGTAATCTTCTGGTGGCGACTGGGGGCTGTTGTAGCCAGAGTAATTTGGGAAGATCTCGATCAGCTCTGGACTTGGCGTTTCATAATGGCTGAATCTCTGTTCCATTCTTTGGATCCACCGCTTCAATTTGAAGACAGGCGAAGATGCTGGACCGTGATGGAGAAGGAAGCGACGGGCTTTTGTAAGGTCTGGTGAAAGGGAATAGGAGCGGTGAAGCTCTGGCCGGACGGTGCTGGTCTCAGCAGTCACGTCCGGCGAATTGTATATTAGATCGCCATCATCCAGCGGTGGTGATATAAATTGAGCCCAAGGATCGTCATCGAAAGACTCAGGTCTTGAATTTGGATGTGCTTGCTGGGATGATGGCCATGAATGCCGCTTCTTGACGACTTTTGTGGGCATGGAAGAATCGCAGTGACAAGTATCGAAAGAGAAAGGAATATTTTTGCAAACATTCAACAACATTGCGTAAGGCAGAAATTGTGTAGGGAACGATACAGGAAGAGTAGACTATGACAATGTCGCCTGGATACTTATAGACGTGACCATACTTACTGCTGGGGCACAGGACTTGAGCCCCAACTTGCCCTACCCACCATATCTGTTCGGCTGCCAGATGACGCGAGTACGCGAATCTATCTATATGGCAGTACGGAGGTGCGCCCTCGACAAGACGACAAAGAAGAATATGGGCGTCATGATTCAAAAGGAAACAGAAAGGCCGCCAAAAAGTGGCAAAAAGCTTCTTTGAGATGTAGAAGAACATGGGAAGAGCTGCCCTCTAGACCTTGAGAGTTCTATGTGTTCCTGCATAAACTGGAGACGGCAGCAGAGCCGCATGGCAGATTCTGGGAGAATCACCGAAAGGAACCCTTGTGACCCTACAGGTCAGATGCAGTCCCAGGGCGTCAGGTGAAAACAATGACTCATGATATCGACAAATTCAAACTCTATCATCTCACCGAGTAAGGCATAATTATTACTTGCCAGTGAGTACGGGAATCGGACTGCAGCGCATCATCATGAAAAGCACAAGATGTAGTTGACAATGAGTACCCACAGCGTTATCTCTGAGAATCAAGGAATATAGTTATTCCGCTCCGTAGACATTTGTTGCAACAATAACCCTCGCCTTGTGCTTTCTAGATTCCATCTAGCTCACGAGCATGTCGTGATACCTTTCATTGGCCTCTCTAGGCCCATTACCTCTTTCCTTCACAGAGATGTCGTACTATTTCGCCATAGTCAACACCCGCGACCGCCCCGTCTTCGAGCTCGAATTTGGCACCTCAAAACAAGGCGGCGACGGGGTAGCTCGATTCTCTCATGAAGCCCGCCAAATGAACCCCTACCTCGTGCACGCGTCTCTGGATTTCGTAGACGAGATGCAATTCACCAATAACGCAATGTGATTTTCCCTTCCTTGCCTCATCGCTATAGTTTGCTTCTTCCCGTGCGAGCAAACTACCTTCTACCAACCATCCTAACAAATCCACCAGGTATCTCAAACGCATCGACACCTTCGCCTCCAGCCACATCTCCTGCTTCCTGACACCTACCTCGACGCGCTTCCTCCTCCTCCATCTCCCCCACCCTCCAAACACCGCCCCTCAACCCCCCACTTCCTCTCTCGCCTTCCCCCCATTCTCCCCCTACACATCCACCCCCACCACGACCTCCACAAGCTCCGGAAGGGCAACTTCGTCAAGTAGTACCAGCATACCGAACAATCCTACATCACCGCAGACGGAGGAGGCGATCAGGCAATTCTTCGGAGAGGTGTTCGAGGTCTGGATTAAGGCGATCATGTCGCCTTTTCAGGATGTTGAGGGGGCGGTGAGGAGTGGGGTGTTTAGAGAGAGGGTCAAGGGGGCGGGAAGGAAGTATCTTTGAACGAGGATAGATTCGGTGCGGTGAAGGGAACGTAAGGCTCTGGGATTGTGATATCGTGCAAGCTTCGTTGGGAAACCAGGACTATGTGGAGTCGCAGGCATTATCCAGAGTCGAATTCCACTGACTGCGACATCCTTATGCCCTCTCAAAATGAGGAGTTCGTCTCTGACAACAGCCGAGAGAGCTTTACTGGAAAATGAAGCGAGCAAGGGCACTCTTGGCTCGTCGGCTGATCGCTAGGCTCAGCTGGGATCACACGCTAGATTTCCAAGTTGTCTCCCCCGGGTGAGGTAAAGGCTTTGAGCTGAAACTTGTGAATTGGGAGTTTGACGCCTAGACATGCAGCATGGTCGTGCTTTGTACGTGTCAGAGCGCGTGCTTAATTCTAGTAGGCACTCGCGGGGCGTTGCACGAGACAGTTGAACTCGAGCGAGAGCATTCTTCTCGCATCAAGCCATCAAGCTCTACAGTTCAGCTATATATGGAAATGCTGAGAAAGTCGGCAAGAGCTCTTTGGAGGAACCGGGGCACGAATCGAGCAGGGGGATCACTTCTGCAAAAGTGGTCTATTTGTTAGTAAAGGAGCAAAGCTAGCGAAGACATTATCAGTCCATGCTATTCTTTTTTATACTCTGTGGTACCTCGTTTGGGCTGAGACTCTTAGCGGATCTGCTGTCACTATCATTCAATGACCATGAGAGCATGACGAGACGTGAGCAAGATACAAATTTCACATTAGACTAAATACGATCGATCCTAAATGCATGCTCATGAACCAGTACATAAGTCGCCGTTATAAACTTGAACGGCATAGCAAACGAGGAACGAGAGGGATATCGTCAGCTGTGCCAAAACGGATAAGAAAATCAGCCGCTCCAAAATTCAGACTCACTGCGTTTTTCGCCTCTGTCACTCGTGATCTTGACTGAGACGAAGCACGCAATAGAACCCACCACCTAGTCAACTTGCCACCTTGACACACAAGACGTTCGTTCGAGGTTTTGCTCCCAGGCTTCCTCCTCCAGAATTTGATGCCTTGTACCAACTCCTGCATCAGCTACTCCACTCCGCCCCCCTCACAGTTCATCTTTCCCCTTCGAAGTAGCCCCTTTCACCTTCTCCCCCACCTTACCAGCCGCCTCACCAACCTTCGCCTGTGCCTCATCCACAGTCTTGCCCACCCCATCACCAAATTCCTTCACTCTTGCTTTTGCGCTCTCAATAGCGGCCAACAACCTGGTTTGCGCACTCTCCATAGCACCTTTCTCAGGCCCATAAACCGCCTCGCGAATTTTCTGCCTGGTCTGCTCTACAGCTTCGTGACCTTGCTGCACCTTATCCTTCACATTATCATAGGCCTTACCAGCAGCGTTAGTAGCGCTGGCCGTATATCCGGTGTCTGTACTACCGTACAAGGCACCCATGATGGCTTCGGAAGCTGAGGACGCAATGTCTTCCATGCTCTTCTGAGCATTTTCGAGGGCGGCGGGTTGAGTGCCGTAAACGGCCTCGCTAGCTTTGGACGATACGGATGAGGCGGCATTTGCGGCGGCGGAAGTTGCCTTCTCGTACGTCCCTTTCTCCGAGCCGTATACCTGAGCGCTAGCTGCGTCGACGGCGGCATTGACCTGCTGGTTTGCGGCGGCCAGGATAGCCTCAAGCGTTGCGGGGGGCGTGAATACACCAGACACAACTGACGAGGCAGATGCGTAGGCGTCACTCGCGTAACTAGAGGCTGAGGCTGCCACATTGGCATGACCGCCTGCATAGAAGGCTGAGCTCAACCTCGACTGAACGCTCTCGGTGAAGTCGGGTTCGCGGCCACTAACGAGTTCAGAGAAGAGCGATTTGACATCCTCATACTGGACGCCGGCTGCTGAGGTTGCTTGGGCTGCGTAATCACCTGCTTGAGAGTAGACGGATTCGTGGAAAGGTGTGGGCGCGCCGTAAACCTGTTCGCTAGCTTTTGAGACTAGCGCTTCCCAATTGACAGATGCTTGGTTCGCTACAGATTCAGACCAAGGGGTCTCTGAGCCAACGACAGCGGTACTCGCGGCTGCTGAGGCCGATGATAGCGAGGCTGAAGCTTGGGAAAGTGCCGCATTGTACTGCGAAGAAGCTGAATCGAGCACACTTTGAGCTGGTGATTTGCTCTTTTTGCCAACTGCGGAGCTTGCTGACTTCGTCGCTTCGTCAAGCTTCTGAGAGGCCTGCTCGCTGGCTTTGCTGTATTGCTCTTGAGCCGCGTTCAGTAAGCTTTGATAGGTAGGAGTCGGTGAGCCATAGATCTGCTCTGACGCGGCGCTTGCAAGACTCTCGTGGACTGGTGTTGGGGTTCCATAAGCCGCGTGTGAGGCAGCCTTTACGAAGTCGGAGTAACGTTCGTGGGCCAAACCAATAGCAGCATAGTATTGTTGCTGTCCCTGCTGAAGATACTGCTGGTGCGCAGGCGTTGGCGTTGCTCCGACAGCGATCTTTGCACTATCATACTGTATAGATGCCGCATTGAGGCTGTCTGCAAGCTTCGAAGATGCGACAGACGAGATAGATTCCAGGACGCCCTGGCTCGGACCATATATAGCCTCACTTGCAGCTTTGGTTGCAGAAGCTTGCTCTGCACCAGCAACCCTGATGATGCTGGAGTAGAGGGATTCTGCAGCAGCGAGGGACTTCTTGTAAGCAGGTTCTGGCGTTGGCCCTAGAGCGGATCTGACAGATTCTAAGCTTTTGGATGCAGCCGCTACAGCTTCGGAGTATTTGGCTTTAGCTGCCGAGGCTATTTGCTCCTGAGAGTCACCATAGATGGCGGTAGATGAGGCTTTCCGAGCGGCGTTGAGCCGACTTGAGGCAGCAGATGTTGCCGCTGCGTAGGCACCATCCACCGAAGAAAACATTTGCTCATGGACAGGCTTTTTCTTGCCGGTGACTTGGGCCGAGACGATGGATTTAGCGTGTTCATAATGCTCGTTGGCATGGCGTAACGCTTCCGAATAGGCTGACGAGGCTGCGTCGACGCCCGATTGTCCTATTGGGGTAGGTGTACCATAGATTGCAGATGATGCCCTATTCATGTCAGCTTGCAAAGAACTTGGGAGTCGAGGAGACACCTACGCTGATACCGCGTCGGCCCATTTATTAGCTGCTACACTGGTCGCACTTTCGACTGCGCCCTGCTCAGTCCCGTATAAGGCGATCGAAGCTGCTGAAAGGGCCCTCGAGTATTCCTCGGCAGCCATGGAAGACGCGCTCTTCACAGTCCCTTGTGTTGGAGTAGATCCCAGGATCGCTTCACTGACGGCTCGCGTAACATCGGCATACTTGTCACCAGCATTGTCGATCACACTTTGGATTGTCTCCGAGTATGACGCTCCTTCATCAACAACATCGTCCAAGATTGGCTTTTGCTCCTTGACTTCTGCAGCCATAGCTCCACCATAAACCTTTTTGGATGCTTTGCTTGATACCGAGGAGACAATGGATTTTACGGAATTTGGACCGCTTGATGCCGTGGTACTCGCTTCACTAGACGAGTCGGAAATTGCCTCTGATACTGCGGAAGCTACGCTTTCTGCTTTCTCTGAAATCTTAGTGGCAATAGACTCATGGGCTGGTGGAGGGGTTCCAATGATAGCTTCACTTGCACCGGATGCGAGGTTTTCCGCCTGGTCTTTCGCTGCAGACGCTACGCTCTCTGCTTTGCCTGTGGCTGTACCTTTGACTGCTTCACTGGCCTTTTCAGATACTGCACTTGCGGTATCAGAGAGTTTCGAGGACGCTTCTTCAACGTAACCAGGTGGCGTTCCTACCACAACAGTTGATGCATCAGAAAGCGCATTGGAGGCCTTTTCGCTGGCGACGGAAGCTACTGATTCGGCAACACCTTGAGATGTCCCAATGATTGAGTCACTTCGAGACGAGACAGCCTCCATGACCTTTTGGGCCCCTCGAACAGCGGCTGCTGGTATTACCTTTGTGGTGAAATCATTGGAGTCATCTTTTGCTTGGATTTTCCATTTTCCGACATTCTTTAAACGGGCAAGCTCCTTGGCCGCTTGTTCAGCAGCGCTCATACCTTTCGCTTCAAGTTCTTCGGCAGCTTCCCTAGATCGTTGAACACCTGGGTGAGCTTGTGCGACGCCGTTCACCTTCTTATGCCATTCGTCAAATGATTTTTTGACTTCATGATATTTGGACCAATCCTTGTATGTGACACCCTCCATATGAGCCCATTTCATCCCAATCTCTTGTAATCCCAGATCGCGGATGCTATCGATCACTTCTAGTGTAGACGAGGATGCCGCAAATATCAAAGACTGCGTTTCATTTTCATAGCCTTCTTTCCAGTTACGAAGAGCCTGGGCCTTCTCTTTCACGGACAATCCGGCAGCTCGTGTGATCTTAGACAATTCTGCCTCCGCACTGGATACATCCTCTTCGCTGGATTCCTCTGGCAAAGCTTTGACTATCGATTTCATCCGTTTCTTCAGGCTCGCTTCTTCAGATGCAACAGTCTCTTCCAATTGGATGACCAAAGCATTGCCGGTTCCGCCCACTTGACTTTCAATCTGACGGTCCGTGATTTCTCTCACTCGCTCACTCAAGTCTTCAATGCCTCGGTCGGCAGCTTTAGCAAACTTGTCTTGCCAGCTCTTTAGATCGCGTTCGATCTTGGCACGTAATTGTTCAGCCTCCTGATCTGGTGTCAGTGTTGGAGCAGATGACATTGTGCTTGTTTCTGTCACGGATACGATCGAAGAAGAGGCCTCCGAGGCAACAGACGATACGGACGAGGTCGCAGGAGATTCTTCTTTCTCATCCATGACTGCTTGGATTTTCTTGCCGTCACGATATCGACCAAGCCGTTCGCCAATTCTTACTAGCTGCGGTTCGACATTTTGCCCATAGACTATTCGGATCTTTGGCCATAATATCCGACCGAAGAAATATGTGGTCGAATTCCAGGCGTATTGTACCCTAGGAATAATGATATCAACGAAGACCGAGCGGGTTTTGTCGTATGTGACTTGCAGTCTTGGCTGAACAGAGCCATACGTTGGAAGGATATGCTTGTTATACACATCCTTTACTTTTCCTTGGCTTTCAGTCACGTAAGGAGCCGCAGCTGATGAGACTTTGTCAACGTGAGGGGCAACATTTGAGTCATACTGCTTTTTCGCCTCGGTCTGAGCTGTGCTGACCTGTGGCTTCAGGACCTTCTCCCATTTCTCTTCGGTGAATCGCCATACTTGATCAACCTTGGGGGCAGCGTACGTTCCATAATACTGCTTGCCATGATTCGTTACCGGTACAAGCAACTGTTCTTTCGCTTTTGCAACGTAAGGGCTTGCTTGAGCGACGTACTGGGCTGCATATCGCTCATAATATGGCTCAATGTAAGGCGCCGCGGAGGATTGTAAAGTCAAGTACGGTTTACATATACGTTGATGTTCCGTGGAATCAGAAAGATCATTCAGGGACGAAGGACATCGAAAGAGAGCAGTGATGATGATGTACCAAAGTGAGCCCCTAGAACGATCAGTATGGGTAAGGGAACGAACGTAGAAATATATCGGGGACGTACCGCACAAGCCAGTTGATTGCGCGCGCTGCCAGAATAGTTGCAGCATTAGGTGATTTAGGAGGCGATTCTAGCCCTCCGATCTGTCCGTTGGGCTTTCGTTTCTGTTTGGACGGCTCTACTGGCCGCCCATTTGTCGCTGCCACCATTTGAGCTTTCAACGAGCTCAAAGCCGAGATCTCCTTTCGTGATGTCGGATCATACCATGGCTCTGATCCACAGAGACTGGGTAGAGGTAGATATGAAAGTGAAGCGTATGCAAGCGTAGTAGCAGTTGAGTCTGGAAGGATCGTAGGAAAGCTCGGGATGAAATCACCCAACGGCGGGCGATAAACCTGTTTTCCCTATCTGGGAAAATTCGATATCGAGAAGCGTGTGTCGCGTGCACGCTAACATATGAAGACTTCTCAACCAACCATCAACAAATTTGAGAAGATACAACACTCTGTAGATGTTACGCTTTCAGAAAGAACCACAACACCGCTGCCTGTCAACATCATCACCGCGAATCGCTCATATCACATCAATCTAACGTGGTGCGGAACTTTCCGCCCAATTTGCTTGCATTTCAGCGTCATTGCCGCTGATTATTTGCTTTCTCTTTGTTGTCTGACAGCAAGCCAATCAACCAGATCACCCATCATCGCCGTCGCTCCGTGAATATACTCTTTGACGACTTCCTGCTGAACGTGATGCGCTGATGACAGGGCACCGGAAATGGGGTCTCACAGGACCTCGCCCAAACGGCCTTTTGCAACTAGTACTTGAAATTGCCCTGCCACGATGAGCTCTCACAATCTTGGCATGGAGCCACCAACACAGGCCGCAGATAGCGAGCCTGCACCTTCTCATTCCAAAGAGCCGGACATTATGAATGACCCTGCTTTCGATCCAAAGTCAAGCCAAGAGAACAAAGCCGAAGATGTCGATACATGCCGGATATGCCGGGGAGAGGGATCCAAGGACGAGCAACTGTTCTATCCCTGCAAATGCAGTGGGAGTATCAAATACGTTCATCAAAACTGCCTTGTCGAATGGCTGTCTCACTCTCAGAAGAAGCACTGCGAACTTTGCAAAACTCCGTTCCGTTTCACGAAGCTCTATGACGCCCACATGCCGCAGTCAGTACCTTTGCTAGTCTTTCTCCGGCAAGCAGTCATACACACCTCCAAAAGTGTTCTTAAGTGGGCAAGGCTTCATCTCGTCGTTTTCGTATGGGTCTTCTGGCTGCCTTGGTGCACACGAGCTGTTTGGAGAGGACTTTTCTGGCTCGGCGATGGCGGCTGGATTGATTTAAGAAAACGAAATATTGAGCAACAGGCAACAATTACGTTTCAATCCGGAGCTACTGCCTCTAAGTCACCTGAAGCTCTTGCGACTGCACTTGTGTCAAAAATCTCTGGCAGACTCTTGAGGCAATGGAACCCTCTCACTGAATTTCTAGAGGCTTACCAAGATGGACCGCTTACCTTCCGTTTCATCAGGAAGCTGTTCAATACCTGGTACGGCCCAATGCCAGCCAATTCTCCATCTTCTCCAGCTGCTGCATTCTCGACCTATCAAACTCCGCAACGCCCGCCGTCCCTGCTTTCAAACATCACATTCCTCAGATCTTTGACTGGGTCAACAGTGCTTAATGACATCATCGTTGACATTCTAGAAGGCCAGCTGATTACGATCTTTGTGGTAGTAGTCTTCATTGTAATCTTTCTCATTCGGGAATGGGTCATGCAGCAGCAACAAAATATACAAGGGGACCGTAGAGCCAATCAAAATGGAGAGCTACAACCAAGACCTGCGATTCAAGGTCAACCTGCAGCAGCACCTCAGCCAGACGGCAACATTCGTAATCAGGCCTTGGCTATACAAGGCGTGGAGGGCGATCCGGCTGAGATTAGGAGAGATGTCCCACGGGACACGGCTAGGGTATTTGCGAGACCCCGAGGCAGACTCCACCGCCGCGCTACGAATCCAGAGGGACCAGGAGTAGTCGATGAGACTGCAAATACAAACACTCCAGCTACGAACAATATCTCCAGCTCTGGAGCCTCTGCTCAAGACCGTTCACATGATACAGCTCACTCGCCCAGTGAAACAGTCCAACGCCCGGCCATTTTAGATGGAGGCGTAATGGAGCGTGCAATGGAGCTGAGACGCACGTTAGATGAGCCCGATCATGTAGATACAAGCCAAAGCCGCTCAGATATACAGGTTTTCAAGGATCTCTGGTTACAGGCGGACCAGGAGCCTCACGAGGTCTTGCGTATCATTGGGGACGATAATCGCATGGAGGAGCTAGATTGGATTGTTAGGTTCATGCGGTACCTTGACACAACAGGATACAAACGTCCGGCTTCGACTGCTAGCATCAGGTCTCTGCCAGATGAACGAAGCAAGGACGTCTCCTCGCGGACGAAGCAAGATGTTGTAGATGTTGCGGATTCTCTTGCACCTCCTGCCCCCTCACTAAGTCCAAACGTGGATGGTCGCCAAGATGCTGAAGTCCCGCGGTCAACTGATAGCCTTCCACCTGTTGCTCTTTCTGTTTCAGGGACCCTGAAAGGATCTGATGCTCCCGAGTTCACTGTTCCTGAAGGTGAGGAATCTACAAACTCTGTGCAACTACCGGAGGACGGTATGCTATCTTCGGCCAATTCGCCACCTTCCAATGAACCAGACTCCACACCTTCAAGGCCAAGCTATACCGGATCTTCAACATCTACCGAGTCCTCAGCAAATAACACAAATGTAGGCATTGCAAATCCTACTGTGAACGACGGTGCGGGCGAGGATACTCGCGTGTCCAATGAAGGCGGTCCATCGCCTCCTGACGCAACCCTGCCCAATCAGCCTTTCTATGAACGTCTCATGGACTGGCTATGGGGAGAGGCCGGAGACGTTGAGCACCAGGTTGACCCGCCAGCTGAAGATGAAGAACGCGTAGTACTGAACGTTGCAGAGGAGGCGCCTTTTGTCCCTGCCGCCCGTCGACAGCAACCAATAATCGCAGATCCGGACGCTAATCAAGGTCAAGATCCCGATATAGTGGCTGCAGCTATAGAAGCTGGCGTGGACCCAAACCCAGCTGAAGGCCTAGATGAAATCGAAGATTTGGAAGGGATTATGGAGCTTATCGGGATGCAAGGTCCGATTCTAGGCTTGATACAGAATGGCATGTTCTGCGCTTTGCTCGTGTGTCTGGCTATTGGAGCCGCTGTATGGGTTCCTTATATGTTCGGCAAGTTCTTTCTTACCGGCTTAGCTCATCCATTATACGTGCTGCAGCAGCCACTTCGAGCCGCCTCCACAAGTGCAGACATGCTTGTGGATTTCTGCATCTTTGTAACCTGCCTGTCCTATTATTGGATGGACAGAGCTATCAGCGTTATGTCAATCCCCATTGGCTGGCTATTGCCACCACTGAAGGGGTTGCTTGAGACCAAGATTCTGGCTGATACTGCTCGAAGCTATGCGGAAAGGGCTCTTCAACGGCTAGCGCTCGCATCCATGGAGAGTAGCGAATTTATGGCTAAAGCCTTTGATATCCCTCAAATATCAGTACTAGCTCATGAGTCCCTTCGCTTGCTTGAGAGACGCTCTACCGACATCATTAGCTGGACCTACAAAATTTTCACCAGGATTCTCGAGCGTTCGCTATCAGTACGTGATTACTCCGACGTCACATCCGCCCTTGCGTCTGGATATAAAGGTCTTCAACAAACCTCCGGACAAGTCATCAGTAAAATGCTCACTCTTCCAGCGGCTACGCAATCGCTCTTAAGAATCAATCCGCTCAAATTCAACCTTGCAACCTCATCCCGGGAATTTCCCATTGATTTCAGACTGGCTACCTGGAATGGAAGAGACAAATTTGTTTCTATTCTCTTCGGATACCTCTTCTTCGGCCTGCTTGGTGCAACTTATTTACGTGTTGCAGCAGCAATCTGGGGGAAGAACAAGAAAGGGCGGGTCAACGGAGGGTTAGCGGACTTACTATATCAAGCTGGAGGTGTCATGAAGGTTGTGCTTATTATCAGCATTGAGATGATCGTTTTCCCACTCTATTGTGGGCTTCTGCTCGATGCCGCTCTCCTGCCACTATTCGCGAACACTTCCATCGGCTCACGTATAATCTTTCTGAGGGCTTCGCCAAACACGTCTCTATTTATCCACTGGTTCGTCGGAACTTGCTACATGTTCCATTTTGCGCTGTTCGTATCAATGTGCCGCAAAATCATGAGAAATGGAGTGCTCTGTAAGTTCCCTTTTGAATTGTCCGAAGCTATAAGCTAATAGTAGATAGTCTTCATTCGCGATCCAGATGATCCGACATTTCACCCGGTACGGGATGTTCTGGAGCGGCCTATAATCACTCAACTATGGAAGATATCGTTCAGCGCAGTAGTTTATGGGGCCTTGGTCCTCGCATGTCTTGGAGGTGTTGTGTGGGGCGTAGATTATGCCATTGGCGGTCTCTTTCCAGTTCTTTGGTCGTCGAGTGAGCCGATACTGGAATTTCCGGTCGACATCCTCTTCTATAATTTCCTAATGCCGCTGGCAGTGAAATTCTTCAGGCCTTCGACTGGCTTGACCAGTGTATACAGCTGGTGGTTCGAAAAATCTGCGAGGTGGCTTCGTCTATCTCATTTCCTACTTGGACACGGCAACCAAGACGAAGAAGGTCGACATCCGCGTCAGACATGGAAAGAATGGCTACGAGGAGACCAGTGCCAAATTTGCAAGACTCACGGAGAACTGTCGGACAACAAGGCTTTTGCGGTACTAAATGAGAACTCCCAAATCAAAGGCCACGAGAAAGGCGTTGACTTCATACGTGATGGGATGCACGTATTAGCTCCGTCGTCGGACCAAGTCAGGGTACCAAAGGATTTCGCCACCTTCCACCCTTTCAGTGATGATGGCCAGACGGTCATCATTGATGAAAAGCAACTTCCATGGTATGAACAGAATGAGGATTCATTTACAAAAGTCTACATACCACCGTTCTTCCGGCTCCGAATTGCCGCGCTCATCAGCCTTGTCTGGGCTTTTGCAGCCTTTACAGGCCTTTGCGTTACTGTCCTACCGCTCCTCCTTGGACGGTCCATCTTAACACGAGTGGTTCCAGGACATCTGCGCATGAACGATGTGTATGCCTTTTCGATCGGCATCTACATACTAGGAGGCTTGCTCTACGCTACACTTAATTATCATCGCTTCAGATCCTGCATTCAAGCCCATCTGACACCTCATGCGACTAATATCAAAGCCTCTCTTCGAAAGTTAGGTCGTGTATCGGTACGCTTTGTCAACATCATCTACACCCTCTCCGCCTTTGGAGTCCTGCTCCCTGCTCTCATCTCCCTGTCTATACAATGCTACATCATTGTGCCACTCTACACTTATATCATGACTCATGCACTCGACGAGTTCGACGAGACACTTGATTCAACAATCGCATTTCCAACATCGATCCCGGCCACCATCTCTAGCTTCAAAGAAATTACAGGCTCTCAGCCATCACGATCTCAACCAATCATCCACATGATCCAAGACTGGACGCTCGGAATTCTCTACGTTAAAGTCCTTGGCCGTCTGATCCTATGGACCGCGCCATCCCGTCCAGCAACAGCGCTCAGGAGCATTGTGCGTGACGGTTGGCTCTATCCTGACATTCGACTTGCCACGCGTGGCTTTGTTCTCCCAACGACTCTTATCCTATTGGTCATTCTTGGAGCACCGTTGCTCCTCGCAAAGCTCTCTTTACGAATGGTCTTCACGGCTTCAGACGCAGAAGACCCGTTTTTCCGTTCTTTGATATACAGATATAGCTTTCCAACACTAATGGGGGCAGCCTTAGCGACGGCGCTCCTCATCGTAGTTATGAAAGCGTTCGGGCGTTGGAGAAGGAGGGTCCGGGACGAGGTCTATCTGATTGGAGAGAGGTTGCATAATTATGGTGAGGCGAGGCGGAAGAAGCATTCGAAGAAACAGAGGGCGAAAGCGAAGGGTAAAGAGAAGGAAATGGTCGAGCGACCGACTTCTGGTGCAGTGGCTGCCGAAAGACCTGGGCTTGAGAGGCGAGAGACTGCCTGAGAATGACTCGAGAGGGTCAGGACATCTTTTTTGATACTGATTGCTAGCCTTCATAGACTACAACTCCACAAAATTCATGATTCATTATTGAAAATCTCGATTTCTCGCTATACTTTCTTGTCCCATGGTACTTGCCTTCCTCTAGGACTTTGATTTTTCACTTCATCCTCAACATATCTGCAGCTGTCTAGCAACTGTAGCGTAACTTTCCAGGTGGTACTCCACTTCTCTTGGAAGCCGACAAACCTTAGCCTTATGGCAAAAGCCATGCCCCACATTGAGGGTGCCCCTTCTCTCCGCCTTGGGCATCACATGATTCTTTTCCTAGGCATCGATATCCAATGAGCCACAAATATACATTCAGGCGTCGTTATCTGCTTGTCAACCGTCAACCGTCTCAAAGTTTAACGAAGTCTTCCTGAACGAACTTCCTGATTTGGCATTTGGGCTACATATCTTCTCAAAGATGCCCTGTACCCCAATGACGCCACAGGAAGTTTGATATTGCTTTTACTTTTTTCACTTACTGTATTGAAATTTGAAGACACGTGTCACGATCATGATAAGTCTTGATTGTGCAAACATGCAATACGCTAATAAACGCAACCGACAAGAATCTGCAAGGTATATAAGGTGACGAGAATAATAGGTAGTAATACTCTCTATGTCTTCAATGGTTTCCATTCGCATTCACATGACTTCAACCCATGTTACAGAACAGAAATGCATGCATACAACGATATCCACAAAAGAGAGCTGCTCCCACCATCACCCATGTTGATTCCCTACCCGAAAGAGATATGAGAGACCACATTTCTGAGTTTTTACCGCCACCTTATGGGCCTTTGAAAGGTATCACGTAAGCCATCACAAATGCACGAACATGTTCACATGATCTATCATAGTCTCGAAATATAAATGTCTTGATTGCGCTTCACATTCTTGTTTCTTTCATTCTCATCGTCAAATGGCTGATGACGGAACGCTGCCTTTTGTTCCATAATATGTATACGTGTCGAACTTCGACCTGGTCCCTCTTCAAGATAGGTCAGACTTGAAGCAACTATCACCCGTGGAGTCCCTGCCTAGCCTCTTCTTTCCGATTCATAGGACGAAAACATCCTCAAAATGACCCAAATACTGGAAAGAACGAAACAAAACACAGCCGTAAAAGCGCGCAGCACATGCCAAAAGCTGGAATTCATGCAGGAATCATGGAGGCCCAGTCAAATGTGAAAAATAATACATACTACCAATCAAAGAAATCATCACTTCCACCACCAGCATCACCGTCTCCTCACTTCTCCTGTTCTATCTCCTTTCTTCGCCGATCCAACCTCCCAGAAATCTAACACCGAGGCTCCCACGACCTCCACATCACCGAAAAGACAAGAACGAGGACAAAACACTCTCCTTACCTTCTTGTCAACACCCCGAATCCCGTTCCGCACCTCATCACAGACACGAAAATCAAGCATTATCCCTACCAGCGAAAACACCGTCCCGTCAGCAACTTCCCAGCTTAATACTAACCGAACAGTCTCACATTCCCATCCCACATCGTTTTCGCCATCCTTGCATCTCTAATGTAGTCCTGCAATGCGCATCAGAGACAATAAGATCTGCGCGTGAATGAACAATCTCGTAGCACTACGTACGACCTGATAGATTTGAAATGATGTATTGTCTTACCTGGCCCCATTGACCCCAACCCTAAACTCAAGTGTTTCTCATTCCTTCCCTCGTTGGCGAACGTACCCATTGTCACTTTCTAGGGAATGACTTCTCGAATACCGTGTACATGTGCGTGGAATTCGTGGTGGATTGCAGCGAGGGTGATTTGTGTGAGAGTGGATAAGTGGACATGAAGATTCTCCCGAAGAAGGCACGAGGAAAGTAGTTCGTCTGTTTGCCAAATGAAAGCTTCGAGAGCGGAGACTGTTGGGGATAATACGGAAGGCTTGGGTTTGGAAAAGATGATTGTGTGAGTTTTGGGTCTTGTTGCCAGCATCGCCGGTATACTGGGACACCAAGAGGCTTTTTTCGTCCCTGTGCGCGTTATTCCCGTGGGACAAGAGGAAAAAGAATAGATTTGTGGTAAAATTATCTCGTTTGTGGGATTTCGATGTATGGACGTCCTGCTGGAGGAGAAGATTGTGTGTCTTGCTTGCGAATCAGTAGAGGATATGAATGTACTGAAGGAAGGAATGTAGGCAGGCAGAGAAAGCAATTTTGGTCTGTTGATGGGTTGAGTCGGACATTTCATCACTCTGCAGGTTTAGAATGGAATGTTCATCGAAGCTCGGAAGAGTATCGGTCTAGGATTCATAAGAAGGGAGCTTTGTGCGGTTCATAGGCTGCTCAGATGGGAAACTGCTTTGCCTGGAGCTATATGAGCATCCAGGTGATGAGGAGAATGAGAGGAGTCTTGTTTTTGTAGATGGAGGTACATGTCATGGAAGCAAACTAGTCTGTTATCACGACGAGGCCTGCGAAATCCTTCAGGATCCCCGCAGGCACGCAGTGATCCATCCGCTACCGGGGACATTTGCAGCTGTGAAGTGTAGGAATGATGGTTGATGAAAACGTGCTGCATATTCTTATAGAGAATCGTGCGTTACCCCTGTGCTGCTGGTGGCTGCCCGCAGGGTACTCCAGATTGACTTCTCGGTCCTTCTTCTCTTCTAGTCCTGAAGTTTAGCTACGTCAGATGCCTGAAACGTGACGGTGGCGACATCGATTCTGCAATATGGTGGATCACAGGCGTTTTGGTGATGCCGACTTCAGCCTGATTGTGACTCAGAGGCTCGATAGCTGTCTTTTTGGGCGCGAGCAAGGCTGGGACGATCCACGGGGCTTCTACCTGATTCGCCCCAAACCGCCATGGATACGACGACATCACTCTTTGAAACGATGGCTTTTCATTCCTTGGTGATGGAAGCGCTAGGCACCTAGATGTAGTAAGCTCACTCAGAACGCTGCTTTAATAATAAAGAGTTTATGGCCGTGTCATTTTAGGGAACATGTGAAGCAAGGGGGCTGTAGTTGTCAAACCTTAGGATTGGTATCGGTCAGAGAAGGTTCGGGGCAGCATGGTGATATTGGATACTAGGGATGCCTCCAGGAGACGAAACTGTGGATGAGAGTAGAAAAAGAGGCGATTAAACAGCACTCAAAGCGTGACTACTACAGAGGCTCGAAGGCCTATTGTGATAGTGAATAGACAGAGTCGCAGGCCTTGCTCGCAAGGGAATATTCTTGGCAGCTTGTCTCAACTAGAATGAAGCCAGAAGGAAGTAACAGCGCGGAGAAAGCTCACCGTGGTCTTCTCATGTCTGCGGATCGCAGGAGGTTGGTCGCTTTGCGAGCTTCTAGTCTGCTTGCAAGCATTACCTTGGGGATACACTGTGGTGGTTCGCTCGGTTTCGTGTCTTGCGATCGGGCGTAGCAACAACTTATGCCGCGATCGCTCCGAATATATGCGGACGCGCGTACAGATGCTACATAGTCAAGTATTCATACCATCTTGCGGCGATCGCATCGTCAAGGAATTGATAGCTGGCAAGCATGGATTGTCTGTGACCCCTTTTTCGAAAATGTTGTTATTGTCCAGGTTTGTAGTGTAGGTGTGGATCTCAACGGCCGCGTATATGCAAGCTGCACCCTGATATCCGTCTCTTTGCGTCTTTGAACTGCCGGCAGATTTCGCGTGGTGGGTGCATGGATTGACCTTGCATGTGGCTGCTTGCGCTGGAGAATATCTGCGCTCGCTACAGGAGCTTCTCGCGTCATTTTCATTGTACACTGATTTTGGGCGGTCAAGCTCGGATGCCCCTATGTGCTGTCAAGTGGATGGATCGGCGACAGAAATCAGGTAGCGAATGTCACCTTGACTGTTGTGGCTCGAACCGAACAGCACCTTCTGGTTAGAACGCAGCGCCGAACATTCTGTGAGGCCAATGGAAGATATTTGTCGCTGTGAATGACCAGTCGTGGTTAGATTACATGGGAAGGGCGTATTTAGTGTTAGCAGCGCCTTGCCTGTGACTGCTGACTGTTGCCGTATTGACCGCGCGCCAGGTCGTGTGACAGTGTAAGCAATCGTTCACCGCTGGTACAGTCATTACGAAAACTATCGTGTCATCCTGGAGACCATGCGCGAAGCGAACTCGGCCTTGGAGCGAGTGTTTGCAGTCGATCCCTACCAATTCCATGTGGTGAATCACTAAAGATGTCGAAGTCACCCAGGAAAGACAAAGCCTGGCGTGACCGGGGAGAAAGGCATTAAGGGATATGCAGGTCCCCGAGGGTGACAATGCGTCGAAAGATCTTCAACGGAGGCGTGCCGCTGCCCGCATGAACGCTACACCTGAAATGATCGTCGCTGTGATGTCTGTAGGGATTCCTGAGAATATCCATGCACCTCGGGATCGGAGAAGCAAAAGGTGAGGGGAAGAAGCTTGGCTACCGTTAATGCGATACGTGCCTACGGACCTGACTAAACAAGGCATCTACGGAAGGGCCAGTATGCTGATGATATTTGTCGGCTGAAGTGTTGTTCTTGCCCTTGCAAGCGCGATCTCGTCACTGCTGATTTGAGCTGCTTAGGCGCAAGCGAGGTGGGGGATTTCAGATTGACAGACGTCTAAGCCTGACACTACAGATATGAGATGCGATGCGATCTAGATAGAGCCAGCCACAGCTGCCGATGCAGATAAGGGAGAGCGATTAAGGTGCGACGTATCAAGATCCAACAGGTTACTGCATGAAGGGCCAGGCTAGAGGCAGACGCGCCAGACGGATCTGTGACAGCGGGCGCCATGTCTCTCTTTTGGGCAAATAGGGCAATTGCTGTACGCGAGTCCAGCGTGGGATGTATCATGTATCGAGCATATTCCGGAAACAGTTAATGGTACATCGCTCGACACTTCGAAGAATCCTCGTTTGCGACTGTTTCAGCCGGAGTTTGTCGACGGTGAGTGTGGCTTGCTTATAGGGGCAAGCACATATCGGATACGAATCGAGTACGAAGAACACAAAGCAGGGTACGTAGCAGTCACTATGATATAGAAACAGGCAGGCACCACAGCCACCATTGTGGCCTATCCTGTCTTCGCCTAAGATTCTACGAGCATCTCAGAGCTCCAACTTTCTGCTTTCGGACTGGCAATCATATCCTGTTGCCTTAGATGGGCGGGCACAAGGGGCTGGTGTTACTAAAGGACAAAGCCTTAGTAGGCTAGGCTGAAGTCCAAGAACAACTCTATTGGCGATTCGAAAGCTAAAACGCTGACTGGCGCGACTAATATGACAAATAAGAGGCGCCTTCATCTCCGGAGAACAACTGCGCTGTGAGTGGAGAGCAGGGCGACCCTGAGGCCCGCCTGCTGCACACCTCATTGGCGAGCATTTTGAAATTTAGGTGTGAGCAGATCAGCAATCCTGCATGTTTGACATGCCGATGGAGATGTTGAATCCTGGTTGCTGGGTCTTCCAACACCGGATGGCGCCCGTAAAAGCTGCAAGATGCCTTTTTACCCGGCACATCCTGGTCCCATCACATCACATGCGACGCCGAGAGCCTCCCCTTGTCTAAGTTGTCTCGGGCGCAAGCGACTTCTCAGCCAGTCACGGTCAGGCCACTAGAGTTCCAGGGACCCAGGCACGACACTATCCGCGCCCAGTCACGTTGCGTAAATTTCCGATCGGGCTGCAGGCTCATCTTGCAGCGTTAGCGGGCTGTTTATTCTGACGCTCTCAGGGGTCCGCATGCTTTGCTAGCCCTGGTAGTATGGTTCGTTTGCTCCTCTGATCCCTTGTCCAACATGTCCTTCGTTCGCGTGTTCCCGCCCTTTCATCCACGCTCGGTCCTCCAGCCCAGTAGTACTCTAGTAGTAGCTTATACGGGAAGGTTTTTACGAAGGCCTCTTCACCGCCTGGAGCTCTGGCCCCTAGGCGCCCCACCATTTGAGGTGACTGTATTTCCCCCATGTTCTGTGCAGGATCGTGGAGACGGCAAGCGTCGGCGCAGGTTCGTAAACGGTCACGAGCCTCCCATCCAGATCCAGGCAAAACCCATCCTCAGCAATAATGGGTCGCACAGGCTCGATAGGGTCTTTCATTCGTGGGCCGGCGCTTGCCACTAGCTTTTTGCCGACATCAAGCGAGGGGAATATTGTTCCAGGTGATCTTCCTAAATCCCACGCCTCCAACGGGATTTGTCTGATCTGATATACGCTTCAATCAGAGCGGGAATGCGAGGAGGATGAGGGTGAAAGTCAGCGTGTCTAACAATGACATGATCATGATGATGACTCGACCGCACTATCGGGGCGTGAGGGCTGCCAGTGTGGTAGACTTATGCACAGCATTCCGTCGGCCGAAAGGATGGCAGATTGGCACCAGATGGTGAATGTCAGCTGTCAACGTCAACGCTAGTGGGGTTAGTGGCCTTAGTCAATCTGGCCACTTCAGTCTAGCCCTAAACATTCCTCTTTAAGCCTTTGGTGATGGAGCCATCTCGAGCTATCGCGAGCCAGTGAGCACGCTTAACAAGTCAACACGCTTGTTCACACCGATGATCCCCCAACACTAAACCTTCTTCTTCCATTCGCCTCATCCAGTCACTAGTCATCTGGCGCCAAAACTATTGGCAACTTCCCAACCAAGAGGTAAGCCCGGTCAAAAAAGGACCGCTGCTGCTGCTGCTGCTGCTGCTGCTGTGAACACTACCCAAACCCCATCGATCGTGTTCTTTGCGCCACAAGATCAACGCCCCAGCATTCTGTTGTCCTACCATCTCTCATCATTATCATCATCATCCTCTCCTCCACCCATTATTCATCCTGACATTCGTCTGGCAATACTCGGCACTTCTGTTGAGGCCAGTGTGTCCTGGCACCATTCGCTCTCCCTAGCGTACCAGACTTACCCTGTCAATCAAGAAACTCTCCAGAAGTGCCTCTGAAGTGTGAAAAAAAACACGCCGCTCTTGCCGGCTACACTTTGACACTCGTCCGTCACGAGCACTAAACTGACACGCTGTCTTCCTTTCTTAATAATAAAAGCTCCGTTCCTCTTCTCTCAACCTGTCAAGGTTACCTTAGTCTCTCCTACTAGTGGTTGGTGCATCATTGCTGTTGATGAGACCTCAAATTGATCTGTCGTGCAGTATTGACGGAAGGCTTGTGATTGTCGCTCTTACAGTTCTCACATTTACGCTTTCCAGCTCCACAATACTTCGACCAACACAGAACGCCTTGTGGAGTGGATTACACTTCAGGCTTAAGCCCCATTATCTGGTCGACTTCGGCCTGTTCTTTTTATTTCACATCATTTAATCTATAAAGGCCGAAGTCATCCACACTGCTGTCGTTACCTCGAAGAACCTGAAACCCGAGTTTGTACGGCGGAGGAAAGCATTACCACAGGACCCCGAGGAGGGGCTCCTATGACATCTCTATTCCAAATACCACAAATCTTTGGCGTCGAGTGGTCTCAAGCACTCCATCATCAGGTCAGTTCCACGCATTTCTCAATCCTTCAGCCTCGCAGCCTTGGGTCTCCGTAAATTGTCAGCCTGAGACACCAAGCCTCAACGGAGGTTGGCGAGGATGCAGACTTATGCTCTTATGCTCGAAAATGTCTAATACTATTGCAGCTCGTCAAATTGTCAGAGACTTAGACAATCCTATTCGCTCCCGAGTGCATCAGCATGCCTTCTTCATCGAATTATAACAACCCGGGCGACGCATCTTTTCATCATGATCGAGAAGCACGCTCAAGTACTACCTTACCTCCAATCTCTGCCGTAAGTCTCTCTACGTATCCTACGTTCACTCGATTGACTTGACCGATAAGCTCCTTTCATCAACGCACAACTTTGACAAAGACGAACCAAGGTCTCAGCGTGAGCGAGACTATTCACGTGCCTACCCAACCCCACCACGACGGGGCCCTCTAGACAGTCGAGACATGGATAATTATCAGCGTGACCCCCGTTCTTTCTCTTCAACGCCAGATCAAGCTCGCGGATTGAATGGAAGACAGTCACTCCCCATGCACTCTGGACCACCACAGACGCTTCAGTCGTATCCTTCAGGGATCCCGCCACCTACTCATCCAGCTGCTCCTCATGCAGCTTACCCAAGCCAACCAGTAGGTGCTCCATACGACGCTCAATCGAGGGGCCCTGGAGCGCCATCGCTCCCCCATCAACACATCCCTATGGTCCCACCAGCCCCACGAGGAATGGGTTTGGTGATGGTCGAGGGATGCCTACCAATCCAGGGTATGCCGCGCAGTATCAGCCAAGCCCGCAGTATGCGCAAACCTCTTCTCCAAGCAACGGATATCCATCGCCGTACGCCGAGTCCTCGCCAGGCGCGTATGGCCAAGACCGTCACAACAGCGTTCCCTACGATCCCATGGACGAGCGGCCAGCGAGACGTCGGAGAGGAAACCTGCCAAAGTGGGCTACGGACTTTCTGAAGCAGTGGTTCTTCGAACACATCGCTCACCCGTATCCGACCGAACAGGAGAAGCAAGAGCTCTGTAAAAGGACCGGCTTGGGCATGACTCAATTGAGTAACTGGTTCATCAACGCAAGGCGCCGACAACATCCGGTGTTGCAATCTCAGGTCGCTGCAGAGAACATGATTCGACAGGGTTCTAACCACACAGGTAACGGTGAGGACCGCGAGGGTCTAGATGGAAGACCTCGCTGATTCATCGATGCACAAATTTTGAATCGGCTTGAGGAATCATCGCTACGGATAATTCACCACAAGGCCAAGCAATTTACTTAGAGCGCCAACACCCAATTGCTTGCTGCTCTTTTTAGACAGCGGAGCCGGCGCAGGCGCACACCGCCGAAGATCTGCCGCTTCACCAAACATTGCTCTTATTGCTTGCAGGCTTGTATTACTCACTTGCAGAACACACCAGCCGGTGAGAATGGACGGCTGGGTTTGGCTTTGGCTTCAAAGCCCGACGAAATGGGGAGCTCGCATGCTCACACAGATACTTTGCAACATTCTTGATTGCTTTAGGAGTTTGCATCATTACTGGACGCTTCAGACCATACAGTCTGCTAATGTACTACGGAGCAGGAAAGGGTTGTATGATTAGCTCAGGTGGAGAGGACAGGTGGCATACTTGTTCACGGCCTACGGTTGCGATAACGACGAAGAGAAGTACTTGGTCTCACGACCTCTGGGTCACACTATGTTATGGGTGCGGTGGCGTAAGCAACCACGGGTTGGTAGAGCCAATCTGTTCTTAGCAGAAGCGTTATTATTCGGACTCTGTTCTTTTTGTGTGATACTTTGCCTTTGGCCTCAAGGGTTTGCAGAATTCGCTGCATGGCTGTGCCATAATCAAATGACTACCTTGCTCTCTAGCCAGAACTAAGACCACTCCATACACTGGTTTCCGCCTGAAACTCCGAGGCATTATTATCATTATTATTATGATGAGCATGTTGAACTGACGCGGCGTATTGTAATGTCTATAGTGTCGGAAGGGTCCGAATTGTGTGCGAGAGATACCTTCCAAGACGTCCGTGCTTCAGCAAGCTAAATGCAAGCCTACCGCGGGTCCCACGCCGTCGGTTTTCGGGCGATGATTCATGAATCATTTCATTCTCAGCCCTCTGATGTTCCGTCATTTTCTCTGTACGTCACCATGTCCAACAAGATCAAACATAGGGAAGATGTCTGGACATCTATGTAAAGTGACATTGTCATGTGTATGCTCTACGCTCCCGCCCTTGACAGTAGGGTAGCCCCTCGCCCCAGACTTTGCAGATCTCGCTGACACCCATCACTCATCCAACGACTGCCGCATCCCGAACCTCCTCGCTCCAACTTTCCTTCAACACTCAACCTTCTCCCCCCTGACCTTATTATTTCACTTCCCCCGCAAAGGAATGACGAGACGGAAAGAGCCATAAAAAAGTGTCAATGGTGTTGGCCCCTAGATCGCCATAGGCTACCACCCGGCCAAAGGGACGCCGCGCCTGCGCTGTTGACAACGGTCCAGGCCTTGCAAAAGCAAATAGTATACAAATATGGGGGCTTCCCAGCCTTTGAACCTCCCAAGGCTTTCAGGGTCCATGAGGGACTTGTTCGGAATGCTCTAATGCGGGGCTAGGAAAGTCTCGAATTTAGTCTGCTAAGGTAGCACCAACAAAAGCCCGTCCGTTCTAGCGACCAATCTTAAAAAACCACCCAAATTAGCGAGTTTTAGTGCGAGGAAAAAGCCTGTGGAAGGATGGAAAAGTTGGAAAGGACGACAAATGCCTTGGATCGTACCGCTAATGCAGGTCCGAGGGGAAGGGAGAAGGCAAAGAAGGGAATCATCAATCATGGGACAAGGATTTGACGCATTTTCCTGAACAGGAGAAGCGCGATCGAGATATCGGCATCGGTCTCCGCGTGGCTGCCACATGGGGGGAAGAGGGGGATGCGAGATGCGAGATGCGAGATGAGGGCCACAAAGGTGGCACCAAGCTTCGATCGTGGTATCGTACCACTACTGTGTGACGACGACTTCGCTTTCAATCACTTCTCTGGAGTTACATCTTCCTATAAATGGGTCTCAAGAGTTTATCGCGTATGTTCAAAAGGTAGGTTCTCACACTCGCTGGTCCCAAGTCTTGCAAAGACAGCAGGCTTGATCGCTCTCGAGCACTTGCGACAAGTCCAGAGGTGGGAATTTGATCTCGAACGCTTTATATTCAATCACCTCGCATGGCTGCCTGCTTTCTATCTCACGAACCCTCATTCCCGGAACAAGAAGCACGTTTTCCGTGCATGTCATCTCTGTCTTGAAAATATAAACCGAGGCGCAAGTCACGACAAGTCCTACACCAAGCTCCATCAATTGTACCAAGAAAGCGCATGTGGCCAATGTCCACCCATTCAATCAATCAATCAATCAATCCGCGAGCTTCAATTCCCCAAGTCTTCGCCTCCAGACCTTCCCCACGGTACTCCAAATCGGCACTTCCTATGCCATCTTGTTGACTCCCCTACTTTACATTTCTCCCCAGCCAGCCTGTTCCCATTTCATCCAGTCACCAAACCCAATGAACCATTCACACTCGTTACCACCAAAACCTTAGCTCCCATGAACCAGCACGGTACGAAAATCTCTGCGCGGCAATCCATTCGGCCCGACACATACCCAGTTTCGCCACCATCACAAGTACCGCAAGCGGTTGCGAAGTCGGAGGGCAAGTAAGTGATGTGAACCAATGACTTCTTCAAACCGTCAATCTCTTCAGCTCAAATGAATCAGTACAGCACAGACCTATCGCAATGACTACTGCGAGGCTCTAAAGCGCAACTGCCGAACGAACGCAGCCGATCTGACAACATCTTGAAGTTCCATCGAATCGTGTCGCTTCAGGCAGAGTTCTCTGGCATGCAGAAATAACCCGACCTCAGTTCTGGGGGAATAGATTTCGATATCGGTGACCTTTCGACGTGGGTTTTGCCACAACCGTGTTGAAACCGTGTGGTATTTGTTATGCACGACACATGGTCTACCGGGATTGAACACCGGGGTATCCTGCCCACCAACGTCTCTTGTCTGTGAACTCTGCCCCGCCCCCTGAACCCGCTCAAAGTCATGATCGGTCCCCGTGTTCATTTATTCCCATCTTTGTCCGTCTCGCGTCGTCTGTTGCTGATTCACCACCACTATCGACCTTGTGCGCTCAATTTTACCCGTACCGTCGCCCATTGACCGTGCGTTGGTGACAAGAGCAATTTGCTCCAAGGGGAGGAGAAGGGCTGCGATGGGAGCTGCGGTAGCTAGCTGTGCAAGATCAATTGTGCGAGAAAGATTAGCGGAGGGAGGTGGGGGGGGAGAGAAGATCTCTACCTTACCTTACATATAGGAGTAGGGACGCAAGAGAGAAGAAGGGCGTAGCTGCAGCACCCTGGGAATGTGGTGATGCTATGGTAAGAGGGAGGGTAAAGCAGGTGCACATAATGAATGTGATATCAATGCGCAAATATGCTTGCTCGCTCAACAGTCACCTATCTACATCTGCGGACATAAAGGTGCGTGAAGAAGAAAACGGGGGTATAGCCAACCCAGCCCATGCTCCAAACTAACGCCTTGAGCATCATCATTATTATCAGTACGACTAACGAGATCCGGAAGCCGGTGAGTCAGCACTCCGCCTTCACGCTCCCACGCACTCCCCCACCTGCTTTCCCACTGACGCCCTTCCTCATAGTTCCCCTCCCACCGCCACCGCCCTGACCATGCTGCCGCACCATCTTCCCCCCCACCCCCAACCCCACCCCCACCCCCAGCCCCTTCAACAGCAGCGCCATCCACTTTCAAGCCCTCCATCCCCTTCACCGGCACCTCCTCCCCCCTCTCCGGCTCTGGCGACGGTGACGCCATAGCCGCCAAACTAGTCGAGCTCGTATTCGTCGAACTAGGCTGCACGAGCTCGAAATCGGAGGTGTTGTCGACATCGGTGCTGGGACATGTCGACTCGGTGGACTCGTTGGTGAATTGCTGGCCGATACCCTGCCGTACGTTTACGTCCAGGGAACTAGTACGGGGAAGGGAGAGGGGCAGGGGGGAGGTCGGGAGCGGACGATGTCGGGGGAGGAGGCGGCGCTGTTGGTGGTGCGGACGGGCCGGAGGTCTACTGCTTCGTCGTCGTAGTTGGATTCTTCGTTTTCCGTCGTTGGTGGTGGTGGTGGATTTGTGGGTTTGGACGCGACGCGGGCTGAGGTGTTGGTTCTGATGGGTGGGGGAATGGCGTCAGGAGCGATGAGTTGCATGGTGTAGGATTGTTGCGAGCGTGATTCTGGGCTGGGAAGAGCGACGGGCTTGCCGAGCGTGCGCTCCATATCGTGGAACATGACTTCCATTGGGGCGAGGATGCCGTAGGCGCCGCGCTCGTTCCAGGCTGTGACGTGGCCGCAGAGGGCACCGCTGGCGTTGTCGACGATCCAGGCGCCTGAATCTCCACCGACTGTTCTCATTGTCAGCATATGCTATGGCTAATGTGAGAATTGGGTGATGCGGATGCTCACCTCCAAATTTACCGCGGAATCGCCAGACGGTAGAAGAGAAGACGCGGCCCGGCATCTTTTGTTCTACCATCTCTGGCAGTATTGTTCCGCTTGCTAGACCGCTGGTTGCGCCGATGGCGTGTACTTCACGGTTGCCAAGGGTGTCGGCCGCAAGAAGTTGGCAGGGAGAAGTTCCGTTAGCTAGCTCGCTAGTATCGAATTTGCAGTATCTGTCCCCTCCGTTGACTTGATTTACTGCGTGAAGACGTCCATCGCACACCTTGAAGAGTGCCCAATCAACTTCATGAGCAACTTTCTTCTCACCATGGCGAATTTGCTTCCGTCCCGAGGAGGCGTGAATGTATCCTAGGCCGTGTGATTGGAGATGCTCATCACTCTTGTCTTCCTCACTAGGAAAGAATGACGGGTCTACATCGTCGAGTGCTGGTTGTGTGACTACCTTATCTCGGCCTTCTCCCGGGTTTGTACCTAGAGTATCTCCCATCGTGAAGAGCTCATCGTCTTCGTCACCAAAGTCTTGATCTAAGATGCTTGGGTCGAAGTCATCGTCTTGGGGGTAGACAGTGCGCTCCCATTTCATATTCGATACACTGGAGGAGGTTGACTGGGTCTCCTCTGGTAAACTACCAGGCATATTATGGGTAGGGTCGGGGGGTGTTCTGGGTCTAGGACGTAATTTAGGCCTTGATCGACGTCTGTGTCCTCCAGCATGTGATGTACACTCATACCAAATGGCTCTCCGTCAGCTAGAATAATTCCTCCAAATGTAGCTCGCTCAAGATGTTGCTCATCAACAAAAGCGCTGATGGAGGCTCCACACGAGGGTTTCCGGTGGTACTTGCCGGGGTTGAAAGGTTCAGTCAGGTCATTCTCTTGCAAGGCCCTTGTAAGGTTGAGTCTCTTCGGTCGGCGTGCCTTCTTTTTGCTGGCTTTGGAATAGCATGTCTGTCCAACGGAAACCTTGATGTCAAAATATTTCCGCTCTTTGTTGACGTATTCAAGGATCTTCCACGCCCTAGTAACGCTTAGACAGGAGATGTAGATAGTAGGCTTCGCGGTTTGCGGGCTATCACCAGCCATGAAAGTCATTATGGTATAGCCCTCCCATCGATCAATAGCTCGAGCAAGCATTTTGTTCAACTTAGGAAGCATCACATTTCTGTAGTACGTACTAACATGGGATGGCATCTCGTACGACCAGACTAAGACGTCGTATGTTAGACCAGAATCAAGAGGCGAATCAGCCTCAAGGCGCTCTTCGGGCTGTTTGACTGGAGCCGCCGTAGATGTAGAACTTGCTTGTTCGACAGACGTCTCCACAGGGCCATTTTTGCCGACCATAGAAGGATACGGGTGTACAATTGGATCCGAAGACTCATCAATCCTACAGCACGTCTCCAAAGGTTTCAGCGCCTTCCAGTAAAAATCTTCTTGCCGCTTAGCTCGCTCAGAATTTTGTGAGAGCCGCTGAGGTGTTGTCGAAGGCTCCATGTCTGCAGCATGTAAACAATATTCGACAATCTTCATATACATTGTGCCACATTTTCCAGCCAACTTGTGGGCATAAGTGGATTGCAGCTTGGTCCTAAACTTTGGCATCGTGTACTTGGATTTGAAAAGCTTGTGAAGAGGCAGCCATAAACCAATCTCAAGAAGGACGAGTCCAAGACTATATACATCGAATGCTGGCTTGAAGGATGATCTCTTTCCAAGCACGGAAGCTGGATGTCGATACAATCTTGGAACGTGCATATCATCGGCGGGAGTTGCGGCGTCTTCGTCACACTGATCCCAAGATACTAAATATGGTTTGCGGATGACACCTTCCTTCCAGGGCTTACTGTCTGCACTGGTTTCAGAGTTCTGGATGAATATAACATTGTTGCTGTTGATTTGTCTATGGGTGATGCCTTTCGCATGTGTATGAAGGAGATTCGTTACAAGATTAAGAGCAAGTCGATAACGATCCTCTAAGCTTGGAGTGTTCTCGCTGTCGGTACTTCCACTGTGTTGGAGGAAAGACAGCAGAGTCCAGGTCTTCGCAGCATGAGGACGGAAGCTGGAATAGGGGCTTGGTCGAGGGATTTCATAAATGAAGCCAAAACCAGATCGAGATTCATCAATGAACCAACCGAGAATCCGTAAACATCCAGTGTATTCGTTGTCTGTATCCTTTTCTGGGGCTTGTAGAGCCAGTATTAGACTTTCGTAGCGCTTCAACGATGGGATCTCATTTTCCCACGTTGCAGTATGATCATAATTGAAGCCAAAATCGACTAAGACGGGCGTTTCTGAAAAATTCTTTGCAGTCGGCTTCGAGCTCGGTGCTGGTCTCAGCATGCCAAACTTCCTGTTGTCGGGGCTTGCTGTGACTGCATCATAGTCAGGTGGCATCGCGTCCACCTCTGTCCCTGGATTGGGAAAGCGTAGCTGCCGCGGATCAATCCGCATCGATGTCACCATCTTCGAGACACCCGATAACGGGAAATCGCTCGTCGCTGGCGAGTATGGCACCGGAGTACTGCTCCTTGAGTTGGCTTTACTGGTCTCTGCGCTTCGCTTCGATAGCTTCCTTTTTCTTCTGACCTGTGAAAAAGTCATCCCGAATAGCTTGCGTAGACCTCGAAAGATCACAAAGGGTGTCAATGGACGTCGTTATATCTTTGACCAGATCCTCCAATCGGGCAAGGTCTTCGCTTGTCCACTGTCGATTCGGTTGAGAGATGAAGCCACCTTTCTGGTCAGGGAGGCTTCCAGGTGGTCGAAAGCTTGGCTGAATCTTTTCAGCATCATCGAGAAGTTCCTTGATGGATGTCATGATGCTAGCGACTAGATCGCTTATGCCTGCCCGATCCAGCGAATCGTCGATATCGCCCTGCTGGGCGTTGTTCTCAGCCCATTCGATTCCCCATGCATTCAGTCTATCCTTCTGAATACGCAGCTTGAGATGTAATGAGGAGACTTGCGGGTTAGTGACTTGTATTTGGACTATTTGTTCGTAAAATTTCTTGGTGTCTGTGTAGATCTGCGTAATGCGCCTCGGCAGGAGCGCATTTCTGAGGACCTCCATCGTGAAATTGTTGCTCCAGGTATGAACGAATTTCAGAGATTGAGAGAGCACATCAAAGATGCAAGGCTGTGAAGATTGAGATGTAGGAAGCTATTGTCGGAGCCTGAACGCAGCATTTCATGGGAATTTGCTGTTGCCTACCAGACCCGCAAAAGAGGCAGCAGGAATTGTACCAGTGGCAAATGCGGTCCAGACTCAACACAATGCTTACGTATATTGACCCACTACAGTCACACGATTAGCAAGGAACAAGACAACCAGCTTGGTCCTCCAATTTTTTCACACCGCAAAGAATTGCAGACCCCTCGGACGTCAATCGCAAAGTCGAGTCGCGAACCGCTGCCCTTCGTGCGTATGGGGAGAAATCGGCTGCCGTAAAGCTAGCCCTTACTTTGACTAGCGTAAATGGAGCAATATCTTACGGGTCAAGCCAGCATCCAAGCTGTAATGCCTTAAGGTTCTGTTTTCACGATGAAACGAAAGCTGGATGAAAAGGGTGTTCCATCGCCCGTGAAGGGCGACATTGAAGCGTCCAGGAATGCCGGATTTGAGTCTCTTGGTCTGGACACTCGCCTACTGCAAGCAATTGCCAAAGAAGATTTTGTGGGCCCCACTGAAGTTCAGGCAAAAGCAATACCTCTAGCACTTTCTGGCAAAGACATTTTAGCTCGGTCCAAGACTGGTTCCGGTAAAACAGCTGCTTACGCGTTGCCCGTATTGCAGTCAATTCTGCGAAAAAAAGGTGGAGACAAAAACAAGAAAAGTGTTTCTGCTCTCATCTTGGTGCCCACAAAAGAGCTTGCGCAACAAATTACGAAGGCTGTCACAAGTCTTGCCGCATTCTGTGCCCAGGATGTTCGGACTATCAATTCTACCCAGAATGTGCCTGAGGCTGTTCAGAGAACACAGCTTGCAGAACTGCCGGACATCGTGGTGACGACGCCCTCACGCGCTGCAAACCATCTGAACGATGGTGCCCTCACCGTTGAAAGTCTTACACACTTGGTGGTAGACGAGGCCGATCTTGTACTCTCGTATGGATATGAGGAAGATTTCAACGTGATTGCAAAGGCAATACCGAAAGGTGTGCAAACAACGTTAATGAGTGCGACCCTCACGACTGAGGTAGATACACTCAAAGGATTGTTCTGTCGAGATCCTATTGTATTGGACCTGAAAGAGAAGGAGAGTGATGCCGGAGGAGTTTCCCAATACGTCGTTAGATGCTCCGAAGACGAGAAATTCCTCTTCGCTTACGTCGTCTTCAAGCTCAAGTTGATAAAAGGAAAATGTATCATATTTGTTGCAGATATCGATCGATGTTATCGGTTGAAACTATTCTTCGAACAATTTGGCATCAAGAGCTGTATACTCAATTCAGAGCTACCCGTGAATACAAGAATACATATTGTTGAAGAGTTCAACAAGGACGTCTACGATATCATCATAGCCTCAGATGAACACGAAGCTTTGGGACAAAAGACAGTGAGTCGAAAGGACGACAACGACGGACTTGATCGTAATGGCGAATCGGCGACGAATGGCAATGCGGAGGAAGGGGAAGATGACGAGACATCAACGAAGAGGAGAAAACGCCAGAAAGGGTCAAAGAAAGCCAAGGAGTACGGTATCTCGCGCGGCATCGACTTCCGCAATGTAGCCTGCGTCCTAAACTTCGATCTACCGCTATCCTCAAATTCCTACACGCACCGTATCGGCCGCACAGCCCGCGCTGGAAAAAGCGGCATGGCATTGAGCTTTGCCATACCAGAAGACCAATATCGAAAAACAAAGACCCTCTTCGTGCCCTCTACCAGACTTGACGAAAAGGTCCTGGCTTCAATCACCGAGGACCAGAAAACGAAAGGCAAAGAAGTGAAACCCTACAATTTCGATATGAAACAGGTCAATGTCTTCAAATATCGAATGAACGACGCCCTTCGCGCGGTCAGCAGCGTGGCCATTAGGGAGGCAAGAACGAGAGAATTGAAGCAAGAGCTCCTGAAGTCGGAGAAGCTGAAACGGCATTTCGAGGAGAATCCGCAGGATCTGAAAAACTTGAAGCATGATAGCGATCTACGCCCAGCAAGGGTACAGCAACATTTGAAGCATATCCCAGACTATCTCATGCCGAGCGGTGGAGCGCAGGCGATGGTCAAGGATGTAGGCTACGTAGGGTTGAGGAAGGACGGGCCCGAGAACCGGATTAGGAGGATACGAGCTATGAAAAGAGGTAGAGGCGGAAAAAACAAGCAAAGTGGAAAGGGAAGAAATCCATTGAAGACCTTCCGTGTTGGGGGCAAGAAATGATATCCCCTTCATCAAGAGCAAATTAAAACATATCTAAGTCTTCCCTCCTTCATACCCTTGTCCTCAAAACTTCCAACCACAACCTCACTCTCTCCTCTTCTCCACCCCCGCAAAAGGTCTCCTTCACGCCCGCTCCATGCGTCGCCCCCAAGCCCAGCGCCTTCTCCACACCCATATCCCGCCAAAAGCCCCGAACAACTTCCCACCCCGTCTCCACCCCACCCTCTCCCCCTCGAACAGCTCAACCTCACAAATTGTACCCCTCCCCCTCTCTTTATCCCCCTCGCCACCCCGCGACCCCAGCACCTTCAACTCTCCCACACTAACCCTCCAGCCCGCTGCCCCCTCCTTCCCAATCAAAAACGTCTGCCCACCCATCACACCAACACCAGGCCTCTGACCCCAAAGCACGCCCATCTTCGTGCCCATCAATGTGAGGAAATCCTCCGTTGGCGCTCCAGGCGCGAGTCTCATACTCGTCTCCCCCCACCAGTTCCCTTACCCTCTTGCCCCGCAGCAACGCCATTGACACCACCGTTTTGGCCTTGAGGTGGGACAGTGATAGCGACGGTAGTCTCTGGAGATAGGTGTGGGAGGTGGAGGATCTGCATGAGTCGGGCATCGCTGGGGTTGGTGGAGCGGAAGAGACGGTGAGTGAGGGTCCAGTTTGAGGTGGGGGTTAGAGCGTAGGATTTTGAGAGGGTGGAGAGGAGGGCGGGGAGGTAGGAGGCGAGAGGAGAGGAGGGGGGCGGTGGGGGGAGGAGGAATATGCTGAGATTGGGACGTTAGTCGTGGGTGGAGGTATGGGAGAGGGGGAGGGTTTACCCTGTTATTGGCATCTTGAGGGGTTCGTTAGGGCTTGAGGATTTGAGAGACGCGACGATGCATTTTTGGGGCTTTGGAAAAGGTAGACAAAGGTAGATATGAGGTGTGGAAGGGCATAACCCCTTGCAGTTGACGGTGGTAAGGGCGGGAGAATGGTAAAACGCTGCCACCCACCGTTTGGCTCCGAAACAATGAGGATTGCACATTCGATGCCCGGTTATCAAGATATCGCCCGATTAGGCATAGATAAATTGTTTCAGCCTTGTTTCCCCGGGTTTGCTTTTCATTTGCTTTGCTCAATAAAGGAGACCTTGCTGTATCACTCTCTTGATGATGAACAGTTTTGCAATCTTTCAAGGCAGGATCTTCGAGATTGTATGACAATTTCAGACCGCCGAACAGCTTCAGAGATGAATACTCGAACACAGCCCGTTTCGCGCATTTGACGTGTTAGTAGGGTGCAAGTCTCTCACAGCTTTATCGACCTATAGAAGTTACTTATTGCCTACTTTCAAGATCGTCATGTAATATGTTTTTACTCCATACTACCGAGTTCAAGTTGCATGAATTTATTGGAAGCGACATCCCCAAATATGCAATACTCTCACATACATGGGGAGATGACGAGGTTCTGTACAGGGACATATGGAAGTCACAGCTTCCATTCAATGAGTCGGCTGGTGTCAAGAAGATTCGCGGTGCTTGCGCGCAGGCACAGCGGGACGATTGGCAATACATCTGGATCGATACATGTTGTATCAACAAAGAGAGCAGCGCAGAACTCTCAGAGGCCATCAACTCAATGTATGCATGGTACAAGGCCGCGGAGGTTTGCTATGTCTACTTAGCCGATGTACCAACGGTGGAATTCGCAGACAGCCGATGGTTCACCCGGGGTTGGACTTTGCAGGAGCTCCTTGCCCCAAGTCGGTTGAATTTTTATGCCTCTGATTGGAGCTTTATAGGCTCACCAGGATCTTCATCAGTGTATGAGAATAATTCCATGACGCAGATCTCTGTGGCTACTGGCATTTCGGGTTTCCTACTAGCAAGTCATCAAAAGGCAAGTATCGCCCAGAAGATGTCGTGGATGGCAAACAGAGAGACCAAGAGGGGCGAAGATATGGTCTATTGCTTGCTGGGTCTCTTTGGTGTCAACATGCCCCTACTCTACGGCGAAGGAGAGAAGAAAGCCTTCCAGAGATTGCAATTAGAGATCATTAATAAATTATCGACTGATCAATCCATATTTGCTTGGACAAACCCAAACATCTGGAGTAGTGGATTACTAGCTCAATCTCTTCGTGATTTTGCAGGCTCATCATCCATCCGCAACGTTAGTTTCCAGCTCCAACCAATCTCTTCAACCAATCTAGGCCTCGAGACAGAAATCCCTATCGACCAGTCCCTCCGCAAATTCAAAGTGCCTCACGATCGTCAGGGTCATTTCGAAGTACCCTTAAATTGTATGGACTCTAGATTTCAGCCTGTTTACTTGCGATTCAAGTTCGTTCCTCATGTTGATCTTCACCTTGAACAATCGTCAATTAAGGTACAAAGGGTGGAATTGGAAAGCCATCATTGCAGGCATATCAATCTCGAAGACAACAATAATTCGAAAAGTCAGCGGGTCTGTTTCATTAACAATCAAGCTGCTAAACCCCTCTGGTATGAAACCTCGCACTTTACGACCTGCTGGTACTTACCTCGTACAACGACACTCAACCCTAGCCCTCCAACTGTATTTCTCAAGCTTGGCAAACATACCTCTCGACTGTTGACTGTCACAGAAGACATGAGCCATCTGCGGCAACGGTGGAGAGACATTTCCTGGAATCCTGAAGGAAAGCAAGTCTGTGGTCTCATCATCAGCCAAAAGCGGGACCAGACACCCTTCTTGTACGACCCCGTCGGAGATCTGTGGAATCCGATGCTTCTTTCCTGGCGACTTGATCCGCAAGGTAGGGAGCTCCTGGAAATATGCAAAATGCCAAATCATTCTCAAGATATTCTCAACAATGATCGACTTGCTCGGAAAGATTTCTATTGGCCTTTGGACCGGTCTCTGTCAGCCGTCTTTCGGAAGGATTTTCTTCGAGGTAAGGACTATTACAAAAAGTTTTTGAGACCTGGCGAGACATTTTCGCAAGACTATCCAAGATCCAATTGGGGTTCTGCCAGAGATACAATATGGATCCAGTTCCTGGAATCTAGTCGTGATGCTGATTGCCATCAATGGACAATAGTGATTGACATCAAGGCTTCAGATAGTCCGTCACTAGATAGACTGGTTGATTTCGACCATCTGTGATTTCGACCATCCAGTTGGTGAAATACGCTCAGTCACAGACATTAGTGGCAACAGCTTGAACACTACTAGTGAAACTATCCGTATCAATAATATTTAGCCTAGCTAATAGTCTTGTCTCAACATTCTACACTACTAGTATGATTAGTGCCAGGAAGCCTATTCTTATCATGAAGACGAACATTTCGGCAAAACACAGAATGTGTGGAAATGCAATCATGGAGCGGCTGGAGCAAGAAAAATGCGTGAAACTTTTGTCATCTGATCTCTCCTACCATTATGCTCCATGGCTTCAGCCGTTTAATGATTCACATCTGTCATCAGAGTATGATTCTGTTACGGTAGTTTTCGATCTAGCCATGACTTATTCCAACAGAGATTCGTTCCAAGATCAGAGTTCCGATCACTTTGTGCCAAACACTTTGAGGAAAACCATTAGCACAGCGGAATACCTACAGTCATATCAGCGTTATACCCTGCTCGAGCCGACACGCATGGACAAATCAGACAATGTGGACATGATTACTCACGCAGCGGTCGCAGCTAAACTTTCGTAGGTGTTGGCTACCGTGACAAACGACACAGTAGTCAGGAAAAGGACAATGAACGCAAAGATGACGCCCAACTTCTGCACTAAATTCTCTAAAAAGGCTAAAATCCAGAGAGGTGCAATGAGCATGGTAACTCCTAATGCCAGGTTGAGGGCCGCAATGAAACTTTCCATCCGTTTGTCTGACGTATAGTGAACATTTTCATCCTCTGGTACTCTGGCTGGACAATCACTGGGGCGTTGCTTCCAGATCTTTAGCAGACGAAAATGACGCGATATCTCCAGGAATTTTCGAAGTGGACTCTTTATTGTGGGCACTACACTGAACAAGTCAGACTCAAATGTGATGAACTCTGTCTCCGGCCGGTTTATAGCCGAGTCATTGTTGTAGAGCCAGTTCTCGAGGCTTCGAATGTCCTTCTTGGGCGCCCCTGGCCAGCCTTTAAGTTGAGAAAACTGAATTACTAGTGCATCTAAACTCGCCAGCGATCAGCACGCAGATCCTTACTTCATTTCTGGTCTATCTGCACACTGATATCTCAATTCAGGAATCTCCTTCCAATGAATCAAAGCGAAATGCGGGATTCGACTTCGACTTACTGTACTCTTTCAAAAGTCCCTGGGCTTCATCAATAACCTGCGTCCTCTCCAGTTGCGTATCCTCTCTAAAAGTTCCATTGTGCACATCTGGGGCCTCCTTTCGGTGTAATTTGTGCTCGATGACAGCGAGTCTCTCCTCTAATTGCACCAATTGATCTTGCAAACGAAGAAGCACTCTCACCGTCAAAGTACCGAATCGACGCAAAATGAAGAAGTCATTGTCTGACGCAAGAAATCGTGAGAGGGACTGGTAACCAGTGTATTTCCAGGGTTTGAGATCAATCTCCTCTTGGGCAAGTTTTAAGCTGGGATTTGTCTGCATATGTTCACATAGCACCTAACGCCGCCTCCAGCAAAGAGTGGAATCTACTCAGCAGAGTAGTGATATATACTCAGGGTAGGAGGTAAGGACAGCAGATACTTTGGAATGCCTTGCACGACCCCGCCATCGAGGCTGTGCAGATTGTGGCTCGACTGCGGTCGGCGTCTTGCAGCGGTGTAGCCTTGTGAAGCATCCTATTTCAAAGTACGTCCGCATTTTCTTTTTAAGTTTCTGTCCTATTTGGCCACTGTTGGCTGGGTACCCATTGGATCATACAACAGCAATGTCTCACATCGCTACTGATACAGGAAGGATTGCAAAGCCACCACCCTTTCGCAAGGCCGCTGGAGAGGTAACCCGGAGGAAGAACAAGAGTGTAGTTGCCGAAAGACCTCCTACGATACAAGAGGCAGTTTATGGGTCTGCGTTACCCAATGCTAGTAGAATATTGAACGGGAATGAGATTGGTGTTGTAGCTCATGACTACCACGATGACGATTTGCTTGACTTTGACGAGCAATCCTTTGCGACACGAAGGATTGCCAACAATCTTGCAACGCACCACGCCGGTCTTCAAGATCCGGTTGTCGAAAGCACATCAGACAGAGACCTAGCTTGGGAGTATAAGCCCCCTTTAAGTATTCACTTGAGCCCCGAAGCGGTAGCAAATCTTCCTCGAGTCAGAAAACATTTCTTGAATGGCGAGGGCATTCATTTGGACGTTCTACGGCATGAGATTCGGAGGTTCCTCGGCCCTGAAGCGTACACTGACGTTCATCGACAGGTGAGTGAATGTTTTCGAAGACGTCATACTGTGAAGATTGTGAACCACTGACTCTTGCAGATCACCCACGGCTTGGAGTTGTTTTCTGCGAGACCAGTACACCCTGTGAGCATACGTTAGCTACTTCGAGAAACCTGGATGTAGTCTGATATTACTAAAGTGGATTCGTGTAGAACTTCTTAAAGCCTCTCATGCGTACGTTCAAGAAAGTAGTGATAGAAAAGCAAAGGGTCTACAAAGTAAGCCATATATAGCCTGTCTACAAGTGGAAATTTGACGTGAAATCTTAGGTATGCCATATAGCGAGTCTAAAACTTACCAGCAGAGGAATGCAACATGGGGAACAGGATATTATTCGACCTATGCACCTGCTGATATGCTGCCAATACCTGCTCCGCGAAAACGTAGGGCAGTCGTAAGAACTTCAAGAACTCGTGGCGGCTCGATAAATTACTCCATGAGCGCTCCTTCTGCCGCTCACAACAATGAACTAGGCGTTGCATTTTCGCCGGCCCAGGAATCAAGAAGCTCTACACCTCCCGAGCGTGATGCTGATCTCACGAGGAGGCCGACGCTAGCTCATACCATGACCGATCAGACGGTCGAACAGGATGCCATTCCCGCTGAGGAAGTTCCAGGGCAAGACACGAGCGCTGTTCCTCTAGCTAGCCATCAGTCAGCTCGGTGCAGCAGCTCAACGCTGACTGAGAACAGTGAGCCACCGGTCTTGAATCAATCTGTCGCCAACAATACAAGCGGAGCACTCACCCAAATCGAATATGAAATTACAAGGGAAAAAGCACGCAGGTTGAATCCATTCGCTCAAGATAACCTCCTTGAGGGCCCTGGATATATGACGAGATTAGCATCTTGGCATCCATTCCGTAAATCAGTAAAGGTTGAAGTGACTGGGAATGGACAGCTTCGGGCCAAATCACCGCCCTTCTGGTTCCATGAGCTACACAGGCTCCCAGATCGGCGCTGAAAGACATCGATCATCGCAGATAACAGCCAATCCAGGTGGCGAAGTTTTCATTTGGGAATTCTTTCCTGCTCTTTTAATATAATGAAAATCTGGTTGAAGTTGAGATGAATAGAGCTAATGACATTTCAAAAAGAGCAAACAGAATGATTTATTAGATCACTGGCCGAAGAACACGATAATGAGATCTCCAATGTACTTTAGATGGCAATCAACTAGACGACATCTATTCAGAAGTCTCGGAGAAGTTATCGAAATTAATAATTGCAAATCATCACTGAGGTAAGATCAGAGCTTTCAATGAATCCTGCCAGATGTTGTGAAGGATCATATTGGAATTTCTAAGCTCGTCATTCCAACAATCGCAGCCGACTGTCTCCATTAAGCCTATCTTTTCCCTCAAGCCCACCAGAGCCTACCAGCTCACACCAGAATTCCACAAAGTCCAACCCACACCTCTCCTTTCAAAAGCCCCCCCCCCTCTCACGATCAAAGATACAAAGTCACATCTACCACGGTTTCAATCAGACTTCCACATCGCAGAGCAGCCCATCCCTCGGCCCATCCCAAACCTCAATGCCAACCCCTCCCAACCCCAAACACTCCCCTCCGTCAACGCCCCAGAATACAGCTCTACCTTTACGTCCTCTTCCTTGTCAGGGGTCTCACTGTCAGCCGAAAGGACAGCGCAGCAGGCGACACCACAACGCTGGCAAGACTTGAGCAAGAGATCTTAGCTGAGGCGGAAGCGGCAAGTTTAAGGAGATGGGGGATGGGAGAGAGGTAACGGCGAAATGTTCTACAGACTGGGGCAAGAGGTGTTGGAGCTGGAACTCGGTGGTGTTCGTGGGTCGATTATCTATGGGCGGTTGAGGCGGGTTGACTTTTGGGTACGTTGTGCTATATGTCGTGCCGATTGGTACCTCGCACTCTCCTCTGCAAGCAACAGGGATTGGTTGTTGACAAGGCTTCAGCACAGGGTGTCTGAGTTCTTCTCAAAGTAGAAGCATTCTTGACGTCGTTCTGGCGAGCGGAGTCGCGGAATGGTGGTTTAGGGGAAGGGGAAGGGGAAGTGGAAGGGCCATCATGGATACGGTGGATAATGCAGAGCCCTTCCATGAGAGCTTCAGGAAGGGTATCCGGTGGGGAAGAAGAGGGGAAGTTGGGACAGCTGAGGAAATAAACGTGAGGATCAACCGGCGTGGATCACAAAACTGTCTGAGGCTGGTGGAGGGCGGGTCCAAAATTTGATGAAACGTGGGCGGCCCCCTTAATGCTATGCAAGCTATGCAAGTCGTCCAAAGTAAACATTTTGTCCTCCCAAGATATATAACCATTGGCGTGAGCCAGTTCTAATGCCTGTATGCTCTTGTAGTGCTCTTGCTTTGTTTTCGTTTTCCAAGAACTACTCGTAATCTTCATCACTTCATTACTACTTGAACTCTTCTCTCCACTCATTCATTCAATCAATCACCACGTTTCCTATTCAACATCAGCAAACGCACGGCAAGAAAGAGAAAGGCAATTGACTCACAGCAACATACTGTCCCCCCTCTTTCTTCCTTCCCCAATAATCCACCGCCTCCTCCCGCCTCAAATTCCCCTTATCCATCGCCACATCCACTAGAGCACTCTCCACCCCCTCCCCCATTCCCTTACTACTCCCACAAACATAGACTCGTCCGTCCAGCGAATTGATCACAAACCATACTAGATCAGCCTGATGTCGTACTTCTTCCTGTACATATCGTCCCTCGCCACGCCGACTTTGCACGACTTTCTTAACATGCTCCTCTTCGACGCCCCACTCGCCTCTGTACAGCTCATCGAGCAGCGAATCCCGCACGCCTTGCAAGACCCACACTTTATTCGCGCAGTTTGCAGACTTGAGACGGCGCTGGACAAAACCACGGAAAGGGGCGATGCCGACGCCGGCACCAATGAGAAGCATGGGGCCATCGGAAACAAATTCCTTGGCCAACGGGTTAGACATCAGGCCCCGGAACATGGGGACCCTGAGGTCTAGGTCTGGTGCTGATACGCCGTTCTTCTCTCCTTCTTGGATTTGCTTCGCGATTCTCTCGAGGAAGCCGGAGCCGAGACCGGTGCGGGGCCCGCCGCGCCAGTTTGGCGTTTCGTGGACTGTGACGGCGATTTCGATGAGACGGCGACGGACCGTGCCATCATTTCTGCAGGAGAGCATTGGGTCTTGGGATAGGGAGTAGAAGCGGGGCATTAGGGTGTTGAGGACGGAGAGAAGGCCGCTCAAGGGAGGTTGGGAGGAGGGAAAGGCGGTTAGGAGCTGAGCGATTGTGATGTGCGGCCCTGTCCGCAAGTCGCAGAAGGCGGCTTGTCCTTGGGCTGATACGAGGTAGGTGAGGATCTTTTTCTCATTTGGCTCGGTCGCATATTCAGCTAGTAGTCGGAGGACAGGCTTGGTGGGCGGATAACTTTGCATGTCGGAGCACCAGGTCAGTAGTTCGCGTCTTGTTGCGACGAGTGTCCGAGGCTTTTCGTCGCCCCAGATTGTAGGCCAGCGTCCGTTCGTGGTTTTGAGGACGACTTGCTTGTCTCGGACGAAATTTGGGATGTGCAGGAGGTCGAAAATATCGTTGACGAGCTCGCTTGAGTTTGGGGCCTGAACACCAATTGCACCACCAACAACAAAGTCTACATCACCTCCTTCCTCTGGATAGTCCGTCACATCGAGATCGAAATGGTATGTTCTCTTCTCCGCGCCAGCTTGAGTAAGTTCTCGAGCATGATGAACTTTCGCGCAAAAGACCTCGTACGGCGGGTGTGGTGTGACGAAGTCCGGCGGATGGGTATATACTGTAGACTTTCTTGGTATGATTTCGGTATGTTTGACTGGCAGGCTTTCGAATGATACGGTTTCCGGAGACAAATCAAAGATATTGGTCAGGTCGCTGTCAAGACTTAGAGGGCCTAGACGGAGTTGTAGGCTTTGAAACGCCTCATTTGAGGGCTTGGTGACAGGAACGGCGAACAATGCACCAAAATCTTGCTCTAAAGTATTCATGAGGCAGCAGCCTCCCCCACAACATGTTCTTTCGATCTGAGTTGTCTCGACCTTTCGTGGAGATAGTATGCGGTGGACATCCTCTGGACTTTGTGAAATGAGAAGCGTTGAGGCGCGTCGTTTCCGTGGTGTAGAGGGAGGTGTTTCGTATGTCTTCTCCAATTGCTCTGTCGCCTCCAATGGAACATCGTCCGATTGTATGTCTGTAGCGGGGGTGGGCGGGGACTCGATCTCAGAGCCAGATGTGTAATCTGGGGAGTGGGAGGAAGCGTTTGAGGAAATTTCAGTGCCAGTCAGTTCAAGGGGTCGCTTGCGCTTTATGGATGGTTCTTCAGGAATTGGGTTGTTTGGGTGCGACGTTGATGATTCGCCCACGCATGTGTGGCCTTCAGCTTGAGGATGCATGACGATGCCGGAAATTGATCGATTGAGAGGCCAATTATCTACAAATGCACACATTAGTACTGTCGAATATAGCGAGAAGACGTTATGAGATTATTAGTCAATCAGACCGGTCATTACTAACGAGAGTGTGAAGGAGGTAGGCGCAAGCCGAATGCTATCGGGCGGTGACGCGAGGTGATGAAATAGTGGCGGAAAAATATAGGGAAGTGCTGACAGACATGGAGGCTCGACAGATTGGGCGACACTTTGCAGACGCAGTTTTAGGTATCTTTAGCCAATATGATGGGATATATATCGCAGCGGCAAATGAGGGAAGTATGCTTGGAAAGTGATGCTTAGAGGACTCAGGCGCTAGACTGCTTTGGGTGATCACGAGGATTTTCTGATAATATGCGGCGAAGTGCGGAGAAGCTCTTTACCGCCCAGGTCTCTCGATATTGCGCTTCAATGATTCCAACTCAAGCCGGAAAGCTGTCTTTAAATTCAACGTTGTTGGAAGCACACATGCAAGATTGTATTTGCGCATCACGTTGTGGCATGCGAAATGGAAGCCAGCGGGAAGCGCACCTTGGCGATTTCATTCCGATATCGCTATGACCATCTCGTCGTGTTTGGCATTGCCCAATTAGACGACTATTTGCGGAGAGCCGCAAAGTATGCCTACATCTATTGGTCACTGCCTGTTCACCCTGTAGGAGCTCATCCTTTTTCGTCGTGCATTTCCCCGCGGTATACTCTGAAAAGTTTAGCTACAGGCAGCATCAAGCACGCGAGAAGAGCATGGCTACGTAAGGTCAACAATCTGATTCGCTCCTCTTACGCCGTATGAGACAGCGCTGTCAGTTCTCTAGTGATGAATATTGTTTTGCCTCGCAGCGTCCCTGGGCTACGAGTGGATGATTTCGTCGACATGATGGATTCAGGTTCAAAAATTGTAGCATATGTAGATTCACGAGGAATCACAGGCGATTGTAAAGAAATTACTGGTGAGCGTCCGCTATCAGACACATACCACTTTCACCGGGGAAGCACAACGACTGGCTGCGAGATGGAAAATCTTGCTGTTGACATGCGCAAGACTTGAAGGTTACTAGTTCGAATATATTTTCATCTATGTTGATTGAATCCGGTCCGTCCCTACTGTTCTACATGAACAGCAATATGACAGAGCAGCGCGTGCCTAAGGTTGATCGCCGGTTGATCGCCAGCGGGCCGATTCCGGTGGAGATTATGACGCCAATTCAATATTGACTCGCCTTATCATCAATCGTTTTAAATTCCTATTATCTCACATCAAATGAGCGAAGTGATTGTCATTGGTGTCGTGGCATTGCAAGGCGCTTTCCATGAGCATCTCAAGCTATTGAATCTCGCTGCTGCTGACGAGGATTTGGGTGAGGCAGGGTGGGACTTCAGACAGATACGCACACCGGAGGAGCTTGAGGCTTGTGATGCGTTGATCATTCCTGGCGGTGAAAGCACCACGATATCTTTGGTAGCTGCGCGATCAAACCTGATAGAGCCTTTGAGACACTTTGTGAAGTATGCCTTCCGTTTAATGCTTTTTCTTCTCAAGTCGCTCTGTGACTCACTGCTATGTCAGAGTGGAGCGAAAACCGACATGGGGTACATGTGCAGGTCTCATCTTACTCGCAGAGGCAGCAAATCGTACTAAAAAGGGCGGACAAGAGTTGATCGGAGGTCTCGACGTCAGAGTCAATCGTAACCACTTCGGGAGGCAAGCGGAAAGCTTTGAGACACCTTTGGACTTGCCCTTTCTCAAGGATGAGAATTCTAGCACTAAGGACTCGGAATCAACCCCCAACCCATTCAATGGCATTTTCATACGAGCGCCAGTCGTAGAGAAGCTCTTGCCAGTAGTACAAGGTGAGCAATGTGTAGAAGCACTGAGAGACGACACTGTGATCGCGCCTTCTAAGCAGAAGGGTTCATCGAGGCATGTCGTACAACCTGTCGAAGTACTGGCAACCTTACCAGGTCGAACTAAATCGATATCGGAAAACATCGATGCGGCTGAATTAGCGCACCAAGGCGACATCATTGTCGTCAGGCAAGGGAATGTCCTGGGTACTAGCTTTCACCCTGAGCTTACTGGAGATGCTAGGATCCATGTGTGGTGGTTGAAACAGGTCATGTATGCCATACGCTCGAGTTGAAGGAATGTGCAGTACCGAGGGCTTTGAATACTCTAGGATTGGATTTTGCTCTACGACCTGTCTACCTCCCAAGACCATACTCGTCCTCCTCCTTCTGGCGTTCTTTATCAATCGCACGACCATAGCCTCCTCTTCCTGGGTCGAATTCGTTTCGGTACTCATCACGGACCTGACCTCCAGACTTGCCCCTCCTAAGCCATGTCAACCTTTCTCCCCCGCAGTCACTGCAGGTCATACGTACCCATATTGCCTGCCTTCAGCGAAGCCAGGGTCAAGATCTGTCCTAATTATGCGCTCGTCAAGTTTCGTGCCGCCGATATACTTCATACAGTCCAGTGCGTCTTGGTGAGTGTAGTATTCTACAAAGCAGAATCCGCAGGGTGTTTTGTGGAAGCGATCCAGGCCCATAATTAGCCGCTTGATCTCACCGCACCTGCCACGCGTCAGCTTCCATCAACCTTGACCGGTGGGAGTTCTGTCACTTTTGAAATAGCTCGTGGATCTGCTCCTCTGTCGTGTAGAAGGACCTGTACTCCAAAATCAGCCCACCCATTCTTGTTCTATTTAGATTTGCTGCGTACAGATTCCCAACATATAGAGTAGCAGCATCTTTTAGAGAATCATCCTGCTCTTCTGGTGTCTTCTCACGGTATGCCGCTTCGCGACCGACATCATCGTCGTCTCTTTCTCTGAACTTACGCTTTTTGTTCTAGAGTAAGTATGTCAGTGACCTCCATCCAGATCTTGGATGCAGGAGAACCAACACGGCCTAAGTAGTATGCACTAGGCTTATCGAGCCTGTCAATTGTCGTCTGAGTTACTGTAGACATCGTTCCTGGTCGAATTGATCTTATGGTAAAATGGAGAGGATGAATCCAATAATGGCTGCTTGAGATGCTGCGACTGGCGCCTTCCGCGCGGGTGTTTCCTTCAACACGACCAAAGACTCCACTGCACTTTGCTCCTGACTCATGTTCTACAAAGGTTGTACAATGATTTTAGATGTTCTACCGCTTCTTACGATGCTCCACATTCAATAATCGAAGTTCTCATCGGCTGATCTTCCGTAGAATGGCCTCCACAAACAGCACATATCTAGATTCGAACTCACATCTCAATCCCGTCGATGGATATCGGAAAAAGATTGCTGAGGATCTTGCCCCAATAACCGGGAAACCTGCAGCGGAAATATTTGAGCGACTAGCATGGACACAGACGTTAGACAAAGGAGACTTGACTTTAGCAGTTCCAGCCCTACGAATTCAAGGCAAGAAGCCGAACGAGCAGGCCCAAGAATTTGGCGCTCAATACCCTGAAAGCTCATTGATTGAGAAGCCCACAGTGGCTGGCAGCTTTATACAATTTTTTTTCAAGCCTCAGCCGCTCGCGCAACATATCATTCCTCTGATACTGAAAGAGAAACAACACTATGGCAAGAATTATTCTCTGGGGTTGCGGGACCCTAAGGATCCTTCAAGTGGCCAGAAGACTGTCATAGTGGAATTCTCCTCACCGAATATAGCAAAACCCTTCCATGCGGGTCATCTACGAAGTACGATAATCGGCGGTTTCTTAGCGAACCTTTACGAGGCTGCAGGATGGAAGGTCATACGGATGAATTACCTGGGCGATTGGGGTCGGCAATTTGGTCTACTAGCAAATGCGTATCAAATGTATGGCGACAAAGAGAAGCTCAAAACGGATCCTATCGGCCATCTCTTTGACATTTACGTACAGATCAACAAAGTCACCGGTCCCGAAGAGGATCTTATAAAAGAGAAGAAGGAGCAACTGAAGCAGCTTGAGGAGCGGAAAGAGAACACGGAAGCATTAGAGGCCGACATAGCTGCTCTCGTAGCCAAGAGCGAGAATGAAAAGGCTCGCCAATACTTCAAGCGCCTGGAGGGTGGGGATGAAGAAGCCAGGAAACAATGGCGCGAATTTCGGGACTTGAGTATTGCGAAGTACGAGAAAACGTATGCTCGACTGAACATCCACTATGATGTCTATTCGGGTGAATCCCAAGTAGAAATGTGGAGGATGGACCGAGCAGTCGAAGAGCTTGAGAAAAGCGGATTATCTGAGGAATCAAAAGGTGCAATCATCGTCGATTTGACCAAGTCAAAAGACAAGAATATCAAGAAGCTGGGTAAAGCATTGGTGAAGAAGAGCGATGGATCATCCTTGTACCTCACTCGTGATCTTGGTGAGGCTGTGAAACGCCACGAGTTATACAACTTTGATAAGATGATATATGTTGTGTCATCCCAGCAGGATGTGCATGTTACACAGCTATTCAAGATTCTTGAATTGATGGGCCGGAACGAGGTATCTGACAAATGCGTATTCGTCAATTTTGGCATGGTCTTGGGCATGAGTACTCGCAGGGGCACCGTGAAATTTTTGGATGACATCCTTCGTGATGTTGGCGAAAACATGCACGATGTTATGAAACGAAATGAGAAGAAGTACGAACAGGTCGAGAATCCCAAAGAGACCGCCGATACCTTGGGAATCTCGGCGGTCATGGTACAAGACATGAGCGGTAAACGGTGAGTTAATTGCAATGGCAGTGCCATTCACTGAACTAAATGGCTAACACATTACAGAATCAATAACTACGATTTCTCGCTTGAGCGAATGTGCTCGTTTGAAGGCGACACTGGGCCGTACCTGCAATACGCGCATGCTCGTCTTTGCTCGATTACTCGGAAAGCACAATTATCCGCAGCAGATCTTGCGTCGGCAGATTTGACTCTGCTCAAGGAAAGTCATGCAATCAATCTCATCCGGGTCTTGGCGACATGGCCGGATCAGCTCCAACAGGCCTTGAAGACCCTCGAACCCACAACGGTGCTCAATTACTTGTTTAAGATGACGCACATGCTCAGCTCAAGCTATGATCACCTACAAGTTGTTGGCAGTGAGTTTGAGCTACAAAAGGCAAGGATGGCCTTGTATGAAGCCGCTAGACAAGTGCTGAACAATGGTATGAGGTTACTTGGTTTGAACCCAGTGGAGAGGTAGGTTTCTTTGGTTTCTTCTGCCCCGTGAGCCGGCTACAAGCTAATCACCCGTAGGATGTGATGGGGTTTGATGCAAGTAAGATTCGATAAAACTACTACTCCGGTCCTTACAGATGTCGCGATGACGTCGAACATCGTCATGCTAGAAAGGCATTATGCTGACTGCCTGGTCTACCAGGCCAGTATCAACATCCTGGGCCAGCAATGCTGTCCTTATCTGGTGACATAGTAGTTCATCTCGCGCTATCGGCTAAGGATCAAAACAAGCGATTCCGCGATTCTCTGAGACGAACGACTGTGCAAGTAAGACTACTTGATGGCGAGATCCTTGGTGCGTCAGGAATGCAGCTAGTATCCCCGGCATCGTTCGATCTAGCTACTATGACATGCTTAAAGGGCTGACTAGGACGTGGAGAGTTAAGCAGCCGGAGCCCGGGCTCTACTCCAACAATCGCTTTGATCCAACGGTCGTCATTTAGTCATGCTGCGACAAGAATATCCACTCCAAGGTCGTATTTTCCAGAATTTAGGATGAAATGAGTGGTAAAGACGTGGGCAAAACGTCGGATCAGCGAAAGTCTTGCAGCTCGTTGGTCTGATTAGGCATCAAATATACCTCACATGATCGAAATACTCGTATGCATTCCCCTGTTAGGTTCAGCGTTCTGAAGCAATTGCTATACCTTCTACAAGAAAATGCTTCTGTTTCATTATCATTTTTGACTCAGACTTTCCGTGTTTGAAAGACTTTTGGTGTTACAAGCAAGCATCCGAGCTCGTCGGCTAGGAGGTGTATGGATGCATGGGTCTGCATTCTGCAGGAAGGGCATCGCAAGCAGAGCAAGGTAGGTCACATACCGGTGCCGGCATCTGAGCAGCTTGCGAGGGTACAAGGTACGCGAATGCAGAGCGTGTGGACTCGACCCACGGTCTCGATGGATCTAGCATCATACCACATTGGGCGTTGGCCTTCGAAGCTTGAAAGTCACTGTGGCTAGCCTGACCCCTCCTTTAGTGCCGTGGGTCTGCTGTTCCACCCTCCATCAGCATAATAATTGTAGAATTATTTTTCCATACTCGAAGTTTCTTGAGAGAGACTCGTTTCCACGCTCTCTGGATGCTGTTCCCTGCCATGGTCGCGGGGAAGTAAATAGGGCGGGGCATCCCACTTTCGCCCCGGCACTCGGAGTGCCCAGAAATGCCTTCACCCACTGAGTGACAGCAGTAATCCTGTCGCGCCGCCCACTAAAGGACGACCGGCTGACTCTAACCTTTCGCCTTACCAGCCTGACAGCTCCAACCTGTCGATATACCTGTCAGGCAAAGCAGAGCTCCGTTGGATCAGCCTCACTGTAGGCGCCAATGCTTTAAAGCAGGTTTGCCTGAATCACAGCATGACCGAGCACGGCTCGCAGCAGCCTCATCCTGCATACTGCGAGGAGTACAGCGAGGAGAACCAGGCAACTGTGCCTGAGACAAAGCAGTCCGCCAATGTCGCATCCAAGTCAGATGCCGGAAAGTTGAGAATTATCCGCGATGAGCAGAGCGACTCAGGCTATTCAAGTCATACCCATAGCGCACAAACCTCCTCACTAGATTCAAAATTGGAGGTGACTCAGTCTGCTGCCGTCAACCCTTCCAACCATGAACCAGCCCCAGCCCCAGCGCAAAAGAAACCAGGAGCGAGTCGAGCGACAAGCCCAGTGAAGCATACGTTGAAGAGAACAGAGTCGAAAAGCCGAAGAGATGGACCCTCACGGAAAAAAGATAGTCATTGCGACAAATGCGCTCACGAAGCGCGAAGAGCAGCTATGCCACACGATGCATATCGACCGGGAAATTATGCCATCCCACCACCAAGGCAACGAACGCCAGCACCACCATCACCTCAAGCAAGAAGGATGCCTCCTGCGGTCATTCTACCACCTCCACAGCCACGCCCCAGAGCAGCGACTTCTTCACGGGCTGCTCGACCAATCAGCTTTCATGCTGGAGCCATGAGTGAGCCCATGTTCATGGCGCAACCCACCTTCATTGTTGATCGACAACCACCACCAAGCCAACCTGCATATCCTTTCCCACCACCATCTTATCCTCCACATCCAGCTTACCTCCAAGCTGCTCCGCTTCCACAAGCACCTCCACCTCCACCTCCACCTCCGCCACCCCCACCGCCTCAAGAGTTCTACGTTCCAGTCTCTATAGACTATGGAGGGGCACCACCTCCAGCTAGACCTAGGCCTCGAAAATGGACGTCGGAGCATGGCCGCCCACGGCCTCAGACAATGTACTACACCAGCCCTCCAATTCTGGAATACGCTGAGCCAAGGCGTCAAACTCCCGACCCAGTATCACAGCCTCTTCACAGGCAAGTATCCCGTCGCGGTCGCCGTGAGACCCTTCGCGAGCCACGACTGTCACCAGACGACGACTCACAGAGAATGCCACCGCCACCGCCCCCAGCCCCTCCTCCTAGATTGGATACAAGATCACGTCATGAGCAGCGCCCGAACATACGGCACGCAGTCACATCTGCGAATGCGTACGCAGACCTACAGCTTCGAGGAGGCGGTCGCGAGGGAATAGAATCTCCCGTCAGGTCCCGCGACTCCCGCAAAGCGCCATACGAAGAACAATCACGCTCACGTCGACCATCTTTAGCCAGACCCTCAAGAACAAGTGACGAAAAGGTAGTCAGCTTCAATCAGTTTCAGCATGATCCGGCTCGCATAGACTCGGAGCCTGGCAATACTAAGTCTCGTCGTAGGTCGTCAGTGTATGGACATGAAAGCCTGCATGATCTCGAGGGCTCTATAGAAGCCTACCAGCAAGCTCGAGGAAACTCTCGCCCAACTGAAAACGTTGCTACGAATCACGACGACGTCGCACGTCTGGTCCGAAAGAAAACAAACACTGACAGTGAGGCTGGCAGTCGGGTAAGCGCCCACAGCCGAGGAAGTCGAGGTAGTCGAGGTAGTCGTGAAGGCAGCGATGGCAAGGATTCTAAGGCACTAGATCGCCGAACCAGCAACGACGTCAACGCGCGCAATGAAAATGATCGCTTCGCACTTCGCTTCAACCCTGAAGGCATCAATGTCAAGATGCAAGCCGGCATGGAGGGACGTGCCATCAACCTTAGAAAGAGCAAGGAAGGCGACGGCGATATGGAACTGAGTATCGAGTCTCGTGCTAGCCTTGAGGCTGCTCGCGGACGGCACACAAGTAGCAGCCGACCAGCGTTGAGAGAGAAGAGTCGCAAACGATATTCAATTGTCGATGGGCAAGGTGCCGTGAAGGAGATCGAGGCAACAGCCTATGATGCATCGCGATCTGCTAGTATAGCACGCGTCAATTCCCGAGAAGAGGCTGGACCAAGGATTCTTGGGGAGAGGATCATCACCACAACGAGGAGCAGGAGGAGCAGCAGGTACGGCTATGATGGACAGGAGAGGTACCAGCGACGAGACTGACGGCATATTACGACGACGTTTTCATTTTCTCGATGTATACCTCACGCAGCTCACATTTTTCGGTCACTTTTTATCTCGCTTCGCTTCGGAAGAATGGACACCACGAGGTTAGGTTAGGAAAGGTAATTATGGGAGGTACATTTGCTGCAAAAAGCTCGGCCATTCTTCAAAAGCGTCTCTTTCGTCAGGAACTGTAGCAGTATCTGGTTCTTGTGTTTGAGCTTGCAAGTACGCCTGGGCATTATTTCATGTGATGTGATGATTCATGAATTTACGGCTTATGACGACGTTTGGGATGAGATGAGAGCTACATAGCGAGCGTGATAGTGAGCGTTTTTCTTGCTGTTCTTTCGATTCTATGACCGTAATTCATGTCATTTAGATATATCGCATTCAACTACCTTCGCTAAGTAGAACATGGTTGACGATGTATACGAAGATCTGAAATACTTGAACCAGGAAGCACAATGCAGAGTCTCACACAGCGTCTTGCTTAGAGAAACTGTCAAATGAATGCTTGGTAGCGATTCATGATCCATGGGTGTGAACTATAAAGCGTATTTTATTCTTAGGGGTAAAAGCCCCTGAGTTCCGGGGCATTCGTTCTCACCACCCAAGGGAGCCCCCAAGAAGCTTAGGTCAATGCTCTGGCGGTGGCCCCTAAAGAGCAAGCGATAGGGATATAAGTTACCGTATTAGCTTGTTCTTTACCTGAGTGAAACGGCGCGTCTGAATTCACACTTCACGCTGGCGTCAAAGCTGTGCTCTTTACACAGACTTGGGGAGTCATTCCTCTGTCAGCTGCCACTTTAAGTCTTTTACGACGATAGAAACTTCCTGCCCCTAAAGGAAAGCAATAATGCCTAGAGTCCTCAGTTATACTCCAGCATGGCTTTCAAGACCATCTCCCGGATTCGACCTCTTTAACGCCGCATCGCAACCTCAGAACCTCAAGTCGCATAGCGCGAATGATGCAGCTGGTGGAAGAGCATATTGTCACCCTGACAGAAGCATTGCGCGACGCAATACAGAGATATTTGTGGCAGATGGGAAACAAATAAGATGGGCAGATTTGCCCTCAGTCAAAGATCAATGGCAAGCGCTGCAAGAGACTCCTTCGAAGAAACCGAGATCAAAAGGGGCATTAGATACCGATGAAGGAGAAGACGAGGATGCGGCTGGAGATGGAAGCTACAGGGTATGTGTCGAGGAAGAACAAGTTTGAAAGACTGCTAAGCAAAGTATAGCTCCTGAAAGTCAGCGTGGGCTCGCCGATACGACAGCTCTGCATTTCTCCAAACCTGAACCTGATGGCGATCGCCACATCTCATACCGTCCAAATCGCGATCCTCCCTAAACCAGACTTATTGAACGCCCAACATAATAGAGAACCTCTAAAGTTAAAGACTTACACCGTAGGCCCCACAACTCATGTGTTGTTACAATCACCTCTCGCAAGTATACTATGGCATCCGCTTGGAGAACGTGGCAATTGCCTTGTCACTGTCACAGAGGACGCAGTCATCCGGCTTTGGGAATTCAATCCCGACAACAGGTGGTCAGCGGACAGACCTAAAGTCGCGTTGGACCTTAGGAAACTGGCAGTCGCAGAGTCAGAGCAGGACGATGTAGCCCCGAATAGATCGAATCGTAACAAAGTCTACACATCGGATGCGGCAGGCATGGATGTTGCCGCTTGTTGCTTCGGAGGTGCTGGCTATGGAGACGAAACACCATGGTCGTCTATGACATTATGGGTTGCTATGCAAGGGGGAGACATCTACGCCATTTGTCCCTTACTGCCTTCTAGCTTTCAGCCACCTACTGATCTGATACCAATGTTGTCTGCGAATATTGTTGAAAACTGTGATGCGAAAGAAGAGAGCCGCGAAGAGGAACCATTCATATATAAGCAATATCAGGCTCAGCTTCAATGGATGCACAAGCTTGACAACGAAGAGCCGATAGTCATCGACAGTGATGATGGACCCGTTGAAATATACAAGGAGCCTTCGCGGCATGCTGCCATCCCGAGATTACAAGGACCATTCCAATTATATCCGGAAGACGTTGAGATTGATTTGGATATCACAGATATTCACGTCATTCCTGCTAAAGCTAAAGTTGCCGATGAGTTTCCAGAGGATGCTGGGTCAGATCTCGATCCAGACGTAGGAGACGATGACGACGCACTATCAAACTCGTTGATCTCTGTGGTCACAAACGAAGGACGAGTCTACATCTGTCTGGACATCGAAGGTGTTCAGGCGCAGTGGCTACCGGGTAGCCCAGCTTCCCCGGAAGAAAGCCCTCCGATACCATACCTGGTCGTCCTGGAAGGTTTAGATACTCTCAAGCGTGATGAGGGCTGCCAATCAGAATGGCCAACATTCACTGAGGACGTTCTATCTCGCTACTCGTTCTTCATCACACACAGTCGAGGTGTCTACTATTTCTCCCTCTCCCCCTGGCTTCAAATGCTTGAAAAGGAGCTGCAAGCGTCGGATTCTGAAGGTGTTCAATTCCGCCTGTCGATCCTCCGAAACAATCTCAACACCCTTCGCGAACGCATCCTCACTTTCCCCGAACCCACAGACTCTGATAAACAACCCTTCATTCCAGCCTGCCAAGTATTTCAAGACTCAGATCTGGGCTATTTCCTCCTAACAACTTCATCCTTCCGACCACAAGCCGCGATCCTCGACCAACCACGATCTCTCACCTCCGCCCTTACTCCAAATTCCACGGACGAAGATGACATCGACGCCCTGCTCCCCCCCGCCATCACCTACCCAGCCTACCAACCGTCCGCAGCCTTCTACACCCGCAATACCCTCACCGACTTCCTCGACACCCACATCCCCTCCCGCCACCGCACCCTATCCAACCAGCCCATCCGCCTCTCAGCCGCCACGCTCGACGGTATGACAACAGCCCATCGCGTGCTCTCGAAAGAAACTCACAACCTCGGTCTCGCGGCCGCAGACCTCTTCCGTAGATGCCACCAGCTTCTCGAAGTCTTAAAACATCAAGTCATGCGAGCTCAGGAGTTGGGGGAGAGAGTCGACCACGTCACAGGCGAGGATGATGCTGAGGCCGAAGAAGAAGCAGACGGGACTAAGCGAAATATCTCTCGTGCCCTCGAAACCCGCATCCTCAGGACTAGAGAGAGGCAGGAACACCTCCAGGAACGATGGGAGGAACTGAGGAGTAGAGTCCGCCAACTAGCGGGTGGGGAACTTGGACGCAGGGAAAGAGAGTGGGTGCATGAGATTCAGCGTGTTAGTCAGAAAATCTTGGAGAATGGGAAGGATGGGCGAGAAGAGAGGGAGGACGGTGAAGTCTCCGACGCAGGTGAAGAGAGGGAGGAAGGCGAGGTGGTGGATGATGCTGATCGCCATGAGGGGAAGGATGACGTTGACGGGGGGCATAAGCCGGAGTTTTTGGAACGGTGGAGGGAGGTGAGGAGGTTGAAGGAGGAGTTGGTCGTGCAGGCGAAGGAGGTTGGAGGGGATGCTGAGGGTGGAGATGAGGATGGGGGAAAGGGGCACGGTGATGGAGAAGTCGATGGGGATGGCAATGGAGAGGGGGAGACACAGATCCCGCCTGAGTATAGGAAGAAGAAAATGTTGGAGGTGAGGAAGATGTTGGAAAAGGAGACGATGCTTGTGAATGAGGCCCAGGCGAAGTTGGAACGATTGGGGATTGCAGGGCCCGTTTTGTGATGGTTTGGGGAGGGAAGATGGTGTATCTTTGGATGATGTTGACGAGGATGAACTGATGGTATTGTGTGAAACAGGAGGGAATATTTTGCGTAGCCATCGTGTGTGGGGGTGGGTATGTTACTTGTGGATATAGGGAGGGGGAGATGCGGTGCACATAAAACGATGCTTAAATGGTGCTTTGATCGGTATTTCATTCGTTTCTTCATACGCTATGCTATGCTATGCTATGCCACACCGCCCTCTCGCTTCAAAACATCTCTTCACTTCATAGAGCCCCCAAGCATATTGCTCGCCAACCTTTGATACAGCTATCTACGCTCCTGATAGGTCAATCCTCTCGACGATATCGTTACTGTGCTCGATGTCTCCGTGCAGTGTTTGTAGTGATCCTCTGGGGGCGCCTGGGGCCGGCGAGGAAGCCTTTCCCCCACTCTGCTCCCAGATTCCTCCTCTTTTAATCACTATCACTCAAACTATCCCTCCTCCCCCTCCCTGCCGCACCCCCTGCCGCGCCTCTCCTCCACCCACCCCCACCTCCATTCTTCCCCAACCCAGGAATCGGGTGAAAATACGCCTTAGTCCCTCCACTCACTTCCGTCCCAGCCTCTGATCCAGGCCCATAACTATACCGACTCTCAAAATCCAGCGGTTCCGCGAAACTCCCCGGCATGCTGCCTCTATCTCCTGCTCTGCCAGCACTTCCCCCATAAACACCCGATTTGCGCGGACTTTTCGTGGGGGTGCTCGTTCCGCTACGGCCTCCACCCAATGGCGCTGCGTTTGATCGCAGGGGGCGGTGGGAGTCCGTGCTTGCGTTGCTGCCGGGTGTTTCGTAGATGCTGTCTCTCCTGCCGCCGCCATTGCGAGCGGTGTGCTTGGGCGTCTCGGGCGAGGCTTTCTTGCTGGTCTTTGCGGCGGGGGGTTTCTGCCCACCCTTGCGAGGCGAATTGATGGGTACGAAATCTCCCGCGTCGGAGTACGTGGGCGCTGAGGATGCGGTGTCGCTGTAGGGGTTGAAAGCCGTAGGCTGATTGTGAGGTTGAGAAGAGGCTGCATAATCGCGCCCGAGGACGCCGTCTGCTTGTCGATTCAAGCCGCCGACTCGAGCGGCTTTTTCGTGCCGATAAGCTCGTACGTCTGTGTCTTCGTTGTTTTTCTTTCCTCGCCCCGGCTTGCCGCTTTCGCCGTTGCTGCTGTTCTTTTTGTTCTGCTGCGCGCCGCGTCTCCATTTGCTGCCTTTCTCGCTGTACTCCTCGCCTTCGTTCGCGACGACGCTGCCGCCCCCGAGTTTTGTGGTTTTTGTTGCCCCGCTGAGTGTTTTGCCATCGGGCCCTTTTCGACGGAGGACGGTCGATTTGTAGTCTTCCCAGTCGCCTTTGCGGAAGTGGAAGCCACCGTTTTTGGCCCAGAAGAAGAACCAGATTATTGCGAGGACCATGGCGACGCCGAGGAGGGCGAAGAGGGCGAAGTAGCCCCGGTTGTTGACATGGTGGGGATCGATGCTGAAGCCGCCTTGGCGGTAATTAGGGTCTTTGAATGCGGGTTTGGAGGTGGGGACGGCGCGTGTGTAAAGGGCGCGGAGAATGGAGGGAAGAGGTGCCATTGTAGATGACGGTGGTTGATGTAGATGTCGTAGCTGGATATTCTGTCTTTACCGACAGGTTAGGGGGTGTGGAACATGGCAGGCGCTTGCTCATCATGCCGATAGTTGTGCTTGAAGATTGACAGGTTGTTTGACCAGACAAAATAAAACCCTGCTGCGCAATATTGAGGTTTTGTACTATGGGGGTTGGTGCTTGTGGGGATGGCTGGGAGCTCCGATGTCGATCTATTTACCTTCCTGTTGCGCGGGACAACGAGGCTTGGCATTCGACACCGAAAACCATCTCGACTGCTCCGTTCGCACTTGTGCATGCAAACTTCTACCTGACTCAGAGCCATGTCACATTTCTCAAGAGCAACTGATAGTCGACTACACGCTTTGGTGTGCAAGTGTCTCTTTGGCCACGTCGGGGTTGGGATTGGATCTCCAAGGTATGAATATGGGTCAACCCTTGCTTGAGGATGCCATCTTATCGGCATCTCCACGCCAAGTCCCAATCGGGACCCCAAGTTTTCCTATCATGCAACTGGGGAAAGTAGGTCGTCCACCACACAACCACCATTCCAGACGCTTCCAGGAGGGTATGAAAACTATACGGGAACGCACGGCTCATCGAGCCTATTGGGTGCGAATTTGCGATGACATTGCTGCTATTTGCTGTTGCAAGTATCTGTCACGAGAGAGGTCCCTTCAACTTAGGCTGTGGGCCTCAAGTTTCCGCTTGATGTGCTTGCCTCAGCTTCAATCAGCCTTTAATAAAAGACGCCCTCCAGGTTTTCCGATACCGTTGGAAATTGTACGTATCGCACGCAGTTGCAGCTTGAGTTGGGTATCCCCGAATTGACTTCAGATCTTGTGTTCATTTCGGATTGCGTGACAATCTTGTGGTCAGTTGTTATAACCAAGACTCTTCAAAAGCTGTTCTCTGGTGAATCACTGTACGTGCCTTTCCCTCGACTATGCCTTCGGCTGGCGTGGTGTCTATTTTCTTGCGTGCTCAGAAACCTGTTTGGGAATGTCCCTCAGACTCCTGGGAAGACTTTCTCAGGAATGAAGCCTCGGCGGAGAAGGCGCTTTAAGGCCCCTATAAGAATATAGACATCGCAAGCGCCAGCCAAAGACATTAGGAATACCAAAAACGAAGGCTCCTCTAGGGAGAAGACTCTTCAGAGCAAGGGACAGGCAGCGAGGAAGGTCATAGGTGTATTAGTACAATGGCAAGCAAGCGGCAGATTTATTCATTTCCCAAATATAGTAGCAATACGTGTTAGTGAATAGTATTAAATGGTCGGGTACATCTGGGGATACCTTTGGAGATTGAACAATCTCGGTTCAAGAAATGCTTCCCGGATCAAAGTGATCCCCCACGTGAGATCCTGAGGATTACTACCGACTGGTTCTTCTGTTGGCGTGTAGTGGAACGGACAGGAGGAATGACTTCTTGGTGTTCTTGCAACGCTTGCGCTTCAAAAGGGTTAGCGCATCATTTTGCAGAATAGTCACCTACGTTATCACGACCTCTTCAGTCTCTCATGATCAAGTAGATGTCATCCGACCAAGCACCACTTGGTCACACGATGGCTTCTTCTCACAAGTTAAAGCCATGATACTGTCTCTACAGGATCAGCAACTGGAAATCTTCAAGCTCACCCGTCATGGATCGCATTCGCAATGCGCTCAAGCAGCGAGGGCGCTCGCCAGCATATGAACCTCTTGATAACGGCTCTGACGATGCCTATGAGCGACAAGCTGCGCGAAAACATCAGTTCTCATACCTAGAATACTGTATCTTCGTTCTGCTGGGTATCTTTATGCTATGGGCTTGGTGAGTCCATTACCCACCCTATGCTGTCTTATAGTCAACTCATAGTCTTATCAGGAACATGTTCTTAGCTGCATCGCCCTACTTTCAGCACCGCTTCTCTCATTCTCCGCCACTCCTCAAAGCCTACTCGCCGACATTGCTTTCTATCTCTACCGTGACCAACCTGTTATCAGTCCTGGTCCTCAGCTACATCCAGGCTCACGCTCACTACCCACATCGTATCATATTATCCCTGGTCCTCAATGGCTTCGCATTCACGCTCCTCGCAATCTCCACCGTCCTTTTCCGCAGCGTCTCTGAGCAGGTATACTTCACATTTCTCATGCTCATGGTCGCACTGTCCGCAATCGGAACGGGCATTTGCCAGAATGGGCTCTTCGCCTACGTCTCCGCCTTCAACGAAAAGAAGTACACACAAGGCATCATGGCAGGGCAAGGAATAGCCGGCGTGCTCTCTTGTCTGGCCCAGATCATCAGCGTTCTCTCTATCCCACCACCCGAGACGGCCACCCTCACCTCTTCACCCGATAAACCAACGAAGCCGGTTCCCCAAGAAAGCGGCAAATCAGCACTCGCATACTTCCTAACCGCAACATTCATATCCCTCCTCGCCCTCCTGGCCTTCACAATCCTCACGCGCCGGCACCCAACTGTTGGAATCTCCCCATCACCACCGACGCTCAACACGGATCTCCTCAGCAAACCGAGCCCCATCGACCCCCCTCCCACCTTAACCCCCGAAACAGACATTACGGACGACAACGATGACGACGATAAGACACCGCCACTCCGAAAATCCATCCCCCTCTTACGCCTCTACCGCAAACTCCACTGGCTCGCCAACGCCGTCTTCCTCACTTTCACACTGACCCTCTTCTACCCCGTCTTCACGCAACAGATCCATTCGAAGCATCCCCCGCCTCTCCCTCGCCTCCTGCAACCCTCGTGTTTCATCCCCCTCGCCTTTCTTTTCTGGAACATAGGCGACCTTGTGGGGCGCCTTCTCCCCCTCTCCTCCGCCATTGCGGGGCTGACGCGGCGGCCGAGATTGGTGTTCTCCCTGAGTGTGGCACGGGTGCTGTGGATTCCGCTGTATATGCTATGTAACCGCGGGTTGGACAAGCGGAGTGGTGGGGGAGGGGATTTCTTCTACTTGGTGATTGTGCAGGCGGGGTTTGGGGTTAGTAATGGATTGGTGGGGAGTTTGTGTATGATGGGCTCGGCGGGGTATGTGGAGGAAGAGGAGAAGGAGGCTGCGGGGGGTTTCATGGGGCTGATGCTTGTGGGCGGGTTGAGTGTGGGGAGTTTGCTGAGTTTTCTTGTTGCCTGAGGGAGTTTGGGTGGAGTTGTGTTGCATAGCGTGGTAAGGGCTTTTGGGCGGCAATGAGCTATGAAGAGATGATAGAGGTAATGGAGTCAGGATGCTTCTATCGGTTACTAAGACATATAATATAGAGTCGTGTAAAAACCTCTTCCACTGCCGAAACGCCAGAGTAGGGTGCGATGACCCTTTCCCCATCCTTTTTGGAGCATCTTCGAATAGAAAAAACTCACATCCGCTGTAAAATACTCGCTCGTAGTCATTTGACGCCTCCGATGCCAAAGCAGCACTCACCTCACTGACTTTTCATCCTCCGAAGCTGTCTCAGTCTGTATCTCCTCCACCTCCTCTTTAATAGCCTCCGCCGCGTCTCCCTCCTCAGCAATCGCCTCCAACAAGTCACTATCGTCCCTCTTCTTCCCCTCCTCGCCCTTCTCCCCTCCGCTCATCTGCCACTCCATCAATTGTGTAAACGCCCCCTCCTTATTTTGTATCAACTCATCATAACTGCCCTGCTCAGCCACCTTGCCATCATTGCTCAGCACAATAATCCTATCACTCCTCTTGATCGTGCTCAAGCGGTGCGCAATCGAGATTGTGGTATTATTGCCCTTCAATAGTGCACCAAGCGCTTGATTCACCAGCGTCTCGCTCTCCGCGTCTAGGGCCGACGTGGCTTCATCGAGGATCAGGATGTCGGGGTTCTTGACGAGTGCTCGTGCGATGGCTATGCGCTGTTTTTGACCGCCGGAGAGCTGGGCTCCGCGTGGTCCGACAGAGGTGTCGAGACCGTCGGGGAAGTCCTCGATGAATTTGCAGTTGGCTTTACGGGCAGCCGTGATAATCTCGAGGCGCGTGGCGCGCGGTTTTGCGTATGCAATGTTTTCTGCTATTGTGCCAGAGAAGAGCGTGGGTTCTTGGGATACGACGCCGATTTTACGCCGGAGCTGCTTGACGTTCATTTTTGCGATATCGGTGCCGTCGATGCTGATGGAGCCTTGAGTGGGTGTGTAGAAGCGCAGGAGAAGAGAAGCGATGGTGGATTTACCACCGCCGGAGGGCCCGACAATGGCGATGTTGGAACCTTGCGGAATGGAGAAGTCGAGGTCTTGGAAGATGTTTACGGCGGGGCGGGTGGGATAGCTGAAGGAGAGGTCGTGGAAGTTGATGACGCCGCGGGCGGAGGTGACGGGGAGGCCTACTGTGGGGCTGATGGTGGGTTTCCGGTCTTGTAATTCGAAGAGGCGGGAAGCTGCGCCTACGCCTTTCATGAGCTCAGACCAGAAGCCTGAGAGACCGAAGAGGCTGGAGCCAGCGTATAGGGTATACATTAGAAAGGAGGTGAGCTCGCCAATGGTAATGGTGCCGGATTGAACCATCCCTCCGCCAACGTAAAGGAGGGCTAGGATGGTGAAATTGCCTATAAGAGTAGTGCCGCTGAAATACGTCGCGGTGATGAACGCTTCTCTCTTGCCAAGGGCAAATATCTTCTTGACTTGATTATTGTACCTGCCGACCTCCAAAATCTCGCCTGCAAAAGATTGGCTAGTCCTGACGTTGCCCAGTCTTTCTTCGGCAATCTTGGTCAGCGTTCCCAGGTTCTTCTGTATTTGCCGGCTCAGGGTCCTCATCATCCGACCGAAAACGAAAGTTCCAATAGCCACGGGTGGAAAGCATAACAAGAGGATACTGGTAAGCTTGAGACTTGTATAGCCCATCATGGTCATCCCACCAAGACCGCTGACGAGAGAACGTAGACCATCTGACAAGTTTTGTGTAATGCTTTTGCCCACAATGACAGTATCTGAGCTCAATCGAGATATCAGATCTCCAGTCCTGTTCGCATCGAAGAATTCTGCATTTTGTACGTATGTCCTCCTAAAAAGTTGAGACCGTAGTCTTGCAACTACACGTTCACCGACGATTCGTAGAATTAAGATCCGCCCATAGTTTGCCCCAGCGCCCACCGTCAAAATAGCTCCAAGTCCAATATATAGTGTGGGTAAGTCGAACCCGTAGAGCTGTTGTTTGGCTACTTCTGTGGCAGTAGCAACATCGAGAAATTTGCCAATCGAGAATGGGATAGTCATTGATACCGCGGAGGAGACGAGTAAGAGTGCAACGGCAGCGCTCAAGACCTTCGTCTCCCGCCGTGCAATTTTAATCAGTCTCCATGTCTCTGCTAAACCCAAGCCTTTGTCCGTGTCTTTGGGACCTTTCGACAAGCGTGCGCTCAAGTCGACTTGTGTGTTCTGTGCAGCCTTTTTTGATCGCCCGAACCCTCGCTCATCGTCTGGATGATCTAGTTCGTCGGGTTCCAGGGATTTGTTCTCGTCTGCTAAGAGTTCTGTCTGTATCTCTCGTTCTATTTGAGCTGCTGGCTGCTGCTTTCGCTCAGCTGCCGCCTCCTCTCGGTGTCTCGATGTGGTAGAAAAGGCTTGTCTAAGGAGATGGACTTGTGAGGTCGTTCGGGGGCAGATGTTGCTGGAGCCATTGGGGGAGCTCTTAAGAAGCGACGCATTCGAAAGCGGTTTGACGAGGAGGAGGGATGGCTTTGATCGAGAGGTCAAGCGCGAGAAGCATCGGTTTGGGATCACGATCGACGAAGGCTGAGAAGGGATGATGGGCGTTGCTATAGACCTGCTATGTCGTAGAAACAGCTTCGAGCTGCACATTATGTGATATTTTCGTCCAATTCATCCATCTCCGCCACAAAAAGTCGCACCGAAAGCCCAGGTAACCGTACGATATGCTGTATAAATTGAAGATTTACTGTAAGCAGAGAAGCAGATGACGTGCATATTAATCTGGCTTACGCTAAGAGCCGCTAGCTCTATCGTACCTTCCACTATCACATAAACGTTTGATAGCTCACTAATACGCCTCATTCATGGGAACATATCCTCACTGAAACCGCAGGAGATTTCTACCTCTATGTTCACAATTCTATTCACGTTTCGATGCTCTTGGCTGGAGCCTCGTAGTGTTCACTGGCGGCATACATACGGTTAGCAACGGCTTGTGATCTCATATGTACTGAGATCGTCCGCATATGCTCGTAGCAAGAGAATGCCCCTCTTTCGCAAGTTTTCTTCCGCAAGCAAGCAATTGAAAATCATCCATTTAAATAGTGCATTCCTGACCCCGAGAGCCACTATGGCTACCGCCGCTGCACTTACACAAGGCAAGAAAGACTGGCTGGTGATCCTACCAGATCGTGAAGGTGCGTTAGACAAGAGAATGGAAGTGCGTCCGTATGTCTTCCCACCTTTCAAGTGCTCATCTTCCAAATCTTGAGTGCTCTGAATATTTCTAAGCCAGCACTTTGACGAGCTACCTCCCAAGATCGAGAGTGGCTTCATGAAGGTTGGGGGTGCTTTGCTGGAGCAGCCTGAAAAGGATGGTGAAAGCTTGAAGATCGAAGGCAGCTTCATGCTTGTGAGAGCTGACACCAAGGAAGAGGCTCTTGATCAGTTGAAGGCCGACATTTACACAACATCGGGTGTCTGGGACATGGAGCAGATGAAGATTTATCCTGTAGGCTTGACAGAAACTCAACCCGTCCTGACTGAAGCTGACCTTTTGGTCCAGGTCAAGACCGCTTTCATTAAGCCATGAGGCTTGCTTGAAGGACATGACCAAGAACGTGCGCGGGATGATTATCATGACTGATCCTGACATCATTGCCAATTCCATTTTATTTCTTGGTTCATGACTTGATAGCTCAGGAGCTCTGTTGCAGACCGACATTCCCATTCCCAGATCCCGACAGGGTCGATCAATTTTCTGATGTTGTCGAGATGAAGTATGGGTTTGCCATTGTGTGGAGTCACATATGGACCAGTGAAATCCCAGTTCTCATCAAACAATCCGGTCGCTTTCATCAAGACGACGAGAATGTGGTGCAACCAAAGAACATTAGTCATTGGCATGTAAGACTGCCATCCGTTCTTTCGCTGTGCAGTGTTGTGCTTTTCGTGCATGACGTCTCTCATGTACCGGTAGGTATCGAATTGATTTTGGTCGTTCTCTTCGTCGCTATGTTGCTCAAACAGATTTGTCTCGCGCATCGAATTCGCAAGCACCTCCGTCTCACTTATTTCCGAATTCTCCTCTCCTAATTCTGACAATACGCGGATGCTTGCACGGGATAGCGTGTAATCGATCAAGGTCACCTCCATATCCGTATACTTCCTCAGCAGTCCGCCATCAGGAGATTTCTTATCACCGCCCTTCACACAAACGTTTCCTGGATGCAGATCCCGATGTTCAAATTCGGCATGCTCCTCTCCATGTGCCAGCGCCTCCACGATCCCCCAAAACACATCCCATATCTCAAAGAGACTTCGCTCCGCCTCCCCTGCCCCTCTCTTCGGCGTCAACCATCTCTCCAAATCGCACCCAGCGTCCGTCATCTCAATGAACAGCCATACCTGCGACTCCCCATACCCTCTCCCCCACTCTTCACCCCACTCCCCCAATTCCAGCTTCTCTTCCCTGTACAGTCCCATCCACCATTTCCTCGCCACCTCTTCTAATCCTTCCGGCAGGGCGCCCTGCAGGATCCGAGCACCTCGGAATTCCACAAACCCCGGACTTCGACTCATGGCTTCTAATAGGCGAACTTCGGCTACGGCATCGGAGATGCTGGTGGCGCCTTCGAGACGACTGCCTTTTCCCGAGGAGGGGCGGAGGGGCATAAGCTTCCACATCGTGTATACAGAGGGATCAGATTTCAGCGCGAGTCGGAGAATAGAGGCATAAGAGCCTTGAGAGACTTTTGTGATTTGAAAGGTTTGACTCCAGGTATGATAGGAGGAGTCGAAGGAGTGGAATGTTGGTTCGATGAAAGGGAGGGAGAGGAGGGGTTGGAGGGCTGGCAGGGAGACATTTGGTGTAGGGAGGTCGTTTGATGGGGCGCCATCGTGATTTTCTGCGGCATTTGTTGATAATGGGGGAGGCGGAGTTGCTTTTTGCTTCGGCTTTCGCCCACGTCGCTTGGGAGGTGGTGGGTCGACGTCATTTGAAGAAGGACTTGCCGGCTTTGGCTGAGCGATTTCGGGGTCTTTAGCAACTGGGAAGGTCTCTTTCGATGGGGCAGTATCAGGAGAAGGCGCAACTTTGAGTTTGACCGCTGCATTGTGTGATATCGGGCTCAAGGCTAGCCTTCCTTCATCCTCTCGGTCTTTTGTATCTTTTGGTGGGGAGAGCTTGAGGCTTTCGAACGCAGCGGTAAGATCGATGCCCCTCTTCTTTCCATAGGTCTTGTTCTTGGTCTTATTCGCCATGGTTGAACACAGTCAGCGTTTTCTCGGCACTGATAAGGCCTAATCGCTGAGACGATTCGGTGTTGAATATATCTTGGCAGCTATTGACAATTTGCCGTTCTGAGAAGATACAACGGATCTATCCGTGCGATAGCGTTGGCGCGGCAATCACAGACATTGACGCTAAGCTAGCGGATCTCAAAATTACCTTGTATTGGAGATGCGACGTGCCAATTTTCTTGTCGTTGTTTGTCTCCTCGTCCACTACTGCGTCATCTGATCAAGGATCTAGTCGACCGTCATGGCTGACTATCTCAAAAGTCTTCTCGGCGGGTCAAAGCCGGAGCCTGATGCCGATGATGGTAAGGCTTTCGTTACAACTTTCTTATTCTACAATTGAATGCTGATGTGAGAACATCAGACTTCGCCGATTTTGCAGGAGCTCCAGACCCAAAACCAGTATCTGTAGTACCTGCACAACCCAATAATGTTGGAGCACACGGAGCTCAGCCGACATTGGGCGCCCCACCTCAGATTTTGTACACAAAGTGGTATCGAGTATGGGAAAGGACGACCCCACGAGAATTTCTTCCGGAAGCTGTCATACTACCGTTCATTCTGGTGATAGTCGCGTTTCACTTATGGGGACGTCGAGCGAACAAGGCAAAAGCGAAAGCATGGATTACGGCTCATGCCCCCATACTGGAGAAAGAGTACGCTCAAGTAGGCTTCGGCCCTGCAAGAGCACCGAGTGTCGACGATGTGCAAGCTTCTGGCCTCGCAAATGCAATGGCGTCGACTGAGAAAGAAGTGCCGGAAGGTTTGCTTAAGGAAAAGTCTGCGCAAGAATATATTTCGTACGCAAGCGGCCGCCAAAATGTTGCTTTCACGGACGTGAGGATTTCCTTGTACAAGAGATACAACCCGGCTACATTCCTTGTGGAAGCAGCGCTGAGTTTCGTTTTTGAGAGCATACCGCCGCCTATAGAGAAGGTAGACATCACTAGTTATGCCTTTGATGGACGGGAGAAGGAGCTTGTTCCTGCAAGAACAGACGAGCAGAAAGATTCCATTGTCGAACAAGGGAAGAGCAAGAGCTCCGTTTACGATCCATTCGTCTTCTCAGTCGTTCACAAAGAAGCTATGAAGAAGCTAAGAGATGAGCGCTACGACGTCTCTCTCACGGTGACACGGGACCATGCAAAGCTTCCCGCATGGGCCGCTGTGATGAGCGAGAGCGCTGAGATTACTGAAGCACTACTCACCAAAGACTTGATCAAGGCACTCGAAACTGCCGGTGATACTTTCAAGTACCTCATCATTACTGATCAGCCAATTGACAAGCCCCAGACGTAAGCCTAGCTACCGCTTCGAAATTTTAGGAATGCTGACATGTATCTCAGAATCGACGAGACGAAACCCCGCAAACGAATGTCACTATCCTTTTCGCTCCCCTCCGGCTCTGACCCTTCGTCGTATGAACCGACTCTCCCCATCTTCAACTACTTCCTCCGTCTTCCCGATCAATTGACAGCCCAAGCACACTTCCGCCCTGAAGTCAACCGGAAGATTCGTACCGTCCGAGAAGAGGAACAAAAGAAATTATCGAAGGCAAGTGAGGAAGAAAAAGCAGAGGAGAGACGGCTTGAGACCGAAAAGAAAAAGAGGGAGATCAGAGATAAGAAGCTGAGAGGGATGAGCGCTGAGGAGCAGAAGAAGTTCCTGGAGAAAGAGAAAGAGAAGAGTACAAAGAAGCAGGAGAAGAAGCGGACGCAGAAAGCGTAATTTTCGACGTTTCCTGCGCAACGCAAATCGTGTATGCTAAAAGTGTGATGAGGATTCCTTGTGACATAGTAACAATGATGGAGATTGTCACGTATCACATATCACATTCTTGTAAAGAAATTTTCGGTAGATAATTCATCGAGAGAAAAGATTTTGATCATCTGTGGGCTCGAACGTCCAATTGGTGCTTTGAAAGTAAGGTCTGCTGTCTGCAAAAGTCCACAATGAGTCAGATCCGATCCGATCCGACCTAATGTGTTTTTGTATGCCACCAGCTCCACAAATCTTTAATGACCCCTCTCATTCTGTCTCCCCTGTCGCCTCTTCAATCCTTGCCAAACCACGTCTTGTGCCCCTAAATCACCCAGAATATTAGCCTCCATCTTTTTTTCATCTCCTCCATTCATCATCGCATGGACAGAACTCACAAACAACAGCCTGACCATCATATACATGCTAGCCGAAGTGGTGCCCACCATCATGATGTAGTATGGCATTAGAATCAATCTGCTCCGGGGTGTCTATTCATAACATCGATATCAGCCTCTTTCTCTTCAAGGCCTCTGAAGGATCGCAGGCCGCCAGTCAAGCGGAAGGGTTCAGGGATAGGGTATGACGAGCCTTCCACCACTGCCTCACGCCGTCATGTTTCTGGAATAGCGCTTGGTAATGCGGGACGCGATTCTCGCGATTGATCCACCTATAGCACCTTTCTGTTAGCTTCTATTTTTACTCGTTGCTGAGTGCCAGCTCCAACGGAGGGCAATTGAGGGAGGGAGTAGCTATCATTGAGGGACGGCAAAACGGGAAAGAGGCAGGATGGCGGGAGACAGAGGTTTACGTACCCCCAACTCTTGATTGGCGTAGTGTGCAACCGTCGAATTGCTGTCGCGCGCATTGTGTTGGCTAATGGCCGATTCATTTTGTAGTTGATGATGATGTCGGCGCAATAAAGTGAAGGTTGGGACAAGCTTGAAGGTTCGGCGAGGAAGGTTTCTCCGTTGCCGGTAAAAAGTCTAAGCTATCACGGATCAAATATAAAATGTCTATCAGACTCTATGTCTGCGCCAGTAATTGGTGTTTGAAATACCATGCGTCTGTGGGGGCCGACTCTTCCTCGCTCTTGGGAATATAAAAGGTTGATGTTTTCCCCTCCTTGTATTGAAGCACCGCTTGTCTTGTCAAAAGTCTTTCCGACAGGCAAAATTTTCAATGCTACCATAATTTCTAGGGCGTCTTAGAGATATTAGATTCATCTTGATTTCGAGGCTCGTGTTTAGTACAGCACGTCCAGCCAATTGCCAAAGCATTCTAAAGATAGAGAGCATTCCCAATGTCATGGACCTATCCTAGTCTATGAACCTGATTTGGAATGTCTTATTGGCCGGAATCCAAGTGGTGAGATCAGACTTGGTGACAGTTTGGCGCTTTCGGATCTTCTCGAGAGTAGCATAGAGGCCCCTTTTCGAATCTGGGTGACCATCTTTGACTGTTCTATTCATGAAGATCTCACTGAAAATGAGTTCTTCGAGATTGGCGGTGGCGTCGCGTATGGCAGTTCATGATCCGACCAAATTTGACTGCTCAACCTGTTCTGGAAGAGGGGCTAAAAGTTCCAAGTGCCGACTGCAGTGTTTGTGGCGATTTCAACCTCCGCCCAGTAGCTGTAAGGTTTCAAAATTTAAGTACTCTCCTAGAAGAACAACCAGCCTGCTGGTCTTGTTAAAATGATCGAAAAAGGATGCAAATCACGTCACTTTCTGTTCCAGCATGGCTCGCGGTAATACTATGACCACAGTACGAAGCCTCAGAGTGAAGAAGGATGCAGATATATTCATGAAGTCATCTACTTCGGATGTTTATAGCCCTCTCTCTAGCAGACACATCGATTCGGAAACATTTGTGGTGCCAATTCGCTTGATAGCTCTAGGTCTAGATGTACAGATGTTGATAAGAAGTCAAACCTTGTAGTCAGAGCACGAGACTTCGGAGAAAATTTTTCGGGGGAATTATTGGCTTATTCCCATTCAGCTCCACTCGAACCACACTGAAACTGCTCTTGATGTTGTTCCCTTGTCACAAAAGAATACGTCCAAATACTTTTGAGGGGACTTGCGATTCGATCCGCCGAAGCAATCTTCCGTCCCAGAAAAGGATAGCATGCACAGCTTCTTCGTCAAGAGGTGCAGGCCAAAAGATAGGCTATTTGGTACGCTGGACGCCGGCGTAAAGGAGGGCAGGACTGCAAGCTTGTTGTCGAATAGCGGTATCTCGTGATACTCTTCTATGCTACGCGAGAGTAAATAATGAAGAGGCTGGTGATGGTGTCCGTGTTCAAGCAGTCAATAGACGAGGAGGCACAGACTTGCAAAGATGGAAAGGAGCCGGTCGTCTGGACATTTTCCAGTATGGCTAGGATGTCCGGGTAAATATCGCCAGTTCTTTTGCATTCTGCTGTGTGTGAAGCACATGGAATACGCAGTGATGACAACTTCTGGCTGCGAAGATACGAATCATCTTAAAGCAGCTCAAACGACTTCTGAAAGACCAAGGCTGTGCCGTATCATCACGTATGATGTCGGCTATCGCGCGAATCCAACTCTGCTTGTACATTTGTATCTTGCTCCATCTCATATGCTGGACTCAGCTCTCCGCGATGTTGTGAAAACCTAGAGGACCCTCTAGCTTTGTTCGCGGGCGACCTCATCTGCGCAAAAATTGGTCTGCTTCGACGAAAACGAACGAGGAGATATATCAGTCCTGCCAGCATGGCAAGGCCGGCGACAGTGGCTGCGACACTAATACCTGCTGTTGCGCCATTGCTGAGGTTCGACTTGGACGAGACACTCTGCGAAGGGGAAGGAGTATTCAAAGTGGCCGGCGAGGTTGTGGATGCGGCTTCTAACGTTGTAGAGGTGGTCTTTTCAGAAGTCGAAGAAGAGGAGGCAGAGGGAGTCTGTGTGCTTGACCGCTGTGAAGAGCTTGACGAAACAGTAAGGGATTCTGGTGGCGGAGCGTAGAACGTCTCGTCGGTTTGCTTGGAGCAATCGAGGTATCCTGGCTCAGAGCAACAGGCCCAAAGAGAGGTGCTGCTGTTATACGCGATGTCTCGTGTAGAATGCTCATCTAAGGGACGCCAAACATGTCAGCTACTTCTTCTTCGCTTTGACTCGCTGGAAGAGTTGCAGGATATCTTACAGCATTTCTGGGAGCAAGCGTCTCCAGCATAATTTACATCGGTGCAACCCGCAATATAATATCCGGTCGTGTTCGTCCAAGGATGCGTGAAATGGCAGAGATTGTTTCCTATGCAGAAATCGCCGTTGAAGCAGCAAGTCTGCGTTGTGGATTTGTCACTTCCACAGATATTTGGATTAGGAATGTCAGATTGCAATTCGTCCGCAGCCCTGTAGCATGCCATCTCCTGGAAACTCTGCTGGACAGTCGGCCTGAGACATCATAGGAAAGCAATGAAGCAAAAGACAGTGATTGTGCCCTTATCTCCTTCCCAGCCTTCTCTTGCGGCGTGCTCCTTGGAAAGGGGGCCCGAAAGGCTGAGAGACCATCAAGATCGCCACACTAATATTAACCAATTGATTAATCTCCGATGGCCAGGGCGCTTGGACTGTAGGCTTGCAACCCCCGTTTATGTCCTGGGCCAAGTAGAAGCCTTGTTTCCACGGGCGACTAGCAATTCGACGAGAACAGAGGGGATACGCAGTTCAGATATATAACAAGATCCCTGACAGAGGCACCTTGCGAAAAGAAGCATGCGTGATTCGCGCAAAGATGAATGTCATTGTCGCGGCGCGCACCGGAACGCCCGCAGATGCAGAAGCGTTTCCTTCATGCTACTCTGTAGCCTTGTGGACTTGTGCCGGGGGCGCAAGATTTGCACTAAATCAAATGATCCAATCAGAACGCTCCTGAGTAAACTCTGAGCTGAGCCTCAAAGGCAGCGTTTTTGAAGAAGTCGATGGTACAGCAGTGTGAGTGGCTGTATGTCGTGCAGCCAATCTCAGTTGGCTGCACGACATCGTCACCAGTGCTTTGGAGTCGAAAGAACGAGCCTTCTTAAGCCCTTAGAGGAGTCTCCCCTTCTTATGGGATTTGCGAGATGGATGGCTTGAAAAACAGTGTGCTAATACGTACCAGCTCTAAAATAGTAGCATTCGTAGCCATGAGCAGCGAAAGGGCGAACCCTCTTCGGCCCTGCAGTCGGAGCATGAGATCATGAGCCTCTCTCCGAAGCGGGTAAACCAACATAGCCTTCTTCAATCAACAAGCAAAGAGCAACTATGATGGGTTTCTATGAGAGAAGGCTGTCATAGGGGCTCAAAGCAGTAAGGGAGCTTGATGCAGAGGCTGAAAAGGATGGAGTGAACAGCAAAGCGATATATTTCGCTCTTTGCTGCCCACACTTTGCTCGACAGAGAGAAAACAGTGTCTCTCATCAGGCACAGACCATCACTTATTCACCATTTCTCAGTCGCTCAGTGCGGATAATCGCCGGTTCCATGCGGCTGAAGCTACAGCACCTGCACGATTCGAGTAGCGCCAGGTCGTGCCGCGAGAAGGGGCAATGCTGAAGATCGGCCAAACAAGATCGACATATGGTGGGCCAAGCACAGGTACCTCATGCAGGCCACCAAAACTGGGCGTGACAGGCCCTTCCTCCCGCATATGAGGCTAAACTTCTCTAGTCTAAAGCTGCAAATCAATTGCGGCACAATACTTCGATTGGGTGGGAGCGATTTGTTCTGAAAGGTATGTGCGGTTTGGCGTTCCTCTGGTGTGAGTAGGCTGTTCACCATCACCGCCTGCTCACTCCGCCCACAATTACAGCGGACGGAGAAGGCTATGTCCGTTAATACTTATTATTCGAGTTCGCAGTATGTAGTATGTTTTTCTCTCTTGTGGACAAACTCGTTCGACTCGTTGCCGCTTGAAGATGAGAACCCAACAATCATTCTTCTGAGCTGCATGCCAGGTGATCAAAGACAAACCAAGCTGATAAGCCGCAAACGCAAGGCCAGCTCGCCCAACGGACCGCAAACCGAGATTATTTAAGTCGCGCATCGAGGCAGCTTTCATGGACGAATTTAATCGACATTGTGGAGGTTAGAGACCTTGACTTCCCATTGGAGGCCCGCAATCAAGGCGTCTGCGTCATTGGCCAATGTCAAGTCGGATCAAACCGGCGTCAGATGACGGTCGGTTGGTGTCATGCAAGATGCCAACCCAGGATCCATATCTGTTGCCTCACACGTTGCCAAGTCCTGACATGGTCTCGCCTATCGACTCACCGAAAGCCACCAGGTGAGACTTCTCGTATTCTTGCTCTAATGGTTTCAGATCTCTGGAAGCTGATTAATGCCTTGAGCTAGGTAACTCCTCATTGACCGAACGCTTAAACCTTCCTCCATTCAGGTTGACGCTTGGTGGCGGGACTGGCCATCGTTCAATTCAATCCCTATGCGCACGCCGAATGTGTGGGATCCTCCCTGGGTCAAGTCAAGCCGAGAAGGAGGATGAGAAGGATGACGACGGAGGAAGAACGGCAGCTACGGGTGCTCTGGACCATCCACAACATGGCGAATGGAAGCTGCCTCCCGAACACATGGTGAATTAGGGGAGGAGCGAAAGTGGGCCCTTCGCTTCTTGTGGACCTATGGATGTGGCCCTATCGCTCCCCACACCCCGCACCTAGGGATATGCCCATCCAGGGCGAGAGCATGGTATGTCGTTGGAAGTCGTATCCTCATTCAGACGCTTCAAGCCAAGTACGAATACTTCCTCCGAGAATCTCAGTCATCATCGCTCGCCCCCAGGACGAAAGCGTGGCTTGCTGGCCAAGTCTATTTTTGAAGGCACGATCGTTCTTTTCCCTTGAAAGAAAGAAGTAGTGCTCAGCAGTGTGAGAACTGGATTCTCAAGCTTGCAAAATGAAAAGCAATTTAACCAACCCTGAGGTCCCTTGCGCGTCAGTCTGTGTCTTCCCCGGCTTCCAAATGTACTGATGCATTATTTAGCATTATGCATTCTGTTTGTAGAATGAAGAAAACGATCGATAAATTCTCATCCCTCGAATGCCAAATCGCTTTCCAGAACTGGGTGGCATACATACGCCCGAATCTCTTAGAAATATCAGCAGAAGAGAGATTAATCTGCCCACTACTCGCGTGCAATAAGTTCCACCCGGACCTCAAATCGTTGCTGAACCATGTGGCTGGATGTCCGAGACTTGACGCCGGAGACTACTGGTGCCCAGGTTGCAATCAGGCAGAGCACTTTCCCAAGTACGATGCGCAGGAGCTCACCCGGCAGCCAAATACACTTCAAAGGACCGGATCGAGACTGAAAAGAGCTGTTGTATTCTTCCGTCATTTGAGCATACGAGGTTGTACACGCCATTGCAAGCATAGGTCATCATCCTCGACAGCCGACTGTTCGGAGCGAAATTATGGAGATACTCTCGGAGAATGCAGGTCTTATTTAACACACCTGAATGATGTCGACAAGTCACAAAGGATTGAGCTGGACTCACGACCTCACAAAGGCTTAGCTTTTGATAAACCAGAACTAGCTGCCACTGCCACTACAACAAGCCATCAATCTCAATATACCTCAATAGTCGCGCAAGAGGTTGCAGGGTCATCCATGCTCTGTCAAGAGCTCGATGCCATACAGACTCCTCAGGAGCTCCCTGCTGAGCCCTTTAGTCGGGGTTCTGACACCGAATACCTCTCGGAGTCGAAGGCCCGACACAAGAGTCGTGATTGTATCAGCAGCCCTGATGAGAAGGTCGATCTGAACGTGTCTCAAGACTTCGACAATCAATCTACCGTCGAACGTCCGGTGTCGCGAAATGAGCCGCGGAGTTGGTCAGTAACCGTTGCCGGACCAGACTTTACAAAGCTCGTTGACGAAAAGGGCCCTCGTCTGAACGATCAGACAATTGATTGTGCGAATCCTGCGTTATCGCCTGATACTAGCTGTCAGTGGCCGGGTCTGCAAGACGACGCAGGGATCATCGACACTGTTCCCACTCGTGACCTTGTCGAAGACCTTCGTCATGTATTCATGCTGATACACATTGAATGGATATTCAAGTTATTAAGCTCGCCTGAGCTCTATGTCTCATGCCCGTCGATGTCGAGTGAGACCGCTTTCGATCTCGGCCTAAGAACCTTGTTGCAATTCATACAGGGTGAACTTCCGAGGACACTTCAATCCACATTCACTTTGATGGAAATTACAATCGCCTGTGCTTACACTCTTTACGAGGATCGTGATATGAGCCTTTGGGAAGACTTATTTGAAAGTGTCTTGGGCTGGCAATATGCAATCAGTGACACCATCGAGCGGGCAATCTTTGTGCGCAGCATGAAATACTTGATGGGTCACCAGCATTACAAGGGTGTAATGTCTTATCCTTCCAAAGATATCATCCCATCACAGCGTCTGCCAGCTGCTGATCGCTCACAATATGAACGAGAAGTCCTTCACATCATGACTCCCGCTGTCCACAATCCTACTGCCGCCGAGCTCTCACAGGAGCCCCAGATGTATATTGAAGATAGTTTGCTCTGGAGTCAGCTGGGAAAAGGGCGAGCAATGAATCTTTGCTGGGAGTTTCTTGAAGGTGAGCAGCGACCATGCATGCTGACGTATCTCGCTAAGCTGTGTTTCTAGACATCGCCTATGCAGAGTTACTGCTGCGGTCTGTTTCACCGCTGCAGGCTACTACCCTATACAGTCCACGACACATGGATATCATTGTTGACCTGGAAACTTTTATCATCGCTCAGCTACGGTCCTATCGTGAGATGATCGTGCTTGAGGATGTGATTGACAGCACTGAGCTACAAATATACAACGGTCTCTTGCGTGATCCACGAGAGGTGGAAGTCGCACTTCTTTACTATTGCAAACAACATATGCCGAGATGGTCATCGATGAAGACTCAACCTGGGCAGCCAAACAACAGCTCCCAGGCGCGAGAGGCATGTCGCCAGATCATCTCCCATGTTTGCAACCAACGTATGACAGCTGCAGGGTGGCGCAACCGTCACCGGGCAAATGATATGAGAGTTGTACTCGCTATTGCGCGCGAACAGGAAAGAGACCAGTGCCCTGTCAGTCTACCAACATATGAAGATGCCGTCAAAGATCAATTCAATAGCGCAACTGCTTCATCTCCTTTATCGGAGGTCCAACTCGATCCAGACCTCTATGACCCTACTCCGGAGTCTTCCAAGGGCAAAGCAAGAGGCTCGTATACACTCATCCAGCCTAACGATCCCATGCCTCCGACCTCTGTTAGTCAAGTGCAGGATTTTGCTTCGCTCCATGAAGCAGATGGACCCACTCCATCAACCTCCTTCAGCCAGGCGCCTTACTACGCTACTCTCAACCAGGCCGAAGGGTCTACGCCACCGACCTTTGTCGGCCAAGCGCAAGTATCACCCACTGTCACTGAGCCTGACCATACCCCGCCGCCAACCTTCGATGGGACCTTTCTGCCAACGCCACCATCTTCGCAAGGCTCTCCGCGTTCAGCCACACAAATGATCAGATGTCGCTATTGCCACCGCATGCATACAAAAGGTAATCTAAGTCGCCATATCAAGAGAATTCATGAAGATCCAAAGACGTGGTCATGCCATGTGTCGACCTGTACGTCTACATTCACACGTAAAGATGCCGTAAACAAGCACATTGGCAAGGTTCATGGTGGTGTCTCTCTGCAACGACAGGGTGCCAAGAGACTGAAGAAATGACGATGCAATGCATTAACTATTGCCATTACTGTTGAAGTGGAGAATTTGGTCCTGGTCTGAGCTCCGAGAGTATCCTTTCTTTATTTTCGTTTGGAACGAAATGGGAAGTTTCATTGCAAGCTGAGCTTGACATATCATCGATATTTCTTTACGTAGTGTGTAATGTCTCATGATTCATGATTTGAAGTTTCTGTAACACGCTCCAATAGTTTGATTGGGTCCCTTCGAAATTGAAATCAAAAGGTATTGCTTCTGGCACGTTGGAGGCGAGCGTGGCCGCCCAGACCTCTCAGGTGGAGGAGGATTCTGAGGCGAATCATCCTCCGCAACAACCAGGCTTCCCCGCATTCTTCCGGAACATCATTCATTACAAACATCCCCCTCGCCAAGATGTAGTGGTCTCACTTCTGTGTTGGCCATTAGTCAAGTGCGAGCTATTTTACCCATAATCTGTGGCTGCCTGAGGATAGTCTGACCAATACTATCTTTTCCTCGCCTTGGGCAATTACGCGTCGAGGTCATAGCTCCAGACATTATCTTCCGAATGTGGTCTTCGAATTAACAATCAATCATCGTATCTTCCTCCCTCAGGACAAATTTAGATCAGTCATGATGGAGACCCCTGCAACCGTCTCCAGCCGAAAAGGAGGGCCTCAAAGATGTACGAGTGCAGGTCACCAGGAATAGACGGAGGAACTTTGGAGGACTGGAAACTCGTAATCATACCCGTCTCATGAGGACGTACTTGAGGTATAAGAAGCACAGCCCAGACGTCACAGTAATGGCACAGAACATCACATAGACAACTTCCAAAGTATCAGATACCTCCTGTGATCTACACTTCCCACTGCCAGATTACTTCAATCTCAAGTCATTTGTACTTCCGAGTGCATTTCTTTCATCATCCCCAAGTCATCGTCACAGCTGACTCACGACAAAGTACGATCGCCATGCCGTAAGTCTATTCTACTCCGTAAATCCCACAACTCCGTTCCTTTTCCTTTCCATTGCAACTGAATGCTGCTAATACCTCGGAATCTGCACTCCCACAATACCCTCTCTTCCCACACTATCTACAATACTAGTCTCTTTCGCCTTCCCCAAACTCTCAATCTACCACGCAACTCCCTTTGAGCCTCATTTCCTGACTCTCTCACAGTGACCACAAGAAAACAAAAGGGTCTCTCACAGCCACAAACCTCTCACACGTGCCTCATGACCCAAAGCACCAAGTCAACACCTGGAAGAAAGATACTCAGCGCCAAGAAACCATTGCTGTGGGCAAAAAGACCGAGACGAAACCCGGTCTGACTTCCGACAACCTTTCGAGACTTCAAGGTGAAAAACCGATCGATAAATGGGCGAAGCAGCCACAGAGCCAGGAGAGGTTTGCGCTGGGTGAGAAGACGAGGAAGTCACTCGGTAGTAAGGGAGACTGGTTGGGGAAGATTGGGGAGAGCGTTGATGGGAGGCGTTAGTGGTGAGATTGTTCGCTGTATACGAAGCGTTAGACAGGAGATAGAGGAGAGTACTTGTATGGGCATGTTTGAAGAATCTGCGAGAAGATGTAATGTGAAGACTTTTTTGGTGGTAGGAATGGGTATGGTTAGAGAGTCAGGGGTTAAATATGGTATTTAAATCGAATTGAGCCCCTTTTCGAGCAAAGCGACAATTGTGCGCCTTGTAGTTTGGGCGGTGCGTCTTTGATGCCACGCTATTTCTTGCCAAGATTTTTTACTCTTCTGCTTTCCATTAGGTTCATCTTTGATTGCTGGTAGAATTACCTGCCGAGGGGTGGTCTGAACATGGCGCTGCCAATCTCCATTGCCTAAAGTTCTAGGGGCAATTACAGGGACGTAAGCTCCAGAGCGCGCCTTGTAAGCCAGCATTCTACTGGGCATTGCCCCTATTTCCCGCCATATGGGGTTGGCATTGCCATGTTCAAACTAATCGACCCTTGTGCTACAGTCCTATTGAGACTGCTTTCGCGCAAGTTCCAATGCCTGCATGGACGCGTAACATTGAATGATGCCCGTGACCGAGGAAATAAAACCGAAGACGACTGTCAAGACGAAGACAACAAGGGCGATCCAGAATGTGTAATACTGCTGCAGATTGCGTTTGTCTGCCAAAAGCTGCGACCAGCCAGGTGCAGGGGTGTGAAATAGGTCATCAATCTCTAGTATCCGATCTTTCAAGTGATTGAAATGTCCGAGATGAAGCGGGCGATTGCGTCCGTATGATCCATCTAGTATTATATCCTTCTGTTCGTCCGCCAGAAACGACAACACAGATTGCTGGTTTGGGGGAAAGAGCAAATCAAGTGAAAGCAATATCTCCTGAAGAACAGATGCCGGAATCAGAGACCTACGGATGTCGGTTAATATGGGACTGATGGCGGCGTGCCTTGACGTACCACGGATGATGAGTTTCTTGGTCAGTATTTTCGGATATCGATTTCAAGAGCCCCAAAACGCAGCGTCTATAGGGGAATATGCGGACAGCTCGACGTTCTCGGTCGGTACGTAAATGGTCAGCAAGACAACTTGTCCACTCAAGCTTGACTCCGCTCCATCTAATGAGATTTGGCCCCGTCAGCGAGGGATCCAGCCTCGTGTCTATTCTTTCAAAGACTCCGAAATCCGAATACGCGGTTGAAACGCCTGGAAATTGGTTGCTGACAAGATCTCTGACCGGGATATTGTCTATCCAACTAATCGCAGGCATGCCGGGCGTTACAACCTTTCGGTTTGTCCTAATGTGGATCATTAGCCAGAGCCGAAGCACTAATTCCATACTTTCTTCGATAGCCTCCTCATGCGCATTAGGAAATAGGGTCTGTTTGGCCTTCCTTTTCAAAGCCCCCTTGGGTAAGTTGCTGTTGGCGGAGACGAAAAAAGCGAGGCTCAGAATGTCCGAATGAGTGGTTGCGGCGGCCTGACCGTGGGACCATCTTTGGACACGACTGTTCGCATAGTGTTTCTGGCATTCGATGAAATAATGTTTCTGAAAATAAACGTCTTGCTGAGAGATGCATTCATTATCGGTTTGATGCCAGAATGCCTCAGTGATCTTTGCCTGTGTTTCTGGGGTAGGCAGATGTCGTAGCGACTCATTGTTTACGGCCATCTTTCCAGCTTCTAGGTTTCATTCTCATCATTTCCTCAGAGCTAGAGAATGAGCATTTTGAGCATGATTTCGCGCTGAACAGTGTTGGTCTAGTAAGAGACTGGAGGTTCTTGGCTGCCGTCTGAAAGCTTCTGAGCCTTCGCTCGATATCGATGATTGTGTAAAGCTCTATGCGAGCAATTCCAAGTTCATCGTTGCCTGGACTTGCGACTCAACAGTTGGGTTTAAACAAAAAACAAGCTGGTGGCTGTACTTCGCCGCCCTTGATTCAGCTTCAGCCTTGCTGCAAGGCATAGGGGCGGCATTCCACCACGCCGTGTCATCATGCAGCCAAGATCACAATTTTGACCAGTAGAAATCTTGCTCTTCCATTAGCTCCCAGAGCCTTGTGGCCCTGAAATATGGCCCCCAGAGCCGGGGATTATGCTCGTGGCTTCTGACGCTGGATCTTTGGACCATGTGCAATTTCACTCGGAATTAAAAGCCTTGCAGTCATGGCATGACCACAGTGCTGGGACTCAATATTACATGGAGCTAGATTGACATTATTTGCGAGGTGTGTAGCTTGATGTAGACGTTCTTAGACCCGCGAGCAATGGAAATTGCGCAGGAAGAGGACGCTGTTCAATGGCCCCGCGCGAATGTCACTCAGCAACAACATCACAGAGTTGGTCATCTCAAACTTAACGAGCTCTTGCTGACAACATTCGAAAGACAATTGCATCGGCGCCTCTTCTATCGGAATTGTTTGTGTTTGCTGCCAAAGTGAGAGCCAAAGCCTCCTTTCCTCGGCCACGAAAATTACAACGACAGCGCAAAACAAATATCAATGGCCATTCAGTGCAGTTACCAGGCGATCGAACAGGTACGTTCGCTCGCGTTACTCTTTACCTGAACTCTGTCAAGCCAAGTTATAATTGATATTGAAGCAATTTAGCTCCCATCCGACCGTTGTCGCCGCAGAATGTGGACGTTGAACTTGAAGCCCAGACAATACCGAGTTTGAAGCAGATTCACGACACAAAAGACTACGGTCACATTAGAGTTGCTATGAACCTTGATCCGCCTGAAAATGATATGCAGGTATGGGAGTGTGAGATTATTAATCGCCTACAAATGGACCTCATACACGGGTTACTAAATTGCAAACCACGCGCCCGGGATTTCGCAACAGAATTCTTTATGGCTGGAAGCGACTCGAATACGCTTCGACCGACTATTGTAATTACATGTTACCATGAAAGTTGTAGGAAAGTCGTGCACAACATCCTGCACTCGCTCGATTGGCTCTCAAAGTATGAATACGCGCAAGAAGTCGTGCTAGAGCGTATCATTTACCTCGCAGACCTTGATAGAATTATGAGTAAGAGTTCCGTTGATGAAGCCTACGTGGAGCTTCAACAATTGAATGAGGGTGCACTTTGCGGACAGTACTTATCATTGCATGTAAAGACGGAGAAAATGTCAATTGGACAAGAGGACTTGTCTGTTCTTGGAGGCTTTGTTGTTTTTGATGAGCGTATATATGGACTCACCACATCCCATGGTCTATTGAATGTAGTCAGTCGCTTCAATCCCCGGGGTTATCGGAATGCTGACTAGTTGAAAACTCAAGGACGGTGGCATATCGACAAGTAAGGGATTGAACATCGAATTCAAGACTACAGGTACGTTTCTCAACACAATTCATTTTACAAATATCTATGACCTGGACTGGCGGTGTACTTGTTCAATTTGTCCCAAAAGGATTGACCTTGTACGTAGCTGCTTTACCAAGTCTACAGCGATCAAGGCGCGACTTGCTTGCCCCTTCAACGACTAGTATGGTCAAAACTAGCCATTCATGCAATCAAGGCAGTCTTGTACTACCTAGGGACGATGACGACAATGAAGCTTCTGACTGGGCTCTTCTCCCTATCAAATGGAAAACCATGGGGGTAAGAAATTCCTTCCGCTCCGTATCAAGTAACACTTGGATCGGCATAGAAGGCTACTGGTCTATCGATAGATTGACGGCTGGTCCGGTCGAGATCGTAGGACCACGGCAGACACGAGTTGTGGGCACGGCGTATCTGAGTGCTACCGCAGTGTCATTACACATTGATGGTGTTCGACTCAGTGTAAGGCGTATTACGACGCAAATACAAATCTGTACGTTCGTCGAATCTCACCAAGATGTAGTTGACGTACGCTCTAGCAAAAGGAATATCGGGAACCTGGGTCATCCGCGAAAGAAGGCTCTGTGGATATTTGATCGCGGGGAATCAAAGAGCTAACTTCGTATATATGGTACCAATCGAAAATGCCCTGAAAGCTATGCAGCAACACTTGGATTGTGGTGCGCCATCGGTCGCCAATGATGATATTGTGGCGGCGATAGCGTCTTGTGAATTTGCTCCGGTCGAACCAGATAGCCAGCCTTTGCATATCACCACAAAAGATCGACAGGTCGAAAGAAATTCATCTGGTGATGTGATAGCCTCAGTACCTATCTGGGATGAAGAGGCTTTGCTTTATCCGAGAATTGAGCGGCAGAGGCAAAATGTCCTTGTAATGGGTAAGCCGATTTTACTTGAGCAGAAAATCTCGCTAATGGCTCTATGCCATAGAGGGAGGAGGTGTACGAAGCTATTGGACGCTTCTCTTGCTGGAGGTCTTGATAAATTACATTGCAGAGTTAGAGGAGGCGTCAGAATCCACCCATAGTTTTCACCCTTTACCATACCCGGAAAACGTTTCCCAGATTCCGCTCACTTCCCAAGAGGGGGCGCACACTGATCAGTCCGGCATGATGGATGACGATCAAATTCGAGAACTTCCTCCCACTCGGAGATATCTTCCCTGCCACTATTTTGACCTCATCTGTGGTGAAAGGACTGGAGGGTAACGTTGTCTATTCACGAAGGACGCCATACTGACGGGATGTACAGGCTACTAGCAATCCTGCTAGGCCGGCTTCGTATGACGATTCAGGATGCTAAATTTGAATTTGTGCAGCTAAGTCGTGAGATATATCGCAGACCTCGAAAATTTTACGTCCTTCGATCAAAGCTTAGACTTGGCCATGATAACAAATATAGCGCGAAGTCTTTGGAGAAGCTACTTAGTGGTCTGAGCTTGAGACGCAGCGAGCGGCTTGAGCAAATACCTGGCTACACTATGTTTGAGAGCGCTAGAGGTCTTTGTAAAACGTTGGTCATACTTTTCTTTCGTGTGTCACAAACTACTTGCCTTTACTAGGCAGAAGAGTGGGTGGATGGGCTTTCGTATGGCATATTCCATCGGAGTTGCATTGTTAAGGCAATGAATACGAAGCAAATGGTAACTACCGACTAATTCTCTGACTGTATAGATTTGTTTGGTCCTCGGCCAACCCCAAAGGCAATTTTGAACCCTTTCTCATCCGCTCATACGATCGCGTAACATCGAGGGATCACTCATCGCCACAACACCCTAAATGGAAGACCGGGAAGAGCAAAAAGCAACATATGATGGATGCTGAATACGAGAAGGCTCAAAAGTTTGAGGTATGGCAGGTGGCCCGTGTGGCGATGGTAGCACCTGGATATTTCAAACCTTTGAGAATGAGCAGTGCTCGCAATGCAGCGCAAATCACTTTCAGAGACAATGCTCCTCATATACGATGTGATGAAATGGCAGTGGATGAGGTTGAGATATACCCTGGACGGAGCATTCTCGGTAACGTTGTCGACATTGGTGACCCTCGCAGTACACGCACTGAAAAGATCATAACGTACCCCAATTTGCCTTCCTATTTTGGATTCAATCCTCATAGTTTAAAAGATATCAACATGGACGCTTGGAGCCCCAGACGATCAATTTTCTCCCAGAAAGTCAGTGGTTCGCAGACTTTAGCGGACATCGAATGTGTGTTTATATCGTGGACAAAGGAGGATGGTGTACGCGAATTATTACAACGGTGTGCATCTGAACTGGTCGCAAAGAGAAGAGGCAGAATGATCACACCTGATTGGGAGCGATATGCTACCGGAGTTGTATACTGGTGTCCTCAGATTGGCTGCGACGAGGAGTGTTTCGATCGGGCGACCTTCATACGCCAATTGACTGAAATTCATGACATCGACCCGCTGGAGGGTCTTGATGACTTGCTAGATAAGTGCAGGAGACAGTGGCAGTACCAACCAGGAGCAGCTACTTCTAGAACATCCCGCACCAAGCGGAACTTCGTCCACTTCGCCAACGACCCAAAGAGAGAAATGATGTAGCTACATCAGAAGGAATTTACTCCCAGAGCTGTCTCTTTGGGGTATTCACATCCCGCCAACAGGAAATTATTCCTTGAGACTGCGCAAATTGAGGGTTCTGAGAGCGGCGCCATGGCTATGACCGGAAAACAAATCAAAAACCCTTACCACGAAATTGACACTATATTCTAGTCGCCTCTCATGATCATGCCCCTTGCTATGTCCTCGATTGCTCTTCACTCATAGGAGTGTCTACCACGTAAATTATCGAGAGCGCCCCTGATTCTCGCTGCTTTCGATCTTGATCGCTCAATTTATCAAGATAAAGATTTGTTAGCAGGATATTGCTCCTGTCATTCTTCTCGATATTCTTAGTCGTGACGATGGATTCTGTATCTGGGTCCACGAATAGGGCAGGAAAGAGGCTCGTCCCTGGAAGGAAGACTTTTTGAGAAGTCGCTTTAGCGAACTGTGCTACTAGTAATGATATGAGAAATGTCTAGAATACAGCGAATGACTACGCACAGACGTCGCTTTCTTTCATCACTTTGACGGTCTTTTCATTGAGGTTGGTGCAGTCATAGACGAGTACATCTCTCGACTCTTCTGCTGCCGCTTCGGTAGGTTGAGATACACTTTTATGATGAGGCATTTTGGATATAAGATCGAATAACCATTGAAGCCTCATGATCTGACGAAGTTACCGATGTCTGATTGCTGCTTGGAGATATTGTAGAAGGGTAAGACTGAAAGATATTTATACCAAATGCTCATTGAAGTCAGCAGTTGGGGTAGAAGACAGGTGTACCACCTGTTGCAAGGTATCAAATCCCCCGCCAAGCATCCTTTCTATCAATCCCATTGGCTCTAACTGCATGCACCGACAGCAAGTTTGAAACTTGTACCATGCAAAACGTGGACCAATCGCTTGACACGGCCCACGAACACTGCAGATTGCTTCTAGCCAGCTAACGCACCAGCTGAGGGAACAAGTCTGTCAACAATCATAGTAGCGAAGCCTAAAGATTGAGGTACGTATAATCCATAGTCTCTCGAACTCAAGGTCCTTGGACCTTGTTCCGCGATTATCTGAACCACGAAGGTTGGGTTAGATTCATTCCAGTCTGGGGCGTGGTCCGCACGTTGGTCAGATTACCGGGGCTTGAAAACGCTCTGAAGTTGGAAAGCGGCGACTTGGGTAGCCAAAATGAGCTTTGTCTGGAAGCGGTAGCTCAACACAGCTAATCTTCGCGTTGCCTGTCATCGAGTGACGGGCCTCTTCCGAAGATCTTCATACATATGCGAAACTAGAACGCCTGTATAACCTATCTGTCGAGAGTCGGAAAGTCTGGATGGCCGGATGCGCCATAAAGAATCACATGTGTAAATAATCCAGTCAATCTCGCTTGGTGCTTTCCCAATTTATTCATTATTACCGAAGGATTCTGCACGTAGGCGGAGCTTGGAAAGCTCTGTGCTCCTGGTGCTCGGAGCGAGGGAGGCTTCACGAAGGAACGACGCGAGATACTTTGATGGTAAGACTGGACAAAGAAAGCAAGCTGAGCTTCGCTCCATATTCATCCAATATTTTGATGCCGTCCGAAGCTTTTCATGCTGTACCGAAGCTCGGGTGTCTAGAGACCCAGCCATGAGATTTCCACTCACGAATTCTTGCGTCCGATGACCTAGCATCCAGTTCGACACAAGAGATGAACAATGTTCGCTTCATGCCCATCTAAAACTCTGAATTTTTCCGAAGATGATTGTTCTACACCGAAGAGAAGGGCCTTGTGCTCCATTGATGACTTTTGCTTGCAAAAAGTACACCAAAAAAGCTCAGGCGAGCAAAATCAGCGCCACAAATGTGATTGACTTCGGTATTGATACATCAAAGACTAGAATCATTTCCGAAGAGTATTGTATCCCTCCGAGACTAAGAGCTCTAGTGTTGCCTTGAGAAACGGTCCTACTTGCAATACCGCAGTATATCACAATATCGAAAATCAAGCACATTGAGTCTCGTATCACTCTCTTCTTAAGTATCCTGATCTCCCAAACAAGTACGTTAGCCCCAAAGCTAAGGGACTCATGTGTTGGCCAGCATGTTCTATGGTTCCCCAAAGCACACGCAGAAAAAATTCTTTTGGACCCAGAGACACAAGCTTAATAAATCTCGCTTCATGCGTTCTGAATTCATGTATCCTTTCCGGTCGTCGGAATGGCGATCCGAAGGTTGGTATTCGACTAATTCATCAAAACCGTCCTTGTATATAACGTTACCGCAGATGCACATTTGGCTCGTATACAAAAGTTTGATGCACACGAAACTTCGCTTTGGGCCCAATGGAATCGGCTATCTCATCCGAAGATGCTCAAGTATATCCGAAAGTGAAATTCCTGTTAGGGTTCAAAACAAATGCCACTCATGAGAATGCTACCTAGAGAAACACCTTACCCGCATACGCGAAGCAATAATGCAAGAAACTTCGGATTAGGCTCAATATAAGCGGCTTCCTCATGCGGAGATGCTCATACATATCCGAAGTTGAGATCATGTTGATTTTCAAGACATATGCCACACTTGAAAATCTGCTTAGAGGAATACCTTTACTTGTATATATAAAATGATAATGCAAGCAGCTCCGGATTAGGCTCATTGAATTCGGCTATCTCATGCGAAGATGCTCATACATATCCGAGGTTGAGATCATGTTGATCTTCAAGACATATGCCGCACTTGAGAAATTTGCTCAGAGGAATACCTTGCCCGCATACACGGAACAATGGTGCATGAAATCTCGCCTTAGGCTCATTGAAACCGGCTATGTTTGCCGAAGATTCTCATGCCAAAGCGAAGCTCTCACTGTTCAATGCCCGGAAGAAAGGAAGGAAGATCCGTGTGTAAGAAAAGCTCGAGCGTGCAAATATTTGAAAAAGACCCAAGAAACTTTCCGGTTCAGGCCCTGTAGAACCGGCTTTGTTCTTTACCTATCCCTGATATCAATGGGTATCTTAGCACCTCATTTTTGGGTGGGGGGAACGCTAAGTCAGCGCAGATGCCGCGTAAAACAAGAACGGGTATGGACAGGTAGGATTAAACTTCAATGGATTTCGGCCAAGGCTCTCGAAGACCGGCTTTGTGTTCCGAATCTTTTTACATGTATGCGGAGGTGGGTGCCTTGTTCGTTTGGGAGGAAGATGTAGATTTCCAAAATTCCACTTCCGGCAAGATCGGTGATGCATACACAAGAATCGACCTCAAACGGTTCCGGATTTGGCTCTCGAAGACAGGCTTTGCATTCCGAATCTTTTTACATGTTTGCGGAGGTGGGTGCCTTATTCTTTGAGAGGGAAAATAAAGATTTTGACCATCCCACTCACGCCAGAATTGGTGATCGACCCTCAAATAATTCCGGGATAGGCTCTTTCATTCCGGATATACGTTCCGAAGTTCCCTATTAGCATGCGAAGATTGGCATTGTGTTAGTTCTTGGAGCTATCTAGGCGTGCAGAACGCTACCGAAAGGGGGACTCATTTGCGGACATACAGGACAAGACTTGAATCAATCCCGCCTTAGGTTGGCAAATACCGGCTTCGTTTTCCGTAGATTCTAGCACCTACGCGGAATTCAGGATTGCATTCATTCATGGAAAATCCCAGCGCGTCTACAAGCCACATAGGAGACGCTGCACTGAGTGTATGCGGAGATGCCGGCTGTGATCCCGCTCTAAGTCTGTCCGTATGGTCTTCGTTTGCCGCAGATTTTGGCGCTATTCCGGAGGTCAGATGTTTGTGCTTGCCCTTGGGAAGGTCTACGGTGCGAGACGCTAAGCAAACCGAATTCAGCCGCATTTACACGGATGCACAGATCGATATTTCGCTTCAGGTCTCGTGACATATTTCAAGCTTTCCGGAGAGTTTCAAGTCTTACCGGAGCCCAGCATATTCTTCTTTCAATGTGGAAGGCCTGCGCTTCAAAAACATGCGGGAAGAGACAGAGTATTTAAACCTGGAAACGCCGCTGACAACTTCGCTCTGGGCTCTTCAGAGCCGGATACGCCCCACGAAGATCTTTATGTTATGCCGAAAGTCAAAGTCATACTCCTTTGACAAGGAAGAGTCACGACTGCAAAAGCTAACATTCGCCCAGTTGATCATTCATATACACAGAAACAACTCCAGCGTTCTAGACTAGGCTCTGTGAAGCTACCATGCTCTTGCGGAGATCTTTGTACCACGCCGAAGCTCCGAAACTTAAGTATCAGGTAAAGTGAACTAATCATAGAAAGACCTGCTAGGATTTTCGAAGACTTTCGTTCAAACTTAAGACCGTAGAACTCCGGTATGAGTCCCCTGAACTCATCGAATGTCTCCGCAACGCCTTGCAGTCAAGCGGAAGTCAGAATTGCGTTCGTTGGGTGAAATTGGTACGTGCGCTCCTGCGGCGAAAATGGTCAACGTGGGTGGAACATTATCTATCGTGATGCTCAAAGCTCGAGAAATGTATTTCCCGCGCAGAATCTCTGACTTGAAGCATTTCACGTTGCGGAAAATGCTAAAACCCAATGCTATCACTTGTGGTTGGATCAAAGGATCTCAACTTAAGATTTCCACATTGCTTGAGCAGATACGTCAACATCCGACACGAACATTTCGGACAGAGATTTTTAGCTTCGGGAGCCTGTAAAGGATATATTTCTCGCGTCACAAGGTGTTCCGAAGTCGATCTCAAAGGAAGGGGCTATCATTCATTTTTGATACGGAATCTGACCACTATCAGCAAGCTCAATTACTTATCTTACAGCTATCACGGCATGGATTAATGGCATTTGACACACGCTCAAGTGATAATTAGTCCATCCGGGCCCTTCTCTGCAGATGTGGAGTTCAAGATGTCAAAATGCCTTGACCACCTAAGAGCGCAGCACTTCGACAATTCCAACTACATGAGTTTCGGACAAGGTCAAATCCCTTCGGAAGGAGCATCCGAAATACTCCCACCCTACCGGGACATTTCTCTGGATGTCCACGGGAGTCCGGTGACTTTGAGCTGAGGCCACGTCAACCGCAATTTCTAGCAGCGTCTCCCGACCAGCATTTCACCATTCCGCTTCATGACTGTAAGCTTCGGGCGTATTTGCCGGACAAGTCCCTCTTGTCCCGGTGTTTTCAAATAAGTATCCGGGGAAAAGCGATTTCAGCTCAGAATCCGAGACAAATCTGCTCTGGATGAGAGACTTCTGTTCCTGATGTCGGAGTATTTTCGGATCACAAACACAAGCTTCGGAAGCGTCTTCCGAGTCCTTTCTTACTTGTCCGGATTTGTTTGAGACACTGACCTGAATTTGAAGCGAAGCACGTTTTGAGATAATCTTACTACAAGGAACATGTGTATATCACCCACTCCTCAACGTTCCGCTCTCTAATCATAAGTTTCGGATACATTTATAGAGTGATTGCTTGGGAGTCCGGGCTCTAATGAGTTGCAGCAGGAAAAACGCGGACAAATTTCAGGACTCGAGGCAAACCCACGGCGAAGAACAGACAAGTAGTATGCATATGACAGCATCCTGCTTCACTTGTACCAGGTTCGGGTGCATCGATTGAATCCGTTTTAAGAGTTCCGGTGTCTTCTTACCTGCACATGCGGAAAAGCGGGATAAGGTGGCATCTCAGGCAGATCGGCAGAGAGAACCAAGTACTAAGACCCTATGATAGAGGATTTCGGGTGATTAACAGTAATTTCGGCTATCTTTGACGGCTATTCTCAAAGTTCTCCGAAGCTGATTGATGCACATTTACAGGAAAGCGGAGTCAGTCATGATCACAAGTAATTTCGCTGAAGAACACAAATACTCAGTCACTGAATCACAACATATCGGATCAATTGTCGCGGCTTCGGATCCGTTTGCCGGTCATTCTCCTCATCATCCGGTGTTTCCCGGTGTACGTTCACAGAAAAGCGGACTGCTCGAGCGCTCAGGTCATATTGGCTGCGATCTAGGGAAACGAAAAGACATTGGACTTCGGACAGCTAGTGTGAACTTCGGAATGGCGGATTGAATACTCTCGAGCCTGGGAATGAATGTATAAACAAATACAAAGAAGGGTAAGGTAGGATCTAATTTCGGATATTTGTCTATTGACGCCGCACTTGGGCGTAAAGGGATACACCTTAGGCCAGTCAGAGCAATCGAAAGGGGTAGGTTTGTTGTGCTTCAATCCTCAGTATTGTGAACGAATGGACATCGATGAACAAATCCAGGTATAGAATGGTAACATCAGATGTGATAGACTTATGATGATGTGGTAATCATATTCTTATTGTTCTTAGGTTAAGGAGTGATTATTACATATGGGAGTAGGCTCCTTATATACTCCATGATTCCTTACACGTTTCTAAGAGCTAGTATCACGTTTGCAATGTGTCACTCATTTATGTGACACTCAATAAGATGTACCAATGATTGTACTTGCGGGAAAAGCATTATCATAGCCATTCAAGGTTGTTGAATGTCTTATTCTAGGCATTCCAACTAAGCTGTCAAAGTTGAAGAGACCTCCAATTCAGTATTCAAATGCAAAATCAGCCGCCTTCAAACCTTACTCATTGTGAGTCTGACTAAAATCTAACAAGCCGAATTCGTTCAAGGTATATGCATGATGTGATGGATCCAAGTACGGAGTTTCCAAGTCCCTTTGACCACTCCGAGGGATCCTGACTAGGTGGACTTGATGAAAATCGCGCCTCAAATGAGTCATGCATTAAACTATTTGGCATTTCGCCTTCAACAGCTGCATATACAAGTCCGCAAAATCCATTTTCTTGGAAATTTCTGGAAGTGGATATTGCTCTCCTTGCAATGGTCGCTTGAAATATCACTGAATTGGAGGAGATCAAAAGGCAAATTCCAAAGCCGACGAAAGGGGTCAGAAACACTCATGTGCAAGTGGGAATCATTCAGCTTCATTTTAATTATGACTAGTATCATCTATGCAAAGTAGGATTGTGCTGCCTACCGTACTTATAGAGTGAGTCTAAGCTCCGGTAACCTTAGCCGAGCTGGCTCGCTTTCAGCTGCAGGTTTGGTTAGCATCAACTAACCTGCATGATATCTGCCCTACAAGGCATATTTTGGGCTTTCTTGGCGACAGGGAGCCCAAAATCCAGGCTAGCCTTAATTGAATGAGCCGGAAGGATTGTGAGTACGCCTTGCTCAGCCCATTGGCTCCTGACCGAGTGCTGACAGTGCACAGAGTTCTTCATATAAGAACAGCTGTCCTTATGCTGTTGCCACTTTCTCATAAATTCCTGGCCTGCGCCCAGACGACCTCTCGTCGTTCGCAACGTGTACACAGCAAACTTGTCGGACTTCCAGCAGGTACTTGACACGTGAAAGAGGAAGTCAAAATGGAACATGATTTTGGTAAGTCTCACCCTGTGCCTTGTACGCCATGGATGCACGTACAAGGCTTATGAAGCCTGATCTTCAATACTTTCCGAGCCTACTTCAAACACTCCTGCGTTGTGCGCGCTGTGCCTATTGGCTACTTGCATATTTTTCATTCGCTCTAAAAACTACTACTGGTCATACTATTCTTCAAAATTCGTGGTGTGCTTCAGTGGACGGGATGGCTTGTTTGCCAGGGCGCGTGACCCTCCCACAAACTGTTCATGGCCGGGAACTTGTGGCCCCTGAGTCACAAAGGGCTCTTTGAAGCCAGTTTTTTGCACACCTGGTGCGGCCTTGTGTACAGAGTCCGTGCGACTGGTGCACCCGTGCAAGCCGTGACAACACCACCTACTTTACATCGGACATAAGAATCGATAAATCCGCTGGCATCGTTCAGAGTCAAGAGAGTGTAAGCTGATAATACGCCAATCTGAATAATCAACTCCAGAAATCATTCACCGCATAGTGTCAGCTTCTGCTCAAGCCCAAGTGAGTGCTAGCCCTGCATACAATTTCTACCCTCTTACAACGCCAAAACCGAAAATTGAATGATCCTGATGGTACTCTTCATGCTTCTTGTTCTGGCCATCGATGTGTCTGTGATGATACCTCGCTCACAGGCGCAGCACTCATCACGTAAAGTGTCGAGAGTATCCCAAAAAAGCGCTGCAGCTGGTGCCGTCTGTCCAACTTATCGAGATATAAGTTCGTCAGAATGATGTTGCTCCTGCCGTCCTCAGTGCTCTTCGTCGTGACTTCTGACTCCGTCTCTCGGTCTACAAATATCGTGACCTGACGACCATTCCTAGGGAGGACCACCGTTTGGCACCCATCTTTGTCTGATTGTGCTAATGCTGTTAGAATGCTTACGATCTAAAACCGAGCTGCTTACGTATTTTGCTTGCGTTTTTAACCTTGACAGTCTTTAGGTCGCAGTCGTAAAATATAACGTTCTTCGAGTGCGGGCTGGAAGGTCGTTTGTGCACCTTCGAATGTTCTTCTTGTTCATCCGCGGCGGCAGCAGATTTAGCCGCAATCTCAGCATGATGGTCCATAGAAGTTAAAGTCAAAGTTTCTGAAGACCGTAGTGGAATCAACTTATCAGAAAGATCAGATAATGGCTGCAGGAAGGGAGCCACACTATAAAAGATCTCGAGTAACTCTGTCATTTGCCGCCGCCCACCGAGTTCAGAAACCAAGGCGCGTGACCGGGGTTCTGCCTGCATGCAATGGAACGAAGGGAGAGGCCCCCAAGGCAGACTTCCACGGGGCAAACTTGATCTGACCGCAGGTACGAAATGCCGCTTTCAGCTTCCGACCTTCGTTAATGCCGACCAATCAGTTTGATGCCGGTCCCACCATTACGCCGATTTGGAGGAACATCTAGGCACGTTTCGCCCCCCATTTGAAGCGCCCATCTCTTGGCATGTGGCTACTAAAGCAGTGCTATTGATATGGTCATTGGTTTGAAGCCACGGTCTTGGCTTCATGCAGATCGTGCCTGCCACTTTTGGGAATCATCTTCGTTAAAGGGGCGCCAAAATATTTGGCACCTTCTTCATTCGAGCACATTCATATTGTCAATTTCAGCAATTGGATGATGGGCACTCACGAATATATACTATTCCGTGGAGGGTTTGGCTCGTCACCCCTCCAAGTCCAGCTACGCCACGAAATAACATGGTCAAAGCAATGCGAGAAGCTTGTTCTCACCGAGACTGTGAGGCTCTGCAGGGTTCTTCGTTCGGGTGGAATCCTTTTAATAGCAAAGCGATGCGCTTGGACGACAGCGGTGATATTGACTTTTCATAATCCCTTAGCTTTGCTCAGAGATGAGACTATAGCTTGAGTCCAATGGCTGCTTCAACTTCGCAGAGCCATCAATCACAGCATGTTGCCACTTCTGCTCTCGAGGACGATACCTCGCCCGTATCCACCGACTGGCAGGGCCAGAGTGAAGCAGACGCACAATGGCTGAAGCACAACATTCTCAGTTTAGGTAGGCTGCCCTGTCCTCATTCCGTTTAACTCATCTAATTAGAATTCGCAGACGGAGGTGGAATCCGTGGTTATTGGACACTTTTAGCCTTGGAGAAGCTGATGGAGCACATCGCCGAGATAGAGGAAGACTCCACGCAGACTTGGAATAGCTTCTCTCCTGAAAAATTTCCTAGAAATGTCTCTCAAATCATCACGGACGAGGAGCGACAAAATACCAACCGCAACATATACGATGACGAAGAGGCACTCCGCGCGCTTCCTTCATCTAAGAGATATCTTCCATGTCACTACTTCGATCATATTTGTGGTTCGAGCACTGGCGCGTAAGGTTGAACATCTCGCCGTCGAAACTCCGCTGACTTATTGCAAAGCCTCATCGCAATCATGTTGGGGCGGTTCCGCATGACCGTTCCAGACTGCAAAGCAGAGTACAAAGTCCTAGGTGATAAAGTCTTCGGTAAACCTCGAATCTTCTTCACACTTCGAACTCTGGTTGGAGATAGGCACAAATATAATGCGAAGCGTTTGGAAGATATGTTCATAGACGTCTCTAAACGACGGGACGAAGAGCCAGAAGGATGGTATGGGAAGATTACATTTCCTCTTCGGCGAGACCTATGCACCACGTAAGACAACCATTCTTTTAATCATTAATCCACGCTACTACTGCTAAAGGTTGCTTGAAAGTCAAGGTGTGGACGAGTCACTGGCTACTCGATCGTATTTGAGTCAAGGAGGCGCATTTCCATTTGTGGCTTTGGTCTGACTTGAAGATCGCAAACTAAAACGTCGGCAGATTTGTAACCACTCGAAGCAAGACAACGGACGAAAAGTCAGACCAGTTGTACCTGATACGCTCCTATGATCACGAAAAACGTTCGACGCCTCAGGTTTCAAAACAGCCTAGTCGGTCGAATACCGACATGTCTCAATTCAGTAACCGACAACGGAGAGCTCGTAAGAGCAAAGTCGATGTCAACTATGAGAAAGCTCAACAATTTGAGATCTGGCAGGTTGCACGGGCAGCCACGGCAGCACCCCTATATTTCGAGCCCTTGAAAATATACAGTACTTTTGGGGGGCGGAAGACTGCATCGAATTTACCGACGGAGGCTTTGGCGCAGAGAACAATCCTGTGAAGGAAGCAAAACAAGAAATTGAAAGCCTCTACGGGCCAGAATCTGTCGGAATCCTCGTCAGTGTGGGGACTGCACGTAAGACTACACCAGAAAGAGCAAAGTCTTTCCTCACAACAATGCCAACACAGGGGAGGAATATGGCTAGTAAGGCCACCAACCCCGAGAGTGCCCACAAAGACATGCTGGAAGAGACCAACAGAGATGAAGCCTTCCCATATTATCGGCTCAATCATCCCGGCGGCTTGGAGTTGGAGCTAGATGCCTGGGAGCCGAAACAGTCAAAGTTCCGTAGCAAAAACCAGAGCGGGTCTCAGACGATAGATGCTATTGAGAATGCCTTCGGTCACTGGGCACGAAAAGTAGACACACACCGAATGCTAGAGGAGTGCGCTTCCGGGTTGGTTGAACGAAGAAGAAAACGCATGAAGACGGCGAGGTGGGAGCGATATGCCACAGGCGCAAGCTATGAGTGTCGCGAGCAGCGCTGCACCAAAGTCTGTTATGATCGGAAACAATTCAAGCGTCATCTTTCCGAGGTACACAAGATGGACGCTGGCCGAGTCCAAACGGAGGCATTGGTTTGCAGGAAGCATTGGCGGTATCAGGATCGCAAAAACACCAGCGGACACTAATTTCTTGGAAGCATGCATGGCCTTTGGATGGCCCTTTTGATGTTTTGTAGATGATGTATACTCATGTACAAGTACGAAGGCACGAACGGGCGTTTCATTGCTTGGAATAGACGATAGAGCCACAAGCCCTGGAAAAGCGTTGCTTAATTGCCATTTTCAGTACAGTGAAGGCGTTGGAAATGTATTCCCATGATATGCTCTTGAAGCCGCAGCTCGTTCTTCGATCATTTTCCAAGCTGACAAGCTGGCTTGAATAAATAAATAAATAAACAAACAAAAGTGGCAGCGCATTGACGACCAAGCTTGGTGAGCTGCATGCGCCGTGCCCAAAGCGGCTTAGTGCTTGGGCGTCGAAGACAACGCCCTATACTACTTCCTCCACCAATGAACTCGCCATATCTACAACATGACTTATCGGAACCAATGACGCTTTAGTGAATACCTCAAGAGTCGTCGACGCGCCCCGGAAATGACTACGCAAAGCTCCTAAGTACTCTTTAATGCCTGACAGAGATAAGTGCGTGGCTTGTCGATGCCCCGCGGTGATAGGCTTCCATCCAAAGCATCTCTGCAGTCAGCCTACCAGCAGCTCGTTCAGACTCATCATCGAATCTAGTGAGGAGTCTCAACACTGAACCGACTTCAAGGCTGCCGCTCATGCGTAGAAGGCTCGGTTGAGTACGCCGGAAAGGCTTACCATGGGAATCTGGATCAGCCGCTTGAAGGATGTCTATCATGTAGGTACTCCGCCTCTTCCATTAAATGTTGCAACTATAGATGGTAGCCTCGAACCATTGAGTCATGGACAAATCCTCGTCCTTTTCTCTCGCATGCCTGGTAATTGACTGAAGTCGAACCGAATCGTACTAATTTTGAAAGCGTATAATGGTCTTGAATCTGAAGATTCTTGTATCGCTTGCAACTTTTCCGTACTATCGGATCTTCCGGGGCAACACACTAAAGCCCATTCAGCTGATCGCAAGCTACACTGGTCAGCCAAACCAGATCAAAAAGATCTTGTACCACTTAAATCACTGGCAGGCACGCAAAATTGCAGAGCTTCAGTTCATTTCAATTGCCGTAAGTCTTCCCCTGGGTTGATACACTTATATTTCTGTCGTCGATGCAACTTGGCTAATACAGAAATGACAGTGTGCCATTCTAGCTGCTGCCACAATCGGCTCGTTCTCATGGAATGCAGTCATCGATGCTTACTGGCTAGCAGCTGCATTCTGGTACTCCAGTCTCATTCTCTCAATCCTAGGAATACTCCTATCAGCGCAGCAAATCACAGTATTCCAACTTCTCGGGAAACCTCCAAATGATCTCAAAGATCGTGACTCTACGATCAAATCCATCCGCCGTTTTTTGCCTTTGATCTTGTCCGAAGTTTCACCATCGCGAACATACGCAGAGACCGCGAATGACTTAGGGGAGATCGGCCGATGGCGACCCAGGTGGAAGATGGTCTTCATCTGGCAATGTCCGGTAATGTTCATGTCATATTCGGTGTCCCTCTTCATGGCTGGATTGACAATCTTTGTTTGCACGCCACTTATAAGATTCGAAGGATGGACGACAGGCGCCAATGTGAGTCTGCCCCATTCAATATTGACTTGCTGCCATGTAAACCCACCTGCAGAAAATTGACGAGCAAAAAGATCGCAGTATTCTACCTGGTGACGGTAGCACTGACCGGTCCTATTTTCGCCTTCGCGTCGTTCTGGATATACCATTACGTCGATTTGGAACACGACTTTGATGAGACCGATGAACACCCTACAGAAGGTATTTCCTGGATTAGTCAGCCTGTATTCGGATTGACTGGGGACCATTCATACCACACAGTCTCTACCCAGACTATGTAATAAGAAGAAAACAAATGATTTCCATTTTAAGGGCAAGTGTAAGCCTTAAAGAGGGGCATATATAACATATTCGGTTACCTCGCGAGTGCGACACAGGCGAAGCTTATGTGGCAGCTGTGTATGAGATGACTTGGAATCGCGTCTCTTGGAGCTTTTCAATAAGTCACTTAATCATATAGGATTTCGGTTGAACTTAATGTTTGAAGATTGTGACAACAATCACATTAGACATGTTATGGATCAGCAACGTCTTAATTTCGCGGTAGGAAGATTCAATCAAGACAGTGAGCAATAAAATGGAACTCTGCAAATTGTTCAGCCGTCTTCTCCGATCTTCAAGAAGGCCCTGTATTGGAATAGCGACAGAAAGATTCTACTAGGACGCTGAGCAATAATATTGAACCCTACAAACCATTCAGTCATCCTCCCAAATCCTCAAAAGGGGCCTTCTCCCCATCAGCAGCTCCAATAACCCGCACCCATCTATTACTGCAGAGATCTTGATAACATCAAAGAACTTAAGACGGAACCCTCCCCAAAGATTCTCACGTGTATCAATCAGAATCAATGACGCTGTTCCCTTGCCACCCACCTGCCCGCAATCCCTTCCCGCGAAACCACCATAATGACATCTCTAACCGGCTATCATACGCGCCTGAGCTTGCGGAAGGATTTATCCCGGTCGGAGAAGGCTGTGCCACGCGCAATCTAAACACAAGAAGTAATTACCGTACGGTTCAAATTTTGGGAATGCATTTGGAGCGTGTGTTGGAGGGCGTCTAAAGTAGTCTTGGCACAAGCGTCATGAGTTCGTGGTGAACAATCGAGTTTTGGGGAGTGGAATGGAAGGGGATGTTCTTGCAACATGCCTTGTAATACGCGCGAATGAGATTTTGGGTTATAAGTTGGTATGCTGACGGCGAGATTGCTGGTTTTGGTCTATTTGTGGCGTTATGTTCTGTGGATCTTTTATGAGATGTCAAATCGGCTTTAAATTTGAGCGCGCGTTGGGCATATTAGCTTGGAGGCAGCATATTTCATGGCGTCTCACGCTTCTTGAGATGTGAACATGAGCCCATCGGTCGCTTTTCCAAGTGGTACGTTAATGTCTAACCTCCTGAAGCGGGCATTAGTCAAGTGTCAAAGTGATGAGATATCCCTTGATCGCGTTGTTGCCATCCTCGCCACAGCCACGTATGTGACACCTTTGTTACAAATTGAGCCCTGAATATACTTTTCTCGCGGCCCTCAGGATTTGGGAGGCGACGGTGAGCGTAGTATATTTGTCATTTTGCGGATGTCCCCTTTCACTGCGCTCGAGCAAGATAAATCTCTCAAGAGTATACTGTCCTTGTTGCTCAAGCGATCAAGCAATTGACTTGCTCTCCCGGATAGAGAGACGTCTTGAGTGATTAGTAGCTGCAATTGGCTGTAAGTAAGTTTTCTCTTGAGCTGAAACCCACTAATGGAGCTGATGATCGGGTTTGCTGACTAGAGAAACAAGCGAGGAGTTCTAATGCTAGACCAATGTAGTACCATTTAGAAATACAATTCAGTAGAAAGAACGCTCGCATTCCGACCCTGTGGATGACGATGAATGAATTCGCTTTTGGGTCTCTTGCTGAGGTACAATCAATGATCACTCGCTTCATTGAGGCGCGCATCAGGGCAAAGGATGTTCATCCGTACAGGAATCGCACAAGATCAGGGAGAAATGCGGCTTTTGCAGCTACGTGTACTATGTGGGGTATCTGACTTACCGAACAAAGCCTTGAGCGCCTTCGCTAAAAGAATAGAACATCTGACTCGTTCCCTCCTCTGACGCTGTGGACTCTGACACCCGGCAGAATTGATGACTTACCATGCAAATTGAGCAAATGAAAATAGTAACAAGGAGCGTATCACAGTAAAATGAAATCCAGCTCATGGTCCAGTGGCGCAGCATGGGTGGTGCTCAATGACTCCATCGTACGTATTGCAAGGTTGCTCACTTCGGCCTTCGCAAATTTCCTCCATGGTCTTCGGCTCCCTTCTTTTCTTTGTTTTCTCTCCACGTTTGTGGCGCTTTGTGCGCCTTGGATAAGTTCATTGTCCGTGGCTGAATCATCTGAGATTGACATGGCGTCGCTGCCTATGCTTTGCTTATCGCCTTCGCCTGCTGAGATACTGGAAATAGACATGATATCGTTGCCTACGTTCAGTCGATCATGTTCACCCGCTGAAATTGGCGGCGTTGGATTCAGAGTCTTATGTGCTCTGACCTCGGGAGAAAGCGCAAAGTCCTGAAATGCTGGCAGAGGTAAACCAAGCCGGTGAGGAATTACGGCACTGCTATGCACTACTGTGCTAGAAGTGGGCCGCAGACCTTGCTCCTGCTGTATGGCCAGGTCGAGCTGATATTGGCGATAGTTTTTCAATCCCATCCTTAAGACAATTTCACGTTGTAGCTGGAACATTGGGTGCCGTAGCTTTTTAGGCACTTGTAGGTAATTGACCGGATTCAATACGTAGTCAAATAGCGCCTGGTGTACTTCCCACTCGACGCCTTCTATATTGGTCATCTCATCGAAGCTGATTCCAGGCATTTGGGCGACTTCGTCGTGTTCTGGAATACTTTCAATCTGCTTGTGTTGCCTCATCTGCTTTTTGTGTCTCCGTCGCTCCGTACGCACTTCTTTAAGAGCCTCTTTCCTTACCTTCAGCGCCGTCTTCAGGGGATTGCTGGGTTTGCCGACTCGGGAACGAGGTTTTACGGCTCGTATGTCATCCCGGTTCATTCGCTCGCCTACATCTGACTTGAGGATGTTGCCCTTGTATCCCCATTGACGTGCGATATTTATGACTTCTGACTTGACGGCATTCCTTTGGCGGGTTTTCTTAGCGCCCATGTCTTTGTCCTGGTCATTGTCCATAAGTTCATCATAATCAGTGTAGACATGGCGGATATGCGCAATGATCGCGATTTTGACCTTCTGGGCATCGGTAAACTTGTTACTCTCAATGACTGATTGGCTATGCTGCTTCAAAGTTTTGTGGTAAATCTTGTCAGCATTCGCGGTTGGAATATATGGTACGATCTCATGAATTGCCCTCGTGTGGCGTTGTTGTTCGCGTGTCTCCTTAAAGTCAAGTGCCTTTTCCAATGCCTTCTCCGTTGAGAATGCCTGTATCGCATCGTTAAATATTTCAATGGGGCAGTGGACTCCGAGGCGTTCAATAGTTTTCGGATTCTACATAGCATATAAGAATTCATTGTATATCTCATGAAGTGACAAGTGTGCACACATAGACAATGTACAATATCTTGCCAGACTCTGCGGTCTTGGCGCGGCTACACTGAGTTAGAACAGAGGCTTGAGCAACGAGGTATAGGGAACGATGAATTACCAATGGCGTGTCAAATGAGCGTTCCCTTTTGGCACGAACTCATAACCAGCAGGTGGTTTCAAGGAACTTTCAGACAACTAGTTCTGCTCATCAGGAACGAACCGAAAGTGGGATTATCTTGACGGACCTTCTCGAAATCATGTTCAAGCAGTGTCGAAGGATCTTTCGCCTCGAGCTTCTTCTTGGGCGAGATAGCTGATACTGTCATAGTGCTGTGCCATTAACATATACAGAATCGTTCGTCTTTGGACTGTGGTGAAATTATTGAAGTGGCATCATTCCTTTGTTTGTCAAAGGAATTTGAAATCGGAAGGTTTCGGAGCGGGAGCAGGCGCTGCCCGGTGCACGTGCTTTTGCTTGGCAAACTTGGCGTCATTCGCGACTGGATCTTTCAGCTACTTTTTTCTTGCCCTTCTCATAGGACTTGAGTCATTCATTCTTCAGTCGCACTTCAATGTCCTTTGAATGCAAAGTGCCTCGCAGTGTCTGCTGGCAGGCTCTTCGGCCCACTTTACACGACAAGGTGCAACTGGCTTTAGATACAACGCTCTCTGCAGTTGCAATTTTCTCGGGATAGGCACTTATCATGGCAGTAGGATATCGATTCGCAAGCGACAATTCAGTCTTGGTGTCGCGTACGTTCCCTCGAGAAGCCGCCAATGGCTCAGGCTGTGCTACAGCATGCACAACGGGGGCTGGCGGGGTCTCTCCACCTTCTCGTTCGATGAGGAAGCCTCAGTCGCCATGAACGAGGAGAAAGAGGGCGAAACAAAATACAAGAGAAATGAAGAGGATGTCATGAAAAGCGCAAGATACGAAGACATATTCGTTCCAGAGGAGCGTGAAGATAGTCAATTCAAAATCATGGACGAGCCTCAAAACATGCAAAATTGGGAACTTTGGATCGACCTGATGAAAGTCCAAGAGCAGACATACGGCATACAAGGTATTGCTTCAGTCTTCTTGAAGATTCAAGAGGAAGGGCTTGATATCCCAACGGAGGGGCGGGCAGCCGACGCACTATGGTCGAAAGTGCTTTCAGCAGGCCTTGATGGTGGGCTGGATCTCATGATGGTTGTAGAATACGCTAAGGGATTGGAAAAAAGGTCTGGTAAACACTGGGACAAGCTCTATGTCACGATCGTGACGGCCGGGCTACGAAGTAATGTGGCGCTTGCTTTGGATTGGCACCAGGTGCTAAAGGACATTTTCGAGCTGCAGCCCGCAGCTTATGGAGAGCTCCTACATTCATGTATAGAGTACGAGAGTCTCGAGGTTTTTTCACAGATCTACGGTGGCTGCAACTCGTCCCTGTATGGGACCATCATCCCAATTCTTTGCAAGCGAGGCTTGTTCGATACGGCGTTTGATTGGCATTTCAAACTACTCAGCGCGAGCGATCTTCCGGTACTCTTAGAGGATATTGAATCCTTACTTCTGCACTACGCACGCCGGGATGAGGAAATGTTTGGAAAGCTCACCACAAGCGTGCTCACCTCAAAAGCCATCAAGATTCAGCGCCCATTGCAGAAGTTCTTACAGAGCCAACGAAGGATCAGTAAGGAGGTTGCTGATCGGCAGTTGAGACTTGCAGCTCAATCCACCTACAAAGCTCCGCTGAGTGATACATTTTGCGCACGACTGTTCGCGACCCGGTTCTTTCGAGTCGATAGTGTTATCATAGGTCTACAAACGATGGGACTGGAAAGTTTGGGCCCATTGTCTGTACGCGAGATTGTCGTGCGCAATGATTGTGATATCACTGCAATTTTTCGTCATTTTGATCGTCTGCGTGACGCAGGCATCGCACTGGGTCTATCAGACTATATCATTTTGATCCGAAGGGCAATGATCGCAAACAAAAGATGGCTTCTACAATCCATTATGGATTTTGATGCTCATCCTGAAACGTATAAGGATTATGGACTTCAGGAAAAAATCTTTACCAAATATCTCGCCGTGAATGATGTGGTGGGAATGGAACGAACGCTTGCCATACTCACGTTACATAATGCAAATGATTCTTTCGAATCGAGAAGAATCAACATCATCTTGCGTGCATCCATGAGACTGCGACAGCGCGCGAAAATGACTTCACTTTTGGCCCAAATGAATGCTGCTAGTATCCCTTTGGAGCCTGCATCAAGTCGGACCATGCGCGTGACCTTGCTTAATAAAAGACGTACAGGCAAAGTTGATGTGATTGATGAAACATTACAAAATATTGATCTGCACGTTAATGTAATGAGAAAGACACTTGAAGGTGGCAGGTGTGTCCCCATCACCTCTTGGAAGGAAATCCTACGGCGCTTGGGAATGGCAGGGCGTCTCGCCGAATGCAAGTCTCTGGTTCTTTGGCTCGCCGAATTCTACATGAAGCATCCTGAACTAGGAATGGACAGAACGATGTCTTCCTGGGGTGCGCGGGAAGATGGCGAGTCGATTTCAGAGCCAACTTACGATCTGAGCCTGCCCAACGGCGATGTGTGGATGGGAACGAAATCCCTAAATCCCATATACCAACTCGAACAACTCTTCACAACCTCTGCTCAACATGCCTTCATCGCATGGGGTTTCCAGCAGGAAGCTAAACAACAATATAGCTGGTTGGTCATGCATGATAGTGCTGAGGAGCCCATCTATACATGGGGACTCGTCCTTCTGCGTCAATTACGGGATCGTGGTGTCAAAGTCAGCGATAAAGTAGTCTCACATTACTGCGAACAGCGACTGAGGACCCTGTTCAATGACAACTTCGTCTCTCACAGATATGTCAACCGATCATCTCAACGATTCCTGAAGCAAGAGCAAATGAAGACCGGAACGCCAAAGATTCGATCCTTTGCGATTTATTTTCAAGCTATGGAGAAAGCTTGGGGTCAGAAGCCATTTAGTCTGCCTCCTGCATTGCAGATTCGACTCGATAGATTGAGGCTCGACCAGCCGGACCGATAGAGTCAATTGTACGTGTTGGAGATAAAGCCTGGAGATTTAACCTTCCAACTATGGCATAAAATAAGATGACCTGGTTGAGTGAGACCTACTAGCTGAACAATCTTAGAAGTTCAAGCTGCGTGAGATACCATACTGTATTAGATAAAATTTTGTCGAAATAGTATTTTCATATTCCAAGGAGGTTTTTGTCGTTGTCAAACTTTTCAGCGATCACCACCCGCTTCTATTCTCTTGCTAGCACGCAAGACCACTCAAAGACTTGCTAGCAATCTGAGCTTTCTAGCTTACGCACCAACATTTGACCCGCCTCCTCGTCAATTCCCTTATCTAGATGCGTAGTAGACTCGTCCACCATGGCGATGCTATCCACAATTGCTGCCCAGCGCCCGCTTTGCCAAGCATTTCCGATGCAGGGGTATCTCATCCACCACGTAACCTCACGAGACCACAGAAATTGCCATTGACGACGATGTGTCAAGTCGCATACTGATATCAAGGCCGCTGATGCATTCAGTGAGCATCATTGTCGCCTTCCATGTTCCTTGACAGCCTACGTCAAGATCTCCGCACCCGGATAAGACCTTACGAACCCTTGCAAAATGGCGATGTCGAAGGGCCTGTTAAGCCGCGAGCTCATTGGCGGCAATTGGTTCCTCGTGGTAGAAGAGGATTGACCTTTGCATTGATTATCACCTTCGTAGTTGTATTTGCCTTGATCTTCGTTCGTCACACCCCTGGAGTCCCGCCTTAAGGCGCCCTGTATGATACCTCAGGCTGACATGAGATCTGCAGAAACGCCCCGCGAACATCAACATAAAGTCCTTCAAAAGACAGAAGCATTCCTTCGAGACCACCGCGGGCTACCTACACATAATAATCCCAGCTGGCGATCCTAATCCCAACTTCTGTCGAACAGCGCTGAGTGCGGCTCTGCTGAATCAACCGCATCCGTACGTGGCCAATTGGGGCGGCCAATTCAATGATAACAGATATGGCGAGGAAGGCAAGTGGGAATGGGGAAATCTGGCTGGAACACTGCAATATTTGAAAGATCTGCCTCCAGCACGAGCAGATGACCTCGTCCTAGTCATTGATCACGAAGACACATGGTTTCAACTACAGCCCGAATTGCTGATCAAGAGATACCGAGACGTGATCCGACTATCACAGAGACAGCTTCGGGGAAGACTTGGTAACGCAGCTGAGGAGGGTCTCAAGCAAAAGATCGTCTTCGCCGCCCAAAAGACATGTCCCAACAACAATGAAAACCACATCTCCTGCTACGCACCCCCGAACCTCCACCACCTTCTAGCTCCTACCGTTACTCCTCTCCCCTCGACAAGAATGGCGTACAAGATACCCGCCCCCGTTACCTCAACTCAGGCATGATAATGGGCCCCGTCTCCTCGGTTCTCGACGCCTACCAAGCCGCCTACACCCGCTGGGAGCACGCCCCAACCTCCTTCACAACCCGCCAATCTCTCTTTGCCACCTTATTCGGCGAGCAAGAATACTCCCGCGAAATCCTCCGCATCTCCCACCTCTCCCCGCTCTCCCGCCTGCGCAACTGGATGTTCGGTTCCACAACGTTTCTCCACGGCCGACCACCCCCCAAGCGATCCTCCAGCCCTCCAACAACACAACCCCCGAACACGGCATAGCGCTTGACTACACCTCCCTCCTCTCTCACGTGGCCCAAGACGCCGAAGACGACGCCTCCTACATCCGCTTCTCCTCCCTCCCCTCCCTAACTTCCTCAGCCCTAAACATCACCTTCTCCCTCCCCCGCAAAACCCTCGCACGGGACATAACCTACTCCCGCCCGCCCTTCTTCTCCCTCGCCCCCTTCTCCTCCGCCTACCCCTTCGAATACGAAGACCTCCCGCGCGAAATCCCCTGGGCGAACATGCACCTCTACACCAACCTACAAACCTCCAACACGCCGCCCCTAATCCTAAACTTCAACCACCGGCCCCTAGCCGAGGCCTTCCTGCGCCCCAGCGAAGAAGAGTTAAGTGCCCGCTGGCGCAGTCTCTGGTTCCACCCGCACACGCGCAAGAAACTCGTCAACAGGGCCTACGAGCCCACCTACGCCATCGCGTCGGAGTCCTTTCCCTCGCCGCCCTCCCCGCATTCCTATGCGGGAACGAATCCGAAGTATCCACCTGTCAAGGAGGAGAGTGCGGTGATGAAGAATTGGTGGGCGCCGATTTATGTCAGTCCGATCAATAAGCAACGAGAGGGGATTGGGTTCTTGATTGACACGGAGGAGGGGAAGGGGAAAGATGGGTGGATGAAGTGGGGGGATGTTTGTGCGGAGGGGGTGCAGGAGCGGGCTTTTGGCGATGGGAAGGGCCGGTGGAGGGATGTGCAGGTCTATCCGCCTTTTGGGGATTTGGAGGGCGGGCAGGGGGGAGTACTGATTGAGTGCTAGTAGAGTGGGCTGGATGGGGTGGGAGGAGGTGGAGAGAAGGGAAGGGGGAGAAGAACAGCAGGGAGACCTGTCTTCTATGGAACGCACCAGGGAGTATGAATTTCTACTTTGTTAATATCACGTACGGCGCCAAGACATCAGGAACGATAGATCGAATTGAGCGATAGACATAGCATTAATGCCTACACTTTCACCCATCTCGTTATCCTATCCTACCTCAATCTCAAATGACACGCGAAGCAAGAGAGGGGTATCTCGAATGCATACTTCAATCTCTCAAACGCCCTTTCACCCAATTTTAAATGACATTCATTCTCATCACGACCCATAAGCAGGTGGCGGCTCCCCCTCTCCCAACTCCTCGCTTCCTCCCAGCGACGGCGCCCGCCAAAACCCACTGTCCATTCTCTTCTGCTCGTGCACTTTTCTGAGTATCTCATCTGCTATACGCGACATCCACGCCTCCTGCTGGGATTGCGGTGCAGGGTCGGAGGACTCTGCCTTTTCGTCTTCCACGAACGGGGAGGGGTCGAGGAGTGTAAGGGGCTGTGGGTCTTTTTCCGCCTTGACTTTGGAGGAGAGGGAGGCGCGGGTTTTAGAGGAAATATTGATGTTCTTGCCGGCTTGAGGAGTTGTTGTGGTGGTATGGTAGGTTTGCGATTTAGCTAAGCTAGGTCGGCGGGCTGGGTGGTCCTGATTTTTGGAGGCAGAGGGAGGAGGGGGGAGATATTGTGATTGACGAGGCGTGTCGTCTGAGAATATCTGGTCCTTTTGCGGGGGTGGGCGCGGCGTGGTGTGCTCTTTCAGTCTTGGTGGTGTTTGTCCCACGTCCGCGTCACCGGGCTCTTTAATTTCTGGAGTTCGCGGTCGCGCTACAAACTCCAGTGGTGCGGAATCGGCGCTGTCTGTGCCTATGTAGGAATTCGTTGTACTATCGCCACTGACGCTCTCGAGCTCCATTTCTTCGCCTGTGGCAACTTTCTTGCGTAAGTTTACGACGCGGTGTTTCCTTCTCTTTCCGTGTGGCTTCGAGTGTCGCGAGCTTAGACCGGTGGCTACTGAACCTCCAAAGGTGGAGAGGGGGGCTTTCTCCGAGAATGGGGTGTTTGGTAGGGAGGTGGAGAGGTTGTACTTGGCGCTCATGCTTGTAGCGTACGAATGAGACCGTGAGAGGGCTGGAGTATGCTTGCCACTGTAGCGATGCATTTCTCCTCGTTCCAGAGGCCTATTCCACGCTCTGTAGACAGTATCTTTAATGCTTGGTGTAAAAAGAGATAGCGTTCGGTGTGAATCGGTCAGAGCCCCTAGACGAAGAAGATTTCGCTGGGAGAACAAGGTCTGCGCTTCAGACCCTGGATCAAGTGATAAGGAGGCGATTTGCGATGGGTCAAGCACGTTGCCCAACAGATCGACAGGATCTTGTGGTGGACTTGCCAGTGGATCCACTGGGTGCTTCTCCAAATCATGTTCGCGCCCGTCTTGAGCTATTGTTTGATCATCCCTCTCTTGATATTCTTTATTGAAAAGCCGCAACGAGAGCCGATGTATAATCAACGGCAACTCATCCATCAACAGCGTTCTCAGCTGCCCCTCAATCTCCTTCTGTAGATAGTCTCGGACAAAGGGGATCGCATCGAATGTCGAGGAGACTTTCAAAGACTCTAGCGGATCATTTCGAAAGACTAATGTCACACCTTTTTGGCTTGAGTACACAAGTATGATGAAAGCAGATAGTTTGATTTCTGAAAGGGTGATTTGAATCGGTATCGTGAGCCCCGAAGCTGCAGCAAGAGGTCGCGGAGAGGTGAACGAGGGTTTTGTAGATAGATAAGTATTCAATGGATTTGCCTGCTACTCATCAGCCCTCTTCTTGTGTTTTCAATATTTTCCGCCTATATACCTGAACTCTCGTTTTCAGGGTCATGAAAGCATTTCCACTGTAGCACATCTTGAAGACTCCCCTGAACCGATCCACATCAATATCGCCGATCTCTCTGACTTCCAAGTCCGGTGGTATCTCTCCCAAGTTGAGCTCATTCACAACGATATCATCGACAATGATCGGGGGCTTAGGTGATTTATTGAGCGCCGTGGTGAGGAGCTCTTGTGCTCGTGTGTAAAAGGACGTATCGGCCGCCAAAGGCGACCACTTGAAATTGAACGCCATACCGCCTCTTCAATGTTCGAACTGCTTTGTTTTTGGGATGTTACCGGAAAGGCGCCATGTTTGCGCTGAAAGTATGACTTGGTCCTGCGGACTGAAGTCTGGTGACAGGCTTATCGTGACTGAGGAATTTTCAACGCCTTGATTTCAAAGGCTTGAGGTTGGGCTGAGGCCGAGAAATTCTTGCAGCAGTACCACAGCTATCTCATTGGAAAAATGCCTAGATCATGCAAGGTATCGAGAGTGTTAAGGATATTGAGAATAACCTATGGCAGACCAAAACAAAAACATGCGGGCCTCGGGGATTTTAGGGGAGGTTAGCGTTAGGGTTCGACAGAGCCCTCTACGTAGTCTTCGACCATTCTAAGTGACATCGATGACCGAAGATACCATTGGAATCATGCTGTAACTACAAACTTTGGTTTCTCCCCTGAGGTGCAATCTCAAGAGACGCCCAGTGTAGGCTCAATTTGGGGTCCAAGAGCTAATGTACAGCTCCAATTAGTTCTAACGTAAACATAGCAGCACTTGCTGCTGGCCACTCATGCCAGAGGGCAATGCAAATATATGTACACTAAGCATACACGAGGCTCTCTTCTTGAGCTTCGTTCCAAAACTCCGCCGATGCATACTCGTCCTCATCTCATTAACGACACGTTCTGGCAATCACGCATGGAATGCCAATGGTTATGCAAAGTTGTGAAATGAACACCCCACCAGCGCCAGGCTTTTCATGAATAAAAGTTTAAGGAAATTTGGCATCTCAAGTCTGCTGGGCCTGAGGTCGTGCAGCCTGGGCTTGTTACTGCGTAGGCTGGCCGTCCGTCTTCTGGCCTTCGCCGTTCGCGAATACTGCTCCTTGAGGCATGACGTTCGCTGTCTGCCCCGCCTGAACGTCTTCGACTCGATACTTGGTCCCACCAGGCGCTGCGACAATCTCGGGATCATCCGGCCACTGGGTTATCGGTGCCTCACCCCTCAGTAGCCGATCGACATTCAAACGCGTGCTGTACTTCAGATTAAAGGTGTATGCCATTTCTCGAACGTCGTCCTTTGGGTTTTGATCAATATTGCTGTCTCGTGCATACGCTCCTGCCATCTTGTGACTGTCAACAAGTTGCGGGAACACGCCAATGCAATTAAATGGCTGGGCCTGATCTTTGCACATTTCCCCCATGCCAAGGTCGATCGGGGCCCATTTGGTTCTTACAGCCTGCTGGCGTAGCACTTTTTGAGCCCCGCTGTAGGAGAGGGCATATGAGTAGAGACAAATACCGAAGTCGGCGCGAAAGACGGCGCGAGTTGTGTCAGCGTAAGGGGAGAGATCTGGAATGGTGGCGAAGTTGAAACGATGGGCAGGAGGTGGGGTGGTAGCATCGTTTTCAATCAAGAATCGTTGTTGTGTGAGCTGTGTGGGTTCTGGAGGATGAGGATTGTTCGGGTCTGTGGAGGAGTGAGGGTCAACGGCAGGGCACTCCGTAATTGCACAGTGCCCAAGCCAGAGCATATCCCAGTTGTCACCATATGGATTCTTTGGCTTTTCCCCCGTGGCATGTTTCGAGAAGTGACGAGCGCCATTGCCAAAGTCGACTAGGCGATCTTTGAGGGTCACATCCCAGTCAGAATCGTCTTCTATAATGAGGGCTGAGGAGAGGCGTTCTTGCACAATCCTGGGTGGGGCATCAGCGAATGATCTTATAGTCGTTCAGAGGGGTCACATACGTCCTGGCAATGTTCAGGTGGGCTCGCCATGTCCCCACAACCGCGTCTCTTGCATGTGGATCCTTCATTCCGTAAGTGTTGACCTGCTTTCTCTTGAAGATTGGATACGTACTTTATGTAGGCCATCGGTGGACGGAATGGCAGCGTCTGGAACGGTTGAACCATTGACACCATGTGCCACGTCGGCTTTGAACCCAGTAAGAGATGAGGAGAGGGCGAAGGCATCCAGGCGGTCACCACGCTCTGGCAGGCTGATCACAAAGACCTTTTGGAACTATAAATGTTCGTTAGCTGAGGCAACAACTGTAACACTGGCGGGGTTGATGGTACCCCTAATGTTTCGTTTCTGATCTGCTTGTCATAGGCATAATTCTGGTGTGTCCGTGTGCCGGGCGCAGCACTAGCACTGATCACTGAGGGTACGCTTTTGGACCCAGCATGAGTGGAATGCCAGAAGTGCCAAACAAAGGCAACAAAAGCGAAAGCACTGAGGAAGGATGAGATGCCCATTCGAACGGATCGCATATTCATGGGTTTGTCCGCATGTCATGGAGGAATAAGAAGGAAATGTTGCGTCTCATTTGCTGCTCGAATGAGTAGTAGATGTATGGATGAGGGGATAGATGTTGGTCAATCGATGGCACGCTACGAGGGCGTTAAATGAATGTATGAAGAGGAGAATGCGGCCGGCCGTTGTTGGCTTTATCTTATTGTCTGTCCTCCTCTTGTCATGATCAGGCTGGTAGGGAAGGGGCGAATGACTGTTAAATATCTCGGCTAGGACAGCCGCATAAATACCAGGATACCTGCACGGGTGCAGGCAGGAATACTTGCAGACTTGCAGGCCGGCAAGGCACAGGGTAGGGTATGGCGGTATGCAGGGCTCGAGGGTGGCACACCAAGCACGTCCATCAGCGTGGGATGTAATTTACGGTACAGGGGGTTGGATCAAAAATGCGCCTGTTACAGGATCCTCGAAGGTTTACGCGGCTCATGCCAAGGACCGCGTCATCACTGGCCTCTTGGCGTCTTTGGGCGGAGGCTACGTTTCATTACGGGTAACTTTCCGGCCTCCCTCTTCCGCTCCGACGGGCGATGATAGGCTCTGATATGTTCAGCAGTCTGACAATAGCAGCGCAAAACTGACAGAAAGACCACCAGTCATGAACGCTGTACGCATCATTTTTGTTGCATATGCCAAGCCTAGAATTCATGCTTTTGGATTGTGATGCTCAAGTGTAGAATGCACGTAAAGCTGATCTACCTGATGTTGATGAAATATGTAGTCGATCGAAGGCTATGTGCATGGACCGATCTTGGCCGGCCTCCCTGAACAATAATGGACTATATCTTAGTCCGTGCCCTGTGTACAACCTTTGTACCACTGCTCGTCCTAAAGCAGTGCTAGATAACTCCTCTTTCAGTGAGATCGTGTCACCTCGTGCCGGACTTGCTGCGAGTATGACCCAAGTAGCGACTCGTGCTAGTCGGTCAGTTGCAGGAGGTGTATAAACCTTCATCCCTCGCAGGACTTTCTCGTGTGAGACTGGATCTCTTATGCAATGGCGAATGTCGGACAGTGTTTTGACTTCAACCACCGATGTTACTGTACTGGTCATGCTGATCTGCTGTGAAAACATAATCCTCGTAAGGCTGGCAAAGCTGGTTCCAGCCATTCCAGACACCTTTATCGCTCCATGCGCCATCGCGTCTGCGTTCCATGTTGTCGAAATTATGCGATACCACGGGCTCTTCTGCGTTGAACCAAATGGTCCCGTTGATTGGCTTTTTGGAAATCGGCAGACCCGTGGATAGGACTGATGCTCGGAATAGCTCCCTTGCAAATGGAGCAAACCACATTCGATCCCACCATTTGACTCTATATCCCTTCTCCATCATGAAATGGACTAGTGTAGGTGTGCGTTTAGTGACCAAATTCGTAAGTAACGGTAGCTCATGCCACTGTTTGACTCGGATGTTTTGTGCGTAATTAAATAAAGCCTTCGTATATTCAGCCGTCTTGCCTTTCTTGGGGAGTTTTATAACTGCTAGTGGGGGTCGCGATGCTATGATATCGTCATCCAAATTGAAGTCTTCAATGTATGGAATAGACGCGTCCTTTGGCCGTCCATTCTGTATGGACCCGTCGTACTTCAGCCACGAAAGATATGGATCATAGTATCCAACAGACTGGAAAAGCGAGGATTCATAGTCCAAGCCGACATTGAATTCGACTTTTCCAAGGTCTTGGATGACATCCGTCACATTTGGTGGCGTGATCTTATCCTTGTCGGGTAGAGTGTTGTTAGGCATAAGCTCCATTCGCGCATACTCCTGCCAACCCCATATTCTTGCGAAATAGAATTGGTCCGACTTGACAGTATTATGTTCGCGCACTCGCTTACCTACAGCCTCGAAAAAGGCTCGTACGTCTTTGACGGGTCCTATGACGGTACCGGAGTTGAGCCACCGTGCCCGTGCGTGGTAGTTGTCTTTCTCAGCGTTGGGCTGCTCTTCGTCATCTACAGGGCCCAGTGCATATTTTGGCAGTGTCGATTGTGGTACCGCCAAACAGGCAAGTCGTCCAGGGTGTTCATCCTCTTCCGTTGGCCAGCAAGCTTTGTCATTTCCGAAGAAGACTGTCTGCTTCAGGCCATGCTCTCTAGCTGTCTCTTTACCGTAAGTCACTTCGTTACGCTCATTGCCCATTTTCACCATATCAAAGTATCGCCGAAGGAGCACTTCCGGGGGCAATTGAAACCAAACATCGAATGCGTCAACCACCAAGACCAGTTCGTTCTCTCTTTCTGGGGGAAATTGCCTTAGGTAGTCTAATGTCGTTTGAACTTTCGCAATGTGCTGGTCAAAGACATCCTCTGTCTCGGTTGCGTCCCAGTTGACAAGTACGGGGACAGGGTAGTCGTTGATGATGGAGGAGAGGAGGAGTCGGCACAGGTTCTTGTTACCGCTCGAGGCTGGAAGAAGGAGGTGGAACTTGGACTGGGGAAGGTTCCTATGGAATGAGTTGACGGTGTCCTGGAAAGACTGTTAGATTGAGGAAGTTCCAGATCGTTAAGTGTACTAACATGAGCATTTGGACTGAGGAGGAGCCATGTCAGTAGTCCTACGAGCGCAAGAAATGCCAATGATGATTTGTTTGTGACTAATCTCCAGAGCTTGTACATGTCAAAGCGATAGCTTGCTCGCCGAGGAGTGGTAGGAACATTGCTTGGTTCCTCTCCGGTATAAGCATTGGCTAAGGAGCTGTTGACGGTATTCCGACGTAGTCGCACCATATCATCCTCCCAGGGCTCTCTCTGAAAGTATCGAACAGATTTAGAGGCGCCGAGCCGCACACACCGGAAATACGGCACAGGAATAATCCGCGCGGCCAAGGATCAGACACAGGAGCTGACGTGGACAGTCAAAAGACAACGAAAAAGTCGCATCTCTGAAACTAGGAGCGTATGCAAAGCGCCGGATGAGTACGCAATGGGCAGAATCTCTAGAAGGCAGGTGAAGAAAAGTCGACATGCAGGGGACCGCACGATTCGTCACCAGACTCCAGAGAGAAAGTCGGCCGATTGTAGTAAAGATACCGTATCGTAATTTATGGGCATGCGAGCTCCTCCCAAATCAGCTCTAAGCCCCTGTAATCCGGTGTATTTTAGCGTCTGGTCTTGTGTTTTCCCGCCAACAATTTCTTGAATGCTTTGAACTTGGTCGACACTCCTTTAGACAGCCAAGCATCGCTACGTACTGCCATCGCTGCAGGGTGCCGGTCATCTCTCACACTGCCTGTCCTTACATCTATCCTTCACTTCACTCATTCACATTCAATTGTACGACACTACCTTGACCAGAACATGCTCATCTAGCCATCCCCTCACACATGGGTTCCTCACCACCCACGAAGAACGGCGACTCTGGATCGTCCAGCGACGACGATGGTTACAGCAGCGACTCTACAATTACCAACCACCTACTAGAGAAAGAGAAGGGATACGGGATGTCTCCAACGGAGGATTTGGAGGCACAGCAACACATTACACTGAAAGAAGCGGAGTCTGGGAAGCAAGGCGCTGAGTACAGCGTGCCTGCTAGAACCAAATATACCTATCTGGGGCTCTATTTCGGGCTCAACTTGAGTCTCACACTCTTCAATAAGGCCGTCCTGGGCAAGGTACGTGCAAGACCATGGAGATGATCGATCGTGCGATTCGCTAACCAGACCCACCAGTTTGCCTTTCCGTGGCTGCTCACCACAATCCACACCGGTACCGCGGCGCTGGGCTGCTCGTTCCTCCTGTCAAGAGGTCATTTCCAATTGACGACACTCACCACTCGTGAAAATGTTACATTGCTGGCCTTCTCCGTGCTATATACCATCAACATCGCAATTTCCAATGTTTCTCTGTAAGCTTCCGAAACCATCTCCGACAGATCCAGCTAATATATGCTTCAGTGAGATGGTGTCGGTATCGTTTCATCAAATCATGCGCTCTACATCACCACTATTTACGATTCTCATCTACCGCTTATGGTACGCGCGCTTATATGCCATGGCTACCTACGTCTCTCTCCTTCCGATCATCCTCGGTGCCGCTCTCACCACCTACGGAGACTACTATTTCACACCTCTCGGTTTCTTTCTCACGCTACTTGGCGTTATCCTTGCCGCGTTGAAGACGGTGGCTACGAATCGCCTGATGACTGGCAACCTCAAACTACCAGCTTTAGAATTACTCTTCCGAATGTCACCTTTGGCTGCGATCCAATCGCTCGTCTTTGCGCTATTTGCTGGCGAGCTAGCTGGGTTCTTTAACTGGGTGGCACAAGGCAGTCTCTCGGTCTCTTACGGATCAGCCTTGGCTGGCAATGGGTTACTTGCCTTTTTCCTGAATATTGCGTCTCTGCATACCAACAAGCTGGCTGGTGCTCTGACCATGTCAATATGCGCGAATTTGAAGCAATGTTTGACGGTACTGCTTGGGATCGTCCTCTTCGATACCAAGATCGGGGTTGTCAGTGCATGGGGGATGGTTGTCACGCTAGCTGGTGCAGCAGTGTACAGCAAAGTGGAGCTGCAGCTCAAGACGAAGAATTCTGCAGTCTCGCAGCCAAACGCAAAGCCTCTGGACCCCCTGGGATCAGAAAACAGTAGGGAGGGGTCACATGCACGGTGAGGTTGATTCGATGCAAGATAGACGGCCAAGCCGAATTGTACCTAGAATGGGCTCTGAGTGGCTACATGACTGTATCATACCGAAGGGATCTACTTTGGCTGCATAGCGAGGAGCTTGAACGAAAGGAATCTAATGTCAATAATAAACTAATAACATATTCACCCACACCCTGTAAAGGTACTCACGACTAACAGCTTGATGCTCTCTCTGCGCTTTGATGGGCGTTCAAGAAGCAGCTAAGCCTGTATGATCTCCCCCACTCACATCAGTGACCCATCTGTCAGCGGCCCAATGGTTTGATAAGGGCCATATCTTGCGATAGCATCACTCACCAAAATTATTACGGCGAGGCGAATAATGCGCACTGTTTTAGCGTGCTGGGCAAGGGCCGGGGTCGAATGCGTGGTCGAATAGGGGTTAACTCTACCGAAGCCAAGAGCCGTGGTCTCGGAGACAGCACGCGACACAGGCAAGATGACACGACGATAGCCAGATCTGACAGGATACATCATACATGTGCAGGAAGCGGAGCAATTCGTTGACGAAGCAGATGAGAAGCACATCGCAGCATCGGACTTGTTTGGTACTGCTTTCAATGGCAAGAGCTGCAATCGGCATGCACAAGCAAGAGAATAGTGAAGGCCTTTATCAGCAACTCCAGGCCGGCCTTATCGGAGCTTCTGGCCCCAGGGGAAATTATGCAGCCACGTAGGCCACTTAGTAGTTAGTAGTGCTTGCTCTTATGCAAGTTCGCAGGGAGACATCAGTCTAACGCAGGAGACGGCGGTCCGGCCAGCCACCATTGCTGCAGCTTCTAGTCCGCACGGGACTCTAGGGCAGGCGCTCAATTTGGTAGTGGGCTTGGCTTGTAGATGGGAAGTCAATATGATTAAATTATATTGCATTGCCAAATGCAGCCACGATCGAGCCCCATTGCGCGGAACAATACCAACCTGAGCTTGTGCTTACTGGGCTCGCAAAGTCAGTCTCAGAATAATAGCAGCCAAGACCCCCTAAGTCTGTAAATTACACCGTATTGTAAATTTGACGCAATTGCACATCCGAACTCGCAGCTCCCTTTTGGGTTATACATTCAGTCTTGACCTCAATTGAGCCTCGCATCTAGACCCAGAGCTCAATTTGGCCTGAAAAGTTTCACTCACTTGTCCTCAGACCCTTTTCCATTCACATGCCACCCCAGGATCTATTTGATACTCTCGATATTTGAAAATTTCATCAATGCCCCTAATCAGCTACTAGGCACACAGCCTTCTGCAGCGTCTGCACCACAAGCCATAGTCACACCTCACTACACTCATCCATCATGTCTACGCGCCCAACCATGCTGGCAACGGAGAACAGAACATTGAGTCACAAGCAGATCCGACATATCTGCTGTATCGGGGCCGGGTACGTGGTACGCATCTATTGAAAGCGCTGCCTGGGGACAGAACAAACTCTGACATCTCACAGGGTGGCCCCACCTGCGCTGTCATCGCCCACAAAGCACCTCATATCCAAGTCGACGTGGTTGATCTAAACGCAAAGCGTATTGCAGCATGGAACTCGAACCATCTCCCCATCTACGAACCAGGCCTGCAAGAGATGACACAACTGCCAAGGGACGGTACGCCTGATCGACCCTCGAACCTTTTCTTCACGACCGACGTCAAGAGCTCAATTGCCAAAGCAGACCTCATCTTCCTCTGTGTGGCTACACCTACAAAATACACGGGCACAGGAGCTGGACTTGCTGCGGACCTCGTCTATGTAGAGTCCGCTACCCGCATGATTGCTGAGGCGGCGGAGGATGACAAGATCGTGGTGGAGAAGAGCACAGTGCCATGCAAAACCGCTGCTAGCATCCGCGAGATTCTCTCGGCGGTGGGCAAACCTGGAGTGAACTTCGACATACTATCCAACCCTGAGTTCTTGGCCGAAGGGACAGCAGTCAGAAATCTTCTCGAGCCAGATAGGTTACTTATCGGCTCTTTGACCAATGAACGAGGTCTTCGCGCCGCTGCATCACTGGTGGATGTCTATGCAAATTGGGTTCCAAGGGAGAGAATCGTAACCATGCACCTCTGGTCAAGCGAGATGGCTAAGCTTGCGGCCAACGCCTTGCTGGCTCAACGTATCAGTAGCATCAATGCTCTAAGTGCAATCTGCGAATCTACCGGTGCTGATATTGACGAGGTAGCTTACGCTGTAGGCCTCGACAAACGGATAGGTCCCAAGATGTTGAAATCATCTGTTGGCTTCGGGGGCTCCTGTTTCAGGAAAGATGTCCTCAACCTCGTATATATCGCTCACACGCTTCATCTTCCCGAAGTGGCCAGCTACTGGGAAGAGGTCGTCAAAATGAACGAATACCAAAAGGAGCGTTTCTGCAAGCGCATCGTCAGCTGCTTATACACCACTCTAACAGATAAACGCGTTGCCATCCTTGGCTTCGCCTACAAAAAAGACACCGGTGATACTCGTGAATCAGCCTCCATCTCCCTGGTCAACTCACTCGTCGCTGAACAAGCCGACGTCCGCATCTACGATCCAAAAGTCGAAGAAGAATCCATCTGGACAGAACTAAAATGGACGGCCAAAAACTTCGACGAAACCAAAAAACGCGTGACGATCTGCAAATCCGCCTACGAAGCCTGCGAGGACTCTCACGCCGCCATTATTGCCACCGAATGGGACGAATTCAACAACAAAGACACCGAAGTCCACATCCGCGAAGTCAACGGCCTCGCTGTCATCGGTCGCTCCCCATCCAGCTACTCTACTGGCAGCGGCATCGCCTTCTCCAACGGCAGTCTCGAGCATAGCCCAGCGCCTAAGATTTACACGAATGGTCGCACCCCCACCCCCTCGACGCCGGACGCGAAATTGAAAAATTTGAGCTTGTACGATAATAGCGCCATCAATGGTTCTAATGACGAGAATAGCAAACCGAATGGTTCGTCGCCGTTGAGGAAAGCGCCGTCCAAGCGCCTGGACTGGGCCCACGTCGCCAGCCTGATGCGCAAGCCCATGTTTGTGTTTGATGGCAGGAATGTCGTTGATGCTGTCAAGCTTGAGCGTCTGGGGTTCAGAGTCGAGAGTATTGGGAAGCCGAGCGTGAAATCTTAGCTGCGGACCTGCTCGTTGAGGTCGGGGGTGGGTGTGATGGATGATGATTGTATTATATCTACATAATTAGAGGGGCTGTGAGATAGAGAGCAAGGGGTATGGCGTTCATGCTTAATTAGACGGGCAGGAATATTGGGATATTGAAGGAGTAGAAAAGAGTATTTGTGGAATGGTCGGGGAAGAGGAGGATCGAAAGGGAACACAGCATCGCTACCGCTTGCTTGGCACATTGCCTGGCTGGCTGGTCACGTAGTCATTGAGGAGAGGAGGTGGGTATAGCTTCATATTGATAAGTGATAGACGTTCATAGCTCAAGCTACATATTTAATCCCCTCCCCCTCCCCTTTCACTCCCCTTTCTTGACCCGTCGTTCTTATTTCACCCCGCCAATCCCCACTCTCAGCCCTCAACAAAAAGCAAGGCATACGCACCATGTACACCACAACCTCAACACCCGCTCATTTCGCTATTGAACGGTGGAACACCGTCCCCGTCACTCACTTGGTTGCGGGGAGGCTTGCGTTGCTTCCGCCCCCTATTCCCCCCTCCCCCCACATTATCGCGAGCCGCAGGTCTAGAGTGCGGGAATGGGAGAGGGCAGGGGAGGGGGGCACGTGACTTCGGGGCAAGTTCATGGAGCGGAGGGTTTCTCAGCGCAGGTCCTCCAGAAAATGGGATTGGCAGACGAGTCGAAGTGGTATCCTGTATCGGTTCCGGGGACTACTGTTGTATAAGTTGGAAGGCATGAAGGGGCGGGTATCGAGGTGAGAGAGGGGATCTATCAAAAAGTTTGCGTTAGGAGAAGGTATCCCAACAATGCGATTGTGTTTTCGTGGTTTTCGAATAGTTGGGATAGAGATGGCGTTGCTTTAGGATTGTTGCTGAGTTTTGGGACTGGCTGGTCCCGGGAAGTGGAAAAGCGGGGGTGATGAGGTGCCGTCATGGTTTTCTGGCGCTTTGGTGGGTTAGAAGGCGTAGAGAAGGCGTTGATTAATTAGAGGGGGAAGGTGTTGAGGCTGCCTAGTTGGCGGGGTATAAAAAAGCGGGTCGAGTTTGCTAACAGTAGCCTCTATGAGGACTAAGCGTTTCTGGGTTCTGGCATCCCAAGTAAAGGGGTCATATGCTTGCAGCCCGCTAGTAATAGTGTCTTGTGTTCGCGTGCCTGACGTGGATTTTTAGAGGCTTGAGATGCCATTTCCTTCCTAATATTGCCTATTTTCAAGTCTATATGGATTAAAGCCACAGTTCTTGAAAAGGTGTAGTGGTAGTAAAAATTGCTAGTGTCAGCCTCTAATAGGCATTGCCCTTTATAGTCATAAGTATCCAGAGTTGGGGGAACATATAGCGCTATCCGCTAATGTCGAGATTTCGAATGCGCCTACCTATTATAGAGTACTTGCGAGCTTAGGATGCCATCTCTGCTCTTGTATAGAGATACATTCGCCGATGCAAGGCTTATATAAAGTGCCGCGAGGGTATTGGGCGTAGAGTGCGTATAGGTGTGTGAGCTTGCAGGGTGTTGTACATCCTATGGCGACTTGAATCAACGAGTGATTGTTTATTCACGGTTTGGGTGTTGTCGTACTAAGTACTTTGAGCCCGAATGGCGCCTGTGTCGTAACACTTTAGAGGACATCGCTTTATGAGTGCGGCTGGAAGGTGGCCAATCGCCTCACGAGCTTTCGATTTTTGTACCTACTGCTTGATGATAGGCGTGACGGAGCAGGCAGTCTCGTCAGAGGTATGCTTGCGGTCATATTTGATATCGATTGAGCCTCGAGAACGACTTTGTTACCCATGAGGCAAGAAATTGGTCCACTCGACTGTATCATACAGTCCAGGCACGGGTTTCCGCAAGCTGACGAATGACTCTACCAGGAAGTACGCTCGACCCGCTACGGCGACTGCAAGGTAGATCGTATACGGAATTAGACTGGTAATTACTGCGACCCCATCATCACTCCAGGATTTTTTATAATATTTCAAAGCAAATTTTTCTAAAGGACCCTGAATCAAAATAAGGATGATCAATAAGGGTATCATGAACGATGTGACGACTGGTATTGCCAGCAAGACCAGCGCTGAGCCTCTCCAAAGCCAACGCTCGACTGTGGTTGGAAACTCGGCGTTCCATGCAGTGAGATGAAATGCGGAGTAGAAGATGAATACCAGAATGGTATGCCACGAGACTTGATGTGTGGGCGTCAAGTGCAATTGTGTACTTTCCGGGTTTGGACCGTATTCTTTGTCGAGATTGAAGCCTTTATATCTACTGAAGTCGCTAAGCTCTTGTAAAACATAGTTGTTTCGGAAGTAGACGCCTTTAATAGAGTCTCCATAAAAGTTCGAGGAACCTTCCCACATTAAATGCTGCTTCTTCGCCTTATATCGATCCAAGGCATTCGAAACAAGGGCGTAATGCATCTCAACCCTTTCAAGTCTCGAAGGTGACAGCTCACGACCGAACGTTTTCGCTGCAGAATGCGATAGACAGCGGTTTGGCTGTTTTCTTCGAGTCCTCAAGTCGCCTTCACTCATGCTGCGGTGAGGCGGTTGTCGACTTCCTTCGCCCTCCGTGCCCCAAATTTGAGCCAAAGTAACTCGCTCCCGTCCTGAGAGAGCAGTATTCCTAGATGTCTCCCCTAGTGCGACGGCTTCCTGAGCCTTACGAGTTGAACCTCTCCTTCTGTAGTAGCTTTTGGCTGCCTTGTCCTGACTTAAACGTACAAGCTTGCGAGAAATATGATGCCTGAGTGCACAACGATTTTCTCCTTGTGGAGAAAATCGCGTTTCTGTGGAAAGACACATAAGTGCGATTGTCTCCACGACCTTTGTTTCCTTGCAAATCCTTGGTGATAGAGCGTTATAAGGTTTCGAGAACCAAAGTAGATACATACAAAATGCCACGAGTACGTGTGCCAGAGTGTGGATCTCCAATAAGCTGATGGGCAGGTCTTGTGCAAGTCTCGTAATGCACTGAATGATGAACCAGCCGGCCTGTACACAAACCAGAATTTTCGTCATTGGATCCGCTTTTGTCTTGTCATCCAGGACGCTGACTGGAATGGTCGGTAGGATACCCAAGCTTGCGAGCTCGACGGCTCCAGCAGGCGTGATGGTCAGATATGGTTCTACCCAGAAGGATCTGCTATCTACTACGTATCCACCGGCGACAATGAAAAATGCCTGGCGTAGGGTCCAATGATTGGTTGTATCATTGTGGTGTCTCCGCCTTGAGGCCCAAAATTTCCACTTGGAGGTGGGTGGTTTTGTGTGGTCTGAAGAGGCGAGATTGGGCTTGGGCGAAGGTTCTGAATTATCCTTACGCCTGCCCAATTCTAAATCATGGGATCCTAGTTTCGCAGGCCCACCAGAGTCATGAATATAAGAAGTCGATGGTCGTTGTTGATCAGCCTCACCCGGCTGGGCCTCTGGCGGGACTTCGTCATCATTTGCGGCGCCACATGCTTCGCAATGATATTTCTTAAGACTGTTAGCTTTGATTGCCTCATGGTCTATCTGCAAGTCTTCATACAGCTTGTTTGATCGTATTGAGCCTCGTCTGCAGGCTTTTGGCAGCTTTCCACTGCGCAAGGGCACAGATGAAGACATACTCTGGCGCGACAGCTGCGATCAGTGTTGCTCTGATACGTCGTATCCATGACTGTTTCTCCGTCTGGTTTGGCCGAATGTTGAGATGAATTGCGGTGTAGACACAAAGGATCAGCGTCACTAGACATGACTGAACCAGCCCCCAGGTACCTCTGCCATCGGGATCTTTGACCCAGGCAGGAGCGACAGTCGTGAGGTTTGATAATGACATGATTCACAATGTTCAGGGAATCAAATGACACGTCCATTAATCTAAAAAGCGAGGTTCGGCAACTGGTGGATAACCACGAGTAGAGCGCTTTGCCTTGCGAGGCCTCACGAGGAGGCTTGTGACTAGATTGACACAGGCCATGCCCGGATGATCGCAAAGGAACAGCGCAGATGCAGCAAGATGGCAGTAATAGAGTAGGTAAAGGTGAGCGGACACGGCTGAAAAGAGGCACAGTCGGAATCCTCAGCCTCAAACTGCGCCACCCTTCCCAAAAGGGCTGCTTATTAATCCCTACAGGTCATACGAAAATGCGAGCTGGGTCACGAAGACTTTGGAGATTAACCTGGATCATTCAATCGTATACCATTACAAGTATGTGGAGCAGTTTGTTCGGTCGTTTAGTCATTTGCTACAAAAGAGTTGTCCACTAATGAGGCCATACGAAGATCTCTCTAGGGTGGCAGAAGAAGCTAGCCGTTCATCTAGCGTCTTTATAAGTTTTTATATGTATTAAGGAACTTAGCGGAATCCTTCGAACGACTCGTTGTGTGACATCTCTAGCTCGTAAAATGCTCCTATCAGGGCACTTTGATGGCTGTGATCAAGGGGCTGCTCGTGGCGACGGTAAGACGTGTTCGAGTCTACATGTCCAAAATATAGCGTTCAACAGTGTGCTCTGGATATCAAGTGCCGATTATCGCTTCCTCAATTGCGATTTCCATCGCTATGTACCGAGACCTAGACTGGGAAATACAACGGCGGTAGCTCGGGCGGCCTGTCTAATTTTGGTAATTGAGTGTGCCCAAGCTCGACGTTCTCCATTTCTGAGAGCAACTTCTCGCTTACAGCAAGTTCCTGTGGTGTAGTAGCTATCCAATCGTTCTTGTCATCGATCTCATGAATGTTGGGAGACTCATTGGACTTAAATGCTTGATGTTGCTTGTGTCGTGGGAGCATGTCGACGAGCAGTTCGTTCCCCTCTCGAATGGGTCTGTCCCTCCAATGCTTCCATTTATCGCCTATGATTGATAGAATGGGTCTCAAGCATGGCAGACATGCTGTTCACGCAGACAAACATCAGCAAAGGTAGGAAAGGTGGTATTCCTTATCGGCAAGGTACCTACCACATATAATGGCTGTATTGACTTCTACAGTACTCCAAACAAAGCTCTGAATCTCGAAATTTCCGAACCCTCCCACGGCAGTCAGAAAGGTATACTTCACGCGAAGGCCGGAAACGACTGTCACACTATTTTCATCCTGTCAGAGACTGCCTTGTAGCAATACCACAGCGACGATCAGGGGAGCATACAAGCCACCAAGACCGAAAATCCCAAGTAGTAGCAGCCTCTGTTTGAATTGCATCTGGAGAGCGGATAACATTGGTATAGGCATCAATAGTATTATGATATCGATAACAACATGCGTAATGGTCCACTGGCCATGGGCTTTGTACAACAGTACACAAGAGTCCAATTTGGGGGGCCAGGACCAAAAGTCGGAAGGATGTTTACAACGCAATAAATCGGCAAGAAACTGTGGTCTAACCGTGAGCTTTCGACTCGTAGGAGTGAGATAGATGTACTGACGGCAGAGAGCGCCCAGCAGATAGTCACAAACCCTAACATGATGATACTCCATCGAAAACGCTTATATTGTCCGAAGAGCCTGCTATAAAATAGCAGTATGGAAATTTTGACGGAAGTAATGGCTAGCACCCAAAATAGAATTCCAATGTAGGAGCTTTTTAAGACTCGTTTATACATGGTCACAGTCGATCTTGACGGGGGCATGGACACTGAAAGCGTGCAGATCAGCAATGTTTCCACGGATTCTCTAGAACGCGGCTCACTGGGTATGAGGTAGAATAGCCATAATAAGAGGCCAAAGATCTGATGAGTCAATCAGCTATTCAATGGTAGAGACGAAGTCGTATCACCCTACCAAAGCGACTAGGATTAGCCAATCATCCAGCCATAGCCCAGCCTTCGATGTTCGTCGTGCTGTGAAGCGCAAGACGACAGCGACAAGTGCTAGAGCCCAAGTAAAGGTCGCGCTTGCTTGAAGAGGAGCAGGATCGAACACAATCGGGTCGGGCTCAGACATACTGTTTGGAGCATGAAATTGGGTTTTTTTGGTTCCTCCAGAGAACGACTGTTTAAAGAGCCTGGGAATTGAGAAACGGCGGGGAACAGCGCGGGAGCGGGGAAGAGAGTGACACTACTGGTAGCGGTAGCTGCTAATGTAAGGTGATAAGGCTGGCGAGTAACGTCGAATGAGACTTGGCTAGCGTCCACCAAGCGAGCCTGAAGCAGCGATTTTTACGAGAGAGGAGGGGTGGGCTGAGAAGCCCAGAGGCGGCGGCCCCCACCTTAAGAAAGAGAACGGACTGGCCGATAGCCACACATGTAATCTAGACTGCCCTTAGCTGATGAGAAACGTCCGGGTAAACTTGATAAGGGCTTGTTTCCTTCCTTCAGCCTTGTCTAGCGGCAGACATGATTTATCTGGCTACAACCAGCACTGTCGAGGACGAAAATATAAGCCGTAGATACATCATCACCCTGTGTTTAGCGATTCAGGCGTTCCACTGTTTCACAGACATAGGCTTGAGGTAGAGAGCCTCCTCGAGTGATGAAGTAAATTCGGGGTGTCGCTGTGTTATATTTGGTCAACCTCAGGTACGAGTGCATGCTCATTCGTACGATAAGCGGAGCTAACGTTGTCGCACCCTGCATTAGTATACAAGCCCTAAGTTTAGCTGCCTTCTCATGTTGCAGGTCATCTCGGCCGTGTGACCTCTAGTTACTGGAAATCCTCGAGCCCAGCGCCTGAGGGTCACAGCCAATAAGACAAAATCATTCGGACCAAATATCAGCGATGGGTTCTGAAAACTTTCTCAAGAACACAATTGCCAAATCCTAGCTTAGAGGCAAGGCAAGGTACTCGGATGTCTCATCATAGCTCATCATCACATTCTGGCTTTAGATGACATTGGGCCGGCTTCTCGACTTCCTCCGCCTCGCTCTCAGCAGCGTCGCAATCATCTGTGGTTTGATCCAGGACGTCTTGCTTGTCATCATCTTCCCTTGTATCTGGAGGATGTAGCGACGGTTGATCGTCGAGAATTTCAAATTGCTCCAGGTGTCGCTCCAAAGCGGACTGGGCATTCCACGATGGCTCAATCATCGTCCCAGCTTTAAATATAGGCTTCTTGCATGGATCCAGATGGCTCTGAGCTTCATCTAACCATGCGTCCCAAGCGTCATTGTTCGGGGCAATGTTGGCAGCTCTCACCCACTTGGTAGATCCAGTACTCGCAATAACAGTCCATAGAGCTTGGGAGAACCTTGGTGTAGCCCATTTGTCTGTTGGATCGACTTTGAAAGAAGCGAGATCCCAGTGTTGCTCCTCTGGAAGGGCTGCCACAATCCAGAAAGCGACGTTGAGCGCTAGAAAAGCGCATGCGCAAGCAAATTGTAGCTGTGAAGTTGCATTGCCGAGACAGACCACACCTATCATCAGCAAGAGGGTGGCAACCATGGCAAGGAAGCGGTATAAATCTGGGTTGTGAAGTTTGTAAACGCATATCGTCGGCTCAACATACAGCTTGCGTGCGATCTCTTCGTCACAAGAAATGATCTGGAAGACACCATTGGGGTATCTGATGACAACGTCGGCTTTTGGCAGCACCTTCCTAACCTTCTTATAATCTGCCAGTTGAATCTCGGAAAAGTGCCCTGCATGTCCAAAAACCGAAACGAGCCCGAGACACGCAAGCGCTAGGATTGCCATACCGTCGCCGTAGGTAACAGAGAGGCCGATACCGGCCACCCACAATCCAAAGCCTGCCATAGCGAGCCAAGTCACGGGACCCCACGTGGCGGCGGTGACGACTGGTGCATTATCGGGATTTGCTCGCTCGATTCTCAGGCACTGGACGTGGTATTTTGGGATATGGTCCACTGGGTGAAGCAAACGCGGTACAAGGCCCAAAGTACGGCGAAAGTTGCCCGATCGATAGCCAATGACGTCTGCTGGTATCGTTGGGAGCCTATCTGGCCTGGTTGTTCGCAGCAGTGCTTGCGGAGCAGGTAGAAGGCGTGGCAAGAACCCAGCGTACAATTGGAAAGCTATCTGTGCAGTCTGAGCTACAGGAGACTCTCCTAAGATGGCCAAGCTGCAACTCGAGACTCAAATTAACGGCGCTGTGCAGGATATGATCGTGCGGCCCGGGAAGCGTGGGGAAACTTACAGTCCCAGGATATCTAATCTTATGTTCGTGATCAAGGGAGACTTGATGAAATGCAGAGGAAGCATTGTACTGATCTCTCCCTCTACCTGAGAGTATAAGATGACGACAATCATTGATTGTGGAAAATATTCAGAGGACTCAGGCAGCAATCTCGCGCTATACCCCTTCTAGAATCATGCATCACTAGCTTGAGCTAGCGTCACATGTCAGCCTTACGGCATTACCCCTATTTTTACCCCTATTCCCTTGGCAGATTCTATCGACATCACTTTGTCAATGATATGGAAAAGCAAGGACACGAATGTCCATGACCTTTCGCTGAATAATGCAGACTTCAGCAAGAGTATTTGCCTACTTAAAGTCTTAGGAAACCAACGCGTTGTGCAGCGAATGCCCCTAATACAAGCAGCGCATAACGGCCATGCCGAATTACTTCGAGAATTATCGTAGGACTAGTCTAAAAGTACATTCGCTAGATTTTTGTATGAACAGCGATGCTACATGATCCTCGGGAATCGGGCGAGGCGGTCCATTGTGCAGCGAGCGCCCCTTTCTATTAGACATTTCTTCAAGAATTATATCAGACGTCTTCGACTACATGGACGCTGTCAGACTTACAACATAGTCGCTGGAATGCTTTGAGCTAGGCGAAATCAAGTAGTACTGAAAACACTAGCGAAGCCACAAATCATGCAGCGAGCGTCGTCATCGGATGAGCATATCCGCACCATTCCCACAAATCGAAGTATTTGAGCAAAAGGGGCTTTGTAACGTATTCGCTAATGATATTTCTACTTGGCGAGACCAGACATACTTTAGGACGCCGGCGAGACCACAGGTTGTGTAGCGAGCGCCGTGATTAAGCAACGATCTATCGAGGACAAACACCGTCATTCTTGAATGTCTGAGCGCAACTAAGCTTATGAGATACATTCACTGATATGATCAGTGCCTAATGAAACAGGAAGATGATTGATATACTGGCGAGACAACAAATCATCTAGCGAGTTACCAGTTGTACCTGGGCATCGCATCAGTGCAATATTCGAAGCTCTTGAGCCGCACCACTTAAGCATATGTTCGCTGTTGTGCTTAGAGTCCAGCGAAATCACATCCTAGATACGGCGTCATCAAGCCTAAGGGCTAGGTAGCGATTGTGTCTTAATCATATAAGCCACTTAGCCTCTTTATTGAGTAGGGATAAATTGAACGCTCGCTAGCTTGATTTAATCTTCGCTTTCATGCTCTATACATAGCGAAACAGTATCGTCTTACTAGATATCGGCGAGAGCTCAGGTCGCGCGGCGAAGGTGTTCGGATCACATGTATGGGGCAGATCATCAACACAAGGGTATATTAAGCTTAGACAACACTGTTGTATGTTCGCTGCGTCGTTTAATGATTGGCGATACTGCGAAGATAGTCAAGGGACCAGCGAGAAATGTCGTTGCGCGGCGAGTAGAATGTTTACAAATGTACCTAATCTTGTGTATTATACAATCGCTAATGTAATCGTTCCTCGCCCAACCCCTCATTATTATCGCTGTGTTACATAGCATATAGCGACGCTTTGGGTATGCTTGACTAGTCGGCGCGAGTCTTATTTGTGCAGCGATGTGCACTTCTCGATTTTTTGGTACAAATTACTTTAATGCCAGAGGATTGAAGCCTATCTATTTCTACGTGATGTTCGCTATAGTCTTTGTTATTTGGCTATGCTACGTATGTACTTTGTAGACTAGCGAAAGCAAAGGCTGAGCAGCGAGCCGCTTTTGTTAAACGTTCATGGGAAGACAGCTTAGTGAATTACTAATGCATCCAACCTCGCCCGCCTTTTTAATATGGTCGCTAGAGTACAATGTTCTTAGCGATGCTATGAGTATCCTTGAAACACTGATAACACTACTGTATATCTAGCGAGGAGCTCCCTGTCAATCTGCCTAAACCCAGCAGCACTATTCAACACTAGAGAAAATAGAGACATTGGCCCTCAAGTGATATTCGCCGCATTGTTTGTCCCACTACCATGCTATATCTATGCTAAGAAGACGAGCGAGAAGGCAATTGCTATAGCGAATAAGCTCTCGCCAAATGTATATAATCAGTAGATTAGGTTAACACATAAAATCTCCCTTTTATCGACGCTATAGCGTGCTCGTTATAGTACTTTAGAGCTAGCGAGGCCGCAGATATACTTTTCAAGCTAGCGAGCGTATATAAAGTATGATAATTGTACTTAGGTTGAATAGTTGTGACTCCTGACATTCCACAACTCTACAGCCAAACGATTGAGCACGACTAGCCTCGCTAGACGTTCGCTAACATTAAAAAGGATTAACGAAGACATACTTCTGCTTTGAGGCCAACGAATTCATAGCTTATACAGCGAGCTAACTTTAAATCAGATAGACGTAATCGGCATGCTGATCTGTTCCAACATGGGAATATCTCACCTACTAGTTCTAAGATAAGTTCGCTTAAATACTTATTGCGTAGCGAGACTGCCTAAGTACTCTATAAAGCCGCGAGATCACAGACGATATAGCGAGCGTACCCTATCCAGTGGGCACCTGGACTAGCAAGTCCATTCCACCTCTATAAATTGATTGAATCAGCTATCAATGGATTTCGCCAAGGTATTAGAGACCCAGTAAACCTGGAATCCTACTTGAAAAGTCGGCGAAGCCACGACTAGGGTAGCGAGCCTACCTTGTCCCATCTACTTTAGCGCCAAGTAGCCTCCAAAACTCAAGAATTTTGCTTCGAAGAGCGAAAGCATACTCTCGCTATGGTCTATAATTCCCAGCGAGATTATATATATGTTGGGAAGCTAGCTAGACTATGGCTTATCCGGTGAGCGGGCTATGAAAGCTAGATGTGACCATAAGGCTACAATAATAGATAGACCTTCTCGTGACTCGCTATGCTGCCCGACGCTCTCGCCATGTTTCAAAGTGCCTAATCATGCTGTAAATCTACTCTAAATATCAGCGAGGCTAGAAGTTTCCCAGTGAGTAGTGGTTAACAAAATCTACGTTGATAGGTCAAAGCTAGACCACGTACAATATTGAGGCTAAAGACAATATTTTGCTCTCGCTCATGCCTTTGAAGTCTAGCGAATAAGCCTTAATACTCTTGATACTAGCGAGGTCGCTCACTTGACAACGAGTAGGCTCTCCATTAAATGCAAATAAATAGGAGGTGAATTAGTATACGGAAATTCCTCAAGTGTATCGGCGACACTGCACTCTTATCTTGATCGCTAGAACACAGCGAGGTTCAATACGAGCTTAGAATACTAGCGGGTCAGTGTACCGCTAAGCGAGTAAGGTCAATGTTGGATAAGTAATGCGAAAAATTGACTAATTGACATCGTGAGGTTAGATTTCAGAGCAGCAGACTCTCGCTAGACTCGCCAAGGCATAGCGAGATATCTTGAACTCGTAGAAGAGTGTATAGAGCGTGTTTAATCTAATTGCGAAATTTATCGAGCTGATTCTTAAGAAACAACCAAAGGGTAGAGCATCTCGCCATCCCTCGCTGAATATATACTAGTCTCGCCAATAGTTGGCGACTTTCGATAGCTTGTTTTAGACTTAGATACTCACTGCTTGTGTAGCGAGTTCTATCCATATAAGATGAAGAAAACTATCAGCATATCTTACACACAGATCCGCCCTTCTACGGCCAGAATAGTGCTCGCTAGAACAACTAAGAAACATGAAGCATCATTATACCCGTGCTAATAGCTAGCTGCTTAAGAGTTTGCAGCGAAGGCGTCATTCATTCGCTCTTTTATATACATAAGATAAAGTCAAGAACATTCTATACTTGCCCTCATCGTACCTCGCTATATGCTCGCTTTGTTCGCCAACATCTAAAGAGTATTCCCAAATTATGCGAGAGTAGGCGAGGTAGATATCCTAATAATTATACACTTGGTAGACATATGACTTTAAATGTAGATACTAACTATTGATAAGCAAGGACTTTATCCGTCTCGCCATAATGTCACTATACTATTTAATAGCCATAGAACCTCTATGAGTATACCGAAGATAGGCGAGTCATAAGTGGTGCAGCGAAGATGCCATCTGTTGCCCACGTAGCGCAATTACCTAAGTAAGCATATTCGCTAGGATCTACCTCGCTGTCCCTCGCGCTACGCTCGCTAGCCTCATTAAGGCCTTCGAAGTTTCCATGATTACTCTGAGAATGGGCGATGCCTTCGCTATACAGCGAGGTTGCAATCTACTAACTATGAAGCTGTAGTATTTGGAGCCTTTTTACATGAAGACTTCGCTCGCTCAACGTCGCTATCTCTTCGCTGGACTCGCCGTCGGTCACAATCTACTGAAAAAGCTTGAGGTGTCAATAGCGCAACTTGTGATAGAGCGAGGTGACACTTCTTTGATCTAGGAAAGGCGACGAGTTGAGGAAACCCACTAAATAAGCATCGCTACATCTTTTTCTACTTAAGCCATTTGTTAGAGCTTCCTGGATCGCCCCACACGTATTCACAATACAGAAAAAGGACTACTTTCTATGTTTTAAGTACATGATATTGAGATGGCTTCGGAAATATGAGATGCATAAACATAAGCGAAAAAAGGCTCCTAGAACCTCGCTATGTTCTCGCCATGCTCGCTAGTACACTATGGATACCTTTCGCAAGTGAAAATCTATATACGTGCTTGTAGTACACAGCGAACCCCCTGGTCGGGGTACAGCACCCAGAGATTCGCTCCTTCAAAACACGAATAGATTATTTCCAAATCGCCTCCCCAATCGCTCGCTAGACTCGCCACTAAAATATCAGGTATCTCAAAGGGACTGGAGTGGCGAATCGACCTCGTGGTTGTAGGTGGCAATTTTGCTACCGGCACCGCAGCGTCATTTGCTTGGGTGAAGTCGCCATTCAATGTAGATCGCTCGCTTCGCCGTGTGCTCGCTAAGTTCGCCGTCTGACACTGCCTATCTGGTAAGAGTTTGAAGCTAGGTAGATATCTTGTGGCCGGTGGCGAGCGCTTTTGGCCGAAATTGCTAAGGGGGCTAAATATCGACATTTTGGCATCATTTGAATAATCGACTCCAAATGATCTTCGCTAAAGCTCGCCCGCCTCGCCATTGAAAACCCAAGGTCATTGACCTGTGATAGGCTACCGAAGAGGTTGTTGTGGACAGCGAATGTATTTTGCCGAGATAGGCGTACAAATAACTCCGCAAACAAGACACAACCAGCCAACCCTGTACGGTCCTCGCTCAAGGCTCGCTGATCTCGCCATGCTTGACTCTAGACATCTGAGGAGTCTAGATCTTCGAGAGCAATTACTAACGTAGCGAGCTTCTGTCAAGTTCAACGACCAATATATCCGCGACTGTGAGGCACAGATGAAATGACTTCGCTTGCGTCTCTTGAGTCTCGCTGCATTCGCTGCGCGAGACTCTCGTTTTTCTACGTCGCGACATGTCTTGAGCAATCATGTCGAACGAGCGACGGCGGTCGTTGCGAAGGCGACAAGCCACATCAAGGTCACTTTACAAGAAGGGATCGTCGAATTACGCGAAATAGAACCCTTTCGACGTCAGATAGGCACGTTTTGATTATGTATGTTCTCAAAGACAACCTGTTAAGATAGGGCAGGCTTTCTTCGCCTTCGTTGGTCGTTGAAAATTCACAAGCTAAATAGGCGCATGCTAAATTTCTGCCCGAAATACATATTATGCGAGGTATATAAGGAAGCGATTCGTTGTTTTTGGAAGAATTGAAAGACTTATGTACCAATACGAGAGAACATCCTCTGCGCTGTTTCTCTACTGTTCCTGCCTATTCGCTCTCACTGCTATCGTACAAACGTCCTAAGATACATTTGCTATGAGTACATTGAGATTTCAGCGATCTATAAAAGACATTGAATAAACGGTGCGCTCGTCTTTCTCCATCCAGATTTCGCAATTTCCTCTCCAGATCATTCTGGTGGATGACCTCACTGCCTATCGCTTTCCTCCTTGTCGACTGCTACTTGTTTTTGCAACCCTAGTGTTGATCTTCTGTGCTTTCAATGTCTTCTTCGGCTGCCCTGTCTCATCTTGCGCTTCCTCAAAATTCCTCTGAGTACTGCGCTTTCGCTTGTTTGTAGACTTACTTCCTCTCGAAAAAGCTGCCTCTGTAATCTCGTCTACAGCAGTCCCACCTGAACCAGAAGGCTCATTTCGTAAATTCCCGGTCGATTTATTTCTATTTGATGGCCCTGCTTGGTTTTCGTGGCCTCCTGAGGCCCCCTGAGCTCTATCATTTGCTCTTGTCACTTGTTTCGTTGATGAGGAGGCTTCACCACTGCGATCAGCATTCTTTTTGGGAATCACATCATCATCGTCATCATAGAAGAATTTCCATAGCGGACGGTCGCCCTGCACATGCGTCTGCTCTATCCTGACCCAGATAGGCTTACCATCGAGGCCTCGCCGGACTTCATTGAGCTCGTCCCCGGTATTGCCAGAGGCTTTCCAGACCATCGGAGAAGTAGAAAGTTCTTCGGCCATTGCCTTGGCGTCTGTATACTTAGTGAATATCATGTGATTCAACGTTATGTCCGTAGAATGTGGATAAGGAGCTTGTGGTCGGCTACTAGTGTTCACTGGAGGCGGAACTTGGTTGCTGAGAACGACCCAGACTGGATTAGAAATGTCCAACGTCTCGCCTACTGCAAGGATAAATTTCTTGGAAGGTCCATTCCTGTCCCTAACAGCGTCCTTACTTGCCTTTCCACGTATTTTAGCCGGCACTACTGGCTCAACTGCTGATCCGACATGTTGACCCGATGAGCCTGCTAAAGTAGGCAGTGGCCGGGGTCTATTCTCTCTAAAGTATGGTCAGCAAGAAGAGACCCCGTGGCTTGGTCGAACGAACTTTTTCTTGCCGTTACTGGCGCTGTGTTTTGGTCGCTCCTTGCCCTTTTTGCTCCCAATATCGAAGTCGTCCAATTCATTGCTAGAATTTCGGGTGTCACCGTTCTGATCAATCGGCGCTGTCCCTTGCCCGGATAGCGGTGTAAATTCTTCACTGTTTTGACTCGGTGCTTCATCTTCAGAGGCACTCTGATCAGCGCTATAACCTTCGCTGAGTCTGTGAAGCCCACTGTTTCAATTTCAGATTAGATACCACAATCCAAAACGCTGACTTACGCAAGTCTTTTGATCTCAGCTGCTTCTTTGCGCTTTTCCTCGCTGGTCCAATTTGGTGTCTTCCAAGGAGGAGGCTGCTCCTTCTCTAATTTTAATTTTGAATCAGCAGATCTGGATATTTACACTAAACATTAGCAAAGTCCAGATATAACCAACGTGTCTCATAGGTCTTACCGTGTCTTTCGACCACTACTATCTGGCTGCTGAGCGTTTGCTCCATGTTGCGCTCCGTCACTGCCTTGATGATGACATTTCGAGCTTCCCTCCACTTTTTTCCCTGATGATCGCTTCTTGGAAGCTAGCTTGGTACTAGATGCCATCTCTCCAGGTACTTGTATGGCTTTACAATTTTCCGTATAATATTCTGTGACCTTTTCTTCGGACCATGCGTCACTGAGGCCACTACTCGCTTTACTCTCGTTGCTGTCGCGTCTCGATGTCTCTGATTGCGTTCGTGAGAGAGATTCGTTTTCAGTGCCCCTACCCGGCGATGTCGTCTCACTAGGTTGAATTGCTTCCTTGTCTAGGTCGCTTTGGCTTATCCAAATGCGGACTTGTCCTTTTTAATGATCGGCATTGAGTTCTGCAACCAGTAATTCAATCAGCCAAAAGCAGATGAGGTCGTCGCTTTTAAGTTGCAACCCCTTCGCCTTTTGTAACAAGGACAAACACGACAACAATGCCATCGGAATTTCCGCATTTGGTATTTGCCATTATGGTACCCTTCGATACTTCTTTGGCCTTTCAAAAGTTTTGGGGGAGCACAAATTTCCAGGTCTCGGCTGTGTGCATGATCTATTGTCTAGTCGCTTAATGATTGCTGCTTGCTGCTTATTTTGACCCTGATGTGACATGAATTGTCAAGGGATCTTGACGAATCTTGCTTTTAAGTTTGCCAGCAGCAAGTGAAATGCATGGATAGTAAGCAGGTTATTCGTCCGACTGCACATGTGCATATGAAGCTTCTATATTGTTGGCCGATGTTTGCGAAATGGCATCATGGTGGACACTTGGGGTGTCATGCTTGAGCAAATAAGCCTAGGGTCTTGCTTTTGCATTATTGAAATATCTGCGGCCTCTACGCATCAGGTATGTCACGATGTCAGGCCCAAAAATGTATTACAAATGTCTGTTTCTGTCACCTTAATACTTGAAAACCCTACAAAGGGCAAGAGCCTGCATGACGCTTCTTCGCAATTAGCATATCCGTTTCGCTACCATTATCCACGGCAATCCCTGCTGTAGCTCTACTTCGCCAATTCTCCTTGTTCTTGGTCAGCTGCTCTGTAAGGGGTTCGTCGGCTTCATTTACTAGTACTAGTCATTTCTGGCACACCTCTATTTCTTCTCCAGCCGTCTCTATTGTTTCGAGTGCTGTCTACACATTCTTGGTCAATTTAGGCTATTCCGTTTTAGTCTCAACATGCAGCATCTTCTGTTGTAGGCCTGGCTGCTGTGCTTCATCCCTCACAGCTGCCTCCCGCGTTTGATGTGCCACTTTGATCTCTCCTTCTAGGCTCGTCATCCTGGTCAGTCAAGGCACCAGCCATACCAGTGTCGCAGGCCATTGACTCCGGCGATTCATCGCGTTTTCTCCATTATTTTTCCTTGATTCTTCGACTTATCTCAGGCTCCGGCTCCTGATGCTAAGCTAGACACAGAATGCTATTGCAACGAAAGGAAGTAATGTAGGAAGAAGTGGTCCCATATAAGTGTTCAAGCAAACTTTGATTATTCACAATCTCTCGATTGTTGATTTCAGCCTTTTAAATATCAATGAAGGTTACTTAAAACCTTGCCATGATGGACGGGAGGCCGCATATGGCATTGTTATACCCAAATATGCAACAAAAGCTTCATGCATGAAGTCAGATATCTTCGGAACAAACGATGTTCGTTCAAATCATCGATATTTATGCTGTGAGAAGAGCCCTGTTGACAATGCAGGACGAGACTCCTTGATTGCATCGAGAAAGAGAGTAAAATGTTAGTCTGCCTATTAGGAGCCCATCTATCGCTCGTACTGAGATTTCGCTGATTTTGGGTTCTATTGACACTATCCTTTCACGAACAGGTTGTGCCGCTGCCTAGTCAATGCGATCTTTGGTGTAGACTATGTCATTTGGAAGGGCAGGTAGTAGCTAATTTCAAGTCGTGGCATTGTACCAGTGATGACATTTTCTTGCTGAAGACCCTCTTGTGACTTATTTGGCGTACACACATTCCCCTTTCAACACTGTCCTGTGTCCTTCCCTACGACCCTGTAGCAACACAATAAATTGTACATGCCCTACACCTAGTCGGTAAACCTTGATCAAATCTTGAGGTACATCAATGTATCATCCAAACCCCGACCTTCATGAGTCGCTGCAACCGTAACCCCAAAGTCTGGCGCCTCCCCTCTTGACAAATCGAAGGCTGCGCATCCACAATCTCTGAAGAGCACACAGAATTCTTGCTTAGGGCGTGGGAGCTTTAAGACGATTTTAGGCTTTGTACAGGGGTATGTGATGCTCGCGAGGGAAACAGGGAGCTGTTTCGGAGAATACAGTGGAGACAAAATCCGTTGGTAAGGATGCTGCGTCAATGATGGACCAGGCTTAGAGATCTTCTGGCAAGGTAAATGAAGTTAAGATTGGCTGTTCCTCCGTCTCATTGTTGGAATGGAGGGCATATGAGGCGAGATCCTTACCAAAACGGGTATGAAGCCAACAGTGAAGCCAAGACCATAGACTGACATGTTGAAAAAACATCGGTGCTAGTCGTTGCGCGCTCATGCTCTTCCAACCCCTTTGAGCCGTGGATGTATCATATGACGTAGCGAAAATACGGATTTTGTTTGTCTGTCAGATCCATGAAAGCCAATCGATCTCGGTCTTCGTCGTTAAGGTGCTGAGCATCGCGACGAGAATTCTCACGTCGTAGGTACACATAGAGAACGATCGCCAGAACGATGACAATACAATAGCTAATTTTCATATGAGCCAGCGTCACGTGTCTACCTCTGTGACTTACCATATGATCAAGCCCAGCCATAGTTCTGGGTAGTGACGCTTCAATGTTTGGGTCTTAATTAGCTGAGGACCAATGATCTACCATGATTAGCAAGGAACACCAAGAAGATCGTGACAACTTGCATTCCCGACACAATAAGCGACAAAGATTGCAGCGGCCATGCAAGATTTCTTGGTGGCTCCAGCAACATTCGCCATCCCGATACTAATAATAAGACTAACCACAGGTCCGAAAAAGCCTATGACTGTATAACCCGCTACAGGCGTTGCTGCACGATGATACCAAGAGCTCTTCCAGATCATAGCGCACCCAGCAATGACTGGCAAACAACACATGATGAGCAGAATCAGCCTGATGTTTGGAACACGAGAAGAGAGCCAGCCTGTAAGAAGGATGAAGATAAAGCAAACGCCTCCAAGCGGAAATTGCAGCAGGATCGACTCAAGGGTTGTGTATCCAAACGTCGACACAATGAGAGGGCCAAACCCGCTGACAGCGCCATTGACGGTGTATGCACCCGCCATCATGAAAGCAATGAGCCATACTTTGACATCCAGTGCGGCTTCTTTGATCTGGGGCCACTTTAACTTTTGACATCGAACCCCAGTTTGGCCCTTCCTCAGTCTCTCCACGGCTATGATGCGCTCATCGGGGTGCAGAAACCAAGCAGAGACGGGAGAGTTGGGCACAGCAAAGCATACAATACCAAAGGCTATCGTCAGCGCTCCAGCAAAGATATAGATGTATTGCCAACGGGCCAGACGTGCTCCATGTATCTGAGCAAAGCCGTAATTCAAGGCGCCTCCGATGACAGTCCAGCCACCGGTGCTTGAGAACCACCAAGACTGCCGAAGTGCTTGTTCCTGCTGCGTGTAATAGCCGCTCACGATACACATAAAGGCAGTGGGGATTACGCTTTCCGTAAAGCCAAGGAAGAAACGTTGGGCAAACAGTCCTTTCCAGGTGGTGACAGTTGCCGTCAGCATGGCAATCATGCCCCACAGAATAACTAGGACACCAAGTACACGGCCGAGATGAAAGCGCTGGAAGAGAAAGGTCATCGGGTACAGTCCTGCAAGCATGCCAAAGTAGAACATTGATGTGGCCCAACTAAGCCGGCTGGTCGACGTTGTTGGAGGAGTGGTCGAGCGGTCGACCACGGTCAAAGAGAGGTCTTTGGTCATACCAAATAGAACCGCGCTTCCAAGAATGGCCTGATGCATGTCATTGAGGATAGCCCACTGCATTTCCGAGGCTCTTAGACTAACCTTGTCGTAATAGACGAAGCCGTAACCGATCCACATCCAGGGGATCAAGAATAGATCGATCTTTCTTACGACTCTCCTTTCAGCTACAGCGTCAACCTCTTGCGCATGCTCTGGCACGATGGTAGCAGCTACATCTTTCTCAAAAGATTCAAGACTACTCAGATCGGCATCGTGGCGCAACCACGTCGCAGTCGTCTTCTCGGATGACATGTCGACCCCTCGCACTTCTTCATATGCACCCCTCGAGAAGATCTAGGCACTCGTCTTTCAGGAATGAAGAAGTCTGGAGATTCATAGCTGTGTGCCCCCACGTGGTTGCCGTTGAAGACTCCACTTCCGCCCCCACTGCCAGTGATGTCAAGCTTCTGCCAAGAACTTGCGTCATCGCCTCCAGGCACATCCAGCACGATTCATCATCTGGAGGCAACATCTCCAGTGTTGGTAACGTTTATGACTGTCGATTTGGAGTCAGGACCGACCTTTGAGGAGGCTTTTTACGAGGAACCATTCGTCGATGGAATTATGACTGGACTGACTGCTGGAACTACCAGTCAACTAACGTTTCTCGCAAAGCTAAGCCTATCTGGGACTGCGCTAAGGTCAAGAAAGCTAGCTCCCTTTTTTCTCTTAAATGACCAACCAACCTGGGCGCATCTAGCATGTAAATCCGATAGTTCTAACTACCAGCCCTCAGCTAAGAATTGGATAGATGGTTAAGAGCTTGGATGTAGACTGACTGCTAAGAGACTCAGGACTATTGGTCAGAACCAATGGACCTTTGACAATCGGTCAATCGTTGCCAACACTGCTTGTCCTGGACCGATCATCGCTCGAACCTGCATGACCAGCGGTATAGATGCTCCAATGAACAAGTATTATCTGACTTACAGTTGGATTCATGGCTACGTGCGGACCACCTGACTCATACTAGTACAAAACGTCGCGGCAGGGCGCCCAGAGGACGCCTGGAAACACTGGAATCCTCTACAGTCTCATCCATATCCATTTTAACATTGAGGGTGTGACTGACCGGTTGGCCTCAACACTTGTCACACAATTGCGCTTTCTAGCCGGATGCATCGACAGACTCTTAGAGGACCCCATAGTAATGGGTGAAAGGATTCTATGATCTTCCTAGGAGACCTGGGCGTGATATCCGCCGTACGGTTAGTAGTAAGTCTGTCATTACCGTTGGTGCCGTTGTCAGTGGCTTGGGCCTGGAACATATGAGGCGTCAAACGTGCGACTACAGCTCCCACGCTAGAGAGTAATCTAACCTATCTCGGGTGAGGATTTCTCTTTTTGGCCACCTCATCTAATGACGCGGGGTAATCGCGGGGGACAACCTAAACATTTCTCCGACTTCACTTCTCCTTCATGTTTGCTAGAACTCTCGAGCTGAAGATGGCTCCGTATCGAGTCTTAGACTTGCGTGAGGCTATGCAGCAACCCGATAATCTGCTCCTCGTTATCAGGGCGGAGAAGGGATGTTCGACAAGGCCAGGATGAACTAACTCCTTCCAGCCGCGGGGTTATCTGTTCAGCCAGCCATTTGCAATGATGGCGTTTTGAAAGTGACCAACCCACGGCACTATCCCCACTACATGCGGAACCACTGCATTATCAAGAGCTTGAACCTTGGACATAATCAGCGCTGATCCTAAATAGCTTGCGGCCAGTGTCGCCTCCTGACCGAAACCAGCTGTACTATCCCTTCAGCCAGAGCAGAGTACCCTCTGACTCCCGCACCATTTGGCAACGATTCTCCAATGGGGGGCGGCCGATAAGACAGTTCGCCCCACACATACCTAGTAGCGAGACCAGGAGCATTCAGCTAGGTCATTGATACGAGAGTCACTATGGCTTGTGATTCGAGCGATGAGACCTACGTAGCGCCATATGGCTGGTACAGCAACCACGACTGCGAGGGGTTGAGGCAACACCAACACCCAGCCTCTCCCCCATCTTTTTTAACCAAATATCACCCTCTGTAGACGACCAGCGTTGGCCTCCCTCACCAACTGGTATATCCAAGAGTCAAAATCAAGATGCATTTCTTTGATCGCGTTGTTGGAGCTGTGATCTCGGTCATTAGCTTCGTAACCTTATCACCAGTCCAACATGGCATCGAAAACCAAACGCCTCTGCAGCTCCCTAACCAGCTCCCAGAACCTGTTGACCGATACATGGAACCCGTCCGACCAGTTCAACACGCTATAGACTCGAGCTCCGATTCTGTGCCCTCTGATGTAGGACCGATCTTTGCACCCCCGGGAACTCCTGCGGAAGATGGCTTCCTATGCGATTATACGGCCATGTCATCTGATTGGGTGGCCTGCTCCAACACTACTCGAGAATGCTGGCTTGAGAATACCCAGACTCAGGAGCAATTCAATATCACTACACCCTACGAGGACCTAACACCCACTGGGATTCTGCGTCAATACTCTCTTGAAATAGTGGATGATTCTTATGATGCCGACGGCATGGAATTCAATGAGGCGAAACTTTTCAAGTACTTGGGTGATACAAAGCCTAGTCAATATCCAGGACCTTGGATTCAAGCTTGCTGGGGAGATACGTAAGCTTTCACTTCAAGGGTCTTTAGCATTGCATGGCTAATAGTAGTCTCAGCGTTGAGGTGTCTGTGACGAACAACATGGCGCATAATGGAACCTCTGTGCATTGGCATGTAAGTTACACCTCCGCTTTCCCATCTCGGCTTTCACTGCCTGTGAAACAATCTGGCTTCCTTGCAATCATCATGCTTCCAGTTTCTGACCACATGACAATCTTTAGGGTGTAAGACAACTACTGACCATGCATATGGACGGCGTTAATGGCATTACGCAATGTCCAATCGCGCCATTGGATACGTTTGTCTACAAATTTCGGGTCATGCAATATGGCAGCTCCTGGTATCACACCCATTACTCCGTCCAATACGCCGATGGTGCCGTAGGACCCATGACCTTTCACGGACCTATGTCTGCTGAGTATGATGAAGCGATCAGCCCTCCCTTGATCATGACTGACTGGGGCCATAACTCCGCGTTCGATGCCGTGTATCAGGGGCTTACTTCGCCAGACATCCTTCTAAATGGCCGTGGAAACGTAACTCAATTTAACAACGCTGTTCCTAACACGACAATTGTCCAGCCGCCGTATCAGAAAAGCTTCGACGGTGACCCGCCAACCAAGAAGTACCTATTTCGAGTGATCAATACTTCTTTTGATATGACCTTCATATTTAGCATCGACAACCACCTCTTGCAAGTTGTGAGTGCCGACTTTGTCGCGATTGAGCCTTATACCACTTCTTCCATTCTAGTAGGTATCGGACAGCGGTACAATGTCATCGTTGAGGCCAACCCAGTGAGTAACAACAACACTGGACCAATTGCTGCAGATGGCAATTACTGGATCCGAACCTTTACAGCCGACTGCGGAGGTCATCAAGGGGTCTCCCCGAACTATATGGAGACAGGTATTCTGCGGTACAATAGCTCAAGCCCAGCAACGCCCACAACGACGGAATGGACAGACTTCTCGCCACAAGAGTGTGGCGACGAACCTTATGCAAGTCTCATCCCGAAGGTGAACTGGACCATTGGAGATGCAAGCAATGGTCCTAATGGAGAGCAATTTGATCTATGGATTGACTTCAGGGGCAAATCAGTTTACCCGCTCGCAAAATGGACACTGGCAGCAGAAGTTGACGGCGGCGACCAATTTGATCCTATGAGAGTCAACTACAGCAATCCCACATTTTTGAACCTCGACACTGATGGGCCCTGGGTTAAGTCGTGGAGAATCGTGCCTGAAGATTATACCAGCACTGATTGGGTGAGGCTGACATTGCTATCTCTCTGTCTTTCCTCATTGTGTTTTCATCCACTAACTTCGACCTTTTGCAGATCTTCCTAGCCATTATACCTGGTTCATCTGGCAGCACTGGCGCGCATCCCGTACGTTCCTTCCTTTTCCTCATTCCTATCTTCCCCACACACGCTCAACTCTCCCTCCCCCCTCACTTTCCATCCATATAAACCCCTTTGACGAGCATACCCAGATCCATCTCCACGGTCATGATTTCGCAATCCTCGAACAAGCATCCAACAAAGCTTACCACCCGTCCACCCTAAACCTCAAAACCGACAACCCGCCCAGGCGTGACGTTGTCCTAGTGGACACATCCGGCTACGTCGTCATCGCCTTCAAAGCCGACAACGCTGGTGCTTGGTTAGTGCACTGCCATATCGCTGACCACATCTCTGCTGGACTTGGGATGCAGATTCTGGAGGACCAGCCGCTAGCGAACTCGACTTGGCCAAACCCCCTGGTGGGCCTGACACGAGTCCGGCTATTATCGAAGCGAAGAGAGTTTGTGGGAAGTGGAAGGCTTGGTATGGGGATGAGGGGAATTGGGCGGCACCAGGGGCGGCGTGTGGGCAGACGGATCCAGCGATGTGCTTTCAGGACGATTCGGGGGTGTGAGTAGGAACTAAGTGTTGGACTGAGTTGGGATAGATTAGTCGGTCGGTCGGCCTTGCTTCACGGTTGATTTTCCATTTCGATACGCATCAGGTAGTAGGTACAGAACATGGAACTTTCGAACAGGCAATGGAGGACGGCTCAGATAGAAGGAAAAGAAAATTCTACGATGGGGTGGATGTTGGTGTCACATGAATAAGTAATATATGGCAAACGTAATACTTACTCTTAGTACTGTGTAAGGAACCCAAGGGTATATGAGGAGCCTCCGACTATAGACACTCATTACTCCTTAACCTCCAATGCAAATCATATTACTCTAATAGTGGATGCCAAGGTTCAATCCAATTGAATACATTCGTGATCCTTATTTCCATCCGTCTTCTGTTGTAGAACACCCCCCTCCTCATTCTCCCCCCCCCATCCCAAAGAAAACTTTTCACGCCTCCGTCCCAATAAAATCATTCTTCCCCACCGGCACCCCACACATCCTGAGAATCGCATACGCCATACTAACATGAAACCAAAAATTCGGCATTGCGAACTTCGTCACATACTCATACGGGCCCGTCTCCCAGCGAAACCCGTCTGCTCGTGTAAGCACCACCTCTTTCGTCCCCGCCCTCCCCACCTCCGCCATCTCTTCCTCCTTCACCCCCTGCAGCAGCGCCATCGTCTTTTCCACCCGCGCGGTCAGCTCGGGGAATGTGCTTTCGTTGTCTTCCATTTTGAGGAGGGTGGGGTCGTGGCCTAGTACGCGCACGAGCGTGAATTTGGCCGTGTCGGTTAGACGCTGGATTTGGTAGGGGAGGCCTTGCATGTCGGGGTAGAGGCGCGCGTTGAGGTAGTAGGATGGCGGGGTGCCGGAGGAGAGGGAGTGTGAGGAGGCTTTTTGGAGTTGGTGCAGGAGGTTCGTCATCGCGCGGAGGTAGAGGGGGATGGTGGTTGTGTAGAGGTTGAATTGGGGGGGTTCTGGGGAGGACGTCATTGTTGACTTGCTGATACTGGGTGGGACTGGTGCGATGTTCAGATGTGGGGGGGAGAGAGCTGCTGTTTGGTTTGATGCAGTCGATTGTCTGTCGCGTGGAGAGCCTTTATAGCTACGGACGCGTCTGGGCGCGTGGAACGGTCGGGACGTCTCATTGCTCCGTCTTTGAGGCTGTCAGGCTAGGAAGAGCTGTGCTTTGAAATCATGCAGCATGTTGCCGTGTTAGCTTGCTGCCAAGTCGTCCATTGGGATGGGAAGGCGCTGATGGGCGTGCGCCAACGCAGGTCCGGTTGCCTTGCAGACAGCAATCCATCCGTGCCGAGGTCAACGCGGGGTCACTTGGCAGTCGTGAGGATAGTAATCAACCGCAAGATGCTGCCTCCACTAGGTAAGTGATGTTGTAGACGCTTGGAAGTGGGCAGCCGTCAGAATCAGCCCCCATCTTAAGCATGTGCTAGAAGTGACATTTATACCCGAGTCTTTCTCAGGTTCTTGTTGGGAAGACTTGCCGGCGAGACGGGCAACAAGATAAACCACTATGAGCCCAAACCAAGGAAGGAGCACAATGAATGAAGCGTACAATACTCAAGATTCACTATACTCAATCTTTGGACTCATTGGGGGGTAATTGGAGACTGGGCTTGATGTTGGCTATTTGCATGCGCATTACACCTCATGGATGCGTAGCTTTGCGAATGATTGCTTGGCGCCAAGCAAAGAGAAACGACGTCAGAGTCTCGTCATCGTGTTTTCAACATTCACAATTGAAAATGGACTCTTCAATATGTCCCGTTTGCTCACCCGTGCCACATTGCCCAGAATACCAACACATCACAACCTCACTGCCGAAGTCTCATCAACACGTGTCCGCCTTACAGCCCGACTGAAGCCATCCACGCCCGTCCCTCGAAGAGCAGCTTTTCAACACAGAATGTCTTCAAATAATGCAGATCTTGAGATCTCGAACCTCTTCAATGTGAAAGACCGCGTGGCATTAGTCACAGGTGGAGGTAATGTCAGCTGTTTGATAATTAGAGCCTCACTAAACAATGGCAGGATCCGGTATTGGATTGATGATTGTGCAAGCCCTGGCAGTCAACGGAGCAAAAGTCTATATCGTTGGTCGTACAGAGGAGAAACTTGAAACAGTTGTAAAGGCACACGGTCAAAATATTGCTGGCGAGATCATTCCAATCACAGCCGACATAACTTCAAAAGACGATGTCGCCAAGCTGGCGAAAGAGATCGAGTCACGCGAAAAGTGCCTCTGTGTGCTCGTCAACGGTGCCGGAATAGCAACAAGCAAGCAAGCGCCATATGGTGAGACTGGCGAGGAGTTCAAGAAGAATCTCTTCGAACCTGAGAGCGCGAACTATGACGATTGGGCCGATACATACAAGACGAATGTGACGCAATTATATATGATGACTACCGCATTCCTCCCACTCCTAGAGAAAGCTACAGAGCACAACCCTGGATATTCTGGCACAGTGATCAATATTACCTCCATTTCCGGCAGTGTCGCCAAATCGCAGGCTCATTTTTCATATAATGCATCAAAGGGTGCCGCAGATCATTTGACAAAGCTTTTAGCTTCTGAAATTGCGAATCATGGGATGAAAGTTCGTGTCAATGCCATTGCTCCTGGAGTGTTCCCGTCGGAGATGACGACACAGGAGAGTGATGATACAAACCAAAAGAGTTCGCTGCCAGCTGAGAAATACGCCCATTTGCCTGCTCGTCGACCAGGCAATGATAGGGACATGGCTAATGCGGCGATATTCATGGTGACAAATCAGTATTTGAACGGGCAGATTGTGGCCGTGGATGGTGGGTATTTGCTGAAGTTTGGGCGGTGAACAAGGGATTCAGTAGGCACAGTAGGCAGTAGCTCTCTGGGCCCTAGGCAGCTTAAGTCAATAGCTTCTGATAATTTAGCTTACTCAGAAAAACTTGGCGACTTTCAGCAGTCACTTCAATTAAGAACCAATTGAATACGTATAAAGTGCATGATGCATTGACTGCAAAACAAATTACAGGGGTGGGTGAATGTCTTGCTCATGCAAGTCGTCAGATTCGTGATTAGCAATCTATTTGATTTGAATCAGATAAAGAGCTGCTGATTGTCCTACCAGCAGTCCAGTCTAGCGTTAAAACCCAAGTCGTTGAAATCGTGTTCTGTACTACCAAGATGTGACGATCATGTCTCGACAGTCTGTCAAAGTCAAGCGAAATCATGAGACTGCAAGCTCCCGAAGGAAACTGCAGACCACGAAATCTTGAGCTGATCTGGTGTCTAATGCTGGACGTTAAGAAGTGCCTTCTATTTCCAGGTATGCACATCACAACAATGATATTCAGCAAGGCTGATTAAGCCTGGTTTTGCCTTGAACAATAAGGAAGACCCCAGATGCGTGACTCAAGTGAAGCAAAGAGTGTCAAACATTTCCTCACATCACCGGACAATGCTAGTCTTTCCAACACCATCAAACTCAATAATTATTCTATTGTTTTCTTACTTGCTCTTCTTTAATTGCCCGGTAATTGCCCATCATCCTGCAGTATCGATCTCATCTTCAAAGCATTACCACGTCTTACCCTCAATCCTATGTTACTAGATTTTCTACTCAAACAAGAACAATGATCGACCCAAAAGAAGCGCAATTACAATCTTCGCCGCCCTGGTCTCCCGTCGCCACTACAAAACATATCACCGACATCCCTGTCACTCATTCCACAGACATCAATGACACCGCTGCCGCTGTCCCCCAACTCACGCCCACCGCCCCTCCTCCAAACTCTAACAACTGCACTCTCCCCGTCACCGACCCCCCACAACCACCCCAACCTCCTCAACCGCCACCCCAACACATCTACTGCCTCACCTACAACACAACGCGCTTCCCCAGCGCCCACCCCCGCTTCGGCGGCATCGGCCTAATCGGAACCTACAGCTCGCTTTCGCGCGCCCAAGAAGTCGGACGAGGCTGGTTGCTGGCAAGGCGGTATTATTGCCGGCAGAGCATCGTGGAGACGGTGGAGGATGCGGGAAGGAGGCCGAGGGCGGGGCATGTGATGGGGATGATGGCGCTGGGAGAGAGGTTGGGGAGACGGGGGGGTTTGAGGTGGAGGAGGGTTGATGGGGGAGATGGAGGGGAGGGAGGGGAGGGAGGGGAGGGAGGGAGGGGGGAAGGATGAGGGGCTTGGGGAGCAGTTGGGGGGAGGCCAGGAGAAAGGAGAGAATAGTGAGGGGGTTGGGGAGGGAGAAGGTAAGGGGTGTGAGATACATGAGAAGTGCGAAGGCGAGGACAAGGGCGAGGTCAGAGGTGGAAAGGCTGATATGGAGGTTGATGGATGCAAATGGGGAGGTGAGGGACTTTACGAGGGTAGGAAGGGCGGGAGAAAGGCACTTTGGGGCGCGAGAATCGTGGAGGGGGAGAGTGTATGCTATGCGGCTATTAGTAAAAGGGTTGTTGATGGGGATGATATGTTTTGAGGTGTGAAGGGCATAGTGTGGAGATTGGAAAGGTCTTTTCCTTGATATTTAGAACTGGGTATGTGTCTACGATGCTACGCCCATGGGCTTCTCAAGTTAAAAAATGGGACACGATGTGGCTAGAAGATAAGAATTTTTAATTTCCGTCGTTCTCGTACGAAGTTTATGTTGGACGACTTCATTGATGTGGTCCTCGTCACTTGATTTTCCAAGGTTCTGGTGACAGCGCGATCGATGGTGAGGATCAGAGTTCGGCCAAGTGTTGCTGGATAAGTGAATAAGGACAAAGGAGTGTACGTGCATCCACTTAGGCGTAAGATTTCTATTCACTATGGCGAGTGACGTGTTTGCTTGCTCTTGGCGTGTGGAAAAATTGTCCTAGTGATCGTACGAGTTCCGGTTCTGACACTTTTTCATCATACACTACTCTTCTCACTTTGGGTCGAACCAAGCTGAAGTCTTCGCAATTGAATCTGGGCACAAGTTCACCTACTGTGGATCAACCCCGTTCGCTACATCGTGAGTCTACCGGTTCAATTATCCGATCATCCAAGAGTCATTGACTGTGCTCATTATCGAAAGTGAAATCAAGTCTAGAGTCATCGAACTACGCTATGAACACCCCCGCGTCTCCCCTCGGTACCCTAGGTCGAATCCCTCTTGAAATACGACGCCAGATATACGAAGAAGTATTCGCAAACGGCTATCTAATTGCACACACGGAGCGCCTACCAGGCTTTACACACAAGGAGATGAGACTGAGCATCTTGGAAGTGTCAAGAACGATACATGCAGAAGCTATTACAGAACTCAACAAATCTTGGACGGCCAAACAAGTTTTGATAGAGCTGCGATACTGCGAGGACTTCAACTTTGGCGCCATTGCCCCTGGAAAGGATTTGTCAGCTATCAGGGATGTCAAGATCAACGTTTGTGCTGACTCCCTTCAAATTTTTAAGATATGGTATTTCAACCACTCGCAACGATCGCCAACAATTCGACGGATGCACCATCCTTTCGCAGAAGACTGGGAGATTCGGTGGAGGATGTCTTTCGTTATGATGATAAACGGTTTAGGAAGCATCAAGAAATGTGAGATTTCTTTCATCCTCAGCAAATTTAAAGAACAAACTTTTCCAGAAGTCTCCCTACACCGGATCTTGAAAGAGGAAATGTTTATGCCGCTCAAAAGTCTAGAGCAGGTCACAACTACAGTCGATTGTTGTAATTGGCAGGATGCATCACCCTCCTCATCGGAAGCATGGGGAGATGGAACCCCCGACCCGTTTTTCATGGCGATGGTACCTAGATTTAGGAAGACATTCATGTTATACTTAGGGGAATGCACAAGTATGAGGGTAGAGGAACCTTCCAACAAGCCTTTTTTCTCCAGGGCCTTCTTTCACTTCCATCCACGTGCAAGCGGCATGCACAAGGTTCAACCCTGGAGTGTTCAGTTTGTGCAAAACCATGGGCCTTGATTCAATAGATCGACTGGTGATGGTAGATCCCACAGATGTCACAGAAATGTTATGGGGAGGACTTACGACTCGAAGCAAAGCAGGCAAGGTAGTTTGGTGGTTCGTGCAGGGTCGGGTCACTTTCACTCATCCAGGCAACAATAACGAAATACAAGGTTTCCAGTACAGGGTTACTTTCTCTTTAAAGAATACACTTCAGCATAATTATGACGAACGGGAGCTTAGTCGATCGCCCATGACTTCTCTTCAGGGGTTAACTCTCATTCATATATACAGTCTCTCAAAATTATGTATCGAGCAGACTTCTTCCCTCTAATATTCTTTCAGCTCGCAATATCTTCCGTTGTATGTAAGGTATCAGTCTTTACTGGCAAGATTGAGTCTTTGAGAGACCCCGTAATTGGTAAAGTGCTAGTATTCGCAGCCAGTGTTTCTTTTCTCTTTAGCGTAGTTGATCAAGTCTAGACACGTTTTGATCTCTGATTGCCCCACATTTCTTTGAAGCAGAGTCTTTACCGCTCCTGCTGCGGCTACCCATTGCAAGCGGGGGATCGCGGTGGCATTTGACCGCCTTTGCCAGCAGACATACTAAGAGACAACCCATTTGAACAAAGACTGGCTTGATGTTGTGTACGCAAAAATACTATCGTGTGTGCTATTCCGAAGATGAAATCAAATACCACTCACAATCTCCTCCTTTGATATGCCCTCAGTGGAATGCAAACCCGGCATCGCTGCCATGTATCTTTAATGCACTCTGCCGATTGTCAGATTGTCTTTTTCAAAAGTTTCTTCACCAACAAAACGGGACAATTCTGGCGTTCAAGGGGATCAAGCCAGCAAACTTTCAAAAAGTAATGCTTGCTTTCGTTCTTTGTCTACAGAGATTATAAGTTCCAGCTCAAAGACATACGATACTCTAATTCCTCAAAACAGCAACAATTCTTGATACATCCTTCAACTTCTCGTTAGATCCCTCAGCTTTTGCAACGACCTTTCGATATCTCTACCCTAAGCAAAATTATGGACTCTTCTCCCGAGGAAGCCGTGACCGGAAGTGGTCCCCTGAGACCATCGTTGAGAGAGCGCAGGAATCTGAATTTAGCGGGGCTAGACGTTGGTGACGAGTTTCACGAAGACGATCCGCCACGCACCCTAAAAGGCCATGAGAGTTCCTTGTCAGACACTGAATTCAAATCTCAGGAGGACGAAGTCGACATGAATCCAGCGAAAAAAAATTCCTTCGACGAGATATCTGAGGTATTGAGTGCGAATAGGGGAGGAAAGCGAAAAGGGTGACTTATATTCTTTTACCACGTTGTCCATCTCGCTGACCAAGTCTCATGAATCCAGACCAGAGATAGACTCAGACGCAGACGAGAGTGAACGGTCAAAGCGATCTAAAGTTGATAAGCTGCCTACGTGAGTCACGATCACTCTTGACATCAGTAATACTTACTCACAAACGACTAGTGAGACGAACGAATCAAATGATAACATCAGTGAAGTCGACAAGCCAGACGACAACCTCTCGAAGAAAGGGAAAGGAAAGGACAACGGAGACCAAGAACAGAAATCCGACGAACCAATCACTCAGCAGCCGTTACTCGACAAAGCTATTTCCGATGTCCTCAATAAGCGAGAGCGGTGGATCCTTCTGACCAATCGCCCCAAGAAAGGCCAGGATATCGATGCAGCTAGTCCTCTCGAAAACATCATGATTAATAGGGGAATCTTCACCTCTCTATCTATGGCCAAGAAAGAAGGCAAACGTCTAGCCACAGAAGATCTGACATGGCGAGAGGTCGGTCAAAGCAAAATAATTCAGCATCAAGACGGAGCCGACGGGAAGAAGTTGTGGGTTAAAATCGAACCAATTGCTAAACATAACGACCCAGAAGCAGGAGAGGCTACAACAGAGGGTGAAGGTGGTAGCGAACACAAGCCTTTCGAAGTCCCTGATACTCAAGGGGGAGGAAATAATGACAGTGCTGGCGAAGGCCCGTCGAAGAAGGCTGCGAATCCACGTAAGAAGAGAACTACACCAGCGGCTGCAGGTCCGAGCAAAACTAGGAAGATGGTTGCTACTGAGGCGGCGGGAGGTGAAGAGAAAGTTACCCATAGCTATGGCCTCCGGAATCGGTCTGCGCGGCAGGATCAAGACGCAGGCGATGGAGGTGAAGGGAAGGTGGAGGCGAAGGTGGAGAAGGGGATAAAAGGCGCTGGGCAGGCTGAGCTTCTGAGTAGCACAAAGGCGAAAGGCAACAGTAGGAAGGGTGGCAAGGGTGGGAAGACAGGCTAGTGAGGGGATGAGGTCGGGCAAAGGCGAGTGGGCATATAAATCATTTAGATTGGAAAAGGGTGGATTTGTTTGGAATTTGACTTACGCTTATAGATCGGGTGCTTTAGACAGGTATGGTACAAATGGTATTGTGATATCAAGCTGACCTGCACCGTTTCTTTGCCTATGCTCTGCCCTATTTGGTTGAGGTCTCAAGGAAATGCACTTCCATTCCCATCTGCCGGGCGAAAGAGCCCGCCATTAGCCAGAACGCCAAAACAAGCAAAGGGCAACTCCATCCAGTAGGCCTAAAGCCTAACAACATTGCCCTTTCGAAGGCAATTTCTTATACCGGGGGAAGAAAACATTGCCTGTCGCCAAGATATCACCGTACATAAGTCGCCACCAACTCTAAAGTCCCCCAGCACCACGCACCACCGCTATCCTTCTCACACAACCCCATATAACTCCTCCCCCCTCCCCCTGCACCATGAACAGCGAGCACTACTGGCACCCCACGCCCATCAGCAACAACCCAACCCCCTACCAAATCTGGATCGTCACCTTCAACACAACTCGCTGGCCGAACCGTCCGGGCCACACCTTCCCCACCTTCGGCATCATCGACATCCACACCAACTTCCCGGACGCGAGGGCGTCAGAACTAGGCTGGCTCGTGCACCGCTGGTACTGGCGGATGAGGAAAGCCGTTGCGGAGACGCCGGACCGGCTGGCGAATCTTGCGGCCGAGGATCGGCGGAATTTGGATGAGGGGTGGCGGTTTGCGAGCAGGGAGCATAGTCGTAGGGAGAGGATATTGCAGGGACATCATTGGAGTTGCTGTGTGGAGGTTGGGGAAGCTACGGATCCGGGGTATGAGATTGTGGAGGTTTGTGCGGAGAGATGGGTTGCTCCTTGATGTGGGATACTTGTTTGAGGGTGCAAGGGTTATTCGTTCAGCACTCAGAGGCACAAGAGCCGTGGATAATCTTATTCAGCGATGGTTCGTTCATGATCTCTCGATACGTCTTGGCAGTGATCTAAGGTTCTTCTTGCATCATGTAACAGATACATGCCACCACATGTGTTTTACAACCTTCAAGCTTTACACACTTTATCAAAACGTCGCACCAAAGCCTATGCAACTCTCATCAGCATCTAGATACTCTTATTGCAGTATCCCACAACAACTTGGGGGCATGGCTGTGGGGAAAAAACAGATACTGACCTCAAAATCACATCCACTCAAGCTCCCAAAGACCTCATGTTTCCCCAGTTTCTCAATCGTAACCCTAGGACTACTGATGCCAAACGCCACTCTCGCCAGAAAATTCGCATCGTCTCTCACACTCGTTGCTTTTAATATGGCTTTGATCTTGTCCTCGTTTATCGCATCTTTAGTCACCATTTGACCTCTCGAATACTCCACAGCCTTGCCAGTAATGCACCAATTGCAGTGCTCGCATTTCCCCGACTCGACCAGTATATCATCGCCGAAATGCCTCGCGAGCTTCGTGGAGATGCATTCTGAAGCTGTGAGAAGGTCGATGACCTGCTGCACGCGCTCCATGTCGCTCCGTTCGCGTGCCTTGATTTGCTCGTAAATACCTTCGATGATGTCATCCTTCTCTGCTTGCGTCTTAGGAAAGGGATTGACGATTCGAAAGCGGTTGACTACGCCGCTGGGTGATAATTCGATGGCGCCGGAATCGTGCCATTGTTGGAGTTTTCGAACTGCGTCTTCCCTTGGGAAACCGCCTGTGAAAGCTGCTACGTCAACATCGATCTGCGTCCATTTCTTGGTTGTCTTGCTGGTTTTCTTGAGTGTGGATGTGACTTTCGAGCTGTCGGCCGTCTTCGCCTCGAATCCAGAGGATCTTGTGTATTTATAATTGGAGTATTTAGGAGTGATGGCACGAATAAGGGAAAAGCGCAGTTCTAGTTGAGCGTTGAGTAGACCTAGAGCCGCTAGCTATTAAGATGTTAGCGAATTGCGAGACTCAGGCACCCCATTACGTGGATTTCATATACCCTGATGTCCCATTCTCGGGACTCGTCATTCAAATGACGCTCAATTACATCGCCTGTCTTAGAGAACTTGTACATCTCTAGGATCTCACCAACAAGACCATTGATGCTTCGGAAGCTCGGTATGTCTGCTCTCGACCATTCCTCCATGATCCGGATATCGTCGTGGCACAGGTACGCTATGCATGTGCTAGGCAAGCCATCGCGGCCAGCTCGACCAATCTCCTGACTGTAGCCTTCGATAGATTTGGGAATAGCAAAGTGGACGATGTTGCGTATGTCGGCCTTGTCGATGCCCATTCTGTGAAGGTTAGCATTGGAAAGAGCGGATTACTGAGGCATCGCTACCCAAATGCAATGGTAGCAACTACCTATAGATTTGTCAAAGAGTGTTGCGGGCGACACGTGCGGGTAGAGACTTACGATCTGATCCTTTGAAGCCATGAAAGTTTCTTGTGTTGATGTCCGTTTTTCAGTAGACATGCCGGCATGATACTCAAGTACCTTGAGTCCGGCCCGCCGAAGCTTCATACCGACGTCTTCAGTTTGCTACCATCTCACAGTCAGCCTGATTTCTTGAGAAGAGCGCCAGGTCTGCTGCGAACTTCATGAGTCTGGACGTAGATAATTGAGGAGCCATGATTTTGACGTAGGAACTTGATTAAGGCTGAATCTTTCTCTTCTCGCGAAGAGAAGGACTGGATCATCAACTGAAGGCTATCATTTTGTTAGTCGGACCATATCTTACTCCTCAACAATACCATACGCACTTTGGGCGATATGTCGGCGTTCGAAATACACCATTTTTGTCAACGTCAAATGCAGCACATATGTCGTTGGTGACATTTGGTGTTGCCTGGCTTGTTAGCACAATTGGTCATTTGACCAAATTGTCAACCTACGGTGGCTGTCAGACAGAGCGTCCTCTCCGCCTGAATTTCATGCGTGAATCGTGCGACTGGGACTGTCAGCCTAAAATACTCAATGTCCACATCAGGGACAGAGCTGCAGACTTTTCAAATAGTCAGGCCGGAAAGCATGACCCCATTCTGAGATGCAGTGGGCTTCATCGATGGCTACAAGGCGGATCCTGGTATGGCTTATCATTTGAATGAATCCTTCGTTATTGAGTCGTTCTGGTGCAACGTATCTAGATCTATCGTCAACTATTGGCGCTTGCATACGGCCTTCGCCCCGTGGAGGCCTACAGTAACTTCAAAGTCCCATTGCGCAATTTTTCGCTTGCATCCAGCCATGATTCTCTTGACTGGCTGGAATCCATGGCAGCCGCTGAGATACCACGTTTTCGCAGCATATCAACTTGATCCTAGACAGAGTTAAACCTGTCAAGCGCAAGGCGCTGGTGAATGGTGGGACATACTTTCATCAAAGCGATCAGTGGACTGACTACAAGGGTGACTCCTTTACCCGCAGGCCGGCCACATTGGATGTCATATTCGTCAAATGATAATGCTGGTATTTGATACACAAGGCTTTTACCACCACCCGTGGGGAACACAACAACTGCACTGTTGCCAGATAACAGTCGGGAAATTGCGTTTGCCTGCTTTAGGCGGAAATCCGCAAAATTCCAGTACTTGGACAGAATGGTCTTTGGGATTGCGAAGGATGGATCTTGATCATCATGCTTGATTCTCTTAGGCTCGGGGGAGCTGGATCGTCGGACAATCTCTTCTTACTAGACTTTTCAGCTGTCAGAAAGTCTTGATCATCAACGTCACCAAATTCGTCCTCGTCAGGTGTGTCAGCCAGTGCGAGACCCATGGCATTCGACGTTGCTGAGACTTTGAGCAAGCTCTCAGCAGGATAGCAAGCGAAAACAGAGTAAGACCAAGGGAGGTAAATGGAGGAAAGCAGACAGGAGAAGGTGGACTGGAACACGTATTTGACGCGTCTGCACGTGCAGTAGTCTCGTATCAAAATCAGCGTATTTTCAATACTTGCCTTGAGTCGGCGAGAGCGCCTATAAGCCCCTGGAGAGCCTCCCCTCAGCTCACGATGTCTTGGCCCCAGGAGCCCCCTTTCTTACCACCCGTATAATACACACGATTTATTGTTATTTAAACGCGTTACTAATCGCGTACAACCTGAGCATCTTTCTCTTCACCAAGCCTACCGCACTGCCTACCACTGTCCTTGACATGGCCTCCAGTTCCCGTAAGCGATCACACGCCTTGGTAGAGTCATCTTCAGCAGCCAATCAACTACCCGCTCCCACCTCAAAGGTCCAAAAGACTACTGACATTCGGACCCTGTTTGCCGGCAAGCCAGCAGTAAACGGACTCGCAGACGAAGCCCAAACAACAAGCACGCACTCTACGGCATCGAGGTCCTCCACAAAGAAATTCAAGAAGAGCTCATCGTCCTCTGCCACAAAGACATCCTCCAATCCCACCAAGAAGCACTACCTCACAACTATCGCAGCGATTGAGAAGAAACTCGCCGTCCTAGACAAGATCTGTGTGAAACAGGATCCCAACAACAAGTTCGGCGTAACTTCTGACGAATACGCCCAAACTATGTCTACATTCCTCCCCGCGGTGGACGAGCTTCTCAAGCTCTCGCCCTCAGGTCAGGCCACCGCTCGGGCTTTCAACCTCCTACTCTACATGGGCGAACACGCCTATGCGGACCTTTGGCTTAGCTTCAGGATGAGTGGATATGGAGAGTCGGAGCCTGAGTATGAAAAGATGGACAAGGTTATGATAGAGGTGATTGGCCGATTGGAGAAAGACCTAGAAGACAGTGCTGTTGGCAGTAAAGCAGGTGGAATCATGGCAGGAGCGGCGGCAGAGAAGAAACGCTGGAATCCTGACACGGATGCTGATGTTGGAGAGTTCAAGACGCGCAGACCGAACAAGCAACAGAGAGGGTGGTTGCTGAAGCAAAGGACAGCATGGGAGAAAGAAAGGTTGAGACAGAGGCGTGAGAAGAGGGAGGAGAGTGAAGCAAAGGCTCTGTTCAACTTGGGTTTGACACACTTGAAAGAGGACAGGGATGAGATTGCGCAATATGGGCTTAAGGGGTACTTTGTGAAAAGCATCGAGAAGTTGGAGAAGTTGACAGGAGTGGAGAAGCCCGAGGCGAGATCGTAATACAAGAGCGATATTATTTTCGGGCCCTGGAATGCTACTCTGAAGAAGTTATAGAAGACCATAGAGGTAGGACCCATCATTGAGGTATATTCACATCTTATTGTGTCATCCCTTGCCCGTTGCCCCACTTGACCGAGCACTGATGGCCAGGAGAAAGAGCAAAATGCCAGCGGTGGCGAGGCTACCATTCAGTCTCTGAGATCCGCTGGAAAACATTGGCAGATCTCTGCCTGCTCTCTGAGTGCGTACGATGGATCCGAGTTCGAGGACACGGTGTACGGTTGTGCTGTTGTAACACCTTCAAGAAGGGCAGTGCTCAAGGCGGCTGGTCCTTTCTATTCGTTGACTCACACTCCATTGCATATTTGTTCAACGCCACACAAAGTCACACAAGGCTTGTCATACGCTAATCTAGTAGCCATTAAACTCACACCCCCTCTCCGAACAAAGTCTCGATTCAACACTCAACCTTAGATATTGCAACAACATTGCAAGCCCACAGTCGACCTGACGATTCGATTAGCAAAGGGAAGGCACGATGGGCAATACAAACTCTACTCCTGCTCCAGAATCAGAGCCCGCCAGTCCTCCAAGGTCACCGACACCACCCCGTGCACCTACACTTCCGATACCACGAATGGCTCCAATGCCAGCCATGCCAGAGATGCCTCAAACATCCCCAATCCCAAATACCCCGTCCCCAAACGAACACCGCCAGCGTAACACAGTCATCACCACAACCCACGAAGCAGTCCGGGGCACCTACACCCTCAGCGACTCCCTCTCAATCACCACGCTCTCCGGCTCCATAAACATCACCATCACCCTTGACCCCTCACAACTCTCCAACCCAAACATCACCTACTCACCCCATCTCACCCTAAAATCCACCTCCGGCTCCATCCGCGTGACCATGAAAGACGCCCTCCCTAACTCCAGCACTCATCTCCTCCTCTCAACAAATCTCAAGACCATCTCTGGCGACATCATCGCCACCATGCCGCACAGCAGCGAGACCACCATACTTACAACCTCAGGCAACGTCAGTGCCCACCTCTTCACCTCCCTCCTAACGCCCCGCGAAATCAAGAGCCACATGGGCATCGAGACCATGTCCGGAGATGTGCACTACACCCTCTCCGGGCCGCCAGGCTGCAAATGCGATTTTGGCGCCGCGTTCGATATCCAGTCGCGCATTCGCACCGTCTCAGGCGGGGTGGAGTGTAGATACCCCACGCATTTTCCGGTGAGGGCGGATATGCGCTCCATGGGTGGCGTGGTGATGACGCGTTGGCCGACTTTGTGGTGGGAGCCGAATGGGAGTGGGAGGGGGGTGTTGTGGGATGGCAGGGATTGGAGAGGGCGGAGAGTTTGTTGAGGGTTGAGAGTATGAGTGGGGTGGTTAGGTTGTTTGGGGAGGAGTGTGGTGTTGTGGTTGATGGGGAGGGGCAGGGGGAGGGGGAAGCCAGCGTGTTAGATGAGCGAGGCGGTTCATTAGTGACTGGCTATTCTTTGGGTTGACCTTGGACACTTGAGGGGAGGTTTTGAGGATTGTGTCATGGTGTTAAGACTTGTCCGATGAAAGGAATATTCATGCTATGAGTACGCATTTCAATGAGGTGGCGGGTCATTCAGCAAGCCTGCGCGTGGTGTGTTTCTTGTGAAATAATCTTATGGCCTCCGTCTAAGCCAGAGTAACCTGTTTGCATAGCAACACGACAAAGCTTTCTTTTCCCATACCCTGCCCATTAATTGAATCCACAGCTTCAAATCTCTGCAAACTTCGGATTCGGAATGGGTTATCCAAATCGCTTGATTTACCTTGGCTATTGTCCATCAGACTGCATCACTGAGTCAAAGCGCAAGGTAGCTTTGCCTTCGAAAGAATGCTTTCCCTTCGGCTTCCGTTCGACAGTGATACTAGAGCATGGCCCTAGGAAACTTTCAATGCCCGCGCGAAGCCTGGGTACACCTTCTTCGAACTCTGTCTTAGTCACATCCAGCCACTGAGGGTGACCCTTTCGTGGCGTTGGTACCCAGGGCACGTAGTAGATATACGTAAAAACAATTTTCCTCAAGTCTCGAATCTCCTCGAGGAAATTTTCAAGCCCCATTTTCGAAATCAGTCACCCGAGTCTCGTAAAAGGCTGGCTATTGATGGTTTCAAGCTCGATGTGCAGATTCTGCAGGTTTTTGTACAGCCCGATGGCTTTGGGCATACAAGCCATCCATCTGCGATCTGGCTCTATGAAATCAGGAAATGGATTTCTGACTCTGTCATGTCTTTTCGTGCCGTCTATGATGATGCTCAGCGTAGTGTTGATCCCCTCGGCGCCACGACATGTTTGTAAGTTGTCCGGATTGGCGGCGATAGTCTTGAATCTCGTCTCCACTAGAGACTGGCCGTGTGTGTAGAGGACGTCTTTGACTTCGGCACGAATGGCTTTGTTCGTTGTTAGTACGCCTAGGGTCGCGCGCTTGCGTGATGTCCACGGGATGCCTGTCCTGTTGCATAGAATATAGCCCTGTGATATGACTATTTGGTAGATCAGAGCGCGGATCTCGGTCGAGAGCTTGCTCAAAGCACCGTGGGCGTTTATTGTGATGTCCATATTCTTGATATACCGAGCTGTTTGAGAATGCTGGGGATGTGGTGAATGTCAAGGGGTAAAGATTGAGCGGGGTTGTCACGGCATATGTGCCATTGACACTTCTGTTAACACAATATTCAACGGGCAATGGGGCAAATGGTGGCAATCGCCTTAGGATCACGTGCCACAGGCCTTTCTGGCTACGACACTCGCAAATTTCATGCCAATGTCAGTTCATCACACCTTTGGTGCCTTAATGACCACTAGAACGATCATCAAAGAGAGTCATATCGGAAAAATAGTGCGACGATCTTTCGTGAGGCTACGACTAATTTGCAGTTACAGCCAATCCGAGCACATTTTTGTCCGATATATTCAATATCTTGGGACATAGCTTCTACGATTGATATCACATCAATGTATGAAAGTGTGCGGCAGAATGCATACGCGTTTAAGGATCTATATATCTGATCTGTGCAAGAAATTTCATACTCTGAATAAAACTCTTCCCCTTCAATCAGAACTGTGAGAATACTACACGGCCTCCGACATGTGTCTTACCTTCTTATTGGTAGACTCAGGGCTAGTCAAAGTGAACCGCTTCATCACGCCTTCTATGCATCATAATTGCAGTGTTAGCTAAGATGCATTCGCCAGCATATAGCGATATGTCCAAACCCCTATCCCTTCGCTTTCTGTATCCTCCGCCTCCATTCTCATTAGCATATGCTCATAGTACGAGCACTTAGGACGCTGTCTTTCGGTCGAAAATAGAACGACAACTCGTCCTGTAAAGTCCCAGTCTTTCCCAAGCCGCCGTCCATCGTGAAGCGTTGGCATTCTCCCAAATGCGCTCCGAACATTTCACGGACCCAGGCAGCGATTCCATCGAACATGTATGCGCGCACAGAAGACCATCTATGGGCGCCAAAAGCCAGCTTGGTGTTGTCGAATGTTACTTTGACAGTCACCGTCTCCAACATCCGCAACTGTTCTAGGAGTGTGTCAATTTGTAAACTTTCAGGCGCGTTATGCTCCTTGGCAGTGTCCATTCTCGAATTGATATTCATGACGATGTTGATAGTCAAGTTCTTCAAGTCTTTGTACAGTCCAACTGTGTTTCGTACAGAGACTATGCGCAGCTGATTCTGGGCCGAGTAATGCATTTTGAGTCGCTCATGAATGAACCTCGATTCAGGCTCCCAGCGTTTCCTTGCGCCAGAATATTCAATGAGTGTTTCATTGAGTTCATAGCCTTGTGCATTTCTCAAGAGCATGTCGTCGCCGCGAATTTGTGTCCCAAAGCAGATCTCCACGACAAATTGTCCATGAAGCTGCAGAGCTTTTCTGACCTCAGCATAGATCGCTTTGTTTACTCTAAGGACACCTAGCTCTGCTCGCTGGTATGTAGAAAGTTGATTTTCTACTTTGTGGAGCATGATACAGCCTTGTGCTATCGTGTATTCGTAAATGATGTCCCTGATTTCGACTGGTAGCTTGGTCAGTGTGCCGCAGCTACCTGCCGCAACATCATTGTTGTTCGCCATGTCTGATGTCAGGACCTCGATTATCAAATCCTATGTGCCCTTTTATTTGATTCTGTTATTGACACAACGTTTTAGGTGTCAAGCAATTGTAGCGAGTGTGTGTTTTATTGTTCGTGAACACGACACCAAAGGGGTTCTTCACACAGATCTCCATGGCAGGTATATGAAACGTTTAAAGCCCAGATACTCCTCCTTTCACGCTGTGAATGGCGCATTTTTATCACATAAGTCAACACTGTGCCAATAATAGGCGACTCATACTACTTGAATTCTTGTGAACTCCATGAGCAACTCTTGTTCTATCTAAAACTCTCTGTTCCCATTCGCGAAGACCGGACTTTCCTAGTCAATTGACTATCTATCTTCTTTCTCATGGCATTTACATATAATCTCAGGGTCACAACTGCATAAGTTATGCTTTATGTAAGAGCCTCCTACAGCCGGGCTCGCATCCAAAAAGTGGAGAATGATCTTGCCGGTAAAGCTAGTTTGAAAGTGACCCTCCATACTTCCACACACCTGGACAGCGTAGCATGGTCCTAAGTGTTCCACAAAATATCCTTGAAGCAATAGTACTGCTTTTCGCACAGTCATACTTTTAATCTCCTCTATTCGATCCTCGTATCCCCTCAAACATGGATTACTCTCATGGCAAGTCACGTTGATCGTCACACTCGAGAGTCCCTGAAGTTGCTTGAGAAATGTATCGAAATGGAGTCCTCGTGAGATCCTGGCCATGTCATCGCTGATTGATCTCATGGATATCGGAATCTCAATCTCCAAATGCTTCAGGTCTCTGCCCACGCCAAGGTCCCGAGCTAGAGATGCTAGCCATTCGCGTTTTTGGTCATTGGGATAAGATTGGTCGAGGCTTGGTTCGTGTTCTAAGGCATTGGGCCAGCAACCGTCAAACGAAATCCGTAACTTAGCGTGATGCCCATAGGCTTCTCCACTTGCCGTCAGAGTTTCTTCGCTAGGAACGTTATGCCTACGTTCGCTGATGTAGACTTCGATTAAGTATTGCCCGTGCAAGCGCAAGGTGTCTTGAACTTCGGCATGAATAGCGCTGTTGACACTCAAAATTCCTAGCTGTGTGTGTTCAAAAGACTTTGCTGACCCTTTAGTTCTGTCACACGCAATGAAGCCGCCAAGTACTATATTCTCATAGATGAGATGTCGGATCTCAGCTGGGAGCTTGCTTAGGGTCCCGAAGGCGTTCGATGGTATGTCCATATTCATTGCAGTAATGGTCCCGCGATATCCAGATCTTACCTGCAATGTGTCGATTTGGAGGACTGGTACAAGTGTAGACGTAGAGGGGCGCAAGAAGAGGAGAGTCATAGATTGGTAATTGGGTAAGATTGCATTATTGGAAGGAAGAAACTATCTAGGGGCCATGAGAGCTTATATAGTACTCCTGATCAACACTTGATCATGTTGGTGTGAGTGTAGTATCACGTTTGCTGTGTCTACTTACCTGTGAAATCAACACAGAGAATCTAGTCTTTGTCCGCAAACGGCACAACAGTCATGATGAGAAATGATTCGAATGGCCGTACTTTCCTCTCGAGTGGCACGACTTCTCCTACGCTGTGGTACAGTGCACTTTTATCGATAGAGATAGTACACGGGGAATTCATATGAAAGAGTACTTGAATTTGCTACCTTTTGTACTACTTAGCATCAAGATTCAGTGGCAAAATCCTCAAACTTTCTCTCTTTGTGACGCGTATTCTTCTCTTCCGTGTCCTTGCGTCCCTGACTCGATCTCACTTGCTGGACATGGTCTGATCTGCCTGCGATGTGCTCCACTTCACTACCTAAAGTAGATCTGCTGGGTCTGGTCTAATAACATCTGGAGATATCGGTCTTCCATGATTGGGTCAACAGCGTCGCTCTCAAAAACTGCGGAACGTGGATGAAAGGTGAGGGTAGCACTTTGCGTAAAGTCTCCTTCCGAAAAATCCTCGACACTTGTACTTTCACACCAATCGAAATATTCCGTTCTTCCACATGGGCCCAAATACGACTTGAACGCCCTTCGCAAGTAAAGCATTGACTGGTGTAAGCTTGGCTCCATCCGCTCTGTTGTTGCACGTGATTGATCAGGATAGTCCCAATCACAGCTCGCTACTGTGATGGTCACTTGCTCGAGATCCCGAAATGACCAGCACATCTCTTTTAACGGTAGTTCCAGTACATTCAAGGGCTGAAAATATTCATCGGTGACTGGGTTGAGTATGATGGCAAGCTCACAGGTCTTGAGATTGGTCAGTTGGTCGAATAATTTTTGCCAACTTTTCACCCATGTCCCCTCCGAAGGCGGTGAATGCTCCCCGGCGATACCATGTGGTGGACATTGTTTGAGTACACCTCGAGCGATGTAATCCTCAATTATAGCGTCAACGTCTTTCCAATCCACGTATAGGTCAAACATCACGTGTTGAGTTGCGGAAAGATTCCTTTGACGGAGAGCCTCTAGTCGGTCCAGCTCTTCGATCCCATGGCCAAAGAATCCATCGCCATACACCACCTGAAAATGGACACGTGCATCTCGATCCAGTACTTTTTTTACTTCTAGATATACCGCGCGTGACACCTGCAAAATCCCCAATTCTTGCCTTGAACGGTAAAGCTTCCCGATATCATCTTCAGAGCCGACAATAAACCCGTCTGCAATAACCTCCTTGTAAATTTGATGTCGGAGCTCGAGCGCTAGGTTGCCTAAAGTACCGAGAGGTGACGGCGGTTTGTCCATCGTGCAATGAAGTGTGTTGAAAGATGTCTGTGGCAAACACGAGGACGTCAGGTGGCCATCGTATTTGTCAGTGTCTGGAGTGGGTGAGTATGCGATAGAAAGCGTTGGTCGAAAGAAAGTTACGAAGGAGAAAGTGAAGAAGGAAGACGACAAACGAGTTCGACACTTCAACTACCCCACCTTTGAAGTGTTGAAGTGTCGATGACGCAGCTTGTACTACTTGAATATGTACCTACAAAATAGCTGTCAAGAGTAGCTTATGGTAGTCTTTATACGCGTCCTCTCTGCTTTCCCGACTTAAGTCTGTACTTTGGAAAGCATGCGCGCACTTCTGCACGAAAGGTTTGGATTAAAATTTGTCTCTACCGAATGAACTAGGGGGAGAAACGACTTGAAGAAAGCTACTCTCAATTTTTCGAATTCCCAGTGAGATCATTCAGAGCAGAGACTAAGTGTCACCGTCCTTTTGGTCACCATGCAGATCTGCATGTGGTGTTGATCTCATTCCATTGTTCAATTCCACTCCACTGGCTTATGTATGTCGCTGATATTTGCTCCTTCCCCTCCCGTCGACCTGGTTCATCCTGTCCCAGTATCTTCTGCAAATCGTGCTCTTGATGAATTCCTATTCTTAGTCGTCCTTCAAGTCAGGTCTAGAGATAGACTACAATGAATGAAAGCGAAAAGCGACTAGGTAAGACCTCTCGCCTTTCTGATCAATGCTTGTGCTTTGACACGGGCCCAGAATAGATTCCAGAATGTCACGAAGAACATTAGCGTTCGCTTGTAGATTCTTTCTATTCCTGTCGGCCGTCCTCTCATCGCTGCATGGTACCGGTCTGTACCAATCGCAGCGACAAAAGCTGACTACAACAGTCGAAGGCTTACTCCAAGACGTCAAGATAGCTTGCAAGGGAAGCGATTGAGTTTGTGGTGGAAGTGCAAGTCTGACAAATCTGACGTCGAGTATGAATGATATCTCACACGATTGTACACTCTTAAAATGATACATGAGATGCTGAAAGGATGAAGTCCAATCTTTTGGCCAATCTTCCGCTAAGCCAAAAATGTGCATTCTCACCCTCGGCACCGAAATGCAGAGCTTGACGTTCTGTACTCTTGATGTGTTCTCTCCGAGCTTGATCTCGCTGAATGAGAAGTTCGGCTCAAAGCGCAAGTCGTAGATTGCAGTAGCCTTTGCAATGAACAGGTCTCTTGATTCTTCACGAATTGCATGGCTCGTTGTAAGAAGACCTGTTTCTGTAGCCTCATGTACCACTCCAGGCAGCTTTTCCGAATGCCCTACGTATGAGCCATCTTCAAAGACATTGCCATAGATATGCTGTCGAATTTCGCGGGGTAGCTTGGAGAGTGTGCCGTATGCAGGTGTTGTAACCTCCATGATGATTCGCGGCGCTTCCGCAGGAACTGAAATCACAACGTCGGTCAGTAATATGTCAGATCTTCAGGAACAAGACGTCCTTACCTTGCTTTGTCTTCTGGAAGGGGTCTGGAGATCAATGTAATGGAGGTAGTGAAGAAAGAAGGACCGAATGGAAGAGCGCTAGAGAGAGGTGTTGACCCCGCCTCTGATCAAAGTGAATGAGGTGTCGACTAAACTTTCCGGTAGAATAAGCCACCTTTTGATTCGCTCAAAGTCTGCCAAATAATACCAAAGTCTTGTTGGGGAATTAAACTACTCAATGCAAACAAAAAAGGAGAAACCTTCAAGCAAGAGTCCGCCTTTGCCCTCACTTTGAACCGTTTCATTGCCAGGCTTCCTTCCAGGTTAACTTCGCACCACCGATTCAGACATCATCTTCAACGAATTGTTCCAACGAGAAGTCTACGACCCGTTCAAGTGCTGATCTATGGCATAGACCTTTGGCTGAAAGTGGAAAGTGGCCATGGCTTGAATGATCGACAACGGCGTCATATCAATAGCCGTGCCCTGACACAGACCCAAGATAGTTTCCAACTTGATGCGAAGCTCGTCAGTGGCCTTGTTTAGTTCTTCTTTTTCGAGGTCTGGATGCTCCCAAGCCTTCCAGTCTCCACGCATCCAGGTCTGATAGTACAATTTTACCACGACACTTTGCGTTTTGCACAAAGGCGTTAGGATACCTTCCCAGGGAAACTCTAATTCCAGCAACTTCTGATGCTTCCTCGCCATGGTTCCTTGAAGAAAAAAGTATACTTTACATGTCTTCAAGTTCTTGAAATGAGATATCATTTTCGCGAAAGAGTGTACCCATTTCTTCTCCCAAAGCTCTGAATCTCCCATTTGTGTATTTTGTAGGCCGACGTGCCAGTGGTAATATCTGAGTGGTATACCCCCTATCAAATCATCTAGGCTCACGAGTATATGAAGTTTCATGCTTTGCATCGCCGAGAAGCTGTGTCCTAGCTTGACGGTATTGAATGAGTGGTTATTGAGGTGGTTGTCGGGATGAAAAGAAATTCGGTAAAAAACAAATGTTCTGGAAGACAGCACTATCCTTGCCTCTTCATAAATCAGACGGGAGGTCGTGAGAATCCCTGGCCTTGAGATCTTGACATGCAACCCTCGCAGGCCATCCGTGTGTCCAACCAAAAACCCATTTGCAAATACCATGCCATAGATCTGCTGTCGGAGCTCGAGCGGAAGCTTCAAGAGCGCTCCATACCCGCGCTCAGCTTTCTCCATATCGAAGTGGGGGTCTTGAAGAGTCATTTGAGGCATCTAGTAAAGAATAGTAGATGGTAATTTTGAGAGAAGCAAGATGGATGAAGAATCAAGAATACAAGTCACCGCTTAAGGCTGTTTATACCCCACTATCAACAGGTTATGTTTGTACCACCATATATCACCCCAACCATTGTTCGTACAACATCAGTGCTAATGACGTAACAGAATTTGTCATCAATAAGGTCACCGAGAAGAAGCATCACGAACCACCCGAGAGAAACAGTACCATTCAATACCCCGCCAAGCACGCATTGCAAGAGCCAGTAAAGCTCCCAGGAACAACCCACCTCTCCGCCCTGACCTCCACCATCTCATACCCCAGCTGCCCCGGCTGACCATATTGCACATAATCAATCCACAAATTATTGCCATGCATGAGCTCAGTGGGATTCACCATATTCTTCGACCTCCAAAGCGTCCTCAGATCATTGAGATGATTGATGTCGCCCTGATTGTTTTGTAAAGAATCTCGGATTCCATGCGAGTGCCAATGCTGTCGATGCAGGAGCCAGCCTCGGGCCGTTTCTTGTGCCGACGTAAGATCGGGCTGGACGTCGATGATGCCTAGGCTGGGGAAATAAGCGGGGTTGCGATTGGGCCATTGGTACGCGTTGAAGGTGATGATCCAGATGCTTGGTGGAGTGAAGGATGAGGGGTTGATATCGGTTTCGGCCCAGTAATGTTTAGAAGGCATGTTGGAGGATATTGGGTATGTCCTGCGAGCTATGAGTGGTTTCTGATGCTGAGGATCATGGAACTGGTGGTGACTTATATATGGTGAGATCGAGGCGAAAGGCAGTAAGTTTCTGTCCATGGCGTATTTCATGCCTTCTATAGGCATAATTGCCATCATTGAAGCCTGCTCTATTACATATGAGGGCCCGTTTTTTCTTGTTACCTTTGACGGCCTCTTTCGCCTCCTTTCCTAGGGAGGCACGTTCAACTTACTATAAGAATTTGGAGTGCAGGTGTCCAGAAACTATGATGTTAAGTGGCAATCGCTGAATGACAGACTGGTGGTACTCAAGGATGTTGGGTGGAGACAAAGGCGCTACGAAAGTTCTTGAAGGTTTGGCGTCGATATTGACAATGAGTTCAATCTCATTGAGCGTGTTACAGGGTTTGCAATCAAGCAATCTAGCTGACGGCTTTTGACCAGGACATGGAGAAGTGAAAAAGTAGGGTTTTCCATTTTTCAGATAATTCCATTATGGATCACCGGAACAAGTATACTGTACAATTTCATCTGAGAAAGCGCCATCGCTCTTTTCCGCACTAGTCTCGTCCTACAAACTCATCATGGCTCGATGTAATCAACTAATCTTTCCAATGCTGGGTTATGTTCCGACGCCTCGCACCGAATCGGCGCCCGAAAATTCTTCCACTTATGAAAGCGCAGAAAACCCTGATTCATATCCACAACACCTCGATGTCCAAGTATAATGTCTGCCCCGATCAGGAGCCTGATGTTCTCATCCATCTCAGGATCCACCACGACATCCACCGGAAGTGCGAGTGTTCGCTTCTGACCGTTGCCGAGATTGCCCCTGATATAGAGTTTGAGCTCTTTCCACTCGTGGTTGAACCACGACACGCCTCCTTGTATACCACTGCTCGGAACCGGGTGTGTCGTCTTGGTTAAGAGGGCGTCTGGCATATAGTCAAGAAGAAACTGTCTGCTGATTGTGGTGACTGGACAACCGGTATCTATGCAGGCATTAACGGCTTCCGCGTTACGATCGCCTATTCGAACGGTCAAGAAAACATCGACAAAGTTGTCACAGGTGGGACAACACAGCCGCTCCGATCGAGGTGGAAATATGTGAGCGTTTATCAGCTCATTGGTATCCTCTTCCACTTCGTCCTCGTCCTCATCTTCTGATTCGCTTGGAGGAGGGGACGACTGGGAGGAGGCCTCAGACTGCGAAGATGGGCCAGGTGTTGAGGGATCTTCGCTCGAATTCATGTCTTCCGGGTCATCCTCGACCTCGGTGTCATCCTCGACCTCAGTATCATCCTCTATCTCCGAGTCATTTTCCATTTCCGTGTCATTTTCCACTTCTGTATCGTCTTCCCCCTCCGTATCATTGTCCGCCTCCACATGGAGTTGGTCCGAGGTTATAGAGCGTATTGTAGCGCTCGATGAGGTCCTGGACAATTGTGACATGTCCGAGTCGGGCATTTCCTCCTCTCTCAAATCCTCAGTCGCCAACGACGAGAGGCTGGAGCTTGAGGAATTCCTTGACAAACTCATCTTGTGTGTTTGTCGTTCTAGCTCTGTACTGAGTTGTCGATGAAGATCGTTCGTGAAGACTGTCGATGGAGATTATTCGTGAAAATGGCGAGCTTTGCAAGCTTGATTCTTAATCTTTTAGAATCTGAGGCTGTTCCGATGTCTTAATGAAGATCGAGAAGGTGTGCCACAGAAACGTTTATATATTTATATCATTCGTGTCGAGGTGGGAAGCATAATGAGCTTGCTGTAACAATACCATTGTTCAGACTCTACAGACTATAAGGAGATCCTCCGAGATATCCTCGTAAACAATGATAGGACGACACCACGAGTACCAGAACAATGAAGCAGTGGAAGCAAGACCAAGTCGATTATGATAATCTGCTGATGATGACTTTCACTATGCAAACTGCATCTGTCTGTCAATTACTTGGGTCAGATAGGTTCCTGGGATTCGAATCAAATGCTTCAATTTTTAATTACCAGTTGAGAATCCTGGATCTTACCCTTCGAAAAGGCGCCTTCGCTCCACCTGGCACCAAACTACCGGTATGGATCTAATGTCCACTCGTCGCATTTTATCAATCTCTTTATGGCTGAGTGTTCTGCGCTTGCGTCGACCAGGATTGGTGTATGGAACTGTTATGATGCCCGAACAATGAGAAATACGTGCCTTTCAACCGAAAGTAGTACCAGTAGTACCCAGGATAAGAAGGTCTGACTGAACAACCAAGTTTGCATATTTAGACAAAGAACCTAATCGTCAAAATAGATCTCCGAGGAGAAGATTCCCAAAAGATTCACATTGAAAGCGTCTTGATCAGACGGAGACACGATTTCATAGTCTCGTTTTCTCAGACCCTCACAGGAAGCGTTCCAGTAAATGCACACTTTTAACCACTGCTGATCTTGAGTCTTATTGCCAACGTGTACCGGCAACGATGGCTCTTTGTTCTTCCACATAACGATGCACATGAACATCAGGCGGCCTGACTGAGACATTTTGAAGAAAGGGCGGAGGAAGAAGGTGAGGATGTTGTGATATGGGATTTGGTAGATGTTGACTCAGTATAGCAGGGCAGGAATCCCGTTTGTATGGAAGCCGCATACTTTTGCGTCGACTGCGATCTCGGTGGCAGGCTAATCTGGTGGGAGAACCGAGATATAGATCGATCCCAGGAGGAAAGAATGTCTCAAAAGCAAAAAGATGTTGCAGAGCGGTGTTTTCACAGATAGAAAAGCAAACACCACGTCACGTACTTACGCATGCCACATTACCACCGGCACCGTACGACTCCACCCTCTTCCGCTGATTGGTGGTGAGTCCCTACTATTACCCCGCTTCAAGCAAACAATGTCGACAAAGAGACCTCAATCCCCTCAAGTCTCATCTCGCACCAAAGCATTGCAACGAAAAGTCTTCGAGCCATGGGACTGCCACTCAGCGATCATCAATCTGTGAGAAGTCTTATCACATTGGCATAAGAGAGCAATTAGAATATCAGAGTGGCCGCAAACACCTCACCATGACTGCACTAGCCGGGGACTCTGCGACAGTACATCGGGTGCTCGCACAACATTTCCACATAACGAACAAAGAAATGCCAACGCAACGGTCCGACGCACTGAGACGCTTGAGCATCCTGCAAGCGGTGAATGCGCTGCGCTGTATTTGGCAAAGATCAAGGACGACTGAATGCAACTTCCTCCGTCCTCTAGTGGGTGGTGGGTAGCGAAGAGCCTCTCTCACCACCGCTCCAACGAACGTCATCGATCTTCCATCCAGGGCAGACAAACACTCTCAAACATCCCTACTGGCACCGTACCCTACCAACACGCCCACGACATCCTTATACCCCTTCCTCCTCGATTCTTCCACAGCAGACCTTCCCTCCTCCCCCTAGCACTCCCCCCTTCCTCTCCAAAAAGGCCCGAAACCTGTCCGCGCCCTCCGTGCCTCCATTCGTCACCTCCCAACTCTCAGCCACGAACCCCAGTAGCGCATTCACACTCGCCATATGATTCTTCGACGCACAGAAATGCAACGCCGTACGGTCGTCCTTGTCGCCTAGACTCCAATCCGCGCCCTTTTCCAGCAGCATGCTTACGATATCGGCCTGATTCCGTTCTGCGGCGTCCATGAGGGCAGTCTTGCCCAAATGGTTGCGCTGATTGAGAAAGGTTCTGAAACGGGCATGATCAGGGTCTCGAGCGCCGGCGGCGAGGAGCTCGCTCACGACGCTGATGCTGCCGCGCGAACAGGCGGAGTGCAGGGTCGTCACGTCGTGTTTGCGCGGTATGGTGTAATCGGCGCCTTGGTCCAAGAGGATCTTTGAGATTTCACGGGCACTGGTGTCTACGGCGTCGAAGAGGGCGGTTTTTCCTTGGTCGTTGCGGTGGTTGAGGAACGCGCGGGCGCGAGCTTTGTCTGGATCCTTCAACATAGCGGTGAGGACGTCGACCACGACGTCTTTGTAGCCTTTGTAGCTGGCGCAGTGGAGGGCTGTGGTTTCATTGTCTCTGGGGATCGTGTAGTCTGCGCCATGATCGAGAAGGAGTTTGACTGTGGTAGGACGATTTGCGTCTGCGGCGTCGAAGAGCGGGGTTTTGTAGCCATTGTTGCGGTAGTTGAGGAAAGCGTGGAAGCGGTGTTCGTCTAATTCTTTCTCCGCTTTTGTGAGCAGCTCGACTGCGATGTCGTTGCTGCCTCGGAAGCTCGCGTGGTGGAGCGGGGTGACGCCCCAATCGCGCGGGATTGTGTAATCTGCCCCGTAGTGCAGGAGAATTTGGATCACGAGTAGTCGATTGGCATCTACGGCATCCCAAAGGGCCGTTTTCCAGAGACTGTTCTGGGCGTTGAGGAAGCTCCTGAAGCGTTCTTGGTCAGGGTCTTTGGATGCCTTCACTAGAATTACTGTCACTAGGTGCGACCGCCCTCGAAAGCTGGCGTGATGTAATGCAGTGACGTTGTTCTTGTTTGGAATGGTATAGTCTATACCGTGCTGTAGCAAGAGATCAACAATGATCGGTCGATCTCCATCTACTGCGTCCCAAAGGGCGGTCTTTCCACCACTATTGCGGTGATTGAGAAAGTTATTGAACCGTTCCTGATTCATGTCCTCTTTTTCTAATGCCAGTAACAATCTGACCTGGTCTCTTCTACCTTTGAGGCTGGCATCGTGAAGTATTGTGACCTCATTGTTGTTTGGAATTGAGTAATCTGCCCCTGCCTCGATTAGGGCCTGCATCGTGAGCACCTGATCGGCTATAGCTGTCTCCCACAGTGCCGTCTTTCCTTCCCTATTTCTTTGATTGATGAATTTTGTAAAGCGCTCTTGACCGTCTTTCGAGGCTCGCTGCAGGAGTATTCCCACAGCTTCATCGAATCCTTGACGACTTGCCCAATGCAAAGGTGTATTACCGGCGTGCCCCGTGAGCGTGTAATCAGCTCCTTGTTCGAGGAGTAAATTAAGCTGCGGGAGCCTATTTCTCTCTGCACACTCAATCATGGCTGTTTTCGCCGATTTGGGCTGGTGGTTTAGAAATTCAAGGAAACGAGAACGATCCATCCGTGAGGACGCATGTCGCATGAGCCTCCAAAAAAGGCGGGGATCGTCATGAGCCGATGCAGTAATTAGGGTTGTAGCGTCTTGGTCGTCATTGATCGTGTAATCTGCGCCTGCGAAGAGTAATTGTATTGCAACGTTGAACCGATTTAGTGCGCACGCTTCCCACACCGCAGTCCTCCCATTATTCGCATGTTTATTAACATCGACGTCCACCTTGCCCTCTCTGTGATATTGGAGGAGTAGTTCGGTTACTTCAGGCGCTGCATAGGTTGCAGTAGCAAGGAGTGGGGACGCATTAAACCAATTAGGTTCATAGGTAGCACCGTGATCGAGAAGTACTCGAACAGTGTGAGGATCTCTAGATGAAGCGGCCGCCCACAGTATTGGATGGCCACTCTTTGGATAAGGACGTTGAGCGATGAACTCTGCCGTTTCCTTTTCGTTGTGCGTAGACTTAAACTGTTTTATTAGCAGGTCAACGACCTCAGCGTGGCCTTGATAAGCAGCAGTCCAAAGGACTGCGGAGGGATCTTTCGTACGCTCAATAGAGCTTCCACGACTAAGGAGGAACTTTGTGGCCTCTACATGGCCCTCAGCACATGCGAAGGCGAGTGGTGTCATCTCGCTCGGGAATTCACCAAATCTTTTATGGTAGCGGGGTCCTTTGGTCGTAATCATGTCGACCTGGCATCCGCGATCGATACAATACTCCGCTAGCTCTGGCAGATTCTTAGACGCGGCACGATGCAGAATGTGAACGTCATCTCCCTTAGGCGATAGATCCGCCTCCGCATGAAACTCCAGCAAGTCCTTGACAATCTCCCTGTAGCTAACAAGATTCCTGTGTGCCGATAGCGCAGCTGCCTCAAGAGCAGTGCCGTGGGTTTTATGTCTTGCACTGGCATTGGCTTTCTCCTCTAGAAGCGCAAAAACGGTGTCGCTATTTCCTGAAAAGACCGCTGCTGTAAGAGCAGAACCACACGGACCTCCAGGTACGTTCACAAGAGCGGGAGGCTTATTCTCAAGTAGGATATTAAGAATATGACTGTGACCGGCGGCAGCCGCTGCCTGGAGAGCATTGCCTAGAATGACGCATTTATCAGTATTTCGATATCCAAAAAACGTCTCAAAGATGATATGAGTAGGTGGAGCGGGGTCGAGGGTTGCAGAGCCAGTACTGCGAGAAGTCTAGGAATGTAGTGCAGTATATCAAGAATCCTCAGAGGGCTTACCATGGAATCCACCCTGACTATTAGGCTCTGCTCCTTTTTTCAGAAGCAATTCTACCATCTGAGCATGACCTTCCCCGGCGGCAGCTTGCAACGGACTTCCGTAGTAGCCAGCCACAAGATCAACGTGCGCTCCTTTTGTAATGAGGTACTCTGCGATCTCCAGCCTTCCCGTCGCAGCTGCACACTGCAGGGCTGAAGCGTAGATAGTAGGCCCTTTCACTACTATGTCGGCTTTCGAGTCTTCGAATTGTTGAACAGCTTTCACGTTCAATAAATTGATATCAGCCGGGAATCGGCTAGAAAGCAGTGCTTTGACGGCTTCCAGCTTGTTGTTTTCGATGGCCAGGCAAAGGGCTGTTTGGCCTTGGTCATTGTAATTGTTCAGCTCATGTAATTCTCGCCCGAATTTAGCGATGAGATCCTCCAACCCAAACACGCAAGCGGCGAATAGTGGGGTTGAAGGTGATGATCGAATGGCTTCAAATTTAGAAGCCAGGTATCTATTGTTCTTCAAAGGCTTGACTTTCTCATAAGCCTCGTCAAACCAATGTTGGTACTTATGCTTCCTACTGCGGCCTTGAAGAAGGAAGGTACGAAGCATGGTATTGATAGCTGTCCGATGCTCTTCTTTATCCTTTTTATCGATTCCTTCATAGTGTAGCGGCCAATAAAGCAAAGCATACTGCTCGAAAGATCTTTCCGGGCTCGTCAATTCGTCTCTAGACATGCCAGCGCCAAAGGTCTTGTTCAGAATCCTGAGGCAGCTCTTCGTAGCCACAACATGGCACTGGCTAGAACTATATTTCGATATTTGCCGAGCATGCTCCCGGACAGAGTAGTGGGCAAATTCAAAAGACTGCGACCCTAAGACAACCAGGTTCCTACAGGCCCTCAACATCTCGTCACGATCAGCTTTGCGTTCAGGAGGAGAGATGGCTTCGAGTAGTGCTTCAGGTGTCAGAGTTTCCTGCGCATACAGAAGCCACTTAAAGGTATCCTGTGCGATCTGGCAGCTGCGCTCAGAATTACTGTTGTCGTCGTGAATCTCCGCCATGACGCCAGTGTAGACGTCGGTCAAGGTTTTCGGCAGTTCAGTAAGCTTTCTGCGTATGCTCTCTTCATCGACTAGATGATTTTTGTCGCATATTTGATTCAGCAGGAGACTGGCGTAGAGAAACATATTGCGGGCACGAGCAGTGAGAGTGCTCTCTATTTCCGACTCTAATTCTGGGGAAACATGTCCGTCTAGAAGGTCTTTATCCTTAATGCGCGCCATGAGTGTGTCCTTGATGAATGTAGAGACATCTTTGCCATTGTTATCTGCTGTCACCTCGATTGAGTCCTCTGGTATTAATTCGTTCTCGATTGCAGGGAAAGGTCGGGTAGAAATGAACACTTTGATTTTCTCGGGATTCTGACGAAGAATTTCCTTGAGCTGCTGCACTAGTTTTGGACTTTTGTCCTGATCGCACTCGTCGAAAGCGTCTAACACTATGACGACTGCTGCCTGTCTTGAGATTGTTAGGATGATCTCAGCACAATCTGCGTACGTCAATGCCCTCTGTTTGTCGCCATGAGGACCGTAAAGGTCGAACTTCTCCTGTACGATCGAAGCCACGCTCCTGCCTTTCCGAGACGTAGAAAGCTGACTCACTATGCTTCTTAGAGCTGCTTCAGGGTCTGCCCTTGTAGTCGCTTCAAGGCCAGTTCCTCCTTTGTCGTTTGAGCAGAAGAAGTATGCAATCCGAAAAGGCTCCTGTCCTGCTTTCTCCTGATCGAGACGAATACGGAAATCTTCGATGACGCGACAAACAAGCCCCGTTTTCCCAGTACCAGCAAATCCATGAAGCCAGAGAAGTGATGATGCATCAGAGATTTGCCAGTTCATAAATTTGTCGTGCTCCACCAGCCAATCTCCTAACGATAACTTGCGCTTCTCTCTAGCCTCAGCATAGTTTTGCTCAGGCTCAACGGGAGAAAGCCATCTTCGAACCTCAAGCAGATTCTGTTTCTCTCTCGCGATTTCCTCTTGCTCAAGTTTGGCCTTGAGGTCGTCAAGTGGCTCTTTCCACATTCCCACAAGGACATCGTTGCGCTCCTGCTGTCTCGCATCAGCGTCTGAAAGCAGGGCTCTCTGTTCTTCGATAACAGATCCTGTCTCTCCCGATAAAGCTTTTAAAGTCTGCTTGATCGTCTCAAGCTGCTCTCTCTGTCCTGTTTGGCCGACTTCGAGGTTATCGATGCCACTCTTTGTGACCTGAGCATCGACCAGAGCTATATCGTCGTCCACTCGCCCCTTAGCCTTCTCAATCGCTGCATGACGTTGCTTGATGTCTTCAGTCTTGACAGGATTGAGGCCGGCAAGCGTGCGCCACACCTTGTGGTCCGAATCGAAGTAACTTAGCGCCTCTACTTGAAATTGAAGGATGACCTTGTACAATTTGAGCAATGATTTTCGCAATGCACTTGACAATTCCGAGTCAATTTTGGCGTAGGTCTGCTCGATGACAGGGTATTGGGCGATATACTCCGAAACTTCTTCGGTGGTCTCCAACATCAGCGCATATGTGGCGCTTTCGCCAACGGCACAGTTGATGAAAAAGCGAACGCATGCCCAAGGAAGAGCAGCATACACCGGCTCAGCTTGAACAACAAGATCTCCCACGATTTGAAATTTCTGGGCGCAATTGGCGACTTTGTCACAGACCTCACGATAAGTTCGTTTCCCTCCGCCAATCTTGCGCTCATTGTCATGTTGCTCGTCACGGCGACGTTGGGCTTCCTTCCTCAGGTATTCCACTTCATTGCTAGTTGTCCAGTACTCTAGATGCTGGAATTCCCGGGGCAGCTTTTTCACCAAATCTGCCTTCTCAGACTTTACTTGCTCCCATGCCTGCTGCCACAACCCTTGCTCTGATTGATCTCGTAGAAGGTGAAGGTTGTTTGACTCTGCTGCTCCGGTGAGTGAGTCACCAGACTTACTGTGGGAAGTCTCGTTTGGCGACTGCTCTTTCTTTGATTTGCTGAACATGTGTGGCATCCTGAGCTCCAAAATCGAAGCTCACCAATGCACGAGGGGAGCTTATGACCATGGTACAAAGCGTCGCCTCATGACTGAGTAGCATAGACACCGTTCGCTGCCTTTTGAGCGTTCTTGACTGCGAGGAGCATATGATCCCCAATAGAAAAGCTATTCTTGACAGCACATATATCAAGCCAGGCTGAGCATCTAAGCCTCTGTCATCTCTTGTCATTGGAGAGCTGAACCATCTGAAACGTGCTAGACCTCAGCCTGCAGACTAGGGTATCGCAGCCGAAGCATATGATTGGGTAGATTACCTCGGTTCTGCATGTCAGCTTTGGGGGCGAAATTGGGGAGCAGTTGCCGGTGGCTAATCCTCAGACAGCATAGCGCAGGAACCTTAGCACGAGGCTCCAAGCGCGACGTGGTGCTGCTCAGTTGTTCATTTTGTTCTTGTATAGCAGCAGATCTTGTTACAGAGGGGGTAAGCGTATTTCCTTGATATCTTTGGATGTTCAAGTCTTTGCAGATCCACGGTCGGGACGCAAGTATGATTGACATTTTTGTCTTCTTGGCTGCCTACTGGGCACTTCGTTGAGATCTCGCTTATCATTGAGGCACAATTCAGGTGTAAGATGTAGCCGAGATGTAGACGCCCGATATACCAATATAGCAATGGCTTTCCTCAGTACTACCCAATAGCCTTGGTGGCTATTCGGGGAGAGATTCGGCGTTATTCATGGTGTCGTCGCTGAGCCTTGTCGAAGATCAGTCCAGTCCGGGGAGATTGGACGGTTTGCAGATCGAATCATCGATCTGGTATCATCAAATATCAGACTGAAGCACAGTCTCTACGACATAGATCTCTACAGAATTCAATTGCAGCTCATCAAGTTGAAGGGAGAAATGGTTCTTACTTTCGGCGAACGAGGGTCCAGATCGAAGACGTTGATCTATAATGGTGACGACTCTCAGCATACGGTATGCACTCGCTCTGGCACTCGGATTCGATACTCAAGGATTGTAATTCAAAGACTGACGTTGAAAGCAGGATCAAAGGCCACGAGAAGGGAACGCCAAGCCCTTTGCTCCGTCCGCTGAATCAGCGATGATTCTTCCTGCCAAGACGCTACTGCAGTCTGGGTCAAGCGCCGAACTCAATTACCAATGCCTGAATAATCCTTTGCAGAGGAATTATTCCCATAATATGCAAACACCTGACCAAGAAAGCTCAAAGGCTCTCCAACATCCCAATTGAGTCTATGTAGCTATCCGCTAGAGCCATTGACCAATGCTGACCACATACTTACACGTGCTTGCAACACCGAGCCCGAGAACCTTCCAGCACTGACCCGTCCATCACCCTCAAGTCTATAAAACCCTCCCCTTCCATCCTTTGCCCCTCTCTTTCCCTTCCAAAAACAAAACACTTTCATACCTTGAAAAGAAGGAATACCTTTATGTCCACCACAATCAAGACCGCAACAAAAGCAATCATGACCACCCTCCCCTCCGCCAAAATCACCCCCCGCCCCTCCTCCGCCCGCGGCCACGCCGACCACGGCTGGCTAAACTCTTACCACACCTTCTCCTTCGCCTCTTACTTTCACCCTTCCTTCCAATCCTTCGGCTCGCTGCGCGTCCTCAATGAAGACCGCGTCGCGCCCCAATCAGGCTTCCCCACACACCCGCACCGCGATGCCGAAATCTTCTCCTACATCCTCTCGGGCGAGCTCACGCACCGCGACAGCATGCACGGACGCAAAGGCGTCAGCACCGGCGAAGTCTCCCCGGACGATTACTTCGTCATGAAGCGCGGGGACGTGCAGTTCACCACCGGCGGGACAGGGATTGCGCACGCGGAGGAAAACGAGAATGAGAAGGAGGAAGTGCATTTCTTGCAGATCTGGGCGCTGCCGTGGAAGAAGGGGTTGCCGCCGCGATACCATACGCAGACGTTCCCGGAGGAGAAGAAGAGGAATAGATTCCTTCCGATTTTGAGTCCGTTGAAGGGCGGGGTTAAGGGGACGAAGGAGCAAGATGAGAAGGCTGAGCCCGTTGTGAAGGGGACGATCCCCATACATGCGGATTTCATGATGGGGGCTAGCTTGATTGATCCGGGTGAGAAGGCGAGTTGGAAGATCGGTGGTGGCGGGGCAGTGGAGCAGAAGGAGGGGAGAAAGGTGTATGTGCATTTGCCTATTAGGCATTTGGGCGCGAAGATCAGGCTCGCGGGGAGAGAGGAGGCGACTTTGAGTGAGGGCGATGGGGCGTTTGTGGAGAAGGTAAAGGCGGGGGATGAGCTTGTCGTGGAGTCGATTGGGAATGGAGAGGCGGAGGTTATTGTCCTCGATTCAAATTAGGAGAATCTTATTTGATATGTAAATAGATTTATGATACTGACGAAATAGGCTTAATGATCCATGCCTAATGAAAATTGATTTGCTATGCAAAAAGCCGCAATCCTAGAGCAAAATATTCGCACCTTTCCCTTTTTGCTTTCTGCGCAACCTCGACGATAAAGTTCAAACTGTGTCAATCAAGCATCGCATAAAGCTATGCCCCAAATGCTCTGTTCTTAGACAGGAAATGAGAGTTGATGCTACCAGGGAAGGGATGACCTCATGGCTTGCTCTGCCACGCGCGCCCGCCGGCCTACAAAATCTCATCGGCACGTCGACCATCCCCATCCTTCCATTGCTCTACTGACACTGCATTTGTTGTACTACCTTCTTTTGCACTCATGACATTCTTTAGGGAGGTACATGTCTTTTCTTCACGTATTCGCTAACGCAACGCGCATGATTGAATGGCTGCGATCATCTGAGAATCAATCCTTGCTTTCCCTTCGTACTATTTTTAGCTTTCTTATGCCAGTTCGCAATACTCCGTATACAAGACTGTGAGAAGAAGAAGAAGAAGCTTCCGTCGATGACAAAAGTCGCGCTCCAATCGTTTCACCATCCCCACAAAAATGACAACAGCAGCCCTCGACCCCAACGTCCACCTCACCTACCTGGCCGAAGGCGCCGCAAACATCGTCTACAGGATCCATCCGCCTCTTATTACCAGCATAGTCAATCCTACGAGCCCAAGCACGCCGCCTTCAACAGAACTCGAATCATACGGTCCGTCAACACCACCGCCTACAGAAGTCCCAGAACCATCTTCCCCAGACCTCTATAAAGGCCACCTCCTCCGCCTCCGTAAATCCGCTGCCTCTTCCGTCCCGGTCCAAGAATCCCACGTAGCCTTCATAACGAAGATCGCGCCTCTGTTCCCCGCCGAGAGTCTCGTTTCCCAGACGCTGATTGTCCTTCCACCAGGGCTGCTTAAGCGTCTGAACTCTGAGCTTCGTGGCTTAGACGGGGTGGGGACGAGGGCGACGAAACGTAGAGGCACTTATCTGGATGAAGAAGAGGAGTATGGCCGGCTGGTGGGAGATATGACTGGCGATGGCAATGGCGATGGCGAAGGGGATTGCGTAGCCTTAGAGTTCAAACCGAAATGGCTCGTGCAGTCGCCCACTGCGCCGAAAGAGGCGAGGAGATGCAGAACGTGCGCTTTGAGTGCCATGAGGATCGCGGCATCCTCTCGAGGGACAGCGTGGAAAGGAGTGTGTCCACTGAAACTGCTGGCTGGGAATATAGAATCCGCGAGGGAGGCAGTAGATATTATCCTCAAAAGCAGAGCCGCGGATGAAAGGGTGAGCACTAGGCTGGTGGAATTTATATGCACGAACGAGTTGGTTAAGAAGTTGCGACAATTACAGGAGCAGTGGGATCGGCAGGGCGTGCTGGGAAGGAGAGAGGTGGATGAGGACTTGAGCATGGCTATGACTGTGAGGGATTGTACGCTTTTTTTGAAGGTATCCCCCCATCATCTGCTTGTCTTTCAACCACAAATCATACGATGTGAATGGTCTGACGCTGATATAGATACCCACGAATCCAACCATGCCAATCGAGGCACGTCTCGGCGACCTCGATCTCAAGCCCACCACGAGGGAGAAACTCCTGTATTGGCAAAACATCGAGCGGCGCTTGATCGACGAGGGATGGTATACTACGACTGAAAAGGGTCCCGCTATGGGAAGGAATCACTGTCGACTTGCTGAGACATGCTAGGATATGCCTGTGTTTGGATAGAGTTATCGGCCTTAGAGTCCTGCATGCATCGCACTGGTGGTGGTGGTGAAATGCGTGAAGTATCACATATCCTCAAACACCGCATTGAATACTCGGGAAAGACTACTCAATCCACTCGAACATACTTCCTATCACCGATTACAAAACTCAGGAACAACACAAAGGCACCCAGCAAGATACGTGGCTCGAACGCCGGGTATCGAAAGTGCTTCACTTCCCTCACCCCGTCTGCGCACAATGGGTCCGATTGAGAATCACCTCGACCTCACCCTCACAGCGCCGATCGTACCCTCCTCTGCTCCCCTCACTCACTTCACCCACCTTACCTCACCTCGCTCCAATTCCGCTCAGCCCTCCCCTCACCTCCCCTTACCCTCCCCCATCAAAGCAGCCCACCTATCTACCTACCAACCTACCAATCTATCCAGCAACTCCCCCCCTTGCAAAAACCCACAGCCCTCCTCACTCCCAACTCCCCCCTTCCCCTTCCCTTACCCTCCGCAACTCTCCTTATCTCTCCCTCTACATCGCCAGCCCCTTCCCCACCTCACCAACCCCCAAGCCCCTCCTCCCCTCCCCTCCCCTTCTCTCTTCCCAGCCCTCTCCTCTCCTCTCCTCCCTCCTAGCAGCTCCGTCACCAATCACCAATCACCAATCACCAATCACCACACCTCCACACCTCCACGCCAAAACCTCCCAACCTCCCTACCTCCCTACCTCCCTACCTCCCTAGCTGCATCAGACAAACAAAAAAACGAACAGCAAGTGAAACGAAGGAAAAAAAGGGATCAATAAGGATTGAGGACTACCCCCCAATTCTCAAAAAGAAGGGAGCTGCGATATACACAAGAAAGAAGCCTTGTCCGTGCAACCGAGGAATTGGCTTCGGAGAACGGTGGTGCGTGGTATGGTAGTCTAGTGGAGAAGAGAGTCGGAAAGGTGGGGGGAAAAGAAAAGGGTCCTCAAGCACCACAGACGAAGGAGATGGCATAACAGCTTTGTATATCAATAGTGATTAAATTTATATCCATATATCCATCCACGTCCTCACGCCCACACAATCAGGGCACATTTCTTCCCAAGTCCCCAATGAACACCTCAGAGCCTCCAGCTCCCTTTTCACCTTGGACTATGTCTAAACACCCCACCCTTAGCATAATGCCTCAACCGATCCGGCACCGGCGACGAGCCCTCTAGGGCATCAATTTCCGCGCTGCCATAATTCCCACCCGTCTGCGTGGTGAAAGTGCCGACCGTGCCAATATCCGGGACACGACCTAACATTGCTTCGACGACACGGTAGCCGGCGCCTGGTGCGTAGCCAGGGAGTTCTAACCCAGACCATATCAGCGACTGGTCATTTGCAAAAAAGGGTGCATGGAATGCGGAAGAAGGGAGGGAGAAAGGACGCGAGGGTAAGTCATACCATGACCAGCGAGTTGAACATCATAGAACGTCAAGCCGCGCTCTGAACCCCAGCTGCCTACATCACCAGCCGATGACAAGGCACCACCGTTATACTCAGGATGATACGGCACGAAAAAGGTATTCTGCACCGGCCGCTCTTGGAAGCCCTTCACCCCTCCCCATGTCATATTTTGAAGCGCGAGGAGAGATCCGTTGGTTGGAAGGATGAAGTCGAGATTGCCGACACCAATGAAAGTGTTGTTGATGGAGTCGATAACGTGGGCAAGTACACCGTCCTGAGCAGGGCCAAGAGAGGTGTCTGACAAGCTTTGATTGTCGCTGGCAAGACCAAATACGTTCGTGGGTGTGCATTGCGACCAGTTGGTTGGTGGGGCGTTGATAGCGGCTTGGACGTCGCTGCGGTTGAAGTATACCATGTTGCCTGGTGGGTTATAGTCGCCCGGGTTGACTATACCGAGGATGCTCCATGGGTGAGGGCAGGTTTCTGTGATGTGGTAGATGTTGAAGCAAGCTAGAATGGAGTTAGCAATGCGAGACAAAGCAATGGGCACAGGCACGTACGATTGGTGAGGAGTGTCGCGTTGTACACGAAGTCGAAGATATCGCATTTAAGAGAGTCGTCCGCGTATGGATCGGGTAGAACTGGAAAGGGTTCTGCAGGAGGTGGGTATGCCAAATATTTGTCAAGCCTGTCTGCGAAGCCGCATGACTTATGCTTATCAGCGAGTGCTGCCGTGAAGGTCTCATTGAGGAAGAACAAGTTGGACCAGTAGTCCACGAACGGCTGAATGACGACTATGAAGATTAGCAAGGCTCTTTTGAAGGTACCAAAGGCTTCATACCTTGCTGTTGATCGGTGGAATCGCCGAGAATCGGATCATTGATAGCCATGCCCGCAAGATTGTAGTAGACCTTATCATTTGCATTGACAAAGGCGTCGGCGATATAAGGGACGTAGAAGCCGCCATAGCTTTCGCCTGTGAGGTAGACTTTGTAATTCTGAGCGCTGAAGGTATCCACGAAGTTCTTGTAGAAGCCAATGAATTCTTGAGCGAGCTCCACCTCGTTCGTGATGTTGGGTACGCCTTGACTGTAACCGACTCCTACTGGCTGTTCCACCCACATCGAGTTTGTAAGATTGACCCATGTATAAGGATTCTGGACTGGCGCTTTCGTGCCGGCTTCCCACGTGAAAGGTCCATTCTCGGTCAGTAGTCCGCTCAAGGAGCTGCAGCCAGGGCCACCGTTGAACCTGAGACAGCGTTAGCAGTGTCAGAACGCAGAGGCGATCTCACGTACCAGATCAAGACTTCTTCGGTAGCAGCTGGATTGGTGGAAGGAAAGAACCTGATATAAGGGTCAGCGCTTGCGTTCTGAAATGGCGACGTTGACATACCAGAAAAATAGCTTTCTACTTTCATTGGGATCGCTCGAGATGGGCAGTAGGCCTGCATAAGACTCGCCGATATCGAAGTCGACGTCAGGTATTGCGGTGCCATTTACAGCAAACTCTGTTTGGGAGTCAGGAATTCGTGTACACGTTCCTCCCTTCTTTTTTAGACTGACTCTCGGTCTCTGGGGTCAAGTATTTTGAAGCCCGCTTCTGCAACTCCGCATTCTGAAAAGGCTGGTTGGGCACGCGCCTTTCAAGAAGTGGTCTCCGCTCTCCAACCCTCTCGAACGCTTTCCCAGCGGGTGAGATGGCAGTCGCGAGGGAAGTCAGGCTCAAAAGACCACTAAATACAGTTAACGACAGCTTCATAATGGGATGCTATTGTAAGAGCAATAAGACCTTGGCTTTGACTCGAGGGACTCAAGGGTATTTTGTAATGCACCACGAGATTAGGCATTGCCTTCTCCACCATCGTCACCGCAGCAGCAATGGCAAAAACTGCACGAAAAGTGGTGCGCTCTAGCTTTTTCAAGAAGGCAGCAGCAAGGGACCGTAACGATAGAGGAGGCGGGATCCACCGCGTAGCATGATGACCTGCCTGCTCAGGAAACCTCAACGGCTTCCCTTGCAGGAGCAGGACGTTGAATTGGTGCTAAGCAGCTGCATATTCGCCGGGGGCCAGTTACCCCTCACGCACCTCCTCCTCCATTTTGATTCTGTGCCAATGATACCCGTGTGGGATCTCATCTCCGGTGAGGTCAGAGTAGGCACGACCAGGCACGCGATGAAGTCTATCAGGAATGCGTACGTCAAGACATCGAAAGAGGAAGGTGTGGTGCATATGATGTTTATCGACGGGAGAAGAGCGAGCGAGAGCCCCATCCGGCTGATCTCCCGATGTTTCAGCCGAGGCAGACCTAAGCTCTTAGTCAGCAGGACCCTGCCAAGACTATCGCTATCTCTTGAATGAATACTCTGCCCCTCTCTCTCTTCGGAGTATAAATGTTCTCCTGGTAGATTCGATGTTGAACTATCAAAGCTCCTGTCTAGGTCTAGTCTATTCGCACAGTGGAACTTGAGCTCTCGTTCTCACTGCCCATTCAATGCAAGACTTCTTATAATTCTGCTTCTAGTCTAGTCTGGACATTGAGGGTCATACGTGGAGGCCACATCCATTGAAATAGCAAGTCTCTGCAACATCATCCCAAAAGATTGTATTTTCATTCTTGTCTTTCCAGCTGATCTGTCTCAACACATCTACTTAATCGAGACTCTTTTTCCTAGACTCATGAATCCCCCACAATATCTCCCATCCTCTCCTATTATCTACCCTCTTCCCCCTCACCCCCTCGCCAACAACCTCCCTTACAACCTTGCAACCTCCTTCCGCCCCTCCCCTTCCCCCTCTCCACCACCGACCCTCTTCCCATCCCGACCAAACCTCACCTTCTCCCCCGTCCTCAACGCCTCCTGCAACGCGCCCGCAACCCTGACCGCCTCAACCGCGCCCTCCAAATTGACCGGCACTTCCTTATCATCGAGACAAGCCTCGACCCACTCCTTCCCCTCCTGCAAAAACGCGCCTTCAAACCTCTGGAAATAATCACTTGGCACCTCCCTCCTGATCCCACCACCCCTAACAGCACTGCTCATCCCCCCTCCCCCACCTCCACCCCCACCCGCAATAGCCGACATTGGAGAAGAAGAGGCCGCACCTTCATGGATAGACACGAGGTTAGAAGCGGGATTCGCATTGACGGTCAACTTGCCATGCGTGCCGATGATCTCAGTGGTATCCTCCTGGCCGGCGGCCATCATGCGCGAAGCGTAGAAGTAAGCGATGCGATGATCCCAGAACTCCACGATGCCGACGGCATTATCGGCGTCTTTCCATTTCTGCAACGTGGGCGCTATAGCTGTAAGGCCCACCGCCGACACGCTTTTGACTTTACTTCCCTCCCCTCCCTTCCCTCCCTTCCCCGCTCCCTTTCCCGCTCCCTTTCCCCCTCCCTCTCCCTTCCCCCTCCACCATCCCCCGCCGTCGCAGTGTTATAAGACCCCTCCCTCTCAGCATGACAAGACCCATCCGCACCAAAAAACCACAACGCCAGATCAACATCATGGACAGCACAATCCACAAAAATCCCCCCCGAGTGCTCCGCGTACTTCACGAACGCCCCAGAAGTATCACGTTTATCGCACGTTTGGGAGCGGAAGACAGCGGCGCGGCCGATGAGCCCGGCGGACATTTTGGCGTGCGCGTCGCGGTAGGAGGCGTCGAAGCGGCGGGAGAAGCCGCACATGATTTTGAGGTGCGGCTGTGTGGCCGCGAGGGAGGTGACGTGTTGGGACTACGAGTATAACGAACGATTGTATCAGCGCCGCACCCTTGCCATCTTGGGAAACGAAAGGGGTGGGAGGAAGACATACCACCTCAACGCTCAAACTCAACGGCTTCTCACACAACACATGTACACCGCCGCCCTCTCTCTCGATCGCCTTGGCGACCTGTTCCGCATGCACGACCGTCGCGCTCGCTATCACCACAGCCTGCAAGCCCGGATGCCGCAGCATATCCTCATATTCCGCGTATATCGCAATATCGTAGGGTCCGTAACGCTCTTGCGCCCATGCGCGCTCGTCGGCGTCCGGGGTTGATATGGCTACTAAGGTGGACCGCGGGATCTTGTGCAGGAAGTGTTCGGCGTGGCGCTTGCCCATGCGGCCGAGGCCGGCGAGGCCGATGGAGAGGGTGGGGACTGGCATGTTGCCTATGCGTGTTGTACTCTGTGGAACTGGGCTGGGGGTGGTGAATGCTGCCATTTTTGTTAGATTGATCGGTCAAGGTTTGCTTTGGGAATGGGGTGCGTTCGTGTGGTGGTGATGGTAATGGGAGGAGGAATTTGTATTCAGTGAGAGAAAGCAGGAGAGAAGGGGGTGAATGATGAAGACAACGTACTTTATGGTTAGCAATCCTCACTGTACCACATCCTCCCGTCGTACGACCCCAGGGTACTGAGTGAAGCAACAGGATGGGATGGGGCGCAACGAATCCCTGCTTGCCAGACTGTGATCGAGATCACTCCAGTTGCCTCGGCGGGAGAAACTAGCAGTCGTACGACATGATGAAGGGCTCCAAGGCGCTTCTTTATAGAGCGGCCACCTGTGCAAAATCGGGAAATGCCAGGCGAGAAGGCGATGATGCGCGGTGACGCTGGCATACATACCCATATCCATAGCCAAATGCAGGGGGGCATATTTGATGGGAGAGCGCGGGTCGCGACATTCCATTCCGACCCGAGCCACTTGCAGCCTGCGTTGTGCAAGAAGGGTGACGTTCTGTTGAGGGAGGGCGTCAAGCGAGCTCCTTCCCATACCGTACCGTATCAACAAAAATAAGATATCAGGGCCTTAGCGTCCGGCAACGTCCATACGTCAGACCTGCATGGGCCACGTGGGAGTCCTTATCCTACGCCGTCGAAGCGAAGGCGGTGAGGTAGCGATCGTTCGATGAAGATTCTAGACCTCGATCGTGAGGGTTGTATAGTATCGATATCTCCGAAGTCAGAGCTTGGCTGCAGGAATTGAAAGACATCGCTTGCTTGTGGTGGTACCCTTGTGGGAAAACGATTAGGATGTCTCAGAATTTTTAAGAGCTTGGGGAAAAGACGTGCATGAAATTTACATGTACATGGCCCTCAAAGGGGAAGCGTTTCGGGTGGAGAGCCCAACGATAACGAGGAATTGCCCGAAAGAGATGGACTGAGATCAAGGATCAATGACAGGAAAGCGTGACGAGTTTCAGCGACTGTAATAGGAGCATGCAGTACTGTAATCAAATGCATGCCGCGACTGCTCTGTTCTTGGGTTGGTCCTTGCGTGATCTCTTGTCGTCACGAAATCTCATTTGAACCCCGTGAGCATGTATTTTGAGGATGGATGGCGCGCTCTTTCTGGTCTTTCTTATCTACCAATAGGTGTTGATCCACGAGAGTATATATCGACCTCGCAATCTGGAGAACCTACGGGTCTGGTGACAGATTCTCTTCTCGAATGACCTGACTCTGATAAGAAAGGGGCGGGTTGGCTTGATGTACAATAGAAAATCTGCATGTGTAATATGCTTGCATGGTAGACACAGAGATCAGCCTAAGTGATTGCTGTGGCTTTTTAGATCTTGGCATATGTCTTTTAGCAGCGCCCACAGGACGGGTGGCTAATATATCTGCTGTCGGCGAGATTGATGGACTTCGCTTGCTGCGATATTTGTTAGCACAACAAGTATGCACATCGAGGGAGGTTCATGTCATTGCCTCAATCCCTCTCCATGCCCACATCCATCCTCAAATCATCTTCTCCACCGTCCTTCCCACCCACAACCTCCTCCCTAACATCTTCCAATCTCCTTCTCTGCCTCCCTCTCTCATCGAAATTTTCCTTATCTAACCACCGCTCAAACGTCTCCTTCACGCCCCCTCTCCTCTCCCCATCCCTAAAAAGCGTTTCATCTCCACCCTCCTCATCCTCACCCTTCCCCCCTCTGCTTCACCAAACCATTCCCCATCCACAATACTCGCCCACCAAGTATCCCTACTCAGTCCCTTCACAATCATATGCTTCCTGAAAACCCCCTCAAACCGAAAGCCCAGCCTCTTCGCCGCCCTCTTACTCGGCTCATTGAGCGAATTACACTTCCACTCGAATCGCCTATACCCCAGCTCCTCGAAGACGTATCTGCCGAGCAGGTAGAACACTTCCGTGCTCGCGATCGTTCTGTGTAGGAGGGGGCCGAAAATCACGTTGCCGACTTCGATGACGCGATTGGCAGTGTCGATGCGGTAGAGGGAGAGAATTCCAGCTGCTCGCCTTTTGGTGGTCTTGTCATTGTCTGTAGCTTTGTCTGCGTCTTTCCCAGCAGCTGTTGCGGGCGTAGCCCCACTTTCTTCCACGCTAAACACCCGCTCTTGCCCCCTCTCTGATTGAGTGTCGCGGAGAAGGACAGCCCAATAAACCGCCACCCTGCCTGTGCCCTCTGCCCCCACCCCTGCTGCACCTCCACCGTTGCCCCCGTGAACCCACCTCCCGACACTTTCCTGCCAGCTCTCGCGTGTTCGGTAAGGCCCACTAAGCATGTAGTCCCACAGCCCCGCGTGTTCGAGCCCGCCGAGCTGGTCGTACAGCTCGTTTGCGTGGGAGAGGGAGAGGGGGACGAGGGAGACGGTGCAGCCGTGGAGGGAGACTGTGTTGGAGGGGAGAGGGGTGTGGTGAGTGGGGATGGGTGTGCCGAGGGGGCCGTAGCGACGGTCGGAGCTGGAGGCCGGGAGGGTAGAGGGTGTAGAGGGAGGAGGTGGAGGTGGGTAGGTAGTGGAGATGGTGGGGTTGGTTGGTGACATGGTGACCGATTGACCTAGAAGGTGGTGGAAACGTTGGTGGTGGTGAGCGAGGCTGGGCTCCTTGTATGCTTTAGTAGAGTGAGAAGGTATTGAGTCTTGTGAAAGTCTGCTGGAATGGAGGTCGAGAGTTCTTGTTCAACTCGGGTGTGTGTCTGGGTGGTTTCTAAAAGCCCGAAATGAGAGGAGGCTCTGGCCCGAAAGAAGAAGTCGGCAGTGAGATACGAGCTGGAGTAGTCATTGTATGACCGAGCTATCGAGGACATGAGTGGGAGTTGAAGGAGGATGCCATGAGGATGTCATGGATGCTGATGTGATTGAGCGCGTGATTGCGCGAGCTTGCTTGACTCAGGCTCGAGCCGGTGACGGAGCGGAGCTCATGCATTCTGGCTTTGCGAGACCCGTGCCTAATAACATACAGATGCCAGAGCTCAGAGTTGAGTTGGTGGCCTGAGTACATTGAGTCGTTTTTGCTGGTGGTTGGTAAATAGATATCGTGATTCAATTCGTGAAGGTTGAGGCTCGGAGACAGGACCAAGCTACATGCAACAGCTGGAGACCACCTAATAGGCTCAGTTCTACGTAGTTGAAAACTTTGGACATGAAGCAAATGGCACAGATGTTTGAATGTTTTCAAGAATCTCTCGTTGTCATTATCAATTATCCTAACCGCCCTCTGCTCAACGGTCACAAAAGCCTCGCGTCAAAACACGCTCCAACCTCCACCTGTCCTCATCATAACACTAAATCCAACCAAACGCTCACGCTTTTTTTAAGGAGTGATGCCTGACAGAAATTGGAATCGTAGAACAACTCGTGAAATCAGTATGTACGCCCGATATGCCGAAGAATATACATTGCATGCGAATGCCGGTTTGTGAGATTTAAGGATTGTCGATGACCGAGATATGTCGCTTACAAAAGAGCAAAGGCTGCAACACCAGCGACAAGACCAACGATCTTCTGGCCAGCCTCCACGATAGCACCTGCACCCACGAAGGGGCTTGGTGATGATGTTGGTCCAGACGCTGTGTTTGATGGCGCACCGCTTGCAGTGCCGGCGGGTGCTGTACCTTTGACAACTGTAGCAGCTGGCGCAGAGGTTGCCGGTGCAGACGTAGCTGCTGCAGATGTCATCATCTCAGTCATGATGTTCTCGGATGTAGCGCTGCTTGCAATTGAAACGGTAGCTGGTTTTGAGGCAATCGGTATCGAGCTTGAGGCGGTGCAAGGAATGGTAACAATGTAGACTGGGTAGCACTGGTTGCCTTGGCTCTGGTCGTAGATATTGTTGAAGGTGCCAGACAGGCAGTTATAGAAGGTGTCATTGCCACCGAGGGAGAGATGCTTGTTTGATTCGCAAACAGACCAGCCTGCGGTGTAGATGGCACCAGCTTGAGGTGGGCCATCGAACTGGAACTGACGGTTGGAGGCGATATAACCTGTACGTCCCTTGGAGTCGAGAAGCTTGCCACCGTTGAGGGTCAAGATGAGGGATCCTTCACCGCCACATGCGACGTTTGTTGCTCGCTAGAAAAATGTTAGTACGCGTCTGGGGAGAAATGTAAGGCCTTAGACTCACCGATTCAAGGTCTCTCTTGCTGCCTGGGCCTGTGATGTTCATGGTGTTGAAAGTGAATGTAGGGCCGAATGGGAAGTCGGACTTGCAGTCGCCAGAGGCCTGGGTATCTGGTGCAACATCTTCGGTGACAGAGCCACCTGGGCCACTACCACTCTGTGCAATGACGGTGGCCGCAAGGGCGAGGATTGCTGATGTGTACTTCATTGTTGATGTGGGAGGTGGTGATGGGAGAGAGGTGTATTAATTATTAGATTGGAATGCTGGGTAATTATGTATTGCCTGTCCGTGAGCGAGTGACGGAGCGAGTGACTGTGCGATAAGAAGTACGGTCTAATAAGATGCAAGAAAACAAGAATGCAGAGAAGCTGATGTATGATAGATTGTTGGTGATGGGGGATGAGGAAAGGAAAAGGAGAGGAACGGGAAGTGAGATGAGCTTGTACTAAATACTTAGCGCCCCTTAGTGGCTCGTAATCGGGAGGGGTTTCACTCCCAGGCAAGTTTAGCGCCCTTGCCCCCCCCCCCAACCTCCTTGTTACTTCCTAGCCATCCCCCGGTTTACGACCACTCCAGGCTTCTCCCTAGCAACATCTACACAATCCAGTACCAGAACACCAGCCGCAAGCCATCATCAGCCAACCTGCCAACCTCGTCGCAAGAACCAGCCTGCCGTGGTTCTACCAACCTCAAGTATTTGACCGTTAGACCATGATGCTACCTTGGATCCACCGCCTAAATAAGCTTGGTCCTACTTACTCGCCTCCCCCTTAGCGTAACGCCGGAGCTTTTCTCTGCCTCCTGATTTCGAGAGCCTGTCGCTCTCCTGCGAAGATATTTTCCCAGGCCACTAATTTTAGCGTGGAGATCTCCCCCAGCCTGGCAGGTGCAGCAACCCACAGGATTTCCTTGATTTTCAAATTCCATCCAATCAACAAATTTCACTATTCCAACTCCGGGCCTTAGTCTCCCCCAAGCCCGGCCCAACTGGGGACCTGCGAGAGAAGCTCTAGACTGTTTCCGGCGTTGGTTCCCTCCTGCCTCGTCTGCCCGCTCCACAGCCTCCTGGATTCTTGCCGGGGCCCAGGCATGGATGACGACGCTTTGAAGGAAGCCGCTTCCCGCCACCAGGGATGTTGGCTAGGTGAGTGAGAAAGATGACGAAAGGGCTGAGGATCAGGTAAACACGTCGTTGGTTGTTTGTGTGGCTTCGCTGGAATGGCAAAAGGTATGTAAAATTTGTCAACAATGCAATTCTTCGGATGGATGTTTCATCTGCTGCACAACCCGTGCTAGGGAACAGCGAGCCTACAGCTTGGCCGCGTTCCCGCCTGCGTTTTCTTTCGCTGCATTCTCTCCTTTTTTCCCCTGCCTAGTCGGTGACTGGGGCATAGAAGATGATCGGGTACCCAAAGCTAAATCGGAATTACTCTCGCCTGATTACATTTCGATTTCACATACAATTTGGTGGAGCTAGACCGTTCTTAGATCCCGATGGGGCCGCATGGCTCAAAAGGCTCGCTGAAGTTCGGCTAGAAGCCACCTCTACCGGTCGATCTCAGTCAAATGTCCCTAACGATCTCGATGCTTGGCATGGAATTTGATGAGGTTTATTTGCTCTTGAACTCAGTTTTCCCCTTGAAGTATTATTATTACAGTACGAATCCAAAGTTGAGACAAGGACTCCTTTCTGGTGCCTCTGATCTTGAACGTAGCCAAGACTTTCACGTTCTCAATCGAGGATTGCTTGCGCACCGATTACAGCGCTTGCAGTTCCGCAGCGGATGATACCTTGTCAGCGGCGGTGAACATTATTATCTTGCGCTCTTCAACATGCATTGGAAAGCAATTGCCCGTGAAGTCCGCTGAAGCCTTGTATTGTTGCGGTCATCGCATAATAGCACCCAACTTTAAAAGTGATTTGACTGCGACGGAATCTCTTGCACAATATCTCCATGTGGCTGTCAAGTAGATTGACGGGCAGTCAATACCATATGATCACCCATCATCTCCAAGAGAAGCTTCATGTTACTAGTGAGTGCATCATGGTGCAGCGGTTTGCTTCCATTCTTGTATGTGACCGAGGTTTCCTGCAGAAACTTATATGCTTCTAATTGCTCTGGTCGTCGATGATTCGCATCATCATTATTTTCGCCTGTAACGCGTCTCAGTCGACGCTACGATCGTGCGTGCGTGCGTTGAGCTCTCAGTCCCAACATCGTCCTGTTGTGTTGGGCGTGATTCAACGAATGCTCAACATTTCCATCAAGGTTTTATCAAAATCTGGGTCGGTTTATGTCATATCCATCACATCTGAGGGCCTGTCTTTGGATACCACCCTTGAGCAGCTCAACATCTTCTCGAGTGCTTTGAAATGGTACATAGCCAACAGAAGACTACGAGAGCGCAAAGACAGGCCTGCTAGGGCAAGTGCAGGGTAGGTACTCACCATGTTGAAATTGTCGCCAGCGATGTTAAGACCCTCAAGTTGATGTAAAGGCAAGAGACCTAGACCGCAAGTATTCGCAGAGCCTGCACGCACGATATCGTTCCATGCTGTGAAGTGAGCCACCCATCATGCTCTGCGCTTTCCTCGATGCGAGACAACGTGATCCCAAGCGTGGCCGCGTCACCACCAGGCTTAGAAAGTTCCTTGGGTGGAGAATGTGCATCGTGATCCGAGGCAGAAGTCACCAGATTGAAGTGAGGGTGGCAGCCTTCTACTTATCATCGTATCCTCTCATTTCGCCGGATTCCCGAAACAAAGCGTTTCAATGATGGTTGAGAGGCCAAATCTACAGGCCGGTATCTTCATCAAAGGCTGGCGCTTGGCGCCTAGCTCTAAATAAAGAAAATAGGCCGCAATCCCCCGCAATACGAATGTTCTCCACCACACAGTAGACTGCGTCACCTCACCTCATTCCTCAGCATCAAATCGATAGGCTGGTGAACATGATCCATCTGACGTCTAAGCCTCGAGAGGTGACCGTCGACGGCCTTTACGGGCTCTTGCAGAACGCCAATGCAACGGCCCGCTCGGCCAGATACGAAAGGGCTAGGTCGTGTCTCTTTGGAGGGGTAGGTGGCGATCAAAACAAGGAATAAAGGACTGAGGATCATCCACTACTACTAAACATTTCGATCTTTGAACTGCTTTGGCCTTTCACCTTCTTCTGCATTTTGATGATGTTGCGAGATCTGTTTCTCTTTACGTGCTGATTCTCTACACTCGCTATTGGAACAATTTCCTTTGCCACGTTCGCTGTTACTACAATAGGTTAATTTTCTAGCTTGCTTGCTCAACTACTTCGAGACTCTTCAATCAACAAAATACACCAGGACACCAGAGCATGCACATTTTCCTCCCCCTCCCCCTCCTCCTTCTCTCCACAGCGCAGGCCGCTCTCCTCCCCCGCCAAACCGCCTCTCAAACCACCAGCTCCGCATCCGCCTCACCAACAGCATGCAACAACCACGCCTCCCTCTGCTCCCGCTCTTACTCTAACATAACGCACCTCGGCGCACACGACTCGCCCTTCCTGCGCAACAGCAGCTCCAATTCCGGCTTCGGGCTCTCAGACGCCGGAAACCAAAACATCGACTCCCTCGCCCAACTATCCGCCGGCGTGCGTCTCCTCTCCGCGCAAATCCACAAATCAGACAACGCCCTCCATTTGTGCCACACCTCCTGCTCGCTCCTAGACGCCGGACTCCTCCGCGACTGGCTCAGCAGCATCAAAGGCTGGCTTGACAGCCACACCAGCGACGTCGTAACCCTCGTGCTCGTGAACTCCGACAACGTAGCCGCCACCGACCTGGCCTCCGAGTTCGTCGCCTCTGGCATCTCGACGTACGGGTATACACCCAGCACCGCCGGGCAATGGCCCACTCTGCAAGCCATGATCAGCGCGAACACGCGCCTCGTGACCTTCGTCGCCTCGCTGCCGCAATCGTCGGGGTATTTGCTCAACGAATTCGACTACCTCTTCGAAAACCCCTATAACAACACCGCCGCCTCATCATTCACCTGCGCAGCCGACCGGCCCGTCGCCCAACCCGCCAGCGCCGCCATAGCCACCGGCAAACTCCCGCTCTTGAACCACTTTCTGTACCAGACCATGACCTTGGGCTCTACTGTCATCGAATCGCCCGATACGGCGAGTATAGGCACCACCAACGCGGCGACGGGGACAGGCAGTCTTGGGGATTTTGCTGCCGCGTGTGCGAAGGATTACGGAGGCAAGGCGCCCTGGGGTTTGCTGGTCGATTACTTCGACCAAGGCGATACGTTGAAGGTGGTGGATGATCTGAATGGTGTGGCGAATGATCAGGCAACGGGGAGGCAGGAGGCGGGGGGGACGAAGATGTTCACTGGGGCTGCGGGACCCGCGGTCAGGTTGCCGACGAATATCAAGGTCGCGGGGGCGGCGTTGGCGACGGCTGTGGCTGGGTGGTTGGTTGTTTGAGTATCTTGTTGGGGAGGGAAGGGGGATGGTGTGCATAGCGCGGCTTTTGGGATTTGTTCATTTTCTTGCATAGCGTGGACGGCATGGTATGGGATGCATGGACTGGGCTGGGCAGGGCAGGGCAAGGCGTTAGGAAAGCCTATTCAGCATGAGTAAGAGTGATAAGGGAACGAGTTAGATGTATGCAATGCAATGCAATGCGTAGCGATAGCAGGCGTTCCTACGTCGCGATAGACAATCAGAGATCTCGAAACATAAAGTAGGCGAGCTTGAATGTGTTTCAATTCAACTACCTACCTATGAGCCTGTTATTCACCGCGTGTTTAAAAGTTGGGGCCAGAAGGCAGCGGGAGAGGGAGCGGTGGCAGCTGCTTCCAAAAACTCCCCGTACTCCGTAGTCTTGTCAACTCCTGGCATTGATTGCGGGTTGTACAGTCACAGTGACCGTCAAGTATGTGCTTTGTGACGACGAACCAAACAAAAGATACAGCCAGAATTGAAAAAAATATATATATATGCAAATATGGCGACTATAAGCATATACCACACTCTCCATACTTCAGTTGGTAGAAGGCACGGCTGTAATAGTTCCAACATTAACCGTGAGGTCCCGTGTTCGAATCACGGTGGGGAGAGAATTGTATTTCTTTTTTTTTTTCGCTTCCCCCCTCCCCCTCTCCCCCCCCCCCTTTTCAGCACATTTCTAGGCTTATTTCTTGCCAGAGGCTCTTAGGACAGGGGAGGGTGGGTGGTACTACCTTAATCTTCTTCGCATACTTGCCATTGTTTTTCTTTCTGCTACAGGTGGTGCAGGTACAAAAGCTAGGCCGAGTTGGGTGATGCGGTGGTGCGGTGGTGCGGTGGTGCCAAGCCACAGCAACTTTCCATTTTTTCCCTCTCGTAATCCTTGTGTATTATTCAACAAACACCCCCTCTCCCCCTACCGCCGCCTACCGCCCCCTCACCATCCATCACACATGCCATTACTCCTTCCATTACACAACCCAATTACCAAACACCCCCCGCCCTCCCATCTCCTTCTTCTTTAGCCGAAGAAAAAGCCCCGACCACACCACGGCGCTTTCCCCGCATTTCGCTTACCACTGACATACATGCAGACGTCAAACTCCCGCCTCCTTCCCCCATCCCCCCCATCCGCGCTGCTGGGAACAATAACTGCTCTCAAGCGCAGCCCCAAAAAACCCAGAATATCCTCGAACGCTTGGATGATGATGATCACGCTGGGTATACTTCTCAAAGCACAGAGCTGCCAATGGGGGCCAACCGCAAGACATACCTCCAGTTGGCGCGCTACCGAGAGGGAGGGAGGGGAGCCGCGGTGTGAGACTTCAGCCACTGTGGTCATATCCCCCGCCCCGCCTTTACTTCAGAAGTTTCTTCTTTCGGCTGTTGATTTGTGCACTGTGTATGAATGGATTGCGGTGGTTGGGTGGGTGGGTGGCAAATGGGGGTTTCGTTGCGGAACGCAGTTTGATGGTGATCCTGTGGGAAGGGGAAGGGGAGGGGGGCAGGCTTGCTTAACAGAGGGTGATTACGCACATTTTGGTGGAGTTTGTGCTTCTTCGTGGTGGTGGTGAATGTTGATGGATTGCTGCAACATGTGTATATACGTGTAGATGAGTAGACGGTGAGGAGTCACGTATGATTCTTGAATGTTTGAATGTTTGAACATTTAGTGAGTCTATTAGATAGCTAATATATGTTTAGATGCCTCCTTCCAAGGTTTTCAACGCCATTCAGTATGTGCATGCCATTGGCCTCTCGCAACAAATTTGATCATTGTGAATCTGGTATCATGCTGCCGAATCGAAGAGCTATCATTTTCCTCCCTTATTGGAATCTACTCATCAAATCCCTCACAAATTTCCCCTTCACCTTCCCTACCACACAACTGACATCAGACGCCCTACAGACACCACCCGGGGCAGGATGATTGTTTGAAGGCTGAGGCGTCGTTGTCGTGTTCGCATTTGAAACCGGGTTCGTTGAATTCCTTAATTCTGTGATTCCAAGAGCATCAGTTGCCTGCTGCAGAGTCGAGGATTGCCGTCGCTCGTGGGCTTCTTCAGGTGCTGCTTCTCGCGTGAACACGAATTCTGCTTCTGGTGCTGCTTCTTCGGTGATCCGAGTGGGTTGGAGTTCGGAGTCACGTTTTGAAGCTGAGGCGGGCTGGACACCGGTGACGCATGCTGTGTCTGTGGCATTACAGGTGCTGTTATGGGGATTGCTTGCGCTTCCGTGGAAGCCTAGGCTGTCGATGGTGACGACATCCTGGGGGGTTTGTTGATGGGGTGTGTAGTCCTGTAGTGGTTCTTGTGTGGTCGATGGGGCGACTTGAGCTTGTGGCTCGGCCACGGGTGCTTCAGATGTCAGGGTGGCGAGCACTAGGCTGCTTAGGAAGGCGAATGATGTGTGATGCATACTGTGTGTGGTGGTGCTGACTTAAATACGTAGAGGAGTTATGTGTATGAGAAGGCACAAGTGTGCTTTCTTGTAACGATTGAAGAGTAGAATGTTTTCAGAATGAAACACTTGAGGCTGAGAAGGAAGAATGAATGAATATTGAGGGGGATTATATCATGAACATAGACGCTATGACGTGAAGCAAATTGATAGGGAGGTGGAGCATATGGAAGTCAACAAAGCTATTTCAGCAGGTCCGTTTTCTAGGCCCAAGCTTGCCACTGCTTCTGAATACTTCCACAGCGATATTTCCAACGAAAACAGTGGGTCGCGCTGGGTCGTGCCATTCTCTAGCTCGCACGGGCAGTTTTGGGTAGAGCATTTCTTGAGCGGCACCTTGTTAGAACAAGCCTTCCGAGCGACATATTTTATTTTCCGATTGCACAGCTTGGCCGTAAGGTTCTGAGTGGACCGTGCTATAAGCTCAACGGCCGGTAGATGCAAGAAAATTTCTCAAGGGCATCAGAGACCGACCCTGTGTGGCGCTTATTGGCTCTGCTTCGGCTATGGCTGAAGTGCCTGACGATCTCACCCGGCGGCAGTGAGATGTCTCAGAGCTTAAGGGCTATATCACGATGATGGTTATCTGTGCAGTCTCTTGGGCCTATAGCATTGACCGTAGTCATCAATCATGGATGGTACGTGCGTTGCGTCCATATGCTAATGATAGGCTACTCACAGACGTTTGGTCTCATTGGCTTGGGGAATAACCATAGCTTCCCATCTCTCCGGTATTCCAGCACGAATCAGGCACCAAGCTGTTCATCCAAGGAAATATCCGATAGCTACGCACGGATTCCGAATCCTGACACTATCATGATTTCATGACAATGGTTCTGCTTTCTCCGCTCCATGGCACAATCGCTTGCAGCGGTCATACCGTTACCATTACCTAAAGAAATAGTGTCGTAAATGGAGAATTGAAGAGAGGCGACGATACGATGTACATGACGCATGTATTTTCATCCGACAAGAACGTGCAAACGAACTGAACGGCGTACCAGTGAGCGTCAACGTGAAAGTAAAGCGTCGCCTTGGAAAGCAAAACAACAACTTATCAGGAAGGCGATAAACGCGTTGCGAAATTGTTGCAAACCTCTCATAGCGTTCGACAGCAACTCACAGCGGCTCTTGCAGCAACAATCATTGCGAGACTGTCTAATTTGTCTTTGTCTTATCATCCTGAATAGGACGAATGTCTCACTGCTGCCGACGTAGTTGCGCCCAAGCGCGTTGGGTCTTAAAGTGTACAATGGTTTGCTGAACTCTGAGGCACTTCAGAACGTCGCATTATGTTTGAAGGCGATTTACTGATTAGTCCGGGCTTTCTAAGTGGCTAAAAGTGGTATGTGGAGGGTTGACGTGAAGCGTAGTTGAGATGCGTCGAGAACGGCAGCAGTCGCACAATGACTACCCGCCTCTCGAGTGGTCTTAGTTTACACCTCTCCATTCCCATCACGCTTACAAAGCGAACGTATGGATCGTGCGATGATGATTCCTTGAAATTGTCCGCATCAGGCTTTATGCTCTCGCATGGAAAATAGCTAGATGTGGTGTTACTCACTTTGACGGCCCCTGCTTCAGGCAGCTGATCGGACCAGAACGCAGTCCCTCTTCCCTTCCTAGCTGTCCTGGTTGTCGCATCGTCTTCTACTATGCCCTCAATGGGCTCCTAGCCCATAAGCGGACTGGATGAATTCGTCCCTGAAGAGCTGGAAAGAAGGGTACTGAAGATGCAGCGTAGTCCCGGGAGCTGTACTACAATGACACGGTAGAAAGAAGAACTTCTACATTAGCACCAGCTTGTCATTGCCATTGAAAGAAAATAGGTGTTTGAAGTCTTCACAAGGCTACCGTCATCACCAGAGGCTGTTGCAGCACGAGAAAGATTGAAAAGCTAAGAATAGATGCCTTATAAACCTTAGTAAAGAGTTCCATATTGAAGCCGAAAGCTTGATTGATATTGTGAGTGACCACCACATGTCCTTGAGCCAATAAGACAAAATTTCGAGAAAGCCTTGCGTATCCCACGCCGCGATCCACACCACCTCTCATCCCCCCACGCGCCAGCTGTCTGAATCTGTTGAGCATCTCGGAAAATATCCTGCTTCGTGCCTTTTCGGGGAGGAAGTAAAGCTTAGTGCGGTTCCGGTGCATTCCAATACATGAAACAAAATTCTCCGGAGAATGGCGTCACTGTTGTCTCTCGCATTCGAGATCCTCATCGTTGCTTTCAAGCATTTCGAGATGTCCAGGTGGTTCTCAGGTTGTAAGCGCGACTTGCGACGATCTCATTCCCACAAGGAATACAGTGTTTGCGCCTTTAGCAACATGGGGAGAGGCGATGGCAAGCACGCAATACTGCTCGGTGGGTTCCTTTGAGAAGTCGTCTCTGTGTATGTCGCTTCGGCTCAGCGTCCTCATCCATCAATTGCTTGTGCTTTAAAGTCAACGATCCAAAGACTCTACCTCAACTCGAGCCAGGTGATGTAATCAGCAATGCAGCTGTGTTGCCTTCTTCGCAACATGGGAAGAGAAAAGCAAGGGAGCCTGACTGTTCCCCATGCTTTCGAAATTGCAAACATTGGTCTCCCACCAATCGTCGATTTGATTGGCGCTGGTGGTACTGCTGTCCCTTATGGACTGGAATATTCTTGCGCATTCGCCTGCGAAGCTCGTGAGAAGCTTCTTTGGGAGTTGACTCTTGTGACGTCGAGGCAGCCGGGAAGGGGGGTCCTTCGAAGATGAGGTTGGCGGTATAGTGAGTGGAAGACGAGGATAACTCTCGAATTTTCTTTTCGTGTCTTCAAACGGGTCTTGCGACTCCATGTGGTCCATGGCATCTACTGCATAAAATGCCCGCGCCAGATTTGACGAATCAGCGGCCAAGCGCGTCTTCCCTTGTTGATAGTAACAGTCTGAAGTGTATCGAGATCGAGGCTCGCTGTTGATGGGAAACGCCCCTGTATGATAACCTCTGAATAGTTGCGTCAACTGAGACTTTTCAAAAGAACCAACAACCACAGCGAATAGATTTTTCTCAGTTGTTAGGGCGTAGAAAATGGCGATATCATCATATCAAAATTCCCCACGAATCCCAACATATGCTGTTTTTTCCACTTTGTAATAATTTCCACAACTGATGATTTGGATACTGTAAGCAAAAAATCTTTCGATCGCAGTATTGAAGTGCTTTTAAATTAATGCTCTATTGGCTTAGGTTAAAGCAATAATGAATCATTCGAGGAATCAAGATTTTAAGCTTTTGATAGATTGCTCGAACAAAAAATCCCAGAATTTTCTTGTGTGGCTACCTTTGTTGCCGTTTCGATCATCTCGTTAAGAAAAGCTCGCCAGGATTTTTTGGATTCATCAGCGCCGTACTCGACAAGTACCTGCAGCATTCCTGCATCACCACGAGATGCCGCCTCATTGAAAAGAGTCAGTGAATCCCAGGTGGTCGGATTGATGTTCTTGACAGTCTGAAGAAGGAGCTCCAAGGCTTCTATATATCTAGGGCTTGCAGCTCGACCCCAGTATGTAGTCTCTTTTTCGGAGACGGATCTAGCTTGGCAGATTTTTGACATAACCCATGCCATGATTTTGGTGTGATCCACTTCGGAAGCTTCGTGCAACGATGTGCTCCCCAGCATACGTCTAGCGCCGATGTCCCCTACCCTAGCCAGGATCAAATTCATGATTTCGGGGTCGTCGCCGAATGACCATGCAGCCTGCTGCAGTATTGTCCTTAGGGAGTGTCATTATCGGATTCGAGATCTGTCCTTTCGTCCTGCACCAGTAATTTGACTAATTGCTTATGACCACACTTGAGCGCAATTGATAATGGCGTTCCAAGCATCCCGAGAAGACCTGCTTCGTTGATGGTTTGACTACTCACTTGGTTTAGCAACGCTGCACAGACTGACACGGGCAGACAAAAGTAGGCGGCAAGATGAAGACAGTTGCAACCCCACATTTCCGACTGCGATATTTCATGACGCTCCGCTCGTTCTGCGGGCGCAAAGTTGGTTGAAAGTTGCCGTGCTGTGTTTTCAACACGTTCCTCATCCTCCAGGAATGACAGCACTTCACTCTCTATACTGAGATCGAAGCCTCCTTTGACGATGTGGAACCCCCAGCTATTCACGGCATAATGAAAGAGGGCGATAAGGCCTTCGAAGTATTCATGATCCGTCGGAAGTTGTTCTAGAGTATTCATCGATGCAATTTGAAGACATGTCTTTCCAATGTCGATTTGTGCGCTGGCAAAGTGAATCTCGCGTATTGAGACTAGGAAGGAATATGCCGTATGATGAACCAAATGAACGAGTCCACTGTGTGTCTCCACTACTAGCAGTCCACCGCAAGCCGATAGGATTACATCCTCATCAATGAAAGCCGAAGCGTCTAAAGATCTATCCTCTGGACGTAATGAGATGGCTATTTGAAGAGCCCTGATGCTCAATGGTCGCGAGCAGAACACAGTCCAAGATAAAATCTTTTTGGCGAGAAGCTGATCTTCATCGTTTTGTTCTCCAATGCGTGTCATGGCGTCGTCGTATATAAAGTCGATCTGCTTTGGCAAGATATCCAAAGACTCGGCGATATCACGCTTGTTCCGCTTTCTTGAGAGAAGCATCATGTGCTGGTGAGTCAGAAGAAACCTTCCCTAATATGTCAACATGCTACAAGCCAAGGTAGTCTGCGATAGCATCTTACATTCCATGCGCTTCCGCGAGTAATGCATTGATTATTCGTTCCTCAAGCTTAGGGTCGGCGGACACCGACCTCTCCAATATTGAGGACTGTCTGATCTTGTGCTTCATATATTGAGCAAGATCGTCCGCCTGAGCCTTGATGATGATCTTCGCCGAGGCTTTGGTCTCCTCCTGAATCATATCAATCGGCCTAGAAGTTACTAAGGTAAAGTAAATGGGCGGCAACTCGCGGATCATTTTCGTCAGATCCCGTCTGGTGTCTTCGGAGCACTCGTCGAGAGCATCGATGACGAGATAAACTCTGGTAAACACTGTGCTTACAGCCTCTAAGCACAGCCATAGCTCTTTCAACCGCGGTCGCGTGTTACGAGAGCGATGTTGGTGACACATCTCACGAACATGAGGTAGTGACTTGGGATTTTGCAGCACCAAATGTTTAATAATCTCCGATAGTAGGATTTCGCACGTTTGGGCACTTCTATCTTGGTAATTGCAATACGCGAAAGCCAGGCCGACATTACTAGCGACCAAACGGTTCTCAATGTTATCGATGAGAAGTGATCTTCAACCTAGTCAGCTCTGGGAATTCATGATGATTGGGTAGTCTCATACACCAGCATGGTCTTACCCGCTCCAGGAATACCAGACCACCATAGCACCCGGTGCCTCGCTTCCATCCAGTCAATGACTTCCGGCATTTCCAGTATCCATTGGCCAGTCCCTTCCACACGTTTATCGGCAATGTCGTGATGCTTTGTCCATGCGTTGTTGGTTGAAAGCCAGTCTAGTACACGCTGATCCTCGCTTGCCAGCTGTTTACACAGTATATCATCGACTCTGTTGCCCACAGCCTCAACGCGTTTGTTCATTTCAAGGGTGGCAGCAGTGTTACTTTCCCACGAAGACAAATTCTGTTGCTCGAGGGCGATCATGAACGAGGTCTTCTGCCGCTCGATTTTGACCAAGATCTCAGCCACTTGAGATCTTTGAAAGGGCCATATCATCTTAGTGGCTGTCCTTGAACGGCCAGAGGGTTTTAATTTAGCTGCGAGCTGCTCGAGCGATGCCTTAAATTGCTCAAGCGGGCCATCCTCGCCAACCAAGGCCTGGAGGGCTGACGGATGACTACTGCTCTCTGTGCTTTGTCTCGTTGTATCTTTGAGCATGTAGAGGTAGCCAGCAGTACTGCTCAACTCAGACAGCAGGTCCTGACGGTCTTTGGCAGCATGAGTTGCGCTGCGGACATACTGAATTACATGTTTCGTCAAATCCAGTACAGTAATGATACTCGCCGTGATGCTCAAAGGATCTGCCATCCTTCATAGTCTGGATCATATACTCATCAGGCTTTAGGGACACCTGGACCAAACCTCAGCAAGAAGTTGCGTTGGTTGTCAGAGTCGTCGACAGTCTCGCCGCTCACAAGGCTATAACTGCCCCTCGTGCGCCACTATTGCACTAGCCACCATCGCCACCCTGACCTCTTGGCGCAATTCAATGTCGCAATTTTTCAGCTGGTGATTTGAGATTGCGACCCCCGAACTGGTTCATGCCAGACATAAGACCAGTAAGACGGTGATTGATTGCGAAAGACCGTTGAATAAACCTTCTTACACATCGCCATCTGCTCACTCCTACTTCATGTATCTCTGCCACCTTGGCTATCGCGATCTTCCGCCCATACTCGGCCATCCCTATGTACACCGCCTCTATATCACACCGAGCCTCCTGGGCTCAATGACAAATTGGCAACGACTTAGCGCTGTGCACCTACCCCTGAGCTTCGCAGATGAACGTGGCCTGCAGCTTGGACGTGCCGTAGCATCAAAAGCCAATCGACCGGCCAGATACATGATTGGGTGCCACCCTCTCTCCCCCCTGACCACGATCTCTCTTCATTTCCCGCCCCAACCTCACCTTCCCTCTTCAGGCACTTTCTAACATCAGACCAAGTCCTTGGATCATGGATGAAAGAAGCTTGTTGACCACTCAGCGCTTTACACTTGCTTTACACTTTCTCCTTCAGGGTCTGGCCATGCATTGGGCTCTCTGTGGGGGCATGTGGCTGGCTGAGCTCACGATCTATCAGAGCGGGAGATGTACCACCGTCATCTGTAGCTCCGGCAGTTCCTCCATGGGAGCAGGAAAAATTGGAGAGCCCTCGAGGCCTGAAAACCACGACCGCGTGTTGTTGTCTGACTCCTGCTGCTTTCCTCCTTCATTCATCAGCTGCTCAATGCTTGCGGCGTTTCCAAAAGTTTTGCTATTGAGCGATCCATTAATGCGCGTGCCGTTATGAGAACAGTAATACTTATTCTAGGCGTCGCGGCGTCCTTGGTGTCTTGCCAGTCAGTGGCCGATCTGCCTGGCTGCTCCGTAAGTACAACTCGGAATATGCATCAACGATGAAGCTGTTAACGCATCACTAGCTCGGCTGCTTCCAATCTGCTATTGCCTTGACCACTTGTGGGACCGCAGATTATGTCTGCCAATGCCAGACCAAAAACGCGGCCAACATCAAGCAATCTGTGACAGGATGTCTCGCAAGTTCGACATGTACGCTTGGAGACCTGCAACGTAAGTGCTCGAGCGAAGGCTCTTGAACATGCTAATGTCATGCTTTGCAGAGGTCAAGACCTGGAGCGATTCTTTCTGCCCACTCATCCTCTCCTCTGCCTCTGCCTCTGCCTCTGGGCCAACCCAGTCTTCAGTACCAACCCCGAGTTCCTCTGCTTCGCCAGCTGTGGTAACTGAAACAGCGACATCACCTACATCAGTTTCGCCGGTGGCGACTGGCTTCAACGCAACAGCGTTCGGCGCAGGAACACCTGGGACGAGTTGGGGAACAATCAAGCACTCAGGCTCAAAAGCCAATAGAGCTCCTGCCCTCGAAGCCATCTCAATCATCCTACTTTCGATCGCGGCCATGATACTTACGCTGAGGCTTTTCACAAGAATATACACAAAGCACATGAGGCAGGCCGTCCGAGGTATCTGGTGGGACGAGTGGTTTGCCGTGCTAGCTCTCATAGCAACAGCAGGTATCACCACAAATATTCTCGTCGGATCACAGCATGGAATGGGCAGACATTTGCCCGCAGACTTTACGCTTGATGAAATGGTGACCTTGATCAAGATTGTATATGCTTTCATCGTCAATGTCACTGTCGCTTTCGGAACTTTGAAAATCAGCATTCTATTCGTGTACTTGAGAATGACGCCCCATAAGTCCCATAAGGTTGTCATCTATACGCTCATGGGCCTTGTGGTTGCACACAACATCCCTGCATTACTGGTAAGCAAGGCTCGGTTAGGGAAAGGAAGACGCTGACCCATATCTTAGGGCCAAATATTTTCTTGCACTCCCATCCACGAGTATTGGAACCTTGGCTATCCAATCTTTCAGAATCCTCATTGTATCAACATCCTAGTATTCGACCACTTCAATAATGCATGGTCAGCCCTTGAAGATATTATCATCTGGATGCTACCAGTCCCGACCATATATTCCTTGAAAGTACCTATACAACGGAAGAGCGCTCTCTACGGACTGTTAGCGTTCAGTCTGATATCAGTCTTGTGCGCAATTTTACGCATGACATTCGTTGTCCTCTGGGTTCGATCCGACGACATCGCATGGGATTATATACTCATCCCTTTCCTGGCTAACATGGAGTGTTGCGTTGCGCTTATCACAACATCTGCGCCGGGGATCCTGCCTTTTCTGAGATCCAGCACTCCGGCCCCACCAGCGAGGCCTGTACCAAAAGTTGAAGTCGAAAAGGCACCCTCAAGCGGCTATACGTCCGAGAAGGATCTTGAAAGTCAGGACAGCACCATGGTTCCATCTACAGCCAACCAGACAGATCGAAGTAGCAAGACCTGGAGTTTACTGAGCAGACTTCGACCTGGAACAGCGATGAGTAAGCGCGCGAGTGCGTTCATCGATCCGAATCGACGTTTGACGACTTGCAAAAGCGAAACAGAACCATCTGGACGGAGGACAGAGCTGAAGGATTTTGACGATGTTGAAGACGTCGTGCCTGGCGTGAAAACGGAAGCGAAACTACAAATGAAATGATTCTCATCACTTACGAAACATACGAACACAAGTTCAAAAGCTATTGTAATACGTTGCTCTGTTGCGAGGCAACATAACCTTGATGTCGACAAGACTAGGAAAGCACGACCAAATGACCAACGCCATTTGCCAACGACTTTGGTCAAAGACTTTGGTCATCGAATTACACTCTTCGCATCACAAATGTTCTACAGATTATTGAAACAGTATAGCCACGTACCAGCGCTACCATTCGTACTGAACAAATTTACAGCATACATACAGCAACAGCACAATGCCACCAACAATGCCGGCCTACCCCCCTACCGCCGTCAACAACAACTCTCCACCATTTCCAAATCTCCTTCCTTCAAGCCTCCTTCCCTCCGCAGCCAGCTGCACCCAGTCTGCTCCTCCTGCCTGCACCACGCTAATCAAGTACTACCCGAATCCACCCTATACCTCCTCGACAGATTTGTGGGAGCGCGCCTCTCATATCGATACTGGCCGCTCACTGTTCATGTTCTGCATCATCTCACAGTTCCTGATCTGCAACTTATTCTTCCGCGACCTTCCACAGCGTGTCATCACCCACGCTTCCCGCACAAGCTGGCGAACGGCCTTGGCTACCTGGATATTTCTGGCTCAGGCGCTGATTACATATTCTCCGTTCAGCTTCCTGATCTTGTGGATCTCAATGGAAAGGATGTACGATCCCGATTCCGCAGTACATATCGTGATAGGATGGGCTGTGGGGGCCATCACGGGACTCTTCCGGGAGCCCTGGTTCAAGGGAGTCGGCATGATAGAGAATGAAGAGCAGAGAGAGGGAACCATCAAGGAGGTGATCTTGGGCAAGCTGAGAGACATGTCGCTGCCCGTGTTGGTGTGCGTGCTGCTTGGGCTTTGGTATGGTGGGGGCTTTCAAGGGTGGCAGATTGAGCTTTTTGCGATGTGGATGAATCTTGTGCCCGTGATCATTTGGTAGGCTGTTGAGGGCGAATGGAAAAGCGAGTTGGAGGACGAAGTGAGCAGTGAAGGAAACATAGCTCATGTATATGGTAAAAGGCTCCTGAAGAGGAGGAATGAGCTTTTGGAGCCATTGGAGACTAAGCAGGCATGAAGCATACGGAGATGGCTATTACACATCGATACATATATATGATTCAATATCGGTCACAACAGATACTGTTCAAGAGTCGCACGTTGCATACATTTATTGCTTGAGTAAAAATGCCATTGATATTCCGTTTCGGGTCTGAAATAGGGCTAAACGAAAGCCTTGGCGAATTGATTCAGTCTCAACCGTTCCATTTTTCTCCCATCTCCAAGTCACCACAATGCCTCCATCAAAGAAAACCAAGCTCACACACGATACCAACCCTCAAGACAAACCTATGGCTTCACTAAACGAACCCACAGTCTCACAGCCCCCCTCACCCTCAAACGCAACACCCCCACGACCATCCTCCCCTCACCCACCTCCCACCTCCTCACAACCCTCAGACCGCCCCCCTTCCCCCCTTCAGACAGACCCTCAGACGCCACATCAACTCCACAGCCCACAGACAAAACCTCCGACCGCCTGGCCCGCTTCAAAGCCCTCCGCCTCCGCGCCCAACAATCCTCCCAATCCAACCTCCGCGCCGCAGCCGCGGAATCCAAACAGCAAGCGACGGACCCGAACGCTCTCACAGCGCTACAGCGCAAACAAGCGATCGCATCGCACAAGCTGCTGAAAGCGGACGTAGAATCGGAAGGTGGGGATTTCGAGCGGAAGAGGGCGTGGGATTGGACGATTGAGGAGAGTGAGAAATGGGATGAGCGCATGGAGAGGAAGAAGGTGGCGAGGGAGGGGGTGGCGTTTCAGGATTATGCGAGCGAGGCGGGGAAGATTTATGAGAGGCAGGTTAGGGAGATGGGGGATGTGAAGGGTGGGGGTTGGAATGGGGCAGGGGGAGGGGGTGGGGTGGATAAGGAGGCGTATGAGCGGGAGAAAGCGGAGATGGTGATGAGAGCTGCGAGGTCCGGCGGGTTGGAGATTGTGGAGACGGAGGACGGGGAGTTGGTTGCTGTTGATAAGACGGGGACGTTTTATACGGATGGGGGTGGGGCGGGTGGAGGGGGGACGGGGTTTGTGGATCAGAAGCCGGCGAAGAAGAATGTGGATCGGTTGGTTAAGGATCTGCAGAAGGCGGAGGAGACGAGGTTGAGGAAGCGACGAGAACGGAGGGGGGGCGATGAGGGGGATGAGGATATTACGTTTATTAATGAGAAGAATAAGCAGTTTAATCAGAAACTGGCGCGGTTTTATAATAAGGTATGTCTCTTTCTCTTGAGCTTGGGATGGGGAGGTTGCTAATGAGGGTGTAGTATACGGCTGAGATACGGGAGAGCTTTGAGCGTGGGACGATGATATAGATCGGTCCAGAAAAGCAGAAGCAGAGCCAGGGGACAATTGAATCGAGGAGCGTTTCTACACAGAAGGGTATCATCTATCCATCTCCCACCAAGACCGACAGCCTCACAACATCCCTCTCCTCCACCCCTCCCCTGCCAGCCCCTCAATCTTCGCCGTATCAACCACGCCCTTCACATCCGCCTTCTCAATCGCCTCAACCACAGCCTCAGCCACCAAATCAGCTTTCAAAGGCTTCTCCACCGCGCCTGCAAAAGACCCTTTAAATATCCCCGATAAACGCCCGCCTAAAACCCAGTTCACCATACTACCCACCTCTCCTGCCCACGCTATGGGCATCGTGAACTTGCGAGAGGTGTCGTATAAGAAGCCTGGTCTGATGAATATACTCCGCAGCTTGGGGAACTTCGACGCAATGGAGGATTCTGCTTCGCGCTTGCTCCTGATGTAGCGACGGGGCAGCAGGGGCGCGCCGCCGGCGGCAGATATGTAGACGAAAGTTGGGATGTTGACGTTGTTGGCTTCACGCGCGAGGACTATGGCTGTATGTACCTCGCTGTTAGCAAATGTATCCGTAGAAACCCCGTTTCGACCATCCAAACTTCTCCTTTCCCCTGCCCCTGCCTTTCCTTTTACGTGTTCCCCTCCCTAACCCAATCCAGTCCAACTCCTCTCCCCAACCCAAACTTCAACGCCCCAAGTGAAAGAAAGGCAAGACATACCACTATCCCTATTCATCAACTCATAAGTAACCTGCCCATCCTCCTCCCCGCTCTCCAGCCTCTCCGCCCCCTTCGTCCCAGGCTGCTTCCTCTTCAGCGGATTGCGCGCTCCCCCGTCCAAACTCCACGCGCCCTCTTTAAATGTCTGGAAGACTCGCATTATGCCCGGTATCGTATCTGCTTCCCCGCTTAATACGCCCTTGTAGTCGGCTTCGAGGAGGATGCCCATGCTGTGGATTACTGCGTCGACCTTCCCCAGCCCTTTGTCTGGCCCGTTGCTGCTTTGTTCTTGGACGGCTGAGTTGGTGGTGTGGGAAGGGGGATGGGTGGATGAGGAGGTGGAGGTGGAGGAAGGGTCGGTGGGGGAAGAGCTGAGGTATTGGCGATAAGTGCCTGGGTCTAAGAGGTCGGCTTTCTGCCAGTTGATGGCTTTGGCCCAGGAGGGTTCGTCGGGAGAGGAGGTTATCGAGGACCACGTCGGTATGCCGGAGCGCGAGAGGGAGGTTATACGCCAGTTTCGGGAGGCGGCTGCGCGGCAGATGCGGGAGCCTGGGTGGATTGGGGAGTCAGTGAGTGTGTGGGTGAAGATGGAGAGTGTGGAGGGAAGAGAGGGTAGAGGGAGAGCGGTGAAAGGAAGGGGGGGGCTTGTAGTTGGGGAGGAAGTAGGGAAGGGAGGGAGTTAGCATAAGAGAAGGTTTGGGGCAAGGGACAGGGCAGCGAGGGAAGGCGGGAGGTACCAAGGAAGCCATTGCCGCCGCAGACGACGATATGTTTTGCCATCGGGGCTGGAGAGGAGGAAAGCGTTGTTGGTAGTGGTGGAGCGCGTGAAATTGGTGAAGGATTTTTGAAGTCGGTGATGTCAGTCTGTATTTTCTTGGCAAGACGGTCTCTAAGGGGTCAGATTGGGGTGAACAAGGGCGGGAGGCCCCTAAGGGCAGCCTGGGATACATGGTCTCCGAGGGGGTCATCCCCCTATGAAGCCTGGAATTGGCATTTCTCACGACATTGATCAACTTTGTCAGTCCATCTCATTTGAACTCTTCCCAAACCCGTTCAAAATGCAGAAGCTGAGTCATTTGCCCCCAATTATCTACTGATGGTATGTTCCGCCTTGTGATCTCATTCCCACTCCCACTTCCCCTCATCAAATACCTCTCCATACCTCTCCCTCATCTCCCCTACCAACCTCTCATACCTCCTCTCCGCCTCTTCATACTCTCTCTCCCTCTCCCTCACCCAATCATCTATTTCCTGAAGCCCCTTCTCAAATTCCTCAGGGTCCAGCTCTTTACGCGATAGTTCCGCCCTTCTGTTTAGAGCCTGCATTTTGCAGACCGCAAGTGCTGTGCTGGCATGAATCACGTCTCTGAAGGCGTCTACCGTCTGCGAGCGAGCGAGGTCGTGGTCAGTGGCGTCGTGTTTGGTTTTGCACCCTGTGGTTTGTGGGTTAAGCAGGTATTAGATGAAGGGGTTTGGGGCTTACCGCAGAGCTCGTGGCCATGTTTTTCGGCACCGATTAATGGGCGATTTTGTAAGATAGCCTTCATGGTGGTTGTTTATGAATGGCGAAGGTAAGGGTGCAACGTGATCTGTGGTGCCTGCGTCTGCTCTCTATTATGATACCTGTGAAGGGCTACTTTAAGTGAGGATTGAGTCGACGAAATAAGACAGACAACCGAGGGTTGCACAGGGGAGAGGGTTTCATGGTAAGGGTGTGACAGTGCCTTCGCCACATATAACTGGTCGTACAGTGCCAGCGCCGATATTCGTACATGGCATGTTTTAAAGTACAGCGATAGTCGCTTCGATTTATGGAGATACCGCTTCAAAATATGGTCTTCTAGTAACAAGGCTTTCTGGGCTATTTTCGTTGGCACAATGGGCATGAGATGCTTCTCGTCTAACGAAGACTGCCTTCTCCGAATTTCGTTTACTTAATAGGTGGTTTGAAGAAGGCCTTAACACCTATATCGAAGGCTTTGCAGGAGACGAAGGAGCTCCGGGACAAGCTAGAAGATTAGTGTTATAAGTCCTACAACTAACGCAGGGATGTATTTCATTAGATCGGGGCGATTATCAATAGCTTTTAGATTATTAGGGGCTTGAAAACTTAATGGCAGTCTCGCGTAGTAATCTTGTTAATTTAAGAAATAAAGAATTGAACCTATTGCAATAGTTTTTATCTTTGGGAAACGGCTGCTAATAAGGATGTTATTATGAGATAAGTCGCAGATTTATTAAGGCGATATAAACAGGGACGCTAAGATAGTACGTATGTTGTAGAGAACTTCCAATCTCATTATAGCACTTCTATAAAGGCGGCGCCGTGCGATCTTAAATTATCTTGCAGTAGATACTTATATCGCAGCGTGCCTCTGTCTCCGCCGCGCGAGGTTGATCCAAGTAATTTAGCAGACTTATTCGTTCTTATAAAACTTTGGAGAACTGATTTTAAATATGAAGAACAACTCTTGCGCCGTCCCAACATATGGATTCTCGGCGAACGTGCCTATGCAAAAAGAAGGGCTTGCTAAATTTCACCTTGTAGAATTGCATACTTTTATGACACATTTCTAAGGAAGTGATTGGTAACTAATATCTGGAAGTTTTAATGTCATTATAATCTCCGAAGGCATTATTATATGCCCAAATCTAATCCTTGTCAGGATATGCAGAACTGGTGTCGTAACTCATGACGTTCATTCATCATCATATTTCTGCATTTGGTTGTCATATTATATGTTTTGCGAATTTCATCCATAACTTCGTTCAGACGTATAAGAAAATTGGTGCGTTGAGGTTATGCAAATATTGAAGGACGCCGAATCCTTTTGTGGACTCCAAAGTTAGCGGCGATACTTATTCAATTTGAGGCCTGAGATGACATAGGTGCTATTGATATAGAATGCTCGGAGATTGGTTCATCGCTCTGTTTGATCGACTCGTGTACCGGGCCTGCGACCTCTTGAGTCGCCGAATCCTCGGCTCCATACCTGACCAGGATTTCTTCGACTTCTCGACGGCGCGTTTCTGCTTTCTCAGATATTTTATACGTTTCATCATACCTACAGATGTAAAGAGGACTCTTGCCTTGAAGATCATTGTGTAGACTCATGTATGATCCTTCCCTCCATTGGTCGCCCTCATTACTTCCTGAATCATTAGGGTCGGCTCCCGCTTTCAACAAAATCAAGATTCCATAGAGGTCCAAATACCGCACGGCAATTTGCAGTGGTGTCACGTTGTAGGACTGAGCGTTTGGGACTGCTCCATATGCGAGGAGTTGCTCTACTATACAGGTTCCCAGAGTTACACAGCTAACGTGTTCATGACGGCCGATGAATAGTCGGAGAATTTTTGAGGCATCAACAAGACTTTGGGTCATTTCTAACAGTGAGCTCAGTCCATTCATAGCGGGCAAGTAGCATGATACTATTGCTTCGATAAGAGTGCCATCAAATTCAAAATCTTCATACCTCTCCATTTTTTTGGGTTTGCAGCCCGTGTAGACAGTCATCTCAAACCTGGTATGCTCATGAGTAAGTAACTTCAGATCTGGTCCTTCTATGAACTTCTTGGTCACAGGCATGGTAGAGCGTCTGCAGAAAGTCCAGTAAATCAAGTGCGTCATTTGCATGCACTTCCTGTTTTGCGCTTCTGTCCATTTGATTACCCAGAAGTGCTCGCTGCGGTCTATTAGGTCATTGAAAAAGAATGAATTCCTCTCAATGCTGTCAAGTATGGTACAGATGGTACTGAAGCAGGCGTTTGAAGGATCAAGGAGGCCAAGAGCGATATCAAACAGAGTTTCATGTTCCGAAATTCTTTGAGCTAATATTCTCAGTGCAAACAGGGCGCACATAGTACAAAAGATGTTAAAGTCTCCGAATACAGCGTCAAGAATGCTACTTGAGTTTGAGACTTTGATTCTGTGCATTCCTGTTGTGTTCAAGTGTACCTTATGCGCTTCCGCAAAGACTGCACTCAAGGGTTGCTTCATTAGACTTTCTTGTCTAGTGGCTAGTTTTGCTGTATGATCTTGCATAAGCCTGCTGGCGTCAAGGTATTCGCGAACAGTGTAATGTGCGAAGTTCACTTCAAGAGTATTGTATGTATCTAGATCACTCGAAGTCGCCGGGAACATCTTAATTAGACAACCACAAAGCTCCTGTAGCGTCTCCTTGTCATGATAGAACTTGTATTGAGAGACACCTCGTCTCATTGTCGCCTCTTCAGCCACTTTTGCGAGAATATGGCAAGGGATACCGTGGGCAAATAAGTCGGAATGGAATTGCATCCACTGCAACAGAGAATGAACAACAAGAAGTTCAGCCTCAGTGAAACTCTGAAATATTCGGTCGTATGTCTCATGGAGCGTTTCCGGAAGATTCTTGAGAGCATTTTGAATGTTCTCTCGTTCACATTTCAACCGTCGGACGATATCTAGCTGGCAAACCGCCCATCGAAACCTGATAGAAAGATCAGCGATCAAATCTAGAAATCCATGTATTTACTCACATCCCTCTGGCACCTTTCGATACCGCATCTTCTATCTCGTCTAACAGGTCTGGTGTAAATCGGGCAAATCTCCCACTCGAATGCACGTATGACCGAACGTAGACTCTGATATCAGCACTAACGAAATCGTTATCCATTGACAACGGTACTGAAATCTCTTCCATGACTCTCTGGATATAAGAATACTCTCGACTCGACGCGAGAATCTGAATGTTCTTGGGTCCTTCGCTGGCCATGAGGTCTTGTAGGACTGAAAGTAGGTTTTCCTCCCCTTTACTTTCGTCAAGAGCATCGATGAACACATACACGGTCGTGAATTCCCGAAGAAGCGCTTTCAGCGCACCCAACAGACTTGCAAGATTAAGTTCGACTCCATCTCTGTGGTATCTGAGCACCTCAGCTGGAATCGTGTTGCTGCTTCGGCACAGACACTCGAGGAGACATTTCAAAAACGGTATCGTTTCATCCTGATTGTGACCGTAGAAGCAGAAATAATACACGCAGACACATCCAGTCATCTTTTGAGCCTCCATGCGCTCTTTTAAAACCTCAATGAGATGAGCCATTAAAAATGTTTTCCCGGCGCCTGGGATACCGTGGATCCATAAACAGCGTGTCTTCAATGTAACCCAATCTTGCCACTCAGGTAATCGAAGGACCCAGTCACCAGTCCCAGGCTCGTAATCTTGCGTGGCTTTGTAGAAAAGGGGCGAGGTGTCGGTGTGCCGCAGCCATCTGAAAACGTCACTGCGTTGCGTCTCTAACGGAATTACAGGCATCAACACAACCGAATCTGTATATCGCAAGTGAAACGCTGACCTATGAGAATCTCATTTGCCTTCAAAACCTCTGCTTTGATCTCTCTGATGTCTTGCCTGAATCATGCGTTAGTCCTATGCGGCAACAACTGTATAACCAAATAGATCAGATTGCTACGAAGAAAATGTAGTTAACTGGAAATCTGATAGATAAGGCACAAAAGGAAATAGAAAATCTTTTTCAAGACCAATGGACCATAGAGCCCACCGTGATTGAGAGGTCAGCTCGAGATTGAGAGTCTCTTTCAAAGGCCGTATGCCCTCAAGCAACCTCCTCGCTTTAGTTTCTTTCAGCGGCCAAGCCAATTCCGTCAGCCTTGCTTTCAATTTACGTTTCTTAGATCCCTGATCTAGTGTTTGGACTGCCCCAGAAGGGAACAGCTGTTCCAGTTCCTTGACAAGTCGAAGGCATTCTTTGACGGGTTGATCCACGCGAGAGTGACTATCTTTCGAACTTTCAGGCTCGTTATCACACGACTTGAGGAATTCCAGGTCTGCCAGAATCGTCTTCAATGCCGATATTTCCACGAATATTATCTTGAGATCGGATGGGGCGTCTTGTACAGTCTGTATATAATGCTTGCATAAGCTAACGATACGGTCGGCGATCTGGACGACGGCTATGATAGCTGGCCCAATTGCAAGAATTTCAGCCATGCCCCCCGAATCGCATCGAAGAACAAACCACACAAAGGAGCTCCGTGACGGTAGACATATCAGGTCTACGACCGACCAAAGTTAAAGCAGGCAGCAGCAGCTCGGGCTTTTTGCCAATGTCACTTCTCGTGAAAAGAGGCAAATGTGTATTATACATACCTTAGGCGTACTCCGCAGTACACATATCTTGGCAGTCTTGGCATCGAATCCATCTCTTGGCAGCCAGATTCGATTTCAAGCTGCCCTTCACTTACGTACTTCGCAACTTCTGCTAGCTCAGACCTTCTCTTCGCATCCCCTTTAGGACCTTCCCCTTCTACGTCTTCTTCCTCGAATCCTCCACCACAACCATGCCCGCCCCTTCCTCTTCCAAACGCGTTAAATCCTCCCAAATCCACCGCCCCTTCATCTACGGTAGCATAGCCACACCCTTCGACCCCTCCCTCCCTCGCCCCGCAAACCTCCCCGCCGAACACACCCACCGCTGGACCGTCTTCCTACGCCCCCTCACCCCAGACCACGACATAACACACTGGCTAAAAAAAGTCCAATTCAAATTACACGAGACTTACGCCAACTCCTCGCGCATGATAGAGAGCGCGTACCAGCCCTTCGCTACAGCTTCTACACCCACGAGCGCCGGTGGGGCGGGAAGAGGGGATGCAGGAGCAGCAGCGGCTTTGGCGGCTGTGGGCTCGAAGTGGGGAGAGGGGCCAGGAGGTGGGGGGCAGAGCTTTGAGGTTTCCGAGACTGGGTGGGGAGAGTTTGAGGTGCAGTTGAAATTGTATTTCGTGCCTGAGGCGAATGAGAAGGCTGCTACGCTGTGGCATGCGCTGAAATTGCATCCGTATGGGCCGAGGGCGGAGGAGATGAAGGAGAAGAGGGAGAGTGTTATTAGTGTGTGTTATGAGGAGGTGGTGTTCACGGAGCCAGTGGAGGGATTCTTTGATGTGTTGACGAGAGAATATAATATGGGTGCTGGAGGGAAGAGAGGGGGGAAGGGTGGTGGGAAAGGTGGGAGGGGAGGAAAGGGAGCGCAGGGTAGTTTGAAGGCGAATGCGGAGGTGCCAGGTCGGGCAGAGAAGGGGGGCTGTTTAGCAGGGAGAAAGAGGACTTTGAGGTTGAGAAGTTGAGGGAGGCTGGAAAGAAGGTTGAGGCGTTGATGAAGGAGGAAAGGGCGCTGTTGCAAGAGAGGGAGAAGACGAGGGAGGAGATGGTGAAGGAGGGGAAGCTGTCGCTGTGACGTGAAAGACGCTTGAAAGACGTGAAATCATGAGAAGCCTTCATTAAACCGAAAAGCGGTGAATACAGAACATTGAAATGCTTTCCGTTTGCGACACTGCATTTTAAAACAAGCACAACATGGAAGGATCTTACAAAGGAGATTGAGAACCTGCGCATCGTACAGCATCGAATCCCTCGCCCCTGCCACAACCTTACATCACGAGGGCCACGGTTCCGCAACCTACGCTCCCAATCCCGCTCACGACAGTTGAGCTTACACTCACGATTTTGCAACCGGAAACTAGAGAATCCGAACACTCTGTCAAATTGACAGGTACCCGAGACTACACCCCGTCGTTCATTGACGGTGAGCCCACCTAGTCTGCGACCTGGGACTTGAGCTGATCGCGCAGAAATCTACGGGCGTCCTGGCTTCTGCTTGGACATCATCCGTCAGGCACATTGCGCGCTCGAAATACGAAAGCTCAGTCTTCGAATCTGAAAGCCTACCAAGTCATGGCGGGGGATCAATCAAGTGGCCCCAAGGATGACCTGTGGATTGTCTATCTAGCCTATCTCTACCAAGTTGACTGCGTGCAGGAGGAATGAGACATCAAAACATCAACAGACCTCGCTCAGGGAGCACGCGACACGCATGTGGACACGAGTAAAATGAGCGAGGCGTGACTTCCCTGATCCCGTTTCATTGCGATAGATCCAAACGACATTTCGGAGAACAGTTTCTGATCGCCTAGCAAATGGTCGAAAAGTGAGATCCACCTACCTTTGGCGAAGAGAGATCAAGACCTCAGCCGTCCCAAGTTCCCGCCAATGCCAAAATGCGCAGGCGATCCTGAGTGGCATGGGGTCAACAAGCGGGTCAACAACCTCTCCAGTCTGACGCAGCAACTCCTGCAAGACGAAAAGTGCTTGATCCAGCAATCTAGCATCACAAGGCCCAGGGAACGCCCTTCCAAGATGGAGGACCGCTCCCGGTGCAAATCACTCTCGAGCCTTTGACGGTGCAGCTCTTCGTGAGGTGGTTCTCCTTCCACCAGTCCGCGAAGCTGGCCTTATTGCCCACCATTGCTTGCATGACCGTGCTGGCTGCCTTCTACCCTACCAATTGACTGCCGTACCCGTCGGAGAACGCACTGACGCGCTAGCACTAGCCCTCGACTTCAATTTTCCCGATTCGCGCAAAAAGGCCGACCGTTTCAACGACATGGCAGCTATCGAAAGCCTGGAAGCACGATCTATGGAACAAGGTTCACAATCTGCTGTGATCGCGAACATGATCTTATTCAGAACCAGATGGTAGCGTCATCGCTCCCTTGACGATCGTCCGAATCCAGCGAAGAAGAGGTCTGAACACCCAAGCCGGTCCTGACTAGCAGATGGTTAGATCAAGGCCTACCGTGACAGAGCCGCTAAGTCCCGAGAACTAACCAAGAAACATCTCAGTCCAAATTAATAATGCGGGGAAGATGGACTTTCTCATCCTTCGTTCGATCGAACTTCTGCATCTTCCGCGATATGGGGTAGCTACAAGGGTGTGCGGTCCACAACAATTTCAAACCCGTGGACACGGCCTCGTCCTCGCTCGCTAGCTTGCCACCACTTCGCGCCAGCTTGAAGCCACCTACCATAGCTCCTCCGTCATTCTTCAGCTGTCGAACTCAATGCTCGAGCGCGGTGCCATAAGATGAGCAGCTTTTCCACCACGAAGCCCGGAATCAGGACTCGACGATTTCGACCGCCATCTTACTAAATACCAACCTTGAAAATAAGCCGAGTCAAAATGCGCAGCAGTCTTCTCTCCTCTTTCGCAGCCCTATCGCTGGCGCTGCCCACAGCCCTCTGCAATAGCATCACCTGCAACTTCACCTGCATCCAAGACTCCGAAGTACAAGGCATCTCCTCGCGCTGGCTCAACTCATTCGCCACCGGAGGCATTGACGGGCTCGCCAATGCTGTCACTGACGATGTATGACCCCACCCCCACCATCCCCACCATCCCCACCGTCCCCATCCACCCAATTCCCATCGCTGCATCTACATACTCCACACCCTGTCACCCTCGCTGACACATCCATCAGATCCACATCTACGACGAAGGCGCCACAAACGGCAGTCTCGCCGCCTACGTGACCAACTACCAAGAACTCCACGACACCATCACGCTTGGCCCGTACGGCGGAAACGGCGTTCAAGACGTGACGTACGATGTTGTGTTCACGTTCCATACGTGTGATCGTATTGCGCTGCGGTGGCAGCAGAATGTCATTACTACTGATATGATTGGATATGGGAGGTGAGTTGCCCCACCCCCCCCCACCCCACCCCACCTTACCCCTTCCCACCTTACCCCTTTTTCCGTCCCGATCAACTGTAGGCTGGGGGGATGCAGAACTGGGCTGATCCTGACGCTGTTGATAGTACTGTCCCGGCTGGCAAAGCGATTTCCTTCCGTGGCACAGACCTCCTGACTATCAACCTCGAGAGCAAGAAGGTCAGTAATGTCACAACCAGCGCGGACCTGTTGGAGTATTATCGCGATTTGGGGTATGATTTGGGGGTGTGGACGGCTTGAATGATGCTTCCTTATCCTAGGAGGTTCGGAGGGTGAGGGGTGAGGGGAAGGATGGGGAGGATGTGATGATAGATGAGTGTACGGATTGATATGGTAGGTAGTACTGTTTATACCGCGGATATAATGTGAGGATGAAGATTGCTCTTTGATTCTAGGGGATCAAGCAGCTCGGTGCTGCGGCTGTACTCTTTCCTTCGTCAGTATCTCATTTGTTTTTTTTCTAGCATCACTTGTTGAGCTTCTCTCTTGCCTCTGCCTTGACGGCACGATGGAACATGCGATTAGTGGCAAGTATTTTCATGTTGTTATGATGAGGCGCAATGGAGCACAGGTCCCACCTATAACCGAAACCAAAACCACAACAATAGGTGAAAGGTAGTGATTGGCGTTGAGATACCCCATCTCGACTTCGCGTTCGATCGGAAAGGGGGTCGATGGCGCTTGCTGCCTTCTTCGCTCCCAACATTATGGTAAGAAGCCCGCGAAGGTCTGGGGCGGTACGTATGTCATGGTTTTGTTGAGATGGACTTACCTTTACTGTGAATGATCTCAATCTCGCCTCGGCTGTTACTTCATGTAAAACCGATACTGATTTGTGGCGCTTTAGTTGTGCGGTGGTCTTGCGAGAAGACTGCGAAGCTCACGAGGCTGGTTTATAGCATAAAGATAGGTTGGTCTCTATTATCGTTTGTGGCTTCGCCAGGTTGATTTGATTGTCGATTCTAGATGGTGTTGTGCTGCGAGAAGGCTGCGGGAAGTGTGACGTTTTTGGAGAGTGATTGATATGACAACCTGAATGATGTTGAAGTGATGGTAAAAAGAATATGATCTTCAAAAATTCTGAGATGATGCCTGCTGGGACTCGAAAACAAAACCCTTTTCCTACATTTGATCCGATCGAGGATGTTTCTGAGGCTTCTAACCGTTATATGTACTGTATGGAGCTGTCACTCCAAGAGTATATGTTTTCTTGCAAAGACGAGGAGGATGTGAAGTTGGCAAGATTAAAGTGGGCAGATTGGGGCATTAGTCATCACTTCGTGGTGACAGCGGGAGAATTTGAAGTGTCACTGCTAAGGATCCCACTTCTCCTTTCAACACTCTCAACCATCGAGCTCCATCAAATCCAATGGATCCCAACGTCGACCCTCATCCAGACTCCGTCGTCGGCCTGGATAATGCGAAGGCGGAGATTGCACTCGCCGCTAATGCACTCAACGATCCAAACCGGTTTCTTCCCTACAAGCCATGGCGGACCTTCTTGCTACATGGTGTCATTGGATCAGGCAAGAAACTTTTCGCTCAGTCATTCTCCCCAAAGTACGATGTTCGGATCATACATGCATCCATCGTAACAGTGAATGTCGGACACGTTTCCGGTCTTTTCGCATGGTACACAGCGCTGCCCGAGTCTCGTGTCATAATTCTCAACGACGTAGAGCAGATGCTTGGAGTTGGCTCGACCCTGGTGGTGCATCCCACCGCCAAATCCGAGCTCTTGGCCGCAATTAACTGTTTCCGAGATGTCCTTGTGATTGGTATCACGAGATCCCCATGGCTTCTCGATGAAGCTGTGTTGCGTCATTTCGACCGCCATTTACATATCCATCTACCCAACCATCCCAATCGGGTCCAGATGGTGTGTCAGAAAATATCACCTTTTACCCACGAGATTCATGAAGCCGATGTCTGGGATATGATGCAACATTTTGAAGACATCTCCGGAAGCATGATTGACGATGCAATTCGCGGTGTCTTGATGTACAAGTACCAGGAGGCTCGCGGAGCAACGCATTTTCGAAAGGTCGAAGGTCAAGGGGGCAAATTGTGGGCATGCAACGAAGAAGATCTTGGAAGCGAGAAATATAATTACACTCAAGGGCCTTGGAGAGTGTCACTCAACCCGATCACGATTGCAGATTTGACCGATTTTCTACGTCTAATTGTGAGGGGGTCGAGCCCTCTCAAAGAGGCGGAAGAAAAGCATGAACGCTGGAACGCGAAGCCTTTCCAGGGAGAAGAGACCGGAGAGAGCTTGAAAGCTGCCAGTCAATCGGCTGATGAGATATTCCATGTGCAGTTTTGAGGGAGGAAAACATTGCTGTGCCAGCTTACACGAGACTGACCAGGGACGAGGAGCTTCATGGAATCACTTGCACTTGCTGAGATAGATCTCCATGCTAACATCAGGTATATTAACTCTCTTCTCTGGAATCAATTCAGCTAATAATGCATACGCTCTGCTAATTGTAATACAAGGACACTTTGGAGACAATCGCCTCACCCACACCTATACCTGACCCGCACTGACCATAGCAAGGTATTAGTAGACAGCGCTTAGTCCTATCCTATCACTGAAAAACGAAACCATGACCTACCCAAATCGCCCCAACTGAAGTCATGTTAGATTGCATGCGGCGCTTTCATTGTCCTTCTCTCGACAACCCACACTATCCACCACACGTTTCTCAACATTCGACACTCTTGCATGTACCAATTTCATCAATTGCTCATCCCGATGTTTACCAGCCCAAAGAGGTAGAACGCAATCTACTTACCTGCGATAATTCGCCATGCAAGCATCCGCACCCACCGAACAAAGAAAAGTCACGACACCACAGTGTCATTCACCGCCACGACACGCTCTCGACCCCACCATCCAATCTCCCACCGCGACACACGTAGTTCACATAAACAAATGTCTGCAACACTCATCTCTCTCACGTCTCCGTCTCCACTTCCTATGAAATCTTCTCTGTTCCGCAATCCCAGCCATCCTACAACGCGATGCACTTCCCCCTCACCTACATCCTCACCCTCCTCACCCTCCTCATCCCATTCCCACCATCATCACCGCCAGCCGACTCCGCCAACAACACCACCGATTCCTCCACAGACATTTCATCACCACCTCCCCCAAACTCCCCCAACCAACCCAACTCCCCCAACCAACACTACACCATCAACGCACCCCCATCACAAGCAACCCACTGCACCCTCACGCGCAATGGAAGACTGCTCAGGCCACCGATCTGCCAACCCCTGCGACGACTGCCTCCGCATTGAAAGGGAGCGCCAAGCCTACATCGCCGGAGAACGCGAGAAGCGCTTCAAGAAATGGGACGAGACGGCGGAGTGGTGGCAGCGCAGCGTGAGGAGGGAGAGGAAGGCGGGGCGCATGCCGGAGATAATTCATGGGTTGAAGAAGGAGGATGTCCCAAGGCGCGACGAACGAAAATCTGATGAAGCGGATGGACGGCCCCACTTACTATCGGAGTCTTCGACCACAGCCCGCTGGTGCACGCACTGCTTCCTTCCCTTCCGCACCCTCGCGGCGAAAAACGCCCATGTCAAAGCCCTTCCGCACCTGCATATCACATGTCCTTGCTGCCCTGATCCCACCGTCTACCCCACGCGCGCGGCGCTAAGCGAGGGCCATGATTGTGGGCTGGTTCGTTGCTGTCGGCTGTGCTGTACCAGTTCGGTCCATGGGAAGGGGGAGAGGGAGGGAAAGGGGAGGGGGAGGGGAAGGAGGGGAAGGAAAAGGGCGAGGGAAAGGGGGAAGGAAGGGGGGAAGGAAGGGGGAGGGATGGACATACTGGCCCTCCCCCTCGCACGCGACGTGCACGTCAAAGACGCACATCGACATGTATGCTGGGAATGTCCCGGAGGCGTGGATTTTCCTGACGGAGAGGCGGTGTTGGAGGAACATAGACGCGAACGGCATGCCCAGGGATGGTGTACTGTCTGCGATGTCTGGGTCGGGGGGGAGGGTATGAGAGGGCATTTGCAGGGGAGCCATGTGCGTTGTGCGCAGAAGGGGGAGGGGGGAGGGGGAGGGGAAGGGAGGCTGTGGGGCGTGGTTCATAAGTAAAGAGGAGAAAGAGAAACATTGGGGCTTGTGGTGCCATTTCTGCCAGAAGGAAGTGGGGCGGAAGCGGGGAGGGAAGGCGGGGCATCTTGAGGAGGAGCATCCCGAGGACTGTGAACGGTGTGTTTTTCGCGAGGGCACGGTTGGGCGGCCGGGGTGTAAGGTGCATGGGCGGGGTTGGGGGTGGGGGTGGTGGTGGCAGCGGCTTTGGGGGGCTGTAGTTGCGGACTTGGGTGGGGGGAGGGATGGGGAGGTGTTGACGCGGATGCCTGGGACGTGTGAGTGGGAGGGTTCTGATTGTGATGGTGATGGGGGTGGGGATGGGGATGGCGATAGGGAGGAGGATGAGGAAGAAGGTGTTGGTGGTGCGGAAGAGGAGACTGATGAACAACCCGCGTGGGGCGAAGGTAGCAGAATTGGCCGATACGGAGGCGCAAACCGTTTTGACGAGAAGGTCAATGAGTCTACTGACAAGACGGAAGCTTTCAAAGCCCCGGAGATGGCGGAGCTGAAAGTTGAGGAATCGCTGATACCGTTGTATTCGATTCTCAAACTCGACCCATCAACACCCGCTTCAAAGATCAAGAAAGCGGCCCGGGAAGCCCGCATCAAGATGCATCCAGATCGGTTGGATCGTCGACAGAGCTTGACCCCCGCTGCGAAGGATTTAATGAAGGAGGAAGCCAAGAGGGTTGGATGGGCGGCCGATATCCTGACTGATCCTGAGGAGAAGGAGAGGTATTTGAAGGAGTGTGAGGAGGCTGCGCAGGAGGGGAGGACATCTAGGCATAATCCGTTCGTGTAGGTCTCTTCACAATCCGTGCTGTGCGTGCGCGAAGTTTGCTGATGGAGACTAAGTACGTTCTTCGTGTATTTTGCCGCGGTGGTGGTCATGGTTATGTGGTTGATGGTGGTGATGCAGGATGGGACTGGGAGGTCACGGCGACTCGTGAGGCAGATGGCTATGTCGTGGGAGGTCTCGTGATGCTGCTCCAGTTCTATTTGCTCCATCTCTTATTTCTTACAAGCTTTGTGGATAGGCGGGGTGGTATCTCAGAGCTGCTATAGATCATGATACGCCCATTCATGTAGATGTATCCTCGGCCGTTGGTCTCACATGCTGAGATAATACCATCTGTCCTGGCAAGGCTCTTCAAGGTTCATCTGCTATCATATCTTCTCTTACCCAGAAGGGGTGACCTTTAGACACATGATATCCGTCTTCACCCCCGACCCATTCAACACCGAGTTGACTCTCCAGTGCGGGTAGACTCTTCCCAAGCAGTGCCAGTGCTGGCTTGTCCATCTCTGGTACCCATTTCAGGATATGTTGCGGGCTGCGCAACAAATATTCCCAAGTCAAGGGCTCCATGTTATTATAACGACCCTGATGGCGCTCGTAGGCAATCCTCCACGCTTTTGAGGAGTCTCCCAGACTTGCCAAAACCCGAATGACCTCGTTTCGCATGAAATCAGGCCGAGGCTTGAACCTTCGAGTGCCTTCTGCAGTCTCTTTATCCTTGAATCGGTCCCAATGGAACCACTCCCAAAGGACAGCACTCGGACCAGCAATCCGACCTACTAGCCTGATGTATTTTCGCTCTATTTCTGATCCATACATTGTCTGGCCAATCATATGGAACAGGCTCTGCTCTCTTTGATCGTCGTCTATTTGCGTGTTCTTGATGCCCCGGCCGGTTAAACAGGTGTAAAATTGAGCCGTTCGCCTTGCTTCATGAACGCCATTGATTGTTTCCGGCGTCAAGTCCAACCAGGTATCGAAGATCTTGTGTAGAACCCAATCTTTATACGACCTGAGCGCTCCGGTCTTTGATCCGTATAAAGCCATCTCTTGTCTGAGGTACTGCTTCAAAGCAGTCGGTTCTCTCGCCGAAATAGCGAGCGCGAATAGAATCTTCGTGTGGGGCAGCTCAATTCCAAGCTTCTTCATACGAGCAGCAATGTCGTTGAAGTCCACGACCCGATTGACTATCCTGAAGTCTACTCCTGCATCTTTCAATCTACTCACCTCATCATCCCCCGAGACCCAAAATACTGCGCAAGCTTCCTTTGCATCTTTGTACGTCTTCAATCCGTGAAACCACCAAGCCCAGACGTTGGAGCCTTCTAAGATTTTAGAGCGTATAGGGATGACGGGCCAGAGGGTTATAGGGTCTGGACGGTGAGTAGATCTTATAGGAGGTCTTTGAGTGACATCGCTGGTAGATTCGCGGTTTCCAATGCTGACTGTTCTGAAGGGCGGCAGTTTAGGCTTCTTGCTGGCTGATTGGGGTTTCCGTCTTGTGGGTGGCAGTCGCGGCTTGGAAGTGCCATTGCTGGTAGGTTTTACATCTTGACTGCGAACAGATTTTGAATCTGGCCGTGTCAGCTCTTCGAGGTCACCGCCAGTAAAGGTCGAAGAAGAGCTGTAAGCTCTTGGGCGGGAGGCGAGATGGCGCAGGATCGGGGTGCCGCGAATGTGGCATACTTGAAGCATGGATTTCTAAGACAGACACAAATACGACTCCTTGCTTTAGTCTCATGTGGTAAGTTGATGCCGTCTCTGGAATAGAAGTCATTGTACGCCCATCGCGTTGAAATTGAATTTCAATATCCACATTCGATGCCCGGCAATGAGAATATCCAATCTGCTCGACACCTTCAACAACTTTCTTCACACCTACATCCTTGATCTCAACAAAGAGTGCGCCACGCAAATCGTCGTGCCCGACGATCGATTACGAACGTAGCAGATCTCAATTGTTGAGGTCCATCTCCAGCCAGCTAATCGTTTCCCCTCCTCTGCTCCCACAACAAACCCTCACCAACGACCTCCCTCTCCTAAGCGCATGCACAACAGATCCTGCAATCCAATACGGAAATAAGTCTCGTCAAAGAAGACGGCTGGATGCCTTCAGTATACGTGATCAAACCGCTCGTGGAAGCGGCGATCAAAGAATAGATCGCAGCAGACCTAGAATTGAACGAGGAGTAAGAGCGATTTTCCATCACTGTTGTGATTCCTTGGGCAACAGTATTGAAATTACCTTTCATGAGGGAGTGCCGCCAGACTGAATTTCGCGTCCCACCGGAGAGCCTAGGGTCCACGAGAGTAGTAAGAGCTTAGGGAGGCTACAAAAATGAAGATTTGGGTCACCAGCGAAAGAGCATAGACACAGAGATGACAAAATTAGAGAAAGCCGCCTTCAAGGACATGATCCGAAACATAGGCGGAAGATAGGACGAACGAAATGAAACGGCAATACAGTGACGATGAAGGTACGGCGGCTGATTGTCAGCAACAAATGGACTAGATGGCAAGAAGGTCTATAGATCCCCAAGTCTATGCAGCGTCCTCCCTATTAGAATTGCCTTGATCTCGCTCGGATGCCAAACGTTCAACACAACCATTACCGCCAGCATTGGTACAGCATCAAAGACATACAAGACATACTCGTGGCGTAGCAAATACCCCTCATTGCCCTGCGCATACTCCACCGCGCGTACCACATTCCGGAGCATGATCAGAGTATTCGCCACATATAGCACCCGAAGACGCTTCCTCCAGTTCACTTCAGCTTTCGAAGATTGCTCGGTCAGGCGCTTACGCATTCCGCGGTCGAAACTTATAGCCACCACGATAAAGATCGCGAAGAAGATGACCTGAAGGAGCAGACCGCCGACAATGATATTGGCACCAAGCATTGACTTGCCTCCCTGAGCCATGATGCCTCCGCCTAAAAAAACATCAGCATCGAGCTTGTCAGCAATGGGGTTCACGGCACGTACCCCCAGCTATGATAAAGAAAGACAGCACATCCCCAGCCACAAACGTCCTGGTCAGCCATCTCGGCTTGATTAAACATCGATCTCCTGCTTGAAGTGCCAGCGCAATCTTGCCGAGCTCCATATACAGTGTCGCAGCAAAGAAAGCGGGTGCTAGGAGAAGCAAAAGACTCTGCATCAGATAGGGGCCCAGGGTGCAGTTAGGGCTTTGCTGGCTGGAGATTGCGCGGCCAATGTAACCGATACACTCGAAGAGCCCGCCGAAGACGGTGGATGTCAGGTACCAGGTCCTGGTCTTGAGCAATTGGTAGGCGTGGATGGTTGTGGTGACAAAGAAACAAATGATCAGAATGACGGCTGCAGCGAGAGAGGGGTTATAGTGGTAGAATTGGAAGGTCGAGGGATTGTTGGCTGACATATTGAGGGGGTCGATGAGCAATTGATGGTGGGAGGAGTGCTGGCGTGTGGTGTTGGAGCTTTCTATGGAGGCAATGAGGTAGAGAATGGGTCCAAAGATGCTGAAGATGTTCTGCTTGGAGAAGCCATCGAACGCGTCTGTGCCATGTTTATATACATCGAACTTCCAGGCAACATCGAATTCAATGCGTTCGATTTACGAATGTGAGGACATTTTCACATCGTATCGCGTACACTAAGCCTGTCTTCTTCATTCTACTGCCGGCATGGAGCGAATGGGAGGATTCCCGACAGGGCTAATTTCGTATCTCGTAAGCTAAACTTCTTCCATCTTAGCGCCTCCTCTCTCCGACATAATCATTTTCCCGAAAAACAAACTGCTTGCCTGCTGCCAGATGATTGGAATCGTATTGCAATGTAGCTTACGAGATAGGCCTGAACACCCTTGTACTAGGGACTGCCACAAAGATATCGCACTGAGATCCGTAGGGTTATTCAGAGTCCATGAGTTTGACTAGGTCAATGCCATCTAGACGAAGCCACTCAAAGTCTCGCAACGGCTGTGATCAATGCAAGCGAGCACGGATCAAGGTAGGTAGATCTCCATGCATTCACTAAGTCAATCCCTTGACAACACATCCTCAAGTGCGATCAAGCCTGGCCAACTTGTTTAAAATGCGCAAAGTCGCGGAAACAATGCCACTACGCACGAGCACCCCAGACCCACACGCCGAAGGCATCACCACGTTATAGCTCAGAGGATGTACACGCACGACTCTCCACAGTCTCAGGCTTTCAGGTCGAAGATCTACAGCTCATACACCACTACACCACCTCGACCTACCTCACCATCGCCGGCCCCGAGCCTTTCGTGCAGGAAGCATGGCAGATTCACGTTCCCCGCGAAGCCTATCAGCATCCATATCTCATGCACAGTATCCTCGGCCTAGCAGCTCTGCATCTCCACCACACTGAAGGACACCAATCCTGGCACGAGAGTGCAACTCGGCACTACAACCTCGCGCTCTCCTCTTCCAAGCACGCTCTCAGTAACGTCAATGAAGGCAACTGCAGAAGCCTCTTCGCTTTTTCAGGCATCATTGTTATCCTAGCCTTAGATTTGCCATTAGGTCCCCCAGGCCATAAGATGATAAGTAATCCCGTGAGCGAACTTGTCCAGATCTCCACCCTGGTGCGCGGAAGCAAGCATATCGTGGACTCATCATCCCAATCCTTAAGGACTGGGACTCTGGCGGCGCTGATACCAGACGGTTTCCTCTGACGGAACGACGAGCTGCCCGCTCCGACGCAGCATGCTTTGACTATCCTCCAAGCCCAGATACAATCAAGTCCATATGCGAAAACCATGGAAGAGCCTCTAGAACGCTTGGAGGTGTGTTTCAAGAACACGGTGAGAGCGGAGGAAGATAGGCCTACGGTGCTGTGCTGGCTTGCAGTCTTCTCCGAGGAGTTCAGTGCGTTGATTTCGAAGGGTAAGCCAGAGGCCTTGGTATTGTTGACGCATTATGGGGTGCTATTGCATGGAATGAGAAGGCTTTGGTGGTGTAGGGACTGGGGGAGGCAATTGGTGGAGTGTTGTTTGCGAGAGATTGGGGAGGAGTGGGAGGGGAGCGTCAGATGGGCAAGGGAGAAAGTCAGGCTGGATTCAGAAATTGCGTGAGGTACTGGCAGTATCGCCTGGCTTGACCATCAATCTAGAATCCCTTTGGCTGCGAACATGGACAAAGACGCCATTGCAACCCTCTAGGGCAAGCAGGCTGACGGAAAGGGGGCCTCTCTCAGCGGAGATAACACAGCTTCTCTTCAAAGTCCTCGTCCAATGTGCGCTGCAGGTATGTCAACGCTATCGCAACGACGTTGCTCTGTTGAGTGGCTAACGAGTGAAAAGAGGATCAATCCATTAATTCCTACCATTATGTTCGAGCAAATGGGGAACGCAACGACTACATGTGAGGCCGTGCATGTCCTATCACGGCATGCACATAGCGGATCTAGAAAAGATACCTGTAACAATGAGGTTTTCAAGGAATGATGATGATGCAAAGATCGCTCGACAAACAGCGCCATGCTTATTCAAGGTGTACCCGGCACCGGATTTTCCCTACAAGACGACAGTGAGAGGCAGGCATGATACCCTCTCCATATATGAAGGTACAACCAACGCGTATGCACGCTTCGAATGAAGCCTATTCATTCATTCTTCAGTGAATTTCTCTATCGACTAACGTTAGGGACTCTCTGCTTTGACTTCAGCAGTGGTGACATCTTTGTTTAATTGGATCTACCTTGGGACCTTTTGATCGAGTAATAGTCATGAGATACGGAGAAGCTGGGTCTGCATGGCACTTGGATTCAAGGTCTTGATCTCACCGCTGTGAATTCGGACTGGTTGAACTCGCCTGCGGGTTTTCCATGGAACAGCAACAGTGCGAGCTCTGCAATCACTGGAAATGGCGCGGCTATCGTGGTGTATTCGATTCTTCTTGAGCATTCAATCCGTTGAATTCTGGGCCTTTGACTTGACCTGTGACAACGTCGCGCTGCGGTGGCTTTTATCGTCAATCAGAAAAACATCTCACCCAATGCAGGCTCAACTTCAATATTCACAACATTTCCTCCCTGTGGAGTACTGGCTCACGGCAGTCTGGCGGGTATGGAACTCTTTATCCACAATGTGCGGGACACGAAACGTCGTTGGTGTTTCACGCTTTCTACCATAAGCGACGCATCATTTCTAAGAAGAATCGTGAAGTATTTGGTTTCTGGGTAGTACTAGGGCAGCCTAAAAGACAAGTCCTCAGCTACAGCCGAAGCAGGAACTTGGTGTCGCAAATTCCGATTACTAACATTTCTGTTGTCTGCTGCCATTACAACTGTGACATAGCATGGCTACCAAACAAATGCTTTGATAATTGGATTGCCGCGTCTCTGGCGCCTTGACGAAACTTCCTCAGCCCCAATGACACTACGCAAAGACGGGTTGATGTTAGAGAGCATAAAGACCGACCTGTACACGTCGAATTGTACGAGCACAGTTCTGCGAATTCATTGCCCAAAACAATTGTACCTCGCTCAAAGTTCCTCCTTCCATTGCATCGGCAGCTTTCCGAATCCGATTTTCTTTCGAAGTCCCTTTCGTCATCAGTCATCAAAAAAGAGCCCCTGAAATAACCACAGCAAGACCAATAAACTAGCAACCATGCACCCTACCACCGCCTTCGCCATACTAGCCACAAGCACTCTCCTCACCGGAACATTAGCACAAAACATGTTCAAATACCCCACAGCATCGGCAGGCCAATCGTTCAAGCAGGGCGACAACATCACCGTTTCCTGGCAGACCGACTACAAAGAACCTTACCTTGACTTATTCTGCAGTTACATCAACAACCGTAAGTCACCTTCCCCCTTCCGCCTTCCCTTCCCTTCCCTTCCCCCTCTTCCCCTTCCCACTCCCTCTCACACAAGACTGACCCCCCGCCCCAACAGCAATTCAACAATTCAAGCTCCCCTCTGGCACAACAACCTTCAACCTCACGCTCGACTACGCACCGCAGCCGAATTGCCTGCTGCAAGTGCAAGACGGGCCCGGCCCCGTGGCTTCACGCCCGTCATTCGGGACCGGCGTGTTTGCCATCGCGTCGGTTGATGGGTCGAGTAATAGTTCGATAGCGGGCGGTGGGACGGGGGATACGCCTGCTTGTGTCGTGCCTGAGCCGCAGAAGTGTAATTGTTCGGCATCATGAAGTGGGTTTTTATTTGGGGGTCATTGGCTTGTTGGGGGCGTCTAATGGGAGGTGAAGGGGGGAGAGGTGGGGAGGGTGACGACGGTAGAGGCATGATGGAGATCATGTCGCGTGTTTTGGCTATGGGTTCGTCCTTAGCTGTGGGCTTCTTTTGGAATATTGAATAGGGTTAAGAACAACGAAGATGAATAGATGGACGTTGCCATGCCTTCGCTACTTGACTTTCTGACCAACCTCCTTTTTGGAGGTTAAGCACCGTTTCCGCCTGTATCTCATCACTCGCACTCGACTCACCACTCTGCATTCATCCCGTTTCCTCTTCCTCCGCCCACAAACCCTCTACGCTCTCCCTTACCCTCCCTCTTTCTCGCAAACCACAAATCGTTTGCGGCCTAGCTCTAGGCGGGCTACAGGGTAGCTTGCCCCATAAGCCAAACCCCCTAGGGTTCCAGCCCTCCCCCATTTCTCGCTACATATATTTAGCGTGGCCAAGTTCGCCCTCAAGCGCGGGAAACGGACGTCTTCGCTACAGCCGCACCAATGAGAGCATACTGTGAAAAATTCGTGGCACTTGGCATAGTCTAGCTTCACGCCAATGAACAAGATCATCGTGCTAGTGGTAGGCTTGTTGAGCCGGGGCCTGGCTTGTCGATACCAGGCTCGTGGTTGGTGAGAGGCTGGCACGATGGATTCGTGGGGTGGTCGGGCTGGGCGGGAATGAGCGACGGAGGGAGTGCTAGGCGGCGACGGTGAGGGGGCGGGGGCGGCGGTTGATTGCTCTTAAGATAGGGAATGTGGACGTTAGTTTTGTGCCTCCTCAAGCTCGTCTCAAGAGCTGAGTGATACCTGGCTTGGCCAGAACTTGCGTACCAGGGGAGTGCGGATATGGATTACAATATCACAATTCTGTTGGCACTGGCTCTCCTGGGCTACACTATCTATGGTGCAATCAACAGACTGTTTCTGTCCCCGGTAGCTAAGGTGCCAGGTCCCAGACTGGCAATTCTCTCGTTTTGGTACGAATTCTATTACGACGTCGTGCTCCAGGGCCGATATGGGTACAAAATTGCTGAACTACATAAACAATACGGACCCATTATTCGCATCAACCCGTATGAGGTCCACATCGACGATCCGGATTTCTACGATGAAGTCTATGTCTTGGGAGGAAAGCGAAAGTCGGATATTTGGACATGGTCGGTAGGTGGCGATGAAAACTCCCCGAGCTTTTTGCGATGTCTTGCTCCTTCACGCGTGGATAGAGGCAGCTGATCTGAGCGTGTAGGCTCCGATGTTCGGCACGCCAAACAGTATCCTGGCAACCATCGAACATGACGTCCATCGTCGGCGAAGAAATGCTTACTCAACCTTCTTCTCGAAGCAATCCATCAGAAAATACAGTGGCGTCGTGCAAGCCAACATGGATCGTGTCATCGCACGGTTCAAGGAATATCAATCAAAAGGTCAGCCAGTCAATCTGATGCATGCTTGGACAGCCTTCACCGGAGACGTGGTCTCCGAATATTGCTTCCCAGAGTCCTACGGTTTCCTCAAACGAGCAGACTTCGCGCCAGAATACTATGAGCTTTGGATCTCGATCGTCAGCAACAGCCACATATTGAAACAATTTCCGTGGCTGTTTCCAATGATGAATACGTTTCCGATGTGGTTCGTAGACCGCTTTCTCCCAGATCTCGCAGTGTCGTATCGATGGCATCGTCAATGGGCCAAACAAATCCAGGATATCAAGTCCGGAGAAAGGGACACCGTGAAAGAACGCGGACGACCTAGCGTTTTCGAAACATTACTTGACTCCGACCTTCCTCCTTATGACAAGTCAGTCTCTCGTCTGGTTGAGGACGCTCAAACCCTGGTTGGCGCGGGCTCCATCACGACAAGCCTGATACTCGCTCTGACAACGTATTACGTGATTACTGACGAGGAGATCCTGGACAAGTGTATGGACGAGTTGACGCAGGCGATCCCGGATACCGACCACGCACTCCCATTGGTAGAGCTGGAGAAGCTTCCATACCTCAGTGCTATCATCCTAGAGGCTCTGCGTATCTGTTATGGCGTCTCGCATCGGTTGCAGCGAGTGTGTCCCAACGAAGTCATCAGCTACAATGACTATGTCCTCCCTCCAGGCACGCCTGTGAGTATGACTTCAATGCTGGTCCACGACAACGTCAGTATCTTCCCTGACCCGCGCATCTTCAAACCAGAAAGATGGCTCCCACTGGAAACGGAAGGGGCACGCTTACAAAAGTATCTCGTCGCCTTTAGTCGAGGGTCACGCCAGTGTTTGGGTATGCATCTAGGCTCTGCGGAACTCTACATTGGACTATCCGGCCTGTTGCGCCATTTCGGCCGGCAGCTAACGGTCGTCGATACTGTCAAGGAGCGGGATGTTGACCTCATTCGCGACACCTTCACGCCAGCGATGAGCCCTGAAACTAAAGGGATCAAGGTAAAGATCGACAAGGCCTGATCTGGACTTCATTTCTAGGCGAGATCGACCACGATTCGATGGCCTCGTCAGCGTCTGGAACAGTCTCAGGATCAGGTTCCCTCCCCATGGATCGGTGATCTACCTGCACCATTGGTGCGCCTCCCCGAGACGCCGTTGTCGGTCGGTAGAAACGCCGGGCGAATTGAGGCCCAGATGCAGCTGGAATGGCTTGAAATAGTCCAAAGAGGCTTGGATCCAGGGACTTGGAGCATGGATCCATCGACTAGGAGGGTATAGTGTGCCAGATGACGCCTAATGATGCTTGGATCCGCTGTATCGGATGGACCGCAGCGTGCGGGTGCAGCGGGTCTAGAGCTTTGACATCTGCCAGTTCGCTTCGCCTGCAAGTCCAGTCAATCACACGTGAGCGTGGCGCTGACCAGCCTGCCAGCCAAGGGAATTGCTGACCATCCTCGTCCATCCCCATCCATCCTCCTGGGAGCGTCCCTTGAGATCTAGACCAATCTGTGGCTTTGCTTTATCCAACCATTTTCCATCTTGTGTCTCTCAACCTGCAGCTGCCTGCACTCTCCCCACCCACCGCCCACCGAACCCGGCCGCCAGATTTCCCCTCGCCAGGAATATATAATAAAGGCCAGCATGCCTCAAACATGTGCTCTCCACAAACCACAACCATCCGAAACTTGTTCCCTCTGCAATAACCAACTCGCATCAATGGCCGTCCAAGTCGCAATCCCCAAAGACCTCGAAGCCTTCTCGTCGCACTTCAACGCCTTCAAATCCCGCTCCTCGCCCAAATCCCCCTGCAACTCCTCCCTCTTCGTCCCCTTCGACGGCCACATGGGCCACAAAGTCGACCTCCCTTCCGTCCCCTCCCTCTGCCCCTCCTGGTCGCGGACACAAAACCCCCACCTCGCCTCCATCCAGTCGGACTTCAAAGCCTGGATCAACAGCTCCTTCAAAGACACAGCGATGAAAGCCAAAGTGCTGGACTTCAACGCGCCGCTGTTCGCCGCGCTCTCCTACCCGCACACGTCGCGCAAACAACTCCTCACCATCGCCGAGTGCATCGCCTGGTACTTCCCCACCCTCGACACCGCCATCACCACATCTGCCGACCAGAAACCGCCAAATAATGCAGACGCCTACCTCACTTCCCGCGAACTCGCCAACGTCTCCATCTTCCCCCTGCTAGGCCTCATCCACTACGCCCACGGCTCCGAACTCCCCGTCGCCTACTCCCACAAGGAGAACAAAACGATGGCGAAGCTGTGGAAGGAAATCGCCCGCATTTCTGTCCTTAGTAACGACATCCTCGCTCTACGTGGCGAAGTTTTGCATGCACGACATGAGAGCTTGGTCCCATTGCTGATGAAGGATGGGGATCTCGATGCCCAGGATGCGATGGATCAGGTCGCCGATATGGTCAGGGATGCGCTGGCACGGTTTGAGGATGCGGAACGCGAACTGGCGGGGCAGGTGGAGGAGGGTGCGAGGAAGGATGTTGAGGGTTATGTAAGGGCGTGTAGGGATTTGGTCGTTGGGCAGTTGGAGTGGAGTTTTGGGCTTAAGGGGGGCGTGGGGCAGAGTTTGGTTGTGGAGGATGGGACGGTGATCTTTTATGTGCGGTGATGATGGGGGTGGTGTGGTGGATTGTTTGTTTGTTTGTTTGTGCGTGCGCAGGGTGTTCGGGGATTGGGGGATATACGCCGGTATAGTTGTATTACTACCTATGGAATCGAAACATCTATCAAAACTTTTTTTTTTTTTCTTGCTATGGCTGGCTTTTTGGTGTTTTTTCGCTCTGACGAGAGTTAGTCTTCAATCTGATGTCTCCACGGCATTCGCTACGAGGCCTTTTCGGAGCCCGCGGGGATGCCTGCCTGCCTGCATGCGTGCATGTAGTGGATTTGTCACACCCTCTTTGCTTGCTCCGTATTATGATTACTCAAGACCCACCCCCCTGCCCTTTCACCCAACCCCACCTTCGCTTAACAGCTGCATGGTAAGTAATGCCGCCTTTCGGGTGGTGTTGCCCTTGTAGCTGCCTATCTATAGCTTCCAACCACATTCGCCCATGCGAATGTCTCATGGTTTTAGAGGTTCTGTCAACGCTGGATCGTTGGACAACCTCTTGGCTTTGGAAACAGTGCTTGCTCTACCTCTACGCAAGGGAAGGGATTTGTCTACCACTTCCCCGGCGCGAGCAGTTCCGACGAAAGCAAAAGCCATTTCCCATGCTCAAGCACTTACAGGTATGCATGTATGAAGATCACCGCCAGAGACTTTTGATATACTGAGGCGTACCTTGCTGCGCTGCATCACCCTCCCCCCTGCTATCGCCTTTCCCAAACACAGAACGCTCTCCCTCACTCAAACATCGTGACGAATGTAGCGGTTGTGCCTGAATATCAATTCGGTCCTCAGACACTTGGCTCATCTCACTCCACCAGCGCGCGGGGTACGTACCTGCATGCATTGTCGATCCACGATTTGTTGTCTCGGGTATCTCAGGATGCTACATTCCCCGCCTTCCCCCTCGTTCCTGGAACAAAAAACACGGTGTTTTGCTGCAGGGGACGGTGTGTAGATCAAAGAAATGTCGGGTATCGCGTCATCTGGGACCCTTATCATACTCTATCCCCCGCGCCGCACCTCCTTGTTCCTGGCTCAAAGACGCAGGTCCCTCCCCCTGATGTGTAGATCACATAACTCAGCTTCCTTGTTGGTCTTGCGATGAGCTGGTATTGCGCACGCGATTCAGTCCCTGCGATACCTTGAGCGGACGAGCTCGTCTATGGCAGAAAGTGGTGAAGGGTTGGTGGGGTGAGGGGTTTGCATATACTTCGGAGAGTTGGATCGTGGTCCGAAGACGTCCGCTGCGTGATGAGGTGAGGGAGTGCACAGCCACATGCAGGGTCAGAATATCCTGCGTCTGGTTGAGGTCGCATGGGTAGTCAGCGGCAGCGAGGGGTTGTATGTGTTGATGCGAATGGTCGGGTCGGGTCGAATGGAAGGATCTCATAAGATTTCGACGCCTGAGCAAACCACGCAATAATGACTAGTGTGTCGACTAGGCTTGCTTTGAAACGACGAGGATGCTTCAATGGCTGGATTGCTCGACTAGATCATGCAAGACGCGGAAGTTTAAAGATATAGGGCATTCAGGTTGAATTTTGAAGTTGGATATATTCCCGGTATGCCTTTGGGCAGGAACTTGAGATTAGGAGCTATGGATCTCGAAACTGTGGAGGTGATGGAAAAATGATTGGCTGGACTGTCGGGCTGCTTCAGACCGAGCATCTAACCTTCGGGCAAAGGCTCAATGTTTTGCTTTGAACATCAACATATCTTCACAGAATTGAGATAGTTTCAAGTACAGTTCCATTGAAAGTTCAGGCAGGGTCTCGCATGATTCAGCGCCCGACTCCCGGCTCCGCCTTCAGAGTTGCGATTTGACACCCTTGGCGTCTTGTGGAACGTCCTCGAACAAGTAGGCAGCGCCGAGCATGAGTCAATAAGGTCTGTCCACACTCCATAGATGTGAAGTTCGTCCGCCGCGAAGCCGACCGAAGGCACTGCGTGCTCGAAACATCCCTTGCTTTGCGCACCCTTGTGCTTAATCATGAGGGTCATGCCGTCTACTGAGAGATAATTTGTAGCTTAGACCGTCATAGTTCGTGCGTATAGTCATAGGAATAGCGAAAAGATAGCCGCTCTGATACCGGTTTGCCACTAGGGCTGTGGACTGTGTCCAGTTGAAAGTCTGTTGACGTGAAGATGTGGTTGCCGTTACGGAATCTAGCTTCGATTCGATGGGTATAGGTAGGAAGTCCAAGGCAAAAGACGCCGTAAGGGAGAGACCAGCCGAATAAAAAAAATATGCTAAATCCCATTGTCTGCAGCTTACATATGCATAGCTTGTCGATATGGGATGAAGCTACTCTTGAGATTGCATTTTGCAAAGCCTTATAAGCAGCCTATATCCTCATGCGAATGGTCCTTCAAAGTGCTTTATAAGATCTTCAGGGCGGGCTGATCGAACGAAGCTGTCTGAGCGTTGGAGGATGACTGATCAACAGCTGAATCCGCTAGCCTCAAACACCAGATCTCCAGACGCTGCATATCTCGATCAGGTCAATAGTCTGTCAGACTCATAACCCTGCCGTGGAGGCGTTGGTACTGATATTGCAGATTGCTGCAGGGAGTCGTCCTAGAGACATAGGTTTCGTTACAGTCGATTACAGCACCCGAGGAGACCGTCTTGATGCGTGAATACTCCCAAGGAAGTAGCCTTAATTGGATTTACCGCTATGGTTCGATCGTTCTTAAGGCTCTGGTCAATTGCCAAAAGCGGAATTGGCGTGGTGGTGAGTTTCGCGGAACGGTTCCGGCCCGCTTAGTCACCCATCGTCTACAATTCTTCAATTCGCTTCTTCATCTACTACTAAATAATCGTGCCTTTCATTCTGTCCTTAGTCGCAACGTGCTCTACATTGGAAGGTCTGGCAGTTTGCCAATGACATCCTGTTCCACGAGCGCTGGCGCTTGCTGTCTGCGTAATTCTATTAGAGCTTTGAGAGCTTCGAAGGGTCTCACGCTCACACGTCCACACTCACGGCACCCGCTTTCTTCAATTCTAGGCGGATTTATCAAGCTTACCTCTCGTCATTTTTCGACTACGAATAGCCTCCAATTCGAACACCCTACGTCTGTCCCTACAGCCATCCTTAAGGCTTCTATCCCACCTATCGTCCCATCAATTGCTATCACCGACGCTCTCCGAAATGAACATCCGGACGCTGTCATAGTATGCACCCCAGAAGCAACTGGCCTCTCGGACTTGGCGGAGAATGGCCTGGCTAGTAAGGTTGTTGACCCGTCGTTCCCAGCGTATGAGGAACTTCAGAGCCATTATAAAGACGACCGTAAGAGCAAGGACAAATTAGAAAGAAAGGCCAACCTGGTTCGGTTCAATTACACTTGGCAAGGCTATACTTGGTATCTCTACGTCGTCCGTTATCACTTTGGTGGTGAGTACGGCGAGATCAGTCATAGCCACTATATCGTCGCGCAACCCATTTCAACTGCGCTAGCCGAGAAACATGAGCTTGAGAAAAAAGTGGAGAGTCTACTACTCGAAGCGAGCAATCGCAAGGCAAGCTCTGCTGATAAAGAGATTTGGGTCTTCGACAATTAATGGGAAAAGAGCAAACGATTGTGGGAGAGCGTGCAGAAGAGCTCATGGGACGATGTGATACTGGACGAGGATGTGAAGAGGAGGATGCAAGAGGATACGGAAGGGTTCTTTGATAAGGAGCACGAGTATAGGGCTTTTGCGGTGCCGTGGAAGCGGTACGTACAAACGCACCATGCAGACCACGTAATGAGTCTCTTCTTTGAAAGACCATTAGGAGACGTACATTTCATGATATTAAACGAAGCTTTTCAAATGACTCGAGAGTCTCATCTCTTTGATTTACAATTCGTTACTTGCGTACAAGAGATTCTCTCCGTGCTCGGCTGAAATCAAAATCCACTGACTCGCCTCTGTGATCAGCGGACTCATACTGCACGGCCTGTGTTGAAGACTGAGAACTGATTGTATGAGGAACTATCTAAGGGGGGGTCAAGAGACCTTATATATCCGAGCTACCTTTACACGCATAATCTTAATACTGTGTGTACCCATTGATACTGTGTTTATCTATGACACAGTCAATGCTAAAGAAAGGTGTGATTACACGTCTAACAGCCTACCAGGAAATGGAAAAACCCTCTCTGTTAAAGCCGCTATGCACTCCCTCTCAACCCGTACACCCTCAATACCATCCCTCTACGTAAAATCACTCGGCAAGGACGCCAACGCTGGGGCCATCCGAACCGTCTTCTCTAAAGCTCGCGAATGCAGCCCCTGCCTGTTGATCTTTGAGGATGTCGAATCATTAGTCAACCAAAACACGCGTTCAGTGTTCCTGAACGAGGTGGATGGGTTGCAGGGCAACGACGGCATTATGATGATCGGAAGCACTAACTACCTTGATAATCTCGATCCAGGCATAGCCAAACGGCCCAGCAGATTCGATCGGAAGTATTACTTCGCGCTACCTGGCAAGACGGAGCGGAAGGCTTATAACGCTTTCTGGGTTCGCAAGCTGCAGAAAGCCGTAACAGCACGCGATGACGAGACGGTCGCTATCCCAGAGGACCTAGAAGACAGAATCGCCAGCGTGACGGAAGGATTCAGCTTCGCGTACCTGCAGGAGATGTGGGTGAGTGCGCTCATGTCTCTGGTTGGAACGGGAAAAGATCGGGTGCCTGAGCTTGATGAGGAGCCGATGCAGACGCCTGTGTTTGGTAAGATACCGTGGGCGAGTCTGTGGTCTCAGGCGGAAAGAGAGGACGGTAAGGAGGGTGAGACCGGGGATCTGTTATGGAGGACGATTGAGGCGCAGGTGGTCATGCTAAAGAGGGAGATGCAGGATAGTAAGATGAGCGTTGAGGATGCGGAGAGAAATACTAGTAGGAGCAACGCGAGGACCGGGGATGCGAGAAGGGGTGCGGGGTTTGGATTGAGATGATGAATAGGAGCTGAGAAAGGTTCCGGGTTTAGAATCTCCTCTCCTTTCGATGATACTTATCAATAGGCTAGCTCCACTTAGAAGATGTCCACCGAAACTTGCTCTCGATACTGAATCACTCTTCAAGATGACCATACTGCTGCTTGAATGCCGAACAATGTGCGCAAAGCTCACTCCTCTTCATCACGTCTATTCTCACGGAGCCAAAATGATGGTTCGAGGTGTCAGATATGATGTGTTGGTATGCGGGTCGGAAGGACGGATCAATCAAAAGTGAACCAAACCATTCAAGCGCTCGCCTCCCATTAGTTAGGGTTAACATCATAGGCTGCTCAGTCTACCGAATGCATGGAGACCGGAAAACCCTACCACCTCCATATGAATAAAAATAAATACAACTACAATACCCATGACTACACTTGCGCCAATGTATAGAGACACTTTGACCATAACACGGCGTCAGTAGGCGGAGCAAGACACAAATCTTTGGTCAATTGGTACAAATGCTTTCATTCCCACTCTGCCAGCCCTCAGCCAACATCCATCGAACCATCAGAGTCTACCATGGCGGCAAAACTACTCCCTTACTCTTTGATGACCATCGCGACCCTTTCGGGCTTCAAGTACACAACGCATTACCAGCACCCGAAGAGCTCTGAACTACCGTATATCCTCTTCACCCATGGCTTCCCATCGTCTGCATACGACTGGAGACATCAAGTAGAGTACTTTTCGAACGAAGGTTACGGCATCATTGCTCCCGACACCCTTGGCTACGGAAGCACCGACCAGCCTATGGATGTTCATGCGTACACGCTGAGAAGTATCGCTGACAGTTTAATCGAAGTTGTCGACAAGGTGGCTGGGAATGAGACGAGAGTCGTTGGGGTTGCACACGATTGGTCAGCTATATACTCTCCTCTGATACTACACGCTGCCTTTTCCCTCCATGATACTGCGATCTCTGAGCCATATCATACTGACCTACAGAACAGGGGCTCGGGTATTCAATCACGCCTCGCGAACTTCCACCCGGACAGATTCTCTGCCTACGTCTTCCTGACGCCTTATACCCTGCCAGGATTCTTCAACGTCACTGAGGTCAATATTGCCACTAAAGCAGCTCTCGGCTACTCGACTCTTGGGTACTGGGAGTTCTTCAACAAGACCGAAGCTGGCCCAATCATCGGTTCGCACAAGACGCCATTTGCAGACTTATTGTATCCAGATACTATGGATGAATGGAAGACGAATCTAGGTCCAGTGGATTCGACCGAGGCCTTCTTGACGAGTGGCAAAGACATACCGCATGCGCCATATGTAACCGATGAGGTAGGTCCACTCCCAGCCTTCCTAACTTTCCAACCTAGGTTGTATGTCTGTAAGATGTAAGGCTAATTGAACACTCAATGAATAGGAGCAGAAAATCCACAACTCCATCTTTGCACGGAATGGCTACACTCCAGCTCTAGGCTACTACCGCGCCTCAATGGCAGGCTACAATACCGCAGACGGAGAATCCATCGACCCCAAGAATCTCAACACGACTACACCGACATTATTCGTAGGCGCAACAAAAGATCCGCTGTTGATTCTCGACCAAGGCGTGAAGACGATGCAGGCTTTCAACCCCAAAACCGTGGTCACGAACGTGGAGGCCGGACATTGGAGTCAGCTTGAAGCGAAGGATCAGGTGAATAAGGTGATCTTGAGTTTCTTGCAGGGATTGGCTGTGAGTGCGTGAAGATCCATGATGAGGCTGCAGCTTGGTTTGACAGTGAATACTGCATGTTGTAGATTATTCACTTACTGGACATTTGCCACGTGCCCCACCCCACTTCACTGCAAGGGGCAAATTGTATCCTGTACCATCGATTCCAAAAAACATCGACCGATTATATCTCCAACATCCTCCTCCAAATTTTCTACCAGAACAACAGCCCATGATGCCAAAGCAACCATGCCAATCCATCACCACACACAAGACCTCTACGTCCTCATCCTAACCCTCCTCGTCGTCTTCATCCTCCCCTCACTCTTCCACCTCCATCCCCACCCCCACCAATCCCACCAACCCCACCAACCTCCTCCTCCCCCGCCTTACCCCCTACTACTCTCCACCCTCACCCTCCCGCCGCCCAAGAACCACACGCTAGGTTCCGGCAACTACGTCGATGCGCGCTTCGCCGCCACCACCCCCACCCTCACGGTCGCGCAAACTCGCCAAACATTGAAATACCTACTAGAATCCTACACGGCGAGGATGGAGGAGCTGGGCGTGCAGACATGGGTTATGCACGGCGCGCTGATCGGGCTGTGGTGGAATGCGAGGTTGTTGCCGTGGGATACAGATGTGGATGCTGTGATGATGCTGGAGGGGACGGATGGGGGGAGGGGATGGAGGGGCTGACGAGGTGGGATGAGGGGACTTGGGCGCGGACTTTTGTCCATGGCGTGGATGGTGAGGGGGAAGGAGGGGGGGAGGGATGGAAATACGCACATACCTCTTAGACATCAACCCTGCGTTTCGCCGCACAGGGCAAGAGGGGAGGAGGGACAAGGCGAATAAAATCAGTGCGAGGTGGATTGATATGGGGAATGGGAAGTCTGTTGATGTTACTGTTTTGTATCCCTCTGATCTGACAAGTGGGGACAAGGGAGGGGAGGGAGAGGGAGAGGGGAGGCTGGAATGTAAAGACGGGCATTCTTACGAGAAGGAGGATATCTTTCCGTTGAAGAAGGTGGTGTTGGAGGGCGTGGTGGTCAAGGTGCCGAATCGGTGGGAAAAACTTGTGGGGGAGGAGTATCCGAGGGCTTTGCGGAGGAGATGTGAGCATTGGTATGTTTATCTTATGTTCTGGTTGTTGGGGAGGGGTGGGGACGACGGGGAAGGGATGATGGAGGCTGATATGTGGGTTTAGGCATTGCTTCAATCGGAGGACGAGCGTGTGGGAGTATCGTGGGTGGTGAGAGCCATTTCTGAGCACATGGAAGTGGGCTTTGGTTGTATCGTGGGTGGTAAGAGGCATTTCTGAGCACATGGAAGTCGTCTTTGGATGTTGTGAGGGATTTGTTTGCTGAGTATGGCGATAGCCACAGGATCGGATGTTGATCGGATTGATTCTGGAGGGTATCAGAGCTCAGCGGGCGGCTTTGGTGATGGGTTGTAAATGTATGAAGTCAAAGCCTGTGAGGAGCTTGATGTCGGAGACTGGACTGATATCAATACTCTGGGATAGGAAAAGAGGTTGTCAACCTTGAGTCCCAACGTGCTTCTGAATACATTTGGCCTTGGATAAAGCGTGGCATGGTTGTGCGACGACCACATAACCGCCGTGAGTCGCCATCTTTTAGCTACTTGATGGGTCTGATGTTGATACGTATCGCGAGACTTGTAGGCTATGCTCAGTGCTAGAGTGGGCGGCATGTATGTAGTCCTTGACCGCACCAGACGGTATCTTGATCGAGCTCTCAAATATTAATCCATTGTGGTGCAACGAGCGTTTGTTCCTAATCCTTTCGCCTCCTATTGGAATAGAATCTGCTCTTTTGGGTTGGAACGGTTCTGATTGAAGAAAGTAAGCAGATATGTGGCCATGTCGGGTTCTCGACTAAAACATGAGCTGCCCGGCGTTCGGTCTTGATCGCTCCAAATCCCGACGCCAAGCTCTCGTGCTCATGTAAATCTGTGGACGATCGAGGATACCACCTTGAATCAAGAGATCAAATAGCGATACAAGGATGAGCTTGGTGTAGAATGACTCGGGTTCCATAAGGTACTTCACCTCAATATTCACGTACACAAGTATGTGGACATCCTGAAGCTCAGAAATCACATCAGGCTGCAACGATTCTATGATTGCTTTCAGCCGTTGCTGGATGCTCCGGGAGACCAGAGTATTGGGAGATCATTGTTTTCCTGGCACACCAACTCTTCGTCACGAAAGACAACAATCGACCACGCTTTGATAGTCCTCGCCCAGACTGCACTAGCCTCTCGATGGTACCGCCTAGTGCTGCATTAGGTCAGCTATGGCTTGAGGCATTAATTGGCTGCTGATAGCTGACCCCGGCTGACAAGGCTGAGGTGTCAATCTCGAGAAGGCTGTAAGAAGACCTTCTTCTTGACGCATACCTGCCTCGTACTTCAACTATGGTCGCGAATTGATGAATTACAGGCCCACTCCTGTTCGTCCCTGACGATCGAGCTCCTGAATATATGGATCCAGCCACAATCATAGGTGTCACTGGCGCCATCGTGGGAATTGTTGATGTCATTGCCAAATCCATCTCAACCTTGCGCGATTTACGCGACAGATGGGTGACAATCTCTCTAACCGTCTCGAACCTTATGACGCAATTAAGCTCTCTAAAAGCTTCGCTCAATAAGATTTGCGAATGGATATCGTCTGACTTGAGTGAGGTACCGCAACACCACCAACTGGTGATCGATCTAGGAGAGGCAGTAGTTTGCTGTCGCGTGCTCGTCAATTCTATGGATGAACACCTCGAACAGCTGAAATGGGTGAATAAAGCCTCTCCCAAGATAGAGAGCAAGTTACGGGTATTCTTCCAGAGCCGTGATTTCGAAAATTTCCAAAACTTCATTCAGAGACAGACCAGTGCTCTTGGTCTTCTGCTTTTGGCATGCAATTGGTATCTATACCCGGATTCCATGCAGACCCAGTTGAAAGAGACTGACTGAAGTAGTAAGACGCTTTCCGAGCAAAAGACGTACCTTGAGCGGCCGGAGCAGCGGTCTGCTTTAGAGAAAGTCCGTGATGACACATCATCAATGATTGTTCTTCACGATGATGTATCTTTCGCTGACCGGAGCTCAATTTCGACGAAACAATCTTCTAAATGGTCCATGACATTTCCTTTTGATGATGATTTGATGACTTCGCCTGTCTACCAAAGAGCCATACGCAGAATCTTCAGACGTACAACCGATCGACCACAATATTCATCCATTCCAAGCATGAGATCCTTCTTATCACTCTTACGATCTAAGCGCGACGTTGAAACTGCTGTAATGATGTCAGACAACATCGTTGAACGGATGAGAATTAACAGACCGGCTCAACCGCAGGAAACAAAAATCTTGCTAACAGGTAGCTCAAATGACGTTGTGACAAAATTGTTCTATTTGATACAAGCTAAGGAGCCTTCCGGTCAACTGCAATTGAGAGAAGCAATGTTAGGAGTAGTAATATCCGCTTTTAGTTTGTTCCAGCTGCAATTTGCAGGTCACCTGAATAAGCTCTCCAGTCAATGTTTGCAACCTTTTGAAAGGCTTTTCGAGCCTGTGTCACAAACTTCAAATGTCTATCAGCGGGCGCTGGCTACATGGGACATCTGGCGACAGTGGCCGGCAAGCTTTCGCCGAAATGCTGGACTAGCGCTACAGTCGTGAGGCCCTTCGATTCGAATTCGAGTGGACGAAAATCACTAATCTTCTTCATCTAGAGGGTTGAACAGTATTCAAGCACTCACAAAGCCGAATTATATCCCATCAGCTGACGATCTTTCCGATTTTATCACATTACAAGGACCGCAAGATCATTACATTGAAGACATCACAGTTGTCCATGGCGAAAGGACCCTTATTTTTGCCAAGAGCGTCCAGTCGGCCGAGAAAACTTTTGGCTGGCAGCAGCCTGACGAGGATGTTGATTTGCTAGTTTTTGTTGTGGATCTCTGTGGATATGATCAACAAGCAAAGGACCACGCTGATCCTACAGAATTGCACCGCAGTCTGCGTCAATTTGATACCCTGGTCAAAAACTCATCATTACAAAATATCAGCTTTGTTCTGTTCATGGGCAATACCAGTGCTTTCAGAGACAGAATCAAAAAAAATCCAGTCGAGAGAGTTTTCAAAGAATACGTTGGTGGCGATGACTTCGCTGCGGCTTGTGATTTCTTCCTTGATTTGTTTGTATCATTTGTCAAAAGATCGAAGAGGGGGGAATCTGCCGAAATAGGCGTAGCACGTACTTGCGACGAGGATGTTTTTCGGTTCTGCTATCATCGATGTGCAACATTAGAGTTAGAATGAAGGGAGCGTCACTTGATTGTTGATTCTTATATTGAAATCAAGAGACTCTCAGAGATGGACACAAGGGCAAATGCGTCCTATCAATCCTTGCCATCGGTTCTCTTGCACATGTGAGACCATTTCAATAGTAGAGCAGAGGTACCGCTAGCATAATGAGGAAAACTAAAACATTTTTCAGATTGACAGAGGAGCTTCGACGAAACACAATAACCTACAACAGAGATCGTTCTCGCTCCAGAGTACGACCACCACCTCGTAGGTAGCTCCTGTTAATTCCCATCCCCATGCCCACACGCCCCCACAGCATTGAAATACCACCCATGCGCATCGACATCATTGCCCTCGCTCCCCGCATTCCCATCCCCATTCGCATTCCCATAAAGTACCTCTACATCTCCACCGCCCACCTCAACCTCATTCCCACTCTTGATCCAATACTCAGGACTGACATGTCTCCAGCCCCACCGCCTCGGCGGAAGCTTCGGCACCGGATCATTCGTATGCGTCACCCTCCAGTTCCCGCCCTTGTTCTGATTAGTAATAAAATCACTAACCACCTCGCCGCCAATGCGCGGTGCGCCATAAGTGTACAGATCCACCTCCGCCCCCTCCCCCTCCCCCTCCCCAGCCACACCATTGCGAATCTCCGCCGCGGCAACAGTAGCGATCGCCCCACCGAGACTGTGTCCCGTAACAACTACCTTATAATCTGGATGAGCAGCTTTCGTGCGCCTCAGAGCGTCGAGAACGCCGCTCTTGGCTTCCTGCCATGAGCGGTAGAATCCGCTGTTTACGGAACATGTCGGGCAGATGGATGTGGCGGGTACGAGAACGAAGGCTGCGTCTGCGAGCCAGTTTTTGATTGAGGAGGAGCCGCGGAAGGAGAGGATGATGAGGGAACGGGTGGTGTCGAGGGCGAGGTAGCCGGTTACGTCTGTAAGGAGGGAGCTGTCGGGGTGAAGAGTGGTGGTTAGCGTTGAGGGGTGGCTGGCATTTGGGGAAGGATGGTGATAGAGAAAGGGGGGAGAGAGGGAGGGCGAGGGGCGGGGAGGGGTGCGGAGGTTTACTTTTGAAATTCTAGGACAGTGGTCACGTCGTCGGCTTCAACAAGAGGGCAGTTCGTGGTGTTTTGATAGGGACTAGGTGGACAGGTGAGCTTTTTGCCGCCAGCGCCGTCGTCGTTATTGCTGGGGCAGTAAGCTGCTGCTGCGAAATGTTCGTAGAATTTGAGATTGTTGAGGGTGACTTCGTCGATGGCTTGTTGTGGGTGTGGTTAGTTGATGAATTGAAATCTGGCTTGGTCTGGAACTTACCCCTTTTCTCAACGGGTTTCGAAAATACGGGGTTTGGCGTGATGAGTAACAGGGCAACGAGGGAGAAGAGGGGCGGGAGCATCATGATGAGTACCTCCAAGTGTCAGAATGTACGAATTCCGTCTTTTGCATGGAGTCTTGAATTTTTATTGCTGAGATATCTCAGCATGCGACAAAAGGATGCTGCACCGAGTTTTATAACCATGATCGGTAAAGACGGGGTCAGATTCGATCCATAGTCTGTGATCGGTCATGGTAGGATAGTCTCAAAATTGGCCAACTCCAATCGCCTGCGCAACAGGAGGTATGCCTTATGCATGATATTCAGTCTTAACAAGCTTCTTGGCCTCAGATCACAGCTTACTCCACCAAACTTAGATCACCTGTGGTCTGTCGGACATTGAAGCTGGTTGCAACACCGAGACTCTCACGTAATAAGTTCCGAGTCAGGCCATGTCGGAGAAACAACGCAAGTTCGTCGGCTGTAATCGCTTCGGTCCGTTATGCGCAACCAATTGACAGCATGCTTACTCGGTGATAATGACCCGCGGCCTTGTCAATTAGATCGCCAAATGCCGCATGTCATGGTCGGAGATTCTCACTGGTGGTGCTGGTACCTAGGCCGAGCTTGACGTTACATATCGGTCACAATGCTGTTCTTAGGCGAAGCCGTGAGCATGCCATGCAATTGAGGTCGAACCAAGATTGATCGCAGCTACAAACAATTGCCATGAGCTCTCTGCGACTATGGGTGAATCTGCTCGTATTTGAGCCTTTCGAGATTCCTATTTCCGATGGTCGGTCGGCCAAGGATGAGATGTCTTGAAGCCTGGCAGCCACCCAGCTGATACATCTTTACATTTCGAGTCATCGCTTTTAGCCCCTTTGGTTGGATGAAATCAGAGGTTGATCGAACCTTCTGTTAGGACTCTTGGTTGGTCGCTTGTAGAATTCGTTACCAGAATCATGACGAGGTCTATCGGCAGGATTTCATGCTTTTTCTCGATTGGCCATAAACCTCGAATTGCATATAAACAGCGCTCAGTCGAAGACGTACATGCTATGATGAGTAGTCTGTCGTGAGAATAACCTGTTGCTCCGTTTGCAGTCACTCAACACATGACGTCATCCATGTTATGAGACGTAGAGTTCTATGGGCAGTCAATGGCTCGACTGCATAATGATACATCACGTGGAAGTAGCGTAGAGACTGGATATGAACAATTCTCTGTCGAGTGCCTTCCGCGACGATTCGCAAGGGTCTAGACTGGAAAGGGCGGTCGTATCTGGATCTGCTGTGAAAAGGTGACATGAACGATATGACTGGTGCTGCTCTATCTTCATACTCTTGATGCTCAATTCGCATTAAAGATCGTCTTGTGCGAAATGGTGAATCACTGAATGCAAAGACGATAATGAGTGAAGGATAGGGGAGATTGCTGAGTGTTCACAAGCGCCAAGATCGGCAAAAATATGATCCATCCGAGAGCTGGGCATCGAAAGGGTAAGTGCTTGGCTGTCTTGTCTCTCAAGGTAGGATGAAATAATAAATGCAATCTCATCATCAGTCTTTGGCAGACAAACCTTCATCATCAGTCTTGATAGACCTGCATCTTCTCAAGTGTAGTTCGAGCGATAACGTCGAGCAATTTACGACAGAACTGCTTCCATCAGGCTACAGCTGCTGCTGAACCAATTCCTTTCGGCATTGCGTTCAAAGTCCACCACGGTCGATGTCTCACCCCGGGAAATGTCGAGAATGTTCTCTTTCTGCTTTATACAGTCTTTAAGGGTCTTACCTCCAGATCATCAAAATGCTGTCCTACGAATCTACCATACCGATCTCAAGGTTCACTGGTCGCCAAAGCGGAGATCTGAATGCGGCAATGCTGCTTACCCTTAGCTTTGCACTGTTGGGCTCATGAGCCTATTCGAGTAGTTACTTGCAGGTGCTACGCCGTAGATAGCTTTTTCAACGTCATACATGGTCATGTTTGAAGGCTGACTAACATGCAGCTTACTGTGGGATCTACTGCAAGTCATACCCCGATGGTAAGCGCACATTGTCGGATTGACGAATTTTACTCTCGGCCAGCAGATGCCTCATTGAGTGGAAGGAGAGTCCTACACGAGCCTTGCTTTTCAGGATATCGGAGTTGCAGACCATTCAAAATCGGTCTTCCCATCTTTAGTTGGACACTTTAGTTGGATAAACAAACTACAGGAACTGTTCACCGACTGAAGACCCTGCGTCGGCGTACCCCAAATCCTTCGCTCATGTGCAGTCATCATATGCACACTGCCCCGCCATCGAAAGGCTTTGCCGTAGGCTATGTTCAATGTCAACAGCAAGACCATTGAAAGTCTGCGCAATGTCGCTGGAGCGCGGACAGTTATGTACTGTCTCCTTCGGACTCGATCATCTGGAGCGCTGCAAAAGCCATGTCTATGCCATCATCAGTCAAGTTGACATCCGCTCAGATAGAACAGCTACTCAACAGCCCAGCAGCCCCGCCTCCGCCAGGAATCGTTCCCAATTTCGAAAACCCTAGCAACATCCATACAACGATCATTGCAGTTGCGACCTTGTGCTTGCTTATATCGACGCTGTGTTTGTCAGTAAGGGGCTACACGAGGCTTTACCTGTTCAAATCAGTGACCTGTGAGGACTGTAAGTCATGAATGCTAATGCAAGTTGGATATTACTCTTATACCTTAGACTCCAGATGTCTTGGCTTTAGCTTGGGTGAGGAATTTGGACTTCAGTGTCCCATATTAATAGCTGAGGAAGCCAGGTCGGACAAGTCGGATTCCTTGTACCATTCGTGTGCGTGATGAAATACGGCGGTGGGACGCATCAATGGAACGTGAGGCTCAAGGATTTCTCCCGTTTTCGCTATGCAGGTCCCCTACCAGGCCTCCCTTACAGAATCTCGCTCACGACTCATGCTAGTGGGTCAGCATTGATGACATTCTCTACAACATACTCGTATTCCTAATCAAGCTCTCAATCCTCCTTCAACTCTTAAGGATATTTGTGCCGAATCGTAAAGGCTCTAAATTCCTCTTTGCTGCAATCTGGGCGATTATTGGAATGATATCAGTCACCTATTTTGCTGTTCTTATCGTCATAATGTTGGAATGTATACCTCGAGAGAAGATTTGGAACCCTCTCATTACCACAGGACATTGTATCGACCTCAAACCCACAATTATTGCGACAGGCATCTTCAACATTGTATCCGACTTCATGATCTTAGCGCTTCCTATGGTTCCCATCTATAAGCTTCAGCGACCATTCAAAAAGAAGTTGAGACCTATTGCCGTATTCGCTGCAGGTATTTGGTAAGTAAACAATTGCCGTGCGTACTCGAGTATTTTCGCTAATCACCCTGACATTAGTGCCTGCATCGTGTCAATTGTGCGAACATATTACAGTTTCGTGGTGCTTGAATCACTCGATAATACATACGTTATGATGCTGAATGGCTTTTGGGCATGGGCTGAGATGACTATCGGTATTTTAATTGCATGCCTTCCAATTATGCCACGCTTTTTCGATGAGATCAGTAGTCAATGTTCCAAAACAATCGACGCTTCTTTCAGCAGCATAAGATCTAAAGTTCTCTACCGATGGAGCGGCAGCAAGATGGATGTCTCTAACCGCCGTCCTCCGCTTGAAGGTCATGAAGAGCTTGTAGCTGAAAAAGGATCCCAGGCTTCGCAATCAAGTCATGATACCACACCTGATCTTGCCTACACACCTCGGCTGTTAACACCTCCAATCCCGAAGATCAGCACCGGGCATTCAATCGCATTCAACGGAAGACAAAAGGGACAACGGACGTGGGACGATGATAGAGATGTTACATGTTATGGGCTTCGGGGTCAGTGGTCGGAAGTCTGACTCAGAATTGAGTGGGTGGTGAAGCTGGACTTCTAGGTGACAGCCAGCATACTTAGTAGGCGTTCCAATAATTCTTGAACCCACAAGCGTCATCAAGTCGTGACCACAAACACATTCAGCATTTTAAATATTATCCTAGAGCGCAACGGAAGAACGAATGTATATCAATCTCTATAATATGAGTAAGGAAACAACCCACCATCATCACCCTCTCCCATTACCCTACTTCTTAAACCCCTCACTTTTCTCCGCAATATCCCTCGCAAACCCCACAATACTCGCCGTGGCCAGAATATCAAAGACCGAGAACTTCACCTTGGTTTGTTGAAAAACCCAATTAGCAATCTCGATGCCCACGAGCGAATCCACGCCGTAGCTATACAGCGGCCTCCCATCGTCAATCTCCGTCTTCTCCACAACAAGCGACTTCGCCACCCGCGCCACCAACGCATCCGTAATCATCTTCGTCGCCTCCTCAATATCCGTCGCCTGCGTGAGCTGTTCCTGGAGGGATTTCGCACTTGCTGCCGCAGCCTCGCCTTTTGACAACGACAGCGCCGCATCGGAGGAAGCGAGCTCCCCAGTGCCAGCAAACATGGCAAAGCGGGGATCGTCGTGATAATACGGTGTGCGCACCCCCGCCACTCGCACCATTTCCCCCGTGGCCAGCCCATGCACGATCTGCGCAGGCAGCGCGTTCGCATTCCCACTCATCTCCTTCGCGATCACCGCCTTCATCAACGCGTGGAACTCCCTCTCGCGCATCCCGAACGGCACTTCCCATTCTTTGAGGTAGTCCGTCGCGCCGTGCTCCGCGATCACGCCGACGTCGCGCATCACGCCCAGATCCACGGAGATGGCTTTCAAGCCGCGCGCGCGCCGGTAGTGCGCGAGCGCGTCGAGATACGCGCCCGCGGCCGCGTAGTTGCTCTGGGTTCTGTTGCCGATGAGCGCGGCGAATGAGGAGAGGAGGATGAAGAAATCGATTGTGGAGGGCAGGAGATCGTGCACGTTCCACGACCCTTGGACTTTGGGGCGGAGACTGGTGCTCCATTCGAAGTGCGACATCGTTTCGAAGAGCCGGTCTTGGAGTACCATCGCGCATTGGAAGGCTCCCTTTATTGGAGGCATTGAGGATGTGATTTGTTGGAATGCGCGAGAGATCTCGTCCCAGCACGCTATGTCGCATTTGTGGATGCTGATCTGAACGTCGGTGTTCTTCATCTCGGCGATCAGCGCTTGGGCGGCTTTTGAGCTGGGCCCCGAACGTGATAGGATTGAGAGGTGTTTGGCCCCTGAGTCGACGAGGAGATGGGTGAGGCTGCGGCCGAGGCCACCGAGTCCCCCTACGAGAACGTATGTGGCATCGGGGCGGAGGTGGAGTGGTTGGTTTTGTCGACGAAGGACGGGTGTCGGGCTTGTCGACTCCCATTGGAGAGCAATCTTGCCTTGATGTCTACCCGTCTGCAGTAGCCGGAAGGCGCTCTCCACATCCGAGATCTGATATGTCTTGACTGGAGAGACTGGTTGCACAATTCCATCTCGGATGTTGTCGAAGATGGATTGCATGAGGGTAGCAACCACGATCGGGTTGTCCGTCATTATGTGCTTGATATTAAAGAATGAAAATGTGGCGCCTCGCGAGAAAGGTTGCATATCCAAGCCGGTGTTGACGAGGATGTCTTTCATCCCAATCTCGACAAATGTGCCAAAGTTGGCGATACATTCCCAACTCAGGCGGAGCGATTCCCCCGATAACGAGTTCAGGATGATGTCGACGCCTTTGCCTTTTGTCATTCGCATGACTCCTTTAGCGAAGCTTGTGTCTCGCGAGTTAAAGATGTGGTCGGACTTGATGCCATACGAGCGCTCAAGCAGGTCCCGTTTCTCGGGAGATCCTACCGTGGCGAAGATTTCGAGGTCGAGGTACTTAGCCAATTGAATGGCTGACTGTCCTACTCCGCCCGCGGCGGCGTGAATCAGTATTGACTGTCCAGATCGAGCGTGGGCTACATCCATAAGCGCATGATGGCTTGTGCAATGTACAAGTGGGATTGTCGCGGCTTCTTCGAAAGAGAGATTCTCAGGTATCTTTTGGCAAAAGATTGCCTTGTTCCTAAAGACTGTGCGGTGAGCTCCATGACCTAGGGCACAGACTTTGTCACCAGCTTTGAATTGCGTGACGTCTCTCCCACATCGCGTCACTATACCGCTGGCTTCGAATCCGAGCAGATCATCCGGTATCTGGCCCATGATGACCATCACGTCGCGAAAGCTGCATTGCGTTAGCTTCAGATCCAGGGTGCAAGAACGAAAGAGGAGGAACGTACTTCAGACCAGTTGCTTTGACATGAATATCGATCTCGTCACCTTTAATGGGGATGTTTAGATCATCGTCTGCCTCTAGGCACAAAGTATCAAGCATCCCTTGCTTCAGGATGCCTAGCTTGTGTGGACTGGCGATCTGCTCGAGGTGTAGCTGGTCTATCACTTCGTGTTCATCGACGAGAGAGCTCGATAATGTATCATTCATAGGAGTGTCTTTGATATAGCGACAGACAGTGACTTTGCCATCCTCTTCCAGGAATTCATGGTCTGTAGCAGAAGTCGTGAGGAGCTTTGCCACTGTCGATGCATGTTTTTCAGGTGAATTGAGAGCCATCGGCTCAAGTCTGAGCGTACGGTACTGATTGCCTTGTACCTCATTTCGAAGAGTGCGGAACATGCCAGGTACTAAAGCGGCAGCTGGTCCTTCAAAGGCTGTGATCCACAGAAGATCGGTGCACCTAAGGATTACGTTTTGAAGCATACAAAATTCTTGCTGATCGCAGTCTGAAAGTATCGGCGAGTCGAGCTCTAGTAACGAAATACAATGCGAGATTTCCAGGCTATCAATATTTGAGTTCCATTGAACGTTGATGACGTCGACTCCGCTCTCCTTGAGTTCATTCTCTATACATGAAGCAAATCGAGCTGTCTTTGGTAGAGATATTGTAGGCTGAAGGAGATGCACCTTAGGATGCGTAGGGATACTTTCGATGGATAATTTGGTTCTTGCTAAGAGAAGACCAAAGTTTTGTGTCCCGTCAAGGTCGGAGTCATTCGTACGAAAGTCAACGGTGAAATCTTGAATACGTAATATATCTTGGAAAGTGGTGCTGTCGGCGAATGCTAGTGGAAAGTCCCGTGACTCGTCACTAGTGGAATAAGCGCCTGAGAAGCCCATCTCAATCATGTACACTTACCTCATAGGCTGCCGGTACAAACTCGATCGTTGATAGAAACAGATTTTGCCTCCGGAATTCAATATTTTTGGCAACTTTTCGAGGATTGAACGCAATCTCTTCACTGGCATGACAAGATCCGACAAAATGATGAGATCGTAGGCGGAGGTCTCTTCGTCGATGGTGCTAGATGATGTGTCAGGGTCTAAATGAGTGAACATGGTACGTCCTTGGCGCGCTCGCATCGACTCTTTGGCATGAGCCAGAGCTTCTTCGTCGTACAAACTAAGTGTAAAGTCTATGCTTTGAACGAATGGATCTTCCGACGAGAGTAGCGAGGCGTCGAGCCGAAATGTAGAAGATCCAATTTCGTAGACAGAAAGAGAGGGCTTATTGTGAGACATCAACTTAAGAAGCTTGAAATAGGTTAGCATATTACTCTCGACCGTGACTCAACGACCTACCCGATATAGCTGTCTCCAACAAATGTCAGCATGATGCATGTAAGCCGAGGGAATGCCCTGATTCTGGGTTAAGCTTGGAGTCAGGTCGGTATCTGATTGTTTTATGAGGTCTGGTAGGTTAGGCCAACCTTCACCGTTCGCTATAGGTTTATTATTCGATATCTCATTGGCGTTCTCGTTATCTGTACAGTCTACTGGTTGTGGATTCAATTTCTCGTCATCAATGGGGCCGAACCTTTCCGGCGCTGTTTGAGGCTGCTGAAATTGATTGGGCAGATCTGACAACCTGGAAGAGTCGTAAAGAGGGTCTTTCTTTGCTGCGACTGACGTTTCAACCGAGGAGTAATAAGTCAATTCAGTCAGAGAAGTAGAGCTTGAGGCAGTCAAAGAAGATTCTGCGCTACCAGAGGAGGTTCTCGAGGGCTTAGTCGAAGTCGACCCTTTCATCAATGCGATCTTCTCCGCTGTTGAACATAAATCGAGCGCCGGTCTCCATATTTCTTGACTGTACAGCTTCCCTGCGTTTACTTCGGTCTGCGTCTGTTCCGAGACACTAGAGTTGGGAATAGCAGTACAAAGTAGGTCCTTCATGGTGACACATCTTTTGCCAGACAACTTGTCTAACATCGTCAAGCTTCCTTTCATCTCCCGAAACCCATGCTTAGAGGCAGTCGAGAATCCCTTGAATTGCGATCCAGCCTCAAATGGAGTCTTGGCATAGATGGTGATTTCGTCAATTGATTTTGGTACCATTGCTTCCTTCATTGTTTCTTTCTTGTGATTGTACGCGGCAAAGATTGCGTGGAACATGGCATCAAGCGTCGAGGGATGAATGACATGTGGTCTGACAAATTGTTCATGGGGTATTTCTGAGATACCAGCATTCGATACAGTAACTTCGCAACAGCTCTGGTTCTCGGTACTCTGAATCTTGGTGACATTTTGAAAGAGAGGACCGTAGCTGAGACCCAGACGATCGAGATTTTCGTAAAATTCTTTAGTCTTCTGTACAGTTTGACATGATGTTTGGTACTCCTCGTACGCTTGAAGGGCATGTTGTTCCTCTAGATTTTGTTCTATGCTCGATGCCGAATCGGTTGGAGTGTCATATTCAATCAGCAGTAGACCATTACAGTTCTTCCGTAGGTCTCCACCCTCAGCAGACGATGAAACTGTGAATTCGCTCCACGTGAACCAATCGTCCTTCGTGCTTCGGTGATGCGGTCGAATCTGTAAGACAAACTCAGTGGGAGAGTCTTCTTTAATGACAGCAGGGGCCACGATCTGAACATCCTTCAATCTGAAATTCTGGATGTCTTTGCCCTGAGTTGCGATCTGTGAAGCTCCCTCAATAGCCATTGCCAAGTATCCTGCGGCTGGATAAAGTACCGTTGATTGTATTGTATGGTTTTGGATCCAAGGCTCGTCAGCGAGTCGTAAGATACCCCTCCACAATCTCTCACTTTCCCCGTAATTTGGACATGGTGGTCCGATTAGACTTTTAAGAGGCTCTTTACGAAACCGATGCTGTCGAGAGATACGCGACTCGGCCCAATAGGTACGCGAATGATTCCATGAATAGGATGGAAGATCCACTAGTGGTTTACCTAGTGGTTGGTTGGCAGAGTCAACGTCGTTGTTCGCGCGGGAGATATTGATGGAAGACCCTCGACTGAAAAGCTCGCCGACAGCGATCATAGCCGTATCGATTGCGTTAGCCCCTCGTGACAGGAAGGAAAGATAGTCCACGCCTTTGACTCCATGCTTTTGCATTGTTTGGTTGGCAGGACCTTTGAGGGCAGAGTGTGGTCCGATCTCGACTAGTACGTCAACCGCGTTGCCGTTCTGAGAAGAACGGTCTGTAGTTGGCTGCAGAAGCTCACGAACTGCGTCATAGAATAGAACAGGAGAAACGAGGTTCCTGACCCAGTTGACCGGTCCTAGCTCCTCACCGTCAACAAGACTTCCACTGACCGCGGAGTACATTCTTCGTTCAGTGTGCCCTTCTTGGGCATATATTCCGCTCATAGAATGCAGGTATGCGCCTTGAATTGCCTCCATGTGTGGTGAATGATATGCGATCTCAACCTTCAGCCTTCGAGCAAAGATGCCCGCATCTTTGAGTGCGCTTTCCAGCTCGATGATGCCTGATTCATTACCGGATATTGTTACGCTCGAAGGGGAATTTACGCAAGCAACAACCACATTACTCTCTGGATATTGAGAGATCCAGCTCTCTGCGTCTTCTTTCGATGTACCTACAGCCAGCATACCTCCCAATAGGGGAGGAGAGGTCGATTTCATTTCCGACGATAGTAGTCCTCTCATGTAGGCGATCTTCCAGGCATCTTGTCTTGACAAAGCACCTAAACAATATGCACCAGCGATCTCACCACTGGAATGGCCAACAATAGCCGATGGGGTGATTCCCCAAGACTCTAGCAAGTCCACAAGCGCCACTTGAAGGACGGTGCATAAAGTCTGACTGTAAGCTGGTTGGTCAATCTTTGACGATGATGCGTCTTTGGAAAGCTCCGTGAGTACCGACCATGAGCAATTCAAGACGATTTTGAGATAATCGTTGGCTTCTTCGATCGATTTACGGAAGACTGTGTATTCGAGTAGCTCGAGACCCATTCTTGGCCACTGAGCTCCTTGTCCAGTAAATACAAATCCAATTCGTGGGGGTTTGGTTGGTCGCATGGTCAACGCAGTACTCTCTGATGCTTGTAGGCTGGTTGTCAGCTCTTTCAGAGAAGTAGCTCCAGTATAAGTCCTCCAAGCCAGCTTGGTACGTTTTTTCGATAAAGTGAAAGCCAAGTCCCGTAAATACGAGCTTTCGTCTGCGACGCGTTCTTTCTTCATGAGGTGCTGATGAAGATTTTGACGTTGCCTATCGATCCCATCTTTATCTTGTGCGGTCAATACAAACACTCTCTTTCGTTTCAGAGCCTTGGAATCATGTTTGGTCGCAATTTTACTTCTCGAAGTCGACAGTGGTATGGCTGGTGAGCTAAGCGTTTTTGTGAAATGATTACCCTCTTGTTTGATAGTCTCGAGGTAATGAAAGGCATCGTCGAGAATGACATGAGCGTTTGTACCTGGTCGGTCAGTTTTGTTGCACCAAATTACCCAAAAATTCATTGACTAACCTCCATACCCAAAGCCCTGAGTCTGGAGAATGACGTTGTTGTCAGTGTGACTCTGGAAGACATGGGGGGGTTTGAACGTACACTCAGCCGTCTCAGGCCCTCGGTTGGCCATGGTCGCAACGTAGTTGGTACTGTGACTTTCCATTCTCGAAATGGAATCCGCGGGTTTAGTTCGTCCAAGTTGATATTTGGGGGTATGAGACCATTTTCAAGAATGAAAATACCTTTTATCAACGCGGCGAGACCAGCGGTGGCTTCCAGATGACCAATCTAGGAATTTTTAGCATTAATCTCTTGAGAGTGAGTCGCTGTCATTACGTTTGACTTTACAGATCCTACAATCAAATCATTGCCTTGTTCTCTGACTGATCCAAGGGTAGACGCAATGCCTTCTATTTCGAGCGGATCTCCAATTTCAGTCCCAGTTCCCTATCGACTAAATTAGATCATCCCATTAAAACTCCGTGTAAGACTTACATGGGCTTCAAAGTAGTTGGTGTCTTGAAAATTCAAGCCTGCTAAACGATATGTGGACTTTATCAACTCAGCCTGTGCCTTGGCATTCGTTTGAGTAATGGCCTTGGTTCTTCCGTTCTGATTGACGCCAGTGCCACGAATTACTGCTCGTAGAGGATCACCATCCAGAATTGCTTGATTGACATTCTTCAGAATGATGGCTGAAAATCCCTCACCGCGTCCATAGCCGTCGCCGGCAGCATCGAAACTGCGACAGCGACCGTCTTTCGCCAAGAAATTCTGATTTGACAGGGCCATGAACATTTCGGGGTTCAACAGCAGATTAGTAGCACCTACGACAGCCATCGAGCATTCTCCAGCTTCTATAGCTCGGCACGCCTGATGTAGGGCAACCAAGCTTGATGAACATGCTGTACCGAGAGTGAATGATGGGCCTTTGAGATCATAGAACCAGGATACTCGGTTGGAAATCAGCTCCTGACCTGAGCCACTCATGGCGTATGTCGGTGCAGAATCGAAGTCCCGAAACATCATTTCTCGATAGTCTGTTGTAAAGTTGCCCATGAAGCAACCGGTGTCGGTGCCCGCAACAGTATCCAAGGGCAGGCAAGCATTTTCAAAGGCCTCATACACGGTCTCCAACATGATGCGTTGCTGTGGATCCATAGAGATCGCTTCATTCTGACTGATACTGAAGAAATTGGCATCGAAGGCACCAACATCTTGTTGGAGGAAGTGACCTCCCCTAGGCCTAATAGTGTCTTGCTTCTTACGATTAGGTGTGTGAAAGGCATCGATATGGAATCGAGACTCTGGTGGCTCCGAGTAGGCAGCTTCATAAAATGATCAGCAAGCCTGGTAAGAATAGGGGCAATCACTTACAGCGAGCATTGCAAAGGACCTCCCAGAAACTTTGCGGGTTTACAGCATCACCTGGAAAGCGGCAAGCGAGACCAATGATAGCGACAGGTGCTTTATTCTTATCAACGCCCGTTGGTAGGGCATGCTGTGGGTCTTCCAGCATGACGCGTCACCCTTCCGTTCGGAAAGATTCTCCTCTCAAAGGGCTGATTATGGGAATAATGTCTTACCACGCGGAGCAAAAAGGGTGAATACAGTGCCAGATAAATGATTGAGAGAATTGTCGATGGGCCGGCTCTAGTCATCTAAGGACTCCAAATGAAAGCCAAGCGGGTGGCGCGACGACAAACAAAGCTCGCAATTTGTAGGCAGTGATATTGGAGCGATGGCGCATATAGATGTGCATTAGTCGGGCTTGTGGATTCGTTGCAAGCCAAGATGCAGTACCAAGAAATTCAACAGATGCGAGTTCAACATATACCATCCGAATCGAGCTAGTCGGGCTTGGCGTCGATACTCTGAGGTTATCGTTCTCTTGAGGGCTGCAAGTCGATGATGAGATCACAACGCTTATCGTATCAACGTTCTCATGATATCCATGTCCTTGAGACCGTATTTGTGCAAACATTCCCGTTGGAATAAGCAATATGGTGCCGCATGTCCAACCATTTCGCATACACTAGGCCGAATAGAGCCGAGTATGCTTTGTCCACCACGGGGCTCCTATAGTCTCTCATTGTCACCTCAGACAAACCGAGCAAGTCCGAAATCATCGGGAGATGATAAGCACAACCGGGCCGACAAGACTGGAACTTTGTGGGTGCAAATGAGGATGTCGACGTCTTCCATTTTCCGTATGATCGCCTGAGCCAAACGTCCAAAAGAGGGGACCCGGAGCATTACTGGGTTCGAATCTGATCTTCGGGCATCCATGTCTGCATCCTGCACACCAATCTGGTAGGGACAATGTGCCCTAGGAGGTTTTTGGGAAGCGCAAAGCTTTTTCTTGGACAAACCTGGCTCAACGGCCCACAATTCCACGCTGGCAGTACTGCAGTAGGTCAATGTAGGAACAGGAACCAATGCCTATGCGTGGAAGCATGTTTGCGTTGCAAGCTGCCCTAGAGGATATGCAGGGACGTGACGAAAATCCTGTTAGGCGCTAAGAAAGTTGTATTTTTGAAGGTTGATTACTAGCGGGATTGATTATTACCACTCTCGTATACGCCCGAAATCAGCGCAACGTCCTGTCAGACCAGGCATCATATCTTTTCCTCTTAATGGGTTGGTGGGCTTATAAGTCATTCACACTCAGAGACAGATGGAACTTCCGCGGACATGGAAACGCTCGGTCACAGGAAGCTGCATCTCTGGAGCGATCTCATCTCAACAACTTTGACGAGGCAATGTTTTCGTATAGCATTTTTCGGCATGCATGGCCAGCGGTATACTTTGCGTTATGAAGAACAGTGTGATAGTAAGGCCATCTCGATTAGGTTTCGTACGAGCATTGCCGCTGTCCATTATCGCCCTGGCCCTTCTCATCAACGATGGCGTCAGCGCAACCCTCGCCGATCTTGATCGGAAGAGAGGGACAAGGCCGGTCTCATGATTTAGCGATTGAAGTGCATGAAAGTTTGAGTTAATAGAGATCTTGCCAAGGCATATAGTCCCCTCGCCCAGACTTTGACCGGTTTTTGGAGAAGGTCAAACAAATGATACTCACAAAATTTAGCATCATTATTTCTCAACGTCAAATTGAGACTTAGATCGTTTTCAACATCAATGAGCTGTTATGACTCCTCAACGGCTATTACTCTTTGGGGACCAAACGGCGGAGAAGACCCCGTCGCTACGTCAGCTCCTCAGATTGTCTCACAACTCACATGCCCTTCGTCGGTTCCTCCGTGAATCCACAGATGTCCTTCAAAACGAAGTCAGGAAGCTTCGACCTGAATCGCGGAATTGGTTTCCGGCTTTTGATGATCTTCTATCACTCGCTGAACGATGTGAGAAAGAAGACGATAGTAAGGCTGAAGCCATCATGACCCCATTGATCACGATCGTGAGGCTGGCCGAACTTATACTGTGTGTATTGACAACCATCGCATTGAACTTGGCATACTGAAATTTCGTCCAGCCACGTCGAAAATGAGCCTGCAATTTTAGATAGCTCTTTCAGCCAGATTCATATCCTTGGACTTTGTACTGGCCTTATTCCTTCGGCTGCTGCAGCGTGTTCGAAGGCAGGAACAGAACTTCACCAGATTGCGCTTGAATTGGTGGCAATTTCTGTACGACTTGGCGACGCTATAGTTGAGCGCTCGAGGGCCATAGATTCAACACTAGGCACTTGGGCGTATAGTATTGTTGGAGCGACTGCTGCTAAGACTCAAGTCATATTGGACCAATTTCATAAGGCAAGGGTACGTATTCGACGAACCATATGCTATAAATGTAGAATAAGTTGACAAAGCCACAGGACATCCCAAAATATAGACGTGCATTCGTTGCTGTAACGTCTCGGACGTGGGTCACAGTTTCCGGCCCGCCTTCGACATTAGCTGCTTTATGGCTGGATTCTCCAGAATTGGCTCTAGCACCGAGGATGAAATTAGCTGCAAATGCGGCCGTTCACGCATCGCATCTATCACCACTGGATGCAGATGCCATTCTTGGGCACTCCACCATATTGAACGCACCATGTATCTCAGGGACTCGGATTCTGTCTACCAGCACATTTCGCCTCTTTCAAGCCCATGATTTGCGATCCCTACTCACTCAAATGCTTCCCGATATCACGCAAAATACCTTGTGTTTGACCGAGACCGTCAAGTCTCTGACCGAAAATATCTTGGCAGCCGGAAAGGAAGTGGAAATAGTAGTGGTAGGACCTACAGCTCATACAAAAATGTTAGAAAATGCTTTGCAAGAAGTCTCTATCAAGATCAAGAGATTCAGCGAGCTTGCAACGAAAAGTACGACACAACCTGTACGTGAAGGCTCTGGAAAGATTGCCATTGTAGGTATGTCAGGCAGATTTCCCGGCAGTGAAAGTCTTGCCGAATTTTGGGAGAATCTGAAGGAAGGAAAGGATTTTCACGAGAAGGTATGCAATTGCTCTAACTTCGCACATCATCTGCACTGATCCTAAAGCTTTGAAAGGTACCTTCTTCTCGATTCAATCTGAATGATCATTATGACCCCTCAACAGCAATGAAAAGCTCGATGACAACTGAACATGGCTGTTTTCTTCGGGAACCTGGCTTGTTCGATTGTCGCCTATTCAATATCTCGCCCCGAGAGGCTATCCAGATGGACCCGGTCCAACGCTTGCTTTTAATGACAAGCTACGAGGCATTAGAGATGGCCGGCTACGCACCTGGTCGAACTCCATCATCAGAGCCTAAGCGGTTGGCAACATACATGGCTCAAACGACTGACGACTGGAGAGAAAACAATCAATGTGCTGGTGTCGACATTTACTACGTCCCAGGTATCGTACGTGCCTTCACACCAGGCCGTATAAACTATCATTTCAAATGGGAAGGCGCATCTCACAGTGTAGATGCAGCTTGTTCGGGAAGTTCCACCGCAGTACAACTCGCCTGTCGCGCCCTTTTAGCCCGAGAATGCGATACTGCTCTTGCTGGAGGGGGACAGGTCAATACGGCCCCTGCAGCTTTCGCCGGGTGCGGACGTGGGGGGTTCCTGTCTCCTACAGGTCAATGTAAAACCTTCCACGACGATGCAGATGGCTACTGCCGTGGAGAGGCTGCAGGTGTCGTGGTTCTGAAACGTCTTGAAGATGCGATCGGGGATAACGACAATGTCATAGGCATCGTCGATGGTTCGCTGCGTACCTATTCTGCTAAGGCGGCTTCAATCACTCAGCCTCATGGCGAGTCGCAGGTCAATATCTTGCAGACACTTATGCGAGAAGCTGGCAAGGATCCCAAAGACATCAGCTATGTCGAAATGCATGGCACAGGAACACAAGCCGGCGACTATGCTGAAATGAAGTCAGTAGCAGAAGTCTTCGGTCCAACACGTACTGCTGGTAATCCTCTGACTGTAGGAGCAGTCAAGGCGAACGTGGGACATAGTGAAGCGGTATTCATCTCAACCAAAGAGTCCTTCTTGACGTGGATGCTAACCTCGTTCTTAGGGAGCTGGCATAACTTCCTTGATCAAGTGTATCCTCATTTTACAGAACGGTGGTAAAATACCACCTCAGCCAGGGATGCCGTTCAAATTGAATCATAGATTTCCAGCATTGAACAAAATGCATATTAAAATAGCTGGTAGCACATCCAGCAACCAGTCTCGTCCATCAGTCACCGACAGAGTGAAGGTCCTCTTGAATAACTTTGATGCCTCGGTAAGCCCTTTATCATCCATCCCTTCTTTATGGGCGTCCTCTGATCAATGACAGGGCGGAAATACTTGCTTGTTGCTCGAACAAGGACCAGTAAAACAACCAAAACCAAAAGATCCCCGCATATACCACACAATCGTCTGTTCCGCACGAACGTCGCGATCGCTTAGAGGAAACCTTCAGCGACTACTCGAATTTCTCAAAAAGAATGAAGAGACGAGATTGTCCGACATTGCATATTCAAGCACATCACGTCGCATGCAGGAAACTTTGCGTGTCTCTTACGTCGCTAGAAGCATAAAGGAGCTGAAAAGACATCTTGCGATGGACTTACAGAAGGATACCAACCTCAAAGCAGCATCTTCTGGTCCTCGCACCCCTGTCGTCTTCGCATTTCCTGGGCAAGGTTCATTTACTGGTGGCGTAGCATCAAAGCTCTTTGAAAGCTGCCCGCGCTTCCATGACAACATTCTACTATATCAAAACATATCCGAATATCATGGATTTCCAAACATCATAGACCTCATTGCTCAAGCAAATGTGGAACTGGAAACAAAGACTATCATACAGGTCCAATTGGCGCTAATATTCTTGGAACTTGCCTTGGCTGATTTGTGGAGATCTTGGGGCATCATACCTGATTTAGTCATCGGCCACAGCATTGGAGAGTACAGCGCCTTATGCGTGGCCGGCGTTCTTTCCGTCAGTGATACAATCTACCTCGTTGGCCAGCGTGCCAAGTTAATGGAAACCAAATGTGCAGCGGATGCCAGCGCCATGCTTGCAATCAATGGACCTGTCGAGTCGATATCTGATATCATAACTGAGGAGGCTTGCGAAATATCCTGCCTCAATGCCCCTGACATGACTATTCTTGGCGGCACTAAAAATATTCTGGAAAAGACAAAGATCAAGATGCAATCAGCAGGGATGAGGACCAAGTTTCTTCCAGTGTCACATGCATTCCACACTTCTCACATGGATCCAATCCTTGGAGATTTGGAGAAGATCGCAAATCGCATTCCATTCAGTGCCCCTCAGGTTCCAGTCGCCTCGACACTAAAGGGCAAAATTGTGCGAGAAGCGGGAGTCTTTTCACCATCGTACTTAGTGCAACATACTCGAGAGTCAGTAAATTTCTTGGAGGCTCTACAATCAATCAAAGCCGAGACTGCGAGTAACCCACAGACCTTGTGGATGGAGATGGGACCAGAAGCCACATGTCTTGGCCTGATTCGGTCGACTTTACAGACACCCCCATCGACAATGATGCCTAGCATTAAGTCTAATGAAGATAACTGGAAGACCATCTCGACGTGTGCATCGAAACTTTACACTTTTTTTGCACCAATTTCTTGGCAAGAATTCCATTGCGACTATTTAGATGCCTTGAGCTTGGTTCAACTTCCGTCCTACAGCTTCGACTTGAAAGATTACTGGACAGTCTATGAGAAGCAAGCACCCACACGCGTTCTGAACCAAGCCAAGGTTGAGCATGGGTCAACGTCAGGGGCTCAACGCGGCTTTCTTGGTTTGACATGTCTACAGTACGTAGACGAAGAGTCGTATGACAATGATCGAGCATTTTTCGCCTTCTCCTCATATACGGCAGAACCGAAGCTCTTTAAGGCTATTCAAGGTCACCTTGTAGATGGTACAGCAATATGCCCCGCAAGTGTTTTTTGCGACATTGCTTTATCCGCGGCTCGGTACGCCTACATGACTGCAAAGGCAGGCACATCAGAACCTCATATGTCGATAGGGGACATGCAGATCACTCACCCGGTCGTCGTGACCGAAAAGAACCCAAAACAAGTCCTTCGCATACTGGTCGAGAAAGCGGGTGATAAGTGGTCCAGTGTCCTCGTCACCTTTGAATCGAACAATGGGAAAGCAGATCATGATCATGGATCCTGCAGAGTCGATTTTGGTGCAGACGATAATTGGAAGACAATCTTTTCAAGAACAGTACCTCTAGTGCAGAGGAGAATGGAGGACTTGAAAAAATCCGCTCTTGCCGGACAGTGTCATCGTTTACAGCGATCAGTGGTCTACAAGCTCTTCGCCAATCTGGTAGAGTATGGTGAAGACTACCAAGGCCTACAGGAGGTTTATATGGACGACGCTATCGGGGACGCCGTCGCAGAAGTCAAACTTGAAGCATTGAGCAATGCTGGAGAGTTTACGCTGTCTCCATACTGGATGGATAGCGTTGTCCATCTGGCAGGATTTGTACTAAACGGTAACATCACCTCAACCAAAGACATCGCATTCATCTCCGCTGGGTTCGATAGTTTCCATCTATTTGAAAGTCTCTCGACAGACAAGAGGTACCTCAGCTATGTCTCTATCCAGCCCACAGACAAGAAAGAATGCATCGTCACAGACGTGTATCTCTTCGAAGGGAACAATCTAGTTGCACTCTGCGCTGGTCTTATCTTCCATAAGATGTCTACAGCGGTCATGAGAGTCATCTTCGGTTTCGGAGACAAACCTTCTTCCACTTTGCAGGAACCACGTCAACCCGCGATCAAAGTTACAAATAAGGTGCAAAGGAAAGTTGAAGTCAGCAGTCACACCACCGAAACTCAAATGCAGCACGAGTCTCAAGATAAGCCTACCGAGAACAATGACAAGTCAGCCGTAGTCGATAGCGTTCTGGAGATCGTAGCCACCGAATGCGGCTTTGCGCTTGATGACATGGAGCCTACCACACCTTTTGCGGACATGGGAATTGACTCCCTGATGAGTATCGCTATAACGTCAGCTGTGCAGAAGAAGACTGGCGTCGAACTTGGCGCATCTTTCTTCAAAGACAATCCCTTGGTCGAGGATTTACGTCAGTATCTAATGCCTTCAGATCAACAGCAGCCAGAAGACCCTATCAATGCTCCCGTGTTGGGTAGCAATATTCAGATCCCTGACCTGACCGAGGACAGCTCTGACGCGATTTCTTCCGGTGCTGCATCTCCATCATTTACACCAATTGAGGGCGATCCACTAGTGAAAATCACAACGAGGGCAACAACTCCATCTCTAGATGGAGAGATATCTGATAACGAGCTAGAGCAGATACACAAGCCGGACATCAGCATTCTCGAATCCCAAGACATCTTCAAAGATAAGCTATCAATCTCTCCGCCCAAAGCAGAGCAGCAATACGAAAGTCAGCCTGTTCTCATCAGAGGTCGACCGACATCTGGGCATCCACCTCTCTTCCTCGTCGCCGATGGAGCCGGCTCCGCAACGGCTTACATTCACATTCCACGCTTGTCGATGGGCAATGCTATCTACGCACTCGAGTCGCCTTTCCTACATGACCCAGAATCATACAATTGTACCGTTGAAGAAGTATGCGAACTCTATGTCACTGCCATCCGCAGAACATCACCAAACGGTCCTTATCTTATAGGAGGCTGGTCTGCAGGTGCTGTCTACGCTTACGAAGTCGCGCGACAACTGCTCGCCCAAAAGGAAACCATCATCGGGCTGATTCTCATCGACATGCGTGTTCCACGGAAAATGCCCGATGCGTTGGAGCCATCGAGGGAACTCATTGCCTCGGCAGGTGTCTTTACTGGGATAGAGCGAAGCGGACAGGCTAAGTCATCGACTGGTGGGAAAATGAGAGATCACCTGGTCAGCACCGTCTCCGCACTTGTTCAATACGATCCCGTACCTCTTCCTCCTGGCAATAGACCTGTGAATAATTTCTTGATCTGGGCGCAAAAAGGCTTGAGTGAGACTAGGAAGGAGGATCCATTCATGACCAATGGGCATCAAGACCGATCGCAAAAAGTTTCTTCAGAAGAGGGCAACAACATGGAGGATTCCGACACTGGCTTGAAGTCGTGGTTTTATGATGCGAGGTCCGTCTTTGGGCCAAATGGGTGGGATAGACTGCTTGGTGACGTTGAATGCCATGTCATCGAGGGCGCGGATCATTTTGATATGGTGACACCGCCAAATGTAAGTCGCTTGCGCTCCTGCTCGATTCGCTTTTCCCTACATATATACTGCACATACATACTTGACACAAACCACTGACTGTCGACTCACAGGTTGAATTGTTGGGCAAAGTCTTGGAGGCAGCAGTCAAGAAAAGCATGGGGAGTGCTACATAGAGGTGCTTATCTGCCATCAGTTCAACACAGCATGGTATTGGTTGGAAGAGAATGAAAGAGAGGAAAACCAATAGATAGCTAGTGAATTCCAATTTCGCAATTCCAAGAAAACCCACCCATTTGCTCTGTTCAGCACTTGCGTCGACTTTTGAGCTTGGCAGAGACACTTCGCGCCTGCTTCGACATTGACACCACCATCGATCCAATGACAACGCACATTTGAGGCATGCTTGGAGGTATGTGAGACTTTCGGATATTATCAGTGCCTCCACAACTCTCTTTCACGCCTGTTGCATTCAACAAATCTCTTTAGGGACACCACTGCAGTGTCCATGACTATGATGAGTCGCAACCCTGCATTCAATGAATTTTCAAAGAATACCTGTATGGATAAGGTCAACAAAAAATCTAGCATTATCGAGACGTCATTAAAGTCATGATGCATAAAAGCCGATCGAGAAGTCTATTAGTGATCGATGAGGGCTGTAGAAAAGGCTTCATTACGTCCTTTCTCAAATTAATTCTACCTACACTGCCTTGAAAAAACTCATGCCAATATCACACTTCACCTCTGCGATCATCATAGAGCAGTTCGAAGGCTTAACCTTCCCAGATTACCTCCATAATCCCATTGGTAGACCCCGGTGGTGACATTTTGGTGCTTACGATCCTTAGACCTGGATCCGCCTGCTTCATGATGACAGGCCACTCTTCATTTCCCAGCTCGCGTGCACCAAAGTTCGCAAGCATGTCCAGGTCGCGATTTCTTGAACATGTCAGCTCTGCACTAAGCCTACTAAACTGAGAGAACTTACCGAAGTTGCCTATCAACCATTGGCGGCATGACACCTGGCTCAGGCGCATAGTGATCACTGATAAGGATTCGAGCCCCTTTCTTGAGCGCTGGCACCTGATTCTTCAAGATCTTGACCACATAGGCGTCGGGCCAATTGTGGAAGACCGCTCGGAAGAGATACAAGTCTGCATCCTTAATCGGTTGCTCTTCCAGGATACTGTAAGGCGAGAACTTGACTCGGTCTTTCAAGGATTCGGGAAGCTGCTTCGCACCCTCTTCGACAGTGGCTGGAAAGTCCTGAACGATTAAGGAGAGATTGGGAAAGCGTTTGGCTAGGCCTATGGATACGCTTCCATAACTACCCCCAACATCGACGACGGTGGCATTGCCTAGCGAGGCCCAATCGTAGCCAACTAAGAAGGGTTCCATTGGAATTCTGGACGTGACCGCGCTCGCGCCATCGCGGAATCGCTTCGCACGTTCTGGGTATTTTTGAAGCTCGTCGTAGAAGCCTACGTCGGTGTTGTTGGCGAGAGAAAACCCCTTGGAATATCAGCTCTGGACAGAATAGACACAGATGAATACTACTTACCGTCTGAGATGGATCCTGAGGTGTCCCAAACTTATCCAATGCATCCAACACCTATCCTCAATCAGATCAAGTTCCATGAATTGGAAACAAGACGCCTCACCCTTGCTGAAGCCGGAAACGCTTCTTCACAATGCATACCAACATATTCACTCAAGCCTTTATCTTGCGCAAGAGCACGAGAAGCGGCAGTGTGAGCGACAAACCCTTTCCGAGGCTCACTGAAGATATGGTTCGTCATGGCATGGCGCATGAGACGCCGCAAATGGACGACATCGACACCACACGTCTTCGCAATGTCCTCATACGAAGCTTCTCCTCCCACAGGAAAGCTAGTCGCGATCTTATATCGGTATATGGCTTGGAGACTGACTATGTCGTATGGCTGAGAGCGCCCAAAATAGATCAGCGCGAGGACTTGCGTTTGAAGTGTCACTGGTATCTCATACCGCGAATCCCATGAGCATTGCACTCGGGCCTAACAAGAGCGTGTGGAGCTCTTTGGTGGCAGCAAGGACTACCAGATGGGCTTTTGCGATAGCAGTCAATTGTGGAGGGATGACCACTCGTAGAGGTCCGTCTACGTCGAACGATGGAGTGGGAAAGCCATGAAACTGAAAGTACTCATTCAGGACCTGAGTTTTGGAAGCAATGAGCGTAGAAAGCTCTTCGATCCTGGTTGTAGTCGTGGCTAAGCTACCCATCGCTGTCAAATTTCTCATATATGAATATAGAAACGATTCGAGGAGCAAACAACAATCACTCTAAGCTCTGGTCATTCATCCAGATGTTAAGCGATGTATCATAGAGCCAGGACCTTCGGAGCCCAAACTGCCGATCGTGATCTACCAAGGACACTGAGACCCTTGGCTCAGAGGGTTGAGCATGCCGAACATAGCCGACATTCTACAACCTCCCATTCATCCAGTTCAAGTGCTCAACACCATGATGCAGGTTGGACGACGCTGAACCCCTGAGGGTCGGGACTTCACCCTAATGCATGCATGCCCAGAACTTAGCTTTTCTGGTATCTTACAATTTCAATACTGTATGAATACCAACACGAAGACAGACCCGGAAGACCTTCCTTCCGGCGGCAGAAAGCTTCGAGGAGAATTCTCCACCTTGCAGGTTCTTTATCTCGCATGCTCTCGGCCCGTTTAAGCTACATACGAGATCCACCATTTGAGACCCTGAACGCTGGTTGTGCGTCCCGGCCCTGGCTCAGCCTAATGCTGCATTGCAGAGCGGCTCTGTCGGAATTCGGATAATGCCACCTCAGGGACTGCCATACACTAATGTCCGAAAGAGGGGAGGGAGAGCTGAATGTCGTCAATGAATGCATGGGCCTCATCCACAACCAGAAACGAAAGAAGAGAATCGGCGATCACTCCCCACCCAGAAAAAACGACGTGATTTACCAGACCAGAAGACCACCCCCGTGCTTTTTGCATCTCTGGACCTCGCTTCAGCAAGACGAAAGTATTTCGAAGCCATCACTAGCAAATCTCGATCAAAACACAACAACCGCGAGACACCATGTCGCCATCACCCCTAAACAACTCCACCTCCCCTGAGACCCTTACACGACCAAAGAAAAAAGTCATCATCGTAGGCGCCGGCCCCGTCGGGCTCCTCACAGCCATCCGCCTCGGCCAAGAAAACATCTCGACCCTCCTCCTCGAAAAAGGCGACGTCCTCCACAAATCCTCCCGCGCAGTCGTCTACAACCCGATCGTGCTCCCCCTGTTGAAAAGCTTCGGTGTCCTGGACGCCGTCCTGGCAGCCGGCTACCTCAACACGCGCGGCGCCACATGGCTGAACATTCGGGACGAGAAGCTCGCGCATCTAGCCGTCGAGAGCGACAAGCCCGGTGTTTTTGGTGGCGTACTACTGCTGGGCCAAGCCCGCCTCAACGACATCCTCCTCGACGAAGTGCGCAAGTACCCAAGCGTGGAGATAAAATTCGGGGCTGGCTGTACGGGCGTTGAACACGTCTCCGATAGCGAGGGCGGCGGAGTCAGGGTCATGACATGGCAGCGCAACAACGCCCTACAAGATATCACATACGAAGCTTCCTACGTGGTGGCTGCCGACGGCGCAGGCAGCGCAGTCCGTCGCTGCCTCTGCGTGCCCTACGAAGGCTACACCTGGCCCGACTGGAAAATGCTGAGTACGCACGTGCAATACGATTTTGCGGCCGAGAAAAACTATGACCCCATCACCGCCATCGTGGACGCCAAGGACTGGGCGCTGATCCTCAACACGGGCGAAGACGCGGAGGGCAGGGGATGTAAGCCCGAGGACGCCGTCTGGCGTGTAAGTTTTGGCGAGGATCCTAGTCTGCCGAGTTCGAAGGAGGATTATATGCAGCGTGCTACGGAGCGAGTTGGGAATCATGTCAAGAAAGGGGCGTCGTACAAAGTGGTCAGCGCTGAGCCGTATTATTTACATCAGCGGTGCGCGGCGGTGGCGAGGAAGGGGAGGGTGGTGTTTGCGGGGGACGCTCTTCACGTACGTACTCTCGCCCCCCAACTTTTCCATTTTCCCATTACCAGTCAGCTGACGTGCCGCGATGCGGTATTAGGCCAACAACCCCTCTGGTGGTCTAGGTCTCACGACCGGCATCTGCGACGCCTACAGCTACTCCAACGCGCTTTGTCGAATCATCAACGGCAACGAACCTGACGCTCTGCTCACCGAATGCGCGGAATCAAGACGCGCCGCCTTCTTGTCCACTACAAATCCTACTTCTATCATGAACTTCAAGCGCGATTCAGATAGCCAGGATAAAGACGCCGTCATGTTCCGCAATATGTTCTTTGGGCGCCTGAACAACGACCCCGGCGCCTCGAGGGAGGTAGGGAAGAAGTTGCAGGGATTGCTGTTGAAGGGGTTTGAGAGGCCGGAGAAGGCGGGGGATGGACGGGTGGGTAAGGCCGTGGAAGCGGTGGCGGCGAGTGGGGCGGGGAGTTTTGCTGAGGGGGAGCCTTTGGTGGGGAATGGTGAGGTAACGCCAAGGGCGATAGGCGGGGTGAAGAATGAGGATGGTGAGACTCACGTGAATGGAGTTGGGGGGAGTAAGGTCGAGGGGGCAGGGAATGGCGTCTTGCCGCTGAATGAGGCACCGAGAGATTCGATCGAGAGTGAGGTTGCCAGGTTGAAGGATGATATGGAGGTTGTGAAGGGGCTTTTGAAGAAGATTGCGGGGACGGTGGGATATTCGTAGGTAGAGCCAACTATTTTGTTTCGGAGGATTGTTGTTGATACTGGAACGGAAGAATGCGATGTTTGACTAGAAGTCTTCATTGATATATTAGTGTATGTTTGCATTGTCATTTCAAAGCCCACCAATCGTGATTGCGTGAGATCCATATTTGGAGGACTAATACTATGTCTTGCTGATCAGAATTTGATTCAACTTATCTCACCTGTCAAGTGCGTGTTGAAACACTCGCCAGAATGAGGAACTTTACGCCAAACCAACATACCGCACTCACCATCTATCCCATCCCATCGCCCACCACCACGCCTTCTCTACTACCTATCCTGCCCATCACCTTCAAAAAAAGCCCTGCCCCTCCACAAACTTCGGTCTCGAAGCCTTAAAAACATAAATACACCCCACCACACCGGCCTCAACCTCCTCAAACTGCTCCCTCAATGCCTCCGTAAACTCCCGTTCATTATCCCCCAAATTATCCATAAACCCCCTCCGATTCGTCCTCTTGACCCACAGCCCACTCAATCGACTCTGCACGCGCTTCTCCCCGAGAATATTCGCCCCAAACAACACCCCCTCTGGCGTCAGTGCCGCTTTCAAATTCGCGAAAACTGCACACTTGCGCGCCGAAGGACCGGGGAGACAGTGCAGCAGGTAGAGTATACTAATGCTGGAGTAAGCGCCATGATGTTCTGCGGGCAGAGACTTGTAGATGTCCCACTGCAGCGTGGAGATGGAAACGTCGCGGCGGCCGCTGTGCACAAGGCGCTTTTTGGCCATGTCCAAGCAGTTCTGGTTTAAGTCGCACAAAGTGAGGTCGCACCCCCGCGGCAAATTGCCGTGTTTGGTGAAATACCCCGTGCCGACGCCGACGTCGAGATGGCGTGCGCTGACGTTGTCGCGGAAGAGGGGTAAAGTGATCTTGGAGGTCGGGCACCGGTATACGAATGTGCAGAGAAAGGTGAGCACGAGCGTGTCGTAGATGTAGAGCATGAAGCCACCGTATTCGTCCGCGTTGCTCTCGGCGTGCTGGGCTGTCGGGGCTGGCGGGGCTGATGTTGTTGCTACGGCGGTGAGTTCTTTCGACATGGTGAGGGTCGTGGATGATGAGGGTGGTGCTTTGGTGCTGGGTGGGTATGTGGAGTGGGAGTATGAGTGGGAGTATGGCGATGGATGGAGCCCGCGTGGAGGGGGAATGTAGAGGATGCCGTGAATGTCCATGTTTGAAGTGTGATGGAGTCATAGGGGTAGGGTTTTTGGGGGAAGCTTGGGCCTGGGCGTGTGACAGGGTGGGATTGGGCCCCACATGTCTGACTGGGTGGGCGGTTCCGGAGAGTCTCGGTTCATGCATGGGGAGGAGATTATGGTGGTCGGTCTCCGAATGTTCGATCATGGTCCTTGGTGAGTTGTTGATGTCTGCATGGGTGGGTCTGCTTGTATCCACAAGTCTTGATGGGTCTGCACTGATTCTGCAGCATCATCGTACTAGAGTCACTTGCAGCCATTTCGACAAGGATATCATCTTAGCGCCTTTGTCCGTATACATACCGGTGCAGCTGCATGAAGACTCTTTCCCCTGTCGATCTTGTGCGTATAAATGTTCGGAATTGTCCATTGCCGTCGTTCCGATAAGGATTTTCCTAGTCGGCGTAGCGCTGAACTCTGGCTAGGATTAAGGAGCACTAAGGTGGGTCTAGAGACCTTCAAGGCTCGGTCCCCAATGGCGTCCGACTGGGCGAAGCTTGGTCTGCAAGATGCCGAACCGGGAGATGGGTTGATTTGATCCGGCATTAGGAGCTTACTAAAGCGGGAGTTCGAGCGACATTAGGTGCGCGTATATCTATTTGACTTCCGCATTTTTAATTTGCAGGAATCTGTAGCTACGCACTGTTGGTACTATGCAACGGTTGATGAAAGGATGTAGGGCATACATTATGCAGTCCCCGAGGTACGCTTCAAAAGCGACAAACTGTGGAGCATTTCGGAATTGCTTCAATGAGGAGGACATCTATTGGAACTTGACTCCCAACAAGACGCAGCTCACCGCAGAACCTCATTCATGCACGACTATCGTGTTCAGTAACGAAGGATGAGATGCGCTGAACACGCGTAAGGACATTGTCCTAGCAAATCCTGCCACATACATAATGATGCAAGGTTATCATACTGGTGGTCTGATACTAGATACCCCTCAACGCATCGTTCATGCTGCACAGCTAAGGATCATCTTTAGACTTTGGTTCAGAAGAGGATACATCATGCTTCTCCACAACATCTCCATTCGAAAGCGGCGATGTGCCCGCGTTATCCTTCGTTTGCTCTTGCGACACCCTATCATCCTTCTTGATCGCATCTAATTCAGTTGGATCGAGATGAGGCATTTCTGGCACTTTGTCACCGCCATCACTTTCTCCCACAGTCGCAGATCGCAGCTCCCCCGTACCTCTAGTTGTAGGTCTCGAATCCTGCGTAAACTTCCCCTTATTTGCCATAAGTTCAATTTCTTCAGTTTCATGATCGCTAGGCATAGACCTAGACCCATCGCCTCTGTCCGGTCCGGCTGGCATATAGAAGCGCAGATCGATTCGCATGATCAGATAGCCCCAGATGATTGATACCTCGATTGTGAAGTAGAAGATGTAGAAGCACGCTTTCGAGAACCACGGTGGAGGTTCGTTCACTGGTCTTGGGGCCATGTAGCCACTTCCGACTCGAAACCAGAACCCTGTCGCCAGAGCCAGACTTCCGTACAGTAGGATGAGGACCTTGGTGCTCATGCTACCTTTGCCGAAATTTCGCGTTTCTTTTCGGGGGATATGGTATGAAATGAGAATGAGGAAGATCGGTATCAAGGACGTGAAAGCATTGTACGTGCCTCCTGCAAATGATCCCGCTTTCGCATCATTGAGTTTCTTCCGATCCAGGGTGTAGTAAGAGGAGACCACGAAACCAAGGATGATACATAAGGAGACCAGAAGGAGCGAGAGAGACGTGGTGATGAAGTAGCGGAAATATTTGTGGTTGCCAACCCTGGGATGTAGAGCCTTCACAATGGATTGAGCCAACAAGATGTTGATCAAACAGCACAGCAGGTCTCCAAGATTGACGAAGAGAACCGCTGCAATGCTGATGCCAACGTTGGTTGGATATACCGCCCAGATGATTCGCATTATACATGCTACCACCCTGGCCATTGAAAAGCCGAACATTGCTCCCGAGAGAGGAAACTTGTGGCCTCGCCGGAGGTTGAGTTGCAGTCTTGTCATATGTCCAGCACCGCCAACCAGGAAGAGTACCATGAAGACAGAACAGAGGGGGATATCGAGGCTCTTGTTCGGCACGCCGCCAAGTTGGGCCACATGGACTGGGTAGGGTGGCTTAGGAATGGTCATGTTTTTTGCTTGCTGTTAGGGGATGAGCATTAGCGACTATTGTTGAGTAACTCATGGATGTTGAAGGAAATGCTTGCCTGACCGTCCGCCATCACGTCAACTGAAGTAGAGAATGCTAGTTGCGAGTATGTTCGCTTCTGTCAGACTGCTATGAGAGTTGGTGCGCTTTTGGGCGAGGTGGCGTGAAATTTTGCGTCGTGAATGTTGAATTCACGACTGATGCGAGTTTGCACCCAATTTCTACCGTCTCTCCATGTCGTACAGCGATGATCAAATGCAATAATGGTATGAGAGCATAGAGAAAAGCCTCTAGGGATATTGTTCGTGGTCTAGGTAGGATTGTAGATAGCGATTGACTGATGTCGCAAAGGAGACGACTTTCAGGAATGACGCAACTGCATCTCGTGATGTCTAGAAGGAGGCAACGACCCCACCCCCGGGTATCATTGTTCCGACAGCTTGCATAATGGATTATGTGTCGACTCGGAAACCTTTGCATCCGAGGTGCATAAGTTATGGAGGATATTGGATAGGGGCTATTGAGGGAACCACTCCCCTGGAGCAATTCTTGCGGGCGGCTAGTACGAGAACGAACGCCCTAAACTATAGGGGGTTCTCCCCCGGGACTGCTATCGCAACAACACTCTTGTAAGCGTGCACCTCTCCCCTCTTAACCTAAATACTAATAAACTTAAATTATTTCCCCCTCTTCATAATTGATTTATAGAATATGTACTCTTAGTTTATAAGATATAATATTAATATTTCTAGGCTACTTAGAGTTAATTTTATTTTTTATTATATTTTTATTTATTTAAGTTTATTATAATTTAAATTATATCTTTTTTAATTATATAGAAATAATAGTATTAAGAGCTTAGTAAGTATTATAAATTTAAATTAAAAGATTAATATATAATAACTTTTATTAAATATTAAAACTTAGATATATAATATAGAATAGTATTAGAAATATATATAAAGAAGGCTTTTATTAGATTCTAATAGGTTTCTAATAAATACTTAATTTTATAAATATTTTAGAGAAACTATAAAGGAAGAACTAACTATTATAATCTAAATTATATCCCTTTTAGTTATATAGAAATAGTAGTATTAAAAACTTAGTAAGTATTATAAATTACTTTTATATAAAAGTAAATATATATATATTAGAAAATTAATATATAATAATATTTATTAAATATATAAGTAAGGTTTCTACTTAAAATAAAGCTAATTCTTTATCTTAGTTCTTTTTATTATTTTTAGGCCTTAGAAGCTAATTTTTATCTTTAAAAGAAATAATGATTAAAGAATAAACTTAAATAAAAGTAAATAAAGTTCTTAAGCTTATTAAATATAATATATTATAATAAAGAATAATAACTAAATAAATAATATAGTTAATTAAAAAACTAATCCTTAAAAAGTTAAAAACTAATAATCTTTAAATAAATATATAAAATATTTAGTCTTAATAAGAAAAACTTAATAATATTCTTTATTAAAGTATAATTTAAGAGGAATTAAAAGAAATAAAAGACCTTAATATTTAAGGTATTAACTTCTTTAAATAATAAGAAAAATATAATAAGAAATTAAGAAGTAATATTAAGCTTTAATTTAAGTTTAAGATCTTTTAATAAGCGATCTTATATTTAAATACACTTTTTAATAAATATAAAAAAGTAACTTAAGATATTAATAAAGTTAACTAATAGCTAGAAAAAATATAAAAGGAGCTAAGAAAAATAAACTAAATAAATAATAATTTATAAACTTTTATTTATAATAAAGAGAAAATCTTAAAGCTTAAGTAAAATTTAATTATAAAACTATTTCTAAATATAAGATAAAGTATAAAGTATTAATAATTAAAATTATTAATTTTAAATAATTTATAATAATATTAAATAATAAAGTTATATATTATTTTTAAAGAAGTTTAATAATAAATAAGCTTAATTATAATAAAGATAAATACTTTACTATTAATAAATAAACTTAATTATAATAAAGATAAATACTTTACTATTAATAAATAAATTATATATATTAAAAGTTAATTAAAAGGCAATATATTTAACTATATTACTACTTTTTTAAATAATAAATATAATAATTTTACTTCCTTTATAAAACTATAAAATTTATTTAAATATTTTAATACTTTATATAATAATTATAATTATATTAATAATATAAAATAAAAGTATATTATTCTTAAATAAAGTATATATCCTTTTTAAGTATTTTATATAAAATTTAAATAAATAGTATATATATTAAAGAAAGAATTCAAGTAATAAAAAGATAACTTAGAGGTTTATTTATTACTATAACTTATAAAATACGTAATCTTTAATTATTTAGTATTCTTTTTTAAAAATTAATAATTAATTATAAAAATATAATAAAAAGAACTTAATTAAAATTTATACTTTATTATTATATTTAATATTAATATTATAAAATTAGCTTTTAAGACCTATAATTAATTTCTTAAAACTATTTATTAAAATAGAATTATATATTATTCCTATAAAATAAGATCCCTCTTAAGTAATTTAAGCTAAAAAGGATAAAAACTCTAAGAACTATTTTATTTATTATAAACTTAGCTATACTATTAAAAAGTATAAATAAAAAGGATCTTTTTATAATTTTATTATTAAAATTTAAGAAATTAACTTAGAAAATAAAAAATATTAAGAAATATTTAAAGAAGAAGAGAATAAAAAACTTAAATAAATAAAAAACTAAAAGCCTTTTTTTAAAAATATAAATAAAGATAAAGAAATTATAATTTTATTATTAGCTAGTTCTTTATATTAGTATTTTAACTTTTTTATACTTAAGCTACTTATAAAAGTTTATATACTAAGTATTATATAAAATAAAGTTAAATATAATAAGTTAATAAATACTAATATATTAACCTATATTTTTATTAATTTATATTTTATATAAAAACTAATAAATTAGTTTTTAATTATTATTATTTTATTATTTAAACTAAAGCTAATAAAAGCTTTTAATAAAATAAATAAAGAACTTTATAAGGAAATATAGTATATAAAGACCTTAATAAGTAATATATATAATATAGTTAGTTAATAATAGATTAATTATTAAACTATCTAAGGATTATAATAGAAGTAAAGCCTTATACTAAGCTAAGTAGGGCTAAGCTAAGCCTAATTAAGATATCCCTATTTACTCTTATTATAATCTATAATAGTATACTATTAAAAATAATAAAAAATAACGTCCTTATTATTAGTATAGCTTTATCTTTATTTATTTATATCCTAGCTCTTATAGAGAATTATTTCTATTTAATTTAATTAAGTTTTAAGTAAAAACTACTTATATTATATTAAGAAAAAAGCCTATTTTATAAGGGGCTATAGCAATAGTAAGGTTAAGCTAATTAGGTTAAAGATTATATTAGAAGAGTATATTAATATATAAAAGGAGCGATAGTAAGCAGAAGCTAATTAGTTAAAAGAAATATCAAAAATTAAAGGTTATTTAAAATTAAATTTAAAAGTTAGAAATATAAGTATTATAGATTATAATAAGAGTAGAATAGGGATATCCTAATTAGGCTTAGCTTAGCCCTACCTAGCTTAGTATAAGGCTTTACTTCTACTATAGCTCTTTAGATAGTTTTTAATTAATTATATTATTAACTAACTATATTATATATATTGCTTATTAAAGCTTATACCTAGTACGTTTCTTTATAAATAGTAGCAATATTAAAAGATTAGGTATTGTTATTACTTTTTTAAATATTGATTATCTAGAAATAGTTCTAATACCTTAGCTAGTAACTACTAAAAAACCACCTTTTCCTTAACCTTTTTAGTAAGCTAGTTAGCTTAAAAACAATAGAGAAAAATAGCTATCTTAGTATAGCTCTAAAACTAATATAAAGAGCAATAACAATACGCTTATAGCAACTAGAAAACAACTAATTAAAAGCTTTTTCTATAAATAATTTTATATAAATAATATAAATAATAGAAGTTAAAATATTAGAATAGCTAAATAAATAGCTTAAACTAATTAAAAACAAGCTATAAGAGTTAGATATAAAGGTTTTAAAGTATAGATTATATAAGCTATTATCTTATATTTATAAGTGTAATTCCTAAGGCTAAATATACTAAAAGGAAATAGAGAAAATAGCTATACTAGTAACTATAAATACTTCTATAACTAATTGCTTCTGCTAATTAGATATTAGCTACTTTAATAGAAACAGTAATAATATATATATATTTACTAAGCGTTTAAAAGCAGTAGCAAAAATTAAGGGTAAAAAAATAGTTTTAAATTATATTATTATTTCTTTTATAAGCGAAGATTCCTTTAATAATACTTTAAATAAGGCTTATATTTAGTAGTAATATAAGCTTCTAAAGGAACAAAGACGCTAAGCTTTAAAAAGCTTAAGTATATTAATTAAAGATCTTAAAAAGCGTTTTAAGTAAATAAATAGCTAACTGCTTAACTATTTACTAAAAAATCGCTACTAAAAATAGGATACTACTAGCAATAAGAATATTATTAAATAGGCAAATAACCTTTTACTAGTTATATAGCGTCTTAGCTATTTAAACTATAATACAATTACCTTTATATATAATAGGCTAGACAATAAGCTTAAAATAAGCCTATAAGCTCCTAATTTATATAATAACTATACTAATTTCTTAAAGGAGCTAGCGCGCATATAGCTAATTTAGTATAATATCTATATATATAAGCAATAACAACAATTTAGGCCTAGTCTTTTTAGTAACTAGCCTCTTTACTATCTATTATAGTAATAGAACTAGCTAATAAAAGCTTTTCCTACTCCTTTATCTAATTAGCAAAATTAGCCTTCCTAAAATTAAAATTTCTAACTTTAGTATTAACTACTATATTTAATACCCTACTTTTAATAATTATAGCTAGCTTACTATATAAATATAGAAGAAAGA